ACTTATGGAGATTACTAAAATGGTCATAATAAACTAGGTCGCAAACGGCCAAAACTTACTCATTTTGATTGTAATATTCGCGAGGTGTATCTCTGTATAAAGATAGGTTACTATAACAAGTTTTATACAAATCTATATAGAAATAGTGATATACCGGCCACTTAAATTATCTCATAGACTATAAAATATATAGATTACAATTTTATTGTGGTGACGCTAAGACCTCAAGTACTAGCGTGACCACTTAAGGGTTAGGATAGCTGACCCTAACTTAAAAAAAAAAAATGCAAATAGGTAAGAAAAAGCTTAAGATCCTAGCTTCGTCTCTCTTTATAGGGAGACTACTGACGCCCTATATCGCGGGAAGGTGTCTTGAATTATAGGGCCTATAGAGGGTGTGCCCCCCGCTGATTACTTACCGCAACTATCTTGTCGAGTCGAAGTCTTAAGGTAGCTAATGGCAGCTCCCGAAGGGTATCTGTTAGCCTCCCGACGACCCTACTACCTTTACCTAGGTTCTAATTCGGAAAGCTAGTCGGTAAGAGCATAGTATAGCGATTAGTCTCGTGACCCTAGTAAGGCCCCTTAATTCTATACTACCTGAAGGTCGGATAAAGTCATAGCTAGTAGTATAGGTCGCCCCTCGTTAGTTAGGAAGAAGGAGTAATTGTTGACCAAATTTGGGTGACTTAAATATATATATCTCACTAAGGTCGCTAGTTCAATTCCTAGTATAGTTGGACTTTTTTGGGTACGACGCTTAAGCTATCGCGCTAGTTAAGACCATAGTTAGGAAAATTGTAGGATCACTAGGGGATATCTAGATAAGGCTGAGGTAACGAGGCTGAGTTAATAAGGTTCGCCGTACTACGGTATAGTAAACGCTACCCTAACGCAAAGCTCGCGCAACCCTACCTTACCACATTACTTTCAGAACTTCACCACCACAGCACCTACAGCTTTGCAAATAGTCGCATTCGCATAGCCTTGACAAGCTCATTCGAACGATGTAATAATCATGAAGATTGCACCCCGCGAAGTCTCTACCTGAGAAAACAATCCTATACCACAATCCTATACCACTTTAGCCATCTTTAGTTAGTTCCCGTCCCGTGCTAACTCGCTGTAGTTTGGCACCACCAACAATGGTATACCATTGTTCGGGTCCTTTTGGCTAGGGATTCCAATCTATCTATACTGGCACGGAAAAAGTATATATTTGCAGTGCAACAGACTAATGAGCTATTACGAGATCCCATTCAGGCAACGACTGACGCAACATTTACTGCAGTGAGTGTTCTTGCATTCTTCGAGGTCGGCTACTCGGCTAATCCAAATTACCACTCTCACAACTGACTCATGTTAGAATATCGTGTCACCGGGAAGCATGGCATCCTGGGCTAATCATATTGGGGGTTGCAGTGCGCTGCTGCAGCTCCGTGGGGAAGGCCAACTTGAGACCTCGGTTGGATGCACAATGTTTCTGAGGGCGAGAGGAGAGATAGTACGTGCCCAATCCGATTTTCCACCTCTAACTTGCTGACGTCGACAAGCTCCTTAGCTGTTTCCTTCTATATCGTCGTGTTCCCAACGTTATCTCTGACCTTTCCCAACGCATGAGGCACTCAGAGTATCCACTCAATACTCATTTCGACTCTATATTGGACCTTATTGGAGAGATATGCGACCTCCGCGCATTAGTCTGGGAGGCTTCAATTTCCGACCCCTTCGAAATCATCCAAGCGCTCCTCGCAATTGACAAACAACTTACGGTATGGTCCCAGGAACTGCCTTCCGGGTGGAATTACAGAACTATTTGCACTTTGAACTCCCCGTATGAGGTTTATGAAGGCGCGTACCACTCATATGCAAATATATTAGTTGCGACCGCTTGGAACCTGTACCGTGGAGCTCGAATGCTTGTAAATAGCGCGTTACTGCACCACATCAAGGCGTTACTTTTCGGTGGCGGATCTTCCGAACCTTGCTACATTCGAGACCAAAGAACTCAATCCCAGTCTATTGTCTCAGAGATGGCATCAAACATCTGCGCCAGCATTCCTTATCTTCTCGGTTACGGGAGTTTAAGCCATGACCAGGCAGACTTTCTACCCCCGGTGGCAGCGGCGTTGTTCTTGTTACCGCCGTTACCCATAGCTGCGTGCTGGGAGGGTGTGCCGCTATCGATGAAAGAATATGTCATCGGAAGATTATTGTATATTGGCAATACCTTAGGGATCTCATTGGCATCATGCCTAGCAGAAGTTGTTAGGAATGCGCTCGATTGTTACGCCTCGACCCTACTAACGACCATAAATCCTCTGGAGGAATAATAACCGAAAGGCACGTGATAATAATGAGTGAATGAATAAATGACTGAATATTCTACGCCCTGGTTAGTGACCATCATAGGGCCTGGTTCGCGCAGCTATTTAAACGTTTTTGTCCGTTAGTCCACATCTCGCATAATGCTCTGTTATACACACTGCAGAAGGGCAACCAAGTTTTACTGCATGCACCTTAAACCATTTTTGCAGACAGAGCAAATATTCGAAGCCCACCCATACTATTTCATATGACAGGGATGGCATTGCTGTCTAATTACCAGCAAACAATATATAGGACCTTCCAGCTTAACCTAGGTAGGACGGACAGGATAATCTGTATTGAGACATCTCAGGAGTGCTCTTGCAGCACTCCTGAATTCATTGTTCGTGATAAGACTTTAGGTTTCTAGCACTGCAGCTTAGCGTCTCGCTGAAAGACCCAGAAAGGGAAATAATACAAAGGCTTGTGGACTATTCCCCTTTACGGACGCATCGCCGAACTTGTGGCCTACTAATTCGCCCTAGCAGTTCCTAGGCAAGATCACCGCCGGATATTTCACTGGTTCCCCTCGTGCCCGATGTGTCGCCATCAAGGCAGGCTTCTGCTAAGATCCACGTACCACGAAAGATCTCGTATCGGAAATGCGTGTCTCTCAGCCAACCTTCAGATTGAACTTGCAATACCTTACGTTCAGGTTGTGGCGCTGGGCTGCACCAAACGTTCTGTAGCCACCTCGGATCAGTTCGGCTCGAGCGGATTACGAGCGCTCCGCCACGAGGCCATGGTTGAACTCAACCTTGACGGTGGCCAGAACAACTAATTGTTAGCGGTAAGACCTTCGTGAGGGCGTATCGAGTTGGAGGTTGGTGCACAGGAATGATTAGCATGATTTGGCGATGGTGTACGCAACATGGTTGGACGCAACAGATATTCCACCAACGTCCCTACTTGTGTTGGCCATATGTGATTTCTCAAGATTTTGTATTTTTGGTCTTTCAAGAGGTTGCTGTATTGGTCGGGCTGTCTGTATCGCACGAATTTAAGGAATTCGTTGAACTAATATACACGTTTCCAAGGACGAGAATAACGGCGTGCGAACCGTGCAATCTCCCTTGATCCTCCTTTGAGTGATGACTATAGCGGGTATAGAGGATGGTCGTAGTACTGACCATCTTTACCTATCTGTGGATCGTAGATTGCGAATGCTGTAAGCATACGACTAATTGATAGGTAGATTCAGACCTGGCGCAGAAAACTATGTAGGTGTTTAAGAAAAGCGAGAACACTAATTTAATAAAGCTTTCAAGCACACGCTATCGCGTCCTTCGAAGCCAGCATTTCTTCAATGGGATCTCAACGATTACCTTCTTGCTCGTCGGTGTTGGTAATGCCTAAATTGACAAGGCGGATATCTCGGTCATCCTATCAACGACGAAAGTAGGAACAAAACAAAAGCACTAACAGCTAAAATAACCTGGTCGGATGTCAGCCATATGCACTTAGTTCCAAATCCAGGAGATTTTACCGAGAAGCAGTTGGAGTTGGATGCTTCGGAAGCTGGCAACTGAGTTGGAGCTGATGTACTGGTCGAGAGAGCAGAACGTGTTGTGCTCCGCATAGTGGCTGTAGCGGTTGGGCTGGTTGCGGTTACCATATTCGATATCTGTTATTTTGCGTTAGGGCAAGGCTGCTTGTATTCCAGCGATGGGATTACATGCACTAGGTGCTGGTGTCAGAAGCGTATTCGACTCCAATGAGTTCCCGACTAGTGTGTGTGTCGTAGTCGCATACTGAGCACAGAAAGTCTGAAGTCTGGATGCAGAAGTGGCAAGATCCGGAATAGCGGTAACCGCATATGAGTAACAACCTTGCGCAAGGTCGTCGTAAAAGGACGGTCCCCAGGCAAAAGTCTCAGTCCCAACGTCTAGAGTTGATCCGCAGAAGCAGATTGCTTTCTCTGATGCTGGTAGTTCGTAGAAACTGGAAGTTTGCACTTCGCATATTGACTCGACGGTAAGCAGACCCCAACAGTAATCTGCCCCCGAGAGATCCTGTCCGGAGGCAATCGATAGCCACAGACCCGAAATGAGGAGAAGGATGCAGCGAGCCATGTTGTTGGTAGGTGGATGGATCGTAGCCAAAGCTTGAGCGGAGAATGTGCTTCTTATGTGTATTTGTTTTCTGGTGCAAGAAGATGACAACACTACAATGAATCCGAACGCCCCAAGGAGCGCGATTGGGTGCATGTATCGTCCAATATCGAAGATCAAGACTAGCATCCTTGGACAGAGCCCAATCGGATAACGAACCCCGTAATTTTATTGCTAATCAGTCGGTAGGCTTGTTTGAAAGCTGCATTGCGGTCATGCGATGATTCGCTCTCGTGTTCATCTCGTACTCATAGTACGAGTCGCTCGTAATACAGCGGATCCGCGGGCAGGTTTACGAGGCCACCATCAGGATGATGAGCAACCAGTACGATGTACTTCAGTATGAGCTTAAGTCCAACTGTGTGATTTCGTTTTCTCTGTCTCAGTTGCCGTTCTCTAATATCACCAATACCTGCCAGTAGTCACGTTCACAATGTCCACCTACCTGGGTGAGATCTACACTGGGTTCTGGATCGATTGGACTGAGGGTCGCATTACTGGTTCCAGGCTGACTCTTACCACCCGAGATAGCAGTTATCTTTTGTCGTTTCTCGGAGTCTTCGTCACACTTGTTGCCACGCAATTCTGGGGTATTGTGAGCTTTTGCCTTCATTCGTTGAATGCGAACCTGGAAAATGATGGACTGAACCGTCAACACCAAATCATATTGCGAAATTCAGGCTCGGCAGCTGGGACTACACGTGAACTCCTGCTATTGCCTTTTGCCTGGCGTGCAGGGACGTACAGGATGCCCCCAGGAAGGATCATTCTTCGGTCATGGTCACTGGCATTGATACCTTTGGGCACATTCGCTGCATTTTCAGCAGCAGGAATTCTATCTTCTCAGGTCACTAAATCAGTGGGAGACAATGTTCTTATCGTTGATGCTAATTGTGGCATGTGGCAATTCTTGAACGTCAACGATAGCCTGCAGCAACGGGCCTTCGTGACGAAAGTCGTCAATGAAAGCCTGATAGCTGCGAACTACGCCAAGTACTGCTACCATGGTCTTTCAACATCTTCACTGTGCAATACATATGTCAAGCAACAATTACCTTGGAGGGCGGAACGGCTATCAACTTGTCCCTTTGCAAGCGAGATGTGTCACCAGTCGCAAAATGCGTCACTACGTCTGGACACAGGGTATCTCGACTCGCACTTTGATCTCGGGCTCAACGCACCATCCAAGGATCGCATTCTCCTTCGGCGAGTTACGAACTGTGCGCCCTTGGATAATGCAGATCGTTGGGAAGAGTTTGCAGCGGTAGGTGAGCACTTATATAGGTACAACTTCGGACCTTCAGCTGGCGAGTGGACGTATCAATATGACGGTTCCTTAACAAACTTAGGTCAAGGATACTACATATAGTAAGCTAGCCGGTTTTACAATATGGAAGTTCCTCTAATGCGTTCTCAGCGATTGGGTATTCGAGGCTGGCACTCAGCCTCAGCCTGATGTCTGGATTCCACTTCCGCAGCTTACACGGCCTGACGCAGATCTTTCGCTCTTCTCGCTGTCTTCCAACAACATACAATATCTCGGCCCTATCGACGATCCATTCTTCAGTGCACACAAGATGCTGCAATCAGATGACATGACCTCATGGAAAGCTGATGGACCAGAAGGTTTGTGGGGACTAATAGTCGATTCTCGTTCCTGGAACTAACAGTCTAGCAGAGTTTGTTCATTTTATGGCTTGCACCGATCAGCATCAATTTTGCATCCCACAGGCGAAAAATTTTCGAAGGCCAGAGATTTGCACTCAACTAAGCGGCTACATCCCTCTTTGTGGGTCCCTCAACGCATTTCCGTTTAATAAGATGCAACTTGCAACTGCTGAGCGGATCTGCTCTCAGCTCAGCTTTGCTCTCATGGATGAGGCAGTTAGCGGCCTTGGCCCTTCAGCTCTGCTGGCCGTAGAGCACGTTGTCACACTGATTTCTGATTCGCTGCCAATCGATCACTGGATGCGAGAAGTCTCGTACTGGTTCGCTATATCACTCTCGAGGGTACAACGTGGACTCATTCAATATGCTGCCGGCCCTGCAGAAATACCCCACGGAATGAGTGTAGTTCCACCATCTGATGAGGCCGGCCGACAGCTATGCAAAGCCCAAAAGATACGCGCTAATGGCGGTTACCAGTCATACTCCGTCCTTGGACTTTGTATCATTTTGGTCTTTGGAGTGGCGATAATCCTTACAAGCTGGGTCTTAGAGCCAATTACAAACTTTTTACGCAAGAACTATTTGAACGACCGGAAGAGGCGACGGATACAATGGCTACTCGATGGTAAGCTGCAAATGTTACGTATGGCTTATGAGTACGCCGGTGTGGGTGATTGGATCAAGAAGGATGAGGAGACACCAGTTGTGCAAAATCTGAACAAAATTTTTGTTTTCCCTGTGAACCCTAATGCGTCGGACCCTGGATGGCGCGAGCCTTGTCCAATACAGGATGCGGTCGTACCATTATCAGACGGACAACAAAACACCACGCCTGAAACTAAACCTCTAATTTCTAGTCACACCACGACAGACGAGGGAAATAGATAATAGGAGTTTAGGGTGCTAGGACAGCTGTTAAGCATTGCCAATGAATTTATGATGATGCTGCAGACAAAGTCATCCACTGAACTATTCTCTCGAAAGGATTCAAGTCACAATTCCGGGTAGAGGAGTTGCCATTCTTGAAAAGTCACACATTTCAACGGCTTCCGTGAGTGATTATAAAGCTAGAGATCTATTATCTAGAAGATACAATAATAGGTGACCTACTTCCTTGCTCCTTATGTTCACAGTGAAGCTCTAGTTTTGATATCCTTGCATTGATAAAAGAGGTGAACACCATGAATCAGTGCCAAAGGCACAATAGCCAGCGCTGTCTCGACTCTGATTCTGCAATTCGTTCAAATAGGATTATTCTTTGTTCACTTCCTAGGAGACTTCTCGACACAGGGTCATATATTGCCCGTAAATTCGTTGATCTATGATGCAAGAGCTGCAGCGTGAGTGGAGAAATGCCTATCTGCACGGCTGTAAACGTTCTGCTAGGGCATTCAAGCTAAAATGGATGCGAAGCAGCCTTGGCGGGATACTGGCCTAATCCGATCCGGAACCATCCAACCGTGGAGTCTAACACGATTAGAAGGTTTAGACTACTATAAGCTTAAGTTCCTAGCTAAATCAAAACATCCAGTCTCCAGTACCGAACGAACTCGGGCTTCGGGTGCATGTAGTAATCAAGATTGCGGTGTCGAGACAAAATTGTATAACAAATAACTGACAGGTTCTATATGTAGTGTTAATGACAGGATTTTTTGGTCGTATTGCACAAAAACATGGATTACTGCACTGTGCCGGCTGGAGATTATCCCCTGCGGCCACGATGAGTACAAGCTTGGGCAAGCTCACCAGGGTGCTCATCCGCCCACGTCGCTTTTCAGCTCGCCGCATCCTCTACTCGCTCTCTGCTCACCTTCACCCATGTTTTACATTATCGTGCCCTAACCGCTACAAAGGTCACCATAGGAAGCAGGTTACTAAGCACGTCCAACGGGAGATCACGAGAGATGAGTGGGTCGTACATAGTTGGTGACCTTTGCAGCAGCTGGTGCCTAATTCCACTCAGCCAGGAGTTGGCACAGCCCCGTATAGCAAGCTTTCGCCGCGGGGCTTAGTGTCTACAAGCATTCATCCACTGGCCCGTAGCTACACACCAACCTCCGTACTGTAAATTGCCTTTTGACGTCGATCGTCAGGCGACATCAATTGTCCTGCTGGTGAGATACGACGCCTTACGCAGACCGCTAGTACCAACACTTTCGAACTCGATTATTTTGCTATGAACCACCAGTATAAACTTCGACAACATGACCGAACACGAGGGTTGTGGCATAGTGGCGAAAGCGACCGACGTGCGCCCTACACTCGTGTCTGCAACTGTCGCGCACACCGCCTTCGCTCGTCCAGCAACACGAGATGCGAATCGGCCTGCGCAGGCTCAATCTGCACTTTGATCACAGGGGTGGACTGCACGAAAAAAATTGATGGGAGTTAGCCGTAGTGATTTAGGTGCGAAGTTTGCGCCTATTCGTAGGTGGATTTCCCATCCGATCATTCAGTCCGTTCTTACAAGTTGCCATTCGAGGCATACGCTTGCCCGTAGCCCGTCAACCGATTTTTATTCAACGTGCTTTCTTAGGCTGACTGTTCAATACCGTGAGATCTACTAAAGCGCAGTATCAAGGACAAGGGAGCGCGAAATAATCTCGCGGCACCTTCTTGGCTACAGTATTATATGGCACGGTAGCTGGTCTCGGGCGGCTGGGCGGCTAACATAGAGGATCACCCGGTCAACCATTTGCATCTCTTACTTTGATTGCTGCCGGAGGACTTATGAATACCCGTAACTCCTCAACTTCGCATTCGCGCTGCTCGAGGTAGAAATGTATCGAATCTTTTTTACATAAATACATTCTGAAGGTTTATTAATTCCTCAATTCACGCTGATCATGCCATGCACTTTTATTTCCTCAGCACCAGCATCTTGAATTCCAGCTGTCCTCCTCAACAGTCAATGCCTATCTCCTGCGCACCCGGAATGGTACCAAATTGTCTTGGCACTCCTCGCGATGCCACCACTTCGTTATTTATCAACCAAATCATGCGATTTCATACGGGATTTTATAGGTAGAATCAAAGGGTGTTACTATAGGACTTTTTCTTAGCACTATAACTAACGCAGCTCGCGCTAGGAAAATCCTGTAGTATAGTCTATATTGCCTACTGTAGGAAGCCCATTTCTAAGGTTAACTATGGATTTTGGCTTACGACTCCGGTAGCTATCGGTTTACAAACCCGGCGGTGTTTGCGCCATTTTTTATTGGGGTAAGTAAACACTACGCTCGGAACTAGTCTCTGGCAAGAAATTCCGGGATATGAAGGATCGTTTCGAAGGCTCTTCCCCAGCTTAATAACATCGGGCCCAAGAAGACCATCAGGAATGGGCACCTACCTTCCACAGTTTATGGCGTCTCACGTATTGGAGTGCATATTATCTAGAGGGCTACACTTTCTTACTAATGCTATTAAGTAGTACTTACACCATATATAGGTGTTTCCGTTGGTGAAAAGGACGCAAATTGTACTAAAAACTCGGTACTCCATGAGGACCTTTTCAATGCAGCCTACCGTATGATATGGAACAGAAACGAACCCTTGTGCCCAAGACATTTCTCAGCTAAATCTTTGGAGCGAGCATCTTCGCTAGCAAGGTAGCTATGAGGCAAGCGTTCTGACGAGATGTTGAACTCCCGATCTCCGCCCAACATGCTATTGTCGCACGCCCTGGTCGAAGGTGCGCATCTGCGCACCAGCCTGTTCGCCAACTTCGAGGTTGCCAATGATTATCAGTCCCACGATTCGGCACATACACACCGCCAGTTACTGCGGGTCTGTGGCGATTGGCACATCGTGCAGGCTAGGTCCTGGTATTTTCGACGCCCAGGTTGGCCGCACGGCGGCGCAGTACCCTGTCTGCAGTGGCAGCGCGGAGAACCCGCTGGCCCCCGTAACAGACACCGCCGCGTACCCGGGATCCCAGAGCAAGCCAGATACAGATTGCCCGCTCGGCTAGCCAGAGCGGGGCTAGCAGCGGAAGGTACCATGAGAAGAACACTGTTCCACCGTGCCGTCGCCGGCCCATCTCTGCTACGACCACTGCTATGATGGCCACCCATCCCAGCCACCAGCTTTTTCGGATCACGACGGGGAACGCGACCGCCGGTAACAGTGCCAGCTCGGTGGCCAGCCGCAGTGGCTGTGCGAGGCTGTCGTAGGCCTGACGGATCCGCTGGCCAGCGAAATGGTGGAAGACCGGCGGGAGCCGTCGAACAAAAACCCCCGGAGCCGTCACGAGCCGCGCCCCGTTGGCTCGCAAGGTACGCACCAGTTCGAGGTTTTCGAACAGTACATCCCCATCATAGCAGTTGGCGGCCATAAAAGCGGTCCGCCGGACAGCCAACGTACCAGGGTAGTCCATACCAAGGCCACGGTTAAGCAAGATTCTAGCGCTGTCCCAGGCTGCGTGCCAAGGCAGCGGGTCGAAGTAGTTCTGAGGGACAACGATGTCTGCGTCGGCCAGAAGGGTAAGCGTCCGTGCGAGCGACTGGGTATCATAGCGGACATCATCATCAGCGATAATAACGTGTTCTGCCGTTGTCGTCCGCATGCCAGTGATGACACCGTTGACCTTGCCGTTACAGTAGGCCATGTCGGCAGCGGGAACGATATGGCTACTAAACGTGGCCCAGTGGCGATGGTGGTCCGCGAAAACAAGGGGTGGCGATCCATCTACGACCACCACGTCGCATTGCGCGCTGAGTTGCCGCAGATAAATTGTCAGATCGGCCAATCCGCTCATGTGGGTTTCCCATCGGAGTGGGAGAAGGTAACAGGGACGTGAGCTCGCATCCCGAACGGGCCGTGTCACCTGGTCGACTACAGGTCGGCTGTGGGCCGTAGTGACGGTTGTCCAGCCTTTCAGCAGGTTCCAGTCGAGTCCCAGTTCTCGAGCATGCTGGTCCGAGCGAGGGTAGGTACAATTCTTTTTACCTTCTTGCCGCGTCGCTGTATTTTTTTCAGCAGAGTACGAGTCGTCGTTTGGGCTAATGGTAGCTGGGGACATGTATTGAGATAGCTCCTGCTTTTGGATCGATGAGGCATGGCAATTGACTCCGTTGTACTGCGTCTTTTTGTCACCAGGACGTGGAGGGCTGGGGAAGGTACCATGCCTTGCCATAAAGGGGTACTGTCACTGCAAGGCTGGACTGCCGAGTGGAAATTGGCAGTTGAAGCGATGATTGTTGCTTCGATCGACTTTGCCACGAAATCTTTTGATATGGAAGCTGAAACGACCTCTGAAGTTCCCCTGCAACGAGTTTGATATAGTTTGCCTACCTGTGTTCGTCTGGAACTGCGCTAAGGAGTGTCTCAGGGGGTATGATGGCTCTCACCGGTGTCAGATCCCGAATACCAAGTCCCCGGACCTATCAGCCAGCAAATCGCGGACGATAGTTCCGACTTTCTGACACATTTGATATACAAGTACAAAGCTTGAATTGCTATTGCATCCGTATGTTGAATTAAGTTTCGCATAATATGAAGGTCGCCATTAGATCCCCGTCAGGGATAGAATCTTTGCCGACGCTACGCCCGGGACGAGTGGCATGTTGGACGAACACAGTCGAAGAACCAAAGATGGCACAAGGAGATATCACATTTATGAGTTCTAAACCTTTGACACCGTGCGGTCGCGACTCCTCGAACTGGCTCTTCGGCTTCTCCATGTAGGCTCTTGCTAGCCACGCGGTCAAACGTAGCGTGTATTCCATTTCTTCCACTGACGGGAGACGTTCCGTGCAAAGATGGAAGACGTGCCAGGCAACCATTAAGATGGATGGCCAGCGTCGAGAGCTGGACCTTTTTCACTACGGCCTCAAGCCGTCTAGTAAACAAGACTTCTTGGATCAGCGCTCACGGTAGAGGATCAAAAATTGATCGAGCACATGTCCATTCAAGATGCAGGCCATGTGACCCTCCTTAAGAATATGCTTGGAGAGGCAGCTCAAAGAAAATGTACTTATGACACTCCGTTTACGAATGTCAGGGGAAATACTTCGACACAGAAGGCTTTGTAACTATCTCTGTAGCTTGTCTGGTGAGTCGCGGCTTGGCAGTCTCACGCCTTTTTGAAGGCCATGATTACGGATGATGGCCTGCAACTCTTCCAGCCTTGATCACCGCCAACCAACTGGTCAGCTGTCGGCGTCATTAATGAGGACCCCTCATTTGTTCCTCAAAAGACAGTCCAGCAATAGCGGTACCTTCGCTGACGTTGTAGCAATCAGAGGATTTCATATCTCCGACTTTGAGTACCTCTGTTCTAGCAGTCCTCAAGAACTCTCAAGGATCCCTAGCGTATGGCATGTGTATGTTCGCAAGCTCAGGAAGGTCCTGTGAACGGAGGATGGTGGCGTGATTTGAGCATTCCCGCGGCTAGAGGACAAGGACTGGAAAGAATGAACCCTCCGAGTAATTTAGTCGCATGAGATCTGCAAAAATGCTAATACTTTCCCTCGCTCGTGTCCCCGTCGCCGGAGCTGTACATTCGTTCTGTACGGGTTAGCATGGTTGCTGGAAATCGTATGATCCAGGTATTGAAAAGGAGCTATTAGTCAAGGGTGACGCTCAATGTGTTAAAATAGTCACTGTTAGTCTGCGCTACAAGGCTTCATCCTACTGGTAGGTCCTTCTTTATAAGATTCGTGATATCCCCACTGAGTCCGGAGTCTTAACCATAATATCATCTAACTATCTTGCCCATCAGAGGTTCTTTTTGTGTCAGTAGCCTCTTGAAGTACACTGCGTTCGTTCGTTCACATATTAGCCTATCGCTCCTGAGCTGAGTCTGTCGCCTCCTGGCTGACCTCGAACTTGGATTGATTAATATTTTTGCAATATTGTGTGAGAAAGTGGAAGAAAGTGGAAGAAAGTGGAAGAAGCCTTTGTGCCACGATCGACGTATGTCTGAAGACTTGCGATTTCAGGCCTTCAGCCGCCCGATATTGATCCTGCGTAGTTTGTTTCTTGCCGAAGAATGCATTATCACCACCAAGAGACTCAATCACAGCTTGGGAATACTGTTGCGATCCGTCACTCGTGTATAAGGAAAAGGTTAGCCATTTACATTGTCCTTAAATACGTCTGGTTCCCGCAACAATCACGATGAAAGACTCAATAAACGGTTTCGATGTGAACGGCGCATGCATGGGTTGCTCAAGTTTGCTTTATGGCCTTGAGTTTTCTTGGATATATCCTCGGGTGGATTATTAATATTTTGAAGCTCCGCATCAAGGTCGATGTCGCCTTGAACTGGCATGTTTGTGGATCGTGGCTCTATACCGGAACTGTTCTTTAAAATTCAGGCTTACAGAGCTAACTTTCCCAGAGTTTTCGTTCTCAACCGTTCTCAAGGATAGGCGACAGCTGTAGTCGTACTATCTGTACAGTCGTCATGCTCATATGACGCAACCATGGATCTACAACTTCAAGAGGGGTCTGCCATGTGGTCAATGGGTAAAGGACCTGTCTTCGTCCGAGTACTAGACGTCGGACTCTCAAGGACTAAGATGTGCATCTCTAGGATTTTACTCCCGAAGTTGAAGCATTGTTGTCGGAAGCGGGTCCCGTAGACACACGTGGAAGCGATCTGACGTATGACTGCCACTTCATCTCCGGAGACATCTAGCCGGTTCAATACTGCGAACGACCACATGATATAACTAAGACTCGAACAATGAGCTTTAGGGGTAAAGCGCTGATGACAGACGGAATAAACGATTTTCGTGCCATGTCAGCAAATGACGGAGCACTCTGAGAAGCTCAGTGTTAGGAAAAACCCAGTTTGCTTCAAAAGGGTACTAGTACAACCAACTCGATCTATAAAATCGCGGTCCTACTGCGAATGGTCTACTAAGGAATGAATTATTTAAATTGACACTCAAACATTAACAAGCTTTGGCCGATTTGGAGTAGAGACGCAGGACAAAAAAACCAAATTATCTTCCCCACTCGAAAGAGTCATCAGTGAATGCCGGCAGATGATTGCCACTTCTAGTGGTGTGAATGCATTGATTCGGTTCTCGTGAGGGGACCCGTCATCATTATCATGCATTCAAGTACCATGTGGGCAGCACGCCCATTGCTTCGTCACAGCCAAATGACGAAGCCGATTGACCGTTCGCCAGGCAACCCGATGTATACCCCACTTGAACTGTATTGAAAATGAAACAGACTGCTTCCTCGACGCAAAGTATTCAAGTTTGGAAAGCCCTAAGAACGCTGACGGATCAATTCGCCGCGCAAGCTGCGATGAAGGGGTTGGAGGTTGTCTCTGCCTCAACAACCGGAGGGAGGATTTCAAAACGAAAGACGCTATTGGTGGAATCTTAGCCGGTAGTTACAGCAAACGCCTAAGCCTTCCACCATTCCCATCCAGGAGAGCTCGGATAAGATGCTCGGGTATCGATCCCGGGACCTTCAACACAATTAAGAACTGCCCACCAGTCATTAGTGCACCCTCTACAGAGATTATGATATATTGCGCTTCCCCTCGACACTCTAGTGATCTGCTAACCCAGAAACCGTCACAGAATGGCAACCATTAGACTTTTCAAAACTACTGTGACTACCACTCGCGTCATTCGAGGTCTTGCCGTGCAACGCAGCCTACAGCCCATCTCTTCAACACGTTTTCAGAGCTCTGTTCCCAAAAGAACAGACGCTGTGAGCAAAATCAATGCTGCTACTGCCAATATGTCTTCGGCCAATGCAGGTACTATCTCAGACACGATCAAGCATGACTATGAGGAGCTGAAGGAGTACTACCATAATATCCTCAGTGCAAAGGACGATGATTCGAAAATTCGTTGGCAAAATCAATTTACTTGGGAGTTGGCTCGTCATTCTATCGGGGAGGAACTTGTGGTCTATCCAGCTATGGAGAAACATATGGGTGAGGCAGGAGGGCATCTCGCGCAGAGAGACCGAGACGAACACAACAAGGTATGCCCTGTAATCGACCTGTCACGCTGGCATGCAGCAGGGCTTCCGAGGGTCGTGTGAGCGTGAGCTCAAGCTGATACTAAACCTAGGTCAAAGAACTGTTGTACAAGTTCCAAGGATTGTCTCCCACAGACAAGGAGTTTGAGCCAACCATCAAGTTGCTCTGGAACGTGTTAGGCAGGCACATCGAGGAGGAGGAAACCGAAGATCTACCGAAATTGGAGCAAGCGATGCCAGAAGGCAGCTCAGAGAAGATGTCCAAGAGCTTCGAGAGGACCAAGATGTTTGTGCCGACACGCAGCCATCCTTCGGCGCCAGACAAACCTCCCTTTGAAACAGTTGCCGGACTTATGGCTGCGCCTTTGGACAGGCTAGGCGATATATTCCGACGCTTCCCATAATAATGAAACTAGGGAAACAAAAGGGCCCTAGTGATGGAATTTCAGCCACGTATGGTCGAATTATTAAGTCGGAGTATTGTTGTAGGGGGTCAGCGCTTACTCTACAACATTGTGCCAATATTCATGTGTGCATGAATGGGTGCGCGGCAAGACTGTTATTTAGTAGTCGATAGTGGGTGAGGGCGCAGATTTTGTCAAGGGACGAAGATGGAAAACTGAAAAGGCCCAAAGGGATAGGGAAGCAGCTCAATACCTTTATATAAAACCCACACAAAAATTTTGGCAGTGATGACTCGAATGGCTCTGAGTCCATCTCGGGTAGAACTTCGTGCTGGACACGGGTCTTCTCGCGCCTTCACTGAATCCAGCGCTAGCGCCAGGAATGGATTCGACATCGAAATTACCCTTATATGCACTATCTGTGGCAACTTGGAATTAGAAACTAGACTCCTCGGTCTTACTTGTCGAAGTTTGTCTATCGCCAAGGTGGCTCGAATCGTGGTCCGGCTCTTATCCCAATCAGGTGCGCGTAAACGATGCTAACTACATAAGGTTAATTTGCGCTTTATATCTTCCTAAATGGAACAACCACTGTTGTGGGTGGATGCATTCGATTGCGAATCATGGTAGTGTGAAGGACATGGTTGATAAACTATGGGAGCATTAACAGGTATAAATGTGCTCACCTCAGGGAGCTCACGAGAGGAGAGGGGGAAAGTGTGAAGAATCTTTCAGTCTGCAGAATGCAATATTCCAACTGCAACAATGTCTCCCACCTCACCTGTTGATGCACCGCAGCATATCATGCAACTCCTCAGCAGCCTCCACAAACGGTCCTTGGAACAGGAAGCGGTGATTTCGAAGAGTGGTAGAGTATTCTCTGCCAAAGTCCTAGGGGACCTTGAAGACCAATTTCCAAGCGGTAATTCGGCAGCCGATTTTGACCAGCTGATGCTGGATAAGTTTATCGCACTCGACGAAGACAAATGCCAATTCACGTATCAACTGATCAACGTCATGGGAGCAACCAACATCGTTGAGGCTGGGACCAGCTTTGGCGTCAGCACGATATACCTAGCACTCGCTGTTGCCAATACGAAAGCTGCCACGGGAAAGCCTGGCCGGGTAATTGCAACGGAAAAAGAGTTGGAGAAGGCAAAAATAGCAAGGCAATATTGGACTGAGTGTGGTACCAGCGTTTCAGAGCAGATTGAACTCAGAGAAGGGGACCTGCTGGAAACCCTCAAAGCCAATCTCCCCAAAGTTGACCTACTTCTCCTCGATAGTAAGTGCGCCACAGAATGCAAAGTCCGCCTTAAATGGTTGGCCTGGTTATCAGACCTTAAACTGATGTTACACACCTAGTCTGGTCGGCCCTTGCACTCCCGACACTCAAGCTCGTTCAACCTCACCTTCGATATGGCGCGGTGGTGCTCACCGATAACACCATCTCGGGTGCCGAGGGTTATGCAGATTTACTGGCATATTTCCAAGATCCAGAAAACGGCTTCCACAATATGACACTTCCATTTTCCAATGGGTTCGAAATGAGTGTTTATCTTCCAAGGAGACAATAAGATCGAGGGTCGGGAACTAGGACCTCTGAACTTGGTCAAAGCATATATCACCGACTAACTCGCACAAAACTTCTGCGGTGAACTAGAGAACCCTCAAAATATAGTGAAATCCTTTGGCTCACAGCATAATCAAGCAATGTTAACGCGCCTGCCCTTGACCATCTATTGATATCAATTCAGTGAAGAAATCACCCGTACTTCGAAGTTTTCCATGCACAAAAAGTGAATCAATCTTTTGACTGCAATAACACCCCAACTTGGGACCACCAAGATCATCAATCGGTTGAGAAACGGCGAATACATCGCGGCCCATGAATCTGTAGCTATTGATGGCTTTAATAACACTCAAGATCTGGAAAACTGGAAAACTCCCTTCCTCAGTTGGTGTCAGATTCTCCAGAGCTTGGAGCCAATTTTCAATCAGGCGGCTTAAAGCAAGGTCTTGACATCGTAGAAACGCAGCCAAAAGCAAACCAGAGAAGCCAATAGTGTACGTATTCCGTGTGACTGCTGTCTTTATGTCAATCCCTTGCGCAATGCGAAGCAGCAAGAGGATCCAAGGCTTCGTCTCCGAGAATTCATGCCCAAGCAGGTGAGGAGTTCGAGTTGGGAGGAGGCTCAAGCATTCGGTACTCTGGGTGATACGGGCGACTAGGTAGTATGCATAGTTAAGTGCTGCATCATGTGACTGGAAGTAAATACTTGTGTCCATTGAAGCACTATGTTCCGTGATGTCTCTCATTCTGGGCTTCTCTGTCGGTGGGAGGCCCAACAGCCACTCGTCAAGTTTTCCTGCCTCCGTACGCAACATGGTCTGAATTTCCTCAAACTCGTGATCAAGCTGCCTAGCATCTGCATCTGTTCTCATTAAACCAGAGGAGCAGTATTTGAGGACTGCTTGAGTATTGAGCCGATGCGATTCGCACATGATGCTGAGCACTAGGACCCGGCGCTCCTCGAACTGGCCAAAATTTGAATAAAGGATGGCTGGTAATGGTACTGATGGTAGATTTATCTGTGCCTCAACCGAACGGTAATAGGCTCGAGACCACCAGACGACGAGGCGTGCCTGCATCCACGCGGCAAGAAGCGATTTGATGGAAGGATCGCCAGATTCTTGTTGAAGAGTATCCAGGAACGTTGTGAGCCCCCGAATGTGATGATCGAAAGCTTCAAAGTTTCCCGATGAGTATTCAATGTATGCGAATATCAAAATCACTAATAAGGCGACCGGAAGATGTTTTCGGTACTCCTGATAGCTCATTGAGGCAAACCTTTTGATGGCGCAGGAATAATACAGCTGGCTTCTGGTGAGGTGTATGAGGCTCGGCCGGTGGGCTCCAAAACAGTCGACAGATGCCGAGAATTTGGACTCAGGAGTACTTCGACCGATGTTGCACGAAGACAGAGCTAGAATGGCATCCTTGAGCACGGGGAATTGGCTGGAATGCTGAAGCGCTCCACGAAAAACCGGGTGCAATGCCGGCATACAGCGATCTTCGCAGTACGTAGTGTAGAAGATATCTCGCTCTGAATGCTGCAACGACTGAATAAGAGAGAGGCTATGAACAGGAAGGCTAGGGCGACGACGATCTCCAGAGATTGGACCAGGACACATAGACTGATGCTCCTGTACTTGAGTGTCGGCGGGTTTTGGCTTTGATGGTGGTGTTGCAGCGACTCGAAACTTCAGCTGAGGCTTCCAAATTTGGCAAACTATTCGCAACCGAGCACATGTTCCGCAAGTAGGCTTCTTTTCATCACACTTAGCTCACGTCAGTTTTATGTGTTCACCCCTCGTATGCACATGCGCAACAGACCTTAGTGCGCCGTGCCCGACAATTTTGGCATCCCGAGCGGGATCGAACATTGTCAGTTTTCCTGGGTCGGGTTGGGGCGGGCTTATACATATGCTTTTCAGAAAATCGACAGATAAATGTCGAGATAGGCTAAAATTAGCCGATGCTGTGTCAGGAGAACGAGCGCGAGGGTCGAATTTAGAATGTTTTTAGTAATGACTGCTGAAGTAACGGTCGAGAAAAAGCAAAAGGCGTAAAAGATCTCGTATCCAGACTATAAATCATTGATTATGGCAATCGAGATAGCTTTTGTAGGCTTAGGAGTCCCCATATATTTATTCAGAGAAGTACAGCTGAAGTAATAAATAAACGAAGTTTCAACGGTGAATTCGCGCCTTTTTACTAAACATGGATAGAGGTCGGGTAGTAAGCCTAACTAGTCAAGGAAGGTATCCCGGGGGGCCCGAGCTCGACTCGAGCAGACTAACTAACTAGCTAAATCGAACCTTATCTGAGGTCCGAAGTCGAGTGTTATTATTCCCTAGGATATATGATTCTCGACGCATAGCGGTCTGTGCCTGCCCAGCGATCGAATCTGCATCAATAAAATCACAAGTCATTGATCTTCCCACCGGGTTGGCTTGAACCAGGTCAACAAGCTTAGATAGTATATTGAGCTCGAGCTTCAACTTCACGCTATACACAAAGCCTTTGATACTTTCCTGATAAAGCTGAAGGTGCTTATATTGCAGTGCAATAAGTGCTGTCTAATCAATATTAGTCGTCGCCGAAATTTTAGGCATGTGAGAACCTTACATCCATGCACATAATCATGATGTTGATGGAAAGGAGTTGCCATATCATACTCCTTGTGTTCTTTCTTGAGATGATCTTCAACAGAACTAGAGCTTTCCAAACATACAGGCCAGAGATAATAAGTTCTTGGAGAGTCAAAGCTGTCATCTGTATGTGTTCCATGTAAAAGTATGCTTCCGCGAAAGCCGGATTGGGGGAATATATGTGACCCCAATCTAGAACCACCGTGGTACCCTCGATACACAGAGTGTTTACAATGATCATCCATTTGACGGCTCGCAGGAGCTTGAAACTCTCGAGTAGGAGGCCTAGGCGCGAGTACAGGACGAGGGATTGACCAGTAATCATCAGTACCCAGCCCGAGTCAAGAAGAAGTAAGCTCGCCCACGGGACACAGAGGCTGAAGTAACTCAGTGTCATACCGAGAGTGTATGAAAATACCCCGTAGTTACAAACACTCAAGCTCCAAAAATAGAGTCCTGTCCTCCTTTTGAAGGTAGTCAAGATGAGAAAGACCATCTCAAGGGAATTATAGAACCCCAGCCCGATGGATAGTGTCACGATAACTGAGGTCGGAGTCCACCGGCCATCGAATGAATTTTTCCCGACCGCAGTCTGGTAGAAGGTCTCGGAGGACATATTCTCGGAGGGCTAGGCGGGGAGCATCGTTGCTCGCGCACTATTCGTCACTGGTATCTGCAACTATACAATTTTTCAGTGGTGATTGGGTATGACATCGACCTCATCTCATAGTGGATGGCGCGACAAATGCAGACGCAAAGATGCAGGAACTGTTGAGATTTGAAGTCCATAGTGGGCAGAATAATAATAACAAGTTGTGGCACTCAGTGTTTCGGCAGATCCAGATCATGCGGAGCGCGGGGAACTCTTGACCTTGAAAGATTTATGGGAAATCTAACCGGCGAAAGGTAGCCAATAAAGCGAGGCAGAACGGTGGAAAGACACCAATATTGTTTGATTCATTTTACCTCACATTTCCTCCCTCTAGAGTGAACTTTCATTATCGAAGTGTCTCTCCAACAAACTGCGTTCTCTAGCATTGACTTGCTCAATATACAGTTGGGATCAGTTGTCCTACAGGAAGACCGAATCACTCCAAACATATATAGTAGGCTGTGGGCGAGCCTATTCCTCTGCATAGTATGCTCCATTAAGGTTATACTCTTTTTTACTGATTGAGACTACTCCCGACTTGAATTGGCACAAAGAAACCGCAGCCAAAATTCGAAGCACTGTCTTGTGATATTAATCTTTTAGGCTAATCTTCATGGGAATTAAGCGCGCTACCACAGATACTCGGCCGGCTATAAACACTAGATAATGTGCTTGTCTTTGATGGCTTTCAAATATTAAAAAAGCCACCGGGTGAAACTTCAATCCCCCCAAAGTCGTCATTTACATTCAAGGCAAACACTAAAGCAAGGTAAGCTAGTACACAAAATCTAAGTAGTTTCTTCTGATGGTCTCCGAGCACTTACTCTGTTGGAATGCACCGAATGCATCCTCCAAGTCCTCGTTGAGAGAGGTGTCAATTGCATGATCTGAACGATTGGTCCCCAACTGGAGAAAAGACATCGTTATATCATCTGGAGAATTGAAATCTTGGTGGAACACTTCTGCGGTCGAGCCAACGTGAGTAGTTATTCCAGACTCACTAATTATCAGATGGTTGGGAGATTCTATAATCCCCGAGTCTTGTGACACCTGCATCGAGGTCGAATCGCAGTAGTGGCTACGCCTATAACTTGCTTGAATTTGAATTCCATCATCAGCGCTGTCATTCCTCGGTAACGGTCCCCTTTCCGGTTGCTCCTTTGATTTCAATGCTATATCCATCTCTCGGCGCATCGTTCTTTCGTAGAGATTTGTGAGCAGATAATCGGCATGCCGAGCAACAGTGTTTATGGATTTAAACGTTCGGCTGGCAGATATAATACGGAGAACTCCTGCCTTAGCATCATTCGAGATCTCACTATATGGCAAGCATAAGGCAGGGACGCAAAGGATAACGCCCGCTGCGAACTGTTGTAGAAGGAGGAATGATAGGGCAAGATGGTGGTTGAAATTCCTGATATCCGTCTGGGAGATACGCAAAGCCGCCTCCACGCAAATTCTTAGCGAATCTGGAACATCATCAGGGAGCAGTACATGATTAGGCCCAGGCGATGCGATCCGACACTCCAGTAATGGTCGATGCACGAATATGATGGCCGAGTCGTGAAGAACTTGGAGTACTGTACTCTGAAGAGCTATCATTGTCCGTGCATCGGGTCCTTTGACTGTAGCAGAGGGCCAATTCACTCGGAATGGTTCAATTTGCGTTTGAGGACCATAGTGGTATGGCTTGAATACCTCAGGAAGGTTATCGCGATATTTTTGTAGATTCTCATCGGCATTTTTCACTGCGAAGATCAAAGCTCTGAGGTCTTTAACGGAAATAGATTGACCAAGATGCAGAGAATCGAACATCTGTGAGATTTCCCATACAACCGAATACAGCTTGAATTTGAGTTCGTGAAATGTGACAATTGATATATCTTTACCTTCGTCAAGGATCGAGAAAGTAGAATCTGTGGATTGAAGGCTTGGCTCGTCCTGAAGTCGTTCCACTTTTCGAAAGTGGGTGTGTTTGGGGTTCAGAGTCGAAGAACGGCCATAGATCATGGACGCAAATAACTCACCGACAAGTGCATGATTCCAACATCGAACACCAACTTGTCGAGTCATCTCATCCATTCCCTCCATCTTCTCTCGATGTAGACCCAAACCAGAGGCAACACGAGCCGGTACACCGGATATATTCCAAGCGAATTGAAATGATCCAAAGTAGGTGTGAAAGATAGTTAGAAGCATCAATATCTGAAATGATTGAATCTGAGGCTTTGAAAGAACCTCGTAAAAATGTATACCGATTTCTCGAAGCAGACTTTGCACCACAGAGTTGGCGTTCAAGGAGTGTGAGGCAAGTATACCATGTCCAGGCCACGAAGAATCGTGCTGTGCGCAATTTATACCAAGGAGAGTGACGGTCAAAACAAGGACCACATCACATACTTCTCGCTGCTGCCATGCTGATCTATCAAGGATGAGAGCGGTATTATAAGTGAAAGATGGCCGATGCATAAGCATAACAAACCAATCACATCGCTCAAAGTATGCGTCTATGGCAACATCAAACACAATTCTTGGATATAGGGCCATTGTGAGTAAGCCGAATTCTGGGGATGATGCTCCTTGATGTGTTACATCATCAGGCATGGCTAGGTCTTCACCTGCATCGAAAGAATTCGCTCCACCAATGACAATCCTGGCGAAGTCCATGGAGGAGCTATCCGCCACGCGTTGACGAGGAGTCGCATTACTTGTGGGAAGCATCGGCGTAGTTCTAGTTTCTTGACCGTGGTCGAAGCTTCGTGAGCCGAATTGAGAGTACTTTTGGATATCTGGCGGTCCGTCCGCGGCTGTCGATTTTTCTGCCACTTTTTCTCGATGCATGCGCTTATGATTGAGTCTAGAACGCTCTGCCATCGTTTGGGGCTCGCATATTGACTCAGCCCGGATACACAGTGTGCAAGGCTTGGTATAATCACACTTTCGATCAGGTTCAATAAGCTACCGCACCTCATAGGAATATTCTACTGCCAACATACCTTTAGCTTGTGTCGACGACATCGCGCGCATGCCCAGGTTTTTCTTAATGAGGGTTGACTGAGCATGTCGCCTAACACAATTCAGGACCAGGGAACCGTCGCCAGAGTGCATATGTGGATTTGAAAGTTGCAAGTAATGTGTTTCGATCTCGGTTATGTACGATTATGTAGTAAAGTGAAAGTCGAGCACTGCTTGGCGGCCGAGAGGTGAATCCCTAGCGTGAACGATAGCCCGGCATTATCGGTCCCATAAAGTCCGGGCGGCTCCGGAGACGCTCTTAATCTGAACTGGTTGAGGATTGATAATATTTTGACTTGATAGCTAGAAACCTAACGATCATAACTGGAAAATTTACTGTTGGTCGATATCCTGATGAGATGCAAGAAAGAATACTGTCGTACGAGTAAAATTTCAAGCTTGCTAGGTTTGATGAGATCAAGCCCGGTAACTCTCCTCACTTCCGTTCTGCTAAGATTGACATAATATCTCTTTATACCACTGACTCGATAGTTTCGTCCCCTGTATCTATCCTAAGACATGATTTCTATGGTTTGGGTATCAATCTGCTTTTCTTCGGTGTGATCATTAGTATTCTGTAACCGAGTCACAGGTTCCTTGCCGAAAAGTATATCAATCTCCTCCAGGGCCAGACCGGTCGTCTAAATAACAATCAGCGAGTCAACTCAATATATATGGCTTTGGTATTACCTCTGGTAAGCGAAAATAGAAATAGACAATATGAACTAGGCCAAGGCAGATGAAGACCAAGTAGTACTTCCAGCCAATCTTCAATTGGGCTGTTGGTGCCAGCTGGAGCCAGAGGAGATCGGCTAGAGTAACTCCTGCAACAGCAATGGCATTTCCTTGCGACCGAAGATGGGAAGGGAAAATCTCTGCAGCCACAACCCAGCAATTCGGATCGATAAAGACACCATGACTGCCAAAGTTTGTTAGCTCGACTGTAGATGCACTTCTGGTGTGGCCTCGCGCTTACCATGTAACATATAGAAAGAAGAAGGTAACTGAAAGCGCGGCCCATTTGCTGGTCGGTGTGTCTGAGTATTGTGCAACGAGACCGGTCGCCACCACAAAGAATGAAACGTTTGAAATGAATCCAATCACTTTCTGGGCGTCAATTTTTATCGCAGTCTACATGGGAGGTTTCAGTGGCTTACATAGGAGTTTTCGTCTACCAAATCGATCAGAGATCACCGCTCCCAGGAAGTTTGCAATCATGGCCCAGGTATTGTATCCGGCACTCAAGAGTAGAGCTTGCCAATTGTTCAATCCAAGTGATGCATAAAGAAGTGCATTGAAGTTGTTGATCACCAGGATACCGGTATTCTGACTACCGATCGTCGTCATCAATGCAACTATTAGTCGTCTGCGATATGTTTTCTGCGCGATAATTTGCCATTTTCCTCCATCATTTCGTTGCTTATTATCGTCAGAGATCTGATTCCGAATAAGTAACAATTCCTGATGAGCAAAAGTATCTTGAGGATCACTGGGGTCGTGATGTAGGCGACGTAGAACTTCTAATGCTTCACCATCCCTTTCTTTGGTGACGAGCCAACGTGGGCTTTCAGGGATGATAAAGGTGCCAGCCAGGAGCAGGACCGCCCAGACAATAATTATGGCATTCGGGAAGCGCCATCCGAAAGAAGTGTCGACTGGTGCCCAGAAGCAAGCAAACCTCGAGAAAGGTGAGCAATCAATTAGAGCAAGCATCGAAGTCATACGCACCCAATCCAATTGGCCGAGAAATAGCCTACATTAATAAAGCATCCATGCATACCAGCCATGAGGCCCCGGAATTTGGGTGGAGCAACCTGTCATCGTTAGCTATTGCCTTCTTCTCGAACCACCTTGGCCCTGTGGATTATGAGGGCGTACCTCCGAAACCCAGACTGGTACAACGGCGAATGATAGTCCCATACCAAACCCCGTAATGAGTCGTGCCACCAAATACTAGTACTAACATTAGTATCTTGACATTCTACAAGGGAAGATTACTACCATCGCGGGGCTTATGGCTCCAGTCTGGATGGCACCTCCAATGATGCCCACAATCGAAGACATCTGAAAGATCCGGATTCGGCCCAGTCTTGACGAAAGCCCGCCGGCTAGAAGGGCACCGAAGAACGCCCCAGCAAAGAAAATTCCATTCGCGGTAGAAATTATGGCGTTTGTAAAGCCATAGCCTGAGTCAGACGTGTCGGTCACGAGGCCGAGACTCGAATAGAATGTTGGCTGGCCGAGAGTAGAGATAATGACAGCTAAAGTATATCCACAGTAGAGAGAGCCGAAGGATGCAAACAGTACCGACTTTATGTATGTTGTTAGCAGTAATACTTCGAGTTGTTGCAATTTCATTTACTCACGATCACGTTGAAGCGAGTGAATGTCTGCTTGTACGCCATTTTGCTGGGTTTTGATAAGCTATTTGGAGACTGGCATCAACCGGGGATGCTAGGATAGCAATACTGCCTATGACTATTACCATGACTTCATATATATCCATGGTGAGAAACAACTTGTAACAGTCGTATGCCGCACTTAGGTAATCTCAAGAGGTCTAGGTCCGCCGGACATGGACAGCATCCCGTACCATCATGTTTTTCCACCGCGATTATTGATTCTGCTGAGGTGGGCTAGCCCGTTCTCGGCGAAGGTGCCTTGGGTTTTGGGGTAAGATCGTGGCAGAAATCCAAGTCTTTGCAGAACCCGGCTAGACTTTTGATACCGCCACCTGGAGATTGGGAACGAACCTTGGGGATAACTCCGGAGTTTCTGGGGCTCCACCATTCTTTTAGCAATCGTCCAGGTTGACTAATGTAGTCCGGCGGCCCACCGAGCATGTCCGGTGGACGTACGCTACTGATCCTCAAATAGCGTGAGCGAGTCTTAGATTATTTCTTAGGTATGTGGCGGTAGCCCAGAAATATTTGTGGCTACAGTGAAATGCAATCCTCGAAAGACATCACGATCCAAGTGATCTTTGGCTATTTCTAATTACATCTGACACTCTAGCCCCTCAAGCTTGCCGGCATCCCTCCATTGGCGCAGCAATTCGAAATATTTCAATGAACCACCGCCATATGGAGCACTCTTTGCAGCTTTGAGCTCCATTTTCCCTTCGTTATTGAGGTAGCTTGGTGTACACTCCTTGTAATATGGGATCTTAAACTTGCTTGACTCGATAATTTCATTAACCCAAGCCTCTTCAGCTTCTTGTTCGGGTTGGAAGCTCTTGATACCTCTTGCCTTTAGCTCTTTGATAATGTAGGCGATCTGGTTGACAATCTCTGCTGTTCCGTGCAAGATGTTTGGTGTCTGAACCGACTGAACAACCTGAACAAAGAAGTGATTGGGAAACCCACGAGCTGCTAAGCCATAAAATGTAGAGGGGCCGTCTTTCCATTTTTCGGATAGTGATACGTCGTTCAACCCAACAAGCTCATACCCGCTTCTCTGCGTGAAATCTGTTGCTAATTCAAACCCTGTTGCATAGATAAGGCAATCTAGCTTGTACTCGATCCCATTTGCAATGACTCCATCTGCTGTTATCGAATGAACCCCTTGCCCGTTTGTATCGACTAGGATCACATTTTCCCTGTTGAAAGTTTGTAGATATTCGTCATGAAAGCAAGGTCTTTTGCAAAACTGATTGTAGAACGGCTTCAGTTTCTCCGCAGTTATAGGCGATCTGATAATCGAATCCACCCGGGTTCTGATTTGTTCCATTTTCTGGAAGTCGGCTAGCTGACGCTTCTCATCCATTGATCCCGAAGCGGTTTTGTCGGAATCGTTGTGTGCAGGCTGGGGTGCTAGCGTAGCGTATATATTCGTCCAACCATCAGAGACTAGATCCTCCTCTTGGTGACCTCCACTTAGAATCGTGTTGAAGTTATTCATTCTTTTCTGTTGCCAGTCTTGACCAAGATGTCGTGCCCATTCTGGATCTGTTGGACGGTTGTTACGAACATCAACGCTGCTGGGCGTCCGCTGGAAGACATAGAGTTTCTCTGCCCATTCACCGAGCCTTGGGACAATCTGAACTGCCGTTGCGCCAGTCCCAATGATTCCCACCTTCTTGTCTGTCAATTTGTGCAAGTTGCCACTGCTATCGCCACCAGTATATGCATAGTCCCAGCGGGAAGAATGGAAACTTTGGCCCTTGAAAGATTTAAGGCCACTCAGGCCTGGAAGCTTGGGCTTATGCATCGGTCCAGATGCAGAGATGACATATTTTGCCTGCAATCGATCTCCATAATCCGTCTCGACGGCCCAAGAAGAGCTTGACCCGCACCAGAAAAGATTAGTTACTTCTGTCTGAAACAGGGTCTTCTCATATAAATTGTACTTGTGACCGATATTTTGAGCGTGTTGATAGAGTTCAGCACTCCTGGCATATTTCTCCGTAGGAACGTAGCCTGTCTCTTCCAGGAGAGGCATATAGCAATAACTCTCGATGTCGCACTGTGCACCTGGGTATCTATTCCAATACCTGGGGAGCGAGGATCAAATTAGCTGCACGTTGATCATGTCGGAAGATTGCTTTACTCACCATGTCCCTCCAAAGTCGCCCGCCTTCTCCACTATCATTATATCAGATAACCCCTGTTCGACTAGTCTCGCGGCCGCCAGCTGACCACCATAACCACCTCCAATAATGAGGACTTCAATAGTCGCCTCAAGGGGTTGACGTCTACCTTTTGTCTCGATGTATGGGTCATCAAGATACTTGCTGAAGTATGGATCACTCCGATCGATAAGATTGTATTGACCAAACCCCTCAGGGTTTGCCACGAGTCGTTTCTCTCGTTCTAGGTCATACTTGGTCTTTAAAGTTACCGTGTCCAACATAATGATCGAAGCGCAGTATTTCAAGCAGTCATAAATTTCGACCAGAACTGCTTTTCATATCCTATTGCTCAGATCTAGGAATCGATCTAAATATAGGATGGAAATAGTTTTGAAAATGGACTATCTAGATTCACCGAGGGATCGGTATCTCCCAGGATACCTAGATAGTGGCGGAACCAAAATGACTCCGGTAGTGGAACGATGGACAAGCAAGTATGGTATCATTTGAAATTGAATAACAACTGGGACACGCAAGCATTCCAGTTGCCGAGGAGTACGAAACTGCTTATTCCGATGTTCTTTCGCTAATGTTCATAGAGAGATGTTGTTGCTCGTATAGATCTCGATGAGAAGTAGGGACTAGTTTGGCTTTCGAAGAGGACTACTTCTAGAAGTTTATTCGCCCTAAAATCCGATGATAGACTCATTTCTCTATTGGGTAGAAGCACTATATGCTTATTGTTAAGTACTTCTTACCGAATCCTCCTTGGCCTTATAGCTCGACCAGAAGTTTCCCTGTATGCTATTAGTCTCAGAAGCGTCTGGTGACGATCTGAAGGTCATTATACCTATATTAATGCCATTGTATATTTCGTAGAGGGCTTTTTCCGCTTGTGCCAAGCCGCCTGGCATAATTGTTTCCCTCGCTTGAAGTCTACCTTCTAGATACCATTGGGTAAGTTCTTCATATGCCTGTGGGTTTTCATCGGGATAATCGAAGACAAGAAAACCTTGAACGCTGGTGAATTTAGCAAATAGAGCTCCTTATAGCATTTGAATAGCTTACTGCAGTCTCTTGTATCCAATGTTCAGATAATTCTGCACGAATATTTAGTACTCATACTGAGCATTCTAGACAGGCTGAGAACTGACTCTTGGACCTTGAGGATTCTGAACATTGACCTGACTCACACCTGTTTACCTGTTAACGCAGAATCTCACAGCTGGAATTGGAAAACAAGTACCCCCGCACAAAATCACACGGCCATGGACCTTCGCCTGGTCTAGTGCATGCTCCAGAATTTTGCCGCCAACTGAACTGCCATTAAGAGATTGACTTGTACAGGTAACTTTTGGTTGACCTACCGTTGTCCCAAAAGACGTCAATGCCATCCTGGAGATTGATTCAGCCACAAACACAAATTGTATCTCCATCTTTATGGCAATATCTACTCACCTGTGTAGCAGCTTTGAACTTTTCAACGAAGTCTTCGTCCCTATAGTTTAAGGCATCATCGAAACCAATATCCTTCAGCCACTGAACTTTGTCATTACTGCCAGTAAGACCAAGAACTCTTGCACCCTGGATCTTGGCAATCTGCCCAGCGATACTTCCCGTCGCTCCTGCGGCACCTGAGATCACAACAAGCTCCCCGGGGTTAACCTTTGCTATCTTTTTCATACCATGGTATGCCGTAAGGCTAGTAAATCCTGAAATTAATGTCAGCCATTACGGAAGGGTTTGTCATTTCCTCGCCTCCTACCTAGCACACTCAATGCATCTGCGAGTTTACCCTTTTCTAGAATCTTGAAGGGTTGCAACTCATCCCCATTGACGACTTTTAGTTCTGTCCAGCCGAGTAAACCTGTCGCATACGATCCCACAGCGAACTTTGAGCTATTGCTAACCTCGACAACTCCGACAGAAAAGCCTCGCATTGTCTCACCTATGGCGACAGGCGCCATATACGAGCCAGGCTCATTTAGCCAATCTCTCATCCCTGGGTCAATACTAATGTACTTGACCCGGATCAGAACTTCTCCCTCCTTAAGTTCTTCTTTGGTTGGCTTGGGCGTGGTAATAATGGAAAATGTCTCGCCGAGAACAATTTCCTTCTCTGGTCGTTTATGCAACACTACCGATTGGAATGTAGAGGCCATGGTTTCTGTCTATTCGAATGTAAGGGCCCTATTTAGCAGGAGTTCAAACAAATTGTTCTGCTTGAGTGATCATTATGGGTGGTGAACCTCCAAGACTCAGATTCAGGACTACCCTGGCACTCACGTCAATTGCTATGCCAGCCGACGCAAGCGATCTGAAGTCACGGCGTTATTTTACTTCCGAACCGAGGCACCCCGAGGTAAGCTTAAGAGATCCATTTTTTGGGCTGGTGCCCTGCCGCACCTCCCCAGGCCAAGGGAAATGGGTTCGAATACAAAGACCTCCCAACAGAGCTCCAAATGAGACGTTTTGTGACCCTCGACCTTCAGTTCTTGTCCTCTAGTGGAGTAACATCAGTTTCCACCATGCCTCTTGGAATTCTTGAACAATATGGTATGGAGTACATTCCGGGTACCGTACCGCTGCAAGACTCTGGAAGCGCTCCTATACCAGATCAACATACCAGCAATCCCAGTCTGCTCAAGCACGATAATTCAGGAAAATTTGTTTTGGTCCCACAACCATCAGACGATCCCAATGACCCGCTCAATTGGCCTCGTTGGCGCAAAGAGATGTTCATAGTTAGCGCCATTTGGGGCGTGACATGTGTTGGAGGTCAGTAATATTCACTTCGAGGTTGTCCTTTTGCTGATTATTGCTAGCCATTGGACCACTACTTGCTCCAGCATATGTCCAACTTGCAGAAACTTGGAATGTCTCTCTACAGCAGTTCTCCTCAGGCACTAATGGGGCGCTCATTGTCTGCTTGGCAGCCGCTACACTTGTCGGCAACCTACTGGCAGTCCAATTTGGGAAGCGTCCAGTCTATCTCACAGCCGCTATTGGACTGGTGGCAACAAGTTTTTGGGGATCAGCATCGACTAGCTGGACATCTTTTGTCGCTTCTCGTGCCTTCGCAGGTATATCTATGGCTCCAGCAGAAAGTCTCATCCCAGCTTCGATTGCAGATATATGGTAAGTGTCTTTTCGGGTTCAATTCACTGTAGCCATGTTCACAAGGGAACGATTAGGTACGTCCACGAACGAGGAACCAGAACGGCACTGTTCAATCTCGCCTTCATGGCGGGAGTCAGCATAGGGCCACTGATCGCTGGTCAGCTCATTCAACGCTACGACTGGAGGATATGCTCCTACGCAATGTCCGCTGCTCTGGTGATCAACCTGTTCTTGACGTTTTTCTTCATGCCCGAGACAGCCTATCAACGAGTCGGGACTGAAGCTCACCGGAACTTGGCTAATCAGGTATGCCCATGGCTGCAAAGGTTTTCACGGTTCGATTTTGACCATAAAGTAGGAAAAAGGTGCCGACCTCGAAGAAAGGATTGAAGATAATACTCAAACAATGCATCATGATCAGGGGTCTCCTCAACCCCCGACAATTGCGAGGAGGCCATTCAGAACTGAACTAGCCTTTTACAGCGGATACTTTCATCCAATATCCTTCTGGAAGACGCTTCTGAGCCCTTTCAAGCTGTTCAGGTCGCCTATAGTGCTCTGGGCATCGGTTGTCTACATGACAGCAATAGTCTGCATAGTGATATTGACTATCGGAGCTTCCCAAATCTTCTCCAGTCAACCATATAACTTCGGCGTTTCAGCGGTTGGGAATACCTTCTTGTCAGCTTTCATAGCGTCTATAATGGGCACTGTTGCGGCTAGTCCGCTGGTTGATGGAGTCAGCAGATTTATGGCGAGGAAAAACGGGGGTCTATTCGGTAAGAGGTATTCGAATGCTACCGAACCGGTATGACTAACTTCAAAATGACAGAACCTGAGTTCCGCTTACCCGCAGTCATGTGTTATCTGCTCTTCACAGCTACAGGGTTCTTCTCGGCCGGCCAAAGTCTAGGTTTGGGCATGCCATGGCAAATCCCCGTTATCTTGTCCTTCAGCTTTGTCAACTTCGGGGTGGTGATAGCAGCAACAGTCGCCATCACGTACACTGTCGATTGTCACCATGAACATGCAGCAGAAGCTGTGTCGGTCATGGTCTTTTTGAAAAATATGTTCGGCTTTGGTACAACATACTATCTCAATGACTGGATCACCAACAGCGGCGTAAGAAATGTGTTCTTTACTTTGGGAGGGATTACAGCAGCAATAACACTGTCTGCCATACCCATGTAAGTCATATGTCAGAGTCGAATGCCAGATGCCTTTGATTTGATCCCTGAACTAATGAGATACAAGGTATATATTCGGGAAAAGGATTCGAGGTTTCATCGCTCGACGTAATCTTATCTAAGTGACATGATAACGCACCAAAAAGTGCAAGGAACGTTCTTCAGGTCCGGATGAGCTCTTCATGGTCGAAATTTAGTCCATGACCAGCGTGCAAGGAATTAATTGCCAACCCACCACTCGCTCACCCCTGACATATATCGGATTACTTTCTTGCCGTAAATCAGGATGCTCAAAGTCGACACACAAGGTAGATCCTGCTTAGCCGAGGTGCTAAACAGAATATTTTTGATTGGTCGGGACATAAACAAAGTAGTTCCACACTTTACCTGGGCGAAACCCATGGTGGAAATAAAAAGTTCCGTATACATTTACTGCTAGAACATCGTTTTTATGGATATCGCAGACTTCAGGGTCCGAATCCTTGGTACAATAAATACATCGTCCCGTCCCTAGGCAGCTAGCATCACGACTGCGACTGGCTGCCAAACTTCCTACCCATTTCGAAATTGAAATCTTACCTGCAATAAATGGCATACGAAATGGTTAGATTCGTCCTGAGGGATGAGGTTGATGCAAGCTCACTGGACCTGGTGTTGAACGATCATATCTTTGACCTGCTTGCAAAAGAAGACGCTGTACAGAAAGGGTTTTGGGGATTCGACAGGAAGGATCCGAAGAAAGTGGTCATATTTGTGCATTGGGACTCGTTTGAGGCGCACAGAGAATTTCAGAGAAAGTAGTGAGTGTTATAAATGCCAGTATTGAATGAAGGCTAATGGCGTAGCCACTATCCTTCGTTCGTTACAAAAATGGACCTTATTACCGATGTCTCAAAGATCCAGGCGTGCCACTTGCACATGGAACCACTTGCGAGCGAACTTGCCTTGGACAATCTGACCTCACCCATCACTGAGCTTCGAGTAGCCTACTTCCCCACTACCATCACGGACACAGAGCAGGCCATATTTGAGGACAGTATTGCAAAATTCTTCTCACGCATTCAACTGCATGCTATGGAAATGGTAGGATATTCTGTCGGGTGGCCTCTGGAGCCATTATCAGTTGATGGCAGCCCTCAGGAAGGAAAAGCCCATGTTACATGCGTTGGGTGGCAATCAATCGAAGCTCATGAGGCGATCTTGAAGTCACAAGTTTTCAAAGATAATGAACACCTGATTATTAACCCCACCGGGGCTATTCATACCGAGATCGTGCACTTTACGGGTGTTAGGTTCAAGTGAGGTAGAACAGAACGAGAAGTAAGGCAATCACTTTCCGCATTAGGTTTTATTACAATACCAGCGTAGGCTAGATCGCGGAGAATCAAACTTTCATGTTCTCAACTAGAAGCTTTATCTCCCCTATGCAATCCGGATGACCAAAAGCTACGTAGTACTCAGACAAACCTATGCAGGCTGATGGGTTGTCATGAGCTATTCAATCCGAGAATGTTGTGATATCAACATTGATACAAGGGATTCAGGTAGACGTGCGTCTTTCTGACGGACAAGCGTCGCCGCACTACCGGACAAGTCCTGATCGCTTTAGTTCCGATCACCTCGGTATCAGGACCGGAGCCTCGATAGGTCATTGGCACTACAAGCACTCCAGATGCATCCTGTGAGCAAACCCGAATCTCAAATGGGTGTGGTTCTTAGGTGACACTCAAACAGCACATGGTCAATACTTGAATTGGCGGCCCACAAATATTAGTTGCGGTTTTCAGACCTTCTTGTCATTGTAGCTAGTCGATTGCAGCAGCCATGCCAACCACTATCGACGATGAGAGTGGACTTGAGATAGTACCACTTTGGCTGGATAGCTCACCTGTAATCGTCGAGTCAGCTTTTGATTTCGCAGTTTCCTCGGTAGCCCTCAGAAGAACGCTTTTCTGGCTCAGTCTGCCAGTCCAGAGTCAGCAATCCAGGAAGCTGATTCGGGCCCAAGAGCATTTGTCTCGTGGAAGAGGGTCTCGGCGGTGGCTCGGCGGAATATTACTCTCAACTTTATCGAACTTATAAAGGGCCGCGCCGTTCAAATAGTTCAAGCGCAGGTGGAAGAGACGAGCTGCTCAGAACCATGCGCTAAATTCAACGTCGATCATACTGTCAACATCGTTAGTGATGTCGCTTCAAAATTCTCAACTGCCTGCATGGGCAAAATGCGGCCAAGACGAATACCGGCACGTTTTAAATAGTAATGAGAGAACCTATAGGCCCGGAATTGTTGATTGCACCGTGAGTGACGTAAATTATCAGTTGAACACTTACTGACCCGTTGTCATAGCTGGAATGCCGCGATGAATTTAGCAATGAGAGGACTAGCAACAATATTGGGCGCTGGCTGTACTGCAGTATTCAAGGCATCTGAGCTGTTCCCTCGTACACATCACATGCTTCTCGAGTTATGGATGGAAGCTGGAATACCTGTTGGCGTTATCACTGTGATCCGAACACGACGGGAAGACGTACCTGCGGTCACAGAGGTGCTCATAAGTCATCCCGCCACAAGGAAGACCGAATTCGTGGGCAATGCTACGCGTCGGAAGAGTAATTGCCTCACTCACTGGTAAATATCTCAAACCTGTGCTGATGGAACTGGGAAGCAAGTGCGCCGTCGTTGTTCTTGAAGATGTCGACCTTGAGGACGCTACAAATTAGTGCCAATGGGTGGTAAGGCCAGCCTACACAAATCGTTTGGTTTATGCTCATCGATTCTTCAGCTTTCAATCATCATGGACGAATTTGCTTCTCCACTGAGTGAATCGTTGTTTTGCGAAAAGCTGCAAAATCTTTCATTTCACTTCTGAAACAGAAAGCTCTTCAATGGCCTGATGGCCACGGAGTTGACGCGAGGATTGTGAAAGCTTCATACGATATGCTTGTTGATGCTCAAACCCACGGCGCAAGTTTGTTGTTAGGCAAGCCGTAATACCGAAAGGCGACTAGTCCAGCCCCAGTAATTCTCACGAACGCTACAAGTAAGATGGGCATAAGGGACGACGTGTCATCTAGTCGTCAAGTACCGTTATTGTAGTAGAAAATCAGCAACAAGCCATTCGTGTTGTAAACGAGTCAAACTACGCTGTAGACGCAATTCTCTTCACAAAATATATGAGAAAGGCAATGGAGATCGCGCAAGAACCCCAAGTTGGCAGAGTACGCGTCAATAGTGTCGCACATGAATGTAAGTTGATCGGCCATGGATGTGTCATGGTCACTGACTCGGTTCCCAGCGACTTTTCAGACGAACTCAGTCAAAGCAAGTGGATATGGAGCCAACAATATTCGTTATGGGATTCAGGAGCTTCTGCTCAAGAAGGTGATCACTATAGATTCCAGATAGTACTGGGAAACATCCCAACAGCACAAATTTTTGTTGCGGGTTTAAGGTCAAAGAGGCTACAGAGACTGGCTACTCCAAATTTTGCAGCAATTCAGCATTTTACACCTGGAGGACTCCCTAGCTGTCACAAAGCACAGACTCCACGTCTATCATCTGCTCGTGTTGGACCTGTAGGTGGTTGAGGCATTTGTCAAACCTCGCGTATCCTAGTAAAATGCTCGCGTCGCAACCGAGCCTCACCCTGTGGCACGGCGTCGATCATGAACTCTCCTTAGGATGTCAATTGACGTGTATTTATAGGAGGATTCGGCCTCATTTACATCAAGTGGAAAAATCGGAGCAATTAATCCTGATTTAAGTGAGGTTTTCCACCGCCCAACAGCTCGCTCTACGCTCAGAGAGCTTGCAAGATTGGCCATGTACCGCCCCTCACTAGCCTTGTTTCTTTGCAGTATCTCTCCAATCTCGTTCATCTCTTTGTCCGTCAATTCGATTGACTCAAAAGTTCTCTGAGATCCACTCTGGTTGCTCAGCACCTGGAATTGGAATAACCGGACTTGACTTTGGTTGCAGTACATTGAGGCCTCCAATTTAGGCAAGAGCAATCTGCGACGGTTTGTGACCAGCACATCGCTTTGAAATTTCGGAAAGTTCCTTCTATGTATTGGCAAATCTTTATTCGTCATAAAAGCTGGCTAAAATAGACCCCGGGGCCTACTTACTTCTGTATTTACCACGATACGTAACTTTATATCAAACCACTATGTATACTATGAAATCAGCCTAAATAACAGCTTTAGTAATTTGAAATAGTTCGTATAAGTACTACCTCACTAAATGGAATTTCAAACTCCGAGAACTTTGGCGACAACGACCGCTATTCGCCCATCCGTCTGTCTTTACAAAGTCTGTCGCCCTTCACGAATCTTACGGCAGCTATTATTACAATGTTATCTCAGGTGTTTCCCGATTCAGCCACGAGGCTGAAACCGATTAAACAACAATTACTCCAGAATTGTACATTCCAAATATTTCTGCCATGTCGGCGCGAAACTTTGTGAATAAAAGAACTTCTGCATCGAGTGCGACACTTCCTCCCACGAATTTACCCATTCCTCCTGGTCTTTCAGCCTCATAACTGCTTTTCTAGCCAACTCTTGGCAGGTCGAGGAAGCAAGATCAGCAGCAATCACTGTTACCCATACTTTCAGTTCTTGGTGTAGTCTGCTGTACTTGTCTTCGGAAACTATCCGTCCACTTGCCGCCAACCTCTTCCAGAAAGACGGCTCTGAGAAGAAGTGCTTCATGATAATAACCCTTAGTGAGTATGCGATCGCTCCGAGACACACCAGTCGCTCAACAGCTACTTTGGACGCTCGGAGCAGGAGTCGTGCACGCTGAACCACTTCGAGTTGGCGCTCAGATGCCCCTAGATCATGCTTAATGTAATCGGCAGGTGGGACCTCGGCAAGTAAGGACAGTACTTCAACGCTTAGAGAACCTTCAACAGCCAAGCTCTGAAACCCAACTGGCAATGACTTGAATCTGACTGGTAGATTATTTTCAAATTCACCGGCTGTGTATGTCAAGTTGATGGGTGGAGGCCTCTCAATTAACACTCTGGTCTCCCACGCAATTTCTGAACATTCCAAAATGACAATGGCTTGATTGACATATGTCTCCTCGAGTGAACGGGGCGTGATCCTGCCACGCAGCTCCATCATTCTGCGAAGGCCACTATAATGTGTACGGAAGTCTCGAAGGTGCCGAAAACGGGCCGCGTTCTCCAACAAGTAAAATACGGCAAGCATAGTTTCGTTGCTAATTGTCTCCAGTGGACTAATTAATTTTCGTTGCATCCCCTGCAAGGCTCGTGCCCTATGAGTCAAACCTGCAGAGGTTGGCTTTATGGATGATCGATGTTCATTACACGCGTACACGCCATACGCCGAGGCCGCAATCGCATCAAAGAGCTCGCCATTTCTGCACATCATCTGCACAAGACAGTTCACATACTCGTTTGGACCCGGACCCCAGTTGGAATGTCGTGGAAGGACATAATTCACCTCTGCTGTCTGTCAGTACTCAAACTCCATATCCTTGAGGCAGATTACACTGACCGAGATCAAATGCAACTTTGGCAGAGGTATGGTGGCGTTCGGGGTAGGGAAATTGGGTCCATTGCTGTGGAGAGGGATATATTGTGTACATGTTCCGTTGTATAGTAGCCATTGCTGAGACCCGTGACGTGTGCTTGATTTCGTGGGGTTTGGGTGAGTTTTCGGTTTCTTCGGGAGTCCCCAAAATGACAGGCACGAGACTGCAACTAGTTGGGTCGACCATTGGCTTCAGACGCTTTGTATTAGGTGCGATCAGGGTTCTGGCAGGTGCTGAGCGATTTCGATAGTGCTTGCCAATGTGAGAAGCTATTTTTCGACGATTTTCTTTAGAAGTTCTTGGTGAAGCCTGATCGTACACGACGAAGGTAATAGGGCGAGGCATAGTCCTTCAATAATAATTGCATAGACATAGAAGCCAGAACCAGTAAACTATTATTGTTGCTTGGATCCTGAAGATTTATCACTATTGCGGAGACAATGCTACTTATTACCTACAGTGCAAGGGACTGGCTAATTTGAAGAAACAGAATCATTAGAACTTATGTCACGACAACCCAGGCTTCGTGTGCAAAGAGTGTAGGCCTCGATGCGAGCTAATCACTTAGATCTCCATAAGGCGAAAACCTAGAATGTTGCATACAAGTAGATCGCTCAATACTTACACAATCTCAATTGTCGGCTGTGCGGGTTAGTCATGACGAACTAGTAGGTATGTAGTTACCCCTTCACGAGACGACTTCGTAGACGGTCGTATCTCGGATCTGCCGAATTGTGGACCTCCTACCTAATGAAGGTTGCGCAATCCCAATGAGGAAATGACTTCTGGAATTTGGAGTCGGCGACAGGAGGCCCTGAAACATTTAAGCTTCGCGCTGAACGGCGGATTGATTGGTGCGCAGCAAAGATCAAGCAACTTGAAACATAAAGACCACCTTATTGTTGGCGAAAGTGGCCTGAGAGGAGCATAAATCAAATAAACCATATTTCAATGTAATAGATGCGAAACCGTTCGATTTGGCTATGGCAGAAATGGCAGTCCTATCCGGATGATCCTTCGATATCCCGCAAACCGCCCGAATCCTAGAGGATAGTAAGTTTCTGTCTCTCTTGATGTAACGCATGCGGTTATCGTACAGTTTGTGCAGTCCAAGTATATGATAGGAGCGTTCCAGAATGTCTCATATAACGCAGGCAAGACTTAGCATACATTATTGGTACTTTCTAGAGCAGCACATTTAGCAATCGGACACCGCAGGAAAGACCAAGGTGTTCTGTGCTCCCTGACGTCCACTAAATCTATGAAGAGCTGCTGATAATTTCCTCTATCATGTCCCTGATTTCATCATCGCTCATCAGAGGGATGCCGAGCATCTCATTATGGATCTTCTTCGTAAAATCGCCCCCATATCCTGAGCCCCAACATGCTCTGGAGATAAACCCCAAAGAAGCCTTCACCATGTCCCCTTGCACTCCGCTTTCCAGCAAACTGTACGCATCCCGCTCAACATCCACGGTAGAAACAGTGTTGGTTTGCCATTGATGATCATCGATTCCTCTAGCAATGTCGATAAGCTTCTTCTGGGTAACACTGGCGTCGTGCACGTAGATATCCTGGTTCCTGGTAGCCTCCAGACTCTTGCACACAGCCACGATGGCTCGGCCAATAGTTGAAAGCCGTGTCGCAGAAAATAGAACGTCACCCCCGTCATAAAGTGTAGCAGTATGGTCTTTGAGGTTAACCATGAAGCCAATCTTTAGTTGCCAGTCGAAAAAAGAATTAGTGTAGAGGAATGTGTAGCTGAGTTCTGGATGGTTGGCAACTTTGGAAACAAGGTATTCCTGAGTCTTCACTTTTTCAAGGAAGACAGGAAGTTTTCTGACATTTTCGTTGGCGGTATCATTTCCAAATTCCGATGGAAGAAATCGCGTGACCCTTGCCTCAATGCACGCGTCAATAATCTTTTTCTGCGTTTCGAAAAGGCTCTGAAAGCCCAGGGTCGATACCGCAACTTCCACAGTCTGGAGAGCAGCCACTAGAGCACCATGGTCATCATAATCGACTTCCTTGACCAGAATATCTGCACCAGGTGGCACTTCCACTTTCGAACTGCCGCCAACGCGAGTGAGAACCGTGATTTTGAAAGATGCGACGGCGAGCTGATGTAGTATAGCTGGTCCCAAGTTACCGGTTGCTCCAACGAGAGCAATATGAAGGGAAGACATTCTTAGGTGATGACTCGGGGTCGATGAGTTTGCTAGTGATCAGAGGATTCGATAAAATTACGGGAAGAACAAGAACTTAAGCTCGTAGTAAGGTACATATGTTTAAATATTGAAGTCCGTAGATCATAAATATCTTGTTGCCTAACGTTTAATTTGTATCCCCTTTCTTAGTCACATCTCATAGCCTTCGAATACCTGACCGGATAGTTGATAACCAGCCCTAAGACTTGTCTTACTAAGCATCGTGCGTGTGAAGTATTGTCTACATATGGATACTTGATGTTCACCGAAGACTTGCCCCGGTATTAAACGCTGTTCTTATCATGGATGACCTCGAAATTCATGGATTCGACGATCCAACCAAGGTTGCACCGCTGCTTTGTAGGTTGCAGCGACTAAGTTCAGACATGAACTGGTTAGTCATCATTCCATGACCGACCTATCGTCTGGTAGCGAGATCTTGCGTGGAATAGTGGTGACTGAATGTTAGCCAAGCCGTGGATTCATTGGTAGAAACTCAATCGTGTACAATTAGAGACACAGTTCTGCCGTACGACATTATGGTTTCCGCAGAGTGATTTCATGTCTCAAATTCAAAATCATTCCTAGGGATGATTTGTTGGATACTGACGAGGCAGCTAGTCTAGGGGCGAGTTCCTATCATTGAACACAAGAGTGCAGTGTCTGTGCTATTGAAAAGTTTTGAAGAGGTGGTATGTCGGATTTTATGCTCCCCTAGGACCCTCAGAACCCATACGTAGGAGGAATACCAAGTGATGATATACAACATTGTGAAGGATATGCGGTAGAGGTGGGCTTCAACAGATTCTCACTAGAAACGTGGGACTCCCTCATGTCCGATCAGGCGCGTGCGGGAATCTTATTATCCCCTTGAAGTTTTGTTTGAGCAACAACATGTAAATTTTCCAAGGCCATAGAATTGTCGCCCAGCAGCAGTTTCGCAATATGAACGACTATTGCTGCACTCTAGAGGCTGTAGACAGATCAAGATCCTCCACACACGATTAACCAGTAAACTAAAACTATTGCCCAGATACAGGCAAGCATTGCCATTCAGATGCATGAGAATCTGTTCCCACGAGTTACGGTAGCCCAGACCCAGTCCTCCACCGTGATTCGCCCACATTTAAGATTCGGAAGTTTTGCAGATTCAGTTCGTCTGGCGAGAGGAGCGAATCGAACGACTAGAATCTTTTCAATCTACGACTGATACTGCGATAAAACCCTAATGATAGCGCAGCATCCCCATTAGGATTGTCCAGTTGCATTTGCCAGGTCAATGCTTCACGTGAATGGGCTGATCGTATCACCGATAGCGATTTATTTCGGACAAATTATTGGCAAGCTAATTATGTAATGGACATCATCATAATCAGATATCTAAGAAGTGGAATATGTGACCATACTATAATGAACTTCCTTCACTCCTTGTCCATTCAGCGGACAAAATCAGTATGTAGCGTACAGACATCGTTGACATTGGACTTCCACCCACCCATCGAAAAGAAGCCGATACTTCAGAGTACAACCCTCTTCAAAAGTGAATTCACATAATCTAAAAATAGGCATTCCCTGTGAATAGCGAGGGGCAGCCTGACTCAGATTTTAGGCATCAGTCAAGAAGGTCTAGCCTTTAGCCAAATGTACACACGACAGCTAGCCATAAAGTTGCAACGTCCTTCATTATGGTAGGACTCAGGAGCTCCAGGCTTGTTCTCAATTTGCTGTGCCTACCACATATTTTGCTATTTAATGGACAGAAATGCTGTGAAGGTTTTCTTGAGTCAAGTTTGGACGACTCATGCAAAATCCTCCTCCCTGCAGAAGTATGTCGGTGTGACCTATTACCAGCCACAGAGGTGGGGTCACTACAAAGGTTGACCTCGGAAAAGCTTGACCCAAGCGCGTGGATTGCCTCTGGGGTAGCCATTATCCGGGGTACCACGATTGCAAAGCTGGACAAGGTCTTTGAAGGAAAGCTTGTTTGGAGCTTGTGACTTGTCCTTACCCGAGGTTATCACCGAAGTCAACAAACCCACCACCTTGAGAGGATGTCTTCTGAGATATAAAGGATTGCTGAGATCCACGATCCAGACAGAGATTATGGTCCTCAAGCATTGATCCTACGAGCCGCATCTTTGAGCAATAATGAACATCATAACGCGATACCTTTGGTCGAGCGGCGACTTCGCTGGGCATTCCCGAAAGCGACTCAATGCCTACAATGTCTGGATGATATTGTTCGTGTCTATTGGATCACTCTGTTATGGCTACACCGCAAACGTGATAAGCGCAACTCTTGGTGAGTCCAGCTGCAGATACTTCTCGCTATATTCGGTAATGATTGTTCGTGTTAGCACAACCGACCTTCATAACCTACATGGAGCTCGACACCCGTCCAGATGCTACCGCTTTGCTCTCAGCAACGAATGGTGTCTTCCAAACTGGCGGAGTTCTTGGGACTTTGTTCCTACCATTCTTTCAAGACAAATTTGGCCGAAAAGGTGGTCTCGCGATTGTCAGTCACAATCAAGTAATAAGCTCATATCTTGGTTTATGGCTAACATACCATCAAGAGTGCGATACTCTGTCTAGTCTCTGGCGCTGTACTCGCTGGAAGCGTGAATATGAGCATGTTTCTCGCCTTCCGTTTCATCGCCGGAGCGGGCGCATTCATGATTCTTGCCGCAGTTCCTGTGTGGATGGCTGAAGTCGTCCCACCCTACCTTAGAGGTGCCCTTGTGCAGCTACACGCCGTCGTTCTCGTGGTCGGTTACATGTGTGCCTCCTGGCTTGGCTTTGGTATTTACCACTGGAAGGATGGCGGGGATGCCACGTGGAGGATCCCATTTGCTATTCAATGCTTCTTTCCACTCTGTCTACTCATTGGACTGTACTGGTGTCCTGAAAGCCGTAAGCGCTCAAACTCACTTGCATGGTGATTTGGAGGTTGAAGTACTGATCTTGCTGTGCAGCCCGCTGGCTCATTCTTAAAGGAAGAAATGATGAAGCCCGAGAGCTCCTACTACGTCTACACGATGATCCGGATGATCCAAGCCATACATTTGCTCGTACGGAATATCTCCAAATCACCAAACAGGCAAGTAAACTCAAGTACGACTCTTGGAATACGATGCTTACTAGTTCATCATCTAGCTCGAAATCGACCGTACCTTGCCAAGTAGCTGGTTACATATCATGAAGAAGCCATCCCTGCGCAAAAGGGCTCTTATTACGATGGGAACGACCGGCTTTATTCAGTGCTCTGGTATTTTGGTTGTCAACAATTACGGTAAGTTGTTAAGAGATAAACCTCCGCTGCCTTGGTGCTGGCCCAGGATGTTGACCGTTGTTCCTTTGGTGTAGGTCCGTTGTTATACAAAAACCTTGGCTACGATACAGCTACGCAGCTATTGTATGGCGCTGGGTGGCTCACTTTTGCCCTCGGACTCGACTGTAAGTTATGGACAGAATTACTTTTCTCGATTGTTGCAATAAATTGATTCTTGATCATAGTAATTGCCTGTTTCCTCAACGATCACTTCCCACGCAACAAATTTCTGGCAATCGGTGTGCTCGGATGCATGATAGATTTGTCTGTCGTTGCGGGAATTGATGCCAATGTCCACAAGTTCATCGCTGATGGCAATACGAACGCTCTTCGTGCAGGTGTTGCCTTCCTATTCCTTATTGAGGTCCCCTACGACTTCTTCTTGAACGGAATGCAGTTCATTTACATTAGCGAGATTTGGCCTATGCATCTTCGTGCTAAGGGAATGAGTTTGGGAGTCGCCATGATCTCATTGATGAACATTGTTTGGCTGCAATCTGCGCCGACGGCGTTCCAAAAGATCGGATGGTATTTCTATCTATTTTTCATTATCCCTGGTACAATTGGTGCGGTCATAATGTGGTTCTTCTTTCCAGATACCCTTGGGCTCCCTCTGGAAGAAGTAGCAGCAATTTTCGGCGATCACGAGGAGGTTGCAGGGTATATGCGGGACATTCATATCACCGATGATGAAATCGACAATATAGATGGTTTTGGATCAAAGACAGGGGGTGAGAAGAGCAGGATTGGTACCCAGGCAGTGGAAAATGCGGCTTAGTCAGGTGAGGATGGCAAAGTATACCTATGCATGGTCGTCTTCGAGTTTGGCATATATTCGGATGACTAACTAGCATATTGGATGTGGGGCCGAATTCTCATAGATGATCTATACTCCTAGGCCATCCTTGAGAAGCAAGATATCTAGTATATGAGACTGTGTAATTTGAACACTGTGACTGTCATGAAACACTATCCTCAATGCTGAAGCTTTTGGACTATTTGGCATAGAAACAGTTAACATTTACCGTGTAATCTACACAATAACAGTTGGGTGGTACTTCATCAGATGGCTCTATGAATCGAACAGGTGATCTGTGTTCCGAGAAGGGCGCTCAAGAAATGGCACGTACAAGGCCAGAAGTAACGAATTTGATTCGGAGAACTAGACTCTCAAGAATTTGATTCTTATGGAGAATCACCCATTTTTCCCCCGGATTGTGAGAAGTCGTCGTCAACTAGGATTGATGTTGTCGTGTCTCAACTAGTTGTGGATGCGCTCGAGATCACCCGAGAAAATAGCACCTGGGTCGATAATTAGATGTGTACTGGAGGACTACGTTTGTCTTGAAAGTTAGATTAGGTTTCGACTTTTGCGATTCTGGGATGAGATATTTCTGGTACAGCTTCAAGGCCCGCTCCACCATTCAGGCAACCATGTTGTTGCTGAATCCTGACAGTGTTGATCCATCTAGAGCTGATATCGAAACTGGGGGTTCTAGGGAGGAATTTTAGGTCAGCAAACGAACGTTGTCATCAAAGAAATGCGAAGGCAGTATATAGACGGTTTGACAACCGCTGTTATGTGAGACTTACCCTCATATCAGTGAGATCGTCTTCAAAAGCATGATCCAAGCCTTCGGCGACACCCTGCTTGTCACGCTTCTTGTTTTCTCGTACACAGACTATTCGGTAAATGCCAGTAAGGACAAGGGCTGCGATTGCTGTAACGACAACACCCTTCCAGCCATTTTCATAGAAAGGCGCATCTTGTGGGCGAAAGAGAAGCGGACCAGCGAAATTACCTAAGGCATAGGCATCATATCAGTGCCCCAGGTCATAGGACAATGGGAATCATTTCATGAATCATTATTCATAACGTACCAAGGCAGTAACCAATGAACAACCCAGATGAAGTGACGGTCTTTTTAGTGTACCCTGCCGCATTCACAGCCTGCAGGGACATGAGAATACCGTATGGTGACGCAAAACTCGCAAGGAGATATATGCCTCCGAGTCTCCCCGCTTTGTTTGTCTGTGGCAATTGCCACAGCAGAAGCGCGCCCAAAATTATGGGCATTTGGAAAAGTATAATAAGCCAGGTGCGCCATCCCCGATAGCTGTATCTACCAGCAAGCCACGTCGATAGGATGGTGAAGGACCCAGCAATGGCGCCGGCTGGCATGGAAAGTAACAGGCTGTTCAGCGGAGAGTATCCGAAACCGGAGATAATGATTGGCAGATAGGTGGATAAAGGGCCATTGGCGACCATGATGGAAAACGCAGTAAGAAAAGCTATCCAGAAGCGTATATCTTGACAGACTTCCACTATCTGAGCGGTTTTAATGTGGGTGTTGCGGACGCCGGCATTATTAATACGCAGTCTCGCGACTGCAATATAGCGCTCACGCTCGGTAAATCCTTTGTAACGAATGGGTTCAGGTGGGAGAAACAAGTAAATGATAACACTCCAGAGGATTGTGATGGAGCCAGCGAAAATGTACATCCATTTCCATGGTGATAGGGAGTCCTTGATGTGGCCGAGTCCATAATTTATCAAAGGAGCGAACATTGAGAAAAATCCAGCTAGTGAAATTCGGTCAGAGTAAGAACCACTCGGAGCGTTAGGTCAAATTCGAGATCGACTACTCACCCGAGGACCACCAAGCACCAAGTCTTAAAGGCTGTTCAGCTTTCTTGTAGAAACTCACCACAATCACCATCAACATAGGCGAGATACCAGCCTCGAGGAAGCCAAGGAAGAATCGGTTGGCGTAGAGACCTTTGAAGTCGTGGCATTGAATAGTAAGCAGTAGATTGACGCCCCATACAGCAATGACTGCAGCTGCAACACGCTCCACTGGAAATCGTTGGGCTAGCATCATTACCGGCAGGGCTCCCACAATCGCACCCAGGTAAAATATGGATGAAGAGAAGCTATATCGGTTTCCACTCAGTTGGAGCTCTGTTCTGAGTCCAAAGAGTGCCTGTATATCGCCAATTTTAGGAAATGAGGTCGAGGAAAAGGGAACTGAGAATTAAGGGAGCCCTACAGCTTGCGAAATCATTGCTTTATCATAGTAGACCAGCCCATAGGAAATAAACATCAATGGGACAAGTGTCCTATCAATTTTCCTGACAAGTTGTTGCTCCTCTTCAGGAGTCCATTCAATGTTCTCGTCTCCGTATGCGGCGAGAACCTTAAGCGCTTCATCGTCATGAACCGTATCGACCTTTGTGGCAAGGGGAAATTGCTCTCGATGCTCATGGTGGATGGTCTCCTTGGCTTGGTCCATTGCCCAGAACAAAGATAAAAGAATACGAACTATGTTGAACGTGCGCTGAGGCTGAGTCGCGCTGAGAGTCGCTGAATATAAATTGCTGTTCGCATTTCCATCGGTGCATACCGGCAACCGCGACCGGCCAGCTCCAGATCGTAATTCTCTTGGCATCCATCGAGTCGTTCACACTAGTCTGAGCCTACCTCAAGTCATGGAAAGCTCTCTACTTAGTTCCGGGTTCTGATGGCATGTCTGTATGTCCAAGGCTTACCTTATCAACTCAACCATGTCCTCGATTACCTAGACACGGTTGGGTGGCTGGCTCGACTTGGTTGTTAGGAACCAACTTGCTTCGCAGCAGAATGGACTTCGAAGTTCGACAAGCACCTTGTAGCATTTTCATGGGCCAGAATGAGACGAAATTGAATGGGCGAGCTACCTTCTTGACGAAGATGATCCTTTTGGTACCTAACCTTTAACTTTTGTCTCGAAGTGGTGGTACCTGATTAAGACGTGTGCCCTTGACCCGCAATATCGAGCAGTCAGTCCTGGCTTTGGTCAAATGTGGGGAAACGAATGCCAATGCGGGGTTTCTCGCCAGTGGTAAAGCCTGTGGGTTGTGGGCACGGCATTGGTCCTCCGACACCAGGTTGAGCGCGGCGAGCGGTTCGCCGCGGGCACCGCGATGACCCATATGCAGCGTCATACTTTGTGGGTCATTCGCACACAGAAAATTGCAGTAATCAGTAAAGCATCTTAGACCTGTTAGTATACTCATTATGAGGTGACATGAATACGCCCGCGTAAATGGTTGATGGTGGTTGCTAGCCTCGTTAGAAGTTGTTATGTAACATGGATGATGAGGTTCGGAGTGTCTGCGCGTGTTGGCCATTGATTCTGTGTGCCGTAAGGGCTTTTGAAACCAACCCTGATAGGTAGCAGACATCAGGCTGCTGCTGGAATGGAATGCGCACGGCCTGTATGCAAGGTTTTCATCGAGGTACGGTGACCCGTGGCGCGGATTGGGGATCGCATTGCCTATTCGTCTGGTTGGGAATCCTAAGAGTCCAAAAGTTCTAATTAAGGCTAAGGCTAAATTGACGATCTTGAGAAGATTGATTTTTATCGTAATTCAACTCGCTCCCAGCCGCGAGGTGAAGCCTCAGGTCACCTCGGCCGCGTAGCAGCTGACAGAAATGGTATTTTCCACTTCACTATCCGTAGTTAGGTTTGAAGTAGTTAGTTCATTAAACCCCGATCGTCTCCCTAGTTAGGCTCATGCGGGGAACACACAGTCCTGATCAGCCAAGTCGAGGCCAAGGAACGCAGGCGTTTCTTTTCGTACCAACATTTTGAGTTGGATCAACATCATCCCCTAGCAATGGCAACTCAAATGGACCACGACACGATCATACGGCCTGGAGCAGGAGGGTTAGACGCAGTTTCTGCTCCTATGAGGGCATGCGAGGCATGCAACCGCAAGAAAACAAAGTGCGATATGGCCCGCCCAAATTGCGGCCTGTGTCGACGGACTGGGCGCGCCTGCAAGTTTCCGACTACTCGAAAATTACCCAGGACGTCTCTCAAGCAGCCGCATAGCTCTTACTCTCAACCTTTGAACAATAACCTCAAGTGGCTGCTAAATTTTTTGGAGGAAGATACCAGTGATAACAACTTAAATGCCAAACAAGATCGATTATTCGCTGCCATGTCTGGAGTCCATCGGCCAACTATTGGAGAGTTGTCACCGAGAGGGAGGCCCACTGCTATGAATACCAACCCTCAGCAGGATACTACGGGACAGCTCTTTGATCCCGATCCATCATCTCAAACGCTTGAATACTTGATCGCGCTACCTCATGAGAATGATCATGATCAACCTCTGGAGCCAGAGTTTGATAATGGCTCCATCCAGTCTCAAATCAGAGCGGGATCGCACAAAAAGGCTACCTGTATGCCATCTGTACCGTACGATCTAGCTATGGACCTGATTGAAACTTTTTTCGTGCATGTCCAGCCCTGGCTTCCACTCCTACATAAGCCTAGATTCATGGCTCAATGTCAGCAGGAATTGAAGCCTGGCTCTCATTCCCTCGATGATTTGTACCTTGAGACAGCCCTGCTACTGACCGGAATGTTCGGCCTCGCGGCTCGTTTCTCCACAAATCCCGCATTCCAGGATATCGACCCGTTGCAACGCGACTCACAGTACATAACACCCGCGCGCCGTGTCTATGGCGAACTACGAAATACCCGGTCGTCCTCACTAGCATATTTGCAAGGATGCATCGTTCTTGCCTTCCATGCTTACACCGATGAACTGAATAGCTCCGCTTGGATCTTGTCAGGTGTATGTGTACGGCTAGCCTACGACCTTGAACTATCTGAAATCGACAGCGATGACGACAGCAGCGCAGCCAATCAACTCAACTATGACCAAACAGATCTAGAAGAAATGAGACGGGCGTGGTGGCTGACTTGGGAACTTGACACTTTTGGCTCCTTGATGACCCGGAAACCGTTTGCTGTTGATCGGCACCACTTCACCGTACGATTGCCATTTGCGGACAGTGACTGGTTTGCTGGTAGACCAGTGGAATCTGCCGAGCTCTTGACTGCACCTGAGCAATCATGGAAGTCTTTACAAGCATCTGAGAATCAGAATCCTCGAGCATGGTTTCTAATTGCAAATCACCTTCTCTCACTGCTTATTCAATACATGTATAGGAAACAACCAGAATCTGGCAGCGCAGTATGTGATCTTCTACCCGCATTCAACTGTCTGAAGCTCTCCTGGCCCTCATCCTTTGATATCCTTATCAACCCCCCACGTTTTGATGAACAGACATTTTCTGACTTCAACTGGATATTCGGCACACACCTCATGCTGACGACTGCATACTCTTTACTAGACTCAGCAGCAACGGATGGTAGTGGAACAGCCAATCCAATGTCCATTCCCAGTCTGGGCATGGATAGAAAGAAGAGCTTTCGCGAGATATCATTCTCACAAATTGTGATGCGCTGGCCACCCGAGTACATGGTTGCCTCGCATCCGTTCTTTGTTTGCAATGTGATGCCCACAAATTTCGAATTTAGGGGAGCCTCCAAAAGGAATGCTCTGGCTTTGTATGAAGCTGTTGGAGATACAGCGGAGCTAGTCATTGCTCAATTCGCCAGAAGGTGGAAACTAGCTGGGCAGGCGTTGAGTGAGTCTAGATAATCTTCCTTCCATCGCAGCAGTGCTAAATGACGCTTACAGCGGTTTTTCGTCTCTTGCGTAATCCCTCATCCGACGCAGAGGTTGATGGCGACCTGCGGCGGCGCTTCGCCGCATTCTTCGCACGTGAAACTGCTTCACGTTCTCACAAATCGATCCATAAATTGGTTCACAGCGGTAGTCCTTCGTATGATCGGAACACACAGCATGATCTGACTACATCTCAAAACTATGTGCTGACTACCCAAGAAAATCACCTTAGTCGTCACAATGGTCTTGGTGATTCGCAAGGCTCAGCAGATGGATTTCAGGATCATCAAGGCACGGAAACATCATCATTCATCATGACTCCGTCTTTGATGATGCCTCATATTAGCCTTGACCAGGTGGATAGCCAAGCCTCACCATACACATTTTCAGATATCCTTGTACACACATCCGAATCGATAGATGCTCCATTTTGATACAATTCCGGTGCCCGCCCTCTGCACCAATGCAGCTCAAACCACCAGCATTGACGTCTGCTTGAGGCCGCGATCTCCAGCTTATTTAGTCTTCGGTCTTTAGACCATGTTTCAGTAATGTTTCGGTAGGCTTTCTGAGTGCCAGGGCTTATCATGGCCGCTATATTCTGCATGAAGAGTACATGCTCTTACTAAGATTGCCAATCACATATTTCATAGTACCTGGTCAAGTCATGTTCAATTCCAAAATTAAACTGTAGATATGGATGTAACGGTCGCAGAGGAAGGTGCCACGGTCCTCCGTCAAACCCGGGGAGGCGCTACCGACGACGGTGACCGTGCTTCATCACTACTCGTCCCTTGAATAATATACGCTACTGAAAGTGGCTAGCACCATCACCCGTTGTGGTGATCTTCGGCATGAACTTTCACGCGTTGACTACTTCATGTACGAGAGTTGAACGGCAGCTGTGGCACTGGCTCAATTGGAACACGACTGCGCCCAGTTAATAGCGTCTTTAAGGTGTTTGATTGAACTGAATATTATCTTGGTACACAACACTATTGATTTCAACGATGGACAATCAGACTTTAAACGAAAACCTCAAGATCTGCATCATTGGAGCTGGTATTGGCGGTCTCACATGTGCCATCGCTTGCCGCCAACAAGGTCTGTCAGTGAAAGTGCTGGAGCAAGCCCCAGAGATACTACCGGTATTGAGCTTCTGGTTTCCCTCGATGAATGACGTAGTAGTCTAGACGAACCAAATGTTTGGCAAGACAAGTGGAATATTCATTTACTAATTTGCCAAATGCCGAGATAGATCGGTGCTGGTATTCAGATTCCTCCAAATGCGAGCAGAGTCCTCGAAAGTTTGGGAATTCTCCCCTCAATCCGACATGTTGCCTGCGAGATGAAGACCATCAAGCTAAGACGGTACGAAAACGGAGCTCTGCTCACCTCGAAGCCTATCAAACATCAAACACCATGGTTGTAAGTCCACAAAGCCTTAGTGAACTCCAAGGAAACTCAAAATTCTGCTAAGAGAAGTCTCTTCAGTGTTATTCACCGAGCAGACTATCACAAAATCTTGTTGAACAGAGCCAAAGAACTCGGAGTGCACGTTTTGCTGGGAAGCAAGGTCGATAGAATCGATTTCAACACCGGAGAAGCATACCTTGACCAAGCTGTGGTAGTCAAGAGCGATGTAATTATAGGAGCCGATGGTAAGAACGTAGCTCCGCACAGGCCAATAGCACGTGGTCTTCGGATTGATGGCTAATTGATACTGTATCTTCCAGGTCTATGGTCAACGACAAGGGAGAGTATGTTGGGCCGTAGCTCCGCACCAGTTGAGACTGGAGACCTAGCCTACAGGGCAACATTCACTCGTGAGCAGCTAGAAGGATTGGATGAACCCAGAATCACAGAACTGTGCAATGAGCCCGGCGTCACCGCGTGGTTAGGGCCAGGAAAACACTGTGTACTATACCAGGTTCAGGGAGGTGAACAGATCAACATGGTGTTGATACGGCCGGATGATCTGGCTTCAGGCGTACGCACGGAGCAAGGTGATATTGGAGAAATGAAGCAAACGTTTGAGGATTGGGACGGAGTGTCAGTACCCAGAAATACTTTTCAACATGCGAGTGCTAATTTCAACATCCTACAGCTTGACCAAGATTATTAGCTGCATTCCAACGGTGCTGAAGTGGAAGCTCATGCACCATGGCGAGCTAGATCGTTGGGTAAAGGTATGAACTTTCTCGTATGATCTAGATTGGCATCAATTCCCGGTACTTTGTCAAAGTTGTGGTCATGGATACTGATTCTGAACTTGAACCTAGGGATGTGTGGCGTTATTAGGTGATGCCTGTCACCCGACCTTGCCCTATCAAGCACAGGGAGCAGCAATGGCCGTTGAAGATGGTGCCATTATCGGACAGCTCCTGGGTAGATTGAATCAGAACTTAAGAGACGGCAACATCAATCGTCACAATTTGCAGGGTCGCATTACCAGCGTGTTACAGCTCTACGAGCACTGTCAGAAGAAACGAACCACCATCAATGTGCAAGGTGCCCTCAACAATCGCCACTTCTACCACATGTCGGATGGAGAAGAACAAAGGCTGCGCGACCACCTGCTAGCTCATCATACATGGACCGATGAGAAATCGGTCTATAAATGGTGTGATATGAGTTACAGCGAAGAGCTTCTGGACGCGAATGTTCTTGAGAACGCTGAGAAAACCTTTGACGACTGGGTCAGTACACAATGGACTAAAACACGGCATTCTTTGTGATGAGTCTTACATAGTTGTATTAGCGTCGTTGATTGCGAACAATGGCCAATTCTTAGCAACTCGAGGTGAAGACATCAATCATTTCGGATCTAGAATATACCAAGACTTTGTGCCCTTCGTGCATTTTTTCTGACTTAGTAAAATCTCCAAACTGTCACAACCTTGCGGAACCAGTCACGTTTATATAAATGTAGTTTAAATAAGATTTCATGGTGATAAATCTGGGAGATCCGTCCAGGAGGGCCGTGGCCAAAACTGTTGTGTAATTCAGGTGGCGGCTGATAAAGGAGAGATTCATCAGGTCAAGAGATATGACAGATTGCATGAACTACTTTGGCCTCCAGAGGTTTTCAGGGATTGAGATCTTCTTGGGCTATTGACCTCAGATACGCGGCAGTGTACTGAACCCCCTCGGCCTAACTCCTTTTTTCAGCCAACCCCTGATACTCCAACTCACATGCCCCAGAGCCCCGGCCGGTTCCTTTCAAGTCCGAGGAAGGCCGGGGAGGGGTACCCGCGGGCTATGGTCCGGTGGCCGGGTTACCGTCAGATTGGAGCACAGCATTCTGAACATTGCAAGCAAAAAGTTAGATGAATGGTGAACTCCCAAGGTTTCAACTGAACCATTATTCAAACCATTGGCATGGCTAGCCACTTCTGTCCATTGCGTTATGGTGGATATGGGGAGGACAGCGTGAACTTAGCTATGTCATCTTTTACTCGAGTGGTGGCTAACCAAGTGCTTCTGCTCTTCATAGTCATCGTTTGTGGATACTTTCTATACTACATTTTACTCTCACCTTTAAGCCCAATTCCGGGACCAGTTGTAGCCAAGCTGACCAGACTATGGCTCGCGTTCGAGGGTTACCGGGGCACATTTCACACCACACTTCTGTCGCTTCACGATGAGTATGGCGATGTTGTGCGAGTTGGGCCAAATGAGCTTTCAATCGTGGAACCTGGAACGGTGAAAATGATCTATGGTTCGTTTCCCTTTGACACTCACTCATGCCTCAAGATTAGTGGGATTGACATATCAATGCTATCTCATAGGCATTGGCTCTAAATTCTCGAAAAGCGACTGGTATGAGCCCAGTCGTGGAGCACGAAGATTTGATCTCTTCGCACAACAATCAGAGCGAATCCATCGCACTCAGCGAAGGGTGGTAAACAATATATATACCACAGCTTCATTAAGAGACTCGGAGTCAGCTATGGATGTTACCATTTCACGTTTCATGGATGTCCTGGAAAATCGGTGCAGAGGGCCAATCGATCTCGGCAAGTGGCTACAGCTTTTCGCATTCGGTGAGTAGCCTCCAAGTGAACTATCTACATAAGGAAATCTCTATGTTTCGATGTACACAGAGACATTGCGATACTAATTCTCGATAATATTCAAAGATGTTATCGGTCAAATCACGTTTTCTCGATCATTCGGCTTGTTGGAACTTGGGCATGAGACTCCGGTGCTTAAAGCTATCTTCAATGCCCAGAAGTCGGCCTCGTGGGTAAATCAAATTCCCTGGGCTTACCGGATCCACGAGGCAGTCATCAGACCGCTTTTCGGCGAACGCCTCGCGGCTACGGCACGAAATGGCAGTATCAGAAGTTTCGTTCTAGACCTCATTCAGGCAAGAAATTCACAAGAAAATGTGCACGAAGATCTGATGGGAAAGCTGGAGAAAGTTCATAAACGTCATCCTGCAGAGTTCGAAAAAGATGATATTGTATCTATGGCTGCCACAAATGTTTTTGCTGGTTCTGACACCACCGCCATCTCCATGAGGGCAATTTTTGACTATGTTCTGCGGGATGTGCGGTGCAAAAAGACACTGGTTGAGGAAGTTGACAAGGTCTTCTCGGAGAATCAGATTACCAGCACCGCAAAATACCCCGTCATGTCTTTCGCTCAGGCTAGTCGTATGCCCTACCTTCAAGCCGTTATGTATGAGGCAATGAGACTACATCCGGTTGTTGGGCAGACTCTACCACGAGTAGTACCCCCAGAAGGCTTACTATGCGGCGATTTTGTGGTACCAAAAGACGTAGGTACTGCAATGTGCAATCGTCGTTATAGCAGGCTTTTCGAGAAAGCTAACCACTGCATTCGCAGACTATCGTTGGAACTTCTCCATACGTACTCGGACGATCGAAAAAGATATTTGGCCCTGATGCGGAAAAGTTCAGGCCGGAAAGGTGGTTTGATGCGCATGAAGGGACTATGCGTAAGTATTAATGATGTCGAATTAGCATCCTCGGTGCTACCGGTGTCCACTAAGTCTCAACTGGGCTAATAACATTGCAGACCGCTTCTGGTATGCCTTTGGAGCCGGATCACGAACTTGTATTGGCAAAAGTGAGCCTTTTTCTGAAGCATTGAATGCGTCCTCGCTAACCCTCATCTCGCAGACCTAAGTTGGATAGAGATGTCTAAAGTATGTATACACACATCGTCTTTAAAGCCCTAGGTTTCCTCCAACCTTCTCTAGTTGTGTCTCTACGCAAGTCCTGCATAATGACGTGGTACAGCTCGTTCCAACCCTTTTTCGTTACTACGATATCGAACTTGTTGCTCCTGGCACGCAGTTGGATGTCAAATGTTTGTGAGTTACTACACCATAGTGGAGGAGTTGTGTGGCTTTGCATCCGCCAGACTGTAATCGTTTGGCTAACGTGATTCAATAGTTTTTTTATCATTCAGAACGGCTTGAATGTAACGTTGAGACCTCGCGTTTTCAACTCAATGTGATCACCCTGTGTCCCAGGAGGATACAGTATATTAAGGGTCCTTCAGCGCCGAATGCCGGGCAGAAGAGATGCTCCGGAGATGGTGCGTACTGTCGAGATCTGATCCGATGCCACAGTGAGCATTTCAGATGTTCCGAGCTTTCCGAGCCCAATGCAAATGGCGACGACGTAATCTTGCAATACTTGTAGGACTCCATAATATCATGTAGCAGAGTACTGGAGTCACTTGCTGGGCACAGACTCATTTGGAGCGAGTGTGTATTGCAATATTTAGGGTGACAGACTCTAGACACATTTGGGAGTACTTAGTACGACTACTGGATCATTTGCAGGTGTGGAAAATACGTCCTCAATGAGAATAAATTGGAAAAGCCGTCATCTCTAAACTCCCCGAAATCCTGCTCTTACAGACTTCTTACAAGGGAAAGCCTGTTTCATGTTCCAAAACATTCGCGCACATCTGCAAAAACAATGGTTGCACTGCAGATCGATGCAGAGGGATCAATGTGAACAATAATGAGGCCATCAATGTCAATAGGTCGTGCAGCTGGACCGCAGAACCATATTTCTCCTGCACAAATGACCAGAAGAAGTCCTGAAGACTCGAAAGGAATGCCCTATCCTCTGGCTTGAGTAACTTGGCCAATTTCATGGCTGGGTCATCAACATTGGGTGGGCCATTGCCCTCATTACTGCCCAGTATGATGTGATCATAACCATGTAATGACTGGAGTACCTTTGCAAGATCATAGCAGACATCTCCAGCGGTTGTGAACATGTCTCCCTGCAATGATCTCACATCAAGGAACGTCACTTTGCGTGCCGTCTCATCAAGAACAACGTTCGAGAGGACCGGGTCACCATGAATATATGCTGCGGGGATGGCTCGGTCGCGCGTCTCATAGGACTCCAAGCCCGCAAGGAGAGTCGCATACAGCTGTGAAGTCTTGTTAGAGCCAAGAAGATCGTAGACTTCTCGGTAATCATTATATCGAGATTTCAGTTTTCGCGCATAGTTTGCGTAGATACTCGTGCCAGTATTCAAGCCATCCACGCTTGGGGCATCGTCAAAGTCCTTCAGTGTTTGGGCGTTGTTGTCTGATAGAATCTCGTCAATCTCTTTCGAGAGGAGGCCAGCATGAGGCAGAGCATGTTCTTCATCACAGGTGTGAATGCGGTATAGCTCCTGAAGCATGGCTTCAAGCCTTCGGTGCGTCAATGATCGAGATGTGAGAAGGTGGGAATAAGACACCCCCTGCACCTTCTGCATAGTGAAGGAGAATGTCTTGGTTTGTGGCACATAGCTTGTCGAGTACATCTCCGGGAAAAGCCCGCGAATGCTGATAGGCACTCGGCTATAAAAATACATCTCAGCCATCAGCTTTGGTGTTTTTGAACTTTTCATCACTCGTTCTCCAATGATCTGGACGTGATTGAACTCCCGACTCGCGATGACTCCTGCCTTTTTGGCGTGTTTTGCGTCCGCGAGAAGATTCTTCTCAGTACCGTCCTCCAGAATATCCACGTCGGATGCGAGCCATCCTATCTCTCGTCGAGTGTCTACGTTGGCATGAACTGCTAAATCATCAACATAGACATGTGCGTATGGCTTTCCAAAGAACAATTCATCGTAGGGAATGCCGTACTTTTGGAGGGAAGCAATAGTGACACTTCCAATATCTGCAATCACCGCTCCGACATTGCCGTTATGAGTACGCATTCTGCGAGCGGTCTGGATAATGATATGATGTCCAGCCTTGTGGAGTTGTTTCACAAGTTCAATATTTTGCCAGATTGGAGGACACGTCGAATAGTCGCCGGGCTCCTGCGGGAATCCCACGAGCGTCATGTCGAGATCAAAGCAAAATCTTTGTCGCTTAGGTTTTATTGTCGAATCCTGTTGACTGATCTTCAGAAGGAATTCGTCAAGCTGACGTGGGGTCCCGACACAGCTGAACGCATCGCCAGAGACTGGTATAGCGGTGAATGGGATCTTGCCGACTTTGATCATCTCCTCAATCATTTGACTGGTGAAGTACTCTCCAGTCTTGCCACCATTAGTATCTAGTTTCGAATCTAGGATGATGTTTGCCCATTGTTGTAGTGCCGACCCTGAGGGGAACACGTAAGCACCAGTATTGGCGTTGGTGGAGATGGCCTTCTTTTCTTGGATGTCAATGATGGTGTTGTTCTCGTCGTAAACGATATATGAGAAGATTGGCTCACTACCGGTATCCTGGAAGAAAAAGCAGCCACCCATTCCTGCAGGTAGATTTCTGATGTCGGTAAGGATGTCATGATGGTAGATGGTATCGCAATCAAGAGACACTGTGCGGCGTCGACGATGCGAAACAGGCATGCTCTGTGCCACAATAAAAAGGGTCTCGGTAGCTCCCTTGGTCAAATAATTGAGCCTGACCAATCGGACATTCAAGGAAGGAAACCACTTTTTCATTGATTGACCAACCTGGAACTCATCCTCAACCTCGTCTTGGATTGCCAACCATAGAGTATCTTGTGACGTCAAGCGCAGGTTCTCGACAAGCCAGCAAAGCATTGGCCGCCCTACTATCTTGATCAAGGGTTTAGGAAAGCGATAACCTTCACGCTGGAAACGACTCCCAACCCCTCCCATCGGGATGATTACGTTCAATCCATCCGATGGATTTGTCCTGGTATTCGGTACGGTATGAGGTCGGTGGTAGCTGCCCGATACGGACCTGGGCCCTAAAATTGTATTGTGTAGAATCGACAAAGCAGGTCTGGAAGGGGACGACGAGGTTATAGCACCATTCGATTCCACGAGTAAGCCCGTCTTCGTGGGGTGTGCTGATGGATCATGATTCTCATCGTTTTCAAGTGACACAATTCCTGGCGCCATGATAGCTTTTCTGGCTTTTTGGGGGCTTTCAAAAGAGATAGACAAATGGGTCTTTTTTATCGCGAGGATCCCGGCTGATCAACTTCCTGTGCAAGTCATTAATACTCATGGGAGGGGTGTATTACTTAGCGCAGCCTTACCCCATGAAGTTTGCCAATGTTCCATGGGGATGGCCCCTTTTTCAGTGCGGGAAGCTTAAACTTCGTATCGATCCAGTGTGTGGCGGTTTGACCAGGGTCAGGATGGTTGTCTTAAATTGTAGATGCCAGTCATTTGACTCTTCAATGCACGTATCCAATAAATGAAGGCTGTCATTAGTGAATCGTCCTCATTCTACTCTCCACTGATTTGGACGGAAGCGGAAGTGTCAGACTCCCGGTCTACACTTTGGGTTGCTCGTGAAGCTGTCAAAGTTACACCCTTTTGCTGTCAGAACAGGAAATGCAGTAAAGGAGACAGCCGCACAGACGTCGGACGCAAGGGCGATTTATGTGCATGTGGCACGGATCTAATGCATCACCCACACATGCTTCGCGTGATTGTCAATTACCCTTGAGCCCCTGATGAGAATAAGGTCCAGATTGGCATGAAGGGATTGATGATGAGCACTAAGACAGCCATATAAACGCCGCAAACAACATGTTGGGATAGCCCCTGAATGGCTGGAAAATACGAAGAATCCATTAAGATAGCAAGACTGAATTGTAGTGTCCCTATAATACTAGTCACATTGTCAGAGCTCTATCGGCGCACCTGAATTCGATTCTCTATTCAGCCATGCCGAAGATAATGAAAATCGGACAATGGGCCTCGCCTGCCTACATTGCAGCTGCGATTTTGGTGGTTATTCAGGTTGCGATAGGCCTCTTGTTCAAAGCAGTCCAAGTCAAGGGAGCGTAAGACTGTTTTGTCCAATCCATCACGTCGTCACTGATCAACCATGACAGATATTCATTCTCAACCTCAGCATCGATTACGATATCCGAATTCCTCAAGCTTGGGATCTCCACAGCTTTGTTTGGTCGGACATGCTTGACAAGATTCCGGGACCAGAAAAGGGGATACCAGTTTCTCGAAGACAATAATACATTACTTCATGATTATAATGATAAGCGTGTGTCCGAGGATTCGGAAGCACCCTCCTCATCGAGTCTTGAGCCGACTGCCCCAGGTTGTCCCGATGAAGAGTTCCACGTCAAGACTTCTCACAGGCAGGGAGATCGTTACATTTCATACTTTGTCTCATCATGCATTCACGAAGTATCAAAGGAACATATCATTGCATACGGGCACCTTGCACTACTCTACGCACTGATCAACAATACCGTTGGTAGTCCATGAAAGCTTCTCAATTCCGTACTGACTCCGGGTCAGGTATTTGTCGCATTCAGGCTCGCTGACCCAGGGACCATTCAGCTTGTCAAATCCGGCATCACCCTGATCACCGCGATCACATCTCTTTTACTCCTCGGCACTCGAATAATGAAGCTACAATGGATGGGAATCGCTCTTCAAGTCGTTGGTCTGATTGTGACACAATATCACGAGGGCTCGGGCTTGACATATCCCCTGCCAACCTATCTTGTTCTTCTCCTACAAACCGGGGTTTCAGCTGTTGCTGGTGTTCTCAACCAGTTCCTGTGCAAGAGCCAACCCGCATCGTTGCACGCTCAGAATATGGTGCTCTACGGCTTTGGAACATTGACTAACGGCATTGTCCACATTGCGATAACGTTCCTCAATCCCAATGAACCTGGCTTCTTCCAGGGCTACAACCAAGTTGGCGCTTTCCTGGTCATTGCCAGCAACGTGCTCCTAGGCCTTGCCATCACAGCGGTGTACAAATGTAACTTTCACAACTCCAACTCCTTGATGACATGAGCTGACAATGGACAGATGCCGATGCGGTGGTCAAATGTTTCGCGACCGCCTTCTCCACTGCCATACTACTTTATCTTGCTCCGTTCTTGTTCGACGTGAAGTTCTCGGCGTTGGTAATTCCGGGCACCTTGGTGGTTTTCATGGCAACATGGTTGTACATAGAAACGGCCATGAAGCCGGCCGCCACCCATGCTCAGCCCGAAGCCGCAACAAACGAGAAGGCATCATCGTCTTGTCGACTTGAGCTTCTCGTTTCCGTGATCACCCTCCCCAAGTGGGGGCCTCTGGGTCTCAGCATAGCAGGTATCGTGTTTGCCGGATCGATAGCCACGATTAACACTTGGAAAATTGAAGGCTACCAGAAGCAGCACGATAATGTCGAGACCTCTACGGCTGATATGGCGAACAATCAAAGTCACAGAGCAGGCGTCAAATCACCATTTGCCAACACGCTGGGTTTCGTGCGATGGAACGAGGCGTATCTGGAGCGGATTCCCTTGATCCAGAAGTACGACCCTTTCTTCCACACCATCCACTACAGTATTCCAAACTATGTTGCTGACCCGCCGACCGGAGGAAAGTTCGTCATCGTCACCCATTCCTCATGGGACAACCACGAGAACGTGTACATTCCCGTTGCAGATACAATGGCCCTGATACTCAACGACACAGAATACTCGTCAATCGAGGGCCTTCTCTTCTTCCATTTTGACTTGTGGATCAACCCCCTCGAGTTTACATTTATGGACTACGATCGCATCTGGTCGACGTACATCACGCACTATAAAAGCAAGGAGGCAGGGAATGGATGGCATTGGTGGGATGTACGGCCGCTGTGGGAGCAAGGCACGAGTGCCATAGCGGCGTTAAATGGCACCCAGTACGACAAGACGGTCGAAGTATGTGCCAATTGGGCGGATGTCTACTACGTGCCCCGGAAATACTTTAGCGACTTCATCTATCTCTCTCATCTGGTGGATCCGATGTTCCACGAGAGTGCGATTCCCACCATGTTCAACATCATCGATCGCACTTACAGGCAGCAGGATGCTGGGAAGGAATATGTGAACCTCGCGGACTGCTGGGGTGGATGTTGTGCCAGCAACCCTACGCCAGAGGATATCATGTGGGCCAGGTGTGGCCACCGCCTGAATTATCTTGATCCCGACACTACCGTTCTGCATTATATGAGGCTCGATAGACAGGTGAATACCCTTCAGTCGATTGAAGGATAAAGCATAGAGCATTCGGATTATGTATTTTTGATGACCATTGATGCTGTGATGAAATCGGCACATTCTTTTTTGACAGGTTGTTGGCGGGGCTTTTTTGGGGACTTTTCGTTTACAAGATAGTGAGAATGAGCGGGAGAGTTGCGGTCTCGCCTAGACATGCTTTTTGCCCAGCGAGGTAACACGATGATGGATACTTAGTATTTAGATGACGATGACGACGTCCGCATTGATGGGCTGAGAGGTTCGTGGGAGATGTTCGTGCCGTTGGAGTGTCGCGCATCATGTCATCATTCCTCAGCACGAACCTATACATGTGGAGCGGTAACAAGGAAATTCGGCTCACGGATCGGGTTGATATTTGTCATTCTTTTGCAGAATCTCACGAGTGAGGCTGAGGGTTACAGAGTACGGTAAATCGTTTACGCAGGTTATTCAATGCTGTCGATAAATGTGACGCTCGCTTACAAGGCCAACTAACTGGAAGAGATTCATGGTTCATGTGTGCATATATTTGCAATTATGTGTAGGGGCATAAATTGATTGATTGATTTTATGGATACAATTGTTGTGGGTGAACCAGATGGAGTAAGGGATTCATAACTTCCTCCAAGGCGCCTGAAAGGCACGGTGTTTCAACCTGCCCATCTATTTTCCTCTGCAACTGCCACGAGAACTGATTGCCTACGCCAGATGTGAACAAGACTGCGGGATGGGTGGATAAATCCATACTCAATGTTGGGTGTCATTCTGAGGGCCGAGGGTCGGAGATTGGGGCTGAAGAAAAATTAATTCTCTAGTCGAATGGGTTGGTGCGGGTTCCCCAGTAAGTAAGGAACACGCTGAGGCCCACGGTTTCGAAGAGTCGTGACAAAACACCAACAGCGACGGTGTCGACAGGTCGGTTCTCAGTGACGAGGGCAGAGACAAGCTGGAGTGGAGAGTCAGCAATTTCATGGAGGGGGATAATCTGTTGGAATGTTACATACCGATGGTGAGTAAGAGGCGAAGAAGATCAAGCTACCAAGATAGGCGGCGCCCTTGTAGCTCAGAGTACCGGTGGCATTGATGAGAGCGGCAACACCATAGGTCTGGATTCCGGAACCGACAATGGAAGAACCCCAGCTGGCAGCAGCGGTGGCAGCCTCCTTGGACTTGAGGAACTCCTCCTTGCTGTCGGCGGCCTTGGCACGGTGGTAGGTGTCACCGAACAGAGGAGCGAGGACGGCAGCACTGGAGACTTGGTTGAAGACGATGCCGAGGGCAATCGCGGAGGGCTTGACGGGGGGGAGGTCTGGAATTTCAGCGTCAATTGATGATACCGGAAGGACAACGGTGGGATTGTGTCGAGAAGTGAGGTCAAGATTGAGCTCCGAGAGATAAAATGACGTAAACACAGCAAGAAATCAGGTGAGGATTGAATTGGGAGCTTACAGTGAAGGGTGGCCATTTTGTGGGTTTGTGAGTGTGGAAGAGGTTGAGGGAAGCTTGATTGTAGGATAGAACAACGAAGTTGAGTTGTGAAGCTGGCTGGGGAAGGTTGAATGAAGGTGGTGTGTAGAGAAGGGAAAAAGAGGAAGAGGTTAGGACAGGTGGGAGCAACTTATACTAGTAGTGATGACCAGCTGCAGCAGTGGAAGCTTCCAAGGTCCCCGCAGAAAAAGACCGTGACTGGCAATGATGGTTGCTGGGTGCTCAAGACGCAAGACGCAGGATCAGGGACGCGGAAAGGTGGCACTGACACAGACACTCGGAAGCTACGCTCTTTCCACAGTCACTACTGCAGTGGCTTTTCCACTTCAAAGATCGAGTTACTAGTTACTACCAAAGTTCAAAGCTCATTCATCCAAACAATGACGACACAGGAGAAAGCCCGTGTCTGACATGGGGCCTATGGGCTAAAATCCACCAAGCTGGAGTTGTAATGACATGCCTTCCTCAGCCACATCACCTTCCAGGATGAACCTCTGACGTTCTATGATGTCACAGAAACTCCCGGAAATCGAACCACCTGACGCCTTTGAGACTTTGCATGGCTCTTGCCAATAATAATGAGATGACACAAACATCCAGTTTCCTTTGCTAACCGAATCTGGCTCCATCTTCAGACACCTGCGGTTTGACACCGAGCACTACATGAATTGTAGCCCAAAGTCGCGTCTTTGCAAAGCTTTTAGACGTGAGAAATAGCTTTTTCCACAGACCCTCGGTAATCCTCACAGGTGGACTGCTCCAAGGTACCCCGGATTCACGTTCCGCAATCATGCCATCCAATCATCTGCTTCATCCATATCTTACGCTACTGGTATCATGTAATCAAGTCAGGTTTGTGGGTGTCCAAATCAGGGACCGAGATCAAACAAATTTACATTTGTGGCACTACTATAACCTCAAGTACACTTTAAATCTCCGCCCCGGTTTTATTTGCGTGCAATCATGATCTCGTACTAGCAATGACTCGATTCTCAAAGAAACACATGATCCAGTCCGACGCGACCAAGATGGATTAATTCGTGTCCATCAGCGCATGCAACAACTCCATCATTCCCACCTCAAAGTCTTCTCAAATATGCCCTCCTCACGATCTTCATCACCAGACTCGGACACCGACATTCTCGGCATCTCCACGGCCTTGATCCCTGAACGAACAGCCAAAGCCGCAGGCACCACTCACATCACTTTCGACGGCCTCCTCCCCTCCACAAATCCCCTCGTACTACATGAAGACCTTCAGGAAGGCTGCGGCGGCCAGTTGTGGCCTGCCGGCATGGTCTTGTCCAAATACATGCTGCAATACCACAAGTCCGATCTCGCAGGCAAGAAAATCGTCGAGATTGGCGCGGGCGGTGGTCTCGTAGGCCTGGCCATCGCACTGGGATGCCATCTGGCCGAGGGTCAAAAGCTGTACATCACGGATCAGGTACCCATGTTGGCCTTGATGCAGAGGAATATTGCCCTCAATCACCTCGAGCGGAATGTCGAAGCGCTCGTCTACGACTGGGGTTCGCCTGCACCCATCGAGCTTTGTGGGCGCCAACAATCCGGTCCTGCATGTCCCGATGTCGTGCTGGCTGCTGATTGTGTCTACTTCGAGCCTGCCTTTCCTCTACTGTTGCACACCCTTGGCGATCTGATTGGCCCTGACACGAGATGCTACTTTTGTTTCAAGAAACGTCGGAAAGCCGACATGAGATTCATCCGCGATATGATGAAGAAATTCACTGTCGACATGATCAATTACGATGGCCGTGATGTGGATCAGAGACAGGCGATCTCTTTATACCAGGTTACGTTAAAATCGAGCAATAAGAACAAGACGTGAGAGCCGCAGGTATTTTGATGCAGTGATTTACTTCATGTGACATAAGTCTGGTATCTGATCTCGTCGCCTCTCGTCTCGTCATAGTGGTACAGTATTAACACAAAGAAATTGCGCCCATGATCGCCGCTTTCTCATACAACTTGCTCTGCGGCACGCTCTCGTCACAGCAAGTTCGCAAAATTAACATATCTCTCACGTTCTCTCCAAGTGGACCTCAATGATCCTGACCAATCTGAGCCGTCCGCTCTTGATAGATCCTTTTGGGGGAGTTCAGATGCTGGTTGCGGAGAGGTTCTTGACTCAACAACCCTAGTAATATCGGCGGGTACCCCTCCCATCGGTACCGTGCATCCGTCGTGTCCCAGCGGCCTTGACACCCGGTCTTCGGGTCAAACTTCCTCGAAGTTTCATCATGGCTCCGGAGACTTTGTCACCAATGCTGGTCTTGCGACGAGGTGCTGCTGTGGTATGTGTGGCACGAGGCGCTCTCCTGGTTCGCACGGGTCGGGCTCTGGTGGTGGTTGCTGGATGCGCTCTGGCTCTGCGTGGCCCTCTTAGGCGCTGCATCAATGTGGGCTTGGCAACAGCGCCATGTTTGGGTGGATGTCTTGTGGTGGTCGTGGTCGTGGTGACGGTGGTACCGCCTGGGTGTTTACGGGAACGAAGTCCGAGAACCATTTTGACACAAGATAGTTGACGTTTGGGTTTGATTTGAAAGTATTGGAAGAGTGCTTGGGCTGTTTTGGGTTGATGGATTGTTTGTGAATGATAATGGACGAACCTGTGGGAGGGGAAATACTGGCACCTTTATCTACCAGTTCCATACTCGTTCTGAGTATGCGATAACCAAGATTGTTTCCTGAACTGTCCAAGTTCAAGCTGACCACGCGGTCAAGGCGACGTCATTGTCGACCTTGCTATCCCAGGCTTCAATCCGTAGGCGATTAGTGGTGGGAATAGCTCACTGTTTGCAATCAGAGAGCACGTATCACTAGTGGTCCGAAAGGCTGTAAGGGTGGTTTGGGAAAGCAGGTTTCTGGAAGTTGGTGAGAGGTTGGTTTGGAGATCGTCAATAAATCCCAATCAGGATCCCTGCAACACGCCACATACGTTTGCTTGGCTGACGCAAGGTCGCTGGGAACATGCCCGCTGAATCTCGATCTTGAGAACAGCTTCGTCACTTTCTGGAAATTCGTCCACGCATCGAGACCTACGTCAATTGGGCGCCACAGAGGTTTAACACATGTTCCTGGAGCTTCCCGTGAGATCCTGGTTGCTAGTTGAACAACTGTGGCGGTGCACTTGTGGGCGCGGCATTTGCCGTGGTGCCGAATTTCGAGGCGCGTCCTGCAGAACTACGAGTCAAGACTACAACTTAATGTCACTCTTGGGTGCAAGGATGGGAGATACACTGCGGTGGCAGAAACTGAAACCGCCTTGGAAATTGAATGCTACGGGCAACGGGCAACGGACACTGGACAACGCAGATCCAGATACCAGTCCCTAGTACCTTCTACTTACTACCTACTTAGGTACCTAAGTACCTAAGTTCCCACCTTAGATATCTAGTACCGAGGTAGTACTAGCAGGTGACTGCATCTGGGGAGGGCACGCGTACTTGAGAATAGACGCGTTAAGTGGCTTTTGCGCACGACGACAGGAAGGAGCCATTTATCTCAACCCCCGGTGGTCCAAAGTCAATGCTCAAACCACCTGTATACCCAACTACCCACTAGGTAGATACAAACACTCAATCATCAAACACTCTACCAGCCATCATATCATCTCCGATGATATCAACCATTGCTGACAGGATGCGGTCAGCCAAGCAACACCAAGATGTCAACTTGTTGAAACCAAGATTCGTGAAGTCTACCCGACGAATAACCGAGCCCATAACCAAGATTAAGCATTCTCACCCCACGAGCGAATCTCCAGAACCCAAGTCCCTTCGGTTGGTCAAGAACAGAACCAGTCGTACCGTCGACCTCCAAAGTCCAGGCTCACTTCTCGCTGACAATTTTATTGGTTGATCTTTCCCCTTCTTGACGAACCCTCACCAATATCACTAACGTGGCTCAGCGAGCCTTGACCAGTACCGTGAAACTGTCTCGAATCAAGCCACGAAAAACATTGACCGCGTTCATGCAGAGCTCACTGCTTCCCTGGACAATCTCTCGCTCGACACCAATCATCGTTTCGAGCAACTCACAACCATTGACGAAACACTCAGCAGACCCTTCAGCACAGAGACACTGATCATTCAAGTGGTGGCAGATGATGACAACCTCAGAGACCAAGAAGAGTTCTCCTTGCAGACACGCTTGACTGCATTCCGGAAACTGCAACAAGACAAGCAACACGTTTTGACACATCTATGGGACGATTGGGAAGCCGTGCAGCTGGAGATCATTACCTTGACTGCTGAAGTCTGTGGCTCACGCGCTGTCAGTCTCAGTCAAGACCAAGCAAGCACGATGAAAGATGGTCAACAGGAACAGTACGACTCTGTTCTTGTTAAAGGACAAAAGCTTCATGATCAAGAGGTCATTGAGACGAACGTTCTGCATAAGGAGTTTTCAGATCTCGAGGATAGCATCAGTCACATCACTGGCAATACCAACCATGCTGTCGTGGCTATACAGCAGGTGAGTGAGGCGATGTAGCGAAAACAACGCCAACGCTGACCATGGTGACCGTCCAGAAATACAAGGTTCAGCGGAGCAAATTGTTTCAAGGACTCCAACGCCACATCGAGCTTCTTGCATCCCTTTAGTCAGGAGGAGCCAGTGTAGTTGGATGATTCCACATCATCATATCTTCATGTCTGCTGGAAGATTGGCTCTATCGCACAGCAAATGAGCTCCTCCGGTACCGGTGGACAATACACGAGATAAAACTTCAGAGCTTTTGTGGTTCAAGTCCAGAGTACTAGAGGCCAAGTATCAGTCATGTAGCCGAGGATATCCGTTTCGTGAAAATGTCATTATTTATAGTGGAGACCCAAGATCGATTTTCGGAACATTTCTTTCCCCCAAGCCCTGGAGAATGACCTTTATCTTGACCCCTGGGGTTCTCCCACCAATGTCCGTGGATCGTATAATCACAACAAGGGAGACAAGAAAAGTCGACAATGTGATGAATCTTTCGATTGCCACGGTCACACGTCATATTTGCAGACTTTTCTCAAGCATTTCTGCGAATCTACCAAGGTGCGGCAAACGTTTTCTCCACGCGGCACCAACTTGATGTTCTAGCAACCGTGTCACTGGGTGAGGATGTACAAGTTGCGGCATCGGCACTGCGGCGCTCGGCCCTGATTTGTGAATGGTGCATTATCAGCAAGGGCGTGCGGCCCTCCTGAGCGGTGTCTAGCCTCGACACCGTGGAATGAAGCATGATTTTTAACCGAAGTACCCATGACTTTGACCTCCGTAGGAGTATATATGAGTCACGCATCAGTACACATCTACTCTCTCCCCTCTCCCGCTCCTGGTCCATCATTCCTGCAGTCCTACCTTGTGTATTCCTATCAGGGACACAATATCACTCATTAAATCTCTGCCAACGCCTCTGCCTGTTCCTCAGCCATGGCCCCTGTTGCTCTGACCCCTGTGTCGCCGCCGTCGCCCACCCTGGATAGCACATCCAAGCTGACCAAAGCTGGGACCGACACACTCCTGGCGCAGACCATATCAAACGACTCTCGGGCAGTGGCCGACCTCGACGCCTCAAAATTGACCATCACTCCCAATCTGAACCCCAAACCCGTGCCAGCCCTGACCTCACCCGAAGTGTGGACTCAAAATGTCACGACGGACCACATGCTCACGGTGCGCTGGACCCTTCAATCAGGCTGGGACGCGCCCGAGATCCAACCATACGGGCCCCTCTCCATCATGCCCACGGCCTCGGTGCTGCACTACGCGACGGAATGTTTCGAAGGCATGAAAGCGTACCGAGGTCACGATGGAAAAGTGCGCCTGTTCCGCCCTGAACGCAATGCAAAACGCTTTCTGCAGTCCGCGACTCGCATCGCGCTGCCAGGATTCCCGCCCTCGGAGTTTCTCAAGCTGCTCAAGAAGTTCGTCGGCGTTGAGGCCCGGAAGTGGATTTCGGAACCGGGTCAGTTCATATACATCCGCCCGACGATGATCGCAACGGCACCAGCTTTGGGTGTACAGAAGCCCAAAGAGGCGCTGATGTACATCATGATGGTCATGTTTCCGCCGCTTGACGAGCCGAATCCCAGTAACACGGCCCCTGCACCCAGCAGCGGGCTGGCCGCGAGTGGAACCCAGACCAACGGGGACAGCACAGCCAAAGATCGCGCATCGCGAGGCATGCGTCTCCTCGCCTCCCGGCATGACATGATCCGCGCATGGCCCGGCGGGTTCGGCAACGCAAAAGTCGGCGCCAACTACGGTCCCTCACTGCTGGCCCAAGGCGAAGCGCGTGAACGCGGCTATGATCAGATCTTGTGGCTGTTCGGCGACGAATGCTTTGTAACGGAGGCAGGCGGCATGAATTTCTTCGTGCTGTTGAAGAATCAAAACACGGGCCGGAGGGAATTGATTACTGCGCCGTTGGGTGATGGTGTCATTTTGGAGGGCGTCACGCGCGCCAGTGTGCTGGACTTGGTGCGGGACTCAAGGCCCGAGGTCGACATTGTGGAGCGGAGGTTCACGATGCAGGAACTGCTTGAAGCGAACGAGGAGGGTCGTTTGATCGAAGCCTTCGGTGCAGGCACAGCTTTTTTCATCTCGCCTGTGGCGGACATTCACTTCAGAGGCATGGATGTAGTGCTACCGCTGGGTAAGGCGGAAGGCCATGGAGAGTTCGCCATGGCGGTGAAGAAAGACTTGAAGGACATCATGTATGGGGCTTTGAGCCATGAGTGGGGTGTCGTGATCGATGAGGTGGAAATATAAACTGCCATGGTTGATTTCGGGCTGACATTCTTTGGCGTTTTCGATTGGGGCCGTTTGAGCGTAATTGCATCGGGAAGTTGATTTCTGTCTGGTAAATCGAGGTCACAATATGCGTTAGGAGCAAAAAGGGCGGTGGCTGGCATGGGTATGAATCATGCAAATTGTGGATTTTTGTACATAGCGCTTTTTGCCTGAGACTCGGACCATAGCCGGACTTCAGCATCATAGATCTGGTTTGTCATAACGCGACAGAAAAGCTTTCCGTTTGGCGACTGGGGTGAGCTGCTCAGGGATGTGTAGAAAGGCTCACATTATTGTAGGTAGTCTTGCCGGACCCAAATAGCCTTCCCCGGGCCTCTGCAACTCACGAGCTCTCACCTTTTGCATCTTTACTCCTGCCGCCGGTGCTCTGCTCCGTGGTCTGTCTCACCTCTTCTGCTTTGTGGCCCTCGACATCGTCTGTTTGTTCGGCATCTTCTTCCACAATCACCTTCTTCTCCGCCAAAAGATCCGCCAAACTGCCGTCTTTGTGCATGTTGATCAGGATGTCGCAGCCGCCGACGAATTCTTTGTCGACATAGAGTTGTGGGATGGTAGGCCAGTCGGAGAACTCTTTGATACCTGTAGTGACCGGGAAAGTTAGAGATTGGCCGAAAGAACGCACTGAAGGATAGTCGTATATAATGACGTACCACTCCTTAGTTCTTCGTCTTCCAACACATTGAAGGCTGTGAACTTGGATGGATCTACACCTTGCAGGCCCAGTATTTGAATGGTGGTGCGACTGAAGCCACACTGTGGCGTTTCGGGAGTTCCCTTCATGAACAGCACCACGGGAGCTGATGCTACAGCCTTGTCGATAGCAGCGCGTACTTCTGTAGACAATAACCGCGTCTGCGAAAGTTGTGAATTGATGAGTGGCTGTAAGCTTGAGTGAGTGGCGGCGGGCCGGAGAGAAGAGAGAAGACCACGAAGGGCCTTAGGTAGAGCAAAACACTTGGTTAGTCCGCAGATCTAAAGTACGCCAGGGGAGACGGGGCCAGTACCGGTGTTTTTATTGCTCGCTGTAACATGATAGCTGATATGTGGGAGATTGAATGAGCAGAGCAATGAATGGGTACTGGTCTGCGGAATCAAGCAGAGAGATGCAGACCAAGGGTCTATGACGAGAGAAGTTGAAATTCACACGCCGGGTTCCCCTACACTGCATATCACGTAAGCTACCACGCCACTTTAAGCGGAGCAGACAGTAAATCACGCCGCCTTCTAGAGGACGAGGTGCCTGCCGACCCTTTCGATGAATTGAGCTACAATTTCTCGATGTCTCTTCGTGAACTGCTTAATCAAGACGTTCTATCGCATCAAAGAGCTCTTGTCATAAGGCTAGTCCTATTTCGCGGACTGGTCGACGATGCAACGAACGCGCCTCATGGAGACTGATTTCTCTTACAGAACCAGCGTACAAATCACAAGCCTCCAGCAATATCCAGAATATCAACCTGGGTGCCAAATGCCCATATCCTCAGCCAAGAGTGCTATTCCAAGTCATTTGAGGTTTGTGTCTGTTGATGCCGAGGATGGAAGTGATTGATGTAGAAGCTTCGTCCGCTCATGCCTGCGGGGGCATTTTTATATTCAGCCTTGGCAAGACTAAACATCTCACTTCCATGGTTATTAATAATGCACCACTTTCAACGTCCGTCCTTGCATGGTATATATTTACTTTTCTCCGGTAGATATGACCAAATGTTCCATGCTTGTCTATTTGCGTAGGTAAGGAAGGAATCCCATGTTAGATCTCGATGACATCTGCCGGCACAACTGAACCCTTCTCGGCCGTTGCAAACGCCCAAGATGGTAAACACCACGTCCTCCTCGCAGCGAGCGGGTCAGTGGCCACCATCAAAATCCCATTGATTGCAAAGTCCCTTGCGCGACACCCCAATGTCTCGATCCGAATCCTCCTTACCCCGTCCGCGGAGGAATTCCTACAAGGACAGGCTGCAGAACAGCCCCCGCTCATGTCGCTGCTCGAAATCGAAAATGTTGATGGGATATACCATGATCGTAATGAATGGAACAAACCATGGGTCCGTGGTGACAAGATCCTACACATAGAACTACGGCGTTGGGCTCATGTCCTCCTCGTTGCCCCCTTGTCCGCCAACTCTCTTGCCAAGATGGTCAATGGGATCAGCGATGGTTTACTTCTCAGTGTCATCCGAGCCTGGGATACTACAGGCGTCATTGATGGAAGGAAAAAAAGGATCTTCGTCGCCCCAGCCATGAACACAGCCATGTGGCGCCATCCGATCACCAAGAAACAGATCAAGATACTAGAACAAGACTGGGGAGAGGGCGAAACCGGCTGGGTTACAGTTCTCAAGCCTATGGAGAAAGAATTGGCCTGCGGCGATGTCGGCGACGGGGCCATGCTGGATTGGAGGTTGCTTGTGGAACATGTTGAATCTCATTTGGACATTAGTTTACAGAAGAAGAGTGGTGTGGCAGATGGCGATTGAGATGCGCATCCGGATCTGAGGCTTACGAATGGGTGGTCTCAACAGCATGTTTGTGCTCTTCACCGCTCCTTCGAACGGCATAATCACCCAATAGCCCAAAGGAGATGACACCACCCGTGATGAGTGCTCCATTCACAAACCACCACCAGCAGTCCTTGACATCCTTCAGATTAACCCGTCGAATCATTGTCGCAAGTGTCAGGGCTGCGCCACCACAACTTCCCACGAAAAAGACAGGTCCCGCGCCAGCAAAATATCCTGCGGTGATCAGCAACCCGACTTGAGCTGCAGAAAAGACAGAGAGAGCCGTCTTGGCATTATGCTCGTGTGCTTGGGCGATTGATTTGATCCCCGCCTTCGCATCGTCTTTGATGTCCATGTACGCGTATATCATGTCATAGACGAGCGTCCACGCAACACAGCTGGAGTACAAGGCAGCGGCAGCCGATAAAGCTGCAGTATTGGAAAGAAGATCAATGCCCAGGGCAGGAAAACCCATGATGGCTCCCCAGGAGAAAGTCAGACCGAGCACGAATTGTGGATAGTGCGTAACCCTCTTGGCTAGAGGGTAGGTGGTAACGAGAAGAAGGCTGGGGACACCATAGTACAGACACGGGAGCGGGAATTGTAGAAGTAGCGTGAGGCCGGTGAGCAGTTGTGCACCAAGATAGACAATGGCATTGTCGACGGAAATGGCTTTTCGAGCAATCGGTCGTAGTCGTGTCCGCTCCACGTGGGGATCTAGATTGCGATCCCAAAGATCATTTATGGTGCAACCTGCACCTCGCATGATAAGGGCACCCGTGAAGAAGAGAGCAGTTGTTGATATAATTTCCAATGGTGAAGACATTGGTGAGGCCATCGGAGCCGCAAGAAGGGTCGAGAAAAGACATGGGAAGAAAAGATAATATGTGCCTGCCGGCTTGTCAAGGCGGATGAGTTCAGCATAAGGGATCCACGATGATGGAAGCTGTGAGATTATTCCAGTGCTGGGTGGTTTGTAGATCATGGGCGAGTCAGAGGGGAGGATGGTGGTATTTGTTGTTGATACATTTCGGGCACATAATGGCTTGTGGACTCGATCCTGCCATCTGAAAGACTGGAGACCAGAATGATTCGCAAGGTATCGGAAGCTCTGTAGTGGACATGCGATAGCTCCGCGAGACCACGGCCCCAGAGCTCTAGAAGAAAGTCCCCTGCTGACCATACAAGATGCCTGGATCATCTTGGCTCACTGAAGCTGATGGCGAAGCGAGGAGACCAGCGAGGCTGAAAGAAATTTGCGGTAGAGTTGCCACAATTAAGCACGACGGTTGGACATCAGATTTGTATGGAAAATAGTTGGATTAGTAGACCGCCATGCCGTGACACCACCGCGAGTATCTTGTGGATTTCTATAGGACGCGTGGGTGATAGGAAGCAAATAGCAAATTTGATCCAGGTAGTTTATTTGAAGCTCGCCCAGCCTTGTCAGGTTAATATGCCGACCAAGTCTAAACGAGCCCAAATAGTCGCTGCTTTTGTTTGCCCCCACCGGAATTCGGCTCAACCCTGACATCTGGCCGATCCACCTCAGCCTTGTCACCATCTTCGGCAAACTTTCCCAACTCAAGAATCGAGCCGCAGCCTCGTCATTTCCATCGCGTGAACGAGAAGCAGAGAAACATCAACGGCAAGTTCAAGCTCAAAGTTTCGCTCACTTGACTATCATCACAGGCGCAATCACGAGTCAATCCTTCACTCCCTTATTTCACTTCGACCGATTCGTCTGATTTATGGAATGTTCCCTTTCACCCGACTTAGGATTTGGTTTCTCTCGTCACCACACCTTCGCTTGACCCACCTTGCCCATTTCCCACCCCTCATTCTTGCGCCGGACTAATCTCACCGATATCTCCTCATTCGACGGCAATGATGGTCTGGAACTGAAAAACCCTTACGCTGACTGGCGACCCAAATCTCACAATGCCATCCTCCCGCCCATGCGCAGCCTTCGAGCCAATCTCTCCCGACTTCAACGTCAAAGCCCTGGTCGAATCGACACCCAACTTCGAATGGGTTGTGCGAATTCATTGTGATATGATCGATCATCAAGGTCTGGAGAATTTCGAAAAGCTGGTCCTTATACATGTCATCCTCGGAGGCAAGCCACTCGTGATTGAAGGATACGAAACACGACTTGACCGTTGGTCATTTGCCTTACAATGGCTGCGAGACAATTGTGGTTCAAAGGGTAAAGGGATGAACTCCCACAGTTCGCAGGACCATACTGACTTTCATCACAGTTGAAACAGCCCGAGACTTGACCAAAAAGACCAATATCCCGCTCTCAATCGCTCACTACCTGAACAACATGGCTCTGCTCACAAATCAATGGTCCAATCACAACTACAAGGATGTTGATCGCCAGCGCATGTATCTCAAGGACATTGATTGTCCTCAACTCTGGCGTGACAAGCTATCCGAGATCCTTCCTCCATCCCTCTTCTACCTGAACGAATCCACCGGTGACGTTGGTGGATTTGGTGCCACTGACGAAGCCGATCCTCACCGACCTGGCATGAGGAGAGGAAGAGGTATCGCCAAATCTGGTGATCTCATGGCTAGTTTGCCCGCTGAGATGCGCGCTGAGAATCTCATGTGCTACATTGGTCACGAAGGCACATACACCCCGAGTCACCGAGAAATGTGTGCCAGTTTGGGTCAGAACATCATGGTTGAAGCCTCTTCTGGTAATATCGAAGAGGGGAAACCCACAAAGCCTGGTTCATCGATCTGGTTCATGACTGAATCAAAGGAACGTGAAGTCGTCTCAGAATATTGGCTGTCCACATTGGGTCATGACATTGAAGTGGAAAATCATTTCGCTCAGATCAATGCTTGGAAGAACGCGCCCTTCAAGACATACGTGGTGGAACAAAAGCCCGGAGACTTCATCTTGATCCCACCATTGGCACCCCATCAGGTGTGGAACCGAGGTACTCGAACAATGAAGGTTGCCTGGAATCGAACTACAGTTGAGACTTTGGAAATGGCTCTCCACGAAGCTTTGCCTCGTGCACGCATGGTCTGCCGTGATGAGCAGTACAAGAACAAAGCCATCATCTATTACACAATGCAGAAGTACTCTAAACAACTCAAAACAGCCGAAAAGGTCAAGCAGAAGCTTCTGGCCGCCGGACGCCACATATCTGGTACTGATATCAAAGTCCGGCAATTGGAAAAGGACTTTCGCCGTCTGCATAGTCTTTTCACTGAGGTTCTTGTCTCTGAGAGCTTTTCTCGTGCACAGAAAGAACCTCCGGTAGAAAGCTTGACTTACGATAGCAACATCACATGCTCATATTGTCGTTGCAACATCTTCAACCGTTTCCTGACCTGTCCCAGCTGCATTGAAAAGGTACCTGGCGATGATGATGACACTTATGATGTCTGCCTGGAATGTTATGCGATGGGGAGAAGCTGTGCTTGCATTTCTAAACTCCAATTCGTCGAACAGTGGCCCTGGGTTGAGTTGGTACAAAAGCATGAGCAATGGCGACACCAGATTCTTGGTTATGAAGGCAAAATCACCGAGAAGTCTCCCATGTCGCTCAAAACCGAGCTTGATCGTCTCGGTGCCAAACGTACCCTGGCACAGATATGCCAATTGGAATTAGAGCGTCGCACCTTCCACGATGTCAAACGTCCTCGGTCTCCCGTGAACCAATACGAAGAAGACGATGATGGTCCCGCGGTCGACGAGAACGGGGTAGCGAAGAAGAAGAAACAAAAGAAGAAGACAGCCAAGTTTATCCGCGAAAATGGCCGCTGTCATGTCGATGTTCACTGGGAACCCAAGTGGAAGCAGGCATCATGTTCTCACTGCGGTAAGAACTGGTGCTATGGCAGTCTTTTCCGTGCATACGATATGAAACCGCAGGAGATTCTCGCTGATCCTGATTGGCAATGTCCGAGCTGTCGCAACATGTGTGGATGTCGTATTTGCCGTAACAAGCCCGGTTATAAACCTTACATGCCAACTGGTACCATGTTGGGCCACAACACCAAAATTGTGGCAGACCCACGGTCAGTGGAGGCGTTGGTGGACTTTTCTCACTCCAACATTGGATGGATTCAAAAGGCCGGTGATGACAATGGAGCTAATAGCCGACGTCTCGATAAGAGAAGAAAGGCAGCGGACACGGCCAAGGCTCAAGAAACCGAGCTGGGCGACAATTATGTGGACGGCGATGACAGAAGCAACAATGTTGAAGACAGTATTTTACGTCTTGCAGCCCATGAAGGCATGCCGATTGACCCTGCTTTAGGAGGTGTGAGTCAAGCCAATCGCCCCGGATCAACTGCAGACTCGGACGAGTTTGATGAGAACCCGGAGGGGGCAAGACCACCTCAAGAGGCAACACCAGCAGACATTTCCGGTTTTGAATATGCTGTGCCTGTTGGTGGTGTCCTACGAGACATGGAACACGCATATGAGATGACTGAGGCCATCACTTATGACTACCCCGATCCTGAGACTGGACAGAACGTGACCGTCCCGGTCGCAATTGAAGAAGAGGCAGCTCCTTTGCCCACTGGCTATGCATCTGCCCTTGCCGATGAGAATGGTGACATCCAAATGATTGACCGCAAACGCAAGCGAAGCAAGTTGGACGATGGAGATCGCGCATTCCAATACAAGAAGGGGGACACAGGCAAACCTAAGCCGCGTAAATCCTTGATTGTGAAACTACAGATCGACCCGGAAAAATTGGCGGGTGTCCAGGATATGTCTTCCCTGGCACGACAGGCATTAAATGGCATCGATATTCCTGCTCCGGTGATCAGTTCTGACCTACAAGCATTGAATGTTGTTGAGGGAAATTCACAACAGGTGCTCAAGAAAGTACGAAGAGGTCCAGAGCACGTGACAATTGAGCATGATGACGATTTCACTCCTGGTCGATATCGAGATCGTAGGAAGATCTTAGCCGATGGGGGTCCAAGACCGCCGCCAGACTCGGACATCACACGAAGGCAGACACGAACGCAGAATGTCCACTATGAAGAGCTCGATGAAGATGAATTCGATGAGATGCTCCCAAAGAACTGGGATATGATGACGAAGAACGCTGCAGAGGCGACGAAAGTGGATGATTCGCAGATGGACATGGATGGTCGACACGAAATTGAGACCTTGTCAGATGATGCAGTGAACGAAACTGAACAATCTGGTGACAAGTTTCGTGAAGAGCCTGTGTCTGGTTCTGGTACACCCATATCTTTCAATCTGGCTCCAAGTGAACGGGCGAGCTCAACACCCAAATCGTTGGTCGAACCGGTCGCACGACCACCATCTTTTTCGTCGCTTCGGCCTGCTGGAATCAAAGGCAAAATCAACGGTGCATCCGCATCCTCAGCCTCGAAAGCCCAGGATATTAAAATGTTAGCCGAGGCACAGGCCAATCGGAAGGCCAAGATGGCAGCTATTGAGTGGCTTGATAATGATAGTGACGATATCGACGACGAATGGTCCCAAGCATCATCCGCGGATGAGCCATCACCACCAAAGAAACAATCTGAAGTCAAGAAAGCACCAGTCCCCGCACCATCGCAGCAACGACTAGAGACCAAGATAAAACCTGCAGTGGTTCCATCCAAGCCAGCAATGACGGTGACTTCCCTCAACAAGGTTTCCACGGATGCATGGGGAGATAGTGATTCCTCAGACGATGAACCAAGTTTGAGTAGGGGTTCAGGGTGGGCGAGTGTGAATACCAAAAAGGTGTCTGTAGCTGCGCCGGCGCCAATGGTGGCAAAGAAGAGAGGTCGGCCACCAAAGTATTAGATATGATTCACAGGAAGTTGGAATGTGAGATGATGACTGACCATGCGCAACAAGGGGGGTGAGACAACAGTCTGTGAGATTCGAGTGCGCTACATTCGCAACCAAGGGCTATGGGACCAGCTGCTGACCAGGCATTGTGTATATGTACTTGGAGCATAATCTACAGCAGATACTCATGTTACCTAGCTGTGTATCCAGGTAGCTCGCAGGCAACCTTGGAACCCAAGCTTGTATGAAAATAATTCCTCTCGTATCCTGACAAGGCTGACGAGGCTGAGGAGGTCGGATAAGTTTCTTCTCTTGTACTAGTGTGAGCGAAATAACAGTATTGGACATGGCAGTGCCTGATGGCATCTGGAATGACATAACGAATACTTGAAAATCCTCATTCACAGATATCAGTAACGAGGCATCAAAACTACCATCAGCACGAAACGAGAACCACTGCTTACAACAATGAAGAGCATGCGCTTCCTGCAGCGCCACGCATTCCAGCAGCTCTCCAGCACGCGATCCGCACTGCTGCGCCAGACATTGAATCAGCTACAACAAACATCATCACAACCATTCCGGACCGGACCTCCATTACAACATACCTCTTTGCACCGATCTCTACACACCAAGGGATCAGCTCCCAACCCCTTCTCCCAGGCATTGCGCTCACGCCGGGCACCCAATTCCAACAGCAACCAGTCCCATGGCCGACGACATAATTCCTCCTCATCGTCATCCTCCACACCACCGCCCGACGATGCAAACCTCTCCTTCTCGCAACGCTTCAAGAAACTTTCGCGCGAATATGGCTGGGGTGCAGTGGGCGTGTACCTCGCGCTGACGGCGCTTGATCTCCCATTCTGCTTCCTCGCGGTGCGCATGCTCGGCACGGACCGCATCGGGCATTACGAGCATGTCGCGCTGGAGTTCGTACGGGGCTTGGTCAAGTGGCCACTGCCGGAGGTCGCGCAGGACAAGCTCGATGCTGCGGGCGACCTCGTCAGTGAGAAGGTCAGTGAGGTCGTTGGGGATGCACCCGTTGAGAAGAGGATTCTGGAGGAGACGAGCGCTGGGTATAGCAAAGGTGATATCGAGGACCACGGCTATTCGGAGGCGGAGCAGGCGAATCGCGGTGCTGATGCCAGTAAGTGGATGCTTTTCGAGTTCTTGTTCCTCCCTAAGGTGATCTCATGACTGACAATCCCCGCTCCGACAGGTATTTGGACGCAGCTCGGTCTCGCATACGTGATTCACAAGTCGTTTATTTTCGTCCGTCTTCCCCTTGCCGTCGCCATCACGCCGAAAGTCGTCAAGACACTACGTGGCTGGGGTTGGAATATTGGCAAGATGCCGGCTCGCAAGGGTGTGACTTCGGGGACTAACTCAACAGGGACGGGGACAACGGCTGGTGTGAATACTAAGGGCTCCAAGGTCAAGCCAGACGATTAATTTTAAGTCGGGAGGAAGAGTGAAACAAGGTTAAAAAGACGCTCATGGCGAGATAATACTGGGATCAGCCTTGAACATCCAATCGACACTCATCTCGTCTCCATCTTGGAGTTCTCAGAGATTCATTTTAGTTTTGTACCAACATTATTCCGAGAGACGGGATACACAACCACTGGTGTCTCCACGGTCAATTCTCCTCTGCTATGCAACCCGCCCATATTGTACAGACAGAAATTATATGCTCTCAACGACAAGATCTTCTCCTTGACCCCTTCTTCATGTGATATGTCCTGCATCGCATCACTGCTGTTCTTTGTTCACCATAGGCTGATTCCCGCCCTTGCCATCCTCAAGCAACTGCACAACTGTACCATCCTCCAACTTGAGACTCCACTCCAGCGTCTCAAAGAACCCGGTCTTCCTCCTCCTCAGACTCGTGAACTTTGTCTCAGCCTGCGCTCTAGTCCCCTTGACCCAGAATCTAATATCAATGATCCCATGCATCTGGTTCATCTCCCCTCGTATCCACGGCATTTTGCTGGCGAAGTAGATCTCATCGCCCAGAATTTCGCGCGCAGCCTCGTTTGTGCGTAGGGCGTACAGGATCGAGTTTATCGTTGAAGAGCTGGATTTCTGGTAGTTGAAAATTGCGAGCGAGGATGCTGTGACGAGGATGAGAAAGATGGGGAGCGTCTTGAGCCAGATATTGCCCTTGTCGATCCTAGGGAGGGCGCGATCGGCCCGTCGCGATAGGAGAGGCCCGGAGCCTTCACTTGGTGGTGGGACGAGTGGGCGGATGATCTGTTGCGGTGATGTGGTGGATGCATTACGGCAGAGGAGTAGAGAGCTGGGTCTGGCTACGGCTGATCTAGAGGTGGTGATTTGATGCGCTAAAGGGTGTCGACACCTTGCGGGTTGTCGGATCACAGCTGGGAAAGGCAAAAGACTGTGGGAGCTGTTGATTGAGCTCCATGGAGTCGTGAATAGCTTAGATGTACCACGCATAATAGAGACTCTCCGGGCACGGAGCACCAAGGAGCGGGTGCCGGAATATTGCACGATCGTGCAGTAGATCCAAACTCAAGGAGCGGAGAAGGGAGATGGAGGAAGTAAGTAAGGTGGTAGATATCTCACAGCGATGCTAGAATCCTTCCTCTTTCAACGGGCACTGAAACTGAAATCGTATGATGCGACTATCCATTCCGTCTGCCAAGGAATTGGTCGGATAAACCCAAGCGCCGGATCATCGGCTTTGGGATTAGCGGCTCGAAGACCATACGCGTGTGCCTATCTAGGCTAGCGCTACTTCCGTCCTCTTTGCCGCTTTAACCTGCTCAGACTTTGCAAACATCCAAATGGTTGAAGTTCTCATTCAGCACAATTCAGAAATAATGCGACAAGAGCATGTTCAGTGCTCGACAACCCAGCCGATGAGATGGTTCACTGACCGTGCTACCTACATGTAAGTATCCCGCACCAACCTGTTGGGGAAAACGGTCCAGCTTCAAACCACTTCGGGAAGATGTCAATCACGTCCAACACCGTGCCACCCATTGCAAAAGTCGACGTCAAGCTGGGGAATCTTCCTGCACACATCTCGTCCACACATAACCCGACCAAGCGATTGCCATGGCGGATTATTCGTCAGTCAGGATGTGTTCATTCGGCGACAATCATGCTTCCAGACAAGATTTATAGCTCGATGTTGCGGAATGGTTACAGTCTTGAAAACGCTGTCCCGCGAATCAGCTATGCAAAGGTCATCATGAAGTTGGAGCAACTTCTTCAAGGCGATTTCTTCAATGAATATATCAAACGAGGTAAATCTTGCTCCAGCCTATGAAACTTCCATCATACACATGCCGTCTGACGACTTACTCACCAGGCAGTATCGTTATGATTTCAGAAGGGGATGCCATGGCTGACAACATCTTCTCGGTCAAAGAGGGTGAGTCTCCAAGATAAGTGAAGGTAAATTGCGATCTCTGATGCTCATGACAAGGTACCCTTTCACTGGAGCTTTCCAAAGATGACTACGAGCGTACTGGCCTTCAAGGGTTTCCTGTCAGCTCTGGCGGACGTAAACATATCAAATCGAGATATTGTGAGCACAACGTGGCAACCCCACAACTTTGAGTAGCTATCGCACTGACCTAGTTGAAGTGATTGAGGCAGATCTTCGACTGCCATCCATGTTACGGGGCAAGAAAGGGTTCGATAGGATAGTTTGGGCAGCTCAGAAAGTCCTCAACCAAGACCGAAATTGGATATTTGTGGACCTTAAAGAACCCAAACAGAGTATTTCACCTCAATTGCGACCCTCATGGATCTGGGACATGCGCTGATAATTCTGAACAGATCCACCTATTCTTCAGTACCATCCCATACTCCGTGATATCCTACCTACTAGCGAGCTAGTTAGTGATGTTCTCATCCCTTCAACTCTTACCGATGCTGCAGGAGTGTCAGTCGTACTTTCAAAGGCGAATTTACCAACTGAGGACGCCCAAGAATCGCTGTACGAACTCCTCGAGTTCTTAGACCTCCTAAAGTTGCGATCACCACGCGTTCAAAGCACAACCCGGGTTGATCCGTTTATCAGTCGCTACTCCGTTCCATGCAGTCAGAGTAACGAGGACAATCAGATCCAGGATGTTAGGATTCTCGAGTGGAAGGGGCTGATCTCGACTCAGTGGATCACGACTTTGCTCAGTGAACTCATGTGTGTTGCTCAGGCTCTTCCCTTCCTTGACTTCTCCATTCAGCCGTTATTTTGAGTATGAACTAATACTCTGACAGAATGCAAACTCGCAAATGCAATATAGACAGCGCTTCTACGCAGCAGCAATGGCTTGCACTGACTGTTACAACCCATTCTACAGCGTCCAACGCGGGAACAGATGGCTACACGATTGTTCTTCAATCAGATTCGGCTCAAGAACCCCCGCAGAACACTGCTCAGGGCATAAACTCCAGGGAGGATGATTCCATAATGATTGATGGCTACGTTGGTGCATCCGTACAAGAGCCGCGTATTTCAGCCCAACAACACGCTGACGGTCAAGAATCGAATACCGAACACGGGTCTGGTGTTCGACGCTTTCTTTGCGCCGAATACATCAACAGCCCTACCTCTCGTTGAACCATGGAAAACTTGGTATAACGCTTGCACGCAGACCACGACCGGCTTGCTCACCCACCAAGGGTCCTTTGGAGCACTCTGCCTTTGTTCGCTGTTTACTGCAACTGGGCAGTAGTGAGAAATTGGAACGTCCAACCTTCCGTAAGCGATCAGAAGATTATTGAGTTGAGGTTGGAGCGGCGATCATCGCTCTTCTCTTGCCCTCTCAGCCACGTCGACCCATCCCGTTTACTTCCGAGCTCAACTGCGATGAATTCTATCAATGCGACCCAAATGCTGACATTGGCGATCCTGATTAGTACTGGTGGGTGACTGTAAGCTTCGCTGGTCACAAATTTTGACTGACCTAGGGTGTGTTTTCTCTAGTGCCATTATTGATATGCGCCGGAATCACTGGCATCGTTCTATCGGCAATCATTCTCCGACCTTCTAAGACGCCTTGATACTACGTCGTCTGCTTTTCCTTGCCACAAAAACGAAGACCGCGGATCCGGCGTTTCCTCATGGTTTATCATGTCCTTTTGGCGATCCATTCGAGCTTGCTCTCACAGACGAAACAAGCAACACTGTCATTCGGCGCTCAATCACAATCCGGAGAATCAATTTCTGATGTATCATAGGTCTTATTACACCATGAGTGCGAGGGCTTTGGACTACATTGCATGAATCTTCGTTACTAACCCCTGCTCGTGCTTGGGACTACTTATGACTCGCAACAATTTCCTTGACAGTCGCGGCAAGAGTCTCCTTTGGCAGCCCCAGCTTATCATTCCACAGACCCTTCTTCGAGTAATTGTTCAAATCACCTTTACCGTAGTAGCCCGCATGGATGGTCGCGATGATGCCCTCCATGAGGCCCTCGCCCCCCTTGGCTACCTTTGCCTGGCCATTCTTCCACGTCTCCTCTGTACTTGCCGTCTCGACCTTGAACTTATCGCCGGTGGCACTCTCCAGCTCCTTGAGGACCTCATTCTGTGTGGTGGTGAAGCTGTTGATGTAGACGTACTGATCCTTGGTCGACTCGGGATTCTTGAGAATCGCTGCGACGGCTTTGCCGGTTTGCGGAAGATTCGTCGCTTCAAAGGGGACATCACCACCATCCCAAATAACAGCTGTGCGGGCTGGAAGATTCCATCCGCCAAATCCGGGGAAGTCGAAGTTCCAGTCGAACAACGCACCTGTCACGAGGACGGTCCATGAGATTTTGTCTTTGAAAGATCTTAGATGATTCACGGCAGTTATTTTGTGCGCGATCAGCGGAATTACTTCGGGCGCATTGGCGGGCTGGGTGTCGAGGCCATATTCAGAGGGGATGAACACTTTGACTCCTGCAGCGACGGCGGCGTCGATGAGCGTTATCTGTGTTCCCACGCCGCTCCCTGCAATGGTGCTGACCACGGCATGCTGGTCTTGGAAAGCTTGGTCGAGAGACTCTCGGCTGTAGTCGGTCTTGACGACTTTGACACTCTTGGGAAACGTTGCGTTGGATGAGTCACGTGTGAGAGCTGTAACTTGAAAGCCTGCCTCAAGCAGCGCTGTGACGACGGGTCGACCAACGGCACCAGAGGCTCCGACGACGATGACATTTTTGATTGATGACGACATGATACCAACGGGAATCTTTTGTGCGGATATGAAGTAATGTGTGTCAGCGTCAGTGGGCAGATGTTATTCCTTCCTCCAGCAGGGGCGAATGGCTGATTTATAGCACCGTGATCAAACCCATTTATGTTGAGTATTCGAACGCAAGCCTTGTCCGATTAGGAGTTAATGGACCCATGGCAATCGGTGTCGGTCCATCCTCTTCCAACGTATTCGGTACGAGGCTTGGAACTCGACCGTTAGCAAAGGCAATAGGTCGGTAGCAGGTGAAGCAAATTTCTCGTGTTAGTAAACCATGCGATGCCAGGAATTACTCATCACTCATTTGCAATCAGCCCGAGCACAAAATGACTAGGACAGGTATTAGATGCCTAATGTGCCATTACGTTTTGTTGCTCTGATGCATATTGCTTCATGAGACTGCATATCTACGTCGATAAGCTGGCTTCGTAATAGGGGACTTTCATTTCGCCAGGTTCGGTCAGTGACGAAGCCCTGACGCGAGTCATCTTTCTAGATACTGTCCAGTAGCCCGAGTCATGTGCTGGGCCTGACGTCATCACCCTCCCTTCATCCCCCGGTCTTCTTGTCAACGTCGCATGGAAACACATTTCCCTTCACAAGGTCAGTGACGTCCTTCGGGAACTCACGTCCGACCTATGAATGTCATGATTTCGAGTCAGCGTTCGCCATCTTTCGAACAATAGACCGCTTGCCCAATCACTCGTGCGCCCGTATTTCCGCACTGAATACTGTGTAGCGTCTAGGCCTTATCCTTTGAGATCAGTGGTCTAATATCGACTTCCTTCTTAAGGTATTATCCTCGTGAGAAACACCGATCTTTTCCACGTACTTCGCTCTCACTCGAGTCCACATAGGAGCACCTAGCTGTCACCGGGTTCCAAAATGGCAGACCTCGAGCCTCCCCACCGCGGCGGGGTGAACAACCGCACGCAACGCGAAACCACGCCTCTCCTGCGCTCCGACGCGCAACACATCCGCAACCTTCCCTCCGATGACTTCATCGCCTGCCACGTGCGAAAGATTCATGGCGACGACAGCTGGGTCTGGCGGCTGCGGCAACGCTTGCAGGATTTTCTGGCAAGCAAATGGGGTCATTATTTCGTGCTCATACTTGTCTCGCTGGATATTGCGTGTATATTTGCAGATTTCTTGATCTCGTTGCATGTCTGTGAACATAGTCGTGACAAAGGGTTCAGGCGGAGGGATTGGCTGTTGCTTTCTGATGTGTTGGGCTATGTCAGCCTGACGTTTAGCTGCTTGTTCATGGCGGAATTGCTTGGGAGTGTGTTCGCTTTTGGATTGAGGTGAGTACTTCTACCCATTGTGGAAGACGCGTGGATTGGTCTGATAATCGTGCAGTTACTTCAACTCCAAGTTTCACATCTTTGACGCCACGGTCATCATCGCTGCCTTCATCCTGGATGTCCTCCTCCGCGGTCCTCTCGAAGAAGCCGGGTCCCTCGTGGTCGCTCTTCGCCTCTGGCGTGTTTTCAAGATCATTGAAGAGTTCTCGTCAGGCGCTGAAGACCAGCTCGCAGAGTTGGCAGAACGGATCACTGATCTGGAGCACGAGAAGGCTAAGATCGCTGAGGAGAATCAGGCGTTACGATTGAGGGTACAAGGCGGTACTAATTAAGACCCATCAAGGTATACAGGTTCTGGAGTTGACGGCAGCGCAACCTGAAGTTCTGGGACTAGAGATCACTCTTAGACAGAATACTGCATTTTTGAGCTCAAGGGAGCATTTCGTTATACTGACGCTCCTAATGAGTTGGGAATCCTAATCGTATCAATTTGAGGCTCGCTGATGGTGCTCTTTCTGCAAAACCAAATAAAACATGTAATGGGAATCAAAATGAGTGTTCCTCGAAACACGATCCATGTATACCCTCAGCAAGAACCATTGAACAAGAGCTGCACTCGCCGGCATCAGCTAGGTTCTGGTGTCGTATATTTCGCCCGATCATGATCGGGCACGATCACACTCTTCAATGAATCGGTAAATACCTTCAATCCCCTCATAGAGCTCTCCACTGCGGGACCCTGCCGGTCGATTCCATGATTGTGTTTGATCGGGCATAAACGTGGGCATCATTGGATCTCGTCCATAATCCTGGTCATGTACCTCGCTCGTGTGAAGACTGGAATACCCTGAAGGTGAGGATAACCAGGGATTGGGACCTAACGCATGGTCGATGACTTCAAATGCTCCTGCAGATTGACTCGTCGCGGAGAAATGTGAAAACCCTGCTGATGGCTGCTTAGCAGGCGAAAGCATTTCGTGCCACTCCACTCGATCTCGCTTAACGCGTTTCGCAGGGGCTGCAAAGTACTCTGCCTCATTGCATACCTCGCTTGCCAGCTCGCTGGGGGCATACGGGAACAGGAGAGCCATTTCAACGCCATTAAGGACCTCGAAATCTTCATCTTGTCCAACAATGCCACGCTTGATATTCAATTCTCGACACAAGCTTTCGACGGTATCCGCATCACAGCCAGGGAACCGAACCCTCAAGGTTGTGCTACTATGAAGAGATATTGGCAAGTCACCAAGAGTCGAGAGATGCTTCAAGTCATTCATGATGGCTGCAAGATCTTTCAAAGCTCGGGCAAAGTCGATTGAGAGGTTGGACATGAGTGTTGCGTTGTTCAGAGTGTCTTGCTCGGTCTCGTAATCACACTCGGCAGTCGAGGGGGATCGAGGGATGCTGGCAAGGGGTCCGATGGCAGTTATGGTCGGGTTCACCTTGAAGTCGATATACGATCCTGGAGCATTGATTGGAGACATGTCCATGGTGTATCTGGCATCTTCCTGAACGCTGGATACAGCGCGGAATCGCTTCTCTCCCGTTCGAGAACTGGCACCATCGAATCTAGCCTTCTGTCCTGATAGCCAAAAAGCTCGTACTGCCTGACTAACATTCTGCACGACTTGTGCTGGTGCCGCTGGCCCGTGTGAGAAGTATCTTGCTCCACCAACGCGGCCACTCCCCAAGCCATATCCTCCAGCACTGCGAGACAAAGTGCCTCCAGTAAGATTTGGTCGAAGGGTCGATGCAAAGGGGGCACGTCCGGTAAATTGTCGAACAGCAGCAGCAGTTCGAGAGAGGGGATGGGATGGTGCTCGAGAGGCTGAACCATTGGCACCAGATTGAGAAGAGTAATGGCGAGCAGGGTTGCCGTTGCCGTATTTGGTGCTGTACCAACGGCTCTGAGTCTGTCGGATCTGAGCAAGTCGACTGACAGGTTGACGTTGAGTAACTCTGGCGTACGCGGGCTGAACCTCTGCTTCGAGGGCCTCGAGGGGTCGAGAGGCTTGGGGGAGTTTATCACGTATCAATCTGCCAGTCTTTTCGACGGCAAATCGTATCAACCTCATCGCCTTGGGGACGATGAGATGACCTCCAAAGCCTGCCATGATGTTTACCCACCAGGCGAAAGTATAGAGAGAAGTCAAAGGGTATGGATGGTTAGGATGGAAGAAGAGACATCCACCCTCACTCGAGGTGAGGCGGTGCAGGCAGCATTTGCCACCCTCCGAGTTCCCCCCAAACCTAATCAGGCTTAGTGTTGTTTAATCACGTGCAGGTCGTGCTCAAGTCTTGGCATCTCTCGGGGTGAGCTCGTTTTTCGGTTAATCCTCTCCATTCTCAGGTTCTATATGATGATCTGGAATTGATATACACCAACTTAGACTTGGACCCGGCAGCTTTACACGGCCCTTCAGCCCCGTAATTGAGATGACAAACTCTTCACCCTTGCTCGTTCATGGTGCCCTCCACTCATCAGCGTCTCCAAACTTCTCCATAACCAGGCCCGCAGATCCAGGATTCTTCATTCCTGCTTCAAGCTGCTTCTCATAAGACACCATTCTCAACCTCTGTGACTCGCGTGGTGTAAAAGCTAAGTAGACCTCCGCCCCAGCTCCATGAAGAAATATTGAAATCCACATCGCCATCCCGAATCCAATTCTTAATGCGGCGCCAATCTCCTCCTTCCGATCACCAAAGTTGACATGAACCACGCGAAGTCCATTCTCTAAAGCCGTCGAGTTTGATAACAAGCAGTCTGCATAGTTCTCGGTGAGATATGAGGGGCCGTGCATCGTTGCCAACTCCCCACAGGTCATGATGACATTGTACGATCCAATCGCTGTCGTAATCTGTGCAGTAATGATCATGATGATGCGGGTGGTGATGATGACGCCCATCATAATCATCGTTCGGAGCATCCAAGCTCGATGCTGGTCAATTTGCAGCATTTTGACATTGTAATATGCAAGCGCCATACCCGTCGTGGTATATATCACAAGTAAGCCAGCAGCCCCTTGTGTGGACAAGTCACCACCAAACGCTCGGCGAGTGATCATCAGGGCACCAACGTTCCCGACCAGGAGAAGCAGAATGACCAGATAGCCATTGATACGATGAAACAGCAACGCTCGATGGCGAATGATGGGTATAAATTGGAACACCATCAACAGTCCAGCAGGAATCACTCCTGCCAGGTGCAAGATTATCCCCACCCGTCGAGATCCTGTTTGATACCAGTACCATTCTCCAGGGGCAGAGCCTTGTCGAAACTTGCCGCCCACATCAAGATATTGTAGTCTCGCCAGGCTGAAGCCGAACATGGCACCTGCAAGGATGAAGACTATCATGGGTCAGCGTGAAATGAATATATAGATGGGGGTATGGTTTGGTCATACATAAAGGTACATTGTATCCTTTCTTGAACCCTAGCCAGGTGTAAAGGCTCGAGAAGCGCGAATGGGTTTTGATCGTTCTATCGGCAGGCTGGCATTGACTGTCCATTGATGTCGTATCGGAACGAGTTCCTTGCGCTGTGTCGTCCTTAGCACGGGTCATGGTCATGCTTTGCATCAGTAAAGTCTGGGGTTGCTGTTGTAGCCGATAGGTCGATTTGGAAACAGTGCTATTAGAAAAACAGGAAAAGGTTCGATGAGAGAGATTGGGGTCTCTAATTTGCAGCAGAGGACAGCCTTGATATAGCTCATGGCGAAGGTGCACAGCCCATACTTCGAGGTATAAGAGGCTTTCACAAGACCAAGATCTCTGGCGTTGATATCAGAGAAACTCCCAGGAGCGCAGTTTGAACCCGGATTGAGGAAAGTGTGGAAGTCACCCAGTCCAATTAAACCTGTCAAAGTCCCGTATTGCTCTCCCGCAAACTTCAGGCACCCACATTTATTGTGAGCATTTCTCTGCCAACGGATACTGACTTGTGGGCAACCAGTAAAGCATCTGCTCTCTTCTGTGCCCACCAGTTGCTGATCGACCTCTCCCGTGCTTGGTTCAGCCTTCAGGAGAGTATCAAGAGTCTATGACGCGATAGGACCCCGGTTATTGCTCTTCCACCCAATCATATCGTCGCCAAGAACGAAGCGAGATGCTGTCGAAGAATAGCACCATTCTAGGAAGAGATCGACGGCGTGAGCCACATGTCATAGTCCCTGGTTCTTTGTGATCTCAACGACACTCGTACATAATCGCGATCTGGCGCGCTATCAGGAAAGTGCTAGATCATGATTGACTAAGCCTGCACAAAGATATGGTCGGGGTGCCACGTTCGAAAGCATGCGTCAATTGCAGAACAAGGCGGAAAGGTGTATGCATCTATGATCCAGGCGAGAGTGAAGTGGGACGTCCTGACTAACCATGGCAATCAGTGCGATGCTATGCGGCCCTCCTGCGGCCAATGCATAATCCGAGGTGTGACTTGTAAAGGATACCCAAATGTCTTGAACATCCGCTTCGAAGACCCCGGAGCCAAATATTCGGAATCATCAATTGCTCATGAACCAGAGTCCAAAGGTCGCGCGATTGTGCTTCGCAAAACACCTCCAGATATTGCATTGTCTATCCTGCCGCAAGCATGCAATGCAACAGCCTTTCGACATCAGATGTACGGCTGCTATCTCGAAGAATACTTGCCCCGTTCTTCTGGAAAATGGCCAGATCTTCAGACTGATTTACAAATCCTACCATGCACTTCATGGTTGCACACGGCAAATGCCGTGCCGTCAACGAATCTCATGCTCACCGATGCATTGATGGCCTTGTCCTTGTCACATCTCGGCCAATCCGAGCACAAGATCGAGTTCCTCGAGCAAAGCCAGACATCGTATTTTCGAGCTGTGCATGGACTCAACAAAGCCTTCGAACGAGAAGAACGAGTCCTAGAAGATGATACTCTGGCGACCGTCATGGCCTTGAGTATCTACGAGATGAGCAGTTTCAAACAACCATACTATGTCAACTGGCGCGACTTCCGATCCCAAATGCAAGGTGCCTCAGGTACACGTGCACAAGGCTGGATTTCCCATATCCGAGGGGCACAAGCCCTGGTGCAGATGCGAGGTCAGCAAAACTTCTCCAATGCCTTTAGTGAAAAACTATTCCTGGGTACGCGGTTGACGGAGGTAAGGACGCATGTTGTGTGTTTTTGGAACCTTGGGATCATGGACTAAAACCTCACATAGTTTATTTCAGCAATTGGAAGGCGGAAGGCGAGCCCGAGTGCTCTCCTATGGTCGACCGTGCACACATGGTCCGGAACATCTTCCCATGTCCAGCTATTCGAAATTCTACAAGCATTACCTGGGATCATGGAAGTCGCAGACAAAATCACACCTCCAGATGATCCAGTCGAAATGTCTGCAGATGAGCAAAGCATGTATCAGACCCTTTTCGACTCGCTGTCTACTCAGACAGTTCAGTTGGAAGGACAATTAGACGCCTGGTATGCGACCTTGAAGTCCCAAAATCAGCACCATTATGGCGGAGAGCTCTACTACAAATCTCCATCCACACTGTATCAGCAACTTCCAAGGGATAGCCCGATCAGAGATTTGCCGTTCAACTATTTTCTCTGCTTTGTTGACCCCGATATAGCTCAGCAAGTCGTCCTTCACTGGGCTGGGCTGGTCTTGCTCCGAAGTACGCATTGGCTCGCCAGGGGTCGTCTAGCGCGCGCAGGACTTCTTTCCCTTCTTTCCACTATGGATAGCCAACCAATTGCACTCAGCTCGATACCTCCGACCGGGCATACAAAGCGGCCTCCGCCACCGGAAGCACTCCTGATTGCACAGTCTCTTGAATATTTTGTGCATCCGGACATGGGCTTCCTGGGACTGAACTTTATTGGGTTTCCAATGGCGGTGGCTCAAGGACCATTGGAGTTCTTGCAAGCTCCCGAAGTGGCCTGGTTCGATGTCATCTTTGAGCGAATGCATCAGATGAAGTCTGGACTTGGCGCGTTCCTCGATGAGATGGCACATGGGACTGGGGATACTCAGCTCAGACTATTGAAGGTCTAGTCCGTTTGAGAAACCTGTGGCCATTGAACACATCACCGGGGGCCACGATCAAATTGTTTTGCTCTTTCCGAAACCAGCTTCAGCAGAAGACGAGACAAGAAGTGAGATACAGCCACTGTCAAACCCATACAACAAGGCTGAGTGTTTTCTCGGTACAATATTTCTCCGAGAGAGATCTACTGCAACTGAGGGTACGATGAAGGTTACATTATTATACATATGACACACAATACCTTAGGCATTCCGCACTAACTGTGACTCATGTACGAATAGAAATACCTCGACTTCTATCAACCCGTTGACCCATTTTTGGTCCTCGAATCAATCCGCATCCCAATGCTTTCCAAACTATTTCAACCCATCAAGGCTACGCCACACCTCACCTACACATGCAGCCAAATTATTGACGAATTTGCTCCCCACCTCCCACGCCAACGATAAGTCGATATGACTTTAACACCGAGAAGCGACTTTGACCCTTTCAACTACACGATTGCTCATAATTCATTGAACATCATTTTGTCCACTCCACACCGCTCGGATGACGCCACAACATTGAAAGCCCTCAATGATCCCCGAGTAGGCAGCAATCTATCATCTGTGCCCTTTCCATACACGGAATCAGATCGCGACTTCTGGTATCACACCACCAAAGATGCATCGGACCTGTCTCGTCGGGAGTGGGATGTGCTACAACAAGATCGCGCCTCGACCGGCACTGCCAAGAAATGGATGGGTAGCGATCAGTGGGTATCGGTTATTAGAGTGGGAGCTCCAGGATCCAAACCCCTCGAAGAAGGATTGATATACCCTTTCATTGGGGAGATCACATTTCGACGTAGTGGATTTCCGCAGATTGAGGACGTCAAGTTGCAACGCCAGGCCACCGACGCAAATGCTGAACTTCCCGCAGGCGATCCGAACATACTGTGGGATGTGGGTTACTATCTGATAGCGGAGTACCATGGCAAAGGCATTATGCCGGCTGTCCTTTCCTCTCTGATCAAGGAGGTGCTGGTACCGTACATGAATGTTCACCGGTTGATTGGTGTGTACTTTGAGCAAAATTTGGCGAGCAAACGAGTCTTTGAGAAATGTGGATTTCGATTCGTGAAACTTGTACCGAAGGCGGTCAGCCTGCCAGAAGTCAAGTTCATAGCATCAGGGTTCAAAGAACGAGAGATAGGAATAGGTGTTATGCAGTGGGAAAAGGCCCTCCCTACCTGAGGTGTCTAATGTGCGTGTCCCATGATTCGACTCTTGCTTGTCCATACAGGACCGGGGGCTGAGGAAGGACTGGTCGGAACTATCGGTCGGCTCATACAATCGTGATTATAATGTCATCAGGCTGGGGACCGTTGCGAGTAGTGTTGAGCATAGACCACCAAGCTCAGTGCATATAACACACTATTGAGGCCCGTGATCCAAGTACTGCCGTAATGGCATAGAATACTCAATAGTTACCTATCGGATCTGGGTGATAAATATTGAAGAGTCAAAACAATGTTCCAGCCCGAGAAAGTGTTCGGGTAGATGAAAATCAGGAGTGCACCAGGCAATCGGTGGTAAGTGTGATGGTAATGACCCTTGATCTGCAGTCAATGTCAAGAGTAACAGTGTTCCAACCCGTCAAAATCTTATCATGACATCTGCAGGGACTTGAAGTTGGTGGTGAAAGCAAGCCCACGTGTTTTGAAGGCACTTCAATCTCGAGTCGTCCTTGCATACGGAATAAGAACGAGAAAAGACAAGGCTGGCCGTGGCTCGAACATCCATGGAAACAAAAGAACAAAGTGCGTTGCAGCAATGACACATGTCAGTTTGAGTGATTGTAGTCGGACCATCTCACCCACCATTGACTGACTGCTGTGGCTGACTGAGAGTGGCATAATAGTCACGGATCCGTATGCATTGATTGATTCATGAGCACAGACGCTGGTGGGCACTTGGACAGTTGACCGGAAATGCCAAAGCAGCAGTCGGTCAGTTGATTGACATATTCGTTTTAATTGTGGTTCATCCGTGCGTGCTAAGGTTGAGGAGATACTAAGTACCTGGTACTCAGGGTCCAAATCGACACAGAGCGGTCCAAAGTCAGGATGATTCTGTGGGAGGCGTGTTAGCTTTCGGCTTCATGGGTAATTATCGGTGGCTTGGTGACTGCTATTCACCATTTCTATACGGATACATTAATGGCTAGATACTGAATTGGAGTGTTAAGGTATGAGTTTATGGCTCATGTTGAGATATTATTGATAGCCCCGGATTGCCGAGCACGAGGCCGCTAAGTCAGTTCTTGCGCAATATTATATTCCGCAGAGACATTAGGGAGAATGTACTCTTTAACATGTTCTTGACACAAATGAGTGCGACATCCAAGTCAGGGGCGGTTTAATAGTCATGATGGTGAGGCGCAAGATGCGACCAAAATGACTGCCTCCTATAAAGTATCGCTCGAGCAGTGATACTACCAACGGTGATTACTCCGTACATGAAGTCTTGATGATTCGGTCTTTCCGAAGCCTCAAATGACAGTCTCACAAACATAAATTAACATGATCGTCCACTGAAGGAAAGATCCGGCGCGTCCGTGCACTTGGTTCTAAAGGCATTTCGAGCAGGTTAGTGAGGTACCACTCTCCTTCAGAGTATCCGTGCGAGGTACTTCAAACTGGTCTGTTGTTGAGACTGTTGTGCCCCTTTAAATGCAATATTGATTGGAGGTTTCGGCAATCTGCGGCAGAACACAGACAAAGCTCGATCGTTCCGAGTCGGAGAAAGTCTAGGGTCCCATGTGTATCGGTTACTAGGGGAGTTCAATTGCGAGAGAATGGCTTGCATTAGTATTTATTGAGACTAGCTCGTCAGTCTAGTACTGATCTAGGCCAGTTAGCTTCCTGCCTAAGCGAAGTGCCACCTCAAAAGGGCATAGCTTGATGTTCATTCTGCGATCTCGACTGACGCCACAGCAATTAGTCGGTAGCTAGTCCCGGCTCTGTCCATGACACCTTCCCTCTTTCCATCGCACTTTCCCCATGTTCAGACAGCCTCTGCTGCAAACTGCCCAGAATTATCCGTATCGAAATCTGCCTCGCTTCTCGCTTTGGGCACCACCTGCCTGGGCTGTTTGCCTCTCTCTCCATGGCAACTTCCACCTTTTCCCAATCTTTAGCCCCTCCTTCCCTTTGCGCTTGTGTCCTTTTGCGCCTCTTGGTGCGGATATTGATCCTTGTCCCTCGCACCTCGTCGAGACCACATCTCATCCCTTTCAGCTAGTTGCCCCCAAGCATGGGCCATGAACAGACCGACTCTCTAACTTTCTAGGCACTTCCGCCCCCATCGGGCGAGGTTGACGAGCAATGGCGTGTCGCTTGCTGGATGGTTCCCTTCTCCTTGGGCCCCCCTGGTGCTCATGCTCTCGAATGGACTTTCTGAACGCCACATAGATTTATCCTTGCCTGAAAAGCTGCTCTTCAGCCGCACTGCTTGAATCTGCATTGGCCATCAACTACAAAGGCCAGGGTCCCTTTTGACCATTCTCCGGTTAGCTTCATGCTTTCGGCTACACCTGTCGTGGACGTGCCTCAATGGACCTGGAACTGGGGTTGATAGATAGATATGGATCTAGTTCGGTTTCGGCTTTCTTCTCACTTGGTTGGGGCTAGATGCACCATCTCGTGTTGAGTGTCTGTGCAGCATCAACTTCAAGAAGGCGGCCTTCCCACTCGCATCGTCTGCTTCGTCTCTAGCCAACACTCAACATCTACTCTCACAGAAACTGCTCTACACATTTCGTACCCATCATGTCAACGTTGGCATGCCACGGTGACCCCGAAATCACCTCAGATCCTGTCCTCTCTCGGCCAGTCTTGAACTTCTCGGGAGCCTTGTCCTCTCACACCCCTCTGTATTTTGCAGCCTTACCGGCAGCCAGATCGACAATGACCCCTCCCGCAGCGTCCAGACTTCTTTACATATCGAGTTGGAAACACAACTCAGAAACTGCGAAAGACGAGCCAAGACTACGGAAGCTACTAGGTCATATCTCTGTCTATGACAAGACGAGAACATTTACGCACAATGCGTCTAACGCGTCTTCGCAAGACTGTGGAAGTGAAACATCGGCATATGCAGGATATCAAGTGCCCTCATTCAAGGCATTCCAAGCTGCTATCCAAGATCAATTAGCCGCCATGGCCAAATCGTCCACAGCCGAATCACTGCGACATACGAATGATGACGGATTTGAACAAGATGAGGACGACAGCGATTATGATTCCTACGATGGTGATGACTGGTCAGATGAAGATGACTCTGAGGATAGTGATGAGTCCTTTACAGACAATGAGAGCACCGAAGGACAATGGTCGGAATGCACGAGTCCGATTTCACCGCCATGTGACGAAGACGGGGAAGCGGATTTATGGGCGATTCGTCCACCTACTGTTGTCACCACTGGCACTCACCTGCACCCTCCTTACCGGACTCCGGTAGGCTGAACCAAGAAAGGCTTGGCATTTTTCAGCTTCGTGTTCCTCACGCTCTCGAATGTGCACGAGATACTTCTGACCGTTACTGTTGTTGTTTCATAGCGAGGCGTCCTGGTCGTTACAGGCGGAAAAATAATTGGGGTTTTATTCTTGACTCAGACAGTCCAGGGTTTTGGCCAACGATTTTCAAACAAAAGTAAAATGTTGGTGGACAGTTTATTTTGCCAAACAAAAGATACCCAGTTTATGTACAATCAAATCCAGATCCCGAGTACGAGTACGAGAATTTATGTCGCAGTCCGTGCACCCTTCCTGGTAAATCGCTCTCGTGAAGCCTTTCGGTAGTTCTGAAACCATTTCCGAGACTTTCAAAGTATGGAACTCCTTCGCTGAATGTCGCAGCATTCCCATGAACGCCGTATAGATTATATTTGATATCATCTTGACAACCATTTACTGACATCCGCTCCTTCCAAAAACCATTTGGAGCTGTCGAGGCTATTGTTTTTCTTGGTATATCGAGTTCCGACTCGACTCCCCGATCGGGTGGCCTTGACAAGATGAGGTTAGCTTCAATTATATTCGACCATGGTCGTTTCCCAGAAGCATGCTGCTCCCGAGACGTAGGTAGTCACAGGAAGACTTACTCCGTATAGTACACCAGTTGCCGTCACCACTGTCCCACCGGTGAAGATGGCACGCATAAATGTTCTTTCTTTAGGCTTTATAGCTGTGGAGGAGTGTCGTACGGGTGCTGTGAGTCGCGGACCCATTCCGACGACCAGACGACGAGAAATGACTTGAGTGGCGTTCATTTTCAAATGTGAAATGATTATGTAACAGCTGACAAGAAAGGTCTTTTTGTGAGCGGAGATGCAATGCCGAAGCACGTTGGTAGTTTAGAAGCTTATGTTGTGATTGTTTGATTGAGCTGAGTACTGGATGCAAGATCATGGAGCCTACCTGACGCTGGACTTCATTGCCTTTAAAACAATGCACATCTACAATCTTGATGCCCATGTTGGCCATCTGAATTCCGGATTGCCCCTAACAGCCAGATGTCGTTCACAGAAAGGTGCGTGATCGCATCACCAGATGCGAGCAATATGCAGCAACAATATGGCGATTGATATCAGGTGTTGCAACGCGACATCACCAGCTTTGGGCACCGTTCGACTGGTGTGGCCATCTGGCAGTCACCAGCGGCGGTGGCCGATGGCGCCAAGGCTGAGAAGAAGTTGAAGATGACGAAGAGAGGGACAAGGCTGGATTGACAGTGAGACGGGTCGAATCGGGCTGTTGGGATCATGTCAGGCCACGCATTTTCAGCATTACGGCGGTCTTCCTGGAACTAAGCCGACGTGGGTCTAGACCCATCGATCAAAAGCTCAATATTGAAAGCGTTGTTACTGCACGTGACCTCGGACCGGTATTTGAGCGACGGAATGAATGAAATTCAACGCACGTGACCGTATGCCCAATACACGGTGGTGTGACACTGATTTCCTTACTCACCTTTGACAAGGATCCGGCTCTCCGTCCATGGCAATCCCCTCGAACAGACATCAACATCCTCAACTCCACAAAACACCTCATCCCTCCGACACTGTGGCCTGACACTCTCCTTTTCTTCAATACCAATCCCAAAATACTACTCCTACCAACCTTAGCGTTTACCAAACATCACGCTTCACCCCCGTCTCACTTGTACAAGCCAGTCATTTTCGTTGGATAGAGCTTCTCCATTGTAGCGCTTGCCCTCAGCTAAACGTCGCTAAGACACCGACAAGGCATCAACTGCAAGGCTTTCCGTCCTACGGTGCCCTCCAGAGGCAACACTACGGGAATTGCTTCAGGGCGCTAGTGAACCCGGCACGAAACAGAGACGGGATACGGAGCCCACGAAACAATGCCATTCAGTTCTCTCTATCGAGACCAAGATGGCTCTCATGACTTTCAAAACCAACAGACATTCCAACGTCACCATTCCCAACTAGCCATTGTTGACCCCGACAGTCTAGATTACAGCGAGTGGCATGAGATGGACTTTACCACGGCACCCCTCAATCCCTCCACACCCAACTCAGCTTCTCAGAGTCACTACCCAAAGTACTCGGGCAACATGGACACAGACCTCGATTCGCTGCCCTATGTGCGATCTTCCAATAGCCAACGCCAGAACTCGTCCGCCTCAGCTCACTCGCACAGCCAACAACAGTCTCCCGAGGCTCATTCTCTCTCAGGAGACCTTTACACCACGGGTCCCTTCTCCTACTCGCAGCTTCTCAACATGGATTCGGATCTCTCCTCCATGGATCAGTCGAGCCTGAACAGCTCACGCGCTGATTACGATTCCAAGATGCTCAACGACAGCAGCACCATCGCGACTTCTTTATCAGGATCTGACTCTCTCAACACTTCGCCGCCAGTCGCCACGCTTGATCCTATCGCCATCACTTTGTCGTCCAAGTCCATTTCCACCGAAAAACTCTGCCCTTTGATAGCCGGCCAAGTCGACTCTTGCCAACCTCAGCGCTGTGGACCTGATGCTCCTTGCATGAACTTTACCACGCTGCCACCTATTGAGGAGTGCACGTCTGTGCCATGTATCACCCAGGATCCCTCCCCCAACGAAACCATGATCACCAGTGATAGCGTATCGGTTTCGGTACATTCACGACCAAGTTACAGTGCGCGAACAAGCACCGCCAACTCTGTGCGGCGTTCATCCGCATCCTCGAATGACCTACCCATGCAGGCAGTCCCCTTGCCATCGAGGAGAAATGCCCCGGTGTCAACACGCCGTCGCACGGCGGTTCGCTCGCAAACTTCCACCTCGGCCACCACCATGTCAACCAACATGGTCTCTGATGACGAAGACGACAACGCGGGAGCCAAACCCACAGCTCCTAGCAAAGCCGATGCAAAGCAACGTGCGAAGCAGGCGCATAGTCTGGTCGAACGCAAATATCGTGAGAACCTCAACGCCAAAATCGCTCAGCTACACAACACTCTCCAATCTTCACATTACGGTCCCAAGGTCCAGGAAGATGACAGTGACAACCCGAATGGACCTATCGCCGCTATCCCAGCAAGTAAAGTCCGAAAGAGTGACGTTCTGACTGAGGCGATGAATTACGTCAACCAAACTGAAGTGGAAATGCGACACATGGAGAACGAAATACACCGACTGAGCGAGCGTGTGAGAGTATTGGAAAAGCTGGTCCGCTGTGAGGACTGCAGCTTATTGAAGCAAATGGTGAATCTGCAAGTGCAAGCCGTCTGAAGTTTTGTGGAATGAGTTCATGAGGTGAGGAGGGGAAATTTAAGGGCTGAAAGGAATTCAAAATGTATCTTGTCATGATTGTGCGGCATGCATTGTCTACGGACACTGATGGATCTTCATTTGTTTGGAAGGAACCTGCTTCTGGCTGAACCTCGCACCGACGAGGAAGCGATTTGGGGAATATTTGGACCGCGGTGGCGTTGACATTGGATCTAAGGAAACTTTTCTGTGTTTACGTGGAGCAAAGTCTCCGTGGTCTCTCAGTCTTGAGAATGGTTGCATATTTTATGACTTTATGCTTTGGGTTAATTTTCACGATTGCTCGTCGAATATGAATGATGATCTTCGATCTCATCGTCAAATTGTTATCTAAGCAAGGCCATGAAAATGCAGACCGATTCCAACTCATCATTTTTACAAAGCACGATGCCTTCCTCGTGATCAATGCTCTTAGGATATGTTATGCGTCTGATGACCGCCGCACTGCCATGTTTGCAACCCCGCTCTTGAAGCTTGAAGAGTGCCATAGAGGCACGTACCGTGTAAGATGAGAACATAGGTACTCTGCAAAGTACGCCGGGGCAATAAATCTGCAGTAGTCTAGATGTCATTACCAGTTGGTTTTATCTAGTTTGCTATATTCCCGACAGAAGCACACTCAATTCTCCATCCACACCCTTCCTCCGCCGGGATAAATCACCGCACATTCCCAATAATCCACGCAGGAACACACCTCTGATGCCACCTTCACCCAGCCACGAACTGAAATCATTCATTCAATCGTGACCTTGACACCACCACGCTTCAAAAGCTCCTCATCCTCCACACTGCGCTTGGGGACATCAATACGCAACAATCCACCTTCCAGGCGAGCCTTCAACTCCTGGATGTCGACATCGTTCGGCAAAGTAAAAGTGCGTCTCCACGGGCCGACCTTCCGCTCGGAGAGCAGGATTGACGGCCGCGTGTCGGCGAGGAGTTCGGCCTCGACGGTTTCACGCGAGGGTGTGCGTTCGATCGGACCGCCATCTGCTTCTTCTGGTTTCTGTTGCGGGCGAGTGAGCAGTGTGTTTCGTTGTCGCGAAACATTGAGCGCCGAGATGACTTACCTTGTCATGGCCGGCCTCACGAGCCCAGCCGTCATCCTTGCCCTCCCACACCTTCTCGCCCTCCTCGCCGTCCAACAGCCCAATGTTCGCCGGCCGCTTGATGTTCCCCTGCACCAACAGCGTATGTGGGCTCAACCACTGGATCAGCAGCGCTTCCTTGTCCGTGGTGCCTGGAGTCTCAATCTCGATGTGGTAGGACCTCAGGGTTTCGCGCACGTCGGTCGCCGGTGCCCATGTGCCTGAAGTGGAGGTCCTGATGCTCTCCGGAGTGTGTGGGCCGTGGTAGTGGGCTTTCAGGGTCAGATTGTGGAGGGAGATTTGCGGGAATTGGAAGTGGTGTGGGAATGATGGATGAGGGCCTGGGTGGGGTTGAGTCGGTTCATTTCTGGCTGTGCCGTCGAGAGTAGCGTTAGTCGTGGCACTCTCCTCAACGAGACGAATCACGTAGTTGGATGGAACTGCGTAGGGAAGTCCTGCCATTGTTGTCCGTGAGTCGTCAGTGGTAGGATATATGTTGATGAGTGCTTGGTTGGTGGAAGTCGACAAAAGCGGTTGATGTTCGAAATGCTCGTATGTGTCGAATGCTTGTTAGATGTCTTTATGCGACCGAGTGTCCTGTGAATGAGTCTGGAAGACTTTCCTTCTTCGCTGCTGAGCAAGTCTGTTTATAAGGGAGGCATTATGCAAGCCATCGCGTCGATCAGTCACACGAGACCCTATCACGTCTTCCAGCATCCATTCCGCCGAGTAAACCTTGAGAGACGTGCGTATAGCTGGTTAATAACTCATCACAGCACGAGCTCAGATGTCCATCGTGAGTGGAGTGGCATCAGGAACCGACAAGGTCCCGCTGGAAGTCTCGGGGTTGGGATAGCCGAGTCCGCTCCACTGCGCAAGGCTTTGATGCGAGTATCATGCGATTGATGAGTAAGGGCAAGCAGATTCCGGGGTTCGGCGGATCCTCCTTCAAAGAATCACGATTGTCGCTCGGTCATTGGACCGGATGAACAATCATTCCAGTCTAACTCACCTTGTTCCGATGTATTGGTGGTCAAAATGAGCGTTTGAAAGCGTTCACGTCCTGTCTCTTGATGAGCATCACCACAAGCTGCAATACAATATCGATGCCAATTTGGCATATCAGGATATCCAACACTTTTCGGCGAGGACACTACACCCTTACGGATACCGGTGACTCACAATAATTTTCAGACCCGGTTCCTGACCAACAAAGAGCGCATTATGTGCATTCTTGCGGTGGGCGATCACCAGCGCTGAGAAAATGATAACCACACGTGAAATGGTCTGTAAGAATTACTACATCAGCAGCCACCAATCATGGATGTGTAAAGATTGGATTCGGAGAACCAACTCGCGTCATAATACCTTTCAAGTGTGGCAGAGACGCGTTATTTTGTGCAAAAAGGTGGCCTGATATGAGCAGCGGTGGAGAATTTATCCTTGGGCGGTGCCTGGGTAAGGCACAGCCCGTAATTGGCCGGGGTTTAACTCCTCAAAAAACCCATGTACTATCCGTACTGTGATCAAGAAAAATGTTGAGCATCATTCTCACAAGAGAACATCTTGGGGGAAATGAATCAGGCTTGGACATCGACACAGAGTAGACTCGGCACCCGGGCGATGATTTTAGGCCTCAGCAACACCCTGGAGGGAGATCATGTTGCTTAAGGCAAACTAAGCAAGGCTGCCAAAGTAGAATATTCTGGGACTAATGAACAATTCATAAGCATAACTTGTTCTACAAATCCAGTGTGATATGAAACATGGTGAGCACCGTTGAAATCTGTGGTCTGAAAGGGTCTCACGAGCCAAGGGAGGCACAGAATGCGCGAGGCTGGTCAAGTTTGCAAAATACATCGATTTGTGCATCGCGGATTGCAAGCGTCTGCCTGTCGTTGCAAGAAGCCTTGATAACATGTACTCATAAAACTTGCGGATCAAAATCAACGCTATGAAGTCCTGTAACACCTGTTCATCCATTGATCAAGTCAAAACACCGTGACTCGAAATCTCATAATCTAGCCTGCCGAGCTTCCATGTCAGCAATGAGTTCCTCATGCATTATCTCGGTTACCCGATCCATTGCATCTTTCTCCATGCTTCTCCTCCAATCGATTTCCATCTCTGTTGGTTCGTCAACGATGCCATATCTCTCAGACAGATTTTCAATGGGTGTTACACTCTCACAGTGGCAGTCATGGTGGTAGCTGGTGCTATGTTGTCGGCATGGTCGATGTTTGACCAAGATCTGCGGCGGTGAGGATTTCCCATCGTGTTGGTGATCAATATTGATCAAGTTTTCAGGGCACAACCCGGAGTGCCTGCGTGTATGGTGTGCCGATGGCCGTGGTGCGTCTTGAGTTGGCATGACAATATCAGGACAAAAGCCGTCCCATGATTCTGGTTCGGGGCTGTGATTGTGCTTCTGTTTCAAGAGATCTTGAGATGAACGACGCATATGGCATTTGGAGCAATAGTGATGAGAAGATGCATGACTCGATGAGAGTCTTCTCAATTGAGGGTGTATTGCAGGATGAATTTCATCTTTTTCGACTACTCAATACGTTAGGCTTTAGGTGAGTGAATGAGGATTTCAGTATGGGCTTACCTTCAGGACGCGAAGCTCTTCGTTTGAAATTCTCCAGGGGACTGCTCAGACTGCTAGGACTGTCGACAAGACTTGGTGTGGTATTTCCACTTGTGTTTCTCATAGTTCTCTCCCGCATTGGGAGATCGGTGTCAACTAGCAGCGGCGCGAACGGGTCGTACTGGACCATTACTGTAGTTTTGATAGTATAACAAGATTGGTTGGTGTGAAGTGTAAGTCAATATTGGTGTGGGCTGGTAAAATGATTGACCATTGACAATTCCATCTCGCAGCATTTATGGATTTTGAATCGTAGCTTACTCCTTCAGGTTCGGGTGATTTGTGCTATTATGACGAAGATGGCACACTTGGTGTTTCCGCTCATGCCCTGTCCTCGCCGAGAGAAGGACGGACTCCCCTTCAACAGTGGTAGTCTTGGGGGGTCTGGTGATGGTGGAAACCATACCCGGAGGCCAAAATCCATTGGTGGCAGCTGACAGAAGCAACAGCAAAACGGCGCATTACCAGGGGGGTGCGTTTTTACCGAATGCCCCCAGGTTTGGAGGAACGCACGGGTACCGCCGAGCCCAATGACCACCTGTGCTTTTGGCTGTTCCAGGCTCTATAGGCGATAGTCCACGCCACCTCGGCACCGTTCGCCGCCTAAAATCTTGGGAATGTCAGTCCACTTTGACCATGCCCATGCGATGCTCACTTCTGTTCCGGTGTTAAGTCATAGCGTGACCATCATTTCAGTCAAAGTTGTTGTCAACACGGAAACAAGTAGGTCGTCAGCTTTCTGAAAGCCTCTGTCGTCGATGCGAGCCTCTTGTCAGTCACATTATTGGTTCGGGGGAAGAATCGGCTGTATAGCTTCTAGTTTCCTTAACGTTGCACACTTGATCGGTCGTGATGTTCAAGTGAACTCCTTGCACGCATAGCGCGAAATCTCGAGACTGGAGTAAAGTGCTAGAGCATGGTGATCCATATCGCCACAAAGCCTGGTCAATGTGTTTGTTGTGGCTAACTAGGACGGTTGTTGAGACGTCGAAGAGCATTACGAATGGCATCATATCGTAAAATTCTGCCAGCAAATCGTGGTTATCTGGAAAATGATCCTAAACACTCGGTCGAAGCAGCATCGAAAAGAGCAGCGTGTATCCTTTGTGCTCGATCACGCGCTATTCCAGGTTCGAAAACAGAGCTCCTGGGACGGCACTCAACCAGGACATATCGGCAAAATCCAGTTCGGTGAGAGAGCTAAACCACTCATACTGTTCTACATCGGACATCGGAGGCTCTGGTACACCATGTAAGACGGCTCTGCCCGTAACATGATGTGGACGTAGCGGCTGCATTTCCGCTGGCACATTCCCATCCACTAGTGACTCCAGGGGCTGATTCTGTGGAGTCATCGACAGCTTTTCGTACAATACCTGGAGCACAGTCACACAATTCTTTGCAGAAGTGTCGTCTTTTTGGAAATCTTGTAAGATACGTAACGCTCGGTTCCATGAAGCATCTAGATCTGCAAAAGGGATTTCATCTAGGATAGCAGAGGGGTTCAATCGAGCAGCCAGCAGCACAGTAGCGGAAAGGTAAATGTCTGTAAACCATGACACCACTGCATCAGCTCATACCTCCTAGTAAAGTCCTGAGGAGAATAGGGTACGCTTGAAGTAAAGGGTGAGGTGAACGGCAGGTTGACCACCAAAAGATAGGGGGAATAATGCTTACGTAACACTCCATAAAGCCAGACTGGTTTGCGACCCCAGCTATGAGCAGACATCAAATTCTCGAACATCGTGTTGATAAGCTTCATAGCCATTTCCACACAGAGCAAAGAACATTGCAAGGCGGTCCTGTACGCAAGATCGCCACTGTGTCTGGTCATATCAACCCGCCCGCCTGTCTGGATGTCCTGTTTCACAGAGGGTGCGCACACGAATGCAAAAATGGGTCGTAGGAGATAGATGCGGACCTGCAAGTACCTGGAAACAACAACATGTCACAATTAGCACGATTATGCTTCTGGTACAAAGCCAGGACGCGTGTGAGATGGGGAGAATGAGCGGGGAGCCTAGATTTCATACCTCAGGTAAAGCACGACTGCTTGTCTATGGAACTTTGGTTGTTGAGATAAGTAGCTCAATGGAGGTGCAGTAGTACCCTCAGGTTCGAAGCGCAAATGAGATGGGATTGTCGTGTGCCAGGTACGCAACTCGCTATCCAGCTTGAAGAGCGATTGTTCACGCACGAAGAAGTGGTCCAGCTCGCCAATTCCTGATTCGCCATTACTGGAATAAAACGAGACCAGAATTTTCTGCGCAATCTGATAGAGTTTAACCGAGCAATTGAAGAAAGACAACAAGGTCCTTCTTGACGCCCTGTTGGTCGACGATGGTGAATCCTCACCATCTGCCTCACAGGGGAGAGGAATAGACTCAGCTGTAGACAACGATACCATCGGTGGGCGCCCCAAATTCATGCAAATCACCCTGCAACGTAAGAATGGAATAATATGCAGGTGTGCTTCTACTCATACCTTTCAAGCGTCAGTGCGCCATGGTACACAACTCTGGCCGTCTCCCTATCTTCGAGCTTCGGAAAGATGTTCGTGGCAGAGCCTGCAACATGGTGAAGGCCAAGCTGGTAGCAACTTCTGACTGCCATACCGATAACTCCCCAGGCTTTCTGATTGTGACCAGTACTCACAAGAACTTGCGTCATCAGCAACATTGCCTGCACTAGCTGCAGCGTGGTTTGGCCTGATTCGATTGGGTTTACTCGAAAAAGTGAGCGGGCCCTTTGATAGAATATTTCGGTCGAGGTGGCCGGGATTTCCGCATCAATATCACGGTGGTACTGGCATCCAAGGGCAAAAATGAGGTTCAAGACACATAGAGATGTAGTCGGATCAACTCTCATTACCGTGCAGGCTGTAGTAGGGTGCTCCTTACCTGTCCACAAACAATCATAAATGATATCGAAGTCTGGTCCATGCAGAAATGGGTAAAGCGGATGCACAAATTCCCAGTAGTTAGCAACCAAAGTATCCGCAAGTTGGCGAACCGGTAGTAGATGATGAGAAGCATTGACAGGGTTGTGAGAGCTCGTTGAGTTCCGTTGCGCCATCGATACATCATCAACCGGAGGACCACCCTCTATGATGCGGCGAATGCTTAGCATGAATGCTGTAGTAGAGGCAGGCCCTTGGAATTCGTTGTCGGCCGCACAAGTGTTCCCGTCACTAAGGGTTTGCCCAAGGGGGATTGACCCAGAGCCTACGGCGTGGTCCAGACTTCTGAGTGGTCTGGGATCATTCCTCGGCAGTAACAGAGTATGCTTGAAGGCCTTTGATATTTGTGGTTTCGCCGGTTGGTCTCCGATATCTAGATGATCCGGGATTTGAACTTCATCTTGCACTGAAAATACCGGCCTAATCTGAGGGTCAGATCGCATACAATTTGGTGGATCTGTACTACCGAGGTGTCCTGAACGTTTCATGACTTACTGGGCGACGGTTTTAGCACCATGGCTCGCTATTTGATTATAAGCGCAGGTCAATGAATTCCACCCGCGCTTTAAACAGCGACTGCAAACTATCAAGATCAGATTAGCTGCATGGCCTCTTGTGGTCAACATTAGATGAGGGTTTCCAAGGTAGACCCCGCTGCCTTTGCCATTGGTTTCTTCTCGTATCTAGAGGTCTGAGAAGGCCTACCGGGTCGTGCTCCATTGCACTTGCTCTTCTTTAGCCTACAAGGTTCGCAGGCCAGAGCTGTCTTTTTACGTGGAGGCAGAACAGTGGATTTGAAAGGGCGATATTTCGCCATGCTCGGTTGGTACCAAGGTTCAAAGGTCCCCTAGCTGATAAAAATAAGAACTTCATGTCAAAGCATTGCAAATAATATCAATCACGCTGAAGGGCACCCAAAGGACAAGCAACGAAACGAAGAACGGCACTCAGGAAGTGAAGTCGACGAAATAGTACGGTGGAGCGCTTCGTTGCATTTCTGTGTCGTCTCGTTACCAAGAGCTTATCCGTAGTGTGATTTCTAACGACTGAGGTAGGTAAAGTAGAAGTTCGGCATTTGAATTTGCCCTCTACAATAGACATTGTCTCTTGCAGATGGCTTGCGGGTATTGAATGCCCACGAAGTATGCACTGACTCTTCTCATTCTGGGACCTGGCTAGCCTGCATTACATCAACTTCTTTTGGAAGCAGACGCAGCTAGAATACCAAAAAGAATTAATCCCCATCTCCTAAATGTCAAGCGAAAAGCAATTCGCACACAAGGGGACTAACAACAGCTAGATCTTGTACATATTTCGCAGAAAACCTTCGCAAGTACCCCGAAACGATGTTTTCGGAATATTCATGGCTGTCGAGGTTCCTCCCAAATGCAACACGGCCTTTGAGGGCTCCCATGTCGTGATTGACCCAATCACCCTTGACCATCGTCGACGGCGAATATAGGGCTACGAGCTCCAAAATTTGATCAAATCTTGATAAGCACTGATCATTCACTCATGTCGAGAGCGGGCTTAGTATACCGCCAATTTGCGTGGGCACTGCTTCACTTCTTGGAAGAAGGCCACGTGCCTAAACCTGGCCAGCCATATGATTCTGATTCGGCGGCACTGTCAATTGCTTCGAGCGTGGCGGCTTCAAATCGAGGTTCCAGGCTGCTACTTTTTCTCGACTTTGCCCTGTTTTCCAGCCTTGCGTTCAATCTTTCAAACTCTGGGTATGTCCCTAGTCCAGGCCATCCCCACGTCGTTGGCTTTTGATGGGATTGAGGACCCATGTTGTTTTCATTCGTTTCTGATGACTTCTGAGCTTCCATTGCAGGACTGATGGAGCCTTGCAAGTCCTCCGAAGCATCGCTCGAGGTTCTCAGCTTCGCTCTGTTTTGCTCATTGGCAATCTCCGAGTGCTCGGCGAATTTGAACCGATCTTCAAATTCATCGACAACAACGTTGCTTGGACACCTCTCTTGTTCATAAGCAAGACCACCTCGTATTGATGTCATGACGTGCCCCATATGTGAATTTCTTCGCGTGGTGTTCTTCGCCCATGGCAAGAATGATGACCATCCATGAGATGTATTGATATCCGGATAATTGGTCAGATTCTGTTGTTCTGTTCCTCCCATGACGGAGACCTGAATTTGATGATGTTTGATGTTTGATGTTCTGATAGACTGCATCTAAGATTTCTGATATGTTTCTGGAAATCCTAGAGGAACTTCCACCCCTCGAGATGACCACCATCTTATAGATTCTCTCTTAAGTGCCAAGTGGAGTAAGAACTCTCATCCAACCCATCTCCGAAACGTGGTTTTCGAAAGTGATCAGAAGGCCAGCGACAGCAGACAGTAAAGTCGCGAATGGGTACCCCGTCATGTGATACCACTGAGACTCAGGCCACTGTTTTTGGAAGATCGGCAGAACCCGGGCACAGCCGAAATCGCGCATCATCACACCCCCCAAAGTACTCAAACTTTAGAGTGATTTCCCCTGGGTTCAGGCCCCGGGGGTCGAACATAGCCACGGAGTACCTGAGGCATCCTAATAAGAACCCTTAACCCAATTTCAACCACCCAGGCTTGGCAAGGGAAGGTCTCAACTCTTCCTGAACGAAGATTCATTTCAGGTTCATGCTTCCACATCCACACCTCGTTTTCTAGATTCGAAGACTAGATCTAGAATTACCACAATAACTGCCGTCCATCTAAATACTGCCGCTACGACGCAGCATTTCCGGGCGGTAATTATCGACTCAGCGGCTTTCTAGAACAGTAGGACACGCAAGACATCCACAGAGCTCCCCATCAATACTAGAAGCTGCTGCTATGTCGCCCGACAATATATTGCGCGGCGGGTTCCGTCTCGCATTCCTTTGGGCAGGATGACATGTCTAAAGCCTTTACTGGTACCATCAGAAGTATCGAGGCCCGCGGGTCTATGAGAAACACTTCTCTGGAGACCCTCAGAACCATAAATCCGAAGACAAGCAGCTTCTCATGGATTGTTTGGCTAAGAACGAATTCATGAGGTCGCGGGACGTATGGTTACAGAACCTCCGAGGATCTCTAGCCCTTGATATGGACAATGGACGAGATTGGGCAGCCAAAATCTCGGAGTCTATGTTTCCTGAGATCATATGATGCCGGTTCTCTACTAGCAGATCTAGGGGGTCATTCGTCGAGGATCTAGACCAGGGATGGAGACTCCACAAGTTCCAAGCACCAATCGTCACCTTGACCCAGGATTTCGCCCATGAGCAAGAGAAAATGCGCATACAAATGCCGTCAATTTCATCCCTCAATGCCTTCCAAGACGTGTTTGGCTGTACACCAAAAATCAAAGATGGGTGCTCTCAGAAGAACACGCCATGTAGAAGACAACGTTACACCTTTTCTTGCCGCAAATACCAGGACATTGCTCAACACAGAGCCAGAGGATAAGGTTGTCATGAGTACGTGACTAATGGCATTCTGTATGGAGGACAATTAAGTGGCTGACATGTCCAGCGACAGAAGTGCATCGATCCATGGCGTTTGTCTTTCCTCACTATATTGGCTGGAGAATGATTATTGTGCAGGTAGAGCGCGACTGTTACGATCGTCCACGTGTGCATAGGGTCTGGCCTTCAATAAATGACATATTTGAGACAATTTCAGCTTGAGCACAAACCGGGTGAGCCTGTGAAGGCTATCTTTCGAAAAACTGTGACCGTGCTGCGATTTCTTCACTCAGCAACAAGAGGAAGCAGTCTGAACGAAGAAGACAAGAGTCTTCTATGCGGAACTTACCACAGAGACGGGAAACACACTGCAGCTCGGAGCTCCCTTCCGAACCCCTAGTCAACCACGTTGGACGAGGAACATTAAAAGCACTGACCATAAATGACAAATGGATGTTTTATCGCTCATCGGTACAGTTTGTGCTTGAAGACGACCAATCTCGTGCAGAGGAAATGAGAACTAGAGACCCGCGCACTCAGAACTACGACTTACATGAATGGTCTGAGCAAAGGTGCTTCTGGAATTGTTTGGATACGAAAGAGAGGGCGCTTGTTGGCCATTACCAGTCCAACGGATACGGGACGAGCCCCTTTTCACGGGTCTATGCGTCCCCGCGTGGTCGCTATGACCACCCAGCCGTCACATTTTACCAGCCTCCCCACATCTATATGAGAGTTGAGGTCCCATTTTGGGACATGCTGATCAAAGGAAGAGTTCCACAATCCAGTTCTAGACTTCTCGATATCAGGTCAGCGTGTGCGCAGTCAACTTTCAGCGGTCTGCAAAACCAACCTTTCCTTCGCCACCATGCATTCTTTACCACTTCCCCACCAAATCGTACAATCAGCTGCTCTCAGAAGAATCGCACAAAAGTTATGGACACGCGACCTCCTGGCGATGGACTCTGTGTTTGTCGCGCCACTGGTGTTCCTAATCATATTGTCAGCCATGGCCTTTACAGGACTCTTCTACATAACTTGGAAAGCATGGACTTGTGCCCGAGAGGACCAGAATATCGACATTGAAGCCGCTCTTACCATATCTCCGGAGCGTCGGCTAAGTTACTGGATGAGCCAGAATGTTGCCATGAGACAAAACCCGGCTTTGAGACAGAATTCTGCTACGAGGCAAAGCGGTAGCCTTGTCTGGACCACCAATCTCGAGGACAAAGACATACTTGACTTTCAATTCTCGCTACCCTCACAATCTCGGTTCTCCATGGATTCGGAGGTTTCTGTGGACACCAGCATATGTCCGCTGGACCGGAGTTATATTACCAAAAGCGAGCTCGAAAAATATTGCACCACCATCACAGAGATCGAGATTGGGAGTGACACGTGCGATTCATCATGTTCATCCCGCTGTCAGTCTCCGGTCGGAATAGTCAGGCTCACTGCCATGGACAAGGGTCGTGCTGTATCGCAACCCTTTTTGCATCAGTATGAAGACTTTCCGAAAGAGTTTCCAAGTGGACGACGATCTACTCTTCCACACCACTACGTTCGGATGCAAACATGAATTTCTGAATCTGCTGGTCAGATTTGATACGGCTGTGGGGAGGATGTATGATTAGAGTCAAGCGTGCACATCAGCTTGAAAGCTGCATTCAATGGTGGATTAGGGATACTTGACAGAACGACTCGTTCATGTAACGTGTCAGGGGAAACTGGCCGTCTATACGAAAAGAATGACGGAAATGCAGTCCATAAATCACGACTGAAGAGTTATGCACGAGACGATTATAAATAGTAAATAGTACATTGCCAAGTCTAAATGAAAATGAAATTCATCGCCCGAAGTGGTCGACAACTCTTCCTCTAGCCTTGGTTGACCTTTATCCGTAACGTGTCTTACACAAACTAGGACACGGAAGTGCATTTGGGATTACAAGGATGCCATCGAATCGAAGGTTAGGGAATTCTGATAGTCTGGAGACAAGCTGTTTGACAGTCAAGAGATTACCAAATCCTTTCTACTCAGCAATTTAACCCTCGGCATTTCATACCACCCATATCAAAATAAAAGATGTCCTTCAGGTTTATCGACAACGAATCCATCGACCCGAGAACTAGAAGGGTAATTCGCAGCCATGTGGCCAAAGGGAGGAATCTTGGGAAGACTCTGCACAGACGAAAGGCCAGAACGAGAGTGCACGGTCAAGCTGACGGCACGTTAGCCATCAGCACGTCAGTCATCACCACAGCCACTGATATGGTCAATGCATCGACGGAACAAGCCATGTCGCCTGACATTTCGAGCGTTTCAGCCGCAGACCGATTGCTGTCAAGGGCGATAACGACTTCTCCTATCACCACTGAACTATCGGTTCTCACGTTCCCGTTTGATCTTTCGTCGCAGTCGCGTCGCTCACTGGAAAAGTGTCAGTCATGTCATCCTAATTTCTATCCTTCGCTCTTTTACTCCCCTGGTCGCTCGCCTCAGGCATCAGGATGGCAGGTACTGACAGAAAACCCTAGTTCTTTCTACGCTTTATGAACCCGTTGAATATCGTGCCTCGATGGTCTTCGAAGCCTGCCGTACAACTTGGATCCAGTATCTCTTCCATGACGAGGCATGTGAGTCTCACATCTGCAATGCTTATAATAGTCATTCTCAACTTCTCTAAACTCTCGGCCTTTTCTTAGACTTCCACTGCAATGTCGCCATCTCCCTAATCGTGGACGGTGGCGTCGTTGCCCAATCGCTGCTAGACGTCAATCGGGAAGTGTTACGACGCGCCGCAAATGCTTACCATATGGTCACGGACAGACTGTCAGGCGATGATGCGCTCTCTGATTCGACGCTGGCTGTGGTCATGGCGTTGGTACATTTCGAATGCTTGGGTGGACGCTATCAGCAGGGGCTGCTGCATTTCCAGGGTCTCCAGAAACTGGTTCACTTGAGGGGAGGGATTGCGAGGCTTCGGAACAGTTGTCCTGATATTGCTCATAAGATGTTTCGGTGAGTTCCTGGCAATTTTTATACTTCGACTCACAGCATCGATGGAGCTTCAGTCACTAAAATAAGCTCCGCAGGTCCGATCTGGAGCTGGGTCTTTTATTGGGTACCAAGGTGTGGTGTCCCATTGAGGAAGTTCCAGGGTATGAGGTGCTTGTCGAAATGCGTCAAGAACTTCCACGGGACTATTGCCGCTCAAATCAACCGCCCTACAGACAAGTAGTTCCAGTGTTGGAGGAAATCCTACTAGACACGTTGAGCTTCGCCAACAGGCTCAACAGGGCAAGTCGAGGTCCGAGAAAACCTACCGACTATTATTTCCACCAGACCGTGGTTCTTCTCGGGCACCGTCTCCTCAACCTGAGCACATTTGTGGACTCCGCATTCGACAGTGAATTTGACAAAAACCTGCATCTTGGCTTAAGTACTTTCGTCGCAACCTTTTTCATCGGTCCGACACACAAGATCTCGGATTTCAAGCTGCTGGCTGGCATCCTTCGGACAGCTGCGGAGACGAGCCTTTCGAAAGACAAGGCCAATATGGAGATCATGCTATGGACTTTGTCGTTGGCAAGAGCTGATATGTTCGACGAGATAGGGGATGACTGGCTGATTCAGACAGCAAAGAGTCTTATTTCCCATCTTGGAATCCAGTCTCAGGAGGATTTCGAGCGAATGCTTCACAAATATCCTTGGGTCGATCCTCTTCATTCTGAATCAGCACAAAAGATCTTCAGCGACCTTTGCCAGCACAACTCCGAAATTATGAAGTCTCTGACGAATGATGTCTGAGTTCTCGTCCAGTGCTCACGGGCATATCTAGGTCCGATTCCCAGCGGGCCGCCTCTCACAAGGCTGTCCTGAACTATCCCGCATTAGGATGCTACTCTCTGGTTGGTCAATTCGATATCTACAACGAAGCTCGGGGGTCGATACAAGAAATACTCCGCCTTCAATCATTGGATTCGGCCGAATGTGCCCGGTTGAGATATTGATGCGGTATACTCGATCGAGCCAATACTCTCTCATTGGCTCGTGGCTCGGCATCCAATCCCCTCCATGAGAAAAAGACCCAGATCATGGTCAAGGCCGGGGCGCCGTTGGCCCTGGAAAGGAGGCCAACCACACGTAGCACAACCCAGTCAATCGATTTCTAAACACCTGCAGAGAGCACATATAAAGAGCCAGAATCTGCCAACATCTCTTGCATCTTCATCAGTCCTTTCATCAATTCATCCAAGCCTAGCAATCTGTCCATTTTTCATCGTCTTAAAACACAAATCACCATGGCAAGCATCCAAGAAATTGCGGCCTCAGTCTTCACACCGGCATGGATCGCTGGCCAACGCAAGGACCTGCCAATCCTCGCGTCATCCTCAACCTGCACCGGCGGCATTTACATCGTGACAGGAGCGAACGTCGGACTTGGCTTCGAAACAGCAAAGCATCTTGTCACTTTCGGCGCCGCGAAAGTCATCATCGCCGTGCGCAACACATCGGCCGGCGAGGCCGCGAAAGCGAAGATTGAGAGCGAGACGCTGAAGACCGGCGTCTTGGACGTCTGGGCCATAGATCTCTCGAGCTTCGCGTCTGTGCAGGCATTTGCGAAGCGGGCGAGCGATGAGCTAGAGAGGGTCGATGCGGTGGTTGAGAATGCCGCCGTCGCACTGGACGAGTGGAGTGTTTCTGAGGGCCATGAGCGCACGATCACGGTGAATGTCCTGGGAACGCTTCTTTTGGGCATCTTGCTCTTTCCGGTGTTGGTGGAGAGTGGCAAGCAGTTTGGCATCGCCCCTAGGCTGGTGTTCACGGCGAGTGAGGCGAGTTGGACCGTGAAAAAAGAGTGGGAGGAGATTCAGGATGCTCCATTGAAGAAGTTGGATGAGCAGACTGGCGACGCTCAGCAGATGTTACGGCGGTATGATTTTCTCTCTCACGCCCACTCTTAAAAGGAACGTGAAGCATTCAAACTGACTCCCTCTCCAGATACGCGCTCTCGAAACTAATCCAAACCCTGACGATCCGACACCTTGCGAGTGTCCTCCCCGTTGCCCAGACTGGCGTGATCATCAATTACGTCAACCCGGGGGTCTGCAAGACCGAGCTCTCGCGAAACTATAAGGGCGACTACCGCTCCTTCGCAGACTACTGTTTCAGCGAATACGGGCGGACAGCCGAGATGGGAAGCCGCACTATTTTGCACGGCGTAGTGGCGGGCAAGGACAGCCATGGGTGTTATCTCTCTGCATGTGAGATTCGAGAGCAGGAAGTGCCCGGTTGGGTCACTGATGAGGAGGGCCAGAAAGGTCAGAATCGTGTTTGGGATGATGTTATTGGCGTGCTTGATGCCGTGGTACCTGGTTGCCTTGACAAGCTTTTGTGATTATACATACAAGGTACAAGACAGGCAATTGATACAGCCAGTCAAGTGACATCCCCTCGTGTCTCAGTTCCTCCTTCATTCATACACTGCGAAACAACCTGAGAATTTATTCGTCATTTGCTGCTGATGCGCCCGCTTCCTTGTCCACAGCTGCTTCTAGTCCTCCGAGCAAATCAATCTCTCCATCGCCTTCAGGTGCTGTTGCTGGGATGTCTGGTTGTGCAGCGATAGCTTCGGCAGGAGCAACGTCCTGCATTTCCACGTCATTGGATGATTCAGTGTTCGCTGTCACATCTTGGGTGACTTGGGTGACTTCGGGAATGAGATCGGAAGCTGAAGCTTCGATGATTTCAACTTCTGCCGCCGGTGCTCCCTGAACTGTAGGATTAGGCAAAGTCTCAATGACTTGATCTGTTGTAGGATGATCGGTATCGAGAATGGTTGCAATATCAGCTTCATTTGACGCTGTTTCAGGCGAGGGTTGTACAATTTGTGATTGCGGTTCTTGAACTGCGGTTTCTGCATTCGAAGGTGCTGCTGATCCTTGTACACTTGTGGGGGCGGCTGGCTCTGCTAGAACTGCATCCACGACAAGCTCTGATGTGATTAAGACTGGCATATTTTCTTCTGCTAGTCCATTTGATGGTTGTGGCGATTGTTGTAGAGGCTTCGATAGGCCTTCTTCCACTGTAACCTCCGCATCCAGTACTGGTGCTGTCGGTTCCACGATTTGTTCATTTGCAGCCGAGGGAGAAAATGGTTCAGGGGTAATTTGTTCGAGGACAGGGCGTGGAGGTTGCGTCTGTAACTCTGGTTCTTCGGCGATTTCTCCTTCTTCACTGCCATCATCATCACTGTCGCTCCCGGAGCCTTCAGCATCTTCAACCTGTGGCTGTGTGTCGCCAGTTGGGGCTCCTGGAAGTACTGGTTGCAGTTGGTTCTCCGTGGATGTATTAGTGGCGACTGCACTTAATGGCTGGGTGGTGGAAGTGGTAATTGGTGTAGGAACTGGTTCTTTCTTCTTACGGCCTGGCCCACCCTTCTTTTTACGTCGAGGGGGAGGGTTCTTGCGGACAGGAACGGGTTCAGGAACAGCAGCAGCCGAACCAAGAACCCCTGATGTGTTTCCAAGCCCATTTGCATCACCAAATTCGAAACCGATTGCTCCAGAACCAGCATTTGGATTGATTCCCAAAGAACCGAAACCATTTGTAGCTTTGTAAGCCCCACCGTAGAGACTGGGCATTCCAGGTCGACGATCGGCAAGATATTTGGTTTCTGTCCTCTGTTCTGCGATAGCTTGTGGTACTTTTGTCCATTTCTTGTACTCGAAGCTACGTCCTTGAGGACCGGCATCTGTCTTGCGTCGCTTTCCAGAGACGTTCTCTTCATCGTCGAGGTCTTCATTTTCAGTACCATCCTGGTCTCCAAGATTTGACGTCGTGGCTTCAGCCTTTGCTCGGGCCTTCGCTTTCTCCTTCTCAATACCTGGTATCCACTTTTGGTTCTTGCGGTCCCATTCTGAGCGCTCAGGATTGGTATTGCCAGTACGCGCCCGTTGGATCAGTTGCTAGAGGCAGAAAAATGATCAGTGAGATAGGTCGAGCCAAGTGAGGAGACAGGGCTCACTTACCTGGTTAAGCAGAGGAAGTTGATGGAAGAAAGCGGGGAGCGGCTGTTCGGGCCATGGATAGTTGGGATGATTAAATTTAGGTCCTTGGTCGGCAGATTCGGCAGGTTCAGTCGTCTCATCTTGATTGACCCGGACAGTCTGGAATTCCCAATTCTGGACTGGGAGACCCTCTGTTGGGTCGAGGTCGAGACCTCCCGCGCGGTTCCGGGGTGCCACATTGTGGTCTTGGTTTCTGGTCGATCTCGAAGATCGAAGCTGGTTCTGGTGAGTAGGACGGCACTGGAGAGAGGGAGGAGAAGAGATTCGAAGGAATTGAGGAGAGAGAGGATGGCGAGGGAGAGGAGGAGAGAAGTTGGCAGAGAGAAGAGAGGAGGGAGGGAAGTAAGACGAGGGAGAGAGGAGAGGAGGGAGAAGGGAAGAAGAAGGATGTTGAGATTGAGATTGAGGATGAGGTTGGAGAGGAGAGAAGACAAGAGGAGCCATGACAGCAACGGGGACCACCACCTCCTCAGCGACGCTGGCTGGCCCAGCAGCAACCGGTTGCTCACTGACCGGAGATTGTAGTTCGCCTCCAACAGCGTTCTCATCGCCCTGGTCGATGGGGATAGCCCAGGAATCATCCCGGGTTTTACCACCCGTCAACTCAGGGTGATTCAAACGCCAGTGTCGGTACACTGAACCCCCCACAGTGAACTTCCGGTTGCAATCGGGCACAGCACAGCGAAGCACGTGCTTTGGATCTGCCATGTTGTCGTTGGTAATGGAGGAGGTTGTCAAAGTGAACGAGCAACGGATTTAATTAATGGAGCACTTGGACTGACGAGCGGTAGTGGACTCGGCGTCGCTCTCAGCGCCAAGGTTGTCCAACGACCAGGACGGGAAGGTGAACCAAAGGGAGTTACATTGATGATGCGAAGTGGTGAAATCAAGCCGATCGCGATGTGAAAAAACCATTGAAAGTGTACTTACTGGTGCCATCTTGGCTTGGAGCACAATTTGTTGAACAAATCGCACTGGTTGCAGTGATCTCTTGATTATATAAAAGGCGGATCCAGTCTCTGTGCGTTGAAGCGATGATGGGGGTGGACTGATGTTGTCGATCTGAAAAGTTGATGATGGTGTTGATCAAGAGATGAAAGGAATACGCGACGACGAGGTGTTCATCTTCTATCTAGTACAGCAGGTGTGCCGAAGCCGCTTACTTAGAAGACACGCTAAAAGCGGGACAGGCCGCCGCTTGGCTCAGACTACGGATTATCATTTCACCGGCTGATAAGGCGGGCACTTGGAGGACAAAAAGAGGGCGGGAATAGAAGAGATTGTTATGTTCATTTGGTATCACAAGGTTGTCTATCTCAAGCATTAATGACATATGATGTACAGTGAGTCGACGTGAAAGTGCCATGGGTCTGTCAGTCCCATCTGGAAAGAAGTCAGTATGTCCTGTAGGCCATCAAGGAGCAAGATAGTAAGACGAACCCAGTGTCCTTCTGTCGGACAATCTCGCTGGTTGATCCGGTTTCTTTGCCCTGTTGATATTGTGAGAAAGTGCACTCGGAAGAGCAAGCAGGACAAGGGCCCAGATAGACTTACAGACTTTCCACCTTCCACCACTAAGCGGTCAATCTGGAAAAACTGTGATACAATGGTCTGTCTCTGCAATGGAGGGAAGTTGAATCAGTGATGGTGAACATCGAGTAGGCATCATCTTAGACACACCTTCATGACCTGTAGCTCTTTCAAACCTGTCTGTACCAACTCTTGTATGCGCCTGGAATCCTGCTCACGTTGATGTTCATGAAAAGCATCTCTCGTCCGTCTTCTTGCATAGGTTCTGAAGTTATAGTTTGCAAATTGGCTGGATTGCCTGAGTAAGGATCGGTAGAGGGAGCGCACACTGAAGGCAGAGGTATCGGCAGCAGTGGCTAAGGCCGACGAAGCCATGGCTGAATCGGGGAATAGTTGAGATCTCTTGATGTCCTCAGGTTTTGACAATGGATCGACCGGATTGGATCGTGGAGAAGTGGGACGGATTGGGGTGCGTAATCAAGACTTCAGGTATTTTACTGCACCAGGTGGCGTGATGAGACTGGTGAGAGCGGACGCGAATACAGCAGGTGATGCTAACAGATCATGCGAGTAGAGGTATGCTTCGTAGTTTGTTGACTTCAGGATGGTATTTAGATATGTGCCTTGATGGTGTTGATTTTTCCGCAATGAAAAGACTTGTGGTGATGCACAAGACTGACGCACAAGCGCAAGCAAGCTTCAACACCAAGACGGAGCTCAAAACATAGAAGTCGAAGAGACGGAATATGTTACAGTTTGAGTTGGACCGTAAAGGCGCAGTTCGAGGTGGTGGTCGCGGTGGAAGTGGAGGAGGGATGGCCGTGATGATGATTTTGGTGGCGAGTGCTGCTATTTCTTCAACTTCGACTTTGACTTCTTCGACTTGCTATCCCCGTCGCCGATATGACCGAATCGACAGCACCAACAACCACGATCTCCCTCCCTCTCCCACCACCTTCTCATCTCCGCCACTTCTGCGAGACCATCCAAACATTCCTCAATTGATCTACTACGAGTTCTGCTTGTGACCTCAACCATGGCTGCAGCTGCACCTTCCTCATACCCATCACCACCCTCTTCTCGAACATCTTCCCCATCTCCAACTGCAGAACAAGCCGGACCAAGCGATGGTCAAATAGGCCCCGGTCGGACTGGAAGCCCCTCAGATAAAGACACAAGTCTATCTAATCTACTAGACTCCCTTCTGGAATCCTATCTTGACCTGCTGGACACCTACACCACCCTCCGCGCCCAACTCTCCACCGACTTCTCGTCCGGCTTCCTCTCCCTAGCTCAGGCCAATCGGACATCTACCCTCGGTCCTGGTCGACGGTATGGCGAAGAGGGCTATGATGAACGTATGAAGGCATCCAAGCTACTCCAGATCAAGTCCAAAAGTTCTGGGGAACACGATCCGCGGCGAATGGGGCGGAAGGCGACAGCCATAAAACCTGTCAACCATCCTGCGGAACAACGCCGTGACCATGAGAAGCATAAGCATACGGATATCGTCGACGCTATGCAGGATGATCATGACCGGAACGAGAAGGATGGCAAGGACCGACTCCCCAATGGCCCATCCGATCAAACCGATCCTGTATCATCTCTCAGACAGCTCCCGTCTCATCACCCCCCCTCTCATCCCTTGACCTACACCATTACTTCTGTACCACCTCCAACCAATGAGGACTCCGACAAAGATGCATCCTTGCCCAAACCCAAGTCTTCGGATCCTCTGAGGTGGTATGGTATTCTGATCCCACCACATCTCCGCCAATGTCAGGTTTGCTTCAATACGAGCACTACTTCGACCATTCCCGATCTCATATCTACTATGTCATCCATGGCTGCTTTGGAGAACGACATTCGTCTACTTCGACAAGAGATGGGCTTCTTAAATGAGCAGACTTACGTAGATATCCAAGAGCAGCCTACTACTTAAATGAGTGGATTAACTATCATCTATCGATGGCTTATCACCGAGTCTGGATCTCAGGCGGCAGTCTCAGCAACGATGCCTGATCAGAAACGCGAGCAGAAGCACGCTATTGCTAGATGCTTTGGCTTTGCTCCATGGATGCAGGAGGGAATCCACACCGCCATCACGAGAATCTTTCGGAGCAGGCCCTTTGGTGAAACCACCGTTCAGATTAATGCATGTCCAAGTCAACGAGCGCTGTTTTTGAGACCAGAGCTGCTCAGGCTGCTCTGAGTGAACTCTTCGCCGTGGACCATGCTTGAAAGAGCATATCGTTGAGTATCTTTACGTTGAGTGTATATCGGTAAGACGTAAAGTCATTTCAGATCACCTCTCCTTCACAAGATGATCATGTTGCACGTGCACTTGCCTTTGGATGGTCATCATCCATCCATGTTGCTCGACCTCGTATGACTAAAAGTCACCCCAAGCAGCTAGATTCTGTTGCTCAAACAAGAACTAAGAGCGACAGTTCTCTGATTCCATATCCTGCTCTTGGGCTGCCAGAATCCCGATGACGCGCCTAAGGTAGTCACCTCAATACGCGATTGGCTCGCCGCTTTACTTCAATCCATTGCTGCCTTAACTCACCCTTTTGGCATCCACTCCCACCAGGATCGCCCAGCAATAACCGGCGAACCTCCGGTAGCATTGTAACAATTCATGGCTACCAGCGGCCGAAAAGAGCGCCCAAGAGAAAATCGGACACGACAAGTCGGTGCATTGTCCTCGCTGCTTTCATCGGCTGTTCGTGTTCATTTCCAATATGCTGCGTACTCCTGAAGGGAATCTGGTACATGTGGACGGCTTCGAGGACGAAATGAGATAGATATATATCTACTCCACCATGCACAGACATCAGGTAAAAGGTACCAATTCAATCCATCTATATCTCTCATCATAACAAGGCCGCTTCGTGTCCTCTAAGGTCCATTTCGTTCCAGCAACTCCCTTTCCCATCCCTATTGCCATCCACAACAACCAGCCCCAACCGCAAGCGTACCATGTCCTCACAAATGGATGCAATAGTCATCACCAGCTTCGGCGAGCCTTCGGTCCTCCAGTCCCAACAGGTCCCCACGCCCATTCCCACAGCCGGCCACGTGCTCATCCACGTGCGGGCATTCGGCCTCAACCACGCTGAAATGCACATGCGACGCGGCGAGTGGGACGAATGGAACGCCATCTCCGGGCTTGAATGCGTCGGAACCGTATCTGCCGATCCCACGGGGACATTTCCCGCCTCCACCACCGTCGTCGCCGTCATGGGTGGCATGGGCCGCAGCATCCCCGGCGGATACGGCGAGTACGTCAACGTGCCAGTGAGTAATGTCGTGGCCGTGATGACACGACTGTCCTGGGCGGACCTTGCCGCCTTACCCGAGGTCTATTCCACGGCGTATACGTGCGTGCATACCATACTGGACATTCAGGCCGGCCAGCGTGTCTTGGTGCGCGGCGCGACGAGCACGATTGGCCAGGCGGCCGTCCATCTTGCTGTCAGTGCGGGCGCGAGAGTCACGGGGACGACGAGGCGGGAGGGCCGCTTCCAGATGTTGCGGGACATGGGCGTGGAAAGTGCGATGCTCGAGGAGGATGTGCTAGCCGCGCGGTTCACCGGACCTAGTACCGGTACCGGCACCGGCACCGCGGAGAAATTCGACAAGACGCTCAATCTCGTCGGGAACAGGGTGCTGCTTGATTCGATCCGGGTGACGAGGGCTGGTGGGAGGATGCTCCAGGCGGGCTGGCTCGGCGGGTTGGCGCCGCTGAAGGACTTCAATCCCATGATTGAGATGGACAGTGGCGTGCACTTCAGTCTGTTCCATAGCAAGAATCTTGGGGGTGGTGAGTTTCCGATGAGTGGGATTCCGCTGCAAAAAATCGTGGAGCAGATCGAGGAAGGGGCCTGGAATGCGAAGCCCACTCATGTTTTTGATGCCCGGGATATTGTAGAGGCCCATACGCTGTTGGAGAGCCATGATGCTGGTGGGAAGATTGTGATTGTGAGGTCTTGAATACCTAGGTATAATACTGGGGTCGTGACTAATTATTGCGGCTGTGGCACTCAGCTTGTCTCGAGAGTTGGACTGGTCCGCAATTTCACAAATTATATTCAGCCTTGGACAATTTCGGAAATTTCTCAATGCTTTCTACACAAATCACCTACAGTTTAGATCGTGAGAATGTTGCTCCAAGGAGAATGTTATTCAGCGTGGTATTTGACTAATTTATTACATGATTAGAATTATACTGGAGCACTGGCTTCATGTACAACCGCCTTCGCGCCGCCTGAGAGCAATCCTTTCTGCATCGTGTTAACACCACCTGGCCTTGCCCCCCGAGACCGCTATAACCTAAAATATACCGGGTATCCACCAAAAGAGTGTTGAGCGGATCAATACTCCATCTGTACATCCTCTCCGTTCAATATTGGTTCTTCCGCAGTTCGGGAAACACCTTCCAGCTCATCCTCGCTTTGCACTGACCCTTCGTTGAACACCACCTCCTCATATTCCACCTCGGCTGCTTGCGATCTCAAATCGACTTCTTTGGTGACTGATGAATTGACCATACGCCGTGCCGCAGGGCTTCTCACTATTTCCGTCAAGTCGCCGTCCCAATAACTTGGCCTCCGCTTCTTGCGGGACCCTGATGGCCGATCACCTTTTCTCCATGCCGTCACATTCGGGCTCAGCTCTTTCATGCTAGATTGTGTTGATGGTGTCCCATACAAACTCATTCTGACCGCCGCCCGGGTCTCTTCATCAAGCTCCATCACTTCTTCTCCTTCTTCCAACTTCAATTTGGGGTCAATCTCAATCTCCTCCTCTTCAGTGATCGGATCATCTTCAAAGATTTCAACTCGCCTTGCTTCGGCATCTCTGATCCGTTTTCGAGTAGGCCCACCATGCATAGAAGCAGAATATGATCTGGGTGGACTGCTTCGGAATCGTACATCATCAGGTGGAGGGGTGGCACTGAAATGCATGTGACGGGAACTGGCTCTGGGTTGGTACATTGGACCTCCGTAATACTTTCCCACCCCTCGTGAACTGGCAAGAGCCAGAATGCCATTCTTCCTGAATCGATGTGGTGGTTTCGCGAGTGGTGTCAGGGTGTCAGTCCTGTAAGAATCTCGAATTCGTGAATCGGGGGCAGGGTCTTGACCAATCACTTTGGCGGCCGCAGTAGAGAAAGAGTAAAGTTCTGGGCCGTAGCTTATCTGAGGTGGGGAGACTTCGTTGTTATAGTACCATCCAGGTTGAAAATGCTCATCTGCTGTACTCGGACGTGGTCGAACACCGTGGTCAAGCTGCTGACGATAGACTCGAGAGTCATGCAGGTGTCGTTGGAATCGCAAGGTTTCATGAGACTGACGCCTCATCTCTCTGGGTGATTCCGTCGAAGCTCTGGCTTTGAGTAGAGGCATTGGACTCCCGGTGTCGGTTGCGCGATGATAGGCTCCGGCATGTTCTCTGAAGAAGTTGGTATGCAATTGGTGTGGGTAGTCTGGGTGCTCCTCTTGTTGAAAGCTAGGCCTATTTGGTCTGAAGTGAAGAGTCGGGTCTGGGCATATGACGGCCGGTCCACGTTGATGCAGTAATGGAGCTGGACATGAAGTGGGCTCACTCTTTGAAGGGTGTGATGTGGAAGATACTGGTGATATTGGGCTATTCGTGTGGGTTGGAGGTTTGGGAAAGAGTTCGGTCAATATCCGACGCTTGACCTTTGCGGAGGTTGCAGCAGCCTTTGCGGATTCTGATAAGCTGATGGTGTCGTGTGATTTCGCTTCTGGTTCCGGATCTGGATCTTGAAAGCCCGTTTGGTGACTTCTCATGACAATAGCAGTAGGAGAGTTGTCTGTTGTAGCCATGGCCATCACGGGGTCATTGCCCACATTCAGATTTTCCAGTGGCTGCTGCAAATCGTCGGGGCTCAAGATATCTCCAGTCGTTACATCCTGCAGTACAATGTCCATAGACTGTTTAATGACATGGTTTGGGCATTCAATATCGAAACATGGTGGAGAACTGCTCTTCCCAGTCTCTGTTGGCGGAAGAGCTTTGGAGTTGACTGGGGTTGAGAAGCCACTGCTCAATGGTTCTGGCACCAACACCTGATTTTGGTCTGCATCGACTGAGCGAAGTGTCGGTAACTGCGGAGATCTTTCTGGAAAGGGTTCTCGAACGTCCAGCTCAAACTCTGCAAGAAATCCAGGAGCCGTTGAATATCTCCAGTCTTTGGAAGGAGTACTAACACTCTGCGGCTGTGTCCCTAAAGATGACCCCGAAGTTGTTGAGTCTTGATGACTGGCCACTTCGACATTTGTGGGAAGCCTGGCGTCAATTGAGCCTACAGGGGAAGCAGCAAATCGGACGTCTAATCTGAAAGTTGCCTTTGCATTCTGAAAGAGCTTTTGCATCTGTGGTACGTGACCAGGCATGGCGATTGATCTTGACGTAGGGGAAAGGTGGCTTGTACAGCTGGTGCTCGGCACAGTAGGATGGCTATCCGAATGGGAAGCATCGGATTCTCTGTCTTGGACTGGTGTCTTGCCAGGTGTTTTGGGAGAAGAAGTATGCTGCAGAACTTTGGCAAAGAACAATGAAGAACGTCTTCGTGGAGGGTCTATTGGTGCTGGAACAATGGAGCGAATGCTGGTTAGTATGCAAGGTCACCGGTATTGGCGTCACCATTGCTGAATAACGGCTGGCGCTTGACTTACGCTTCGGAGTGCCCGGCAGGTGACTTGACTTGGAGGACTTGGAGGATGATTCGGTGGAGGGAATTGATCTTGGGGTACCTTCCATACTGCAATCTTTTGCCGGGGATCTGGAGAAATGCAATGTGATTTAATTAATTCGTTGCGTGGCTCATCCAATGGAGCAAGGAGTGGACGTCTGCGACCATTTCGCAAACCAAAAAGAACGAGCGACATGGATGACACAAGAGAGTGGGAGGAATTGAATATCAGATGACTTTGAAGTAGGGGAGCGAGAGGGACAGCGCCTTCCCATGAGACAAACATTCTGTGGCCAGCGGCAGGCTCGACGGAGCCAACCTTGCCGTCGATGGTGCAGCAAGAGCAAATCGTCCGCACAACAAGCAGGCGCTCTGATGGATTGTCCACACTTGGCCCTCAGTCTCACAGCTAGCGGGTGAAGAAAGCCAGAGCACAAAAGCTCTTGACCAACACGATTGGGCTTGAATAACAATGTTTGCAGGCTCCGAGACTCACGACTGACGACTGACGGATAAGTTCCAAGTTGTTGAGTCGAGTCGAGAACGGACGGAATGGAATGGAATGGGCCGTCATCATCGGGATGATTGATTGCTATGGATGCTGCCCAGCCTCCAAGATAGTCCCATGCAGGTCATTTTGATATCTGATAATGATCAGTTGGATGTCCGAGTCATCACAGCATCATGCAAGTCATTGGAATGGTTGAAGAAGTAATCTCAGATCGTGCGACATTGTGTCAAGATTGTGCGAAAGAAAAAGAGATGAATTTGACCAAGTGGAGGTTTGGTGGAGGGGAAAGTGATGGCGCCACTTGGGGGTCGGTGAGGGATCTGGTAGATTGGGTGTCTGACAGAGACGCGTTTCAAGAGCCACAGGCGTTAATCTGTCTGTGGGATACTATAAATGTGACTTGTCAGACAGGAGTATTGGTGCTTCAGAATTGACCATGTAGGATGGCGTGTTACGAGTTCATGTCGGAGGGCCGCTAGCAAGGACATGCATTGATATTCTGGATTATTCATGAGGGACGACCTACGAGTATATGCACGTACTGGCAGCTGCAGCTGCAGCACTGCTGAAAGTGCGACAAGAGATGCCGACCATGTACGGTTATTCTAAGCTTTGTAAAGATGAAGCCCGTGCTCTCATGGTCCTCATGGTCCTGACCTGTCAACCATGCTTCAACCTGGAAAAGATCCGAGCACCTGGGGTAAGTGACGATTGACCACAGACATATGGTCTTGTGTGTTAAAATTGCCTGTGTGTCGGCACACCGTGAACCTGTGACAAGGTGAGCAATGGCACTGCAGCACAGCGCACAATGGTCGGAAACAAAGGGACGGGCGAGTCAAGGCCCTCGTGTTTCAGAGTTTCAAGGCTTGAACCATGCTAGCCCATGCGAGCACTTTCTAGCCCTTTTCGGGGAATTAGACGAAGACACTTTTAGAGAGAAGCGAGGCCGAGGGGGCGTTCCCGTTCAATGATAAGCCTGTGCTTGAAGCCATAATAGCGATGGACGGGACCCTGGAGACGCGGGAAGCCCCAAAACTAAACTAACCCCAAGTCCTTCCGGGCCCCTCCTAGGTGTTGTTAGCCTTGCACTGCAGCCTGTAAGATTCGACCAGGGCGTCCGGCTCCTCAGTGCCCGTCAAGGCTATTGGGTTTGACTCCTGACAGCCTGAGAGCCTGAGAGACATCCATGGATGCTGGCTGGGCTTTTTGTTACACCACCGACTCTGCCAGTTCCACTCCTCGTCTTCTGTCTTTGTACTGCGTCTGCGTCTTCTCACATTCACTCTCCATCTCATCCCATCCCATCCCATCACTCCCTCTTCCCTCCTCTTTCGGGATTCTCTCTTTGCGCGCCGCTCCTTGGTCGGCTTTACACTCCTTCTCATTTTCTCTTCGTTTTGGGCTTCATCTTTCTTGGTTCTACCAACTACAACCACCACCTGGGCACCTTGGATATCCTATTTCCACTCCATCCATCCATCCATCATTGCCGTGCAATTCACCTCTAGTCACTCTTTCACCCTTTCTTCTCATTGTTTTCCACCCTCACAATCGATCCTTCTCCGTGTGGATATCTCCCGACTCTATTCAATACATTCTTACTGCGCAAGCCAGCTTTGCTCAGACAATTTCCCAACCTACCACCCTTTCTCCTTCCCACCCATCAGCTAGCACGGTCTGGCTCATTGTTGGGTGGAAGCAAAAGCTGGTCCTTTGATTCTTGACGCAAGAGCAAGAGCAAGAGCGACCTCTACCTCGATTTCGTCGTGTCAGGAACGGGTCCACTATGTTATAAGACTTGCTCACCGACCAATCCCTTATACCTCTTGGTCATCACTGCCCATCTCCACCGACATCCCCAATGGATTCTTCTCGATCCCAGCGGGCGCAGCCCCCCAACGCCCAAGATGGTCGCTTTCACTACCCTCAATACAAACCCCAATCTCAACAGCAATCGCAGGAACGATCGCAACAATCTCCCTACGCCCAACCATCTCAATACTCACAATTCCCCCCTCACCCTTCCGTCCGTCCTCCTCAAGGTGCCAAGTTGAGTGCTCGACAGGTTCCTGCCGGCGTTGGAGTCGCTCCGCCTCCCGTGAGACCCCAAGACCTCCAACAGCCACGACCCAACAACTCGGGCGTCTTAATCCAAGACTTCAGATTCCCACCGGCTCCTCCTCCTCCAGGTACCAGGAGCAGGCAAGAACGAAATAATATGCACGAGTCATACATGTCTTCGGTTTTGGATGATTTCACACCAGGAACAACTCCCGGTTCGCGCTCTCGTGGCTTTCCAACTCCGAGGGGGCGATATTCTGGCTCCGTCTATGCCGAAAGTGAGGCATTGGGAGTGGACGAACGTTACGCACAGGGCAGATACAGTATCGAAGACACGAGGCCCAGCTCCCCTGAAAACTCTCCACAGATGGTTCGTCAAGCCAGTGTAGGAAAACGTGCAAAGCCCGCCGTCACAACCATCAAGACTCGAATGAGCCATCTTGAACAAGATATACCCGAGGAAGCCTCCATTCGAACTCCTGCAAGCAAAAATGCCGCCATGGCTGCTTTGAGTGCTGCAATTGCGGCAGGCACGGGTAACAAGCCCATCGATTTCAATGATAGTGCACCTGGATCAAGGAGCTATACCCCTGTGAGGATGCCCTTCGATACTTCACCTCCTGCCTCGCCTTCGCAAGACCGAGAGTACCTCCGCACCCCGAAGACGGCCACCACGTTCTCATCCGCCCACATCCTCTCCCAATTCCCCACCGATAGCAATGGTGTTTCTCTACCCAGTACATCTCTCCCCAGTACTGCTCACTCGAGAAAATCCACAAACCCACTCATGGGCTTGGGCATTGATCAACCTCCTGCTATGAGCAGCAAGATCCCTGCCAGTAAGAGGCCTCCACAACTCGATATGGACGCCGTTAGAGATGCCGAAGCTAGAGGAAGTACAACAAGTCTGGCTGATCTCATCAAGAGAGCGACCAAATTAGCGGCCAATCTGGACAGAGGTAAAACTGCCAGCCGTCTTGGAATGCTAGACATGTTTGGCAGTCAAGAAAAGCTCAATGGAGGTAATCGTCATTCCACCATGTCTGATATGATTTCGGCTTTTCCAGCTCCAGCCATTGGAGGCACCCCAACCAACCGTCGCGATGGCAATTGGCCATTAAGTGAAAAGGGCGACCCCTTTGCTTCGACTACCGAACTCTCAAACACAAAGGGAAAAAGACCCCGACGAAAACTCTGTGGTTTATCCATCCCTGTGTTCATCACCGTCCTTATTGTCGTTGTGGTCCTGATTGCTGCCGCCGTACTAATACCCATCTTCCTAATCCTTGTACCAAAACAAAACCGCAACAACAATAGTAATTCTTTGGCCAATTGTGCTGCCGATTTTCAATGCCAAAATGGTGGTATAAGCATTGTTAGTTTCGACAAGTGCCAGTGTATCTGCGCTGACGGCTTCACTGGTAGCCAATGCACCACGCCCGGAAATGCTCAAGACTGCGTCACCATCTCCTTGACAGAAGGATCCAACGAGTACAACAATGCTACCATCGGAAAAACTGTCATGCCGATTCTATCACCACAGAATCAATTCGGCATCCCTCTTAATGTCTCAACCATTTTATCTCTATTTTCCTCCAACAATCTTTCCTGTACCAGTGAGAACACGCTGGTAGACTTCAACTCCAGCGCTTTGAATTCAGGTTCCAACAAAAAGCGGTTTATCATTCTACCCGAATTCGAATTACCAGGTTCTACCGGCCCACCACCAGTCATTCACGCAAATCCTCCTGCACCTCAAGTGACAAATCCTGCTATCTGTACAGGCGATGTACAGCTCGAGAGACGACAGGGTGATATCAACACATCCAATGGCATCGTCTTCCAAGGTTCATCATCGACCATTGACAGTGAGGCTAGTGAGCCTACTACAACGGCTACCTCATCTGCCAACAGTGCGGGTGTAACGGCATCGCCAACCGGATCCGAATCAGTGTCTACAACAGCCTCTTCTGCTGCAACTGGGACTACCTCGACTGCTAGACCAAGCTCAAAGATCACAGATAAGGAGATCGAATTTGCTCAAGTGGCGGTCATGTATGTCTTTCAAGAAATCCGTACTGTGAGTGTCGCCGTCAATGCACAGCAACAAATCGAGATGTTCTTCTCCCAAAAACAGAGCAACAGCACCAATAGTACCGAGGGTTCTGTGAATCTCGAGACTGGAGACCTGAACCTGTCACTGAATTTCGATGACTTCACGATAGTCTATGGCAATTCGACAATTGTTGGGGGCAAATGAACTCATTGTCGGTATTGGCTCTTTTAAAACAAAACTTCTGGGATGCCTGTGATAACCGACAAGCACGACCCTTGAATGTGGATGTTTCGTATGGATACGAATGAGTTGGAAGAAAGATTCATCGCCTCTGTTGAGGCTTACATTTACGGTGCGACGGGCTTTAGATAGTGTGGCGCATGTTACGATACCCATTTTTTCGGTTCTTGGAGTTTCTTCTTGGGACCATTCTAACTACCATTGTCTCACATGTACATGATACTACTATCCGTTGCGTTTTCCACGCATGTTGGGTATATTTTTTCTCTCATGCTCTGGGAACTCGTAAGCCAAATAAAAGGAGTACTTCGGTCGGGGACTACATTCTGTTGCTTCGACGTGTCACCAGCGTCATGCGTGGATTTCCTACATGCCAACCACAACGAGATGGCCGTTTCTTGCTTGGCTCTCATTGAACTGAATTCGTCTTGTACAAGTAGCTTAGCGGACAGCGAGTAAGCGAGTGAGCCATTCATTGAGCGCCTCGACCTCGCACCGCAAAACAATGTCTAGCATTCATTGGAACAGGAAGAATTCAACAGCGTGAATCCCGCATTCGCTTTCTTCATCGTCAAAATTGTTGCGTAATGGTGGTACTAGACTATGTGTCGCGGTGTACTAGGACTGTCTGGGCTACTAGTATCTCTCACGCTCAGGGTGATGAACCCCCCGAAATCTGTCGATTCTGGTCACCAGCCACAAGGAATCGTTTGGCCCGCATTCCCTTTCATCCCGTCTCTACCGATTGACTCGCTCGCTCGCACGAGCGCATAGCATACGTACGACAGTGCCCTCTCTTTCACATCGTGTCGTCGTCATCAATCTCTCGGATCATCGATCGGTCTATGCGTCACAACAAATCACGCGAATCAATCAATCGCGCAGCAAATCATCAATCTCCTTCTTCGTCAGGCCTAGCAGATACGCAATGTCGAGCATACTCTCGCCGACGTTCAGCCTCGCAGGAGCCTCCATCTGGACCTTGGACTTGGCACGCCACGCGACGCCGAGGCCTGCGGCCTTGAGCATGGGGATATCGTTTGCGCCGTCGCCGACCGCCATGGTCTGCGCGAGTGGGATGCCTTTGCCGGCCGCGAGGCTGATGAGGAGATTGCGCTTGTGCGTGGAGTCGACGATGGAGAAGTCCGGGTGCAGCTCGCCCGTGAGGGTTTGCGAGTCTGGGTCCGAGATCAGATGGTTGGCGAATGCGTGGTCGAGGCCCAGTTCGCCGGCCAGCCAGTCTGCCAGGGGCTGGAAGCCGCCGCTCAGCACGGCCAATGTGCAGCCGATGCGTTTGAGGACTTTGCAGAGTTCTTTCGCGCCGGGGGTGATGACAATCTTGGGCTTGAGGCGCTCGAAGACGTCCGAGGGGACGCCCTTGAGCAGGGCGACGCGGGCCGTCAGACTGGCGGCAAAGTCCAGCTCGCCGTTCATGGCGCGCTCGGTGATTGCGGCGACTTGGGATTTGACGCCGATGAAGTCGGCAATTTCGTCGATCACTTCTTGCTGGATGAGCGTCGAGTCCATGTCGAAGACGCAGAGGCGTTTGTGGCGCCGGAAGACGTTGGAGGGTTGCAGGATGATCTCGCAGTTCCACTCTCGCTCGAAATTGTAGATGGATTCATGTTTGGAGATGAGTTCCGACGGGAGGTATTCCGGGTTCGGTGGTGGTGAAAAAGTCACTTCCACGATTCGGGGCTTGAACGGGTCCGGGGAGAGACAGCGGTGTGACGAAGTGAGACGTCTTTCGTCCGGTTTGTTGTGGATAAGAAGACTGTCCAGAGTTGACAGGAAGTGAGTCAAGCACATTTGAGAGATATAGGCGCCATATAGATGATCCAAGGGTTCAGGCTCTGGTGCTGGTGGCTCCAGGGGATATTCTGCGATGCTGGTGGTTGGTGCAGAGCCTTCTACGATCTCCGGAACGGGGATTGGATCCGATGGTCGCGCCTGTGGTGATTGATCTGGATGAATATGAGGATGTCGTGGGGAAGCTGAGTTATAGTAGATGGTTGCTACCAATCTGGCGGGGTCATGGCTTTCGGCGATACAGTTGGTATGGGATAGGGTGTGGACAGCCGTATCCTGAGCGACAATTGGAGATGGTGGGATAGCACTGATGGACCTGCGTGACGAGAGAGAAGTGCTGGAGAGTGTATTTCGAGGACTTCGAAGTTGTGGTTGATGGCCATCGAGGACTCCATCAATGCTTGTCGCTGGCCCACTTTGATGGGATCGGTATTCCAAGTTGCCGTCTAGATAGGTACTGGTATTTCCTGCCAGAGACTCTTTGGCAAGACTCAGACCACGACGTCGACCTGAAGACGGAGGAGGAGAAGCCATTTCTGATGCACTCCGGTCAATAGGTCGAGGTCGTCGTCGTCGAATGTTGAATTGTTCAAAATGGTTGTGCTCTTGAGAAGTCAGAATAGAGGTCGTGCGAAGGAACAAAAAGTGGGGCAGCAATGCTACGTCATAGCTGAAGGGGGAAATGCAGGAACACTGCTCTTTGCATCAATCATGTCTCTACCTACGTAGAGATTGGCGAAGAGGTACCCACGGTGTCAGATACCATCCAGGATTTTGTGCCCAATATTCTTGCTTTGGAGCGAGTCTTGAGAGATGATCATAACGGAAACTGATTTCATTTGCAGTACAGTATTTTTGGCACCCAGATGCAGTATGAAATTCTCAATAATCTCAATCACGAAACCGAGGCATTACAATCCAAGACCTTTGGGTGGTCTGGGCAGCGATGAGGTAGTATGCACGTGGTCTTGGGAATGTGCTCACGTGGGCTTTCGGCAAACCTGCTCCATTTGAAAGACGTCTATTTTGCGTCATATTGTGTAAGCCGCTTGCTTGCAAAGCAATATCAACACCTCCATTTGTTCATGTCTAAATATGACCACGCCTCATCGGAGCCGACGAGGCGACGTTGCTCCTATGAATCATCATCCGGATCACTGAACCTTGGCTTGTTATTGATGTGCTCATGGTAGGTCTGCGGGGTTGACTTTCGGCAAAGGCGACCCCGTCGTCAAAAATGGCTCTGTGTGCAGGAGTACCTGTCTCGAGAGGGCTGTGAAATCCAGGTTGGCGGAAGGAGAACGCGCTCGGATTAAATCTATCGAGCCATCCCGTCAACCGGCTCAATAACTCCAACAAATGACATGCATGATTTGAGAGCTGGATCGGTGACCCCTCCAATCAAATCGTTGAGCAATGCCTCACCATCGATGGCGTGATTGCACGTGACCATGGCGCAAGATTATTTTTTTTCTTTCTGCCTTCCGACAGCCAAAGCCTCGACTCTCCAGCCCAAGATGTCTTCTAGTGCGCTCCACAGCTGAATGGCGTGCTCGACGATGATATTGTCATGAACTTGAAGTGGGCGTAAAGTCGATTTGTAAAGGTGGGCATAGCAGCTCCTTTCTGGTCCCTCCTTATGTCTTCAGGTTCTCACGCTTGCCTTTTGCCTTCTTTCCTTTATATTCCCCATACTGTCGTGCCCGGTGAATACTTGCTTGCCCCCCACGATCTCGCTTGAAACTAGTTGCAGCATAATGGCTTCTCGATCCAATTCTCCTACCGGCAGTGGCTCGGACAGCCCCTCGCTCAAGGGGGCCGACTCAGGCTATGCCAGTGGTGACAACAGTGAATTCGGCCTGCCTGAAGTATACTTTACCAAACAACATCTTCGATTTCTCAACCGCCAGCTTCAATTCCTTGAGCCTCAGGACATCCTGAGGTGGTGTATCACTTCCCTCCCACACCTGTTCCAGACGACTGCCTTTGGGCTCACCGGTCTTGTGACGCTGGATATGCTGTCCAAGCTCAAGATTCCTCGGCCACAAATGGTGGATCTCGTCTTCATGGACACCCTGCACCACTTCACCGAGACACTAGACCTTGTCGACAAGGTTCGAGAAAAGTATCCGTTGATCAACGTCCACGTCTACAAGCCCGATGGAGTTGAGACGGCCCAAGAATTTGCAGACAAGTATGGTGAAAAGTTGTGGGAAACGGATGACGAGAGATATGATTACCTGGCCAAGGTGGAACCTACGCAACGGGCATACCGGGAACTCAATGCATTTGCAGTCTTGACTGGTCGACGGCGCAGTCAAGGAGGTCAACGAGGTGACCTCGACATCATCGAGGTTGACGAGGCTGGGTTGATCAAGGTCAATCCCATGGCCAACTGGTCGTTCAAACAAATCCAAGAATACGTCAAGGAGAATGATGTGCCATACAATGCTCTCCTCGATCGAGGATACAAAAGTGTTGGGGATTGGCACTCGACTCAACCTGTCAAGGAAGGTGAAGATGAACGAGCAGGTCGATGGAAGGGCCAGCAGAAGACCGAATGTGGGATCCACAACCCTCGGTCCAAGTATGCACAGTTCTTGATGGAGCAGGAGAAGAAGCGTGAGCGGGAAGCTCTCGATCAAGCGTTGCAGAAAATCAACTTGCAGTCATGAGTTGACCAAGGTGTGAGGAAGAAAGTGATTTCAGCATAGCGTCGGCGTTCGGAACTTGAGACGGCATCAGCGATGGGCATGGGCTGCATCTGCATGCAGGGGATTGCATTGGAAACAAGATTGGGGCATGCACATACCGGAGACAAACAAATGGGAAACGATGATCAACGCCATGAACAAGCATGATGGTCAAGAACTAAGTAGAAGTGATGCAGCAGCCTGAGCTACTACAATCCATCATATTACATTATTGATACGAACTGTTCTTGGATGGTTGACCGCTCAATTGAGCGACAGTGAGGACCTGAGGAGGTTGCTGTTCGTTGTTGTTTTTTCTCTCCGTAATTGAGATGGACATACTCGTAGACCCCGCCTTAAGGCACCCCCAAGGACCTCGGGCAGAGGGCGAGAGGGACTCCTCGTACCTGCAAGCCCTAAAGGTGTCACTATCAAGCCTCTGAATATCCCCCACCTTAACTAGAACAAGCTACCTAGGTAGTTAGTAGAACTAGTGACGAAATCGGCTGCTGACTGCATCATCCAAGGATCCCAGCCTTTCGACAAGAAGAGTTCTGCTCAGCTGTCCTCGTTAATGTAGTCCAGTAGTTGCTGCAAGGGCCCGGAAATCTGAGATGTCTTCCCGCACACTTGATTCTTCACGGATGGTGGGTTTCGGTCAAAGCGTGGACCACTCGATTCGCCCTCCTACGGAAAATTTCATGATGCCAGCGGCGAACTTTTATTATTGGCAAGGATTGCGACATTAGGTCAAGGTTCAATTGGGCGACATCAGATTCAATGACATTTGGTTCTGTTGCGATGAGCTATCCATCTATATACCTGGTACACCGTCCTAAATTCGCTTGGTTGTAAAGCCTTCAAGTCTTCTTTTCTTTTAGTATCTTACCTGACTGCCACTGCCTACCTGAGGTACCTCATAAGGCACCTTCCCCAATTCTACCAGCCCACTACCGCTAACACCTCCACCACCTCCACCACCACCAATTTCCTCTCCCCTCATTTTTTATTTTTTTCCGCATTCTTCACCCCCTCACCGAAAAAGTTCTACACACAATGGCCAACACACCTCATGGAGGAGTCCTCAAGGACTTACTTGCTCGAGATGCCCCTCGCCATGCCGAGCTATCTGCTGAGGCTGAGAAGCTCAAGGCCATCGTCCTCAATGAACGCCAGTTGTGTGATCTGGAACTCATCCTCAATGGAGGTTTCTCCCCTTTGGAGGGCTTCATGAACGAGAAGGACTATAACGGTGTGGTCGAGAATGTCAGACTGGCAGATGGTGCCCTCTTCAGTATTCCCATCACCCTCGATGCAGCTCAGAAAGACATCGAGAGACTCGGTGTCAAGCCTGGTGCTCGCATCACCCTGCGAGACTTCCGAGACGATCGAAACCTCGCCATCCTGACCGTCCAAGATGTCTACCGACCCGACAAACAAAAGGAGGCCAAGGAGGTTTTTGGAGGAGACCCAGAACACCCAGCCATCGTATACCTGAACAATTCAACAAAGGACTTCTACATTGGAGGCAAGATCGAGGCTGTCAACCGCCTAAACCACTACGACTATGTCGGTCTCAGATACACTCCGGCAGAGCTGCGAACACACTTTGACAAACTCGGTTGGACCCGTGTGGTTGCTTTCCAGACCAGAAATCCTATGCACAGAGCCCACCGAGAGTTGACCGTCCGAGGTGCCCGTGCTCGACAAGCCAATGTCCTCATTCACCCCGTCGTCGGCCTGACCAAGCCCGGCGACATCGATCACTTCACTCGAGTCCGCGTCTACCAGGCCATTCTACCAAGATACCCCAACGGCATGGCCGTCCTCGGTCTTCTCGGCCTTGCCATGCGAATGGGTGGTCCCCGTGAAGCCATCTGGCACTCCATCATCCGCAAGAACCATGGTGCCACCCATTTCATCATCGGACGCGACCACGCCGGTCCCGGCAAGAACAGCAAGGGTGTCGATTTCTACGGCCCCTACGACGCACAGCATGCCGTGGAGAAGTACAAGGATGAACTGGGCATCGAAGTCGTCGAGTTCCAGATGATGACCTACCTCCCTGACAGCGATGAGTACAAGCCCAAAGACGAAGTTCCAGCTGGCGTCAAGACCCTCGACATCTCTGGCACAGAGCTGCGACGACGCCTACGCGTCGGTGCTCCAATCCCCGAATGGTTCTCATATCCGGAAGTCGTCCAAGTCCTCCGTGAATCCAACCCTCCCCGAGCAACCCAAGGCTTCACCATCTTCCTTACAGGCTTTACCAACTCGGGCAAAGACGCCGTAGCACGTGCCCTTCAAACGACATTTAACGAGCAGGGCGGTCGACCCGTGTCCCTGCTCCTCGGCGAAAATGTCCGCCACGAACTCTCCTCCGAACTTGGCTTCACCCGCGAAGACCGCGACATTAACATTGCACGCATTGCCTTCGTTGCCGCCGAGCTGACAAAGGCCGGTGCCGCCGTCATCGCCGCCCCGATCGCCCCCTTCGACGAAGCCCGCAAAGACGCCCGTAAGACGATCGAGCAGTACGGCAGCTTTTTCCTTGTCCACGTCGCCACGAGCCTCGAGTACGCTGAGAAGACGGATCGTCGAGGCGTCTATGCCCGTGCACGAAGAGGTTCCGTCAAGAACTTCACCGGTGTCAATGATCCTTATGAGGCCCCGGATGATGCGGATTTGACGGTGGATGTCGAGAAGCAGTCCGTCAGAAGTATTGTGCATCAGATCGTGCTGATGTTGGAGAGTCAGGGTTTCCTTGGCACCTCCTGAGCGTACAAGCCTCATCTCCTGGCGTTGTCGGTCAGTTGCATGATGAAATGTGCATATATGGTTTTTATGATCGGTAGATTCGGGGATTTACTGACGAGGATAATTTGGGGATGACGACCTCAAAAGCGTATATTTAGTGGGCCTGGGTGGCTCAATAGGTATATACATGATATATTTGTGGTTGGGATAGGGAAAGTAAAATAGGTGTCACTAGAAATTAAAATCTATCATAAACATAATTTATGGCTCTTGATATTTGGTAGACTACCTAGAGACTATGACCAAATCCTTGTCTACTTTCAACAAACTATCGATTTAATGGAATTTAACAAACCAGATTCCTCTCAGCAGTTCATCTCGAGACAGTGTCCAGGTATGTCATACGTCACGTCTTCAAAGGCACCATTCCAACCATCCTCATGCCATTCTCCAACACCTGTCGTACACACTCGTAGAAGGCCAATTTGACGAGCCGGTCCGAGGCAATCTGTGGTTCGATGTCCGCGTGAAATGGCTTCTCCTTGCCTTTGCCTTTGCCTTTGCCTCTCTCGCTGTTCTCTGCTTCGCTTGTTGCGGATGTCTCCTCTGCTGCCCTTTCCGCGTCTTGTTCTGCGGAGGTGTCTGCAACAGGGGCATCTGTGTCTTTGCTTGTTGATAGCCTGAACGACTGCTTGACCACCCCTGGGGACTAGAGGAGCAACCGAAGAACGTCAGCGAAAGCCTCATGTTAGGGTTGGTCGACAATGGAGTAGTCAACCTGGGCACGAGCTTCACGTGTGTAATGCTCTCTAATTCCTAGAACCGGATCTCCGACAGCCAGCATTGCAACACCAGTCCATTGTAGGGATTGAAATTGGCCCTGTTGTCGAGATCAAAATTGTGGACCGCTCCACCGTTGACCCAAGCCTTGCTGGGTCATCAAACCGATACATGCCAGTAAATCTGCTACCTTCGAATTGTTGGAACCATGCGACAGGTCCAGATCACTGTGCTACTTTGTCGAAAAATTTGTAGAACTCTTGCTGGCATCGGTCGAGCGCTCCGTAGTAATTCAGGAGCACCTGCTTATGGAACAAATCCCTTCTGAGTCTCCGACTATTGAATCACACGAAAATAAAGTCCAGACTCGGTTTGTATGAATGCGGCGAGAGTTCCTGCAGGGCAAGACATATCGATGCTCGATCACGGAGGCGTCTTCGAGACTCCAGTGCCCGACCACCGCGCATCGTGCATCATGTATTGTGCTGGGAAGAGCCTGATCATCAACCGGGGATAATTCTTCAGGATAATAGCCAATCCATGACTTCCAATCCTATGGTAGGTCACGATGATTGTACATAGTGAACAGTGACGTGGCATTGGATTTTAGCAGACCAAAGCGATTTTGGGCCGCAACCCAAGGATGCAGTCTGAGTTTGCTGGCAGAACGCGCCGAATCCCATTCGAAACCCAATCGACCATGGTTGCTAGCCGGTTAAAAGTACCAGATGTGCAGCGAAACATGCCAAACATGGCATACGAACATACAGGGGGAGTCTCACGGCAATCTGCGCCCTCCTTTGCGCCTGGCTCGTATCCGGGCAATTGCGAAGGAATCATGGAACCGAGTACACAACCATCGACGAATAAAGTGCTTGAAAGTGGCAGTTTGTGTAACCAGCATGTGCACACCGGTCACGCCTCTCCTAAATTGTATTGGATCTCATGGAGCCAAGGTACTGGTCGCAGTGGGCAATATCCCTGAAGAGTTCTCACTCAAAACCAAACTTTCAGTTGTTCTGCCTTTCACTAATGCATGTTGAGACGTCTGGGCATCTGAAGCAGGGGTTGATTATTCCGGAAGTACACTCACAGCAACAAAATATCCTTATTCCTACCTAGACAGCAGGCCCAGCCTCGCGCCTTCGACCTATCCACCGACTGGAATATGTTCTCTTCCAGACCTGTGCAATAATGACCCCGGAAGCTTTCGCTTTTGTGATAGCCCAACATGCCTTCGTTTTGAATGTGCGGCAATACTCGCTCCATCGTTGAATGACAAGATGCAAGATGAACGTTAGGAAGTAGAAGAAAAAAGCCGTCCCAACAAAAGATCCCAGATCTGGACGCAAGAAAGGGATGACATCTTCCAACTTCGAGATTGAGAACATTGAGCATGTTAATCCAAGTGGGCCAAGAATCTGCGGGAATCTCAGTCTGTTGTCACGCAAATCAACAGCAGGCCCTCAAGCTCACCGTCATGATGAATATCGGTCCCTGGTCCTGTTGTGTGAGCTGGCCTTGGTGGGCACTCTCCTCAGTACTGGTTCGTGCCAGACGTAGATGTTGCTATGATCAATGATGCGTCAACAGCATGCTCAGAGGTTCCGGTTGAGATGGTATACGCACCCTTTCCGCGATTGCTTGGGATCTCTTAGCCATTTTCTCCAGGAGAATACTAGAGCTCGATAACTCCTTGAGGACAGCGCCAAACTCATTAGGAAGTCGTTGATGATGCTTGTCAGTATACTCTGAAAGTGATCTGATTTCAACATGGAATTCTTTCTCGAAACCTTCAATAGCTTCTACCAAGGGGTCCAGGCGGTCCCTCAATGATTCCAGGACGACCGAGATTTTGTCAACCCACTGTAAAGCAGTCTCTTGGGAAGGACGGTAGGAATCAGTCGGAGGAAGAGAATAATGTGTGTCCGTCTGTGACAATTTCTTTAGCCAAGTTTTGACTTATGGAGTAGACTGTCTCGCAGGAGGGAGTACCACGTACTAGCAAAGGTCCATAGTTCTCAAAACTCTTCGCCAACTTCCCAATGATCTGACTGTACTCGTTATTTATTTGGTCCATACGGATCCGGAGAAGAAGTACAAAAAGTGCCTCGGGATCGGCGACTGGCTGGTCGGCATCCAACATCCCTCTAGTCAATGGGTCGTAAGTCACAGAGTAATCTGCTTCGTTGCGCAGTTGTTCGATATGCTCGACAGAATCTTCATCATCAAACTCGTTCTCGACGAACATGTAAACAGTCGAAATGAGCCTATCAACCCCTGTGACGACGCAAGATACCTGTGCGAAATGCATAAAAGCCTTCTCGCCCTTAGTCGGAGCGAGGAATGAGACATCAAGACTTTTAGCAGGAATGGCTTCACTCATGTTCGTATCACCTCCTTCCAATTTGGCACCAAGCCTCGGAGTCGTTGTGGAACGCCATGCATAGTACGGTAAGTGGAATGCCAATTGGTAAACAGGCGGGTTTCCTGGCTGCATAGATCAATGAGCTTCTCATATGCTAGCAAGAGACAGTGACAGTTGTTTATAGTGCTTACTGGTGACTTGACGATGATGTTGGTTCCGCCCGCTAAATGGTTGTAAAGAGCTGGGCGAAGAACACCAATTTCATGAGCGGGAACCGTGCACAGGAGAGCGCACACGGCCCATGAGTTCAGATTATGGACATAGCTTTCCACGCTTAGCATCACCTCCTGTAAATTTTATACTGCTGCTCACATTGATTGCCTCTCTGCGTCTGGCTGTAGCTCCTCACCATTTTCAGGCAGGTCATCCGAGTCATATTGAAGGGACCTTGCGTTGAAGCGCTGGCCGTGCACGTACATCAGCGCGAAATCCGACATATTTCAAAATGAAGCGATGCTTCCTACCTTTTCTCTTAAGGATTTATATAAATCTAGAGAGTTTTTAGGGCCTGTATTATTCGAAGTGCTCCTTGCACAGTTCTCGGTAAAGCTCCACTCGTGTACCATCGCCACTGGCATGTTCAGCGAAGCATCATCAACCTCCCCTTGTCGTAGTATCTGTACATCTGCACCAGCAAGAACACTCTCAGTTTTCTCCGCTCGGGGCTTGCAACTGGGCGTTTCATCGTCGCTTTGCAATAGCTCATACATCAAGCTCTGTCTTTCGTCATTTCTGAGTATCTCTGTTCCGTTCTGGAGAGCGGTCAACTTCTCGAGGTCATCGAAATACGAGATGTTAAACTCCAAGCGTGAGAAACTCTGCAGTGACTCAAAACCTGTCGACAATTTCCACGGGTTTGTGGTTCCCACCATCCTGGAAGAGAATGACCTCGATGTCGTCGCGAGCGTCTGATGCGGTTGATCACGAATCGAAACGTATTACCAGGTTCTGGATTGCGTTGGGGTGGAAAGCAGAACAATCCAGACGATGACGAGGCTTTTGTACCGAAGGTCAAGTCGCACAAAGCACGGGTAGCATTACGAGTGGTGGTATGCAGCATATTGCGCCCTAGTCGTGAGCGGCATTTTCGTCTGATTTTTGCGGTGTCCCAGCCGCGTGTGCCTAGAGTTGGGCCCCAATAGTGTTTGAAGCAAATGGTCATAGGACCAGCTGCAAGGGTGTGGAAGGTGAGGATTGCACAGCATTTTGAAGGGAAACTGCTATAGGACGATTATTGGGTTCGCGATGGCAAATCGCAGTCTCGAAGGCATTGGGCGCAGTGGAACTTGCTTTCGGTGCTGTGATTAGTAGGATTGCGCTGACTCGACCAACACATCTGAGACTGCGGGTAAGCTTGCTAGTGGCCAGCTCTCTGGCATGGGCTCTCGTGTGACTGAGACGAATAATGTTTATCGATATATAGCCTTCCGCGTGGGAATCGTACCCGTCGAAGGCGATCGAGAGTTCGAAATCCTAGTCTGATTCTCTAGTTAAGCTATGGCGATGACCCTTTTCTCCTTTTCTCTAGGCATGCTGGCGTACATGCAAGCTTTTCTCTAGTGGTGCGAACAAGTGGTGTTTTGCATATTTTGCCTCCAACATCACTTCCCAAACTGCCTCATGCCACATTTTGAGCACCGCAGTTTCGAGCACCTCGGGCAGGTCGAGTTCCTGACGACAATCGGATTCTTGCCGCATTTGCAACATCCCCAAGTATGAAGATGCTTGGTGGCACGTGGAGGACGTGGAGGACGTGGAGACTGTGGAAGTTGGTTGGTGAGCAATGAAAGGACCAATAACAAGTAGGATAGATTTGAGAGGCATGGTTTTCCGATAGGAAAGACATCTGCAGGATAACCTAGCACAGACCAATTGTCACTGTAGTGTCACCATCAACTGAAGTGGAGGATGTCGAGACCTACCACAGCCTTCGTTGTCGTCGTCGGTGGCATGTTACCCCTCGAGAGCCAACGAGTCCTGAGAAAGATATAATTTAGTCGTTGAGGACTCAATGAGGCTTTATCTTGCAATGAAACTCACCGCCAAACACTATCTTCTTTAAATGTCGCAAGGGACGCGGGCAACACTGGAGTGGTTGGCACAGATTACAACGAGCTCCCACACAGGAATGACGAAGGGACCGAGAGAAAAACAATGCTCACTCAGGTACTATACAGATGCATTATATACCCCTGACTCTCCTGGGACACTACGCTCCTCCTTTCACCGTCTCTTGAATTAATGGCAAACACTACGGGGTATAATGCTTGCCTTATCTGTGTGAACAGTTGACGACGACTTCGGGAGGTCCACTTGACGTACTTGATCCCGAAATTGGAAGACCGCTTCAACTAGTATTGTGGTCGTATCTTCACGATTGCCTGGAAATTCCATCGCTCATTCATGTACTCACCGCTTCTCCAAAAGTCAACGTCGCCCTGTTTTCGAAAGACCAGTCCTCGCCACGCTCTAGGAGGCTTGCGACTGACCAAGTATGCTGCGATCTTCACAAAAATTTAGGTTCAGCTAGCAGATTGTCTCCACAACCTTTTGAGGTACCTTGCAGATATCCGAAGTCATGGCTCCCGAGGTACTGCGATCCGCCGTCCCCGTCGGCTATGCTTCCACTCATATCAGCCATGGACTCATTACGAGATAAACATTCGGTATGATGCTTGGCAAATCTGCACCTAGGGAGTCGCCCGGGAGCACTACTCAACACGAGACTGCGCTAACTAAATATTACTCGTGTTTAGAGAGTGCGAGGTGACGTCCCTTACCCACCTCTCTCCCTTGAACGGATGACGGGGTTCTTGATTATTCCTGGAGTGGTTCTAGAACTAGGCCATGGTCTCGTATGTACCAAGAATTAAAACTATATGAATGTACCTAAACCCCCAGGACTTGCTCGAGGCGAAACATCTTTAACGAGTGTTCTCGCCAGCGGCACGTCGTTCCAGCCTACAGGTTAGCCCTCGCTTTCCCGATAGCTGGTAAACCTGCGACGTGTGGAACATCTGACAAGTTCGTGTCAAATATGATGCCTGACAAAAACTTTGAGTTTGACAACCTAGCATACCTCGACCCCCGTCCGCAGAAGCTCGTTCGACGCACCCGCTTAACGCTGCTTGGCTGGCCAGCTAATCAATGCTCCACTTACGGCGTAGGGATAGTGAAGGCCGTTAGCCTGTCAGGGGCATTGACCACCATTGTAAAATGTCTGCATTCTACGAGCGAAGAATTGTTCGATGCCGTTCGATGCCTTTCGGAGCAATAATCTAACTGTGCGAGTGGGAAATTGGATTTCTGCGTCAGGGACTTGGCTTTGTGGAGCCATCCCGACACGACAGTCAAAAGCCCCAGACGGCACCTGTAACAGTCACACGGAATCCAGTGAAAGTTCGGTATCGGTTCGTGATCCCCAGTAGGCATCACGAAATTCTTAGGTCGGCCTCAGTTCGTTAACGATCAAGAGAATTGTCTGCCGCTAATGTTTCCAAGTCGTCTGGGAGTACTCAGCAAGCTGCATATTGAACCACTGATGGCGATCTGGATATTTTGTGGATCTTCAATGACAGGAATGAAAACACTCTTCGATCAGGCTTGATCACGGTGCTCTGTGTAGCCAAGATCAAATCGTTATTCCTATGTATCCATTGGTCGATTTAGTGGTTACCCATTAGCGGCAAAGTGTAGCCGGCCTAGGTCAGTGTTCGTACTCCGGACTCCGTAGATGTATTGGCATCTTCAGTGGAGAACCTGGGAGGCAACCGGCAGAACTACTTTGTCATAGAACATCTGAAAGGTGAAACTGCCAGTCGCGCATAGCTGCGTAGAGCTCTGGGAGCCGGACCCCAGGTGTTTAAGCCAGGGTCTTCCGTGTCCGGTGTCACATGTATCACCAGCATCAGATATGGATGAAGCAAGTTTCAACGTCCTGCAAGCGTCATCCATTTCATAGACACTGTGGTGAGCACTGTCAGCCTGTCACACTGTCAAACAGAAGAGAGAATCGGCTTTTGTGTTCTCCTTGGTAAGTCGCGTGGATTAGGAAAAGTCGGGCCTATGGTTGGTTAGTGGGACATGAGCTTGGTAGTGGCAGATTTGATTGAAAACAACGACAATCCTGCGATCTTTTCCACCTCATCATGGTTGGATCTTTGGGATGCTTCATGTGCTAGAGGGATCACGAATGGTGACGCAGTTTTTTGGGGGCGGGGGAAACTCCACAAGCCATTAGAGAACTAGTATGGCGAGTAGCTGCTAGAGTGTCGTTCGGAGAGCATACTGAATTGACTTTACCTGCCACGAACAGTAGTTACGCTTGGGGAGCATAAGCCACGATAGAAACCTTAGAAAGATTTCATTCCAGACAACTAGACGTTCGACAGCCGAGATTCAAATGAAGCCATTTTGTGTGAGCACGCCCCAGAGTGATGTGCCTAGGATTTCTTTACGCATTAAAGCAGCGTAGGCCAGATATTACACTGTGTTGTAGATAAGCAATACATAAGAACGTGTATAGTGGCACGCGAACACGTTTAAACAGAAGTAGGTCTTAGACGATGGTTACTGATTCAGAAATGGTAATGTGTAGTCTGCCTAAGGTAGGTAGTCGTACGGTTTAGAGGCACTAGTACGAGGTAACTCGGGTGCCAAGAAATGGTCCGATTTACTTTAACAGAGAAACAGTCACGTGCAGTCGCCCGCAATGGCAAACCAGGCCGTTTCGTGACCACGCGTCTGGCTTCCGTCATTCATTTGAGCGCCTTCATCGTCCAACAAGCATCCTAACTAAATCACCTCCCGGAGTAGTAGACTGCTCACCAACCCTCTGATCCTTCTTAAGATTATCCTGCCTCTGTTGTCCCAATCAATACGTTTCTAAGCTCTCTACAATGTCCGACACCCCATTGTTCAAGCCGGAAAAGGACCACTCAAAGGAAGCAGACAAAATATTACCAGAAGCGATAGCCTTGGCCCAGGTAACAGACTCAATCATTCCAGAGCAATCCGTTACTGACAGCTGTCTAGAAAGATGTCCAGAAAGGCATAGACAAAATTCTCTTGCTCGAGAAGCAGGCCCGACAGGTATGCTCATCACTGCACCTCCATCCACACCCACGAACAACAACTGACCACAATTTGTACAGTCCTCAGATCTTGCCACAACATCAAGATGTTTAGAAACAGTCGTCAAAATCTGCAAAGACGCCGGCGACTGGAGTTTGCTGAACGAACAAGTCCTCCTACTCTCCAAGAAACATGGTCAACTCAAGCAAGCCATTACCAAAATGGTTCAAATTGTCATGGGCTTTCTCGATGACACCCCCTCCTTAGACACAAAGCTCAGCGTCATCGAGGCACTGAGGACGGTGACTGAGGGCAAGGTTTGTAGGCCCCGCAAACATTGCGACATCCAACATTGCTAACACTCCCCTAGATCTTTGTCGAAGTTGAACGCGCGCGGATCACACGGATCTTATCAAACATCAAAAAGGAGCAAGGAGATATCAAGGCCGCTACAGACATCCTTACCGAGCTACAAGTCGAAACATTTGGTTCAATGAGCAGGAGAGAGAAAACAGAGTTCATCCTTGAGCAGGTGGCTTTGTGTATACAGAATGATGATTGGGTGCAAGCCGGCATCCTCAGCCGCAAGATCACCACCCGTTACTTCGCACGAAAACCCAAAAAGACCCCCGAGCAGATCGAGAAGGATAAGAAGGCACGCGAAGAGAAGGAGAAATCTCGCTCGGCAGACGATCCACCAGTCGAGAAAGATGACGATGTGACCGACTTGAAGTTGAGATATTACGAGCAACAAATAACTCTAGCCAAGCATGAGGACAAGTACCTTGAAGTCTGTAAGCATTATCGACAAGTCCTGGACACCGAGTCTGTGGAGAACAACCCCGAACAGTTACATGCAGTCCTCCAGAGAGTCATCTACTTCGTCCTCCTTGCACCATACGACAACGAACAATCCGACCTCCTCCACCGGGTACATCAAGACAGTCGAAATGCCGAAGTCCCCAAGGATGCTGCTCTTCTCAAACAATTCACCATCCCCGAGTTGATGCGTTGGCCAATGGTGGAGGAACAATACGGAGAACATCTCACCGGCACAGACATCTTCTCCAAGACCGCCGACTCCAAAGACCCCAAAGCACACACTCGATACGAAGCCCTCCGACACCGAGTCATCGAGCACAATGTTCGTGTTGTGGCCAAATATTACACACGAATCACATTCCCACGCCTGACCGAGCTCCTCGATCTCTCGGAAGAAGAAACCGAGAAGTACATTTCAGATTTGGTGACCAAGAAGACGGTATATGCAAGAATCGACCGACCTGCGAGAGTGGTCAGCTTCGAGGTGAAGCGTGGACCAGACGAGGTACTGGACGAATGGGGCAGCAGCATGAAGGGCCTACTTGGCTTGCTGGAACGTGTTGGCCATCTCATGCAGCGAGAAGAGATGATGGCGCGCATCCAGCCTGGCACCAAGGACGATGGCCGCAAAGCTGCCAAGGCATGAGGAGGATCGCTGAACACTTGCTGTGCATGTGTCGAAGAAAGATGCATGCACGGCCATGTAATCTAATAGGACGTTGGACTCGGGCTTGCATTTGAGTCAATCATGGATGGGAAGAAAACCGATCCTGATTTGATCATGGTCACGGGTGGTCACACGGTGTTTGTACCAAGAATCCAGATCTGTTCTCGGGCAGGTATCATCTTACCTAGACAGCCGAATAAAGACAACATCGGGTTTAGAGATTGATCAACTCTATTCCCGATATTGTGCACGATCGAACTGCCGTTCAGCTTGCAATGACTATTTGAGAATGTATGCTCGGTCACCATCAAAACAAGGTCACAGTTTATCTTGCAAATAACTAAGGAGACTCGTTTCATTCATATCATATACGTTTTGCCCATGCCGATCAAGCTTGACAGTGTTTTCCTCAACACATGTATGTGCTAGCCACCCACAAGCCACCCATTGCCCGTAAAGTGGGAGAGGGACATCCAGGCCCTCGATCCCAGTATCCGTGTGCCCAGACATGCAAACATCTCATCATATAAATACCAGTTTTCCATGGAGTTGCCACCAACGCCACTACCTCCCACCACTGGCCAGATAAGTCTCCTTCTTCAACTGATCATCCACCGAGACCACGATCTCTGTGGCCTGACCATGCTCCAACCCACCCGATTTTCCAGCACCGGTAATCCTCCACACCCGCTTCATAGCGGCCCATCCAATAGCCAAACAAACCACATGACCGAGATACACGAACGCAATGAGCCACGCGACGACCGTCTTGGCAATGCTCACTTCATGGATGCCGTACATGAAGTGTCCGCGGACCTGGATCGGGCAGAGGTCCTGGCGCGTGCTGTTCAAGGGCGGCAGTTCGCAGTGCATCCAGAAGCCAAGCGTGGTCAGCCAGCCGGCGGCGAGAAGGCTGGATGAGGTGAGCAGCACGATGTATGCCAGACGTTTGCTGAGGTGTTGCGGCGTGTGGTGGTGCATTATTAGCTCGAAAGTTAAGTGGATCAAGCTGATGGCGGGGGTGGTCAGGGTGTAGAATAGCAGGGCGGTTTGGGGCTCTGTGTTGTCACGGTCTTGAGACGTGGTGTCATTGGAGTTCTGTTGCGGGTCTTTACTGGCGGGAATTAGGTCGGTGTCGTCTTGTCGTCGAGTAATCTCGGTGATGGTGGTGGTATTGGTTGGGGCGAAGACAAAGTAGGTGTCATTTGATCGGCGGGAGAAGATGGAGCCGTCGACTTCGGCACTGCTGTCAACGGCGAGTTGGTCGGCGATTGACGTGTGTGGTTTTGCCACGCAGTATGCGTAGATGGCACCCAGGATCAACGTGGTGAAGACTAGCATGACTGTCACGGGAATGACAATGGTGCGGAACTTGTGCAGTCGGAGAAGAGCTGGATGTCGTGGTCGAGATGGCAGCTGCTGATCTGACGATAGAGGATCTGATGATGTCTCGGTGTCGGTGATTGCAGGGGCTCGAGTGAGTGGTCGAGGATTGGAGATGGGAAAGACATTGCCATCGCTGACTCTTCGTGTGGTGATACGCATAATGATGAGATTGGGCACTGAGATTAGAGATTATGACCGATGATAGAGATGCAGTGGTATACGGGTATTCTGCTGATGACAAGGAAATGTATAGCGACCAGCGCAAGGATATATCAGAAGCAAAGGAAGTGAGACTCAACAACGCCAACACAATTCCAGTTCAAGTCAAAGATGGGATAGGAGAAACAAAGGAAACGAAGCAGAATAAACACTAGAGGATCTCAGGCTGCAAACACGCATGATATAGGAAGTATCATGGAGTCTGTTCATTACCTTGATTTCTGCCTTGGATGGTGTTGTGGGTACTTACCGCCATAATTGACCATGTGGTCCAGCGGCTGCTGGGACGAGGACAATCGGCTGGATGTCAGTCTCCGGCAGTGTTCATTGAGAGCCGCACAAGGCAAATCTTGGTAGAGTCAACGGGTCGTCCATGACCAGTACCTGTGTTATTGTGGGTGGGTTGTGTGGTCTCGAGGTTGGCCAAGATGGATCAGTTGAGGTTGTGGTACTGAGCTGCTATTATTATCGTCGCGGTTAACAGCGTTGAACACTGAGGTGTGCTCATGGCCAATGAATCATTTGATTCAAGACAAAGTCTCGACGACCGTTGGCGTCATGGTCTTTGTCGCCTGATAGCGGCTAATCCTGGCTGTGCTGTTTGAAGGGGCGAGGAACGAGGAGTGTTTCGTGTCTGAAATGTTTCATGTTGATCTTGCCGCCTTGGAGGTCACATGATTACTTGGCTACCCCGGTTAAAGTGGCATGGTCTATTTCAGGCTCTCCAGTTTCAGGCTTTGAGCCCTTCTACACCATGACTGAAGTCAGCTTATTCCACCAAAACAATAGACTACAGGCTATGAGTCTTATGAGTCACTTCTGATACATATATAAACGCACTTGCACTCTTCGAGCCGCAAAACACGGACTCGCAACCCACCATGCAAATATCCCACCGCCACACAAACGAATACGCATCTTGATCAACTCAATGGGGGCTCGGGATCTAACTAAATCTGTGGGCCGCGGATATGCGGCACAGTCTTTAAGTCTGAAGCTCCTTGACAGCCAGTCTCGGTCGGCATTTGGCATCCAGGCATCATTGTGCCCTTTCGGTTGTCGGTTGAGCGGTACCCAAACATGGCAGTTCTCCTTTGCAACCTCCTCTTTGAACCCTGCTAGAATTAATCATCAGAATCTCCATCATGCAAAGAGGTACCCCATAATTTCCTTGTACGAACGGTAGGTGCGGATATCATTTTTACTTGGATTTGCAGGTTGCATTTGTGTACAACCGCGGTCTGGAGATGACTCAATCCTTTCTGCATTTGCCTCCATCTTATTACTTTCCACATTAGGGCTTCGGTCCTGAGGAGTCCTCCATGGATTCAATATTCGTCAAATGCTCGTGAATCTCGTTCTGCAAACCCATTGACTATTTCCTTTTCTCTTTGGCCTTGTACGGGGATGTCTTCCATTAGACTTTGAAATATTAACCTTCCACCTCGGCCACCAATACTCTTGCTTCGACGTCACCGCTGGGCCTTAAAAAGCCAGCGTTTCTCTCTAACAGAAGACCAACGCACGACCTGCCACGACAATGAGCTCCTCCACCATCGTGGATGAAGAAATGGAAAAAGAAAACCGAATACTCGACGACACGCTGCCAACCGGATACAGGCTTCAACCAATAAGAACGCATTCGACGATTTCTCAAGCACTGGATGCCGAAGCCAACATTAATCAATCTTCTCCTTCAGAAAAAGTCAACATCTCCACCCTCGAGAATGGCCGTGACGACAGCCCCAGCCCTCCACCAGACGGCGGCTTTTACGCTTGGCTTCAAGTCTTTGGATCCTTTTTCCTGTTCTTCAACTCTTGGGGAACCGTGAATGCTTTCGGGGTGTTCCAGACATATTACGAAAACAACCCATTATGGAAAGAAACGCCCAGCAACATCTCATGGATTGGGTCGATTCAAGCATTCCTGCTTCTGATCGTGGGGGTCATGACTGGTCCTCTTTTCGACGCTGGTTATTTCCGCGCTCTGATAACCGCAGGAGCAGTGCTCATCCCTCTCGGCTTCATGATGACTTCAATCGCCAAAACATACTGGCAGACCATGCTTGCACAAGCTTTTCTCATCGGACTTGGAAACGGCTGTCTCTTCGTTCCCAGTGTGGCACTTCTACCACAATACTTCTCGACGAAAAAGGCCCTCGCCAATGGCTTGGCAGCTGCTGGCTCAAGCTTTGGTGGTGTCATTTATCCCATTGTCTTCCGCCGTTTGGAGCAACAACTTGGCTTTGGGTGGGCGACCCGTGTTCTTGGCTTCATCTCGTTTGCTACCGTTTGGTTCTCAGTACTAGTCATGAGGCCTAGGGTGATACCCAAGCAAAAACGTCATTTGACCGATCTTGCAGCATTCAAAGAACTCCCATATACTCTCTTTTGTATCGCTATGATGTTCGGATTCATTGGGTTCTATGGGCCAGTCTACTACATCCAACCGTATGCGATCGGCAAGGGGATCACAGGAGTCGGCCTTGGCTTCTATATCCTGCCCATCCTCAACGCAGCGAGTATTCCCGGTCGCATTGTGCCCAATTTCATCGCAGACTACACGGGGCCATTGAATATCCTCATTCCCTGTTCCTTGATGACTGGAATTCTGGCTTTTATCTGGATTTCAATCGAAAATCTCGGGGGAACCATCGTCTTTGCCATTTTATATGGTTTCTTCTCTGGCGGCTTCGTGTCCATGCCACCTGTTGCCATTGTCACACTGACGAAAGATATGTCCAAGCTCGGTACAAGAATGGGCCAGTGCTTCGTTTTGAGCGCCTTTGGTTTATTACTGGGAACTCCAGTTTCTGGCGCAATCTTGAAAAGCACAGGCAGTTGGCTGGGTGTCCAGTTGTTCTCGGGTGTCACCATCGTCCTTACTGGCTTACTACTGCTGTGGACCAGGATAGCTGTGGTTGGTGTGTCAATTAAGAGAAGAGCTTAAATGCGTGTGTTTGACTTGGGGCTGCATTCTTCTCCGACTCGAGCGTTCCTCTAGATAACAGCATGCGTGAAGACTGCATCTGGAGTTTCAAGGCACTGTATCCTAGTGTACAAGCCCTTTCTGCTTGGTGTGAGACATTGGAAGTATTTTTCGCTCGACGGCAGACACATGACGGGCGGTGTTCAGCAGAGCCTCCAAGCGGCTGAGCCCCATCTCCTGGTACAATAAGAATCTCGTCGATTTCTTCGAGGATGATTCCAAAAGAGGATGATCTCATATCCAGCCTCCTATCATTGAGTACCACCTTGCTCCTGGAGAAACCGTGGTATGATCACAGAAAGAAGAGCTGAGATTACTTGTCTAGCACGCGTCTCTGCTTTGCGGACTGTTCTCATCGTTGCATGTAGTATAAAACAAGCTCCCCAGGGAACGCCCAAAAGCCTTGGACAATACAATGGATCCAGAAACACCTGAAAAGCTAGTTTGCTGCTGTTCGGGTTTGTCTCGACATTCTCCATATTGAAGTCCGATGGATCTTGGATCTTGGATCTTGGATCGACGAACCATGTAAGTTGATGCAATCGGCACACAAGTGTAGATCCACCTTGCCGCCAAGCGAATTAGGCTTGGGAATGATCTAGGGATTGCTCTCATCTCTGAGAAAGAATTCAACGCCATGTCAAAATGATAGCACTAGGGGGAAACAGAAATAGGTAGAGGGGACTCTAAGACTCGTCCAGGGTCTCCATTTTTACTATCTATCTACCAAGCGACCTACCTACAGGCATGCAATCCATACATATTCTCAACCTTAAGACCCTTTTCTTTCCTCAGGTAGACATCGGGGTACCACGTACGTAACTTTGGAATGCACACGCACACACACCCACCACGCCCAGCACCAGTCTACCCACCAACTACACGACGAGTCGTCCGCCGCCTCAAACTAGGTACTCTCGTTGTGATCGAGTCGAGTCAGCCCACCCTAATACGTGCAAAAATGAGTCAAAGTACCTGCGAAGAAGCACATTCTGGGAACAACCAGTGGGTGGCGACTTATTCCTGGACTTCGGTGTTTCCCTCCCCTCTGAGTGCCAGGATCGGAATGGAACGCACAAGGACGGGATGGGTATAGAGAGTATGGATGAGGTGGGAAGATGGGATATGATGGCGGTATTGGGAAGCTGCGGGTTGTTCAGACGTGGATTGAGAAAGACCAGAATGTGATTTCGACTGGTGGATTGGATGTATAGTACAGTCACATAATTGGCGCAGCTGTGTGGTAGCTACTTCTCTCTCCTGAACGGGCCGCACATCCATCGATTCACGTTTCAATAGCGGATGAAAACAGACCAACAAGTCTCAAATCGACATGATAATCGCCATCATCATCATCATCATCATCATTATCACCAATCCCGAACATGGATCAAATTCAGCCAGTTCACAACCCCCATCGCCTTGATCAGATTCCCTTTGAGATCCAAATGGACGCCGTCATACTTGGTCGACTGAATGCTCATGTTCCAGGTCCCGAGGGTGTCGACGCCACGTTTGCCCGCTTCCACCCGGACGCTCTCTTCAAACACCATGAGCGCCTTGTCGCCCTGGCTGACGAGCCACGCGTCGGGTTTTCTGACGCCCGCCGAGTTGGGTGTGATGTAGATGCGGGGCCAGAGGGGTGGGCGGGCGTGTTTGTGGCGACCAGAAGGATTGAGGTAGGGAGCTTTCTCGAGTGTGTGGTCAAGGATCCCGTCGAGCCAGTTCAGCGAGGCTTGGATGTCGAGGTCATTCCACAGGCCGTGGCCGAATACGAACGCGTAGGGTTTTTTGGGTTTCTTCGACGAGAGGAGGTCTTGGAATCGAATTACTTCGGTGGGGTCAAGTGGGAAGCGAAGCATCATTTCGATGACGAGGTTGATGGGTTGACTGCAGGCGAGCGAGTCCGGGTCATTTTCGAGGACGGAAGATGTGCTGAAGATGCCTTGGACAGAGCATGCTTTGACGTCCATCTGGTGGTTGCAGAAACAGTCGAGGCTGTTGATTTGTTCACGATCAGTGACTGGATATTTCAATTGATGCGAGCTGGAAGATAAAAACTCACGTTTCTTGATCATTGAAGTTCCAGTTGGTGACAGCCCCGTAGCCGAGATCTCTGCGCAGAAGAACATTTAATGCTCCGACAACATGTCTCATCATACTGTCACCCACCACAATGACCTTTTCGAATCGAGAAAAGATCTCACAGATTTCTTGGGTGGTGAACCAGCGCATATCACAATCCAGGGGGATGAAAGGTCGATTGAACCCAACACGGCCGCCGCCGGAGAAGGCACGAATGAATTCCTCGCTTGTCCTGCATAGTGGTGAGAAAGCGGAATGAAGATCCAGAGACGAGATCTGGCAGTCAGTGTGGTTGCGGTAATTGTAGTTCAGGAAGGTGTCGATGGTGTCTGGTGCGCGGTAGGTGGTGTTTTCTGGTGGTGGAAAGGCTGGTCGAGAGGCCGTATGGGGGTTATACTCGAATTCGGTGTTGGCACAGGAAGAGAAGCCGAAAAAGGCTGCGTCCTACCACGGATGTCAGTTGGAATGGTGGTTGAAGCTTGGATTTGGTGACGTGAGAACTTACTATGACTTGGTAGTGGATCAGGGTGAAGAGGCCCAACCAAACCAGGAAGCAGGCGAGTGTAGAGTGAAGAATTGCCCTGTTGAGCAAGCCACAAGCCCCATTTATTCTGCGAACCATGACGGCGAGTTATGAAGTCGTTGATGGACGGAGGCCGAAGGTGTTGGTACAGGACAAGGCCGTCACTCACAGGAAAGAACTTGGCGAGAAGCACGGCGGAGGAGGAACATTGATCCTTGAAAGATATGCAACGAGGCCTTGATGATGCAGGCGGACGACATCAGGGCAAGGTAGCGACGCTGGTATAAACAGTCGGTACTTCAGTCGATCCTCACCAGGTAGATATCATGTCCAACGCATTCTTCACAGAGGGCGGTGTAAACTCAGATCAATACTTCAGGTGGCGATGGCTCTTCTCCCACCTCAGGACTAATTATCAAAACACAACATGAAGGATGAGTACAAGGAACAAAAAGGGGCGGCCTCGTGTTGGTATATAATCTCATTCAATGCTTGACCCATACAATGCCTGTTGAGCTGCGACCATCCCCCACGAAATTCCCATGTCGTGCGGTCTCAAATGGATGCGCCCAGGTAGATGCTGGCCTGGATTTTGCTTGTTGTACAACTTGAATAGCTCAGGAGCAAGTAAGGGACTTCTTTTCCTGCTCAGTCAGTGGTTTTGCTCAATCGAAAACCGAAATTAGGTTTTCATCAGCCAGCAAAGGATCTATTGATGTGGATAGAGCCGCGGCCCTTAGGCTGTTTGTCGTAAGGCATCGAGGCATGTGCCTTGCCAATGGGGGACCATGATGTTAGATTTTCTTTCCAATCATGTTGATGATGCTGCCGCAAAGTGACTTCTAGCAGTTTTTGAATTGGCAAGCTTGCTGTCAGTCTGCGATTTAACTCCATAGCCGAATGCACCATGACCAGCCGTCCGATGTGGCCTGGGCTTTTGTTCATGTTGGGTGCGTATAGGGATGGTTGTGACCCTGCATGTTGGGACAGGCGCAGTGTTGATGCGGACATAAATTCTGATGCTTTCCTGGACGTCGGACATGGTAGTTGGACCGATAGCGAGGCAAGTTTGTCCGATCGTATACTGGTTGTGAGACATTCTCAGTCTGTGCATCGTCGATTTGATTTCAGCCTTCCAGTATTCGCGGAGGGAAATTCAAGACTGGTTTAATTTCCAATCAGGTTTTGACGCCTGCGCCAGCGGCAGAGTCTTCTGGATCCGCAACTCGATGACTTCGCCTTCATCCTCCCACCTCTTTGCCTCACGCCGCGCCTTTTCCAACCCTGAGGACTTCCCGATTCCCAGACTCAACAAACCCGAACCATTCTGAACCTCATCCACTTTCTTGACAGCATACCGCGCCATCTCGCGTGCCATGGCCTTCCAGTTCTGCAGACCCGTCTCAAGACATTGACGACAAGTTTCCCGTCCGTCGTTCACAGCCTGCTCATCCATCACCCACATGACGGCTTCGGCGGCGTCAACACTATCTCTAGTCCAGCCGAGTCCTTTTTCGCGTTCGCTCTCACTTGTCGCAAATAGGATTTCGCCAATGTACGTCATCAGTGCGACTTCTTCGCAGGCTTCTTTCAGCGTGTGGTAGGGTCGCTCGTCTCCCGTTGGTGGTGCCGGTGGGTAGGGTCGCTCGACCAGTACGTCTTTCAGGGCGGAGACATATACCATCACCGGAGAATCGTCCCGTTTCGGTCTTTGCTTCTCGCCTGTTGCTCCGAAAGGCGAAGGTGGTAACGACTTTCTCGCTCGGAGGACACTGAGGAAGATTGGGAGCGCTTCTTTCACACGCCCAGTTCTCGCATGGTGCACTGCGAGTGCGGTGGATGCTCGCAGAACATTATCGGTGACATCGTGATCGTGGGCTTTGTTGATAACGCCCGAGTTCAGATCTACCACGGATCCCCTGATATTTGCTGGTAGTGCCCGAGAGGCGATCATGACACCTCGTTGATACCACTTATCTGAGACTTCCACTTCGCCCGTAAACTCGATCCAGTCGGCATAAGCCAAGGCGGCATCAAGCCTTTGCCGTGTCGACAGACTCTCGGTGGTTAGAAGCTTCTCATAGAAGAACTGGGGCGATGGGAAAGCATCTTCAACCTCGTCAGCGGTGGGTGGATTGATATGAGCTTTATTCCTGTCCCACGGTAAGGGTTTAGGACGTGGATTATCCGGTCCAGGTATACATTCGCGAGGGTAGATTTTGCCCTTCGGATCGTCTTTCCTCCTACACATGCCCTGTAAATGTTCTGCAGCTCGAGCTGCAGCCATCAAAACATTAATGTATCCTCGCTGCCATTGCTCACTTTTCGCACTGATATCCAGGCCATCGCCCTCATCAGAAGCCGAAGAAGCGGTAGCACGAACCAAATGCTTCCCGTCGTACTTCTCACTCTCCAACCTCTCTAATAGCTGCGTATAGTAGACACCGACCTTTCCCCAATCCGTCAGAACACGGTGAATCTTTGCCTCGTCATCGAGCTCAGTGTATCTGGCCATGCGGTATTCCCAGCGAGACCAGAAGCTCCAGTCTGGTGGGGTCGGATACTCCGATTCAAGTTTGACATGCTTGAGCCCGTTCATGACAACCACAATGAGGAAGATGGAGGGCCACAGGTAGCTGTGGAAGCGAACCTGGCGCCAGAAGTTGTCTTTCCATCTTTGCTTGCGCTCCGTCGAGATAAATCGCCCGACTTGTGTTTGTATGATGTTGGCTCGAGAGACAGTATTGAGGAATGGGAGCTGAGGCCGCGGGATAGGTCGAGCAACAAAAAGGAGCGAGGGTCTATGGGTGAAGGATCGTGGGCGAGGAGGAGTGGAATGATGGAGTGGGTGGAGAGCAGATTGTCGAGTTATGACCCGCGTAGAAGCCATGATGGCTCGGGCAGGGCGCTGGAAGTTCCCCCTATGTCATCTTCATAAAGCCCGGACTGTCGAAGAACAAGGAGCATTTATCGACAGTGCTTCCAGATCCCAAAGGCTAGTATGCTCTATGATTCCGAGACGCAATCGATCTGAAGCGGAGAAATCAAGGGACGAAAACGCCACAGGTGTTGACGCCACATCCTGGCAGGTGGCTGTGCACAATGATTCCTTACGGTGTAATCCAAGTTCCGAGATATCTGGAAGTCTCAGTGGATTATGATTGAATTTTAATCATCTCGGCCAGTGGAGACTGTTCATTGAACATTGATGTAGATGAGCTGATTGTAGGCAGCAGTCTCTTTACTATCTCTATCACTGCACTATTTGTAGAATGAGCCATGGCTCTCGCTGCCCAGCAAATAACTGTTCCTTGCATTGTTGATAACAGCTACCAGTCCATGGCAATATGCTGAGAAGAATGTAATGGTAGACCTAATGTTGAACCTTGGTGGTTCCGACCCTAGCTTGAATGTGTGTGTGGATGCGTCCAATCAATCGCCCACTACAAAATCCTATGTAACAATGCTCCCGGGTGCAACGAGTACACGTAGACAAAATGAAACCATAAGTTCCCCCGTTCCATAACGACCAGCTTCTGTGGCATGGTCTGACCTCCTTAAACTCCGCGCTCACTGCTCGTTGGCAGACTAATGGTATCCACCATATCATCATGAGGTAGTCCGTAAAATGGACCAGATCCCTGGTTTAGCACTGACCCGGGTCAATCTGAGTGACCCTCTAAACCCAAAACACCACTAGAATCATGCTGGAGCCTCATGTCATTTTATCTATACCAGTCATGTTCTATGCCATTCGTACTTAATCGATGCGGTTGAACCTGAGTAAAACGGCGTTTCATTGAGTCATAGTCACATCCTGATCAATGTCGTCTTCTTGACTTCCTTGGATGCCCACCGCTTGTGAAGTCGTCTCCGCTGGTGTCACAGTCACAGGTATGATGTCCATTGCTGAAGGTAGTGCTGGTAGGGGGCGCTGCCGGTCTGAACCCGCGCTTGACATCTCTGGTCGTAATTGTTGTGCGGCATCTGATTCGGCAAGTGCACGGAGCATAGCGTCACGATGTGCCTCTTCCTCCATTCTCGATTGTGACACTTCTCGACTTCGTGCCTGTCTGGAAGATCGACCTGCATTTTCACCCTGGCTTAGAGGTGTGGATGTGTAACTTCGAGGAATGAGACCCGCAAGCCTGCTTCGGCTATTGACCCGAGAGACATGAGGGCTATTAGATCTCGATGGATGACGGCTTCCGGATCGACTGGCAGGAATCGTCGACATGATGGCTTCATGATTCGCATCAAATGCACTGAAACCTGGTTCTGGTCGAAGATTGGATACTCGCACATCACCAGGATTTCGGAAAGCGGCTCCAGGAACATGTCGACGGGGATGTTCAGGTGCAAACGCGTTGGTATTCGGCCATGCTGGGTATTGCCTCACATCGTCAACGTCAAAATATCCAGCCCGAGGGTCATGTCCATAATCAGCAAGCTCTAAAGCTCGAGAACTGCCCTCCCCATAGCCATGCATGGGAACAGGGGGAGCTCCAAAAATACTTGAACCAGACTCCAGTGTATGCCGTCGTGAGGGGGTTCGAGATGTGCTTCTTGCACGTTCTCTGTACGCATTGTACTCGGCTGCAATCTCGAAACCGAGGGAAGGTCCGGGACTTCGAGATCGATGGTCGAAGAGACTGGGATGGTCGAAAGTGGTCGAATGGATGAGATTCAAGTGCGGAGGTGCCAACGCAGCTCGAGCTTCAGGGGTGAATGGTTCACCGGGTGTCCAAGGACCCATTTGCTGCATTTGATCAAAAGGAATTAGTGGCATGTCGACATGATAACTTGGCATTTCATGCAAGCTTCTAGGTCGGGGTCTCGAACGTGGAGGGTTGTCAAAGGGCAAGCCATGTCGATGGGGGTTGAGCACAGGGTCCATGAGCTGATCATTTCCATCAATGGTTCCATCGTCTGACATGGTATCCGTACCAGGACTATCCACCCCATCCAGTAGGTTGTCGTCAATCACATCGCGGCCTTCTCTTTGTGCTTCATCCACGGCCATTCGCATGAGGTATTCACGAAGTCGCTGAACACCCTCGCCAGAGAAGACGCAAAATACATCTCGCTGGGGATGTGTAAACTCGGCAGGGGCATCTCGGCAAAACCGAGTCAAATCTTCTCGCAAGAAGGCTTGCACTCCCGTCAGTGACAGGTGGGTCAATCTTGGACAATTGTGAAGAAGCGCGGTAATACCCTGTATTCACGGTTAGATCTGCTGAGAAGTTATGGACGAGATGCTTACCTTCAAGGTCAAGTTGATGCAATAGCTGAGATGTACCCGCTCCAGAGATACAAACTGTGAAGGAACCCCGATTTTACCTGTGGGACTAAACAACAGGGGGCCATGTGCCAATGCCATTATGCTGGAATCGGTCAAATTCTGGCATTTGACCAGACCAATTCTCCGCAGTTTGGGAAGCTGGGCCAGATGGCGTACACTCGCGTCGGTCAAACGAGAGCAGCATGCTAGGTCGATGTATCTGATACGATTGCATGCTTTGACCAGTTGGATGACTGCACTATCGGTCAAGTTGATGCAATGACCAAGATGAATGTAGTGCAGGTTTTTGGTCAACTTGCAAATTGAAGCGACTGCTCGGTCGGTGATATGTCTGCATTTAGCCAAGACCAAGTTCCTCAATCGTGGGGCGGCAGGTATGATGCGAGCAATTGCATCATCGCGAACTGCCTCGCAAGCTGTCAAGTCCAGGATCCTCAGAGCATCAAAGGAGAGTCGGGGAGGTAAATTGGTAAAGGCCAGGTCATTAATCTCTATACAGTGGGCGAGGCGGAGTTCACGTAGATGTGAGAGGTTTGATAGTAGAGCAGTGACTGATTCGGAGGAGATGGAGTGACAACCAGCGAGGTCGATCTCAAGAATGGAACGACAATTTCTCGCGACAGCAGTGATGGAGAGATCAGTGGCGCGGATGACACCATTGAGCTTCAAACGCTTGAGTTGTCTGCAGCGTTCGGCGATATTGACCAAGGAGTCATCTGTGATATTGGAGCAGTTTGTGATGTTCAAGCCTTGGAGTTTGACACAATTGTCTGCCACAGCATGTAAAGTTCGATCGGTCAAGGCGTCCAAATCGGTCACATCCAGAGCCTGAAGCTTCCTGCTGCCATTGACAAGACCAGAGACGCCAAAGTCGGTCAATTTGGAGCAGTTGGTCAAGGTCAAACGTTCGATGGCCTTGCAGGTCATAAAAGGTAGCACGGTGCCATCGTTGACTTTGTCAGCAATTGCAGACAGGTTCAAACGTTTAACCATTTCGTGGTATGGAAAATAACTCTTTTCTCCTTTGCTCAGAGCAGCCACCACACTGACCAGATTGATCCACTTGTTGCAGAGGGGCCGATGCCATAATATGCCAACGGTGTAGAGTGCCCAGTGGTAGGAAACCAACATACAGCTTCTCAGATCGGCGGTTGTGGTGAGTTTTGTAATGATGGCAATGAGGATTTCGGGAGGGAGCTTGGAGATGGGAGATAGTCGATGGGCTTGTTCGAGGTCAATGTCGTCGTCGCAATCACGGATGGCTGTGACAGCTCCCAGTGAGGATTGGGAGTCATTGGCATGGGCCATGAAGTAGTCGGTGTCTTCATCGTCTCCTGGACATGGAGAGCTGTCCGAACTAGAGGACTCGACGGTGACTGAGCTCAAATTACGAGTGTGGATGGGAGATAGACGTTGTCGTGGTTCGGTGGCCATGTTTGCCGCGATCAGGCTGGAGGGGGAAGGGTGGTTCCGGAAAGGGCGATGGAGAGTGGCTTATTAAGGTGGCCACTGTCGCGCAAGCCCACGGGGATTTGATCAGATGCTTTCACGCAAGTTGGTGAATGACGATGTGCATGGCGCAATTGACGAGAGAGGGAGTGAAGAGAGAATGCCAACTGGGTGGTCAGAGGGTGGTGGTGGTGACAGGTTGCGGTTGCAGGAGGGTTGGGGTGAAAGAAGGGACGAGTTCAATGAGACGCAAACGGTAGTTCAGATGGTGGTAAAGTGCAAACCATGTCCTCGAATGCGTCTTGGAAAACCCAGGGGCAGAATGAGGTGTTTGAAGTTCGTGGTCGTGGTCGATTCGTGTGGGTGCGATAGGAGAGATGACTCGGAGTTGGAAATCGAGGTGCAGGTGGTCGACAGCGGTGACAGAAATCAAAGCGGTAGCAGTGGCAGTGGCAGCAGTGGCGGGTATGTCAGGAGAACACGAGACGCGCAGGAGCAGCAGCAGGAGCAGGAGCAGGAGCAGGAGCAGGCGTGGAATTAGGTCAATGCGATGCAGATGTCGAGGTGTTGGTTGAGGAGTTGTAGGGATGGTGATTGAAGGGAGAGGGGTGGTTGAGCGAGATGGAAGGAAGAGATGGAGTTGGTTGTTAGGGTTGGTGTTGAAGTCGGGGAGTTGGCCAGTGTTTGCGGTGCAGTGGCAGTTGCAATAATGGAAGTGGAAGTGGAAGTGGACGTGGGAGATGCGGTGTTGGAGTTGGTTAGGGACAGTACCTGCGGATAAGGGCGGGCTTTCAGGCACTTTGGGGTACCATATGACCATGGGGCACAGAGTTACAGCGGGTGTGCCTTGTCAATTCTACTCCTACAGAGCCTCGTCCGGCGTTGAATGCCTAAGAGCCGCCTAAGGTATTGTGGTTCTGGTACCTTAGGTACCTAGCCTGAATGCCAAGGACCCTTTGGCGCCGGTTCAGGGATCTTGGGCTTGGGAGCTGCCACGGTGCTTCGTCACTTGGAGGCTCAGTCCGATGATGACTATGACCACTGGGCGGTCTGATAAAGAACTATTGGTGGTTAAATAGATGGAGGAATCCTGACGTTTTCCATTCCAGAGACATCATGACGGTAATACCTAGGTACCTACCTAGGGTGCCTACCTCAACCTCGTACTCCGGCATACCACTTAATTACGGAGGATTTTATTAGCGAGTGGAGGTATGTATCTACTTGTATATCAGATCGAGTTTGAAACGCCGAACTACCAATTAGGAATAATGAACAGCACCACTCGGTACTTCGTGAAGATACCTAATAATCATGGTATTTCATATCAATTATTGAGCTGATCAGGCTCGTCCGAAATCAATCCGCTGGGCCACTGCAGTTCATGGCATTCATCACGCTCAGGCTCTCCCAACCTGAACTGTCATGACGTGTCCAGCGGGCATTATAATCTCCGGCTTGCCGATATTGGATAGGTATGTACCGACTGTAGAGGTATCTAGAGGTATCTCGGTTCGACCCTCGGAAGCGATAAGACTTCTTCTGTATGTACAAATCTCGATACTACTGTACCTACATTCATGGTAAAAGAGTACATATCCTCCCAACCTTGTATATGTAACCTTGTAATCTCTGCAAAGAATGGCGAAAAGCATACAGTGTTCCCTTCTTATCGCGGCATGCTCAGTCACCTCGTTCTGATCAAACACGGGTATAACATCAAGAGAGCCCAGCCCAAGTAATACCAAGGTAGCCAATATAGACAAGACAGATCGATAGCTCCTCACTCCCCCCCTCTAGGCTTACCTTTGGCCCAATCCCTCAAGATATTCTTCCTAATCTTACCCGTACTGGTCTTGGGCAACTCTGGCACAATCTCGACTTCCTTGGGCACCATGAATCTACTGATGCCTTTATGTTCACGTGCCCACTTGATGATATCCTCCCCTTGCACGCTGGCTTCTGATTTGATTGTGATAAAGGCTTTGGGCACCTCTCCCCATTTCTCATCCGCGATGGCCGCAATTCCGCATTCCAGAATGTCGGGATGAGTGGCCAATATTGATTCGAGGGCGACCGATGAGATGTTCTCGCCACCTACATGCCCCATGTTGTTAGCAGATGATCTTCTCCTTGGGTTTTCTTCTCGTCCTAGCACTCACCTGAAATGATGATGTCCTTGGCGCGATCAAGAATCTGCACCGCTCCATCTGGATGCCACACGGCCAAATCCCCAGAATGTTGCACGCCCCCAAGATAGAGCTTCCTCGTCGCTGCCTCGTCTTTGTAATACCCACGCGCGCAAATATTGCCGTTGAACACGATCTCACCAATCTCCTTACCGTCCTTCTTGACATCCTCGATCACGCCTTCGGGGACTTCGGTCTTGATCACTCGCACTGCAAGTGACGTTACGAGTCCATGGCCCTGCCGTGCCATTTTGGCATACTTGTCTTTGATATTTGGATATTCATGCCATTCGGGCAGAATATATCCTTTCGTGATGGGCCCATACGTCTCAGTCAAACCGTACACATGGACCGGGTGCAGATTGAAGTTGGTCATCTGCTCAAACAGATGTGCAGTGGGAGGACTGGCCGCAACCGTGACGCGGACTGGCTGTGGGAGCTTCGCGGCATTCTTGTCGGCGCAAAGCAGTGTGTTGACCGTCGGGGCTGCACAGTAGTGTGTGATGCCTTCTTCTTTCAACAGTCGCCACATTTCGGGATATTCGATCTTGCGTAGACAATAGTGTGTTCCTCTTGCTGCTGTCACCGCCCATGGGAAGGTCCAGCCCATTGCGTGGAACATGGGTAACGTCCAGAGATATTTGCATCGCTCGCCGTTGTGATAACTCAGTCCTGACTCAATCACATTCGCGAGCGCCGCCAGATAGCAGCCTCGATATGTATATTCGACTCCTTTGGGTCGCGCCGTGGTACCAGACGTGTAAGCTAGGGCATTAACTTCCAGCTCATTCGGAGCTTGCACTTCAAGACCAGCCCAACCTTTGGACCCTAGGGATCGATCATGTTCAAACCCCTCAAGCACCGCTTGATCAAACGGGCCACTTCCAGGACCTTCGACTGCATCGGTATCCGTATCGATAATGAGCGGCACATTGGGATGCGTCTGTTTGTAGTCATCCAACAGCGACTCAAACTCGGCATCTACAATGATTGCATCGGCGTCTGCATGATCAAATATATAACTTATATCATCCTTTTTCAGTCGATAGTTGATTGCAATATTGATGGCTCCTGCACCACCGATCCCGTAGATGGCCTCTAGGAATGCGGGGGTGTTGGTGCATAGGATTCCCACTCTCTTATATCCTTTCTTCTTCAGGTAATACGCAAACCCTCGCGCCCGATCCGAGAATTCCTTGTATGTCTTCCGGATGATCTTGTTGTTGGCGGTACGGTGGTAAATGGCAGGTGCATTGGGTTCAATGTCAGCTGCACGCGGTAGGAAGAATGTGGGTGATAAGGTATGGTTGTTGTACCATGAGGGCGTTCCTACTGTGTGGCCGTCAATACTTAGGTTATCAATCGACTTGCCACTTGACGGCGACGAGGATGGGAGGAAATGTGCTGCTATGTTTGACAGCCTCGATTTCGCAGACGACATGGTGGGTGGCTAGCTGGAGTAAGTTAGATATGGGAATGCGATAGAGGACCCCTGTATTCCCAGAGAGAAGGAAAACTGCGTATTGCGGTATCGACAGCTGAAGCAGTCCACCTATGAGTACACGCAGCTACCTCTACTATTATTGTATCAGTGCCATGTCCTCCCTCCGAGGTACACTTGAGTCTGGGGTAAAGAGTGGAGATCCCCAAGGGACAGGAGATCAAGGACGGTCCAGGGCGGATTATATCCCACCTGGGCATCGGTCCAAAGGATGCTATTTCCATCCCATCTCGAAGCCTCGTAACTGGTTAAACCATCCATGGGTGGGTCAGCCTTTCGGATCCGGTTCGGACGCGGTGGCCGAGAAATTCCCAGCCACGACACGATACGTCGCTCAGGTCTCCTGAATCCTAACATCCAGGTTCGGATATTGAGAACGCGCTTTGTTGATACAACAAGCAGATTCCGTGATACTCCGATGCACGCGACATGGCCTAATCATTCATCTAGAGCGTGATTGAGGATGTCGCTATGCCCTGACAACTCAACACAATGTCTACTTCGAGCCCTCCTCGAAGACAATTCCACCCGAGCACTACTCCAAGAGCTCATTGAAACCACCTCACGGTTCAATTGGGATCCTTTAAATTTCGCAATCACTGCTGCCATAGGTGTCTTGGCCCTCATCGTCGCCTGCCTGACCATTTTTCAGGGTCTACTGGCTGCTGGGCCCGGTCGCATCAAAGCAAGCAAAGTCGCCATCGGCCCATTCGCCGAACTATCAAAGTCGCGATTCGATTTTACGGAACTGGGTCTGCGTACCAAGGCATCAGTCCCTTCCATCAATCGCATGAATAAGATCCATCGAATCGATCGAGAATTCCCTGACCATGTCTGTTGCAGCAAGCACAACCCCGCTGTCGGGCCGAGTGAACCAGGAGCATCATGGCTCAGACTTTTAACTGAACTGGGTATATCAGATCCTAGGATCTGGTCTAATGTCGTCCGACAAACCGACAATCTACCCGCTGACATCTCTGCTGCTCCAGCGGCCGGGTCGGTCAGTTTCCTCGCCCATCTAGCAGCAATCTCTGATGATGGCTGTACAATTGAACGTCTGCCAAAGAGTCGTTTCGTCACCGTCGTGGGCGAATCCTCCCAGCTGACTTTCCGGGACCATCCCGTCCTTGGCTCAGTTGCGCTGTATGAAACCTACCGCGAAAGCCCCAAATATCGTGCGAAGAAGAAAAGAAGTAAGACCAAATACCGTTTGAACATTAGCGAGCTTCACAGTATCGGCTCTGCTGAGACGGCAGCTATGCTTGATCTGTCATATGGTTTGGTCAAGTGTTCATATCTTGGCTACGCCGTCAGTGAAGGGTCTGTCCAACTGAGCTTCGGCGTTTTCCTGCAAAAGTTGACGTCTCACTGTAACCATAATCATTTAAATTCGAATCTCGATTCCGTATTATTCGGTGGGAGAGGCTCGTATGGCGCTAGGTACGTCAAAACCTACATCTTCGCGCTCCTGTTATTCACCTCCGTCCCTTCTTTGGTGCGAGCATTCCCGTCGAAGCTCCTCGGGTTGAGGGGAGCTATCAAACACTTAGCCCTTCAGTTCGAAGCCTGGTCCAAATCTCCGGACGACGTCATTTGCGGCCTGCAAAACGCCATCGAACAACATAATGGTTCCTTTCTCCCAGTCTCCACGGCAGCGTATCCATTCTACATTTACGGCGCACGTGCCCGTCACCATTCTAGTTCTTCTTGGCTTGAAGACTCACCTGGTGCCGGATGGTGTACCGCCAGCATGACAAGTGACTTCCGCAAGAGCGAGCATGATCTCTTGTATGCACGGGATATGATTCAACTTTGTTGCGACTGGGTTCAAGAGATCGCTAAGGATGGCACTTCGAATCGTACGGACGGTCAAATGCCGACAAAATATTTGATGGAGACATCCACAACTGCCAAACAAAAACTGCTGACAGGTATTTATCTAATCGATGATTGGATTCGCCTTCATAGCCGCACTGATGCCATCTGCGCTGCTTTTTCAATCATCAGTCGTATCGAATCAGAGCTTGGCATTAAATCTCGAGAAAGTCCACTATTCGACAGGAATGACCTTCCGCAACCACAGCACGATGTTTGCGCTGATCAAACAGCTTTCAAGGGGCTGAAAATGGTTTTGGTGTATCGTGCTATCTTCCTAGGTGCATTGCTCGAATTGAGCGCGGATACGAGCTGCATCGTAGAGAGAGGTTTTCCTGACTCCATCGTCAAAGTCCTGTAAAAGGAAAGGAATATATCATGGGCCACAACCGCCAAGTTTTCACGTGTTCAACTTGCGTCCCACCCACATGCTCTCCCTCCATCCTCCTCCAACTTACGCATATCCCAAATTCCAGAAGGTCTCCAGATTTTTCCGACTGTCCTCATCCACATACTCGGGTGGCTCTCGGTTTGTGAAACTCTCCCCGTGTACCTCAGAAATGTGCCCGTTCAGTGATGGGTTGGAAACCAGACTTTGGACTCCTTTCGTTAGAGTTGACATTGGAGTGATGATCATGGGTTTAAATAAGTCCTTGCTTGGAGCAATATTGGTTTCTACGAATCTTTGTCAGCCATAATTCAAGTGGTTTTTGGGTTCATATTACCTAAAACGGCCGGTGCCAGTGCATGGATCTGAATCGAATGCTTCTCCAGTGGTTTCGCCAGTGATCTCACCAATCCAATGACCCCAGATTTCGAGCTTCCATAGATTGGGGCAACGGGAAATGGGTAGATCCCAGCATTCGATGCCGTGCATATTATCGTCCCTCGCGAAGAATTTTTGACAGCGTTCTTTCGCAGATAATGGATGGCTAGTTTAACACCTGTCCCGCCTATCAGCAAAACTATGGGAATGCTTGAGAATATCATCACTCACAATAAATGGCCCCGAGGAGATTCACCTCAAGTGTTTTCAGACCCGGCTGTGACGGCTCATCCTCATCCACGATCAAGCTTCCTTCTCGGGAAATACCAGCATTGGCCATAACCACATCGATATGACCTTGTGACTGATAGATGTCCTTGAAGGTAGCGGCCAACTCATTCCAATTCGAGACATCGCATCTGCTGAACGAAAAGCTAGCCCCAGGATACTCCGCCCTCAGGCCTTCCACAATGCTGGCGCCATCTGGGTTGACGTCTAGCACTGAGATGTGGGCGCCTTGCTCGGCGAATGATTTTGTGATGCCTAACCCAATCCCTGAGGCGCCGCCTGTCGCAACACTTGCGTCAGTAAAAGACATTGTCAATGAAATCAGAGTGGAAATAATTCCGTCATGGCCAACATACCTGTCACGATGATACTTTTTCTTTCAGCTGCAACGGAACCCATCGTAGCGTATTTTGATGACTATTCTTTAGTTACGGCGTGTCTCAGGTTGACGGAAAATATGCCCTTCCACGCGAGAGATCAAGAGGATGGATATATGTAGAAGTCCCGTCGTTTCGCGAGAGGTGTGAACCTTGGCTCATCTGGACACGAACCATTCCCGAATGTTACCAGCACACAGGGCTTCGTAAAAGTATCCCCGGAAATGCCCCACGCTCGAAACTGCACCACGTTCACGATGTCGACGTGTGGGGCAAGTCCTGCCTTTACCCATCCACGCCCACCAAACCATCTCAGCGAGTCAAGTGTTGTAGATGTCGCTATTGATCCACGCTTGGCTGAATTGCCGAGTCAACCAAACTCAATACAGCGAGCCACCATTGCCCCTCATCGGATCTGGTACGCCAGCACCTAGACCTTGGCCACGAACACAGAGACGAGAACGCCGCAGAGGACGATGCACCTGCGTTAATTGATCCACATGAAACAAGAAAAGATGGGTTAAACTCGTGTGGGTTGCGGAGATACTCCGAGCCTTCCAGTCCTCCACACATTTCGACGTCCATGTCAATATGTTTGATATAAAAGCGATGATTGCTTGAGGTTACGAGGCAGATCACCCAGACCACATAACCGAGATATCAGGAGTTACTTAATGGTTCGTGGGATTTACTAAGCCCACGCATCTAGACCCCGTCTCTCGTCCGGCACACACACCCCGCATCCACAAAATAATGGCGGAGGTCAAAGTAGACCAAGCGGTGCTCGATTCCGTGAAAGGGAAGGTTGTTGTCCTCGCCGGTTCGTCATGATCCGTCCAAAACCACCATTGATAAGTCCGCCGTCATTGGCCATTTGCTAACATTCAGCCTCGTCCTACCAGGTGGAGCACAAGGCATTGGGGCAGCAACAGTGAGCCAACTCTACACATCTGGCGCCCACGTCTTCTTTGGCGACTGGGACGATGTCAAAGGCTCCAGAGTTGTCGAAGAACTCCGTGCGTCGTCGACGAGCAATAACGGCACCGTGACCAACTTGAAGGTCAACATCACGGATTACCAATCGCTGCTTTCACTGTTCGATGCAGCATACAAGAAGCATGGCCAGATCGATATGGCAATTTGCTGCGCGGCGGTGACAGAACGAACGGGGTATTGGGAGCCAAACAAGCTGAATCTTGAATCTGTGCGAGAGGTGAGTCCATCCACCCTCTTCTACAGCTATTGATCATCTGGCGGTTTCCACGTGGGACATGGCATGAACGAATCACTCATTCCACGAATGCATAGACACCCAAAGGCATCACCGAAGTAATCGACATCAATCTGAACGGCAGTATGTACTTCGCTCGGATAGCCGTGGCATATCTGAAGGAGAACCACGACATCACCGGCACAAAAGCAGGCCCGAAATCCATAAACTCACCGAAATGCATCACCCTGGTTTCCTCCGTGGCAGGCTTCACCGAAGCACCAGGCCTCTTCGCATACTCGTCCGCGAAACACGGCGTCCTAGGCCTTATGCGTGCATTACGCGCCTACGTCGCGCCCTTATACGGCCTGAGAGCCAACGCGATATGTATGTCACCCATGTCCCACCTGCTTCTTCGGCTCAGTACGTCGACTGGAAGTCACAACTAACCCCACGTTTCTGACAGGTCCCTGGGCAACCGACACCCAGCTTCTATCCGGTATCCTCGGCATGTGGCAAGACAAGAAAATGCCACTGAACACACCCGCCGACGTCGCAAAGTATATCATTCAGGTGACAGCGGAGCCGCAGACGCATGGCAAGGCGCTGTTCGTCACGGGCGGTAACGCGGTCGACATTGAGCAGGGACTTGCAGAGACGCAGCCTCAGTGGCTTGGCGAGAAGAATAGCAGAGAGTTTAATATCGGACAGGAGATTTTGGGGCTGGTGAGTTTCGAACCTTTCTTTCTTCATTCCGAGGTATTTGGACTGGATATGAATTGTGCCTGGGGGTCGTGTTTGCGGCGACCTAGGGCGTAGTCTGTTGTTATGGACGGCTCTTTTGCTGACCAACGATGATCATGACAGGGCACGGGATGGGGAAACTAAACTTTCAACCAACCAAACGTCACCAAAGGTCGAAATGCGCTGGCTCATTTCGATATCCTCGCCTGAAAGAAGTCAAAGCGGCGGCAGGTGCAAGTGCCGTTCTGGCACGCTCTCAATCTCGGTCCTACGAGCAATCTCCAACGGCGGAGCCTCATGATCAATGCATGTGATGTTTTAGCCGTGTAGTGATCATGATCCGATGGACGTGGAACTTCATTATACAAAGCGATAATCTCGGAACAGGTCTGGCCGGCGGCTGAGTGAGCGGATGCCAATCAGGGAGAAGTCCTGCCCAAGACCAGAATATATCAGTGTGTATCTTGTTTGCGGTCAAAAGAGTCTCAGGCCATTTATTTTCAACGCCATCTATGGTGCTATTCCTGTACCTTCGTGTCCACGTAAATTACGTTCCGCTCACTGCTGTATCGTGATGCATCAAAGATCCACACCATACGCCGTATGCACGTTATGCCAACTAAAGCAAAAATTCACGGGTTTCTCAATCTTCTTACTTGATATGCCCTTTCAAGCCCGGTTCTTTCCCATCCTGACTGCCGTTTCTCTCAACGTCCGTCTCCATATCAAAAGCACTCTTCCCATTTTCATCAATACGGTCATGTCCGACCGCCACCGCAACAGGCGGAGCAGCCACATTCGCGACCGTCTGTTCTCCGCCCGTGGCCTGCGCAAGGTTCTGCTTCCTGATATCCCAGCCTCCGCTCCAGCCAACCCAACCCTGCTCATACGGGCCCCGAACAACACAGAGCACAAGCGCCAAGACCACGAAGCCAACACTGAGACTCCCGCTCGCGACCCAGCCTCCTCTGGAGTAGAGTTCCGCCCCGGCAGACGTGCCCGTCATCTGGCCCATGAAAGTGAACAGCATGAACGCCGTATTGACGCGATTACGGCCCTTGGGCTCGATGGAATGGATCGCCGCGCGGTTGGCGGTCTGTGTGATCTGGAAACTTGCATCGAGTGCGAACGCCATGATGATCGGTCCGACAACCGTGTGCATCCCTGAATAAGTTCCTAGGATGACACCGATACCGAGAACCACGCAGCCTGTGATACATGAGAAGGCGGGTGCGAAGGGTTGGATGATGTATTTGGCGTAGACGGGGCCCATGACGATGCCGGCGATGCCGATCAGCGCGAAGAGGCCGATTGTGATGGGTGCGTATTCGTAGGGCGGATCGGCGAGGAGGAAGGTCAGGGTTGTCCAGAAGGAGGTGAAGCATGAGGAGATACAGTAGCTGATCAGGCCGGCTTGTACGAGTACGGCGTGTTTGGGATACAGTAAGATGATGCCGCCGATCATTTTGAAGTAATTGAGTCCATCAGGGTTTGAGGAGGGGTAGTCGGGCATGAAGAGCCACAGGACGATGAGGATTGAGTATTGCAGGCCCAGGGCGATCCAGTACACGTTGCGCCAGGATGTGAAATTCGTCACGACGCCTGATAGAAGACGTGCAGAGACGAGTCCGAGGAGGTTCCCTGATGTGGTGATGGAGATTGCCAGGGCACGGCGGTTGGGCGGTGCGAGTTCAGTGACGAGAGGAAGCATCACTTGAGGAATGACAGTCGTGATAGCTGTGATGTAACTGATGGCACAGAAGATCTCGAAGTTGTGGGTCAAGCACAGCCCGATCCATAATGTCGCGGTGAAGGCAATCAGTGTTAGTGTCAGCGGCCTCCGCCGTAAGAGATCTCCCAAAGGACAAACGAACAGTAGCCCGGTCGCATAGCCTGCTTGCATCAAAGTTGGGATTCTAGACACTTTGACATAAGGCACGTCGAAATCTTGGGCGAGGATGTTCAAGATTGGGTGATTGTAGTACAGATTTCCCACGGTGAAGGCACCGGCGAAGGCAAAGAGCACATTGTACCAGATGGAGAACCTGGGAGGTTGCGTAGGATCATAGCGACACCATGGTGGTATGTAAGTCACGAAGTCAATGAAATTCTGTGGTAGTGATTTGGTGGTGGAATTGTTATCGGCTTTTGGATCGTGTTCGTGTTCCGCGATCTCGTCATGATCGTGGACTTGCGAGTTCGACCATGCTGATTGCTGCAATGGGTCACTGCCAGCGTTCTTCTCTGTCACCATGCCCAGATTAAAGGTGTTGTGGATTCGAGTGAACAGTGACGGTTTCGATCACAGGCAACCTCTGAGAGAATCACTATAAAAACCATCCGTGAGAAAGGAAAAAAAGAATTAAATGCCCAAGGTCGCGGTGGTGGAGCAATAATGTGGGACGATAGCATTTTGTGAGCCGCTCATCTCCTCAAAACTCCGGGACAATCGGCTCTAATGAGTTAGAGTCCAAGCTGATCAGTCCCCATGGACTTAACCCCGAGGCCCCGACATATTATAAATCTTCGTCAGGGCACCCACCGGGGGCACAACGGTTAAGCACCGATAAAGTGAACCTAGCAAATTCAAGGGCGATGAACGACTTGCTCTTTGAGCAACCATCGAGTTCGATGCCCCAGACTCAATTGTTTTGAGCAACATTCAAGTTGAACAGCGTGATCACCGTGCTTGGCCGCCTATCGCCGTGCTAGAGGCTGCCTTAAACTGTCGACATCCGAATGTCGCTGCTGATAGACCGCTCGGCTTCGACGTTGAGTCATATCTTGTTAGTAGAGAATCTTTCGGACCGAGACAGGTTCCAAGGTTCTTCACAGAAGGGACAGTGGTGTGCTTTTGTGGGAGATCCTCAGTACGGCGCCAGGCGTAACACCTCACCAACCTGGTACCCGAATTCGGATAATCGTACGGGCCGAACAAAGTCTTGGCAACCCACCACGACAACCTCATCGAAGTAATTATCGGTCCCTAGCTGAGTCTCCCAGAGGCACGGAAGGTGGTTCATCATCATCAACAAAGTACGTGAAGAGCAAAGAGGCCCTAGGAGAGGGGTGCTCCAACTTGAAGACGTCACTTCGCGTCGGATGCTGAGTCATGGCGAATACCTGTGTACTGATCATATCGCACATTCAGAGCTTCCCTGAATGCGATCAAGCAGATTCCGCCATGGCATCCTACCAATTTACATGAGTCATTGTGAGTCATTGCCTGTCGATAGACACACGACTTGGAGTTGGTGCATGCCACATATCTAAGGTGTAGGTACGTTCCTTTTACCTGCATACTTCGACCTCAGACACAATGGAGGAAAACGAAAACCTCAAGTCTCTTGTAAAACAGAGCTATGATGAGATCGCTCAGCACTATCTAGACTGGTCGGCGGAGCATGAATCTCCACGCGCTTCACAGATCCAAAACCTGCTTGCCAAAATCACCAATCCGGCAGATGCACCCGTTCTTGAGTTAGGATGTGGTGCAGGAATCCCAGGAACAGACCTTCTTTCACGCAAGTTTCGTAGCGTCGTCGCAAATGATATCTCTGACGCCCAGATCGACCTTGCCAAAAAGAACATCTCTCCCAAGAATGTCCAGTTCATCGCCGGAGACATGATGAAACTCACATTTGAGCCTTCCCACTTCGACGCCGTGGTGGCATTTTATTCCGTTATTCACCTACCAAAAGAGGAACAACTGGAGATATTCAAACAGATCTGCTCTTGGTTAAAACCTGGAGGTTTTCTGCTGTGCAATCTGGGCACAACGGAAAACCCCGGCGGCACTAAGCCATGGCTCGGTGGTGCTCAAATGTACTGGAGCGGATTTGATGCCGATCAATATCAGACGCTACTTACAGAACGAGGCTTCTCTCTTATAAATACCGAGATTATATCTGATAATGAAGATGGTAGGATGGTCCCATTTCTGTGGATTCTGGCGCAGAAGACTTAGCAAGATTGCGAATGACGTCCCACCGCTGGAAACTGTCAACTCGTTGTCGGATTATCTGCTCAGCGGTCGTCGACCCCTTAAAAAGGTAGATAGCCAACAAAACTCATGACCGCCTGCAGCTTCGTGGCTACTTTGCGCGAGGATATACTCAAATTCAAGTGGCTGCGTGTTGAGATACTCAAGCCACCAATGACTAAGCAACACTATTGAGCATTGGAATCTGCATTTGCTCCGATCAGCTCTGCAATTTTTCTTCCTCTCTGCTTGTCATTACAGAAAGAATGAATCTGCATCTTCTCAAACCTGATTAATTCACGATAGGACGGGAGCACTTCGTGTGAAGGTAATCAGGAGGAGATGCCCTATGCGCTAGGATTGGAACCTTGAGTGCCGCAAGTTCGTGGTTGAGTTCACCTGTATCACATTGTTGGCCGATACTTCGATTCTGATTCCTGACAATCCTTATCGTTGGCAACCACCCGATCACAACGGCATTTGACCGGAGAAATGAATCACCTTATGCCATTTGTGTGCCAGTCAGATACCAACAAATGAAACGTGTGTTCTCCAATCTCTAAAGCATACCCAAACTAAAATCCTCAGCGGATTCATCATCCGCAGAAGGGTAGATGTTTGGAAGGACTAGGTATCTGATTAACTTGAAAATCAGCCGACCTTCTAAACTTGGACTAGCTCTCCTACAAAGGTCTCGAAAGTCGCCTCCAACCAACATATTATACGCTCAGCCTCGCTGATCGCCGTGCGTTATACCATTCGGGCCCCACACGAGCGTTTGTGACTGGGTTAAAAGTGTTCAGGGGTTGCAAAGTGTTATCATCGGACATCAACGACCCAGAACCCTCTTGTTGATATAATTCGTCTGGATGGGAGATCTGCAGCATGAACGCTTGTATTGCAGACCAGATAAGCTGCTCATCGCCATGAGATTGCATACTGGCTCCGGTTCATAGCCGACTATGGAGCACATCATCAACGGCTTTGCATGTCTCACTCGATAGGAACGTCCTCCACTCTTTACGATGACGGCCATGACAGCCTGCGTGGCCCTCCGATCCAGACTGTTTATATCATGGGCACCCACAAACATCTCCAGCGGGTCATCTGACTCTGTCTTACAATTTCCTACCCCTTAGCGAAATCGAGTCGCCCAACATGTCGGATACAGTCTCAACAGTATTACCACAAGCCGTCGGGTATGGCGTAGTTGTGGGAATTGGCTTTTTCTTCACTTTCGTAATGATTGGGATATCAATGCTCCAAGTATGTATCGATGGTCAAAACCAATTGCTGATGCCCACTAACGTCGCACTAGAATAAGTATACCAACTTCTCAACGAAGACCAGCGAAGAGTTCAATACTGCCAGTCGAAGTGTCAAACCCGGTCTGATAGCAGCCGGTATAGGTCAGTACATTCCAGCACAACTATACATAGCCACAATCAAACTCGAGGTCTGGACTTTATGTTCGCGGAACTCATTGCTGATGATATCTCCAGTCAGTGCTTGGACCTGGGCAGCCACCTTGTTGCAGAGCAGTACTGTAGCATATACGTATGGGGTTGCAGGACCGTTCTGGGTAAGTTCGATCCGAGACATGATGATACCAGACTCACATGACGAAAGTATGCGGCAGGTGCAACTGTTCAGATCTTGATGTATGCCTCTCATCCATGATCCTGCAAGCCATACTAATGCTCCTAGGTTCTCAATCCTTGCTTGCAAGACTAAAATGAACGCTCCCCGGTGCCATACATTTCTGGAAATCATTCAGGTTCGATATGGAACTTTGGCTCACATAATTTTCATCTTCTTCGCATTGGTGACCAATATCCTTGTCGGTTCCCAGCTCCTACTTGGCGGTTCCGCCGTAGTTACCAGCTTGACTGGAATGAACGTTTATGCCGCCATCTTTTTAATTCCTTTAGGAGTGGTTGCATATGTGCTTATGGGTGGTCTGCGAGCGACCTTTCTTTGTAAGTCTCCGGCTCCTGAATTTCGATTGGATACTGATAGATTCAGGTGACTACTCTCACACACTGATACTTATGGTCATCATCTTGTACTTTATGTTCCAGGTGTACGCTGGTGATGAGCTCATCGGGTCTCCATCGAAGATGTTTGACTTGTTGAAGAAAGCCGCGACTCTACGTCCAGTTGAAGGCAACCTAGATGGATCATATGTCACTCTCAAGTAAGGAGGATCCAGCAAAAAAATTTTCCCCTTCTCTGAGCTTGAACTGATTAATCACCCAGATCGAACAATGCACTCATCTTCGGAATTATCCAGCTTTGCTCTGGTAGTGGGACCGTTTTTCTGGACCAGGCATACTGGCAGCGTGCCATTGCTTCAAGACCAACAACTGCTGTTCGTGCCTATATCCTTGGTGGTCTGGCATGGTTTGCGATTCCCTTTGGATTTGCGACAACGCTTGGTCTAGCCGCAGTGGCTTTGACTGACAATCCAGCATTTCCTACATACCCAAACGCTCCATCATCCAGTCAGATTTCCGCTGGCCTTGCGTCAGCTTTTGCTGCGAGCGCCCTCCTAGGCAAAAGTGGAGCAGTTGCACTTCTAATTACATTATTCATGGCGGTAACGTCTTGCGCCTCGGCTGAACTTATTGCTGTTTCCTCGATCCTTACTTTTGATATCTACAAGACATATATCAAACCCTCAGCTACCCCTGAAAACCTTATCTTCGTGGCTCACGTCAATGTCGCTGTGTTTGGTATGACAATGTCGATCTTTGCCATCATCTGGAACGTCATTGGAATTGACCTGGGATGGCTTTTTCTAGTCATGGGTTTGTTGATAGGGGGAGCAGTCTTTCCCACAGCCTTTGCAATTACCTGGAAGAAACAGTCTAGAGCAGGTGCTATTTCTGGCGCAGTGTGTGGACTGATTGCTGGGTTGACAGCTTGGCTGGCTGAAGCATATGTCTACTACGGTGAATTGACTCTGGAAAGTACGGGCTCTAACTACGCAACCCTTGCTGGCAATCTCGCTGCAATCATGACTGGACTCATTGTATCTGTGGTCGTATCTCTGATAAAGCCTGACGATTTCAACTGGGGTACCACTCGCGCGATCAACGGCGGAGATGTTCATGAGGGACAAAAGCCAGAACCTCAGTCTACCGGATCAAGCACTCCACAGAATGAGAGCGAAAAAGATTCCAAGGCAGATGGAGAAACACCTTCTCCAGCACCAGCAACAGCCGCGATCCAGACATCAGATGAGAAGTATGTCGACACTATCCGAGCAGACGAAGAACGACAAATGTCCATAGACGCTGCGACAGAACAAGACCCCAAGAGCCTACGTTCAGCCTTCATCTTGGCCTGCGTCGCGAGTTTCGTCTTGACATTTATCATGGACTTCCTCATACCCATCCCCATGTTCCTGAGCCACTACATCTTCTCCGAGCATTTCTTCCTCGCTTGGGTGATCATCAGCTTTATCTGGGTGTTTTCATCAACCTTTGTCTCAGTGTTCCTGCCTATCTGGGAGACAAGGAGTTTCTTCAAGCAGCTCTTCAGTCAGGTGGTCGGGGATATCAGGGGGACAAGGAAAGAATAGAGGCGTGCTGTCCAGGTCCAGGCTGTCCGAGTGCTCACGCCCGCCATCCATAAGGACGCAGTTATTCTCCATGACTTAACGTCAACTTGTGTGTGTGACATCGTCACCGAGTAGTCATATACCACGTACCTAAAGCACAATATGATTACATTCCCAATCCACACTGGACCATCGTTGCCGTTCTCACCGATCAAGTATCTCCAAACCCATACCGCCAACTGGCTTGGAGATTTTACTGGAACATAGAACCACCTTGGCTTCTCTTCTTTCCCTCTGCTTCAGCGGCATCGACAAATTTCTGTGGCATGTCACTGGTCGTGAAACAAGCACTCGTAGCTAGGTAGCTCTCCTTGAAGGTATTCCACAACACGATGTCCTTTGGGTGGGTAGAGCACGGACGCGGGTAATAGGGATCATTGAAATAGAAAGCTTGTTTGAGCTGTTTCACACCCTGTTCATCCTCGGGAAAATCACTGCACTGGTCGAAATCGAGGAGCCAAATACCCATCGATCCGCGCTTGAGATGGAGTTCAGAAGCAAGGTTTTCCATGCCGAACCTATTGGTGGCCTCCAGTTCCGCAGCGGTATGTGGTATCTTTTGAGCGGGCGTGTTCCCCAAAACAAACTCGACGTCGTTCGCATCGAGTTTCGCCCTCCAGTGGATGATCGCTAATGTCTGTGCGATAGTCTCAGCGTACAGCACAGTATCAAGTTGTAGGAGTTCCATCTCGTCGATCGCCATGTCGAAATTGCGAAGCCTGAAAGTCTTGTTTGGTGGCCGCTGTTGTCGTCGACCGAGATAGATGCGGATCAAGCAGCCCTTATGTTCCGGCTGGGACAGGAAGCTCTCCTTGCGTTGTTTAATACTTTTAGGTGCGAAGTTTTCAACGAGAGCCGACCGAATGGCCTCTTGGACTGGAAATATTCGCCCAGAAGTAAAGCTGCTCTTTAGCTGGACGAAACTCTCTGGATATGGAAATTCGGTACGATGTTTACTCCAGAAGTCTTCGTTGCCAGACCCGATCCAGGTGTCGAGACTGGGTAGATTGATGCTTCGTCTCAAGATTGAAGAGGTCTGCCGCAGGGCTTCTTCCACGCGAGCATGTTTGCAGTAGTCGTTGTACAGCTGGTCGTCTTTATTCTCATTGGCGGCCTTTAATACCTGGTTTGTGCCGGTCAATGCCCATACGGTGCCGCACTGTCCCTTGCCTATTTTTTTGACGGTATTCGACACAGGTCTATCGTCGTTATTGGTTGCGGTAGATGTAGTGATGAAGAATAAGGCTATGGTTGAGAATATGCAGCTCAGGATTTGTTGTACTCGTAGAAAGATCTTATTGAGTAACGTCGGGTTGCCGGTGCGGATAGTCTCTCGTTTGGGCATTATAACACGTTTAGAAGCAAGTAGCCTCTAGTCTGTTAAAACTTGATCAAGACGAAGCGTGCGCCAGTTTGTTCTTATAGGTACTGAAGCCATGGGCAGTTTGGGACCTGGGGGTGTGGGCGCATATTTGCACAAAGTTAAACTTTCGAAGCATAAGTTCAGCTTGCTCCACGGTCATAATGATACCACAAATAAGGCTTCATACTTGAAGGAGATCGCAGTTGCCTTTGTTTGCCTATTGCCGGTGGATCCCATGCTTAGGCTTTCGTAAAGCGTATTAAATAAAGTTTGTCCTTGACGATGGTAGGCAACTGCAGGCAAGCTCATGAGGACAACTGTTTGCGCCACTGGCCTTTCTTCCTTGATAGTGAAGACCTACGTATCTCGATGTTAGTACTGAGTAAGTCCAGATTGCTCAACGCAAGCAGGAATTACGTCGCGGCCTCCATTATGCATTCATCCGCATGGCTAATTGCCTCTCGGTCGACAGGATCCTAGAGACCCAACTTTTAGCGTTTACATCCATCATACCGTTCAGATTCAAATTTAGAATGAGTCTAGGTGACTCAGAGTGCAGTAGTGTACGTGTCTTCTTTTAGACAGCATCTCCCTCCCTAGGAAGGTGGATGACTAGAAGCGAATGAATACTTAGAAGTAGTATTTGACACTATGTAATTCAACTTTTCTTGTCCAGCGTGCGTCAAATCCTGAAACAGTCGCTGCTATCATATATACCTGTCCATGGGAAACTCCCAATCCCTTGCCTACTCTGGAATATAACCGTCCTTTTTCGGATCAAAGCCTGCCACTCCAGCGCCGAACCCCTCCCAACCGTGAAACTCGTCTAGAAACTTGAGAGCAGCCTTTAAGTAGAACCCATCCTTCGTACCATAAGTATCTTGCATGACTTTCGGCGCCCTGACAACCTTGAAGAAATGCGAATCCAACGCCCACTTATGCTTCAATGCCGTACTATAAACCCACTCCCAATCCCTACCCTTCACGTCAACGCTCTCGAGCTTCTCGATCCCGAACGCGGGTCGTAGCTGGTTGATATACTGAACAATCTGGAACAGAGCAAATTGCTTGAGAATCGACGCATGGCGTTCTTTTGGGATGGAAATCCACAGTAATCGGATCGCATGTGCAACGGTCATCAGGTGGATGCAGAAGAAATCGAACGAAGCGATGGCGTCACCGGTGCTGATGGCCATCAGCACGCTAAGGTCGCAGATCTGCTCTAGTTGCTGCAGCGGGTCAACAACTTCCCAAGCGTTCCAATGCTCCAGGACGATGTGAAGATATTTCTCGGCTAAGAGTTCCGTATTTGTGATTCCGGGGAGAGCGAATATGTTGTCGAAACGCTGGTCGTCGTGGACGCGTTGCATGATCTCTGCGAGGGATGTTGTTTTGTAGGTCGAGTTGTCTGGCGATGGGTGGTCGATCAGTCCGTGAAAGCCGTCGTATTCCGTGCATCCGAGGCTCAGGGCTTGTGTGGCAACTTCTTTACTACCGTATTCGTAGGCGTAGGCTAGGTGGATGAAGGGGTGGCCGACTGCATTTGAAAAATACTTAGCATGAAGGAAAATTAAGCCCGAAGCCATGGTTCAACATACGTCCGCCGCAATAGCCATTAATCAATGGCTCTGGACCAGCGTACAGATACTCCTCCACAACCTTCTTCCAGTCACCTCCGGATTTCTTTACTTCTTCATCGAAGAAATCGACAAACGCAACGGTAAACCTAGGTTCAAACTCGTGAGTTACTAGATACTCTAGCACACAAAAGGCCAGGATACGAACTTCTTCTCCTGCAAATGAGCCCTCCAGTTTGCTTTTTCGATTTGATCTCCGCGCACGAATCTTTCGTCAATACTTACGAGCGTCGTGATTTCATGCTCATACGATTTCGTCAACTGTTCGATTCCTGCACCGATTCCATAGGCTGAGCCTAGAAGCTGCAAGTGTTGAACGCTTCCCTTTAGCATAGAAAGTCAATCGTCGAGGTTGTATCTTACATGTGGTAGATGACTGTGTAGTATCAGCTCCGGCTCTCGGAGCGGCGCGACAGTTACATGGCCCTTTTGGAGTAACTGGCCAAGGGTTTTGGTGCGTTCATCGGTGGCTGTGGATACGTCGAATGCGGGTAATGGTTTGAGTTCCTTGAGGACCGCAGGTTTAGGCAGACGAATTGATCCTGTCGTAGTCGTTGTCGCTGTGGTAGTGGTGGTGGACATGATTGCTTTTTGTGGTTGAGGCTTTCAAGTTGGGGTGTGGTTATCGCCGCCCCTTTTTAACGGCAGCCTTCCGGGCTCAATGTTTTCTTTGCTGGACATCCGCGGATTCTCACCTCCCGTCCCGTCATGCGGGGTAGCTTTCGAGACTTTGGTCTCCACGGGTCCATTCAATCGGACATGGAACCATCCAATTCCTTGAAGTCGGTTTCAAATCAAAGTATGTTCCGAATGGCTCGTGGTTCGTTCCTGCTTACCTGCTCCCTGTCGAGTGGTGGGACACGTATTTGGTACCGATCTGTTCTAGGAGATAATCCATTGCTCCCAGAGAGGCCTGCATTCGACAATGGATCGAGAGCGGGCTTTTCGAGCACAATCTTCCCACAGAGATTCAGCAAAGTATCCAGGAGCTTATGTCATTCAGTGATACAATCACATGGTGTAGTCATTGTCCCTACACGAATGCCCTCGTGCTACCATATAAGTGAACCCTGGGATCCTAGCCCTTGACTAGCAATAAGACACGCAGTTTGCAGACCTACCTGGGAAAACCAGCAAGCTAGCAGCCATTGCCTATAGCGGGCGGTGACTTCTTCAAGTCACGTCGAATCGCGAAATCTGGACGCACAGAATGACGACACAGTCAAGGAGCCGAACCGAATCTGTAGTAAATAGGATAGACTGACTGAAACGTAGTGAACATTCCACCAAGCTCGTGGCTGGTTATTTTATTTGGCATGTAAGGATTATTATCAAAAGGTTCATTCATTTCCACACTATCTCGATTCACAAGTCGAATTCCGCAGGAGTATTCAACGCCTTGCTTCACAGCCGACTCTGGATTATATGAATCTCCGTATCCCAATCCCAGATGAAAATCACAGACCCAGTCAAGCACACTTGTACAATGTACGCGCGGCGTGACTTCAATTTCGAGTTGAAGGCGTCAATTTAGACAACGGCTCAACATCGGGGAACCTTTGTCGACACCAACTCAAGTTATATTTCAGCCTCGCGGTTCTCACAGCCTCGTTGGAGAAACCAATCGGAACAGTGTCCGAAACTTGACCTCAACATGCCCGGAACGCAATATGCCAGCAACCCGACTACGTCTCAATGGTGAGTGTATGACTACATGGGGTCGCTAGTTCGTGGGACCAAAGCCGGGGTAGGATGTAAGCTGTCTCGGTGCATTTTCGAGCAGCCAACCATCAACGCAAAGATGGCTCCCTGGCGGATGTGGAACCAAGTAAGCAGGGATGGAAACCGATTGAAATATATTGGGGTCCCGTAAGAAAGTACAACCAACATCATCACCTGAGGCAGGACACCGTAATACAGCCCGTTCCACTCCAACACCATCCAACATGGCGACACCAACTACTCCTCAACTCACCATTACCCTCCTGGGCGCCACGGGTCGCACGGGGCGAGAAGTGCTTTCCGGCCTACTGAAGCGCGACATTCATCATCTGAAGATCTACGTGCGCTCGAAGCAGAAGCTCATCAACTTGTTTCCACAACTGCTATCCGATACTCGCGTCGAGATCTGCGAAGGAGAAGTCACGAACCAGGAGACGATGCAGGCGTGTCTTTCAGGCGCAAAGATCATCATCAACACGATTGGAGGATACTCGTTCTTCCCGGATGGCAGTCTGCAGCGGGCTGCCGAGTCGATCGTCATGGCGCTCCAGGGTTTGAGGAACAATGCACGAACGGACGGTAGGAAGTGGGAGAAGCCGCGCATGTTGCTGCTAAGTTCGAGTTCGAGAAATGAGCGCTTCGCAGCGGCCAGGCCGAAACTCGTGCACTGGCTCATCGAGACGGCGTTTCAGAATGGATACAATGATCTGAAACTTGCCCATAAGGCCGTTTTGGTGGATCCATCCTTGGTGTCGGTCTTGTTCGTGCAGCCAGGTGTTCTCATTGAGGAGGAAGCAACAGGGTCCTATATCAGTACCGAAGAGGTGAAGCTTGCCTGCTCGTACGAAGATCTAGGGGCTGCATTTGTCGATCTAGCGCTGGAGAGAGGTTATGATGAGCTTCGGGAGGTGGGTGTTTCGAGTGAACTCGGGAACAGGGCGGCCCGGTACGCGCCTATTATGTTGAGGAAGATTGCGGCTGGTTTCTTTGCTGCTTATGTCCCTGGAGCATTGCACATTACGAACTTTCTGGAAGGTGTGCAGAGGCTGATTTGGTGATATCGATCATATCTGGGCTGGTATAGTTCGTGTGTTCTCGTGATGGGAATGAGACATATCGGAGCCACGTTAGTGCTGTCTACGCTACTGGGTACCTCCTAATGATTCCTTAGTAACTTTTTTTCGTGAAAAGACCGCAAATACGTCGTTGGAGCAAAGATTCCAAGAAGAAAGGAAACTCCCACAACAACAGCATGACTCGAATCCCGATCCCCCATCCAAAACTATTCCAGGGCTAATAACGGCCCTGTCTTGTATGAGAAGCTGAAATCCGAAGATTTGCGCCACAATCATGGATTTCATTGTTCGAGGATTGGTACTTTGTACGGGGTGGGAATTGCACAGCAACGATTTGTTTCGGAGCCTATCGACTGGCAGAGGTCTTCGCAACTCCAGACTCCAAACGTCAATCCTACATCCTCTTACAGATATCGTCCCTAGCTATGACAATCTTACAATACTCTGAAAACTTCATGGGAAACCGTCAAGTCCTCAAGCCCCTATATTCTCTCCAAGTGTAAGGTATCGGGGGACCAATTGCCCTAAATTAGGGCACTATGCCACCTATAGATAGATGTATATGCCTGGCTCCCGCCCTTTGAGGTCTAGGAAGGCCCCCAAGCAAATTCAGTCTATCATGCCTTGTCTCATATAAAACAGGCGAGGATGAGCAGGCCATCAAAGAAGTGCGGCCAGCATGCCCGTGGCGAAACCAAGCATCGGCAGCATACTCCTCAGACCATTGAGGGTGGTCCAAGACCGCAACAGAGCAAGCACCTCCTCGTCATCCACCGCCGTCCAGACCTCGACTCCTTTGGCTGCTGCCGCTGAACTCAGTTTGGCCTTCTTGGCTTTCTCGTGCAATGCCCCATTCGTCCGCTTCATGATGAGGAGCGTCCACGGCACGATCGCCACCGTCAAGGCCACGGATGTAATGTACAGCTGTCTGGGACTCGCAAGGCCGAGCGACCAAACGGTGGCGTCAGCAGTCCAGGCGAGAAACGATAAGATCGATGCAATTCCAACAGAGATGGGCGGGTTCTGAGTCGCGCCTTTGTCGTACAAGCGCGCCCACTGTGTTACTAGCGCTCTCACGGGAACGGAGTCGTCTTGATGAGATTGCGAAAGAGCCGGCACTGCGAGGAGAGAGCAACAGGCGATGTTTCCTGACGGATGAAGATTAGTATGCTTCCCTTGTTTCTTCTCTCACCGTTTGATTGATATGGAGACGTACCTGATAGCCATGCTGTACCACCGATGCCGGTGATCTGTGCGATGACATAAAATAGCGATGCTGTGGTAGCCATTGCTGTTGAGAAAATAGTCGAGGGTCGATAGATTCGATGTGTACTATTATAATGGCTTGTATATTCCACCAAACCAATTTCTATGTCCAAGGCACCTGCCTCATCACCACAGACCCGCCCCTGTTATATAATTGCTGATGGACCACGCCACATGATTTGTTGCTATATATACAGCACGCTATTCTCATGCCTTTAGGCCATGAGCCGTTTTCCATTGCCGCGAAAGCTTGATGCAGGAGGCCCAAGTTGAATCCCACGAAAAGCCTGGAGTAACGGACCTTCTTCCGATTGGTCGTAACCCAGCACTGGCATAGGAACGAGATAGGGCCGAAGCATCGGTGATTATGGGCGGTTTGAAGCCGACGGGCTGTCAAAGGTCCTTTTCCATGTACTTACTCGTAGCTGCGTAAAATAGTGGGAATCCGTCCGGTGGGACTGTTGCTTGACGTCGGTTGTAACAAGCCTATGCGAACGAAGAAGGAAGGAGTTTTGCGAGATGCGCTTGTTCATGCTTCATTCAGTATTGAAGGAAGGGCGCTTCAATTACTTTCTTCAATCAGCATCCAGAACCTCTCTAGCAAGGAAGCACGCGAGCAGCTAAGAGAGTATTGTTATGTCCCTCACGTGCCTCATGCCTCCCAACACATAACCTCCAAAGCATCCAGAAGTCCCGACCTGGATGACTCTATACCCACCAGTGCTCTCCAGCGTCATCAGTCGGCCCTTCACATGCACCGGGTCTAACAAAAACATGATCCGGAATCACGCCATTGAAAAAAGGAATCTGTAGCGCCACCGTCTCCGTGTCTCCTGGGTAGTAAGTCAGGTGGCCTGGAGCACGTAGGTCGCTATCCACGGCGATGATGAGCTGATTCCACCCAGGCTTGATGTATAGATGTTCGTGCGCGTGCGCGTGTTTGCGTCCGTGCCGCAATTTGTCCACCATTCCTGTGGATGAGTTGGGCTTGGGTGCATGGACATGGGCGGCACCGGAAAGTAGAACGAAATACCTGTCGTAGTAAGTCACTGAGACATCCACGATTATACGATATGCCGCTCTGCTTTTGTGCAATGGAACCCTTTGATATCCCGGTTATCATGACTCACATGTTAGCAGGCGGGCGATGCCAGCCCTCGCCACTACGCGGCGGCAGTACCACGTAAGTGGCATTACTGACATCACCAAGGGCCAACGCGACTCCCACCGTTGGGTAAACATTGAAGGGAGCTGCGAGCGCCCAGCATTCGATTATAGCGTGGTAGGGCGGCGAGGGCGAGTTGAGGACTGCTGTGACCTGGAACGAGGTGTTGGAGGAGGATCCTCCTGGAAACTCAGCATCTTTGAAATGAGACGTTGTTTCGTGCTGAGGTACTATAAGTCGGTTTTGATCGTTGATATCTTTGCTGTTCGCCAAAGCGACGGATAGAGTGCCGAGGAGGACTTGAAGTCCCAGAAGGGTTGTTGAGCTGAGAAGCCTCATTGTCGAAGAGGTGGACGTCGTTAGGTAAGAAGCACTCTGGGATCGTTATGCACAGTCAACAGCTGCGCTTAGATGCCGTAGAGAAATCCTGTAACTCGGAAGACCACCACCTTGAATACCACAGCGAATGACTCATTGACCAGTAGGTCGTCGACATCCAGTGGCTGACGTACTCACAAATAAGTTGCACTAATTACTAATCGTCGTAAGTTGCAATGCGGAGTACTGATCGACAATTGTTAGAGCCTTGTTGGTGGTGAAATGATCATCGCTTCTGTGGTATCGCGCAAAGGCACAATGCATATCATTTCAACCTGGCGGCCATCCTGGACAATCTTGTAACTACGAGTAGAATCACAATTGGGGATACACAGTGGTAGGCCTTCATGAGTAGCTCTGGCCGCATGCAAACATGGTTTCTTACAGATTTCCAGGTGGATGCATGCACAGACGACACGATGATGATATTTTGAAATTTTTGAAATTTTTGGATCTACCTTTGAGTGTGCTATCACATTTTCTAGTAGTCATGTATGCCATGACACATTTCCCCTTGTCGACTGCGCTAGATACACCAACCATTTCTTCAGAAATTGGTTCTCTTCGATGCATAAAGCCGCCATGAGAAAAACAAATTGTGGACAATACTGTCCCAGTCCGCGGAAAGAGTGAGGCTGCTTCGTTGTGCTGAAGTTGCAAGTCATGCCACATAATGCATCATAATGGTCGTAAGGAGTGTCGTTTTCGCACAAATATGGAAATGGAGTTATGACAGGCCGTGATTGTCTCGGATGTGTCAATTTGCGAACGCTGCTTTGAAGAATGTACCTGCAAAGACCAATTAGGTTGCCCATATGATCTAATCCACCGTCACACCTGTGACATAGAAGAGTACAAAATTCCGTAACATGGGTGCCGTGAACCCGAAAGAAATTTGTACAACTGAGAGTGATCATTTTACAGGAGTCGTGTATAAGGGCTGTACAAGTTAGGAGCGAAAGATCTCCGAAATGATTTTGAACAGATTTCGCTTGTTGGGTGAGGGTGGTGAAACTCTGGAGTCGATAGTCTTGTGAGGATTCGTGGGTGCTCGTGGTCGAGCCACGGACATGGGTCCGATGATTTCCATATCGCCTAGTTCGGGGAATTTTCCACTTTTGTCATCGATGACCGGTAAAATCACCTTGGTGAGGGGCTTTTCAAGGACGGCACTGGATGTCGTCGACTCTTGCATCTCAGAATCACCATCGCTAAGTCGGGCCAGAAGAGGTGCCATGGCTTTCCTCATGATGGTATGTTGTCTTTTCCACTGATCATCTATCGTGGTCCATTTTTCTTCAGTCAACCTATAGACCTTGGAAGTTGGACCGTAGTGTTCGGCAGTCCTGGCAATTTGTTTGGCATAGTTGGTTCGTGCTTGGTCCCAGTTGTTTCTAAACTCTGCATAAGAGTCAAGTGTCATTTCTTCGGGCGTATATGGTTCGGGGTGAATGGAGAAGTTGGCATGACCAAGCTTCACAGCCCATGGGTCATAAATGTCATCCAGCAGTTGCAAAGGAGGGATTTCCCCGGTGATTGTACTGGTCCGAGACCTGTTGTATAGAGAGACCATGGACGGTTTGGTGGAGAGAGGTGGGGAAGGAAGATAAGATAATGGGGGAGTTTCCATGGATGTACGTGAACTCATGACGGCCGAAGTTGGAGCAATCGAGGGAGACTGAAGTGGAGACTGTATCGGAGGTTCTTTTGCAAACAACTCTGAGAAGACGGGTGGCAGGAGAGGTGTGGTAGCTTGGCCCGGCTCCTCTTGGTCGGAAGGTTTGTAGTCAATATCGACAGGGATTGACTGGGGCTCGAAAGAAGTCTGGCTTGTTGTGGCTTGCGATGGAGAACTCGCAATCATACTCTCATGCTTGGAAATGGCACTCAAGGCTGGACTGAGAATCTGAGAGCCATTGAGTGAACCTGAACGAGAAGCTGGAGAGTTGATGTGAGTGACTAAAGATAACTGAGGCCCAGCTGCAGACCTGTTCCGCCAACGCCTGGACAGTGAGCCTAAGCGACCGCTCAGACGATGGGAGCCTGGCTGGGGAACTTGATCCATGGATCTCGGCCGTTTGAATTGACGTTGCTCAAGAGGTGGGGTGGGCCAGTCAATGGTGTTGCCCAAAGTCCACTCAGGTTGCACAGGTGAACTGGGGGGTGAAAGGTGGTCGTGACTGTCGGCGAAAGCCTTGTTGTAATCGATCAGATCATCAGGAGAATGGTCAACCAAGGTATAGCCAGAAAACTCATCCTTCTCTTGCGGTTCTTCCGTCACATCTTCCAGCCTCTTTGCTCCACTATGCATGTCCAGGGATTCTCGAGCGATAGGTGAAGATGCGATGGACGATCCAGAACCCTTGGAGGAATGACCCCGAGTAAATATGGAGGTTGTGGGAGAGGACAAGTCAATGGAGGAGGAGGCAGACATGGTGGTGTATGGTGAGCCATCTGATGGTTGGACGGTGGCATGATCCATGGAGAGTGATATTATCAATATCGAATATCGAATAGTATTATTTTTGGAGGGGAACGAATGTCTGGGGAGACCCAAAGAGAGGGAGTCGAGAATCGTAGATAGAACTGGATCGGAGGATGGTTCAGAGTAGACGCATTATGGCTGGATGGGTGATATGAAGACTAATAGGTCCAAATTGATCTACTCCATGTGGATGGAGACCGGCGACGTCAAAGACAGAGCAGTCGAGGCGGTCGCGCGTATGTGAATGGCTCAGTGTTGCGCGAGGGTCCAAGCTGGTGTTTGTGTTGTTGCAGTGCAGGCCAGCAGTTGAACCCGAGAAGAGGGAACAGACCAGTTGGGTGAGTTTAGGACTCGACGACGTCCGTGTGTCTTTGGAGTTCTGGAAACGAGGCCATCAGTTGAGTGCCATGTGGACGAGTCAGAAAGGATGGAGATGTGCAGATGAGGTAGCGAGGGTTCGAGGAGTGGTGGGAGCAAAGCAAAGCTGTACGAGGTTCGAATGAATCGGGCATGTATAGAATGTTGTTGACAAGTCAAAAAACAAAAGATGGACGTGCGTGGGGGGCCAGAGGGAAGCAGGATGACTGGTTGGGGAGAGAGACCGAGAGAGAAAGTCTCAAAAGTGTTCAGACCACTCACCAGGCCCGGGGCCAGTCTGGGCAAGGGTTTCTAGGTTCAACTCTTGGGGATCGAGTACCTCTGAGTCGGTCAGGACCGGGGACAGTGCAGTCGAAGCCTAAGAGCCCTGAGCCGAAGCCTGAGCCTAAGGAACTCCGGCGCCCAAGTCTCCCAGGAGCTGGGGGCACCACTGGCACAACATGCAAGAGCACGGAGCAGCAAACGGCCCAACTTCCCAGTTTGTGGCTGGCTTGGGTGGAGGACCGACGAGGGCTACCCATGCCCACTGGTTAAGGTGAGCATCGGTGGCGCATCTTGGGGACTTGTTCAAGACCCCTGCACCCTCTGAACCTTGGGCTTCCCACCCGCGGTGGCTCTGAGACCGAGTCCGGCGACATGGGTCTGGAGAAAAAGAAGACTTTTTCACTGAACGCCACCACCGCGAGAGGCTTCAAGTACAAAGATAAAAAAGATGAGAGACATGCTTCTTACCAGAATGTAGTGATAGTGTCTGTACTCGTAGGCCGTCAAGTCCGTGACGTGGTGGTGCTTTTAATGACTGGTAACAACCATCGCCGTCCCTCGTACCGATGCGACGCCCGAGTGCTTCAAGTTGTGGTTGTGGTTGACAAACGCTGGCTAGTTGCCGAGAGGATTTTAGTCTCGCCTGGTCAAGGTCAAGTCGGAGGTGGAAAGAATGAGAAGGGTTATAATACAAATATTACTAGACGATGCCAGTGCCCAGGTGGCTTTTTCTCTATCCAAATACGAGCCGCCAGTGTTCAATAATGCAAGGCACAGAATACCTCCTCCTCCTTCATGTAGATTTCCGAGATGCTTGCTCCATACCTGGGCAGCCGGTCGACCACTTAATCACCTCTGACTTGGTATTCCATACGTTGTATAACTGCAGCCGCCAGCAGAGACCGTATCTCAGTCCCTCCCACTGTGTGGCATGCCGCTTGTGCAGCCTTCCGTACCTCGTACCCGTCCTGACTACTTCCGTCCGGCTTTGATTCTCTCCTCCCCTCAACCCTGCAAGGAGCTATCACTTCATAGTGCCGAAGCCAATGATGCAGGAACGGTATCAGAAATACCCAGTCTGGCTGTCACCCTCGCCCTTTGACCTGCCTGAATTGTCTATCTTTTATCATCCCCGCCCGCCTCCTTACTGGGAAAGGCTAAGCCTGGTCCTGAGTTCATCGGTTGCAGGTCCCCGCCCGCTCACCCATGCTCATGATCCCGGTCAGAAAAACGTGCTTTTCAACCCAACGCAAACTTTGTCGACAGAGCGCACGTTACCTCGTCATGCTAGAGCTATTTTTCTCTCGCCAGAATATCAGAAATGGCGTGGGAAGAGGAACAAATCCAAACTCTCTGCGAACATGATGGTCAGCAGCACTAATGATATACCCGAAATATCTGATGAAGCAATATTGCACTTGGTTCACCGATCTGATAGCTGTCATTCCATCAATCTACCCTCTGAGCAAATCTCGGATGCGCCTGTTTCAAGCATCACCAATGTAGAAAAATCCGGGTGGCTGGAAAATCTCTCGCCTCATCCTGCTGTCGGGACGTTGCAAAGTGCATGCAGATGCAGATACTTCGACCCATTTTCAGCCACCCTTGACTTGGAACGGAATTCCAAGGTCTATTTGCCCGTTGGTTTTATTCGTTTCCAATCAATCGTGACCATTCTGCAGCACGCGATAGACTCCAGATGCGCCTCATTGAACTCTGCAACCCTGAGCACAACGGTCTCGGGAGTACGTTGGAAGTTGGAACCTGGAGCAAGTGACGAGATTCTATCGCATTTTACAACCTTCGTCATCATTTTTTGGATTTATCGCCACTGTGTTGGGGTTCTATCCATGCTCGCGTGTGCATGAACCGGAAATCCCAGATGAATGTCGATCACTCGCGGAGACCTCTTCCCCCACGACTCACACGCCTTGGTTGCCAATAAATATTTCCGAAGTGTTGAATATCTTCCGTATCTCTGGAACATGGCAGCCATAGCCTTTAACATCGTTTCTACCGTGGCGGGCATAGTGCCGCCTGCTGCCGTCGATAGTCTTGATACTCTTGGGGAAGCTAAAGTCCTCGCTACTGATCCCGAAAATTCGGAATTGCTCTGTAATTGTCTCGATGAGACAGCTCATACCGAGTACTCACAAATATGTGCCAAACTCTAATCCACTCGGCGCTCCAATATTCCATTGGAAACAAATGGAACGTAGCAGGAGAAAAGCGGCAAACACCGCCACAGTCGATACCCAGATCGTCAGCTCAAGTACTCGGAAGCTTAATCTTCACCTCACCATCGAAACTCCATCCAAGTGAGCATTTGACTTTCCCTCCATGTCTGGGTATCAGGGCAATTTCCCCGAGCGACTGGGGTCTCAGGGTCCTGGTGCTTGTACCCCATGTCTGTTGGGAACGGTGACCTTCCCAGAGCCTTATCGTGCGCGCACCCGCTCTGTCCACCGGGCGAAAGAAGCGCCCAGGCGAGCAACTCTCGGAATGTGGTTAGTGATGTTGCACACGTGAAGCCAGAGATGATAACGCCTCGAAGTATGGTCGAATTATGTGCACCCGTGTTCTGGCCTCGTTGTGGATAACATCGTCATCTGCGAAGAGGAACGTGCGCCATCAACACACGATTGCAGTCTTGTGACGCTCTTTCCCATGCGAGGCCATGTCCACCGTCATATTTGCAGATTCCACGAAATGGTGAAGGGATGCCGTATCAGACGTTATCAGTCTCTGACCACTGCCTTCCAGAACAACCGAGTGTGAAAACAGGTCAAAGCGTACCTTTCTCTCGTCATCAGCCGCACAGACAACAGAAACAATCCGAGCGTCTCTTGTCTGAGCACTCACGTGGGCCGACAAAGGCTAAAGATCGCCATTGATCCCAAGAGCTTGGGTCGCAACGAGTAAAATGACGACACCTCAACACCCTCCCGGAGCTCAGCTGAGCCGGAATGATCTGAGCTGAAAAAAAGTCCGAAAGCACCTACCACGGTTTGTACCATATAACCGGCACTGGCACCCTGAAACTCTGCACTTCGCATCGATCGCGGTGCCCAAGAACATGCGGCGCTCGACGCACATACCACACCTTCCACGCTGTTGGGTTACAATCTGGCCCCGAATACCTCACTCTCATGTCCGTGTGCCTCGTGAGGCAATGCGAAGTCGGCGTGCACGTGCCCATGAATCTGAATGAACCACGTTGTCGGGGTATGAGGATGCTGCGCTACCGACGAAACAGGCACTGGCGCAATTTGGACCCTGAGGAGCTGAGAATGAGACCTTTGCCATTCGACTGCAGTCCACGCGATTCCAAACCCATGGTTCTGGCGCCCATGCTCTTTGCCACGTGCCTATTGCTGCACAGATGCGTTTGTTACCTGGTCAGTGTACCGAGTAATCGGCATGACAAAATGAATGCCACTGCTGCGCCAATGCCCTGTTTCGGATTGCTCATCTCCTCTCCATTCAAGCTGGGTTCCCGCCCTTGGTCCTGCACCTGCGCAATTTTGTACGGAGTCAGGATAAAGTCGCCTCACAAAGCTGCAAGTGCATCACGCTCGCATGGTTCAAATTGTATGATTTGGCACTAGTGAGAAAATATCGCATTTCTAGGTGGTCGAGCATCACTGGAAACATGCAGCATCTCACCTGATTCTCGGCCCTCAGCGATACCACTTTTATGGAGATAGCCCCTGGAAGTGATGTGAGTGAAGAGTTGTCTGTGATAATCGCCATGGCTACCGTACACCTCATTCTTCCTTTGCAGGTCGAGCAGACAAGTTCGCCAGAGTCCGTCTGTCAGATGCGGTGGCAGTGTACCATACTCTCCACTCCTTGAGAATCGTGTATGATATCTTCCGGAATCAAATGCAACAAGACGATGCGGTATACCTCGCTTCCCAATCCAGCAGGATAAGTTGCTAGACCATTTTGCAATCAAACGAACATGCATCCGAATAGTCAGATCTGTTTGACCTACTCGTCCATCGTGGTTCCAGGCGGAGGGGTCGAGAGATATGCTCTTGAACGACCGGAACTTGACCCTTGTCACGCAACATGAGATCACTCGTGCTGACACTGACACTGACACATGTCATCTTACCCAGTTACAAGAGTCTGCCAGGCTACATCTCATTCATGTCGCAAACTTGCTCACCCAGTATCGACTCCAGACCTTCTTGTCTTCATCTGTTCCCTTGAACTATAACCCAATTGCATCGTGTTAGCCATCGTTTCTCTCAAGGCAAGTCTTCCAATTCGAATTTGGGTGGCGATTACCTCGAAATCGACCTTGTGAATATCCTGGAAACCCTCCTTGAGCGTTGGTTCCTGGAATCGTTTCGCGAAGCTACTGAATGCAATTCCCGGTAGAATGGTTCGTGCTTCGGGGTTCATCTGCTTGATTGAACTTGATTAGCGTCAAATGCGACGTTAAGTGAGGGTGGGTGGTGGCTCAACGGGGCATGTCATGAATTGCCCAGCTGGCCATCGATGGCAGGGGGGTAATAGTTGGCGATAAGGGGCACTGTCGGAATACATACCGTTCCAGGGTTCAGAGCTCTCACAACATCATTGTGCTCCGCAAGACGTGTCGGTGCTGTGAAACGTACACACCGGATAGGTACATTGAATTCCTGTGCAACCCGAACCCAGTGTGCCCGGGTGTTAATGTCCGCATTGGTGTTATCTGTCATTTCCACGTGTTAATGAATCTTTGACTGACTCACGTGTGACACAGGGCAAAATCAGGATGGAGGAAAAGGTACAAGCACTACTACAAAGTGTGACTGGAAACAATCGCCCCAGCTGCAGTTGGAGATGGTTGCAAGATGGACATTGTGAGGAGGTGTAGCGGTGATGCTGGGCCCAAGACAAGGTCTGCATGCATAGTGCATGATTCTTGAAAGGGGTACCCCAGCGGAGAGAGAGGGTGGAGTTGCAGATTGACAGGTTGGAGTGCAGAATCTTGTACGGCCTTCTGTGTCTTTAGAATGCAACCCAGGGGAGCATTTGCATGTTCAATCACATTACAAGAAGTGAGGTTGACAGGTGAAACATTTTTGATGAGAATAGAAACACAAGATTGTGGGTGGGACTGGACTGTCGGATAGCCATATTAGGAATGCAAGAGTTCTTGTTGTACATACCAACAGCCACAGACTTTTCTTCACCAAGCAATTCTTTCGCCTTTTTGATGCACCTATCCCGCTATCATAGGACAAAATGTCTCAGCTTGAAACTCATTTTGTGGATAAAAGTAAATGCAGGGGAATGACCACTGTTGGCATGATATGATATGCTGGGTAGAGCATAAAGGGATCCAGGGAACATACCGTTTTCAAGATGTCTTGATTGACTCGTTCGTATCCTAATGGTTGTAGCACATTCCAGAAAAATGAACTCTTACCGGCACCTGGGGAGCCGCAAAATATCACCAGTTCTTGTGGGTTCATTTTGATGAAAGGTACGTTAGCTGGGTCTTCAGCATTCGCTACGACTGCAGACTCAAGGTTCGCAAGGTAGCCTGGAGGGTCAAAGGGGGGCTTGTAAGGTTCTGGCTGTGCTTTCAAGAAGAATTGCTCAGGAGTGTAGAAATTGATGCCAATATTCGCAGCCAGCTCCCTATGTGAATTGTCAAAATTATGGGGTTTCCATCTTGTCATCAAACAAAGGATGAAGAACACTATACTCACCTGTCGCAATTCGAGTGATCTTTAGGTCTCGTCTCGGTTTTCTCTCTTCCACCAGCGTCTCCGACATAAAATGAATTATCCATGTCAACTGCGCCATACAGCTGGAGATCATCAAGGAGCTTTTCCCACATGCCAGTCCGAGGTTTACGATATCGATCTTGAATTGTAGCAGCGTAGAAGTGGATGGGCAGGTCGAGCTGTCGAAGAACTGAAGATATACAGGCTTTGAGATTGGCAAGACTTTTCGACTCGGCTTTAGGGATGACATTGCCTTGATTGCTCATAATGATGACGAGATAGCCCTCGCTATATAGCTGCTTTAGTCTCGCCGGAACTGAGCCATCCCACCACTTCCAACTATTAGCGTGACGAGCCCACTTGTTTCCCGAGTTAGCAGTAATCAGGGTATCATCAAGGTCGAAAGCTGCGATTTTGATAGAGCGAATGTCTTCCGAGTCATTTACATCCTGAGGAACATTCGAAGGGGCACCGGAAGGCTCATATCGTCCCATGATCAAGCTTTCCTTGAATATCTTCCATATTAGTTGGTCAGGAGGCTTTTGTGACGCTGGCTTGAAGAAACTCGCCACCGCCTTATCTGGGTAGTTTAATTTAGTCAAACCGACGATACCGCCAGATGAAGGACCTACTGGTAGTCGTAGATCCAATCTTCCTTCTTACGGGAGGTGGGGAGACCTGTTTTGGAGAGTTGGGTGCCGACCTCTTCATGATTGACCTGGAAATGACTCGGAGCTCACAGTGTGCGTGGCGAAATGATGAGTGACAAACCAACCTGTGCTTGCCAGGTGATAGCCATGGGTGAGGAGCCACGTTCTGCAACGTAGTTCAATTTAGATGGAGGGGCTAGTGAGCGAGTTTGCACTTTTGATAATGGTGGAGGAAGTGGAAGTGGAAGTTGAAGTGGTTGCATGACTCAAGTGATAAGAAAAAACGTGTAGAGAGACGCGACTGACCGCGTTTATTAGTCACCAGTGCCAAGATACACTAAGATAAGATATCCGTGTACTAGCAGTAGTTGCCTAGTACTAGTGGGTGACCACGTTGACTTCATTTCTTGATGATAGAATGATATCAACTGCCAAGTTCAAGTCCAGCATGCACAGGGTATCACCCTGCTTGGGCTGTTATTGACAGCGGGCTTTTTCTCATTGATGGGGGGTCGATCTCGTTATTGTATCTCAAGTTTGTCGGCGGTCCGCCTCCTCAAACCCACAAGGTAATCAACCACGAACAACAACTTGACATCTTTCTTCTTGTTCCGTTTGAAGGTCGATAATGTTTGTCACTGTCAGCATGGGGAATTTATAGTCGTACTTGCTTGCTTCACGTGGGCCACTTTCCTCATTCATGCAGCTTCCTGCAACGCTGAATTGATTGTCAGTGATGGAAGTGACTACCCGACCATTGGAATCTGGAGTGATTGATGCTTGAGACCGGTATCTATCAGGGTTACATAGGCAACCTTTCTTCCAGTCTCATTACATCGCATTAGCAGAATATATTCAGTCCTGCCATTTACGCCCAACCCCCCCTTGCAAACACCGGATCGGCGTCACCATGACTTCCATCACCTCGCTTCCCCCCGAAATCTTGTCCCAGATTCTCTCCCTGAGGCTATTATCAAGATCAGAACTCACAAAATGCGCCCTTGTCTGCAAAGACTTCAATACTACCGTCACAGCTAACTTGTATCGAGACCTCTGCTTCGATCTCCCGCATTTCCGATATGGAATGGAAGAACACCTGGAACGCAATGAGCAGCTGCATAAAATTCAACTCCTGACCAATCAGTTGGCAGTCAATCAGAGACTCGCGGATCGTGTACACAGCTTAGTCCTTCATGGCTCCTCCAACTGGCTTTCCGAAAATGTCGCTTTACCTAGCCTACCAGACCGCCTTGCTCCTCAAGAAGATGCGCCCCTTGACCACCAGACCTTCTTGAAGCATACTCCTGTTCCTCTTCCACAGATGGTATCAAAACTAACCCAATTGAAAGTACTGAATTTGGATGTTGGGTTCTCAAACTTGTTGCGAAGGCAGGCAGTATACTTTCCGAAACTCCAAGTGGTCGTGCTCTGGAGTCTTAATGAGAGGTTCTCCCACAACCACTTCTGGATGGCCCAGCCGAATCTCCTCGAAATCTGTTTCAATCATGGAAGCGTTAGCATTCCACCGGACTTTGATTGCTACAATTCTAGCGTGAGTAAAATTGTTCTGGACTCGAATCGTGGATTTCCCTCCAATATTGCAAGATTGGTGCAGGCGCCTAAGGCTCTGAAATCCTTCAAGTGGCGATTTTACTCCAACTGCTGCCTTCGAGCATGTGCGCATAGGAGCAACAAATTGAAGGGTAATAAAGTGATACCTGGATGCTACAAGCTGCAAGACAGCGTCAATTCCATTCTCACGCATATCCGCCACTCACTTCAAACTTTGGTCCTCACCTATGGTCATCACTCAACGCGATGTTCTCTCAGTCCTGTTCTCATACCATCAATGCGTGGCTTTGATCAATTAAGAGAGCTCAGGATCGAAGCTTCAATGCTATTGGGAAGCCAGACTTGCCCGTCGCGCGACTCCGTAAGTACAAACATTTTTCGTCCCGGGTACGAACTCGCCGGCATCATTCCAACGTGTCTGGAGACACTGCACCTGGAAGTTGAACGTGAGCAAATGGACCGTGATGAGAAGAACTACTGTAAAGATATTGTTCGTGGGATTGTTCAGCGCCAGAAGAAACGCGACCTTCATTTGGGTCATTTCATCATCGAGGAGATCAATCCACGATATGCGAGTAATTGCCAATGCGTGCCGAAAGATCTTTGTCATCGAGCAAGATCGCACATTGAGATCAACTGGAATCTGGGGAGTATCTGGGAGATGGAAAAGGCATGCACTGGCGTTGGTATTCTATTGTCTTACATTTGGCGGCGTGGGAGCTTTGAAGATCCTATCAAGTTAATCCTTAGGTCTGGCGGTCTCTCCTTACATGCCACTACGGAACCTTGGGACTGGACAATGGTTGGTGTATGATCCATGTGGTTGGAAAGTTGTTGCCGGATGGTCCCGGGACTGACGGGAGATATGCAGATAGACATTCCATTCCTGCTGTTGGGCTCCTAAAGGCAAAGTCAAATCATGGATGGAGGGCACAGCCTCTCTTATTGGGAGGATATGATTTCCTTCTAATGTACAGAGACCAACAAGCCATCAATAATGAAACGTGTGAGGCGTATTTCCTGGACATAAGCTGCGGCTCTGAACACTGGCATTCAAGTCACTTGAGCGCGCTTCCGTCAATGTTTACAGGGTGTAGAGGAAATCAGGCCTAGACTTGACGTTAGCCCTCGACACCACTCCCAATTTTCCACAGAGACATGATAACTCACCTCAAATCCCCCAACAGCCTTACCTCCGCCTCGGATTTTCCCTCAACACGATAATCCCTCGCTCCGGCTCTCTTGAACGCATTCTCCCTCCTCAGCAAGAAATACTGCAAGACCGAGCCCCCGAACAGCGCAACGCCGAGATACCCCACGACAACCGCATGACCCATCACGAAGCGAGGCGCGTCTTTACCCCTGTACACGTTACTGATAACCACGCCCTGCAGGTTCGCCCAGCCCATTGCCACGCCTAGCGAGATGCCGCGCTTGTACACGCCCTCGGTGTTGTTTGCGAGCCAGGTGACTGTGTTCGGTATACACGGGTAGATGCCCATGGCAGCCAGGAACGTGCCAGCATACTTTGCGCCGGCTGGAAGGTCGCTGAGGAGAATTCCAAAGCCAATTACACCCAGTGAGGAGATGGCGATTGCGCATAGTCCCCGTTGGCGTGTTTTGTCGGCGATGAAGCCAGTTAGAATTGTTAATAGGGCGGCGGCAATATATGGTGGGACGGACATTAATTGCGCGGTTGTGGCTCTGTAGCCCAATTCGGCGAGGACTATCTTTTATTAGTAGGAGTTTCACATGAGGATGGCTAACAGAGAAAGGGGGAGTATTCATACTGGTCGGTAGGAAAATACTAAACCCGTAAAGTCCACCTCCGGCTCCCATGTAGATGAGACAGCCGGTGTATGTCTTCCAGTCTTTTAGACTTGCCATGACATACTTCCAGCTGAATGATTCATGCTCTGCGCTCGCTTGCTGATCAGCCTTGAGACGATTGTAGACTCGCAGACGATCTTCCGTAGAGAGGAATGTGGCTTCATCGGGAAAGTCGTGCACCATCCAGACGGATATCACTCCAACCACAATGGTAATGAGACCTTCTAAGATAAAGATCCATGCCCAGCCTGGTTTGCCACCGACGCCTCCCATCTGGCTGATACCTGCGGCGAGGAGACCCCCGAATGAGCCTGCGATGGCGGCAGCACTGAAAAAGATCGCAGAGCGAATGCCAAATTCGGAGCGCTTGTACCAGCATGATAGGTAGAAGTTGCAACCTGAGAAATGATTAACATCACTGACTTTTAATGAGAAAGCTTCACCGAGTTTGAGTCTATACCTGGAAAGAGACCTGCTTCAAATAGACCCAGAAACCAGCGGGCGGTCGCCAGACCTGCAAAATCATGGACTAATCCACAACAGACGCAAGCTATGCCCCACAGGACCATGCTGTTGCGAATGTTAGAGATCAATTATTTCTTCATCTTGCTTAGGGATTAACAGCATACATGGTAGGGATATATCGACTTGGTCGAAACCTCTTGAGCAATACATTACTTGCCGGTTCAAAAACTGAATAAGAGACGAAGAAGATCGCAAGCGACGCATTCCATTGCCCGTTGGTCATCTTGAGATCCTTTTGGAGACCGGCAATTTTTGCGTTGCCAATGTTCGTGCGATCCAAGAATGAAATCAGATACAAGAGGCAGAGCCAGGGTATGAGATTGAGGTCGAGCTTGCGCAATAACTGACGGTCCTGTTTGGTTCTTGTTAGTATCGCGAATAGTTGGGAGACATATTTCGATGTTGTACCCTCTTTTGCCTCTCCTCGTCGCTGAGTCCAGCATCTGGGTCGTCGTTCATGGGCAAAGGCCCAGCCTTCTCATAAATATCGAGTGATTCAACTTGATAGTCATCTGCCTTACTTGTGCTTATACGGGCGGCCATGGTTGCCAGACTCATGCGCGAGCTGATAGCTGAGCAGTAGATAGTGCTGGTCGAGGCAATTGGTTAGAGAATGAGTGCAACCAGTCCGGGCGAAGGCGAGCTTTAAATCGTGGGCTAACTGTTCGTGTAGAAGCTCAATCTCCATGCATCGCGTTGTGTTCTTCTCCTCAATGTCTCTCCATGGGGTTGGATCCGGACTCATATCCGAAAGCATGGAGGACTGATCCTCAACTCCGACGCTCAATGAGTGTCTGCCATGAAGACGGAGGCAGATGGCATCTAGTCCGAAGCGGGCGGGCCTGTGCCTTGACTAGGGTGTAATCTAGCAACAAAATGAGTCTGGAAGGCATATCATTGAAACATTCACCCTTTATGGTTGTGGTTGGTAATGCGCCAGGGTGTTCACGTTATTCGGAGCGGAGCGCTCTTCGGGGCTCCGCAAAGGGAGAGAGATAGGTCTGAGCGCGGAAACCTTGAGCCCCAGCATAGGCACCTTGAATGCCTCGGCAAATGGAAAAAGGACGAAAATCAATGCGCCTCCGCCCTCCGCCCTCCATCCAAGACGAGGGTGTCGATGAAAGCATATCGGCGGATGATCATGTCAGCATCAAGATGTGTTGCTAGCATTCAACTTCATGCTTTAGGGTCGAACCTTAGACCCTTCCATATTCGCAGAGAGTGCTCAGGAAATCATTTGATATTTTGATGATGAATGGAACGCCTGCGCATTGGTAAGAATTATTAACTTCGCTTCCATACTGAAGATTGTCGATCACCAAGAGACTCTTTCCAATGAACTCCATAATGAATGGAATGGTAGATAAAATGCACGTCTCTCACCTTGATCACGAACGATCTCTTCATCGTAGTAAAATACAAATCAGCCTCATCTACCAAGCTCGACATACACATTGAACAGCAATGGCAGCCAACATAAATATCAAGAAAGTCATTCTGATCGGCGTATGGTTGCACCATTGAAGAAGTCTTCCACATGTTAATGAGATGAACAGGGCACAGGAACAATCGGGTCGATCATTCTCAACGGAGTACTGAAATCTCCCTTTGAAATCAGCATCTTGTCAAGAGCATCATCAAAGGCATCATTTCCAGCATCGGTTCCAGTCCTCAAAGCCGATTTTGACTCTGAAGATGAGCTAGTACGAGCTTTTCAGGGGCAGGATGCGGTTGTCAGTGCTGTGGGAGGTGCAGGGTTTTCGCAGCAGAAAGCTTTCATTAATGCAGCAATCAAAGCCGGAGTGAAGCGGTTCCTGCCCTCCGAATTCTCTACCAACACTAGAAGCGAAGCAGCTCGCAACCTGGTGTCGCTATTTGAAGCTAAACAAGAGATTCTGAACCATTTGAAGGAGAAAGAATCGTCAAGTTTTAGTTGGACGGCCCTCGCAACAGGACCATTGCTTGACTGGGTGAGCAGAAACGATGGTAACACTTGAGTCCCTGACTGACAATCAATAGGGAATCAAATCTGGCTTCCTTGGGTTTGATCTGGCCAACAAGAAAGCTAAACTTTGGGATGGTGGCGAAATTGTTTATTCGGCCACAAATGAAGACGATGTCGCCAAAGCCGTGGTTTCCATTCTGCAACACCCGGTTGAGACTGCAAATAAGTATCTGTATGTCGAGACGATCGCAGTCTCTCACAGGGACATTCTCAAGTCCTTGAAAGCTGCAACCAGTCAGAAGTGGGAGGTTGAGAACGTCAAAACAGAGGACTTGGTGAAAATGGGAAAGCAACTTGTTGCAGGAGGTGACTTTAGTGGCAATTTCTTGCTTGTACAAGCCACTGTCTGGGGCAATGGCGAGGGATTACGGCAGAACTTTGTCGTTGACGAATCTCTTGCGAACTCGTTACTGGGCTTACCCAAGGGCGATCTGGAGAAGACTGTGAGGAGAGTCTTGAATGCCTCAGAAAGTTCGTAGAAAAGCTGGATGTTATCACTTAATGATGACGAGGCTGGTTATTACATACCTTAACATTGGAAGGTATCATTAGGCAACAACCCCTAAATAATCAAGCCTCTTAAGCCTCCCCAAGCCCCATCAGCAGCTAAGTGTCGCCAAAGTTCTGGGGCGCTTTAGGGCCCCCGGGCTCTGGGGTAAATTATCCGGGTACGGTCTGGGGGTTCCTGGCGGCCCAAGCTGACCACAGTATTTAAACTAACTACCCGACCTACGGACTAGTTAAGATTCATTTCGCGAATCTAATTCCACTTCCAATCTGCAGATCTAGATGATGACCAGCGCCAGCATAGCGCTGCCATTTCTGAACTCTACCCGAATGACAAGTCGGATAAGCTGTTCGAGATGCCTGATGAAAACCAAGCAATCACTTCGGTAGAAAGCCGACCTCCCAGAGTAGCGCCTGGACGGTCCTGCATTGCATGTCGGAGACGAAAAATCAAGTGCGATAGAAATCAACCTTGTGCATATTGCGTCAGAATACGAGTTCAGTGTATCTACCCGGTGGAAGAGCCGAAGAAACAACCCGATGACAATGATGTCCTCTCCCGATTGAAGCGCATTGAAAGCTCACTTGCAAGGTTAGAAGCCACCCACTCCAGCAACAACAAAAGCTTGCGTGTAAATCAAGCCACCACAAGGTCTCATGATGATACAGCCCTCCTTCAAGAGGGCGCCCGCTCTCACGAAAATGTATCCCATACATATCAAGAGGGCACATCCGATCAAGAACTTCAACACGAAAAGGTCCAGACTACGCCTGGAGGAAGTGGCAAGCTGGTTGTCGAGGAGGGCGACACCAGATTTGTCAACGGTAGTTTTTGGGCTGATTTGGAAGAAGACGCTACCGAGCATGAGGAAGATGTTCCTTCCACTTCTACTGGACCGGGAACTGGCACTGAAACGGTGCCCTTCAGTCAACCATCAAACGATAATTCGTACCAGCGCTTTATCTTCGGTATGACCACAGTCCCACAAGCTAGTGGTCTTCGACATCTTCATCCCCCCGAAGCGCGCATATTTTCCTTATGGCAGGTATACCTGGAGAACGTCGACCCATTGTTGAAGATACTTCATGTTCCTACCACGCAACGTCAAGTACTTAGAGCCAGTGGGCACCTGGACAATATACCTCCCCCAGTCGAAACGCTCATGTTTGCGATTTACTTTGCAGCTGTGACCAGTTTACAGTGCTCGGAAGCTACGCAGGAACTTCTTCAGCAAGACAGACCCACGCTACTAAACCAATACAGGATCGGTGTGGAACAGTCTCTAGCTAACGCGAATTTCATGACAGCCCCAGATGTGGCGACTTTGCAGGCTTTAACGCTTTATCTTATATGTGCGAGGCAAACTGTTGACAAGGCTTTCGTCTGGTCAATGGTGGGGCTTCTTTACCGTTTGGCGACCAAGCTTGGCCTACATCGAGATCCCGCTTCACTTGGACTCCCACCCTTCATGACCGAGATGAGGAGACGCCTGTGGTGGCAGATCTGCATTCTTGATGTGCGTATCGCAGAGGACAACGATACAGACCCTCTCATTTGCGAACACAACTTCGATACCAAATACCCCAGCAATGTCAATGATGGTGATCTAGACTTGAATATGACTGGAGCACCCAGAACTAGCCACCACCGAACCGAATTATTGTTCTGTTTGACTAGGTTCGACATAAGCTATACGGCTCGGAAGCTGGTATTCTCCCCTAAATTCAGCTCCGACAATGGCTATCCTTCCTTGAGCCTTTCGGAAAAGATCAATATGCTTGATAATCTCAGGAAAGATCTAGACGAGAATTACTTCAAATATTGTGATTTGGAGGTCCCCATATGCTTTCTCGCAATCACTGCGTCGAGACTGGTTCTTGCGAAAATGAGGCTGATCGTTCACCATCCAGCCCGAAACCAGTCCACTGAGCTGTCACAAGCACAACTTGGGGAGCTCGTATCGACTAGTATCGACATCATCGAATATGCTCACGAGCTGAGGACAAATGTGAAGTACTCACGTTGGGTGTGGTTGTTCCAACAATACGTAGAATGGGACGCAGTAGCATTTCTGCTTTACAGCCTGACCGTTTCATCTCTACCAACTTTTACACACAGAGCATGGAGGGCAATAGATGTATTTATGGAAGACTGGAAGGATCATATCCCAAACGGTCAACGCGAACGGAGATGGAGGCGACTTCTTGCCCTCCATGATAAAGCCAGGGTGAAGCAAGGACACAGTACAGAATTGGATGATCAGCGACCAAGTCACATTCCAGCATTCTCTGGAACCAATGACTTCGATACAACAAATTCAGTTCACCAGACAAATACATCGCTTTCGATGTCTCAACCGGTTCCTTCAGATTTCCAAAAGCAGGTTGTGTCACGTCACAATCAACAAACAGCAGCTGTCAATGGCAATCAAAATCTACCAATAATGACAGGTGCGACCCTTGACGGATACTTCTCTGACTGGGGCTTAGATAACGTTTCTTACTCTATGCCGGAGGCAGCAAGCTGGGACATGCGCATCGATGAGGATTGGAATTCTTCATGGTTCTGATATCGAATATCCCTCTTGCTGTCAAGTGCTCAAAGCGTCATGGTGGCTTAGATTTCGACCTTCCGGCTCTTCCACGTATGCGGCTCTCACTAATTCGTGTCGATCGAATAATGCACCATTTTTCCTAAGGATTTGTTGCACTTCTTCATGGCTTGGTTCCCTGTTTTCCCTCGCCGTCAGACTAGCTGCCACACCCGCAGCCTGACCCGTAACTAAGGCACATCCTAGCACTCTGAAAGCGCTACTCGCGGACTGATCTCCGTCGACGCAACGCCCAGCACAGAACAGATTGCGAGTGTCTTCACTCCACAGTGACCGCAGCGGAATATCAAACGTTCCTTCAGGGGGCGCTTGGAAGAGTATAGGCCAATCTTCTCGTGTACTGTCGTGCCATTCCATGTACCATGCGCCTACTGCCACGGTGTCTTCAAAATCTCGGCCATCCATGATATCGCTTTTGGTCAACTGGTATCGGGAATTTATATGGCGCGACTCTCGAGTGCCAAAATTGGGTCCAGTTGAGGCAAGGTATATATTTTCATGGCCAGGGAGTTTCCGAAGAATATCGAGGTACACTCTGGCTTGTCTTCTACCTTGTTGCTCAGCTGCAGCAATGCTTGCGCTGTTTGTGGCATCGTATTGAGCCGAAGCCATGTAAGTGCAAATATCTCCTGATCCCGGCAATTTGATTAATACCCCAACATTACGAGGAATAATCTTTTTCAGACTTGGGTCCTTCTCCTTTGCAGCAATAATGGCGTCACGCCATGCTGCTGAAGTTGGGTTGGCATTAGCTAGCCCACCAAATCTAGTGGCCAAAGAGCCCATGTTCACATGTCCATGATTGCCGTATCGAGTGGATGCGCCACCGTGGAATGAAAGATCACCATCTCCCGAGCAGTCGACGAAGGCCTTTGCAGATATCTTCCGGCGACCTCTCCTCTCCTGAACCTCAATTGCCGTTATCATATCCCCATCACGTGCACCGCCGACTACAGTGCAATGCAGGAGGACGTCGATGCCATAGTCAAACGTGATGTCATCGAGGACGCGTTTCAGGCCTTCAGGATCAAAATTCTGGGGTTTTCGATGTTAGATTCAGATCCGACATTGCGATTTCCGACGTACCTGAACGTACGCCACAATCCGATCTGGCGTCTCAGCTGCCGCCCTTTCCTCGACCAATCTCTTGTGAATCTCCGTCCATATGGCGCCAACAGCCCTCCTGGGTTTATCTTCCACACTATATAGCCCAGCGAAGGACAGGACACCACGATGAGTCGCAGCTCCTCCCAGACATCCTTCAGATTCTATGATCAAGACTGTGGCGTTGGGCGAGGCTTGTTTGGCCCCAATGGCTGCTCCAATCCCTGCGATGCCTCCTCCAACGATGATTACATCGTAAGAGTTGATGTCTGAAGCATTGATTTGACCATTGGAGTTAGTTTGAGACGAGATATTGACACCGTTGGTGGTGCTGGTAGTAGTATCTATAGCCATTGGAGCCAATGTTCTTGGTCTAAGATCTCGAATTTCTGAACAACAATTGCATTTAATTTACTCATTATCGTGGAAATAAATCCTTAGAGGCCCTTATGCATACCGTTTCAGGCGGCGTACGCACCATGCGTCACATTCGGCGATCGACCAATGCCGTGTCCGACAATCATCAGAGAACCTTCCGTCTCAATGCGCCCAGTATAAGATACACGGAGAGGCTGAGGAGCGGCCTCGCGCTCCTCATCGCGCGTGTCGTGGCGGATAAGACGCAGGACTCATTAAAGTCCAATCAAAGATGGTGGAGCGTCATCCGCAGTGATCTTCAACTAGACTGCAACTAGACGGAGCGCGGACGCGCGCGGCATCATCCTCCGCGATCATCAAATTCAGTTGCGAAGCCCATATCATCGGCCTAGAAGCAGAGAAAGCCTACCCGATTCCCCGTATTGTGACCGTCCCTATGACTTTCGTATGAGCTGCCAGATAGGGGGAAGGGGGGCATAATCCGTGTAACATCGTCAATGACTGAGTTAGAGATGCAAGCCTGTACTCATAGGCTCATGATTTCGGCTGTGGGTGAGTTCGATGCAGGGGCGGGGATATTCCGAGGGGCCTAAGGGCCTGTGGGGATAGGGTTTTCGCAGTGGCCACGCGCCTACGGTATGCAGGACCAAGAGTGTCGCTACATAGCTTACGTGGAGGGGAAGGCAGACTTGCGAGTATAACAGTGACAAATTCCGTATGACATTTCTTGACTTAGCCCTTTTCATAGTCTGATTGCTCGAGATAGATCTATCAAAGGCAAGGGACAATCAATCATTTCACGGACTAGACCGAGGTCCAATCCACCATGCCGTCGCCGATACTCGTCGTTGCGGCGCTCTTCCTTGTTGCGGGACTTCTAGTCCAACGATCCTTCGGCAAGCAGCAGCGCGTGCCCAAGGGTGCAAGGACTCCCTCTGGTCCACCAGGTATATGCTCACGCCGTCAACCAGAATATCAAGCACACTTCTAGCTCCTCCTCCTTTCTCCCAAATGTCCACCGCCCTGGTCCCACTTGGTCACACACTTCATACACATTGCTTGTTCCCCAAGTACAAGAAAAGCACTGACCAAGCGCTCACTTCCACCAGGCAAACCCATCGTCGGTAACCTCCTCGACATCCCGCCCGTGCAATCATGGCTGCAGTTCAAAGCGTGGGCAGACACGTACGGGCCCATCTTCCGGCTGAACATCATGGGCCGCAATCACGTGGTGGTGTCGACGGAGAAAATCGCCAATGAGCTGCTTCGCGAACGCGGCAATCTGTACTCGTCGCGCGAGCAGCTGCCAATGGCGGCGAAGCTGATGAGTCGCGATCTGAGGCCGCTTTTGTTGCCGTATGGTGGTGAGTTGACAGCCCCTTGCGTACTCGTATGGCGTTGGTTGTGGGTGTAGAAGCTGTGGGGTTGAAGTGTGCGCGCTGGGCTTGGTGGTGGGGTTGGTAGAGAAGACGATACTGACCGGGGTCGTGATGTAGATCTCTGGCGTCGCGGCCGGAAACTGATGCACGTGCTGACCATGCCGACTGCTGCGACATCATACCAACCGCTGCAGGTCTATGAGTCCGAACGTCTGCTGTTTGACTTGCTCCGGTCGCCGGATGAGTATGAGAAGCTCTTCGAGCGGTATGCCGGTGCGGTGATTATCCGTTTGGCGTACGCCAAAACCATCGAGACAGGAGACGAGCCATACCTCCGCGATGTCCTGAGCGTAGTGCATACCGTTGAACGCGTCGCGTCGCCCGGCGCATATCTCGTCGACACCTTCCCCAGCCTGATGTATCTCCCGAGCTGGCTGGCGCCGTTCAAGCGCGAAGCGGCTCGATTGCATGACTTTGAATTGACGCTGTTTCGTGGATTGTTGGATGAGGTGCGAGAGAAGGTCAACCAGGGAAAAGCGCCAAAATGCTTCACCACCACGTTTCTCGACAAACAGGCCGAGTTCGGATTGTCCGACAACGAAGGTGCATATGTCATAGGGACTTTGTTTGAAGCGGGCGCCGGCACCACAGCGGCTGCGATGCTCAGCTTTTGTCTCGCTATGTGCCATTATCCTGATTGGCAGGATGAGTTGCACAAGGAGGTGGATCGAGTTGTTGGTGATGAGAGAATGCCATCGTTTGACGATGTGCCCGACTTGCCGTTGGTGCGAGCTGTGGTCAAAGAGGTGCTGAGGTGGAGACCAGTCACTGCTGGTGGAGTGCCGCATGAGTTGATTAAGGATGATGTCTATGATGGACTATTTTTCCCGGCTGGAACTAATGTTCATGCCAATCAATGGTCCGTTTCGTTTGCGCTGACACTGCTGAAGGGGTTTCAATTGGGGCATGAGCTGACTTTTCGCAGGGCAATCCACCGCGACTCGGAACTTTATCCAGATCCTGAATCCTTTAACCCATCACGATGGCTGAAACCTGAATTTCCGACTTATCGAGAACCATTGGACAAATATCCCAACATTCAGAACTTCTCAGCCTTCGGGTTCGGCCGTCGCATTTGTCCTGGAATGAACATTGCCGAGAGGTCTTTGAATCTCCTAGTCGCAAGGATGGCGTGGGCAACGAAAATCTCCAAGAGACCAGGTGTTGATGTACCGTGGTATGATTATACATCCGGATTCAATGTGCAGCCTAAGAAATTTGCGTTCGACTTGAAGGCGAGAACTCCATCGAAGGCGAAAATTGTAGAGCATACCTGGTTGGAGGGGAAAGCCAGAGATCCACTTGCTGGATCTTAGATACTATGTTGAAGGAGTGACCAAGTCAAGTTTCCCGAATTGACAGAGCACGACTATTTTCAGTTTCTGCGGTTCACAATCAACCGAGTATCAAGAGCAAGTCGGTCACCCGGTGTCAGGTCAACGGCTTGCTTGAAGCCTTCCTTGAGAGCCAACAGTTGGCGGGTAGCTTTGTCCTTGAGTTCAGGATTGTTGCCGTCGACGACATCAATAGATGTCTGTAATAAAGCACCACCAGAACCATCCAACTCTGGAAGCTCGGAAATATTGGAGAGAAAGGACAAATCCGTCATGGCAGATTCCACGGAAGTTTGCGGTAGGACAAGCACTTTATGGAGATAAAGAGTAGTGTCGATATCGTAGAACTTTGAACCGGTGAGCATGTAGCGAGAAACATATTCATAGCCGAAGTGATCCAAGAAAGTAACCAGATTGCCATCATCGAGAGGGGTGCGAGAGATCAGCCTTGTGCTGACAGCCTGCTTGCCCGGGTCTGGAGTATCTCGAAATTCCAGAGTCCAGTGGATGTCAGGCTTGGCATCACCGCCGCTCCCACCGTTGGTCATGGACACCTCGCCATTCTGAGTTGAAGCCTTCTTATCATAGGAAGATTTCGCAGGCATGATCTCTCCAACAAGCTGGACATAGTACAAGCTGGCATTGAGCATGTTTCTCCATCGTTGCACTTCTGGTTGTAGAACACCTTGGTTACCGCCTGCAGACGGGAGTTTGTCCAGACCAGGTGGTTGACGCGCCTTGAAGACCAAGTGGATTTCCGAAGCATCAACGGGCTGCATACGTGTGTATCCAGCGAGTTGCTGCAGTGTGCGATGATGGAGTTCCCGGGGCACTTGGCCATAGAGGGCGAATTCATGCATGGCTTGTTTTGAAATGTGAAGATTGAAAGGCACGATGACCCGGATCGGTGACTGCCGGTCAGAGATAGCCAAATGTCGTGATGGGTGAATTAGTCAGGAGATGAATCATGTGAAAGGGCGTTTTGATAGAGTGAGAGTTGGGTACCTGGGTAGGGAGGTCCATCCAACCGAGGTTCGCGCACGCAATTCTGTACGAGTAGCAATTGAAATTCGATGCTGTTGGTGTTGTAATAATGAGCTGTACGGACGATACCACACACATAAAACCCCCTCCGAGAGCGACGGATGAACGTTGACCCAATATGGTGTTAGAGCTTCCTAGAAAGTTGACCTAGTTTGGGTACCCAAGACAGTTGCAAATTCAAGGGGATTCCCTATGGCGACATCTGCTCATACCACACATTTGCTTATGGTCGCTGCTATTCAAAGTGCACATCGAGGTTGCGGGTGATGTGGGCGGTGTTGTGTTGATGGTGGTCCCGAGTATTGATACCGTATTTTACAAGACTGTCGCGTGAATGGAAAAGAAGCGAGTTCTGCCAAAGTCAACGCGTGTCGTCATTGGTGCGCTGGGCGGCTATTATACTCAAAGGGGAAATATCTCGAGCTGCTCTGCCGTTGCGCCGAGTTCCGATGAATGGAAGCTCAGGGCTGCCATCTGCTCTGCCATCCATTCTCTATCTTTTTATCAATATTCCTTCTTGTCAACGTCCCCATTCTTCCCCAGCTCCGAACACCCGCTCCGACCCTCATCCACTGGGTCCAGTCCTCCTATATACTCCTTTGCAATCATATATCCTTTTCATATACCCTCGACCCGCGTCTGCAACCCTCACCTTCCAGCAACCCTCCAGAAACACACCAGCCATTCTCCCCTCTGTTGTCATCCAGATAGCTTCTACTGCAAGGCCCACAACACTTTGACTTTGGTACCTGACAATCTAAACCTCTCCGGCCCGACTGCACTACTATCTCCCGACCTCGAAATCTTCACAAGGAACATCAGAATAATTGGAGGGATTCCTTTACCAGCAGGCTCATACAGTTCCATCTGTGATCCAAGTGCCCCAAGATGCGGGCTTCTTTGATCCTCAGAGCTGCTCAGCACCGTACCCCATCCATTAAATTCATCGGAAAACGAACTCCCCCAAGTACGTCTGTCGACTCTTCTCAGCTTGCGCCTCTAGCTAACCATTCCCACCAGAATCTATAGACCATACTCCTCAACCCCACCCCGCCTCACCCTCACACTCTCTCCCAGATAGTTTTGCAACCTACCGGTCCAAGGCACAACAGCATGGTCCTCTCGGAGGCAATGCCAAGGCCTCAACGTCTGGCTTCACAACCTACGGTGCCATTGGTGGATCAGCTGGCAGATCATTAGGCTCCGTCCAGCCAAAGGAAGGCGAGGTCTTTGACCGAAATGACTTGCCAAAGCGCTTCTGGCGGACACAGTGGACTGACGAAGAAATCGATGCTGTAACGTCTGGCGGTGCTACCCTGGTGGCCTGAGGATGTCTAACCAGTTCTTACGATTTTCTTTAACCTTACTGCCACACGGATGAGACGACGTCTGAAGGACTTGCAAAAGCTAAAAAGTTTTAGCTAAGAGGAATCAGAACGGAGGTGCATCGGCCTAGGTACCGAACGTACTTGTCCAGAGCAAGTGCGATTCATCATCCCTCAAGAAACCAAAACCGGGGGAATGCGGGGTGAGAACGGCTCGACAAATTTCTTGACTTCTGTCTACCGTACAGCTCAGGTGCGGACGAGCAATGCGGCGTCTCTGGGGGGGGATATCCTTGTAAATACTACCTTTGACATATCAATCCGAAACAAATCAATCACCCTACACTTACCCAGTTCTAGGTGCCTCCTCTTGGGAAGCACCTGATTATTCTTGGGCACGAGGCTGATCATCACGTCTTGCTCATATATCAGTACCGACCTAACATCGCCCTACCTTGCTACTATCCAGATACTGAATGATTTACAGCATCACCCCTCCCACCGAGGTAACCAGACTGTGCTAAGTAACCAACTTTTAGTCAGGCGCCTATGGTATGCTGTATTACATGATGCCTCAGTCGCGCGCTATCCCGAATTTGCATGTCAGCATAACGCCAAGGCAACTTCCATATCTTCGAACCAACGTCCTAGTACGCCTGCTTCATCAGCTACCTGATCTTTCCCTATCCAGCACTCTCCATGAAAATGGTCTCGAGATCGTTGCCCTTCGTGACGTGAAGTCTCAGCATTATCACAGTGTGCTTCCAGCATCATTTCAGGATATTTGACACTCAGTGGGCGATGGCCGAGCCGCTCAGCCTCATTGCCAGCCTGATTGCTGTAGCACAAATCAGTGGGGAAATTATATCACTCTGCTACAACTACAGAAGTGGCATCAAAGGCGCTGATGCAAATGTTACACGACTCACGAGTGAAGTGAAAAGTGTACGAGACATAATCGAAAACTTGATCAAGGTTGTCGATGAACAACCTCCTCAAGACTCCCAGGTCGAAGCAATCGCATCGCTTGCCACTCCAGGCGGACCTCTAACTCAAGCCCTTGACGAGTTGCAACAATTGGAAATCAAATTGAGACCTGCCAGTGGATGGCGAGCCGTTGGTAAGCTGCTGAAGTGGCCACTGTCTGAGCCCGAAGTAGTCAAAACTCTCGACCGGATCAACCGCCTGAATACTACTCTTGCGCTTGCAGCCTCGACTGATCATTTGCAAGTACCGAGGCTTTGTGATTTGAGAAACTATTAACGAACGGACAACAGGAAGATTGCGATAGCACATCGGGCTGAGACAAAAGCTATTAAAGATGATACGAGTGCGCTGCTTCAACATCAAGACTCGACACAAGACAGTATGTGTCGTCAGCACAACACTTTTCCTCCCCCATGTAATAACCTTGACCAAACTAGAGAAGGATCGAAAGACCATCTTCCAGTGGCTCAATGCGCCCAATGCCGAAACCAATCTGATTGTCGCGAGATCAAAACGTTGCGCCTCAACGGGAGGATGGATCTTGAATGACCCAAATTACCAACGTTGGCTTGACACTCCGCAGAGCCTGCTATGGGTTTCTGGTATCCGTAGGTAACGCAAACTCTTCACAAGTGATATAAAGGTGGTCTAATATGGACAGCCGGTGGTGGAAAAACAATCTTATGGTTAGTCATCTCCAGCTACATTCCGTTTGGAGGTCTCCAAAGTCTGATACATGAACCAGTGCGTCTATGATAGAGGACATCGTAGCCAAAAACCCTCAATCGCCCCGCACCGCGACTGTCTACTTCTTCGTCGACTCGAATGACCACACCAAGCGCAATGTTCTCGGGTTTCTAAAGAGTGTTCTACTCCAATTGGCGGCTACATCCCTCACCGTGTACTGGAAGCTCAAATCCTATCATGACGAACTCGCCGATAAGCAAAGCCATCAGCAGGCTTCTCCACCAACAGAAGATCGTCTTCTAGAAATTTTCAAAGATTCTATCATGTGTTATCAAACGTTCTATCTCATAATCGACGCCCTCGACGAGAGTTCAGCTGTGGAAGATTTCCTTCACATGGTCAAGAGCCTGAGAGAAATAAACCACACTCAGATTTGGCAACTAGTCACAAGCCGCCCAACAGGAATTATCACTAGTGCGATGGAGTCAATATCACCAGTCAACATCAGCCTTGATTCTGCTGTTGTTCAGGTAGATATCGAGACCTATGTGGAGCGTTCAGTCACAACAATGGCACATTCCAAAAAGTGGCCAAGCAATCTATCTTCTGAGGTACGAACAGAGTTAACGAACCGGGCTTGTGGAATGTAAGTTTGAAAACGGGTGTGATAGCTGAAGAACTTGAGTAGCGCTGACGTGTTAAGGTTCCGGTGGGTGGATTGCCAGCTTGAAAGTCTACGTAAACTTCACAAACCCCTGGCAGTCCGCAAATCGTTACGTTCAATCCCGGCAACGCTCGATGAAACATACGAACGATCGGTCGAAACAGTACCTGACGATAATCTGGAGGATGCTCAAATATTACTGGAGTGGATACTAGCATCTTTCCGCCCTTTACGATTGAATGAGGTATCAGAAGTCTTGGCTTTCGATTGGGAGATACCTCCTCATTTCCACCATAGTTACCGCCTGCCGAACCTTTCTGATGTGTTTTCAATCTGTGGCGACTTCTTCATCGCCCTAGTCAACGAAGACAAGGACCAACTTTCAATCGGTGTCGGATTCGCCCATTCTTCTGTCAGAGACTTTCTCCTTTCTGAACGTCGTCAACAATGCCAGTCTCGGCTCGCCCTTTGTCTTCCTGATGCACATACTTGTATGGCCAAGATATGTCTTACTTATCTGCTTACCATAACGGATAGGATAACGGACCCTATCAAACTGAACGCCGACTTTCCTCTGTCCGAATATGCTGCGAGGTATTGGGTTGATCACTACCACGCCGCAAGTGACAAAACATCTCTCGTACCTCTAGTTGTCAGCTTGTTGGATGGAAGGCGAAAGAGCAACCTCATAAATTGCTTACAGCTTTGCGAAAACGATAAGCGATGGGAATGGCAACAGGATTCAGACGAAACCGCGTCGCCGATTTACTATGCCTCACTCATGGGCTTGGCAGAGGTAGTTACTCATATGTTACAATCCGGAGAATCTCCGAATGAGTTTCTCAGGTGGTACAATCCTCCTCTCAGTGCTGCTGTCTCCAGCGGTTATCTGCCCATTGTTAAGCTGTTGTTAGAATCAGGAGCAGATCCAAATTTGTGGCATGAATTTCATGGTACCACTGCACTGATAAAATCAGCCGAACATGGGCGCGACGATATTGTGAGAGCGCTACTTTATCATGGTACGAAAGTTGCTGCAGCTGTCCCATTACTCAACACAGCCCTTACTGAAGCTGTCCAAAGAGGCCACCTAGGTACCGTTCGACTTCTGCTCGATGCTGGAGCCAATCCTTTGCATGGCAATGGCGTGGTATTCTATCAGATGATGAGGGAAGGACACACAGCCATCTACCAGCTACTCATGGAGAGAATCCCCAGAGACAGGCGGCCAGTTTCTCTTTATAGTGATATGGCTGTTCGTGCCATAAGGTCGGGACACCCGGCGATTACACAGCTGCTCTTCGAAAATGGCGCCGTGGCTACAGAAAAAACACTATGGGCGGCAGCTTTTGTGGGAAACATCGAACTCGTTCGGGAACTACTTAGACAGGGTATTGACGCGGCTGGTATAGAGGAATTCCGTCCTCTGCAAGAGGCCGCTGGAAGTGGGAGCCTAGAAGTTCTCGAGGAGCTACTTGCCACTGGCGTTGATGTCAACGCCCATGACGAGTATGGATCTACCGCACTTGCAGCTGCGGCTACTCATGGCCATGTCAGTATCGTGCAGAAACTCGTCGACAGAGGTGCGATCGATAACGTCAGCCACGGTTACTCGAATACTGCTTTACATTATGCAGCATTAGGTGGCGAAACTTCAATAGTGGAGACCCTTTTGCAATACGGGCAGCTTACGAATGTATATGGTACTGTAACAGGCCACAGCTCCGCAAACCTTTTTACGCTTGTGTTGCACGATGCGTGCCAGTCTGAAAAAATACCACTTGTGCAGATGATGCTTGATCGAGGGGCCGATGTAAACGCGATCTCTGAAGAATACCTATCGCCGATCTCAACTGCTCTGGGATGCCGCAATCGTGATCTAGTGGAATTGCTTCTGAACCACGGTGCATCAGCCAATGGAAGTGACGAAGAGTGGGATTCTCCGTTGATTGGCGCTGTTTATACTGGTATTCTTGAAATTGTCAAGCTTCTGCTCAATCGTGGAGCAGATATCAGTGATGAGGTCAAATCTGGTGCTTTATTGAAAGCAGTAGACAGGGGAGAGGTCAAAATGATCACTCCACTGCTCAAATCGCTCGATCAGAATTCAAAATCTTATTCCCAGATGGAAATTCGGGCCCTGGAAGAAGCAATTTTTCGTCCGCCTCGACACAGGCGCCAGCAACCCGTGTTCGCAGAGTGCGTCAAAGTTTTTCTTGATCATGGGATAGACCCCAATACGCGCTTCATCGGCTTGGGTCGTGAGTCTGCAACAGGCTTGGATCGTGAGTCTAAACCTAAGCATGCAATACACCATGCGGCGTGGCATGGCAACATCAAAACGATACAAACACTTGCCGCAGCTGGAGCAGACATTGATGCCAAAACCGCTGAGGGCCTGACTGCTTTGCACGAAGCATCAAGAACCGGTGATTTTCGGCTCATTATGGCCCTTGTTGACGACATGGGAGCTGATCCTCGTCCAAAGCTCATCGATGGCAACGAGCCTATTCACCTTGCGGCGCAGGAAGGCCGTGAAATAGCCGTGAGGGTCTTGATTGAGCGTGGAGCTGACGTCAACGTGCTCAACGGCAGAGGTTTATCACCTCTACACATGGCTGCTGATAATGCCAAGTGGGAGGCCGTTCAGACATTGCTCTGGTTCGGGGCCGACCCTCGTCTTGAAACTTACGAAGCACGGTCGACACCATTGGAATTGGCAGAGACGCTCTTGCTAGGTCCCAGTCTGGAACCAAACTATGACGGCTCTAGTGAGATTTGGGAATTTAAAGTTCAGAAGACAATCCAAGTCCTGAAAAAACATATGTCCGCAGAGTGAAGATGCTCTCTTTTCGAATCGTTACATTCCACAAGACCAGATTATATACTATCAAGGCTAGCTCGACTTCTTTCTTGGGTGAATCTCCATAAGAGGTGGTTAACCTTGCAAAAGTTGTGGCCGCCTTATCATAGCCGAACTTTCTGTAGAGGCGATATCCAGCACCTGCATATCGCTTCATACCCAAGTTCGCCCAGTATCAGTGAAGGCCTCCCTACTAGAGATTGGGGGCTAACAAGGCGCCGTACTGAACATAGATTTCAGCAAACGTTAAACTTTCCATGTTCCACATCTAAGCGGTTGAACAATGTTGAAGCCAAAATCCTAGCTCCGCGTGGGCTTCATTACAAGCCCAGGCTTACAGCAGAACACAATAGCTGTAATGTGATCTGTTCAATCAGACAGTCTCCCGCAATAGTTTCACACCTGTTTCATGAAAGAACTTCTCTATAGAGGCCATCATGCTGCCATCTCGCCTTCTGTGGCCACTCAAGCATTGCTCATCTTTAGTTTTTGACTACTGCAACTTGGCTTCGAACTGGAACATTCTCTGCTCTGCCAGGCTGTGGGAATCCTTCTACCTTCACACCTGGTCGGAAGAGTAAACAATGAGAAGATCCACCAAAGTGGAACATGCCCGTCTGTTCACCTTTCTTGATATGTTGGCCTTCTTTCACCGTGATTTCGCATGTCGACACTTCATCCATACCGATTCCAATGAATGCCATCAATCCGATGGCAGGGTTATCGGCCTCGATGAAAATGATGGCCCGCGTAGCCAAAGCGGTCAAATACCCCTGGCCACTTGAGATCCCTTGTGCGTCAATCTCCTTGGTGTTCGGATCACCCAGTCCTTCGAATAATGGCTCGCTGAAATAAGTGCCGTCCTGGACGTAAGCTTTCTTCACAGTCCCACTGACCGGTGAATGCCAACGATGATAGGACAGAGCAGACAGGAAAGCTTGATACACAGTTGCTCCTGCAAATTGTTCGGAAAGTGGATCGTTTGCCAGCATGTCTTTAACACTGTATGGCTGACCCTTGATCCAGAATTTGTCCTTCAGTTTCGCATTGTACTGCACATTGAACACTTTGCTCTCGCATGCATTCGCAATCACATTGTCATCTTCGGGACTTGCGACAGGCCGCACCTCATCCTTGAACTGTCTCGTGAAGAAATCATCCCAAGATTTATATCCATAGTGCTTCTTTGACGTGTCACAGACGAAAAAATCTTCGAATTTGTGATCGGTCTTATATGGGGCATTAGCCACAGACATCATGTCTGTCTTTCCATGTGGGCCGAGCCAGCCCGTTTTGTTCTCATGGAGAACACCTGCTGATTCGGGCTGTTGGAGGAACTTTCCCCATTCATTGAGAACCTTTTTCAGCATTTTGTTGACCTCCGGGTCGAGAAACGCAGCATGGCCGGAGGGAGTGGACATCGGAAAATCCAAAATCGCACACATCGGCACTCCGACCATACCTACGGCTTGAGCGGCGTCGGTCCAGACGGGAGCCGAGCCGAAGACATGGTTGAGGACTTCTAACATATGGTGGTAGTCCCGGATCTGTTTGTGGCCAGTGGGATCTTTCCGGTAGACGTGCTTGAAAGGCACCTCGTCAAACATCGCGGTGAAGTACATGTACCGTCGAGGGTCTGATTCGATGAACTCCTTGAATTCTTGAATGACGGGGAGAAGTGGCTTCTTGTGCTTTGCTGCTTGGTCGATTTGCTCCTTCAACCATCCTTTGTGAGCGCGGTGGTCTGCAGGTAGCCATGCTCCTGCTCTGAGAGGTTTTAGTAAATGCTTGGCTGGTAGCTGTTCAAATGCTTACTTGTGGACTTTCAGGTCATTTGGAATGTCATGATTATCTCCGTGCTGTTGTACACCAGTGCCCTCGTGACCCGCCATTTTGATTTGATGATAGTAGGGTTAAAGGTGGCAGTGAACTGTTCACAGGAAACTGACTGTCTTGGGATGTAGTCGTGGTTCATAAATAGACATGATCGAAGGCTCTGCGGCAAAACCTTTGCATTCACCGAAATTCGCGTCTAGGTGTCACCGGCACTTCCATGGTTTGACGTCAGCGTCCCATCACCTACGAGTAGGACGATTCGTCACAAAATCCGGTGGCATTGAAGTGACGTCCTTGTGCCAGATCGATAAATTACACCATGGTGCCAGGGTTTTTCTCTCGGGACCTTAGGAACCGCGTCAGCATACCAACGTCATGTGGACTAGTGCAACAAGTTTTTTTGGAAGAAGCTTTATGCTTGTGTGGGATAGAATTTGGTGGCTGCATGGCAAACCCCACGATGCACCATGAAACTGCCTTTTACAATTTTGTGCTTGCATGGACCCAGTCCTTCGTCTTCAAAAGCTGTAAGACCAATAAATGTGGTTGCCAGTTCTGGATCGTTTTGATTAGGCTGAACCTCGCTTAAATGCAAAGGAGCTGTTGTGGTCGTCTACGCTTATCGGGCTTAGGCTGGTGTCCCACGCCCAACTTCTGTGGACAGAGCCGTAAAAACCAATGGGAAGCATCATTACCTAGAGCACAAAGAGGCGATTGACGAAGGACCTGGAGCCGACACCGGCCGGCTAGGCTTTGGCGCTAAGGAGTTGGCCGCCAGATCTGTGGGGAAGAAGATGCGAACTTGAGGAGCAAATTGATGTTGCCAGTGCGGCATCTTGTGAGGGATACCAACTCGTGAATTAAAATAGCTGTGTAGACTCGTCTACATCATGGTATTAGAAGAGGGTTTCGTGCCTCTTTTCCATCAGCTTCGCATTTTATTCACACTCTTTACTTAAGGTGGATGGCTTGCAGGATCATTGTCGTTTCAATGCAACAGCCGAAGCGATATGAGATGGTAGGAGATCGAAGACCACCATTCTTATGTATGGAATTCGAGTCTTCGTCGGTGCATTGCTACTTCACAAATTACCTTCCTCTCAGAGGTGCTTTTTCTTTACTATGCCTGCTCCTTCCCCTACGGTCTTTCACTGGGCCGGAAAAACTCCCCGCAATATCGTCATGGACCCAATGACGATGTGGGCATGGTCGTGGACTTGGCACCAGGCTTTTTAAGGTACCTACCTAGGTACTTAGGCTTCTATTATCTGTGGTCCGGAACAAAAACGTGTGACAGATCTTGGTATGACGTGCATCAAGATGGGTTGAAGATCCGGGGCGAAGTTGTCACATATATTGGTCTCGGAGACACAGTAATTAATGACCGTAATTGTCTACAACAAAATAGCAGTTTCAAATTCTATCAATTATACAAAAACAATTCGCAAAATGTCTGGAATAAATCCTGGCTTGACTACACGCAATATGCTTGACGCTGGTGCATCATCGTACGAAAGGCTACTTCTTATCCCATGACTTTACTGATTTTCATAGTGCCACCAAAAACACAGATCTCACAGATGGGATTTTTGAGGATGCTAGCAGTGATATCAAAAGCAAAGAACAAGGCCCCGTACTTACTAGCGGCGTGCAAGGCGGGATGCTTGATGCGATGACCGGTTCGACCGGCTCTTTAGGCTACGATGCCAAACATCAGACTGGACTATCCAATATTGGAGGTTCTTCAAACAGCAGTAACGGCACGGGTCCGTTGGGAAGCGCTGTCGAGGATGCTCGCAAGAAGACCCAGAGTGCAACAGATACTGCCAGCCAGTATCTTAAAGGCTCAGCAAACCAGGCTGCCGCAAGCGGTAATAATGCAACTAGTGCCATTGGTTCGAGCGCTCGAAGTACCACGGACAACGCCTCGCAAACTCAGGGTACATTGCTAGACACAGTCAAAGATAAGATCGGTGTCATCTTCCATGGCAGTGGTAAAACTCAGGAAGAAAATACATTTGCTGCAGGTGCATCAGGCGCCACCAAGAGCACCGATCTGAGTGATGGTATTCATGAGGATGCTGCACGGGGAATCGAGAGTATCAAAGGGGTTACAACACGTCAGAATTAGTATTTCAAAAAGACAATTTACCTACATTCCTAATTGAAGAGGCATCTTCCTGAGGAAGTCCCGGCCTCCCGGTGAAAGTATTCGGGGGGAAACCTTCATTCCTGCTGTAGGAACCTAGTATCTTTCAGTCTTGTTGAGCATTCGAATAATATTTCATAGTCTAAGTTTCCGAAGTCGAAGAGCTTCGGTCCTATGGTCTTTTTCTTGCGACAGCTTCGTGGGTGTCACCGTGGCAGCTCAACTACCTCGGTGTGATCAGTAGCGACTGTACTGGCTCGACTAATCGCCCAAAGAGGCTGGATAACCACAATTTATGCAGTTATCTAGTACATATCTTTTCATTTTACTATATCGTACTAGGGTCGGGCTTACGTTAATTGTATCGTCCCCCTCTTCTCCATCTACCATATGCTCTTTTGCCTCATTTTCTTCTGCCTCGTTTCCGGCTGCTTCTCCCATGTCTCCACGCTCTTTTTTATCGTCCGGCGCTTTCGAATCTTCACCTCTGACCACCTTTATATTCTTACCCTCGGGCGCGTTTCTCCATTCTCATTTTTTCGGCCTCTTCTGCCATTTCTTGCCTTTCCTCTAGTCCCTTTATACCACTACCCTCAACGACCAAAGATTCCCTTGTCCGTTGCCGAGCTTCTTGTACCTCTGCGAAAGAATACACAAAAACTATACTGGGAGATTCTTAGTCGTGGACGTTATTGCTGTGCTTAATGGCGTGCATGTAGGCTTCTGGAGCGGAAATACTAGTAAGCTAAGGATATACTTCTCGTTTAGATAGCTAGTCTGCACTACTCTCAGGCCGGAGATTTAGTATTTCTTAATTAGTGATCGAATAATTAACTAGATTCTATATCAACTAATGCTTCAACTACTTCGATAATATAGCGCTTAAATTTTCTTCAGCGTCATTATTAGCAACACGTCTAGAAGAAATCACCCGGGATCTTAGACTAGCTTCCGGATAAGCCTCACAGTCTGGGTCATACTAGCCTTGATTATAGTCGATATTCAGCGTATCTATGTATTAAATCCCACTTACTAGTAAAGAGCTAGCCTTATTAATCGTAACTGTTCCTCACTTAAATGAAAGATGAGCCTCGTAACTATCGGGTTATACGTTGTTATCTACATTAAAGTAGATTATATACCCATAAGGGTCTTCGGCTTTTACGAAGCATCTACGCAGGCGTATCTAAATTATAGGGTTTGTATATTGAAAATTGTTATATATATAGTCAGATCAGGATATTGTCGACACATCATGTCATAAGCCTTGAGGAGAGATATACAAGTTCCCTAAGCCCGAAGCTTAGGAGCTTTAGTCATTAAACTTTAGAAACTTTGGCAAACGACATTGTCTTTTTAGATATGGAGACTCCATTTCTCGTTCTGAAGCCGGAGTCATCTGAAGCTTTATAGTATGTAGGACTTGACCAGTAAGAATGCTAATGGTGGAGCAATAATTAGCCGAATAAGTGCTAAATTCCTGGGCCATCAGAAACTGTTTAGCCATCTAGTTGGAGTGGAGGGAAATGACATTCATAGCGCTTTGTCTTGGTCCAATTTCCAGCATCTTTGGTGCTTACCATTTGGATTCGGACGGCCCGTCAGGTGTCAGCAGCATCACTACCTTGAGAAATATCCTTGTCTGATGGATCCAGCTTCCAAACAGTTCTATTCGGCGAATTGACCAGTGCGTTCATAGCTTTACAAGCAGATACAGTCCTTCCCGAAACTCCCCTCATAAAAGGACGCTCAGTTGGAAAGCCCTGGTTGCCTCTTGCGTAATTCGATCCTTTTTAATCCGCAGCAGCAAGCACAACATTCCCATCGTCACCTTTTTGAATGCGGTACGCAGCCCAACCAGGTCTGGGTAGGTCAATACTGCTATCGTTTGTCAAAGCCTTCATAAAAACGCCATGGGTAACCAAAGCCACGTTTGGCCTCGAGGACTTTCCACAAGATACTACCATCTTTTGCAATGTCTCTCGGAGTCTCGTCGCTCGGGTTTTGACAGCCTCGTCTTGGTCAGAATAGGAGCCCGTCTTTGACCTCCATGGGGCGTCCTCCGCATCCGATAGGGTAGAAAGATCAAGATAAGGAAACACTTGTTGAAGTGACTCCCGAGTTGAACAAGTGTCGCAGGGCAGGGCGCTCCGCTCCTGTGCATCTGGGTCGACAATAAACACCGCGCCTGCTTCAACCCCATTTCCACTTGCTGGGTCAAAATAACGCTGGTCGAGGACTTTGGAGAACACTGCAAACGCAGTTTGGATTGCACGTTGCGATGGGGATGACAAGACAATGCCCACAGAATCTGATTCTGGGAATGTCAAGCCCAGTTGTTCTGCGGCCCTGGTCCCAGATTCTGTTAATGTAGGATCAAGCCGTTCAAAGTTTTTGTCAACGTTATGCTGGGATTCAGCGTGTCGCAAGAGAAAAACTTTACTTCCAGACATTGCTGTGGTTTCTGAGCTACGGCTACCCTTGGTATCGCTTAATTGTAGTATTAAAATATCATCGATTGCTCGACGAATACTATTGCAAGCCGTGATGATCTTGCTAGATAGCTATAGAAACAATGGAGTGTACAACTGAAAATGGTTTGCACATAGGCAGCAAGATTCTGATATGACTTGGTGCCAAGGAGTACTAATCCCTCTTAGAAATGACGCCATTCTTCGAAATACCAAGATATCGTTAGCATAACACGTGCATACGATGCCTACCATCTTTGGCTTAGGTACTTTGCTAAATTTTAGTTCACGGTTTTTCAGATAAAAACGACCAGTTTCTTTAAGCGTCAATTTTTGGTTGCTAGTGATGACCACACAGCTTCTTGGTAAAGCGTGACGACCCGTTCTCGCAGCCGATGCTCAAAATAGACGTTTTGCCTCAATCAGGCAAACACGGCCTTGCCGAATCCCCGCATTTGCCTTGCGCGAGGTTACATAATTGTCCTTTGCATGTGACTCTCCTCGCTGAGGAGATTGATTGGACTTCAAAATTGCTAACGCTACTCCTGCAAAGGTGGTTTCCTCATAGCTTCGATCACGAACCGCGCAAATGGGCCGTTGAGGGTATCAAGGGGCAATGATACTCGGTGGGCTTGCGGTGGCCATGTTGTGGGCTGCTAAACCGATCGAGTCCACCTGGATTTTTGGCCCATCCTGAAGATTTTGTGCACCTCCGCAAGCGAAAGTATATTCGCAAGCGTCCACTGTGCTTCAGCGCAACTAATTGGCGCTGAAAACGGACAGTTTTTCCCTTGTTGCGTTATTCACTAACTCAAGCGTGCAGAGTTTGCGAGACAAGCGAGGAGGGTGCGGCATAGCATCACAGTAGAGGATCGTACTTCATTGACAGAGCCCTCTGATAGACATCCTGCTCAGTACAGGCACCGCATCTTGCAGGGGCAGAACTGAGGAGATGGCCGGACCAGTCCCGGTCTCGACCGTCGCTAATACGAGGTGCAGTAAAGCTCTTGTCCAGCTGATACGTCCCGCACGCAGGGTACAAAAGCAGGCTCATGGTCGCATGAAGCGATCAAACTTACACATATCACCAATTCCGAAGCCCTCAATTAATCAAGTCTAACATGCCAATTCCAGTCCTCGTCACCGTCTATCCTGAATTGGACAAGGTATCGCGTGTCGAAGAGCTGGTGAAATGGGTGACCGAAGAGGTTAGGAAAAACGAACCCACGGTATCAGACTACAAGTCGTATCAAGGTCGTTGCGATGAGCCAGAACACACCGTTTTCATGATCTTCTTCCAGTAAGTGACCCGTACTCAGGATCCGGAAGAGCGAACTGACACTGTAAATGCAGTATCGAAAACGAAGCAGAACTGCATAAAAGAAAGTCACTGCCTCACCACCAGCATATTGCTAAAGTCGCCGACGAGGAGCAGCTCATGAGGAGGCCTCTGAAATATGTCATTTTGAATGGTCTTACGCAATGGTCTCGTTGAGGGCTTTTTGAGCATTCAGAACTGAGGACGGGAAAATCCACAGCACGTGCAGTGAACAAGCCAATGGGAAGGTGCGCCCGAAAACAAAAGAGCAAGTGATAAGATCGTGCACCAGCTCACCTATTACGTGTACGGGTGTAACCTTCCCATGCTGCGACAGCTTGGGGTACTTAGGGTCCAGCACAATCTACTTTAATATCAAAGAATGATGATGCTACGCAACATTTAGGCATGTCACAATATTACGTGCAATTGTGCTCGGTGTTGCACATGGAGGCATGTTGGTAGGAATGATGTCCCGGCAGACACCAGGTCTTCCATTTGGCGAAGCCCCGTTTCTGCGAACCTCTTGTTCTAATCATCAGCCTAGGCACGCCAACCGCCATATACAACTGTTACATGGACATGGAAGGCTTGGATGGTTGAGGCCCGCAGGCCATCAGTCTTACGGATAAGGCACTGGCCTGTGGTGGCGGGACATTCATATTCTCGAAATGGGTAGGGTGCAGATTGTTCAACAATGCCAGAAGGGCAAACTAATTCGTTAAATAATGCATAGAACATAGAACATAGCAGTAAGGAATCCTCGTGGCCATATGTGGTAAACTCTTAGTCCACGAAAGGAAACAGCAAACAGCCTTCATTGCCAGCCTCTACTTGTATATGGTCTCGGTGGACGAGACAGAGTCCGTTGCAATAGGTGGTAGTGCTGCACCTTTTGCTTTCTTCCTTGCAAGCAAGTTCTCCCGCCAGAGCCACGTAAGCACTGTTGTCGCTCCAGGACCAAGTGTGATTGTTCCAAGCATCCAGCACAAAGCCAAAATAGACCATGGTACTGCAGTCATGTCTGCAGACTTTAGATCACTGATAAGGTAAATCAACCACAAGAAAGCGGCAGTAAAACACGAGAACCCATTAAGCTGTATGAAGAGAACCATACCAGAGCCGAGATCATTGCCAACATTCTGTGAGGACAGTAGTTGCACGGCACGGATACCTTGATGAACGAAATTCTGCCCCATCGCCATATTCGTACGCACTCGAGTGGCGACCGATGCGACTGATGCAAAAGCTGCCAGTACACTCACCGACTGACGGATTGGCACTAGATCGGCTTCGACGTTGTATATTCGGTCGTATTTTGTCGTGTCTTTGACTGCAAACTTGCGGAGAAGTAGATGAAGCACGATCGTAACAAGGGGGAAAGATTGACATAGAAAATCGACGACCTGAGGTTGATGATGGCCCGGTAAGAGGTACATCACGAATATTGGGACTGACAAACCCAAAATGACTGCTACGAGGGCTGTTCTAGCGGCAGCAACGTTCACCATCCGCCAGTCGAGCGCTGCATAATCAGCAAGTGGACTTTGGACATAATGTAAAAAGAACCAGACAGGTCCCACCACTCCGATACCCCAAAGTTGAAAGGCAATTCCAAATAAAGCCGGTACCGTAAAAAGCTTGAGCCTGTTTGCGCGACGGTGACTCTCTAGGATCCATATAAGCCATAAGGGAACAAACTCAACGAATAAAAGAATTCCATGGTATCGCTGCAATTTGTCGATGCTCAGCAGAGCTGGTGAGAGAATTGTAACGGGTGCTGTTGAATACTGCGGCACGGTAAAGCCCCAGTATGTAATGTTAAGTCCTAACGGGCCGTGGGTGAGTGACCTTTCGAGTTGGGCCGGACTTGTAAATCCTAAGAACATTGCCGAGAACATGGCCTGGGATGAATATGCCATAAGCAAGAGAGGCAACGCAACAAGGATTCTTCTCGATAGATTTATCGTTGTACCAGGACCATATCTCTGATTAAAGGCCATTGTTCCGGAGAAGGATCTGGAGGGATCTGGCAGATAGTTCAGCTTTTCGGAGCCAACTATGTTCATGGCCACCTGATTTGCTACCCAATCTCCTGTCAAGGGCATAACGTAGAAGACAAGAAAATTTTCAAGCGAACCTTTCAGCGCCTCGAGCCTCGTAACGAGGTGGGCGATTTCGAAAGTTGCTTTGGTTCTTGCCTTTCGACGTTGAGAGATCGTAGCAAGTTTCGTTGCGACGTCTGTGTAGTTGCGATACAACGCTGCTGAAGCAAGCTCAGTTAGGATGTTTGCAAGAGTTGCAGCGCTTTCAATGGCACTATTTCCACCTTGGCCAATGTTTGGAGTCCACTTCACCTGTCAGCGCCTTTCATCACCAGACGACTCTAGCATACCTTGTGAATAGAATCTCCGATGCATACAAATCGACCCCATGTCCAATGCTCATACCAACCTTCTTCCAAAGGCACAAGTTTAAAGTCCAGTCGATTCCGCCACAGATCTGCAAACGATACTTTATCCGTCACGTAGACTGACATACATCGTTTCGCCAGAGCCAAAGCATCCTCGTCAGAATAACTCGGCACATCTGGCACATGCCACTTCTTATCCATCTTCTCAAAAACAAACCAGAACACGCGTCCTGATTTGTCCAGACTGTGTAAAAATGATAGATCTTTGCCCAAGACCTGATTGAATGGGCCGTGTTCCAACCCCTCAACTGGCTTCGATACTCCGAACATGCATTTGTATTCGGCATACATCACTGATCTGCAGTCAGACCTAGCTTTTACCCTCGTGATCAACTTACAGGTCTTTTCTGAGGCTGGGAGTAGACCAGGCTTGAAAAGTTCCATGTGGCGCCACATCTCATTGCGAACAATACTATGAACCCCATCTGCACCTACAACGACGTCACCTTCATACACAGTATCGTCTGCGCACATGATAGAGACCCCTTCTAATGTGTGCTCAATCTTCGACACGCGCTTCTTTATCATTATTCGTTCCTTGTTATGGATGTTTTTATGCAGCGTCTCAAGAAGAAAATGCCGATCCATGAACACGAATGGATATCCAGAGCTGATGGCGATCATCAAAACCCACGAAAGAAGAGGAGAACAGAGCGTCTTGAACTACTTACCGTTTGTGGTTAAATAATGGCCAATCATTTTCCCTCAACAGTTTTCCATTATACCAGACCCGGATCGTATCCATTGGCGTAGTCCTTTGTTGGATCTCGTCATAGCAATTCAACTGGTCCAGTATTCGTCCACCATTTGCAGTGATAGCTATTGAAGCGCCAATTATCGGCGCTATCTGGTCGCGACGCTCCAAAAGAACATAATCTACCCTCGATCTTTCAAGAGCATTGGCAAGGGTAAGACCTGACACTCCTCCACCAACAATTATTACCTTGAAACCGGCTGAAACCATGCTTGAAAGTAGCTCGAGTAAGACTGGCTGAGAAGATACAGACTCTGAGCAGCTTCAACGTGGTGGCGAAACAGCGGTGCCGTTTATTCACTGCAGGAAAAAGTTGAGTCGAGTCAAATGAATCTTTCAAACCGTCTTATAGATATGTTCGTATTTAATTACACATCATGTGCGGAGTAGCATTCATGCTCGCCTACCTTGTGAAAGCTGAACTCACCTTTTGCACTAAGCAAAGATGCCCGATGTTTTTGACCGAGCTTGCACTGGCTAAGAACGCAGAAGCGCAACTTCGTTGGATGGCCCGATTTTCGTTACCATTCGCGTGGCTCCTTGGTTAGCGGTATTGGGCAAACTCAAGCTGCGCAATCCTTCTAAAAGCTTGTAGCAGCAGGACTCCAAGATCGTGACTTAGCGACTAATCTCGTCTCCTTAGTACTGGGCTCCATTGGACGGCTGCTAGCCTTGATCTAGGCCACCCCCTGCAAACGCTCAGCTCACGTTTACCACGTCTACAAACACTCAGCGCATTCTACATGTGAGCTCACGAGCTCGTGAAAATATCTTGGCGACATATCAAAACGAGGCACGCGCACGCGGAACATGCGAACGCTCGTATTCGTGATTATTCCTTGGCCGCAGCAAGTTCTTTCAGCAAATATGCAAAGTCTATACGTTGCGGGGCTGGCTCACAAGCACTGGCTCACCTAAGATCGATGCTGCATCTAATAATAAGGTGGTATACACTTCACCAGGATTTGCACTCTGAAGCCTAGATGTCCTTCTCCCTCGTATTGAACGCTGTCTCTGCCCGCGTTATCACAAGCAGAGAGCATCTCCTCGCTTGTAGCTGGTCCTAATGCCTGCCTGGAGCCTCGAGAGAACACTGTCCAGACGGATGGGCCCCGCCAGTCCAAGCCCTCAAACGGCTCTACACCCTACATAATGGCTGCCTTTCAACCTTTCGCAGTCTTTCGTAGTGGAACTTGGACATACCTTCGCAGAGATCTACACACAATCACAAGTATTGCTCGCGGAAAGGCTTGATATCGGGGCTTGATCAACGTTCCCCGCTGTCTGCAATCAACCTGGTTGCTTCACTTGACCTATCAATGCGCTATGGCCAACATTCTGAAGAAAAGTTCTCCCACCGCACTTAATCGCGGCCCGGACCACCTCGATGTCTCTATTTGTGCGAACGAGGGCCAGGTGTATACGTCCTGGTGGCCCGATATTGCCAACACTCCTACAATCTGGTCTGGAGAACACAGCAACGGTTGGCTACCCATCGGGGGTTGGTTTCCACCGGGCGCACCTGTGGCGGCTGTCGCGCGCTCGCCACATCAACTGGATGCCCTCATCTGCGGCTACGACGGGCAGGTCTATACTACCTGGTGGCCCGGCACTAACCACGAGCGATGACAACATATAGAGATCCTGAAAAGTGAGTTGGTAATTAAGGAAGCAGCATGCCGAGGTCGCATCCTTTTTCATCAGGATTATGACGTCCAGTCTACCACATCATGCAGAAAAAATGTGCTTGAAATAACATCAAGCTAGCATTCTAGCGCAGCTTTGTTGTACCTTTTCACCTTATCGTATCCTCACCTACCAATATCTGTGTCCGCAAAACTACCAACATGACTTCGTCCGAAATTACAGAAGAGCACGCTACCGCCGTGGTCGAAGACCTGACCAACGGCTTCACAGCCAATCGGCCTGTCTCGGACACCGACACAAGCACGACAGTCAGAGGTTCAGCTTCCAACACCCTCGTCAGTGGCGAGCCTGTGGGAGACAGTGCGACGCGAAGTAGTTCTGCCGCTGTAGCTCGCCACAACAATCAGGATATCGAGCCTCCTACTGCCGACAATAATCTCAAACCTGATATTACGTACGAGAGGGCGCCAACGACAGCCGAGGCTGTTAAGCACGCTCCTGCGTTTGATACGAATAATGCTACAATGGATGATGAATAGCCTGAAGAGGGGCGAGCGACTAACGGGGGTTGAGAGCGCAAGATACTAGAACTTGCCCTGCACAAGTGGTTGCTCATGGTCTGGAGCGCCAGCGGTCACCTCAATGGTCGAGGCCTGGGACAAGCTATATACATGTAACGCCAGATTGGTTTACTTTCGCTTGCATCCATGAGGGTTTCGGAGTTGCCTAAATGTAAGGTTCAAAAGCCTCTGACAAGACTCCTCAAGACTTTTGCAATAGCGTCATCATGATGGAATGGTTTCGGGGTTGAAATCCGTGTATCTCTCTTTTAATTGTGGAGGACCGGCGAGTCGGATAGCTTGTCCCGAGAGCATTGGATGAGGAGACAGCCAAGCAAGGCCAGGGAGAGATTAGTTATTGAATATCTAAGTGATGCTTGCCCCGTTTGACCCGAGGGTCAGGTCTTCACAAGATGGATAACATTTGCGGGGCCATACCCAAGGACGAAGGTCCTAGCACTGAGCGCTGGAACTCTCCTCTCATCAAGTTCGTTCGGTGTATGATGCCAGTATTGGAATCATGCTTGGGATCTTGTATAGATCACTGGTGAGTTGGGGTGGGTTACATTAAAAGGAGATGGACTCTGCTTCTCCGGCGGCTCGTAAGCAAGTTTTCAGGCTTGGTATCGTCATAAAGTAGCCCGAAATTTAGATGGGGGAGGTGGTTCATCATGTCCATCTATATTGAAGATTAGCATAATCCAAATGAAGCTTCCTTCTCTGGCTTATAGTACAGCATCGAAGATCAGCACTGAACACATCTCCGAGAACTGACAGGTAGTGCTTGAAAGTTGATGACGGTTTGGGAATAATGATGGTGTTATAATTGACCTGGGGTCTTCGACTGACCCGAAACATTTAGATAACCTCGATATTGCACGGGAAGAAAGGGGCGAATTGCAGGGGCGGGCAAAGCAGTCATAAGTGACTTCACTTGATTTTCGCTTGCCATGAACAACCTACAAGAAGCCCTGATGGATGTCATATCCAAGAGACTTGACGAGCGCATTATGGTCAATGAACTAGGTACGAAACTTTCAAATTCTACATCTGATGCCTCAGTCTAGCTACGACAACCAATATTGACCTGCTTCGTCCAGATCGGCAATGAGGGCTGACTTTGTCGGACCGTAGTTGACGATAATGGACCATTTGCTGGACACAGCCTGCTGGATGTCATATGAAGAGATAGAACATGATCAACTAATTTGGTAAGTAATAATATGTACATAGTTCGTGGAAAAGATTGACACTCTTTTGCTCACAACGAACTTCACCCAACTCCAACCATATGGCCCGAACTTGATGAACTCACTGATACCGAGTCCCAATTAGCCGGATGGATACCGAGTCCCAACTAGCCAGATGCACTTCTACGATCTTCCTCGCCCAGATGTAGTGCTGCATACTCCTTGAATAACTCGCCCATCTCCACAAAATCACGCCCTCTCTCATTGATAGCCGCATAATTGGGATAGGCACACATCTCGAACAGGCGATGGTCCTCTGGTCCCCACTTTTCCACAGCACTGAGTTTGAATAGATCGATTGTGGCTGCGTCAAGGCACATTTCCAGTTTACGCTCCTGCAGAGTTATCCAAAGCATCCTCATCACGCCCCACGCAAGGTTCCAACGATGAGCGACGTTGCTCAAGACGACAATCATTATGTGGAAATCCTCCGTCAGACCAGGCCGAGGAAGAACCTCGATAAGACTGGACGCTGATAACGTTGCCGCGTGAGCATAGGTAACACCGAAGTAATCTAGTCCGATCGTGCGCTGTAGCCATCTAAAGATATCAGCGATGCTCTGACACGCCAGGACGACTTTCTCTTTGGCCACTTCTTGCGTTGGGTCTGCAGCATTCGTTGCACGAAGGACAAGATTTTGTGTAGTGATATGGAAGCCGTGGTACGTAAGACTGTCGAGGTTAGCATCGATGAGGTAAGAGTGTATAAGGTTACAGTACTGTAGATTGACGAGTGGTCCAGCTGGGGGAGAAGATTCCTGAACCTCATTCTTTGCTCCCGGGTGTAAGTCTCGGTGCCAAGTGTGCAGTCTTCCCTCAATCTCACTCAACTGGCTAAGCTTTGAAGCGGTGTCCAAAGTGATATGACCAGGGAAGGGACTGTCCTCTGGATTGCCACACAGAATCAAAGGTAGTAGATCTGCCGCAGTCTTGTACAGCCGAAAACGTGCATCATTGATAGCGAACGGATAGCATGCCACTTCCAGCTCCAGCTTCGGATATGGTTGCCAGGATTCTTTGATGTTTAATTCTTCCTCTTCGTATGGAGATGCCGATGCTAGTGGTTGCAGGGTGAGTGGTTTCATCCAGGCGAGAGCCACTTCACTATCACTTGTCAATATCGATTTGGAACACATGACAAACTTACGTCTGAATACTAAACACTGCCGAAAGTGCTAAGTTATAAGATCGTATGACTTCTCGCGATAAGGGCTGTTGCTTTTCCTGCTTGAGGCGCTTCTTCATATGCCTTCTGAGGTCGTTTGCAATGGCGATCGATTGAGTCACATAGAGCACACCAACACGGTCCTTCCCAAGGAAAACACAACTACAACGACAAGTCGGTAAATTTCGTTTGAGGTTCGAAGTATTCCTTACCTGGAGATTAGGGAGGGAAATGCCTGTAGACTTGTCAAAGTTGCCTTGGCTTCCTCGAATTCCCACAATCTCGTCGCTTCTTCCATAAAGTGTGCAGCTCTTGTAGAGCGATCATTTGGGTTTGCAAATGCAGATGGATGATCAGTGTAATTCTATTCGAATTAGAATAGCCAAGAAGAGGAGATTATACTTACGCATGCAACCAGTAATAGGCAGTTGACCAACAACGGAGAACAAAATTGGCTGGACAGGTTCTTTGATCTCATTTCCCTGATAAGGATGGCTTCATCTACTGAAGGGTATGCACAATGATGCCAGGCGAAGTATACTGACATTAGGTGCGATACCGCAGCGTCATCGTCGGTAACACTCGTCCATGGGGAAGCGGGAACTTGGATTGGTGGCCTATCAATCAACGCAGCAAGGCTCATTATAGCCTGTATCGAACGCTTCGAAAGCTGATCGCGAGTCTCCCTTTCCCGGAGGATTTCTTTAGCCACTTGAACGATTTCCTCAGTCGGGCTCCCAACTCGGGCGAGGTCGAGAAGCTTTCGTAACGATGCTTGACTTGACCATCGCAACGATGTGACTAGCGTTTCAAGAGCGTCGGCTTTATTTTCGAGTTCTTCTAGAACACGTTTCCGCCCCCTTCGGTTGTCGGCCTCATCTCGTGAACAGGGGATCTCTTTCACGATACAGCGTTCGCAAGGTGTATATTCAGTACACTGCGAGATATGGTCAATGAATTCATCGTGCTTATGTCATAAGGGTTGATCACCTACTCTTACCCTGGCTCGCCGACATTCCGCGCAGGCTATTGATGCATTTTTCTGTGGTTTCTTTGCATATCCGATACTGGTCCCTTGCCTCCGCTCTCCCGCTGGCGAGGCTGAAGTTTTGGGCAGCAGAGTGCGGTGCTTCTCTGCAGACATAGTCACTCCTGTCTATCTTAATTCGTGAATATTGGATTATTTATAGTAGTATTGAGTTCATTTTTGGGCATTTTCGGCTTTCACAAACCGTGACGTCAATTGCCTTATGACGGCTTTTTCTAGGGTTGTGCGTTAATGCTAAAACCGATTTAAAAGGACTGACATACGGTGGAGCAACGCAACCATCGCATGAAACTCCATACAAATAAAGCAACATTACTGTACATTTGGCTGACTTGGGCATTCTAACTAGCGCTTGGCAGTCTCTATGGCGGCGGACAATAAATCTACTTCGCTACCAATTGCTAGGTGAATATATGTGATTTGCGAATTGCATCTATATTTAGTCTTCCTCCTTGACAAACTTCAACGACTTTCTGACAATTCCATTCAACCCTAACCCTTAAACTCTTGATATCATAGTCAAGTAGGCTATCAAGTGCTTTGGGGAAGTCTAACTCTGTAGACAGGGCCAAAGCCTCCATTTTCTCGGTACCGGGAGGCCACTATCCAGTGTACTATGTTTCTTACATTTCGAACATAGATGCATATAGTCTTTATGCTCAACCTCTTAAGCAGAGCTTGATAAATCGAGGCACCAGAAGACACGACCAGATTCAACACGACCCGTGCCAGTCGGTATCGTTGGGATTTCATAGTACCAGGACAAACATTCGACAATGCGTGTTGGATGTGAGCCTTTTTACATTATTTAGACTGGGAGAGCTGAAGGACTTCAGCCAGTTCAGGACCGTATTGGAGGCTGGAGTCAGTGATAACCGACGGCGAGCAACACCGGTTTTTAATTTCTTATTGATAATGAGGTTCACTTTTACCTCAATAACCACATCCCAAGAGTCTACAGAGGCTTTCGAAGGCACCAAATAGCATCAAACCACTCCTCGCTGACTGATTTTTATATTTTGGTCACGTTTGCTTCAGACCACATATGAGGCGTTTTCTTGACCAATTGCCAATGGGATGATGTGAGAGCAACGTTGATGCCACCCTCCTTGGGGCCACTGTAGCACGCCCACCATCATTGGTGTAGATTTCACAATTTTTGTTTCCACTGTAGCGGGCTCAAATCATTACCTAGTTCGTATTTAACGAAGAACTTGGCCTGCATATAAGTCGATTCTCGAGACCGCCTCTGGAGCGTTTAGGGTTGTTCAGTATGTCTGGTGAAGTACTCATCTATTGTTGTCTTAATGATCTCTTGCACAATGGGGATATATGTGACATGTTTGGAGATCGCTTGATGTACCAACTGGGAGATCGCGAAGATCTCTAGCTAGAATTTCGCTTAGGAGGCGCCATTCCTGCAGTTCGACCACCCTGAGTATGGATACGTGAACGAGGTATCTTCGGTCGGCATACATTGAGGTTGTGCGTATTGTGCTCTCAAAATTAGACTCCATCTTGTTGCAAGCGTAGAATATCCACCTTTGAAAAACTCATCGTGAGGGGTACATCAATCTTGAAACTGGACGCGAAAAGAAACCGAATTTGAAGTTTTTGACAAGCTTCATGAAGACATTGTTGCAGATGGACGCCCTGGTATCACCCTTGCCTTTGCTTGATTGAAAGACTCTAATTTTCGAAAGCCTGTTTTGTAGGAGTGGTAGATAGGCAAGAGATATAACCGTACGAGGACCGTGACGGAGTATCACGAGTGTTGCCAGTTGCGACGACATGATCGAATACAGCAAGTGTAATAGATTTGCCACCTCCGAACGTCTGAGCTTATTGTTCCGTGCAATATACACCCTTGAGGCTAAGCATGCCCCCCCACTTGTCTCAGATTTCCTTGAACACCTTGATCTCGATATCCAGTACATGTGGACGTCATCTCCAGGTCGCATGACTCGGTCACCCACTCTGATCTCCGAAGCCATGGTGAATCGCAACATGATGCGCTTGAGGATCTGCCCTAATACATCGCTGGTCACACTGCCACCTTTGAGGAGATCCTTTGCATTCACCGTAGCGAAGGCCTTTGGGTTGAAAACCCATATCGGCCACCCTTCGTATTTCTTGAAGTAGCTTGGTGCGTTATCCTTGAGGTCCTGGATAAACTCCTCTTTGTAGCGTAGGGGCGGATGTTAGGGGAGATCAAACCCGTCTTTCTCCAGATCATCGATCCATTCCTTTCTCCACAACAGCGAGAGGTATCCGATCTTTTCTGTAGACTTACGTTCCAATAGGTTCTCAGGTCTTGAAAGTAGCTGCAAAGCGACCAGTAATATCTCCTCGCAATTTAATTGTATAAACGAGTAGATGTTCCGGAAGACTGAACATTCCACAGCGGTCCTCTTCTCAGTGATACTGAATTATGGCGCAGAGTTGAAGAGTTCTAGCCAGCTTTCGGCACGGAACATACCATGCGACGTCCTTGCTTAATAGGCACATAGTAGCTATCGCCTTACCAGACGGGTTCAGCAAGCTAAAATAGGAAGCAATGAAGTTTATGCATTGACCAAGCTGTCAAAGAACGCCTCGCAGAAGCCCACTCGTCACATAGTCTCGCATGTGGTTCTCAAGTGTACATATTCAACTCGTTGGTAGCACTTGTAGCTACAGACAACAAGATGATTGTATGTCTTTCCGCAATGATTGAACTAGTCTGAATATTTTCACGTCGGGAAAGTATGCATAAAGTCTGAGTGCCAAGCGTGTCTGGTCTCATCGGTACCTCCTGGCACTTTCGCCACTTCCCATTCGAGCCGCAGTTCACAGTTTCCCTTGCGACTTCGGTCGGTTGCACGTACGCACCGGGCTTGACGACTACCGCCACAGGAGCCATGGTGAAAGCGCTGAAGGTAGGCTTCTGGGCCTGGCCAGTCGTGTCGGGTATTCCAAGTGAAAAGGGAGGACCGGAACGTGGTCAGACACCCAGCCTCGACGGCTACAAATCCGATGGGCCCTCCAGGTTGGGTCCATGGCTCCCCACTCGTGTACTCTATTCTCACTCCATCTCTCCTGCACGTAGAATAGATCGGGTAGTTGTTGGACGACTGATTTTGGAGATGTGGCGAATGCAGTTGGATTGCTTACAGACTGCCCTGCCGCGCGTCTGGTCATTGACGGTACCACGGTGTATATCTGATGGTCAGCAGCACTCTTTTTACGCCATAAATTATGTGGATCCAACTTACCCTAAAACCCTGCTTGAAACTTTGAACATGCTTATTGGAAGAGAACTTAGAGCAAAGGAAGGTAAAGTTCCGTTTTCGCATCATATCCAGATCGTTCGACATCTGGTATGATTGAGATTGTCGGGGCAGGCAATCATGATTGCACTTTCAACTTGTCCAGAAGTTGGGCCAGCCACAACTGGCAGAGGTTGAGTATTGGGAGGGACCGGGATACTGAACACTGGTGCAGGAGCTGGTGGAGGGATGGGTGCAGGGATGGTTGCGTGTTGTGTCGGCAAGTAGGGATCCGAGACGCAATTTCCTTACCATCATTGCCAGCAGCATTCTCCGTTTAACCTACGTCAGTGTCTCAGTGGGTCTCAGCATTTCATCGATAAACCTCCGTTGTATTGCATGGGATCATGGTGTCGACCAATTTGATGGTCGTTTCGATTCGACGGTAGCCACCAGGTTGTCGCGGAGTAAAGCATCCTAGGATGTCCAAAGACTGCAATCACGAAGTGGTACAGAAACCACCAAGAGTTCGCGGATATAGCAGCCTTTACTGGGCACGCGAGGATGTACCTTGAGAAGCAGTCAACAGAAACGAGAATGTATCGGGCTCCAGACCTAGCGATGTGAGTTCTGTTGACAGCGGTAGCAAATAGAGATGTGTTAGTGGTTGGGAGATTCCCTCCAAAACCATTTGCACCCACTGATCGCACTTCCAGCAGACACGCTAGTTGCAGTTGATCGAGATAGGTGAAACATGGCAGCAAGCAGTATTGCTGGAAGAGGAGGAAGCTGTATGTCGTTGACCACTGGAAGCAAAACTCAGAATGCGTCGACCACGTCATATCTGCAGACCACCAAGGAATTGATGTGGAAAGGAAAAGAGCGAGTATTATCACTTGCGTCACCACGATAAATGGAGTGTGCGAATAGTCGTAGAATTATACCAGCAAGTTGACCCATTGTGGCGAACGTTGACTAAGCAGTTTGTGCCGTCGTGGATTTATTGAGTTTCAGGAATGAGCTGCTGTTTGTCATTACTGTTGGTATCAAAAGGAAGAGTCTCGTCGCGCCAGTGGATACGGCGGTCCCCGAATCGCATTGCTGTCGCGAGGATTTCCTGGAGTGTCTTTCCATCTCGGAATAGTCCATGGCGAAGGCCGTGGCAGAGATGGATTGGAAAGCTTGAGGAAGTGGTGATAGCGGTGGCTAAAGTGTGGACTCACCAAACATGATGTCGTGCTCCACATATGCCAGAAGAGAGAGAGAGGGAATAGACACACTCAAATGCATCGCTGAAGCTCTGGTTCAAGGCATGTTTCGAAAACAGCGAGATACTGCAGCACGAACCCATTATGGTGGGGTTTGTCTTAGAAGGTGACCCGAAAAAGTACAGGTCCATCCACCCAGGGTTGCTGCATAGTAGTATGGAGCAGATAGGAAATGCTGTGTTGTGGTTCTTTGGGTTATTGTTCTTTCTGCTGTAGACGTCGAAACTTGCAATCAAGTCATCGATTGCAGCCATCACGTTTGTCTTCGTTCGCGGCGCGACCCTGGGCTGGTGAAAATTGTTGGTGCAGTACTGCCCCTCTCAGGAGAGCTAGGATCTGTACGATCCAAAACCTCGTGGCTCTTGATGAACATGATAATTCCTCCCGCAGGATGCAGATTGGGTACGAGGAGGGGAAAGAGAGACAACAGAAAAGGAAATTCGTTGGTATAAGCGCACCCTGCGCAATGCATCGGGAACACAAGCTGCCAGGTCCAGTTGGTCAGGGGCAGGCCACAAAAATTCAACACTTGAGGCAAGTAACTGTTCACCATAACCTTGTGTGATTTGTGACTTTATATATACACGGGAGCGTGTAATGACTCAAAGGAGGAAGGAGTGCAAAGATAAAGAAGCAGAAGGGGAAAGGGAAGGCAGAGGAGTATCAAAAGGGAGGAAAATACAGACAGGCAAGATAGATTCAGACATCAGATCGAGAAAAGATGGAGGAAGAAACAGATATTTATACCTCTGAGAGTCCGGACGGCCAAGCTTATGACTCTAGTTTCGCTTCACGAGCGCGAGGGGTTGGCGAACTTGACTCTTTTCAGGGGGTATGATACCAGGCAAGACAGAGGAAGGTGAAACGAGACGAGATGAGGCTTAAAGGATGGGACAGCCTGGTCGAGGAGCCTTGTGTGACATTCTGACAGGCGGGGTGGAGAGGATATCGTGCTGGGTGGTGCAACTGTGAAAATTGAGTAGGACCGTTGTTGGGAAGATTCAATATGGCGGGTCGAAAGAGCAAAACATGGACAATCAGAATGAAGAAGGTTCCATCTTGGAGTTAAGCGGCCACGCTTGAGGGAGAACTGGGCAAAGCGGTGTGTGGGTTGGAAGTGAATCTGGATGCAGCACTGCACAAGATAGAACTGCGGATGGGTTTGAATGAGGAGGTTGATTAAGGTATTGAAGAACATGGGAGCGGGGAACGTTGCGTGAAGAACATGAAAAGTCTTGAGAGTTTCAGCAACTGGCAAAGAATTTCGCTTCTCTGATATTGTATACACCGCTAATGATCGCGGTCCCAAGGCGTCCCTGGGAAGTGTCTACCTGCAACATGTTGACTCCGACTCTGAATGACTCGTATGTGGCAAAGCAACCTGGAACGAAAGGTGGCATAGCTTCGTTGGATCGGAGCCAGTAATGGTGAGTAAGTGAAGCAGAAGCGGCAATATCTGAATCAAGTGCCCAGGTCAGGGACTGATACACCTAAAACTTGTTTCAGAGCCTCAAGTTTCTGCAGTGCAGTGTCGAACAGTGCATTTGCCGGACCGGGAAACGAAAGTGCGAACAAAGGAATGGTAGGTTGCAAGTAGTAATCGTGATGTTCTCATCATCCAGTTGAAAAGAACAGTGTCCAACAGTATTTAGTACATACACCCAAGCTGCATTGACCAGCTCGTACCATCGTGAGATTTTCCGATAATCCTACAATTTGTTGTTACATGGAGCAGAATGGCCGACGACAAACCAGGGATAACAATTCTAGCAGCCTGGAAATGGGTGGAAATGTTGTCGAAAGTCCCCAAAGTGTAGGTTCAGGGAGCACCCAGACAGCAAAAGGCAATTCTTCACGCAGGTCCTTCGGATACAACAAAAAGGACACTCCGAACATTCGAGTTCAGTCCTCTCAAGGACGTCTCGCCCCGGCAGGCCTCCTTCCTCCCCTTGTGGCTCCCTCCCCATCAAACTTGTTGAACTCACGCCTGGCAGTCCGATTTTTGACCTTTGTTATGCCCTTCTCCAGATTTTCCGGGTTGAACTGTTCCATCAACTGCGCCAGATTCGAGAGCTCTTGAGGTGTCAGTTCCTCCTCGACTGTTGCGGTTGGTTTCTTCGGCGTCCCCTTCTCTGAGCGTGTGTGAGACGCCTGTCTAGACGGTGTGGCTTTCCGCGGTCGTGCTTGCACGGTCGGGTCGATCTCTCGTGCTTCGGAATGGTCGAAGCTGAAAGTCTCCACGCCGTTGAACACTCGTGGTGTGGGTTTCGGGGCTTGGGCTTTCGCCAAGACATCGGCTTTGCGTTTTCTGGCTTCGCGCTCGGCGCGGGGGACGTGGTCCCATGCCTCGGAGATGGTGTCGAGTCGTTGTTCCTCCTCTTGATCGCGGAGAGACTGAGCCTTTTCTTTAGCTCTCGAATGACGCCGTTTTCGTTTCTCTTCCTTGCTGTCGGATTCACCGACACGGAGGTTGCGAGGGATTCGTGTCTTGGCACCTAACGCCCAAAGGTCCCCCCATTGAGATTTACGGGCGTCTCGATAGGGCTGTTTGCCAAATGACTTCGGGACTGTCCATCGCTCAATCTTGCCGTGGGGCGTGCAGACATCCATGATGACATGCTGTTTACGCTTCAAGGCAGGCATGATGAGTCGTGGTAGATTCCAGGGGCCTGGGAGAGATGGGATTCTGTCCGGGTGTGGATCCTCTAGCGCGTAAGTTTGTATATTTGTGTCGGGGTCGACGTTTTCATAGCCGATACCAGCATTCCTCATCAAATATGTGTAATCCAGAGCCTTTGGAGCCACAGGAGATGGGGGTTGATACGATGGAGGGTGGTATGAAAGAGGGTCGTCGATGCCTGCCCATTCAACCACCCGGCCCTGACGAAGATCTTTTCCTTTCATGACGGAAATATAAGAAAAATCCACATCATCGTGATTGCGATCGGAAGCGCCGATGACGCGTTGCAGATAGGTTGGTCGAGTATATCTCTGCTGGAAGCTACAGTAGTCTTTACGACCTCGTGACTTTCCATGAATAAGATACATGGGGCATTGTTCATGGTTCGTGCACGGCGCAACGATCATGCCGGTCTTGCGATTCGCAAGGTTGTTTTCATCTGAGGGATTGCTGTAATGTGTTGTGAGACCCTCTGGAACTGCAATACATTCCTCCAAGAGTAGTTCACGGGCTGCGGCGACAGCCTCAAAGCCACGTGGGATTCCCTTCTCAATGATGATCAGGATACCTCCATCAGAACTCAGCATTGACCACAAGTTTTGGACGTGTTCATTGCGCTCAAATTCTTGTGATATTCCGAACAACGAGTGTGAAGCGATGATGACGTCGAATTGTTTCCTCTGGGTTGCAGGGCGATCGTCACCCAATGTTGGAGCATCACGAATGTGAACGTAGTCGGGAAGTCTGGGGACGAATGTGGTGTTGTCCAATAACTCAGCCGCTCGATGTCTCAAGGTATGTGAACCAGTCAAGACGACCGATTTCGTCTGAGGTGGTGGAGGTGGAGTAAGATCAGATGAGTGAAGAGTGTCCCAATGAGCCTGGACGATTTCTCTCCAGGCAATGATGCCTGCACCTCCTGATCCAGCATCAAGAACTCGTGGACCTCCTTCTTTGGCTAGAACGTTATTCAGCCAGGTAGCTCCGAGTCGTTTGCGTGTCTCGACCAGGACAGAAGTGATGGAGGCATAAACAGGAGGCATAAGGGTCGTAATGAACGAGTTGGCTTCCATCTCCCCCATATTGTGATCCGCCGCAGAGAGGGGAATGGGGACTTGTTCTCTCGTCCGACCGATTCTGGGGGTCAATGCCGAGTCTGGAAGTCCTGGACCACCGAAAGTCTTTTCACTGATCTCCTTTAGCTGCTTGTTTGAGAATGCGCTCATGATGTTCTCCACGGGTCGGACGAACCGCTCCATAGGGAGTTGAACGTTTCCAGGATTGTTCGCCCACTTTCCGATGGCGGTAAAAGGGTGTGTTCTCGATGTAGGATCGACTTCTTCATCCTCTTCAATGTGCTCATCTTCCTCCACAACTTGGCCATTTATTGTCTTTGCAATAACCCGTAATCTTTCCGAGTTGGAAACCAGTAACGTAGGGGGGAGTGGCTCGTCTGTACCCAGCGTCAGGTCGATGTTCGTGTCGTTCTCTGCTTCGACAGCTTCTAGCCCATCCTCGACATCTTTGAGTTCTTCAATTTCCTCTCCTACCTCATACTCGACCCGTTGCCCATCCTGGTCGAAGAGAGCCATTTCGCCAGGCTCGAGAACTTCGTCATCTTCGTCATCGACCAATTCTTCCTCGGGAATTGGGTCTCCGTAGAGTCTTGTGTATATTTTGTACTCAGCGCCATTCAGTATAGCATTCGGCAGTGTCTCGCCCAAAATCTGTCTCGCCTCCCGAACGATTTCTTCCTGAGAGGCTCCCGAATTGCGCAGGGTCGCAACCAGATGCTGTGCTCGTCGCACCAAGAGATCTCGGGCATTCTGAGTTGAGAGGGGTCGAGAGGAGTCGAAGACATCCGGTGGTTGTACCTCGTCTACAGCCTCTTGGACTGAGTCGTAGAGTCGCTTGTGCAACTCATCGAGTTTCCTCTCGAGGTCCGCCAACTGTTCTAGTCGTGAGTAGGCATTTTTGGGTGATTCGATCTCTGCATTAGCGGACAGCCCAGCGCTAGAGCCATCCTCCTGCTGTAGCTTGTACGCTGTTGTGGAAAGAGGCTGAGAGCGCTGGTGGAAGTCAAATCTCTGGGTGCGCCACTGAGGCCGGACAAGGTGTGTCTTCAATACAGGTCTGGTGATGCAAAAGCCTCTTTCAAAGAGAATTTGCAAGTCCCAGCGGCAGCCATGGCATAGACGCGCAGTTCTGACGGGAGAAAGCATGCCTTTGAATTGAGATGGCCTGCTCAGGGCGAGAATTGATTGATGGCCAATCTCAAGACATGCATTTCAAAAAAGTTTCAATCTTGGCCACCTTCAGCCTTGCGTTGGAGATTCGGTTCCGTGACGAGGCTGAGACGCGTCGACCACGTGATTGTCCCCACTGGCAACTTGAATATGGAAAGCTCTTGTGTGTTATGATTGATACAGAATATCTAAGAAAGTGAGAGGAGCTCACTGATGATTCTCGCCAGCCCAAGGAGAAACTTCCTATGCGCCTCTTGGGCTTGATGTTGAAGGCAAGAAGCCCTACTACTGAAGGCTTACACCTGAAATATCTCTCTGGTCCAACCTTGGACTGTTGATATTTCTTTTTGGCCCATATGTTGCTGTTTTGATGATCGTTGGTAGATCAGAACTGAACTCCGCCGTACCGAATCAAGTACATTTTTAACTGACCGGACTCCATGGCATGGGCACCAGAATCTTGCTCTTCATGGATTGAATCAGAGGTACGGTCTTGTGCACGGTGTCGGCCCATCCCTCCACACCCCAAGATTGCTCTCGTCGGACTTTACGTTCTTCCAGATCTGCAAATTGCCAGAGATGGTGGACAGTGTTCAGATCGCCGATTTGCACGAACCAGGCCCCTACACCTTCCATGACTTCTCTTCGTGCGGCCAATCCCTTCCTCCAGTGTGTTTCCCATTCCAACAGATTTCCTGGGTGCAGGGTATATGATCGGAGTTCGAAGATACCACCGAGTTTTCGTGGGGGAGTGGTGGGCCAGAATGAGAATTCCTGCATGAGTGAAATGTTTTTGGATATGATCAAAGTCTTGAGCTTTTCTTCAAAGGCGGGGAATTCGGGGTGGTGGGAAATGTGGTGTAGAGAAGCGTGGTAACCCAGATATCGTTGATATTCCCAGATGTGGACTGTCGGTGGATAAGATTAGCAGAGGTCCTGGTCAGAGAGAGAGTGGAATATACCGAAAGTCTCGCATTCGCCGACTTCTGTTCTCCAGCTCCCCACCAGATGGACCTTATTCTCTTGCATATTGGCCATCTTGGGATACCAATGACCGACCAAATCGGTATATTCGTTGACCTTGTCGGGTTTGACTTGGTGTTGGACGATGGAGTGAACATATTTGCCTCGTGCTAGAACCTGGGAGAAAGAGCGTTCCATGTCCTTGTCGAGTTGTTGACCTTCAACGGTACCATAAATGAAGCTGGAGAGCTTTCCCCCGGAGCCGCGTTTGGTAGAGGTGTCTGTTTCGGCCTGTCTTGCTTCTTCTGCAGAAGGAGCGATGGAGAGTGAGCCCAAGCCGAGAGGTTGCACGATGGAAGAATCATTGCTTTCAGGAGCAGTAGCAGTAGGAAAAGAAGAACGAGACGCAGGAGAGGACTGACTGTCGGCTAATTCCTTTCTCTTCTTGGCCGCCTCAAGACCATCTCGGAATTCCTTCTGGGCCTTGTTAAAACTTTCGGGCCCGTCAATTGGGAGATCGCCCATTCCTGGGGCACGAGGGCCGGTGTCTCGGCATACAGTGGACGTGGTGAATGAGCGAAGGAGAGAGGAAGCTTGTTGTGACGAGCGGGGAAGCCGTCGAGCGAGCATGGCTGGGGCGATGATGGACATGGCGAGGGGAAAGATTTGAGATGTGAGATGTGAAAGTCGATAGCGAGCTGAGGTGTAAAGGACAAAAGAATGAATAGTGATTGTTTATTGTGGACAAGATGAGGTAGAGTTCGAATGGATGTCTGAAATGCGGGAGAGAAGTCTAGTCGGGATTGAGTCCAAGGAACAGGAATGGGGTTATTGGTGGAGAGGAGAGGGATGGGGATGGAGATGGAGAACAAGTAGAGGTAGAGGATCCCACACAGATGCAGAGAGAGTACAAGGAATAGTAGGAGGATTTGGTAGAAGGAGGAGGTATCTCTGCTGCTACTGCAAAGCGACGTCAGTCATGAAGCTCAGCTCCCGCCTACGGACACGGATACCTCCAGGGCTAAGCACAACGGCTAGGCACCAAAGAGCTCCTCTTGCGGGGTGACCAAAGCCTACGGATACGGGGGAGCATGGTAATCATCAATTGAACATTCAGCGTTTAGTGGGCACTGCCGAGCTAGCGGAGCCTAAGATCGCTTAACCGCTCAACCCCACCACACACGGAAGGCAAGAGACATCCCACCATCATGATCGGCTCCTTCCACATCTAACATGTGAGCATTGCTGGCACCTTGCTATCACAATCACCAGCTTCCGCATCCTTTTCTTTGTCAAGTACCATTCATTCCACCAGCTCAATCACTCGCCTTCCGCACCTCACCATGGCCGAAACACACCATCCACCGCTCAATTACGAAGCCAGCGCGACCACCACCCACCGGCAAACCTCCTCAACTCTTCCACAAGAAGTATCGCAGTGCCTGAAGAACGCCCGCTTCCTCCATCTCGCCACAATCTCCTCCAATGATCCCCAGTCGACAGAGTCGTCATCAACAGACAATACACCGACCCCTCACGTCTCTTTGATGAACTACACCTTCCTCCCCAGCTACAACTACAACAACACCTCCTCCGGGCCTGTGATCATCATGACCACCAACGCCCAGAGCATCAAGACGCGGAACCTCCTCTCCAACCCCAAAGTCAGTCTCCTCGTCCACGACTGGGTGAGCCATCGACCGCCCACGGCAAGCACGAATACCTTGACCGGTGCACGATCCGGGTCCCCGCCCGCGGCCGCCACGAGGAGTAGTCTGGCCAGCCTCCTACTCAACCTCAACACCTCGGCATTATCGTCCATCAGCACGACAATAGCCGGCACAGCGCGATTCCTCGAGCAAGGGTCCGACGAGGAACGGTGGTGCAAGGAGACACACCTGGAGAACAACACGTTCGGGGACCAGGTCAAGGAGGAGGCCGGGTTTTTCGGGCAGGCGACGGGGGCAGACGGGAACAGTGCTTGCTATATTGCTGGCGACGATGTAAGGGTTGTCTTGGTGCCGGTGAGGGCGGGCAGGATTGCGGATTGGAAGGGTGGGGTCAAGGATTGGGTTGTCGTAGGTGATGGAGAAGGTAGAGCCGGTGAGGCGGAGGAACGGGGGAGGAGTGATAACGGGCAGGCGCCGCTGGTTAATGGGATTGTCAATTGATGGGTGAATGTTCATTTTTTCTATCTCGGTTGACGATGGCGATGATGGCGACCACTACTTTCCACTCACAAGAAAGTTGGATTGACCTCTTATCCAACCCTCCAAGTCCACAAACCAACCCCTTTACCTCCAGCGCCCACCAGTCTTCACTCATCCCGCCACCCAAAGGCCTCATTTTAAGCGCTCCAAGGAAAAGCAAACGCCAGGTGTCATAATTCTGCTGCTCTCACTTGAAAGTCTTCTTCTGCTGCTGCCATTCACCCGGTTATGGTCTCACTTCCTCTCGTACCAACAAAAAAGAGGGACACGGTTAGCCTCCGTACAAAGCATAAAAGTCGCTAAATCCAAAAAACCAAAAAAAAAACAGAGAATCCTGATAGTCTCAAAAAGCAAACGGGAAAAAGGTGAAGTGCTAGTTCTGGTTCGAACTCGAGGTGATTAGCGCCGTAGTCGAATGTTGTGTTGCGGGGATAGGTTGTGGTTGAATAGGATGTGTCGTGTGTGCGGGTGTGCGGTTGTGCGTCTGCTTTTATGCAAAAAAAAACAAGGGGGTATGTACATCCAGAGTCGGTTGTCATGGTCTGTGGAGGGTATGGGAGGATGCAAAGGTCGAAACCCAGTGGTAACATGTCGAGTGCCTGCCCAGCGGTTTTCGATTGCGGCGTGAGGTATAAAGATGGGTGTACAGGTATATACAGAGGCTTTGGCGATTCAATGCATGGGACAACCCGTTCGAAATGTGTGCTTTGTAGACGCGTGTGGCTGCTCCTCCCTGGGAAGCGAAAAGAAAGGCTTTGGCCCGCTCGGAAAGCTGTAGAGTTACCAATCGTAGCACTCAGCAGTGATGTTGGGATTTCGATTTCGATCATTTACTTTGTGGGGAGATGTCGGTTTGTCTCGCTCGCTCGGGTGCTCGTGCACACCGAAATGATAACTCAATCTCAGCGATCGACGTTTGTGGTTTATTCAAGTGCTCGGTCGTACTCTCACATCACCGAACATTTCGAGTCGTCCTGCGAGCTGCTCGTCTTGACCTGCAAAGCCACTCTGGCCGCTTCCGTGAACGCTTCATTGACGCCTCGATTCCGCATCGCCGAACATTCTACCCCGATCGAGTCAGTAAGAAGCGCTTTCGAATCCCCGGTTAGAGCACACAAAAAGAACGTACCGAGATATCTCAAAGCGCCGATTTTCCGTGCGACTTCTAGTCCTTCGTTGTATTGGATCATGTTGCCCGCGGAAGTCGCGGCATCGACATCGGTCGCAGTATTGTTGGTGGTGTTGTCTTCGACGTCATCTTCTTTCTCTTGCTCTTCTCGCAGATCGCACTTTAATGCGCACAGCACGATCTTGACGCCGGGACAGTGTTCGTTGATTTCTTGGATCCATTTCGTGCCCACGTTTTCTAATGAGCCGTGGCTGTCAACCTACGGGTGAAAGTGTTAGTCGCAACGCAAATGACTCGAGTTGAAGATCGAAAAACATACACTGAAACAGAGCATGATGGCCTGTGTATCGTCATAGCTTAGCGACCGCAGCCGGTCGAATTCTTCTTGGCCCGCAGTGTCCCAGAGCGAGAGTTCCATGTGAATGTTATCCACGAAGATATCGTGTACGTAGTTCTCGAATACGGTCGGTTCGTAGACGGTCTATCGGGACATGTTAGTGTGTGTTCGTATGAGGTGGGCAGTTCTTGACCGCAGCAAGGGCATGAGCAAGACACATGCGATGGGCTCACGTACAGGAAAGAAGCCTCGGGTAAAGACATTGAGCAAACTCGTCTTTCCACATGCACCGTCGCCCAAAAGGACGAGCTTGCGCTGCACCACTTTCTTGCCGCCGCAGAGTGGCATTTTGACCGTCGATATAGTATATGTATAGAAGGAGATAAGGATAACGAGGGTGAGGACAAAGCGATGGCCTCTATGGATGTGCTATTGTTGCGGTAGATAGAGTGGGCAGGTTGGTCTGTGTTGCTGGTCGGAGGTGGGGAGGATTAGGATGGATGGATGAGAGTGGTACTGCAGTGTTGGATCGTTGATCGAGTCCAAGCGTTCAGTGTCGAGGCAAGTAAACAAAAGAGTGTCGCAAAGCGGAGTCGGATCTGAGGTGTAAAAAGAGGAGATGAGTGTAGGGCCCAAATAATCGGGGCAAGCTACGGGCACTGATAGCTGGTAGGTAATGATGGACGAGCAGGATGAGAGTTGAAGTATATCAAAGGTGTGAGGTCTGAATGGAGCAAACAATAATGTGGTTACAGTGGCACTCGTCTGGACTCTGGAGTCTTTGCGCTGTCACCCTCCAAAGAAGTCGAGACTCAAGAGATAGACGAAGTGCGAAGTTAAGTGGCTGATGCTGATCGAGGATTGAGTCGTCGGTTCAACGAAATTGTCCCTCGTAAGAAGTACAGATCAGAAGCAGGGCCGACCGAGGGCGAGTTCAGGTCACAATGACCCACCATTCTTTTCTCAGCGAGTCCATCCCGGGGCTTTCCAGGCCTGGAAGTGCCTAAAGCATCCCCGGGGGCCCAACCGCCAACATTTTACAGCTGCATCCAAGTTCAATTTTTGGAGTTGGAGATTCTCCGGTCCCCACGCGCCACGGCTAATCAACTCATGGCGTTCCGATGCCCCCAAATGGTTAACTGGTAGATGATGTTCCAGGGTCCTTGTACACCTAATCACACTGGGGCACTGGGGCTCTGACAAAGTTCGTTGGTTGGTGTCGTAGCTTGCCTAACTTAACGCACTGCCGGCTGTGGAGAGATGCCTGTCATGCCATGCAGCTACAGATACATACAAATTGGTGGGGAGATACGAAGTACTCGCATATTGACATGTGCATCCGATTCATCGTTCAGACATCTTTGACATGATGGTTCATGTGATGGCTTTGTGCCATATGTTATTGACCTACACACATACCTTATATTGATAACTTAGCTGAATATTCCCCTTCACAAGAGGATTTGCGTCTTACCCTAACGCTCACTCAACCAGTCTTTTTTTAAATCCCACCTCACCTCAGACCGTCCGTTTGCTGAGTCGAGGTCTCAACTGGACTTGGGGCCATTTCACATTTACAACCACGCCGACCTACACACTCGACTCCACTCTACAAGACATGACTGAAATCCATTGCGATCAGAACTGACATTGTGCATTCATTCCCCATGGACTCTGCCAACGGTACATACAGTTCGTGTCACTTCTGTTTCGTGCACTTGATACATGGATATATCTGCGTGGAACCAGGATCTTTTCCCTCCCAACACTCAAAACGCCAAGCATAGGTTTGATTTCTCGCCTCGAATCTACAACACATCCGCAACCATCACGGCAACCATGGCCACGAGCGTCGCCATCCCCATGGCACCCGCTCCTATTCTCAGGGGGGCACCATTGATCTTGAACTGCAGGACGATTCCATTCGTGAAGTTGGTCTGAGCCTCTTCAAAGGCAATCGTCGTCAGATTTCCGCACTGCTCGTTGAGAGCCACATCCTTGGTCAAGGCCGGGAGTTGAGGGATTGCCGCATCCAGTGGTGCTCTGGCGGGATCACTGCCTTCTGGTGAGGCGGCAAGATAGGCGGATCGGTAGGTTGCGTTGCTCCCAATGGTGGACAGGTTAGCAATTGTGGCATAGTTGTCACAGCTAGATGCGTCCCCGGTTTGACGGCGACCGAGCATGTACATGGGATTGTAGATTGCTGTTGTCACGGTCGAGAAGATGGAGAGGAGAAGGAGGACTGAAGTGAAGCGGAACGCTTGACGGGACGACATGATGGTGTCTTGAGTTGGTGGTTGTCTGGTATATAGATTGTGATGTAACGGTTGAAAAACGCGATGGCCGGCCACGCGATGAATGAATGAACTTGTCAGTAATGAGAGTACGCTGCGAAGAAAAGAGCAACCAGGCTGAAGAAGGGAAAAGGAAAAGAGGCACAACATGAAAAGGGAAGTTTCTGTTTTTATCAAGTGATGGGCGTGATTGATTGCTCAGGAGCATCGACTCTCGAAACCCTACGTTAGCGTCACTCGTTCTCTCATGATTTGATCTACAATGAAACCGTCACCAATGACCCTTTTCAGATCTCGATGGGGCAGAGGGCGCCAGATCTGGGTGCGGCCTATCTTGGGAGGTGATCTGAGTGTCCAAGAGTTTGAGTCTTGTTTTATCGTCGAGATCTGAAACCCATCGAGTGTCGGAATGGGTCGCTATCCCTTTCCCAGAGTGGCAGCTTTGCCGACATCGCAAGGCTGACCAATAAGAGGATCACCGCCAACCTCATCAACGGACGCTCAGAAATTCGGATGTCTACTAAGCCGTGCTGTGGTCTGAGCATCAGTGTAGAGATTAAGATCATGTACTACTCGTACAGCTGAAACCCCGCTCAACAACGGTCGACTTTGCACAAATGGACAAGTCACTAGAGCCTTGTTCACGTCAAGATGCTGCAAAGGAATTCGCTTCCTGCAGCCTGCTCACTGGTGGTATCGACAGGTGTTCTTGTGCAAGAGAGTTCTTAGGGAACAAGGGTGTCTATTGATCATGATTCACTTCAGGCAAGGCTCGCTACGCCGTGAATCGGTGGGTCAGCCACTTATATAAATACTTTATTACTCCTTTTCTTGACCAAGTACCACCACAGGTACAGGAGCTGCACACCTCCTCCTATCAGGATCAAGCCTGCAAACATTTGCACCGCCAAATATTCACGAGTCTTCTTCTCATCCTTGCGCATCAATGCACCTGCGATGGGAGGTCCGATGAGATTGAAAGCACTTGCGATTGCTTCCGACATCCCTAGCCGCGTCCCGAGCACATTTCGATTCGGACACACAACGGGGAAAATGCTCGCAGGTAAAGGTACCAATGGGCCAGAGGTAATTCCTGCTCAAGAATGATCAAATTGTGGCCACAAAATCACAGAACATCACTCACCCCACAAGACGCAGAATGCAATAAATGGCTTGAATTCTGTCACTCCAATCCAGACCAGACAGACAGCACCACTGATCACCGATGTCACCAGCCAGGTGAGCATGACTCCAAAGTGATCTGCAGCGATAGCGGCAAAGTATCTTCCAAACACCGATGCGGCTTGAGCGATCATCAGCAAATACGATGACCAAGCCTGCGAAGTTCCCAATGCAGACCTGGCAAAGGTCGGAATGTAATAGTAAGGCACCCAGTACGCCAATGACATCGTGGAAAGTGCAACAGTGTAGGCCCAGAAAGGGGGATCTGTCAAAGCAGCCTTGTCCAGCATCCTTCTCTTCCTTCCATCGGTGATCTGACCCGTGTTGGACGCACCCCACAGGACCAGAGGTAGGGACACTGCAAAGATACCCATCATCATGAACGCTAGAGAACGGGCAGTCCAAGGATACCCTAAAGGCCCTATCAATCTCGAAAAGACGAACCCATACATGATGGCGCCTTGGGTCAAAGTGAGTATGTTTGTGGGGAGACGGGCTTAGGTGTTTGACTTACCGACAGGTGTGCCAGAGAAAACAGTGGCAACTGCGAGAGCCCGTCGCCGTTGAAACGAGCGAGTCACCAAGGCCAAGGTAGGGATGAATATCATGCCACACCCCAGACCGACGCAAATACCCTGGCACAGCATCACTTGCCAGTACTTGGTGGCCAGAGACACCAACATGACGCCGGAGACGCAGATTATGGCACCGGCAAACATCAACGTCTGGTAGTAGCCGAGATCGAAAATCGGGCCGGAAAGTATCCCGACGAGAATGAGCAGCGTCGATTGAGTCGATCCAATCCAGGCGATGGTGCCGGGGCTGTTCTCAGAGAGAAGATTCGAAGCGTAGTATTCCTGGAAGGCGCCCCATACGGAAGGATAGCCCCAGACATTGAAGAATATTAGGAAGCACCCCAGGACCTGGATCCACGCCCGTCGGCCACCATCTTGTGGCGTGTTTGAGGGGACTAACGACAGAGTCTGGAGAAGTGGCGGTGCCGCGGTAGGCTGTACATCATGTTCAGAGTCTCGATCCCTGGGTATAGATTGGGCTTCCGTATCTGTCATGATATGTGTGAACCAGGGGGTGGCTGTCCTTCGCCTCGATCCTCCACAACCTGAGGTTTTTAACGCACTCGCCAATATTGTAGTGCGAACATCGGCTCAGAATGGAAAATATATTACGGACATTTGCGCCGGTCGACCGTCTCTCATTATTCCTAAGCAATCTTAGCTCGTGCCCTACTCCAACCGATGACACGGCGCTCCTGACGTGTGTTTACCGTAGAATCCACGAATGTGTTGACACTATCCCCGCCGATATCCCCGCAAATATACCTCGGCGATTGCAAATAGGGTTCTCGGTACCCTAAATCGACAACGCTGGATCGATCGCTGGCCCCCGAGGAGTCTGCTAGATCCCATCGAAGATCTAGCGGACATCAGTTCTCGCTGGCCTTGCGTCTAGGATTAATCCGAGTAACGCATGCGTCGTAGATGATCACCCTTTATGTTGGAATTTCCACATCTGCATGTGGATAGCCCACCTCTCAAATACCACCCGAACACACCGATATGTTGAAGGATCTGGCGCTACAACTATTCACTATTGATGACCATATTCCGAAGCAGCATGTGAAATATCTCGTTGGCCTCCCTCACTCTCTGGTCTCATATATGAAGTCACTCGGATTTTCGTTGAAGACTAGATGCACCGTTCTCTTGCCTACTATGCAAACTCCCTCGAGGTCCTTGGCTCCAAGCCCCGTCGAGTCCTCTTCTGAGCAGAAGGCAGAAGGCTGTAGATCCGGACGCCCTACCAAGGGCTAGCTATTACTCTGTAGGTCCAGCGCCGCCACTCCTTCGCCGATTTGCCCCTGTTTGAAATTGAGCATGAGGTCTTCTGGAACAGCACTCTCGTCTGCTCCGGCATCAAGAAGTGTCTTCGTGAGCCAATCACGCCCCTCACGCAACACCGCCGCCAACGGAGTGCCGCTCTTCATTTCGCCTGGCAACCCATAATCGCAACGAGCATTGGGGTTGGCGCCTGCATCGAGAAGGAGCTGCACAATTCGCTCCGCATGATCTTTCGGCACAGTTGTGCATGCCATCATCAGTGGCGTTGTACTGTACTGACTTTGTCCGTAATCCGGGTGACGGTCATCCACAGTTTGCTCGGTGTTAGCGTCTGCATTGAACACGATGATGTATGCCTCCACCCTCACTGCCGCAAAAGGCACACTGGACAGAGCATGGCCCAATTGCGTGCCCGTCATATGAAGACCTTGCGCATCGGCATAATAGCGCACTCGCGCAACAAACAGTAGCGACAGAACCTGATTCTCCTGATCGTTCAAGTTCGGAAACCGGCCAGTTAAAGCTACCAAGCTTGGAAATAAAATATACAAGTCTGGCCTGGCATCGAGAAACACCTTCAGTGTTTCTATATTGCGCCCTGCCAATGCATATTCCCAGGCTTCCGGGTTGTTGACGTTCGCTCCGGCCGCGAGCAGTAATCGTACCACCTCTGCATCACACCTTGAACCTTTGCAGGCAGATTGCAATGCGGGATCAAGCACTGGCATGTCTCGGAGCGCATCGACGTCTTCTCGAGCTTTGAGTAGAGCCTCGACTATGGCGCGGTAGCCCCTTCTGGATGCCACACAGAGAGCCTTGCGAAAGCCCTCACTGTCGCTGGCAATTAGATCCATCCTCTCTCGGAGTAATAGTTGGACCGCTTCAAGACGCCCGCAGCGTGATGCCGCGGTCAGGGCACTGTAATCCTTGCAACAGTACAAATCCTTCTCAAATGGATCATCTTCACTGCCGTCGCTTGAGAGTGTAGCAACCCACTCTTCATATTCCTCATCAACCCCAGCATCTTCCTCTTGTGCCTCGTATTCGTTATCATCCTGATCAATACCAAGCTTTTCCTCATCTACCTTATCAGTACCGATATCTCCCTCGTCTCCCTCATATCCCTCATGTCCCTCCTGTTTCCTATCAACCCCGGTATCTTGCTCCCCATCTCGTTCTTCACCATCCCTCCCAGCGTCGCAGATTGCGTCCTGCATATTTGACTCTGCTTCGATCAGTAGCGGAATTACCTTCACGCAACCCCGTCGCGATGCGCCCTTTAATGCGTTGCTGTCTTTTCCACCACCGCCGTTGAGCTTAGCACCCGCGGCGAGCAGGATCCTGACCACATCGTGGTGGGCGTTCACTGAGGCATGTACCAATGCAAGGCTGTAATTTCGGATGCCTTCATTGACTTCCGCCCCTGCACTGAGCAGCATTTCGACCACCCTCGCATGTCCGGCGAACGATGCGGCCCCTAATGGAGTGCGAGTTAATAAAATCACACTCAACCTTTGGAAATCACTGTTGGGGTCGGCCCCTGCTTCAAGCAGGATCCGGACTATACTTTCGTGCCCACTCCCAGCTGCACCATGCAACGCCTTGGGCCACTTTGTTCCCCCTCCATTCACATTGGCCTCTTTGGCAAGCAATATACGTACTATTTTCTCGTGACCCTCCTTTGATGCACATATCAACGCGGGGCCGCGGGCTCCGTGGCCGCTATTGACATCTGCTCCTGCATCGATAAGACGTCTGACGGCTGGCTCACAGCCTCTGTGCGATGCAGCCTGTAGCGCCGTTCCAAAGAACCCGGCATTCATCGTGAGATCCGGGTCACGTTCTAGAATCCGACACAAAAGGTCGTATACTCCAAGATAGGCGGCGTAGTACAGAGAGACTGTGGTGATCCACTTTTCGACCGTGGCTTGCGCTGGTCTGGGAACGACCGCGCCATGATGACAGATGCTGAGCCACCGATAGAACACTTTTTCTTCCGAGAAGAGTTTCCAGCTCCACTTTTTCTCGATATCAGTGGTTTCCCTGTCGCCTGATTTCATGTGGACATGCCAATTCTCCAAGGCATAGCTGGCGAAAGGGAAGGCTGCCCGCGCTTGCCGCCCAACTTTCGGTTCTAGAAATCTGTCGTCGCAGAGATAGATCAGACAGGCTGTGCTGATATGCTGATGTCCCAGAGCCGACGACAGTTTGTAATTTGCAGCTAGAGGCCAGGAGGTGTGATTGTGAAGAAGGAACTCCTGGACCGAGAAGTGCACAATCCGCACAAATTCGACCCTTGTGTGCTCATGTAAATCGTGGATGTCGAAGAAATATTCATTGTGAGGCGCATCTCCCGAATATTTTTCAATAAGACTTGGACACATGCGCAGAAGGTCGTCGGCGCCTGCAACTCTTCGCCCTGAATCGAAGGACTCAGTCTTCACGTCTATCGAAATGGCGTCGATAAGCTCAAGAGCAGTCATTGGGCGAGTCGAGAAGCACAAGAACATGAGCATGCGTCGCACCATGTCCTTTACCGGCCCACGGAGACTGCAAAGCACGCGCTCGTAAGTTTCGTGTAGCGTATCAGGCAACTCCCGAAGGTAGCCGTTGATGATGTCCAGGCTTCCCCCTGGAGCATCCTTCAACGATTCAAGCTGACTTGCGACCCATCTGAAGCTGTTTTGTGTCAGCGGACGCGATACATGGCTATAATAAGGAGCAAAATCACTTACACACCACCAGCTTTTTGAGATAGATATTTCTCGATCGTTTCATGGTTGCTACTCAAGTGAGATAACCCGGAATCGTATTCAAGCTTGTACGAGATGTATCGAGAGATGTCCTCATTGATAACGTCATTCCGCAATTCGACAGCCTCATCTTCGTGGGCACCAAGCGACTGGCGAATTCTAACGAGGCCTCGGCTTGTGACCAGAAGATGGAGGCCCGCCAGGTCCCAACTGCGCATTTTTTGAATATCAGAGAGCACAGCTTCTCTTTTGTCACCGCTAGGGATCTCGTCTAAGCCATCGAGGAGCAGATAAACGTGCTGTGCTCTGCGAACGGCCGATCTGAGATATTCAAAAAGATCCTCCTTGGAAGCCTTGCCGCGCCTGAGATTCATCAGCTGAGTCAACTGCTCCTCAACGCCCGCTACTTGGTTACAGAGTTGTAACAAAACCGCACACACAAAGCCGAAAGCATCTTGTTTCGACTCATCCCGGAAGTCGAAAAAGAAGTACGCAATGGCACATTTGGGCTGTGACTGCACATAGCGCAACGTGTGCTGTATTGCCGTCGAGAACAGAACCGACTTTCCGCAACCTGCAGGGCCATAAAGCCAGAGAAATGAGTTGTCCTGCCGAAGCCATGTGCTATAACGGGCACTTTTGATCAGCCACTGGCCCGTCTGGGGATGTCGCTTCTCGTTAGCCTTGTTATAGTCCACTGATACGTCGGGCGCATTCAGCCAAGTCCTCAGCTCGTAGGCCACGTTCTGTGCTCGAGCAATTTTGAGGAGACTTTTGATCTCCTCGAGATCATTCCCGATTGCAGAGCTGTCCTTCAACTGTAGTACCTGCAGGGCTAGGGATAAATTATGTTGGAAGTCATCCACATCTTCGGCCAGCTTCACGAGAGTGCTCTTGCGAAATGGGTAGGCGGCATTACGCCCAGCAACACGGACAGACTGGACCAAACGTGCTGAATGGTCTTTTTCGTACTTGTGGACTTGGTCCTGCAGCTCTTGAACGATGTCAGCCGAACGAGAAATGGACGATTCAATCTGATCAATAATCTGCTTGTCGTCCGCTTCCCATTTCCGCCGTTCAATTTCTTGGTTGAGGAGTTCGAGATTTTCGAGAAGTGCCTGAAGCTTTTCTGCCGTCCGTTTCAACTCGTCATGGCGATGTTTGAACTCCCCATAATATTTATATAGAGATCCGGTGACTTGGAGGGCGAGAGAGATTAGTCCCGCCACACTCGCCGTGATAGAGAGGGGATCCGCCATGCTTGGCGACGGATGCTGGACACTTCAAGGTTAAAAACAGAAACACCACCCTCTGATTGTATAATGGCTTCGAAGCAGGTCCGATGGCTACCACTGCCATTTGACAACTCAAGCTACAGTTGTTAATAGAGACCAAGGCTCGATTTCGTTGCCAGCGAGGCTGCCGCGAGCTTTAAGTACAATGGCAGTCGAGCTGGCGGCACCGCGCCAACATACCACCTGTTGACGGGAATGGGCCAAACTCCCTGGTCTTGTGCTCAGTACTTAATACATGGCAAACTAACGTCTGGGTCTGCGGTATTACTGGTCCAGGCCCTTGTAGCTGCAGGCTGCAGGCTACTCGCCAGGGGGACTGGCGGCTGCAGGGGATTCCTCCATCAGCTACCGTACCTCTTCAGGTTAGACAAAGTGGTGCCTACTTGGGGAGTTATCTTCATGACTCCTACAGACCACTCGCAACACGAGCCCAGTGCCATTTCAAGCGCTTATGCAAGATGGTGAAATGCGCAAGGAGAGTAAACTTTGGGTGAGAATGTTCTGATTTGATCACCGTGGGATAGGCGAGGTGCTGCTGGCATCGGCCTATCGGCAATAGCCAGGGTAGCTTGGATGTAGAATAATACTACGGATACGAAGCAGTTGTCCTAGAGAGGAATTGCATAAGCTCAAGTCATCCTGCCTTTCTGAGAAATCGCTTTTAGTGAGCTGTTACCGGCGATGTGAATTCTCACCAATCATAATCATAAGTTGGAAGAACATGGAAGTACATTGATGCGCAATGATGTGCTGGAAGCCGACGATCTAGATGTTTTGATTGAACCGTCACAACGAAAGAGAATGGGTCGAGGAAAACGCTGGAGATCTCTCAGGGCTTTAATATCTGGTTCGATTTTGCATCGCTCTCAGTAATCTATTTGCGAGAGTTTGTGAGTCCTCATCAGGCACTAAGGTCAAGGGAAATGTGGAAGGGCATGCATGTTCGATTACCCGCTGGAATTTGAACTGGATTTGGGATTTTTGATTGAGCCGTAGCCGTAGCCACAGTTGTGGTCGATGTAAAATGAGTATGCATGACATGCATGATTTCTCTCTCGCCCGTAGATGGACCACAACCCCATTTTTTCCATGCACAAAGCGAAGAGACGGGGAAAAACTCCATCCGACCACTCATCATCTCATCTCATGGTCGTCGGGCCATCAATCCTCAACCACATCATCCACCATTCACGAAGAAAAAGACAAAAAACATCCTCTAGTCCTCGGTAATGTTACCCTTCTCACTGACATACAGACCGTCCAAAAATTTTCGGATATCCTTGTTTCTTACTCGGCAAATCTGTTGAATGTCGGCGGCGGACTGTGAGACGGCTTCCACGCTATTGCCGTAAAGTTCGAGCTGATCCTTGACACCCTTGGAGGTCTCGATCGTGACGCCTTCGGGGATGGTGACGTGTCGGACGATCTTCTCGCCTAGGAAGTTTCTATTGCAAAACCCATCAGTGTTCCAGCCTCTGGTGTGTACCTGTGTGATGACTGCCTTACCTGATCTCCAAATGGTACAGACCCTCATCGTTCTTCTCAATGTTGACGTTGATGGGGAAATGGGCATAAACGTATCGCATCTTGTACTTGTAGCCCTTCGTGACGCCGGTCACGAGGTTCTGGATGATGGACTTGACGGTTCGGAGGGTAGCGACATTCTTGCGGGAGCCGTGGTGGATCTCGATGCGCACGAGTTGTTGGCCCTTCTTGCTCTTGGGTAGCGAGAAGGTGACGGCGATGTGGGAGAGATCTTTGACCAATTTGCCTGTGTGGGATCTTTGTCAGATTTTCATGTTTCCATTCTTCGCGATCATGGCCTGGTGGGTAGGCTTCTTTCTTTCTTTTCTCAATTCGTACCTCGGGGTCCCTCGACCGTCACGATTCTGGAGCGGATGTGGATTTTGACATCGTCTGGGATGACCAGCTGCTCTTCGGAAAAGATGTACTTCATCTTGAGAGCAGTGGTAGTTGTGAGGAGTTGGTGGATGGTATTGAACTGGGCCTTCAATTAAGTGCTGGTCGTCGACAAAAGTTCGAATTGGGGATTATCGCAGGAATGCCAAGGAATAGGGTTTGTGTGAGTCTTGGCGAAGGGGTGTGGTTGGTCAGCCTTGTGGTTGGAATCAATGCCGCGGGACTAGGCTGAGTTACAGATTTCGACCTCCCACCACAATTCAGATGCATGGGAGTGGAAGGATCAAACAATCACAGAATCAAAGCAAATATTTCCCAACTCCACGCTACCAAGGGTATCTCATGCATGAAAACAACTTCCTCCACGACGTCTGGGACGTTTCTAACCACTCCTCTTGGTCTGTGCCAACATTCGAGCCACTGTAGGGTCATCATCATCAATCTGTATGCCCTGTTCCCGTAGAGCATTCTGATATCTCTTCTTCAGCCCCTCTTCCTCTTCCTCTTCATCCACACCCGCGTCCGGATAATTGTCTGGGTCGTTGACATCTTCATCATCGTCCTCGGACGACTCCTCGTCCCTCTTCTTCGGTACAGCCTTAGACTTGCCATCCATGTTCATGTCCTTCATCACCTTTGTCAGGTCGTTGGCCCGGTGACTCGCGCTCTCTTCCTGCCGTTCCTTCCTCCGCTTCTCCAATTCGGGTTGGTAGTCCTTTTCAAACTCTTTTCTCTTCTCCTCTACCGCTTCGAAGAAATCATCTATCCCATCACCCGTCATACTCGACACCGCCACCATGTTGAGATGCGAATAGAATTCTTCCAGCATCACACTCATGCTGTTGACCAGGCTGCCCATGTATCCACTCCCACCGTGTCCCTCTCCGCCAAACACACCTTTATTCTGCTCCTCTTGAAGTGCGTCTTGAAATTTCTCAAAGTCTGTCATCCATTCTCGTGCAAACTCGGCATCCTGGACGTCTGTTTTGTTGAACACCAGGATCATGGGCAGTTTGGTCTTGTAGAGTATGGAGCAGGCGTAGAGCATGTTTGACATGAACGTGGACGTGGAAGATGTCCGTGGGGTGTCGATGATGTATGCAATGACGGTGGGAAAGGAGGAAGCAAATGACTCGAGGAGGATACTGCCCGAGGCGGACCAGACAAACACTTCGATCTGGCCCGGCGTGTCCACCAAGAAATGTTTGGGAGGGGTGATGTTGCTGTCTGGAGGTGGACTGGCTCGCTTTTCCAGCAAGCCCATGATCTGATCGATCTTGGTTGCAAAGAGATTGAGCGACGTAAGGATCCCGCCATTGGGACCGAGATTGTACTGTTTCATCACTTCTTTGTAGTTGATGCTGTCTCTAATGTCGATGTTGGGCTGGAAGGGAACATGCGTGACCGCAGGATCGAGATTCAATACATATGGCTTGGTCTTGTTAACATGTAGATAGTTGTTGATTCTTTGCATAAAAGTCGTCTTGCCGGAGCCTGCGGATTTGTCAGTCGAGGTTGGGTGAAGAGGAGACAGAACGAGTCCCTACCGGCCATGCCGATGCAGACCACTGCCACTGGAGAAGTTGCCATATTGTCAATAACAGTCAGGATTATTGCCGTTGGTGAGTTGGTGGTGCAAAAGATGAACGGGGGAAGTCTGGTGGGGGAATTTGAAGATGGAAAATCCGAAGCGCAGGTGAAGAATGACGCACCTAGGCTTCACTCCAGCACCAAACATAAAATATATATCCACCTCAACTCTCTACCTCCATACCACCACATCCATAAATTCTACCCTCCAACATGGCGCTCGAAGACTTTGAACGCGAGCTCGCCGAACAAAAAGAGACCGAACGAAGACGGGAACGGCGAAAGGAGCAGAGTGAACGATCAGACCACAAACACCACAGACACCACCACCGAAATTCACGACACAATGAATCCCGTGATGATGAAGATGGTCACAGGTCCAAGAGATCAAAACACTCGAGAGATGACGATGCGTCGGAGAGCAGACACCGCCACAGACACCGCCATCATCGTCGGAGCAGAGGAGAAGACAACCGCGACGGTGAAGCCGACAATGGCGAGGGACAAGCTACAACCAGGCCCGATCTCACCAACCTCAAACGGGACTCGTGGATGGAAGCCCCGTCCGCACTCGACATCGACTACGTGCAGAGGAAGAAGCGAGAACCCTCCCCTCCAAAGTCCAATTCTCTGGCCGCAGGCTACGAACTCAAGATCCACGAGAAGGAACTGAACCATCATCTGCGGGACTTACAGAAGGGCAAAGACCTTGACGACCTCGATCTGGATGAGGCGGAAACAAACGAGGTTGACTATACATTTGGCGATGCAGGCTCTCAATGGCGCATGACGAAGCTCAAGGCCGTCTATCGCCAGGCGAAGGAGTCGGGCCAAAAGGTGGACGAGGTCGCTCTGGAGCGTTATGACAATCTCCGTCAATTCGATGAAGCACGAGAGGAGGAGATAGAACTCGACCGGCGCAGGTCTTACGGCAAGGACTACGTGGGTAAGGACAAGCCGAGCGGAGAACTCTACCAGGAGCGAAAACTCGATGCCGGCAAACACAGACCGCGAGTCCAAGACGAGGACGAGGAGCACGATGACCTGGTCGAGGGAATGGCCGTACCGACATCTTCAACGCCAGCCGCACCCAAACTCGACCAAACCGCCCTCAACAAGCTCAAGGCCCAAGTCATGAAAGCCCAGCTCCGAAAAGATCCCAAAGCCTCGGAGCTCGAACGAGAATATAACGAGGCCCTCAAGGCACACAATCAGCAAGACCCCACCATCATTACCCTCTCGGCCATGGACAACCGGATGCTCTCATCCGCACCTCGTAACGAAGTCAAATCCGTGACGAACCGCCGCGGCGCCGAACGCGGCCAAGTGGAAGAAAACGAAGACATGAGTATCGAAGATATGGTACGGGAAGAGCGCCGCACACGGGGTCAGGCCGGTGGCGACGGCGCACGCCTCGCAGAACGCATTGCCAAGGACGGCAAGTTCGACAACGACCTGGAATACCTGGACGAGAACGCCGCGAAGCTCGCGAAGCGCGTACACAAGTCGGACGCGAATCTGCGCAACGTCGCCATCGGCGAGTACCAGAAACTCAACCGCATCCTCGAAAACTGTCCGCTGTGCCATCACGAAGACACCGACACGCCCCCGGTCGCGCCGGTCGTGTCGCTGGGCACGCGCGCGTTCCTGACCCTACCGACGGAGCCAGAACTGGCGCCGTACGCGGCGATGATCGTCCCCACGCAACACCACACGAACCTCCTGGCGTGCGACGACGACGAGTGGGAAGAGATGCGCAACTTCATGAAATCCCTGACGCGGCTGTACCACGACATGGGGCAGGACGTGATCTTCTACGAGAACGCGGCGTTTCCGCACCGCAAGCCGCACGCCGCCATGGTCGCGGTACCCCTGCCGTACAGCCTGGGCGAGACGGCGCCGGCGTTCTTCCGCGAGGCGTTCCTCAGCGCCGAGAGCGAGTGGAGCCAGCATAAGAAGATCATCGACACGTTGGGCAAGGCGAAGAAGGGAGGCCTGGGCAAGAATGCGTTCCGCAGGAGTCTCGTCAAGGAGATGCCGTATTTCCACGTTTGGTTCGAGTTGGATGGTGGGTTAGGTCATGTCGTTGAGGAGAGTGAGAGGTGGCCCAAGGGGGATCTCTTCGCAAGGGAGATTGTGGGCGGCATGTTGGGTTTGGAGGCTGATGTTGTGAAGAGGCAGGGGAGGTGGCATCGTGGGGGAGATAAGAGGGTTGATGGGTTTAGGAAGAAGTGGCGCAAGTTTGATTGGACGAGGGTCTTGACCGAGGGGGGTGCTGTTTGATAGGCACGGGAAGAGAATGATGGGGATGAATCGGATGGTTCAAGAGTAACTCCTACGGTTCTGCTTGAACTATAACCTGAGCTACACATTGATATCCCAGTAGCTGAAGACGATGCATAAGACGCCATTACTTTTCTATCCCCAGATGTTCCCCCCATCCGCGCCACAGTATATGCCGATCAACCATCAACCATGAATGCCAAAACACCGCATGTCGAATCATGGCAGCTTCTACCGTCTGCACGTACCATGCTCAGTACTGAAGTCCTTTCTCCTCATCCTTGGAGTTGGTTTCCACCCTTACGGACTCATACCTGATCACAGGCGACATGAAGCAAGAGCAATACTTCTGAGCAGCAGAGCATGCTCATATATTACCTTGTATGCTATGTGCGGCCACTTACTGACAGTAGCTCAATTCTTCCAATTGTCTGGTGGTCAAGCATGAGTGGCTTTGTGCGACATGGTCACAGCCTACATGCCTTTCCGAAGGATGATCTTCGAGGACCACTTTCTGGAGGCTATGTTGCAGAGTGCGTTTTCGTTCATTAGTAATATCCAGCACGCAATGTCCTCAACTCATGTCCGCAATCATCATGCCAGGCTCTTCGAGGTATTTCTGCACCTTGGTGGCGATGCGAGCCATGGTTGCTCCATCTACGACTCTATGATCTGCGCTCCAGCTGACATTGGCTTGCAAGGCGGGTTTCACTGTAACGCCGTCATCGGCAAATACAGGGACTGTCTTGATCTTTCCCACTCCCATGATCGCGAGTTGCCCCTCGACAATGACAGGAGCGACCACTTCGCCACCAATGTTGCCGATATTGCTGACGGTGATGGTTCCGCCAGTGAGATCACTGTTGCTGAGTTTGCCGGCTTGGCCGAGTTTGGCCAGTCTCTGGAGTTCTTCGGCGATAGACGTGATTGATCGCGCGTTGACTGCTTTGATGACTGGGACAATCAATCCGTTGGGGGTGTCCATGGCCACGCCGATATTGTGGACCGATCGCAACACCAATTGAGGTTTCTTGGGATCGGTCGTCACGTCCAGTCTGGCGTTGAGGATCGGGTATTGGTTGAGAGCAAGTGACACGGCTTTGATCATGAATGGCATGTACGACAATTTGGGTGTTGTGTCGGGATTGCGAAGAATGTTCAACTTCGATCGCATCGAAGATAGAGTGGTAAGGTCGACCGAGTCGGAGAAGAGGAAGTGCGGGATGGAGAGCGAACCCGTCATACTCTTGAACATGGCCGACTGGACCGGAGTGAGTTTCTGTGCAGTCTCAGTTTGTTTGGCATCGATTTGTGGTTTTGTGGTTGCCGAGGTCGAGGTCGCGGAAGACTGTTGAGATGCCCCTTCAAGATGTTTGTAGACATCCTCTTTCAGAACACGTCCATCTTTACCCGTACCAGCGATGTCTTCAATTGCCAGGTCGTGTTCTTTCAACAGTCCACGGACCGCTGGTGTTGCGAGGAAGGCGTGCTTTCCGGGTGGCTTTGGATCTGCTTCCGTCTTGGCCTCTGCTACTGTCTTCTTTTCCGCGGCAGGACTTTCTGCGATCTGCTCTGTCTGTTCTGCCTCTTGTTCTGTGGGTTGGTCTGACTCGGCGTCTCCCTCGACTTCCACCTCGAGAAGGGTGTCACCAGTCTGTACGACATCGTCCTGGCCAAAGTAGATCTTCTTCACGACTCCGGTGTATTTGGAGGTGATCTCGACCGAGGCCTTGTCACTTTGGACTTCGCAGAGTGGACTCCATTCTTCAATGGACGCACCTTCTTCTACGAACCACTGAATGATCTGGACCTCTTTGACGCCTTCACCGATGTCCGAGAGGACGTGTTTCTCTGCCCTTTCACGTTGAGCGGAGGCGTGGAATTGTCGAGCGAGGGGTAGGAAGGGGTTGCATGTTCGAGGTCGAATAACAGGACCTCGGATCATGTGCTGCATCAGCCGTAGGGCCTGAGGGGAAGGTACACACTTCATCTTGACGGTGTATAGTCAGGAACTTCAGGATGACTGCAGAGATTTCTCTGCAAGACCGACAACCTGGAGAGTATTTGAGGTGAAATTGTCTGAGATGAGGACGAAGGATGGCAGCCGCGTCTAACCGACACAGCAATTGTCCATCCCCGAATGACGCGGGGCCGAGGTCGCAACACACAGGCGGCCACCCGTGGTCCCTTGGCAATCGTGAACCACGTTTCTTTGCTGGACACTCTACCCTTTACCATCTCAATTTTGGTGACAGCCTTTTACTACTAGTATTGTGTAATTGTTGAGTACGGCGTACTACAGGGCGGAAATCGGGGAAGGTGGTGGGTGACACAGGTGGTCACCCGCGGTCCATCGGCATTGGTAATGACTAAGCTGGTACTACTTTTCTAGTATTCGATTGATGCAAATGTAGGTGCTGTTCTAGTCTGAGCAGGATTATACGTATCTGCGAATGGCGTTGTAATTTTGTATTACTTTGTTAGCTAGCTATATATACTATACCGCGTATTTCTAGATAAAGCTACTGTTACAGGTACCTTATACGATGGTATTTATTCGGGAGGCCCTCCGCGACAGTAGATCTACTAGGATTCTCGTCTTTTTGGCCTATGGCGCGAGTGTAGGAACTCTCCGTGAAAATGCCAAGATATGTTGATACGCTCAGGTAGTACAAGGTACCTATTCTATGCCTAGCCCGTATTTACAGCAACGCAAAAAATAATTCCATCAGAATCTCAAACTTCCACCAAAATGCAAAAAAGAAATGCCAGAATAGCAACGGTTGGTATCGATCCAACGTCCTCCGGGTTATGAGCCCGGCGCGCTAACCCCTGCGCCACGTTGCTCGAAGCAGCTGTGAAATTGTGTCGTTTCTGACGCTGATTTGAAGCAGATTTGTGGGAATTTGAATTATAACCTTTACAATTAGAGTACCCCACAACGGGGCACTGTTCCCCTCATCCAGATTCGCTTTCACTGGCGCAGGCATTACCAACCGTGCGGCGGACGAAACCATCTGATTATCAAACCACTGTTGCTTGTCTAGTTGTGAGCAGGTGAACATGATGCTTGTCTGTGGTCTAGGGTATATGAAAGTTCTCCACCTGCCACCTTTGGTGCCTAACCAATAGACAGAGGAGGCTCAAGCTCTCCACCTCCCGCTTTCAACAATTACACCAGGCCATATTCCGGAGCTTTCCTCTGGGAAGGATTCTATAATATCATGGCCCTGTGTCCTTGTCCGTGATGCTTCTTGCCATGGCTGTAGGCTATATAAAGGCGAGATGAAGGTCATGGATACTCTCAGGTCAAGTCTCGAGCCATGTCGAACCACGCACTCATATTTGGGGCATCGGGTATCTCAGGTTGGGCGCTGGTGAAGGAGGCTCTTTCTTACCCAGATACTACAGCATTTGCCAGAGTCACTGCACTCACCAACAGATCTCTCTCACTTGCAGACAGTCAATGGCCTGAAGACAAACGCCTTCAAGTAATCAGTGGGATTGATCTGACAAGGCCCCTGGCAGATGTGATTGAGCTGCTAAAGAACATCCCAAATATAGCAACTGTGTCCCACGTCTTCCTATTCCTGTTCCTTGACCCGGGCAAAGACAAGAAAACCTTGGTGGAAGTCAACACCAGCTTGGTCAGGACCGCCGTCCAGGGCATCCAACATTTGTCCCCAGTCATCAAGTCCTTCATCCTCCAGACTGGTGGGAAAGCGTATGGCCTTGGTGAGTAGTCTTGGACTTTCAAATAAACACATGTTGACCCTTCAGAACGACCTGATGTTGTCGAGATTGTTCCTCCTCTCAAGGAGTCCTCACCCAGAGCACCCCCACCCATCGCCGACGACATCTTCAATTACCATCAATATGATGTTCTCATGGAATTGTCCAAGGACGCGTCCTGGACCTTTACCGAGATTCGTCCTGATGCAATGATTGGGTTTGTCCCGGGGACCAATGCCATGAATATCGCTCAGGGTCTTGCTTTCTACCTGACGCTTTACCGGGAGGTCCACGGAGAAGGGGCATCCATTCCGTATCCAGGGGCCGAACACGGCTACCGACACAAACATACGGACACCTTTCAAGACATCGCAGCACGTGGGGAGATATTCGCCGCCTTGAATCCAGACAAGTGCGGCTCTGGCCGGACGTTCAACATCGTCAACGGCGATGTAATTACATGGGCCGATAAGTGGGCACCTCTCGCTGCATATTTTGGGCTCCGAGGTGTTGGACCTCAGGGAGCATTCGAACCACCCGCCGAGTTTGTTCGCAAACATGCCAAAGTCTGGGATGAGTTAGTGAAGCGAGAGAACTTGAAGTCGGGTCGCATCGAGGCTTTTTCCTGGGCATTCTTGGACGTGATGATGGACAAGGCATTCTTTGATCGTCAATATGATGTTGGTGCCATTCGTGCGGCGGGTTTCAATGAAACCATCGACACGGTCGAGGCCTACACGACTGCCTTTGACAGAATGCGTCTAGCTGGGATTATTCCATAGACTTTCTTCCATAGAGCAGTCCAACCACGGATAGCTCGCTCGTTGCCACTCTAAATCATACCACTGCGATTTGAGATAATATAAAAGCTCACCGACTCTTCGTCCGCGTCAGCAACCTTGGCAGGATTCGTCAACAGAGACGTATTCGATTGATCTCAAGTGACTTGACTCGGTCTCATCAAATGCTGAAGACGTTATAGTCTACTGAAAAAGGTTCGGATCGTGGAAATGTGGCCCTTGCAAGCCCCTCCAAGGTGACCGTTCTGGAGGCTCTCGGGCCCTCGGCCTCACTACCCCCTCGAACCCTCACGGAAAGGACCGATGGCCCCTAAAACCTTCACATGCCTAACCATGGATCAGATATCTAAATTGCTATCTAGGAAGTGCAATCCTGCTGAATCTTTCCATGACCGACTGTCGTCCTTCCAAAGCTGTCAGCCCGCCATATGACATAACACAGAAGGTGCCTCGAGCACTGGTAAATAAAGCAGCGAGCACCCCCAAGGAATCGCGTCAGGATTTTCGCTTAGAAAAGCCCACCATCGACCCTGGCCTGAGATACCCCTGCATAATGACACGATTGGCCATGATCCGAATGTCCGGCCCCACGAACCCCTCCATTGAAGATCCGGACAAGCTGATGCTTCAGCTTCAGCTCCCAAAGCGAAAGTTCGCAGATCAAACTCAGCTCGGACCTGCAGCATTAGCTTCCGGAGCTCAAAGTGTGTGAGGACTGCAGAGGATAGACTACTTTATCTGGGAGTCCATCTTTATCTTCATCTTCATCCAGGCCGTCTCAGTTTTCCTCGGTCCTTGATCTCCTCAACAATAAACCAAACTCCGCATCTCCAACCATGGCGCCCAACGTCACCATTCGAAATTTCAGCAACAACCCGTTGACCCTCGTGCAGGTCGAACATTTCGACCCTCACAAAGAAGAGGGCGGGTTTCAGATGAGCAACGTGACCATGGCCCTGGGAAATGTCACCAACAGCCTGGGACTGACCAACAGCACCACCCGCAAGGACGTTCCTGAGATCGACGCCAATGCCAGACCATTTGAGAGTCGCAACCTCGACATCAAGATCCCGCCGTTTTCAATCGTCAACACCGACATCCGTCCCACCATCAACAAGTCGGATGAACGGTTGCGACTGACGTTTCAGACAGATCTTGGGGGCAAGCATCAGCTCTACTGCCCCGTGCCTACTCAGCACACGGCATCTCTGGTGGCGCTGGCCGAGAACCCGAAATATCGCTTCACGGGCATCTATCTGCCAGAGCACTCGTTCGTCTCTCTATTCAACACCTCGAACCTGGAAGAATGGCAACGAGAGCTCCCCGACAACACACCCCTCGGCGCGCTCTCCATCCCAGGCTCCCACAACTCTCCCACCCACCACCAAGCCCCTCCATCCGTCAGATGCCAAGCTGTCTCGCCCAAGGAGCAGCTCAAGAACGGCTTCCGCTTCTTCGACGTCCGCGTTCAGGTCCCTGAACCCTTCAACCCGGGCTCCGACCACCTCAACCTCGTGCACTCGGCCTTTCCCATCTCTCTGACCGGCAACAAACACTTCCGAGACCTGTACAACGACATCCTGCAATTCCTACGCGACCACCCGAGTGAAACCCTCATCCTCTCGCTCAAACGCGAAGGCACCGGAAAGGGCACGGACGAGCAATTCTCCCGTATTCTGAAGAACCATTACCTCAAGGACGACCGACAATGGTTCACGGAGCCGCGCGTCCCCACGCTCGGCGAAGCCCGCGGCAAGATCGTGCTGCTGCGCCGCTTCGGGCTCGAAGAAGAGCTGAGGCGCGAGTGGAACGGTCGGGGGCTCGGCATCGACGCGCAGAACTGGGCGGACAACACGCCTAACGCGACGTGTCCGAGCGGCGACGTCGTCGTGCAAGACTTCTACGAGGTGCTGGAGCGGCCCTCCATCGACAAGAAGATCCTCTACGCGCGCGAACATCTCGAGCGCAGCGGTTGCTGTGCCTTTACGCCGGAGAACCCCGGCGCCACAGACGGCAAGAAGGTGCCCCTGCACGTCAACTTCCTGAGCGCCAGTAATTTCTGGAAGGTCAACACTTGGCCCGAGAAGATTGCCGCCGAGGTCAATCCGGCCATCACGGAGCATCTGTGTCGGAGTCATCAGTTGGGGGATGGCGGCAGGGTCAAGGACGGGAATTGGAGTACCGGGATTGTGGTCACGGACTGGGTCGGTTTAGGTGGGGATTGGGATCTCGCGAGAGCCGTCGTCGGGATGAATGCCAAGTTGGTGAGGAAATGAATACATAGAAGGATAGGATCAGTGCCGCTTCCAAAGGAGTTCGTTCAGGGGTCGTCGAGGTGAGGCACACACACACCATAAGATATAGTACAGTGAGATGGGGTTGCATGTCATTTCACCATATCATTACATACCAGCAGAGAATAAATATCTAACCATGACCCATCTCTTCCCGGAAATGCATCTCCAATGCTCGAAGACTGTTGGATATCTCCATCCTGGGTGCACCAGCAACGGTGTAGCGAAGCCATATCAGCGTCACCAGCACCAGCACCAGCGGCAGGATGTAAACGAGGGCCCATTTCCTCCCCGTGCCGACCCGCGTGTTCTGAACGATGGCAATTCCCTCCGCCGACGATGTCCCACTACCTCCGGTCATGGGTAATCTCGACACCACCAGGGCGGCATTGAGGCCCAAGACATCCTCGAGACCGTTCCGAGAATTCTCAAACGCAAACGGCGCTTGACGGACGTACTTGGAGTGGTCGGTGTAAATGGGGGACATGGGTTGCACGATGAGTTGACGGGTGGCCGCCAGGAGATTGTCCAGGATCGAGACAGCGGCGACGGCGGCGACGGCCGGGATCTTGTGTTGGAGAGGGTCGTGGTCCCCGGCAAAGACTTGTCCGTCACAGCTGTCGGAGATCACGGCCTCGACGTCTCTCGAGTAGGTGCCGATGTCGTCGGCGTCCGCTTGGAGATTGAATGTGACCTCCCTGTACTCAAAGACCTGCCGTGTGTCGACCGTGCACGCGACGCCGTACGCGGTTCCTTGTAGCGCTGAAGCATTGGCACTGGAGGCGCTTTCAAGATAGCTCAAGTAGTCCAAATCCGCCATGGCTTCGGTGAGAAAGAACGACGATGGATAGACGGCTCCGAGCACGATGGTGGCCTGGCCCAGAGAGTCGTGGGTGCACAATGTCGCCGCATAGCTATTCTGGTAACTGGTGATGAGGGAGCAATTGGATGGTCCATGGATGGTCAAGGACACTTGGTCGTCTACGGCCGTCACGGTCTCACACTGGATTGGATTGGTTGTCATAACCGGCGTGCACTGGGTCGTGGAGAGCAAGCTTGGCCCGAAGTGTTGGAGGGTTTGGGCGAGCGATTCGTCCACCATATTAGTGCCCCAGTCGAACGGGGTTTGTGGGACATAGATAGAAGCAGCGGCCCCAAGGGCGGAGCGACGGACTGCGGTTCCTTCATCCGCATAGCCAAACGCGTCCGGGTTGAGCATATTGATGGTGCCGAGATGAGTGATGGCCTCGGCCGTGGGACAGAATTGCATCTCTGGCCACACGTTGTACACGGAGCCGTTGGGGAGGTCCCACGCCCACTGTGACGGTAGCGAAGGGTTGATTCCCGCGCATATGTCGCTGTGGTCGTCAACGAGGTGGTACCGGTAGCGTTCCGTATGCGTCATGGAGGTGGGCACCGTGGCACCGACGATCGTGGCCGTGACAAGCCCGGAAACCGCCAAGATGACGGTCATCTCCCACTGCTTGAGTCGTTCGGTAAAAGAGGAGAGTCCGATGACGTTCCTCCAGGTAGGATCGAGGACGGCGATGGCTGTGCCGGATTGGAGATGTGTGTCTATCTTTTGGAGCCATAGTTCGCGAACGACGTGGATGAAGAATGTCGTGCATATGGTCGCCAACACTGTCACAGACGTGACGTAGAGGGTTCGATGGTCACCGCTCAATGGGCCGATCGAGGTCAATTTGATCGACGTAAAGACGACGGCGACCAGGAAGCCGATGATCAGAATGTCCAGTGCGACAACGACGAAAAAGGAGATCGACTGGGATTTTGGGCGACGCAAAGAACCGCCATCACGCCCTTTCGTGCTTACAGGCGATGGAGGCTCTCCCGGGTGCTCCTCGAGAAGTGCAATGACATTCTCCTTCATGGTCGAAGCTGGGCTTGGTTGTCAGTGGAACCAAGACGGTGCTCAACATTGGGACTCCAAAGCTGCGTGCCGGGAAGAGGAGCACATTTATCCATTTGCAAGAACGAAATCTGCCGCTTGATGGGCACAGAAACTTTCGCCATCGCGCTGCACTGGGCCTCGCACCTTACTGACGACTCCCGTAGCTGAGCTCAAAAACAAGGAGTGCGCAAAGAAACTTTGTGACTTATCTACAAGTGGGTGCCATGTGGCTCTCACGCGGATTGGTCTACCGCGGTTGTGTGGAGATTTGACGGCCTGCGATACGAGGCGCTGGAGCAATTGGCAAATGATGCATCGAGGAGGTCAAAGTCTATCGCACATGGTGGACAATCAAGCAATCGGTCAAAACAACCTTGAATCCCTGTGAAGCTTGTCATGTCAAGTGCAGTCTGGATTCTCCAGTGGAACAAAAATAACATTTGATTGCCAAAGGGGGTATCTCTGTAAAACCACACAGTCCGTCGCTAAAGCATCTCAACTCCCCACGTGCTGTACATCTCATCCAGGTCATGCACGTAGCTTGGTATATTCATTGTGACAACTTGTACAGTATTCATCATACCAACTCTGCACATCCGCACTGTTTGTGGAGGAATTCCTCTCCGCATCATGCAAGACCAGGCCCTCAACCACCTGACACCGGCGATTTTCATCAACCACCCACTGTTGCCAGGCTGATTGAACCAGCTCTTTCTCGATGCTGTTAACCACTCGGACGGCGACAAAGAGATCATGGCGATAGGTGCCGAGGCGTTGACGAGTCTGCTGGATGCGTGCAACTTCGGTGCCGGGTCGACTTGGAACCAGTTCAGGATCATGTTCGTCATAAAAGACACTGTAGCAAGTGTTGGCTTTCCGCGTCGGCATGTTTGCGTTTTGATGTAGGATCTCGTGCAAATCGTCGTAATAGACCGCTCGACTCATGACCACGTCCGGTGAAACGCCGAGCCGGGCCATGAATTTTCCAGCCCTCCTCTCATGCCACCAATCCAGGGTATCTCGGTAGGTGTGCCAACTATTGAACAGAATGCTCAACGCCAGGACGAGCAAGATGAAGGTGTTGGCCGAGACCACCTTGCTGAGCCACGCGAGGATGTCCAACAGCGACTGCAAGACCGTCCCGAGTGCACTTTCCCCGGCGGAAAGGGCTGTCTGGACCACGAGCCCGGTCATCGTCCTCGATATGGGCTGGCGCCTCAACTCGATGTTAACAGCAGAGGCGTCAATTAACAGCTGAGTAGATTCCGTGGAATGCCCAACTTGACCAAAAATCTGAATGGCTTTTCTCGTCCGACTGTGGGCACCGAGCTTTCTGACTTGATCCGTGACAAGGTCTCCCAGGTCTTGAGAGTCCAACTCGAGATCGTACATGGCTTGCCTCTCTATCACACCACCGAGTATCCTGGCGGCTCGTAGCCATTCGACCTTGTTGAAGATGGCAAGCTTACATTTGCCCTTGGCCGCGTGAGTGATGACAATCTTGCTGACCAAGCGCTGGCTGTTCTTGTAAGGAAGATGCCATGGAGTCCTCTTGTCGGTCACAACATAGCACAGGTGATCATTATTCACGTCCACGACTTGGTAGTCGCGAACTTGTATCAGGCTCTCTCCTCCTAACAAACTTTTGGTGGGAATGTCAAACGCAAACTCTCTCCGCAGACGACCTTCGCCGAGATTGAGCCAGGGGCCCTGCGTCAAGTTTCTAGCTTGGCGCTCATGCTGGAGGAGTTGCCACAGGGCACTCTTGTCGCCAAAGATGACATGAAACAGGGCTTTGGCGCTGATGTCAAACTCTTTTTCGACCGTAAGGGCAAGATTGCCGGCCGGCACATATTTGACCGGTTGTGCAGGTAGCTTGAACTTGGATTCTCGTCGGCCCAGGGGCCCTTGCTGTAAGGCTTTGTCCACTCGGATCAACCCCTTGACCTCCGTGCCAATGGTTGATGCTCTGCCGCGATATCGAGGACCCCCGGTATCGATCGGCGTATTGGGTGAGACGTCCTCCCAGCTCTCTAGACTCGGACTCCGATCAAGAGCTTCAGTCTCCATCCGCAGGAGAGCTTTGATGAGCTCTTCCAATGAGAGGGGCTCACTGGTGGTACTGTTCTTGATCAAAAAGTTCAGGCGTCTCTGCAAGAGCCTCAGAGGCTCCAGAAAGGTCTTGATCGTGATCCTTCGTGGCCTGCCATCGCCACCGCCATCTCGTAGATGGAGGAAGATAAAGTCGCAGTCTTTGCCTGGGGCGGCCGTGGCTTCTTCGATGGAGGCGAGAGTGACGATGGAGGTCAGCACCAGCCCGAGATGATTACTGTAGAAGTAGACTTCTTTCGAGGTGACATAGATGCGTCCCGGGAAATCTTGTTGCTCGTTGGGATTCCAGGTGGCTCTAAACACCAACACGAGCCGCTCATCAGAGCGGACGTTGGGGAAAAGGAGACGGAATTGAGCGTCTTGGGATTTCAATTGTAGGGGGTAGTAATTGGGAAATTCTGGGACGAGCAATTCCGCCCGGATTTCCTTGAGTCCTTCACGGTCGACGCTGATGGTCTTCCGGTGTCTCTTGCTCGGGGAAGGGGTGCGGCTGCGAGTCGTGGACGACGGAATGGTGAGATCAAGCTGCGATATCGTATTCTGATGCGCGAACGTCCCTCGCGGGGGTGATGGGGACGTTTTCGGGGGAGACGAGGAGGGCTTCAGAGACGGGCTCGGCTGAGCACTGGGCTTGAATTCGGGGGGTGCGATCTTGGGATCTCCACGCTCGAGCTTGTTGATGGGGGCGGTGTTTGAAGTTCCCCAAATGTTGGCAAGCAGGCTCGTTGGTATGCCCGTCTTCCCGGGTGCCGGACTGAGGCCACGTTCACCGGTCACCAGCACGGCCGACTTGCTGAGGTTCGTCTGGATCGGGGCCAAAGCCAATGTGGAGGGAGAGAGGCTGCTGGCCGGCATGTCACGGAGAGCCAGGGCGAATGTGTGTCTCGGCTTGAGCGCCTCGAGGTCAGGATTCTGGACCATGGGTACACTGGGCCCCACCGGCATGGTCGCATGACTAGCGGCGATCAAGCTGGCAATACCTCCCGCGGGGAGATTGGGAGTTGATGGGGTCGGGGAGATCTGCGCAGAGCCGGTTCCCCGTCTGTGCAGGTCCAGCTTGGATAGCATTCGTGATGCCGTCTCACGGTGGCCGCCCTGGCTCCCGTCCTCGAACCCGGTGGCTCTTCGTGAGAGGTCAACGCTCGATTCCCGGAGATGCTCGTTCCCAGGGATGGGTAGGGTGTGTGTCTTCTCCAAGGCGGCGATGTCGTCCCCGACCGCACCAGGCTCCGTAGAACCGAGAATGAAGCTCCCGAACTCGGGTATGGGAGGGGGCGAGATGGTGAACGCGGCCCCGCCTTGGATGTTGGCACCCCCGAGGAGGGATTTGGACGACTCCGGGTCGTCTAGAGCTTTTGACTTGGCAGTCTGGAATGCGCCAATCCAATCGACCAGCTCGGATTGTGTTTCAGCTTGAAGAAGGATGGTGTGTTTGTTGGTCTTCAATTCGAAACAGAATCGCCGCTCTTCTGCCGGGGCAGGACGGACATTGCAGAGCAGCACACCAATCCGCTCGGTCTCCTCGACACCGCCGGCCCGTGCTCCATGGAGCAACCATCCAAAAACGCCGTTGCGAATGAACGCCCACCGCTTGACCCAAACGGTTCTGGTCGGCTTTCCACCGTACGTCCGGAGAAACAGCCATCCCTGCTTTTCGCCATTCTGAGCGAACGTCTTCTTAGGAGATCGCGGCAGCGTGGAGATGCTGGTAGTTTGGGAATGGCCACCCAGTTGCGGCACGGTTGACAGGCTGTAGTCCTCCAAATCCCGCGATGGCCTCATCTGGAGTTCGGCGGCATCCTCCAATTGCTTTTTGGCGGTCATCAATTCCTTGCGAAATACCCTCTCGCTGAGTTCCATCTCACTCAGCCAGCCCTTGACCCTCTCCATCTCTTCCGAACCTCTCTGAAAGGAGGCAGAGGTATTGTCTCGCGAAACACGCATCTCGCGCCACTGCTCGAAGAAGAGCTTGACCAGTAACTTGTCGACGGCAAAGCGGAACTGTGGGGCCATGCTCATGAAATCCATGATCGCCCTCAGATAGAGCTTCCGCGCCTCGTGTAATTGGAAGGCCTCCTCTCGGAGGGAGGACGCTTCTTTGGATTTGCCGAGCCCGGCATATTTTGACTGTAAATGTTCAAAGGTTTTTTGCGTCGCATCGACAGCCCGTCGCGAATCTTTGAAAGCCCTCACATCGTATTGCAAAAAATTCCTGATCGGGTCAATCACCATAAAGTTGAGTCTCTTGACCATGGCGATCATGCTCATCCAATAATCCTTGGCCCCATCGGCGCACTTCTTCATGGCCAGGATGCTGTAGTCATGGTCCAGCATAGACTCGGAGAGGGCCGTAGGGAGGATCGAGTGAGAGACAAAATTGTTGAGGACGTTCTCCAAGGTCAAGGACTCTGTGACTAGCCGACTCGTGGCCTTGACATACTCTTCCAGCCACTTCTCCAGCAGGTCGACCTGCTCCCCGTAGTGCAGCACGATGGCGCGGGCGGACGGAGAGTCCACGGCGGCCTCCTTCAAAGCGACAGGGACAAGGTCGATCAGTCTGCCAACCTCATCGGGTGGTTGCAAGCCAGCCTGGGCCATTTTATATGCCGCGGGTCCTCGGGAGGTTTGCTGACACGTGCGAGATGTAAGGTGGGATTACCAACAGTGCAACATATTCAGGCCCGGCCGCTGCTGGAGGAACGATGACAGGCGATGGTAATATACTCGTTGTAATCATGAGACGATTCGAAAGTGAGTTGTAATGGTCACAAACAGTCTGTGCCGTCACGGAGTATGTGTTGCTGCGCATCTTGAGAGCGCGGACCAACTACGTCAAGCGACGCGTGTCAGCTGACTCAAACACAATCACGTGATATCAGTATCCGAGTCATGTGGGACCGCCACGAATCGAAGGTCGCATCGATATCTGAGGGGACTTTGCTTTTACTTCCAGACCATCCACAACCACTTGACCTTACTGCAGTGCCCACGTGGATATCCATCTCCCTATCAGTTTCCATCATACCGTGATTTGACAAGGTTCGGGATCCCCAACGGGAGCACATCAGGTCACGCAATCTACGACAGCAACGAGGAAGCATATGGGTTTACCAACGAGTCGTCATCAAATCTTGTCACATGTGTGATGTTCTATTCTGTGAGCACTTTTCTCCTGGGGTCTCAAAGCCTGGATTTGTGGTGAACAAAACACGGTTCCTATCCTGCTGAAGTGCTTCAACATCCGAAGAACGCAGACGGGCTTGCAGTTGTGGAAACAGCTTGAGCGCGTTCGTTCTGCCGATCTGCTCGATGCTGGCTTGATTCATGGGAAGCGTGTCCAACCACATCGACCCTTCTGTGATGTTCTCATACGGCGTGTCGACCGAGAAGAGGATACGGTCGACACCGATTTCCGTGATAGCATTCAAAAGCGGAGGCGTACAGAAATAGCCTGCTGTGGTGATGGAGACGTTATTCTCCAAATACTCACGGAGTGTCTTCTCCGCAGGAAGGCCTCGTCCTCGATCCCGCTTCTCGAGCCAGTGGTCTATCCGGCCTAGTTGACCAAGCAGAAGCTCACCTGTCAAGGGTCAGTCGTTCTGCGATTATCACAGGTGAGCTCGGTCACGACATACCCATGTGGCCCAAAATCATTTGGAGTTTTGGGAAGCGGTCAAACAAACCACCAGTACAAAGCGCCAACGCGTGAAAACTCGAGTCGATCGTAAAGCTGAACGTGGGACCCACGAGCCACGGCCTGCTCTGGTAGAGTCGCAGGAATTCCTGTGGGATGGGTGGTTTAGGGTGGAGGTAAATCGGAATGTTCAACGACTCAACAGTCGCCCAAAACGTGTCGTACTTGGGATCGTCGTAAAACCGCTCCTTGACCTCTCCATTTACGTCAAGATACTCCTGAGCATCGTGAAGCATGACGCCAACCATGCCCAACTCCTTCACACACCGCGTCAGCTCAGAGGCTGCAGCGAGTGGGTTATGCATCGAAACTCCGGCAAAAGCAGCAAACCTTTCGGGTGCTTTATCCACGAGGTTTGCGATATAGTTGTTGGACCTCGTGGCGTATGCTTCGGCGGCCTTGGGATCTCTGATACCTTGAGCGCCGGGGGGATTCTGGGACATGACCGCCATCTCCACACCGTTGGCGTTCATTTCATCTAGCCGGGATCCATGGATCTCGAGGAGTGCTTCTGCCAAATCTTTGGAATTCCGTGATGCAAACCGCAGTTTCTCGACCGGGTCATCCTCTGGCATGCAGACATGTTCTTCGAGAATAATCTTTCCACGCATAGCGACTGTCTGACCAGATTGTGCTTCCAAAATGATCCCGATCGCTGACGGCTGACGATCTTTTAGAACCGCCGGACGCTGGCTGTTCTGTCATCTTTAATGCAATCCCCAAGTATATATAACGTTCTCCCCATCAGTACCCCGAATCTTACCCCGTTCGGTAAAGCTCAGAATCCGTGAAAACCCACATCAATACGGCGAGTACTGAGGGAGGCTTCCCACCACCACGGGTGGGACCAGTTCGTCCGTTCACGTGCTTCGTCCGGTACCTACCTTTCAATTGCCGATATGCACAACTCACTTTCCATTCAACTAGGCTTAGTTACTCCGACTTGTGCGATATCGAGATTACTATCGCGTTTCCGATTCCTCGATCGACACTATTAAAATGGGCTCACGGCCTCGCCACCTGCAGGAAAAAGACCTGGTCACAGAGTGTGCACCACTCCTCGAACGAACCCCGTGACAAGTCGGACCGCCCAAAATGACGGCTCCAAGCTACGAGGCAGTCACGAGATTTAAGTATTCATCCGAGGACCCCAAAGACCGGTTTGACGTCCACAATCCAGCGACTGGTGAAGTCATCACGACAATTCAAGGGGGCGGGCCGGCTGAGATCGATCGCGCCGTTCAGGCGGCAGATGAGGCTTTTCACAATGACTGGAGATGGAGATCTGCTTTTGAAAGGTCGCGACTCTTGCTCAAGGCAGCAGAGAAGCTAGAAGCGCATTTCGAGGAGCTCGCCCGCCTTTTGTCGCTTGAGAATGGGAAACCGGTCTCTCAGGCACGCGAAGGTGACGTTTTGTTCGTAATTGGCATATATCGTTACTTTGCAAGTCTCATAGACAAGTTACCCCATGAGGTCTACGATCAAGGCGCGATATATGCAACAGTGCTGCGCGAACCCTACGGTGTCATCGGTGCGATACTTCCGTTCAATTGGCCACCCATACATTTCGGAGGGAAAAGTGCCCCGGCGTTAGCCACGGGCAACACGATTGTCATTAAACCAGGCGACCAGGCCCCGTTGACGGTGATGCGGATGGTCGAAATCGTGTCGGAAGTGCTCCCTCCGGGCGTAATTCAAGCTGTGCCTGCAGCCGGTATCTCTGTGCCACAGGCCTTGGTACAACACCCCAAGGTCAAGAAGATCAGTTTCACCGGGTCCACCAAAGCAGGCGCGGCGGTCAGCAAGCTCGCCGCCGATAAGATCACCCCCTTGACGCTCGAATTGGGTGGTAAGAATGCCATCGTCGTCCTGGAGGACGCAGACGTCGACCTCGCGGTCCGCAATGCAGTGGACGGCGGCTTCTTCAACCAGGGCGAGGCCTGTACGGCTTCCTCTCGGTTACTGGTGCATACTTCACTGCATGACGACTTCGTTGCGAAACTGTCCGCGGCGGTGCAACGACTCAAAGTCGGTGATGGTGCCGATGAGCAGACTCACGTGGGACCCGTCGTGACCAAGGCGCATCAAGCAAGGGTTGAAGATTACATCCGCATCGGCATAGCCGAAGGGGCGACGATAGTGGCACAAGCAGCCCTGCCGACCGATCCACGACTGAAGAATGGCTTCTATGTCCAGCCGACCGTCTTTGCGGGCGTCACGAGAGACATGCGGATTGCCAAGGAGGAAATCTTTGGACCGGTCGTGACGGTCATCAAATTCGAAACCACGGCAGAGGCCATCGAAGTTGCCAACGAGGTCGACTATGGCTTAGTCTGTGCCGTGTATTCGAAAAACCTGACAGAGGCCATGCGGGTCGCCCGCCATGTCGATTCAGGGATGGTGTTTTTGAACAACTACAACAGGATGGCGCTGGGAACGCCCTTTGGTGGCACCAAAGCCAGCGGGTTTGGGCGTGAACATTGCATCGAAACCCTCAAGGATTACACCTGGGCGAAGAACATGCGGTACCCGACAGGTCTCTCCGTGGTCGGTGAATGGTCAAAGGTGGACTCTCTCTTCCTTCCTCAGGTGAATGGAAAATTATGATCACTGAGACAATGGGTTGTAGTGTCGGTCAGGGTGCTGAGATGTTGCACGAGATACCCTGCTCTGCAGAGCTTCCTTCGTAGAGCAAGGCGGGAATCCTAGGTACATAGTTGAATCGTCACTGTTTGGTTCTCTGGTGCGTCAGCCGCCAGTGACCCAGTTTGATATGCCGATGAGAAGATACATGGCAACATGACATGAAGCCAGCCGAGTGTGCCTCGATTATGTCTAGGTTTTCCGACGCCGGGGTCTATGTGCGAAAGTGTGTCACTTCACCACGAATTCTCCGACCATGCGACACGGCATGTATACCGAGTCATGCGCTAGGCATTGGTCAGGGAATTTGTTTCCCTTGATCAGCTCCTAATCCGAGATCGAAATGCGTAGGAAAAAGCTTCTCCACGGCAGTCCGTCCATGTGGTCTACAGCACCGCAATTACCCGGCTGGAGCTAATCTACCTGGGGCGGCGCAGGGGGCCTTTCCGCGCTCACGTGAAAGGAGCACCCCCAAGGGAGAGCCCCTCTGAAGTCTGAACTAACAGGTACCTGACCTCCGCTGTACCTAGTCTCAGTATGGGCATTGGTCTCTCCTCTTCACTACCCAAAACTCCGTTGAAGCTTTGAGTCTTTGATTGCACAGCGAGAACTCTTGTCCGGACGTAACACTACAGTGTCCTCTTAACTCCGCTTGGGCATTGGGTGTTAGCCTTGAAGAAAGCGGGCAAGGGGATTTCAATGTTTCCGTCCAAGACGCTATCGTGGCATTGAAGAGATGCACACCGAGTAAAAGGCCGCCGATGTGCAAGGAAAATCAGAAGCATAAAAGACTGAACGGGAGATCTGTCTTCCAATCCAAGCACAGGAACTGCAAGACTTAATCGAGTAAGAGCCGACAATGACCTCAGAAACACTATTCAAGAACGGCGTCGTTATCGTCCATGCGGCTGACAATACCGCACATGGCGTCAAGTCGGATCTCCTTATCAAAGGCGACAGGATAGTCCAAATAGCGCCTGACATCAACCCATCTGAAGATGTGGAAGTGGTTGACTGTACGGACAAGATCATTGCACCAGGTTTCATCGACACACATCGCCATATGTGGAACACTGCTTTGAGGGGGATGCATGGGAATGACACCCTCACAGATTACCTGGTGAAAGGTGAGGATCCCAGCATTTGGTCTACGATATTCCCAACTCTGATATGACCTACCATAGGGATCCTCCAGGGCGGCTCCTTTGGGCCACGAGACGTCTTCTGGGGCCAACTTGCGAGCTCGATGGAGTGCATAAATTCTGGCACAACGACGGTCGTCGACCATTCACACATGAATTACAGCGAAGAACATCGTACGTCTGTCACGTCCCCGTCCGGCATGTTGGCTCTGCTCTCAGACTAAAAGAAGACTTCCTCCCGCAGCAAAGGCCGCGATCGCCGCCACAGCCACGTCTGGCATTCGGTCCATCTATGGATATTGCTATAATGTCCGTGTTGATTCCTGGTCCCCATTTTCCTTGAACCAGGCTATCATCGCTCCGTCTGCGAACGACTCCCTCAAGGCCCTGGCCGCCGCCGCACCTTTTGGAAATGGCCGGGTGACTTTGGGCATCGCCTTTGACCTGTGGTTCTTGCCTCAAGAAATGCTTCAACCCATGTTTGAAGGTATCAAGAACATGGGGATCAAGCACTTTACCACACACAACAGTGCCTCTCCCCCTGGTGAGTGTGATTGGGCTCCCTCCATAAAAACTACAATACTCTCTGCGTATTTTACAGAGAAAGGTCAATTATAGGAGCTAACATCTTGATCCAGGGACGAAATCCAACATCGAAATCATGCACGAATGCGGAGTCTTGTCGCCAGCGTCACACGTTATCCTTTCCCACGCCAATTACATATCCGCGAGCGACAGCAAACTCGTCAAAGCCAATGGCGCATTCCTCTCATCAACTCCGTCACTAGAACTTCAAGCGGGAATGGGAACACCGGCCTGCTTCGATGCAGATCGAGACGTCCAGTCTTGCTCGGCACTCGGCGTCGATTGCCACAACGTCGCGCTCGCGAGCATTGTCAGCGAGATGCGATGCGCCCTCCTCCACAGCCGGGCCGTGCACAACGACAAATTCATCGCGGCGGGCAAGATGCCCGCGAAGCTGAACCACACGGTCCAGGAAGCCTATGCGCTAGGCACGATTCAGGGTGCCAGGGGAGTGGGTCTGGACAAGGATATCGGGAGTCTCGAGGTTGGTAAGAAAGCCGACATCATTGTGTTCGATGCTCTGAGTCCGTCCATGATTTGCGGAGCCCAATTGGATCCCATCACCGCGATCGTCATGCATTCCACACCAGGAGACATTCTGATGACCTTCGTTGATGGGATTCTGCGAAAGAGGGATGGCAAGGTCCTGCCAGTTCAGGTTACAGCCGAGGACGGCAGATTCGCCGGTCTGGAAGCGTCAACGCTCGCCTGGTCGGACGTGAGCAAGAATCTGTTACAGTCTCAGATCACAGTGCAGGACAAGATTGGCAAGCTCGATCTTGAGGCAGCCAAGACTGATGCTTGTGCCACCTTTGGTTTTGACCCTTCATTGATCGTGGCAAGCTTATAGGTTTAGTACTCTGCATAAGGCTGAATACACTTGCATAGCACACGGAATCTAAGTCTTATTAAATCGAGTTGTTGTCGTATGATCTCTATAATACTCCGACTATGATGTCACGAATAAACACCCTACCACTGGCAGCCTGATCGACCTTATGACGACAATAAAGTCACCCCATCTCTTCGGCTAGAACAGCAATCTATTGCGTACGCCTAGCATAGAAGATTGGTAAGTGTAGCAATAGTCCAAAAGCGTAGGTTCGCGGCTAGATATCTCGTTTGGTACGAATACCATCACGCATCATTCTTCACTATTCTTGACACGGCTTGGGAATCCCCAACTGTATGATTCGTCATTTGTAATCCTGTACGCGCAAGGCTCGACTCTTGATAACGCCGTCCTTCCCCTTTTTGAATAGCTGGACTCGGTTTCACAAACGAGACATTCATAAATCAATCCCGTAGAACCATGACCCAGCCATCCGCAATCGAACTCACTCAGACGTTCCGTCACTCCACGAATCTCTTCGACTTCGAAATTCAATGGACTTCACTCGGTGATGCTTCCCTACCGCCACTGATCTTTATACACGGCACACCCTGGTCGTCGCGGGTGTGGCACAACTACGCGAAGTCACTATCGCAGTATTTCCAAGTCTATTTATTTGACAATCCGGGATTCGGGGTCAGCCCCTTGGGGAAGCCCATTGCCGACAAGAAGGACTCGATGAGCGCCAAGGATCTTCTGGACGCGAATCTGGCACAGCAGTCGCAAGTCTTTGCTGCTCTCTACAAGTCCTGGGAGAAGGACTGGCAAGGCGCCAAGGCACATGTGGTCGCGCATGACCATGCTGGGATCATGAGCCTGAGGGCGCATCTGCTGCACGCCTGTGACTACCGAAGCCTGTGTCTGATTGATGTCGTCGCGGTGGGCCCCTTTGGACATCCACTGTTCAAGCTGGTGGCGGAGAACGAGCATGTCTTCACGGCGCTGACAGGGCCGGTGTTTGAGGGTGTGGTGGAGTCGTACATTCGGGACGCCGCGTTCCGTGCCCTTAACCGGGAGACCATGGACATGCTCAAGAGGCCGTGGATCGAGAATGAAGACGGGAGAAAGGGGTTCGTCCGGCAGATGATGCAGGCGCACAGTCGCAGCACCGACGGCTTGGAAGACAGATACCACGAGGTCGGCTCTAAATTGCCAGTGCTGGTGATCTGGGGCAAGGAGGATACATGGTTACCTATTGAGATCGCAGGGAGGTTAAAAGACAAGCTGCAGGCGAAGAGAGTCGCGGTGATCGAGGATGCTGGCCATTTAATCATGTATGATCAACCGGGAAGGTTGGGAGTGGAGCTCGGATTGTGGTTAGCCAGTTTGGAATAAACTCCATCTTATTCCATTCGATTGTCGACAGAGTGATCCCTAGGCGTACCGGATGATTATTTTGACAAGGTAGACGGACATACGAGGAAACCACGACAATGTTCGGTACATCCATTTGCATCAATTAATGAGATATTTGTGATACTCAATTCCCCAGCATTCCAATGGCCTTGATCCTTCTCTCGTCTTCATCCCACCAACAGTTGTCTCCACGTCCGAGGCCATAATGCTTCCTCATATACTTCTGCATTTCCGGGACGTCACTATGCATCTCTTCAAACTCGTCCACAATTTGCAGCACATCACTTCTGCGCAACAGCTTTGCGGCGCCGAGGAGACCCACGGGGTCTTCGTCCAGCATCGTATCGTGGCGTTTTGCGTATATGATCAAGTTCAAGTGGCAGACCAGGACCACCACCATCGCCGCGACCATCACCCACGCAATCTGGCTCGCAATGAAAAGCCGGTTGGTCGTCCTCGTCAGCTCACCGGTGTCTGCACGGGGCGAGTCGCTTGTTTGCAGCAGGACGTTTTTGACCAAGGCGGCATAGGCAGTGGCGTAAAAGTTCTGCGTGCTGTTGAGCACCGATGTTGCATTCGGCGATGTCTGCCCCGATACCGCCTGGGCAGCTGAGTAGATTGAGAAGCCGACCGAGTCGGAGTTGGTTACGGCTCCCGGATTGAAGAAGGTGTACTGGTGGAGGGCATTTTCAAATGTCGTCTGGATACCAGGATCAATTTGTGTTTGGCTTGTGCCCACGAAAGAAACAATCGACAGGGTGTCACCACCGTTCGTAGACGTCATGGTTAGCGATCCGTTGGTCTGCCAATATGTCGGGATGCACGAAGTGACGCTGAAGTCCGTGAGATGGTTGGCTGACGAGTCCGAATATTGGCCCGCAAACATACCGAACCTTCTTTTATTCGAGTTGGAGCAAAAGTCGTACCATGCTTTGGCGTAAATTGGAGTTCCGGGTGCGATAAGGAATTGTTGCGAGACTGGACAGCCTCGGTCGTCGAAGTTGACTTTGACGATCTTGTCACCAGATGAATCCGAATCTGCCTCCGAGAGCGTGTAATCCGTCGCATCAACACTATTACACTGTAGCACAGCTGAATAGGCCGAGGTGTTGACGGTGATGTTGCCACCGTCAAGGCCCTCTGGCACCGAGAAGCGCTCGAAGGCGTAGGCATCAGTCATCCACACGGGTGGGATACTGTTGTACGCCTGCACCGCCGTAGAAATGTCGATGAAAGGCTGAAGATTCGTCCTTACGTCTATGGCCGACGCGTTGAACTCGGATGTGAAAGTGACCGCGACTTGGCGAGAGGCCTGTGTTGGGCGTCCCACCAGAAGATGGGCGGCAAGCGACTGGAATAGAGTCGAAAGTGAAAAGGCCAAAATGAACCCCACGGCCAAATGACCATGTCGATTTCGAAGGGCGACATACCAATTTTTCCAGCCAGGCAAGGTTTTGTAGTCCAGCATGATGGTTCGAAGAGCTCCTGCTCCTCTTCTTAGCTCAATGTACGGCTGTCTGCTTGCACTGTCGTGGACGACAGCCGTCCAGACCAAGGCGTAGATGGAGAAGAGAAATGACGGCAACGACGTCCATAGGAGACTGTAATTCTTGCCGACATACGTTCCAACATACCCGGTGGTAGTGATGTCTGGTACGTCAACGATACCATTTTTGGCTGTAGAGATCCTATCGAGTACAATAATCGTGACGAGGAAACCCACCTCCACAGCAAAAAGAATGATATTCAGCCAATACGACAATGTAAGAGGGCGCCATTGTCTTGTTCCAGATGTGGTGTAGCGGTAATTCGTTGGTTTATCTTGCTGTTGCAGGTAATTTGAACCATTGATTCTTTCTTCTGTGATAGCATCGCTCATTTTGGGAGCTGGGGAGCCGGTTGTGGTCATTTTGGAACACTTGGCCAAGCAGGCCTGATGCACCGGAGTAGAAATGACGGGAGACCATCAAAAGAAGCCATCAAAGGTTCCAGAGTAGATTTAATAATGTCATATTCGAGCGCGACACTGTCGTCTTGACAATCCAGCCTGACCGTGCCAGAATTTCAGAAAGCATCTAGAGAGAGCCAGGCTCGTGTTTGACATCAAACCCAAGACATATTTGACGCTTAAAGACTCCCTTTTGGCCAGATCTGTCGAGCAGCCAAGTGGGCGCTTTTCAAGAGTCATGATTTCTCGCTAACAAGCTCTTTGGCAAAAGGCTTGTGAATAGCTTGTGTTCTGGGCTGGGCCGGCTTTGTCGTGACTCGCTACAGGGTTCTGGCGTTTGAGGCTGAACCCCTTAGCCGAACCTTACCGTCCCGATTCGGGAGCGCCACAATGTGCGTTGCGGCTCTTCATCATGCGCACCCTCGACTCAGAGTATCTAGAGTCGAGGACGCGTAGGTCTTGTAGGGATAGAGGGGGCGCCACTTTCAAGCCATGGTCTGGCATATTGGCTAGAATCTCATCACGGCAAGCAAGGTTGTCCATGTTGACGTCCAGAGCATTCCCTAATGATGCTCGCTGGTGCCGGATCGGCGAGACCTAGGGTCCCATGCAAGCAGCTGTACCGAGTACATAAACGCGCGACGAAGTGCAGAGAACGAATGTCATCAAACTGAGCACTTCAACCCCCAACCAAGTTTGCTCAATCATGTTAAACGCAAGGCTCCTAATTTGGACGGCAGTTCTCTTTATCTGCTACTCTCACTCTCAATCATCTCAATCACTGACGTCCCTTGATGTGTCCATTTGCAATAATGGCAGCCCACTGACGACATTGTCCGCTTGCAATTGGCTGAACGATCGGCTCAACTACTGTGACGGCCCTCAAGTCGCCACTGGAACAGCCTTTGTATCTTGCTATTGTAACCAGCAAGTGTTGAATGCTTTTTACGAGTTTGTCTCCCACAAGGATCGTGGAAGACATCCGGCTGACAATCTGTTTGCAGTTGTGAAAGTGAATACCGCGAGTGTCTTCTCAACGACGATTTCGACGGAGACGCGCAGAACCTGATTTCGCTTTGGGACAGCGCTTGCGACAACAGGATCACCTTTTCTCCCACCACACCTGTCCTGTCCACATTGACCTCTACATACAATGTTGCTTATTGCACCACCGCAGAGTCCGCTTGTGGAGTAGAAGACGTCGCTCTGTCGAGCTGCTCCGTTAACTATCTGGGAAAAGACGATGCGAAATTCTCGTCGTGCTTCTGTGCCCCGTCATTCCTCTCGGCGCAGTACACCTGCGGCTTTCTAGGCAACGTCTCATGCCAGCAGGTCCCAGCGACGTTGACAAATCTGGTGGGCGCCACGTACTGTTCCGATTTTATGTCGGTTCTTGGGGGAAGCTCAGGCATTGTGAGTGTGCCCAAGTCCAAAGCAAGGGGGAAGTTTGCGTCAAATGTCTGCTAACTGGAGCAGGGGCCTGCGTTGGTGTCTGCCAATAGCACCGCGACCAGCAGTACAAGCCATAGTTCCTCGTATGTGTCGAGCTCTTCTCCAAGTGCCTTCTCCATCACGACGCCGGCGCTACCGGGCTCATCATCAGCTGGCAGTGCCTCTAGTCCCACCTCAGCCAGAAGCTTGGCTCACCGACAGAATTCGGATCTTCTGGTGATGTCGGGAATGAGTGTCTATGCGGCTTTGCTTATAGCGCTGTAGTTAGCTGTTTGATCATTCAGCCCTGTTCCTCGAGAAGCTTGTTGTCTTCCAAGATGAGTTCTGGTTAGTGGCCTACGATTCGAACATATTTAGCACTTCATGCCGCGCGATCGCTTGATCAATAATGTCTGAACTTTCTGAACCTCGCCCCTCGGTGTATCTTTAACAGCCTAAAATGTGAGCAACTGACATGTAAACGTTCGGTCTTGAGTACATCAGTAACCTCCCTGGTTCAGCGTATCCTGAGGGTGAGTGCATGTCGTGGCCGTCCTATCCAGGAAAACCCCGAAGCTCGGCCTCCATACTGCACAGCGGCAACAAAGGTGTGCTATTGCTATCGAAGAGGGATCAGGTCACGAATCTGCGCTCCAAACAGCTGCCAGGGAGCAGGAATGTCTGGCTCATGTGCTCTCACATCTGGGTATGGATAATGAATATCAGGTTGCAGTGGACGTCTCATCGGGGCATGGCGTGGCCAATTAGAATGCTCCATCAGTGCTGAATAGATGAGATGTAGAGCAAGGTATTCAACAGCTTTTGGCTCAAGCCGAAGATGGGAATGATTGTTAGGCAGGTCGGCCATTGTGCTTGTGTGCTCAGACATATCGAGGAGATTGCACATACATCGCAGCTAGGCGTTTGAGAAAGAAAAAACTGCTCGACGGTACTGGGTGCGAGTTGTACAACTGAGACAAGGCTAAGTTGTGATGATTTTGTACTTCAAGAGTCAATGCTATGAACATTACAGACTTCTCATCATGATAAGGCATAGGAATGCAATTCAGAAAGGCAACGCTGATCTCTCGTTCGCAAGCACCTATCGTAAAGTCAGAACGGCATCACTTTCGTCCCGAGTTGGGGGAGTATGTTTAGGGCAGCGTCGTCTATATTTTGGCATCGGAATAACTCCGGCTTCACAGCGTGCGGAGAGAGAAATTTTGTCGGTGCCTCGACTGCGCAGACAGCCCTGTACCATCAAGAGCGGCATCACCCTCTGAACTCATTGAAGTGACATTATCGAGAAGATTCGAATATGGCTCACGTTCTCCTGGACAGCGATGCTTCAGACAGTGAAGGCGGAGGAGCTGATGTTGCCCCCACCGACCTCAAAGTGAACGAGTCTTTTGCCCGACGCTTTGAGTACAACAAGAAACGGGAGGAACTGCAACAACGTATGCACTATACCCTTCGTTTTCAGAGTGAGCTAACATATCAAAGTGGAAGACAAGCTGGGAAATGCATCTCGAAAACGCAAAAGAGCAGGCCAGGAACCCGCCTTTGAGAGTTCTTCGGATGAATCCACCAGCGAGTCCGAAGATGAAGGGGTGTTGGCTACAGAGACGCTTGACTCGGAGATCATGGCCACCATAAATGCAATCCGCTCCAAAGATCCACGTGTTTATGATGTGAACTCCAAATTCTACAATGACACCGCAGAGGTCGATCGGAGTCAAACGAAGCCGGCCAAAGAAAAGCCAATGCGCCTGCAAGACTACCACCGACAGAACCTCCTTAGCGGTGTAACAGAAGAAGCCGACTCGGAGTCAACGCCGTTGACATACAACCAAGAGCAAGAACAATTGAAGAAATCAATAGTTGGTGAAATACATGCGGCAGCCAATGCCTCGGATGACGACGAGGAGGAGTCCGACAATGTGGAGGGAGACTTCTTGGTCGCGAAACCTCGCCAGAAAGGGCCGAAGCCTGAAGTTGCCCTGGACGTGGACAATGCAGAAAAAGACCCCGAAACCTTCCTCTCGAATTTCATGGTGTCCAGAGCCTGGGCTGCACCCACACAAGGCACTCTACAACCCTTCGAATCAGACGACGACGAGGAAGAACGCAGAGCAGATGAATTCGAAGAAGCCTACAATATGAGATTTGAGGACCCTGCAAAATCCAACGAGAAGCTACGATCACATGCAAGAGACATGGCTGCAAAGTACTCGGTGCGAAGGGAGGAGCTGAACCCCAGACAGAAAAAGAGAGAGGCTGAGAGGGAGAGAAAAGAGCTGGAGAAGCAACAACGAAAAGAAGACAAGGCTCGGCTGAGGAAACTCAAGATTGAGGAGCTCGAAGAAAAGGTCCGGACCATCAAGAAAGCGGCCGGCATTCGTACCGTGGATATTCTCCCAGAGGACTGGTCCCGATTCGTCGATGAAGATTGGGACGACAAACAGTGGGAAGAAGAGATGCAGCGAAGATTCGGTGACGACTACTACGCCGAAAAGGACATCGAGAGTGACGCGGAATCGGGGGAATCAAAGCACAAGGTCCGGAAACCCAAGTTTGCCGATGACATCGACATCAAAGATATTGTACCCGACTTTGATGCGGAGGAAGATGTGGGGTTGAATCTGTCCAACGAAGAAGAGCCGGTATCGAAACGGAAGAAGGCCAAAAAGGCAAAGGAGGAGAAGAAACAGGATGCTAAGAAGGAGCGGAGGATCATCGAACGATTGGTCGACGACCAACTACAGCTCGAACTGAACAATTCTATCCCCAGCAACTCCAAGTCGGCAGGATTCCGATATCGAGAGACATCGCCAAAAGATTTTGGGTTGAGCTCGAGAGATATTCTATTGGCCAGCGACAAACAACTCAATGAATTTGCAGGACTGAAGAAACTCGCTTCCTTCCGAGATGCAGAGAAGAAACGCAAAGACCTCAAGCATCTCGGAAAGAAAGCGAGGCTGAGAAAATGGCGCATGGAGACATTTGGGAATGAGGAAGGTGTACAGGCCAGTGATTTGATCCCGGTCGAGGATACCAAGGAGGCAGGTGACCAGGCGGACGAGGACGGTGGAGTGGACATCAGAACTGGAGGGAGTAGGAAGAAGCGGAGAAGGAAGGGCAAGAAGCAGAACACCGATGTCTCTGCAGAGGCATGAGAAATACGATTTTACGTCGGTCCATGAAATGACTCCTGGATATCTGGGGATGCAGGGGTCTGATGAGCACGTGCTCAACTGATGATGAGCCCCAAGTCGAAGATACAGCCTTGCACAGTGGCGCGTGTTCTAGAGTTTCCATCCTCCAGGTTGGTGTCTATAACCCTTAATGGCTAAGTAACCGGCACCTCCTGGTGGGAGGGTAGATGGTGTCGACAGCCAGTCCGAGTCAGGGACAAGACACTACGCGTGGAGACGACGACTCAATTAACTTTTTCTGAATGAAACCAAATACATTCTATACTCGGAAGTGGGATCATAGCCGCCTCCCCTTCTAGAATAATGAATGACATGGACTGTTGAGACAGACTGCCCAACTAGAAGTGAGGCAATTGTGAGGATTGGGCGGAATAATCCCAGAGATTTGCCTGTGGTCCGAAATGACCGAGGAATGGCCTCTCTCTCAACACGAGTACTCCGTACGCTGCAGATAACTAAAGTACCAAGCTGCAGAAGTTCCCACAGGCGTCGTCTTCAGGGATGAAAGGAGAGATTAGTGACGCTAGAAGATTTGCAGGTGGAGAAGCCGGGGCTGAGGCCGCATCGGCAACTGCGGTTGCTAGGGCAAATGCAACACTTTTTTTGCCTCGCTACGGAAGGGAAAGATTTTTTTTGTTAGGGGAAGGCCTTGGATTTCACGGCGATCCACGATAATTTTGCGGCATGGGTAAATGTTAGCAGGGCCGGAAAAATAGGCGGGCCGGTAGCTCGGAAGCACCTTCTGCGCGCAACCATCGTTACTGCAGTGTATGATATTTCGCTAGTCCCGGTCTGGCTTAGCCCGTCTCCGAGCTCCAATCCCTTTTGAAAAATACTCTACCTGTCCGCTCAACCTCACTTTGCATCTTTCTTTCCATCTTCTTGCATCTTGCATCAACATCCTCTTCTCTCTCCACTCATTCATTCTCATATCACAGAACAATCGCAGACATGTCTGGCGAGGTTCCTCAGGAGCGGAAGGCCGTAATGGGTCTTGTAAGTTCCTCGCTCCTGCTACCCGTGTAATCTGCTCGCGATTCCCAAGCTCGGGATGGTCCTCGATCTTTCTCGAGAAAGCTCGCAGATTGCATCAAATCATCGCAATGTCCTTGAAGCTGACATGAACCTCACTACAGCCCCCATTTGCCATTGATTTCTTGATGGGTGGTGTGTCCGCTGCCGTCTCAGTAAGTTATCTTCTCCCAGCTCGGTCAATCCAGCCACGGGAAACTCGAGCTGACATTTTTCTAGAAAACCGCCGCTGCCCCCATCGAGCGTGTCAAGCTCTTGATCCAGAATCAGGTATGCTCCCTCTCATCTAGCCTGCCTACTCCGAACCATCCACGGTCGCTGTGATTGAGAAAAAGCTTTATCAATGCACTTCCGATAACATGTGCTCCAAACTTGGCAATGTGGCTTACAAGTTGTTTTTCAGGATGAAATGTTGAAGAGTGGTCGTCTAGACCGTAAATACAACGGTATCGTCGAGTGCTTCAGCCGAACTGCCAAGCAGGAGGGTGTCATGTCGCTGTGGCGAGGCAATACTGCCAATGTCATCCGATACTTCCCTACCCAGGCCCTGAACTTTGCTTTCCGCGACACCTACAAGTCGATGTTCAAGTTCAACAAGGACCGCGATGGGTATGCCAAGTGGATGGCCGGTAACTTGGCTTCCGGTGGTATGGCTGGTGCCACCTCGCTCCTCTTCGTCTACTCTTTGGATTATGCCCGGTATGTCCTCGACGTGATCCTTCACTGATGGCACCAACTAACGTCGTCCCAGTACCCGTCTTGCCAACGATGCCAAGTCCGCAAAGAAGGGTGGTGAGCGTCAATTCAACGGTCTCGTCGATGTCTACCGCAAGACCTTGGCCTCCGACGGTATTGCTGGTCTCTACCGTGGTTTCGGTCCCTCCGTTCTTGGTATCGTGGTCTACCGTGGTCTCTACTTCGGCATGTACGACTCCATCAAGCCTGTTCTCCTGGTTGGTCCTCTTGAGGGTAACTTCTTGGCCTCTTTCTTGCTCGGATGGGGTGTCACCACTGGTGCTGGTATTGCTTCTTATCCTCTCGACACCATCCGTCGTCGCATGATGATGACATCTGGCGAGGTAAGTTATTTCTCCTCTCTTGCGCGATTATGACATGGAAACTGACGTTCTATTTCAGGCCGTCAAGTACAAGGGTTCATTGGATGCTGCCCGACAAATCATGGCTGCTGAAGGTTTCCGATCATTCTTCAAGGGTGCTGGTGCCAACATCCTCCGTGGTGTTGCAGGTGCCGGTGTCTTGTCCATCTACGATCAGGCTCAGCTCCTCATCTTCGGAAAGGCCTTCAAGGGTGGTTCCGGCTAAGCGTCTCGCCCTCCACTACCGACGTGCAAGGCAAGACATTGTCAGATTGGTACCAATACCATGGTCACGGTCTAGCAATTTCACAGAATGTGCGGTGTTGAGGAGAGCGAAAACGGTGTTGAGCTAATGTTGCAGAGAGGGTTCAGATGGAAGCTCTCTGGGCCGGGTTTAGGGGTGAAGAAAGACCTGCAAATAGACAATCACGACAACGCAACGCAATGTCATACGGGGTTATGGGAAGGTCACACGAGCGGTCATTGTTGAAAAATCCTTCTACAGATCTTTTTATTTCAAAAGGGCCTTGTCTTTCAAAGCTTGTTTGTATGGAAGGGATGTCGGGGATTTTCTCAAGGTCTTTTCTCCTCATCCTCATACTCCTATGGGTTGCGTGGTTGTATCCTGAAATCCCAATTGTACTTTACTGCCTTTATCTCACTGACGATCATCCTTTTTTCCACTGTATCTGTTTCCTCTTGGTACCGAATGTGCTCCAAGTGATCTGTACGTCTTGAACTGTACCTGCTGCTCGTAGATTAACAAATAGCCTCTAGCTGTTGGCGGTGTCAACCCATTTCACCCTACGAGACTCACTGCCGGGGAATCTTCAAATCACGACCACCTCACCCCACGAACCGCCCGCCACCTTTTCACGACCAACACAAGCAATCATAGACAATATATGCTTTGAATCACTTGATCACTCCTCATTCAACACATCCCTGTATTCTGCATATCATCAATTGAGAGCGACAATAAAGAGATGTGTGTTTTGGGAAAACAATTTGCCGCTGGAACTGCGGGATGTGCGGTCTTCGGAATTTATATTCGCAACCGCGGGGTTGGATGGTGAGTTGTCAACTGAATTTATGAGAATCGATTACTACGTTATCATGTCCGTGTCGGCTCACAATCTAATCAATACTCAATGCGGCTATCAGCTATCTGGATATCACAGTTAGGGTTTTCGTTTCCTATTGTTCTTAAACTAACTGTTTTTTAGGGTATGCAGGCACGGCGAATAGAAGAAAAATGCTGTTAGACAAACACTAAACGATCTTGTTCTACGGCAGCTCTCTTCCCGTGGCCACTACCATGCTCTTCTAAATTGAATTCTCCTCCTGCCCTGCAAAGCGAAGACAAAATTCAGCTACTGCTGAATCGTGTTGGTTTCGGGGGTGCACCCCTGAGGTCTAACATTGAAATCTGCCCACTAACCACAGGGTCCAGCGATATTGAATACTGTGATCTTCACCGACGCCTCTGTTCCTTCACGATATTGAAATCCCCTTCATCGTCTTCTTTCTCTTCTTTCTCTTCTTCTCTACACTCACCACGCCAAATAGACCCACTACGAGCGATCCATTCCATTAACCTTCTTCCACAGCTGTTCCTCGGTACGACTCAACCTCTTCCCCGCAGCTTTAGCCCATGCGTACGCCGTGTTCAAGACGCCTTCGTCATCTCCACTGCTCTCAAACGTTGGCTCAGCGTCGAGAATGCCGCCGCGGCGTGAGCTCGAGGGACTCGCGCGCCGGTCCAGTGGTTGGCAGAACTCGACGGGTTTATCGTCGAAAGACGCCCGTGAATCTTGCATGTAGCCTGGCGGGTGCGACAGGTCTTGTGCTGCTGGGTATGTGGATGTCATGCCTGCTGGTGGGATGGAGCGCGTGGGACTGTAGATTTGGCCGAGGGGAAGGTTGTGTGGTGCGTGGGTCCGTGTGGGCGTTGGGGATGGGAGGGCGTGGCGGATTGGTGAGGTATTGATCTGCTGTTGCTGTTGAAGGTCGGTTTCGATGGGACGCGGCGGTTGAGGGGTGTCAAGTTTGGGTGTGCACGCATTGTTGGTGGTGTTTGCGTAGGGAGAAGGGACGGCGCCGGGCTGAGGCGGCGGAGGGCTTTCAGAGATTTCTGCCGTGCTTGAGGGGGCGACTCTTGTAGCGGTGGGCTCGAATCTGTTGTTGTAAGTGCTGGAGCTGGTATTAGTAGGTTGTGGAACTGCGGGGGCCCCTGGTTGGGCGATCCCGGATGGTGATGGATTTGTTGTTGTAGTAGGTCCTGCGTCTACATCTGCAGGGGTGTAGCGTGCTGCTGCACTACTAGGAGATGTACCAAATGCATTGGATGGGTGGTTGGTGTTGATGGGAGACGATGCGTGAATTGGAATGGGAGGCATTGTGTGGGTGACTGTGTCAATGGGGCGAAGATGTCTATAGTATTGAAAAGAATCGAGCAAGTTGAGAAAATAGGTATCAGGAGTCAAGCAGACCAGTCTCTTTATGAATCAAAGGAAAGATGAGTACTTAGGTGAGGGTAGGACGCGGTTGACCGTGCGTCTGGGTCAAGGGATGAAGTGCCAGTTGAGGTTCAAGTCGCGCGTCATTGATGAGCTTGCGGGCTGATCTGACAGGGCGGGAACTCAATTGAGGTCTTATATCAGACCAGAAGATGATCCGTTGCTAGCAGATCAGAGGGAGAGAGGGTTCTAGTGCAGGAGGATGGGCACATTGGACATTGGTCTTTGAGGCTTTGCTGCATGCAGTCAACAATGAATTCGAAGACACGAGTTGTGAATGATCAGATCAGATGTCCGTGAAATGAGACGCGCGCATGACGTAGGCCAAGACAGCATACCGAAGCGCACTAGCCTGGTCACGTGGAGCTTCTGGCGTCACACACAATGATTGGCTGTTCCCCCACCTACATTTCTTCGACTATTGATAGTGCCCGCGATTGTGGCAGCTCAATATTGACAGGGGAATCTTTTCCGGTGTTGGGGAGATGATGATTTTGGGTTCTTACACAATCTATATATGTTCATGCACATTACTGCTTTCGATCAAGTGTCCTTTTCACAGTGCCATTTAGTGCAGAGGGATGTATGTGGTGATTCCTTCGCGTAACGATTACCACACGTCAAGTACCTATGGACATGTCCTTCTCCAACAGACCGCGTGCTTGAATCTTGCCTCTTGATTCGTCACATTGCAGAGCCTCTCATCTACACTTGGCAAGTCTCCTTCCGCCTGTTTGCATCTCATCTTGTTACGCCCACAAAGGTTGTCAGAGGCCGGGCGAGAGCATCCAGAAGTCGAGCATTAAAATTTTCATCGACATGGGCTGTGAGCCCTCACAATTCTTTCCGACCAGAGGCCAATTTCGACCATCGCTAATAGCTATCCCTTGACCGGTACTTCCTTCTCCTGTCCTGTTTGTTTACTAATGCATCTCGTACCTTGTCTCGGACCACCAATATTGGTCTTCTCTGGCGCTGACTCATCCTCCTGGACGCAAAGAGCCGCCTGCAGGTCTAAGTTGGTTCGAGAAACCGAGCCTCGTCGAGCCCTGCGAAGACAGACTTCGCCTTTGTACCCCAGGCTTTGCCAAAATTCTAAATTGGACCTGTCACCACCAACATGTAGAGTATTTGACCTCCCACGTCATGACGATATCTGATCCAAACAGGAAATTCGGAAAGCAAATCCAGCGTCATCAATTGGACCTGCCTGAATACGCTGCCAGTTTTCTCAATTACAAGGCGCTAAAAAAGGTCTGATACACCCGAGACTTTAGCAAGGCTCGCTCACTCACAGGATGGCCAGCTCATTAAACAACTCAGTGCGACTCCAACAATCGCTGCCCGCGGCGAGTCAAACACTTCAGACATCCAAGCCGCTCTCAGAGCCAACAAGGAGGTCTTCTTCTTTCGCCTGGTCAGTGCATCGCCATCAGGACACACTATCTCTTCACTAACAAGTAACAGGAGCGAGAGATTGAAAAAGTTAACGTCTTTTACATCCAGAAGGAAGCTGAAGTATGCTCGCCCTTGTCTAATGAATGCAACAATGTCTGACCCGTGACAGTTCTCCCTACGGTTGAAGACCTTATTGGACAAGAAGCGTGTCATTCAAGCCCGCATCGCAACCAGCTCCAAACTTTCCGCTAGTTTTGTCACACTAGTCGAGGGATTTCAGCAATTCGACAATGATCTGAACAAACTTCAGGTGTGAAATGATCAGCTTTTTGACCTTGACCAGCCCTGACCCGAATAGCAATTTGTTGAGGTGAATGAAACCGCGATCTCCAAGATCCTGAAAAAGGTTTGTTTGTCCGTTCGTTTGCTAGTGGACAACTGCTGACCCCTTGCGTAGTGGGACAAGACATCAAAGGTACAGATCAATTCTCTGTCCGTGATACATCACTAATGCAGCTTTAGTCTAGGACCAAAGAAATATATCTGCAGAGAGCCGTCGAGATCCAACCATGTTTTAATCGTGATGTTCTTCGGGATCTTGCAGACCGCGCCACAACCGCGAGACTCAATTTGGAAGCGCTTGCTGAGGGCGAGAATGTTCAGTTTGAACCATCCACCAATACGGATCGCGCTATTGGACAACGTGTCGGCACAGAAGAAAGCGACATAGACCTCCAAATTCTGCAAGCATCGGTCGCTGGTAACATCGGCGCATTACGAGAATGGTTTGCGAGGTTGAGCGCTCAGCCAGATGCCAGTGAGCGGTTTACCAGGATCTTTCTGGCAACAATCAGCGAGGCGCCTGACGAGTCTATTCAGGTCTTTCTCGGCTCCGATTTGGTCGATATACACGCCGAGGATGACATAAATGAGCGAAATTGTCTCCATGAAGCTACCATCTATGGCAAAGACTTGGTCCTCGAGCACGGTTTGACTCATGGAGTCGATGTTACACGGTTGGATGCCTATGGTCGGGTACCTTTACATTATGCCTGTTTGCGAGGTCGAGTGGGCATGGTACAGAAGCTTTTGACCGCTAATCCTGGAACCATCGACTTCAAGGACCATGACAGCTTTACCCCTCTGATTCACAGTATTGTCCGCCACCGAATCGATTGTGTACGACTCCTTCTGTCCAGAAATGCCAGAATTGATCCCCAGTCTGACGCAGATCACATTCCACTCAACCTGGCTTGCCAACATGAATCCGTCGAGGTCGCCACGCTATTGCTCGAATACCGCGCAAAACTTCTTCCGGATGCCGAAGGTCTTTTCCCGCAACACCTGGTCGCCCGTTCTAGTCAAACAGCCGATCTACTGTTATTACTCGGCAAACACGGAGCCGACTTGAATCAGCGGGATAAACTCTATCAATGGACACCACTCTTTCATGCGGCAAGCGAGGGCAGAGTCAATTGTCTACGCGCACTGCTGGAGAGTGGTGCCGATCCCGATGCACTCGACGAGAAAGGTCTTACTGCCATGTACTACGCCACCTGGGAAGGTCATCTTGAATGCATGGATCTTTTGTGGGAAAGAAGTCGACGACACCTGGAGCGAAGATCATCATCAAGAGTGGGGCAAGTTCTTCCTCCTCGAAGTCAACTGGGCGCGATGGAGATCACACCAGAGGAACCAGCCATGAGTCTCGAAGGTGACGGGATTCCAGACTTGTCCCTACCGCCGCCAATCATCCCATTAAGGCGATATGGACACAACTTCCTCGACACGAAAACATTTGTGGCCATCAATTTCGACCAATGTGGAAAAGCTATTCAATTTTTCAACGAAGCCCGCTATCCTGCGGCACGTTTGACCATTTCATCCAAGACCTCCGATCTCATTCCTCGTAATCTGATGTTGCCAATCCAGGAAGATTCGCGATCCGTGTATTTCCAGATCGACAATCTCAGCACCTTCTCAGTCGATTTTGAAATCTTCCCCACATTTGGCTCCAAAGTCATCGCGAAGTCTGTGGCACTGCCAGATGTCTTCCAGGCTGTGCAGAGTAGCTCTGGAACCAGCTGTCTCCCCCTTTTCGACCCTCGTCTGCGTTCCGTCGGGCAAATCAAATTCAGTTTCCAGGTGATCAAGCCATACACCGGCACCCCCCTCGAGATCACACAGTTTGCCACATATTGGAAGGCGACGAGCGCTTTGGACGACCACAGCGGCCTGGTAACCGGCTCAAGTCTGTCTGGAGACTACGTCAGGCTTGTCGTTCAGCTCACACGAGATGGCATTCCAGTTATCTACCCCTCGTATTTCATCTCCTACAATAGCCTCGACGTCTCACTCTGTCAACTGAAATATGAGACCCTGACCAGACTCAACCTCACGGGCTCTCTGCCCCCGAGCCAGGCGACTGATCCCCTTGACATACTTGAATGGCGCAAGAAACTCACAGGCCCGATCTTCACGCTCCGCGAGATCCTCGCCGTGGTACCGCCCCACATCAACTTCAACCTACACGTCCTCTATCCCTCCACATCCGAAGACATCAGTCTCGGCGTGCACTCGAACATCGACGTCAACACGTTCGCGGACGCCATCCTAACGGAAGTCTTCGACCACGCACGCGCCCTGCGCACCCGCGCCGCGGACCTCTCGCGCTCCATCGTTTTCAGCTCCATCAACCCGAACGTCTGCACGGCGCTGAACTGGAAACAGCCCAACTTCCCCGTGCTGCTGTGCAATGATCTGGGCCGTTCGCCCAACACCGCGAGTCCGCGAGACCCAACCAACCCGGCGCCCTCGATCAAGGAATCCGCCCGTCTGTCCATCACTAACAACTTCATGGGCATGACCTGCTCGTCGCGCATTCTGGAGATGGTCCCCGCGCTTGTCGACACCGTCAAGCAATCCGGTTTGGTGCTCGTGTCGGATGCTTCGGACGAAGCCGCCCTGTCTCCGACCGCTCTCGCACAGAGTCGCGCTGACACCGGTTGGTCTATGATGCCCGAAGGTATCAATGGCATTATGAAGGGGAACGGCATCTTGCGGTTTAATGAAACGATTGACATGTGATGGGACGGAAGCGTTTGAGGTATGTTGGTGGAGATCAGGTGGTTCAACATCAATGACTATCCAGGGATCATAAATTGGGTAATGCATCATGGAGGTTGGTTGTCGGGTTGGTTGGCTTAGTACCTAGGATTCTCGGCACTTGCAAGATATCGAACTATTACCGCGATCAGGGCGTTACGTACTATGCAACTGTCAGAGTTAGAAAGTTACACATGTGCTGTAATCTCACGGTAGAAGTATATCATCCAAGAAGGAACGTGTGCACATGCAAAATCTGCTTGGATTTCATCAACGGCATTCAGATAGATAAGATGACTCGTGCGCCACTGAGGTCAACGGCCAACGCCCCGATGGCTGAAGCTCAATCTCCAAATGTATACACCATCTCAAACGATAATAGAAAAGGCCTGTAGTATCCGCAAAAGCACCACCAATTAAACTCCTTCGTCTCGTAAATTGCCGCAGTCATATCTCGTAACATCATAAATGAATCCCAGCCCCTAATCAACGAGGCTTGACTCCCTCGAAGCGACCGCCCGTGTCTGATTACCAACAATGAATTTAGGCCCGCTCGGGCTCTCAGTCTCGTCGCTGTGAAGTAGAACTCGCCTCTGTACTGATCGTGTTGACACTCCCGAATGTGTTCTGACGGGAGGGATAGTGTTGAGATGCTTCTTTCATCGCCTGCTCATGTTCGCACTGCTGCTTGTGCAGTTTCAACGCGAAGCTCTCCCCGATCCTACCTTGAATAACAAACCCGCTCTGGCGAATTCTGTGTGCTGCCACATATATATCCTGTCCTTTCGGAGCGTCCTGGCCAATGCTTCCCATAAACTCCACACCCTCTATGTCCTGATTCATGTATCTCACGTCGCCTTGCATGCTGCGCGCAAGTTCGGCCAGCTGTGAAGGGTTGGGTAGCAGGCCCGGCGTGGACAGCTGGACCTGCGGAATGAATGTTGTAGGGATGAATTGGTGGCCAGAAGGGCCAATATGGTATGATCCTGGTACAAGACGGTGGGATTCTGACTCAGGGTTGTGTGCTGGATCTATGGTCCTCTTGGTGGGAGGACTCGGAGGGGGTGTCGCTGGCATGTTTTTGCAAGGAAGCTCTGGCATTCCTAACCGTTCACCAACCTTCTCTAAGTTTTCAATGAGAAACGACAGATCCTGAATGAAGTTATCAAATTTTTGCTTGTCGTGGACGGCCCAGACGGTTCGTTTCCGTAACAAAGTCCACGATGAGGTCGATGAGGTCGATGAGGTCGACGTCCGCCGCGTGAGAGTCTGGTCAGGTTCCACACTCTGCTTGTTTGTCCGATAGGCGACGACAGACCTGAATGCACGCGAACGTGCAGGCGTCAGTTTGTATTTCTCATACATTATTGTCGCGTTCCCAAAGATCTCCCTGATGCTCAAGAGACTGCGTCCGATCACTTCCTCTTCTTCTGTCCATTGCCGACGAAGTTTGGGATGCTCGTGGCCGGGCGTCCCAACGTTCAGAGCGAGTCCCCATGATGAAAGTCTTGCCCTCAGCAGGCACAACTTTGTGCATGCCAATTGGTAATCTGAATCATAGTTCCTGCCCAATTCAAAGCGGTCGAATAGATCGATACAGGTGGAGAAGAGTGAGGCAAGAGCAATTGCGCCAATGACCAAGCCGGCCACATCGGCCATAGACAGAGTATAAAGGAAGTATCGAGACGCAATCGAGCAGCCACCTTGGAAAAAAGGAGTATCTATACTTACCAGTAGTTGTAGATGATAAACTGCTGTCACACCAGATCAACGATGGATCGTGGTGCCAGTATCTCGTGAGCCTAGGAAAACGCCTTTGAGGAGGTTACAAAGCGAAGCAGGGCGGGGTCGACGTGTGGCTGTACGATACTGGTAGTTGCAGGACTTTATGCAACTTCAGAGGCTTGGTGACCAGTGTAGAGCCGCGCCTAATTGGGTGGAATGGTTACACGAGATCCCGTAGTGGCTGCCTTGCGGTCGCCTTTTTGGTCACGAGGGGAAATCGCCAGCCTGACCTTGCAATCGCAATCTGAACGAGGTCAAATGGTCCTACCTTGTCATCGCAGTTGCAGAAACGCAAACTGGATCCATCGGGTAGAAACTTGTTGGCTCTAGATAGGTCTAACAAGAGCGTAAGCAGCCCAAAGTACAACGTCAGTGGCCTGAATCCAGCTATAACCGTTGAACGCGGTGCGACTTTCATCTATGCGCCCACGTATGCACACCAGGGTCACATATATAACGCCGCGATAAGCGTGCACGACCATGCGACTTCGAATCTAGGGGACATAGAGAGAATGTGTAAGTTTTCCAGATATCTTCACAGAGGGAGCAGAGACTCGGCGGGTATGGAGTCAAAGCTTCGATCCGAATCATCTTGTACTGATAAGGGATCGCAGCACTAAGACAACCACATGGCCTGCCCAAGAGTGAACCGAAACCGTACACCCCTCCCCCCTCAGACAGTCAAGAACCAGGTGACACGAGCAGTCTGGGTTCTCCACCAAAAGTGATCAAGACTGACATCCCGGAGCCCCCTGCGGGCTATCGAGATAGAAAAGCCAAGTGGTATGTACCTGGGCGACTCTTCAAGATATGGGCACTTGAGGACGCCGAGATACATCAGAAACAATTTGTGCTTTTGTCCAGCAGGAACATTGAAGGACAAGGGCTGCTGATTGGGCTCTATGATGGGGAGGATGAGCAAGACGGAAGCTTTCTTCGAACTCACGTGCTCGTACGAGGACCACTGCCAGACGAGGAGCCCAAATTCGCTCGTGATGAAGACCTCCTCAAACAGATCTATCTGGATCGATCCGAGACAAACCACATTGAGGTTGCCGACCAGACTTGGGTAGAATTAGAGCACACCTACAACATTCCCTTTCTCAATCACAAGTGTGTGGACTGTGGAGTCCTTTCGCGACCATCCCTCAAGAGATTGAGATGCGCATACATTGACTGGCTGAGGTATGACTGGGAAATCGATGAATGAACATGAACACGACTTTGGACATTGGTATATAGCCCGTGTCGTGGGAAGGCAATCTGGCCAACGGGGACGTGCGACATACTCTAGCCGAACGATTGCTCCCACGTAATGGCGCAGAGCACAGTTCATGAGGTTAAGAAAGTGCGCAAGAGCCGAATAATCGAGATACCGAGGCCTCATTCAACCGGTGAAGATGCAACACTCGAAGCTATACAGACACTGATAAGACGAGGGCATACTGAAGAAGGCTGAGAAAGTTAAGCTTGGCGGTGAACTGAGGTCCAAGATCGATGGCAGGCCGTGGTTTGTCCTGAAGCATGGGAAGAATGGCGAGCATATGTAGTGGGAGGAGCGCTGTCCACTATCACAAGGCAATGGATGGTCGTTGCAATCCATCCAGATGAGGCATGTACTACAAGTAGTTAGTGTTAAGAATGTCGAGATTGGGTTCCTGTTCTACTTAGCGAAGGAAACGTGGATGGGGTCATTGATTCAAAAATCTCAAAGAAGCTGTGGCTGCTGAAACGTGCCGAGATTGAGCTAATTGGGTATGGAAGGATGAAGCGCTGCTTTTATGAGTCAGCTTTCAAATACAGTGCTCAAGACGTCGTACCAGACTTATAGACAACTGGGTGGGCGATGGAGTTTCTATCTATCATAATGTAATAGGACAAATTTCAATCTATTACTTATTGACAAGGCTGTGGAATGCGTGGTTCCCTGAAGGCATAGACGCCCTCATCTTCTGTCTCCACCGAGGGGTGTATGAACGGCCATCCAGACATTGCAAGACACTACTCCAGGGGGATACCTTTCCAATCAAAAGCTCCACCGCGGCGAAAGCCCAGGTCTTCAGCGATGCATAAATGCAGGGCGCGCTGAAATCAAAGCATTACCCCACATGCAGCCAACGGTCTCAGACTGGAGTGAATTGGCACTTCAAACAGGCGAAACATGAGCCAGTCTGAGCTTTTCAAATCAGATGAGTTGCCTGGCGCGAAACCTCGGGTCCTGTCGGCACCCTTGCGAGGATTGAAGTGCTCGTGGCTAAGGACTGAAGCCCCAGAGTCCAACTCACGTTCCGATAGTGTGAAGAGCTGTCGTTAAATCTTGCTCCCTAGAGATTGAGCATAATCTCGAACTCATGGGTTCATCGCTCTCACTGGTGTCTGGAATCGAACTCATCACAGACCCCTCTTATAAATTTCAGCGGTAGGAAATTGAGATCAATGTCATCACCAATAATAGCACTGCTGCATTTGAGGTATTGGCGTTTGAACTCTATCCAGAGATTGCTGTCCACGCCGTGGGCGGACGGGCGAGGGAAGAACGGGTCGTTCCTGCAGAATGCTCGAACGGCTTGCTCGATCCCGGCGTCGTCCATACTCGACAGCTTGCAGCAGTCAAAATCCAAGACCCAAAGAGAGTGGGTTCCCAGAAAGCTATGTGTGTATGTGCTCCCCATGCCCGACTCGAGCGGCGTACCTGCCAACACAAATTCTATATCGTTGGCGTCAATCCTTGCACTCCAGTGCATCATGGAGAGCATCTCGGCCAAGGCATGCGCATGCTGCATAACGGGAAGACCGAGATCCTCTGCTTGATTGAGATGCAGCGGAAAATTACGCAAGGAGAAGAAGTTCTGCCCTCTCCGGACCTCATTCTGGATCCTCCAGCGGCCCAAGTATGGTCGCACCAAGCAGTCTCTATCGGCATCGTTGGCATGAATGGTCGCCACCGATGATGCCGGGCAGTATCGATGGATCAGACGGTTCCTCACGTCTCGAGGAAATGCTGGTATACGTTCCGAAGAAAAGTATGTTGCACTTGGTGTAACCTGTTGGGAATCTCCTGAGATTGTGCCCCCACCAGCTTGGAGAGTTGTCGTCCTTGATGAAATCAGGCCATCGTGGTATGCATGCACTGCTCTGATTTTTGGAGGCCTCTGCTGCCTTCAGCACCAGTTTATGCATCTTGTAATCGTTCATCAACGATCGCCCGGGACCGCCGTCTTCTCTTTTCATCGCCGTATTGCCTCCTTCTACTGCCCATACCGATCCACAAAACCCCTGACCTATCCGCCGGAATTTGGTGGGTAGGTTTGGTTGTTGAATTGGGGAGTCTGATGCTGAGTCTGAGCACATCTTGAGTCGAGTGATCTGTGGGGTTTGCGTATGTAGCCTATGGTTTCTTAGTGTGGTTGTTTGTAGTGGTAGCTGAAGGATTTACAATTTTGCACAACGATCGTTTTATTTTGCAGACGCGAGGACCTTCTGCCAAGCTGGTAGTTTCTGTTAGATTCGAGACACGACCCACAGGTGCACCCGATCAGGATGAGCTAGCCTAGTTAGATCGCTCCGCCTTTCACACTATGCTACTTGGCACAGCCTTGTTCCACTGCAATAGTAAATTATACTATAAAATAACAGCCATGCCATTAGAATCCGCAAATGTCTAACAAAGAATGAGAGGAGTTCGTTCTTGCTGCCATATGCATTATACAACAAGGCTCAGAAGACTTTCAACAGCTTGACCGTGAGTTATCCCATTGCCATAGGTGCTTCACCAGGTGCATGGCTAGGTAATTTTCGCATAGGGATCGCCAACGAGCACAGAAATGCCATCCCACAGAAAGCAACTGCAACCGCGAATGCCGCTTTAATACCAATCATGTAAGCTTCGAGGATTCCAGGAAGCACATCTTTAGGAAACACTTTGTTTAACTCTGATGCACCGGTCACAAGTACCAGGGCTGGGTTGACGCTAGGAGCCTTTTCTGGGAGAGCGGCAAGAAGCCTGTTGATGAAAGCTGCTTGCCCTGCTGAGGTGCTGAATGCGCCTCCAATCGTTGAGAAAACTTTTATACTCTAGATTAGTATGTCTGGAGCACAAGTAGATTTTGATGGCAATGAGGCATAACTTACACAAAAGGTTGGCCGTGACTGGGGGGATGTCTTCGGGATCGACACTGGCTTGCGCGATCGTCAACGCATGCATAATGGCAAATGCCATTACAGCTCCAGTAAAGAGCTGGTATCCAACCCACTTCCCTGTCGAGCTCCCGATATCAAGAGTATAGACTAGTCCAATGGACACTGTAGTGAGAAGTGATCCAATCATCAAGACCTGTTGAGCACGACCAGTCTTCATGACCACGGCACCTCCAGCTATAGCAAAGACTGAGGCTGCAAGCACGAGAGGGAGATTGTTGACCCCTGATCTAATCGGACTCGCTCCCAAAATGCTTTGAAAATAGATGGGGAGATAGTATAACAAGATGATGTACGTCCCCATGAAGAGAAACTGGAAGGGAGCTGTGGCCGAGAGTGATCGTTGCTTGTAAAGTCTCGGCATCATCATAGCATAGTCGCCCAGAAGTATTTCCCAAATCACTAAAGCAATGATCAGAAGCCCGAACCCGACTAAAAGACCAATAACGATGCTGCTGTTCCAAGGATGGCTGATGCCTCCATACTGAAGAGCGAGGACCAGGCATGTAATACCTCCCATGGCTAATGCAACACCGATGAAATCCAAGTGTAACAATTTCTGCACAAGGGTAATCTTCGGAGGCGCTGCAGCGGCTGGAAGCTTGCAAAAAAGGAATACCGCTATCGCAGCAGCGCCGCCAATGGGCAGGTTGATGTAAAAGCACCAACGCCAGCCGGAACGTCCATTATTCGACAGGGCCCCTGTCAAGAGTCAGCCTGATGAGGAGTAGATCTTTGCTGTCCATGAACGTACCACCAAGAACAGGGCCCAAGACTGCGGCAACAGCGTATGTAGATCCAATGATCCCCATCATCATTGGACGCTGTACGGGCGGAACACTGAAGGTAACAATGCTGGTTCCGCCAACCGACAACCCTGCGCCGCCTAATCCAGCGATTGCTCTTCCGACGATCAACGACTTGGAATTAGGTGCGACCCCACAAATCAAACTTCCCACTTCAAAGATAATCATGGATGCCAGAAAACTCCATTTGATGTCGGTGTACTTGTAAAGCTTGCCAGCAGACGTCTGAGAGGCTCCAAATGTCATGAAATATGCTGCAGCATACCAGGATACGTCGTTCAAACCGCCAAATTCATCAGTGATCTTGGGAATTGCAGTGCCCACAATTGTCTTGAAGCTCTTCTGGTTAGTCGGTCTTCCCGGAGTATTTGTCGGGAAGGAAGGATACGCACTTGATCCAACGCGATCAGAAAGACAGATACAAGTGTAGCTGACGCAAGGATTGCTCGTTTCATGCCCTGAGGATACTGTATCTCCAGTGGACTCTCGGTGAGAGCCTCCTCATTGCCAATGTCGCTATTGCCCCTCTTATTTGAGCCGAGAGTATTCGAGATCGACTTTTCAGGGGTGTCTGTGCCTCTGAAGCCCAATGCCGCTTTCTCGATTGGGGCGCCCATTTCACCTTGCTGTTGATGATGTTAAAATTTCTTTGTGGAGGTAGTCACCACTTTCCCAACTAGTGACGGTACAAAACAGTTTTCTTTCCAACGTAATTTCAACGTGATGGCATGCAGAAACACCCAACCGTACCCAAGGCTATGGAAAAAAGGAGTATCGGCCTTGGCTTTGGCAACTGGCTTGGAAAAGAAACAGGAAAGCACCACCTATTTATTCAACTTTGACCACCGATCCAGCCATCTCTGGAAACGTAATTCATCAACGAGCATGTTAGTATTTCTTTACATCTCAATCTGCCCAGTCCTTGAACAATAACATAGGCGGGCACGCGGAACTTTTTCGACTCTCGCGAGAGGTTCGAATAGATGGGGTCTATGCCGCCCGGCTCCACTCCAGCGAAAGGCACCTAGTGTTCATATCAGGCCATCAGCGCTAACCATGCAGGAAACTTTTCAGGAGAGTCCGATTGATGGGTTTTAGCACCTTTTCCGAGTGGCAGCTATTCGATACCTCGAATGCTTGTGAAATTGAAACGCCACATCCTCCAAGCCCCCATTTCTTTATCATCAGCCTTCCGCTCCCAATCCCTTCTCCCCTTTTCACGCAAGGAAAAAGTTCCATGCACATACAATCATGATCGCCAAACCACCCAAATTGCCATCATTGATTCCATGGCCTAGCTACCCAACAGCTAATGTTGCGGTAGCACCATACTCGGCTCCGACACAAGATGAATGGATGGCTGTCTATCCGGAGATCGAAAGACTGTACATCCGAGAGCGACGGAAGCTGCGATACATTATGCAATATATGGAAAAGACGCACGGATTTAAAGCTACGTAGGGTTGCCCCTGTCGACTATGGCCTGGGCCGCTATGCTTAAGGAACCCGATGAAGTTAGAGACTAACCTTTGAGCAGAGTTCAGATGTACAAGAAACGTTTCACGAAATGGGGCTTCCAGAAGAATAGCAGACGTTCAGCTTCCAACAAGCTAACGCCAGATACACACAATGAAAGTTCCATACGGAGATCCAATGAGCACAATGCGCCCGGAAAGCTAGGCTCCGCTCGTGGGATCTCCGAGCTTAGCCATCAAGACAGCCTGGTCCTGATGTTCTTGAGCAATGTGCGGATAAGTACCATGGCCTTCTTCGACTCGGTGCAATCACCACAGGTTCGCTTAGTCCCCTTTCAACAGCAACCTCCATCGTCGGATGAACGATGGCCCGACAGCGTTAAAGAAGTTAGTTTTGCATTCAAGGTCGCGATCGACCTCTTGGATCGAGGGTACGGCGAGTTGGGCGGCAAGACGGCTCGGAAAGCCTTTATGCTCATCGAAGATATATTGACAGTTGAAAGTCCTGTCTTGGTGTGGAATTTGCTTGAGATGATGCATCATATGGTGGTGATGCAGCACCTGCGGCTGTTCAAGATGCTACTGGCTTACTTGATTGGCTTGGTGAAGGGACGCCTGCCAGTAATGCATCCACTTCCTATCATGCTGCATGGTTTGCGTGAAATTGTTGTAAGCCTAAGAAGTTCTGTGTCTACGCCTGAGAGCTGTTCAGCCGATTCTTCGGCATCATCATCGCCCTCGTCTTCCTACAAAGACGATAGGAACCTGGTCCCCCTGGAATCATTGGAACTTTCTCGTTCACTGTCATGTCTGATCAAGAGAGGCTGGATCTTGAATGCCGAGATTCTCCTCAACCACTTCGATCTCCGTTTTCTGCAACTTTACTGCCGTGTACATTGGGACTCGTGCTCGATCGCGCCTCCGACGGCTGTGTTCTTGGAAATGGACCGGTGGTACGATCAGGTCGGCGCGGGTACGACCACAAAGAGCATTATGCCTACAACTCATGCAAATTTTCCTCCTAAGATCACACCCAGCGAGAAGGATAGAATACTTCAGGACCTTATAAAGCCTCTGGTCGGTCGCCAAGTTGACAAGCAACTGTCACCGACTTTCGACGCACTTCGCGTTGAAACAATGGCTACACTTCGGAAGTACGGTGGCCCGATACTCAAGAAGACGGTCGAATTTACCGGAGATACCACTCTCTTGCTACGTCTTGTGGCGGTGCTGGTAACAGTCGATGTTCTTCATGAATGGCCTAGCGTGGTTGGGTCGTCGTTGAATCGTGACTACACTACTAGAATGCCACAAGCTGATGCGGATCATGTTGCATATGTCATGAGGATCCTGATCGACCTTGACCCTAAGCTTTGCGGCAACAAGATTGACTCACCGAAAGAGTTGCTCGATCAGCTTCGATCAGTCGTCGCACTTCGCGAGTATGCTCGAGGCGAAACTTATCCACAGGTTGTGCAAGAGATGCTGATGTTGAAGGATGCCCTCAACGCGGCGGGAGAACACAGAGAAGCAGAGCAAGTTGGGCACAGTGCTTTACTGCGAATGAAGAAATATACTCAGGATGTCCCTGTTGATTTCACCTGACTACTAACTCTACTCATTATGGAAGAATATCAAATGCACAGCCCTCCATTCTATTGCAGTCGAAATCAACCAGTTTCCAAAGATAAACACAGCTCTTTCCCAGCATGCGGATGCCACAGGAGGATTCATGGCCGAGCCGGATCAGGCTTCCTCCATCCTCTCACGGGCACAAGTCCGATCCTTTCGTCATCGGTGTTCCGACGTCTGACCTGCTCTCCAACCGGGACTTCATTCAGTATACCTCGTGTGTATGCTCCTGTCATGACCAGAATCAGAACTATCAAAAACTCAGGTACCACGCTGAGCACAAGCTTGGCTGGTAATGAACCTCCGTTCCTCGGATTCCAGGAAGCAGAATTGACAAGAGCACCGATCAGTGGGTAGAGAATGCGCAACAGGAGGCAAATAATTGCAACAAAGCAGGAATGTGCAAGCTATGGGTGCCTCATCAGATTCACGTTAACCAGCACAAATTCAGGGGGGTGGACCTACCAGTTTTTCGCCCTCAATCTGTCTCTTGCGCATATATGACAACCCCAACTGGACGCTCATGAATGACCAGATGCTGAGAATTACAAAGAGTCCTGCTATGAGCTCGGTCCGTCCTGTTGATTGTTCTGCTGCCGTGTTCGAAACGTCGTTATATGCCAGATTACCGAGGATGACCAGTACTAAAACGCCGACTATTGTAATATGGATCAGGATCTGTGGGATCCATCCGAAGAGGCTAAGTCTACCGCCACGGATAGTAGTGAATCTAAATCGCCTTTGTGAGAACACGGCATTGAGGTGGCCATCGGCAAACTGGAATGCAACATACGATTCATGCATAACACCGGCGATGCTGACCATGAGCGGCGATATCGCACTCCCTGATAGAACTTGGACACCAATGCTCGGAGGCCCCTTGCTCGATCGCTCGCTGATGGTCAGAATTGACCCGACGATTCGAATTGAGGCGAAAAAGGAGAGGAACAACCATCCAAGACAGCGATGTCGACCGTGAGACCAGAGGCAATACAATATTAGAGGAGTAGTAGTGATAAAATATGCCAGCTGCGCAATAGCGATCTTGACACCGGTAGTCAACATGATTTGTGCTTTGCGCACTCTTGTAATGAGCCATGGTGATGGCGGCCATCCCTCTTTATATACATTCTGGTAACTTTGTTCCAATTTGAGTCAATCCTACGACTGGCTATGCTGAGCTGATTGAGGTCGAAGGTACCTGACCTTCCTGTGAAATTGATGTGTGTTTGAGCGTAAGATTCTTTTGTCCCTGATAATAGCTCTTGTTAGGAATGACTGGCTGACGCCTGAACTGTAAGCGAGCCTAAGCCGCGTCTCCACTGATCTGCCCGCAATACGCATTACTGGATTGGGGAGGCTTCGCGAATGATCGCCAGGCACCACCATTGCTTGTTTCTTGAAATTGCCGTCAGGATTGACCTTTCTACACTTTTTAGGAATATCGTATCTCGAAGCGCAGGCTCATTCAGATATCCCGCAGTCAAACATCTACTCACCAAACAATGTCCAAACGCCACAGTCCAGCTCCAGTGGCTCATATCCAGATTTTCAGGCTCTTCCCCACCGCAAGGAAGTCCCATACCAAGTCAAAGTCTGGTTGTCGTGAATGTAAGCGACGCAGACAGAAATGTAGCGAAGAGAAACCAAGCTGCCAGGGTTGTACGAAACGTGATCTGAACTGCGTCTATGCCGCTAGGATGGCTGACACAGAAAAATATCCCAATCGCGCAGAATCAATCCAGCCCCTGCCGTGGAAGGAGGCAGGCCTACCACCAAGCATAGCCGCTCATGGAGTGGGTCAATTCGATCAAGATGATATGCTACTATGGCATCATTTCATTACTTGCACTTCGTCGACGTTCTCAGATCCATGGACGGTGGATATCCCTGCCGTGGCCATCTCTCATCATTTCCTCATGCAGGGCATTCTAGCTACAGCAGCTCTCCATCTTGCCTACCTGCAGCCGCCACATAGTTCTAGGTACCTCTACACATCTGCACGCCATCAGGATCTGGCCATGAAGGGTTTCCAGCTTGTTATGCCTGCTGTCACTCCAGAGAATTGCAATGCAGTCTTTGCATTTTCCACCCTCTTATTGGTCCACACCCTGACTTCCCAGTTCAACGAGTATTCAAGCTCGCCTCCCAGACCTGGCCAGGATCTCGAAAGTATCCGTGCCTGGATAGTGCTGCTTAGAGGATGCACCACTGTATACCTTTCTGCAAGGACTTCCCTTGAAGCAGGGCCGTTCGGCCGTCGTCTTGCAGAGTTCCGTGTACCAGAAGTACCTACAGACAACGCTTACGATAAACGTCTACGCCGAATATCACAAACACTTCTCACAGATGTGGAGGTCATGGAAATGAGTTCAGAGGACGAGATGGACACGTATCGAGCTAGCATCCATCAGCTTCGCTTGACATCTGCAGCCTCTTGCAATGCCGATCCCTTGCTGGACTATAGGGCAATCATGATTGTATGGGCTACCAGATTACCAGACCAATTTTTGCGGCTCTTCAATGATCGCCGTCCGCCTGCACTCGTTATCATGAGCTATGCTTGTATGCTTCTGAAGAGAGGCGAAGGGTTGTGGTTTATGGAAGGGCGAATAGATACCATGCTAAACAGTCTCAGAGCTGAGCTTTCTCCTGAGTGGCATTGGTATCTCGATCTATGAGCATGAAAACAACTAACAACGGAGTGAATTACTGTTGGGTCTTTTGGTTGGAGATTGCTCGCTATGAAGGCAAGATCCCATAACTTTGCTTTACATAATATAAGATATTGTAAGCTTTGAAAGTATGTGGCCAGAAATCTTTAGTATTGAACGACCAGATGAACGTGGTCAACCAATGTATTGGGACAGAATTCGTCCAAGGGCAAGGGTAGGCTACGAGCATCCCCAACGATCGCTCGGGCTAGTGCGAAATGGAAAGCCGCATTCATACGAGTGATATTCAAAGCCCCCCAAAAACTAGTCCGCACGGGCGCCCGCCGGCATCAACAGCTAAAGACTGACCAACGAGCATGCCCCAAGAATGGAACCGCATTGGTGGGCTTACGTCCGTACACCAGTGCTGGTCACAGGTGACACATTATCCTGGTATACACCTCGTCTTCCTAGCGATTACAAAATACCTTACGTCTTGGACAGTATTGCATTGGTAAACCAATTCGAAGATAATCATCAAACATGCTGAGCTTAGGAATCAGTTTGATGTGTTGTGTATACAACCTGTTGAGAATAAATAGCAGACGAAACATCGGTTCTTTACAAATAGCAGAACCAACTCCAGTATATCCAACATATTCTACAATCATCAAAAACCTCTGAGACCGATCTGATCTTCACAGTGATAACCATTTCCCATACAACACCACAATGAGTTCCAAACGTATTCTCGTGATTGGCGGCACTGGAGCACAAGGCTTCGCAGTGGTCAAAGCACTTCTCAACGCATCGCCCGCATTTACTGTCCGAGTCCTCTCTCGTAACCCAGATTCTCCACATGTGCAGTCAACATTCACGGGCCTGCCTGTCGAGTTTGTCAAAGGGTCATTCATGGACTTCGACACCGTCGAGGCAGCACTTCAAGATTGTTATGGTGTTTATGTAAACACGGATGGTAAGTCCCCACCAACCTCACCAGTGACCTAGTGTCATTGACTGAAGCATTAATCCTCAGGTTTCACCGTCAACGAGGCGGATGAATTATGGGCGGGAGTGCGCATCTTCGAAATTGCCAATCAGATCCCAACACTTCGCCATTTCGTGTATGCAAGTATCGACTACTACCTGCAGCTCACAGGTTTTAATAAGAAGTATGGTGCACATCACACAAAGTAAGTCACAGCGTTGCTGCCATCATTGGCTCCTCAATGTATTTTCATGTGGCTGACGCCGGTGACCGTTAGTGGAAAAGGGCGTGTGAACTCCTACCTACAATCCCAGGGCTCATCGACAAGCGAGACTGGTCTGACATGGTACGTCTCATTTATCTTGGGCTTGGACATCAAGCGCGAATGCCAGATGCGGAATGAGTGATTGACTAACTCTCTTGTAGGACGATCTTGAACACCGGAGCATACGATGAGGACCTCTTTGGCGGCCCTTTTGTCGCCCACATTGATCCTGAAGATGGGACTCGTACCTTTGCCCTCCCACTCGGCGAAGGTCACATTCCATTCGAGACTCTGCAGGACAATGGCATCTTCGCTGTCAAGATCTTCCAAGATCGCGAGCGTTGGTCCGGTCAGACTTTGAATGCTGCATCGCACTTCACGACTGGCAAAGAACTGGCCGAGACATTGGCCCGAGTGGCAAATGTCAAGGCTGTGTACAAAAACGTTAGTATCAAGGAATGGGCCGATGCACTCCCATTTGCCGATGCCCCTGTCGCAAGCATGTATCCTGATGGGATCACCGTCAGGGAGAACTTCACCATGTGGTGGCCAGGGTTTCAAGACAGCATTCTGAAGCCCACGAGAGACATGGCTTTGTTGCGGGAGATCAATCCAGACTTGGAGACCCTGGAAGGATGGATGCGAAGAGTTGGATATGATGGAACTGGGAAAGGAGTGCTGAAAGGTTGGATTGATGCTGGAATTGGACCGAAGCCTTGAATATTCGCGGTTGTAAAAGGCCATTTTGGTTTTCTAGAGATGAAATCTGTCTGCAGGATGGCGAGACGTGATGATAGATGCACTCTTGGTAGATTGAAAGGAAAATTGTTAATTTCTCACTACTAGCTGTGATCGCATAATGCAGTGCCAACAACGAAAACAAGCAGACGAGGCAATCGATTAGGAGTTTCTGTTCCGCTTTGGAAACTCGGCCCAATGCAGCTGAACCCTCTAGCAAGGCTCATCATTGCCCCACCAACGACACGAGTCTACTACAGATTCTTACATTCTCCTGCTGAACAGCTATACGCAAAGCACAAGTATGTTGAGTTATCTAAGCTAGCAGGCCTACTCAGTTATTTACTTGCCGAGCGGCGAGAAACCGGTCAAAATTCCGGAACTGGGGGTTTGACAATCTTTACCTGGACCGAGGTGGGGTGATTTTGGCATTCCAAGGCATTATGCCTTTCTACAAGGTACCGCTTGGGAATCTGGGGGCTTGACAGCCACTGGGCGTTTTCGATAGAGAGCTGCTCCCTAGGGACGCTCGTTTCCGTGATATTTCGCGTTTAACCTTGCATATCCGAGATGAAACGTTGCCAAGACTCGCACAAGCGACTTTATGGTTGTGCGCCTTGTAAGATCCCGTGGTGTCACAAGGCTGAATGCTGAGCAGATCCGCTGCAAACCTTGTCACTTAGGGCGACGTAAAATGGTCTCTGATCTGTAGTTCCTTAGCCATGCGTGAATCCTGCTAGTTAAGCTATCCCGCTAGCAGCACCATTCAAGAACAGTAGTTCTCCCGAGTAATGTCACAGTTGAAAGTCAAAACTCATCGTGCGCTGCGGTTTTCCTAGTTGTCCATGTCTGCATGCGGGAGAAAAGAGACTCAAGAGCCTGGCCAGGATGAATATCGCCGAGTGTAATCTCCTACAAGGGGCACTAAGAGTCGAGGGTCGATGGGTACAGCCACATGACTTAATTGTGTTCCGAACAGCAGTCCATGTGTGCTTGCAAAGTTTTGAATAGCGTGCGGCCCGAACCTGTCTTCCTCAGCTTGTGTCACACCCGTAGTAACCTTCCACAGAGTATTAGAGTTAATCATTGAGCTTAATTGGATAACCTCAAAGACATTCGTTCTCTGTGTGTTTGATAGTGACATGCACTAAATTCATGCAGCTTTACGTGGATCTGCCCATTTCCGTGTGGACACCAAATGCCCCTTTGAACTAAGCCTCCCTATCAATTTCAGAAGACTGGAGTGACTGCTGCTAACCAATTCCCCCAGCAGTGATTCAGAGACGCTGGTCATAAGAGCAAGTGCACTCCAACTGTAGCATATAATCTTGATGCCCTACAAAAACATAACGCTCAAGCAACTAGGAAATCAGCAAGATACACGCACGCACACGCCTCCTGACAGCAGTCATAAACCCAAGACTAGGTGCTGGTGGCAGCACTGTGTTCCTGCCCGCGATTGTCGCCGTCACTTCTGTTGCTTTCCTGCCCTTTGAGTCTTCGTGCCTCTTTCAACTTTTTTTGTTTCGCACGCTCTTTCTTATCGTATGCTTCTTGGGCCTTCTTTTCGTCTAAGGCATTCATGTCAAGAGATTGAGACACTCTGCACAAGGAGAAACTGAAGAACTTAACTTACCTTCAGTGAGCTTGGCATTCGAGAGAATGTAAAGATTGGGAGCCTCTTGCACTTGGGCATTGATGTCCGCCCGAAGGCGAACACCGATTTCCGAGTCAACAGCGGCAAAAACGTAAAATATCTCCTCAAATGTGGATGCTTTTGCGCTATTGCGATACCAGCTAACGTATATCTTGCGGTCACAGACATATCGCCGTCCGTGGTCATCTTCCAGCCTTATGGATTCTGGCAAGGCTACGAACTTTGCTTTGGTTTGACGGGCTATCTCTTCTGAGACAAGGCTGCTCTTCAATACCGAGTCCAGGTACGCAACCACAAGGATTGGATCATGGGCGCCGCTTTCGAGGCAGATATTGTACTTGTTTGAGGACGCCTGCAGATGATGAGGTATTAGCATCGAAACCACGATTTTGCGGTATCAGATTCTGCTTACCATGGTGCGATAAGGCTGCAAGGTACGATCCGGGTCGGGAAGAGTGTAGACGCGCTCCTGCTTCTCGCTACTGCTTTTTGTACGTGACCGCGGAGAAGCTAGCCTCGAGAACAGGCCGCGGCGGACGCAGTTGAATAAATTGAACATGGCGACGTGCCAGAAAGCGAGAAGACTGAAATGTTGATCATGTGCAAGTTGAGCGCATATGCCGCTCATTGCCACTAAATGTCCAATATCTGCTGCATTGGTTGCTATCTAATAGGTGGTCGGCGTGCATGTGGTGCCCAAGTGTGAAGTGTGGTAAGATGGTGGAATCCAGGTTGTAACTGGAAGTTGCATGATGTTTCTGCGAAGCCCCTGCAACTGACCACTGACAGCTGCAGGCTGGGCTAATTTGTAGAAAACGTAAGGCTGAACCCTTGCGGGCAACAATCAAGGGAAGCTAGCTGCGAACTTGGATCTGGAGGCAAGGGGGAATTTCCCAGCGTAACCTTGATACGTCTGAATTGACCCCAAATCCGAGAACAGAACTCCCAAATTGACGGAATGAAGAGCAAGTGGATCATTATTGCGCAGGCAAAGCATCGAGATGCTGCAAAGCACGGAATGCGTGTTGCTCCTCGCTTACGAAGGCCTTTTTACCTCGTACTCACTCTTGAATTTCTGCATTTAATCCCAGGGGTCGTGCGCCAGCTGCTGCCGCACTTGGTTAGAGCACATTCGATCAAGCCCGAAATGTTGACATCAACCAGTGACTTATCGGCAGCCCACGTCCGCGCCCAGTCTGGAGCGGTTTCTAAATCGACAAACCACTCACTCGTTAGGTGGTGGGCTTGCTAAGTCTGCCACGTGCATAACGATCATAGACGAATATGGGGTTTGCGTTCATTACTTTGATACTGGTATCTGCTGTGCGGAAAGGCGATCATGTCCACGCGTCCGTCCATCAATTTATCCAGTTGCTCTTTAACCCAGACCCATGGTGCCATCTGAAAACGCCAACTCGACGTCAAACTTTTTTTTCTTAAAAAAACAAAAACAAAAAAACCATTCCCCTCAACATTTCAGGGGTGACCCATCTCTACCAATTTGAAATCTAAAGCCCGGTGGTGAACGCCCACATGTGGTAGTCGTTAACGCTGAAAAGGCCCTAAAGCCAAAAGCACCACCATGAATCGTTCATGGTAATACATGAGCGCACTCTATGATCGATCAAGCACGATGAGTAATTGAATCTTAGCTCCGCCCATCACACACCTTTGGTCAGACCGTTGCACACATCAGAAAATCTCGACTAGCTCCTGGGCGATGGCGAAGCCATTCTTTCTATATCTCTTGTCATAATCGCCCTGATATCTGGCACTCGTTCAATGTCAGGTTGGCCGACAATGAGCTGTATTGCGCTGGCTCCAGGCCTGGCGTTTTCGATGACATAAAACCGTGACGTGTACCAAGCGGTCTTCTGGTGCGTGTCGTTGCACTGCCAGCGTAGGTCGACATATCGTTTGGGCACAATCTTTTCACCGTTCCCAAGCCGTACCGGCTTCCCTGGCTTGCAAGGCCTGATCTTGGTCGTTTTGCGTTTACGCAGAGATCTGGCAGTGTCGGCACCGATGAAATTCACATCGGCTCCCGTGTCAATCAAAATGCCGCGAGGTTCCGTAGGAGAGCCCTCCCACGCTTGAATCTTGATTCTGGCTTGGAAGTATGATTCTCGTTCTGAGACTGGTTCCTCCGAGTCATCTGGACATTGTGGGTACCGCGGGTCGTCTGAATCGTCTGAGTCGTCTGAGTCGTCTGAGTCGTTTGAGGCATCTGATCTTGAATCTTCTGCTTGAGTTCTGCTTGATGCATTCGAATCTGTTGCTGGACTGGGATATGACAGGTGGATGGCTTCGATATCGTGTTGTTGTTTCGGTAGTCGAGGCAAGTGCAGAGGCTTGTCAACGTTAGCAGGAAGAACACAGCACTAGCAAATATCTTACCTCTCCCTGCTTCACCAATATCTTCTTCTTTTTCTTCCTTTCTGGCTTCGTCTTGGTATGTTTGTGATCGGGATTAGGGTCTTTTTGGAAAATTCGGAAAGCTTGTAAGAGTTTTTGAACGAAAGTCCGGGGCGCAGGGAGCATTTCATTTCGCTCGTGGATGGGCCTTGGTTCATCACTCGTCATTGCCACAACTATGGTCGCCAGTATATACACCCACACAAGAGAGGTGAAGATATCAAGTTGACTTGCAGCAGTGTGCCAATTGTATTACACTGACGCTACTGCGAGAGACTTTGTTTGAAGCCGTTACAGACGCATCCTCGTGCATCACGAACCCAATCACAGGATTGTGACAATTATCCAGGTTGTGTTTATACTCTGTTCTGAGAAGCTCTGTTGAAAAAGGGGGCAAAAGATGGGAGGAAGAGATTGCGTCCGCAGTGGAAGAAGGATGGAAAGTGGTATAAAGAGAGGAGCGAGGGTGGAAAGTAGTCTGGTCGGGAGGAAGGGCTTCGGGCTTCGTGTAACAGCGACAAGTATTCAGCAAATAGCAGGACGCAGAGCCCACTCGCATGCACCCAAAGATATCAACAATGCGAAGAAGATGCTGTTTCAGGAGGAGGATGGTTCGAGGTGCTCAGTTAGGTGAAGACTGGAGTGTTGTCCAGACAGTGTTTGGTGTAGGACACCTGGATCCCGAATCATCTTTCTGAGGCCAGAATTAACTCCGACTAGCCTGTCCATAACTAACGTGATAGGCGGAAGCGCGACTCGGTCCGTACCAGGATACCCTCTCGACCATGGTGAGGTAACTGAGCATAAAAGCTCCAGATCCTCCATTGTTACCATGATAATACCTTGGATGCAAATCGCAATCTTACGAAGCTCTCATACTGAATTTTGATGCCGCACACATGCATGCTCAGCTCCCCTGGACAGCCTTGACCAATAGTGGGTGGTAGCCTTACCCGAAGCAGGCTAGATCGCCTGCGTTCAACGTGGGGAGGACGTGGGATACGATCGTGCGAGAAAGCTTGCAAGTGCGAATGGCGTTCATCGACCATTTGACATCGGCAAAGGAGACGTCGACCTGTCAAAGTCGCCCGATTGCCTGGAAGCGATGTGCTGACTGCAGCCGCTCACATGTCTTCCTTGAGCATGGAGTGCTTGAGCCTGGACCGTCTGTCTTGACCAGGAGGACAGGCATCTACACAACCTCCCTCAGGCTCCGGACGCAACCCTGTCCTTGCTCAGCCCAAGGAGATCGAATATTGCGCCTGTCGTCGCCAGACTTGGATTTCCTTGTCTCAGCCTGACCAAAGTCCCGAACGAACGACGGCCTTTCATGCAAGAGTCTCCATCGCGAATGGCGCAAAATTCTCTCATCTGCAGCACAATCTGCAGGGCGCACTCGCGCACTCAACTGGAAGCGTCGTACACCAGTGCATGAGTCTTTTGCCAGCGGCACAGCCAACGCGGTCGTAGAGCCGTTGCACGCATTTATACCTACATCCACGGACCCCGTGACCGAACACCCTTGGAAAGAAATCTCGCACGCATGTGTGTATTGTGCAGACCATGGCGACAGTTCAAGAGGCTGAGACACCTGGAGATGATAGAGGGTATGATTCTCTTGCTCGTCTGATGAGCGATCATCCCGATAATACCATTTTCAGGCAATTCAGAGCGTTGTGTTCGAAAATGCTCATGTACCGCCAGGCTGACCTCCTTTACGACGAAGAAGACCTCGAGTTTTTATCGGAAGAGAATGAGAAGAAGCAAGAAAAAAAATCCTTTAATCACTGTTGGAATGACATATCTGTCAAGGCAGAGGCAGCAACGTTCCGGGAGAAGATAGATGATGTACAGAGGAAGCTCAAATCATACTGTAAGTGTAGACGTCAACCTCATTGGAAGTAGTTGACAATTTCAGATGAGCTGTTGGCATTGACAGCCACTATTGAGAACTTGCCCAGGCCGAACAATTTGAGCCTTGCGTTTCTGCAAGAATGGGTGAAGAGTCAGGATCGTGGAGAGGGGTTCCTACTCGATACCGAAAGACAAATCTGGGAATCCGCGCCCGCTGATGATTTCGTCGTTCTCTCACCTAAGGCCACAAACGACAGACTTGCCGTGGCTCTAAACGCCTTCATCCAGCCACTGTATCATGCGCATATTGGTGCCAGGAGGTTACCAACAGCCAAGAGACACGGGAGAGTTTGGAGTTACGACTTTCAGCAATTCGTCCTTCTTGGTAATATCTTGTGCATTCTGCTTGCAACTGGAATTCCGGCGGGTTCGATCGTCATATTGTATCTTGTGTGCAGTATGTGGCTCCGTCTACTCATCATTGCCATCTTTTGTTTGCTTTTCGCCTTCGTTTTGACTTTCATCGGAGGAGCTCGACGCGTCGACGTGTTTTCGGCCACCGCCGCCTTCGCCGCAGTGCAGGCGGTTTTTGTTGGCGGCACTACATTGGTGCAGGTGAGGGAGTGAAGATCAGCTCAAGGTTTGAACATGGCAGTGTCGTCAAAAGAAGGAGTGTAATTAGGGTCTTGCGGTGACACAGGATGCATGGGTTGGATACGCTGCAGACAAACTTTGCTAGTGCTCAGTAGTCGCCGGCGGCTTGTGGGTTCCAGATTCCTTCCATGCTCAGGCCGATGGCCCCCATCGGCGTTCAAAGCAAGTCGCTTACGGTTGGTATTTCTCAGTCTCGAGTTTTGGCCGCAACGCTACTGGGTGAGAGGGATAAAATTTACAGCAATCGAGTTCACACGAAGTGATTGATGCCGATGAGGGATTTACGAGACTTCCGTGCCACGTATTCATGCAATGTGATTTCATGCCCACTGAAGCCTATGAAATCTAGGGAGCTGATACCCATCTCGATCATTCAGCCAGCATGGAGGGCCCTGTTGGGTAGCAACTTTTTTGGGGATTGAGCTTTTCAGACGGAGTTGAGTCCGAAGCATTCTAACCACTCATAGCGACTTGACACACTACTATGCCGCCTCAACCAAAATCCTCGTGTTTGGGATGCAAATCAGTCCAGTGCTCCACGAATGTTTACATGAGATTGGCTGCTTGAAAATTAATCAAGAGGTAGCCAGGACAAGGCTGTGGTCAAGACTGGCTCATGGCCCTTTGAATTCTTCTGTCACCCTTTTATTGCAATTTTGTGCTGTACATACAGCTTCCGTGAACCCTTCTCGTGCCTTTTCCTCTGATGCTCTCATTTTGGCTGATAGCCTGAACGTATACATTGTCAATGCCAAAACCAGAAGGGCGTTCGCCACCGTTTTTCTTTAGTATCTCTAGCTCTTCTTCGCATCATATGTTTGCTCTCCTCAGGCTCGTGTTCAGAAATGCTTGTGGCTTCAGCCTTGTTCGCATAGTCTCAGCCCTTTGACTAGCTTACGACGCTATCTGTAACACCGTTAACCGCCTAGCCAATTGAAGCTTTACTCTACATGCAGAGTGAATACCTCCTTAGTTAGTACTGTAGCTACCTGGCCTAATATAAGAGAAAGACAAAAATAGCAAAGGCGGAAACTTCAATCCTCCCTCAGGAGTGGCAATAAAGCAGCAACATTCGCTGAGCCAGATCGGGACAAGCTCTGAGCTAATGGCTTTAGTGTTAAAACATTTTCTTGGCACTTACCTACGCAGTTCTTCCGCCCGAGTCTGCTTTGCTCAATCTAAGTTTGTACGAATAACGGGTTGGGACGCTTGACAACCATCCACACCCACAACTCCCACCGACACACGTCGTGCGCGTGTGGTAAGATGCCGCCATCATCGACGAGACTGCTTGCAGTCCCCCTCCCACCCTCATTCCTTCTACCACGATCCTTCCTGCAAGCTACACCGTCAGCGATTCAAGCACGATCATTTGGCATTAAGGCCATAGAAAAACGGCGGAAAGCCAGTCCGTACAACAATGTCCCAGGTCTCAAACCCTTACTATCTACACCGGAGGCAGCTTACGAGCGGAGAATCAAGTCAGACACCCTACCATTAAGGACGGGAGCGTTAGCTACCAAGAAGGGGATGACAGCAATCTACGATGTCGAATCCGGCAAAAGAATACCCTGCACAGTCCTACAGCTCGATCGCAACGAGGTGGTCAGTCACAAAACGAAGAAGAAGCATGGATATTATGCCGTATGCGTGGGCAGTGGATGGAAGCATGCCCGAGCCGTGACGAAACCAATGTTGGGCCACTTCTCTGCACAAGGTGTTAGTCCCAAACGACACCAGCGAGAATTCCGTGTCAGGGATCATACGGGTCTATTGCCCGTTGGAAAAGAGATTACGGCCGACTGGTTTCTCGTTGGCCAGTTTGTCGATACGCGATCGGATTGCAAGGGAAAAGGCTTTGCAGGTGTGATGAAGAAATGGGGATTTCATGGTCAGGATAGGACGCACGGCCACTCGCTCAGTCACAGATCGCTTGGTTCGACTGGTAATGGCCAGGGTGGTGGTAGTCGTGTGTATCCTGGGAAGAAGATGCCAGGGCGAGTAAGTGCTACAGCGAGCTCCCCTTTGTTCTTGTCACAGAACTAATACGGCGGTGTGTACAGATGGGTGGACAACAGAATACAGTGCAAAATCTGCGGGTATTACAAACAGATCCCGAAAATGGGCTTGTGGTTGTCAATGGTGAGTAGCTCCACCCGTCGTCTGCGCAGCACGGTACTAATCTTTCCCTCAGGAGCCGTCTCCGGACCCAAGGGCGCTTTAGTTTATCTTCAAGATGCACTAAAGAAAGCATGGCCTACTATTCCCGACCCTCCTGCCACAATCGAGGTTGATGTCGAATTGAAAGAGGCTGTGGGTGCAAAGATACCAGCATAGACGATGCGATCCGTGTCCCAGAGTATTCCTGTAGCAACACAATCTTAGAGCCTGTTTACATCTTGATGAGATGAACCCATTCGATGTGTATATATAAGGAGCGACGAAGAAAAACTGCGATTGGAAAATACTCCCCTTCGATTCTACTTGAAGAGATCCGAGTCGAAATGGCTCACAGCTTGGCTAAAGCAGAGTCATACTTTTCATGACGAAAAGCCCTTGCCTCAGGATAAAATCTAGACAGACATATATGTGACTTTACCAACATTACATACTCCCAGCCGCAGGCTCATAGCATATGATTTCCTTCATCCATCCTGGGAACAAACTCTCGTCGTCCGCAATGCTATGTGCAACCACAGCACCAGAGCAGGTATGAGATCATGCACCTTTATAGCCATACCGCATCCCCTGCAACTCCGTCAAGCCCTTCTGCACATCGCCAATACTCGAGCGAACCGTAAGAACGACGGCGAACACCAGCCCAGGCAAAAGAAAGAACGCCCACAACCCATCCGGCACACCGACCTTGCCACGAAATCCACCAGCCAATACGACGAGCAACACGGCGACAAACGCATTCAGAAACGGCAGATACACCGTGAGGGGACTGTCCGGCCCGCCGAAGAAGCCCGACGGGCTACCACGAGCAGCCTGCTGCCTCGCCCGTTGACTCCGACGATTCACGACGGCGCTGAGATCAAGACTCCCGTGGTCGTCTCCCCTGCTGAAGAGTGCCGCGTCCGGCGGGATCATGTACATGAGGTACGCCGTCGAGAGCAGTGATGTGATGCTGAGGATGCACGCCAGCGCGATGGATTTCTGGCTCGATGTGAATAAGAAGCGCAGGAATGGAAGGATCACGGCCAGTGGTAGGGCCGTAAAGATTAATGTGTACTGTGCGTTTGATTTGGTTTCGCTGCTGCGTAGGTTGGTGATGAGGTTTTCTTGTTCTGTATGGCCTTGAATGAATATTGCTTCTCCTCTCAAGGAGAAAGTTATGATGGTGGTGATGATTATGCTATCAAGTGAAGTGGTACATGACCTGGATGTAGAAACCATATGGATCGGGTTGATATGAGGGAAGTCTCTGACCTACCTTCTTCATCCATCTCATCGTGTGATACATCCGAGCCTTCCCCATCGGTCGGGTATTTGAAAGTCTGCCTCAGCCTGGCGGTCGCCATAATGGTGGTCTGGGTCTAAATCCTGATTTTTCTTTGCCGGCCGAAAATATGCCTGGGGAAAATCCCTGAAAGGTGAACCGAATGTTGTTAGTATGTGAATGCGTATTCATATAATTTGAGTAATTCGAAAAGTTGGATTTATTTTATTCTAAGAGGAATTCTGGGGTGCCTCGCGATGTTGATGATAACACGATTCATTCTGGTGGACTGGGGCTCGCTTATCCAATCCGCAATCTACCAGGGCACCTATTGCATCATCGGTGTAGCCTTACGAGTGGTATGGGTGGAGGCGCCTAGAACGCAGCCTATCTAACTAGATACCTAAGAACTCCATAGTGCCAGAGTTGATCAAGTGCCTAAGGCAACTACGGAACCTAAGCAGATAGGTACCTAAACTAACACACCAACGGAGTGCCCAGGTAACTCCCTGGCTAGGTATCTACTCGTAAGGTAAGGAACTAACTAGTCACCTTGGCATTCATTCAAGGCAACGTTTGTTTCAACAACCACACCCGTCGTGAATGCACCGCCCAGTATCGGACGTCGTATTTTAGCGTTCTTCTCCTGGTGTGAAGTCTTGTGGTGAACAGGTGCATGGCCGCTAGATGGTGCTCAATGGATCACTTCACACTGGAGCAGCCCAATCTCACTGAATCATCTTCGAACAACTCATTAACACAACCTTCTCTCTTTAGAACACTACAGGCGTGTACGGTATGGTAAGGTAACCTCTCGAAGGAGATCCATGATTGTACCAAAGGGTCTAACGTGAGACAGTCGAAAAAGAAAGATCAAGTGCGACGGTATCCGCCCACAATGTGGAAGTTGCATTTCACGCAATGAACTCTGCTCATGGCCAAGTTCTGCAGCACCGGGAAACTACGTATTAGCCTCTCAATCTTCTCCATCCTGTCGACAGAAGTCCGGTTCTGCAGACCAGGAGCCCCATTCAAAGCGAGTTCGAATTGATCCCAGGAAAGATATCAGCGATCCACGGCACTTACCTGTAGCCTTATGCTCTCTTGCTTTGGAAATCTTTCTCGAACGGCATCATGCCATTGAGTTCTGCTGTTTCCTCCACACGGCGTCTTTGGATGTTAGCATCATGTCTATTCAGCAGCCATTCCTCGCCCATTCAATTGTTGCTCTTGCTGGCCTATATATGGTGGACCAAGATGCTGCCAAGTTTGGCTACAAAACCAAACACGAACTTTCGGAACGCCATGCAGATATCGCTCGTGAATACTCTCGAGAATCTCTCGATGAAATATCAGGTATGTCTGTCTGCTCTCCCATGCTCAGTTCAAACTGCTCTAACTGTTTTAGTTGCAAACATACAAGCCAATCTTATTCTCACCCTGCACCAACTATTGTCCTGGAAGAGTCTCAAGGCATGGGTGCTTGCGGGAATTGCAATACGCCATGTCCAAGCTCTACGGCTTGGGTCTGAGTTTAACGATCGTCTATCAACTCGACAGAAGGAAGTCCACAGACGAACATTCTGGTCTTGCTTCTTGATGGATCGACTGGTATCTTACTGCTGCTCGCGACCACAGATGATTGACTTGGAAACGGTCCGCATCAACCTTCCATGTCCTGAGAGCAATTTTGCCTTTGACGAACTTTATGACAGTCTCAACCTGAAAACCTTCAGCCCTGCTACTGCTGCGGTTTCTCGTACAGGCATTCTTCCATTTTTCATCACTCTTCTCAGTCTCTGGGGAAGAGCTGGCTACTTCATGGTCGGTTGGGGACGCATAGCGACTAAAGAAGCCCCGGCCCATGCTCATGGGTGTTTCACACAACTTGATAAGCAGATCAATGACTTCTATGATGCACTTCCCTCAAGTATAAAGTGGTCAGGTTCGAATTTAAAGCTTCATCGTTCAACGAACCAAGCGAAACTCTTCGTCACATTCCATCTTCTGCTCAATCACACTAGATTTGTTATGCACCAAGATTATCTTCCGCAACTAGATAGCCCTGGCTTGGAAGAGTCTGAGACTGCGGTTCACGATAATGCGGGAGCGGCCCCGGACTTCAACAGAAGAACGATATCAATTTGCGTGTCATCCGCAGAAAATATCGCTGACATCATCTCAATGTTATCTAGCCAGGAACCATCCCGTTCAGTCGAACTGCAGTCCGCATTTGCCGCAAATGCGATGATCGCTGCTGCTGGCGTCCACATGTGGATTCGGCACACAGAGGGCCTTTCAGGGCAAACTAGTGGTATCGCGATGAATCGTATTCAAAGGACAGCCTTTCTCATTTCGTCATGGCAATTTGACTGGTGTGTGGCAGCTGCCTGGTCGGATACCATCAAGTCACTTGGTAAACTATATGACACCTTCTACCATCAGAGTTGCAACCCCGATAGTATATTGGCCGAAGCTTCACAAATAGATATCGGAAACCCCTCCCTGGACAGTGATGACGGATCAGTCCAGACTACTGGAGGACCTCTCCATGGTGTATGTGAAGGAAATGGAGTTCCTCATCCTGACTCTGTATGTCAACGACTTTTTGACAAAATCCGATTCGTCATACTCGCGTCACTGGAGAATCCGGACGTCAAAAAGCGTATGCTCAATTCGTACCTCCATACCTTGTGGCAACATATGTGGCGATATGAAGCAGTACAGGGTGAGTACAGAGCTGCCCAATTAGAGAGCATTTGCCTCGATGAAGACTGGATGAAAGAGATCGCCCTGGACGGAAACATCCATCTCGGACCTGATTTTGGACTCTACGAAGGGAACATTTACCGAACGCAAGACAATCGATCCTAGGTACAATGCCAGGACGCATAATCTATCGAACCTCAATGCAATTTAGACAGTAATTAGCGCAGCCTTCAATGCTCTAATCGTGTCAATGTTATACTGCCTCCCTGCGTCGATGATGGCATCGTATTGCATGAATGGATGGGCAGCACCCTTGTACATAATATGCTCAACCTGATTACCACCTTCTTTCAGTTTCTCAACATAAGCAGCTCCTTCATCTCGAAGAGGACACAATTCAGCTGTTATCATCAAAGTCGGAGCAAGGTTCTTGAAATTTGGAGCTTTGATTGGTGATGCCCTCCAGTCCTATGCAGATATTAGTGGATCACACAAGTCTAATCCAAGTCGAGAAGAGCTTACATTCTCTACCCCTTTCTGTCGTGGATTGCCTAGGAATTGGTTGAGCACAAAAGTTATTCGTGAAACCGGAAGCGCTGCAGTGTACTCCAGCTCACGATATGACATCCAAGGGTTGTGCGGTAAAATTTCACCCGTGGTGGTGACCGTGTTGAGATCAACGCCAGGCACTGCAAGCATTTGAAAAGCCAAAGGCAAACCCGCATCTCGTGCCAAATGTGCCATTACGGCACTGAGGTGACCACCAGCTGAGACGCCACCCACAGCTATGCGTTTCGGGTCAACTTGAAACTCTTTAGCTTTGTGCTCAAATACCTGCAGCCTCGGTTAATTCAAGTACAAAGCACGAAGCGTGCAATACTGGAGGCCACCACTTACCCATTGCAAGGCGGCCCAACTATCCTCGATGGGGGTAGGGAAAGGATACTCTGGAGCTAATCGATACTCAATATCGAAGCAAACTGCACCCACTTCCCTACACACTCTTCGGCAGTACGGATCATCCATTGCCAGTGAACCGAACGTCCATCCTCCGCCATGATAATTTACATATGCGGGACGAAGAGCACCGTTCTCATCAGCAGCACCCGGATCGAAGATACGAACATTGATCTCTCCATCCTTCACAGGACATTTCTGCTCACTGACCCGAAAGACCTCTCCTCCGTCAGCACGGCCATACTGTATCGTGTAATTTGACGGGTCCGCGCGATACTGCTCGATGGGTACTTGGTGGGTGTGCAGGCGACCGACATTGTACTTGTTGTAGTACTCTATGTACACCGGGTCGAATCTGGAGATAAGTTCATCTGGTATTGCATTGAGCATTGGTTGAACAATTGTCTTTGTAGCCATATTTTCCCTTGCTACCAAATGCTCGCACAACTATGGTTGGCGAATGAAAGAGAGAGATAAGACATGATCAATGGTCAGGAGGAAGGCGTAACCAATATATCATGAAAGACTGCTTACGCTGCGCTCAGAGCGCGTTAAACCACCTGGGTGTTCGCTATCCCCAGTTTCTTACTCCAAACTCTGTTTGTACGGGGCTTTCGAGGGGATCGCCATTCTCTCATCCAAGCCACCTCAGGGCCCTCAGAAGAGATCCAGTTTGCCGCCAGCCCGGTTGAACAAGGATATAGACTTTTGATTCCGCTTTGAAGATTTTCCAACCAATCGTGTCTAAGAAGTCGTGGAGCGAGAGCGAACTGATATGGCTAGTCGCCGAATGCAAGACCGAGCCTGGGCGCCGAGCCCGCGGGCGCGAACTTGAAGCAGCCTAGGTCGTCGGAATCGTGGCACTCTCTCCTGAACAACGCCTCGGATCTGCCGCTTTGATAGTGACCATAGCAGATATTGTTCATTCACGATATGAAGCTTCTGGTCGACTATGTAGGCAAGGTGTCCTTGGCTGAACCTTCTGAGTGTGCGACCAAGGACAGGATATGAAGGCTCAACTTAGTATATTATGGCCATCGAGTTCCCCATGAATACCCTCAAGATTTGACTTAGGAAAAAGGTCAAGAAGCCATCAAACCCACCTGCATTCAACGCAGTAGGTCTTGATGTTGTCTCCGTCAACAGTCATGGAGAAGATCGAATTTGAATTAAGCACGAGAGGCACTCCAGATAGGCCCGACAAAGAAAGGGCGGTTGAGGAGGATGGTGGTTTACGACAATTCGACCCGAAGACTGTCAGTAAACTGCGTCGCAAGATGGACTTCATCCTGCTCCCGACCCTGGCACTCATGTACACCTTCAACAGTCTGGACCGCAGTAACCTGGGCAATGCTAAAACTGCCGGGCTCGAGAAAGATTTGAACATGAAGGGTGACCAATATAATCTCCTGCTGACCAGTTACTACATCGTCTTTTGCCTCTTCGGACCACTGATGGCCATCTTCACCCGTGTCGCCACCGCCAAAATTGCACTCCCTTGTATGATGCTGGCGTTCGGTATCGCTTCTGCAGCAACAGCAGCATCCAAAAGCTTTACGGGTGTCTTGGTGTGTAGGATATTTGTCGGGATTTTCGAGTCCGGCTTTCTGGCGTCGTAAGTATTCAATCCCTTACTGTCGCTGGTCTATTTGCTCAATATACCAAAGCGTTGTCTTCTACCTCTCTCAATGGTACACTCGTGCAGAGATAGCGTCTCGAATTGCCGTCTTCTACGCAGGAGCAGTCGTGGCATCGGCATTTGGCGGCCTTCTTGCGTATGGAGTCTTTCAGATCAAAGGCGGTGCACTCCACGTCTGGGCATACCTCTTTATCCTGGAGGGCTGTCTCACCTGCTTGATTGCCATCGCTGCATACTTTATACTCCCGGGAAACATCAGCGATGCCTACTTCTTGACAGCGGACGAAAAAGAGGTCGCGACAGCCCGCATGCAGATGGATGCAATGCAATCGCAGGCTCCAAAATGGAACTGGTCAGAGGCCTTCTCCGAGTTTCGCACTATTCACGCCTATGCACGTGTCTTGATTGCTGTCGCTTGCGGTCTCCTACCCCAGTCCAGTGCCAATTTCCTGGCAATTATGACCGTGAGATTGGGGTACTCGGTGGCTAAGACAAACCTGGTGAGTCGAGGCCCTTTTAGAACTTGATTGATTTGGCTATTCCGAGAAATCGCTGACGGTGATTACTTCCAACAGTACACTGTAGCTCCAGCAGTGACAGCTACGGTGTTCGTCGTGGCGTTTGCGTATTCGTCTGATCATTTCCGCGAGCGCGGCTTTCACATGGCAGTGCCATGCGCTGTAGGCATGATAGGCTATATCATCCTTATCGCAGTCCATGTGGAGACCCATAAAGGGGTTGGATACCTAGCCATATTTTTCTGTACCATTGGTGTAAGTACCGCTCACTCTGAATTCATTCTCAGTAACGCATCACTAAATATTCGCCACCTGTTCGAACCATTAGGCATATCCAATGGCTGTCATATTTTCAGCGTGGACAGTCGCCAACATACCCAATCTCAACGCTCGTGCACTTACAACTGGAATTCTACTATCAATATCGAACTCGACCGGATTGGTGACGTCGAACATCTTTCTTTCCCGAGAGGCACCAAAGTACACGACTGCACTCATCGTGAACATGTCTTTTTCGGCCTTCGGGATGGCTTTTATAGTCAGCTATAGCCTGTATCTGCGATTCCTCAATCGAGCATTGGATAGCAATAGCCGCTTGGGGGGCATGTTTGGTTTATTCGGTGAAGATAAGTTGATGCGTGGCGAAGGATTTCGATTCCAGCCCTAGGAAGCCAGCCTCTTTCTCTCGAGAAGCTCGACCGGCGACAGTCTACCATGCATTCAGATCACTGCGACGGTGTGATGCCAATAGCGGTGGATCAGCTTGACGTTGACGCTGATAAATGGTGGAATGCTATGATACGGGGACACAGGCTTTTTGGGTCAAAATATTGCTTGAATAAATCTCATCCTTAAGAAATACTGCATTCTTGCCCGAGAACGAATGCATCTCCATAAATAGATGGTCGCCATCAATATTTAGTGGAACTCGCAACTCGCAGTTAACACCCCGAGCTCAAAGCTCATACGGTCGTCGCAGATCATCCATCACAAACGCCAATTGCGCTTGACAATTCTCACCGGGAGATCTTTCGCCATGTAAATCGAGATATTTGCTTTGACATCATCAACCATCTGCCGAATAGCATCATCTCTAGTCTTCTCCCAAGCAAGCTTCTCATCACCACCACAGGCCCGTAGAGTGTCCTCGGGGACGACCAACTCAATAGAATACTCCTTGAACAGGGTCGCCACGAATGCCGCCATCTCAATCTGCGCAAAAGCTTTCCCAAGACATGACCTCGGCCCGACGCCGAAGAACGGTACTTGTTTCTCTGGGAGTTCGTCTTTCAGCCATCGATGTGGGTCGAAATACAGAGCAGGTGAGTCATGGAGCTGATCCTTCCTCGCCCGTGGAACGTCTCGTTGGGTCCATCTGTCGGGATCATGGTTCGTGGCAGCGAAATTGACCATGATCATCGTGTTCTCGGGGATCGTGTGAGACTGCCCCTTTGGTGTCCACCACAGGCGTCGCAACCGTCGCTCGCCGAAAGTTCCACTGAGCGGGATGGTAGAGGCGCAAAGTCTCCTTCTGGATGGCACCGAGAACGCCTCTTTGAAGCACGCTGTAGTCTTCCGTGACCGTCCACTCCTGTCGAGGGCGATCACCCAGCTGGCGGTCCAGCTCCTCGTGCAGCTCCTTCTGATATTCGGGGTAGATCACCATCAGATATACCATGAACGCCATGGTGCTTCCAGTGGTTTCGTGTCCGGCGAGTAAAGCGAAGAACATGTCACCAAAGACACCTTCTCGTGAAAGCGCGATATCACCCGGTTCCAGCATTTCAGGCGTCCCAGCAAGCACAATCGACTCTGTTCAACGATGAGCATTGAAACGTTATGACCCTCAATATTTGGCGGCAAACCTACCGAGAATACTTCTATTCCGCTTCGACTTCGTCTGTTCCAATCTCGAAAGCGCATTATCCTGAAGCTCTTCCATATACTTGGTCCAGTCCGTGAAGGCGATATACGGCTCGCGGAAAAACTTTAGAGGGATGTTCCGGAGCCAGGACCGAGGGACTGTGGCAATAGTCGCCAGCCGACCCAGTACACCAAACAAGGCTTCCTCAAAGCCAAGCTGATGCTCTGTTGGTACGAGATTCACGCCCTGATCATATTCCTCCCATGTTAGTCGCTTATGGAAAAACCCACTAACGATGACATGCAGCGCGAGGCGCGAAGTCCAGTCCTTGACGGAGCGTACGACCGACCCATCTCGCATCCAGACAGAAGCGAGTGTATCTGCTTGGAACTGCGATTCCTCCCAAACCGTCGTGTTGATCGCAGGGTTGAATCCAAGTGCCATGATCCTGCGGTGTGCTTTCCACTCCTCGCCCTCCACGGAACCCAGGTTCGGTCCATATACGTCAAAGAACTTCGTCATGTCGGTCGGAGTCTGGAACTTCCCTTGCTGCGTATATACTTCGTCCCAGACGCGCGGATCGCATGTCCACAGAAGGTTGCCGTTCGGTGTCACAAGCATGAAAGTGTCGGCTCCGGCTTGCTGGAATGGTTTATGGCTTGCAGACCAAATTCTCCAGACTTGGGACATCCTAGTCATGGGGCCATCTAGTTTGAGTCTCATTGTTCACTGCTGATGGAGGTACTTACGGTAGCCATGGTTGCATCCAATTTGTGGGTAGTTTCTCCAGATAAGGCACAATCATGGGGTAGATCATCAACCACCACGCATCCGAAATATGAACGCTGTCGTTCATGATTAGAACAAGACTCTCGTAAAATCACACGGGTGCCACTCACGGTGAGGAGAAGACAGGAAAGCCGCTCGTCAAAGCGATTTTATAATTCCTCCTCCATGCGGCTATTTTTCTGGAAACTATAAACACTGTCAAGCAGACAAAAGCAGCTGCGACGAGGCGGACCATGATTCCGACGGTTTCTCACTCAGGAGTTGCATCCGGAGAAAATTGAATATAAGACAGGTGCGATCTTCAGGAATACAAATTTCGAAGAAGAGATGTAGGGTAGTGGAAGCACCAACGGAGTGCAGACACTGACAATCATCTGCAACTTGTGGTCATCGAGCTAGGCGTCCCGTTGCCAGTCGTCTGCAGATCAGGGTTCATTTTCGGACCCCTTGGGCCATCCCTCTCCCCTAGTCCGATGTCCTTGTTCAGATTCTTCAACGTAGCCATTCGCGCTTGTTTACGACTTGGAGGTCACCAATATGGACTCGTCGGGCTCGCACGTAGGAAGCATCATCCGCGTAGGAGCGATCCTCATACTTACCTGATTCACATACCAGGCTCGCAGGTATCGTTCGTATCACGCGCGGAAGAGATCCAAACAAGGAATGCACAACATACCCATGCAAACCTGCGTATGCTGACTCCAGACTAATTTAGTGACCGGCACCCAACTGGATACCTCCGCAATTCCAATAGGCTGGAATCGGTGACAATCGGGTATCGGATATAATCAGTCCGTCGAGAGCAGGCCAGATTTTCCAGATGTGTGCTGAGCAGTCGCTCTGGAGTAGATACCAACTCCGCCATATTTCAGGTGATGTAGCCTGGTTTTCCAGCCAGGAACGAACCAGAAAAGACCGTGCAGTTAGCATAATCATAAAGGTTGTGCGTCTTGTCCGGACAAGGTCGCTCTGGTCGTCAGTGTCGATTAAATGTCGTCAAAGGCCACTGCATGTAACGCTTCCTGGTACTAAAGAGTCAAATTACAGTAGTGAAATTTATCCCACGTCTATAGTATATATTCATAATCGTTCAAAGTCGTATCTTCGCACCAAGACCTTTGCCTTCGTACCATATTTGTTCTTGCCATTTGCCTATCTTTACACCGACATCTGCATTTGCGTCCACTTTCAAAGTGCCACCTAGAGCATCTCGTATGGTTCCGAGGGCATTTCCACCCCACTCAACAGGTAACCTGGGTGTCACATTCTCGCCTTCTTCAATGGCAAAAGGATATTCCCAATTGATAGTGCCAATTTCAGAGCCGTTATAATATGCATGCGCAGCAATGCTCGTGATGTATAGCGCAAATGGTGACACGAGAACAAATGTTGCGGTTGATGACAGTATATGCATCTGAATTATTAGCTAGATTTGACAGTATGACCACAGATCCATACCGTGGTTTCCTTGAGGAAATGGCCAAATATTCTGGGAGTTGGCATGGTCAACTCCAAATCAACATTGGGAAATCTCGGAATTGAGTTGGCATGTGTTTTCACAGTCAACGTGGTGTTATAGCCGGAGATGAATTGCGACAACCACTCTCTACCAACACTTCCCACTTCCCAAGAAGCCCTCATGATGACCTCATTGGGACCCGGTACAATGTCGGCAGAGATCCAGGCATAACCAACTCGCGTATCATTCACCAGAAGACTGACATTGCAATAAGGAACCGATGCGGAATATTCGGTGGGATTAGTCACGTTAACCTTTGCCTGTAAAGTTAATGCATGCTCGGACGTTTCGACGACTTCCATACCCTTGATTTCTGGCATCTTGAACCCACCATTGATAGGTTTGATGAAGATGTCACCCTGTGCTGGAATATTTCGCACCACAAATGTCCCAAGCGCAGTGTTGGTATGGACATCGACCTTGGCATGTACCTCGAGAGATACACCTTCACCGAACAGCAACTCATGAACGACACTTGTGAAGACATCATCATTTGAGATGATGAGTGGAGCCTCCTTCACAATCGATTGAACCAGTAAATCCCCATCAATCTTTGTGGCATTCGATGATTGCCACTTGCGTAAGTCGAGATTTCCAAGTAGATCACCTTTGTAGAAAACTTCGGCGTCTGCCCGGACTTTGTCCACATCCATGTTGATATTCATCTCCGCAGGTAGACCAACCATGACCTTGACAACAGCGGAGATCTTCGGATATGTTTCCGATCCAAGATCAGGTAGCGAAAAATGAGTGTCTTCGAGTGAGAAGTTCTTGATCAGATTATCAAATTGATGTTCCGGCAGTGGGAATGGTAGGATTGTATCTTTCAATAGGTTTCCAATCCATTCCGGCGTGCTCTCGTCTTGATCGCCACCACGGATGTAGACAATTGTTTCCCTACCTCCCAGATAGTCAGCGACAAAGCTGTCCAGTGGGGATGAATCTGATCCAGGGCAGGCTGAAGTCAATGATGTTGGCAATTGTTGGACAATACCGGTAACCCCGACGCTGATATTTTTGTTAGGGGCAATGTGTATGATGTCTGTCCGGGCGGTTCCAAGGGAGAGATAATCGTCAGAACAATCAGGGAGTAATACTTCAAATGCCAGAGAAGGAACGTCGAAAGTTACTGGGTATTGATTAGCGATTGAGACCACGGCCATAGCTTTCAATCCATCGGGATGTCCTGGCAGTCCATGTTCGGCGAATCTTAATTTCTGAAGATCGAATGCTGGGACTGTTGGAATGTCCTGACCTTGCAGTTTCAAAAACTGAGTGATGGTCTGCTTGCCGACATTAATAAGCCCACTCCTGACTGACACCCGTGCAATTGCCTTGACGTTTAAACTATTAATCTTTTGATCGAGGAAATCTTTCGCGATCCTTCGAATCCCATCAACATCGCCAGGCTCCAAATCCGCAATGAAATTGATATTGTTGTGTTGGTGGTTTCTTATGTTCAGTTTCATCGGAGGAACAGTGGCAGAGCCCAGCAGAACATCGTTGTAGTCCGGTAGAAAGACATCCACGGTGGATGTTTTACTTTCCACCTCTCTGGCAATCCATGTGCCAAATCTTCCAAGGTCTCTTGTTGCTTTATGCTGCACTTTGGAAGCGTCCATATAAAAATCACCTTGTATCCTTGCGCGCACGCCGAAAGACGTAAAGGAATCGATGGTAAGCTTGGTCGGTTCGAAGACCATTCCCTCTTTTGCATATTCTTCGATGACGGAAGGTAGAGCCAGGCCAAGGCAAATGAGAAGTACAGCAAGACACAAGACTGTCAAAGCTACAATAGTTGGCCATCTCTTCCGCTTCTTCCCTTGGATATCGTCTAGTGAATCCGATGGAGAAGGTGGGTGGTGGGAGGGCGCATCTTCGGGTTCAGCGAGGAGCGGTGTCCTTTCCGAGGAAATTGGGGAGGGCTTTCGAGCCGACATGATGAGCAGAAAACCAGCTGCTCGTCAAGATAGGGTTAAGTCATGGATGATGCATAAAAGAAATGAACAGAGAGTGAGGGATAGGAATCGTTGTGGTCATCAGCCAAGTGGTGAGATGAGCAGTTGGTTGCAGTCATGACGAATTCGAAACTCTTGGGGGACAAATCATGCAGGTACCACCGGAACCACCACACGTGCCACGGTCAATGGCGCCTGCCAACCCGGGGGTATCCATTCTCGCGCGGTGCCATAAGTGGAAGGCAAGCCGCGGGTCTTTCTTCTTTTAATAAACTCCGGGGCTTGCGGGGCTGACTCCTTGCAACCCAGGGCAGTCCCAATACCCAAACAGTGGTAGCCAGACCCCCGGTGCGCCCGAGCAGGCCCTAATACAACTCCCTAGGAACCCATGCTACGTAGCTGAAGTTCTTTGTTCTTCAACTGCTCGATTCCAAGGTGTAAACTCACTACTGGATGATTCTTCGAACATTAATATCTTGATTCACATCCTAATCATATCAACTGCACGTCTATATCAGAGTGTCTGACGATGTAGTAAGAGCTGGGCATGTGGCTTCAATATCGCAGCATCGTTGGATTCCTGTTCGCTGAAGTTGGCCACTCTCAGGGCATCACGGTGCCCATGATCCTCAGAATGTAGCCATTGCACACTGATCGGCGATGTACCTTCATCTGCACTGGCATCCGGGCCTTGCTTCTCCAGTGATGTTATCAATGAAAGACTAAGAATCGCCGGTGTTTCCAAGGCCTGGGTTTCATCAGTGAGGGTTCCTGAAGCACTGGACTCTTCGTCCACCTCACCAATCCTGCTGAGGTCAAAAAGTACACGGGGCCCTTTATTGTTGCCGATCTTGTTCAAAACGGTGACATGGTCAAATGCCTTTTCCAATATGGCAAATTCATGTACATTGTGGCCATTTTGATCGCGAATATCCCTGGTTTGCAGTGTACCATCTCCATATATCTGCCTCAACTGCTTGAGGCTGTAAAGACCGGCCTCTAAAGACAGGACTGCGCAGTGCAACACGGGCCTGCCTTTCTTGTCGCACTGCTCCAGAGCCTTTGCACTGTCTTCGACCTCAAGGATGGGCCGCATGAACTTGGCTGTGGCCCCAATATGCATGCAAACGTGAAGAATTGACACCTCACCCCGGAAATTGTATGGAATATGAGTTTCCTTATACAGCATCAGGAACTCTGCAATTGTTGTCTCTTCACTAGGCAGCCCTGGTGCGTATCCCCTCTCCTTTCCCCATTTCAAGATGCAGTACTCTAGTGGTGAAATGCCACTTCGACGGCAATTGATATCTGCGCCTTGATCAAGGGCGTCTGCAACCTGACTGAGTTCTAGCTCAATGACAGCTCTGAAATATTCATTGTCAATCCGGATCTGCTCGTCCTGATCCAATGCCTCCTGACAAAGGATTGCTGCCAATGGCATATGTCGTCTCTCTAGTCTCCTAGGCCGATGACGTGCTACGAATTCGAGATAATCTTCGTGGTAACTTCGACTGAAGATGCCTTGCCGGCGCAGGTCAAGCGCAAGAGTATTGTCATCATGGGTCGATTGGCCGGGGTCTGCTTCTCTCGGATCTTCGGCGTGCCGTCTTGAAGTTTGACGATCATGTTTCGAACTACTAAAACTTATCGGTTGCTCACATAACTTGTTGATGAGCAAGCGCCGATACACTGGTCCACTGAACAGCTCGTCTTCAAAGGAGAAACTTCCACTGAGACCACAACGTTGAGATACCACGGACATCATAGACCCCAATCCTGATCTGGTAGAGGTTGCGATCGTGGACTCTGGCATACGAGTGCTTGGCTGGTGCCCGCTCTTCACGATCGTCCAGGCAGTCTCCTCGTCTTTTCGAAACTTTGGTCTCAAAACTTCAATCGCGGCTTCTTGCACGGGTTGAGACGGTCTGCCAGAGTCAGCCATGCTTTTAGTGAGCATTCTTGAGACTTACAAAGTCAATACCGATATCAGCAGATTGAGCGATGTGCTCTGTCGATGAATTCTATCGCCATGCTCGCAGAGCAGTTTGTGGTGCAACAATAAGTATAGCGCGTCTTTGCCTCTCGCTTTGCCACCCATGCGAGCCCAGAGTCCACGCTTTGAAGTCGCAGATGCACGATCAAGGTCGGTCTCAATGATATCCATCATAGCCTTTCCAACTTCCAGATAGCTCTCAATCTGGGCGACCAAAGAGTCGCTATCTCCAGCAAGTGTTGTCTGACATGCTTGCACCGCCCATTGTTGGATTTGACACCATGCAGCCTCGTAGGCTTTGAATGTTGCAATCAAATCTAAAACCGTCAATCGCGCGTTCTGATGGCGATCTCGGATCTCGACCAGATACTCGACAATCTGAGCGGTAAGCGCCAAGAGCCCCGCAACTCCTGAAGCAATACCGATTATCGCGGAGACGGGCTCCATCTTACCTCACCAGGCTTCCAAAAACATCCAACATCTAACATCAAAAGTTGTGGAGTTATTTTACAGAAGTGATGGTATAGATACATCCAGTAAAAGAGATGACTGGCGACACATGTTGCCGATTCGCAATTGTGAAAAAAACATAACCCCCTTGATTTAAGACATGCTGGTCAGGGGCAATATGTGGCTTGCAGGCCGACTCGAGTTCAAGAAAAAGCAAATTTCACGGCGCGTGCAATTGCCAACACGCCAGGATCCTGTCAGTACGTGCCTGAATACCCCCGCAATTATCTGCTTCATGATAAGGGGAGTTATATGCATTGTCTTGGCTTTGTAGCCTCACACCTCCATAGTGCTTCGGAAGTTGCACAAAATCCATCAGCCTGAGCTGCGGCGCCTCAACTCGGTAAATACTTCCAGCAAATTCCTCTTAGCCTCCAGGCGCTGCGGATCACGACTGGGAACGTGTTTCAGCCGTTGTAATCAACCAATCACCAAAACTCCTTCATTCGTCCTGACTGTCCAAACATGATCTCAGCTTTTTGATATGCTGCGGACTAGCCTTGCAACAGCCTCCGACAATTATTCCTTGCCAGGCTGCTCTCTTCCGCACCTCGCTTACAATTTGGGTTACTTGTTCCCCCCAAGGGGCTTCATCTTCATCATTTCCAATCCACTGCCATAACTTGGTGTCATATACCTTTCCCCCAGCCGCATCCGGGTAGAGTACGAGTCTCGGTAGATCAAAGCCCTGTGATTTTGCAGCCTCCTCGAAAGCCAGAATCAACGCCGAGATTTTGTGTATTTTCGTGCAATTGATGCCCATTGCAAAAGGCCGGTCTTCGCCTTCTAGCATCGTGCGGACTAGCGTGTCAATATCCGTGCCATCGGGTAATTTTGCGTCATCGTTGGGAAAGACGCAAGCGATCCAATAGTCCTTGCCTTTCACATCTTGCATCACACGTCTGGCGGCCCTCACTTCATCAAGCCGGGGTAGTGTCTCAAATGCGACAAGATCAACTTCATTCCATTCTTCACTGTTGACAAAAACGTTGAGCCGATCAAGGTGGAACTCATACAGGCCAGCTTCTACCATGCTCCCATAAAGTCCACTATACTCGGCGCCAGGGACCATGGTCGCACCATAAGCCCCGAGGCTCAAAGCCACAAGACCCCTACGATCGCCGAATGCTTCTCGAGCAATAGTAACAGCTGAGAGCATCAATTGTTTAGCTTCGTCTTTTTCAATACCACCCGGTCGAGTGGTTTTTGTGTTCGCAAACCCATGAAAACTGGCCTGATATGTCGCTGTCATTATGACGTCTGCACCAGCACGAGCAAAGTCTTCTTGAACGGTGCGAAGTGTGGAAACGCCCTCCACCAGGGTGTGAGAAGACCACAGAGGTGTTCGCCCGTCAAGTTTAATGTGATGTTCATCTTCAAGAGTGGTGCCTAGCCCCCCATCCAAGATAAGGATTTCCTTTCCTAGGAGATTCATGTCTGGAGATGACTCAAGTTATTGAGTCAGGCTGGCTGGTAGGGTAAATGTTGATCTCAACGATCCAAGTTTGTTTTTATTTTTTTTGCACGAGGCTGAGCGAGCACGCTATACCACTACGGCGGAGTATAAGATCAAATAGCAGTCGAACTAGTCTTCTTGGGGAGTAGCCTCTCGGGAGATCGACCGCTAAGCAATCCGTTAATTGGGGAAACTTCTCCAAGGAAAACTCCCGTTTTCTGCGCCTTATCAGCTATCGCGACTTCACCATTCTGACTCAGAGGACTGGAGTGGAGGGCGGAGAGAAGTAGCGCTCTCCTTGGATTATTCAAAGACTCGAGTTGCATGACCATGCTCTATAAGACCAGCTGCTGACCCGCCGCCTCCATTGAGCTCCTCTCTACAAATTGAGCAACACGAACATGGCAGCTCTACGCCCATGCATGCGACGAGTCCTCGTCCACCGCCCACTGATTCGCCTCGCCTCGACTTCGTCCTCAACGGTGTCCTCCACGGCATCCACGGCATCCACGGCATCCACGGTGTCACTCTCAAGTACACCTGCAGATCCTCCGTCCACTCCATCTGCTCCTCGTCATTTCCTCCGAATCTCGGACCTGGCGACGTGGGAGCTCTCTCAGCTAATCGAGAATACGTACAGACACAAAAAAAACTACCAACATGAGCAATGGGCCATGCGTGACGCGCTTCACGGGAAGACGGTGGCACTCATGTTTTCCAAGCTGTCTACTAGGACCCGCGTCTCAACCGAGGGCGCTGTCGTGGCGATGGGTGGACATCCTATGTTCTTGGGCAAGAACGATATCCAGCTCGGAGTCAATGAATCTCTTTATGATACATCGGTAGTTATCTCCAGTATGGTTTCGGGTATAGTCGCCCGGGTTGGTCCACATTCCGACATTGCAGAGTTGGCCAAACACTCGTCTGCTCCCGTCATTAGTGGACTCTGCGACACGTATCACCCTTTGCAAGCCATTGCAGATTTCTCGACGATGGCCCAGTTCGCTTCCAAAGGTGGTAAATTTCCCAAGGACCTCAGGGGCTTGAAGATTGCCTGGGTGGGGGATGCGAACAACGTCTTACATGATCTTTGTGTGGGGGCAAAGAAATTGGGTATACAGGTAGCGATAGCTACACCTGAAGGCTACGGGCTCTCGGAAAAAATGAGAGCAGAAATTCACGCGGCTGGGCCCGAAGGGATGTTGTTCGAGACAAATGTACCGGAGGAGGCAGTCAAAGGAGCTGATGTGATATTGACCGACACTTGGATATCAATGGGTCAGGAAGAGGAGAAGGTCAAACGTCTGAAGGCATTTGAGGGCTTTACCGTCACAGAAGAGCTGGCTCGCCGCGGAGGGGCTGCCAAGGATTGGAAATTCATGCATTGCTTACCTCGCCATCAAGAAGAGGTCGACGATGAGGTTTTCTACGGCAATCGATCTTTGGTGTTCCCAGAGGCCCAGAACAGATTGTTTGCTGCCATCGCCGCTATAGAATGCTTCATTGTCAACAAGGGGAAAGTTCGGAGAGCTCCTGGCATAAACCGGAGCCGTGCAGATAGATTCTACCAAGCGAACAAGAGGCCTGCCAATACGCAGCCGAAGACTGCATCAGCTTGGAGCAGTAGCACGCCTGATGGCGGAGAACAAGAGACGCTCGCAAAGGAAAAGAAGCCATGAAGAGCCAGATGAGCCGGCCGCATCCTGATACATGCTGTGAACAGACAGTGCGGCACATAGAAACTGGAAGCATGATTGATCAAGCGAGGATGTTGACGAGCATCAGTCCCTATGGGTCAACAGAAATCCATTGATTCGAAGCCCATGAAAGCTACAGACATGTGACCATGCGACCAGCCCGATTTCGAAAATCACCGCGCGATCACATCAAAAAGCGCCCTCCTCTATTCCAACAGCCTTCTCCTTTCTTCAGATAAATATTAATCGTACTTGCCTGCGCCAATCCAAGACATAGACCACAACTGAAAGGTCTCACTTAGCAGCCTCTGGCTACCGCATACCTGTGTTGAGCCCCCATCCCCTGACAACATCACCTATTACAGCCTTACTGGCCGCAAATGGCGCTCGTGACCGCCCTCCAAAAACAATAACGCACGGATTTAACACACTCCGCGCGGATAATATATTGCTTCTTCCACACAACATGAATACGCCACGTCGTGGTCAGCTATAATACAGCAGGCGAGGCTCAGCCATGAAAGCCAACAAGAAGCACACACAAAGAGTCAAGAAGTTCGCCTCGCCGATCCGTGTACGCACCCCAAAAGCGACTTACCGGCCTAAGGACGGGTGAGAAAGGGCGACTGCGAGTCCCACAGTCATGCATGATTGACCTCTGCATCCGACGCATCTGATGCGACGTCGGATGATTCGCTTCCCACTGTTCTGGATCGGCCGGTAGGCGAGAAAGCTAATTGAGCAGTTCGTACCGTTCGGAGATCGCTTTCAGTGTTGTTGGAGGGTCCATGGAAAGTGGACTCGATGCAGCTTTGGTTGCAAGTTGCAAGTGGAATGCGAGGTTTCCTCGGGTTGGACCAATAGGAGACCCCAACTCTATACACGTGCCTCCACTTTTCACCACAGTTTTCGAAGGATTTCATTTGCCTCGGGCGTGTTTCTTCCCTTGCCTCCTCCCTCTTCGATTTATCACCTTATGCTTCACGCCCCTGTTCTATTGGTCTCCAGCCCTGCAGAAGAAATCCCCTCCTTTTACCTGGAGCCTTGGCGCCGGCGATGCCCTAGCTGGCCACTGGCCGCTGGGCAGAGGTCTCGTCTATTGTTCTAGAAGCCTGGAAAGAAGAAATGGAGTTGACAGGGTCTTTTAAATGCTGGTAGGGTTGTCTGTCTGTCTGGTGGACCCATGGTACAGTAGTCAGTAGGCTGTGGCGGTGCCTGCGCGGTCCAGAATCCCCCACTGGCAGTGAGCAAACCCAGTCCCCAGGCATGTCTAGACATGGCGTCCAAGCTGATTCTCGTGTGGATTGTCTGGTGACAATGGTCCGAATTGGGGAGATCATCCAAGATGACGCGTGACCCTATCAGCATCATGCCCTGCGTTGTCAAATCGCCACATTCTGCTTCTCACGCCGAAGATGGAGGGCCGGCGATCTCAGGAGAAGTCTCTATAGCAGGCAACCCCACCCCAAGAATAATAGTACAAAGGACCGAGATTGGTCTGAGGCATTTCATGCCGACCAGATTATCATTGCCTTTTCGCCTGCTCACGGCAGACCCAATGTTGCATTGTGTCATGGAGGCACGCTTGCGGCTATGAGCATGAGTATGCAGTTAGCAGGTGGCCCACAAGAGCCCCTTCGTTGTGGATGAGCACACCGCGCAGCATAAGCGAGTCGTATGAAGTCGCTGACTTGCGAACTATTGACTCGTGCTCCGGCCTAGATATGACATATTGCATCGCTCTGTACCATCGGACGACCAAAAGAAATATGTGTCTCTGGAACTAGTAGGGCATGCCAATTCAGGGCAAACCGCAGAAGGAAGTCGCTATTTGATGATACATTCGTTCACGGACAGCTCACAATCTTTTGTTCTGTGGTCTGTTTGGTGATTTCTCCCGATGGGACCAATCATGCGTTAGAAGAGTGCCAATCTTATAAGCTTGCCGTCACTGGGCGACTTCTCACAGAGGCGGCTTGACGTCTATATTCATGGCTATCAGTCTGTCATTCCCGAGTCCCAAGAAGGCATAAGGACGGATGTATACGAGTGACACAGCAACGTGTGACCCTCTGGCGAAACCATCTGTTGGCGATATAGGCTGGACTTGGCCTTACGATGATCTCAGAATTCCGCTAAATTCTGCAGCTATTTGTGGAGTGGGTTGCATGAGGCAGTCGACGGGGTATCAAAGGAACCCACGCAAAGACATGCAGATAAGCCTGATGTCTGTGAGTATGACCTGTGTCTCGATGATGCCCTTGGATTTGCTACTAGTCAGTTACAGTGGCGAGCCCTCATCCTCAACTTTTGTGCTTGGCCCAGACCCTGCGTTTTGCTCTTGTTCAATAAGCTTCTCGAGAGACAATACCTGAAATGCTTCTGAAGGCAAGCCATAGGATCAGAGGGTTGGCAAATCCTTCACTCACGTTGGCGATCTCTCGTCAGGGATCTTGATGCTGGGCCGCTTTGGCGACCACAACGAACACAAACGCGTTACAAAATCTCGCTATGTAGCAGTCCAGCAATCCAGGCACCAACATCGTGGGTAAAACGTGTTGAGCCTTGCTGTACATTCCGTATGAACGTGCACAGGCGAGACCCGAGAAATGGGTCATGTATGGTAATGAATAACTACCACCAAGGGTGTTGCTGGTCTTGTGGGGTTCTCACAAACGGTCCGTAGCGGGTGGCATAATTTAACCAGCCCTGATAATCTTTTTTCGGCACTGCCACAATAGTGTTTTTTCACATTAAGCACAAGATGGTATCCATAATGATTCCGTCAAAGATGGCCGAGCTCATGATGTGAACAGTCATTGCGCTCTCGTCAAGGCCGAAATGGGTGAGATGATTTCTCAAATCGATCGTGGCGCGATGCATGGATCAGAATTAGCTGCATGAAAATCCCTGTGCAGAATGCGACCGTGCCTGTGCCCCTGCAAGCCACACCAGGGCCTACATGAGCTTCTCGAGACGTTAAGCCCGGCGAAGCAGGAGCCAAGACTATTTGCCAAGAGCAAGGCAGGCCTCGAATCGCCCATTTGGGGAAGGCGCAACCTTGGCGGAGTCCGCTGGGAGGAAACACCAAGTCTTGCCCAGGCGCTTTTCAAAGCCAACAGAAAACCCTACTTTGTCGACCTCCAGTAAGATCCAGAGCATTTCCCACGTGTGCGAAACCTCAGAAGACTGAGAATCTGCTGTCTGGACATTCCGAGTTTGCATCGACGCTGGGGAAAAAGTAACTGAAAACGTCTGATGGGCGGGTAAATGCGATTTACGAGCAGATGTTGAAATCGATCTGCCCGCTACATCAACAGACTGCGAGTGGAAGGGAAAAGCTCCAACAGAGAAATTCACAGCGTGCTATCAATTCCCCAGGGCGTCACTCATTTGGCCAATGACAGTTGGTGGTGCTCTATCGAGTCACGGATCTCTCGACAACTTAGGGCCATTTTCTCGAGGATCTAACCTCTGAGAGCCTGGCCTCTCGAGGCGCTTACAACTGACCAAGTTACGAGCTGTTCGGAGTACAACGTGGTTCATGCCAGGGCTCCGTCTGGAGTACCTCGTACGAGCCGACGAGGATAAGGAGTCTCGGTTGTCGGATGGACTGCACCAATCTCATCGATAGAGGGCGATTCTACCAGAAGATTTGCAATGGTCCCTGTCGGGAGTCCCACGCTATCTTTGCTTTCAGCACCCTGTCCCGAGCTGGTGGCATCCGGATCCATTGAATGACACTTCGTTGAATCTTGGCTCTTGGCAGTGCCACCCGATTCCACCTGATACATCTTTGCTTCTGACATTTTGAAGCCCACGTGCATCGATGCTCGACTGTCAGTTGTTGAAGCACGTTCCGACCGTGTTCAGCTTTTTTTTGACATGGAATACCACTATGTAGCCTCACGCTGCATATATATTGCAGGCAGTGGGTGCTGCCATGCAAATTCTTCGACTCGAACAACTCCAAGCAGAGCTTGACAAGACTCTTCTCAACCATAGTCGCTGCTTGTTTCTGACATCGCCAAGATGCCAATCCTCGAGGAATACACCTATGTCTTCGCCATCGGCACATTCTTTGCCCTGCTCGAAGCATACAACAACGGTGCCAACGATGTCGCCAACGCTTGGGCGACCAGCGTTTCGTCGCGCTCCGTCACCTACCGACAAGCTATGCTTCTCTGCCTGATTTTCGAAATGACCGGTGCCCTCGCTGTCGGTGCTAGAACTGCCTCCACCATCAAGAACGGTATCATCCCAATTTCCGCTTTCGAGAACAACGCTGGTGTCCAACTCCTTGCCTTTACCTGCGCGTCTGCTGGTGCAGCAACCTGGGTCATGTGGTGTACACGACACAACGCTCACGTTTCGTCGACCTACTCCCTCGTTTCCTCAATTGCAGGTGTCGGTGTCGCCACGGTTGGTGCCAAAGGCGTTCAATGGGGATGGAACAAGGGCCAGGGTCTTGGTGCCATCTTCTCCGGTTTGGCAATGGCCCCTCTTATTGCAGGTGGATTCGGTGCAGCCATTTTCATGCTCATCAAGCTGGTTGTCCACCTTCGCACCAACCCCGTCCCCTGGGCTGTGTGGACCTCACCATTCTTCTTTCTGATTGCCGGTACCATCTGCACCCTATCAATCGTTTACAAGGGATCTCCTAAGCTCGGTCTCAACAACAAGCCTGGCTGGTATATTGCCAGTGTCTCGCTCGGTACTGGTTTCGGCCTCTTCCTCCTGGCTGCTCTTTTCTTCGTTCCTTACGTTCATGGCAAGGTCGTCAAGAAGGACTATACCCTGAAGCTCTACCATGTCTTCTTGGGGCCCCTCCTGTTCAAGCGCCCCGCCCCAGCTGATGCTGAGTTCGCCAAGGTCCCCGACTATGCCGTCATCCATCATGCAGGTGAGGACGAGGATGATTCCTCATCCGACAAGAGCGTTACCAAGGTGCACTCTGACGATGAGTTGGCCGAGAAGAACGCCATCAAAGGAGACGCGATTACTCCTACTCCTGTCCCCGTTCACAACGGCGCCAAGACCCTCGCTGAAGAGGAGAACGCCGTCCCTGTCAACGCCCAAGCTGTCTACCAGGCTCAACTCCGACGAGCTCTCGAGCGTCACCATGCGGATCTCCGCAAGACTCGTGGTCCAATTGGCTGGGCAATGCGCACTCTACACAACAATCCTCCTGGAGCTGGTTCCGTCTACGAGCGACACAACATGAAGGCTCTGCTCCGACGTCTCCCCGCATATCCTGTTGTCGCTTGTTTCTACGGTCTTTACTACGATATCCATAAGTCTCAGGTCGGTGTCATGGGTACCCCCGAGGGTCGTCGTATGGATCGTGTCTATGCACATGCCACCAAGTACCCCAACGAGGTTGAATACCTGTACTCTTTCGTCCAGATCATCACTGCCTGCACTGCTTCTTTCGCTCACGGTGCAAACGATGTCGGTAACGCTGTCGGTGTCTGGGCTGCCATGTACGCCGCTTGGTCCACTTCCACCGCCACTGCTGCCAAGGCTGAGGTTCCTCTTTGGCAAATTGCTGTGACTGCCTTGACCATCTGTATCGGCTTCATCACCTACGGATACAACATCATGAAGGGTAAGCTTGAACTTCAAATTTTCACATGTCTGTTATTAAACATGCTAATTCCTATTCTTTTTAGTTATGGGCAACAAAATCACCTATCACTCACCCTCTCGAGGTTCGTCCATGGAGATGGGTGCTGCCATCACCATCCTCATCTTCTCGCAATACAAGCTCCCCGTCTCAACCTCGATGTGCATCACTGGTGCCACCGTTGGTGTCGGTCTCTGCAACGGAACCCCCAAGGCCGTCAACTGGCAGCGAGTGGGTCTCTTGTTCTTTTCCTGGGTCATGACCATCCCTATCGCCGGTCTCATCGGTGGTATCACCATGGGTCTGTTCCTCAATGCTCCTCACTTCTAAGCATTTTCTCTCATTTTGAAATGAAAAAGCACCAAGGAGTCGACATTTCCAGCTTCTTTTTGGTATATACACATAAAGACTTTTACCTCCCCTGCACATTCCGGGGATAGAGGTTAATGTTGCTGGATTCATGACAGATCTGGTGTTGTAAAATCATATCATCATACTACATAGTTAATCAATAGAACTTCCGACGTTCGTCCAACATTATGTTCTTTTCATGATTGCCTTTCGCCTCGTCCATCCCTCCTTGGGCTGCCTCTTAAGTGTTATCTCAGAGATCCGTGCGAAGTCGACTCCGCAAGAGATAGACGCGTAGATCACAAATTGTCCGTTGCGCAACCCCTCACACCAGATGTCAGTGCTGCGCCAGCACAGAGCTTCCACAGGGAAGACGCTGCCTGACTTGAGGAGGCCCGTGCTTAGCATCTTCTCTAATGAATCGTGACTCGATCAGTTCTGTGCACCTTGCTCTATCCTCCACCGTCCCGACTAACATTTCGGGATCTAGATGGCATGGTATGAGATGACGTAACATGAGGATGAAGAATCCATGTACTGCTGCGGACTTCAAGAGTTATTGGGTCAAGTTGATCAGGTACAGTAGCGCAGATAAGCAATACTGCTCCCCCATCTCACGGTGCTATTTGCGACTGATTTAATATTAGCAAAAGATGGAGGACGAATGAAAAGAACCTAAATCTTACTGTCGACGTTTGGAAGGCTGTTGTTTATGTCGCTGAGTCTGTAGCCGATGTAACATGTAAAATGGCATGATCCAAATCAGGGATCTTCACGTTCTACCCAAAGCACCACTCTCGACCACGCCGTCGTCTTTGGGCTACGCTTACCTTTCTTCCCATGTCGGCCGATGAGAAAAATATTTCTTTTTCATGTTGTTCCAATAAATCGTGCGGCACAGCAAGTACAGCGGAGGGCGCACGCCGTGATAACAGGGTTCCAATACTCCACGAGAATGTCAAGTTTTTCTTGATGCTCGAAGTGAGGCACGGTGTGATTGGAAAGTCTAGGTAGTTTGCATCAATCACGGAATCAGGGAATATAAAGATGCTATTTTGAGTACTACACGGTTGCTTTGACGTGCGCTATGACCTGACCGTCCTCGCCAGGAGGCGTCCGAACCAAGCGACATCGTCCCAAACTCCACCCTGTCGCTGGACAGGTGGAGGTTCTATCGATTGGTCAGACGCGTGGCTGGACTGTTCCGAGTCGTTTGCTTCCACAGTGGTAGGTGCTGGTTGTATTGATTGCTCCTCAATTTGGGTGTCTTTCGTAGACTGTCCAGTCCCGGCTTCGAGATCCAGATTTTCATCCGACGCAGGATCTGGTAGGTCTTCCAGGCGCAGAAACACATCCACGATCCCATCCACCCACCTTCCTAGATGATAGCCAGAAGCCAAGATCTCTCTGCGCACCTCATCCTCGTCATTGTCATTACCATCATCGTCGTCACTATCGAATTGACCCTCAAAGTCCAGCACGCCATACGGATCTCCATCGTAGTCGAACTCGTCGGCCATTTCGCTCTCGATCTGAGCCGCAATTTCAGCTTGGGTCCGGTCGTCGGCCCAATCCGGCATCGGGTCGGAGTCTGCTTCATCCACTCCCAAAGGAAATGGAGTATGCAATGCCGGAGTCATAGCAAGAGACCTTCGACTTCCGCGCTTGAAGCTGCTCCTGCGACTGACGCTTGGTGTTGCACGAGTTGATCTGCCAGGACGGACTGCTGAGTGGCCATGCGATCTATCATCAAATGCCGCATAAGAAGGTGAGGCGAGCGATGTCGATGAGTCCCGCTTGACAATCCACGATTGACCCTTGGTTTCACGGGAGCCCTCTGTCAAAGCAAGTCCTGTTTGGATCAACCATGATGAATCGGATGTGTGGATGCGGAGGCTAGAGCCGCGGTGACTGCTCGGCTTCCTGTGTCCAAATCCTTCGCTCGATAAAGCACCTGACGGGGCTGCGAGGTGGGAGTCGTTGACACTATGCTGGTGTGATGATCTTATGGAAAGACTTGACTTTGTCTTTTTCTTCAACCTAGTTCGTGAGCTAGCGCGGGAATGTGCAGCAGAATGACTTGTCAGTATCCCACCAGGCGATGGAAGCCCAGAGATCTGGCTGATGGAAGCAGAGGTGTGGAGTTCGGACGTCGACGGGTCGAAATACGCGTCGTAGTCCGCAGGATCAATGGGATACTTGGGTGTCAATGGTGCGAGAGACAAGTGATGCAGGTTGGGATGGGAGCGGCGATGAGGACCAGGAGCGAAGGACGAGGACCGAGATAGAGCTCGCACCGGAGACTTTGCATGGTTCTCAATTAGTCACTGACCGAGATTCAAAGGAGGTGGTGATTGAGCTGTGGCTGAGGACTTGAGGGAGGGGGCATATAGAAGACGTTCGACTCACCTCCATCTCAACAGCGAGTGAGGGCCAGTTCTTGCGACAACTTCCTACTCTGTGTGGGACTGGCCAGCTGACAGACAGAAGATGGCTCTGGATTCTGAAGAGCGTTCAATCAAATATTAAAACTTTCATGGAAAGATGTATGGGAAAAGTCGAAGAGTGACATGTGCAGTGATGTTTGTGGTTACGCAGTCTTGAGCCGAGGAGCGATCACACATATAGCAGCAAGATGTTCAATACTTTGGGGAATAGTTTCCAATGCCGCTATAAAAGTGGCATGTCCTCGTGGAAACAAGCTCGTTTGACACTAATGATTGGGTTTGCACTAGTTTGAATTAGTGCGCGACTACCCACTAAGGTAGTACTCTTTCCATTTGTCCTTGACGTCGGAAGCATTTCTCTACGGAATAAATATCATTTTAGGTTTTCCATCAAGGACATTGTAGGATGCTGCCTCTTGCCACACCCCTCTAGAGCTCGAGGAAAAATTCTGGGTGATTGACCCCTAATTCCTCCAATGTTTTGCGACGTTCCTCGACTGGAACCGTGTCCAAAGCTGGCTTTTGCGCATTGAAACGTCTGGCATACCACGAGGCGCTCAGTGCTGCAATTGGAATTAAGGCGACAAAGCAGAGCACAATTGTCAGACCCTTTTTGTAAAATGGAGGATCAGTGAATGCTTGCAGTACACCCACCGAAATGGCCTGAGCAAAGACATTGACAAATGCTGAGATGGTGGCCCGGTGTGTAAAGTTCGGCGTGTTTGTCGCAATCCAGGTCAGCTAAAGTCAATCACGACATGAGAGTCAGCAAAGATTTCCCATAAGAGGCATTTACCATTGGGGATTAAGGAGTGCACGGAAAACATATATCATGTGTGCATGCTGGGGGCGTTTTGGCGTAAGTCACTACCAGGCGATAGTTGACTCGATCCTCATCGGGTAGCTTTTAATTCTCATGGGCAAAAGAAAAAAGACCAATCGGTCGGAGGCAGGATGTTGGTTACTCACATTAATGGTGACAATTGGGTAGAGTCCTGTTGCTGAGAGTATGGCTCCTGCGTAACGTGTTGGGTTGTGGTGAGAAACTATCAACATGATGAGTCCCACAATTGAAAAACAGGATAAGCCAGCCACAAATGGTCCTCGGAGGGAGAGTCGATCGGAAACGTAAGGCACGCTCAGTGTGCTCACAAATGCCGCAGCATAAATTGGTACCGACATCAACTGGGCGCGGACAGAGGAGTAACCCATGCCCTTAATGATCGAAGGCATGAAGTTGGACAACCCGGCCAATGCTATCTGATTAGCAGCAAGAATGTAGGTCCATGAGATGAACATGGGTGATTTGAAAGCTGGTATGACCTCTTTCCACCGAATCTTTGATCCGGGCGTGTTATTTGCCCACTGAGTCCGGATGACTGCCATGCGTTTCTCCTCTGGAGTCCAGCCCCATTTCAGCTTTTCAGGGACTGGTGGAAGGAACACGAGAATGACTAGACCGAAGCAGGTGGAGAGCAAGCCTTCCACGAAGAAGAGCCATTGCCAAGGCGACCAGGGTGGTTTGTTCGAATAATCTTTGGTGATAGCGTAGGCGATCAAACCATTGAAAGCGCCTGCAAGACTGGCTGTGGAATATATGATACTACCTCGGAACGCAAGCTCCTTTGGCATATACCAGAGAGACAGATAAAGGCCGGTGGAGTGTGTGATGCCTTCTCCTACGCCAATAAGAATCCGAATAGCTGCCGCCTGCGGCCACGTTTTCACCTCGATGAAACAGATCATCTAGAATAAGTACAGCATAGTCAGATTTAGTTCGCCACGACCAGAGGCTGTCAGAAGACTCCAGCTTGTGTAAAAGACTCCAAAGCTCGAGACGTTGTAGAACATACCACGGCACCCCACAACGTCACACCAAGTCCAAATAAGACCGGCGGAGTTAGCTTTCGCAGAAATAACGAACCGAAAGGTTGAGAAACGATGAATCCAATATAGAACAACGAAACCACCTTTGCCCACTCTGAAGCACTTGCACCGATCGCCTTCTGCATACCTGCGACCTGTGCATTGCCGATGTCGGATCGATCCATCGCTGTGATCAAATATAATACTGTGAGTATTGGTAAAACCCAGAGATCCACCTTCCATAGCAGGCGACGTGCGAGGTTTTTGTCCCGCTCTGATATCTCTGGCCGAATGGTTGAAGAAGAAATGTCCTCGAATTTTTGGACAACGACAGTGTCGTCCTTCACGTCATGAACATCACCCATTCTGTCAGAGTGTATGGAGCGTCTGAGAAGAAAATTCAAAGATTGGTAACGGCAAGGAGCTGGGGCCAGAGAGCGTTTATGTACTTTTTGCATTGGGAGCGCCCATGACGCGTAGCGCAATTGCAGGGGATTCGAACTTTACATTCGAGGTTTTGATTCAGCCACGGAGTATTTAGGAATGTGGGGCATGCTGTGTCTCCATCTAGAGCTCGATCAATTAATCACTACTCCCCAGTTTTCCCCGCAAACATTGCGAGTGGGTCAAGTGGACATTGCGATCCGGAATGTGTGATAACAGTATAAGGGTAGCCAGCCGGTGGATTCCTTTTCTCCCATCTGGAGTCACTCTTTCCTAGGCATGCCGTCCTTTCTTACGTTGTGCGGGGAAATCGCCAGCATATATATGCCGACTCGCAATGTATGTCACCCGTTGCCACACACCCAAGAGGACGTTTCACTGCTTACTTTCCTACACTAGATTACCGAGCTTATCAGCATAGAACGACAATGAGGGCTAAGGCTTGTACTAAATGTCGACAGTGGAAAGCGAGATGTGACTATGATCAGGTTTCTGACGGCTGCACGCGGTGCCGGTCGCTTGGATTGCCATGTATCTTCGATGCAACTTTCAGGCGTTCGTCTAGGAACAAGTCTCTACAGCGTATGTCATCAGAGATTCAACGCCTCCAAGAGGCTTTAGATAATGCACAATCAGAGCGAGAGAACTCTGTTTTAAGAGCAACGGTTGACCTGAGCGATACAACCCTGGTCTATAATGATCCTTCACCAAGCCAATCAATCACCCTGCCTCAAATATCAACTACAGCAACACAATGCCGGACGATTGGTAATGTTACACTCAGCATTGCTCAAGTCAACGACTTGTTCAAGATCTATTTCGCTCGCTGTCATCGATATCTACCCTTTACAATGGTGACACAATCCCCTGACGCCATGTACTCAGATTGTCCACTTCTGTTCTGGGTCATATGTGCAGTAGCAGCTCACGACAAACTAAAATCACAACTGGCACCATTACTCAAGGTTCTTCTAGCTGACACGATTCACTCTCAGCCACGGACAATTGCAACAGTCCAAGCACTTCTCATCATGTCGACATGGCCCTTTTCGGTCACCGCTGTGGCAGACGATCCCTCAGACTTCTACTGCGGCATAGCAACTCAGATGGCTCTCCGACTGGGAGTCCATCGTCCAACTCAGTCTCACTTGCATACGTATGGCTCCGAGGAGCATGCCAGTGCCAGTGTTGTGAGTCGTGAGGTGCAACTCACCACTTGGATGGCATGTTTCATCGTGAGCCAAAGGAATTTTCTATTCCGGGGAGTTCCTCAGCCAGCATGGGTAGACGATCATCTGCTCAACGCCTTCGATGACTTCTTGGGTGATCCTGTATTAAGGCTACTTTGCCGCATCTTTCATACGCTAATGCAGGCTTATCTCTATGTGGGCGCGAAAGCGCCAACTGACTCCGGCATGCTTGCGCCTGCATCAAGATTGACAGCAGTGGCTTCTTGGGTGGACCAGTTAGCAAAATTGGAAGCAAAGTTTGTCGACGTGACGAACGATGCGGTCAAACATGCGTTTTTGACTACAAGAATGGGAATACTGGCCTTTTGTTTACTCGATGATATGCCAGTTTCTGAACAACTTCTCGAGCAGGTACAAAGTGCAAAACGGCATGCTTGTGATCTCATAGAGCTCGGATACGGACAAAATCTAGCCACTGCCCCTGCTCACGTCCGCAATGCCCTCAGCTACGCAGGGTTTATACTGATCAAGATTCTACGTGCAAGATTGATTTCGGATGCAGAAGTGCTCCAGGATCAAATTGAGAGGGTTCGACAGATCCTCAGTACAAGTGCACCGTCAGTTGATGACACATATCGAAAGGCCAGTCATATAATGCACATGCTTACATATGTTGAGGATAAACGGCTGTCACTACCGATATATACGAGGATGGGTGCCTCGGTTGTGTTTGACTTGCTGCGGATATGTGCAGAGCACAGGTCTGGAGCTTTTGTCGAGGCTGGGGGGACAGAAATCGATCTAGAAGGATTTGACTGGAATGTCTGGGAGTGTTTGACTTGAGCGAGGGCAAACACGGTAGAAAAGTTCTTTAACATTCGATTGTGATACAATATATGCAACAGAAAGAGTGCTTGACATCAAATATTGTATTCTTCAAAGTAATGATTGTGAGCCCAAGAGTTTTGCATATGTACTATACATTGTATACTTGACCAAGACCCGCCTTGCTTTGCTGTAACGATTGCTGTCAGGCATCCACTATAGCGAGAGGACGTACCGGCGAACCTGTTGCACCCACCAATTTCAAAGGCGAGAGAACGAAGAGGAAATCCTTCACTTTCGCCTTTGCGAGCCCTTCTAGATCAAGGACTTCGATGATGTGAATGCCATTTTCGAAAATGAGAATACCATGACAGGGCCGCATGTAGAAATTGGGTCCAGGTGCAACCTGCTCAAAGGAAATCGTGTCACCCCCAGCAGCTCGTACCTTGTGGTCCGCTAGCCACCTTCCACCACTAGCATCGACACCGGGAGTACCAGTCTTGTGACCAGTGTAGGCGGCTGCATCAGAGTATAATTGAGTCCACCCTGTTCGAATTAACACCACATCCCCCGCGTTAAGAACCGTGTCGCCAAGAGCTAGCTCGAGGTCTTGATCACTGATGCCTTCTCCCGGATCAAGACGAGTTTTCCCTTTCAATGTAGCAATGTCCAATAAAACTCCTCGACAAACCATGGGTTCTATTGTCTCGACTCCCAGCTGTTTGTAGGTCCCGCCCATGCAAGCGTCTTTCACTGCAATGCCCCCGCAGAGGACGCCATCTTTCGCAACATGGCAAAGCCCATCGATATGAGTGCCCACATGATCACCAGTAATGATGATTGCGTTTGAGCCCGAGCCTCCGGTGGTCGCTTGGATTTGGTCTCCGTGCCGTTTGCTCAGGGCTAGTGAAAAAGGTATATTTGAGGGTGATTGGGGCATACCATTATGCATCGAAACTCCAAGGTCGAAAATGCGCAGTCCTTGTCTCAACGCCGCCAGGAGAGCCATGTTGGGCCTTGGGCATAGTATTCCAAGCTTCTGCGAGAATTCTTTCACCAGCGAGGCTATCAATCTATATTTGCCTTGGCTAAGTTCTTGAGTCCATAGCGACTTCGGAATAATGGCTAGAGTGACATTGCGAGTTGGGAAGCTGGTGGTTGGGCCGTAGGCACGCATCCCTCCAAATAGGGGGGCGTTCGCCTCGAAAAGTCTCCACAATACCTCTTTAGTCGCTACCTAGTGGTTGCCTGGGATGCGGTTGGAGAATGGTTATTTTCAGGTTCGTCAAGGATGCTGAACCATTCTCGTCTTTGATCAGAGATGGAGTAGTGACACGTATTTGCGACTCTTTCGTGGTGGAGAACTAGCATAAGTATGTGACATGGTTTTCTGTCTATTCCATCTAGTAAGGTCTCACAACATCTAGATCTAAATATTCGCAGGCAATTGATCCACCAGTGCCTGAATTTGCTTGCGCTGTGTGTTTCTTTCTCCCATCGTCTAACTTTACTCTGTCGTGGCGTTAGCGTCCGTTCTCCACATAATATCCCTGATCTATGTGGTATCTCAGATAAGTTCCCCACAGAGGCACTGCTATATCTTCAATGGTCTGGGGTCGATGAATAGAGCCTTCGCAGTTGCAAGCACCTTGCCCTGACCGTCTTCAGCTCTAGCCTTCACCCATGTTTTCCTTCCCTGTCTTTCCACCGCCCACCCACGACATAGGATCACCCCTGGAGTTTCAATCGCTGCTTTATAGTCCACCGTCATGGTTGCAGTGGCAGGTGCTCCAGTCCCTGACACCTCTGCCGCTACTGAGCCTGTTATCTGGTCCAAAATCATAGCATTGAAGCCGCCGTGTGCCCGCCCCGTTTTTCCATCGAGTCCAGACCCAATCGAAATGATGAAACACTGCTCCCACGGGACAATAGCATCCGCTTCGGCGGTAAGTCGTTTGAAATTTACCTGAGCGCGGATTGCGTCCGAAGTGTAGAGAGTCTGCTTGAACATGCTATTTGAGATGTCGCTGTCGCCGGCTGTGCCAACACCACGAGCCGGGACCTCCATTGCTGAGATATCTGATTGTAGCAGCTTTTGGCACCATGGAATATCGAAATCGGTGTGAGACTTCATGATGATGATAGATGCTGACACCTCTATAAATATGTTTGTTCTGATTGCTAGATGTTGGTCGTGCTGGACTTATGCCGGGGGTCCAAGACGGTGAACTCTTCTCTACCATAGATATAGGTAAGTCAACTCACACCACTTTCTTGAAACATTATGGGAATGAGAAGAGTTGAACCGACCATCTACGAGTAGAGATTAATTATCTGATTCAGTTAAAGCCATCTTGAGGTGAGTTTAACAGGATCCCAGTGCCGGAGACCAGGATGATCGGTGATGCTTTGGACCTCGGCAAGTCAAGAAGGAGATTTCAAGTTTGCTCAGTTTGCACCCACTAATCCTGATATAGCCTGGCTCAAATGCTAGAATGAACTAGTGTTTGTCCTAGCTACTAATGCAATTCGGGATCAAACCCCCAGATCAAAGACGAAATAGCCGCATCACTCCTTGCACAATTTGATCTCGGGTTCTCACCATCGCCATCTATCAAGTCACAATCCAATGTAGCAATGGATGCTCGCAGGCACCAATCTTCAGTCAATGCAGCTGCAGGTGCTCCCCCCTTCCGAGTTTTCCCATGACGCTGATCACTCCTTCCTAGTGCGATGCTTGTCGCTTTAAGAAGACCAAGGTAAGCGGTGGCAGTCTTAACACTGACAGCAGCCATGTTGATGAAACTCAGTGTTCACGAGAACGCCCGGTATGCTACACATGTATTCAAAGCGGATCAGAATGCCATTATAGTGGTAAGGTCGTCAGATCTCCGCTGACGCGAGCGTGTGTACTGTTCGACACCTCCATGCATCTGACATACTTATCCAATGCTTCAGGTATCTATCAAATGTTGAGCGGCGCGTTCGTGATCTAGAGTCTTTATTCTCACGGTTGCTTCCGGATATAGATCTTGAAAATGCTTTGGCATCCACCCCCGATTCATTGGCCCCCATTCAAACACCGCCGCCCATACCTCAACATCCATTTGCTCAAATAGCGAGTCCTACTTCAGAAATTGACAATGGATTGGAGACGGTACCCGATACGGCACCGAGTGGCGCAGAAGGGTACGACTGGACCGAAGAGACATCTTTGGACTATCTAGCTGATGGGATGGCGGCATTGCGTATTGAGCCAACTGGTGCTGGCTACCTAGGTGAGTTGTTAGCCAGTACTTCTTCCACTCAATCTCATCTGTGTCTGTAGGTTCAACATCCGGCGTTGCATTCCTGCGATCTCTGCTACTTTGGCTTGGAAACCCTAGGCTCTTGACTGAAAGTCACTTCCGAGCCGCTGATCTCGTTGGCGAATCACCTGCCATGCTTGCGGCCTCTTCCCACTTTTCCAATACCGCACTCTCTCGGCAGATCGAGAGTAAGCTCATTGAAGCGTACTTCGAGAACTACCATGTCGTGTATCCTTTTGTGCATGAGCCCACATTTCGAGCTCAATATCATGAGATCATCTCACGACCTGTGAGCGCTTCCTGGAAACTACTGCTCTCCACTGTGCTAGCGCTAGGGTCTTGGTCATCTGGACAAACTCAAACAGAGCTTGATGAACAACTCTACCGCCGCTCAATATCTCTTGGCGAAGATGAGTCAATCTTTGAAATCGCGAATCTCACTACAATTCAGGCACTTGTGCTGATGAGCAATCTTGCTCAGAAAAGGAACAGACCGAACACTGGCTGGAATATGCTAGGGCTCGCTACCCGCATGGCACTCAGCCTGGGATTGCACCGTGAGCATCCAACCTGGAATATTGGTATCCTACATCAAGAAATGCGGCGTAGGGTCTGGTGGGGCCTTTTCCTGTTTGATAGCGGCGCTTCAACAACCTTTGGACGGCCAATACTACTCCCCGACCACAACTCCATGGACACCAAGCATATACTGAACATTGATGATGAGGTAAGGCTGCGTTTCCAAGGAACGAGGCTTCGTTAACATCTTGCAGGACCTCACACCCAAGACCTCCAACCAACCAACGGAGTCATCAAAACCAACAATATACTCTAGCATGAAAGCGCAGTCAGGCTTTCATGTCGAATCCAATTATATCTCGAATCGATTACTACTGCATGGTTCTGTTTCTCCGGTCGACGCGCTGCTAATGAATGCTACCTTGGATAATTGGGCTGTCAATTTACCAGGTTACTTTCATCTCAATAATAATCCTCAGAATTCAGAACCTTGGTACACATTCGCCCGTGCTCGTCTACATTGGCGTTTATGGAATTTCAAGATCATCCTCTTGCGTCAAGTTTTAATGCGCCAAGTAATGAAAAGTGGTGGAGAGATCTTGTCCGGTGTACCTATTTCAGAAGCTGAAAAGTGCAGCGACATTTGTCTGCAGGCGGCCCATCTCACTATCAATTCCATTGATAATTACCTACGTCATTCAGAACGGACCAAATTGGTTCTTTGGTATTCAACGTAAGATGCCCAGCTGCTCAGCCACCAGAAGTGTAATGTGCTAATCTATTCTAGATATTTTCTGTTCCATGCTGCATTGGCAACACTGATACCGATACTGGCTGGAAATGATTCCCAAGATATTGAGCTTCGAAAAACAGACATAAGAATGGCCCGTGATCTCTTCTTGCAAGTCCTTGCGGGCAATTCTCTAGCAGCTCAATGTGCTGATATTATTGACCGATTGCAGCCTAGTGCGTCGTTGGATACACTAGTCAACCTCGATAACATCCCCACGGATTGGATGGGAGGAATGTCGCAGTTTCCAGAAGACCCGAATGCATTCTTCACAACATTCGGATGGGAAGACGTCAGCACAGATTTCTGACTGGGTGACTCCACTCGATCCTTTATGTTCCTCAGCAAGAGATGATCAAGTTCGGCTCAAGAAGATGACGTTTGATAAGATCGGCATTCAGAAGGTCATTGTTCTCAACACGAGTCAAGGCCAATTCTCGAGAGCATTCAATACCAGCCTGAAGGTGTCTCTCTACCAGGCGTTCCTTGGCGACCTCCGGTGACACATCAACGAACCATCTTTTGAAGAAGGTTAGGCTGCAGCTCAAGACCAAGACACAGGGTCACATACCTTTCATCAACCTTGTTTCCGATCTGGTTCCAAGGGGTTTGATTGAACAGTGTATAGTTGCCCTCGAGTATGACGATTCGGTTTCTCGACGAGATCTCGATATCATCAGCTACTGGATCTTGCACACGATGATCGAAACTGGGCGCTCTTATCGAATATACGGATTCGTCGACAAACGTAACAGGCGCCTCCTTCAGTTTCATCACAAGTTGTACAAAGGCTGCAGCGTCGAAAGTGAAGGGCGCCCCTCTGCGGCGAACTGCCAAACAAGGGTCGGGAAACAGTGCCAATGCAGCCTTGGAGTAGTGGAAGCCATCCTGGTTTCAACGACACATCAGTACAGGTATCCCCCGTATGAGGAATCGATGCATACCATTGGCACCACGGCGACGAAACCAGCATTCTTTTTCGAGAGCTTCCGCATTAGCCCAGATGAGATGGTAGATTTTCCAGAGCCGGGAATCCCAGCCAGTGCAATGAGCATTCGTTGCCGTGGGTTTGTGGCTTGCCTTTCCAAAAGGACGTCGATCCGCTGGAACACAGTCTCAATGACTTGTTCAAGCGCCAAGAAGCTGCAGTCCAGAATCATATTGATCGCCTGAGATTGTATATCCTGAATTGTGTGAAAAATTGACGTCTCCTAGCTCTCAATTTCAGGTTGAGGCTTATCATGTCCCGGGCGGCACCTTTACAAACAGCTCAGCTTTGCTGCAAGCTCTACGGCACGCGCCCATCGGAGGTCCAACGAGTACGATGATCGGCGGTAGTAAGCCTTAAGGAACAGGCCCGTATTCTGACGACTACACGAGTGGGCCCGGCCAACATTCGCCCGCTCGGAGAGTGGTCAACTCCATGCTTGAACATATTCATCATGCCCTTGGTCGGTACAGCCTTCTCCAGGCCTATCGGATCGAATGAATCATCCAAAGTAACGTTCATCCTTCATTGGTCAACATTTCAGCAGCCTTGTCTCCCAACCCAAACTTTTGGGGCTTGCAAGCACTAGTCACAGTTCGGATATGAGACGTTGGTCCCAATCATGATTTCTAGCTGCATCAATCCTGTAGCTGTTTTTGCGCGGGGGCAGAAGCAGATCCCTGTGGCCTGCGGACTTTTCCTTCGCACACCATCAATTTAGTACGTGCTAGTGCCTATTACTTGGATTTCGTACCAGGAAGGTGATTTCCGGGGGAGAAAAAACCCTGGAAGCGTCATAGTGCGCCCGGGCGGCTGTCGGCCGTAGGTTCACTGGTATTGCCAGCGATCTGCTCAGCGAAACATGTCTAGAGACGGCTAATCAATAGCCGACCTCACCTCCAATGTTGAGCTAACAAGGTACCCCACACTCAGCTTTCTATGTTCATTGGTTCGGGCGACTGTCGACCGTGAAGCGAAGTAACCGTAGGACTCCATCTCTCCACAGATCCTACCCCATGTGGCCAATACCTTTCTGGGTATGATCCTGTACCAGTTGGGAAGTCGGGAATTGATTTATAAAATTCTCCAAATTCCCCAGGAAATCTTTGAACTTAATGAACAACATCTGCCCACAGGATCGGTGGTCAACGCTCCCTACTACATCATTTTGCGAAGAGTCTATCCGCTTGTAATCACTCGAATCCATTCACAATGGTACGAACGGAACCCACTGATGACCAGGCGCTGTTTGCCGCTTCCGGGAAGGGAGTCATGCGACAGCTGCGCGAGAATCCCTACATCCTAGGATTGGCTTCCGTGAGTTCCTGCATGCAGTTGTTGATATACCCTACTAAAAAACCCCCCAGTTTGCTTCCCTCGGAGGATTTCTCTTCGGATACGATCAAGGTGTCGTCTCCGGTGTCTTGACAATGGAATCATTTGCAGTTCGTTTCCCAAGAATTTATATGGACAGTGGATTTAAAGGATGGTTTGTCTCGAGTTTGCTCTTGGCTGCTTGGTTCGGATCGCTCATCAATGGTCCAATTGCCGATCGCTATGGCCGTAGAGGCTCAATTATTATGGCAGTTGTCGTCTTTACATTGGGATCGGCCGTTCAGGCAGGTGCTATATCGGTCGGCATGGTCTTTGCTGGCCGAGCCGTTGCCGGACTTGCGGTTGGAATGTTGACCATGATTGTACCAATGTACATGTCTGAGGTCTCGACACCCGGGATTCGAGGTACTCTCGTTGTGCTTCAACAATTGAGTATCACTCTTGGCATCTTGGTCAGCTACTGGCTCGAGTTTGGAACGGCCTATATCGGTGGTCACAGATGTGCCCCTAACATTCCCTACTCGGGAGGTTCCTCATCGTCACCCACCTTCAATCCACTCCGAGACGTTGGACCCAACGGGTGTACCGGACAAAGCGATGCGTCTTGGCGTGTTCCTTTTGCCTTGCAAATCCTTCCTGGTCTCATTCTTGGTATTGGGATGCTATTCTTCCCTGAATCTCCACGCTATCTCTTGATGCGCCAAAAGGACGAACTCGCCCTCTCTGCCCTCGCAAGACTCCGTCGTGGAGATCCCGGTGATTCACTACTCCGTACCGAGTTTCTTGCCATCAAGGCTGAAGTCCGTTTCGAGGAATCGTATGCACGTGACAAATATCCTGGAAAATCCGGCCTCAAACTTTACCTCGCCGAGTACAAATCACTTATTTCGACTCGCCCTGCTTTCAAACGCCTTTCTGTAGGCTGCTGTGTCATGTTCTTTCAGCAATTCCTGTTTTGCAATGGGATGATCTATTATGCGCCTTTCATCTTCGGACAATTGGGCCTCAAAGGCCAGACGACGTCCTTGTTGGCGACCGGAGTATATGGTATTGTCAACACACTTTCGACACTCCCTGCACTTTTCTTGATCGACAAGGTCGGGCGACGCCCACTCCTGATGTGCGGGGCCTTTGGATGCTTCGTTTCGCTCACGGTTGTGGGATCAATCATCGGCAGATATGGTTCCACCCTTCAAACGGAGAAAGCTGCAGCATGGACCGGTATAGCATTCATCTACATCTACGACATCAACTTCTCTTATTCATTCGCACCAATCGGGTGGGTTCTACCGTCTGAGATCTTCACACTCGCAAATCGCTCCAAAGCCATGTCCATTACAACCAGCACAACATGGATGTGCAATTTCATCATCGGCCTGGTCACTCCAGACATGCTGGAGACACTCACATGGGGTACCTACATCTTTTTCGCAATGTTCGCTCTCATGTCACTGGGATTTGTCTATTATTTCGTCCCAGAGACCAGAGGCAAGAGTCTCGAGGACATGGATGTGATTTTCGGCGATACGGCGGCTCACGAAGAGAAGATGCGGCTTTTCAATATTGCCAACGAGCTGTCTGAGAGTCTGGTTGATGGGCAGAAGAAGCAGAGTTTGGCAGAAGAAGTTGAATCCAAACCCTAGAAAGGGTACAACTCAGGATACATTGGGTGTAAAAGCGTACTTATCCTGGAAGATGTGGAGATATTGCGAACGCGAGTCCAGAAAAAGAAATGAACTATCAGACGATTCATAAGCCAAGAATGAAATAGTTGGAATCAGCGGATGAGAATAGTACACTTTTGATTTGGATCTTATTTTTTTCGTTTTGGCTTGTTCTCCGTAGATTATTCAGACCCTTTCCAACGCGATGCGCGCCACTTCAAGGGCTGTGTCCCCAACCCTAGCGCCGAGTCGGTATGCTGTTTCATTCACGGCAGAGATAATGCCCTCTGTCAGCGTCGACCTGCCGTCGCCGATGCACGCCGAGTCCGCGGCGACTGTAGCAGCGGCAACACCCTCAGAATCGAGAACAGGAAGGGAGGCAGCACCTGCACGATCAGCCCCGAAGCCGGCATCATTGAAGAAAACAAGGCGTGGCCTAAATGAACGCGTCATTCCAGCCGCGATTGCACCGCCATGGCTACCGCTCGCCACGACCAAGCCTGCATGCCCCAAAGTCGCGAGCGAGATGGAATCTATGCAAAGGACGCCGTGGATAAAGGCGCGTCCCTCAACAAGTGCTTCCACGTTGGCATGAGGCCAAGGCGCGGATCTCAAGAGCTCCACTGCTTGTTCGACAGTTTGGCCGTTCTTTACGCCACACATAGCCGCAAGTTTATTGACTCGACTGATGATCCCCCGTTGGAACATGTCTGCACCGTCGCCGACACGGGCGCTGTCGGTAGCCACGGCGGCCATAGCCATGCCGTGGTGTTCTGCCCAAAGCAGGCCTCTGACCCCTGCTTCATCTCGACCAATGCCGCAGTCGTGATGTATAGCAGCGCGAGCGCCAGCTTTTGCCGAGAAATATGTCGCGGAAATCGCGGCATTCGAACCACCAACAACGATGGCGCCGTCTGCTTCAGCAGGAAGATTTGACACGCCGTCAACCACCAGAACGCGAACGTTCATACCACTGCCGCCACCGTGACAACAGCAATTGTTCTGGTATCGCTTATCTGCCTCACTGCAGATGGTGGTGAGCTCCAGGTATTTTAAAGTTTTATGGGTGGAATTATTGGCAGCTAGGAGGAGCTGAATTGGCGTCGTGCTGGGCGACCTTTAAATGACCTTGGAGCAGAGTAATGGGGGTTTGTATGCCAAAAGATCAAAGATAGGAGGCGTTTTGAGAATGGCTGCAAACAATCCAGAACCCGCTAATATGCAAAGCAAAGACGTCGAACATCAGTTCATGCTACTCCGTCTCTAGCGCCTACAGAAGCTCGGACTTGTCAATTTGTAGTGGCCCTTACCTTGCTTGAACCAGAGCCTCTTCCCAGATCTGTAAGCTATGCTATCAAAGAAGCAGTAAGCATGACAAGTCCTCCAAACCCATCCATTCCCGAGCACCATGCCTGCCAATTCTCAGTGCTGGTCGAAGAACTTATGGCATTCGACGAATTATCCAGCATTGCTGCATCACCACAATATACATAGCCTTCGGCTAGTTTAACCAGCTCACCACTTGCAGCCAATGCAAAGTCAGTCGGAGCTCCATGTTCTCTCTCGACTTCTGCCTTCCATAACATAGCATCCCCTGCTTCCCATAGCTGTTTCTTCGCTGGTAGTGGTGCTAGAATAAGCTCAGTTTTTGGATCACATGGTACTACTGACTCGTAGACCAGCAAATTCACAACACTATAGATAACTGCCAATCTTAGATTCACTTAGTACCTCCATAAAGTCGTTGGATGAAGTGGGTAGCGGACCAACCTTCGTCTTGATTCCTCAAAAATCCAATTTTCCCAGCTGCTTTCGAGATTGTAGCTGCTTGAAGAGGGCCAGGGTTCGCATGTGATATCGCAGTGACACAGTTGTTTACCTATCACCTAAAGGTTTCAAGATTAGACCTAAGATATGAAAGGAGGAGAAGCTCGATGTACCGTCACCGTTGCCAGTAAGAGAGAATCATGGGTCTGGTGGTCCGTCTCGCCTTCGCCCATACGGACGAGAAGGTAAATGGAGAGGGCTTGCATAGCGGCAAGTAGTTTCCATTTGTTTAGCTTCAGACTCTAAAGTTACCCATCAGATCCTTGTAATTTTTCTTCCTGCAATCCGCGCGGACTCGACGTACCTCTTCACACAATTGTTCACATTCCATCCGCACAACCTTCCAGAACAACTTTCTGCTCCCTGTAACTCCACTGTCGATCATATGGAGCAGACTAATACAGTTGTTCAGTGGCTCCATGTTGACAGTCTCAACATCTGAAGATAACAAATGCGGATGGATGAAAGGTGGAAGGGTTTTGTGACGCAATATCATCAGGGGATAAGATTTTAGGGTATGGAATATAAGATTAGTGATTTTCTGCGATCCACTCCTCATTTGTAATCGCAGTTTAAGTGATCGATATTTCGATGCTGGGGCTCCCGGTATCGATGCAAGCGGAGAAGAGTTCAGTTGTGGCACTTGAACTGTTCGACTGGTCGAATTGATCGAGCTACGAGCTAAAGATACTAGTGAGCCCGATGATGGGAATTGAGTAGTCTGTTCATCCGCCTGTGGGTTCAAAAAGTAGGTGAAATCAATATCTGGATCGTTCCATTCAAGGTATTCCACTCCAGTGTTTGCGAAATCCAGGTCGAATGCGAATAGCCCACTGTCGAGATTCGTTTCTTCATCGTAGCTTTCTTCTTGGCTGTTTTCGACATTGAGAGAATCTGGCATCAATGAAGCGCGATCTCCCGCTCTCAGATCGGCAGAATATTTTTTTACTTGGTATTGCCCCGTACCTTTCGGCGTGTTCGATGGATATTGGCACTCGATGGCCTTTGTTCTGCACCCCGAGCAATTAGGCTGCCGCTTATCACAACGTACTTTCCTCCTGGCACAAGAATGGCAAGATCTTATCCGAGTGGGAATAGAAGCTCTGCGAGATCGGCAATAGTATCCATGCCTTTTCAACGTGGATTCTTCAACTCGTTAGTACAGACTCGGTGTCTACCAGACACATCCCGTGGATGTACATCTTACGCTTGTCGAACGGTTTATTGCACTGCTCGCACCGCAAAATCAATTGTTTCTCCATTGCACATTCAAACTCGGCCGCAGTCCGCCATGGTTTCGAGGATTGAGGTACCTTTGTTGAAGTCCGGCAAGTTTTTGGCATTTGTCAGCCCAACCGACTATCATTACGTGGACCATCCTCGTTCGGGACGGGACATTTTGTAAACCCAAACCCTTGCGATTGACCAGTCACGCACTAAATGGTTCGTCACTCCCCACTTATCATCGGGAAGCGACAAAATGCTTCCTCCTTCTTCCTTATGGACGGGCACGAATACAATACTGTCCCGTCAGATCTAGTTTGTATCCCTGAGCTGTGTTCCTAGGTATAAGTGAGTCCTCCCTGACCCATGCATAGTAAAATTGCATCCCACATCCATCTCAATTCATCTCCGCGATTATTTTCAACATCCACCATTGAGATGGCAGGCCAAAGCCAAGTCCCAGTGGTCCATGTCACTGAAAGTGCACCAGATGGAACGACAACCTTCCTTGACCCGGCAACATTCCCTGATGGAAAAGTATTTGAGACCGTTCAGATGAGTCCAGTCGCTTCGTTGTCGGTCATCTGGTCATCGCCCGCGGCTTTCTCAGTCGCCAAAGGGCAAGACATCGAGCACCACAAAAACATTCTAGCCGCAGGCCCGCCCGTTCCTTTTTTCCAAACACAGGGAAACACTGCAGTATCGATGACGTACATTGGCCCAACTGAATCGGTCACTCGAGGATTCATGCATCGCACCCAGAGCTTGGACTATCTTCTCATGCATGAGGGTGAGCTGGAACTTGAACTCGACAGCGGGGAGAAGAGAGTTGTTAAAGCGGGAGAGGTGGTAATTCAGAGGGAGGCGTGGCACAGGTGGACGAATCTTAGTACGACCAGAAGGGCGGTCATGTTCGCCGTTGCGCTCGGCGCTGAGGGAGCCACTTTGGGTGGTATAGATATCCGTCAAGACTAAAGGGGTGTTCGACGAAATCCGAAGCTAAGAGCTTCATGTTCGCTCCATAAAGGAGCAAGGAGCCTCATTTTCGTATCACAGAAAATAAAGCACTAGTAGTAGCCAGCGTAGAGCCTGTAAGCTAAAGACTCAATATGCGTCGGCGCCTTGAGTGAAACAGTAGTTCCATACAGTAGCATGTCCTTGGGCAGGCGAATTGGAGCGCTTGATATGACTCCGGCATTTGTCCAGAGTCCAGCACCGGTATCTCTGTCCAGATCAGTATGCACAATGCCGCTGCTCGCTTTGTATAGTATGCATACTAAGCCATGTCTAAGACGTACGTCGTGGGCCTGACATGGATCTCATCGACCTTTGGGCAACACCGATTCACAGTGCAAACCACATGTTCTCGAAGCGTGTCTAGAGAATATCCATGCGATCAACTCTAAGTACTTTCGGGATTTGTATGCATGCTATTACAAATCATAAGCTTGCGAACAGCTAGGAAGCAGTTTCGTTCGCTGCACGGTTGCACCTCCGTTGTTTTTAGTCCGCTGTGTGTATTTTTGATGACCAAGCGCACGAGCTATAAAGATAAAGTACGTATAAGCCTTGATACCCCTTCACTTACTGTCCTACTCATTGACTATCTGAGGAGATCTGCAACCATAAACTATGGGAACCCCTTCGCCAGTCCGACTTGTTTTTGGAGCGGGAGGTATTGGGGAGGGCCCCATAACCCACGCCTGGACCACGGGCGAGCAAACTTCCGAACTGCTCGACGTATTGAAGGAAGTGGAGCTCACAGAATTGGACTCAGCAGCATCCTCTCCAACGGGAAATCCACGGGCCAGTGAACGATTATTGGGTGAGAGCAGGGCAGCTGAGAAGGAATTTGTGATCGACACCAAAATCGAGCGGACAGCCTTCAGTGGTGGATTATCCGAGGCTGCGATTGATTCCAGCCTGGAGAAAAGTTTGGAATTACTGGGTGTGAAGCATGTCAACATCCTCTATGCGCATTTTCCAGACCCAAACACCCCCGTGGATGAGAGTGCTCGGGCTTTTGATAAGCATTACCGAGCTGGACTTTTCAAAGAGGTATTCGCCAGTTTGATATCACTTTTTGGTCTGCTGATATTGTCGTAGCTTGGGTTGTGCAACCACTCCCTCGAGCAAATGCAAGAGTGGTTGCAAGTTTGCGAGGAACATAATTATGTTAAACCAACCGTATGGCAAGGTCATTATAACGCCATCAGGAGAGCGCCTGAGGCCGAACTTTTTCCATTCTTGAGACAGCAGAATATCCGAATATATGCTTACAGGTCTGCTACCTCATTGATTGGTATATTGAAATGCTGACTTCTCGCAGTCCACTGGCAGGGGGTTTCCTAACAGGGAAGGTCAGTCTGGCTACTGATGCAAAGGCGCTCTCCGGAGGTCGCTGGGAGCCAGGTCGGTTGCCATTTTATGTTAAAGCATTCGATAAACCGGTCATTCACGCCGCTATGGTTGAGTTTTGTAAGAGATGTGATACTGCAGGAGTGACGCCGACGGAAGTCAGTTTGAGATGGATTTTGCATCATTCAGCTTTAGGAGAAGGAGATGCGATCATTCTTGGGGCGTCAAGCTTTGATCAGTTGCGAGGTAATGTCCAGTTTTGTAAGCAGGGACGTTTAGATGAGCAATTGTTGGAGGCTTATGAGGAACTGTGGAAGGGTGTTGAGAAGAATCCTCCAGAATGGTTTTGAACTTCTTTCATGGATTGTGGATGCCGCAGATATATCATATATATGGCTACGACCCAATTGTCAAGGTCGAAGCCCACTGACTTTCTCTGTACCGTAAACACGTCAACACGCGACGCGTCTCGTGCCGAGCCGATACAAGCGGCGTTTGAGGCTTTCGGCCCCGGGAGCTCCTGATAGGCTCCCATTCCACCCCAGCCTCGCCCATTTCATCCTCATGTCCATCACTTCATCACATGTACGACGTCAGTTGACCGCATTTGTGACCATGTCAATAAACAAGAAGGCAGGACAGCAGAGATGAAAACCTGAATGACCTGCGATCTTTTCCCCGGGGTTTAACTACAGGGACCATCTTGGGTACAAAATCATACGAACGCCATCATCAATTCCCGTCTAGGAGCCGGAAACAAGCAACCGACCAGATAGCTCATCTACATCTATACAGATATATCAAAATCATCCTTTCAATACGGAGTACAAGATGCACTTCCCAATAAGCCCCAGTCTCACCCTCCTCACCCTCCCGCTATTGATCCCACAAGCAACAGCATGGGGCAGCCTGGGGCACCGCACAGTCGCGTACCTAGCATCGATGCACTTCACGGCGCAAAGCAACATTCTCACCAACGTGCTGCTCAACGGACAAGACATCTCGGAGGCGGCGCTCTTCCCAGATAAAGTGCGCCACATGCCGGCGTTCGCGTACTCGGCGCACTGGCACTTCATCGACGCCCGCGACTCGCCGCCCGCACAGTGCGGCATCAACATGACGCGTGACTGTCTCGCCGCCGACGGTGGGTGCGTCGTGTCGGCCATCGCGAACCATACGGCGCGCGTGGCGGATGTGAAGCTGGAGCGCTTCTTCCGTGGTCAGAGTCTGCGCTTCATGATGCATTTCTTCGGTGATGTCCATCAGCCGTTGCATACGGAGGCCGAGGGGAGAGGTGGCAATGATATCCCTGTCGTGCTGGATGGTGTCCATACGAACTTGCATAGTGTTTGGGATACGGCGATTCCAAAGAAGCATGCGGGTGGAGCGGTTGGTGGTGGAGTCGAGGGTGAGATGGAGGCCGCTTGGGCTTGGGCTACCCGGTTGTATGGTGTGAGGGATGGGATGCAGGAGAAGGAGTGTGTGAGTGATGCGCCGGCTTGTGCATTGGAGTGGGCCAGCGAGGTGAATTCTTATGTTTGTTCCTATGTCATGGCAGATGGGTATAAGGATCAGGATCTGAATGGGACTTATTACGATGGAGCAGTGCCGATTATCGATGATCTGGTTGGGAAGGCGGGTAGGAGGTTGGCTGCTTGGATCAATGCTATCTCTGGCCAGGAAGGACTTGCATTGCAGACTCAATAATGAAGAGATAAGATGAATCCTCTTCGTCCTTCAAGATAGGTTGTGTAACACTCAAGCCCTTTGAGAATCAATCATTTGATCCAGCCTATGTCGATGTTTCTGACATGTTACCGATGCCCTACCCTTCGAAACACTCGTACATACATTATCACAACACAGCCTGCTCTATCGTTAAGGCTGGCTTGATTCCTCCCGAATATTCCTTCCATGATACGGCTTCCATTTTGCCCGTCAAGTAGAACCACAGCTTGCTTGCGGTAAATTGCTTGTGCTGATCCTAATTTTCGTTCTTGCCAGACTAATCTGAGTCCAAGTGGTAGATCTTCTCTCCACGGGAACCTTTGCTGAACTTAAGGGGAGCTTGTTCGCTTGCCGTGGCTGCTCTCGCGCGCTTGACACGAGTCTCGTTCTGCTCTTCCTCCTTGATCTCCACTTCATGTTTGATCTGTACTTCCTGCTTGATTTGAGATTGCTCACGCTGGAGCTGGCGCTGACGCTGTATGAGTTCGACCATCTCAGCCCTCGAGAGCTCTTCCACTGGTCTGTCTTCGAGAGGCACTGGGCTCGGAGATCGAGGAATGACCATGAGCGATTGTAAGGCACCTGTAAGATTGATGGCTGGTTAGTGAGATCGTCAGAATTTGGAGACTATCAGTCACGCACGGCGAGTCTGATACTTGAACTTGAAAACTACAACTGGAGCTGCATCGAGGTATTTGGCATGGAAGAAATCTGTGACTGGAATTTCAGGATCGGGAACGAAGCTGTAAAGGTCAGTAATCCCATGTAGTTCTTCAGGATTGTTGCATGATCGAACCCTGTGTTGACATCAAGCGACTTGCCCTTCAGAGCCTTCTCGGGTATCGCGTTACCAGTATTGGTCTTCGGAAAGGAAACCGCGGTCATGCGGTGTTGCTGAATTGCGCGCCAGAATTCAATGCGAAATGTCCCAAGCTCACCGTAATCCATCTTCTCTGCGGCGTTGATGCCTGAAACCGCGGCTGATGTGCCTGTCAGTGTGTTAGTTCTGGGCAGATAAGGGTCAAGGGGGGTTGTACAGAGTTCGATTTCCTTGAATTGCAGCTTTTGTTCAACCTGTTTGCCTTCGCAAAGCGCCGTGACACTGAAGCAATCTCTAGTAGTCTGGACGCACCTCGAATGCGAGTTGGCTGGGTGCAACTTCTTGACACCGATGAACGGTTGGGCGACCAACTGGCCATCCACAAACACAGAGGCTGCAATGATGTTCTCCTTTCGCGCGTCGTAGCCTGCTCTGATCCAGAACCGGAAGCCGTAAAAAGCACCAGGCACGGCTTCGATGTATGTTGAGACGCTCGGGGTCGAGTTCGGTTCTGGTTCTGCGTCGCTGTCATTGTACTCTTTGGCGTGTTTCCCATTGACGACCACATGGGCTTCAAGCCTGCTGAATACTGCCATGATTGTGATTGCGATACTTAAGAGGATGGAGTAGTAAGAGGCCGTGTGGAAAGAAGGAGAGATGCTCAGTTGAATAAGAACAGTAAGGAGAGCCGAGAGGAAAGGGGAAAGAACAGAACGACAGTGCAGTTAGCTGTGAGAACAGAAGGTGCAGCTGAGAGACGCGGAAAGATATCGGAGCAGATGTTAGGAGGCGGATGAGTTAGATTATTATCAAGTAGGAATTCATCTCACTGAGAAACTCATTTGAAGCCTTGGAATCTCAACTCTCTCTCCATCCCCAAGTCACTCTCATTAGCCCCGTTGTTCTGTTGGCACACATACAATATCAAATACAACATCCCTCAAGCTCACAACCCAGCTTTATAACTACCAACCTGGGCCTCATCCTGAGCCTAGGCATCAACCTCAGTGACCTCCCTCGCCATGTCCTCCCCCTGGCGATCCGCAAACTCCCTGGCCTGACGCTCCGCAAACGTGACCAGACCACCATAATGCTCCTCGAGCCGCCCCTTATCCACAAAAGACTTCAGTCTAGCCTGCTCCTTCTCGAGATCCTTGCGGATACCGTCCAATTCATTCTCGACGAAGCGGTACTGCAGGGCGCCAGAGAAGACTTCGCGAGCGAGGATGTCACTTGGTGAGAGCAGTTGTAGGGGTTCGCCGTCCATTTGGTCGGCTAAGCAGGCAGCTTCGAGGGTTTTGTACAGGCTGGTTGATGTCATGGCGCGCTCGACTTCGGAGTCGTCTTTGCCGGCCGTGTTGTTCAAGGCGAGCCAGTCGTCTCGCACCATTGCTCGTCTCCAGATGAGTGCGCGGAGATCGTCTTGGAGGGGTGTCGATAATGAAGCTGAGATCCTCACGACCCGTAAGGCAAGGTTGAACTCGTTCCCAACAATATTAGGATCGTCTAGTGGATCTCCCTCCCATGCGGTAGGGTCCATTAGTGTCAACACATCGACCAGTTCTTCGGGCGATAGAGGTACTCTGGAGAGGAGCGACTTCAATCCATTCTTTAATTGTCGCTTCAGAGCAGGCGTCTTCGCAGTGACTCTGGTAGCGAATATCTCGGAGGCAAGATCATTCGCAGCCTTGTCGTCAACGGTTGCACCCAAGGCTGTTCTAACATGCGTATGCACCACCTCTTGGACATCAATCAACGCGATTTCCTTGTTGTACTTTTCCAAATCCTCGCCTCCAGCTGCTAGATGTGCCAACTTAGCAAGAGCGAGTTCAGTCTTCTTGTTCCAGACATCGACTGTCTCTTCTGTGGAGACGTGTGCAAGTGTCTTTTCCGCATGAGAATAGTCATTCGATATCAGCACATCCGTTATCCAGCTAAGCTTGCCAAGTTGCTGGCCGTGTTCCTGAGCTCTGTTGAAGAACCATTGGATGTACTTTCGTTTGTTCTCATCCTCTTGGCTTCGTTGCAGCAAAGTTCCACAGGCTCCATCAACGACGAGTTGACTGAAGTTGGCAAATGCCCAGCCCTTGCCAAAGCGATCGAAGTAGGTTTCGGTAGCTTCCTCCAGTTCTCGCAGCTTCTTCTCGTTGGTGCTAACCAGCGAGGGATTCCGAAAAGCGTCTTCCTCGAGTGATTTTCCATATGTGTAATTCAGTTCCATCAACAAGCTGAAATCCCGGAATTTTTCTGCAAGGTGGATCGCACCTGGCATATTGAAATGGGAAATGGCAAGCACAGCTTTCTTCATACGGTCTCTGACCTCGGCGTTGAGATTGCGAACTTCATCCCTCAACACCTCTAGATCGGTTTGTTTGTGTCTCAAAGCTACCATGGTTTGAATTGATTCTTCTCTGACAAGGCGAGAAAACAGCTCAACCTCTACCGGGAGACGAGCTGCCAATCCTTGGAGAGCTGCCTTTTTAGGAGCTTCATATGGTTTTCCATCAATATCAGTCGGCATTTTCTTTTTCTTATCGCTCGTGTCGACGTTCCACCACTCGTGGAGAAATTTGCAGATGTCATAGATCAGCTCCTGGCCGAATCCGAAATTTTCAAACTCTGAGCTCCAAGGATGATGGGGCAAGTCCACTGGGAATCCAGACTTCACCACTCCATCCTCGAAGACCTCATCCCCAAGCCCATAGAGTGGTGCATTGTCTTCGCGAAACTTGAATGTGGCTGAATATGTTGCAATCCACAGATCAACAGCTTCTTGAAGGTAATCACGGATGACCACAGGATTTGTCACATCCATGGGCTCCAGCTCTCGCAAACAACTTCCGAGTTCGCTAAGCAGGTGGTTTACTTGACTTGGACTGTTGACAAGCCAATGTCGTACTCGATCACTTTCTCCCTTTTCAATGTTGGGATATTTCTGTCGTGTTTCGTGCAGAGCACGCAAAGTGAAATCGAGATATGTCATCTCGCGGTCTTCTTGGGGGTATTTGCGTTGGATCTCTTCTTGCACTTTCCAGATGGCCTGTGCAGCAGCCAGTTTTTCGGCATTCAACAGCAACTGAAACCGAACCACTCGAGAAATCTGTGCCGGATAGTGCTCAATCAAATGCTCAGCCAGATCATTGAGGGCTTTGGCTCGAAGTCGCATTTGAGCTTCGATCTGTGGAGCAGTCTTGGGAAGATGCTTGGAAGTCGAAGAGAGGATTTCTGAACTTATGGCCAGTGCTGCTGCCTGCACTTCTTCTGATGTGAACGATTGCGTGGTGCTTTTGAGATCCAGAGGGTTCTGCTTGATAGTGCCGAAAAAGACTGCTTGTTCAATCTTGGTCTTCGCAGTAACTCGGCTTTGCAAGTCATCTGATTCAACATCCACTTCTTGTTGCTCTTGTAGATGCGAGGTGACCTTGACAATCCCGAAGCCTTGCACACCGAAGACAATCGATGACTGTTTCTCAGACATTTCGAGAGCATGCCCGAGCACCTTGAAAATTGTCCCTTCTTGAAATCTGATGCAGTCCTGGAATGGGTCAGGAAGGGCATGTCGCTCCATCAGTAATTGTGAGGATGGTGATTCCGAAATCTTTGCCAGTGAGAACAGAACGACGGCTGTTTCGAATAAGACGAAGACCATAGGTTGAGATTTGGACAAGCATAATCGTGGTCTCCAAGATTGATGCTCTGTGATGGGTGTTGTGTAACACTTAATCGGATGAACGACCTTGACTTTGGCACCTTCATCCACGACCATCTCAATGATATGGTAATTCGTTTCAGTACTGGTAGATAGAGCGGCCAGTACCATCATAGGCGCGCCATGACTCTCCCTACGGGACAAAGCAGTACTTGGGCCAGCAGACAGTTCCAAATCTAGGATCTTGAATTGGAGCGTTGTCTCCGACACGGTCGACTTAAGTGCATCCAAGACTGCCTCCTTGAAACTGAAAGATGTTTCCAGGGAGTTCCCAACACCGAGATTTGTATTCCAGAATTCAAGCTCGGCATCTTCGGTAGCAACGACAACATCGCGTTGTCCCTTTCTCGAACCCCCGGCCTTGATGATTGGGGTTCCCTTCCTGCGGTCTCCTCCAAATGCATTGCGGATACTGCCGAAGAGACCGGTGTTGTTCGTGTATTTCCGGAGGAATTGAACGCCAATAGCAGGTCTTCCCATTTGATCACGAGTGGTCAGATGAGCAACTCGACCATGTCTGAGTGATAGCATAAAACCGGAGGGTTCTGCATTGACCAACTCTTCTACAACCTCCCCACTCATCAAGCCAGGAACTGAACCTTGAACGCCGCTTGAAGTCTGACCTGGGATGAAGGAAGATGCACTAGATATTGTCTCCCAGTACACGACTTGGCCGTACCTTGAAGAAACCACGAGTAGTCCGGGTTCACCGCTCGCAGACTTGGCAGTAAACGTGGCGAGAGGTAGTGGGTCTTCAATGGACGCAGATGGGAACGGTAACTTGAAGTTGATGACATCTCGAGATGACGGGGTGGATGCGCTGGAATTGAAAGCCCAGATCAAGGCGTCAGTATGTGTCAAGGCCAATGCATAGCCATACTCGGGAGAGATGACACACGAATATGGGATGTCGGGGTGATTGCGAATCTGCTCTGGAAGGGTTGGCAGCTGGACGACGGTATAGAAATCATTGTTGGAAAGGGTCAATGCCGCTGAGCCTGCTGCGGAACGTTCAGAGCGTTTCTCAGGTTTCTTCCCTCGAATTGTCACCTCTAGGGACTGGGAGGGTGGTGTTGTATGTCCATTGCTCTTTTCTTCAATCTTCTCACGTCCCGCAACTTCGTTGAGGCTGGCCTCGGCCAACGGCTCGAATGTGTCTCGACGTAAAGCTGATCGTTTCCGCTTGGCTTGGGGTAATTTTATGGTGTCGTCAGTGCCTGCAGTCTGTCTATTTCTTTTGGGCCGTAGTGATTGTGCTCGCGCAGGATCTGGAGAAAACATGTTGTGGAGACCTCAGGCGGCAGGTTGAGGCGCGGGTGAGATGGTGATTTGGGTGTTTTGATGGTGGTCGCAAAAGAATTCCTGCGATGGAAAGTTGTTATGACCGCAATCCCCGTTCCTGCGGGCGCGTTCAATGCCAGCAAGGCGGGCCTAGCCAGATGCGGTAAGGGTGACAAGGTTGTAAGAAGATCACATGACAAGGCTGAGGAAGAGTCAGCGAACCCGCAAAGGGAATCTCAGCATGTCATTGTGAAGATCAATACGACAACAAACGGTATTTGAATTGAAGAGGAAAAGGATTCATTATGTGAGAAGCTGATCAGAGGTATAAAGGTTTGGTGTGGGGGCTCGCTCGTCTGGACTACGTAACATGGCCAGGTAATGCCGAAGTGACTGAACACCAACTTCATCACGCAAACACTTCAATATTTCCAATCAAAACGTCAAAGGATCATCTCCTCGCAGTGCACGCCATTTATTGGTCGCGTCGAGGATATCATCGCAATCCTTGACCAGCATCCACCACTTTCGAATGAAGGCCTCACTGAGTTCCCACCCGTCCGGTTCCCATGGATTCGACCATACCATGATCGCCGAATCTGTGTTATACTGCCCACCGGACATACGACCCATCACATCAGCGCACAACTCATCCCTTGGTATAAGATGATAAGTCCTCATAGCGTTGTCGCGCATTTTGGGAGACGGGAGGATGTCGATCCAATCAGGGTGCCGATGAGTGCGTTGAAGCGTTGTCGGTTCCAGGGATTTTGGTAAGCTATTGCTCCGGTACAGGTTGGGAAAGATAGTGGCATCGTGGCCAAAACTGCAAGTCTGCTGGCCTATGAGATGTATGTGGCCCAAGATGAGGACATTGGTGAGGGTCGCTCGCCATACATTGTACTCAATCAAAGGCATGAGGTGATCCCGTGATATCGGGTAGAGGCTTCTCATGGGTATGAAAGTGCCTTTATGATCGACTGCAGCGGGGATGAATAGGTGAGGCAACGAGACAACCATTTGTTGGTATACTTTGGAACGAGCAACAGGGTCGACCTGCTGCCGAGACTGGCTGTCAGGATCCATTATCATCACCAGTGTTGATAGCCGTGGGTTCATGCGTGCTGCTTTCCGCTTACCTAAGAACAAGTCAGCATCATCTTAATCCCTCTATATGACCATTCTCTGTCCAGAAAGAAACGAATGAGCTAGCTTGGCAGGGGATGACATACGATATGCCCTGAGACTCAATCGAACTTGGCGCTTCCGTCTCTCTGCAGGATCTTTCATTCCAGTCCAGTCGTCGTCGTCACATAGTGCTTCAGACAGCTGATGCATAGGCGCCAGCCTGAGGCGCTGATCTTCTTCCATGGAAGCGTTTTACTAGTAAGACAAAGAATTTTCCAGCTCGGCCAGTCGAACAGGACTGAAATTGAAAAAATTAAAGCCTCATTTTATGCAAACTGCTTTCAGGGCAATTAATAGCTGTCTGTGACCAGTGTTGACTCCAAGATATAAGAGGGATGGGACCGTGGTTAGTGATTGATCAAGAGTACCCACTGCCCGGCAGGGGCGGCCACTGTCCTGGTTCCGGGACACGCTAAAATATGCAACCTGCTTTCATCGGTTGACCGGAGGAAGATTAGTGCGTCTGGGGTGGATTTTCCAATCAACCAACGGCAAGGCTTTTGTATAAACCAACCCAGGCCTTCGGATGAGGAGGTCTGTATTCGTCCGTTGATGATCAGAAAGCGTTGAGGGATATTATCCACTGATCTTTCATGATTAGCTCTCTGGGTTGCCTAACTGTGATGGAGTGACGGAGGGCGATAAGAAGGCTCGAGAACAATATGAATATAGATTCCGCATACCGGGATAATGGAAGATCATTCCTGTAGACTACATCTTTTCCTCTCACCTTAATTTCTTGGTCTGTGTCTTTGGACCATAGATCGATCATCATCTATTACATCGTTTCCCACCTGATCCTTGAGAACGCGAAGCCAAATCTAGCAGAGATGGCTGTTGGTCTTGGGATGCTTCTGAGTTTCCTGTCGGCTCAATTCAAAGCCCTGCCATATCCCTCGAAGCCTTACGCTGGACAGACAATCATCGTCACCGGGTCCAACGTAGGCCTGGGACTTGAAGCAGCCCGCCATTTCGTCCGACTTGGCGCACAGAAAGTCATCATCGCTGTGCGGAACAAAGACAAGGGCGAAACGGCTGCCCAGTCCATCCACGAAAGTACGGGACGTGCCGGCGTTGCGGAAGTCTGGGAACTGGATCTGAGATCTTATGCCAGTGTCAAATCATTTGCAGAGCGTGCCTCGGGTCTAGAGCGACTTGACGTTGTTGTAAACAATGCTGGAATCCTCACAAAGAAGTTTGAGATGGCCGAGGACAACGAATCCACGATCACCGTGAATGTGGTAAGCGCAGCATTCTTGAGCCTGTTGCTATTGCCCAAGCTTCGGGAAACATCAGTTCGATTGCGAAGAGAAGTGGTTCTCACATTCACGGGCTCCTTTGTCCATTTCATGACAGATTTCCCAGAACAGAAGAATGAACGCATCCTGAATGGGCTGGCAGTCCAGAGGGACGCAGACATGGCCAATAGGTCGGCATATATCTTGTCCATTCGGATCATTTGTTGACCCAGGAATAGGTACTACGTTTCAAAGTTGATACAACTCCTTATTGCTCGAGAACTGGCTGAGCAACTTACCGCCTCATCAAAGTCGGGCGAGATCACAGTATCAGTTGTGAACCCGGGATTCGTGAAGACAGCCGTGATGAGGAATTCGGGTACTGTGTTCAAGATCTTCTTCCTACCTTGGAGGGCAATCATGGCCCGATCGACTGAAATGGGGTCCAGAACCATCATGCATGGTGCTGCTGGTGGGAGGGGAACACATGGACAATACCTTGATTCCTGTGCGGTTACGAGGTGGGTTCTTTGCATCATCGTTTATGGCATTTGTTCGTAGCTGGGCTAATCAGTGACACTGCTAGTCCTTCTGATTTTGTACTAAGCGATGAGGGTCATAAAGTTCAGAAGAAGATATGGAGGGAGTTGACCGAGGTCCTTGAGAGGGTCAATCCAGGGATTTTGGAAGGTATCTGAAGAGGTTGGACCCACCGAACCTTCTAGGTGCTGTTGATCTTAGTTGGGAGCAACGACTTCATAGCACCTCGTGCAAACGCGTGATCGAAAGATGAGATGCTTTCCGGGCAAGGCTTGTATGTCTGAAAGAAAAAAATACTCAAATACGCATGTCTCTGCCGGCGGGTTGGATTGTGAAGTGACATGACTACTGCTAACATTCGATGTCGAGAGCACTTTCGATATATACAAAAGTCAAAAGCCTCGAGCAATCGGCGCGTGATCATAGAAAGAAAGAGACTTTGAAATTGGTTCACTCGACGCGAGTCACACAGGCCCCCGTCCCACCGCCCGCCGTACAACTTTTGGTTAGCGTGCTAGAAAATGCCGAGGCGCCTTCGCCCGATGAGGAGCCTGAGGTCCAAGCATTATTGCGAGGTTCTTTGTGTCGGTGACGGAATCAGCTCATCCTCGAGTCCATGCCCACAAGCTCATCAGGTCCGTCGCGACCTTTGGGGCTCTCGATGGCTTGTGACTACAGAAAACAAGAGGCATAGTTTCACTCCTCCAGAAAGACTGGAATTGTATTCGTATTCTGCTAGTACACTATCGTAAACTCTGTCGCACCTCGACTGGCTCCAGCACCATCGGACATATTTGACTGCTAGGCAAATACTGTTGATGTCACAGTATACATATTGTGAAGCACCATCCTGGCGCCATATGAGAGAATTAAATCGGCCATAAAGAAAGACCGGTCAATCTCGATAAAAGTTTCTGTTATTACAATTTCTTATCATCATCATCAACAACACTGCCTCCCAATGTGCTGCTGTCAGTGGATTCCTCCTTGGAGAGGTTCGAGGCCTGTTCCATGTCATCATCGGTGGGACCATGTAGTTCTTCCTCAAAGACGGGGTCGGCATCCATGGCTTCAAACTTGGTCTTGAAATCACCCAGAAGTTGAGTGGAAGAGTTGGAGCGACGACGTTGATTGTTAAAGGCATAGCCGTAGTCTTGAGCTTCTTCTCCATCACGACCCCTTGCATCATGTCAGCCTCGACCTCGATCTCGAGTGTAGATGGGCGGTCTTACCAATTGCCCTTGCCGCCTCCTTGCTTCTTGACACTCTTTGGATCAGCGTCTACGTGACCATGTTTGGCAAAGTAGCGAGGGAGGCGGTCTTCAGGAAGGGCGGTACCATCAGCCAAAGCACTGTGGTTGCGGTCGTTTCCCTTGTTGGTGCGAGTCACTGGTGGCAGGTCAGGATATGTGGTTGGGAGTGGGCGGGTAGACTTACTGGTGAGAAAAGAATGGTCAATGGGTAGATTGGAGATGGCGAGGGGTGTTTTGAGGGATCAGAAGTCGGTATTGTGGTCGATTGTTGCTTGAAGAAGGAGTCAGGGTTGGGATGAACTGAAGTTGGAGTTGGAGAAGAGGATGGGTAGACACGCGACCCGGCAGAAAAGGGAAGGGAGGACGAAGCTTGGACCAATGGTTACGAACACGCTGAGTACTCACTTTTGTAGGATGGATGGGAATTGATGGTGTTGATACAAGTGAGTGAAGACAAAGAACAAGAGAAGTGAAGAGAACTTGAATGAGACGAATGTAGTTATGCTTGAGTTTTGGGGTTGTTTGTTTGAGACTGGGAGTGACTGGGAATGATTGGGTAGGTGATTGGAGAAGGTGAAGCTTAGGAAGATGAAAGCCGGAAGTTGAAGGCTCAGGCTGATGAGTGTGAGGGAGTGGCTTGTTTGTTAGTCAGGGATCAGATCGAGGTCATTTGCTCGCATGACCTCTGTTATACTAGACTGTAGGCTCAAGCTGCTCAAGTGACACTGCACTGCACCTTCCCCGGATTCACTCTGCCGTTCTAACGCCATTAGCGCGGGGTTTTCAACGCTTGGCCGGCACTATCTTTCTCCACTCCCTCAATTCAACGAATCCGACTCTTTGGGTAACTTGAAGGCAATAAACTGGCAGTGGCCACCTTTCAGGTACGGAGTGCAGAAGAGTCAGAAGAGAACCAGCTCAACCACTGGCAGCAACAGCGGTAGCGGTGCCTGAGTGTGAGCTTACTTGGAACAATGTAAATCACCTCATGACAAGGTTAGCTTGCTTCTCATCCCTCAGCGGAATCAATCTCCTCGCCCCTGGCCCTTTGCTGATGGCCATACGCGGATCTACTTGACCCGAGGGACATAAATCAACTGACAATGCTATACATGGAAATGTCGCAGAATCAGATCCATCTTGTGGTGGGTTTTGCGAGTAATTATTCAGGTCCAAAGTCTCTCACCGACCGCCCTGACTTAGCTACCTAGGTACGTGGTGTGACTGACGGCTTCTTCCGAACAAAGCCCTCACGTGATGCATCTCACCTCAAGAGTTTCACTTGCAAACAAGACTCCAACAAGGAGAACAAGTACCTTGTTAATGGCAGCGTGTCTTCCACCCCAAGCGTTACAGGCACCGGAGACCTACTAACTTATAGGCATCCCGGGCGTGCTGTCTAGGTGTCAAACCTCTCGCGGTTCCGTTACCCTTTCAAGGCAATTAAAACCACAGCCATATGCGGGGCGGCGTCATTGCCCGGAAACCACCACCCAGACACTTTATCTTAGCGTTCTTGCCCGATTTCTAATCTAGGCCCGCACCCGACTCTTTTTTCCTTTACTCCCCCACCAGATCAGTCACAATCATCCTACCATTGCATTTGAACCACGAGCCCGAGTACAACTTCAACAATCATGTCGCCCTCATTCATCATGGATACGTCCGATGACTTTGTCATGCCCACACCCAAAATCTCTCAACCTCTCAAACGAACCCTTCTCCTCTCACCACCCTCCCTCTCGTCACACCAGGAAAAACTTACCAATGTCCTGCAATCCTACGACAGATCAGTCACTGACTTACAGATGCTTGACCGCCTATCGCTTGGTCTCGTCTCGCTCCCGCCGTCTACATATGATCTCATTTTAATTCTTTCCGACGCTGACAGTACCCGCACCGAAAGTCGCTCTTTACTTGGTCGCGCCGTATTCTCTCTGCTTGTGGCAGCCCTCAAAGACGGCGGTAAACTGTGCAGTCAGGATGGACAACTGGGAAGTTCTGATGTCGCGGAGAAAAATGAAGGCATTCTTGCCGGGTTGTCCTTTGAGTCTTCAGTCGGATTTACCAAACCCAACAGCAGCGCACAGGAGACCGTCCCCTTGAAATTTGGAAGAAAGAACGCTTCTAAAGCAGCCGGTGGACTTGCCAATGGAAATTCAAATCAAGTCTCTCTGCCCCTGAATGGAAAGCGCAAGGGAGTCGATGAAGTGCCTGCGGGTGTGGGGTTCGATGATGGAAACAATGAATCGGACGACGAACTGATCGATGAAGATGAGTTGATGCAGGACGAAGACTTTCAGAGGCCCATCAAGATTCGTGAGTTGTGATCTGCACCGCCAAAAGTTCAATATACTGACGATTTATAGCAACCGAGTGCCAGCCCAAGGCTAAGAGACGACGTGCGTGCAAAGATTGCACATGCGGACTTGCAGAAAAATTAGAGGCTGAGGATCGCGCAACTAGAGAGAATGCAGACAAGGCATTAAATACATTGAAATTACAGGCCGATGACCTTGCCGAGGTCGATTTTACTGTCGAAGGGAAAGTGGGCAGTTGTGGAAACTGCAGTTTAGGCGGTAAGTGTTTCATGTTCCACTCGCGTTAGTCAAAACCCCAGCTAACATATTGATCTCCAGATGCTTTCCGTTGTGATGGATGTCCATATATTGGACTGCCGGCTTTCAAACCCGGCGAGGAGGTTCGCCTCCTGAACAATGACATTCAATTGTAAATATCTATATATTGGGAAATGCATGGCGACGGCGTTCAAGTGGGAACAGTTACCGGACGACCAACCACAGTGGATTGGATACCGAATATTATAGGGTCTAGGAGGAAGCATTTGATTTAGAGTCTGGATTGCAAGAATTGCAGGTCTTCCTCCAGGGATTAGATTAGCTGTGAAGCTGCCTTCTTAAAAGATATTTCCCCGGGAAATTGTTTGTCCATTGCCGAGCGCTTTCCACGAATAATCTGTCACGAAAGGGTCATCGTACTACTCTACGCCAATCACAAGCATCTCTTTTCTTCTCGCATTCCGTGAGTCTTCCGGCCGCAATTGGAAACAAGGGAAGAGGTGGAGCTTCGCCGCCACCTTCTCCGTTCTCGCCCTCAGATAATATTCTTGCTCACGCTCACCTACACCGTTTTCTAAGTCTTTACCAGAACTCTTCACTGAGGAACCTCTGCCGTTGCTCTTGGTCGTCCACACTATACATCACCACATTCTACTGCTCCTCTACTGCTCCTCTACCTCTCATCACGACCTAAACACGATCCACAATGTCCTTCTCCTCACTTGTACAAGACATCGCATTCCGCGACCCCTCGCAACAGAATCCTCGTGCCAGCGGCAGCACCATAAACAGCAACACCGATGCCCAATCCACCATCTCGCGCAGGTCGCAAGCTCGGTCATATCAATCTACTGCTGCCACGAGCGTGAGCATCGCAGGCGACATCTCGAGTCAATTGCACGCCGGATACAGTCATCCGCTGTCAAGAGCATGGCAAGCTGAGAGACAGTTAACCAAGGTGGGCTACACATCCCAAAGTTCCACTCCAACACCTTTCGCGAAATTCTATACTGACAAAGCGACCGCAGTCAATGCTCATATACCCTCTTTTCGTCACTGACAACCCTAACGAAGTCACTCCGATCCCCTCCCTACCGAATCAAAACCGCCTCGGCCTGAACAAACTCGTCTCATTCCTCACCCCTCTTGTACAAAAGGGCCTCCGCTCCGTTATTCTCTTCGGCGTGCCCCTCGCACCCACCGCAAAAGATGCACTCGGCACCGCCGCCGACGACCCGGAAGGGCCAGTCATTCAAGCAATCCAGCTCCTCCGCCGAAACTTCCCACAACTCTTCATCGTCGCGGACGTCTGTCTCTGCGAATACACGTCACACGGGCACTGCGGCATCCTGCGCGACGACGGCAGCCTCAACAACGCCATGTCGGTGGAGCGGATTTCCGACGTCGCCATGGCCTACGCCCAAGCCGGCGCACATTGCGTCGCCCCCTCTGACATGAACGACGGCCGCATCCGCGCCATCAAGCTGAAACTCATCGAGGCCGGCCTCTCCCACCAGGTCAACCTGATGAGCTATGCCGCCAAATTCTCCGGCGCCCTGTACGGGCCCTTCCGCGACGCGGCAGGCTCGTGTCCCAGCTTCGGCGACCGGAAATGCTACCAGTTGCCTCCCGGAGGACGCGGTCTCGCGAGACGGGCCATCGTTCGAGATATCCAGGAAGGTGCGGACATCATCATGGTCAAGCCCGCGAGCTCATACCTGGACATCATCTCCGATGCGAAGGAGCTCGCCAAGGATATGCCCGTCGCGGCGTATCAGGTGTCCGGCGAATATGCGATGCTTCACGCGGCAGCCAAGGCCGGTGTGTTCGACTTGAAAACCATGGCTTTCGAGAGCACCGAGGGGATTCTGCGCGCTGGTGCTGGCATCGTCATCAGCTACTTCACACCTGATTTCCTCGACTGGTTGAGCGCATAGACAGATGGCGGACGAGATTGTCCCTCCTTATGGGGTTGCTTTTTGCACTTGCTGTGATAGAGAAAAGCAGAGATGATGCTCAACGTTTTACATCCCTTCTACACATTGATTCACGAGATACCAGGACGCCTCTTTCCTTTTCATGATCTTGATGTGATGGCGGCGTTTAGCAGTGTCAATCCGGGCGAGCGAGAGCGGAAGGTGCGGATCATAAGATAAAAGTATAAATAAAATAGACCTGATGCCCGACTTTGTGCGAAAGGAATTGATACACTCTCCACATTTCAGTACGATTTCAACCGGATCTGCTATCCCTGATATCGTGCGTTGCAAGACGTAGCGTAGATTCTCAGACAAGATTGTTTCTTTGAAAGGAGGAACTTGTTGCCCTGATACATACGCTCGGTGGTTGTCAGTACTTGGGCGTATGGCGATGTGACGGCGTAACGATGTCAGACACGCTCACTACCAGGTGTGCACGATATCAAAACGCGTGCCCCCGCAGCTGACTTGAGTGCAGAATCACGATCCGATCATGCTATCTGACCTGTGAGTGACATCGATCCTTCTGGGATTCGTAAAACAGTGATAACCCTCTGCTGCCCAATTTGCCCGCAACACTGCCAAGCGCTCGCTGTGCAACGACCTGTCCCGCAGGGTTTTGTATTTCACGCAATTCCTAATTCTCTGCGCACCATCCGAACGCTTGAGCGCGTGAGGAGTGGCACTGTCCTTCTCCATTACAAATGTCTGTCAACCATGATAAGGCGGGATTGAGGCCCTGTGCTATGGAGCAAACCTGTATGCTTGGCTTGTTCCTTTGCTTGAAACGCTGCCACTCTCCACACGGATGGATTTGGGTTGGTCGCTGTGTACTTAAGGTCGTTCAGTAAGCAAGATAATTCCGGTTTCAGATAGGTGCAATGTTACTCTTCCCAGTTGCACGTGGTGAACAAGTTTTGATATAACTCTCGGTCTTCGCATATAGTTAGCCCAACATCCTTGGTTTTCAGGCTGCCCAGAGATGCTTCTGATCTGACAGCAAGGAAGATATATCCATTTCACTTCCATTTCATCATGAAACTCTCATTGTTTATCGCCTCTGGCATGTTAGCTATCCTCTCGAATGCATATTCTCTCATCCTGGTTCCCACAATGCCTCTCATATTCGTCAATCTGCGAGTAAGTTATCATTCATCCGTGTCGTACTGCAAAGGCTAAATATGATGTGCCTAGAAAAATAGAATCAGGTGCGCTGGCTTCAAACAGGTGACAAAGGTTTCTGACTGCTAAATGTTCGTCGCAGTCTGATTACCGGTGGCAGGGAACCACATAGCTATGATGTGAGGGCCGCAGAACATATCGCAAGGTGGACCTGGTCCTCGTGGCCAGAGGAAAGGTGCTGTATAGTCTTTTGTCGTGGAGAAGAGGTACAGTCCTTTACTATGCGACGATAGTTAATCTTCTGGTAGCGGCAGTGTGGCTGACCATGGCGTAGAGTATGAACAAGGTCTGTGGAGGAAGGATGAAGGAATACATGAATCCAGGAACGACCAACATCAGAATTGGATGCGGGGACCGTGTCCCTGACTGCTCTGATGGCGTGGGCGATCGCTGGGAGAAGGTGCCTTGGGTGGTGAAAAAGTTTCCAGGTGAAGCTCCCGAGGCTATCGACTGGATTGGAAGCGGACTGCCATGGGGCTCGGAAAGTGATACTCTGAAGTATGATGAATCTGGGAGGGTGTTGGGCTTACCTGGTGCCCACGAGCGAGATAACCGCGTTTCAGTCTTCAAGTTGAGGGGAGAATGAGTTGCACTTCCTCGCAGTAAGATGTGCTAGTCTTGCAGCAATGTGTCTGTATGAATGGACAATGAAGGTTGCTCGTTACATTTGCCCTTTGGTGAGTTCGATAACAGACAGGAAGACTTGCTTGCTGGTGTAAATAAAGGACGCGCTAAATTGAGATGAACGCGTCATGACGCGTTATGGACCGCGTAAAGTGTGTGCATTTTACCCCTCTCATTCCATCAACTCCACACACCGCACTTTTCGTCAGGAATGTGAGATCCCAATTGCACCTAAGCATCCCACCCTACCGACACGAGAAGCTCGCTTGACTATAGCATCGTCTCAATTTCTACCTTCTCCGCGCCTCACATGACATCAACTTCCAAGGCTCGATTTGAGCAAGCGTCAAAGCACGCCGTTCTCCTAAACGCACTTCTATCACACCCTGCTTGCAAACTGCAAGCCAACGGTAGACCAGACAAGAACAGCACCCCCATCACGCTCTATTGGGTCATCGACTTCGAACTCAACACGTGGAACAACTACGTTCTAGCCTATCTCCCACCCGATGCACCTAAACACAGCCGTGGGCTGGCCATCCAGCCAGGCAGCGATTTCACCGAAAGCCCCGCGTTGGTGGAAGATAGTAAATACCCTCGTATGACCGGTGCCGCCTTGAAAGAAAAGTGGACAGACTCAATCGGTCGAGGCGTCATGATCAGTAACATCATCTTGACTCCTGGTCAGCAAATGATGTTCGGTGGCACCTTTGACTTTGGGTCGGAGGTTGAGGCTGCTGCCAGAGCAATCACGGCGACAAGTTGAAAGCGTCCGAATCCTTAGACTACGGCAGAAGAGTTTTGCAATAGTGTAGTCCGAGCGTATTGGAGGCGGCAAAGAGTAAAAATGTGTACACTACAAGGACTTGATCAGTCCAAAGACTGTGACCAGGAGGTGTGAAAGTCAGCCGTGAGCCACATTCGAAGCTAGCTCGATACTCGTGCAAATGCAGAGAGTATATTTACCTTGGCTACGGAGTTTCTGTTGCTGTTTACAACGTGGTGTAGGTATATTCTGTTGTTCATGTCTACATGACTTGCCAATCGACCTTGGGTAGGTATAGGATGCTCCTTTCCGCCATAGAATGCCACCATAGTAGCATTTAGACGAAGTCGATATTCTGATTCATACAGGTCATATAAACACGGGGACGTCACGTATTTGTGTCTAGCTCTATCCGCTATGAGGTGGATTGGGCCCGAATAACTTGGGAAATCCGTCGCCTCAGTCTATGGGGAATGCCGCTTATAGTAAACCTCTGTAAATACGGAGCTCCTGATAGTTACCTAGTTGGGTGTTTTGGGTGAGCTAAGTCTTTGCATACCTACCTACTTAGGTACTTAAGGTCAGACCGAGGGGCCCTACGGTGAGTTGGAAGTGCCCCCATCGCTTTTTGACGCTGAGGGCCGATCTGCGTCTTCTCTCTATACTGTGCTGTCGTTGACGATCATATCGAACCGCCCACGGTGCACGCACAAGTGCTGTTTATCAAGTTTTGCGATTGCTGGCTGTCACATCCATGGGAGAATTGCGTGCCTAAAACAAGTCTTCAGTACAGCTGACTGAATCTACTTGTAAGCCGTTTGATTTCGTTTCGTTCATGTAGTTTACCTTTCCTTGTTTACCATTGACTGTGCTAAGGTCAACAATGGACTCCAAGCTCGTGGCGCTGAAAGTTTTGGATCCTTTAGTCGGTGGAATCCCAGAGATCGGAAACATGCTGTGCCGGTCAAGCCTCCAGTCTTACGGAAACGAACGCTCTACTACGAGTCAGCGGCTGTTCCGAAAGGGCCCATCCGGTAACCTTTTTCGTGCAACTCAAAATGCGACAAGTTAGCGTATGGGCTAAATGCCTCTGTGGGGCAACTTATCGGCATTCCAAGTTCAAATTTTATTCTTCAATAGTAGTATTGTTGCTTATCTTAGCGCTAAGGATTTAAAGGGCTTCATCTATCGCACATTGCAAAGAATGAGCCGAATGCCTGTTGTATGAATATTTAGCACTTATGAGATAAAATCCTCCCAATGCGCGCCAGGCCGGATGGGCCTGGTAAGTCATCATTCCCGAATCCCACTCTAAATTAGTGGTGTTCGACAGCTCCATATTTCCAAGGTTGACCTAGTACTTCATAGGTAGCCGCGGAAAGTATACTGGATTGTCATCTCGTCTGAATCCACCTGCGAATCTCCAACACCCTAATTCAAGGACTCCATTTCAGCTTCCCAAGTCCAACTTGCGCCTGAATGCGCCGACGGAGGAGTCTGCATGCGACTCGCACGTCCGTAATCTACCTGAGATGGCTTGACATATCGAGGCATTTCCTGCTCATGTGCGTGCTCTAGACTGTCGAGCGGAGGGGAAACGGACAAGGCACTCCTCAGGTGACGACTTTCTTGGTTGACAAAAAAACGAGATGCGCTAAACTCTCCAGGTATTGGGAATACGTATTGGGTTTCAGAGTCGGGTGACAAGGCATCGGTCAGTCCCATTTGAGCTGCCAGTGGAACGCCGAGCGAAATGAGTTGAACCTGAAGGTCTTCCCCGCCCTGGCCAGTCTGTCTCTCAATTAGGTCGCTCTGTTGGCTCAAACTCGGATTAAAGGTCATTTGGAGCTGCTCGATGGCGGCCAATGCTGCATCTTCAAGAACCTCATCTCTCATCACTTGCATGTCAGTGTCCGTCAACACCATGCCTCCCCGTAGTTCCATCTGTTGCCGAAAGGTGGAAGGGAAATTTTCTTTGAAAAAGCCTAGGAATTGGCGATACTCCTGCATATTGACATCGGGGTACGGGCTTTGGGGCAAAGGCGAGGTGGGAAACGGTATACGATATATGTCGAACCACGAATCGGCCGGATTTCGATTTGGAATTTTCTTTCTGACTTCTGAGCACTGGTCCGTTGTCATTTTCTCCGCAAAAGGGCACCCTCGAGCAATGCAAGACCTTTCTTTGATGTGATGCTCTAGCTCAGTGCCGAAGTCAAAGACTTCATAGCATACTGGACAGTAACTTTCTGGCCTTTTGTGAACGCGGTACAGATGTTGTTTGAAACGCGAGATATTCCTGAGGAGCTTGCTTCGGCATGTGTGGTATTTTGCTTCTTGATGGTTGTGCTCCGAGTATCGACCAGGATCCCACACAGCGTATGGACAATACAAAGGACGATCTGACATTTGATCATCTGTGCAGTTGGGCCAGAGTAAGACGAATATTGAATGCGGGTGGTATCAATTAGAGGTAACGCGAATGGGATCGAATTTACAATCCAACGTGCTGGATTTGCCCCCCAAATATCATTTGAGCATCCCTCACCTCCACACAGAATTGTTGTGGTTGAATTTCGTAGAGATGGGGAGCGTGTTGGATTTGTATTTTTGGTGTTTGCTTGCATGAACTTCGGTGGTTATTGGGTATTGTGCCCAATAAGCTCTCGTCAAACATCCTAATTCGTTGGCGGAATAGCCACTACTGCACTCAGTTGTGTGTTCGCTGACGGAGTAGCCACTACTGCGCGCAAATGTGCGTCCACCGTCCGGTTCCTTGCTTGGTCGACTCGAAAGCCAATTGCATGTAGAGTGAATGACTACTCTCGCCTGATCCTGTTTGGAATAAGATCCCACAAAATGAGCCCGGCTGAACGAGAAGGAAGTGTCAATGTGATGGTGATTTATGAAGCACACCAGCCTGATGCAGACACTTACACGCAGATATTCCGACTTCCTCACCTGCGTCCGAAAGCATGTTGTTTTGCTCTCCAACCACCCAAATGACGTCTGAAGCCAACAGTCCTTCCGGTTTAACAGGATCTCGCCGTGAAGTCGCTGAATCAAGCCTATACCAAAGCTCGGAGTGGGAACGTTGCAGAGAAGAGCTCACGAATAGTATGGTCCAGCAATTTCTTCAAAGGCGCAGCTCAGACATTACTGGGAAAGAGAGCTATGATACTGTCATAGGGGGTCTTCAAACAAATGCACCGAGCCTTGCAAGCTTGCTGACCAACGATAAAGAGAAGGTTGGAAGGAGCTTCCCACGATGATCTTGAACCTGAACTAACGCACAAAAATATAGGGGGAACAACAGAGTTTGACAACTAAGCTTTCTCGAGAACAAATGGGAGAATATCGCATTGGCATCATCTGCGCATTGCCCGTTGAAACTGCTGCCGTAAAAGCAATTCTGGATGAGTCTTATGGAGAGCTCAAGAGTCAAATCCCACACGATACGAGCACCTATTTGCTAGGTCGCGTCTCTGGGAATAATGTGGGAGTTTCGTCCCTCCACCTAGGAGTGTGTGATGCACACTCAACCGCGACTATGGCACGGAATCTTTCTATGACCTTCACCAACATTCGTTTCGCCCTTGTGGTCGGCGTGGGCGGTGGAGGTGATATATTTGCCCCGAACAACCTCATTGATATACGGCTTGGCGATGTGGTTGTCAGTCAGCCCAATATGGCACATAGCCAAGCCGTAACCAACAAACCCCCCAAACTGTTAGACAGAACCGTATTGCACTTCCTTGAAACATGCTCACCCACTATACGGACGAAAATCCACTTACAAAACCAGGTATGTCCGGATCGAGCCACTCTCCTGCATGAAGTGAAGAGTCCAGTAAGCCTTGAATGGACAGTTCCGGAACAAGAGTCTCACGAGTGGGGGAAAAAAGGCCACTTTGTTCCAATTTCGATCGGTCGCAAGATGAAACACATCGGCACAAACACGGTGGCTGCAATCATTTCAACAATGCGATTGTTCACCGGGAGCCTCCAGACATTATAGTTTCAAAGCTCCTTTTCGGGATGTTGGCTCCAGAAGACGCAAGGATGCAGAGCACCAGTGAGCGGCATCGACAGACCTGGCAATCTAGAGCACTGTGTTACGAAATGGAAGCTGCTGGCCTGATGACTCATTACTCATGTCTTGTAATCCGAGGGATTTGTGACTATGCAGATCATTTGAGGCAACCTAACGCAGCGGCCAACGTGGTGATTTTTGCCAAATACCTTCTTTCGACTACCAAACAACCGGGTGTCACTATGTGCAAGCACCCGACAGAAGTTGCCAGCCATGGAAGAGAAAACGGTAATCGTCTCCACAAGGAAGAGAGCCTGGGTCATACTAGCATTGAGAAAGTTCTGCTGGCCCACGCAGAAACTGTGAAAGCTCAGGAAGGATGCTTTTGCCGTGCATTCCCAGCTGCATCTCCAGATGAATGTGAGGCGGTGATGCAAATGTTCAAGGACGCGGGCAGAGATTTCCATACCAAAGGCGGATGCCATTGTAATGCATTCGAAGCAGCATCGGCCACTCGTCTCAAAATCCTGATACTGTTTTTCCTCAAGCACGGGGTTCCTGTCAATGCTCGAGAAAGGGACCCTAGCAATGATAACCTGCCTCTTTGCGACAACAAAGGGCAGTCATGATAAAAGGCAGTGGAAACACTTCACCAGTGACGATCAAACATACACGCCCATGGATAGGAGTCCAGTAGCAATTCAATCTTTACAAAACCAATGGAAGCGGTCACGAGGTAGCGGTGACATTTTGTTAGTGGATATTGATAATTGTCGATGCCGATGGAAGAGCATTCAGCAGTGGCCATCAACCCTTCAGAATATTGAAGCATAATGATGAGGTGACGGTGTCGATGCTGCTTGTCGAGATTGTCGAGATCCCATGGTATTGTTGTTGGGGCAATGAACGGCCAAACCTGTCCATCCTTAATAATTTCTTATGTACTTGAATTTGAAAGCTTCAATGGTGCTCGTCGTTTGATCTGGTGATTTGCCTCTCATCAAGAGAACTAAGCCAAACCGAACCCGAAGTTTACTCAGTACCCATCTTTATGGTCCATCAAGGTGGCAGCATGATCTCCATACGTGTTTGCGTCCCGTAGAATAGCGAGATAGTACACAAAATAATGTAATTTTCTTCTACCTGTAACTTCGCGGATGTCTATCTGGAGTCCAAGACTTGAGGGCCATAAGTCCGTTTTTCGGTCACGGTGTGAAGTGTGTAGTATTTGGCAGGTTGTTTAAAGCCTACCAGGATGTAGACACGCACGGCTTTGCTTCCTCACTCTTCCTACTTGACCAAAGTCTCTCAGACGACGGCGAGGTAGTCACATTCAAGGCGACCCGGATCCATCAGCCATTGCAGTTCATCCTGTTTCTCATTAGAGATCTTACTCATTCCGATATTCCCTGATGACGGCCAGGCAACAAGGTACAGACAGGCGCTTGCTTTACTCACCTTGGTGGGTTTTCGCGGTGCCATGATGTAATAGTGACTGTTGTAATGCTGGGATAAGGCATTGTTAGGGAGGTAAGGATTGCGTGTCAGTAAGAAGACAGAAAGGTTCCAACTTGTTCAGTTGTTCAGAAATTTGGGGGGGAGAGAATGATTTGTGTTCAAATCCTCGGGGCCACATCTAAGCTTCCCAAAAGGGTTCACTCTCTCTCCTTAGACTTCGATGGCCCAATTTCCAATGCCAACTAACTACAAAGGGACCAAATGGACCAAACGAACGAAAGACGGAAGCTGGCAATTCCCAAAGTTGAATATCTCTAAATCGGGGGCGAAAGAGAGTCAGAGGAGCTTACAATAAACTTTGCATTAGCAGCTCCAAAAGCGTTTCGTAACCACAGTGCAAGCTTCTCGGTTTGTATGTAACGGTCTTGGTAGCTGTATTTGATCCCGATCACGGGCCAGACCTGACGCCGCACGATGCTGGGCCATGAGTTTACCGAGGACACAGACGATGATGACGATGGCAGAGAGGAGGGCGGCATTATGTCGTTGATTCTTGTCCTTTCTTTGAAGTGGTGGGTAGGAATAGATGTGATGGGAAATGAGCCAGAGACAGAACTGGGTGGATATGGCGTTTACTATCGTGGAACGAGAGATTTGTAGTGATGGCGCGAGAGTGGGAGGGTTGAATCCGATACTTCGACAAAGGCGCGGAAAACCAGTGTCTTGAATCACGACTATGCAAAGCTGGTGGCAAGGAAAAGCAATGGAAAAGCCGGTTGGGTGGGCGAATACCAAAAACTTGGCTGAAGTCCAGCATTCTGTTAGGCCCGGCCCCAACATCATGGTAGGCTTGCATAGGATGAGGAAAGCTTGTAGCACCGTTTCCAAGGTTGACAATAAGGCTGACTAGAGGGCTGACAGCCCAGAACGGATTTGACTTCACCCAAGCAATTAGGTAGCATTGCGCAAGACTTACCAGGATGTGAGGTGTCCCTTGGGGCACAGTCATTCTTCGGGAGCAGCACACCCTTGATGCGTTAATTGGCCGAGAAGGTCAAGTTGGGCACGAAACACAAAATTATCCCGAGGACTTGAGAGCACCATCCTGATCCTCAAGTCATAGCAAGCGTTAGAGTAGCATTCCATACAATTTTGTAACAAGTTTTGAGACACGAGGCGCCTTGCATTAGAAATATTACTCCTATGTCATGAACGTGTACTCAGCAGAACCTTCAGATACATATAATTACAAGATCTTGGAAAGCCTCGCAGGCTCTATGTTACATATGATGGAACCCCGAATCGGTACTGTTTCCGAACGTAACGCCTATCAAGTTGAACATGGTACAAAAGAAATTCATCAGCTCGAGTCATCAGCAAATGGGGAGTCGTGAACGGATGTCCGAGATCTATTGCGAGGTAGATCTTCGTAGTCGAGCTCATCATTGGCCTGAGAAATTGCTATCCTGGGCGTGGTGGGAGTTTCGATTTCGTTTGTTGGGCTGGACTGCTCCATCCAATTGTGGATGTCTCTCGTGGCTAGACCTAGTAGTGGTTGGGCAACGGCTTCTGGAGAGCTATGGTGCCTACCATGGATACTTTGTCTTCTTTGTCCGTGGGTTTCGGGGACCTCACTAGTCGTGAATCGCCTGTTGGTCCTAGAGTCGGGGGTTAAGTGGCTTCCGTATTGTGCTGGGTATGCGCGACTGTCGATACTAGGCCGGCGTGAATGACCATCCGAATCACCGATAGAGCTGGGTGGAGCGGCGATCTGAGATGTATCTGAACCAGAATCGATGTAGAACATTTCATTTTTCAAGTCCCACTCAGCTTGGGTCATGGTAGCATCAAGAGCATTAAAAAGCTCAGAGGCGTTGAGGCGGTCTTGAGCTCGAATATTGAGCAACCTGCCCACGACACGCACCAAATGTGGCAAGACTCCCCGGCCTTCGCAACGATCTTTGAGAATCCGCAGCTGCCTGATAACAGAAGCTTTGAGATGTACATTATGACCTTTATCCTGACACCAGAATGACTGGTCTTGGTTGCCGTGAGGATCAGTAGCATCTGTCATCCGCCTGTCCGCAAAATTTTTCACGTTGTCTTCTTCTTCAAGCCCCACAATCCACGTTAAGAGCTCCAAAAACATACAGCCCATCGACCACATATCGTAGGGGCGAGACGTACTCCCTTCCAAAATAGCATCTGGTGCGCCGTAGACAGCATCGCCCGCGGATGGACGGGTTGGGAAAAAACTATGTTGAGCGGAGCCCGAGAGGATCTGTCCAATTCTTGCCGTCCCGAAGTCACTGATTGAGAATAACAAGTCTCCAGTGTCAGGGTTGACAGTTACCAGGATATTGCGAGGCTTCAGGTCGTGATGAAAACACGCTTGGCGACGCCGGCCCGCCTTGCGTTTGCCCTTGCCCTTGACGTCCTCATCAACACGATCCGGTTCCAGGTTCGATGGTCCTAAATTATGAATGTGTCTTAACCCATCAGCCAACCCTCTCATCTGAGAAAGCAGGGCGAGCATAGTTGGCTTTGTCAGCTGTGGAGATGGGTTTTCCATATAGGTGTGGAGATTGCAGTTCGCACGCCGGAATAACATATAGCAGCACCCATCTTGGTTCCACGAGGCTAGGTGGGTTGTAATGTTAGGATGCGGTACCTCTGCAAGCCGGGTAAGCGTGCTCGACTCGTTTGCAACTTCCGCCTGAGTACGCGCACTCAGATCATAAAATTTTTTGAATGCAAAAGTTTCGTCTCGCATAGTTGAAAACGAATGATGGTCTGCGTCAATACGGACCTCATACACGATCCCGAAACCTCCTTTACCAAGAAGGCTTTCGTCATTGCTCTTGTCGAAGAGAATAGGCACTACAACGTCGCGGGGAAGATGGAGATGCTCTGGGTGACTCTTTTCGTTCATGACAAACGTGTGGGCCGCAAAACCGCCTGAGATTCCGACGACCATGCTGAACTTCCGACGATAGGATGGATCTGGGCAGTCGCTATCGCTGAGAGGAAGGTTCGTATTCCTGAGTTTTTTCTCCCACATCTGATAGAAACAGCTAAGAGGCAATTCTGCATACACACAGAACGCCATCAAGCGCGCCCCCCAGAGCCAGATCCTGTCGATGAATTCAAGAAAATTATCTCTTTCTTCCAATTTCTTTCCGCCATTGATTATCAAAAACTTGCCGTCGTGAAGGCTTTTGTCGTCGCGAATCAACTTTGATATTGTATCAGGCGTCATAATGTGATCAAGGTCTCTTCGTGGGACATACACTTTGCCCTCCCAGTTCCTTTTTATCTTGTTTTCTATGGCGATGCAGATAGTTTCCTTGTATTCCTGGTCAGGGACTGGTTTGATTTGGAGGCTCGAATACTCCCACTCAATCTCTAAGTAGAAGCGTACATTGCGATTGTTCCCGAGAAATTGATGTATTCTCCATGGAACGTACTCATGCCATTCACGGCTGCTCTCCAGGATGCCTCGATATGCTATAGTTTCTGTGTCAACTCGTTTCAATTGAAACCGACCCACTTTCAAATAGAAGGCTTCGGCCGATCCCGCAGTGTGCGCTGTTAGCTCCTTGGTGGCTAACCCAGCCAGTTCTTCGAAGGCCGTCTCTTCCTCATAGTCCACTAACAAGTCTTCGATACGGGCCACCGGCTCTTGGTAGTAGTTGATGACGAGGTTACAAAGGGTTTGACTGGCTTTGATCCGAGTCTGATCTGGAGGTGTGACGGTGTGCTCTAGATCAGGGAGACGCACTGCTGGCATCCGCTTATTGAATGATGGTTGTCGTTCAGGGAGTGCCCGAGCTATGCCGTTCGCTGAAAGTTCGTTATCGTGATAAGGCGCTCCCTTTTGGGTGCTTTCCAGATCGGGCAGATCTCTCGAAGAAAAGGCTCGACTAGAAGCAGGATCGATAGAACTGGGAGTTCCATCGATATCTGATCGACTTGAAATGCTTAAACCACTATTGCCACTAGTAGGTTCTTGTTGTTTTGTTTTGCGTTTACGCTGGAATACCTTCCTAGGTTTCCATAAGGGTATTTTGAGCATTGTAAAGCAGCATCGAACGCTCTGGTGTTATCAAAGTTCGCCCATCGCGGGATTTGCGGTGAAGACTGTCAAGGAGAAATTGTCGCAACTAACACACTTGTGGAGGATTGATATTGCATCTACGGATGGGTTGGCTCTTCTGAGAGAAGTGCAAGGAAACGCGCCTTGAGCCCAGAAACAAGCTGCAGAGCCGCAAGGGAGGGCAGCCGCGGCTGCCATCAAAGCTTTCATGACTATTGGTCGTCCTCTTCACCGGTGTAGACCGGTGTGGCTTGGATGTCGCCTCGATTCAGACACCTGCTCCTTGGCAGGCAGGACGTCACTTGATATCACACTGTCCATCCCCTGTGGGGGCTTGCTGTAACCAGGGAACGATTGGCAGTGGGCTCTCATCGTCTGTGCCAAGCGATTTTGGTTCAGCCTCTTCAGCGCCCTGAACAACGCACTCGCCGAAACCCCGCGCCTAGACCTTTCTGGACGCCTTCGTGTCACCTGGGGAATCGTTTCTCATTCGATGCATAAAACTGGTGGTGTAGGGTTTAGCACAGCTCAGACGATGCCCGAGGCAGCATTCCAGGTGCGTATTCCTCATTCATCCCTCCACGATTCGCCAATGGCCCGACTCCGCCTACCGATCTCCTCTCTAGCATGTTGGCTTGTGCAGCAAGTTTAGATGGGCCTCTGAAAAGGCCGATACCGACAGCATACTGCCACCAGGGCCGATTGCAGTGGTTGATCTTCACGCGTGTCCACACTAGCCAGATGTACAGGGTGAATAGCGTCAAAGGTATAGACACTGCAGCCAGAATCCACCAGTCACCGGATACTGTGATGCCCCCCTCTCCGCCTTGCGAATTTGTCGTGTTCACGAAAGAAGTCGAAAAAAAGTTAGATACCACGGTGACGGGAAGATAGATCAATGTAAGAATTGTCAGCACTTTGACAGCCGCAGCGTCTTGCGTGCTTTCTTCGGCCAGTTCGCGCATGCGTTCACTAAGCTTGCGCATTTCTTCGTTCTCCTTGCCCGACTCTTTGACAAGGTTCTGGAGCGAATACCCACTGCTGAGATCCAAGAAACTCGAGAGCAGATTTGTTATTCCTGCTAGCTTATTGCGCAGGTTGTCGATCTGTAAAAGAATGAGTCGCAGCTCTCTCTCTTGATCCTTAAAACTGGTTCGAATGAGTTTGCTATAGTTGGTGTGTAGTCTGGAAGTTTCAGTCGTGGATTCCCATGCTGAAAGAAGCGCACACAGGGTTTCTGCTGTTGCACTAGTAGCGAGTTGCGCATTGAGAAAATTCTGGTCCAGTATCAAAAGTTCTTGACGCCTCCCAGATTCGTGCAAGTCAATCGGTCCTTCGTCACTAGGAGATGTGCCGAGGAGTTGAGCATAATGCGCATCGGTTTCGGCAGAAAGATCGATTAGATATTGCCTCCAACTTGAGATCGCAGAGGCTATCAGTAGATAGTGGGTTTCAATAGGGTCGGACTGCTTGATGAATTCCTTGTCATTTACGACGGTGTTCAATTGCTGTTCCATATGCTTGGAAACTGTAATTAAAATCCACGAAACGCCATCCTCTAGAGGATCATATCGACAAGATATTGCGGCCTGGCGAAAGGACCACCCCCTAGAGAGCTTTTCAGAATCGCTACGCCCATTTCGCTCCATGAAACGTAAGCCATACACACATTCATGACAGTTTTCAGAGCCTTGATGGTCCGAAGACAGCTGCACAAACCTAAGGGCCGGAGGCGAAATTTCAACTTCGCGTTCCCGAACCCCAAAGTGCAAAATAAAGCTTTTCACCAAGGGCGACATATGCGTTCTCCCAACCAAGTAATCAAATAGATGGCTTGTAATCAGAAGCGGGCCCCAAGAATACTTCTGGCGAACAAAGAAAACGCGGAATTTCTGCGTTTGGTTGAGGTAATCGGCAATATCTTGAACGGTCTTGAGCGCAACAAACTGGGCGATGTTCTTTTCATCAAGAATTCCACCAAGGTGTTCATCAAGGTGTTCGTTCTGGGCTGACGATCTAGCTGTAGCTCGAGCTAGATCTACATTCTCTGCTCTCGATTTCTGATGCTGCACAATTGCCTCACCAACGTCCACAAGAAGTTCCGCTGAGTAGGCTTCTGCTTGTGATAGGACATCGGAAGGCTCCAAAAAAAGGTCAATCTGTAGAGAATCCCACAACCGATCATCGACGGTCCCCTGGTTGCGGAACACTCTACCTCTGCCCTTCGCGCTGCGCCAGTATCCAGTCATCCAGAATTCTGGGTTTGTCGCAAGAAAAATTATTGGAAGCTCTAGGGCATATTCACAGAGCGAGGCGCGTAGTGAGAAAATAGGGAGGCGATAGGCTTCGTTAGGGGGAAGGAAACGCAAGTGAAGATTGAGCTGAGACAACTGTAGCAACAGAGGGTGGTCGCAGACTCGCAGGAGGTGTGATGCCCCAGTGGCGGTGCAAGCCGAGGCTAATTTACTGGGTAAAATACTTCGTAGGTGCTGGCCTCCGCCCCTTGCAGCCCAAGCCTCGCACCACTGTGGCTCCCCGACACCCACGTCACCGGTTGACCAAAGGGGTTGCCTCTGTCCATCCGTCTAGGAGGCACAGAGAAATAGCGTGAAGCCATTGGATTCAAGATCCAGACCACCGAAGCCCCCTCTGGTCGCCACCCTATTGATTTGCCAGAATACCTCGTACAGTGCTGGGCGAAGCGTCAGCTGGGGCAACCCTGAACATAGTTTTTGCGCCACTGGCAATGCATTCGCCTATTGAAACTATTGCCGGCCATCAATAAGTGCACATAAGTTGTGCATATAAATGATCATACCCTGGTGGATCGGCCTCTTCCCGTGAGCACATTCTTCAAAATCTTCTGAAGAGCAGGTCTTCAAAGTTGAACCATCACTTCCTTAAAGCTCTTTGCAACAAGAATAAAATGGCTTGGAATGACCCACCTTCCCGGTCATCAACCCAGACCTCTCTCGGCAGTTTATCCACTTGCAGCTCGCGGATTATTGACGTCCAGGTTCTGGATGCTCGGTCTGTCGACGCTGAGAAACTTCCACCGAGACTCAACGAGATCTTCCACGGCCAGCACTTCGAGCTCAAATTATGCGGCTCACAATGGCAAATTTTAGGGGCTCCAGAACTCACTCAGCAAGACAAACTCAGTCTACGCCTTTGATCTGAGTTGTTCGCCCACCAACCGCGATCTCCTGTGAACGCCGATCATGAACGACTGAGGAGATCAAACAATGTCTAATTTGACCTAGCGGTGCATCGCGAATCTCTCCCTTCCCTACACCGCGCTTTAGGACACTAGAAGCACCCCGAACTGTCATTGAATTCGGCAGCCCAGCTGAGAATCTCTTTGTCTCCATACTTGTCCACTTCTCTCAGGCGGCAGCTCGATAAGAGGTAATCAGTTATTCGTTCTTCATATGTTCTGTGGAACGCAGGGCGCCTTTCTTTGAAACCCGACATATGGGTTGTGTGCGAGTTTGAGGGTGATTCTGGTGGGCCCGATTTCCACAGGTTCATGTAACAACCTTCGGCAGTTGGAGTCTCGTTCAATTCTCTCAGCAGTTTCATTACACTTCATTCTCCGGCAGGAATCAAGGCAGCCTCGAAAGCGGGAGGCATTTGTGTCGATTTGCAGTGCATTAAAGATAGTATCGCCTTGCTGTTTGTGCATCTTAACGGTGAAAGTCAGGAAGAGCCCATGACTTGCAGGTCGACAAGGTATTCGACGTTAATGATCCCTCAGTGCTCCTTCAATGCAAGGAGCATATCTTTGAGCAGAGTGAGCAGATATTAAAATGACTGCAGAGCTCCTATTGCGATGTCTAATAGTTTACGCCTTCAGCACCACGCTTACATGGTACAATTCAATTTCATCGACTTATTCTGAGCGGAAACCACGGCCAAGAGCCGCAATTGTATGACTAGCATGGCGTCATGATCGCCTTCGAAAGAAGGTGAATGATCGACGAATAAATATGATAACTAGACCTTCGTTGCCTTTCACAACTATCTGCAAACGAATTCTTCAGGAGTACGAACGCTAGTAGACACTTGCTTGGCCTGTGACTAGGCTGCCTTGCCTACCAATGACAGGCGATTTCTAGGTACCAAAGATGCTCGAAACACTGCAACACAAAAGCTCCCTATAAGAATACTTGACTTGAGCTATACACAACTTGTCACAGCATAGCCCCTGGAATCTGATTTAGTCAGCCTTGTACGCATCCGATATGGTAGCCGAATGCAATCTTGGCGAAGAACTCTCTTACCTCACAGTCAAGTCCTCTGCTGTCGCAAGCTTTGACCTGGCAGCATCAATTGCAATATACAACAGGCTGATCAGAGTAGTGCACAGCTCCAGGAAATGCCAATGAAATGATGCTAACGCTAATGCCTCCTCTTCTTCAATTCGACAACGACAACGTTCGCCCACCAGCCGGCCTTTTATGTTTTGGATTGAGGCCTGTATACCGCTACGATTCGCTCTATTGCAAGATGAGTGAATGTCGTAAGTCGACAGGATGTTGAAACGTGGGTAGGCCGTCATAGTATTCGTTGGCAAGCAGCATCGCACCCTGTACTTGAACAACGTACTCAATGATGGAAGCACATATCCACAGGCCTGCGAGAAAGTGAAGCTTATGTGGACTCAGGCATATTTCTGTGGGGCACTTCAATCAGGTCGTCTTCCACATTTTGATTGATTCTTGAACGATTTGGATTGGGTACTTTCTGGCAAGGGTTGTGCGTGGTTTGACTTTTGAATTAACGCCCCTAGATCTGTGATCGCTGCTCATTTATTGCATATCCGTGAAGGAGATCTAGCAGTTCGGTGTCCCATTTCTAAGGTGACAGTCGGGCGAGCTTTAGAGCTACACATCTACTGTCTCTAGCAAGACTTGCTTCGAAAAAATCAAAACCTCGACATATGATTGCATTCAATGCCTACGAAGGCCTCAATGATTAATGTCCATGGGTCAGTGCAGTCTAACCATAGCTCAGTTTCGCTTTGATGATTCATGTCGTGGTCCGCACTATTGAAGGAGTCGTGCCGGCTTTTTTGAGCAGTGAGCATGGGGTCCTACACTCCCAAGATTGATCATGGTAGGCTCTCCTAGACGAAGTTTGAGTCAGTCCCTACATTGACGTCTGGCATTGGATCAAGTGCCTGCGGGAGATTTCCGGCCGAGATATTACTGGGGCTCCGAGAGCATCCCTGTGGGGTTGGGGCGTGAACTCCGTCCGCTCGGGATCCCGGCTCAGACACTCGTCCGCCTCCCCACAAGATCAGCTTCTCGGAATTAGAAGAGCACCCCATTGCGGAACGGACGACTAGACCTCGTTAACTCTTCACACCTGCGACGATTTTTCTGATAGATGATATCCATCGAACGATGTGGACCCGCTCGGTCAATCGGAGGGACTTGTGCCGGCCATAGCACTGTTGGCAGAAACAAAAGTACAACGAGATCATACACGTTCTCGTATGAATTTGCAGATCAAACTGCATGAACGCAGTGTCACTCGTAAGAGAGAAATGGCACCATTCAAAGTGATCATCATCGGCTCCGGACTCGCGGGCAATCTGTTAGCAAACGGCCTCATCAACAATAACGTCGATGTGGAGGTCTATGAACGTCTGGCGCGAGATGCCAAACGGGAAGGCTACCAGATTCGACTTGGGGAGAACGCTCTTATAGGTCTTCGTGCGTGTCTGACACCAGAACGAAAGCAGGCGATCATAACCAAGTTTGGTCGCAGCAACGGCAAATTCGCTGCGGCTCCTATCATGTACAATGGAAACTTTGAGCAGACTCTAGATTTGAACAGATTTCCTAACTACGAAAAGTCTGCAGCCATTAGTCGCAAAATCCTACGCGACCTGCTTGCAGAACCGGTCGATGAAGCAGGCCGTCTTTTCTATGGCAAGGGCATCAAGGATTATTCTGTGATAAATGCTGGTGCCGATAACGAGAAAGTCCGGGTCCGATTTGAAGATAATAGTACGAGCGATTGCGATATCCTCATTGCCGCTGATGGAGCACACTCCAAGGTTAGTAGTTCCTTGCAATAATTTATTCACCCTGCAGCCTGATAACAACGTTACAGATCAATGGACTGATTGGCTTGGATAACCTCATTACATTGACATCACATATGAGTTTCTTGGCTAAGAGTGATCTCCCAACGGAAAGTTATCTTCGAGGCGACAAGGTGTTTTGGAGAGCACCCATAGGAGTGTTATGGGGCAAGCGAGCAATGTACTATTGCGGTAGTGACAAATCCTCCCTGCTGAATTATGAAGCATGACTGACCTGCAGCCACTCAGCATATCTCCCAGATCAAGTTCGATTGAATGCAGATACGGCCGACTCTGGTGATGCAAAACAGCTTCCGCAATATGACCAGTCGATTTCTTCGTGTTTCTTTGCCTACGCGGCTCCAGTGGGTGAGGTTCCAGACGATATCAAGGGATGGTCAACCGAACAACAGTGGAAATGGATTGAAAGAGATATGGGTGCACATTGGTGTACAAAGTAGTACGTTTCAGATAATGACTATGGTCCTCGATGATCCGAAATGCTAACACATAGCCATCGCACCACCAGTCAAGAAATCGCTCAGCTACTGCACGGCGCGGAGCTTTACATTTACCAGGGACGAGTGAGCCAGCGGCCATCAGCTAAATGGCGTCAGAATGTTCAAAACGAATCAATACCAGAAAGAGGACATCCGAGGGTGTTGCTGATTGGTGATTCGATACACGCCATGATGCCGAGTCTGTAAGTCTAAATCGACATCCGATGATTAGTTGAGCACCTTGCTAAGATGATTTACCATTAATCAGAGGTATGGGAGGGAACCAAGCTATGAGAGATACCGCAACGTTGCTACCAATCCTAGTTCAACTGAACGAGAAGGCGAAGTCCGGAATCGTAGGCCGTACCGATGTCGAAACTGCTTGTCGGGAGTACGAAAAGGAAATGATGCCACGCGCTTTTGGATGGGTTGACCGCAGTGGTGGTACAACGGCCTTCGTAAGTCTCACTGAAATCCACCCGTCCCTCCTTGGTCGACTAACAAGTTGTGCTTTCACAGTCTGAGGACCCGTCAACGTGGACGGGGTGGCTTAAGTTGAAGTGGATAGGCGTGCTACTGGACATTGCCTACAACGTACAGAGGCTTACTAGCCTGTTCTACACACCAGTATACACTGGCGACGCCCCTGAGTTCCAAGGTTGACAATCGCACAATGGCACACGGTGCTGTGTATATTGCTCTGCTCAACACGCAATCTCCAGCTTTGGTTTTCCTGAGCACATGAAGCAAGCCAGAACCACCTTCATGTTACATTAAGCCCTTGCTTTCATCGCATTCACGAAATGAATGAAACGTCGCGTCGAACGTGTAGAGGGCGGTCCCAGGTTGGAGAGGTTAAAGGGGAGTAAATGAACCTTTTGTACAGAAGGGAATTTGCTTCTGCAACACGGCAACTATTGGTCGGAGTTGGTACTGGAAACAATTCACATGTCCCCACAGAGTCTCGAATGGCTAAATAACTCATGATATTCACGGCGTAATTTCAGGATCTAGTGCCCTCTTCTCTTGCCCATTTATAAGGGACATAACAGTCATCGTAACCACATTGTCTATCCCGTGCGTAGGCCTATTGGAACAAGGGATAGACCTCTGCCCGAAGCAACTCCCAGACCCTGGACTTGGTCTCAGCCTCGACAAGCTTTGTCGCTGCTGTCGGGTCGACACGGAAGGGTTTGATAGGCCTTTGGATCGAGGTCAGCGCTCAAATTGAAGGACAGTGTCTCTAGCCCATAATGTTCGTGACAGGTGAGAGGGAAAAAGATCTACTCACATTTCATCGTGGAGACACCAAGTGACACGTTCCGGGTGCCCAAGCCATTCACACTCCCGCTTCAAAAACTCGGCTCCTGATCCCATAAATGGGCGCCCATTCAGATTTGCGTTGCCCGGAATTGCCAAAATTGCAAGGTCTGGTTTTGGCTCTAAGTCACGCAAAATGCCTTCATATCCACCCAAATGAGCATTCCAGAGCATGACCTTGCCGCTGTCGAAGAAACGGAAGTTGTACATCAGCTGACCTCCATCGCAGTGGGAAAAAACGTTTTTGGGGTCTTTTATGAAGTCAATGAAAGATTGCATGCGCAAATCACGTTTGTTAGCGGGGACCAGCTTGTCGAGTTGCAAGAGTCCATATTTCATGCCGCGTGTGATATCCAAGGTGCAGAGGAAAGGCTGATCATCAGCCGATGGCGGCACACTACCTGTGTCCCACACATCAGGTATGCTGTGGTGGTCGACAAACATAGCATGTAAGGACGGCCACACATCGACCGCAGAAATAGCTAGAGAAAAATGAGGTTCTCGAGGAGCATTAGGAAAACTGTCTCGGAGTTTGCACTCTCCTTTCAATGCTTTGTCCCATGTCTCCCGATTAAAGAGGGGGATTCTCTCTCCGCCTGCGACAGGAATTAATTGTCGTTCAGGGACGCCTGCGTCACGCATCAGCCGCATCACCTCGCAACTTCCGATGACCTTAGCACCCGTTTTTAAGGCGATGCGATCTGTACCGGGGAGGCTTCATTTGTCAGTCGTCCGAAAATTTGATTTGCCGGGGGCTTTGTAAGATGCATACTGGTCAAAATGAGCATGAGAGATGAAGATGTAGTCCGCCTCAGTTATAGAGTCAATGGTAAATGGTCCAGGCGTAGCTGATGGGCGGTCGATGTACGTGTCCAGAAAAATGGTCAAGCCATTGGACCGAACACGATAAGTGGTGGCACCTTAAGATTTCTCAAGTCAGTTGTCTTTGACAGCTACCAGAAGTGAGGCATCAGATGTTTCCAGAATCATACCCAAAAATTCAATGGTATTATCCAACCTCCTGCTGTCATCGCCCATCGTAATCCTTTCGTTTGTACTCAGCGACAAGGCTCCTTTGAACTATGAACCTTGGTTAACCCAGGGAGGGAGATGTCGCAAATATTGGAGTTGCTAGTAAGGGGCTTACGTCCTGACTTGCAATCCTGGAGCTGATGTATGCGCCGAATCATTACACAGCTTTGCCGTAGGCCAATTTCAGGGACTAGCCACAGGGTTTGTGTTAAGCCCAAGAAATAGCCATTGTACATTCATGCCACGTGCGATAGACCAATACTGCGGTGATAAGGCACATGTTATTTGCCGAATCGGTTTTAAATGTTTAGAAAGTTGCCAATTCCGAGATGGCACAAGCCCCGTTAGAGTTTCTCCCCACAATCCCGAGGCTGGATCCCCAGAAGAATTGCACAAGTGAGCCTGCTCTCATCAGTGTTAACGCGGGGAGATCCCGTCCGTCACTTCGGTGTTGTCCACGCATCTTCGGCTGCATGAGTTAGGCTTAACATTTGTCGGCACATGACGAGCAGTAGCCTTACTTGGTACCTAGTGTTCTAACAACTGCTTTTGCTGACATTTATTACAATAACGCTTTAGGACAACGAAGAGCACTTCGATAGATGATAGATTTATCCTCGGGCTCCGTGAGAGAGCATGCCAGCATACACTTCTGCAAGAAGCCAAATACCACAGACTCTGCTCCCAGCACTAGATGATATAGGCGCTCCATCATAGTCACCATGATATCCGCATCGAAAAAGGTCGAAGTTATTTGCTGCGATGGAGGCAGTATTGAAAACCACCCAGATTACCCTGGCTTCAATCAAGAATCCAAAATATTACCGCATGGCTCTGTTTTTAAGGAAGGGGCCCTAGCACTTCCATGTGACATACTGTACGAACGCGATGTCCCAGTCAAGCTACGTGATGGCATAACAATATATATTGATTTGTATCGGCCACCTGGAATGGACACCACCAAAGTCCCCGTCATCGTAAATGGGGGTCCTTTTGGGAAACTAGGAGGTTTCAATAGGGCAAGGTTCAACGAGATGCCATACAGAATGGGTGTTCCACAATGTACAGTGAGCTCGTTGGAGAAGTTTGAAGGCTTGGATCCCGCATATTGGTGTTTGCACGGCTACGCAATTGCTCATCCTGGTCGGTAACAAGCGTACGGAGATCCATTGGCGCCGAACTTGACTAACACCTAGATCCTTAGACGATCGGGGCTCATGGATGTCAGAAGGAGACGCACACCTTGATTTCACGCTCCATGGTCAGGATGGCTATGACTTGGTCGAATGGCTGGCGGCCCAGAGCTGGTGCAATGGGAAGTAAGTGTTGACTGCTCCGGGTCGCGCAGATTAGTGGTTTACATCGATTACAGGGTATCATATGCAGGTAACTCATGGCTATCACAGATTCAATGGTCTATCGGGGCGGAACAACCACCTCACTTGGCTTGTCTTGCGCCATGGGAAGGCTGGTGTGATCTTTACAACGATGATGCTGTCAGAGGAGGCATACCGGCCCCGGAGTTCCAGCAGAATCTGCTAACCTATTCATCACCCTCAAATGGAAAAGCGGAGAACATCAGCGCGATGGCCGCCAAATATCAACTATGGAACGAGTATTGGGAAAATCGAAAGGCAACGTTGGATCGCATTACTGTCCCGCTATATATTGTATCAAGTTGGACAAATCTCTTGCATACGCGTGGCACTTTGAAAGGATATCTCGGGGTGGCCAGCGAGGAGAAGTGGTTGCGCGTGCACAACAGCCACGAATGGCCGGATTTATACTACCCGCAAAACGTTGAGGACTTACGTAAGTTCTACGACTATTATCTAAAGGGGATCAAGAACGACTGGATTTACACACCAAAAGTCAGGATGTGTGTTCTAAACCCGGGAGACAGCGATGTGATCAATCGACCAGAAGGAGAATTTCCTTTGGCTCGTGAGGTCTCGAAGAAGATGTTTCTCGGCAGCAATGATTTTAGCCTCCAGATGAATGAAGTGGTACCGAATGCTGCTTCCACTCGTTTCGACGCACGTACAGGCAAAGCAGAGTTTTTCTATACCTGCCCAGACGAGATGGAATTGACCGGGTTCTTCTCCCTAAAGCTATGGGTTGAGGCAGTGGATACGGACGATCTTGATTTGTTTGTGAAGGTGTCCAAGCTAGACTCTGACGGAAAACTGCTGGAGACCATGTGTATTGATGCAGGTTACCTACAGCCGAACCCAGATGCAGTACGGCAGAAAGTCCTTGATGAGCATCGTGCGGGAAATAAAGCATACGATCTATTTTTCTCCGAAGGTTCGACTGGCAGGTTACGGGTGAGCCATCGTGATCTTGACGAGGCCAGATCAACCCCAAGCCAACCTGTTTATACCCATCGCAAGGAAGATAAACTTCAGCCGGGCGAGATCGTCCCTGCTCTCATCGAGATGTGGCCCCACGGTATGCTCTGGGGTCGCGGCCAGAAGCTCATGTTGACGGTGGCTGGCTACAATACAAGACCGGAGCACACACCCAATCTCACGCCACCAACTTACAATAAGGGCACTGCAGTGATCCATACAGGAGGAAAGTATGATTCGCACTTACTGGTTCCTTTCATCCCTCCGGTGTGACAGAAGCGGGTGGTCTAGATAATAGGTGTTGATTGATTCAAGAGGCTCAAGTGCCCCACATCATCTACTGTAGTAGTTGTCCAGGACATATGCTGTCGACTAGAACCATAATTTGGCCCAGAGCAGTCATGGAAGAGCATTAAAAATTGAACTTTGTGTAGATTATTCACTCGGCCCCACAGGCCACATTTGAAAAACGCTGGTTCCTCCTCCACCTACAGCGAAGTCGAAAAAGTCTTGAAATTGAAAATCGGTCTCTAACGCCTGAGACGATTGAGATAAAAGAGCATCAAAGCTACTAGCTCCAGTGATATACTGGGGGTTAGCTGATGTATCGTCTTCTTGAGTTCCCTTCTCACTTTGTCTCGGCGCATCTGGGAGAGCAGTGGACAGGGTTAGCCGCTTGCGTGTCCTAGCGGCCTGCATGGCCTCGTCGAGTGTCTGTAGCAACCGTTCGAAGGGGCCAATGGCCACTTGGTGTGAACAACTGGAAGAGAAACAACGCGTAATACTTCTCATAAGTCCCATGTCAGCATCCGCCATCCAATGGGATGGATCATTCATGACTCCCATGTAAAGAGTGAAGATGGTGTTCAGGCAGTAAGGGGTGATCCACCTGTTAGAACAAAAAGAGTCAGTTGCATGTAACGGGTCGATGTCGTTGAGGTATCCTTACCGCAGAAATGGCCAGCTGGCGGGACAATTAACCAGAACGTTGACATATTTTGCCAGCGATCGCGAGGCATTCAAGCAAACCACATTCGAGGATGCTATTCTCACGGAATGACGATCTTTAGCGCTCGTTGGCAATTTTCCAAATAGTGCTGCTCGATGGATGACCAGCAGGGCATTATAATAAATGCAATAGAGTAAAACGCTATCCATTGAATGTGCACTCATATCAGCGCCGATCAGGTCGGGATCGGTTCTCCAGATTTGCGGGAGATTACTTCGCCAGTCGGTCAACATCTTGTCGATTGTATCGATTTGCTTGAGCAAGTTATTCTCGTCATTCGATTCGGCAATCCTGCTGTAGAGGCGACTCATAATAGTGGACAGAATCTGACAAAGCTGGATGATATGTGGGAACACGGCGGGCCTGGAGTTTGTCTCGCTATCTTCGTTTCCAGAGCCGATATGCGCTGGGCCCATGATGCGCTCTACGTCGCAATCTGTGTCATTAATGATCGACAGTCGTCCAGATTCGAAGGAGAGTTTTCTGACCAGTGATCAGCATTGCTGAGAATGGATATATCTCACACAATAACCCACTTGTCAAGGCAATAACATGTCCACCAAATGCAACTTCTCAGCTCATGGTTTCGTTCCACAAATCTAAGCTCAATCATCTCCTTGTGGGCGGAAAGAGCTCGGTGGAGGCCGAGCGACTGCGCAATACGAATCGCTGTGCCAATCGCAAAAACAGCTTGTCCTTCCTTGTTCTGGTTTGTCAGCTCGATGGTCTGAATTCATGGTCAGTAACAGTCCTTGGAGAAGCAGATCTAGAAATACATGCCATTAAGATCAAGCATTGCACGCTAGTCAGGTATGGCGAGGCTAAGATAACATCGTACATAGCCCATGTTGCAGCAAAGTGAGTGGCTGAAATGTGCTCTGAGGCTGGGAGACTTCGAGCTCCAATAGCAATGAGCAGATATATACAGCATATAGTGACTGGCTCGTGCAGAACACCATGATCATAGAATTCATCCACTATTCTTCGCGTTTGAATCTCGTCCAAGAATGGGAATATCCGATGTATGCTTCCGAAGAAGGCTAGGCAAGTTTGTCAATATCATTCATTGCTTATCATCAAGGAATCCGGGACGCAGCCAGCGGAAGACATTACCATTGATGCACGATATCGCCGTTTCCTTGTTGACCAGAGGCTGGTGTTTCGGTCTTGGCGTCATGATCACTTCCTCAGAATGACTCAGTAAAGGGCAGAAAAATTCCATAACGCCTAGGAAGAAACCATCCGGCCTAAAGTACTCTTCTGCCGATTTGGCCAACACCTGCGTCGAAGTCTTGCCCACGTACTTGCACTTTTGCGGATCCTCATTCGTTTCAATAAGCACAACTCCTTCCACGCCGGTGGCTGTCATGCTGTCCCGCGACGTGAGCGACTGCATACCTGGAGATGGATCCGTGCTTGGTGAGCCATGGCCGACTTGCACATTGCTTCCAAGCAAAAGATGCTGGCCAGGTTCATTGCTAACATTGTGAATAGTCTCACGGTCAAGAGATGGCGAGGCCACAATTTGAGTCATGCGCGTGAAACCGTTTCCAGGCTCTGGCGAACCCAGGTAAGTAGGGCGTTTTCGAGATGCATTTCGAGACTTTCGTGGAGGTCTAATAGGCTCGCCATTACCGCGAACGAGATGCGAGCCATCTGCCCTGGTCATCGTACATTTCTCTCCATATTTTTGACAATTACGACACCGTCCACTTTGTTCATCACAGCGAATCTGGAGCTACATGAGCATTTCCTGGTATTGAACTTTGACAATGTCACTTACTTTGCGCTGCCAACAACTGTCACACTAGTCGTCCAGTTAGTTTATGCTGCAACGACGCACGCAGCCAACTTACTGCCTTGGGTCTTCGCCGAGCACTTGTCATGGCATTCGACAAGCACGCTAGACTGTGGTCTGCGACCGGCAGGAGAGATTCGTTATATCCATTCGTATCCTCCGTCATATCATATTGAGAGTAACGGTGTCCAGTCGAAGTAATGGTAGATACCAAAACGCAAGAGTCTGAATCTTTTAGAAGATCGAAGAGCAAGTGCCGGTGAAAAAACGAGGAAATGCCGGGTTGATGGTTCGACCTCACCAGTTAACCTTTGGTGGGGAAAGAGGGGGTCCGGGGTTGGGATCTGCCTTGACTCGGCACCACAAGTCGCTCGGAAAGATCTCAAGCTCATGTCATCAAGTCATTGATATCTTGGTTGAACATCTAGCGAGAGACTGTAAATAATGACAAGGAAATCTGAGCGTGGCTGGCGGCCTGCGAAGATGGCTTGACCTATGTGCCTGAACTTTTCCATATCCAAATATTTCATGCTCGAATTGCCATGGACCATGCAGTGGAAGGGGAGTGAAACAAGGAGGGACTGCCAGAATCACCCATGTTTACATGTCAAACTATGAAAGTGACAAAGCTACCCAAAATCCTGCCTGATGAAAGTAAATAAATTTACATGAATGCTATTGCTCAGTATGCCTGAACGCCGGCAAGTTTCAGCAGCTTGTCTGTCAATTCTGGCTTTTCCAGTGGCTCATCTCGCTCGTGTGGACAAATCTCACCGTTGCGATAAGCTTTGCCCTGCGGGAAAATGTTACAGTGTGGCCAGTGAGTGGTTCCCTCCCATTTCCTGAAACATTCTTGTTTCAACTCGAGGTCTTTATCTGAAGCCAGGCTTCGAGGCGTGTATGCGGCGTACACAACCGTGCGGATGTTGTTATTCTCCGGGAGAGAGGCATGGTGAATGGTTCTAGAATCCCACATGATCATGTCACCTGCTTCTGCCTCGATCTTAATCATCTCACAGCCGTGCTCTTCGAACCATTTCAATTCTTCCATTTTATACCCATACCAGTCAAATTGACCTGGGGCATCGGCTGGCTTTTCCGTGGGTGGATTCTCGTGAAAGAACTGCTCGAAAAGACTGGAGCTCCCACGCATCACGATCAGCCCGCCGTCCTTGAGACCAGCATCGGAAAGCAAAATGACGCCCTGTGCGCAGGCAAGGCCGGTGCGAGTCGGAGCCTGGTCGACGTGTGGCCATGGGCTCCATTTAACATCCTTACGGCCCGGTAATGTGATGTTGACAGCATCAAACGACACCAGCAGCTCCTCAGTCTGCCAAAGCTGGGTAAATGGTTTGATAACACCCTCTTCGCTATAATCGCCAGTCAGCTCGGGAAGGACATCTACCAGTGAGTGTCCTACCATCGGGCATCCCAAACCCATTTTTCATGTGCGGCACAATAATTCAGAACCATCCCTGCATTCATCATGACAGGCAGATGATCGGCATTCCACGTTGATGGGTCATTATAGTCCAGACCCATGTTGAACTTGGTAAGCCAGTCTAATGCCCGTTGCTGATATCCCAAAGCGCGCTCTCGAGGTACAGCATTCTTCACCAAAGCATATCCATGCTTAAAGAAATCGTCTCGCCAGTCACCAAAGGTCTTGTTCACTTGTGCTTCTAGAATGTCACTGCTGCCACGGACTTCCGTGCTTTTCCAGTCCTGCATCTGCTTGCGGCTGCTCTCGGGTACATAGTACGTTGTTGAGGCATCTTCCATTGGTCTAGCATGGGGTGCCATAGTGATGGCAAGTTCGGATCCGTTATAGAATCTCACTGGTTCTCGGGTCTATCTCAATTTGAGATTGATTCTTGTAAGAAGTCCCGAAGCTTGGTGGCATAGCACACTCTGAATCATTATATCCGAAACGTTGGATGCTTTGTGGCAAAACCATTCCATGACTGCCCATGTCCACTTACTCCGGTCCGATTTCTTGCTCCTCGAAGACCAATAAGGAGATTCAGGTAGCGTCCCCTGCACAATACTTCTGCCGGCAATCAGTTGCGGTGATGAAACTCAGTGTGACGGCACTGCCGTCCGTCCGCTCGGCCGGAAATTTATGCTTTTTGGGTTGAACGAGAAAACGGCACGGAAAGCATAAGCAGTAACGGCAGAACCAAAGCTGGGGAAGCGAACCTGGGGTATCAATCTATGAATCGAGGAGGAAGTAACGTACAAGGACCATGTTAATCATAGGACGAAGACATGGTACATAAAGAATCGGGATCTCTGGTAATGAGGACAATTCTCAAGACTAGACAGAATCCTTGGTTCTGGGAAGTGCTTTTTCTGTAGACTTCACACCCCCATTTTGGACGCTTCACTGATATTTCGTCACCGATAAACAATCAACTGTGTACATATTTGTGTGCTACTGAGATTGATTCAGTCACCGGGAACGCTTCTTAACTCAACACCTGGAAAAAATGGCTCCTCAACTTCAGCCCGAGGCAGCAGCACTTCAGGCTCGCAACAACTGCCATCCGCAATGGTGGAAAGATCCTGGTCTTCGTGAGCTCAATATACGCTTATTGGGTTTGTTCATCAGTACCATGGCATTCGGTTTCGACGCGGCTCTTATAGGGGGTCTTCTTGCCAACAAGTCTTGGTACATAGACCTGGGCATCTCAGGTTCGACCTTGGTGGGAGTTGTGATTGCAGCGAACTCTATGGGCGCAGCCATTGCCCTGATCCCAGCACCGTTGCTTGCCGATAAAGTTGGTCGCCGACCTGCATGCATTGTCTTCTGTCTGTGCATGATTGCATTCTCGATTGGCCAAGCATTCGTCCAGACATCTACTCAATTCCTTTCCGTACGCATTTTCCTCGGAATTTTCAGTGTCAGCTTGAACATCTGTTCAAACCTTCTTGTCTCTGAGATCGCACATCCAAGGCAACGAGCCCAAGTCACGTCTTTGTGGATTACCTTCTTTTACGTGGGCGCGATTATCGTGGCATGGATCGCTTTTGGTGCTCTCAACATTAAATCATCCTGGACATGGCGGCTGCCCGTCATCATTCAAGCTGCATGGAACATCGCTCAACTTCCGCTGCTGATATTTCTGTGTCCGGAATCGCCTAGGTGGCTTGTCATCAAGGGTCGTAGTGAGGAAGCAAAGGCCATCCTTGCCAAGTACCACGCCAATGGTGACCTTCGTGACGAGCTTGTTGAGCTGGAATACGAAGAGATCATAGCCACCACGACCATAGAGCAAGAGAAGAAAGGCAATACATTCCTCGAATTAGTCAAGTCAAAACCCAACCGCCGTCGGCTCAGCCTTGCAATTCTCTTGGGGTTAGCCAGTCAGCTGGTCGGCAACAGTGTCGTCAACTTCTACCTGGCTCCTGTGCTCGCATCTGTCGGCATAACGAGTAACCGCGCACAGAATGGTATTAACGGCGGTCTTCAGATCTGGAGCTGGATTGTTGCCATAATCGGCGCTTTGTGCAGTGAGAAATTTGGCCGTAAGACACTATTGATTGCATCGGCCTCAGGGATGTTGGTGACCATGTCAGTTGTCACAGCATGCTCTGCTGTGTATGCAAACTCAGGAAACATAGCAGCTGGAAGAGCCGTTATCGCCTTTCTGTACCTCTTTTTCGGTTGCTACTGCATTGGCTTTACACCTATTCCACCTCTGTATGTGGCGGAAATCTCGACCCCAGCCACACGCCCACTCCTGGTTTCCATCTACTGGATGTGTACAGGCTTGGCCCTCTGCTTCAATCAGCTCGTCAACCCTATCGCTCTCGGCGCCATCGGATGGAAATACTATTTGGTGTATGTTGCTATCATAGTAGTGGTCATTGTGCTTTTTACATTCTTTCTCCCAGAAACCAAAGGCTTGACTATGGAAGAGATTGCTGGTATATTCGACCCCGAGTATGCGGTCGCCAATACTGAAGCTGCCGCCCGTGTCTTGGAGAAACATGCTTTTGAACATGATGAAGGTATCATACAATCCGAAACTGTTGATACTAAGCGGAATGATGCTTGAGTAGCCTGTTGCTGCAGCCGGCAACTCATGAAGATGTGCTACACTCCCCTACCAGCTTGAACTGTCAGACAAGCTAAACGGATGCTGAGTATTACAAACCGAGATAATTTATAGTTTTTGCCTTAGTATGTAGCATACCTTGTAGCAGCTGAAGTAGCAATAGTACGTGGTGATTAATCAGATCAACATTTGTAGTCCTCTTTTCATTCTCAGTCTATCACGAGAAGTACGAGCATGAGGTCTAAAGAATACCCTCTATCACACCTTCCAGTCTGCAAGACAGACATTCTATCTTTTTCTTGTCCCAGCATTTCTTAGTAATTCGTCAAGCGACTTCGCATCATAAATCTACCTGAAATCTTGGATGAGTCCTTATCCATTCACCGTATCTTATCAAAGCCCAAATTGCTGGAAACATGCTCATAGAGATGAATGCGAGCAGACTCATTCCCCAGCCAGGCCCAAGAGATTGTAGAAGATGTTCTCCACAAAGCGGTAGGAAGGCTCCACATAAACTTCGCAGAACAGTATTCGCGGCCATAGCAGATGCGGCGTAGGTTGTAAATGCATCAACTAGATATGTTCCAATCGGAAGGAATGATCCAATCATGCCGTATCCCATCACAGCTGTACCAGCAATAGGCACAATCCAATGGACGCGGTAGTATATTGTCCATCCATAAAGTAAGAGACCGCAAGGCATTGCTATAGCTCCGGGCCAAACCAGAGGGAGACGATACTCTGGTTTCAATTCTCCACCTTTGGCCAGCTTGAGGAGAAGTGAGTCGGAAAACAAATTGAAAATCGAGATAGCAACAAATTGTCCAACGCCAACGCCGAGATAGCACAGTCCAACATTTTGAGCGCTTATACCATACTGTTTTATGAATAGAGGACTCATCGTCGTGAATAGCAGGTAGAGGTATCCGTACGTGATTGCAGCGTATATCGAGATTAGAAACACGATTGGCGAAAATAAAATCAACTTTGTGGGCCGTAATATTGATTGGAGAAAGATCTGCGCTGGAGGTTTCGTCTGGCTAAGGGCAGATCGTAAATTCGGATTGCCTGTCGCTTTTTGCTGTTCTCTGGTCTTCTTCTCAAGAAGGGTGGGGTGGTAAGTTTCCTCCTGCAGAGGCAGTGTAACGGTGACCTGGAGTGCAGCCTTGGTACATAGTCAGTACGATGCAGTCATCTCATGCTGAGGAGATAGTCACCAGAATTGCAATCAGGTAGAAATTCCACCGCCATCCGGCAGCCTCGGTGAGATAAGACCCTACCAAGGGCCCGAGTCTAAATGAGAGGCACCTCAGAAAGTAATTCAGACATGAGATCTTGAGGACATACGCTGGTCCAAACAGAATTGGAAACGTCCAGAGCGACATCGCTTTGCCCCTGTGTTCCTGCTTAAAGAGATCGGCGATTGTCCCTGATCCGATAGTTACCGGGCACGAACCCGCAAGGCCAGCTAGAAATCTGAAAGCTATCAGCATTCCAAGACTTGTCGATTTGCCACATGCAAAGCTGGTGAGGGCAAATAGGACAGTATTGCAGTGATAGAGCCATCTCCGACCGTATAGCTCGCTCAGAGGAGCCATGAATAACGGACCTACACTAATATTTAGACGCAGTTCCAACACAGTTCCGAAGTTAGAAAGGTTCCCCGAAGCTCAAAGAGAGGGGAAGGCGCACACGAACCTAGGACATATCCAAGGACGAAGATCGATACCACGAATTCACTTAGAATCTTGCTACCAGAATGAAACTCCGTCATGGCAGCTCTGACTCCAGGTGCGAACATGGTCGAAGAGAAGGGGCTGTGCTATCAATGAGTTTGCAGAACATTTTGCTTTATTGAGATACTAACGTCAAGATAGTAATTCCAGATATATAAGCCACATTCCTCCATTTTTTATATGCTGGCCAGTTGTGCGGATTCTCGGGGTCATCAATTTCCCAATCAACAACATCAAAATCTGTCCTGGAAGGTATAACGCCAGGGAATGTTCTATTGTCGGTCTCTTGGACACCTTGTGTTGAGCCGACACTTTTGTGTATCTGCGTGGTGTCAATTGGCAACCCCATTGTCAACTAGCCCACCTAAATCACTCATAAGAGAATGATCTACTCGAATACTTACCTGACTTCCGATATAATTATGCAGTAACAAGACTTAGAGTCATTGTCATATCATGCCCCGACATCCACCTACTCGGATTCGGCATGGCCTTGAAACCGAAAGTCCCCAAGGCTCGCGATAGGTCCCTAAAATCTTCATCATACTTGCATAAACATGAAGCTAATGAGGACCGATGTGTGGCACCAGCTACTTCTCGCCGAGCTCATTGGCTAGCAACTGCTTCGAGAGATCCTCCGATGGCTAGAACATGTCAACGGCCAACAAACCGGCTGCTCAGGCATTACCAACCACCCTTGTCCAATACAAGCTCGGTTGTTGATATAGCGCATTCTGGAGACAGGAGGGCAAATCTACATGCGTCTCAATGAAGAACTTGGCGGCTGGGAGATCAATATCGTGCAAATTCCGTCCAAGGCAGACAGCCGGAGAACTTTTGAACGGACGGGGGAATTGAGTTTTCGGTATGCATGTTGGCTGGGGAGACCCCGCGTTGCTCGTCTAACTAGAATTGCGGGCGGGACTTTCTGCCTCCACGCTTCGGCTCCTCCAAATGATACTGTCCACAAGACTCTTCTCGGTCATCGGTGAGTTCTCGTTCCGATAGTATTTTGGGTGAGCCAGAGGTCTTTCCAACATGAAGCTTGGTGGGCTATGTTGGAGTTCGTGTACCTACTATCGTGGAGGAGGAACCCTCGCCGAGCCACCCTTAGCCGCTCGTAGGTATCTCACCACTGTGGAGAATGCATCACTATCTAGGTCTCCACCAAAATATCAAAGGCGACCAGGCCTAGAGTTTCAATGCCAGAGACATTTCTCAAAACAAACTAGATATCAGCCTCGTACCATCCTACCATCACTCCTGCCTCTCACGGACGGATCTCTTGCGAATGTTGCCTGAAGATGTCCTCTTGTGGCCCACCACCTCCTCACCCTTCATTCAAGTCAGAGCTTCGAATCAAGAAATTGTTTCCAGATGTCGTCATCCGAAAGATCGATACAGCACCGGAGTCGAAGACATTTAATTATCAAGGATTCCAGCCTGGAAAGCAGATCTTGAAAGCCGGTTTCTCAAAAGAGCCAGGTAAACGCAAGTTCGGAGTCGACACGATATTTGACCGAGACACAGAAATCATCGTCAGAGATGGCGCTCGGCTTTATACTGACATCTTTCGCCCGGCGACTTCTGAGACAGTACCAGTACCTGCTGTGATCCCGTGGAGTCCGTATGGTAAGACGGGCACGGGGCCTCAGAGCTATGATTATATGGCCCCTTTCCGTGTGGGAATCCCACATGAGAGAACAACAGGGTACGAAAAATTCGAAGGGCCTGATCCAGCTGAATGGAGCGAGAGAGGTTACGCAGTGATCAATATGGATGCGCGCGGAGCTGGTCATAGCGACGGCATCATCACTTATTTTGGGGACCAGGAGGCTGAGGACATCTACGATGTCATTGAGTGGCTCATTAAGCAAAAGTGGTGTAATGGATCGGTTGTCATGATGGGCAATTCGTGGCTGTCATTGTCACAGATCAATTTTGCATCACGCATGAAACACCCAGCTCTTAAGGCACTCGCGCCTTGGGAAAGTTTCAACGATTTTTATCGGCATGGTTTTAATCGCGGTGGACGTCCCCATCTGCGTAAATTTCATGCCATGATCTCGGGCGGAATGGCAGGCCCCGAGGGATCTGAGGATGTGTTTGCAATGACTGCCCATCGCCCTCTGTACGATGATTATTGGGAAGAAAAAAGAATCGCGATTGAGAATATTGACGATATTCCTGTCTACGCTCTCGCTTCTTACTCCAGTATGCTGCATACTTATGGCTCTTTTGCACTCTTCCGGGATTCCAAGACGAAGCAGAAGTGGTTGCGAGTACACCCTTACCAAGAATGTAAGCAGTCATACAGGTTGACTGGCGGAGTCAAGTAGCTACTGCTAACTTCTACACAGGGCATGATATATATCGTGATGACATGAATGACGATCTCCAAAAGTACTTCGATCACTATGCAAAAGGCATCAATAATGGCTGGGAGGATACAACACCTCCAGTGCGCCTCTCACTTCTTGGATTTGAGAGTGGAGGCGGTATTGCACAGACTGTTATTGAAAGACCAGAAACATCCTGGCCTCTGGAACGCGAAGAGCTCCGAACATTCTACCTTGATGCGTCTTCAGGAAAACTCGTAAAAGATCGTCTGACCAGCGAGTCCTCCACTACCTATGAGGCTCATCATCTCACTGACACTGCGGTATACATTGCTCTCCATCATAATGACAAATACATATATTAACACTAGATAGAATTTTACATTATATTTCGAAGAACAGACTGAACTAGCAGGATATTCTAAAGCGACAGTCTGGGTCTCGACGCCTGACCATGACGACATGGATGTAGCTGTGCAGATCCGCAAGATCGACGCACAGGGCAAACTCTTGAAGCACCTCAACTACCCGTGCCCGGTGCCTGAGTCCGAGGTACCGGATCTGAATACAGCCAAAACATTGGGTCCACAAGGCTTCCTACGTGCGTCGCACCGCGGAACACTCGACCGCTCTCAATCCTCTTCCGATGTCGATTTGTTCTACACGCACCGCTTCTCCGAGAAGATCAAGCCCGGTACGAAAGTCAGGTTGGAGATTCCACTATGGCCGATCGGCATGGTTTTTGCGCCAGGCGAAGGTATTATGCTGAGGGTTAGCGGTCATGATATGTGTCTGCCAGAGATCGCGGTGTGTACGTTGGATGAGCCTGATGATGAAAATGTGGGGAAAACGACATTGCATACTGGTGGGGAGTATGATAGTACACTTACTCTGCCCTTTATTCTCGGCTAAGCAAGAAGTACATAGCTGATAGAAGCAAGGAGAGGTGAAGAAAGCTGAAGATATACTGCATGGTGAGATCTTGTCGGTATGAAAATGGGCATGTCTAGAAGCTCGTCTGTAGGCGAAGAACAGTTGCTTGCTTGAGAAGAGAATGGAACATATACTGAGCAAGAGTTCATTCGATCGTGGACCTGCTTTCCAGGGCACCAGCTTTTAGGTCACCAAATAGCAGTCTACATAACATAGCGGAGGAACACCCGAGAAATCCTTCTGTTCTCTTAAGTGCCGCTATTGTCCTAATTGAGACCCGCTAAAATGGAGGTCTACTATTTATCTATATGTTGACACCACGAAAGCATGTTGTCCGAGTTCATGAGAGTTGTTCAAGAGCTGCCCAAATACACCCGTCCTGGGTTCAAGAAGAAGTCGCACCTTCAACTAATGCACACAAAATCCTGTAGTTCTTGGTGGTACTCTCATCGACATATTCCGGGGGAGGTGAGAACGTGACGCGATCGTCCGAGACCTCGGTAATCTGGCCAGTGATTGAGCTGTCGTCGAGAAGCATCTCAACAGCACGAACTACGGTCGAAACAGGTGTGAGAATAATGCCATCAAGCTGGCCTACGCCAGGAGCAATGTTGGTTTCTATCGATGATGTCAGGACGTGATGGGGAAGAATGACGACAGAACTCATATTTACCGACAACACACGGCGCGAGCCCGTTGACTTGGATTTTGCCGGAAATAAGTCGTCGGCCGAGGGATCTCACTAGCCCGACAACGCCGTGTTTGGCGGCTGCGTACATGGGCTCCAGGGGAAAGGGGTACAGGCCACTATTGGAGGCTGTGCATATGATGCTGCCCCTGAGACCTGTCCGTGTCGAGATTTGGTTTTTGTTCAGATAGTGCATTGCTAGGTTGACAGCTGCGTGCCATCGAAGGTCAGTGGCTGCGACGTGATTGATCGGTGGGGCAACTCTATTGCATACTGTACAGAACTCCGTAGAAGTTGATATCGCACGACAGCATGTTAGGCTTGGTCGGCTTCTCGCTCGGTTCCATAAAGGCTCCTTTCTCAGCGACTCCAGCGTTGGCAAAGACAATATCGACTCGCCCCTGCGAAGCAACCACGTCCTCAAACGCCGTCGCCTGGCTGTCCCACGATGCAACATCGCAACGGTGGAAACTGAAACTTGCGGCGTTCGAAGAAGGAAAATCATGCTGTAGTGACTGGACGATGTTTTCGCCTTGCTGGGTGTTGATATCCAGGACTGAGATATGTGTCTTGACATCGGGCCACTTGACTGCCAGTTTTCGAACTGTCGCAAGTCCTATGCCGGATGCACCCCCTATTGAGATGACTCAATGTCCGACCCTGGTATTTGGCTGGAGCTGGACCTACCTGTGACGATGATGCTAATATCTGCCATGGGGAGCTTCAATGTTCACGGAATGTCCAAATGCTTGAATGGCGAAAATGGAAGTCGGGCTGCGTTAATGATTGTCACGGTTTTGGGTGAATATCCAAGGCACCGATCTATGCCCAAGAAAAGTATCTGCTGCCTCGCATCTACTTTGCAGACATGCCTGCACGGGATTGGTCATTGATATTCATGGGAGATATTTGGTTGTGAACTGACACTCCCGCACGTTCTGCGAAAGATAATCGGCATTTGGACAATAAGCTGCCATCATACAGCGAGACAATCATGCACACCAGTGTACCCTGCACAAAGTGCCCGTCTCCGAGATCTCAGGACGGGGAAAGTGGATCATCGGCGGGCGAAATGCGTAGGCAGACCGTGAAAGGGCTTCAGGGATTGTGGGGAGCCCCCTCGGCTCCACGGTGTTCCGAAGAACTTTTGGCATGCGAGGAACTCCACTCATGTCCAATAGCGATGAAGTACCTAGAAAGGGGATTGATGTACACAAAATGCAAGTCTTTGGCGATAAAGATCGTCGGTGTCGTTTCAGCTGGATCAGTTGACTTAGGTAGCTGTTTGGACACGACGCACGAGTCGCGTAAGCGGAACAACATTTCCTATCGTAAATATTTACTGGAAGGGGGGGGGGAGGAAATGGCTGTCGGCATTGCCATCCTCGGTGCTGGAATGTTCGCAACGGGCGGTAAGCAGGGCTGCAATAGCAAGGTGTTACTTGTAGCATGAGCCTACGGCTGACCAGACTCCAGAGCATCTGCCAGCAATTCGATCAGTTTCAAATTTGTCACTCAAAGCAGTCTATTCAAGATCACAAAAATCGGCAGAGGCGCTCGCAAAGATGGCTGGAGACGGCGTGGAAGCGTACTTCGAAATTCCCAGCACTGCAGACCGAAATCTTGATGTCTTGTTAGCACGGTGCGATATCGAGGCGGTCAGTGTTGCAGTCAGCATCTCTAAATCACCTGATCTCATCAGAAAGAGCCTCGAGGCAGGGAAAAGCGTTCTCAGTGAAAAGCCGATCGCTCCGACTGTTTCGATCGCCCAGGACCTTGTCGAGCTATACAACAAGCAGCGTCAAGCAAAGCAAATCTTATGGGCAGTGGGAGAGAACTTCCGATTCTGGAATTCGATCAACAGAGCCGCTGGCATCATTCGAAAGCTGGAGGCCACGATTCTCACATTCCGATGTGAGATCTATCACTTCATCGGTGTGGAGGACAAATACTTCCACTCGGACTGGTAAGCTTAGGACTCGCATGTAACTTCGGTCTCCGCTCATAAGACTTTACAGGCGTCAGGCGGCGAGCCACCCAGCTGGATTCGTGCTCGACGCATGTATCCACTTCATAGCAATACTTCGCTTCCTGCTTGCTGCAGGCGGACACACCATAGCAACAACATCTGCGCATGCGACAATGCTTGATCCTGCACTTCCACCAGTAGACTCCGTCTTTGCAGTCTTGCAGACCGACAAAGCCGCCAGTGGAACATTTCGGTTCTCAGTTGGCATTCCTTTCCTGGACGGGATAGATTATGATATTGTGACGGACATGGGAATTGTTAGCGTCCGTGGCCCAACTGTAGTTACAACGCAGTTGAAGGATGACGCTGGCAAGGTGATTGAGGACAAATTCGAAGATGACATGACTTTCGGAGTTCCAGACGAGTTTGCGGCCTTTGGGGCTGCATTGAACGGCGTTAAGTTAGACTCCAGGATATCGGTTGAGGAAGCTATGGCTGATCTGAAACTCTTGGAGGCCATGCTCAGATCGAACGGCCATAATGTACAGCTTGGCTGATCACAATTTGTATCATAGACGCATGGGAGAGTAGAGAACTAGTCACACGAGCGTCTCCTGCACCCCACTAGACGCCGAGCAGGTTGTGTAAGCAGTGTCCAATGTACGTGGATGTCTGCTTGCTAGATCATTAATTAACGAGAGAAGGGGTATGCATGACTAAAGAGCCACAGCATGGCACCCATCACGCATGGTACTGCAAAACAGGTAGGAAGTGGATGGTAACCTCCGGTATGTGTCGACATGAGAAAGCTGAGGAAATCACGCCAAGAAAGCCGATGTCAAAAGCGCCAAGGTTCTCCATCAAAAATGCCAAGCACTATGGGTTGCCGTGGTTGCCCCGAACGACCAGCATTTGTTTTCAATCGCGCCGACACTTCATCTACTTGTCGTCACCTCACCACATAAAGTCAACGTCGACTAGATAACCACAATTCGAACATAGCAACTCAGGCGACTGCAGGAAAATTACAATGGCGACAGTTGCACCTCCCATGTCATTTTCGGCGAGCACCTCGTCCTTTCGCGCATCTCAATCTCACAATGGACCGGTTTCCTATTCAGATAGTCCTTTGACGCAACTGCCGACGGTGGATTTCAAATTCGAGGACTTGCGAAAGCGAATGGCAGAATTTACGGTCAAATTCGATGCCTTCATTGAACAAGGACGGAAAAGGGTGCTGGAGGAGAGGAACGAGTTTCGTGCTCGACTCGGAGAAATCAGTGGTAAGTGAGGTTAGCGGTCTGGTCAAAATGCACACTAACAATACACAGAGGAACAGCGATCCTGCAGCACCCAGATTTCCACACTACAATCAACACTCTCGACGCACGATCACGTTTTGTCAAGGGAGCAGGCAGAGAAGAGTGAAATGCAGGGACAGATATCAAAACTGGAATCGCATCAGGCAAACCAATGTGCAGCGCGCGACCGGCTTAAGACTGCTATCAGTCAAACCCAACGCCAGATCGATGTCAAACTTCAAGCTCAACGAGAATACTCTGAGAAGGTTGAAAGCCAGAGCCGACTGAATGGGCCCGAGTTGAACTTCTGGGAAACCTACCTTGGATGTCGACTGGATGGCAGTGGTGATGAGAATAAAATTAGGGTGTGCTTCATGTTTCCGCCGGCTAAGGGTGGTAAGACGGGCGAGGAAAGAGAAGCGATGTTTGAAGTACAGGTGCCTGAGACGGGAAGTGGAAGGTATGAAGTGGTGTACATGAAGCCAAAGCTGGAGGCTTCAAAGGTTGAGAAGATTGTGGATCGAATGAACATTACGAGAGATGTGGGAACTCTGCTCAAGGGAATGAGAGAATTATATGTCGAAGCCTTGAAATGATCGAGACAATGATTGTTGGGCTGTTGTGGGCATGAATTCACGGTCAGCAGGAATATATATGTCTACCAAATGCAATCACGTGGATCTCTTGTTTACGTAATCACTGGAACTTGAGGGTTCCTGCGAACGAGGGAGAGGTGAAGGTGTTGCAATAATATGCCTTTGAGTGCCTTGTCCTGGTTCAGAAAGATGAATTGATCAAGGAGACATAATACTAATAATAACAAGTCCTTCTGAGGAGTGCCAAGTGGGTGAAGTGCGGGATTGCGTTGATCTCCAGCCACAACCGCGGAACAAAGATCCCTGCAGCTTAAACGGCATCGCTGTTGACACGTTTTGCCAAAGTCTGGGATCCGGACATTGACTGCGGACACTCCAGACAAGAGAACATTTTTCCCGTTGTCCCATGTTGCCATTTGCACACATCTGAGGTCTCCCTTCATTGTTCATCCATAATCATGTCTTCCATGCCTCCCTCAGGTTTGTGAACCCGGGCACACATTTAAACCCCTGTCCCTGCTATTTCTGAGCACTGAACTAATCCAGTCCTGTAACAGATCAGAAGTCGAAAAAGAAGAAGAAACCTAAGAAGAAGCCGCCGACCAATTCTCAGACCACGTCTACTTCTGCGTCAATAGCGGCAGATGCGGACGAACCATCCACTCCACTTGAGAATCAATCTGTCAATGGACCAGACGCGAAATCCGGCGTCGAAAGCGAGGACGCATCAGAAAATGAGGGTCCTGGCGCAGGTGCACCTGCGGACGCACCACGGACAGCAAAGGACGAGGACGAAGATGAAAAGGATGAACCGGAAAAGTCGGCTACTAAGGTCCCCACTGGACCAGCAGACTTCGACGCAGCTGCCCGATTTGATGCGCTGGTGAAAGACCGGGATGCACTTCGAGTGGAGGTAACACAGCTACGACAGTCGATTGAGGAATTGCAATCCAAGCACAGTTCGGAGATTGAAGCGGTTCAGACCGAACTGGCCGACACTCAAGATGCAAAAGATACTGCCGAGGAGCAGTACCAGTCACTCCTGGGAAAGGTCAATACAATCCGATCACAACTGGGTGAGAGATTGAAAGCCGATGCCGAAGAGCTAGCGCAGTCAAGGACGCGGATCGAAGACCTCGAAGAACAGAAATCAGAGCTACTGGAGAAATACACCTCTCGGTCTGGTGAAGTCGAGGATTTGAGCATACGAAATCGAGAATTGGAGGTCAAGGTCGCGGAACAGTCCAAAGAGCTATCCAGCCTCCGTAACCGTATGACACTCGCACAACAGAACTGGACCAAGGAAAAAGATGAGCTGATCGAGCAAGAAGCATATCTGCGAGAGGAATTCGAGAATGCCAAACAAGCCATGCACGACTGGGAAGTGTTGGCCATGGAAGAGCGCACGATCCGACGAGACTTGAACGACCGACATACAGATCTCGAAGAACAAGTCTCTACATTGAAGGAAGCGTACGAGAAGGCCTGCTCCGAACGCGACACTCAATCTAGCACGGTAGACGGCCTACAGAAAGCTCTGCAGGAGATCCAGAACGTTCGCAAGCAGGAGCTCAAAGAACTGGTCGAGACGAACCAGGCTGAGCAAGAATCCTTGCGCAATCAGCTTCAAGACCTGCAGAAGAGACATGACGCTACGGCTGCCGAGCTCGACCACGCCAGCAAGGACCTGGAGCGCGCCTTGCCGTTTGAGAAAGAGGTCAAGGAGAAGAATCTCTTGATCGGAAAGCTCCGACACGAGGCCGTGATATTGAATGACCACCTAACCAAAGCCCTGAGGTTCTTGAAGAAAGGGAAACCGGAGGACAATGTCGACAGGTAAGTCTTGACGAGTCTTACTCTTTTCCAGCCCGCTTCTTCTTTCCACCCTCGCTTGTTTCTTTCAAATCAGGCCCCCTGGGTTTCCCTGTGCGGCTCGATGTTTCGCTTCCCGCCCCGCCCCACCCTCCAAGTATAGACCTAAGGCCCAACCCCCTCGCAACAGATGCTATTGGGGCGGAACAAAACAACACTGCAAGGCAGACATGCGATCACTGCATACTGCATCTATCATATCGAAAGTACTGGCTCGTTCAGCGACTGGGAATTGAGTACTGTTCCTCCTGCCATGGCCAGACATGACGGACTCCTCTCGCCTATGTCACCTTGTTTTCCCATTCTAGTTGATCCTGCCACCCCCCCTCCCCTGCCACGACCCAAACAAATCCACCAAATTCTCCCCTCATTGACCACAATCGGCCAAACTAACCCTGCCCCTTTACACAACAGACAAATCGTAACAAACCACATCCTACACTTCCTGGCCCTCGACCGCTCAGACCCCAAAAAGTTCCAAATCCTACAACTGATCGCAGCGCTCCTGAACTGGACCGACGAACAGCGCGAACAAGCCGGCCTCGCACGTCCCGGCGTGACCTCCACCTCGTCCTCGTCGCTCCGCCTCCCCGGCTCACAGCTCGTGCACCGCACGCCCAGCACGCCGGCGCTGCAGCAGCATGGTCACGACTTCTTCACTTCAAGTCCCGAAAGCGCCGGCGTGCTCAGCCCGGGCAGTAAAGAGAGCTTGGCGGATTTGTGGCAGACTTTCCTCGAGCAGGAGGCCGGCAGTTCTGGTGCCAATGCCAAGTCGAGGACTGCTAGCCATGGTCAGGGCCATGGTGGGTTGCAGTCCCCAAAGTGATAGAGTCGTGATAATCTAGAACTTTGACCAACCTCTGTGCGTAATAGCTAGTGTCTAGACGTGACACTGATGTAGAAGAAGTGAATAGTCATGATATTAAGATACAAAAAGCTTCGACACTTGAAATGTCTTCATGTTGACTGGATTCTGTAATTCAATCGGTCTATCTGAGGTATCTAATGCTGGTATCTCTGCTGCTGCGTTAATTCATGTGAAATGAAATGTTGTATAGTAAACTGCGTGTGAGGGTCTGTTCTCTGTTCCTTTCCTCCAATGCCTGATTTCGACTGAGCGTCGCACATTCTTCCATCCCAAATTACTTGCATATTTCTACAATTTACAATATCCAAAATACTGGATGAGCTCCGGTAGTCGTTGCTACAGGCACGAGGAGAAAAAGGATTAGTCTTTGATAATTCCATGTAATGCACGAAAAGTGGAGGGAAACAAGACAAGAGACTCACACCATCCGCCCAGCTAACATGTGGCAAATCCAATTCCTTCACATAGCTGAAACCTTGCAAATGCTCGTCGTCCGGCTGCCAAAATAAGCGTAACTGACCCTTCTGCAGGTCGTATTCAAAGTTCATCTGCTCGATGTCGAGCTCGGTGACGGCTAGGGAGAACTGCTGCGAAATCTCAAGCATCACTTCCGCGACCGAGGCGGCTAATCTTCCGCACCATGGCCCGTGCATCGCGTCCAGGAGGCGGAGTGCGTTGATGGCGCGTTGGCGCGTCTGGGCTTTCGGCGCGGTCGTCGCCGCGAGGAATACGGCCGGCACGAAGCCTAGAAGAGGAGCGGGTTTCTGGTTGAGTTCGGTGCAGTATGGGTCGTATTTCAACATGTCTTCCACTTCGACGACGATGAATGCGTAGCGATCTCGGCCGGGTTGGATCGTCTTGGGGTCGGAGATTCCGGCTTTGAGTTTCAAGCGGCTTAGCAGACAGTACGCGGCTATGTCGTGCACCACGAGCATTTTTCGTTGGGAGACGGGTCCTGTGGCCGTCAAGGGCTGGAAGAGGTGCATCCATTTGTTGAGTCGGGCTTCTAGTTCTTCGATCTGGTCCCGGAGCGTGGGGGTAAGGCTCTTCAGTGTCATTGTCAAGCGAAGAATTTCCATGATACAGTCGCGAAGGTATCTTTCTGCCTGCTCCAAATCTTCGAATGCTGGATGTTCAAGGTTGAGGACTCGGTAGTCTTGTGTGCTCAATGATAGTGCTTTCATCTGGTCTTGTAATTGATCGACGCGAAGCTTGGATGCGAACTTGATGCCCTCGCAGATTGTAGGCTCGATGTACTTGGTGATGAGATCGTTGGATGGGTCGTCAGGTCGTTTGGTAGCTTTCCATTCTCCAAGGATCTTGATCGCCGCCTTCATGTGATCAAACGCGGCCTCTCCACTGCCGTTGAAGTTTTCCAATGCCCAGAAGATAACACAGGTCGTCAACACTACATCGACTGGAGGTTTGTCAGTCACCAAGGCACGGATGGCTAGATTGTAGTGCGACATAAAGGCATGGTTCTCCCTGGCAGCCACAGTCGATTCCAAATTGGTCAGGGATTGATGTAAAGTGGCAAGCGCAAGAATCGAGTGCTTGATCGCAGGTTGGCGGAAAGTTGCCTGGGGCAGGAGCACTGTCCACAGATAAGGTTGGGAGTATACTGAGATGAGACTGGAGGTCTTTTCAAGGAAGAATTGAAACGATCGATAGTCTTCATCTGTTCCGAACGATGGAGCCAATGCTAAGTTATGTGGATGGGGATAGTTGTCAAGATAGGACTGGAACTGGAGGGTATTCGATGCCTGTGACCTAGCACTGATGGTCGAGGTGCCTTTTGCCGACATTTGGGCTGACATTGGTGGTGGTGTTGGAGTGGACATAGGCGCGGGCTCAAATAACCTGATCTTGGGTGGTGCATATCCACTGCAATCAAGGTTGGATTTGAGGCATCTAAATACCTTGTCAGCGTCTACGAGGTAGCCTATCATTACGATCGACTGACCTTTGGCAGGAAGGTTTTCCTTCATCGCATTTTATCCTTCTTTTTCTGTATGATTTATCAGTGATGTCTCAAACTCGATAAAAGGCTCGACGTACTTGCATGTCAAGCATCCGTTGAATGTCTTGGGTGCCCATTTCTTAGTACGTCCTCGATCAGTTGGCAAATGGGACGCCCGACGTGGCGGATGCTCAGACGTGGAGCCATCTTCTTCGGAACTGCTCATCCCAGTGTCAAGTATATTCACATCGACTAGAATAAGATATGATGATGGTTGAGAGAAGGTCAAACGCGGTTAAAATCCGATCAAGGGATCAACTCGATCAAGACCTGTAACGAGCTCGGTATTCTGTTTGGTAGATAGGAGTGATTTTGATGAAGGGGTTCCAAGGATGAACATGCACTAGTGTAGAGGGGTAAGAACACGAGTATTCGATGAGATAATGAGGATGAAAGAGGGTCGATACCCATGCCAGCTGGCAAAGTGCGGTTAGGTCGGGGATGAAAGGGGGGACAGCGACTTGGGGAATAACGGGACCAGGAGAGAATGAAGCTTCCTGCTCGCTCCTGAGGGTTCCGATAACTGTAGATATTAATATTGAAGCATAGAATAGTATTGTCCTTGAGAAGATCTATCTTGGACTTCAGAACCACAAGAATATTGCCTATTCAAAGTGTGGACCCAAGGATAGAAGAGATAGAAGTGGATACTCTCAACAAGTGCTTCAACTTCTCATGTCATGCCCATACAAGTCGTATGAGAGACATGTAGAACGCGTTTTGGTCTTTGTGGTCTTTGTGCCTACGACACAAAAGGCCTTAAAATGGTAGGGCTGTGTGGACATATAGTATGAGGCCTGAATGGGGCGATCTGACGGATCGGGGGTCCCGGCATTTGGGTACCCGTTGGTCATTCCCTCAAGGCAGATTCCTTCTAAAAGTCCAAGAGGTGCTTCATCTAGAGGCGAAATAGGTGGGAGAAATACTTACCCGGTGCATGTCAATAGAGAAGATCTAGTTAGATACGCAGTGTTGCCATGTTCTGGCCATAGATACACCGACTCGTACGTTGTTAGTCATGAGTAACAGCGGAATTCCTGGTATTGTCCAGCCTAGTGATCACATTTGCTTGTCAGTAATGTCTGCTGCTACTCTTACTCGTACCGTGAAGTTGCTGTTCTAGACCTGGTAGGCAATAGATTGGGAATTTTGTGAGGCATTCAGAGAGGGCAGGTCGAAGCTATTGGATTGCAGCTCCGCCAATGGCTCGCAGAGACTGGCGGGTCCGATTCTCAGGCGCGAGAAAAAGGCGCAATGCTTGGATAAGCTCGTACCATCGAGATCGATGCTATTACCTTTCTAATCTTGGACGAACAATGGGGGCGTGCGTAGAGGTCGAGACTAAGTTGATCTACAGAGCAAAGTCATCAATGGATAAATAAAGAAGAAGGAACTAACGTGAGTGGGAAACTTGAACAACGTCGCGGAAGCCCTACCCATGCTGGTTAGGTAACTGATTGGCAAGAACCCCGGAGTTAAAGGTTGTAAGGTACGCGAGAACTACCGACGAGCCGCAGCATGAATAATGCAACCATTTCGTAGTCTCGTTTTCTAGTTAAGGCTACGATTCAAGCCGCGTCAGGCACGCAGCATCTTTTCCTCAAATTGGTCGTGCTACGCGAGCTCGGGGTAGGGTCGCTTTTGGAGGGTCGAGGTCGGTACCTGGAGATAAGGCTGAGATACTGGAGTCTGGAGTACTTCGTACCTTTTGGACCCTGCGGCCCGACGATGCATTGCATTTACCAGGATGCTAGCTGAGAAATTAGGATGGGCTGCAAGATGAAGATCTGTCTTCCTAGACGCGATGTATATTTTACATGTTACCAATATGCTGATAAAACGAAAAATCGTGCTGACGCTCAAGGTTCCCCAGAGTTCGATACTCAGGAGTTGGTATTTCGTATCAGATTTACATCATACAATACTTGATAGTTATTGTAGCACGTATAAGGCCTAGTACGTTGCAAGAGTGTTTCAGTTCGCAGGCATTGAAAGGAAATGTAACCGGCCTTGTGATCTTGTCTCAAGCTATGGTGAAGCCTGACTGTTTGACCCGGACGTATTGTAAGTATAGCGTGGCAGTCGTTTGTTAGGTATTCTCGCCCCAACCATGGCTGGCCTCGACCGTCACCAACTAGATCTCAGTAAGGCTTTACACTTTCGAAAGAGTGTCTCGGAAGCCTTACCTTAGCGATATGTTGCATGCTAGCCATTTGGCTAGAAACATTTTGTGGTTATGAGATATCTGCACACGGGAACAATCGAGCGCCCAGCGTCGGTGTAGCTGCCGCCCGGGTCCGACTCTAAACATGCATTTAATCAGGAATATTTATATTTGGACCTCTGATTAAACAGAAAGTTAGTATGACTCTCGGCGAAACACCTTCACGGAGTCCACGGCGTTCGGAGTCCATGGCATTTAATGGCAGAAGAAAGGAACAAGAAGTGTAGGAAAAGATAGTGAGGCTCAGAACAAACGTGGCCCCCATGGACCCCCCATTGGTTTTCCGGCGGGTTGCTGGCTAGCTATTTAGTACTCCATAATTGGCATTCCGGAGCCTCAAACCGAAGTTCTTATTACTTCTCCTTCCCACCAGCATCAAACCATGTATCCGTTCATCTCGAACAATAGTACATATTCTTATGACCATTCTATCAACCTTACCAACCTTGTCAACCTTCAATATCTGGCTTCCCTGAGGTTGGCTCTTGCTTATCTGGTTCTGAGCTTCCATCATCCCCGAGTAATTGCGCGATCATCGTCTCCATCCTTGCCATAGCTTCTTCCATCTTATGGAGTCGTGCCGTGGCTTCCAGCAATCTGCTATCGCGGTCTGTGTCGCTAAGATCGATCATGGAATCCATCCTTTCTCCACGTCTAGGTTTTCGGTATCCAGCCGGATGATCTACTTCCTCCTCATCACTTGAGTCTGCAAACTCCTTTTTCAATGTCTCATCTTTCAGCTGCTCTTTCTTTGTCACTGGTTCTTTAGTTGGTTCTTTGCGAGGCTCCTCGACAGCAACACTGTTATGCCGTGATGAGTGCCCGAAATGAGCATTCAGCCTATCTCGTGTGAGATCACCGAGTGGATCACCAGGCTCGAAGTTGTCATCCTTGATGATCTTGTCCAGTACCGATTGTGGAGGATCAGCTTCGAAAACCGCGTGAAGATCTCCATGTACGCTAAATCTCGAAATGGACCAGAATTGGGCATGTGTGACACTCGGACCATGGGTATTCTTCCAGTCGATTCTTTTGCCGCCATATTTTCTCCTCTTATCAGTGATCCACAAAGTCCTCCTTTCGTACCATGCGACGAGAAGTAAAGTTGGTAAGTTCAGCGTTCGCACTGCTGCGACGTGGATCTTATGGAACATTCGGTCTGACATACTCCATTTCAGGGGGAGTAGGATGACCAGTGCCAAGATGTTGAAAGGCGGCATGTATGAGAAGATGGCGTCGGATTTGACGCCCTCGAATGTAAGAACAGCTCGGCGAAATTGGATCTCTTGTACTGCGTTAGACACAATACCGCTGAACGTATTGGACAACATCGAGACAAGAATGGTTAGGAATAACGTATTGCCCAGGAATGCAAAGAGGACCATGAGCATTGGACCAAGAAACCAATGAAAGTCGGGCGCTTCGTCAATACCAGTTCCATCTAAGCCAAACCATATCCAGACCATCCATTTGGAGATCGTTATTGACTAGGAGAGTTAGAAGAAAGCAATACTCCGGGATGGAGCAAGCGTACCTGGTGAGCACCATTGTGCAACCATTTCAAACTCAACAAGAATCCAGCAAAACACCAGACCGCGAGTGCCGAAAGCGTCACGAAGTCCGATATCATCGCCCGCAACGACACAAACAGCACGTTCTCGGACATGATGTTGAAAGCCAATCGAGGTATCAAGACCGGAGCCGCACAGCTAAGAACATCCAGCGCAGTGCGAGCCAATAAGGTAGACTGTTCCTCGTTTATGATGGTCATGGCATGCAAGCGCAGTACCAGATACACCATGAATATCGTCGCAAACATGACATCCAAGAAGGACCACAAGTTTTGACTGTAAACTCCCCACCCATGTTCAAGAATGGAGGCAAATTGATCGAGGACCTACGACACTCCCATCAGCCTTGTGGTCCGCAAACCGGGAATCTCGTACTCACCCATCCAGCGGCATAGATATCGAAGACAGCTTCCACAGGGTGAAATTCCGTCGTCATCCGGGATTCTCTTCCCACCATGACCGCAATATACAGACCAAGCAGAATCATAAACTGAACCACTTCGACGATATTCCTCGTCCTCGGCACAATCAGTCGGTACTGATTTAAAATCGGCCCTCTTCTTGGATCATACAACGAGATAGGCCTCTTCTTCCAGCGATCGGGGATGATGTCGATAAAGCTAGTCGGGGAATAAACAATCTTGCCACGATAAATCGCATCCACGACCTTCTGCGATGCGCTGCTGGCGAGGAAACTCTTGCTCTCACTGACGATCGCGACTTCAAGCGCGGTCAGCGTCCGCTCGACCTTCCCACTCCGCCCGTTCTGGGACGATACCCACTGCATGGCGTGCAGGTTGTTCTTGGTCACTTCTTCGGGGGCGCCTTGGAAGGGCTCGAAGCCGGCTACGAGGATGTTGGCCAGTTTGAGCAGGCCGCGCGGACCTGGATTGTCCTCGTTGTATTTCCGGAGGATCTTCTCCGCGATCATTTCGCAGAGGAGCGCACGCGTCAGATTCACCGTTTGATGATGTGCCGCATATGATTGTTCCCGGATGAATTGGACGCGGTTGACCAGCAGGCAATACACTGTTGGGCGTTGTCAGTCACCTAGTGCTCCTTCGCAATAGTACACAAATTGGGCGGCCTCACCAACCGAGAGATCTTTCTTTTCGTACAACGAATTGACGAATGGTCGCACGACCGTGATGTTCATTCTTGGAGCCTTGAGTTGCTCCAGCGAGTAAGGGTCATCTTGAAGGAGACTTAGCACATCACTTACACCTCCGCTCATTGACTTGCTAACCTATCGTATTGATGATATCTCGTCGAATGCTGTAGCATCAAATTTAAGTCAACCACACAAGACCACCAAGAAACCCAAAATCATGCCAACAGCACACTAACCGGTGAATATTCTCGTAGACATTACACCTCGAATTCTCATAGGGATCTGCTCCCTTGGGCGGATGCGGCTGGTCGCTCGTCCACGTACAATTCGGGGGATACAGCCCATCTCTGTCCGGATAGTCGTCGTCACTGAGGGCCTCCCTATCGTGGTCTCCTTCGTGCAAGTCCGTCGGCGCGAGCAGTGGTTGTCTCTCGTTTTCTGCTTGGGCATGCTGACGTCCCCCGTTGGCGTTTGCGCCGAATGGCTCTGTGAATGTTATGTGCGGGATCGCCGGGTTGAGGTTGGAGCTGGACGACATTTCGCGGCTCGTCGACCTGCCATGCTCTGCCCCCTTGGCGAACAATGGGAGATCTATTGGGAAGTTTATCGCGATGCGGTTGAAAGAAAGATGATCATTCCTATGTATGTTCTAGATGTGTCTGAGACATGGGAAAAATAAGAAATTCACGTTGACTCTCCCATGTTTGATCTTCCTTAAGCGACTCACTTGAGGGACAACATCATCGCCCAATAAGAGAGGCCTACGCAATCAACAAGTCGTTACAAGCCTGGTTTACTATTACAGGCCTCGAGAGCCTGAGCACAGACACAGGTGACGGGCGGCAGATAAGCTTATCAGGTCAAGCCTTCGGGGGTTTCCTGGCCACCCAATCAGCGGTGGATTGTGAGATAGCTTTATCTATCCCGTTTGGATAACCTTGCTCTGCAGTTGCTCGCGTGGAGGGATTGCAAGTCTGGGGCTCTAAGATCTACAATGTAAATCATCTGGGGATCTTCACTTTACGAGCAGTAAGTGGGACACTATTATCATTACTATTAGATCAACCTGAGTTAGGTCGGTATCCTAGATGACCGTAAAATATTTCATGCCACATGGACCTCATTATCATGGTTCTACCCAATGATATGAGTGAGTTGTTCCACCCGTAACATGACTGGTATACCTTCGCAAACATTATTGAGTTACACAAGAGCCACCGTAGTTTGTACCCCATCAGTGAATATCCTTAGAAAACATGGCTCAAAACTACCGTCCCAGTCATAAGGGTATACCATCGCCAAAAGTGGGCTACAAACAAATCATAATACTGGCAATAACAGCCAGTGGCATGCAAATTGACCACAGGTTTAAGCCGCTCGAGGAATCCTGTGCATCGTTACCATTGACAACGGTTTGGTAGACGATACTCGGCTGAGCAGGTGTGGTCGTATCCATCACGACGATGACCAGGCCATTGCTCGTGATGGTCTGGACCGGCCAAGGCGTCGTGGTCGTGTAAGATGTGACCGTTGTTGTGCCTATATATGTAAATGGCGGAGGTACGATTGTTGACGGCTGTGTATAGCAATTGTGGTCGCATTGGTCGCAACAGGAGTAATATATGACCGTGGAGGTGACGGGGCATGGAATTATTGATGTTATCGTTACAGTGACGCCAGCATAGGTCGTCCATGTCGTGTACGTTGTTGATGGGACCCATGTCGTCCAATATGATGTTGGTGTTGGTGTCCAGTATCCCGAGTCACTGTAGAGCGAAAAGCAAATGCTTAGTTGGTCAAGGTTCAGGATTGGACACGGGGATAGGAGAAGGGAAGATCTGATTGATCACAAGTGACTTACTAGCCTGGTATGCCATAGACTTGACTTAGGAGAAGGCTGAAACATAAAACAATGGTAGGCCATATTTTGTGCGTCTGTGATGACATTGATGCAGAGCAGAGTATCAGGGATGTAGTTTGCGTAGCCTATCAAGGCTGATCTTTCACATAGAGTGCCCACAGAAGTGGCAATCAAAGTCCACTGATCGTTAGGAGTGGATGGTTAGTGGGCCATAAGCAGAGGTAAGGAAAGTCAGCACCTCATATCTGGTGTTAGGAAGATATTAGGTATGAGTTGAGCAATGAGAGTGTAGAGAGAAAGACAAGGAAGCACGTTGCCAATAAGAGATACTGAAGTTGGTCGTGGAACAAAACGGTGGGCAGCTGGCATAGCTATCTCACCATTTTACATAGGAAACAGTGAGGTGTACCATCCGGGTCTTCTTAAGATTTCCGATGTCGAGCCACCGAGTGGGAAAAGGTGCGTACGACAACCTACTAGTAACCTTGGAAGTTACGAGTAGAGGAGGCAAAAGGGATCAAAACTCTTGGTTTCTTGGATGGAGGTGGTGCCGGTGGTGTCGCCATCCCGTTTGCATGGGGGCGAGGGCGTCATTCTTCGAGGCTTGGGGTGCCTTGCTGAAAACACCGACGTAGCATCAACAACAGAGGCGGAGGGTGAAGAAAGTTTTGCCAGGCGCCATTTTCCACTTATTTCCAAGATTTTTCAACCCGCGATTGATGGATCATCTTCGGCAAAGGATGCCGGATACATGAAGCGGAAGGGAGCACTTCAAAGTCTGTACGAGACTTCTTCACCCCGCTTCCAACCAAGCAAACGCAACAAGTGCCCCTCGATTCAGCTCTGACAAAGGGATTGTTCGTACCTGGCTGGGTGCCTTGGATGGCCTTGACTTCCCTATCTAACTGGCTGTCTTGTTACTTATAGAAACAACATATCATCGACAGCCGTCTGTGCTGAAATGCTCATGGGTTTGTATAGCTCGTACCTAACACCAAACTAAGAATACTAACTACTAGGTCAGCACCAGGTCTGCTCGCCTCTCAAGACCAATAGGATGTACTAGCCATGCGATCTTCCGCAGGGTTTATTCTCACAGAGTTCGAATTTCGTGACGGCTGCAGTGTGATGTCAGAATTCAGCCAAGAGAATCAAGTCTTGAACTTCGGCGGCTATGAAGCCCTTCGCAGACTCGGGACGACGCACCGGCAACAACGTCGAGCTTTGAGTTACGGGAAGCGGAATATGGTCCGTTCACACCGGTTGAAGCCGTTGCTTTTTAGAACTTGACATTCCATAGTATGGCTTCAGGGCCTTCTCTTAGAAATCGGGTATTATAGCATCGTCTCGTAGCTGATCATGTTTTTCGAAGCATGTTGGAACAGCGATTTCAAAGTCTGATGTTCTCACGAGTGGGAACAATCATGCACGAGAGTGTGTAGTTGTCGGGGTTTTTATTCAAGTGATCTTCTTTAGTATCATTCCTTCGTATCACCGATAAACAGCTAAGCGTAGGGCACATATCTAGCCTTTATTGTTGTCCAGCACCCCTGCCAGCGCCAGCACCAGCACCCGCACCAGCACCTGGACCCCCTGGACCGCCCATGAATTGTTGAGCCCTAGGAAATGTTAGTAAATGGTAGTATAGTTCAGAGACAAGTAATACTCACAGCCCAGCAATGGCAGGATCCGACATCAGCTGTGAAATCTGGCTCATGTCAGGTACACCTCCACCACCTTCCCTACGATTGCTCATAATGTTTTGAACAGTAGGGTTGTTCATCAATCCACTTAAGGCGTCTGGATTGCGCATGATGTTCTGAGCCATGGATGCAAACATAGGGTTGTTCATGATGCTGGCAAAGTCGAAGCCACCTCCTCCGCCGCCGCCGCCACCACCACCACCAAGCATACTGGCTAGACCAGCGAGATCTGGAACACCTCCACCTCCACCTCTGGTATTGCCAGGAGCATCGTCAACATCATCCTCGGGGATATTTTCTTCCTCTGCTTCCATTCTAGCCAGCTCTTTCTTCGCAGTTTCGAGTCCTTTCTTCATGGCTTCGCTACCTCCGCTACCTTCGTGGTCGATACCTTTCTGGTAGGCTTCCACGCTGCCTCTTGCATCTCCCATGGCGAATCTCGCAAGACCCAACCGTGACCATGCTTTTGTGTACTTGGGATCTGCTGCGACTGCCAATTCGGCATCCTGGACAGCTGCTGCGTGATCGCCACTCGCAGAATATGCTGCAGCACGGTTCGATAGGTAAATTGGGTTCGTAGGTGAGAACACAATAGCTTCGCTGTATTTTGCAATGGCGGTCTTGTAGTCCTTCTGTTGCATAGCCGCATTTCCTGCGCTCTTGAGTTTCTCGGCTTCTGGATTTATTGCCGCGGGTTCGGGTGCTGCTTTGGACGTTGCGCTACCTTCGGGCGTGGGGGCGCCCTTGCCCTTGAGTTTCTCATAGACGGAGAATATGCTCAGTAGATTTTGCGATCCTACAGCCTCGGAGACAGCAGCTTTGTCGGACGCATCGACTTGGAATGCCTCGGCAATACAGTTGCTCGCAATTTCGATATTATCAGCATCGTCTGCGGTCAGAGTTCCATCCTTGAGCGAGGTTGATAGGAAATCTATTATGGAGAGTGCGAGACGCTTTTTGGAGTCGGAAAGAGGCTGCATGATGTTAGTGCTATCGAACGAAAAAATACTGAACTACCATACCATTTTGTGAGATTTGAGTGGACTTGGAAAATCAAACGAAGGCTGCAGGCATCCATGGTGATATCAACTCGAAGTTTCTATGAAAGTGGAACATTCTGGGACGTTGAGTCTTGTACTCCGCTCTATCTGGGTTACGGTGGACCACAAGCATGCAGCTACTGGTCATGTGAGAATTCCGGGCCAGTGCTGATTAGGTCTAGCATGAACTACTGCTTAAAAGCGGCGTCGCCATCCTCATGCCACTCTCTTTCGGTCCCAAGTGTTGACATTCCGAGTTCCTCTCGATACACAATCTGAGAACAGTACATGATTGATGATTCAAGCTTACATGAAATGATTGCTTCTTTCCAGCGGTCACTAGTACTTTCTTCTTGACTGTCAACAAATAATCTCGCACTTGTGCGACTTTGGGGCGATCAAAAAATGATTCTCCATCTCCATGCTCTGAGGTGTTGTAGTAGGAGCCAACTTCGCATTTGGGCATCGCAGGAAAAACTCGGCCGCTCCAAGCCGCAATTCGGTTCGAGCAAGATGAATTCCAAGGCATGCACGAGCCCCAGCACCAAAAGGTGAGAAGATTGATTTCGCAAGTTCTGGTTCAGGGAGATTTTCTCGGGTGAACCCTTCAGTGGGAAGCCATCTCGTATGGTCAAATCTGTTGGCCGTTAGACATTAACACTGTGTTATATGGTACTGCACTTGGACAAGACTCACGCTAAGGGGTCTGGAAAGATCCGAGCATTGCGGTGCAGCGAGTACGCCTGTGTGGTTACGGTCGTGCCAGCGGGAATCAAGTACCCACCCAGGTACTCAGGCCCATTGGGCTTTTGTCGGGGTATTCCTCCTGGTGCGGCACCATATAAGCGAAGTGTCTCTTCGATGACCGCGGACAGAACTGGAAGGTCTTCCAAATCACGATCAGAGTAATCGACTGGGAGACCTTTTAGTTCCGCGCAAAGTGACGCTGATAACTCTGGACTGGACAAAACACACCAGACGAGATACGTGAGCGTGACTGCGGTGGTGTCGGATCCGGCAACAATCAAAGCGCCTGCTTCGAGTTTCACGTCGATCTCGTCCAGCTGTTCACCTTTTCCAGCCTCATGGATAATGTGTGCGAAGAGGTTCTTCTCGCCGTCTGCAGCATATGCGTTATTCACAGCAGTCTGCGCCTTCTCCATGATGTATTTGTTGCCGCCGAAGAGAGTTTTAAAGGGTTCAAAAGGTAGGTGCTTCCCAATCGCACGAACAAGAGGCAACTCAGCTCCAATACCACCTCCCATCAAAGCTATTTCGAGAATCCTTATGTACTCATCTTTCTGGTTATCCGGCTTGTTAGCGGCTTTCCAATCTCCTCGTGTTTTAGCACTGCCAATGACTCAAACTTACCTTGCCCTGCTCAATCATATGGAATGACTCTCCAAACATGAGATGTGTTGCGACATCAGTGGTCATCAACGTCCACCATTTCAAAATGTTTGCTTTCCCCACTCCATTCGACTCCTCCAACAACTTTGTTATGCAAAGACGAACTTTCTCTCTAACAACACCTTCCCAGTGCTGTCTCAGATATGTCTTGCTGAACGCTCTCGCCATTAACCTCCGTCGAGCACCATGGTCTTTAGCATCAACCATAGTGAATAGTGTCGATCGCTCGAGATTGACTAGCTCATTATACCAATTGGCTTTTGTGAAACCCGAAGACACCTTGTGAATCTGGATGAACCCTTCCGGGTCTGAAACAGTCACTTCTGTCGGAGAGAGACGGACATATGGTCCATAGCGTTCATGTAGCTCGTGAACGTAGTACATTCGTCGGCCGCTGATGGTCGCGAATTTCAACTTCCAATTTACACATCTATTGATAAAGGGGCCGGGAACTTTCTTCAATGGGTCTCTGGCGATGCCATAAATGTACTGGGTCAATCAGTGACATGATCATCATTTTTTGAGCCCTAGAGATCGAGAAGAGGAGGGATGAAAAGGTCTACTCACTCGACCAAACCAAACAATCGCAATGATCGATAATGAGAGAAGGGCGAGATGGCCTGAATGTATGAAGTCGAACAAGGTCGCGTGGATTGAGTTCATGGCTCGCAATCTGCAAATTGTTCAGTGCCAGGGCTTAGCCTTCGTTGAAATTTTATCTCCTTCAGGGGCAATCTTCGCTCTTGTACTGAACCTGTAGCAGGTTTCCGTGCAGATTGCCCTGGCGTGCTTTGCCACATACACGATCATCAAATACCATACCAGATTTATGTCCCAGTATGCCTTCGGCAAACAATAACGGAATTGGCTTTGAGTTTGAGCTCGATAATCCCCAGATCCCCACGAACCGAGATGCGGGATGTGGGATCTCAAATGTTCACCGGCATGCCGATTGGGCATAGAGTCTTCAGTTCCGGGTACTTGTGGTCCAGGCTTTTTGAACACCATGGCAGGCATTCTCGAAATAGGCTCTCATTCCCATCAATTGGGTTGCAAAGATTCTAACCTCCCAATAAATTGATTACTGGACAGACAGTAACAATATTACGTAGCTTGAAATTAAGCTATACGAGTTTTCACGGTCTTGAAAAGTAAATCAGGACTGAAAGAAACACAACGAATGAGTAGTGGATATAGCCTATGGTAATAAGCCAGTCTGCGCCTGGTCTCTTCCGATACTTACAGACTCTCTAGGTGTCGATAATAGACCCTAATATGCCGTTCACTCCATCTAAAATGCTAGTAACTGCTGCTTCTACAATTCAGACGCCAACTTCCCACGGCCTGGTTCTACCATATTAAGGGTGAGTAGCTCCTTCGGCATTTTAGTGTTCATGCTCCTCGAGCCCATCTCACAATCATGTGCCTGGCCTTTTGTAATGTCCCTCATACAGCCTTACTCTTGTTCGATTCTGTCGTCGATCGTCTACCATAAGATCATGCCGCCGGAATGATAGGCAAAACAACGTAGTTGTCGTACTGTGGCCCAAAATTGATATGATTCATACCAGCGAATCGCTTTGAGGTTCTGTTGTCACTGTCAGTGAGGGTGTCCCCGGGTAGTTCAAATCTGTTGACTCACCTGTCTTTCTCTCCAACGTGCAAGAAAATACCACTGCCCTGGGTGTCGCCGGACGAAATTTCAAACACTAAGCGACTTCCTTTCTCCAGGACGACGTTGGTCGGCCACAATTCGATGTCCACCGGATACACCTCCCCGGGCAGAACTGGCAGGACATCCGTGCTGAAATAGTCTCGGTGAGGCAAGTATTCACGATGGTAAGGATGCGAGGTATTGATTTTCCGCATGCTCGTCCGAAGCCATCCTTTGCACAATGGCACCGGGTCGCCAGCTGTTCCAGTGTAGAAGACTTCGCCCTTTTCCGAGAGATGTCTCAGTGTCACAAAGAGGTCGATGTCTTTCGGTAGTGTGCCGCCAATATACGCGTTCATCGACACATTGAGTCGTGCGGTGATGTGCCCGGTGATCTCGGTAGTCTCTTCCACGGGTGGTGTTGAGAATTGAATCACTTCGGGCGCTTTGAGTGTGCCTAGTGCTTTGTACGATAGTTTAGTTGGAATTGCGACTGAGGGTTTGCTTGTGGACAGCGCCTTGTCCGGAGTAAGGTAATAAGGGGTATATTGAGTCCTTGCAATTGGCCATTCAGTTTCCGTACGCCTTGTGTATGCTCGCTCGGCTTCGGCGTTGTTGAAACCCACGTCACCCTTGCGAAGGACGATATCCACCGCTGGCATCTTCCCTGTGGACCATCCCTTCTGGTCATCACCTTTGAGGAACGCATCTAGAAAACTTTTCTGCAACTCAACCTCCTCAGAATAGTAGAATGGTAAGTCATGTCGACCAGTGATGAATCGTAGGTATTTGTGAGGGGATCCGGCTTTCATATAACCAACGACGTTACCACGTAGATGGAGCAGGATTCCTCCCCAGTTAGCCACTGAGAGTAACGGTACCTTGATGTCTTCGAGGTTGTATTCCTTGGACGCGTAGTATCCTTCGTCCCTGAACACGTTTGATGCATTATCGATATTTTGGTCATTTCGATTGGCAAGGAGCTCTTCTTCACCCAAATCGCCCTCAATCGTATCCTCTCCCCATTTGCGATTCTTCCGACCCGGTCGACCATACTGATTCGTGACGACCTGACGATTCCACCAAAATTCAATGAAGGCGTTTGACAAAATCCCACCATGTCGGCATCGATCTCGGTAATAATCTGACATGCCTTCCCAGGGGATGATGGCACTCAGACCCTTTGGCTGCAAGGCTGCAACTCGCCATTGGCTTCCAGCATAATATGAGATACCGAGCAAGCCAACCTTTCCAGATGACCAAGGCTGTTCAGCCGCCCATTCCACGGCGTCAAAGAACGCTTCGCTGGTCGATTTCGACATGGTGTCCAGAAGACCTGGTGACTGGCCAAGTCCTCGTTCATCTACTCTCAGGCAAGCATAGCCCTGAGACGTCCAATATCCAGGATCAGGTACTTCCCATGCTGAGTGCGAGGATTTCTGCTCTGGGTTGACTTCCGAAAAGGATGATTCGTGGAAATCACCATAGTAGATGTCTTTGCCATATGGTCCATATGTCACTAGTACGGGCACAGGAGTCTGATCTGAGCCCCTCGGTCGGTATACATTTGCTCTGACCAAACCAGAACTGCTTTTCAGTGGTATGGTTACATTCTTCTGGAAAATGTATGGGAAGCTGCTCTCGTCGACAGAGCTGAGATCTCGGATTTCGTTTGGCATGGTTGCGATAGTATTACGATGAGTGATACTGTGTACGTGTTACTATGAGAATCAATCCAGCAATCGTACATTGCCTGATGATTTAATTCTATTTTCAATACGTCGTTCACCAGTTGTGTTCGGTTCTAAGGCTCGGCGATATCGCAGAAATGTGGTCCCGGCCACTCGGGACGTGTGTCGGCTCCGCGTAGGTACCCCAAACAGCCATGCGATGCAGACGCCATAAGTGACTTGACTGAGGATTTCTCGATTTGGAGAATTAAGACAGATAAAAACTGAAAGATTGCAATTTTCTCCTTGTTTGGCGTATCTCAAGACCCGTTTTTTCGCACGCATTACTCCCACCATGGACAAGAACGGGCTACCAAAGATCCATCGGTTTGTAACCGACCACAACAGTGAAGGAAAGGCCATTTTCCACAAAGACGTCGAAGAAGTTCTACCATGGAGCGACAGACATGATACAGTCAGATTTGGTCTAGGGTACACAACAAGCCAGACGCCCGTGGACCTGAATTCCTCGGCCGATATCAAGACTTACAAAGCCCACCAACAAAGTCCGCCTGGTATAATGATTCCTGGAGGCTCTGTTCTCAGATATGTGGATGTACCACCGCTTCACCATTCAGAGATGCACAGGACTGTGAGTCTCGATTATGGGGTCGTCCTTGAAGGGGTGTTTGATCTTGTCCTGGATTCTGGAGAGGTCAGAAGGATGAATCGGGGTGATTGTGCTATTCAGAGAGGCACGAACCATCAATGGAGAAATGCCAGTCCTGATCAATGGGGACGAATGATGTATGTGCTGCAAGAAGCGAAACCGGTCGAGATCGGGGGAAAGCAGCTAGGGGAAGACTATGGTGGTATGCAAGAGGTTAAGGCCTCTGCGAGTTAGGAGCGATATACTCTCGACTTCAGGGTGCAGTGCCCCAGGGGTGAGGTAGTCCAAGTACCATGCGGAAAATATGAAAAATATATATGGTCAAAATTAACAAGATTGATTCTGTAAATTAATCCTCATCAAGTGCTAGGTCATGAGAAAATCTGCCGTGGTAACATTCCACCAGAATCACCATTCGCCTCCGACCGCGTGTCTAAATATTCGATCATTGATCTTTCCTCCAGTTGCTCGCCATACTCGATCGATGCTCTAAATTCTTGTCAGCAGATTTCTATCAATATCCATATCTGTGATGCACTACCGCAACTACGCCCACACCATTTAGCATAAGATAAATAAATGTTCTCTCAATTCCATTTACTCCGTCTGGTCTCTCTGGGCCTAACAGACTCCGGTCGACAGGCCTGTAGGGAGGTACTCGACGATGCTCCGTGTCCCAATTTTCAGGCGTCTCGGCATGGACGAGTGATTGTTGGTTTGGAGGACTGGGTGTTCCTGGAGTTTCTGGCGCACCACTGTGGTGGAGATCGTAATCGGTCAGTGCTTGCAGCACCGTCGCTGACACAGGATTTGCTGTCGTTGTGACGGACATTCTTTCGAGATCGATGTTGGTGTCGACGACGGGGAAAACGGGCTTGGTGGAAGAACATTAGGTGTGACATTAAAACAAGGCTGAGAGTCCTCGGCCCCACAAACAACCCCATGATAGCCTCGGCTGGTAGAACTCGGCCATTTTGCCTCTCCGAGCGTGGAGTTCACACTCGGGAGAGATGGAGATTGAATTACTCCACTAAATCATCTGAACTTCGGCCATTTTGAACGTTTGAGTCCGGGACCGGAACCTTGATCCCCTAACGTAGAAAGCGTGATTTCTGCAGAGCATATGCTTGTGTTGAACTTCATGCCATCCTGAGCAACAGTTGTGCATGTTTTGACTACCCAGGGATATAGGTCATCGCCATTCTGATAACCCGATAATTTGGCCAAAGGAACCAGAGCACAATGAGCGACTCACTAGACAGAATACTTGCTGCGGCAGTGGACGGTCAAGCACAAAGCCAGCGTTTCATTCAGCGACAACTCAGCCGCCTCCACGAGCATTTCGTGAGAGATGGCCCAGAAATTCGGGCTGCGATGAAGAATGATGGTAGCCAAACGACGTCTGAAATCGAGATTCAGTACACATTAGCTCTCGAGACCATCACAAAATCGTTCTCTGAAAGCGACTTTCAGAAATTATTGGCGACAGAATATAAGATTGCGTATTCCGAAAATACTCCTGACCATAGATGTGCCTATGGTGCTGCATATATTGCACCAGCAACCTACAACCTGGTCTACTCAACTGTTGCGGCGGTTTCAACTGCAATCGCGGCTGGTAACTGTGTTATACTTGAGGTTAGTAATCTTGTCGACAGTTTTTGCTCTGGCTTACCTTGCTATAGTTACCTAAAACACTCTCAGCAACGTCAGATGTGCTGAGGAAAACATTATCAAACGCGCTTGATCACGATACCTTCACTATCGTTGACAAGAACGTCGACCAAAACAAGTTATCGCGAAAGACGGTTCGTTTGCAGGGCTCTCCGAGTGGGGACGTTAGTCCTTCGCCAGAGACTCTGATTGTTCCAAGTACGAGAGCAATTGCAATCGTGGATCGGTATGCAGACTTCCAGAAAACCGCTAAAGCAATCATCCGAGCACGGTTTGCATTCGAAGGGAAATCACCGATCGCTCCACAACTCGTATTGGTCAACGAATACCGTATCAAAGAGTTCTGCAACGCCATTGCCGAAAACACCAGCAAATACTTTGCATCACAAATTGAGGGAAATAGCACGTCGGACAGTAGTCTTGCCGCAAAGTCTCGTGCTATTCGAGCTTCTGCGAATGAGTTGGACAAGGCTGGTGCAGAAACGATCTTGTCTGGATCCAGGGGTGTGGTAGTACGGGTCAACGACCGATCCTCGTCTCTGCTGAGAAAACATGTTAACGAGCCCCTGCTGATCATTCACCCGGTCAGAAGTCTTGATGACGCTATGGATCTTGCCAGCAGAACCTCTGGTGACGAGCCACTTGCTGCTCTGCACGTCTTTGGAAGTCCAGAGGTCGGCAAGTATGTCTCTCAATTTGTTCACAGCCATCTGACATGTATCAATGATATTCCGGTTGAGCTGGTCGTGGCACCATTGACGCCCGTCGGATTCGCCACGCTGCTTGGACAGCCATACAGGAAGGAGATGTTCACAACGGCGAAACCACAGTATATTGAATTTGGGAAGAGAGAACAGCAGCTAAGCACGCTCATCGAAAGCAACAACGAAGCTGAGGCAGTGAAGCTGAGGAAGCAGGCGCAAGCTATCAAGGTCGATATGAAGCAGCCAGCTGGTCATCTTCTTGGTCATTTCGAGCAGGGGCTGTTGGTAGGAGCATCACTTGCACTGGTCACGATTGTGACTGGGGTGACCTTACTTATGAAGCAAGGTATCCCCTTATTGAAGACATGGAGATTCTGAGGAGGCACCTTTTTCATACTACTCATTTTGTCGTAGAGTCATGCACTGGGCTGTTTCGTGGGTTGGAGTTTTTGGTCTCGACTTGAGATAGGTACATAAATAGCATAGTAATAGGGAATTGAAGTCTGAAAGATTTGATCTAACAATAAAATGACATCATGCTAAATGTACAATTACTATGCTTTAGCCGCCACATAAGTGCCATAGGTAAACTGTGAATTGCACATGTTCGTCAACTCCCACGTTTCAGCGCATAAGCGTCCATAGACCCCTTCATCCTCCTTGTCCCCAACCGCGCCGGCAACGAACAAGCCAGCCATATAATGGTCGTCCGTTGCATGCGCATCTCGATATTGGGGATGCTTCATCAACCTGGTCAAGCCTCTCCGGAGCTTCGGCCCCGAGTTCTGAGTGACCACATCTTCCACGGATTGACGGAATTCTAGCGCCCATGCCTCAGGAGGGGTCTCTTGGGCAAAGTTATTACGATACTTGAGCATAGGTTGCCATACATTGCGGTAGAGGTTGTGAACTGCTCCTCCAGAGCCGATAATCAGGTAGCCTTCTTTGCGGAGTGGACGCAGTGCAGCGCCAATTCTCACATGGAAGTGCGGATCGTAGCGAGCGTTCATTGAGATCAGAGTGGTTGGTGGACAACCGTTGGGGAACATGCGAATAAGAACAAGGTACGTATCGTGAATCCAGTCGAATTTTGGGTCTTCGTCGGTATCAAATCCTTCATCACGCAGCATTTGAATGCATCGTCTTGAGGTCGGCAGATCGGGATTCAGCTTGTAGTTGGTATACTTTGAAGGGTGTACATATGCGACTGGGGACATATTTGGTTTCGGATTCGTGGCTACCATTATCTTGTCGTTCAGACCGGCCCAATGGGCGCCCATCATAACGACTCCTTTGATGCCATTTGCGAGTGCTTCGTCTCCAGCTTTCTTCCAGTACGTAGCTGCATCACTTTCTTCACCTAGCATCATAGTCGATCCGTGCGAAAACCAGTGCACAGGCGTAAGGGCCGGAACGGCGCCACTATTGATCGCCATTTGGTCGCACGTGGTGGTTGCGATGGTTGTCGAGTTAGACTTGCAATAGCCTCCGAGTTTATGAGGTTTGGCCTTCAAGAGATGGTGATTTGAAAGGATGACTCCTGGTAAGTATCTTGGGTGTCACTCGACAACTGAGATATGCCGTAAAAGTCTTTTGTGGTGGAGTAGCTGTCAAGCTTTGGCGACCTCCACCTCCGTAACTGATTGAATAGTCTCCCGATGTAAGGTCCGGGTTAATTGTGGGCTCCGAAGCAATCGGTAGGGGGCAAAAGGGGCGAAATCCTCCCCCACAATCGGCACGACGGGCCTGTTGACATATCCCCGACGAGGGTTTTGCCCTAACCCCGTAGTAAGACCACAAAACCGAAGCGTGGAGCCGAAATGAGGAGACGCTTACCTAGGAAACATTACCCCAGATCTGAAGTTGCTGTGATCGAGGAATATCCACCACTTTCCCCTTCCCCCTCCCCACGACCGATCTCTCTCTCCCATCTCCTCTTCTTTCGGGAACGACAGTTCGAGGCCTGTGGACTGATATGACAAACTGCCCTTTGGGAACTGTCACACCATGCAGAACGATTCGAATGCTTCCGAGCTCCGTTCTCCTTCCGGACCTCCAACATGTACCATCTGTGGAAGGACCTACTCCAGGATCGATCATCTTGAACGGCACCTACGTTCCCGTAAGTGATTGTGATAGCATCAGCAATTCCGGGCAGCTTTTGCCTGATATCACGTGGGGGGTGTTTGTTGCTGCTCCCTGCCACCCAAATGTTGGATGTTCTTGGAGTGGTGTATTCTCCCCACTCCCGACGCCTGGGTTTCCCCCCATAGGCTTCCCCAACGGCGCTCGCTCCCCGTACTGGACAGACACTAACCGTCTCCAGACTATCAGACCAAACCCTTCTCATGCTCTGTTTGCAACAAGGCCTTCGCTCGCGTGTAAGGCTTAGTACCGAATGTGAATCAAAGAGCTTCTGTTTACTGACCTTGGTCCAGTGATGCTCTCAAACGCCATCAAATCAGTCATGATCCATCGGTAAACAAACGGCAGAAAGTCGATCATCTCCCACGTCCTCGTACTGGGCAGGCGTGTCGAGCTTGTGCTGCTGCTAAACTGAAGTGTGAGGACGAGAAACCTTGTGCACGTTGTAGACAGAAAGGCGTCGATTGTATCTACAGTCGAGCATCTACCTCTGCACCACACAGTCGTAACGATAGCGTCTCTTTCTCTACTCCTGGTAAGTTCTCGACTCCCAGCCAGCATTTTCCACTAACTAATTCAGATCAAGCAACGGACCGAAGTTCAGTTGGTTCACGACTGCTGAGCACCCTTGATGATCAAAATCAGCGTGGTGGCCTTGCTGGGCCACTGCTCGATTCTCAGACTTCACCAATGCTTTCCTTTCAGAGTCAGGCTACTGATCCAGCATTATCCATGCCAGATTCATATCTGAGATCTCATGACCTTGGCCAGGCTGATCATTCGATTGCTTCAGACAGCGTCATGCCCGAGCCGATTGCAGGGCCATTCTCACCAGATTTGATGATCGCTGATATGTTCGCCGAGTCTTCCTTAGCCGACTTCTTGAACGAGATCATGCTACCCCCCGTGCCACCAGCAAACGATGAACCAGTCTCTAGTGATACGGCAAATCAAAGTCGTTTGCAACGAGACTATCTGGATTTTGGTACATCATGGGTGGACATGGGTGATTTCGAGGCCATGTTGCAGAACACTTATGCCGACCCAATCTCAGGTATCAATAATGTATCGTTCAATCTTCCTGCCCCGCCATCCGGCGCCAAAACTCCCATCTTCGGTGATAGCTTTGGGGCTAGAAATGCTGCATTCTCACGATCGATATGGCGTTGGGTACCAACAAAAAAAGATCATGGTGGTGCTGCTCAACTTGATTTATCTTTGCCCTCAATCAATCTGGATAGCCCAGAAACAAGAAACCTTGCGGAGACGCTACTCCCAGGCCAGCATATCGAGCAATCACTGCGTGATAGACTTCTAGCACTCATACTCGGTACTTGTGACCAAGCTCTTCATCAACTTGTCGTCACGGCTTTCCCAAGTGCCGACCTCTTGGACAGGCTGATGCACTTCAGCCTGGGTGTTCACTTTACAGCAATCGATTCATGGATTCACGTACCTTCTTTAGTGATTGAGGACAACCTTGAGCTCCTCGTTGTCATCATTGCTGCTGGGGCAGTTTTGAGCTCTGTGACGCCAATCAGACGACTGGGTCATGCTCTTCAGGAGTCTGCTAGAACAGCATTTGCAAATAAGGTTTGCCCTCTACAATGAACAGGTAGCTGGGATACTGATATACAATAGTTTGAAAGTAACAACCAATGGACCCGTGATCTGGCAAGTATTCAAGGATTGGTCCTTTCCCTGCACATTGGACTTTGGAGTGGCGATAAGAGAAAGATGGAAATTGCAGAAAGTTTCACCCTGCCTCCCGTCACAATGCTTCGTCGTGCGAGTCGATTTTCGCGGATGAAAAGAAACTTCACACCTCCAACTTTTGATGATGCCGATGAAGCGCTGGACCTCAAATGGCGTGAATGGGCTCAGGCGGAGTCCTATAAACGGTACTCAATACTCACTGTCCATTCCTCGTCAAGTAGCTAACCTGTTCTAGCCTGGCTGCCCATCTCCTTATTCAGGACGCACAAAGTTCCATGGCCCAGCAAGTGCCACCATTATTGTGCGCCTCTGAAATGACGTTAGAACTCCCATCATCTCGAGAATTGTGGACTGCTGGAAGTGCACGACAGTGGCGAGATCTTTATGTCCATCTTGACGACTCCCTCCCAGATAAGAGTATTTCCATTGCTCAAGGTATCCCTCAAGTCAGCGAGATACTGGGCTGTCGTGGCTTAGATGCAAGCTTGTCTGCCATGATAATAGTGCATAGTGCATGGGGAGCTGTGTGGAGTCACCTTCAATTGAGCTCGATTGTTCGTGGCCACTCGACGTTCCAAAACCCGACCAACGGTGGCTTCTTAGCTCCCAATCCATGGGACAACAGCGTATCCCAACTTCTCGAACAACTTCGTTTTATATTCTCGGATTGGGGCGACAGATTCCGACCAGAAATGGCACTTGTACTTGAGCGTATTATCCTAAGTCTACACGTTTCCTTTGAGCAGGTCCAACTCTTCGCTGGTAAAGCAGGTGAAGAGGAGGCCCGTCGGGTCCTACCAGGTCTACGCCAGTGGGTCAGTACCAAAGATGCTCGCAAGGCGGTTTGGTACGCAGGCCAAGTACTGAGAGCTGCTGCAAAGTGTTCGGCGAAAGTCCTACAACACTTCAACGCACTCTGCGTCTATCACGCCGGCATGACATTTTGGACGTATGCTGTGCTGATGGATGATTCCTCCAGCCAGCAGAGACTACAAGCCGATGGTCAACAGCCATTCTTATCAAACCCAGCATCTGAAGACAGTGAGTTGGTATGGTTGGATGGACCTGACGGACCCGGCATACAGAAATTCATCGCCTTGAACCGTGGTAAGCCTGTAATCAGGCATTTTAATCAAGGAGATCACACTGAAGGGGGAATCGGACCAGCAATCCCTCTGACCAATGCCAAAGCCGTCATGAACGTGTGCATCGAATTGTTGCAACGTGGCACAGGCGTCGGAGGTGACGGAACCTCCATGCCTCTAGTCGAAAATCTGAGCCAGCTCATGCGAGACTTGGGCACGGCGGCGCACGAACTCATCCAAGGCAACGGGAGACGGTCCCGAGGTCAACACCAATCTGCCAAAGGCCCAGCACCATCATGATTCATCAAGTCCAGATCAGCTGCCTCAAGTTTTGCAGCATGAAAAGACTCTCGGCAGTTGTACGTAGGGATAACTATCAAGGCTCGGGGATACCACTTTCCCCGAGCTGTTCGTGTTGAGCCCTGCCGAGTGGCGCATCACAAATGAGGTCCCGAGATTTGAGGAGGGGCTCCCCCACACCCCGGGATGGTTCAGAGACTCACGGGGAAGGACGATCAAGTAGACCGATATCCAGGTCACATGTGTCCAAATCCATGTAGATATTATCAGCAGCAAGCTTGACATTGTATCTCTAATAATACCAACATATGTTGGCCATCGCTTTAAGCCGGTCATCCAGTACTCATCATATTGAATCGGTGTATGCAAGGTTTTATTATCCGAGGATAACATTTAGAACACCAGTCTCATCAGCAAAGCAGACATGAATGGCAGCATGAATGGCGGCTCAGGCCGTCATGAGCCCTCGACCGCAGGGCCATTGAACATTGTGATCAGTGGAGCTGGGATAGGCGGCTTGTTCGCTGCCATTTCACTTCGGCGCGCAGGGCACCAAGTCACGATCTTGGAACGGTCGAGTTTCTCCCAAGAATTCGGTGCCGCCGTTCATCTGGCACCCAACTCTAACGGCCTCCTTCGCCGTGTTGGTATCTATGCTGAAGAATTTGGTGCCAATCCAAGTCTCAAGTTCGTCGAGTACAAGCACACTGGCGAGCATGTCAGGACGATACCCAACGCTGGGCCACTCTTTCAGCATCCCTGGCTGCTGGCGCACCGAGTACGGTTGCACGATAGATTGAAGAAGCTCGCTACCTCCGAAACCGGAGAAGGAACGCCAGTCAAGTTGATACTGGCGACTAAGGTTGAAAGCATAGACGCTGCGAACGCAACCGTTACGACCAAAAGTGGCGAAACTTTCCAAGGTGATTTGATTGTAGGAGCAGATGGAGTGCACTCATCAGCGCGTCGAAGTATCCCTGGTGGGGAGAATGTGAAGGCGTTCGATTCGGGGAAGTCAGCATTCAGATTCATAATTCCGGCGAACAGGGCGCGAGAAAATCCCTTGACACAAGCGTATGTGCAAGCACCCGGAGAACTCACCATGTGGATCAGTCATGACAGAAGAGTGGTGATGTACCCAACGAATGATAACGAGGAGCTGAACTTTGTGTGTATCCATCCGTCTGGTGAAACCAATGCCAGTGGGGACTGGAATAACGACACAAGTCTTGAGAGCATGTTGAAGGTGTTTGAGAGCTTCGGCGACGGTGTAAAAGCGCTTCTGGGAATGGCGGATCCCGCGACATTGAGAGTCTGGAATCTTTTGGACATGAAGAAATTACCAAGTTTTGTGGAGGGCAGATTGGCCTTGATCGGGGATGCGGCACATCCATTTACACCGCACCAAGGTCAAGGCGCTGGTATGGCGATTGAGGATGGGGCTAGTTTGGCTGTCATGCTACCCCTGGGGACTCGACGAGACGAGATACCGGAGAGGCTGGGACTGTACAACCAAGCGCGGTACGATCGAGCCCACATGATCCAACACTTCAGCCGTATCGTCGGCCAGGATGAAAAAGACCGCACTGAAGCCCTCGACATGTTCAAATTCACCTTTACCAATTTCTGTCACGATGAGCATGACCACTCTTCTCAGCTACTCAGGGAATACGAGTGGAGCAAATCTCCACAGGTGTACTGGCGGCAGCCAATTGCTTTTGGACCCATGCCTGGTCCGCGACAAGACATTAACGGTATAACACGAAAGGCTGACCATTCAACATACATTACCGCCAGCATCAGATTCAAGACAAGCAGGACGCTGCTCCAGAACCTGTTTCCGCACGGCAAGGAACGGAGGCGTGGATGGAGTTTCACCTCACCGGGCAGCGTTGCATACGCAAGCTTCAGCCAGACGACGCTGAACAGAATGGACTGGCTAGGAGGCGGAGGGTACAACCACCTAGGACTATATATCCACGGGGTGCAGTACACGAAGAAGGATGGCAGTATCGTGAGAGGTGCATACCTGCCGATCTTATTCGAGAATTTGACGGACCCTATCCTCAGCGGGCGGGAAGAGCTCGGCATGCCGAAACTGTACTCGTCCATTGAGGTGCATCGCCGCGGGGAGTCTTCGTATTTCATCAACACGGCCTGGCAGGGCGCGACTTGGGGTCGCTTCCGACTGACCGGTCTACGCGAGGCAGATGCTGGTCAGAATAGCAACGGAGCCTCTCACGCAGCGGCGGCGTCAATCTCGTCAGCACCTGCATCTGGCCCTCCCCCTGGTCAAGGCCCACCTCGTGGGCCGCCAGGCGGCGGCCCAGACGAAGGCATTCTCTCGTACCGCTACATGCCAAGCGTGGGATCATCGCAGAAAGGCACCGCCGCTGAAGAATACCCAGTATATGTACCGTTCAGCGAGGAAAGGCCTATACCGCGCGTGAACCGGACTTGGATCGCCTCATCCGCCAGCTTCGACATTGATGCGATGGACCGCGACGCGCTGCCGACGTTGCATCATGTCATTGAAAGGCTTGCGGAGATCCCCGTCTACGATATCGTCGAGGCCAAGGTCGTGGAGGGCACGGGTGTGCCGGATGTGGCGGCTGCGAGTAGAGTTGACTAGTTAGTTGTTGAGGACAGTTAAGTTAGGAGCGTGGTTGTGTACTCGGACGAGATAAAATAGTGCTCTACTTGAGAATATAATCTTCATTCGCTTTTCGCCCACATGCAGGAATCAAGCTTCCAGATTGTCCATCACCCGGATGGTGACATGCTAGTACAATCATGAATTCCACGGAATTAGAATCCATTCAATCTACACGATCGAAGAGTTGATCTTGCGTAGATTTACACTAATATTGGCGTTCTTCCAACACTCAATTGATCTTGAAACATATACTCCAAAGCCATAACTTGCCGAAAGAAATGGAAAATAAGGAATTTTTGGATATTTGACTGGCATCTAGATTTGATATCTTGTTATTTTAGAAAATTTTCCAGCAGGCCCTGATGCCGAAATTATTATGGTAACGTTGCAGCTAGCCGCATACACTAGTGCCCTACAACTACGAAGTGTAGGAGGGCAAGATCCGACAGATAATCCATCTTTTCCTTCGCGAGTTACAAAGTCGTAATCTCTCGACATATACCAGTATACCCTGCTACAATTCGTTCAAGCCTCGATCTCCTTAGCCGTTGCTTTTGGCTCGTGTGCAGTCTTATCATAGAGACCTTCGAGTCTTGCCTGCTTCTCAGCCACTTCCAATTCGGCAGGGGCATCGATGTGTGCGGTGAATTCGCTTTCTGGGTCACGGATGAGAAAGGCCACTGTTGAAGAAGAAAGAGTTAGTTGAATTGCAAGAATGAGGGTAGCATTGGTGATATAGACACATACCGATAACAGAAATGACACCGAAACAGGAGGCAGCGATCCAACAGTTTCGAAATCCGACGCCGAAGGCGCGCACCAGGGCATTAGCACCAGCACCGATTATTTGAGGAGTAACTCCGGGGACGTGGGAGAGAATAGTCTCGTTGTGAGTTGTCAGGCCTCCGATGAACATTCCTAGTGAGGTGGGGGGGAGACCCAAGGGCAGAGCAGCCGCTGCAATTTTTGAAGGGATCTCTGTTGCAAGAGCACTGTTGAAAATGGCGACATTGATGGCTAGGCCAACGGTGCCTCCCAAAGAACGGACGGCGATGATCAGCGCGGATGCACTGGAGATCAAGGCAGGAGGCGTGCACAGCTGCGCCACGACCATGGTCAGGGGCAGAATTATGCCCAACCCCATTCCTAGAATGATACCAAAGGCCCAGAAACCATTGCCTGGATTAAATCCTGCGGTTGCTGCAAGACAGACATTGAAGAGGAGGAGAAATCCGAAGCCTAGGGCGAGGGGCATCTTGAGGGCTTTCCTCTTGGAAGAATAGATACTTGACAAGAAAGAGAACAGCATGCCGCTGAGAAAAGCCATACCAAAATGCAGACCAGCAATTAGCAGATCCTGTTGCGTGAACGTGCTGACTTCGAAGGCAAAGTAGCTGTTTGCAGTCCAGAAGACAAGGCCTTCAACGAAGATCAATATGAGTGCCCATAAGAAGTTTCGATCGCGAAACAGATCGTGGTTGAGAATTCCATCTTTCTTGAATCGCCATTCGTATACACCAAAAGCAATCAGGGCGACAACTCCGACGACGAAAGTTGCAATGATGCGGGGATCTGACCACGGGTATGGATTGCGTGACCATGACAATGCCACGGAGAATAGCACTATACCAGGGATGAAAAGTACATAGCCCACCCAGTCGAGTTGGCGCAGCTTTTCACTTGTTGTCATTGTGATCTCCTCCTCTCGTGGTAAAGGGTTGAACAGGAAAGCTATTCCCAGGGCGGCAATGAGGAAGATACCTGCAGCAACATAGAAATAAATGCGATAATTCGATAAGTTGTTGTGCCGTAACAAGGCACCACCCAGGCAGATGGCGCCGAAAGCTCCAAAGCCAGCTGTGATGTTGATAGCAGCTTGAGCCTGAGGTCTATGCTTTCTGGGAACAACCTCGGAGGCAACAGCATGCAGCAGGGGCTGCGCTCCGTAGCATATGCCGATCACACAGAAACCTGCAATCACAGTTCCTATCGATTGGGCGCGAGACACCACTACTGAGCCTGCAAAGCCGCACAACAATCCGAAGACCAGAGGCCATTTGCGTCCAAATACATCGCTCAATTGAGAGACCATGGGACTGAGAACGACCGTGAAAATGGCGATTGCCTGGCTGAACCAGCTACTGGCATTGTCACCGCCAAACAACGCCTGGATTGAGTTTGCAAGAAGACCAGATCCGACCAAAGCCACGAGTTGCGCGAAATAAGCGAAATTTATGGACTAATAACTGTTAGAATGATTGCAAACTTCAGACTAGTTCGGTGGTAACAAACAAGGAGGATAAGATATGTCTTGAGGTGAATGTGGACGACACCAGCCGTGCTGACCCTGGAAATCGTGCTTTCGATCTCCATCTCGGTGCCCATGACTTCTACCCGGATTCAGTCTCCTTAATTACTGAGGTTGGTGTCGACGAGGACTTCAGTAATGGCAGCGTCTTGCTCTGGAGAGAAGTCTGCTATGTATATGAGCTGGCGATCACCCTTCTAAATTTGGACTCGGTATATCTAGCGTTAGGACGAGCGGCGGATGATATCTGAGGCGGAGGCTTTTCATTAATACTTATGGCTGCCAGTGCAAGAACCTCCATCCGATGTATTGTTGGGAGATTTGTGGAGAGCTCCAGTTACGAGCGCTGCTAGGGCGTAAGATATCCGGGGGTGGGGGATCTGGGGAGTGGTGGAGAAATGAGGGCCCGAATTTGCAGGGATATTCTCCCCTTCGGCAACAGCTCCACCATTTGATTCGTGTGAAAAGCAGCCGTTGTCGTTCTAGGCTTCGGCGACATCTATATCAGCGAAAATTGCTGCAGGGTAATCGTGCCTTGACGATAATTAGTAATTCACATCGTTATGGAACATGTGCATGAATGACATGTGCCGATTGCAAAGCTTAGCTGGAGCTGGCAATTTTCCAACTAGGAAAGTTTGATCATAGGGGCCTGAAGCATAAAATGCGTACAAGACCGGAGGGATTGAAGAGCCTCAGGCTAAATTGCCGACTTGAGAGTTTTCGGGTGCTGCACCTTAAATGTCCGGTAGTTCATCGTGGTTGTGATAAAATTTCATAGTGACTGCCGCTGGGCAGCGGAGTAAGTTTGTAGACCGCCATCCCGTCCACTCTGTGCAGGGCTGGAGGACTTCCAGATCAACGGCGGTGCCCTTGACTCCGCAGGGGTGATAAATTGGCTGGAATACCCCAATTAGAGGAGTTTATGGTCAAGGATTCCCATCGCAGGGCCTGGTCTTAGTTGCTTCATAATTGTTTTGGCATTCACTCCAGCTCACTGATTTGTCCAGGTTGATTTCGTGCCTTTGCAGCATATTGGGGAGGCTGAACTTCAGGTCGAACTTCGGTCTCCACTGTGTCCAGTTCCCGCCTTTCCCACGAGTCCTGATCCTGTGTGACTGGGTGATACTTTGAATCTCTCAGTGCCAGGTCTTCTGGTGGCACTCTTTTGTTAGATCGTTGTTTCCTTCTCCTGAGAATAACAAATAAGCCGAAGGCAAGCACCCCAACCGCCAAGAGTCCGACAGCTATGCCTATGCCCGCCTTTGCGCCGGTAGAGAGACCAGTCGAATCTGTCTGCTCTTGACCTGGGTCGGGTGCGGGGGAAGTATTTGCGGGGGACGAAGAATTGGTTGTTGGGCTCGGACCTGGTAAAGTAGCGGTATTCGATATTGTACCACCAGATGCTGTTGCAGCTGACCCACTGGCGGTGGATGTTATACCAAATAACGACAGATCTTCTTGTTTATACTCGACTGTAATTGGTTGAGCCCACATTGTCAAATCGGTGCCGATAACCTGAATCATGGAGGAATTGCCTCGCCCAGAGACTGTGGTTGTACCATCGAACTTGGAAATGCAGCCCATGAAGAGGACTGAGGTGGTTCCAAAGTAATTAACGCTTGAATAGGTGCTACCGTACGAAAAAGACCTTTCACAGGTTACAAACAGTAAAAGAACGTCGCCAAAAGTACGTACGATGGGCAGCATATAGCTGTTGTAATACCTTCATTCTGGAAGAACCCTGGAGTTGCATAACCCCCAGGACCTGAGGAAATTAGCGGACATCTGAAGCGTGAGTTCACGAGGAAACATACATGCTCCTGGAGAGTAGACTTGTATGGAAGAAGGCGCACGGCCATAACCGCCAAAAGAAGTAGGGAAACACGTTTCGTCGAGACTGAGGGAATCCTGATTCTGAAGAAGAAGTCCGCCTGGAACGCTGTTATAAGTTTCATCTTCATAGGTCCACGAGCGAGTGCAATCGGTAGGTGGCGTGAATATAGATGTCATCTCGGTGATTGTCTCGGTGAAGAGGGACGCCATATCGTTGGTTGTAGCTGTTCTCACTGCGCAACAAACCTGCGATAGAGTGAAGTTGTATGAATGAAATACTTAGTTCTGAAAAATGTTAAATCAACGATTCGCATATTAATCCGTAGCAGAGCCGCAAGATCTGGATCGACTGCTGCCTATGACATAAAGACTATCCGAAGAGTCCAATTGTGGCTGAATCGTAGAATGGATGAGCGGAGTGTGACAATGCCTTCATAAATTTATTTCTGGCAAGCGGCCTGAGTCGACGACTGAACAAGCTTCGTTCCCGAGCGCTGTATGGGGTAGTTAGACTATTGCCTGGGATACTTGTCTGGCGGGCGTGGCCAGCAGGGCAGGTCACAACAGCCCATTTCTCCAAACAAGAATAGGAGTACAGGGTCAGCAATTCCGTACGCCATCAAACGAGTCTTTCGGCTCGTAAGATGGAGCTATTCGTGAGATGCGGCAGCTTGTGGACGCAAGTGAAACCTCAACAAGTGGGTGAACAGGCTATATTAAGACATGGTTGGTTAGGTGATTCTTGATTGCTGCTGCGAGGTGTCGAATTGAGGCGTAGGGTGGTGGCCTGAATGTTCCATGTTTTGTTGGAAGTGGCAACGCGGAAGATTGCATGTGAGTCTCCATGGGTTCTTGTGAGGAATAGAGCAGATGGGACACCTGGTATTCTCAGAAAGCGAACGCATAGTCTGAAACGTGAATCACTGTCTTACACTCCTGCCATTTCTCCTTGAAACCCGCACCGCACCTGATAATCAACGAAGGGATTCAGCAATCCGGAGAATTGTGGCTCCGATGCAAAGCCACGAGGCTGAATAACGCCAAGACACACGTGAACTAGCGCCTAATAGCGTGTTTTCAGCATTGGTGCGCCTGTTCCACGCGTCAATGCGAATCTCGCACAAGGCCGTCAGCCTCTTGAAACATTCGAGGAACTTGAAGGCTGACACCGTGGGCATCTGGGTAAGAACGACGACTTCTCGGTCCTCACGTGTTCTTCCCACAGCGTGTTCCTTCTTATCACTCAGACCTTCGGGCACTGCCTATTGTGCTTGTATGCCACCTTCCTTTCCAAGTCTGAGGAACCTTGCCAGGTAGGTACGCATTCAACCAAGCCGTCTGAAAAATCCGACATCACAGTCCGTTGAGCAACTCAGCCCAATTTTTGACTGCAAATCATGATCGAAGTGGCATCACACTCATAGCCGTCTCTCATATCCTAAACCCAGAATAGAGCTTGCAAACTTGATTGGCACAATGAGCACCTCACCGGCTACGCGGAGGATTCTGTTCGCGTGCGGTGCGTTACTCTTCCTTTTGATCATCTTTCGCCGAGAAGCAAACGACCGATTCTATGGCCAAGGCCCCAAACCCTACCCTGCACCCAAACTGGGGATTGATGAGCTGTCCTTGTGGCCTCTCGAGCAGAAACTCGATTATCTTTTCCCCTACGAGGTTGAGGCTAGCTTCCCAAAGCACATCTGGCAAACCTGGAAAGTGGCACGTGATGACGATACCTTTGATAAAGGGATAAAAGGCTTGGTCGCATCGTGGGACTCTCTCAATCCCGAGTTCACACATGAGGTCATCACCGATGACACTGCATTCCAGCTTGTCAAGAAATTGTACATCTCTGCTCCAGAAATCGTCCAGGCTTACCGAGACATGCCCCTTCCCATCCTTAAGGCCGATTTCTTCCGCTATCTCATGCTTCTCGCCAGGGGCGGGATCTACACTGATGTTGACACTGAAGCACTGCAGAGCATTCGCAAATGGGTTCCTTCTGCGTACAATCAATCAACCGTTGGTATTGTCATTGGTCTCGAGGCTGATCCTGACCGCGACGATTGGCCAGAGTGGTACGCTCGCCGCATTCAGTTCTGTCAGTGGACGATTATGTCTAAGCCAGGTCATCCCATTTTGAAAGAAGTTGTCACAAAGATCACGAATACAACAATCACGATGAAGGAGGAGGGAAACCTTAACAAGGCAGATGCTATCAAACTGGTTCTAGACTACACTGGACCTGGTGTCTGGACTGACGCTATTTTCGCCTACTTCAATAATCCTTTCTTCTTCAACACCACCTCAAGCAATATCACCAATTCCGACTTTTTCAATCTACGAGAACCCAAGATACTCGGAGATGTGGTCGTCTTTCCCATCACCAGTTTCAGTCCAGGAATTGGTCACATGGGAGCAGAAGGAGTCGATCACCCGTTGGCATTTGTGAGACATGCGTTTAGAGGTGGGTTGGTTACTGTTGAATTCTCAAGAGCTCCTCAGACTGATATCTTCACAGGATCATGGCGCCCAAGTGATAATGAGCGCGGCGGACCCTGAGTCAAACCTACCACAACACAAAGAGTTCTATGGTAGAAGCGCTACTTCCCTTGCCAGCCAGGTCTCAATCCATAGTCTATCGAGGATATTATGACTCTACCAGGGCTACTTGACTCTAACATGGCCACTGAATACATGAATGATATCAACATAGGTTTGAGATCGCCCATCTTGATCCAGGTAAGCAGTATCTCAGCGGCCAGGTCTAGATCGTACTTCTGACATAATGAGGACAGATATTGACAATGAAAAACCGTGCATCCTGCACTTTGATGTTCACTCATACGGATATGGATGTGTTCCGAGCCTCAAAAGAGTTACGAAGCAGATGCATCCCCTCTGAGGACTGGCTACCTAGCTACTTGACTTGGCAGCCCTTTTCATGGGTTGTCCAAAGCGAATAGTGTAAATGTCTGCCAATTCAGCATCATGTACTTGAAATTTGTCGGGTCAATGGGCTCTGGGAAACTTGCTAAAAAAAGGGTGTAAAGTGGCCCCAATCTGCACAACAGCGTTCCGGTGCTCGAGAGCGAAATCGACACCACCACCCCACGCATTATCCCTGTTCTCCATGCCAATAATTTGATATTCTGTAACTCAGCTGCTCCGTCACCACCGTCTGCGTTTGCGCAAATCGATCACGTATGCAAATGTGTTGCGACGCATGGCTCCGCGGATTTCCACACCCATTTGAGAGCACCACTTGCCGTATGCCAACTTTCCTCATTCGTCCCAGCCACCAGGCCATCGTCTAAGTGCAGCCAACCCACGACCATGGTCCATCCCAGTTTTACCCGTCTAGCTTATTGTCTAACCCGTCCACGCCAGACCGGTCCCCCTTGTCAAGATAGCCGCAAAACACGCCTTGCGGATCCCACTTCCGCCGTATATCCATCAACCTCCTTCCCTGCTCGTCGCCCCAGAACTTCGTAGTCCTAATCTGCAAATCAATATCCCCAAGGTATGCCCCAATGGAGTATCTCTTCATCTCATCCATAATGTTTTTAGTCCAATCTCGACAAGCCTTATCGCCCGTTGCGTCCTTGCAAATTGTATACATGGCGAGATAATGATCCGCACGGAGGCTGAGCGCCATATCTGGAAGCTCACGGCGGCTCCAGGGTGCGAGGGGATACCAGAATGTATAGGTCTCCTTCGACGGTGAAGTGGTCAGTGCTTTCTCCAGGACCGACACAACGTCCTCTCCGTCGCGGATGTATGCATTTTCACAGTGGTAGCGATGTCCCGCCGGGTTGGCGTGCGCTTGGCCCACGTATTCCTTCTCCAGATCCGTCTCCTGGCAGAACCAGTGGAGGACGGGGTTGCTGGGAAGGGTGTCTTCGGCTGGTTGAAGAGCGTGCTTGGCTGTGTCTTCGTCGTTTTTGAAGCTTATGAACAGTACCATGAGGTGCAGTTCATCCATGCCGGGAGGATGCGTCGAGATCATCACGATCTCGGTCTCTTCGTCGAATGTCGGTGTGAGCTGCACGGTGTCAGATAGGTTGGTTGATGATTGGAATGGTGTTTCTTCTGCTCATATGATTTTCAGACATACCTTGAGAACCCATTCGAACACAGCACGGTATTTCGTTGTCGGGTAGACATACAGCGACGACCTCATTGCCCTTACAAGTGGCCTTGTCTGAAGATGATATTTCGTGACGATGCCCGGAAACCCTGGCCCGCATCCCCGAGCAGCCCAGTAGAGCTCGCTGTTGTCGTTGGCATCGGCGCGCACGATGCGACCATCCGCGGTGACGACATCAACGGCCAGGACCTGTTCACAAGCCGTACCCCAGTTCTAAGATACAGTGCGGCGTTAGTAATGCATGCGATCCCATACCGTCTGCTCCTGGGCAGAGAAGGTCGACACTCACCCGAGCATTCCACCCCACGCCGCCAAGCAGTAAGAACCCACCGACTGCAACATCCGGGCAATGCCCACCAGCAAACATGCGGCCCTTAGGCTTGAGGAACGCGTTCAGCTCAGCCGACGTAGTCGAAGGCGACACCTGCACGACGCCCATGTCTTCGTCCAGAGTGAGTTCATGAAAGTCGCCGAAATCCACGAGGATGGCATTATCTCGCACGCTGGCCACGGACCAGCTATGGCCGCCCGAGCGGACCGAGACGCGGCATTCCTTCTCGATGGCGATTTTGACCGCCTCGACGACGTGGGCGGCCTCGCGAGCTTTCACGATCGCGAGGGGGTATCGCTCTGGTCGCCGGAGGTTGAAAACTCGACCTACCCGCGCTTCTTCATAGGCCAAGGGGTCTGCATCGCCCTTCCAGATAATTGGGAGAGTGGACATTGGTGGTGCTGCGCTGTATTTCTTGGCTAGGGATACCGGCTGTCTTGAAGTCCAAACCAGCGAGAGATAAGATTTTTTCCGTCGCGTGAAGCTGCGCTCGAGAAGTATAGGACACGACCTCCTGCTCAAAATCTAGATATCCAGAAAGACCCTGAGTCAAGATAGGCCAAGACAAGCTGGAAGCTGGGAAAAAACATTGATTTTCCACGCGGTCCAAAGCTCTCGAGGCTTTTGGCTTCGTTGGCCAAGAATGGTGTTCAACCTCTAGGAGGGTGTCACGAATTCGAACACGAGGTTTAAGTTTCTCAGCTGAAGTTCGGATGCTTACTGCAGCTGCGGGTTCTTCCGTCTGCATCCCAAGTCTGCGACGACCGTAGCCGGGGACTAGATTTGGTAAATTGTTGGACAATCATAAGCTGGGATGGGCGGTGGTTAGGCTATCGACTGCGTAGTGCAGCCAGCGGCGGTCATTCCCTAGCAGCATAGCCAGGGCTAATTGTACAAGGCTCCACCACAGCCTCGTCCAACCCTTAAACTTCGCTACTTCACTACCCCCACTAGCAATATCCCATAACCGTCACTGGCATTTCAAATACTGCAACCTTGGAAAACCTGTCACCAAATCCCCCAAAGTCTAGGAAAGAGTATACTAAACTTGAAGGATTGCTTGCCGAGTTGGATCTCCGATGCGGGAGTCTCCCACAAGTCGAGGGTGCGTACTCGGCTTTAAGGTGTAGAAACATCCTCGCAAGAGGGTTTTCTATCCCTCCTGTCATGTCCACGATCTCTCTCTAGTGAGGGGGCGGGTATGGCAGGAGGGTTAGCTTTTTTCATCTTTCCCAGTGTATCGACTTTTGCTGGTAATCAAGTTGTGCGCTGTTGATTTTTTGGACAGTTTGAAGTGAACCTAAGAAGGCTGTGATATCTTGTGATAAATAGCGCCCGATGCGAACTCAAACAAGTGCGAGATAGGTCATAAAAAGCAATGACGCCTATTACTTATATACGTGGCGTCCCCACCTCACGATCACTGTAATCCTATCTAGTACCGTAATCAAACCTCCTGTGCCAACAGTTTCAATCCGACGCTTTGTTTTTGTCATCCTCACCAAGAAAACGACTCCACCACCAGCTTGACACGCTTTCTCCGTGCAAGCATACTGACAATCTGGCGCGTTTCGTCCACCATGCTGGCCGGCCCAGACACGACAACAGCGAAGTCGCCACCCTGGCCCTCAAGAATGGAAGCAAGATCCAGTCTGCGGCCGACCGCAATTTCCATCTCATATAAGTGAGTCAGAGGTTGCATCGATGTGGCAAGAGCCTGGCTACGCGTGCCCCAGTAGAGATACCTGCTGCCACAATGGGCGCGGAGATATGGGAGGCAGGCGGTGATTCCTACCCCTCCTGCGATGCAGATCAAGGTGGGATATTCGGAAAGATCTTCGTGATGGCCGTACGAGCCTTCCACTAGTAGTTGGATATGACACCTCGCTCGGAGTGCTTTCGTGGCGCCGTTGAGTGTACGCATGTAGAATACCATGCCGGGCTCTGCTACTTCTGCGGGTTGAGAAGTTACGGTCGGCTCCATCTTGTTGTTGAGAGATTCGGTCTGCAACCCTTCAGGCGGGGTATCGCTACCCATGGACTCTGACTTTGTGTTTTGAATTATGGTGCTAGCAACACTGAACGGATGGCTTTCCCAGAAGCGTGAATTGAGGAAATAAAGGTAGACATGGCCGGTGGCGACAGTTGCCTTAATATCAAGTCTGATATAGTCTTTGTCGATGACAGTGATTGTTGCCGTGCAGATGCCGTGTCGAAGAAGTCGGAGCAGACGTACAAGCCTATCGAATCCCCATATAGCGAAGACAATATAAAGCCAAGTCTCATAGCCGGACTGATGCATATACTTGAAGTAAATATGGTACCACGACCCGAGGAAGATCAGGATCGAAAGGACGATATGAGTAGCAAGGAACAACTCATAGCGATTTAGACGTACGACTGGGATAGAGAGCGGCAAAAGCAAAAACGCAGTAATCGTTCCAATACAACCCCACCACCAGTAGGGAAGATTTTGATCTTTCGCAAGCTTATTCGTGACGATCCAGTCTCGTAAGAAAATCAGCGAATGTAGAATGGCTTCCAGGATCGCGAGTCGGCCTACCCAGTGATGCAAAAGAATGAACGTCGAATATTGCCAATCAGTAACCCATAGCAGAACATTGTTCCGCGAGGAGAACAGAACTAAAACGCCGAAGTTCACAAATGACAGTATTCCGAGACGATTGGATAAATTTCCCATGATCTGGTCTGGTCCGCTGCTATAGAAATAACCATATCCTTCTGGGTAGGCTTTGAATGTGAAGCATGATAAGAATAAATTGATGAGGATCAAGTATCCGATCAATCAGGCTTGACCCAACGTGGGAGGTTGATCAAAGACTGCAACCACAAAAGAATTCCTCCATGAGCGATGTATTGAAGTGTAGATGATGCGGCCATTGAGTGTGCTTGCCCAACGCTTGGAGAATGGGGCGAAACGAAACAATGAGAGAACGATTGGAAGGCCGATGCTGGTGAGGAAGACCACGAGACCGAAATACTCATGTTGGTTCTCGACTTCATTGTATTTATCAATGGCGAGGAATCGCGCACTCCATATCGACTCATTAGGTAGACACGTGCCGTTCATATTTATGCCCTTCGCACAAGTATAGGACGGCTTTGAAGTAACCAACGCCAGTGCAGCGCCATATGAGAGGGATGGTGGAGGATCAGATTCAAAGTTACCGACAACATAGTTTTCCCACCACTTCTCAAGCTTCCAGATATGGATGTCGGTGCATTTCTCATGGATACACCACGCTTCAGACGTCAGAAAGTCTTCAGAAGCCGCCAAGCAAGCTGCGGATGGGGTGGTGGTGTAATTTTGCAGTGTATCTGAGGACTCCATCGGAGATCCTCCATGACTCATCCCAGCCGTCCCGGAGCCCTTGAAGGAAGCTGCATCGGTGCAGAAGATTGGATTCTTCCGGAATACACCTTGGCAAGCACTTGCACACGGTGGATCGTAAAGGTAGAAACTGAAGCCGACCAATCCATATCGCGGTCGACCTGCTTGCCACGCATCGGTAGATCCGACAAGTGAGAGTATTGCGAGGTTCAAAAGATGCATCGAAATCCACTTTCTTGAAAAACCAAGGTCAAGATCGGGTAAAGGTCTCTCAGGTGTGCATTGACAAGGTTTGACCAGAACATTTAGCAACTCTGCATTATATCAGTCGGTCGGTTTTTGAACATGATGGTGGATATGAGTGAAGAATTAAGTTTATTTGAAGACATCGCTAGGCTTTTGTGGGGAGGCGTTTACTCCCCCATAGCGATGGAAAATGTATTGGGTGTTTGCTTCATCCGAGTGCAGAATGACTTTTGAGAAACACCCTGATGCGCATTTTTAACACTAGCACGATGGTTTCGCCAAAGTCTTCAGGACTAATAAGCAGGCCGGTATCCTCATTTGATAGATAATCGGTTTCTGACTGGTTCACTTGAAGGCCACAACTTTTCCTGGGATACCCAAGTCGCTGATCCAGAAATGGTAGACGAAGATTCTGGCGGGAAGGGTAGCTCAGGCGTGACAAACTTGCTCAATCCGCAAACGAGCACATTTGATCGATATTGTTGTTACCCGAAAGGGTAAGCTCGAATGCATTCTGCTTGGCCTAGTCTGACATCACGGTTGACCCTGGATTTGAGAGTGCCAATCGTAAGCTTGCGATTCAGAATGCCTCGGCCGATACAGACAAGCAAAGCAGGGGTATGGCGAGAAGCTTACATCTCAGGCTGTTGAACATGAGTCAACAACGAGTCTCGCAAAGTCTCAGAAGGGTATTTGGAATGAGTATTCATGAATGAGAGTGTTTGATCGTTGTTCAAGAGAACCTTATGAGTCGACACAAATGGATGAATAGAAAAGCGATGCTTAGCTACTAGCCAACGCTTGGTATATGTTGTCGGCCTTGTCAGGATCCCAGATTCTGAATATATGGCACTGCCAACTAAACTGAGGTGCGAAAATGTATGGCCATCGCCGTACATTAGTGCAGATGCTTTGGCTTTCCAAATGGCGGTATGGCTCAACACAACATGGTTGGCTCGACCTTATGAAGGTAGCTTCGCTGGGTAGAGTGACAGATAGTCATGTCAACTTTACCTCCTGGTCCTTGCGTGGCCCGCTCGAAATCGGTGGAGTTGCTAACAGAACGGTAGGCACACTGATCGTGGTTGAAAGCCCAGTTATTGCCAACAAGGCGGCCATAACATGGCGAGAAATCATTTGTATACACATCTGAATGGGCATTATCGAGCTTTCGTAACCCTTTCTTGGTGCATATCACGCCTCCTCCACCTCAGCTGGAAAATAGCTGCGACTTATAGTAATACAAGATTATGTTTCATAGATGGTATCGCAGATTTTATCGCAGAGACGGTAAGTCGACACAAGTCGTAGGGTTAGCGAGTTCTGGAGCACTGATTTTCAAGAGTGACAGCGCCGAGGGTGTGAGCTAAGGCTTGTCCATAGTGTTGGATGACGTGCCACAATTTGCGTTTGGTGAAAGGGAATTGATGGGAGTTGATGCCTAGATTCGATCAGATCTCGATACCTCATCTATGCCAAGGAGATCATATCGATGGCCCACCGGCAGCACCGATGATTTTCAAACTCGATTTTCCTTGTCGAGTCTCCTCAACTTGCGTGTACGCGAGCCAATAGCGGTTGGGATGCCATGCCACAGCTGGGATGCCACTTGTTCCTGTAGGAATTGTGTGTACCACATCACCAGTCTCAGCATGGTAGATCTCAAAGCCAGAACCGAGACCTTCCCCACCACCCGTGCCCATCTCTTCACTGGCGCCTAACAGGTATCGACCATCCCATGACCAGCTAAGGCCTTTGATCGCGCCAGAGCTTGCATTTGACAAAGTCCGCCGGCAGACCCAGTCGGTTGTATCCCACAATGATATCATGGCATCTGAACCGCCCACTGCGACGTACTTTCCATTCGGACAATATGCGATGGACGTACACGAAGAGGTATGCGCGGCTAGGCCATGTAGCGGGGCAAATGTTGGATAGTCGAGGATTTTTACGGAGCCGTCGCCTTGAGTGATGAGGAGTTCGGAGGGAGGGTAGGTGTTTGAGAAGGTTGTCTGATTTGTCTGTTGCGGTTGTTTATAGCGAGACAGTATCTCCGGTGAGGCGGGAATACTTGTCGAGACTGGAATGAGCACATCGCCCTAAATGCATCGTCAGACTTGTCTCTGATACTTGTCCATGGTCTATACCTTTGTTCCAACCATGAGAACACTTCCATCGACGCTCCACGTCATGGTGAAAGGTTCTCCACCGACTTCTAGTTTTGTGATGCAGGTCTTGCTCCTAGTATCCCAGAAGCGCACTGTGCCGTCGGAGGAGCAGCTTGCAAGCTCGAACTCGCGGACCGGGTTGAACAGTACTTTCTCAACTGCATGTCCGTGTCCTCGCAGCTCGGTCTGACTTCGTGGACTCGTGCGTTCGGGGTTCCATACTCGAACAGTCTTATCATTCGCGCCTGTGGCTATCAGACCCCCAGATGCATTCCAGGAAATTGTACGATGACTGGAAGGATCGATCAGCCGAGGACTCGTGCAGAGTAGAGCATGCAAGGCTGCTTTGCGGTAAGTACGTACATAGTCGGCGTGACGGTTCTCGCGGCAGGGTCGGTGTATTGTTGAGTTTTAAGGAGACTGAACTGCGTCCCGAACTTATCTCGACCGATGTGCTTGCTTTGACTGATGGGGGCCATGGAATCAGATGAGATGGAATGTCGTCCAAGCCTCCAAGTATCGTGACAGCCGAAGGATCTGGGGGACTTCACATCGAATATCAGAACTCCAGATGGATTTGGCAACGATTGAATCTTGAGCCTAATCCGATAGCGTATCATGCCATTTTAAACACAATCTTGGCATCTCTATCTTTGGCCAGGACGTGCTGCCGCTTTTTCCATTACCATCCCTTCGATCAACAAAAACTGGATCAGAAAGACACCTACCTCCTGGATTGTGAGTTCAACATCAAATATATCATTACCAGTTCTAGGTTGAGACATGGAGTACATCGTTGACGAAGTTACCGGTATGGTAGCAGAGCCTTTGCTTCCTGGTCACACCTAGGCTGTACGACCCTCCTAGACCACCTTCGTCTCGCCCAAGTCTTTCCCATCATCTTCTGCGATCAACCTAAAAACACTTCTACATTCTTTATCAGCACATTTTGGGTGCTCGACTGCTCGTGCATATATATCTTTGACCACATTGCCCATGACATGTTTCGCGCCTAAGCCATCCATCAATTCCACCGCCATATCAATCACACCCTTCGCCAGCTCTGTCTTGAAGCCACCTTCGAAATCTTTCGAGGCCGAGGAATTCGATTGTACCCCTTTAATCGGGTTCATGTTCAACGAATTCCAGCTCATCCCACTACTGACGTTTATGGCGTCTTCGCGTCATTAGCTAGGATGGTTCACGCTTTAGGTCGACGCACTGAAACTCACCAGCCAACACTTTCGGATCCAACCCATATTTGACGCCAGTATTCATTCCTGTTTGGGCTTCATCAATATCAAGACCGGAACCACATTCAGAGAAAGATCACAAACCTTCGCAAAGACCTATAAAGGCGACATTTGCACAGTAATTGTTGATTTGCTTAGTTACCAGTCCTGCACCGGCTCGTCCGCAGAACAATAGGTTCTCTTCTTTGCCCATTGATACCAAAACGGGTTTTGCTTTTTGAAATAGTGCTTCACTTCCGCCTACCATAAATGTGAGGCTCCCTTGATGCGCTGATGGAATACCTCCGGATACTGGGCAGTCGATAAAATCCCCCAGGCCGGACTTTTCGACCTCTTTCAGAACCTCGTTCGAGATCCGCACTTCTATGGTGGAGGTCTCAAGGAAGAACTTTCGTGACGATGACGAAGTGCGGACCGACAAGAGACCGATAGATGGATCTGTGAAGACATGGCTCACGGCTGCGCCATGTGGTAAGCTTGTCACAATGATGCTCTACCCATCCGTCATCAGGGAGGCCTGTCAAGCCGCTTTTTGGCATATTTAAGACTTACACTCCTTTCAGCCACTTCTCGAGGAGTATCCGCAACCTCAATCAAACCTTCAACTGATGATAAAAACTCTTTTGTTCTCTTCTTATCTAGCTCGCACACTATCAAAAGGGCCTGCCTAGGCATCTTTGCTCTTAGATTTTTCGCCATTCCCGAGCCCATATTCCCAAGACCAATGAAGCCATAGGTAACGTTCGGCATGAAGTTGCCATCGGTATGGCTGAGCGTCCTATCAGACATTCTGCTTTAGCTCCTTTCGCGAGTATAGATATGTACTCCTTGACAACGATACAATTTGTTCCACTAACACCCACTTGCTTGCTATGGCCGCAACAAACTGATGGGTAGACTCCGCTGAGATGACTTGATGACACCCCTGCCTTGCAACTTTGGTGTTTTGGAGCGTGAGGGAGGGTTACCGTGATCGTTCTCAAGGTTGATAGAGGGGTTTTGTACTATCAAAAGCTCGCAATGACGATGGGCGGCTCCTCCTAGTACAGCACGCTGATAGATCACCACAGTATTCTCCGCATCAACAACTGAATCCCCTCATCCTCAGCCTTAGACCAAGAGGCAATATTCATTGGTCCGAATGGCTTTTAGTGTAAATCTCCAACTGTGTGCGATTACTGTCCTGATGCTTAGCCATCATTTTGGGGATGAAGACGAGACAAAGCAATTTTCTACCCTAACTAATGTAGACCGTTCGGCTAAGTCGGCAGAATGTGGGTTGGGGAAGTGTACGTCGAGTAATGGGGGCTTGATCATTACACTCAAAGGGGTGGACAACTGATCAGAATGGAAGAACTCTTGCAGAAATGATACACCAGGTTCAGTGAAGGATTCAGGCCATCATCCACCAACCATGCCGCAAGGCAGACACCTCTTATCCCCAATACACAGATCTCCTACTCGCCTTTTGAAGACATCGAAGCCGCACATCCGAGACCAGCTTACACGTAATCGTTGAGAATTTCGCTCACTTCGTCTCAATGGCAACCCGATTTATACAATCAACATCGCTACACCGGGCAACAGCATCACTACAAACAAGGCAAAGCTAGATGACCCCGACAAGCTCACGCTAGAACTGGCACCGTTGCCTGAAGCAGCACTGGGAGTCGAGCTTGCTGTCGCGGCTGTCTGCGTCGCACTCTTGGTTGCGGAAGCACCTCCAGAACCTGTCATGCTTGCAGTCGCTCCCGATCCTGTTGCCGTCGCCGTCGCTGCACTGTCAGTAGCAGCTGCAGCTCCACCACATTGAGAAGCCTTCACGACATTGAGTTAGTTGCGATCTAAAAGATGATCAAACCAAACTTACCGTCAGGTAGTCAGTCCATTTGTTTCCTCCTGTAGTGCACACGTTTGCGGGGTCGGGCTCATTCAACTGTCCAGGACCCCAACCGTTCTGACAGCAGAAAGGTAGCTCCGGCGGTACCTAGAAATACTGATTTAGTCGGCTGGCAATCAAGGCTGAATTCTCAACCCACGTTTGTGCCGTTGATATCCCAATAAGTCCAGTCTGAGTCCGCACATCTCGGGCATGCCAGCACTTCGGCTCGGCAGTCCGTGCCTGTAGGGCAACAGATCAAGCTCGTAAATGTGTTCGCGTCCGTGTTCAGCGAGTAACCATCTGGACAACAGAATTTGTCGAACGTGGTGGGGTTGGAGCCAGGTGCGCATTTATAGCTGGTCCCGTCCCAGTTTGCATTCAGTGCTAGTCCAGGTCGCGCTGAACGCTTCGTGAGAGAACCTGCCAATGGATTCGGGTTACACGTCACCAAGGCAGTCGACAAAAAGAGAAGAAATGACAAAGCTGTGATCGACATAGTGAGGCTATTTCCCAAATTTGGTTTCAATGAGAGGGATAAGATTTGAAGACCACTTCAGTTCTGGGGCGATCAGACCTACCCTTTTATAGGACCCCAGGCAGGATACTAAGTATAACATCATATATGCTCTTGGTTCACCTGTCTTGAGACCTTGAGTTTCTAGCTGAGATGTCGATGGAGTCCATCTCGTATTCACTATGGACTGCTCTGCGGTGACTGTAATAGAGCAATCATTACTATCGCATAAAGGCAGATTTGGCCTCCACAGAATACGAGGTCGAGGCGAACACTGTTGACATGAGGAGCTCAACGTAGACCTCTGACCTATCAACAGTGGTCCATATCGATTCCTAGTCCGGGCCAAAGTCAATCTACCACGATGGCACTGGCCGTAACTCGAATATAGTAAGTGCTCAGGAGATTTTCAATCACGCCTCAGCACTTGAACGAAGGTTTTAGACTGATTTTCGCCTTTCGATATTCATATATTCTGCGAAATCTGCCTTGCGCTGGATAGTAGCTTTCAATTGCAAGACAATCGTGAGGGTGTTCAAAGTCTTGTTTCATACAAAACACGAGGTATTAGTACCTAGATTGATGGTGAACCAGACTTAACCTTTGCTGAGACAACCTTTAGGTCACGAATACGAGGCTACCCGCCACGTTAACACCTAAATGGTAACTGCAGCATCCTCTCATCACGAAGCCCTCCCGCACAGCCCCAGTTAAGTACAGCCCCGCAACCGCCGAATCTGTTGATTGACGGGCCACGAGCGTAGCCGAGGACTTTTGCGCATCGACAACTTCCATTTTTGATGATTGCATTTCTGATGGCTGATGGAAGAAATGGTCAAATTGGAGGATGGCAATTTTGACGATCTTTTGGAGCACGGTGCTGACCAATCCTCGCTTCCATTTAACCCCGATATCTCCCCCGCATGAGTGTGCTATGAACGGTCGGGCGGTTGCACCCTGTGAGACTTTTGCTAGAACCGGGTTTGTCGAGTCAAACTAGACTGCTGTACTTGAGACCCTGTAGATGCAGTGATACGGGCTCAACCGCAGAGCCCTTGCAATGGGAATTAAAGGCTGTTGGACTTGCAGAGGTGAATAAATCAATGGGTGGGCAAGGCGTCCCACGAAAATCCTTGGGCTAATTCTCCTTAGAACGCAAAGTTCGATGTGACTCTCAACGGCCGAGATGTGGTAATTGTACGAAATCTCGGCGAACGTGTGGAGGCTTTGGCGTTCAGTTATCATGGCCGCGTGAAGGCGACAGGAAAAGGGCATTAATCCCGGATGCGCACCATACGGTGGATGCTCTTCCATTCCATGTCAAGAAGTTCCTGAATTCATCTTCCTGGGACATATTACTTTCTCAGGAGTTAGCGGAGGGGAATATCTCCAGTGAGAACCTCGTGCGACACACTGTCATGCCGCTTATTGCTGATGCCGGTCACTTGTAGCTCGCTTCCTTCGGGCCCTGAAAGTTCCTCGCCCGACCTATCTATCAAACGCCGTTCTGAATAGAGAAGAGTCGGATCTGCTGGCCTTTTGTAGGTGTTGTTAGTCTCGAGAGTCGATCCCTCTACTGATCCAAAGATTCCAGTCAGCGAATCAAGATCCCTTACACTGGGACCGACCAACGAGCAGGGGTTATCACAATTTATCATGAGGGTTGCTTTTTCAGATCCATCGAATGCGACCAATCCAGTCCTCCAAGGTGTACTTGCCCTTGCGTCACTACACCTTCATGGCGGCTCGAAGAGCTTTCGTTACAAGCATCTCATCTTGTCGTCATTGAAGCAGTCAGTTGATTGGCTTGACGAGAAGACACTGCTCCAGAACCTGATAGCAACGATGCTTCTGTATCATTATGAAGTAACAATGACCCCTCCTGCATCGGCCCGTTATAGCCAGCTAACTTTCGCAGCTAGCACTAGAGTTAGACTCGAAAGGAAGTTGGCTAGTTTATATCTGCGCGGTGAAAAGAATTCTTGGGTCATCACCAGCGATTCACAAACTTGTTCAACAGGAATATTCAGTCTTCCTTGATTGGATTTACTACCATGAGGCCCTATCAGAATTCGCAGTCAGACATTGGCTTGTCCCTTATGAAGGCTGTGGTTTTCCTCCGCTCGCAAGATCACCGAGAGCCATCGACGGTGGCGAATCGAAGGTAGATCGAAGTAGTTTGCGCTGAGTTCGGCATTCACTAATACTATGTCAGATTGAGGACGACATCGGCTGTCCGACCGATGTCCTCCAGCTCGTCGTACATACTTGTCGAAGGGCTATAATTGCCAAAGCGCCCGGGATAGAAGCTGAATATCCTGAACTGGAACGAACCATTCTGCTGGAACAGAACATTACCAAGGTAGTCGGGGAATATGGCGCCGTACAATCGGAGGTGCTTTCGGAGCGAAATACCACAATATCCGATCTTCATCGACTTGCATGCTTAATATACGTCAATCGAGCAGTCCACGGGGTTTCAGGAAAAGAGTTTCAACACCGGAGACTCGTGAGAGAGGGGATAATGCTATTGACCAAGATGAGAACATGCCAGAACGCTTGGCCGCTGCTCATCATCGCCTGTGAAGCGGCCGACGATGACCAGCGCCTTGCCATCTTAGATGTATTTGAAAAAAGTCAACAGGATCGAAGAAGAAGATCAAGCCACATTCATTTTATTCAGCATATGGTTGAGTCTGTCTGGAACCAGCTTGACCTCAACACGGAGAGCCAAGTCGATTTTCTCACGATTTTCAATGCTGTTGTTCGGGGAGTTCCATTCATACCACCTTTTGCTTGAGATTCCCGACTTTCCATCACGGCAAATCCACTCAGGTCTGATATCAAAACCAGGTACTGGTGTCTCCGTGGTGTGTCAAGAACTTCCCACTATTCTCTGCCGTCAACTCTTTGATCAACTTGAGCTGAGAGCTAACGGATTCATCGACCTCAATCGGTCCACTGACATCGGGGTCGAGCTTATGAAACAGATCCAGCATAATTTTACGCACAGCGGGATCGCCTGTGACTGCTTTGGCTGTTCTCAAGTCAGCTATACTGTACCGACATAATCTGCAGGGAACATCAACTAACCAGCATCCGTGTTCACCCAGCCCGGACTCAATGAGATTGTCTTGATACCTTCATGGGCGAGTTCAGCTCCGAACTTGGTCATGACGATGTTCATGCCAGCCTTGGCAATGGAATAACCCATCACGAAAGAAAAGCCAGTAATGCGAGTAAACTCAAGGTCACCACTTTGGCTGGAGACAAATGCGATCTTCTTCTCTGTGCCATTCCGAATAAGATCGAGGAATGAGTTGATGACATAGATATTGCTGATGATGTTATTGTTGATCTGGGACCAGTCAGCCTTTGTTACAATTTACAACCGTTCAACCATTAAGAGGCTATACATTTTCGCCGATTTCCTTCTCCAGCGCTTCTTCCTTGCCGTGGCTTCATAATGTCAGTCAATCCAACCATAAAAAACAATGGTTCCATAGACTCACAAGGCACTTGGTGGCAGCGCACTAGTCTCGGGTCCAGCGGAGCCCGCATTGAGGATCAAGACATCGAGCGAACCACCAGTAGCTTTGGAAACTTCTGCGGCAGCTAATTTCAATTTCTCAGGGTCAGAAAGCTCGGTGACCACGATGTGGATGTTTTTTCGTTCTGTAGCAAGCTCTTTGAGAGGTCCCGCTGTTGCTAGACTTCGTATGATGGCGAAGACTTGGTTCTGTGAATCGGCGGACTAGGGCAACACAGTCAGTGGCATGGCCTTTGTGGGACTGTTTTTGGGATGCAATAGACTCACAAGATTCTGGACGAAGCCGAGCTGCATAAGGAATCTTGTTAGCATTTGGTAAGAGGTTATGGCTTGTCCAGGAGAACTTACGCCGATGCCTCGAGTCGCGCCGGTAACAGCCCAGGATACCATTTTTGATCTTTCTGATGCTCGATAACGGCAACGGAGCAGTATTGAATGTTGAAGGGCGTTCAGGCGGTATGGATCAAGTTGTTGGCTTAGCTTGTTTGTTTGTTGTGCTGTGATCCTCGACAGAAGGAGAGGCTGTCGTTCCCTCTTATATCCTTGATAGACGCTTTATGGTGCGCCATTTAATGAGAAACCTGGGCTCAATTGTGCTATAATCACTCGAAACTATTTCCGAAGTGATAGTCTGCATTACATGCTGGAAGTATTGGCTGGATGCTTCGATACTGGGTGGCAGAAGAGTTATGTAAAGTGAAGCAACTTTCTCCGAATCTCACGACAGCCGCGAGCTAGTGACATGGTCGGTCGCCTTGGTGCTTGATTAGATCCACACTGGTAATCAAACGAGCACAACCCTGAAGTGACGTAGGCTAAGTCTATCGGTAGGCCCCTCGGCCTTCGGCATTGAAACGTCATGCGATTAAGTTAGCTCTCAGCCTAAATGGTCTCTTTGAGCTGGGCATCGTGCTCGGCTGCTCGACATTCAACCATGGCAACATCTTCGTTCCGCTGTTCTGGAAATCCATGATATCAAACTCTATGAGAATAGAGAACAAGACGTAGAAGTTACTCGCATGACAGAGTGTCAAACATTGATATCATTGAAATTTGATGTGATCGAGAAAACAATGGTGTCCACGGATCTAGAGGAGCGCTTGACTAGTCCTCGACCTTACCCTCCTCAAACGGATATGGTGTTCTGTTGCGCCTGCGGCTCATTCAACCCTATCGAGTCTCCCAAGGTCCAAATCATCTCCAGGGTAAGATTGGTGAATTTCCACATGTCTCCAGAATCACCGTTCACCCTACGAAATGATGAATAATAGTATCCCCCTTCCATGAAATGTTCTGATAAATCATGCTCGCTCCTGCCATGTGTCGCAAAGCATGCGTATCGAGCGTGAGCGATATCGTCGGACTCGAAAACGATCGTGAAATTGGTGGCAATATGCTGTTATATGCAAATTAGCATCCTGTATGGCTATAGAAAGACGAAGACTGCTTACGAGCATACGCTTGAAGCGCGATTCTGCCATCATACCGAAATTCGCGAGCCCTAGTCTTCCATGATGGCTGCCAAATGGATATGTAACCACACAGTCATCAGTGAAGAGATTCGCCCAATCTTCTGCGACTTTCAAGTCCATCATCGTAGAGTCTAGAGTATACGCGTACGTGTTGCATAGGTCCTCTATCCGTTGTCTCTCATACATGTACTGGATCTTGTCTTGAGCAGTTCTCTGTATGATCAGTGGCGAGTAACCGTCAACTAAGTCATCACTGGGCTTGTGTGGTACTTTATCCTCTCGATTGGGATTGAAATATATCCTCTGAATCTCAAGAGGTTTGGGATAAGACAGAGGATGGTCTACCGAGGACAAAGCAGGAATCGAAACAGAACCCATGGCAAAAGAATCTGCAATGAAGGAAAGACGACACTGGTACTTAGAAACACGGCGACAGGCACTTTTTCACTTTAAAGAGCGGCTTATCCAGAGTTATGCTTACGGGGGCCTCACAAATTCGATGACAGAGAACAATCCCATCTACGAGCTCAAATATTTGTCTACATGACCCGAACACTCATCACTGTCCTAGGGAAAATGGTCTCCGCCACGCTAGTTAAGCAGCATGTTGATGCCACGCCTACCCAGGCTATCCTATTGGTCAACACTCCGCATAAGTGGCTGCTGGTGATGTGGGGTTGAACACTCAAGACTTCGGACCGTAGGGGGAAATGCTCTGACTACCATCCATCGCCCCAGATTTTCCAGTTAGGACTGTGGAGGAGGAACTCAAACATCACCGGCCGGAATAGTACTCGCCACACAAAACAACTTCTGACCCAACCCCAGGGTTTCAAGGCTGCAAGACTTTCAAAGATGATCTACGTAGCTTTCGCGCGATAGTGGGCACTAGGGCATCATGATACAGCAAAACAGTGGCTCCGTAATCTCGACTATAAAGGTATCCTGCTCTCACTGCCACAAGATAGGACTTCATCTGGAACCAAAATACCATCCACAGCCTTACCATCGAAATGTTAAACAGGAAGCAGCAGTTTTTCGGCCTCCAAGGCAACAGCCTCTCGTGGGCTATCACTATTTGCGCAGGTAGTGCATTCCTGCTTTTCGGTTATGACCAGGGAGTCCTGGGCTCCATTATATCTGGCACTGATTTTCTCGACGCTATTGGAATCGCGCCAGATGACCCCGACACTTTGTCGACCGTCGTTTCGATCTATGACATTGGGGTGAGTTTCTTGCAAGTTCTACACTCTAGATGTGTCCCAACCCGCGCTCCTGCTCTGGAAACTAACGAACCTAGAACATGGTCGGCTGTCTAGCTGCAGCAATCTGGGGAGGGAGATACGGCCGCAGGGCATGCATCGTACTTGGTTGTATCATCACAATCATTGGAGCAGCTCTTCAAGCCTCAAGCTATAGTGTTGCGCAGATGTAAGTCTTTCTCGCTGCCTCCATCTTGGCTGTATCTAACCGCCAACAACAACGTAGGATTGTTGCTCGTATTGTGACTGGCATTGGAAACGGTATTAATACTGCGATTGTTCCAACCTGGGTGGCTGAAACTGCCAAAAGCGAGCATCGAGGAAAGCTCATTGCTACTCAGCTGGCTACTGCGATCTTTGGCATCGTTGTAAGTGCTCACTAACAATCATGCGAATCCCGTTTGACCCTTGCATTTGTCTACTATTGCTAACAGTGAGTTATCAAGATCGCATACTGGGTGAACTATGGCTTCTTTCATGTGAGTTGCGAACCAGGGACAAGGCTGCCAAACGGCCCTTCGGTCTTCCTGCTGTTGCAGTTTGCGAATACGAATCTAATCCACCTCGCAGTTACACGGTCAAGTTGTTTGGCGATTCCCTATTGCCTTCCAGATTATCTTCGTGTTATTCACACTAGCCATGTTGCCGTTTTTACCAGAAAGTCCTCGCTTCTTATATCTCAAAGACCGTATCGAGGAAGGAAATGCAGTCCTGGCAGCTCTGAAGGCAGCGCCCGAGGACAGCCCCATTGTACAGGCCGAAGCGGCAGAGATCTTGGCTGCGATCCAAATGGAGAACTCCATGGGTAATGCCAGTCTCAAGGATATCTTCCTCAACCGGTCGGGAGACCAAATACTCAAAAGGCTGGGACTTGTCATCCTCATTCAGGTCTTGCAGGAAATGACAGGAGTAGGTGCTCCCGCCTCCAACCACAAGCTCTTACTAATATAATGAAGACACAAATTGTTGTTTATTACAGCTCGTCCATCTTCATTACCCTAGGCATCGAAAGTCGACTGGCGCTGATCCTTGGAGGTATCGTCTCGATTGTATTCTTCCTAGGGTCTATCTTTGGTGTTTTGCTTATTGACAGAATCGGCCGCAAAAAGTTATTGATCTCCGGTACCATTCCAATGTTCGTCCTCTACATTGTGTATATGATTATGGTAAAGGATGGGGGTAAGGTCCAACTGTGGGTCGCGTTTGGTGCAACGTGTGCAATCATGTTCGCATTTGGCTGGAGCTGGCTCTCAACGTATGTTCTACTGCTCTCTCTACGATGATTTTGCTTCGCGTACTGACAGTCGTTCTAGGGCTTGGGTGTATGGTCCAGAGCTCGTTCCAGTTCAGTACCGACATATTGGCGGCGCTCTCAATGGTATGACTAACTGTGTTCGATTTGCTTGATTTCTGATACTGAATTCTTCCCTACAAAGCTTTTGCAAACTGGACCTTTGCATTCGTTACGGGTAGGTGTTGACGAGAACAATCAGTCTCAAAAAGCTTCAAACTGACACGGCTCTAGTCAAGATTGCTCCAATTGGCATTGCCAACCTCGGATGGAAATTCTATATCATTTTCGTTGTCATGACTTTCATCCAACTACCAATCGGTATACTTCCATCATTTACCTTCGCTAGAGCTAAGCTAACTCGGATAGTGTGGCTGTGTTATCCTGAGACCAAAGGGCTGTCGCTGGAAGAGATTGATGGACTGTTTGTCAAAGATGTTGTAGCTGCCAATGTGCTTACCGATGCCAGTGAGAAGCGGCATCGACTCGAAATGAAGGACACAAGCTATGCCCACGAGGAAGAGTCCAGATCTGTTTGAGAAATTCGATCAGCATCTTACCAGTATGCGCACAGAACCAAGCACTTTATCATCTTGAAGAAAGTCGGTGATTGTGGTAAATCAATCGTATACTAGGTTGGATCGTTAAGTGTAGTTTCCCTACCAAGAGGGTTTTCTTAGACAGATGCTCGTAGATCTAGGCCCTTGCCCTTCCGGCCTCAGCCGTTGGAGTCACAAACTCGCTCCTCTATTTAAAGCTGCGGACTCCCCAAGATTACCTCTCACATAATATCCGTTCATCAATAACTTTTACCAATGTCCGGCAATACGCTCAATCCTAATCGCAAACGGCCGCAGGCCACTTCACCTGCCCCAACATCGATTAAGCTCTCGAAGAAAAGGATTAGATCTGAGCAGGCATGTAATCATTGTCGTGCACTGCGTAGAAAGGTATGGGTGTCCCATGCCTTCCCTCTCCTCGCGTTATCCTTGAGGTCCATCCTCTACTAGCAGCATGCGCGAAGAACGTTTTTAGGCACTCTGATTCGAGAATTTTCCGAATTCCTCACTCATACAATCCACTCCTATCCTCGAGATAAGGTTGACCCAATGCTATGCTAATTTCTTTGACCAAGTGCGATGCCCGCAGTCCATGTACAGCTTGTCATGATGAGAATCTTCAGTGTACGTACGAAGATGTGACACATCCATCAGAGCGATTGACTCTTGTCAAAGCCGTCAAGTGAGTTAAGACTTGCGTGCCGCTTTTGTGAACATGGTCGAGGTCGAGATTCAGCCAATGAGTCTCAATTCACTTACATATTCATACACTCTTCCGCTGATACAAATTGAAGGAGGATTGCAGCTCTCGAAGAGCGACTTCGACTTTACGAAGGCTCCAGCTCGATTAAAAACCATGGGAGCGCCGCCTTGCTTTACAGCACTGAAGTGTTAACCGGTGCTGCCAACAAGCCAGACGATGATATGGTCCGCGCGCTACGAGGTATTAATCATCTGAGAAACGTACCTCGGCACCCTGAGTTTTACGGAGGTTCATCTGCCAATTTCTTGATCGACACCGTCCAAATTACTGGTCCTGACAGTAATGAGAATGAACATGAGGGAGATATCTCTCGTGATATACATTCTCCAGAAAACAGAGCTCAATTATGGCTGAATACCGGATCGACTCTGTCTTTCGGAAAAGCCTCTGGAGCGCTATTGCCACCCGAGGCAGTTGCCAATGAGTATGTACATCGCTATTTCCAGACGGCCCATCGAATCTTCCCAATCCTCAATCGAAAGCTTCTCGTCGACTCCTGCGCAGACTACTGGAAGGGCCTCCCAACGGAGGGCAAAGGTTATGAATACTGGACAGCAGTCATGTATATGGTCATTGCACTGGGCCATCAGTACAGTCTGGTTGATCCGGATGTGGAGGTGCGCAAACGAGCAATGGCGGCCCCTCAGCACGGAGAAACCTGTTTTCAACTGGCTAGATCAACACTCAGCGACGTGCCCTTCATGGGTGGTGACATATCTGCTGTCAATAGTATGTTATTAGCATTTTTCTGGCTGAGCAACGAACACAGGTTTCATGAAGCCTACACTGTCCTGGGTGTGGCATCGCGGATAGGCTATGGCATAGGTCTACACAGAGACTTGAAGTTCGATCCCACGCTGACAGCGCAAACACCTCATATCATTGGATGGTGCACTTCCTTCTGGTGTTTGTTCACTTATGAAAGAGAGATGGTCGCCTTATTGGGACGGCCCTGTGCTGTTGAAGCATCAGAGGTCGATATCAAAGCATTCAACTTGGAAACATCTCCAGTCGAGCTCCAATACGTGGAACGGATGCGGCAATTCGCCTACGTGACTTGGGATGCCTACACCCATGTCTACTCTCTTTCATTCAAGCATGCCACTGTTGCTGAGCGAGGTACCGCTCTTCGACAGGCCGATAAGGCATTTGAGAGTTGGTTCCAGAGCTGGTTCCACGATTGTGCGTGGGCGAGAGAACCACATGGATTAATGGCCCAGCTTCGGTTTTTCCATACGAGATTATTGCTGTATCGAGTGTTTCTCAATCTGGTTGTGCAGAAGAGCAGAAGAAGAGAACCCATAACGGAAGACGTACAACACTTGGCAACCACTTGTATTCATATCGCGATCGAGCTTACCACTCTCACTGTGCAGTCGGTGCATGTGGGAGTCCGAACAAGTGGGACCTTGCAAGGAGCTATTTTTCATGCCATGGCATACCTCTGGAATTCTCTGGTAACTCTACTTTTGTACGCAAGCTCCCAGTCGGCACAACGCTTGCTCAGTCCAAAGCTCGTCAAACCGATCGACATTGTTCAAGAAATCAAAAATGCCATGGAAGTTTTTGAGTTCCACAAAGAAGCTGTTGCATTCGCTCGTACAGCACTACAGAAAGTGAAGGCATTCCTGGAAAAGATTGAACGCGCCGAGAGCAGCTCTCAAGTAGTAGAGCACGGTCAGTCCGGAATTCCTTCTTCGGCCTCACCGGTATCACTTCTGGATTGGAGTGCTGGGCCAGGCCTGGATTTTCCCGACTTTGACGCGCCATTCAATGATTTTCAAACATTCTTCAACGTTGATTTAGAATTCCCGCTATATGAAGACTACCTGGAACAGCCCGATTAAGCAATGCAACTTTTGTGAGGCTTGCGAACATGACCCAGGATAAAGTATATGCACGACCTGACATTTTCTCAGTGACTATCCCGCGCCAACCATGGTCGACAAGCTTCAAGCATTGCAAGATGACTCGATTTATCCGCACCAATTAACAGTTCCAGAGAACCGTCACCCAACGTCTCGAGAAAAGCCAATAAAGCGGTCCAGACAAAGTCTGCATAGCTGACAGTGTTTCCCTGAAAATACGGGCCAGCGGAATCCTTATTGAGCAGCTCCGTGACACGCTCGACAAGCGGTGCAGCTTTGCCATATGCCTGTGTTCCACCAAGCTCAGCCGACACTTCATCTAGCGTCCGGCCTCCGAACAAAGCCTTTCGAGTGCGCTGGAAGAACTCTTGACTTGCCTCGTCAAGAATTTTCTTTGCAACTTTGGGAGCGAAGTCCGGCATGATGGTCTTGATGGTCTTCTCTGTGAGCTCCAACACCTCCTCGAGGTAAGGATCGCACGCTAAGCCAAGCGGCTTTTGTGGATAGAGCTGTTCAAGGCGCTTCACAATCTTGAGCGAGTCCTTGATCCACTCGCCATCAGGCAGCTGTATTGTTGGACAGGTGTACGAGATAAATTTGTCGTCGTTGTTCGGCGGAAGGCTGCATCCAGTCAATGATATTCGGTCAGTCACTAGTTCCGCAGATCTGTCTTGACGAATGCACATGGACTTACTTACTGCGGTTTCATTAGAGGTTCGATGTCAGGGTACTCCACCCATACGGTGCGATAGTCAATTCCTTTGTAATTTAACACCATCCGAGCTATTGGAGGCTTTCGGTCAGCCATTTGATGCTATTTCTCGAGGAAGAGTCGGACCAGGGGTAAATTGCTCACTCTTCCACGGGTTGGGAGACCAGCATCTTCTTGGTGCTCTAGTCGGAATGTCATAGAGAATGATCTGCTGTGACATCTTGCGTGTTTTGTGAGGTCGAAACCAGCCAAATATCTAGATCTTAACTTGCGATGACTCGAGCTTTCAAGTATGGCCTTTCGCTTTGAAGCCCCTGGCGTTGATCGGAAGTGTGAAAATAATCGAGTAGTATGTACTTCCAGACCATCGCTGCGGAAGCATTCCCGTCGAGTGAGAACCAATATTGTTGGAGGACTTTACAGTATCCCTTCCAGCATACTTGACAAGCAGAAGGTCAATCTTGGACCTACAATTACAATGCTTGCGGCACAACTTCCTCTATCGCGCTAGCTTCGCGACCCAGATCATCCTACTGGCCAGTGTATGAGAACAAATCCCACATCATATTTCAGCCGAAACACCCACACAATGCGTACTCGTACTCATACGTGACTATGCCTGGCTGCAATGAGTCACATCTGACGAACGGCGAAATCGGCCCGGACTTTCCTATTGAATTACTTCGTTCACAAACTATCGACAAGTTTCATAGTCTGATCTCGAGTCCGTTGGGCCGAGTACGAGAGTTCCTCTGGGAGTGCATTGCAAAGCAGAGTCTAGAAGTTGGGTTTAATCGGGGTGGAGTGGATTATGAGTCCATGCTTTTGTCATCAGGGGTGAGAAGCAGACATTTCCTCTTGATCAGCACCCTCCGCACGGTACGGCTGATGCAAGAACATATCACCGCCCGTGGATGATCTTGTCCTGCCTTGGCTCAGGCAAGGTAGCTATAAACGCAATCTTATCCATGTGCTGGTGACTTTGGATATGAATCTATCCACTAGACGAACAAGGGCGTCAATCACAAATTTTGCAAAAGGCCCTCGTACAAGCACAACATACGTCAATTTTCTCGAGCTAGATTTGGGTGAGTGGCACTCATCCAAGGTAGGGAAAGGAAAGTAAACGAAATGGCGGATACCAACGGCTCACCAACGATGACACTGTACACTGCTGCAACTCCCAACGGGATCAAAGTCTCAATGGCGCTGGAAGTCCTCGGCTTGGTGAGTTGGCTCTCCTTTTCTCCAACGGATTTGTCGTGCGCCACTGTGTTGCATTCCGTTCTGCAAAAATCATCCCTTCCCTCTGTACGTTCTGTGAGGTATCCGTGATGTTATCTCTAGCCACTTCAGGGATCAGCGGGCATAACCTATCTGCCACAGTGATAACTCCTTGACCGGCTTGTTGACTCCTCTCTTTCTGCTGCTCTTCTCGTGACTTGGATGTTTCTACTCAATTCCGCGCAGACACACCACTGACAAACTCGGCCCAAGCCCTACAAAGTGCACCACCTAGATCTCTCCAGCCAAGCTCAAAAACAGCCTTGGTTCCTTGAGATCAATCCAAACGGCCGCATCCCTGCGCTTACGGACACACTACCAAACGGCTCGCCCATTCGGATATTCGAGTCTGGCTCAATCCTACTCTATCTCGCTGAGCGATACGACAAGGACCGAAGAATCTCATTTGAGGCAGGGACGCACGAGTATATTGAGATGGTGAGCTGGCTGTTCTGGCAAAACTCGGGCTTGGGGCCGATGCAAGGGCAGGCGAATCATTTCCGAAGATATGCGCCGCTAGAGGTGGCAGAGAAGCGAGAAGAGGTGTATAGTTATAGTCTTGGTCGATATCAGGCGGAAACGAAACGACTCTACGGCGTGCTTGAATCTCACCTCGGTAGAAAAGAGGCATCTCTATTCCTCGTCGGCGACAAAGTCACAATCGCAGATTTGTCGGTTCTGGGCTGGGTATTGTTCGCAGATTGGGCTGGCGTGGGTATTGATGAGTTCCCGCATGTTAAGGCGTGGGAGGAAAGGGTTTGTCGAATTCCTGGTGTGATTAGGGGCACGGAGGTGCCGAAGAAGACTCTGGATTTGAGACATATGGCGGCATCGGAGAAGGACGAGTATGCGAGAAATGCGGCAGCTTGGATCGTAGGGAATGGAGGCAAGGAAGAGGGAAGTTGAGCAATTCTGCTCGCACAAAAGTAGCTTTCTAGAGTAAAGGTAGTCATCGATCAGTGCTTAGTCGATTGTTCAAGGTTGAAGTATAATGTGGTTGGTAGACAACAAAGATCTTACCGCTGTTACAATATATTGAACCAAGGGATTCAACTGAGATTTAGCTGCGTATGAGTTCTTCTACAGTGGCTACCAAACATTGGATAGGGCGGCAACCCCGAGAATACAACTGCAACTCAACGATGTGACCACCACTACCCTTTTATCCACGAGGCTGACCTCCTTTTCCCCAATATCCTTACCCAGCTTTTAGTGGTGTTGCAAGTCTCCTTTATGTACCCACGTTCGGCGCGTCTCAATAGCAAGAGCCACTCATCATAATATGGTCTATCTCGCATCCACCAACGCCCTCAACTTCTCGAGCACCACTGGATCAACATCCAAAATCCCCTCCTCCCTCGTCCGCTCCCTCACGCGATTCGAGCGTTCAAACGGCATCCGCAACGCACTCATGCCATCGGCGCCCTCGGTGCCATGAAACGCCTCAATCAACACTTCTACCTGGGCCTTGAACTCGTCGATGGGCCGAAACCTAGCGGGATCGACCGCAATGACGAAGAACCCAAACTCCGCCAGATTCGGCGGAAGCGCCGGCGAGCCCGCGAGGACGCCGAGCAACTGCACCGCGACGGCGAGGCCGCTGCCCTTGGCGCCGCCCCAGATGGCGAGGGCGCCGTCGAGCGCGGCTGCAGGGTCGGTCGTGACGTTTCCGTCCGCGTCGATCGCCGTGTCTGGTGGGAGGGGGTCGCCGGTTCGCTGGGCGAGCAGGACCTGTGCGTGGATGATCTTCGAGGTGCCGATGTCATAGATGACGGGGACGCCGTGGGTGGGGATCCCGACGCAGAATGGGTTCGTGCCTAGGAGAGGTTTGTGCGTCCCATGTGGTGCGACCCACGGCGAGGTGTTGGATGCGATGATCGTGACGAGGTCGTGCGCCGCTGCCATCTCTGCATAGTACGATAGCATCCCCGTGTAGTAGGTGTTGTTGGCACCGATGGCTGCGACACCGGTGGCTTTGGCTTTCTCGATGGCGAGAGTGGTCGCGCGGTGTGCGACGAGGTAGCCGAGGGTGTCGTTACCGTCGATCTGCGCGGTCGTGGTTTCATCTTTCGTGACTATGCAGGTGTGTGCTGGTGGCTTGTCCGCAAGGCGCTCTGCGATACTGAGGATTCTTGCGAGCCCCGCAATTCCATAGCCGCGCAGCTCGCTGTCGATGAGGTGCTCGGATATGATCTCCGTGTCTTCCGCGTTATACCCGATGTGCTGTAGGGCGTCAACGGACAACTGCTGTGCTTCTGCGAGTGGGATCTTCATGGCTGAATACGACCACTGAGTGACGACTGATAGCTGGTATTTAATTCCGGTGTGGCTGCCACATATGGACTGCACAATGCGCTGTGGGCTTAGAAGAAGACAGAATAACCATCTGCGAGGCCTCCATTGAAAGTAGTCCCTATGTCACCGGGGTTTGCTTGCTCTTAAGAAGCTGTATCCCATCTTCCTTTTCGATCTTACTCCAAGCCCTTCTAAGCCATGTCCAGCCAGGGACGAGCATGGACGGGGTAAGAATTCTTGGAGAACTCCAAGATCCTCAATCCCACAGATGTAGCTCCAAGTTCCCCTCCCTTCAATAGGAAGCCAAGTCCCGCTGTGGTATGTCGCACACTCTGTAAAACTGCTGATCATGGCCGAGATTTGATGTAATGCGGGGAGTTGGAGCCGTTTATCTGAACCCGTGGGGCTTGAACGTCAGCCTCGGTATCGGCCATGCAACAGGATGACTATTGGTTCAAGGTTGGAGTGTGCATTGATCATCAGGTCACATTTGGTACTTAGTATGCCAGACAGAAGTACTAACTAAGTTTTGCGTAGCTGAAATGTAGCAGTGGATGAACCCTGTTACCCCGGACAGAGAATTATATTCAATCTGATAGCAACAACATCAATATTATTTTCTTGACTCCTTAATTATAACCGCTATTCCGCCAGCAAAATGCCCCTCCACATGCACGCCACCGCTAATTAGTTCGCTCGGATCATTTAGAGATTGCTTTTACCACAATATCAACCATACAGAAGTCCAGAAATTCAAAGGACTGACAAAAAAAGGGCTAGGAACAGGAGTCGAAAAAATGTAAGAGGCACCTTGGATAACTGACAGGCCCGCCATCCACCATGTGACATTCGCCGAATTCAAAGTTTCGGGATAGCTTTGCCAACGCCTTCGAGGGTAGATTCCTCAGTTGATCCGATTTGTGCGCCTGTGTTAGCGGCATCAGAAGTCAAGGTTCCATCAACAGAGTCGCCGTTCGAGGTGACTGCGTTTGCAGCGCCTGGCTGTCCAGCGGCATTGAGGATGGCGCCGGCGCCGTTGGCGATCTTATCAGCCTGGCGTCTGGACTTGTGTGGTGGAGGTGGTGGTGGAGGAGAAGAGGAGCCGGAGCCTGATGAGCCTGAGCTTGTGCCTGAGCTCGAGAGCAAGGCTGCAGTGTTATCTTCGGCATTCTCGATCCCGTAGCCGACTCCGTTGTCGGTCGAGGTCAAGATGGAGTCGGCTGCTGCACCTTCACCAGCTAGCTGACGAGCAGAGATGATATCTCCTGGCAATGGGGCTGCGAATGTGGGCTGGAGCGATGCCGCCACGAGCAACGCTGAGAGGAAAATCTTGGTAACAGAAGGAGCCATTGCTGATAATGGGTTGTAGAGAGAATATATGTGAGTGATGTACCACAATATTGAAGTCTGGCCAGGGGGCTCAGGTGAGATTAAGTGGAGTAGGAATGGAGTTCTGTTGCCTCGAAGTACTTTGACTGTTGCTGATGGAAGTGAAAAGAGATAATCCTTGGATGAGAGGCATGGTGGATTATATAGACTTTCACACAGTCCATAATCGTATTGAGAGAATAGGAGGTTTCGTGAGGCATTAGAAAGTGAGGTGTGTTGAGAACCAGCTCGCTATCAAAACATTGCCCTCGACGTCACGATGCATCGACCTTTCGTATTCTGCCGCCGAAAAGATTCCACTTGCATAGTGTAACGCATGTTGAACCGAAGTATTCAACTCCGTGGTCAGAAGTAGTTTCCATGTCCACAATAATTCAGGTCACCACAATAGCAATAGAAGCAGCCACCAATGTCAGTATGCATCTAATGACGGAGGAAGGCTGGATAGTTCTCGTAATGAAGGAACGGCATATCCGCCTCCAGTAACCAATGTTAACTCAGACCATGTACCATGGAGGAGACTGTTCTGTGGTACAGTCGTCCTATAGGCCCGTTTGGTATATGAAATGAAGAGCCACACATGTCACTCTGCATCAGGGGGAATGCAGTAAATGTCAAACTGGAGTCCAGCAGCATGGTGCGCCGGAGAAAGAAGGACCCCATTGTGAAGGTAACGTTTGAACACTGGCAGGAAGGTGGAGTTATTCATTGAGCCGCTGGTTTGACTTTACGATGGCATGTTGGCATTCCCCCGAGATAGGCGTGACACAAGCAGTCGGAGACGAGGTAGCAAAATTTGTAGAGCTTTACTTGCCTTTCAGCTGATCCCATCAGGGAGTGACGCTTGCTTGGCACAATGAATTGATAATTGGTCCTCGAGTTAGGACCCAATGAAGCCAAAGGGTCTTCCCTGGGGTGACAGGTAGTCATTGAATCAAGTCAAAGTTAGCGTTTGAAGGAAGGAGTGAGACACATTTGGAAACATTGAAGATTGGTTGAGTCGACGTCATCATTGAAATAACGCTTATTAAGAGATAGTGCGAACATTTCCGCAAAGCAACATTTCGAGCTCAAGAAGAACCCTTGGCTTTGGCTAAGCACTCGACAAGCGATATGTAATGCAAGATTGACGGCGTGGTGGGACTTGCTTGCAGAGCTTAAAGCCTTGAGAGTTCAGTGTCCAGGATCGACCCTGAATCTCGCGTGCTGATACGACCAATACTCCGGACAATGAAACGCAACTCGGTGTGTACTCGGAGGGCATGCCCCGGGAAGACACACATTGAGCTGAGGCGTCTTCAAGCTTTTCTCTGAAGAGGCTTAAAACAGCCATCAGAGCCCCTTGAGGGAAATGATCGTCAGCCACGAAGCTTAATCGAGTAGCTTGACTCTTTGGAACGAACCTCTCATGCAGGGATGACGTACGAACGCACCCCTCGTCGAAAGTGGTCCACGGAAACATTTGTTGCCATTTCAATGCGGTTGTCAGAAAGCTAAATTAGACTCAAGCGTTCCCATCTCTTGGTTCGCATGAGATGCATCTCAGAAGGATATGCGGCAAGGGTGGCAAAGATGAAGTCGAGGAAAGACATACCCTAGGTTCAATGGCGCGAGGCACGTAATCTGGAGTGAACCCTTCGTGATTGTTCACTATTTTCCTCTCAAAAGAGCTTTCGTCTGTTGAACTCAACACATCTCGTGGCATTCTTTGACTTTCACCAACGACCTTGAGGATCAAAACCTACTCCACAAGACCTGAAGGATGGGACGTCATTCTCAGCAACGGAACCAGCGGTACAAGGAACTCGAGGCGAGGATCGTTAGATTCGCGTCAGATCCGGGTCTTGAATACTGAGGATAGAGCTGGCGATCGGTTGACGGTGATTGATTGGTTTTCGTTCCCGTGGGTGAAGAGATGGAATGTAGGAGACCGCAACAGGCCACGGTAACCAAGCCATGGCTTTGGACTCTTCCCTTTCGGATCCGCTTGGTTGAATATCCTGACAAGTGCATGATTGAGAGTATGCTCAGAGTGGTAAATGGAAACTTGGAAGGGGCATGGAGTGGCGATGAAGATTGATTTCGGGATGCTGATAGCATCGGCATGAAAGGTACAGGAAGTCATTTTGGATCTGTGCCATGATGAAGTAGGGAATAGACGGCGAGCGGAAGAACACCTTTTCATAAAGGTTAGCTAACATGATCACTGGAGCATCTGTCGAACCGCAGACAGCAAGAGCAGTATGAGCTCCAACCGGTTCTCGTAGTATCTGGGGTAGTCACAGTACACTGGGGCACTCGCCTGGCTGTTGTGCACTGATACGCAACTGGTTCTTACCCGGGAGGAAAGCGAACTTGAAGTATATGGTATCTGCCAATGCCAAAAAGTGTATAGAACTGGGAGAACTTGAGGGTAGATCCACAATGATGACTCTAGATCGAGCATACTTTTCTTGAGCATTCAAACCTTACTCCTTCCCAAGCGGGAAAACTGAGTGTACATACGTATATGGAAGAAGAGATTCCGGGTATCGTAGACTTCGAGATATTGGAAAGAAAGGTCGTTGCAAAGTCATCAAATGCCCACTCTTTTGTCCGCTCCCAACCTTGAACCCGGGTCATGAACAATCCTCTGTGTGATTAGGTCAATAAGTAATTGATGGTGAGCTGGCTACTATTCGGCCCTCACTGAGGTTGCGGCGTCTGGCCAGGCCAGCCAAACATCCAGTCGTTATTGTCTGCCAACCCGTCCGCGGGCCATAGATCACTCATTGGGGTCATGCCTGTCGTAGCGCCAGGAGTCATTCCTGTACTGTTCATGTGCATGATTGGCTGCATTATATTATCGGTGGGCATTTGTTGCTGTTGTTGCCGGCCGGAGTTGCTATTGCCTGTGCCACCACTGTTGGCCATAGATACACTGGCCTGCCATGAAGCCGAGCCGGGGTATATATAGCCTAGGGGTGGGTCCTGACGAGCTTGTGCAGAGGGGTTATTGTTTGCATTACTGCTATTCGCTGAACCGCCGTTGATGGATTGATTCGGAGGGGATGTGTAAGAGGTGTGTGAAGACGAATTATGGAGTGAGGACGTGGATGGTGTTGGATGGTTAGATTGTGGCCGGGACCCCGTACTGTCGTGGTATGAGTTATCTCCTGGAGAACTCTGATTGCCTACGCCCGCCGCCGTGGAGAAATGGAATGGGTTTTCGAACCCTTCAGAGATCGTAGGTGCATTCGAACTAAAGGTCGCAGCCTCTGCATTTCCATAGAGACTGGGATAGTCACTCCCAGTGGAGGAGTTCTGCTTCATACCTGGTCGAAGTTCATGGGCTCGCGGAGATTGTTGATTGCCCGGAAAGAGACCCATTGCGGCTCCTTGTGATTCTCGGATTTCGAATATTGGAGAACATTTCACGGCGTCAGTGTTAGCGGGGATTTCACCCTGTCCGACTGTTAGTACTAATATTGGATTCATGGAAAACATTGCTGGCCATACCATCGGACGATGTCCAAATTTCCATCGAGAGTGACTAGTGGGGATATCCAATCCACTGCCCTCAAGATCAACATCGAGCTGTACCAAGAAAGATTCGGTCAAGGGGTTCTTGGCTGTCAGAACTTGCATTGCTGCGAGTAAGAAATGGAGTGATGATTTGACAGCAGCGTCCTCTTTTCTCGCTTTCAAATATTGCACAAATACACGAGCAGAGACGTATAAGCAGAACGCCAGGAACGGGTTCATCTGTGATGTTAAGAGATTAGCTGTATGCTTATCGGGGGAAAGGTAAGTGGGTTGATAGTGGCACGTACCACAGACATGTCTAGATGACTAATCATCTTCATGATATTTGTGACTTGATCGGCAGCGACAATGCATCTTCGTTTGGATTCAGCACTGATCTGTGCTGGTAGTCGATTTTTGTCGGCTTTGAATATTGCGGCTTGGTGCAAACAGATAGTCGCGGTATGAATATTCATGTTGAGGAAGATGGTATTCGGGTCATTGAGTCCAGTAGGTAAGCGGAGATTAGGTGGAATCGCCAGCGCAGTATTGAGGATGATATTATCAAGAGCACGATGGCGTTTCCAGAAAGGTCCATTGAGGTCGTGGTCATTATCTGTATCTGCTGGTCGATGTAGGTGTATGAGATTGCGACCGTAAATGGTTGCGATGAGAATTACGCCACCAAGGGATGAAAGAGAGGCGGCGCCTTCACCACTCATGATATCTGCAAGTTGCAGGGTTGGCTCAGGTTGACATCCTCTGAAGGCTTCTTCGCTAGCGGGTAGGTTTGTGAGTATCTGTGATTAAGTCAGCCATCATTCAATAAAGCGAATAGGTTTCGAAACAAACATACATCTTGCTCGTCGAATGTCATAGGCCAACCCGTGCCTATGCTGGCATATCGATCTTGACAATAAGCCATCCAAAAGGTCCGCCTTCTTTCTTCTCGATCTGTCCAATCTCGTGGAGGAGGAAGAGTCTGCTTCACATCCAGGCCGACTCGATCCTGTCGATGAAGACCCATCATCTGACAGAGCCTTGAGCCTCGACCCACACTCATCCAGGCTCGAGGAAAGTACATGACTTTGAATTCGTAGGTTGAAATCAAGGTCCAGGCCTGTGCGTGCGCGACAGTGATGATGCTCTCGCCGTGACCTCTCATCTCGTCCGACTCGGCGTATTTCCGAGCTCTGGCGTAGAAATGCTCTGTGTATGCCGAGTACTTGGGACTCACAACGCAGGCATGCGTCCACATGGCATATCTCAGCGACACGGCAGGTCGCATATGAGGAGCGAGATCCATGCTTGCTAAGAATCGAGCTTTGTGAATCATGGGCATGGAAGGATGAATCTGGTTGAAATATATCTCGTTCCTGGACATGGTCAGATATCATCGGGATGGCTAAGAGGGAGATGGAAACTTACAATTCGTCGATGGTTTCTCGTGGAGGAAGTGCTTCTTCCAGTCCAAGTCCTATCATCTCCCAGGAGAACTCGTCTCCGGTATCCATTGTAAAATCAGGTATGCCATCCAGACCAGCAGCGCTAAATTCCGGGTCACGAGCTGGCTGGCCCATGGCAATGTCATCGAGATTCATGGCGGACGCAGGATTACCTGGGTCGTTTGAGTTGGAGGGTCGTGCAGTAGTATTCTGTGTGGTATCATTGCTTCCATCTCTCGTTTCGAGTAGATTTTCCACCTGCTTGAGGCGGGCTTCGAGCAACTTGACATAACCTCGTTTGGGACCGCTCTTCTTGCGCTCTTCGGAATATTCACAATTGTGGTTCAGCCGATAGCATGTGCCGCAACTCGGCTTGTTTCCATCGCATCTCAACTTCCTCTTTCTGCATAGAATGCATGCGATTCTTTTTGGGCGGGGGATCGCATCGTGCGCCGCTCCGCCGTTGTAGGTCGTCTCGCCGTCATCAGCTCTTCCTTCAACCCCGGGTGTGTCGTTGCTGGACGTCATACTGCTGCTGGTGACATGAATTTTACCGTCCTCGACCGTTGAAATGGTGTTGGGTTTATTTTGGAGAATTTTGGGCTCGGTTACAGGTCGCGGTGAAGCGGTTTACATGGGGGATTTGCAATTGGAGTGGAAAGCTGGAGTTCATGCGCCTGAAGAGTGGCACCGATATGGGATGCCTAACACGCACGGACGGGCGCCGCAGATCTGGGCAGGATCATTTAGGTAGAGAGGGTACTGGACAGGTAGGGTGATGTTATTATTGACCATAAGTTGACAGACAATCAACCTTGTGCCATCAGTAGTAGTGTGCACTCCAAGATCTAGAAGATGTAATTGATCTCACCAACTCGGATGCTATGAGCCAGGCAGAAAGACGAGCGCGCAATTGCTGGACGGGCCATGACCCCTACTAGCTCAGGCTGTTGATTAACGAGAGAGGCTCCCGCTTCCAGGCCCTTCGGCCGACGTTCTTGGTGAACTGCAATGCAGGGCTCATTACGAGAGTCTCAACCTGCCGCTTAGTAAACATCTCCCGGCAGCTCATTTACTCCGTATCTGAAAGCCACATTTTGCTGGCGTCGAAGGCCGCATGATTGGCAGTAGGATACGAGTATACGACACGGACGAAGGACGGCCGACTGTGAGTCGTACTTTATAAAGTCCAGCAGTTTGTGGACAGATATCACCTTCCAGGTACCTAAATATGCCCAACGATCTCAGTCTGGCGGGAAGACGTCATGATTGTGTTCTTCATTTCAAAAGAATATCGCTTTCTGTTCTTCTATGCCTTCCTCATCTAAGTAAGTGCTTGCATACATGCCACGGCTTATTTTACGCGTCACGACGCGTCAGTTTTCTCGTCCAACAAACCCCGATTTCATCACAATCAATGGCTGGGGCTGTCACCTCCATCGCCCTCTTCGTTGAAGAAGACCTTGATGGGTAACCACGCATCACCGCAGACCTTGAATCGATCTTTGATGTTGCTCAGTGTCTCCATCTCTTCGGAGGTCAATTCGAAATCATCCAGTTGGAAGTTGGCTTCGATGCGGGACTTTGTGACCGACTTGGGGATGACGGATGTTCCACGTTGAAGGCCCCAAGCCAGGAGCACCTGTTGAGGAGTCTTGCCCTTCGCCTCCGCAATCTTGCCCAAGGTCTTGTCCTTGGCCAGTGGTGAGTCTGTTGATCCCAGGCAGGAGTATGCTGTAACGTGAATTCCCTTCTCTTTGCAGTAGGCTATCGTCTTTGGTGAGGGCATGTTAGGGTGAAGCTCGATTTGATTGACTGCCGGGGTGATGGTGGTGGAGGGAGCACTGAGAAGCTTCTCGAGGTTTGAGATGACAAAGTTGGAAACACCGATGTTGCGGACCTTGCCTGTACCAACGAGTTTTTGCATCTCACGCCTATTTTGAGAGGGTCAGCTTGTCGGACACAGCAGATTTGTCCTTCAGTGGCTCTCACCATGTGTCAATGAAGTTCCAGTCATCATAATGCTTCTTCAAATCCTCGGGGACCGAAGAGCTGGGCCAGTGCATGAGATAGAGATCGACATAATCGGTGTCGAGAGACTTCAAAGAGGAAGCGATTCCCTCTTCAACGCGCTTGTGCCATGGGTTGTCCAGTTTGGTGGTAATCCAGATTTCACTTCGAGGGACGCCGGAATCTTTAATTCCTTGTCCGACCTCTGCTTCGTTGCCATAAGCAAGAGCACTGAAGGATATGCCTGTTAGTCCCGTACATGGTCGAAAATGAATGGCAAATTCCGAGTCCTTACGTGTCAATGTGTCGGTAGCCAGCCAAAAGGGCATCCTTGACGGCAACGCGAACCTGGTTGGGCTCGGATTGCCATGTTCCCAGACCAATACCGGGGATTTTGTCGCCGGTGTTCAAGGTGAACACGGTCCTAGAGAGCAAGAAGATCAGTTCTGTCATAGTGACCGGACGAAGAGGGTTATTCCTACTTGGTGCCTTTTCCAGACTGTGAGGTCGACATGGTGCGGATTGGATTAGAAGGAGAAGATGCAAGTCTGAGGTTTCTGGTCAACAACCGAGATTGCAATGATAGTCTCGCAAGGGCAGTCTGAGAAGTCGAGATGCGTGAGTAGGACATGCGACAGAATTTAAAGAGAGGGCGCTCGAGACCGAAAAAAAGTGCAGAGGGGCATTCAGATAAATAGACTTGGTCATCGGTTTCGAGTAATATCCCGGTGATGGTGTACGAGTAGGAAGAATCCCAAGCCAACGTGGTGGGGCATCATCTCCAATGCAACGGCAAACGACGCAATGGACGAGGGGCAGTTTTGGATCTTTTCTGTGGATCGGACCCCTAACGTGGACTTCATATTGGCTCTTGATGGTGGAAAGCCAAACCCCAGTATCTGAATCCAGCCGTCAATTAGCCTGAATATGCGGTTGACTGATGAATGATTCCGAGTAAAGTGCGGACTGAACGGATAAGAGTTCTACGACGACTTCCAAGTATTTAGCTGATGGAGTTGTACCCATTCCAAGCGCGGCCATCAGAGGGCGACACCTAGTTAGTGCTTGAATACGAGTAGAAATACTTCGTATCGGTCTGGTGACTCTTTGGTTTGGACACGGCTCTTGGAGGGACTCTCTATGAGGTCACTGTATCGGAATAGCATGGCTAATATGACAATCCGATAGTTTAATGTGGACATGGACTGCACATCCGGGTTATTATTGAACTCTGCAAGACATGAAAGCCAGAGGTGCCAGAGCTAGAGGTAGGTACGAGTAAGGGACAATGCATGTGGCTCGCCTCTTTTGACACCTGGATCCACTGATCTGAACAATACTGAGTGAGGCGAGGCTTCCCTCCAGGCTTCTGGAACACCCGCTGTACGGTCCCCTCGGGCTGCCCACCGCGCCCCGAATCACCGGAAACTGTGCCTTACCACCCCTCACCAGGCGACACGTGCTCCGGCGACTCTTGATTGCTCAATTCTTTTAGGGGGCCCGGGCCCCTGGAGTCCCCAGATTATTGTCTCCAATCAAGTCAGTATTTGATCACTGTTTCACGTTATTAGATTTCCGACCCGGTGGCCACTGGAGTTTTTCTCTGAGCAGAGGGACTAAAAGACTAAAATAAAACAACATGTCGCGTTTTGTGTCAGCTGGTACTGATGCCGACTCCAGGCCTCAGCTGACAGATGATGCTTGGGCGCAAGCTCGCCAGGAGGTTGAAGCTAAACAACAAATCAAGTCTGCCAACCAAAACAGAGAAAGTGGAAAGAGTCTCTACGAAGTCTTGGAACAGAATAAAGGTAGGCACGAATAGTCGACAAAAAGGAACATGATGGTCGACTGACGGTGGGAACCACAGCCGCCAAGCAAGAAGCCTTTGAGGAAGCCGCCCGTCTGAAGAATCAATTCCGGGCACTTGACGATGATGAAGTAGACTTTCTCGACTCGGTACTCGAGTCTACCAGAGCCAGAGAAAATGCAGTCAAGGAAGAAACCGCTGAACAGCTGGATGCGTTTCGCAAACAACGCCTGCAGGCTGAACAGTCACTGATTGACGCAGACGCCCAGCATAACGAGAACTCGGGCAATGCGGCCAGTTCTGATGCCTGGGTGATCAAGAAGAAGAAGCGACGTAGAGATCAGGATCGAACTACGAGTGCTGAGTCGACGACTGTGACCACGAAACTGAGAAAGCTTTCTTCGACAGCAGCAGATGACAAAGGCGACCCCGTTGATTCAGACACTTCACCTATCACGAAAACACCAGTACCAGTGGAACCAGTACCTCAAAAGACCGGCACCACCGACACCCAGATCTTGTCACCAGGAATAACTTCGACTTTACAGCAACAACGACAGACTGCTGTACCTGTCGCTGCGTCTGCCGGACTTGGTCTTGGTGGCTACAGTTCCGATGAGGATGACTGAGCATCCGGGTCACGTGCCCGCCTTGGACTTGGAATGCAGTGAGGCACGCGTCCCACGCGCCTCTGAACAAAGGCCCAATTCACCAGCGGCTTGAAGTTCATGACGTGGATTGACGCAGAACAGCCTCTCAGTCGAGACTGCCAGCTGCAAAATTGATATTCATTATGTACATTAGTGGTTGGTACAGGACCAAGGACATCTCTTCAGAGTTTGCCACCCCACGAGATTGCTGCACGAGGCAAGCCCATCGTCATGAATGGAGACCGAGCTCGGGTCTACGGGCATGAATGTGGTTGAGCTGCCACCCTAGCACCCCAGCGGCAATTGAACGGGCGGCCCGGAGAACTGCGCCGCCAATGCTGCAGCCCAATGGATGCCCCCTCGGCCCCCCCAAATTTGGTGACCAGCCTGCAACATGAAAGCCAGGGCTTTCGAGCTGGAACTTTTCACAATCACAATGAGCACAGACTTGATCACCACTGCACTTGCTGCTCTGAAAAAGAAAGGGCTCCAATTTCTGGACCAGGCTGAAGTCTTGACGGGCACTCCCGGAGGGTTTCTGCCTCTGTCAACAAATTCCCCCATTCAAATTCTCGTGCCCCATTATTTTGACCGGCATGAACCAATTGCCTGGTATGGGTGCATGTTTTGACTCGCCTAGCCACCAGAATCAAGACACTTTCGCCCACACCAACACAACGCGTCTCGTTCTTCTGCCCTCCAATTCGCCTGTCACCAGCTTTGTCGTTGTAGCGGTGAGCAACCGACTGCCCAAGCTGTTCGAATAGCAGCCGTCCATGTTCGGGCTTGCATCTACCCAAATACTGGTCGTCATGCCATTCGCTACCCGATGCTGCAAATCAACACCGCTATATTTTAGATGATGCACTCGATGGAGTATCTCAGGCATCGATCAAATTTTTTCATCGTATTGTCTGATAGCCTCATTATCGCATTCCGAGTCGGTTGTAGATATACGGCGACAGCAACAAACAGTAGTAATAATTCTTTTCTCCCTTCTTCCCCTCTATGCCTCATTTGTTTGTGTATCGATAGAGCCTGTCTCCCCCGATTAGCAGATAGGCCGTGATAGCGAGCTTGTCTTTCCTGTTTCTGGCCTTGGGCATCCCTGTCAAAAGCCCCCTTACAGCGCCACCCACTCCCAGTCTCAAGTGTCACACACCACCCCGACCAATAATGGATTGTGCCCGTTTTTGACCTCCTGACACAGCTATTGCTCGCTGTTGCTTCCAAACCTGTTATCACACCAGCTGTTCTCCTCATCGTTACTGTCTTGACACGTCGCTCTGACTTTCCTGTCGCTCTTCCTCACCGGCGCCTTTCTCGCCAACACATCAAATGCTCTCCAACTCCAGCACAACCCACTTCGTCGCTCAACCACAGCATGGCCACCGTCCTGGTAGCCGCATCGCCCGCCGGTGTCAGAGAGAGCGTGTATCGTCGAACAAGGACCCTGCCGTGGTGCAGGACTGGAATGGATGAACAAGATACAGAATCGCGTTCATGTTGTTATGGCACGCGGGAGCAGGAGGCTGGCCCTTATAGTCCAGCCGATTGGCCCTGTAGCCTCTACACCGCCAGACCCCAACTATGCAAGAACAACAAGCCTGAGCTACGGGTATGCGCAACATCTTCCTTTCTAACTCGAACCGTGTAGTCCCTGCCTTTCACTTCCTTGACTACTCTTTGATCCCGAACTTGACTTAATCTCTCTGAGTCTCTCATACCCTTGACCGAATCCACTCCTGACAATTCTTCACAGCACCTACCCCAATCCACCCCCAACAGACATGTCTATCTAAAGGCAACTGCGCTGGTCGCAACTCTCCTCAAACAACTAGCTGCCCTTCCACAGCCCTACGGCACACCTCCCCTCCCACATGCGTCCCAAGATCAGCATCCATTCTTGCGGGACTTGTCTGATCCCTTGGCCACGGCCCATTCCTTTGCCGATTCTACCTCGGTAGATCACACTACCGTCTCCTACTCGACTCATACGTCACCTTCCTCGGTCGACATGGATTTCAAGATTGATTTTGGTGACACGACCGGTGTCCAATCCCGCGGCAAGAAAGCCGCCAAACAGGCCGCCAAAAAGGCCCAGCAGGCCAAGTGGGCGGAATCCGATAATGAAGGAAATGGAAACACCGCTGGCGACGGCGGCGACGGCGGTGGCGACGGCAATGGCGGAGGAGACAACGGGTCTGGTGCGGGCGGAGATGGCAATGGTGACGGCGGCAATAATGGAGGAGGCGACGAGGATGACTGGGCCTTTGGTGGCGGCAAGAAGAACAAGAAAAAGACCGCCAAACAGAAACAAGAGGACGAAGAGCAGAAGCGGAAAGAGGAGGAGGAGGCTGCCAATGCAGCCAATAACTTGAGCTGGGCAGATGAGACCAATGATGCCGCTGGCGGCGACGACTGGACCACAGGTTTCGGCACAAAAAAGGATAAGAAGAAGAAAGGTAAAAAGGTAAGCTGTTCGTCCTACCGACCAATATCCGAGTCGTGCCTAACCTCCATAACTAGGGCCTCGACGATTTCCCCGCGGATCCTCCAGCATCGACGGCATTTCAGGAGATCAGTCTCGATGATTCAGCTCCAAAGCTCGAATTCAGTTTCGGTGGTGTGGACAGCAAGAAAGATACAGGTGGATTCAGTGCGTGGGGCAAGACCTGGGATTTCGGTTCTCTTGATAATGGCACTACTGACAAAGCAGATTCTAAAGACTCCAAAAAAGATTCCAAAACAGCGACTAATGATTTTGGTGACAACAACCCTTGGTCAGGCGGAGGCAAAGCCAAAAAGAAGACCACCGCATACGGCACTAATTTCGACTTTGACGATTTCAATGCCGAAGAACCTTCTCTCAATTTCGATGGTGACATTGGCCAACCCAAAGCTGCTGCCGATGATGCCTGGGGATTTGCATCTTCCGGCAAGAAGGACAAGAAGAAGAAGGACGAGGTGCCTGAGAAGGAAGACTCAACATGGGGAGCTTGGGGCGCCAAAACGAAGAAGAAGACGGGCTTCTTCGGGGAAGATCCTGAAGTGCCCCCGCCACCTCCTGCCGCACCAGAGCCTGCCAGTGCGATTGATAACTCTTTCGATTGGGGATTCGGCAAAAAGGACAAAAAGTCGAACAAGGGCCTGATCAGTGAAGTTCCAGAGATGGATGAATTCCTGGCAGCACCCGATCCGCCTGCCCAGGCAGACAAAGCTGACGGCGGTGATGACTGGATGTCTGGGGCGTGGGGAAAGAAGACCACCACAAAGAAAGGCAAAAAGGGTATCGAGGATCTTTCGTCCTCCATGGATCTCGGATTTGCAGGAGATTCCAAACCAACCGCAGAAGCAGCCCCAGCAGAGGATGATACTTGGGGTGGCTTCAGCACGGCAAAGGGCAAGAAAACCACAAAGACGAAAAAGGGTTCATTCTTTGACGACCCAATTCCCGAGGCACCGGTGGCTCCTGATCCACCTCCTGCGAATGGCGATATATGGAGTACTTTCGACAAGAAAGACAAGAAGGGAAAGAAAGGCATGTTCGCAAGCCCTGAGCCTTCGATTCCAGATCCCGCCTTTGATGCTCAAGATGACTTTGACCCTGTCAAAGAACAACAAAAGGAACCTGGCATGACTTACGACGCCTACATGGCACTTTCGTTGAAAGACAGGAAAAAGAAGGAGAAGGAATTTCTCAAAAAGGGCATACCTATCCCCAAGGAGCCCGAGCCCGAGCCCGAACCCGAACCTGAACTTTACGAAGAACCAAAGGAAGTGGCAATGAGCTACAGCGATTGGATGTGTCTGACAAGCAAGGAACGAAAGAAGAAGGAAAAGGAATACAAAGAAAAGGGCATCCCGATTCCAACGGAAGAGCTCTTCCTCGAAGAGGAACCGCAGGAACAACAGGAGCAGGCCATGAGCTACGGTGACTGGATGTCTCTCACAACCAAGGAACGACGCAAGAAAGAGAGAGAATACAATGAGAAAGGCATACCGATTCCAACTGAAGACACGTTGATTGAGGAAGCACCTCTAGAACCACAGGAGCAGGCCATGAGCTACAGTGACTGGATGCTACTAACAACCAAAGAACGCCGCAAGAAGGAGAAGGAGTACAATGAAAAGGGTATCCCGATTCCAACAGAAGATGCATTCATCATTGAAGAAGAACCTCCAAAGGAGAAGGGGATGAGCTACGTCGAATGGATTTCCTTGTCCACCAAGGAACGAAGGAAGAAGGAGAAGGAATATGCAGAAAAGGGAATTCCGATCCCAGAACCAGAGCCTGAACCCGAGCCTGAGCCCGAGATACCTGCAGAGGAGCCTGGACCAAAAGGAATGAGTTACGACGAGTATATGGCTTTATCGCTCCGTGACCGCAAGAGAATAGACAAGGAATACAAAGCCAAGGGGATTCCCATCCCCACGGAACCTGAGCCCGAATATGAACCGGAACCTGAGCAGCCATTTGAAGAGCCCAAACTTGAAGGTATGCCCTATTCTGAGTGGATTGCGTTGTCATCCAAGGAGAGAAAGAAAAAGGAGAAGGAGTATATGAGTTTGGGCATTGCAATACCCACTAAGCCAGAACCTGAGCCTGAGCCGATCATTGAGGAGCCTCAAGAACCACAAGGCATGCCTTACTCTGAATGGATTGCACTGTCATCAAAAGAGAGGAAGAAAAAGGAGAAGGAGTATGCTGCCCAAGGCATTCCGATCCCTACAGAACCAGAACCGGAGCCGATCATTGAGGAGCCTCAAGAACCACAAGGTATGCCATACCCTGAATGGATTGCATTGTCATCAAAAGAAAGGAAGAAGAAGGAGAAGGAGTATGCTGCCCAAGGTATTCCGATCCCTACAGAACCGGAGCCGGAGCCAGAGCCAGAGCCTATAGTCGAAGACTCTGGACCAAAAGGCATGTCTTATGCTGAGTGGATCGCACTGACACCAAAGGAGAAGAGAAAGAAGGAGAAGGAGTATATCGCCCAAGGTATTCCTATTCCCACTGAACCGGAGCCAGAGCCGGAGCCTGCTTGGGAAGAATCCGCACCTCAAGGCATGAGCTATGAGGAGTGGATGGGCCTGTCGACAAAAGAGAGGAGGAAAAAAGAGAAGGAGTACATTGCACTAAATATCCCGATTCCTACTCCTGCGCCTGAACCTGAGCCTGAGCCTGAAATCCTCCCTGAAGAGCCAAAGGACGAGGGTATGAGTTGGGACGCCTGGAATCTACTCTCACTAAGGGATAGGAAAAGGACAGAAAAAGAGTACAAGCTTAAAGGTATACCAATTCCCACAGAACCGGAGTATAAGCCTGAACCTGTACCGGAAGTCGTTGAGAAGCCAAAGCAGGAAGGAATGACGTATACAGAGTGGATGGCTCTTACACCGAAGGACAGGAAAAAGAAGGAAAAGGAATATCAGAAAGCTGGCATTCCAATTCCTACTGAAGAAGAAGTTGTTCCAGACCCTGTACCTGAGGTGAAAGAAGATACCTGGGGCTCTTGGGGAGGTTCGGGCAAGGACAAAAAGGAGACCAAGAAGAAAGGCTCAAGTTTTCTGGATTTCGGCAATGAGCCAGCTGCAAATGAGCCTGAAGATCAAGGTGGCGATAGTTGGTCACCTTGGGGTGCCAAAAAGACAACCACCAAGAAGAAAGGATTCATGGATTCGATTGACGAGCCCTCGGACACGACATTGGCAGCCAAAGAGGTGGACACATGGGCAGGTATAGGACTTTCTGCAAAAGACAAGAAAAAGAAGGACAAGGATACCAAGACCAACAGTTTCCTGGACAGTTATGATGACCCTGCTCCAGCAGAGACTGAAGCTTCTAACAATTGGAGCTTTGGTCTCGGATCCAAAGACAAGAAGAAGGACAGTACCAAGAGCGGGTTCTTGGACATGGATGATCCAGTTGGAGGTACCTCTACCAATGACGGCTGGGGAAGTTGGGGTGGCGCAAGCACATCCAAAGACAAGAAAGCGAAAGACCTAGCCACCACCAAGAAGAAGGGTTTCATGAGTTTTGACGATCCAGAACCCGTACCTGAGCCAATTGCAGAACTGGTCGAAGAGAATGCGGATGAAGGTTGGAGTCCTTGGGGCGGAACTTCTTCAGACAAGAAAAAGAAGGATGCAAAAACTACGAAGAGCGCTACGGACACCAAAACTTCCAAGACAGAGGATCTCTGGGGATCCATCGGCAGCAAAGACAAGAAGGGCTTATCCAAAACCAAATCAAAGGCAGAGCCACCTCCACCAGTTCCTACACCACCCGCCCAGGGACTTTCACCAGTACCAGACCCCATGGACTTTGGAGACAATGATTTTGGTGGTGATACTTGGGCGCCGCTGACTGCCACAAAAAGCAAAGCCTCCAAAAGCAGCGAGGGTTCGAAGACATTGACTGCAAAAGATAAGCTCAAGAAGAGCAAAGTCGCCGATGCTTTCGCCGCCTTTGAAGATCCACCTGTTGTGGAAGAGCCAGCAGTCACAAAGAAGAGTATGTGGGGTTTTGGTGCAGCTGCGGCCGCCGCGACTGTCACAGGTATCAAGTTGACCAAAAAAGAGAAGGAGGCAAAGGCAAAGAAAGAAGCAGAAGAAGAGGCACAGCGAGAGGAAGAAGAGCGACTCGCAAAAGAGGCCGAAGAGGCCGAGGCAGAAGCTGCTCGATTGGCTGAGGAAGAGGCTGCTGCGAAGAAATCCAAGAAAACCAGCAAGTTGACAAAGACGAGCAGCAAGCCTGCCAAAGCCGCCGAGCCCGATCTGCTGGACATGCTGGATGAGTCCGGGCCAGCCTCGAAAAGTTCCAAGCTTAAAAAGTCGACTCCGGGCAAGGAGGATGACAAGAAGGCCGACGACTACTTTGGAATCTGGGGAAGCGGGTCAAACAAGAAGACAGCTGGCAAGAAGGAGATAGACTCCAAAAAGGAAATTACCAAACAGGGGTGGGCCAATCAAGACGAGCCGCTAGCAGAGCTCAACGATGACTTTGATCTTGGACTCGATCTTGACAAGCCAACCATTTCGTCAAAGACATCAAAAGGCATGACCGCTGGAAAGTCCAAGATCGGTGGTTCAATTGCAGACCGCATCAAAGCATTGGAAACTTCTAAAGAAGGGACCGGAAAGAAGTCGAAGTCAGAATCGCCACTTACTAAAGATTCGCCTCCGCCAGAAGAGACGCTATCGCCCAAAGAGGAAAAGCAGCGCGCGGAGAAGGCGTCAGCCTCGACCTCAGCCTCCAAGACCAAGACAACAACTTCATCCAAGTTGACCAAGAAGCCCGGCAACGCGTCTCTCATCACAGAAGAACGTAAATCAAAAGATACTGTACCTGGCAGCTTCCCCGGCGCATTTGGCGACGACTATCTCGACGAGATTAATGCAACTGACCCTTCTATGCCTCCATCCCCAGAAAAAGTCAAATCAAAGGCAAAGGCTGCAGACAAGAAAGGTGTCAAATCCAAGACAACAACACCAAAAGCATCGGCAGCGAGAGATCTGGATCTTTTGGACGACGAACCCGAAGTTTCCAAACTCCCCACGCCTCCACCAGAGGAAAAGAAATCCGCCAAGAAGGAACGTCCCAGAGTCGAAAGGTCAGCAACATCATCCTGGGGCTTTTGGGGTGCTGCTCCTCCACCCAAAAAGTCATCCAAGGAGAAATCGAAAGAAGACGACGAATCCCCACCAACAAGCAAAAAGGCCAAGTCACCCCCACCAATGATTCGATCAAAGTCAACCAAGACACCAAAAGAAAAGGAACGTGATGATAAGAAGGATTCCGAAAAATTGTCCAAGTCTTCTGGCTCCGATCAAGACCGCAAACCAAAAGCTACTGAGCGGCCAAAGGCGAACCGGGGCACGAGCTTTTCGAATTTCATGTTTGGTGGCCCTCCTCCTTCCGCCATGCGCGCATCAACTTCAAAGCGACCCGGCAGTGCAGCAAGCTCTCGTCCTTCGTCGAGAAGTCGAGCGGAAGATGGTTTGGTTTCACCACCCCCAGAGGATGAGAGCCCAATCAATTCCAAGGCAGCCAAGCTCATGGGCATGAAGTCTGGAAAAATGGAGCGGAGGACATCAGTCAAGTCAAAGTCCAAAGGTCGGTCAATGTTTGGGACTTCTTTCACAATGGCAAGATATACTAACATCGCTCCAGGTCCACCTGATCCGTACCCCATCGATGATGATGATATGGTGATGATTCACACTCATGATGACCAACAAGAAGATGGGCCGGTCAAGGGGAAGTCCAAGACTAAAGCTTCCAAATCTAAAAAAGAGGTAGGTGGAAAGTCCTCCTCGAAGCTTCCTGGACATATCGTTCGTCCATCATGGTCGCCGGATTTCGTGAAGGTGGAGCGTGCTGACGGAAGAATTTCATATACACAGATTAAATCATCGACCAGGCATGTTTCAAACGACCACGATGTTGTCATGGTTGACCACGGTGATCCGCTTGTCACCAGCGGGCCTGATGACCTTGCCTTTGTGGACCATCCTCCAGCTCTCAAGAGAAGCAACACAGCTCCTCGAAAATCGACTGGCTTTTTTGGTAGCTTTTTTGGTGGTGGCAAAGTCGTTGATCCTGAACCTAGACCACGGAGCCAAACATTGACGGATGCTGAAGATCATCAGAGTCTTCCTATTCGCAGTAAAGATCGATCCAAGCGACGATCTCGAGCAGTGGATGGTGATGGGTTTACTACAGATGCACCTGCTGAAACTGATGCTGATGTTGAAGCACGACGTGTTGAACGAAGAGCGAAGCGAGAAGAACGTGATCAGGTGGAAGAAGCCGGACGAGCGGAACGAGAGCAAAGACGGCGTGAGAGACGAGAACGCGAGAAGGCCGATTTGGAAGCTCACCAACGCAAAGCACGTGAACGAGCTCGAAAAGAGCAAGAAGCCGAAGACCAGCGACGAGAAGAAAAACGAGCCCGTCGACTAGCAAAAGAAGCTCGTATTCAACAAGAAGAGCTCGAGATTAGCCAGGAAGCAGAGAGGAAACGTGAAGAACGGAGACGTCTCCGCGCTCAACTTGAAGCAGAGCAGGGAGCCAAGCACGAAGCGTCAAAAGAAGATCGCCGACGCACATATGATGAGGAGGAAGATGAGAGGCGAAGGAAGCGCGAACACAAATCAAGAGATAAAGATCGTGCCCGCTCTAGTCGTCATCGCCCAAGTGCTCTCGCCGAAGAGTACGACAAGAGTCGCAATGGCGGTAAGGGAACCCCACCACCCGCCAACAAGACAAGCTCCTGGATCAATTCCCAAGCCGACGAGCCACCCGAGCTTCCACCCGTTGCCGAGACAATCCTGGATCCCAGCGGCGAGAAACCCCGCGCCGTTGCCGACGACGAGTATGATCACAAACGCCGAAGTCGCAGGCGCGACAAATACGGCGGAATGACCGATGCTGAGATTGAAGAGCACCGGGCACACAGGAAGAGCTCCAGGCGTGCAGAGGGCAAGAGTCACAGCGGTGGCAGTGACGAACGTGCCGATCGAGATCCAGACCGCAGAGAGCGTCGAAGACATCGTGACCGAGACCCTGCTGATGAACGTGGCTCTGGTGGTGCTGGCGGGTATGGCTATGATGAAGCCCCTGTCAGGACTTTCGACGGTCGGCCCACGATCGGCAGAAACGATAGTAAGCGGCGCAGCTTTCTTGGGGGTCTCTTTTGAGAGGTTTTCCCTGTCGCATCTCACCAGCGCAACCAATCGACGTCGATCAAACGCCCGTCCTCACTCTCGAACAATAGAACCTTGGAGTCGAATCACCATCGTACCTGGCTGGAACAGGTCACTATCATCTATTACCGATCTAATCATAGGAGTCTTTCATCCTAGTTATACACGCTTTATATACCCTTTTTTTTACTTTGATCAGCATTTTTAGCGAGAGCAGCGAGCGTGACAGACAGCGAGTTAGTGAGAGAGGGACAGCAAGGAATTTCTTGTACCAAGAGGACCGCAGCAAGCCTTGGATTGGATGTGCAGCATGTCATGTCTTCATGTCACTGTAGCGTGTGTTTATTGCATGTATGGCCCACTTGTTATACCTCAGTGTGTATACATAGGTACCCTTGTTTGCCGGCAACGGAGGAGGAGGACGTGTTCTGACGGCACGGAGATATACATATATACCCACATTAGCTAGCCGTGTTGACGGTGTTGTTACGAGTACTCCGTCTGTTTGCTACATTATTCACCTATGTATGTACAGTACTTTAGGTATAACAACAGTCGAGAAACAATTTTGAAGTCGTGTTGACCCAACCTTTCTCCAACCGGGCTTTATTGAATGAATGACGGTGCTACAAAACAACGACACCGAGTCCTCCGCTTGTCGAGGATTATAGTTTACCCTTTTCATCACGACCGTCAACCACCACCATATGGCAAGTAATTTAAGCACACTCCCAACATCGATCGGAGTTTTGCCATTAATGCGATGCGATGTGAGTCTTCCCAAATCCATCCATTTCCCCCTCTCTGTCACGTACAGCCAGCCTGACCATCGGTGGGGCAGGTGGATCGGGGGTGAATGCTCGGGGGAAAGGAGGAAGGATGCTTCATGTCGCCCATCTCCTGGTGCGCACTGTGTACTGACTCGCAGGCGCATATCAGAGTTTTAATCTGCCCGCCTTTTGTCTCGTTGTGCCTACCTACTTACCTATCCTCCTGTCTACCTTCGAGGTAGCTGTTGACTGGATCGCGAGATGTGATACTATCTCCGCTGCTTGGCCTTCAGCATTTACCCTGAGTACCTATATACCTAATCCTTCTTTGAACCATGGGAATGGGGAGGGGAGTCTACTCGGCAACCCCTCTGCCTGCCTAAGGGACCTTACTTAGTGAGACATGACCGAGGACCTGACGTGCCGTCATCTACCTGTTTTGATCCTCCCTTGCTCTACCTACTCAAGTACAGACCCTGTCACAGACAGACAATCCCACACCTACTCGCACGTTGATAGCAGAAAAGAAGGAACCAAGTAGCCACGACCTCCATATGATAGATACCTACCTGAGTATCCAATGTCTACAGACCCGGCGCGAACGAAGAAGAGGCTCGCCATCCCGCGCGGCCCAGCAGCCGACCCAGCATTCCCAGCCTCCAACGCCGCGGGCAACCCGTATAAATACAGCGCGGCGCTGCTCGCGGCATCACAGCTCCCGCCGCGCGTCACTCCCACGCACGTCTTCTTCTGTGGCTATGAGGGCGACCATCCCCTCGTGTGTCTGTCGCAGTGGTTCCCCGCGGTGTTTTCGGGGCCCAAGACTGGCGTGTGGTTGCAGGAGATGGAAAAACGGCTTGGACTTGGTGATGAGGACGAGAGCGATGTCGAAGCGAGGTCCGAAGCACTGAAAAGACCCCAAGCAGAATCAGAACAAGTCGACTTCCCCACCGCCGAGCACTTCATGATGTACCACAAGGCGCTCCTGATGGGGGACGAGGCGACGGCGGCGCACATCCTCGCGCCGGAGCACGCGCACCCATCCCACGCGAAACGGCTGGGGCGGGCAGTGCGCCACTTCGACCAGGCGAAGTGGAACGAGTGGGCGGAGCGGATCGTCGCGGAGGGGAACCGATGGAAGTTCTCCGATGCGCGGAATAGGGATCTGCGGGTCGAGTTGAGGGAGACGCGACGCAGGGTGCTCGTCGAGGCGAGTCCGGAGGATCGCGTTTGGGGTGTGGGCTTTGATGTCCTGGCTGCGGAGGGAAGGGAGGCCGAGTGGGGTGAGAATCGCCTGGGGAGGGTGTTGCAGGCGGTGAGGGAGGATTTGGGGAATGGATTGGCTTGGGTGGACGGATGGGAGATAGAGGGAGAGGGCAGGATGGATAGCGTGCAGTTTGGGAGTGCGATCGATTAGGAGAGGAGATTTATGGAGCATGGTGGAGGGATCTCGGACTGTTTGATCGTCATCACATACGTCGTTTTTATTCGGGATGGATAGGAGGAGTTGAGAGATCGTATGTCGATGGATGGATGAGGGCTTCAATTATGTCTGGATAGACTGTGCAAGGGAGAATCATTGCGTGAGAATGGAATGGGAGAGAGAAAAAGTCAATCGCTTGCTTACTCGGGATGTCTATCTCATTCGGACCCGTGAAGCCTTCTCAAGACTTCAAGTTGAAGCGAGAGATAGCTCATCGTTATAGCATCAGGTTTCCAGCACCGCCATTGATAGCAACATCGGTGTCTCTTCCATTTGCACCCTTCTTCCGCTTCCTGCCCTCCATTTCCTGCAACTCTCCCTTCTTGCCAATGACTTTGACGTTGCCTTTGCGCAACTGCGTGAGGATATCTTCCTTCTCGCCAGCTTTTGATTTCTTCCCGGATTTGATATTCTTGGACGCGTCTCCTGTACTCTTACTGGCATCGTTGCCCTGCATTTGATTGGCTTTCTTGATGCGTTCCTTTTCTCGTCTGCGCCTGCGGATTTTCTCTTCACGGGTCATCTCTTCTTTTGCAGCGCTGGAACCTCCCTTTCGAACGATGATGCTCTCGCCGTCCGGTCCCTTTTTGCTCTTTTTGTCTTCACCAGGTCGATAGATTTCTTGTGGTGCCAGCATACTGTCTTCTCCTCCTGCTCCGACGGGTCGAGCGTCTTCCATGGAGATGGTCGGTTTGTCTTCGACAGTCTTGATCTCGGCCTGGGCACGTCGGGGCTTGAAGTTCAAGTTGCTCAGGAGATCAAGTTGAGACGACACTTCTTTCCATAACCGGCTGATTTCTTCTTGTGCCTTTTTCGTTGCTGCAGATCTTTTGTCTACGTAGCCTGGGTCCGTGGACTTCAGATGCTCTTGTTCGTAGATCTCACCCAATCCTGCTGTAGGCTTAGTATCATCCAACTCCACTCGTCCACGGCGTGCTGTGCTAGCATCGCCAATTGCATCCGGGTGTCGGCGGACGACTTCATCGAATTCTCTAGCAAGGATTCGACGTTTGATCAACTGTTCAATCTCTTCGGTGATTTCGACAGTGTCGATGGGGACTGGTTTTCCTACACGTTCAAATTCGAAATCTTCTTCCAGAAGAGAATTCATCGGACGGTCTGCACCACGGGCTTCACCAGAAATAGTCCAATCTTTCTTCGCAACATTAGCAGCCTCAAGACGCCGAATCTCAGCAGCAATCTTGAGTTGCTGTTTCTCATGGGTTGACAAATTTTTATAAGAGGGTCTTTCCACATCCGAACCAGACAGGTCTTCATCCGAACCTTCTTCGTCGGACTCAAGCAGATCTCGACGGACATCAGCCATGGCACGTGACATGTCATTTTCGGCGTCTGAATTGTTCTGATCAGTGACTTGTGATTTGGGTTGAGTTTTGGGTAGAGCTCGCATCCGTTTGGATCGAGATGGCTTTTTTGGTGGAGGAGCGAAGAAGTCGGCATATCGAATTTCGTTCGTATTGTCTATCCCAGGAAATCCTTGGTCGAGATCGTCGTCTAGATCGAGTTGGTCTTTATCGCTGTCACTTGCATTCAAGTCGGTATCGCCGAAAGTTGGACCGTCATTCTCATCAGATTGTTCGTCTCCACCAGGGCTCGACTTTGGGACAGCCATTGCCATTGGATCAGCATCCCAGTCGACTTCATCTTCGTCACTCGGATTGTCGTCATCGCCTCGTGCGTCTTGTTGTTCAAGAAACTGGGTTTGCTTGTTGAAGTCATCAATGGAGAAAAAGCCATCGTTGAGATTGTGTGGATCTCGAACGTATGTTCCCCCGCGGATTTTCTTGTCTTTTCGGGGCCTGTCTTCATCCGCGCTGTCGTTGATGTGTTCCTCTTCGTCCTCGTCATCCTCGAGTTGCTCCCCTTCCTCAAAGTCGTCTTCACCCTCGGATTCTTCCATGCCTTCTTCATCAACAGACTCAGCATCTGTTATGTCATCATGAATCTCGGAAGGCTCAGCCTCGTCCACGCTGATTGACTTGGCCTCTGTTACCACGGCAGCGCCACTGTTTGCAGCATGAAAAGCGACAGCCCTCTCGACCTCGTCTGCGGCAGCATCTAGGATCCTTCTGGCCTGTTCCCAGATTTGTCTAATGGCCAAGCCATCGGTGTAGATTTGGCGCAACTGCAATGGAACTGGTTCGACACCATTATCTCCTCGTTTCCTTTTCCTCCGATTTTCGTCCCTTCTCGCTTTCTGCGCATCAGCAACTTTGACGGCTAGGGGATCGAGGAGTGTTTTGACAGTCGACAGAGTTTGGTGGTGTAAATTGGAGGAGGGTTGAAGGAATTGGTGGCACTCGTTTGACAGGCTTGAAAGGAGGGTGTTGGTATCGGCCATATTGCTGTTGACCACGGTCATGAGGGCAGCAATGGGGAAAGGTGCGAGTAATAGGACGTCAATGTCGACTGATCTCACCAGCACATCATCGCACCCAGCTAAAGGTGGTGGTAATTCCTTATCCGGCGAAGTGGTGCAATTCAGTTACAACAAAAAAAGCCAACAGCGGTGATTTTTCTCTTCGGAGAATAATTTTTTCCCTCCGAGAAAAAGTGACTGCATTGGTGGTTCAAATGGCAGGCGCAGGCCAATGAAGGGAGGTGGGGGCAGCATGCCCCGTAAGGCCAAAGCTGTTTAAGCAAGTGGGGCCTGAGAGGCCTATTTCGGAGCCTACGGAGTAACTCTGAAAGTATCTCAACAGTAGATAAGGCACGAAGTAGTTAATGGCTTATGGGCGGACTCCATTACTCGGTACTGACCCATTTATTCGCAATGGCTTAGGCTAAACTATCGATGCGTGTGATTTTGGGATGAATCAAGTCCACAAGTAAATGGTTTCTGTAGTGCACAGTCAGTGTACATAGCACGGATAATCAACTTCGGAGGGTTCGTTAGATTCCTTTTTCAGGAACAGGTGATAATTGGCAGGATCATGTTAGCCGGTGAGAGCCGCAGATATCATCAACCAGGCCAAGTTGTGCAACCGAGTTTCGGTACGTAGTTGGCTGGAGGTGCCTGGGCCAGAGAGGGCTTTCGGGCGCCTCAGCACTGCAATATCACCCAGCTACCTAACTAGGAGAACCTCGTGCGAGGCATCTCCCCCACACCAAACACCTCCTACGTTTAAGCATCACTCTCATCTCCAGGGGCGGGCAATAGACACAGAGACACAGGACGAGTCATAAGTACCTAGGTAATTGTTACAGACCTCAGAAAACGATCTTGATTCTTTTTATCAGTGAGAGTTGGAAATTGGTCAGGTAGGTTTGCTCGGTCCTCGTGAAAGCATATCAGTCAAACTCAAAAAGCCATTCTGCATGCAGTGACATGGTCCATGAGGATTCTCTAGGCTTGACTTGGTTACACAAAACAAGGTCTCCCAGGCACGGATCCTGCATTTGGGGTGGCTCCAAGGGCCTTGGCTGCCTAGGGCTTAACTGCCGCTATCACCTCCAGCCACTCATCCTGCCCTAAGAGACCCTCCAACGCCCCTCCTGCCAGGATTTTTCTCCAACCTCAGCACCAGAAAACTGCCAAGTACAACCAAGAGCTTCTCTCGTGTCTGACTCTGCCACTGCCACCACCACCACCATCCACTGTCGCTACTGCAATCGCCTCTCGCCTCTTTGCCTCTCACATCTTACCTGCTGCTGCTGCTGCGAGTGATACCAATCAGTCTTATCGCCGTAGCGGACAGCACAAATCACATTCAGTCTTTTAGCCTTCTAATGCTCCCTCTTCCAGATCCATTGTCGTACAGCTGCAAAAAACTTCTTCCTACGTTCAACTTCAACTTCAGCTCCACTTGCACATGCACATGCACATCCCATCGCGACTGCGACTACCGTTGACCCACCAAATTCCCCTCCCAGTCCTACGTTCTTTGCTCTCATGATCTCTATTGTCCCTCCAATTGTCTCAACTACCACTCTCGGTCTCGGTCTCAGTCTCAGTTGACCTGTTTGTGCCAGTCCATCGCCCTTGAAACCACCAGATGAAGTTCGGTGAAACCCTCTATCAAAGATCGGTTCCAAAGTGGGCAGCCTACAACTTCAAGTACAATGAGTTAAAACACCTGATCAAGACAAAAACCTCCGCAGGCGCCGCTGTTCCTCTTGACATCCCCACGCAGGGTAAAAGTCGCTGGCAAGAGCTGGACAATCAACTATTGAGGTTGCTCCAGGCCGAATACGACAATGTCACTCTCTTTCTCAAAAGCAAACAGGGCGAGATCGACCGGCGAGTCGCCCATCTCGAGAAACAGATCAAAATAGCTGAACGAGCTGTGGCCGAGAACCAACATGATCGCCCGGTCCTTCAGGCTCGAAAGTACCAGCGCCTGGTCAAGGATGCCGAGGAAATCAGCGATGATGTCCAGAACCTTACTCGTTTCGCTGCGGTACAAAAGACGGCTTTCCGAAAATTGCTCAAGAAATACCGCAAATGGACCGGCTCAACCGATCTCCAGACCAGGGTTGACGTTGAGGTCTTCTCCTCTGAAAAGCTGAGGACCGACTATACCGATTATCAGCAACATCTCACCGAACTATCGACTATTCTAACCCAGGATTTGGCTAGGCCCATGTTAACCGGCAAGATAAATGATTCCTCAAATGAACAGAAAAATCGTCTTTCGACCCAGTCAAACAAGAGGTCCATCATCGGCCAAATCAATGATGCTGCCCTTCGTGGCCCGCTAGGTTTCGACGCTGCTCTCTTGACTGTGCCTTATGGAGAGGCTGCTGGTAGTGCCATATACTGGATACATCCTGATAATCTTGACGAGGCGCGAACTTTATTACTCAAATTCATGCGCGATGGATCCACAGCTTCTGCACCCTCGCGTGTGAACTCTGGTCTCTCAGTTGCTTCCCAACGAAGGCCATCTGCGTTAAGTAACCCCACGGACGACCTCACACATGCCCTCTTTTTTGATAATGCCCAACGATTTGTAAAGGACCCTAGCCAGACCAGACCAACACGGGTCGCTCTCTCTGCTCATTGGAGCACTGAACCAGATGCTGCCGTCACTCTTGCTGGTCTTTCTCCTACATCATCAGGATCAACGATACTGACCATCAAGGCTAAGGATTTGACCACAGCCCTACAACGTGAATCCACTCCTACCCGGCTATCCAATGAGATTTCGGCAGTCCGCAATTACCTTACTGAGCATCGTGATGTCAAACCCTTGGCTGAGATCTCCTCTATCCGCTCTCGATATCTCGGGATCACGAATTCGGCCGATGTCGCGAATTGGGCCACCCTTGATTCATCCATAACTGTCACTCCGGTGGAAATGGGCCACATTGATAACTCTACATATCAGCCAACCAATGGGGATGTCTTCCCCTATGCAGTTCTACACATTCGTTGGGAGTTCGCACGTACTCCTGCTGTGGTTCGAACGTTCGACAGCTCTCATTTGGCTGAACGGGTATATGACTTTACTCTTGAGGACATGGCAATCCACACAGTGAACAAGGATCTTCCACAACCAGCTTGGCACAATCTCCTAGAGAAGGACATCCGGAAGGTTCCACTAATTCCCCCTAAAAATAAGTCTCGAGCTTCCAGTCGCCTGAAGCCTACCGCTTCAGACATTTCCGGAATCTCCTCAGGTCCATCTTCCACCGATGGTGTTACCACTGGTAGTATCTTTTCTATCACCCATGGACAGTCTTCTGCTACTTCGGATGACCACATTACAGGCGTTGAAGTGGCCGACCCTTTCACTTTAAAACCAAAACCGTCCCCTGTTGGTGGCCGGAAAAAGAAGCGTGCTCGTATCTTAGTACCTGAACGCGAACCTCGACAACAACGTTATTGGAATGAATTCGATGATGGTGACTCAGACGTCAATTCGGACGATCGCTATGCAATTTACATCGACCCCAATGCCTCTATCTTTCCTGGTTCAGAAACCCTCTCAAAGGTATTCCATGGAGTATACAATACTTTGGGTCAGGGCGCGGGCCGACTCGCCTCTCTAGTTGGTCTCAAGCGGAGAGCTTCACCCGAAAGAGCACCTCTTCTTGGAGGCCAAGTGTTCATTGATGGCGATGCTGACTCGTCTGGTTCGGATAGCGACCAACACCTGATTCAACGGCCATACAAGCCCAGTACACCTCGACGGACGGCTTCGCACGGGTCTGGGTCCAGATCAACATATCGTCCACATCAGATCCTCACCCCTCGCCAGAAGGCCCTGGAAAGAACACTTTTCCATTTCTACAGCGGCCTGATTGCCATTTCTTGTGTTTTTCTGGTCATGTCAAGCATCCTACTGGGAACAGGCCGTAGAAAGGCCGCAGTCGAGGTCGACTTGGGCGTCATCGCTGGCGTCATCGCTGCAGAAGCCTGTGCCGTGTGCGCCATGGTCTTGGTTATGCTGAGAAAGCAAAGGCTGAGCATATTACATTGGGGAATCGTAAGCGTCTTTGTTGCGGCCATTGTTACTGTTGGTGTGTCCCTATTGGCGTTGATGTTTGTGCATATGCAACATTCCGCCGAACGCAAAGGCCCTCCACACTGACACGTGGTGTGTCAATCTTGTTCCCACAGCTACAGAAATGTGCTCGTCACTTTGGGGTGCAAAATTGGCTTGCTTTCACGAATTTCGACCACGCGAAGCGAGGAGTTTTGCTTTCCTTCTTATGGGTGTTCCATTCACGGCACACATGTATGATTGGAATGGTTTTATTTCAAATTCATAGTACGATGTACAAAGCTTCTGTTGGATTAAGCGTCAGTGCATCACGGGACTACACACGTGTCCTGATGTACTTTCGTGAAAACACTGCATGGGGATATGATGGGCGAGTACGCAGGAAATCAATCAGAATTGAGATACCCCAGCATTGGACACAGGTAATGGCAGGCCCTGGAGCAGACGAACGCCAGGCGTGACGGCTTTGAGGCATTCGTGCAATCAAGAGCTAGGTGAGTGTATATATATATGGAGCCAATAGGTCACAGTCGTGCTTAATGCTTAATGCTCAAGACCGTGGTGATTGCTTTGAATCCTCATTCATACGGAGTAATGATTCTATGTACACGTGCAGCAATACATTATTGTTGATCAGACGATTGTGCAATAGGTGTCAGACTGATAGTGACGCAGATATGTCAGTTATAAGTCTACTTTCTAGAATGCCACGAGCTTGATGAACAATGCGCAGAACAAAACGCAGAACGACTAACAAGTCTCGTTGACGATAAATCATGGTCGTGAGCACCCGGTGGCATCCATCCGGTATTCTGACATATCGTGCGCATCAACCAGAGCAGCATACCAATTTGGCCATACCTCTGAATCTCACTCAAGCTTCCACCGGAAGAACGTCCTCACAACCAAAGATCTTCGCGAAAGGATCCTCGTCGGGACTCTTAGCTCGAATCCACTCCATGGAATTAGTCACCTTGGTCACCGTCTCCTTGGACGTAAGACCCTCAATCCACGCCAGGACGCCATCGGCACCAGCACTCACGCCCGAAGTCGTCCACACCCTCCCACTGTCGACCCAACGCGCCTTCGCAATCCACTCAGTCTTGGGGCCCATGGCAGTAAGGAACGTCCAGCCGTCTTTGTTCGTCGTGGCCTTCTGGCCATCCAAGACGCCCGCACGGGCGAGCAGAATCGTGCCGTTACACACACTAATGGCATAACGGAGCTTCTGGCGGCCATTCAGCCCGAAAAACGCATCCCGCACAAACTGCACGTGGCCCTCGATGTCCCGCTTCTCCGCGCCAGGCATGTCGAACGAGCCCGCCCCGCCCGGGATGAGCAGCACGTCGAGCGGCGGCGCCGTCTCGAACGTGTGTGTCGGCAGATAGCGCTGCGCGCCCGTGAATACCGTCGAGTGAGGTGCCCCTGCCGGCCCGATGCTGATCGGGTCGAGCGTCTTGCTGATGATGCTCAGCTTCATGTCGGTGAACCCGTCGAGATGTGACAAGAGGTTGAGGGCTTCGATGGGGCCCGCCGCGTCCAGGACTTCGAACTGTGGGTACAGCAGCAGGCCGAAGGATTTGGGGAACGCGGCTGCGACCGCTGGGTCCAAGTTGGGGATGCTTGTGTCCATGATGGCGGCAAGGTCGGTGGGGACGCTAGTGTGGACGTTTGTCGAAGGCATCTTGAGTAATCGAGGGTTTGGGGGGATTTTTTTCCTTGGTAGAAATGGATGTGTTTTGTGGTGTTTGTGTTCAAAGGCAGTTTGAGCGGATGTGTCGCTTTGGGTGTTCTCGTCCTGGGCATATATACTCCCATGTAAAGGATCATTCACGTAAGGTAGTCACCACCGCACACAAGTATTCATCCGTCGACCGAGTCGAGTGGGCTCCCCCTACGCCCTTGGGAAGTCGACTTTTGTCATCCACCATTGTACAGAGTCTCCATATCTTGCTTCAAGTCCCGGCCTCCTAACTCTTTTCCACGATGCCGATACTGCGGAGACTGTATGTTGGCGTGTGTAGACAGTGGATATGCGACCCGAGGCTGGAGGCTCGCCCCAGCCACCAATCATCATCGAACGGCTAAGTGTCCAGAACAAGGTGAGTTTCCCAATTCGACATAATTGCTTCTATCAGTAAGACATCCGCCCAAGGACAGCGTATTCATATTTACGACGAGAATGTCACAGTTTAGAAGCGGTGCATCATGGACGCACAGGCAGCCGTTTCACCCCATCTATACTCTGACCATGATGAGAAATATGGGTTTCGCAGTTAGTCATCACTTTGGGCGCGACAGTTGTCAACTTTGGAAGACATACAACCGTCTGCTATGTTTGGTCGGACGCTCACCTCTCCTCCGGTTTGATCGATCGTACGGAATTTGTGTCTCACTGATCTGCAGACTCTCTTCAGACGACGGTCTTCTCACTTGCGAGATTTCGGCCCGGACCCATCGTGTCTACACTCGACAGTATATCATAAGTTGACATCGTACGATTGGCCTCCCTTGTTGTCTTCACGTAGTGTAACTTGTAGGCTGAAGACGCGATATCAATCAGCAGTTCTGCGATGTTGATGTTGATTTTGGTGTTTTATTTTTGTTGCCTAAGAGCCTGAACCACAGTGACATTGAGTCACATTGCTGCAAGCGGTCGGAGCCGTCCGTGTGAGAATCTGTTCGGAATACCTCGTCATATTCTGCGGCTGAGTTGCCAGCGAGATTTTGTAGTCATCGGCATATCAACCAGCGAGCATTTATGTGGTTTTGTCTTATTATTGTGCAATTGAAATTCCATCTCATCGAAGAATGACTCATTTCGGCTCAGATGCAGGATGATCGTCCTTAGGGGAGAATACCTACGCCAATCAGGCCCAACTGAGACTCGGTTTTGGACCGAATACGCAACTGGGGCAGATATTTGGAGTTTGGAGTTACGGGACGGGGATATTGAGTCTTCGCTTCTTTAGCGCTTGTTGTACAACCTGACGATTGACTCTCCATCCTGAATACTGCAGTTTGTAATGATCCCTGGGCGTTCGGAATAGCTATCTGCGTATAAAACGACGGTCCAAGCCCAACAACGGGAGCTTGACATATTTATCATAAGTGTCTCAGGTCAGCCAGCTTCACAATTCAAGATTCTTTAGACCATTCCAAAATCAGATCTTACAAGCGATGGGTATCGAAGATGCGCTTTCAGCCGAGCTCCGCGAGAAACTGAGAGACGACCTATTAGCAACCGATCTCAAATTCGTCGCTGAAGTCCCCAAGGTTGAGCTGCACGTCCATATCGAAGGAACGATTACCGCAGCGCTCAGATGGAAATTGACCCAGAGAAATGGCACGAAGCTAAAGATAGCAAAGAACGGGCCTGAGCTGAAGACCCTAGAAGAACTGCAGGCCGCAATGGACTTGCTACGGCCAGATTCCAGTCGCGTGAATAACGAGGAGGAGTGATTTCAGTTCTTCGAGGCTTATTACGAGGGCTTTGAATGTCTCAAGACCAGAGAGGATTACTTCGATCTGGCAATGCATTATCTTGAGCACGCTGCCAAGATGAATGTGAGGTACTGCGAGATCTTCTTTGATCCACAGGGTCACACGAGTCGTGGGATATCATGGGATGTCATGATGGGAGGTTTCCGACAAGCTTCGGAAAAAGCTGAGAAAGAGTTGAATGTAGGTATCTCTCCACCCGTTGTTTGCTTATGGGCGGCAACTGACAATCCGAAATAGGTGACATCGGCATGGATCATGTGCTTCCTCCGAGATCTCCCGCCAGAATCGGCTATGGAACATTACAAGGCTGCACTACCCTATCGCGATACGATCATCGGGATAGGGCTCGATTCGAACGAGACGGACCGTCCACCATCACTTTTCGACGAGGTCTTTTCCCTGGCTCGCCGCGACGGGTTCAAGCTCACCATGCATTGCGATGTGGATTCGAAGAATACTCACGAGCACATTAGACAGGCGGCATCCGCGATCGCTGGCACGGGCCTTGACCGCATCGATCACGGTCTCAATGTTGCGGAAAGCCAGGATTTGATTGATTTGATTCTGAAGCGTGATGTTGGCATGACGGTCTGCCCGTGGTCTTACTTGAGGCACACCACATATGCAGAACTGGGACCGAAGATTCGCGTCTTGTACGATGCGGGTATCAAGATTAGTATCAACAGTGATGACCCGGCGTACATGGAAGACTGTTGGGTCCTGGAAAATGTTTTGTTGGTGAAGCATCTGTGTGGGTTTGACGACAAGGATGTTGCGGTTCTGGCCAGAAATGCCATCAATATCTCATGGGCAACGCCAGAGGTCAAAGCGAATGTATTGCAGGAGATTGACTTGGTGTATGATCGATTCTATCCACCTTCGTGAATGGAGGTGGAATTCGAAAAGTTGGACAAGGCACACCCATTCATGTCCTACGGATATGCTGGCAACCTGGGACTGGACTCTGACAGCATGTCAATCGTTGAGTCAAACATCCAGATTCATGGAGGTGAGACATGCAGTAAATACACTAGTTAGTTAAGATTACTTACCGAGGTAGGGAGCCCCACAAGAACACAAATGAAGGACAGAATAGGGGTATTGGAACGAGGTGCAAGCGATACCCCAGATTGCTATCTGGGTTAAGGCGCACAAAGTTTACCTATTTCGTAGAGCGAAATACTGTAAGTTATGCGAGCGAGACTCGTCAAAAATTGCAGCCGCCAGTACTCACTTCTGTAACAGATCTTTTCGTCTCTGGGTCTACTTGATGCCCTCATGATAGGTCTCTAGTTTTCCAATTGGCATATGGCTTGACGTGCAATATTCGATTTTAACCGTGCTAGGCAGGTAGATATATTTTGGTACCAAAGCGGCGCTCGTGGCGTTTTCCCGGCTTAGCTCAAGCCTATGAGGATCGAAGTGCGGACCGGGGCGTCAGATCTTCAGCTGATGGGTTAGGTCTCGATCTCGGGATTCGCGGCTCTTTGCACACGACAGCCGAAAATTGATAGCGCGTGAAATTGCAAGAAAGCTCAGCACTCGACAACATGAGTCTCGGATCGATATATTCATGGTACCATGGCTGCTGCATCTGCCCAGTCGACCAAGCTGTGTGGAAGTGGCTCTCTCCTAATCTCTAGTTCGAGCCACGATGGACTCCAAATCTAGCCTACCATCAAGCGATGACAATAACCACGAAGCATTCACAAAGATATCAATTCATGAAGTTTCTCAGGATCCAACAACGACGATACCCTCCAGAACTTCTACCTATGTCGACCGCTGGTGGCTGTGGGAGGTCTCGGCATGGGTTGTCTCATTTGCAGCACTTGCGTCCATGATCGGTATACTCGGGGCTGTTAACAACAAACCCATCCCGCAATGGGGTATCAGGAAAAACATTCGAGGCGCCGAGTACAGTGTCTCCATCTCCATCAATGCGCTACTGTCAATCTTCGCAACTATCATGAAGACCGCCTTGATTATTCCCGTGGCTGCCAGCTTGAGTCAGCTTAAGTGGAATTGGTTCTTGAGTGAGAATCGGCTGTTAGATTACCAGAAGTTTGAGGCTGCTAGTCGAGGGCCTCTCGGATCTGTCATTCTCATATGGACACTTCGTGGGAGGCGTCTTGCTTGTCTGGGAGCGTTTATTATTATTGCTGCCCTAGCTCTCGATTTCGGTTTCCAGCAATTGGTTAGCTATCCCGTACAACCAACTAATACCTCACAAACTGCTCAGATACCGATCTCGACGTATTACGATAAAGCTTTGGTTCCAACAGTGAACGGGACCATTGTCGCCAGCAGAGCAACAGGCCCGGAACAATCGGTTCTTGGCGACATATATACCGGGACTTTCAACTACAATGGTACATTCTTGTCGACTCCTACTTGCGAAACAGGAAACTGCACGTGGTCAGAGCTGTACAACTCTCTAGGCATGTGTGGACAATGTGCAGACGTCTCGACCAGCCTTCAAAAGACATGTGGTAGCTACATGGGCACCGTCGGCGTGAGCCAGATGGACGACACGGCCGGCTTCCTAACTACCGTGCCGGCCAATACCACACTTCCTTACTGTACCTATTCGTTACCCAATGGGCTATCGATCTCATCACAGTCGATGTCATATGATTATTATGGCAGCTACACGTACCTGAATGTGTCGAGTAGCAGCTTGAATGTATCCGCCTTTGGCAACATTGGTAACACTGTATCAGTCCTCAGCATGCTGCGCCCCGAGTGGGTTCCAAAATTTGTCAACGGCACAGAAAATCCCAAGCTCTCAGTTTCTCAGGATACGTACGGGTGGATCAAATCAGTGGAGGCTACCCAATGTTCGATGTATTTCTGTGTCAAGGAATTCAATGGAACTGTCAGCCAGGGAAAGTTCACAGAAATGGTCGTCGGTACAGTTCAGAATGATACGGCGTCCTCGATTTACGCGATCGACCAAAACAATCTCTTCGACGTACCCTCCTTGAATTTGACCATCAATGTCCAAAACCGAAGCCAAAGCTCAAATTTCAATATCTCTGGTTATGCCTATCAGGGTATGTCCATTCCATTCGATACATGGTGGGACGGGAACACTACTGGCAATATCAATGCCATGGTGGCCAATAGCAACATCAAGGAATATTCCTCGTACCTTATACAGTTGCTTGACGGCCTGGACAGCAACAGCCTCAACAGAACGATCGAAAACATCGCAGTGTCCATCACTAACAACATTCGCACTGCATCGAACGAGTTCGTGGCAGGCCAAACTGTTTTGTGGACTCCTGTTGTCGTGGTGGTCTGGCGTTGGCTGGCCCTGCCCGTGTCGCTCCTCGTCCTTGCCCTCGTGTTCCTTCTCTGTACGATTGTCATTTCCTCCAAAGAAGACGCCAAGTTGTGGAAAGGAAATAGCCTCACGAGCTTCTACCACCCGCTAAGTAGCGAAGGCAGGCACCAGCTCGTCCCTGTTGAGAATCCAAGGCAGATGGAGGAAGTAGCCCAGAACCTTCGGGTACGCTGGATGCAAACCGAGAAGGGTTGGAGGCTAGTGCCAGGGTCCCAACCGGAAAGAGTAGTGTAGCTAAAATTTCAGTGCTTTCAATAACAGTCAGGCCTTTAATGAACATGAATCCTGGCGGGCGTTGTAACCGCATCTCCTTGAATTAGTAGCGAGCGCAATTTATATAATTTCCGGTGAGCTGATCAACATCAATCTTTTATTTTGGTCGAAGGATCTACCTTCAAAGATACTTTGTCTTCGTTAATGAAAATATGTCCGCAACGTGGAACAAAAAGATCGTTTTGATAGGGTTGATCGTCTTTGGAGGAAGTATAGTTGGCCTCGAAGGCAAAGCCTGAGCCGACCTCCAGGCTTCGCTTCCGCTTGCACAATGACATAGATAGAGGTTGTACCATCGCAACACGCGGTGCTCATGTGAGCATGCCTCCGAAATCCTATCCAACTCTCTCAACCGAAGATGCCTCCTCCCACCTCCGCCATCCCAATCTGTTCGATTCAATCCCATGTCCTTCCCATCTTCGCGGCAAAAAGTCGTCTTCGGTCTGCACGGGAAACGAATCCTCCACGATTGTAACGGCGATATATCGGGTTGTAAAGAATGATCATGAAGTTCACCTAACCTACCAGATAATGACTGCGAGTAGTCACGTGGTTGGCTAGGCTGGAGATTTCACCACTTGGGGCAAGGCTGGCGAAAATAAAGCTCGAAAGCGGCGTAAAATGTCTCACCAACATCAAAAACCTCCAGTAGGTCGACAAATCTCTCGTGATAGACACTCCACAACATCTCAAGTTTTCGATCCACGGCTTGGCCAACGGAATTCCTGACGGCGAGCTTGCCTGACCCAGGGAGATCCTATCCGCTTTCCGTAGGCCTTACACGGAGCCTCGTATCTGATTCTGTTGACTTGTGGGTCCTCATAATATCACTGCTCAGCGAGCGGCCTATTCTTTGAAAGCTGTTCCTCCGTCCTTCAGGAGGAAGCCAATGTAGATAACTGGAGCCTGGAGCATCCTCAGTTACTTAGCTCTCCTCGGCATCGTTACCGGCCTCATCAGGGGACCCTGTACGGTCTTGTATACGGGACCTGGACCGCCCCATATCAATTCCAAATGGAGGTTGAAGTCACGATTTTGTTCCTTGAGGAGCTAGTATACCAAGATTGCGGTCATGGGATTGAAGGATAGGACCTCGGTTCCAGTTCCCTTAAGCGAACATTCCTATCTAATTGCCAGATGTACGGATAGAACGCTACTAGTCCTCTCAGTTCTTGCGAAGGATTCCGTAATATCAAAGTAATTTCGTACAATCGAGCTACTGTCACCGCACTTGTCTTGGCTGTCATCCCAATCAGGATTAGCTGGTATCTCGCACTCCATCCACGCCTGTGAGGATGCAAACTCTCCTATCACTCTCCCTCCGTACTTGAATTCAACTCGTCATTGAGCCCTATTATTGGACCTGATAGAGCGCCGTTATAGCTACACTTCCTTGAATATAGTAGCCATTCCTCCAGTGCCAAGGAATTCGTCGAAATGGCATTGCACGTGTTTCACCGCCCCCTTCATCGTTAAGGTAAATTGATACTCTGCTAGCACTTCAAATGACGGGGGCAGAGTGAGTATCTATAAAGTATAAATATCCCGCCTCCAGAGACTCAGGTTGTATCATTCTACCATATAACTTCTTACAAATAAAAGTGCCTGCCTTCTTCCTACTTGGTTCACTTCAGCCAACATGTTCGTCAACACTGCTGCACTCATCGCCGTCCTGACAGCCTCTGCGAGGGCTTGTATCCACTTCCAGGGAGGCACAACCTACGGCCCTAGAAATTACCAAAGCCCGAGTCTCTGGACTTACTGGTACAGATTTGAAGACAATGGTCAGAAAGTGTGTGATAGCAAAGCCGGCCTACGCGATGGTGACTTGACCCGCTGGTGGGCTCATTGCAGAGAAGGTAAGACGCCGTGAATCAGCTAGTGCTAGTTGGATGAGGCAGGCTGACAAAGACATACGTCCGCAGGCTATGCTTTATCATTCTCGATGGACGGGAAGCACGTTTGGTATCATGCCGGCGGCGTCAACTATGAGTTCGATACCAATTCTAAAAGTACGACCTACTGCTGTCTGGGAGCGTGCGAGGATAGGGGTCCTAAGGGCAAATGCACCGATCATGACTGGGATACTTGGATGTACTGCTGAATGGGCTAATTTCCAGCCTGCTGGCAATGGTGAAGCCGACTATTTGGGAAGATTTATCCAAAACCAGCACCACCTTGTCTAGTCATGCGACTCGGCGTCCGTCTGAGCAGACTGGTGCCGTCGACGAGTTTTCACCTCAGTCACTCAAAAGCTTATGCGCATTTATTCTCTCGGGTTTACGCTCTTCTCAGGGCAAAGTCTCGATGGCTAGCAAGAGATTTCATGGATTCATTGGTTGTCAGTTATCAAGAGCAAGGATGCTCGCAACATAATAGAAATGGTCATAACAATAGTCCATTAATGACAGAAGCCACCATGTCATAGTTACGCGCTGCATTGCTACCACTTACTCGGCTGTTGGGTCTCTCATAATGAAGGTTAAATGAAGCCACCTGAATTTAAATCGTATCGTTGCATAGTCAGTTACTGTATAGAAGATATTCATTTCTGAAAGAGATAGTCGATGAAAGAGCGGTGAGACATTCGGTAGAACTATTCCTTCTCGTCAGTTAAAGCTAACCTTGAAATCCTACTTCTGTCACGAGATAGATTGGCCTTGCTGGGTGAAATTGGAAACGGTAAACCTAGTACCCTCTGATCGGACAATATTCAAAAGGCTTGAGGTCGCCACGAGGAACCTGGTATTTTTGGGAGGTATTCATTGAGCAGCCGGATCTTATTTCTAGACGGCTCCTCAATGGTAGTACCTGGCCCCATTTGTAAGTATATCGATCCTCGTAGCCTTTATAGTCTCGGTTCTAACCACTCGGGAGATAGAAATTGGCATAGCGTACTGGTTGTTACTAGCTTCAGAGGACTTGTTGGGGTCAGTAAAGAAAGCACTAGTATAAGCACTTCGTATAAGTGAAGAGTTATTGGATGCCGGAATAACGGAATCCGTCTGTCGGAGCCGAGGCACTCCAGATTCGCGAAATTACTGAGTGACAATACAACCTCAATTCACTGCAATTGCCACTGATGATCAATCGACTTAGTGTAATCTCCGACGTCATATAGGATCCGATGATTTAGATCATTCCTCATCTAGTTTTATATAGGGATTAGACTAGCCTCCATGAGGGCCTCAGTTGAAGACTCCCAATGTCAATGTGGAAGTGGGGGAGCCGGGGAGGGTGGGTAACTTTTCACCACATTATTACTGTACCTACCCACCGCCCTTTGGAACGCCGGTCTTCACCGTTGTTACCATCTTTCTTCCATTGCCCACTCGCCTTGCTGTCTTCTCCGATACCCTACCCTTCTGATCTAGATCCAACCATCATCATCCAACCATCATGTCACAACTCCAAAACCCCAGTCCTCAGATCACAAAAGTATACCGGAAAACTCGACGGCCGCCTGCTAGTCTGAGGACCAAGACCGGATGTTTGACATGTGAGTGTTAATTGACAGCCCCATGTTAGAGTCGCCCCTGTGCCTCCGGCAATGTGATTGTTATCAACCTTGGTCGACGTGTATTTGGGAGATTGCAGATACTCGTTGCACAAGCCACTGATCGATGTATTTTGACCTCAGGCCTCCGACGGAAGAAGAAGTGCGACGAAACCATGGTAATCTGTCGCAACTGTTCACGCAGCGGCAAGGACTGCAGATGGCGCCACTCCTCCTCCGATATGTTACCACAGCAGCAAGGATTGACGATAGCAATAAACCCTCCCACTCACAGAAGTCAGGGATCGATCTCTTGGAACCTGTGGCCCTGAGCACCAGGAGAGCCTTGGTGTCGTTCTATGTCCCCGCTGCGCTTTACCTTCCTTGCTCACCCGTTTTATTGCCGGAAACAATGTCTCTATTCCAGTACTATGCTGATGTCTACCTCCCCCAGATCACTAGACCACAGTCAAACCGTCATTTCATTACTGCGGCTGAGCAAGAAATAATCACAATCGGTCTACATAGAGCTTTCTTGCTGCACGTACTGCTGGCCACCTCGGCAAGTCAGTTGTCGAAGCGAGCTGAACACTACAAAGCAGTTGCAGAGTTCCACTACGGAAAAGCCGTCAAGGGTCTCAGGCTCAGTCTTGAAGAGGACGCTCAGATAGATACGGGCGCAATTTTACTTGCAATAATTGGCTTGTGTATTTATTCAGTACGTGATCTCTTTCAACAAAGTGAACATTTCCTTGGGGGAGGGGGCCCCCATGCAGTTCTTTTCACTGTCTTCCTCTTTACTAATGGATGTCTCTACAGTCGGAATCGGACGATCCCCAACCCTCAGGAGAAGTGACCATGCACATCAATGGCGCCGCCAAAATAATCCTCCAGTGTCTATCCAACAATCCAAGCTACTACCACCGAAATTATTCCCCAGCTCAGACCGCCAAGCAGCGTCTGGTACTGGAGTCTTTCTGCTTCCACGCCTCTCGGAGGAGAAGATGCCCGCCAGATCGCTAGCGGTCAGTGAAGCTGTCTTTGCAGTTCAAGAGCTCTGCGCTTCCGACGAGCTCTTGGAAAATCCTGCATGGAGGACCTCTCCACTCCTGGGGCCGGCCCCGAAGCTCTTCAGCCACGTCTTTCATATGTCTCTTCTGCAGAATCAGCCCTTCTTAAGTGCTGGAGACCTAGATCACTGTCTTAAACTCGAAACAGAGCTGCTGGGATTGGAGTCGTCGATCGACCCGAAGGGTTTCCTCCAGAACAGAGACGGTTGCGACCGTACCATTCTGGGGCTTCAGCTCTACATCCTAGCCTGTAGGCTGTTGCTGAATCGCATGCTAGACGGCTCGCCGAAACTATCCAGCCACGCCCTGGTCACCCAGGCATTGCGCATCATCATTCACCTGGTACCCGTCGAGTCAGATTACCATGCATCCTATTATCTCTGGCCTCTATCTATCATCGCCACATCAATATCTCAACTGGTAGCTCACGATCTGGGCCTCGAGCTCGGCAATTGAATTCACAGCATGCGGGCAGGGATAAATTCTACCGAAGAACGCATCTGCATTCTGTTGACAACATGGGAGGCCATGCATACACTCTGACAATATACCCCATGTCCTTCCCACATGAAAGAGGAATAGGTACATGATTTTCTGTCGCGACTACTCCCTGTACAGTCTTCGAGGAAAATTCAAGTCTCGAAAACCACAAAACCTCTCAGAGTTCCTCACATTTGGTCTTTTTCATCTCATTGCCATGCAACTTTCTTGTTTTTTTGCAGTCCGCCGATCTAGTAGTGTCAGACGAGCACAATCGTCGGCAGAATATGGTGCATGCGTGTGTAGGCATGGCTGAATTTCTCGTGATGGCTTGTCCTTGTCAGAGAGAGTGGGGGAAGTAGTATGATACTTTTTCTCAAGTAACACACCGACCTACTATCTTCTCAGCACTTCGTTGATAACCTCTGTTGCCGTCAGCACTTCCTCGTCCTGGAAGCGCCATCCTACGATCTGTAAACTACACGGGGCACCATCAACTGCAGCAGTATCAACTGAAACCCGCAAGACGCGATCATGGTCAGCAAGATTTCACATAACATAACCTGGAGAAGTCAGAGGTTCACCTACAACCGCCACAGGAGTCCACGGCTTTATCTGCCTTGAGAAAAGGCACGATGGCAGCAGGAAACTGGGCATCGTTAGCACCCAAGATATCCACCGAGTCCATCTCCAAGGGTTTTTCGAGCAGAAGATATGGTACGTACGTCAAGAAGATTCCAGTTTAACGTATATACCGGCATGCCAAAAGTGTCGTGTGGAACAACGGTTGCCCGAGCACCGGGACACAGCAGCACATCCATATCTGCAGCTCGCCACTGGACAAGCCGTTCTTCCCTGTACTCACTCAACGCGGTATTGGAGTCCCACACATCATCAATGCTGTATTTACGGGGCTCGACCAGATTCCTGGTTGAAATTCGGGCCAACTACGCGATTGGGTCTTCGACATTTTCCAAATGTGAGAAGGGCGTCATCTCGTTGTCCAGGCTGGAAAAGCCCCCGGCAATGACCGCGGCCCTGCGGATCGATGGCACGGTCGGGCATAGAGTGACATGATGTCCAGCTGTTTTGAGCTTCGTAGCTGCTGATTCCAGGGCACGATGGACTGGTGGTGCGAGTGGATAGTCCTTATCGCCAAGCATGAGTCCAACCTTCAACAACTGCCGTGGTACTTCTCGCCATAGGGCCGCTAGTGAGGACCAGTCGCGTGTCCATGGCCTGCTCTGGATGACGACTTTGAAGAACAGTGACAGGTCTGCGGCGGTGGACGCAATCGGGCCCGCGGATGGGACGATACCGGGAGAGTCTTTTCTTGCGGAGAACTGTTGTCTCCCAAATGGAATGCGGTCGGCGGTGGGATTGAACCCGTAGGCACCGCAGCATATCGACGGTGCTCTGATGGAACCGCCAATGACTGTTCCGACACCTAGGATAGATCCCCTCAGGCCCACCAAAGCTCCTTCGCCGCCGCTGCTTCCGCCAGCCGTCAGGTTCAATTTGTGTGGATTAAGTGATCGGCCAAATACATGATTCACTGATTCCATTGTCTGGGTTCCATAGTTAGGCTTTATCTCATATGTAAGCTGAAGCCATCTAAGATCATCATCTTACCAGCATGGTTTGAGGCACATTTGTCTTGACATAGAGCACGGCTCCGGCGCCCAAGAGTGTGTCTATTAAAGTAGAATTGTGGTCCGAGACGGGCTTGGTAAGATATGAAACGTAACCCAGGGTGGATGCTTGACCCTTGATCATGAAGCAATCCTGGATCGATAAACTTTAGTAATTTGCCATTTTATCATATCGTTCAACGGCTCGAGAATCACCTTGACACTTATGGGCATCCCATGAAAGGGACCTAGCGGTTTTCCTTCTCTTAAAAATTAGTCGTCCAGGTCCCTTCGCGCGTTCTACAGCTTCCGTGAACATGATCTCTGTCAAGCAATTTGTCTAGCGTCGATTAATTCTATGAACTTTTCCCGCATTTCCATCAAGACCCTACCAACTGCTGTGCAATGGCTGCACGTTTACAAGAAGCTTTTGTAATCTCCAGTGAGAAGACAATTCCGGTTGCCAGCATTCCTAGGAGCGTTTCGACGCTGTAATTCTCAATTAAATGGACCTCGCGTGTGTTCAAGAGGTCAAGGGTCTGTAGCAATTGGATGACGTTAATGGCAGAGGGGGGCGAGATGCTCTTGGTAATTTCTTTTGGAAGACGCCATTCTTCTGGAATTCGAGACTCACGGTCCCGCAGCTTCTCTTCAACGAGTGCAGGGGAAAGCAGAAGTTTTGGAAGCAGGTATAAATCCTCCCATCAGGTTTGCAGGATTCACAGTAACTTGACTGTTGTTGGAGCTCGAGCCCGGGTCGAAGTGGCTTTCGAAGATCAACCAGGATAGAAGCCAAGTTTTGACCAATGGCATCACTTTCCGCAATGGAGGCTGGTAGCCACGAACAAGGGACAGGTTCGATAGGTTATTGTTTTTGGTGCAAGTTTTGCAACCTTTAAATCACCAAGTCATGTGGAACTCTGCAATCAGTTGCTATGGATCCTGTTACAGTCCACCCTTAAACGTTACATTCTATCATGATGGATGTAATGCACCACAATCCTCCATGTCTGAATAGGTATCGCACTTCCGGTAGAAAGAGGAACCGCCAGATACGGGCCCAGTCAAAAGTTCAATGTTCTGAGAACGTTATTATTATTCAAGTGGTTAGTAAAAAGTCTATGAAGGCATAGTAAGGCCCATTATACGTTCAATATCTGGAACATCTTCGGAAACGCTATTTATGTCCACACATCCCTCCGAAGCTAAACTCACTTTTCGAAGCATCTCGGAACAGTCATACAGATGCCATGATTAGGTCAAGCGGCTAAGTACTTCAACCACTGCTCGATGTCAACCGCAAGTCTTTCTCCAATAGCGTTGTCCATGATCCCCTCCTGCCATCCAATGTCTACACACAAATCACCCCCCTGAACGCTGACGGCGCTGATGTGAAAAGCTGGGGCATTGACCTCAGCACTCAAGTGGAACCTGGCTCCCTGAATAGACCATTGCTTGAGTTCGCCACTCTCAAATGAGCCCAGGTTTGTGACGCCCCAGGACCGAGCTCGAGGTTTGCTGAGCTTACTTTTCATCAGCTCGCGCCAGTCTTTGACGTAGTGCATCAACCCCACCGGATCATTCTCCATGTCCGAACTGAGTTTGTCTCGAATCTTTTGCCGGTTCCGTCGAGCGAGCAGCCATACCATGTCCTGTAACTTCGCCTTGATTGTATTCTCGGACTGTTGCTGGGCAGATCCTCTTCGAACTCGATTGACAACACCAGCGTCAAAATTCTCCTCGATCAAAGACACTTCATTGTCCATGGTCTTTGCTGGCTCATGCCATGGAAACTCGGACGGTTTTAGAGGCATAAACTGGCGCAGATCAATGGCTGTGACTGATGACAGTGCTTTCATCTTGTCTCCACCAAGTTGTCGAGCCAGAGAGAACAAAGGCAAAACGTTGAGTAAACCCGTCAGAGTCGTTGAGTGTTCGCGACAAGCTGCCAGTAAAGACTCCAAGGTTGATCTATCTATCGTTATCAGACGTGATTCTGTACGGTAAGGGGCCGCGCGGATTGGGGCCCATCCTACATCTGCGGGGTTGCGTGCTACCAGAAAAGCTGGGAACAGTTCCCTGTAGATGGTCAACAGGGTAAAGCCCCAAGACATAGATATCTTGCGGAGAGACTCTATTGGAGGTGGAAACCGAATGGTGATATCGCCGAGTTGCAGTTGTCCATCTACTAGACTGGACAGATTCGACTGGGCCCATTCGTCGTTCAAGTTTCGAGCCAGGGTTCGATGGAAGAGTTTGGCCGACATGCCATCGAACCAGGCATGGTGCCAGCAGAAGACCACATCAATGGCTCTTGGGTTACTCTCATCTTGGAGAATATGTAGCCGCCACCCCGGACGTGCATCAAGTTCGGTGAACCACTTGTGTAAGGTATTATGGATCGTCGTTTCAAGTTGGGCTGTGTAATCGTCTGTCCGTTTTATGAACTGCCACTGCAGTTGCCTTGTAAAATCGATGCTCCTTAGGCTGATCCAAAACGGTCGGCTGGAATCTTCATTGGAAAGGGCAACCTGCATCAAAGGATGCTGGAGTACTGAAATGGCTACAGAGCGCTCCACAGCAGTCTTGATTTTAGTGTTTTCGACATGATCAGCAATCGAGTACCGACATGACACGACCGTACCACAGTGCTGTCGCAGTAGGTGAAGAGAAGATTTGTATGCTTCCCTTAATCGCTGTCAGACTCCATATTCATAACCAGGGCGGCTTTGAGGCAGAATGCGGACAACTTACAGATGGCTTAAGGGCCGGATAACTCGTGACTCATGCGGTATACTTCCTTGCGGTTGACCCATGCTACTGACATTCCGACTCGCTCAATACCTGTCAAGAAGACGAACGATAGTTGTTTGATGGAGATTTGCGTTTTTGAATATTCTCGTCCACAGGGCAGATCGCGAAGTTCGTTCCCGCTGGAGCGAAGAATCTGACCATTTACTTCCACCTTAACCACCCTTCACCTATAAAGTTTTCAGGTGCTCGCTTAGAGCCCACGAGCGCCCTCTTGTGAGAAGATGCGCTGTTGGCATGGGAAAGGAGGAGCAGGCTGCGAGATTGAAAGATTCTTAATCCGGTACTATCTCTCCGAGATGTGCATCCCTTCGCCTAGGCCGTTATCCACAACACGAGATACGCTCGTATCCGAGTACGTAGTACGCGACACACGAGGGCTCAGATGATACCTGTCGTCCGATCCCAATTACGCCTGAAATCTGCATCGACATCATCTTACTTTCATAACAATGACACGGGTAGGACTGCCTTGAAGTGTGGAGGATACTTCGTGTTACATGACGTTACTCTTTGAGTACACCGTTATGGTTTTAAGAAAGGGGGGAATCTACAGAGCTCCTGAATAACCGGTAATTCAGCCTGAGTCTTCTATTTTCTAGATCTTGGTGATAGACATAGCGCCCTTATTGCTTGCGCTTAAGATATATCTATTCTACAAGGTACTAAGTAGTCCCATTCGCTAGTAGTCTAAGATACAAATATCAGGGACTGATAATAAGCTTTTAAACTTTAGACTACTTAGAGAAGAATCTTATACATAACTGCAACTGAATTTAGTTTTAAGAACAGGGACCCAGTCAAATACTAGTTCTTAGAAGTCCGGCAATGATTTTTCTAGCAGCTAGCACCTTTTTGTCTGGCGTTACACTTACAGACGCTTTGGGAAGATCGGCAGAAAACTAGTTCATTATGAGGCTCTGCTGATCTTCTTGGTGAACAAAAGTCCCCGAGGGCGAGGCGAAGCTCATACATATATTTAGACGAGGGATGGAAACCCTATCTCGGATCTATTGTGGTATTGGACGCTTTGGGAAACCTCGGGAGACTCGGATACACAAGCCACTGGCATTGTAGCTGCACCGCAGGTCGGGTATGGTGAGCATCGCGGAACTTGTGCGACCAATTCTGAAGATAGAGCGGAGCCGACTCGGAGTGGAGCGACGCCTTACGTTACAGATGAATACTTTACGCTTGAGCGAGCGAGAGTATCTAGTTTTCTGCGGTCGACTTCCGAGGTGACTTGGGTGTAGACAGTACTGAATGATAACATTCTCGACTACTTGCGGCCAACCTCAACACATGTTTCAACGGCTACCAAGGGCACGATACTGAATCATGTTTATCACATTGCAGACAGCTTCGTGAATATGACACAGCCCATCTGGCGAAGCCAGCCGTGGGGCGCCGGACCTAGGGATCAGCCGGAGAGGAAGGTCATTCGAATAGGACAAACATCTCTGCTTCTTGGATCTGAGGGGCCTGGAGTATAGTGATTCTTCGATACTTGTCCTATAGCGGACGACCCATATATAGATAGCTTCCACGAAATACATCAAGGCCAGATTTGTCAGAGTATAGGATCAAGCTCGTTTGCAAGAGTGCTCATCGGTAGGGAGGTCATCTCAGGACCACCAAACAAACAACGTATATGACCGATTCTTGCAGGACACAATGTCTCTACTGGAGGTGTGGTGACCATTAAATTAAAGTACGATTCGCATCGCCCCTGCGCTAAGAGATCGAGATCTAGGCTTTTCACTTATGGACTTTGAGCGTCTATCGTCATGACGATTCCTTCATCTCTTCGGATGTCATTCAGCCTCCTCAGCGCTTTGTCCTCTTAGCACCTTCTTGAGAGCCTGTGATCGTAGGAGAGTAGGGCTCGACATTGCCTTTGATTCAAAGAGATTCACTTTCGTCCACTAAGTTATCGAATCTGTGTCCACAGGTTCGGCGTTGAGATTACTAGACCAGATCCTTCGGGTACACTGGATCCAGACCGAGAAGGGCTGGGGCTAGTGCTAGCTAGGGTCCCGAACAGAAAGAGATAGGTCAAATTCTGGTGCTTCCAGTGCTAGTGAACACGAAATTGGGTGTTTGTTTTCTGGATCTTCTTGACATTGTAGCCTGGAGACCTCCGTGCATCTCCTCGTGGACTAATCGTCGCCAATCAAGGCTGTCGATACAAATTCCTAACTGATGAGTATGGGTTTCGACGCGCAACTGTCAGAGTGGTTCACACTAAACTTTATGGCATAAAAGTGCCCAGCCTCGGGCCTCGGGCCTCCTTACTAGGTTAGGTAACTAGGTAGGAACGGCTTGAAATTAGGACTAGTTGCTTGGCGGAGCACACATTTCTCTCACTCAACAAATGTTGTCTATATGAATTACATTTTCTGCCTTTTCTCTCGCAATCGACCATAGGATGGGGAAAACAGGGCTTCCCGTTCGCTCAGCCGTACTTAAGCTCCATGCCGATTCGTTAGTACTAAAGTGGGTGACCATTTGGGAATCCGGATTGTTGATTGTTTTTTGTCTTTTTGCATTTCCAGTTGAGAGTAATATGACAACGTATCACAAGAGGTCGTGCACCATACTCGAATCGTCCGGTCTATGAAATCGTAACTAAGTCTCTACCTTTTCAGGCTTCTTTCGGCTTCCTCGCCGGTCTATCCTCTTGCCTTGTATCTTCTCGCGAACCCGCGACGCTGCCATCGACATCAAGCAGGGTTCCTTTCGTCCACCATGATATCGCACCTGTGCCCACAAGTTCAGCCTTCAGATTTACAGGAAATGTATGTAGGGTGGCTGTATCATATCTAACAGGGTGAACGATGTGATGCTTCGGTGGCCTTAGTCGCAATGTTTGACTGCGGGGTGTAAATTACATTTGGGGGCAATTCTGAGATGTTCCAGTCTGCAATTCGCCAAAATTGCCAGCTCAGCAAGATCTGCAGGTCTTTAGGGATCAAGGGTGATTCAGCTCTGGGCTTTTTCAATCTCCACTGAAAAGACCTGACGCGTCAAGGATTGGCACAATACGCCTCAAGGGGAGGTGGGAGCCAATGGGCTTGGCAGTTACACATTCCATACGAGAACCACCTACATTCCTTGCAAAGCAATGACCACGGCAAGGAGATCATGAACCGGCCTCGAAATTCTTTTCATACAAGACCACGTCAAGTTCTCCCAGTCGAGGCAGGTAGTACTCTCAAAAACCAGGCCTTCTATCTCGCTATGACTGAGTCTGAACCGTTTCTTTACTCGAAGTTGGAGGCTGATGACAATGAAGAGCAGACTGCCACTGCAATTCCTCTCGAAGATCACTACCATGATGATCCAGCTTTGACACCACGTCAAGATCACGCCGATCTGCAGAGATATGTTCCTCGAACTTACTGGAGCTTGTGGCGCGATATCTCCGAATGGATCTCAAGTAGAGTGGAGAAGGCGACATACGTCTGGCCGCCCACGCCGCCCACCACCCAGGATGTTAAGCAGGCTCTCATTCAAGCCCTTCCTCGCTTATTCAGACCTACCTCACTGCGCAAAACGTTTGAACCAGGCCCAACAGCCTACCTCGATGCTCTACGAGGGTACGCGGCTTGGAATGTCTTTCTTGCGCACGGTTACAAAGGCTATCACTTCTGGTACAAACAACAACCGTTCCTATCGGCCCTCATGGCTGGTGAGGCCATGGTTGCGCTATTCTTCGTCATTTCCGGTTACGTGTTGAGCTATCGTCTACTCATTTATACACGCAACCGTTCTGGTGAGATGTTGCTGGTCGGCCTAGCGAGTAGTACTTTTCGTCGGGGCATACGCTTATACGGCTCGACAATTGTAGCGCTGTTCGCGGCGCTAATTCTGGTTCGCCTCCGATTATATACTGACGCCGGCAAAGGAAATTTCTACTTTGAATCAATGTGGATACAATTAAACGACTGGTTCTGGACACTCTTTTATTTCCTTAATCCTTTCTCCAATCAAATCTGGGGCTATTATAAAGAAGAAAGTCTACAGAACAAATATCTTGGACAAATGTGGACAATTCCCGTTGAGCTTCGCGGCAGCATGATTCTATTTATTTACATCGCAGCGACTTGCAAGCTACCTGTCTATACTCGAATAGCACTAACTTGTTTACTTGTGATCGTCTCTCATTACTGGATGGTTCTCTACGTCGCACAATTCTTGATGGGTATGCTCATCGCCGAATTCGCGCTGCTACGCTATCCAGAGCGACTTACAGTATCAGTCTCGCTCACTGAGCACAGAAATGGCCCGCGAGAGCAAAGCGTAGCTTCAAAATGCTTCTGGACGCTGGTGTTTATCGTCGGCCTCTTTCTCCTAGGACAACCTGATGAGGACACCAATACTCTCGGCATCTTTGGTGACTGGCCCTGGGCATTATTACGCTCCTGGCTTCCAAATTGGCTAGGTTATGGAGAGAAGATATACTGGTATCTAGGCTTCGGGTCCTTCTTCCTTATCCTTGGCCTTGAGATGTATCCAACTTTGCAAGTGCCACTACGATGGGGCTGGAGTCAGTACGTCGGCGAGCTCAGCTTTGGGATATACGCACTACACGTTCCTCTTATCTTCACGATTACAATTTACTGGTGGGATCCGAAGGTGAGAGTAGCAAACGAGTGGGGTGACGGCTGGGGTGTTCTACCCGGCGCATTGGTCATTCATGTGGCAGTTTTCACTTGTGCAGATTATTTCAACAGAATCGACAAACGCGTGGTGCGCTTAGGCAGATGGATCCAAGAACAGTGCTTTGAGCGTTGGGAGAAGTTGTAGGTACAAGAATTATAAGAGAGTGACCAAAACCTTTCAGTCATAGCGCAAATGGTCGCTCAGATCGGGCATGCAGCAATCAAACAATTTTCGGTATCTATAATACAATCAAGAGATCTCAAACCTCGCTAAACCGATTTCCACCCTCGCACTATGCCTCTCGCAGCCTTGTCACTGCGAAGAATGCTGGAATGGTTCACTCAGCAGCGCATCGTATTTACGACGAATGGCCTCGCTATCTGCCCACACAGCCTTGATTTGTTCATCTCTCCTCCGACAATCTTCTGGCCCCGTGGTAACAACCCGTTGATTTCCCTGTGCACGAGCACCTTTGACCAAAGCTGCGGTTCGTGGTTGTCGCTTCTCAGCGAATCGTTGGAATATTTCAGTGAGAGGAGCTCCAAGTGTCGCGATTTTGCCTTCGTAATCTGTGTCCGTGGCATCAAGGCTTGGGAGTGCATTCGAAAGGGTATAGCAATCTTCCCTGTTGATCGATACTGGTCAGTACATGCAGGAGCAACATTCGGGTTTGCACTAGGTGATAACAAGATTCAAGAAATTTCGACCTCAACAGTGGATCCACTGCTTGAGACTGGCTTTTGAGACTTACAGGGCCTGGTTCGCTCCTTGGCCCAAGTGTGGGCTCGTTGGGTGAGCAGCGTCGCCAACAAGGACACATCGTCTCGAGTGCCACTGTTCTGGCTTCATCTCTTCACGATCATAAATGCCGAACTTGATGATCCTAGTAGCTGAGGTTATCAGTTCATAAGGGACGCCGTCACTCCATGACTTGACGTGCTCGGACAACGTCCGTTTGCGTTCTTCGATCTCTTCTGCTGTACACAGCCCCCACGCAGCTTCTTGACCAGATCCTTCAGGCAATGTGATGGCCCATGAGGCAACGGTCGGGGAAACTGGGTATGATATCACGTGCACGCCTTCGCCGTACCAGTTCCGCATCGCTGGAAGGGCTCCAAGGGCCACTGGAGTTGGTGACAGACCAGCCGTCTTTGGTTGGAGCACGATATTTGTTAGCAAGGAGGTTGGTGGACAGTCGAAGACAGATTTTGGAGTATTTCCAAATCGTTGGTGCCACTTACCTGAGTCAAGCCTGTGAATTCGGGCAATCCTTCTTCGAGACCAGTCTTTCCCAATAGCACTCTCCTTGAAGCAGCCTTGATACCATCACAGCCAATCAAGAATGAACCGGTCACAGATTCTCTCCCTTTGAAGTGCGCAGTAACCGAATCATCCGTCTCCTCGACATCATCCAGCTCCCAACCCTCCCTGACATCGACACCGAGTTCTTCGACCAGGCTCTTCAATTTTAAATTCAGCTCGGTACGCTTGACGCCAAGTCCTGGCGTACCATACTTCTGCTTGAACGTAGTTGGGATACTGGAAGTGCCTAAAACCTCGTCGTTCGCAGTCTTGTCCACAAAAGCTTGGAGATCAATTGAATCTCGTTGAATCTCGGGGAGGATGCCGGCTAGACCGAGAACTTTGAGTCCGTTCGGCATCAACATTAGTGAGGCGCCTGCATCTCCTAACTTGGTGACTTTCTCGAATACAATCGGCGTGTAGCCTTTGCGTTTCAGGAAATGTGCTAGGACAGGCCCAGCCACACCGCAGCCGATGATCAGTACTTTGACTTCCGGCATACTAAGTATTCGAATGTTTCTCTCTTATTGTTGATTTTGGTAGTGGGTGTCGGTACAAGTCTTTTTGTGGGTCAGTTTCAGTCGTAGGAGTCGTTGAGTTCTTGAGTATGGAAATGAAAACCATCATGGCATCAAGGCGTGGACATCATAGATATAGCAAAGGTTGTTGAACCATCAACAGCCAACTCTAAGGTCCAGTTTCCAAAAGCGTGAACGTTTATGCTGCACACGAGCTCATGCGGAATTACATCGGATGAGGGAAACATACGATCGAATCAAGGTGTAAAATTATCGGAGATGGATGTGCATGATGCCCAACTCCACCAATAAGCATGATCTATCGTATGAGTAATGTTCCGGCGACCCCCAGCCTGTTTTTTATTTATACTACCCAGTAGAAAGCTACACATCGAGGTTTTAGGATGACGTCGGGTCCTGTTTGCTTCAATTTATAGGATTCTTGTGCACCACTGTCGCGTGTATCCTTTGCTCACTGTTATACCTTCCTTAAATGATAGTACTAAGGCAGCCCAAGGCGACCAAGCCAATCCAATTATTGCCAGGCATTGAAAGGCAGGCACAGGTTGAAGAGAGCACTTAAGGGCTCGTGCTTGGTGGCCAGGAGCCTATTAATAAACATAAGTGACAAGGTGCCTCCATACTTCGATAGTTATACTCTGGCTTGAGGCAGCGGATATCCGCCAAGCTGCTCAAAGAATTGTTGTGCCTGAGTCAACGCCTGCTTCACTTCTTCACCCATGTACGATGCGATCATGGAGTTTCGTGGCCCTTCAACTTCTCTCGTAGTCCCACCTGCAACCTGCAAGGAGATATAAATCAGTAGGGAGGCGCCGGACACAGACTAACAAGAAACCCACCAGGTAGCATCTTCCAAAAGTAACAGATTCTGCAGGATCGCCAAATAAACCAAGGCTCGTCCTCAAAACCGCATCCGCCACATTCGTCGGCGTATTCAGTGGCAGCCCACGCTGCCGGTACTTGTCTGAGTATCCTTCCGTAATGAATGTAGGAGTGATGAATGGTGCGACAGCATTAACCTGGACATCGAACTTGCGCGCCGCAGACTGGGTTGCCCGTAATAGTCCAATGACACCATGTTTAGAAGCAACATAACTGACCACGGACGTTCCTCCGAAGAATCCAGAAGTCGAGGATATGAGAACAATGCTGCCTCTAGTGGGTGCTGGTGGGGTCCCAACGAGGGAAGATGATGCTTCGAGCCAGGGAAACTGTTGAAGCGGGTTGGACTGCATGTTGAACATTGCCAAACGAAGGGCTACGTGAGCATGGCTTGTCAGTACAGGGCATCGCCTTAAATCAGTAACTCTCTGCGATCCTGAGCATCATATGAATCGTGCATATTTCTGACTAGATCTGGGGCCACGATGCAGACTATTATGCGCTTACTGTTCATTGTCCCCTTAAGATTGACATCAATCACCCTCGCAAGACCTGGTTCCTCCTTAAGATCTCCCGTACTGATGTCGACATCAAAATCGAAGAAAGGTTTAGTTTCCATGATTCCTGCATTCGCAACGACGATGTCCACTCTTCCAAAATTTGATTTCGTGGTTTTGAACAAATCAACCATAGAAAACCAATTCGTGATATCAGCGGGGACAAAAATCATACGGCCTCCACCTGTGACAGAATTAATGATCTTGTTCGCGGAAGAGGAGGCGGATGGGAGATCTGCGATCACTATATTCGCGCCGAGGCGTGCGTAAGAATCGACAATTGCTGCACCAATGCCATTGGCGCCTCCGGTGACCACAACCGTCTTGGATTTTAGGTCTGATGGCAAGGGAGATTTCATCTGGACGATGCTGGCGTGCAAGTACGAGTAGTGGTTTTCAATCGATTATCATGAATTCTATGTCAACTGGAAATCGGTGTTGCTCAAGGTCTGTAGAATGGGAAGACGTGGTTCGTGTAAGTCCAAAGAAAACTAAACTGGTAGAGCCAGAGTGATAAGACTTCGCACGTACACTAAGCGCATTCTCTTCCATATCAAAGGGCAGCTTTGTAGTGCAATACCATGCCGAATTATGCGTCTCTAAGCGAGCGTACACAGCTGCAGCATTCATAGGGTTGCCATTTGTTCTGTCCCCGGTATTGATTGGGATTTGAATTCCCAATTGCGGCTCATTGGCCGAGACCAATGGATCCAGCGAGCAAGCTGAATTCCATGTGTGCTGTAGTTCAGCATGCCTCATCTGAATGACGTATCCGATTCTGATATCTTGCAGAGACAACCTGCCATAGAATTTGGTGTTTTCGTCCTTGGTGGAGAGAGGGGATTGTCAGCCTTGCCATCTCCGAAAAAGCTCGGAGATGTGGTTCTGGCTGGGAAAATGAAATTCCTCCGTGTCTGATTGGTGGGAAACCACGCTCACCCACGAGATTTTATCTGGCAATTATACCGTACCGTGTTGTGAATTGTCGTATGCTGCGAAAATTTATATCAACCTGACCGTTCCGGCATGGAACGAGATCATTGGGGCTAAGAAATGGGTAGGAGCTGCTAAGTACTTGTGAGTTAAGCTTGAATGATAAAGCGTTGGTAATAGTCTACCGAGGTCTGACGCAATATGATTTTTCAAACTCGAATCTTCGCCATACTGGATATATCGCAGACCATACCTTCGATATTAGCGAGATGTCTCTGCCACACAGTTATGGCATAGTATTGAACAATGGTAGCACGATTGTTCACGGCCGTGGAGCCAACATCAGAACACCGTTTAGCGCTATCCCAGTGATAATGCACGAGTTATCGCCTGGTCAGCATCTCCATCTGCAAGAACCAGAACAAGGCCAGTCCAAGATTCGTTCATACGGGGGTCAACTTGGTTTCATCGAATTCACAACCGATTATCGCTTGCCTCGACACGTGCATATATCACCACCAGAGTCGCAAAATCCGAATGATCAGGCTTTCACTGCAGAGCGTATTCTCGTACTCTCAGGGGTTGCTCTCGTTGAGTTGAATGGCGAAATATTCGTTATACCACCAAAGACGTTAGTGACGATTGCCCCGGGCGTGCCACACACATGGACGGCATGCGCAAAAGGTGTGAGAGTTTCGGCTCCTCCAGACACAGAAGATATAGCAAAATGCACTGGTCGTGATAATGCGCAGCGTCATGCGCCCGAGCCTGTTGTCTCCACCGGACAATTTTTGATGGTGTACGAATATGAAGACCCAACGGGGTTCTTTCCAACGAAGCAGACCGATACGCTCAAAGATATCGAGCAATATGAGCGCTGTGACGATTTGGAATCGATCCGAATACCAGCTCTGAGTGCACATGAGGTCCAGCAGCGCTGTACCTTTGTCTGGGAGAAAGCGATCTGGAAGAAGACTTCATGAGCTGCTTGCTACGGTTTCAAGTGAAAATGAGTGCTATGGATCAACACCTCAGCAGGTATTAGTAGAGCCGAACAGCTGTGGCATGTGGTTGTTGTGAGTAGTTAGCTGATGAGCGCAAGAGAACCTCTTTGCGATAGCCACTTGATTGGCATGACATTTCAGGTTGAATAGTGTTGTTAGGCAATCAAGACGCCTGTTCACGCTCTTCACGCTCTTTTGATTGATATCCGTCTTCCGTTGCTGCATCCAAGATTCAAATCATAACTTCAAGATGATTTGCTCGGAACAGTAGCCTCGCTTTGATATTGGGTTTGCAACCTATTATACGACTTGGTCAGAGCCAATGCAGTCGAAGGCCAGAATGGGCCTTGCAGATTGTAGCAGAGAAGGAGTTCTTTCGGTTTGGCAATTTGAGCTCGAGCCTGAGCCCTCTGCGAGGGGCGATCCAACATTAGCCAATGCTTGGTGTCTCTCTCAGGCCAACTCAAGTTGAGACGAACCCAGGAAGGTCTCTGAAATGAGGAGTACCTGTCTCCTCCTTCTTGATAGAACCCAGCAGACGTTATGGAGGGCCGCACAGCAGATGAACCTGTTTCTGGGCCGATGTTATCAACTTCTTGACTTAACAGCCATTCTGCGATTTGTGCTGCCTGAAAGCTATCCCATAACCACTCTTGTCGATAACACGAACGTAATAATGAGATAGCTGACCTTCGAATCTGTATACTACCGCATACTGTGGCCACGAAAAGTACATCGGAGATGAATTCGATACCAAATCCTAGCCGTACTCGTTGACCTTGTGATGACACTGTGGCAACGTCATTTAGGCCCAGATTACTGAATTGAACACATAAATCGAGAATATCTTGTAGTGCTTTGTACGACTCAGGTTTGGAGAGCGTGTCTGAGTGTCCTAGATTGAGAAGAACAAGGCGACATATTTGGAATTGGATCCGCAGGTATATCAATGACGAAGTCTGGTTTGAGGGAATTTCGTCGACTCTCATGTCTGGAAAGGAAGAGTCAAGCTCCATGACGCACTGTTCGACCAGGATACCCTGAGCAGTTCCTCGAAAGCCCGTTTCAGCCGCCTGATCCAAATGTCTGCACACGCCATCGATAATTGAATTGAACTTAGCAAATCCTGACATTGGGGAATGTGACAAAGTCTTTGAACGACTGTTGGTCTTCGCCTTAAAGCGATTGATGATCTGCAGTACGCAAGGATCAAGTGATTGACTTGCGTTTGCTGATTCATTTGCTTGGATTATGCCAATCGCGCCTCGCAGGTGTGTTGAGGCTCGGCCATAATCATTGCGATAGGTCTCCAAGCATCTGAGCACTAGCGACACAAGAAATAGCTCGACCCAACTCGAACTCGATGATAGACTTTGTACCGTTGCAGCGGACCTGAGAACCTGTCGGTACTGCAACTCAGCGTCGGCTTGGAGCCTAGTTGCATCAGTTGGATCGATGAGGCTGCCGATGTAGGACGCGAAACTTAAGATGGCGAATCGCATAGGGAGAACTTGTAAACAGACTTGCGGTAAAAAGGTGCAAAATAGCCCAACATCAGCGGCATCAGCTACCTCAAGGGTGCTACGAGAGAGCTGCAGATAAAGCCACAACTTATAGCGTTCCGTCTCTGACCAATCTGCATAAATTGATAAGGGTTGATTCAGTGAGTAGATGGATGTTACGGGCCTGCATTGCCAGATTGTGTGATGATCTGTATGTTTCCAGGTCTGCCGGGGAACATTCGTTTTTCTGTCAAGAGTCTTACCAGTCCGGAGATTACTCGCTGATTGATAGACCATGGTAGCTTTCACATTTTGCGATTCAAACAACCATGGAATTGGGGTGTTATACCCTTCACATCTTCGACGGCCGTCAAGGCATCTGTTGCAGTTAGGTTGTCCTTCATCACATTTGAGATGACGCCGGCGACAGGTGATACAGCCGGAACGTGTCTTGTTGTGCTGTCGCTTTACTCGCTTCTCCTTCTGCAGTAATGTAGTGGTAGAGCCGGAGACTGGCATGATTCGAAGTTCGTGAAACACGAAAGAATGAGTGTTACTGTAAGAGTCTAACTTTGCACTGAAGTGAAGGCCTCCAATATAGGGATGACACTAGTGCAATGCCAACGAGTGTTCATTACGGGTTATCTAAGTAATAAGCATGGAAGTAGCATCATTTTGAGTGGAGGCCTAACTTGTGGAGGCTGTAGAATGCTGCGGGTAAGGCGACAAGCCGAGGCACTCGAAGACGGGAAGATTTTGGTCCGTGTATGCGAAGTCTTCCCCACGATCAGATACCATAAGATGATCTGTCTGGACCAGAAGGAGACCACCATCTATTTAAGTGTTTTGGGATGTCAACTTAAGCTCGAATACCTTGCCAGGTAGCTCTGTCAGCAAGAGGCCCTGGATTTAGTCAGGATATGTTGATTCGCACAAGATTGCCTGCGCATCAGTCCTTGCGCTTGGATGCAGCATCTGCAGCTGCAGCGTACATATGGAATCAGTCGTTTGACCCAAGTATGCTGGAAGACCAGGAAGTGAGCTTACAAGGCGATAAACGTACGCCTTTAGATATTCTTGGTACTGCTATTGAGTACTTACTTCCCCAATTCGAGCTCGAAATTAGATATCTGGGCAGAACGGTGTTCCTCCCCCTGAGAGATCTTGGCGTTCAATGCTCAAATTGTCGGGGTACTTGGGACGAAGTCAGCTGTTGTTCCAGGACTACGAAGTACGAGTGCCTCGTACTAATCCTACCAACATCCATCTCGTTTAGCACTTCGACTGAGTGATTCCCTACGGATACACCATCTCGATCCGTAAGTCCTGGCCTGGCGAGAGTCGCGACTCTCCCAGCTACGGGGTACGCCAGTCCGAGAATAGCGATGGTCCAAATGTGAAACAGTGCTTGGCCTTTTTCCTGCGAAGTTTGGTGTGTGCCTTGGGCCAGAAGTCGGACTTCGAGCTGTTCCTAGGGGCATCACAACTTTGGAAGTCACCCAAACGCGAAAGCTCGTTCCAATCGTCACCAGTATGCCAAAAAGAGTAACAATAACTCATGCCAAAAAGAGTAACAATAACTCATTCAACCTGGTCATGGATACCGATCAAGATTCAAAGCATGAGAGTCCGTGACATTAGGGCACCACTAGATTTATGGGCCATGAGGGTTAAAACACATCTGCGAATTTTCAGCTTCGGGAGATGGTCGAACCGTCGAACCCACATAGGAAAGTGCCATTCTCAGCCCAGTGGATCATACCCACTCGTGAAGCCCGTCATGCGACACAGCCGAACGGCCGAGTTCATGAAGAAAATCATTCAGCATCCCAAAGTTGCCAGGCCAGATCTCTCTTCCTTGAACTTCCTTGGCAACGGCTCTTTGTTCTTCTACACAATTACTCCTCCTACTGACCGCAAATCCCGAATCGTCACTTCGAAAAAGCTCCTCTCAGTAAAGGAAGGCCATTGCACCATAAATCACACAACCTTGATCCAAACTCGTCAATAATAGTCCATACCGCGATGTCTGCCGACGAGGTCGCCGGGTTTGCATTGCGGAGGAATGGCAGTTGTTTGTCAACAGAAACGGAATGTGGTGCTACCGTTGCACCCTACTATGCTTGTTGTGTAGGAGGAAGTAATTGTGTTAACCCATATAACCAAGTCTGTTGTACTTCGGGAAACTGTACCTCGACTATTGTGCAGAATCCTGTATGCGCGGACCCATCCTGGAGCTTATATAACAACGGTGGAGTAGACTCCGGCTACTTTTGCTGTTTGCCGGGTACCGATGGTTATGCTGTTCAGTTGGGCGGAAGCAATGGTTGCGGAAATCCTGGATATGAGCTTCAATCCGGGGAGATTGCATTACAGCTACTGAGTCAAGCAATATCTTCTACAGCTGGTAATTCATGGAATATGACCAAAATTTGATCTAATACTGACGAGTATTCAGCAGCAACATCTTCTCCGCAGGCACCCACCTCGACGACCACCAGCATCAATGTCATCTCTTCTGTCGCATCCAGTTCCAATCCATCCAGAACCTCGGATGGATCAGCACTCCCAGCAGAAACATCCTCTTCCAGTTCAAATTCATCTGGCGCTGTTATCGGAGGTGCGGTCGGTGGTGTCGTGGCTATTCTCCTCCTGGTCGTCGTGGGCTTTTTCATCTATCGAAAACGACACCAGACGAATGGTAAAAAGCTCCCCCAGGACCGATATGAAACTTACGGACATGCTCAAGACCATAAATCCAACTATCGAGAAGTTGTCGAGCTTTCCGACTCACAGGTGGTTGAGTTACCGTCCACAGATCCCTCGGAAACAGCAAGTGCTCGAGCTCGGGGCTCTCAACGCTTCGAACTACCTTAGTAACATTGGATCCTAGTTTCTCGCGTGCTTGCGAGTTTGATAACAAATGGTGGATCGATATTAGACATTATTCAACTAAACATCACTATGGACCATCGCCAATGGATACATACGGATATGTATTTATCGTTCACGTGGAGAGGTGGACCCATTTCCAATGGGCTTCCAGTCTGACTGAGATGGCAGAAACGAGTGTGGGCGCAGGCTTCGCCATAATGGCCGAGCAGATCAGATTTTGGTCTCGCCGCATTTCTCGCAAACCGTATTTTGCAGCTTCGCCAATGTCTTTATGGAGATCAAAGCCATCCCAGGAGCAACTTCTTTCACTGCACCGACACTGGATAACTCAAACTGCTCGTTGTCCTTAAGGCTTGCTACTGCTTGTGCGACGAGATCCGCTGCATTCTTTGTACGCAAGCGATGACAATCTACACAAGCAAAGACGAATAAGACGAAATGCAGAAGACTAGATCGTGGCGGGTCAGTTCGAGTTCTCATGAGCACAGTAATCCACATGAGATGAGAAACATACCAGCATACAATCTTAACACTACCAGCTGCAACCGGCAAGGACTCCCAATAGTTGATAAGAATTTGTATCAGCCCAGAACTGAACAGCCCGCCAAACAAAATCAGATCGAATGCCACATGAGCACCCGGATGCATGCCAGTCTTCTTCTGAAACCGAACAATGAATTCGGTGACGTTCCAGATCAATCCGATCCCAAGCTAAAGGATTGTCAGCAAAATCGAACAACTGTCATAAATGCACAGGTAGACGAACAAATACAAATGACTCAGGAGAAATCCATATCTCAAAGTTGTCAGAATTCAGGGTTGCAGCTCCTATCTGCAGACCAAGGCCGACCAGTATGAACAAAGTGGCAAGGAACCTGAGGCTCACACTCCAGAAGGCCAAGCTTCGATTCTTTTCACTTGCACTGATGAATGCATTTTCAACTGAGCGCTGCATCGTTCTCCGGGATGGTGATATTTGTCGCAAACTTTCGAAGTTGTCGGCAAAGTTCAGTGTGTAGTGCAAGGAGAGTTGTTGCTGAAAAGGTACGGATAGGATAGAATGATGATTGGGAGTAAAAGGGCTTATCCAAACCTAATATATTGCTACCCAAGTGCCGGCGCCAATATGGAAATAGATCAGTATGTCTACCCATTCACGTGCCGTTCCCTACGTGGACTTGTCATTGGTACATAGCCTCTCGAAATGGTCCCGACGATACTGGGTTTGGTGGACGGCCTACATGTGGAGCGCTAACGCAAGGGCACAGAGTATATTTCCTGAAAGGCGCATTAAGGATTCCGAACAGCTCTCGACATGTTGACAGGTGCCTGGAGAGCCAAGACAAGATAGAGGTATCGACCAGGAGTCTTGGACACTTTCGTCTGGTGCTGTTCCCTGTTATGTAATAAGATACACAGGAAACTACGAATGATCGTTCAGTCCTGGGAGGCTGAGCAGCTGGCTAGTTGTTTGACTTGACTTTGGGGGCTAGCCGAAGGATCAAGGCTATGCGTAGATCCCCGCCTTGTTGGCCAGGACATACCATAACTCCTACTCGTCCCCCATATGACGTAGCCTCAGGCGCCCGCCAAAAACACCCATCATTATTGTCGTCAAGTATTCGTATAACATCCCTGGTAAATGGAGCACTGGTTGAGGAATTCCGCTTTGCAAGCAAGGGCTCATTGTTGATTCTTTCTTGCAGTTTACCCACTTATTACTACTGATCGATGACAAACCCACCCAAGGCAAACAGTGTTTCCAGCGGAAAACCTGGCGACTCGATCCCCTTTCCGTATCTGGCACGATAAGATGATTATTCTCCATCTATTTAGGCGATACGAGAATCTTGATGTGGTCGTCTTTGTTATTGACCAATTCCTCGAATCCTTTACTGACAATATCCTCAACCGATATCCGATCTGTTACCATGTTCTGGTACCCTGGGAATTTACCTGGAAATGTTAACACTAAGTTTTGATTCCAACAGGAGAAGGCTATTCACCTTGCCCTATCAAGCGGACGACATCCTCGAAGTCCTGCTTGTTGTAGCAGCAAGAGCTGAAGATTTTGATTTCCTTGAGGAAGAATTGGTAGAAAGGAATTGACATCTATGCGTATCAGGTATCGTATCTTGTGCTCGAGCCTCGGAAAACTTACTGGTACCTCCCAAACAGCAACATTGACGAAGTATCCTCCACGCACAATTGCATCAAATGCAGCTTCTAGGCCCACTTGAATGCCAGCGCAGTCAAAGACCAAATCGACGCCTTTGCCTCCTGTGGTACTGCGGCAGACGTCCCCAACATTCTCAGATCTTGGGTCGATGACTTTGTCCACCACTGCTTTTGCCTGTTCTCTTCGTTTAAGAGTCGGTTCGCTCACTAATATACTTTTGACATTTTCTGCCCGAAGAGTGCAGGCAAGAGCATACCCGACAGGACCGCCACCAATGATCAACGCATCGAGACCTTCAATCTTTGCGTTGATGGTCTTGATAGCGTGCCATGCGACTGTCAGGGGCTCGATGAGTGCCGCAAAATCCAAGTCGACACTCTCAGGTAGTGCGTACAGCATGTCCTCGTCGATGGCAGCAAATTCGGAGAGGCCACCTCCCGCAGTGCCCCCGCTAATTCCATTGAATCCAAGTGCATCACATGTATGGCCGTTACCTGTGCTACAAGAATGACATTTCGAACACAAAACTCGAGGGTCGGCCATCACGGCTTGGCCCACTTTGAACTTTGATCCCGAGGGTGCACTTTTGATGCGTCCACAGAACTCATGCCCTAAGGTTACCGGAATATGACCACCCGTCAATGGATGTGGACGTTCCGGAACCGGACATCCCATGGGACCTTGGTATCGTCAGCAGTTTCGCATTAATTGAGAGGGACTATAGTGAGCAAAACCTGCGACATATTCGTGAAGGTCACTCCCACAGATTCCACACCAGGCTATCTCAATGAGACATTGGTTGGATCCGGGTTCGGGAATAGGCACATCTTCCACCCGAATGTCGCGCTTCCCATAGTATCGTGCCGCCCGCATATCTAGTGTGTAAGGAATTGAGAAACGCTGAAATGATAGATATGGGTGTTCTGATATGATAGAAGCATGTTGAAGAACGAAATTCTTGGTTGAAGAATCGAGTCAGGAATCAAGAGCCCGAGGCTCGCAGGCCTTACCCCACTGGACTTCATGCGCGTCCCCCACAAAGACTCAAGTAGCCATTGCAGGCCCTGACTAAACTTTGTATCCACATTCTTCTTGCCTCGGGTAAAAAAAATATGCTGCTAATAGTTCCGACTGGCATAAAAGCCGGGAACTAAATCATTGGTCCCAGTCAACCAGTCCTTGAAAGCCTGAGACAACCATAGTGAATCGTTGTCTAAGGATTTGAGCGACATGAGTGCAAGCCATCTAGATTCATATGCTGCATGAACCAATATTTCTATCTTGGGTCCTCGTGAAGAAGATAGCAAATCTCGCCCCAGGCCAGTAAATCATATATTATCGTCAGCCAAATCGTGCGAGATCTACAATACTCGATATAGCCCAACTAATTCCATTCATCGCAACTGAAAGGTGGTCTTCACCCTCATAAACACGAAAGCGCAGGGTATCAAAAGATTCGGAGTCTTTCAACTTCCCATACATAGCCTCCGTATGCTTGCCAAGCGACATGCTGTGATACCACGCGACTTGTTTGGCGTACTGCTCGTCCGTCCAGGTTGGGGCACGAATAGGGTCTTGTTCCAGAGAACCGTACGCTAAAAACAGCAGAGGTTTGGACTGAGGTTGTCCAAGGCCTACTCCTTTCTCAACGCCTCGCTCCAAGAACGCATCCTGCTCGGAGAGCAAGAACTTATCATTCCACCAGATCGACGGGCTGATCGCAACGAAAGCCTGGAACGGCGTAGCTCTAGTGAAAAGCGCATGAAGCGTGCAAAGACCACCGTAAGAATGGCCGACTAGGACTTCCATCGATACATTGTCCTTCGAGAACGGTCCCTCATCCGTAAATAACAGCTCGCGCACAGTCTTGACCACGAACTCGAGGAACTCCGTTGCACCGCCATGCAAACCCGCAAACGCCTTGCCGTCAGCATCTAACGGCGGGGCATAGTGCGGTGACGGCGGCGTCAAATCGTAGTTTCTCCGCCCGTCAAAAGGAAACCGTGACGGCGGGTAGCCTATCCCGATCACGATGCCGTCCTTGCCACCGGGGAGAACGCCATTTCGACGCACCGCTTCAACGGTGCCAAAGAAATATGCGTTAGCGTCGAGAACATAGCTGTGGCAATATGTTAGTCACATCCGATGGGGGGCTTTCTTAACGATAAGGTGTTGTGGTGGCTTACAAAACCGGAACTTCTTGTCCTTTCTTGCTGCTGGAATCCCACGCCAGAGGCCACGCTGCTTGGATGTGATATATCTCCCCCTTGGGATTTTTGATGTTCCATTGGCTGGAATTAGGAAGGCCCGCCGGACCAGATGAGGGTTCTAGCTGCATAGTGTCTGATGTGTGAAAATTGCAAACTCCGGAAATTCTTGGTTATCCTACGATATCAGAATAGAAACTTCCGCATAGTTAAGTGAAAGACCCAAGGCTTCAGTGTTTAGGTAATCAGATAGCCTACCAAAGCCCTAAGATAGCCTTTTGCAAGTCCAAATGTCAGCCGATGATTAGCCTCGGCAGGTAGACAAATCTTCATGCGACAACAGTACCTGCCAAGCGGAGCAATCGAGGAAAATGTTAGGAATATAAATATTTTGCAATTGTAGAGTATCTTTTAAAGAACAATATTTACTTTTAGTCATGTCACATACTAACGTTCAAAGGCTTTGAAAACGCCCTCTCGTCATTAGCAAACCCTTGTGTCTAGCTTAAAATTTCTCAGGAATCGTGGTTGGAGCAGGTTCCTCACTAATGGAGACTTCTTCGATATCCTTTTGAGCAATAACGTGACCCTCAGGTAGCAGGTTGAGCTGATCTTCTTCCTGATCAAGGGACCAGAATTGCACGATGAAGATGCAGCCGCCGATGAATGACGCAACGGCAAAGACGCCGTAGTTCCAGATCAACAATGGATCTCCTGCAAGAGGGTTGAGTGCTTCAGCAATGGCAGCAGAGATGGCGTTCGTGAAGAGCGCAACAGCCTGGACGAGCGATCTCATGTTCTTTGGTGCTTTCGAATAGGCATATTCCAGAGATGTGATGGAGGCAAAGATTTCAGAGAATGCAATGAGGACATAACATCCGGTCTGAGCCCAGACGTTGATTGGAGCAGGGTTTACTGATCCATCATCGTTATAGCAGTTGTTTGCGTCATAACCGCAAGGTGAGGTCTTGTAAATGTAATACTGGACGACGGCTGCCCAGATCATTGCTGCTGCGGCAGTCCAGAAACCGACAGTAATCTTCTTGATGGCGGTAAACTGGAATCCCATCTTCCGGAGACCAGGATACAAGAAGGAATCGCAAATCGGGATAAAAATAACCAAAGCTAGAGGATCCAGATTATTGACCACATCATTGGGAACGCCCCCTAATTTCATAGTACCGGCCTGTGCAGTGAAGTTGTTGGTGAGCTGTCCGTAGGCCAGCCAGTAAAGGGGGTACCAAGCGAAGACGGCACAAGCAGCAAATCCACGTCTGACCTCAAGAACCCATGCGTCGTCGAATGTCATCCAGTTCGGGCGTTGACTTGGAGGGATGTTAGAAGGCATCGCGCCCTCCCACAGCGAGCCGTTGTGAACACGCTTCCACATGGTGAAAGGGTTGAACGACCAGCGACCTTTCATGCCGTAGAAGAGAACTCGGAAAGCTTTGGTAACGGTCGAGCCAGCTGGTGGTCGTTGTTGGTAACGCTTGCGTCCCCACCACATGATCGCTGGGGTTGTGAGGAAAGCAACAGTTGGAAGAAGGAAAGAAAGCCAAAATCCGACGTATTTTTCGGCGTAGACCATACCAATTTGCCCAACTAAAGCTCCGATGTTGATGAACAGATAGAAGTAGTGATAGATCCTGCTTTGAGTGATAATAGGATCAACGATAACTCTTTCCCCGGAGGGCAGGGTTTTGACATAGGCTCGTTCAATATCGATCTGCTCCACAACCAGCGGTGAAATGTTGGGCTTAAAACCTCCCGTTCCAAGACCCATAATTATCACACCTATGATAAACACGGCGTAACATGCTTTCTCGTTGGTAATGACAGGGGGAATGGCTGAGATTACCAGAATGATATGGCCAAGAATAGCGATTCCGATCGAAACACAGATTGTCTTGTATCTTCCCCAATGTTCATCGGCAACCCACGCACCGAGGAGGGGCACACAGTACACCCAGAAGGTGTTGAAAGTGTTAATCCCGTTGGCGGCCTGTGGGCCTTGGCCAAGTGCCCCAGAGATACCCTGGCTCGTGCCGCCTCCAGCTCCCGTGTTATGATGAGAGCCAGGTGGTCCGTCTGGCGCAGGGAGAGGTAAAGCATGATTCACGAAGTTCGAATCTATATGTTTTTGTAAATATTTTTTCTTAAAATCCGCCCGATGGAGTGTGAGAGGCAGTATACTTACAAACAATTTGGGTGCCATAGTAAGAGAATCTCTCACACAGCTCCACGAAGGCCACCGTGTAAACGGATAGGGGTATCTTAGCCGGAACGCGACGAAGAGCGGTTGGGCCATGAAGCTCGTCTTCCGTGGGGACATCATCATATTCAGACGGTCTTCGCTGGGCGGTAGCAATGGCGTGCTCTATGCCAGCCTTGGAAACAGATTTACGACGACCGCCATCAGCATGCAGGTCGACGGCCAGTCCAGCAGACTGAATGATCTCGGGATTATCAACAGGCATGTTGAGATTGGTATATTTCTCTGGAATTTGCGATGGTCTAAGATGTAGGACATAAACTGCTCAAAATGAAAGGGGGATGGGAAGCTCTTATAATAATGAGCTCCTCCATCTAAGTCTCATTAAATGAGAATCACACATGGCTATTCGCGCATGCAGATGGCGTGTTTGAGTGATAGACAGGGTTTGAATCCTTCATGCCCGGAAGTTGCCATCACAAATCGCCACCCTATCGGGAGTTGAGCTGGCGCGAGCTGGCTCGCGGCAAGGGCGATTAGATCTAGAGTGGAAGCGTATGGGAGCGTACAATGATTAGAGCGTAGCATTGATTCGCTCATTTGAGTTCTGGGATAAGTAGGTTACACTCACCCCGCGAATTCATGTCTCTCGAGGGAGATTTGATGCAGTATCTCAAATCCAATTGCTTCAGCGTGGCGACTTTTCGGCGAGGAGCTTGAAAAGGTCAAGCATCTGTAGGCCTGGACTTAGCTGGCTTGATCAAGATAAGCTTCCAATGCTCCCTGCTTAACCGGGTGTGGACATTGGCCAGGGAATGAGATCGCATCATCCATGGTTGATCGACAAAAGACTCCATCTCCAGAGTTACTTCGTACTAGTTAGTCTTCTAGAACGCTCGTGTAAGTGGTGGAGAGGAGATGATCCTTTTAACTCTTGGCTTGTGACCCAATCAACCCTCAGCCAGCATCGAAATGGTGCCCGCTGGGTCATCGGTCAGGTCCGAATTGTAACCCCAAGGCAGGGATGCGGCCAATTCCCCTCAGTCGCACTAAAGTCGCGAGTACGTCTACGGGGAGAATGCTTCGTTCTGCTTGGTACTGATCTGTGAACCGTACTCGGTACTTTGTAGAGCACCCTACTCTGAATTTTTTGAAGCTTAGATCTCCGTCATCGATGATCTTCACGGAGGGTATGTCTTTAGAGTAAAAATGAATTTGCGAGTGGGGGGAGAGCTTGTCATCCTTCTCTGACGACAGCGGCCAGTCGGTACTGGCATGGTCAGACGGTCCGTACTCCGCAGTGGCTGATAAGCAAGGCCCAACACGCCACTAAATGCTTCTTTCGTTAGTAGTGACACTGAGAATTGAAACCTCGTATCCAGGATCCGGTACATTAAGTTTGATAGGCTGTTTGACACTGGGGCAGTTGACCTTCCACTCCTGGAATCGGTCAAAGCAGCCCAGCTTAACGGCGCTGAGTTGCAAGCTGAGGAAAATTCAGTGTGCGCATCTGCTTGTCTTTCAATTGTTGTGAAAAACTCAAAATGCCCTCTAGGTCTCTGACTACCTCGGTAGGATGGATATCGATCACACCTTAACTCAGGTGAGAACCGACAGGGCTGAGGCAGATTTTGGGAGCGCTCACCACTGGCATGCTGGGGTAAGCCACAAGCTTAACAGGGTTTGCTACTAGGTACACAATGCAGTTTCCGAGCGTTATAACCCGCCACTATCGAGGCAAGCCACTTGCTCGGCACTGATCGTCAAGGACAGGTTGTGCAAAAGCAGCATATGATGAGTTCGGCTAGGCACTAGAACTGCATTCATTGACGCTCTTGGGTGATTGAGCACGTGAAGCCCCAGTCACGACTTACAGATCCGGGATAGCGAGGCGAGTCAGGGAGCGCACTTAAGTTCATGTCGCGTGAGGTGGCACCCAGATGGATGGCGTAAGAGAAACCGCCAGCGTGATCAGCTTCCCACCTTGGCAAGTCGAAGAAAATTCCCACATGAGATGTCAAGTCAGTGTGAGGTTGGTAAATAGTTTCGGCGCATCTTTTTGACTCATACTAGTAGCATGTTGTACGAGTAAGCCTGCAATGCCGGTGTGAGAAGACTGTCCGCCATACATGTACAGCGAATCTTTAAAGTTGTCCGATTCGCGCCGCATATGTAGAGCACGCCATGAGTGGATTGATGAGTGGTTTGATCGTGACTCGACATGGTAGTATTGCGATATACAGAGTTGATTCAACCGTGAAATTACCTAGGTAAGCAGGAGTTCCCGACCCATAGCAGCCGTGCTCGGTAGTTAAGGTATTTAGGTGCATACCCGAGCCCATCCGAGTGAAGGTCCTATCGCCCCCCGGCCCTCGGGCCACCGCACCCGGCTGTAAATAAGACTGGAACTTTAACTAAACCCTCGAAATAGCCACCTAATGTGACCTAGATTTGAGGTCTAAAGGTTGGAGCCTTGGGGGTGAGGAATGCTTCTGCGTAGGGTTCCGAGCCTTGCTGTACTGCCACAACCATTATTTCTGCCAGTGCTCATCTTGACGCAAAACTCCTTATTGAAGCGCTATTTATTGATCCTCTACAGTCCGATAAATTCGGCGTCTCATTCAGATGCGTCGTTCCCTTGGCAATTGTAGTTCTATCAATGTAGACCATTTTCCCCCAGGATGGGTGTAAACTAGTCCAGTGCGTGGAACGACAGAGATACGGGCCAAAAGACAACCAATGCTCAAGTCTCAGACGTTGCCAATTTTTTTAGCAACGAGCTCATCAAAGCAAATACAGTTTTGACAATTAAAAAATAGAAAGGAGGTGTTTATGTTTTGCCAGTACAACAAAGTGAGCATAGAAAGCTGCTCAGAAGCTCAGAGACTGTCAATAGTCAATAGGTATCTAGGTCGCGAGTCGACACATCAATCATCAGTCGAGTCAAAGTCGTGAAAGAGAGCCCGTGATATTGAGCCCTTCCAGGAGTCCGAGGCTGCCAGACAAGACAGTTGAAGGACGGCTCCCACGGAACAGCGTATAAAGCTCAATGATATTCTCTCCTCCGATCAGACCCCTCTCCACGACCGTCTCGATGACGATATCGGGAGGAGGTCAATAACTGAACTCTAGTTAAACCTCTCTGGGCGTGGAGTCCTGGCGATCTTGATCTCAGATCTCAGCCTCGTGGCGGGGCAGCCTCGCCCGCCAAGATATCAGACCCTTCACATCAACCTCACATTCGTTGGATATTTCACTAATCTACAACCAATCCTCCACCAATCCTCCTAACCTTGCTCACAGGGCATGATTCATCATGAAGCAAAGTGAGATCCTTTGGGATAAGCCTAGGACGGCCGCATAGCGACTGGACCTTGAGTCTAGTTTTCCCAACCTACAAATATGGCCTCACCACGGTAAGATTCCACATTCCTCCCAAGATCGACATGATAATAACTTTCCTCAGACACTACATTGTACCACCAGTCTACGACTGTGTCCTCCAGCCCTCCACATATCCTTCACCAATCCTCCAACCCTTGCTCACAGGGCATGGCCTCTCGCCATGAAGTACAGTGGGATCCTTTGGACAAGCTTTGAACGGCCTCCATAGCGACCGGACCTTGAGTCTGGTGTTTTAACTTAACACAAAAACAACCCCGAACAACAACAAGAACAGCAACATGATTCGATCATTAACCTGGTTCTTTTTCAATGGTAGAAGCTTAAGACCACCCCAGCACTACCACCACAAGCAACCCTCGCCCACAGGGCATGGCCTCTCGCCATGAAGTACAGTGGGATCCTTTGGACAAGCTTTGAACGGCCTCCATAGCGACCGGACCTTGAGTCTGGTGTTTCAACTCAACACAAAAACAACCCCGAACACCAACAAGAATAGCAACATGATCTTCCGCATCGTAAAAACACGAGAACATTCCAGCAGAACCATCACAGGTATTGCTACTCCCGGTCCGACCATGACCCTAAACTGGCCGCTTAACAGAGCGTATCTGTGAACAGCGCAGTGCGTTGTTTCAATTGAAAAGAAAACGGAAAATAACCTGCAATCACCCAGACTCGATGGTACCATTGTGTCAATTGCACTTACTCGTGTCCAATCTAGAGAAGTAGGGGAAGAACCGCTCCTTCCCTGTTGACCGAGTGCTCCTTCTCCCCAACCGAACATGACGACACGCGTTGACGCGTTCCTTCCTCCTACGCTGGTCTGCCACACACTCCTCACCTTCCGGGTGCCCCTCAACACTCAGTTCACCTCAAGAATTCTCAACTTCAAGTTCACTCATACTCGAACTGAGTTGCATACAGTGTGCACTGTTATTGAACAAGATGAAATCCTCCAAGCTCAAGCGGCAGAAGATCTCTGTACACAATCACAAAGCTACAGCAGCCACTCCTGAAGCACAGTCTCCACTCTCGGGCAACGCTTCGGCCTACCATGCACCAGTCGATTCCGTTCACTATGGAACAGTCCACAATTCCAACCACTACCACAACTACACTTTCAATCTAGGTGGTGTAAGCTCAGAGACACTGTCAACTTTGTTGTCCAACCTACCCTCTGGAAATACAGCAGCACTTGCTCGTACTGCCACATCATCAAACTTGAAAAGAAAGCCCGACGATGAAACAGAAACACCCCGCAGTCCTTCCGAGGTGCAGACTGAAGAAGATGATGGCTCTGGTCCAAAGCCTCCCGGCAAAAGCGTCAATTCATCCAGACCCTTCTCAAGAAAATCAAAGCTTGCCATTGGAGTCAAAAAGTCTGCCTTGGGTCCAAAACAAAAAGTCACCAACACGACTAAAACGGTGCACGGCGCTTCAAAGAGACAGGTTGATGCTGCTGCTGCTACTGATGATCCTGAAGATTCTGATTATGATGATGATAATGCCACTAGTCTGAATTCTTCTCCCCTCAGAAACGCCAATCCATCCAGATCCAGACTCTTCTCAAAAAAGCCACGTCCTACTATGGGAATCAAGCAGTCTGCCTTGAGCTCAAAGCAAACGGCCCACAACACGACCGATAAATCCCATTCGGTCACCGGTGTGGATGATGATCGTTCTGGTCGGCAGCTCTTTCCTCTTCGCACAAACAAAGCAAAATCAAACCTTGAGACATCCAGCCACTCTGATCTCTCCAGTGAGTTCGGTACAAAAGCAATCCTCGACGGTACAAGCCAGGTCTTAAGCCATAATCTTCTGCCAGGCATGAAGCCAGAAGACTATCGTTGGCCCCCTGATGACCAAACCAAGTCTCTAGATGATCGAGTCTCCACATTGTATACTGCATTGAAAGAATACCATCGCAAATTCCCACACGGCATACTCTTATCAGCAACACCACCAGTGTATCTGGACTGGAAGGTCATCAAAGAACTGTCTCCCACAAAGAGCTTCTCCAATACTATGATCCGAAATCTGATCATGTGGTACCCATTTCCCCGCGATGTCATACCTATCATACGTGGCTATGAGAATGAGACATTGAACAAATTAACGGACAAGGTCAATGCAGTGTGGTTCTTTGAAGTCAGAGCTCACCATTGGTTTCTAATCCACATGAAATTGAGGCGGACTTCAAGACGTACAAGTTCAGGGGATATCCGCATCTACGATCCACTCAATAAAATGGATGAAGAGGCAATGGAGAACCAGTGTTCGGATGCAACGAAAATCGTCACAACAACGGCGCATACCCTTCAGGCATACGATTGGGAGTTCGCCCAATGGAAGTTCAAGCAAATGGTGAGTTGGTACTAATTTATTATCATCGCTTTGACTAATGTTTTTCAGAAGCACCGCATTCCCCACACTGCCGCCAGTTGTGGTCCAAGAGTCGTTCAGGATGCGTTGATTCTAATGACAAGACCAGAAGCCATGGGAAAGGATCGATCTCCAGATGTCCAACTTCGCATCGGTCACTACACACGACTGAGGGCTTTAGCAATGAACTATGAACGGCAGCATTCGCGGAATATTGACCTCAGATAAGGACAAATCTCGAACAGCCAAGGTCCTGGTCGCGGCCGCGGAAAAAGATGGCAGTGCGCTGGGCTAGTACTTTGCCCGGCATGCCAGCGGATCATGACGTTGGCAAATGGAAAGCATGGAAAGGTCGCGGCAGATGGAAGAGGGATGGAGGATCTCGAGTAATGGGATCAAGGCACACAATGTGTATTGATATGAAGCATGGTAACTACCTAAGCAGCACAGGCAGCACAGGCAGCATTCGTCGCTTCCAATTTATGAAGCTTGCATGCTCAAATCATGTATCATTATTAGGATCCAGCTGAAATGAATTTCATGGAGGTTCCAGTACCCCTATACTCCCGTGTGTGCATCCAATACTTTGGAATTCGTCATTCATTTTCACTGACTGGCCAGTCCGTAACATTCTGAACAGAATTTGGCGTAGCTCACCGACCTCGCAGTTTTCTTTAACTGTGTAGTATCGACCAGAAGGTGCCCTCTGCCAGGCTGGCAGCCTCGAGGTGAGCTTACGGGCTCATTGTACATCGACCTTCCAACACTGATGAAGTAATTTGATAGGCAAGGACCTCAGAGGTTCCTCACCACCTCGTCCTAGATCAAATTGACACGTATCCAGGAGAGGACGGTGAACGATTCCCCTGACACACTGCACTTCCCCGAAAGGGGCCCTGCGTGGCCAGAGACCCGCGCAGGAAGCTACATGAAACCTCCACCTCCTTCCCGTTCTCGACGATCTTTTCAATCATGCCACTAAACAAATACATCTCCTCGAAGACAATCATACACCTGCCGACAACGCCTGTCACGCTTCTTCGAAACTGCCCACGTTACTTCATAGACTGCGAAAGGACAAGAATCAAGAGCAGGGTGTGGAAAGAGACCATCTAGGTTTAGAAGGACTCCTATCAACTGAATTCATTGAAACATCCCAAACTATTGGAACCAAAACCTTTCCGTCCAATCCCTAGCGGCTCTGTTTGTTGCGACGAAGTCGATATCGATCACGCGGTCGTTCCGATGGCCTTCGCTCCCGCTTCTGCAATCGCAGCATCCTGGTCAACCGAACCACCACTGACCCCAATTGCACCGATGAATCGATCACCGACGAAGATCGGGGTCCCCCCTGCAAACACGACCAAGCCGGAGTTTGTATTCTCTAGACCCCAAAAGGCTCCGCCCGGTTGAGTCCCATTGTATAGGCCAGCGCTTGTGAAAGCTCCGTTGAAGCCAGCGACAGTCCTGGCTTTTTTGGTGGCGATGTCGAAGGCCGCAGGCCATGAGTTGTCTTGTCTGAGATATGCCACGAGATTGCCCGACGGGTCCACAATGGCAATGCTTTCGGCGACTGAGATGTTGCTGGCATGCGCGGCTGCAGCATTGATGGCTTGGAGAGCCTGAGCTGACGTGATGACTCCACGTTGGACTGGTCTGGAGCCAAGGTTGTTATTCGAGAGCTGAGCCAAACCCAGAGTTGGGAGAGCCAGGATCAAAGCTGTGAAGAACTGCATTCTTGACAAGACGAAGGTTTATGGTGTTGAGGTACGTTGAAAAAATTCAGTTGGAAGTCAACGAAAGTGTTCCGAATGAGAGTGATGAACTGAACAGCGCAGGTGAATCTTCTAACATCAAGTCGACACGAATATATATATTTGGAACATTCATTGCTGACTTGCTGAATTATTTTGGGTGACCATACCCGTCGATCAATCTGAGCAGGTCAATTCCACCTCGCAGCACTGGCAACGAATACAAACCCTGCGCGTTGCATCAACCAGCATCAACCAGCATCTTCTGGTATACAGCCGCATGGTTTCAGGCGTTCGTTGAAAACGAAATTACCAAGTCGCCAATTGGACATCCATTCGAGTCTCTGGCAGTTTCCAAGCATCATCAGGCCTTCAAAGTCGAGAACATTGCATATATCAATGGGTCTGTATATTGCAACTTCAGGACAGTGAGATCACTTCAAATTCCTTATTCAGCATCATTGCACGACATCCATATCAAATAGCATGCCGTACCCCGAATTCAGACTGGAGGCCTTATTCTCTGATGGTCTCAGGGGTAAAGGGGTCAAGGAGCTTTTGCTCGACGCTGGAGAATGCACCAACTGCTTACCCGGATAGGGGAGTTTCGGTTTGATGGCGACAGTCTGAATATTTCATTATGAACAGTCTGAGAGAACGGTCGCCCTATTAGGCAGGTGAGTGGAGAAGTATGGCTGACACATGGGCGATTCCTTGCAAACCTTCTCCTGTGAAACCAAGAAGTCTTCGCGCTTGTGGTCGAAGAATATTCGCCTTTGGAGGATAGCGTTTATTTACATGCTAGAGCGCCGGGATCGTGTTCAAAGGACGATGCAGGCTCGGTACCGAGATATGATATCTCGTGACCAGGAATCACTCGATGCCTTGGGAGAGGAACAAATTTCAGATGCCAGAGCCTATATCTAGCTTCATTCACCAGGACAGCAACACCTCAGGGGCAAATCCAACATGAGTCTACACCATTCATACTTCCATTACAACCTCAGTGCAGCAATGATTGGTCCTCCAATCCCCCCTTGAACAATGGCGACTCGCTCATATCCATCATTTCTGAAGCCTGGCAAAGCGATCTGCTCAACCCCTCCTCTCCATTCTCCAATTTGCATCAGCTCTCTAACGATGTTGCGATGTGGGACTTTCTTTCCCTTGTTAGGGCCTTTTCCGACCTTGACGATCTGTTCTGTGGGCTGAAACGCGATAACATACACGCCGTACACTTGGTCGGCTTCTGACATCTCCGACGCGATGCGCAAGTCATTGCCCACACGATCTATCCCAACAGCCCATTGCATATTATTTCTTAGTTCCATGGCTTTCTGGATGACTTCGTTGATGTTCTCCTTGGTGGCTCCAATGCCATCTGAAACACCATCAATGATGATCTGAGGGGTGAAAAGACCATTGCGACCCCACTTGGTGACATATTGGCGCTGGCGGGCATCCCACTGGGATGAGCCAAAAGTATCCTCCCACCCGCTCGAGGGGTTCCAGTAAGTGACATCGTATGTCAAAAGGAGTAGGTTGGGATTGTTGGTCGCATCATGAATACCCGGTAGGGCGGGGGGACATGACTTGCATCCTTGAGACTGGAACAGCTCGACTACAGACAACGGCATGATTTCGACGAAGCATGCTGCTGTATGCTCATGATTGTGATCAAGCGACATCATGCAAGCGAGAGGGGCCTTGCGGCGCTTGAAGAGGTTCAAAAAGGCAGACATGCTTGAATATGTTTGAGACTTGTCCTTTTGCGGGTTTCAAAAAGAGATTTCGCACTGTGAAAAGTGAACGGGAATGCTGGCAGTGGGGAGGTGATGGTCGATAGAAATTGAAGTTCCAAACGTCAGCTCAGTCCGGCAGAAGCCCCCTTTATATGGCAGCAAACACCGAAAGCGAAAGTGCTACGACGCAAAGAGACTGCCTTGTGGAGTATCTGCTCTGGTATCCAACATATCCATGATCACTTCAACAACAGGCTGAGCCGTTGAGTGTTGTTGAATACCCATTCCCGACCCTGAATCCTGGTAAGATAATTCCAAAGTCTGGGTCTTTGGCTGCGGCTGAGCTTAAAGGCTTGTAGAAATGCGTCTATGTCTTATGATGGGACAGCTAAAAGAGATCAGCCCAACATTATTGACCAGTCGTCAATGTCAATGGCCCTTTCGAAGGATGTTAACTACTCTGTACAACACGGGTAATGGACGTCTCGCCTACCAGGGTTGATCGCATAATCTTTTTGGGGTCCAACAACCAACCGAGTACATGACCCACCAAGCTATTCCACTTCCAGAGACATCTGACGAGCTGCAGATTACCCAACACCAAATCGTCAATGGAACTTTTCTGAACGGTACAAATGCCTTGCACTATCTTGCCCTTCACTGCCTCTCCTGCCGATGTAACTACTCGTTACCAGGCACTAGTTAACAGTCTCATGGGTAATGATGGACGAGCTTTAGCGGCATATCGAGGTCAGCCTTCATTTCCACCCCGTCTCGGTTGACAAAACCCTACGGTAGGGCGGTGCCTTCAGGACACCGACACTCCAAACCACGCAAGCTCGTACAAGTATGCTAGCGCAGCAAAAGGTCCCATAATATGGTCTTCAATGACAACAAAAGCTCGATCAGGGAGTGGCGGAAACTGGTTTGAATCAAATTTGATCCTATGAGAGTCAAATATCCAAAGCACACGCATATCACACATCACTCTGTGGGAAGAATCCAGGTATGACGACCCACAGCCATGACTAACTCAGCCTCATATCATCAGCGTGAATTTGCGATTTTCACCAATCTAGCGACTTCGTCCAACTTTCCCATCTTCCTTACTGTGCTATCGAGGAACGTGAACGGCATGAACCTGCGCGCAAACCACACCAAGAAAGCAGAAGCACCCTTCCAGATCCTCACCGGGGGGTTCCCAGGTTTCTCCACAATCGCCTTTACCACGGCCTCTGCATACTGGTCTACCGGCATTGCTGTCTGGGTGAACGCCTCTCCAGCAAGGCATCTCTCGACCACAGCGCGAGCTGGAGTCCAGATACTGTTTGTTGGCAAAGTGGCCTCCTCGCCTTGTTCGGCCTTTTTGGTATTGCTGCCAAAGTTGGTGGCTACCATTCCAGTCATGAGATTGACGACATGAACACCAAAGCATGACATCTCCACCCTCATGGTGTCGGTAAGATGTGCAAGTGCAGCCTTAGACGCACCATAAATTCCAATCCACGGCACCGGCGTCGCGGCGCTGATGGACACCTGATTCGCGATGACAGGGTCGCGGCCGGAAGCCGCTGATCTCAAGAGAAGCGGCAGAAAAGCATTCGTGACAGCTAGCACGGAGAAGACGTTAAGATTGAATACCGATTGTGCAATAGCAATATCAACATCCGCAAGCGGCATGTTATATCCCACGCCACTGTTGTTGATCAACAGGTCGAGGACGCCTCCTGTCAATATTTCCACCTCTTTCACGCAAGTGCGAATTGAGCCTTCGTCTTCCACGTCGAGCTGGAGAGTCTCGATGCCCAGGGCGGCGAAGTGTGCGATCTTCGACGGGTTCCGCGCTGTGGCGAAGACTCGAGTCCTGTTCCTTCTATGGAAGGCTTGTGCGAGTGCATCTCCGATTGATCCTTGCGAGCACCCAGTGATTAGGACGACTCGCTTGCTTTCCATCTTGGTCTCTATCATTGATGATTGATTCTGAATTGAAAATGTTGATATCCCTGGCTGTGGTCATGGAAATGTGTTTGTATTGCAAGTTTCAAGAACACAACAAACAAGATATCGATCCCGAGATCAACTTTTAAAGAGATGTGTTTGGCAGTATGGGATCTCATCGAATACTTATGGCAGCCAATCGCCTGGCTGGACTTAAGCCTCGTCCAGATGGGGTAGACCAGAACCCCGGCCTGAAATTCATCCGACTCCGCTAACCGCGACTCGGCGCAATCGATTGCACCGACAATTCCAGTCTCTGTCAAGGATGAATACATGACTAGTTCGGACAGCCTGCGCCTTGACAGTCTCTCGAGTGCCATGGTCACAAGGTTAGGCCGGCGAGTTCGGGCAAACGACAGGCTTTGTGGTTTGCCTGATGTGGAAATCCTCCAAACATTCCGGATGCACACGCTGGACCCCTGTTAGAGTCCCTATTCATCACCCAGAGTATCAAGTGCCGCATTATTCTATCTGTGGGTATCTATCTATCATGAGACGCCCAATAATCTTCACCGACCGTCATCGCCAACGTCAATTCTCCTCAAAACTACAGGCATTACCAGGTCTCCGTTCACGCAGATGGCCATACGCCCGATTTACCTGAGGCGCGGGATATTTTGCCCTATCCTCGGGACCGACCACCATCTCGAGATGGCCCACATATGTCTCTCGGATGGAGACGACCTGTCTCCACGTCTTTGCAGCATTGACACCAGCACATGTATCCTGGAGTTTGAGTGACGGCGTCGAATTCATCGCCAAAGCGAGTAACTCCGAAATCGTCGTCCACGACCCAACCAACCCTTCCTTCGTGACCAGCACTTTGTAAAGAATGAATATCGTGTGTGCGGATGCGAAGCAGAAGTGTATCAGTAGTACGACGATGCCGAACTGCGTGGTGCGCGAGTCCTTCCAGTCGTACCCGTAGCCGTAGCGCGAGAACACGGGGTCGACGCGCAGCCACTTGCTGGACTCGGCGTTCGTGGCGTTCAGGGCTGTGTCGTCCCCTCCATGAGCAGTCGAGACCACGAATTTACCAACTGTACTTCCCGTGTCGGTCGTCTGATTGGTCAAGAACATTGAGGCAGAGTAAGGGAAGATGCCATTTCCGGCAATACGCGCCAATCCATCGGTAACGACTCCTGCGAGAATGGTCGAGATCATGGTCGAGTGGCTCTGGCGTATGTCGTCCATTGTCGAGTTGAACACCCCATCCACGGTCGATGCCGCAACCATGGGGGACTTGAATGTGAATCCTCCACCGTCGACTCTGTCGTCATCGAAAACGGCCCTTTCCAGCATCGCTTGGATCGCTTCCTTTGGACCCTCGGTAAATGGCATGGGCTGGTTGATTGCATTCGCATAGTCCATGTCGATGGTGATGTTCCTGGGAAGACTCTCTCCTAGCTCTTCACTCCCTATGGCCAAACACGTCGCGTCTAATTTGTTCTTGACCCGATACGAGACTTGATCCGATTGCCGCGGCTCATAGAAGACATTGATGGGCACCCACTGTGCGTAGATGCTGCATGCATGTATCTCGGTGGCCTGTGCTATAGCCGAGTCGTTAGTTCGTCCATATGTCCAAGGAACTCGGATCACGATCCCAATGGCTGGGTTATCATGTCCGGCAGGCATTTCGACCCATGTCGCATTGGTGTCGTTAAAGACACCATTGTATGGGAAGATATAATTGGGACTGGGAAGCTGTCTTTCCGGTGTGAAGCTGGGGAAATTGAGGTGTTCTCGCTCGTCGATCTGGCTCGTGTTGAAGTACACGTGGCCGTTGCACATGACTTCCACCTTGGGGGCATACAGCGGACCATTGAAGGTGATCTTAGGCTGAGCCGTAAGTAAGCCGAGGCCATGGAAATTGTTGTGTGCAAATGACCAAAACGCTGTCACTGCTCCGCTCAGGAAGGTGTTCAACGAGAGTCCAGATGCTCGGCCGTCGAAATCACTTTGACAGCTCTGGGTCGTGAGGACCCTGCGAGCCTCACCGTGTGCGTCAGTGAAACTGATATTGCTACCAGCCGATGAATTTCCGAACAACAGGTTCCCCGCCCAGTCATACGTGTCTCGAAACCCCCCAGCAGGGCAGACATCCTGGTACGCTGTCGAGGTTGTCGCGATGGTACAGTTGATGCCCGAACTTGGAGCATTTAAACTTGCCGCAGTAACGTTTGACGGCCAGAGGACAGTGCTTTGATTGAAGATGTAAAACGGCAGCACTTCTTCCAAGAACGGATAGTCCAATGGATACCAGTTCAAAGACGGGATGACTGCTATGGCGGACGAGGGTCCAGCAAGCATCGCTAAGATGGTGGCGAGCAATGAGAGCAGCCAGAATCGCCAGTGATGGTTCTTCGTCGTCCATATCGCCTTCCAGAACGCCTTTGTCCAGAGGAAGTCACCAGAACCTATCGAGAAACTGTTGGTGACCAAACCAAGCGGGAGACCAGATCTCCCGACCAGATGGTGGTGTGCCAGATGCAGAATTATCTTGCCCAGAGACGCCACAATGATAAGCTCATGAATCTTCGCTGCCAGCTGCAAAGCATTCAGTGCGCCTCCTTGGGTGATACCAAACATTATCTCATACTGTGGGTCTTTCAAATCCATCCAGTAGTGGTTGCGGAAGCTGAGCTGGACCACTGCCACGGTGACAAGAATGGCGATGAGATGTGGGAAGAGTTTTGGTGAATTGTCCCAAAATCCTGTGTAGATGGCTGGTTTCGGGGTTTCGAACGTGCCTTGTCTAACAAGGGGAGGATCCGGTCCATTGAGATCATTGTGGCCACCACTCAGATTGATATTCGTATATGAAAGGCCTTTCTCATCCGATGTGACTGCAAGATTCTCGATGGTATATGCAGGCTTGATAGGTGATGGGCCTGGATTCGGACTCGGCGGCAATGGGCTGACAGGACTGCCTGGGTTCAAAGCATCTTGCGACTCAAGCGGGATGTGAGCAGTGTATGGATTGAATTGCCCACCAGAGGCGCGCAGGTACGATCGACGACCAGCACGCAACAGATCCATGTTTGTGACGAGGCAAATGCGCAACAGAAAGGAAACCCAACAAAGGAAACGAAAAGCACTCTGGAGGAGGCTGACTTACGGCATCCGATTGATATGTAGCTTACAGATAAATGTTCATCTCAGGGTTCTCTTGGGCGGTAATTCACCGACAGAGTGTATCAACCATAATATTGGAGAACGTGGATGACATTAACTAGTCCTTCAGCTTGTGTGGTGGCGTAGGGTCACAGATTACCCTGGGAAGACGAATCATGAACTCTAGAACCACCGAGAATGTCGTTTGCTGGACGTAGGCGCGCAGAGTGAGAGTAAGCAGAGAGGTGAATCAAGGAGTTTTGGTGAAACAGAAATGGTTTGAATGCTTTATCGTCCAGTGGAGGATTGGCATCCGAAAGCACTTGAAACTCGGTTGTTCAACCCTGGGGACAACGGTCAGCACTAACGAGAGAATACGTCGTGTCTTGGACCCCACGATCGCCAGAGATTATTTCTGGTTTTTCTAGGGGTATGCCGTAGAGGAAGCCCTCCGGTTGGCTCTTATCTTCAACTGGAGCCTTGTTTCCTTACTCGTAGGTAAGGCGTGCGTGGAGCGACGAAGTGTCGATAAATTTGGCAACTTGGGGCATGTTCGTTTCAAACAAGAATCGCTCGATTCAGCAAATGGTGATGCTTGAAACAATGACGAACCAATATCTCGGGGGAAACAATCAGAAGAGAGAGATCAGACTCAACAAAAGAGCACATGGTAGCCTTATGGATCCTGGTCGGTGGGGAATGTCGTGAATCAAAAACATCAACAATCGCCTCGAGGTAAGGAGGTAGCAAAGGGCAATATAAGAATCTAGGCCCAGAATTGAATCTAATCAAAGCCACCGAGCTTGAAATTAAAGTAGCCATAGATATTATGGCTGCACAACCACACTTCTTCGGGTTGTAAAGGCCGTCAGCGTTATGGTAAATATTCAAGAATTTTATCCTTGATTTTGCTAGTGTACAACATCGACGTTTGAGCTTGTGATGTCTACCCGTATGTGGTGAATCCAGTATGCAAAGACCTCGCGCTCAAGATCAGGTCGCAGCTCCTGTCAATAAAAGTGCACTTCTACCAGGACTATATCCAAGACAATAGTAAATGGACGATTTTAGCAGCGCATGTCGAATTTGGGATTGCGCTCAGCATCGAAAGAGCCCCAGTGGGACTCACTTGCCTCCTGACCATTATCACCAATGGCACTTGGCTTGTTGGGCTCGTCAAAAGCTTCAAACCAAAAGAGATCGACACCCCAATCAAGGAGTCCACAGACAGCTGATTTCCAATAGCTTTCCATGTTGTCATCGCCTGCTTTTGCTGCACCAGCATCAGTACCTCCAGTACCAGGCCAGCCGGTTTCTACCAAGAATTAGTCATCAATGTGTAATGAAGAGCTGATGGTCGTCCTTACCTCCATTCATGAAATGGATCTTGTCCAATGAACCTGTGACCTCTTGAACATGAGCAAGAGCTTGTGCCATGTCGTCGAAATAGGTTTTGGTTGCGTTCTTGATATCTTGATATTGCCAGTATGCGAATCCGTTGGCAAGGCTGCTCTATGTCAGTCCCAACCATGTCATCATTGGAAGCTTTTAACTTACATCAAATCCAAACCACTTGAAATGATCGAGTCCATCGAGCCATTGGCCCAACAGTTCCAGCTATCAGCAGTTCCGACGAGAGTGTTGGGATAATCTTTCTTCGTTTCTTGGATCCAGCCAACAAGTTCTTCCGCGTTGTATGTTCCACGGTACATGCCCTCTGACCCAACTGTAATTCCGTAAAGAGCGTCGCCGAACGAAGCAGGATCCGCTGCGTCAAGAGCAGCCTTTTCTTTCTCCCAAGCACCTCCGTCAGGCCTAGGAAAATATGAGTGACTGCTGGCTCAACTGCTCTGTAATGTTACTCACCACAAGCCCAAGAGAACTTTGATCCCGGCCGATTTCGCAGCAGGAAGAACTTCTGATGGAGTATTGCAAGCATTTCCAAATTGATCAGTCGATGAATATGTTCGAACTATTGCAGCATCGGTGTTGTCCTTAATCGCCTTGAAATCGGATTCGAAGTCGGAGGATTTCTTGCAGGTACCGTCGGGATTGGTGTTTCCGACGGCAAACCCAAGGGTTCCTGCAGCGGACACTGCCAGCGGTGCCGCTACAAGAGCAGTAGAGATGATGGTTCGAAGTTGCATGTTTAAAGGTTATCGGGTTTTTGAGGATGGAGAAAGATGGAGGATTCGTGTAACGAAGGCTAAGTAGTCCGGCCTCCTCTTGTCCACGATTGGCAGGATGATGACTGGAGGAAGTGTCAGAAGGGAGGGACTAATAGGGTCAGTGAAAAAGAGTGGAAGAGTCAAATAACAGACAAAGAACGTGAGGAACGCGGAGAGCACTCGACAAGGAGATGAAGGAACTGAAGACTAATTGTCGTAGCTGGATGTCATTCAAGTCCAACAAGCAGTGCCTGTGAACCCCAATTTTGGACCAACTTGGAAGTGCCCCTGGAATCGCGCCGGGCTGGAATCTCGGCGCGTGGAGGATCTAACTCGAACGAGCCTAGATCAGCGCCCTATCACGTGACTTTTAGCCTCGCCAAGCCCTCAGCCTCGTAACTTCAAACACCAGAACTTGAACATGAGCATCGAGAACTTCAGCTCCCCCAAGGCATACAGTAAACTTGTGTGATCGCAAGGGATATTGAAGCCACCAGATAGATCTATGAACTTGTGCTTCGCGTCAAGCGGCTTTAAGGTTTCGTGGGTTCTCAGCTTCGAGAACAGAACAAAGATCATGGCACCCTTTCCCTTACACAGCTCCCCTGGTAGGCAACAAAGAACACGACATTGGGCTGAATCTGCAAGGTGTAACATGCTACACAACCATACAGTTCCTACTCGCATAGGTAAAGAACGCAATCTAAAAAGAGCCTTCGCATTTATACTCCACTCGTGTTGAGGTTGAGTGCTAGGTACATCTAAACGGATTGCTTTCTCGTGTTTGCTACCAGACCTAAGCCTTTAATGGTTGAGGGTGCTTGTTCTCATGATCCAACTACGACTCTGGCACCTTCACCCGAAATGACTCGGTACTCAACTTTGAACTGAACAAGTCCGACCACCGTTGGAATCCGAGTGTTCCTGAAAATCTACAGTGGAACACAGGGCGATGGCCGTCTGGTCGCGTGCTGTTGAAGTCACATATGGTTCTCGACCTCACTCTTGGATATGCTTCAAGCTGGTTGAAGTGTATTGACACCTTCCTAATGCAACGGCTAGGTATTGAACGCCAACTTGTGAAACCTCAACGTCTCAAGCTTGAATCCGATTAACGAATCCTTCGGAGTTCAGATCTTCCTGTACTACCTCAAGCACGTATCTCTCAACAGTCCCAGACGGCCTAGATCTGTCAAATAAGCGAGAGAACAAAGAATTCCAACGGTAAGGTAATGGAACTCAGTTCTACCGAGTAAACCTTACAGGGAATGGCTTCATGGTCGACATAGGTTGTGCTGTGCAGTGGAGCCGCCTCCATTTCCTCTGATCAGCGGTGAGTTTGCGTGCATCATAGATGAGAAAACAATCAGATCGATGTGTGAGAAAATTGCCTATATAAGAGACCGTTGGTGTTGTGCAAGTCAGGAAACGAAAGTTCTGAATCTGTCAGCTTTACAGCACAAGAACATATTTATATCCTCGAAAACAAAACCATATTTTTCACCACTATTCAAGATGTTGTACCATATCCTCCCATTTCTTCCACTCGTTGTGATTCTGGCAATGCCTACTCCTCCCCCGTCCCCCAAACGAAACTTCTTACCACGTGCCAGTGAGCAATGCGCTGCTCCTACTTTGATATTATCCAAACACTGATTGATTCTGATCTCCAGCATCGGCAGGAATCGAGCTCGAAGAGCGTGATCCTCAATCATTTGGGATTCTTCCACCGGTGGTGCCTCTCCCAACTTTACCCACAGCAGTGCCTCTCCCGCCTCTCCCAACAGCAGTACCACTTCCAACTCTCCCTACGACAATACGCCTGCCGACCATCGGTTTTGCTGCATACTTAGACGGTAATGGCCTCTTCGTGACCTTGACTGCAGGCAACCATTTCACTAACTTCGCTGTTGAAGCAGATGTCGGTGTCAATATTACCAGGCGTGGACACAAGGTTCGACGTGGGTGGAACGGCAACTTCACCTCTGAAAGTGCCGACGCACCCAAGTTTAACAGCACAGCTGGGTGGTTGTTGGGGAATGCTGGCAATTTCACAGCTGAGGGAAGCGATTTCAACAGGACGGCTGGGTGGTCGTTGGGTGCCGACAGGAATGTCAGCGCTGGAGGAGGCTTGTATCTCTACTGCACACAAGTCCTTGGGTTCTAAATGCTTCTGTTGACCTCAGATTCCAAGAGTCATATTTACTGTACTCTTCCGTGGGCCCCGGACTATGATTCGTTTTAAGACGATAGTCTGCATGTTTGAAAAGTTTCGGAACGTCACTGTCAGATCTACGCAGATAGTCATTGGAGCTTTCAACAAGCTCTCTCATATTTCATCGCTGCAGACCCTTACAGATAATCTATGTAAAAGTCGTTGATCCTTCGCCCTTTTTTAACAGATGGTCTTGTCGTCATGATTGCCCATTATTACTTGGCCCTCAGTCTGGCTTTTTGTAGCATATTTGCACCTAGACCCAATCGATATACAACGACTCCCGACAACTTTTGTTCGCTTCATTATCCCGTCCATAGGGACGAGAATCAATCGTAGCTCTAACCAAACAGAGGTCCATTCACCCTCTCCCAAGCCGAATGAGCCCCCAACAGCCCACTAATGCTCCCAGCAATCCCAACCGTCACCGTATCAACAGGGAACCAGCCCGCCACATGCCCCGGAACAATAATATCGCTCAAGTCAACAATTAATTGTTTATAGATCGCATGCCGTTTCGCTTGCACTGCGTCTTGGCCAGGTGGAGTGCTAGCGGCCGCCGATTTTGTCGCTTTCTTCGCCTCCAGAGCAGAATTTGAGGAGTTGGGCAAAGTGGACAGCTCATATAGTCCGAGTAGTATCGAAACAGCTAGGGAGTAGAACCACACTTTCAACGCCTCGAGCTGGAGTGGTCCAGACCAGGAGTACGTTGTCAATCCGATGACGTCGGTCTAGGGGTAAAAGATTTTAGCAGGATGCCCTGGCTGGCAGTCGCAGCAATTTGAGCCTTACTATCACAAACATCTCCATGAAGAGATATAGTCCCAGTAACGAGAGCTTCGAAACCGTGAGCAGTATTTTGATGTTACTCGACTCAAATGGGGCAGGAGTCACGACCGCCTTCTCGGGCTTCTCAGAAGTGCTCGCGGTTGGCTTGATCTTGGGAGTTGGCGCAGGAGCAGAGAATTGAGCCTGTGCGGCGTTGAAACAGTCTATCCATTTAAACAGACGAAAGAATCGTCGAGCTGATCGCAGGTTTGGGGAGTATTAGCGCATAAGCTTGCGATTTGGGTTTTGGGCAGACATCATGTCGGAGCGATGACCAGCAACTTCAAAGGACAAGAACACACTTCCACAGGAAATCACTAACCTGTGTTGATGTGGCCTTTGGTCGCATTCCATCTTGTGGCTTCCACGCTCGTTGTCGAGAGTGCGGCAATGACATGGGACGAGAATTGGGAGAATTTCAGTGTCTTCTCAAGCCCGACTGATAGTTCGCAGAGTTAGCCATAGGTAGCCAAATTTGAGACGATGAAAAAGGAACTATTATGTCGTGACAAACATCCAGACCGGGAATTCGACAAAGCGATATCATGATTTATAGGATACGTTATAGCTCTGAGACGAAATCCAGACTCACCTGCATCGTTGGAAAATTTGGCTATCGATTCTAGCATTGTGGAGATGAGATGAAGTATACGAGGTATGCGATGTTAACGAAGAGTAGTAACGTGGCAATAAAGGGTCCGACAACTTTAGACTTTAGAGTGCATTATTCAAAATTAGCAAAATCGTAATATTTTTCTAGTTCTAGAAGGAATAGGGTCTGCGAATTATTTACTTGTGTGCAGACATTGCGTGATACTCATGTTGCTAAGTCAGCGACGGCTATCTTCGGCTCTCGGACTTGGATCCACGTTGGGTTGATCGAGCGGTCGCAAGGATAAATGAATCTGGTCGTGTCCTCATGGGATCCCTAACCTACAATACGAATAACCACAATAATTTTACAGTTCTCCCAATAGGCTGCTTCTGTGAAAGCCGAAGTAGCAGTGAGCACATCTGCGAAACCCGGCTGAAATAAGCGGTTCATCCACCATCGCCATCCAGCATTACTGTTCATACTCCTGAAAGGGCTTCCACCAGTTCACCAGCGATCTTGAGGCCCTTCTTCTCATCGACCAATATCGAAACTGCCGCCGTCACCACCAACTCCATGAGAATATTGTCGAGTTGGACGAAAATCTCGAGGACAGGATCGCCTGAGAACTTCAAGTGTTTGTATCGAGCCAGTAAAACTCCCGCGCTGTCCCAAAGCTCTGAGCCGTTTGCCCATTTTGTGGGTTTCCAAGTCAGCTCACCAACCGGACCTGTGAAGGCCTTGTAAGGTGTAAGACCTGAATATTTGTCTTTCATTTTGATTTCTTGTCCGTGGATGTTCATGGTGATGCTTGAGCTGAGCGAAGAGAATGAGGCTGTGCTCAGGGGTTGAAGGAGACCTCCCTGAACGACATACAACTCGAGTTGAGGTTTTGATTTATTCTCCTTGTGCGAGAAAAGGACTGTTCTCCTGCCGGATTGGTCAAGAGTGTAAAGCGCACCCTGCTTGTCGGGGCCATATATGACAAAGCATGGATTGGGTTTGGACATTTTCCAATAAATGGTGACAAGGTCGTGGTACACTATAGTTCCATGAGAAGAACTAGTTGTCTCTGTATTTGAGCCGTCGGCAGAACAACAAAGAGGGTGTGCTTGAAGAAAATAATGAAATATAAGAACCCAACCTGTGTACGAGGCTACACCATGGTCAATATATAGCTCGGGCAGGACATGACGACCTTGAGCGAAACTCGAACAGTTGCTGGTCAGCCACAACATAGCCCGGGTATCATATTTGAAGTTGGGTGACCATCGTCCAATACTATTAACGTGGTCATACAGATATCTTGGTCGACAGCACAGAATGAATGGTCGCAAGTGTTGCTAACGTCACATTGGCGAAAGGCTTAGGACACTGCCGGCCTTGGTATTTCCTGGGTGGATCAAAGAGATAGAGAGCACACTTCAGAGGCTGAAGATGATCAACCAACGCTCGGACTTTGGACTGTCGACTTAACCATCTTGGGATCTATGGGCCGCTGAGCCAATCAGTCTGCTGCGACAGCCTTTGGTTAGTAATACCGTGGTGGCCTTGTAAACATGGTATCTTTGTGATGTTTGACGTATTCGGACTATTGAGACTGAGCCCTGCAATTATGGCGGAGATCATAGTCGTGTGAGACTACGGCATTTTTACAGGAAGATGATTGAAGTTCAGAGCTGACCTCGACCTAGTCTCGAGACGAATCCGATTGCCAAGAAATAGTCACGTGCTACTGGCACTAGTGATCTCACGTGCACTCGGAATCTGTCGCATCATTTAATTGTAGTTCTACAGACACCACCACAGCGTCGAACTTGACACTCGGCAAACAAATCACCATGTCGTTTCTTTCTCGTATCCTAGTGCTTGTTGGGGTCTTATCTCTACTCCATGCGTAAGTCTACCAAGTAACCTGCAGACCGGTCTGCTAACTTGAGTCCCAGGGCCTACTCCGCCCATGAATTCTCAACCATGTCCACCAAACTACACAAAAACCCCACCTTACCACTCGACATCAAACTGGAAACTCTGATCTCAATCCTGCTTTCAAGTTTTGGCCTTGTGCTAGGATCCGACCCCCTAAAGCCTGTCAGTTGGAATGCGTGGGCTGGAAAGCTAGAGAAAGATGGTGGACTCAATCCATTCCGCGGCCTGGAGGAACGAGTTAGTTTCATGGACATCAGAGCTCAGCGCAAGGAGTTTGCAGACTGGGCTCGTCAGAATGCTTCGAGGAGTTGAGTTATCAGATCCGTCAACAATGTCAACACGACCAGACCATGTGGCGTGCGTCTGCGTCCAATATTTTCTGGTGCCAGATCACCACTTCCATCTATGGCTTCATAGCCTTTCTCAATACCCGAAGTGTAATCATGGCTATCAGTCTGCCAGAACCTCCACAATTGAATGGTTCAAACGCTCACAAGGTACTGCCAATCGCGCTCACAGAAAGCGAATCTCCATATACCCTTCAGACAGCGAGATCGAGTCTTCACTCTACGTCCAGCCATTCTGAACAACCCTGATCACTTCTGGCCTCGAAATCGAGCCTAGCGCCTCCTTTGTGAATGATTTCCGGACGATCGAGTCCTCGATCGACTCTTTGGAACAGCTGGAAGGACAGTCGTTCTATCCTTAGAGGTCCTATCTGCAACCTGTGTGCCGAATTGAGTCTTCCGATTCCGATAGCGGAATTGTTTGTGCGTCTGGGACAACTACGGTCCAAACCACGTGAAAGATACAAGAAGGTTATTTTCCAATATTTTGTCCATTTCATTGTATGGAGGCTACTTTGTCAGATTCATCTATTTCATCGCCATGATACAGCCAAATAGCGACTACTGTGGAATCTCATCCTGATCCTTTATGGTCGAGCAGTCTCAATCCGACAAGAACTTTTTTCATCCCTGCGCTCGTTTCCCTGAAAACCATACAATACCTGTGTTCATCCCAATGCCATGATTCATGAAAATCCTGCCAATCACCCAATCCAATGATGCCCTAAAATACCGTTTTCAACTCCAGTCGTCAAGGCCAAGAAAAATTGCGAAAGGCTCCCAGTTTGCCAATTCCACACCTGTGGTCGTGACTCGCTTATAGCATGGAAAAGCCCATGGCCAGCGCAACCAAGCACAAACCAGCGCCGCCGACCATTCTACTCGACACGGCAGCACCCGTTGCCTGCGCGAAAGTGGCAGTGGCGGACCTCGAACCCGAGGCAGCGGAAGTTCCACTTCCAGAAACAGTACTCGTGGCAAGGGTGGTGGGCTGAGCCTCGGACGTCTCAGTGCTGCTGGCCGTGGTGGTGCCGTTGCCGTACCAGTAGCCCGAAAGCGAGGGCAGAGTGGCGGACGGAGGCTGCGAGGTCACGACTGCGGGCTGGCTGGTGACGACTTCTGGGTGGCCGGTGATGACGCCCAGAGAGTTGGTCTGTGTCAGGTAGACGGTGAATGGGTTTTCATAGGGCGCGGACGTTGTGGTTGTCACGGATGGGTCGGCCGGTGATGATAGTGTTGACGCCAGTACTGTGCTTGTGGGTGCTTGGATTTGTCCGTCGGAGAGCTGTGATGCGCCTGTGACGGTGCTTTGTGCGGTGGTCGAGGTGGAGAGGAGGGCGAGGGTGAGGGAGATGGTGCTGAGTGTGATGGAATGCATTTTTGGAGGGGGGGAGATGTGTGAGAGAGATGTGTTTACTGTGTTTGCTGTGTCTCAATATTCAAGTCGTGGGAGATTGTGTGTCGAAGTTTATATTCGAAGTTGACAAGTGTAGGAATCAATGATTAATCGATCGTGTTGTAGATAACTGTGAGTGTGGATGAGGTTGAGAAACAAGTTCCCTTCCCAACTCTGGCCATTTTTATATATCCCTCTCTCATCCCACCCACTGCACGACATGAATGTCGCTACCCGCTATACAAACAAAATGGCCGGGCCAACGATAGCAAGACCCAGCACTGGCCAACCACCCTGTAGTTCCCCTTGCTTGCAGTGGTGACGAATCTATGGATACCCAGACAAGATGTTTGGAGGAGGCGTGTTACAGAACATGTTTAACCCTTGCGCTGTTTGACTCACTAGAGCTGTGGTATAGCCTGTTTGGGCTTAGGACGTGTTGACTGGAGGCTGGGAACGGAAGGCTGGTGGTGCCAAGACCGGCGTTTTAGAGTAGTTTTGCACTTTTCAGGGGTATTTAGTGCAATGAATAGTCGAAATATGACGTATCACACACCTCTCTAGTGTTGCCAGGGAAATACCTCACAGAGGCGGGTATCCGTACCTACCTACCTAGGTACTCAAGGTATTCGACCTCGTACCACGTACAGTCATTCTAATGCACGCTTGAACGCTTGAGAAAAAACATAATTACTTGAAAAGCCACTTCAAAGTCTCCGAATGCCAACACGTGGCGTTACTCTCCTCGTGCCCACGTTTGAAACCTTGCGCAGCGCTGGGGGTCTCGATGTTGGTGGAAGTGTCGATGAAGTGTCGCCAGTCTTCTTTTCGGACGCCGCGATATTCTCTTTATCGCTTTCCACTCGAGTGACGGAGGATCGTGACGGTTCTCCCACCCGTGCATTGTTTTTGAAAATTGATAGACCGCCCGGTCCAGGGCGCATGAGTTTGGGGGATTTCTTCAATGGTCCTTCGGTTCCAGGCTCTGAGTTAGAGTAGCTTTGATCTTGCTCGGCGGGTTGGTCTGCCGTGCCGGACACACATGGGATTTCTTCACAGCTGGGAGAAGTGTACAGTTCCGCAAGCGGTCGTTTGGGTTTCACAACCTCTTTCGATCCTCGAGACAATCCATGTTTGAGTGCATTCTCCTTGGTGTTACCTTCTCTTTCTTGATCATTGGTAGTCATCGCTGGTATTTTTTCGGAGGCTGTAGGCTCTTCTCCTCGTCTTCTCGCCTCTTGGACAGCATCTAGTAAAGAGAAAGGGATAGAGGCATGGATCTTGGTCATCAATTTCGCTTGTGTTGAGAACGCATCATAATCTTCTTGGATCAAGGCGCCAGCACCAGCATTCAGTGCCGAGTCCGGATTTGGTTGAATGAGAAGACAGGATATCGTGATGAGAATGTCCTTTAGTGTCAATTTTGGATCCCAGTCTCTTTTCAATGTTTCCAAACAAACAGCCCCAGTTTTCTCCTCGACGTTTGGGTGGTAGATTTTTGTTCGGAAAGTTGCCTTGGGCGGATTCTTGGGATAATCCTCTGGCATCTTCAAATGAAGCCGCCATAACCCTTGCGAGTATGGTGTGCCCTCGGCCCCAGTGATGAGGACTAGGAGTTGGGTCAAGTCATCGGGTATGGTCGATGCATCGTCGTTATCTGGGAAGATGTAATTCGGAGGCGGACTGTTCCTCAATGTCGCGTGGTCCTTGACAAGTCGCCGAAGGGATGCTGCCTGTTGCCGTTAGTTGGGAGATCAGAGCTGTCTCATCCTACGATGATCGTGTGGAGCGGAGGTGGATGTTTACCACCGAGTTGAGGATATGTAGCTACAATTGATGTTGACAACAGGCTGCGGTACTTACCATAACTGTCTCTCGTGATACACAGGCACTATTGCTGCAATGTTGTAGTCATGAATTGTACATTGATTTGTTTGAGATAACAATGTTTACATGCTCTTGTCTTCAACTACCAACGAGTAGACAACGCGAGTCACCCACGACAAACACGCGACTCAGGCGTCCCACATTTCTCTCGGATTAATCATTTATCCGCTCCGTAGCCGAGGTATTCCCGACATCGAGTTGCACATTGTATGATGAGGCTATCAAACATTGATGGCAACGATGGTAGCCACTACTTTGTTGCTGTCGATGTGATATGCGAAATCGGCCGAATTCTAACGAGGTACCTGCGTCCAAGGCGGTGCGACAACCGGATACGAGCAGTGAGAAATGAACACAAGCTTTGATCTGCGGTAAGGGTTTCAAGCCTACACGAGATCCAAACCCTTTGCGCTTTAAGGAGTACGAGTACGCGAGCAGGATTCCAGGATGTGTAGCACATCGAGTGACTTCTATACGAGTACCTCGTACCTGTTGGTTGAAACTCACGACTGATTGCAGAAGGCAAGGCCGCCGCGAGGGAGAAGGATGTAGTCCGTCCTCCACTGGGTCACTCAAACGCAGCCAATTCGAAGTCCTCCGTACCTGAAGACGCAAGAATGCCTGTCGCCCACTCCAAGACAATGTTGTCGGATGACATGTAAATTGGTGAGATGTCCTTCTGGTGAGGTTCGATATGCCAAGACCGGGGCCGCCGTGATTTGCGGGCTCGTACCACAGCCACCACCATTAACCCTTCCAACTGGACCTAAATTTGTCCATGATGGTCCCCACCAAAAACGAACTGACACCAGACGCAGACTTAGCCACACACCGACTTCTGATGGTCCGGGTCTTTTGCTTTTTCCAACCTTGATCGATCAATGCCCTTCAGAGGTACCAGTCATTGGGGCCAAATCCATCATCTCTTGCCCGAGACCTGTGTCGACACTTGACGCATGCCCCAAGCTTAACCAGACCATGCCTAGGTAGCTACACACAAGCACTGACTCTCGGCCAACGCGAGCTCTAACCTCCAATCCCATCACCTATCCAGCACATTTCAGGGCAGTCTGCCATCCCCTGTACAACGGAGCTGTTGTTATCCTGGACACTTTTATTAAACAGCCTCGCCCACATCTTACGCTTTCTTCTACACCTCGGCTTAACTTTGCAAGGCATATTGAAAGGCTGCCAAAGTGTTCGTTCAAAGGACCCTACAAAAGTTCGACTATGCTCCCTCCAACCACGGCACCATATACGTATAATATACTACATCATCAAGCGTTTGATCTTTCTCAATCCATTCCTGCTGATCTGCCTATAATACACCCGCCGGCAACGGGCACGGAAATTTGAGACTTCTCGCCTTACTACTACCTAGTCCGGAGCAAGTCAGGCACTTGTACTTTTGTTCGAGACCACGTTTTTGACAGCACTCGCCACCTGACCTCGCTCGCAATGTGGCCCGCCCCTGTCCCCACTCGTCAAATCCTCGTACCTCACCTCGAGCTTGCTGGCAACTATGGGTATGCACCAACTGCACTCTCTCCAGTGGTAGCCAATCCTGCCAAACGCCGTCGGGCAAGTAAACCCAAGGTAAGCTGTTGTAGCCTGTCGGTCTACATACGAGACATGGTCTAATCTGAATCTAGGTTCGGACAGGATGTAAAACCTGCAAGGTGAGAATAGCATCCTACCACATTTCCCCACCATCCACTTCTTGTTTTGCATCTACGAGCACTCGTACCCGCACGAAACAGCCATAGCTCTGTCTTTCGTCAACTGCATAGCTGAACTGCCTTCTTTTCGTCGTCATCTGCCCTCCTGACTCGTTGTCTGACTTGCAATTTGCCTCCCAGATACGGCGCATCAAATGCGATGAAACCAAACCCAGCTGTAAGATGACCCGCCTCGTTGGTTTCCTTTCGTAAAATTCACGTGTATCTTTAGGTAAGCGCTGCACCACCACCGGTCGCAAGTGCGACGGTTACGAGTTCCTCAAGGAGCCTTCGGAGAGCTCAAAAGCATCTCCACTATCGCCACTTCGACGACCGGAGTTCAACTTCCAACAGCTATTTCAACCCGGATCAATCTCAAAACCGTTTCAAGGCAATACCCAGGAACGTCGAATTTTCCACCGCTTTCAATATTGTACCGTACCAGCGTTCGCTGGTGGGTCGGAAACCGGGTTCTGGACCAAGCTCGTACTCAAAGTGGGCCAAGAGGAACCAGTTGTCCGGAACGCCATCATTGCTCTGGGAACACTACATGAGGATTACCAGGATCGGTGTGGCAAATATACGACAGAACTGATAGACGACAAGAGCTATCGCCACGCGTTGAAGTTATATGGGGACGCACTCCGCCAATTGAATCAACGGTTGAATCTCCCTTCAAGGACCAACGCCAAGTTGGCCATCATTGCAAGTATTTTATTTGCATGCTTCGAAGTCCTTCGTCGCAACAATATGGCAGCAGTCATTCACTACCAACTCGGCATGAGAGAATTGATCCGTCAAATGAATCTTCCAGAAGGAGATGACATGTCTCTCACGCCCTATTCGCCTGAAGAGTATGCCAGTTCACGGGCGACCTTTCGAGAGATTCCTCAAAATGAACTCGACGACCTACTGCGAGTGTTTGCACGTTATGATATCCAAGCATGTACATTCTCCAAAGAGAAGGCAGAACCTTTGACCTACCCAGTCACCGCCCTACCACGGATAATGCCAACTAATCTGACCTTGAGCCAAGTCCGGAATCATCTCGATAATCTCCTTGTCTCTGTCTATCAACTGGTAAAATCCGACTTGAAGATGTACCGCTATTGGAAGGCTGAATTGGTTCCACTGGAATGGCGGACGCAGACGCAGGAAGCGATTGAGGTCTTCGACGCCTGGATTGGTGCTCTAGAAGAATTCTTTAGACTGGAGGGAGGGAGACTTGGTCAGGCTGAGATCAAAAGTCTTCTCGGGTTACGACTGCAGATTAAGTGCGCAGTTATCATGCTAAAGGTCAGCATTGATTGTGGGCCCGAAACCGTTTTCGACAACTTCCGGGATGATTTCGAAGATATGGTGACAAAAGTTGAACAAATGACTGCGACCTTCAAAATGAGTGATGCCCAACCCCTAGAGGTCGAGAATACACCATTTACTATGGAACTTGGGGTCGTACACCCACTTTTCTTCATATCTTGCAAGTGTCGAGATTGGAACATTCGGCGGCGTGCTTTGGCTCAACTGAAAAAGGCAGGCAAGGAAGGTGTTTGGGAAGGACCAATTATGGCCGTTCTCGGTCGGAGAGTCATGTTACTTGAGGAAGAGGGTATAGCCATGGACGATGTGATACCCGAAGCGAATCGATTTCATGAGCTAAAGAAGAATGTGGATTATGATACACGGCAGATCTTTTGGGAGGGGACAAAAGCATTGGATACGACTTGGAAGAATTTTTCAATCCACAGGGATGCGACTCCGTTCTGAGAATTTTCGATGATGGGAAGCGAGGCGTTAAGGAGTGAGAAGTGCCTGATAAATCCAGGCTGTTGGCATATTCGGACTGAAGTATTTGCTGCAACACGGAATACAGGAGCGGACCCAGCGGAGACACAATACTACTCCAAGCAAAGGAACTATTGCATGACGGACTCTTCATATATATATTCGGATCATGATGATAATGGTTCTATGTGAACGATGCCTCAGGAATATCGAACGGTGGGCGTGCCCTATAATAAATGTGTCTAAGACAACGAGGACGTGGAACTTCTTCGCATTCAACCACCAGAGAACATCTTGTTGGGGTTGAACACATGCATCCCGCTACATAGTATGGATCAAGGACCAGCAAGCCAAAAGTGGACTGGTCTCACCCGGAGAATTTGAACAGGCGAAAGGGGAGAGACAGGCGTGCATCCTGGTCACTGCAAGTGGACACCAACCAAAGAATGGAGATGGAGTGGCCCTTGACCCTAACTTTTAAGGGACGCCTGCCCGGACCTTAAGGCTAAAAGGCTACCATGGTTAATAAAGCGCATCACTGCCCAACGCCTGTGGGTGCCTGCACGCCAAATGCAACTTTAGAGGGTGAGCTGCAATTTGTACGGAAGGCGCCGCGCTCGAAGCTTGATTCTTTAGTATCATCTCTCGACCAATGGCGATCGATTACTACACTCTTTTAGTCCATCATCGGTAAAGCTAGTCATCTAGCGCGTTTTTCCTAATTACAGTGAACCAGGTAATCAATCTCGGCCAACACCACGACTTTTTGGACACCTCATTTCCAGTTCGGTGGTCCTCACCTCCATTTACCTTGACCTCACATCTTCCAATTCTTCCATGGCGCAGCTGCTGGTCTTGACCCTCTGGTCCCGAGTCAGCTTCTTCCCAACTGCGACCTCGAAATACCAACTCAATCCATGACCGAAGACCTTCCTCTTGATTCCGCTAACTGGGTATCGCCCTACACGCTTCCTCCTTTACCGAATCTACACCGTTCTCGAGGCCACTCTTCTCATCTCAAATCTCCTGATCTCCCTCGACCATACTACGCGGCAGCCTGGGGAAGCCCTTACGCCACACCGAGTCCAAGAAGGCCTGCTCGACCTGCACCATCGACTGGCCAGCACGCCGCGTTTGGTTCGTCATCACCATCACTTCCGACGCGACAAATCCTTCCAGCGGCGTCGACTCACGACCTTTCCGCCAGGTCTGTACCTCTTCGAGCCCAGACTCAGCCCGTTGAGACCAATCGAAAACGTCACACGGAACATTTGAATTGGTTGAGCGATTCCGAGGACACGGGTTCTGAGACGGCTGGAAAAGAGCAGGAAGATCAGACACCAACCCGGGAGGCTTACCTCGACAGCTGGGGTCCATCCCCGGTTAGCGATCAACCTGAGTTGTCACGAATACATCGCCGGTCAGAAAGCCTCGCAACGATCACTCCTGATATTTTCCATGGTTCAGAGATCCTGTCGATAGAGCCGCACAATCCACAGCAATTGCTGTTTCCGTCTTTGGACCTCACAATGGCGTCTCCAGGCTCGACGATCGTCGAGTCGGGTAGTAAGCCGCAGCAGGCGCATGACCGTCGAATGTCCTTGCTCGAAGCTGAGGACAGGCCTCTTCCAAGTCCGACATCACCACTGCGACCTCGACCTAATTCTCTACAGTCCTATCAGCGACCAAAGAAGAAGGTTATCTGGAGGGGTAAAGCGTGTATCATCGCGCTCCCGCTGACAGATCGAGAAGCAGCTGGTCTACCACCTTTACTCACCGCGGAAGAAGCCAAGCACAGGATAAACGAATGGATTGCTCAAGGGTATAATATTGATGGGTTTGAGCTCACGCATAGCTCATCGAGTCATTCCATACAGAGCAATGGTCAGAGCCGTCCAGTGTACCCAGACCCGCTTGATCTACAAAGGGAACGAAAGCTACGCTCATATCAAGTGAGCATCCCAAACCAGGCCGAGTGGGAGTCGTGGGTCAGTCACCTTAAGGAGGAAAAGCTGAGAGCGTTGGGCGTGAGTCCCAGCAACTCAGAGGCCCCGCCTTCCACAAGGTCCCCATTCTCGCCAGATCTGAGCCGTGTATCTTCCGGCTACCCTGGTCTGGCTCCTTCACCACCCATCGCACCATCATCGTCAGCAAGTAATCCTCTCAGAGCTACTAGCAATCCTTTTTCACCATCCCTCATTTCGTCTGCTGGAATGAGTCCTCAGCCTGGGTCGGTCAATTCATCGCACTTTGGAGGAATTCCGAAGCCTTTGCATGCTCACAAGCAATCAATGGCGCCGCCCAATCAACGTGGTCGCATCAACTCACCCTTTGATCACGCTGCTTCGCAATCCCATTCATTTAGCCCTGGCGTCCCATTGAGCATTCCTCCCCTGTCGTCACGGCAGAATAGCTTTTCTCCCAACAACCCGTTGCGGCTGCCGAATCTTGGTGAAGTTTTATCTCCGGGCTCTCAACAGCCAGGGTTTGATCCTCGTGGACCCAATGCAAATATGCCGCCCACATATTCTCGACACGGATACTTCCCATCACAGGCCAATTTCACTGGTCCTTACCCAGGCAATTGGAAAGCACCCAACACTGCGCTGCCTCAACGTGTTGACAGCTTGACACGTACCCCAGAGTTCCGCGTACCATCAAGATCGCCCATTGAAATTGCGCATCCCACTCCCAAAAGCCATCGTCACAATCTCAGCATGGCCTTGCAGAGGGAAATTGATGAAGCAGAAGCCTCCCTGGTCGAAAAGGATAGAAACCATGACGCAGAGCACAATGCAATCTCTGACCAACCTGTGCGGAAGGACTCCAACTTTGATGAGCAAAATGACGAACCTCCCATTTTACGACGACCTGAGACACTCACAGATGAGAGATCAGAGATCGAGACGAATCCAAGCATAGCGGCTACCCCCATGCTTATGGACGACAAGAACCCGTTCGTGACCTGGCAGGCTTTGAGCGATGCAGCCAAGGGCGACGCTAAGGCGTCCGATACTGATGAACCACCTACCGTGCTCCCCAAGTTCAATGTACAAGCAAAGGAATTTGATCCCCGTGGTGGCTTCTCAAGCTCCAACTTTTCTTTCAACAATGATGCATTTGCACCATTCAGTGTCTCCCAGCAGGCCCCAGCGTCAGCATCAACTGCACCTAAAAACGCTGCCAGGACTCGACTATCATTGTCGCACCTCAACGCTGATGCTCCTGCCTTCACTCCTACGTTTGCAGCTACCTCTACACCCAAGCAATTCGCTTTTGAGACGAGCAAAGAGGATCCATCGGCCCCGAATTCATCAGCAGTCCCAGATCCTCCCCAGCACAAAGCTCCGAAAGACTCAGGATTCAGATTTTCGTCTGCTACATTCAATGTAGACGCCCCAGTGTTCAGCCCTTCGAATTCCATTTTCTCAACCATTGGCTCAAACATTGTGTCAACCACTCCAGGCTCGACGGTCGAATCTAATAGCATTTTCGGGAACGTTGTTATAGGTCCAGATTCCAAGCCAACCAGAAGAGGAAGCAAAGCTGTAACCATCACTCGTCCCAGGTCAAAAGAGGGTCCAATTCAGGACGACGTGAGTAGTTCAGGGGAGGACAAATATGATGAAAGTCAAGAAGACGAGGGTGGCCGCCCCATGGCGCCTGCTGACCGACAGAAGCGAGCCCGTCGCACCGGTAGTGACGGCGACAGAAGCCCTGTCTATGCTGACTCTGCGCCTTTCCGTCAGTCCAGTATTACTCCTGCAGGTGGAAACATGTCCAACACTGTTCACGGCCATCCAAATGAGCGTAAACCATCTTTCGATGGCTGGTCGTACATCTCACCAGACGAGAATGAACTGAGCAACAAATCTGTCTCCACTAAACTGAAATCACCCTCTCGCCTTAGCCATGGAAGTGCATCAAGTTTCACATTCAAGAATGAAGGTGATGCTGCCATGTTCAATGACGCACGACCTCCATGGGAGAAACAACCACATGTTGAGCCAGAGAGTGCGCTGAAGCAGGAACCTTCTTTTGATGATCATGAGCCTGAAGCTGACGTGGGCCGTCAAGCTTCTCCCCCACAACCAGAGTTCCGATCTCACAAGATCAAATCATCTCTCTCTGCGCTCGCGAAGCCGTTTGAATTCAGCCCACAACTATCTAGTCCGAAGGTGGCTTCATCGTTGAGCGCCCCTCGGAAACCCCAAGGCTTGGAGGCTTCCCGATTTGCAGCACCATTAGATTCAGAAGACACGCCTGTAGTCCTGGGAGCCAACTTATCTTCTCCTCCGCCAGATCTTGATCACTACCTGGAACCAGGCTCGGACTCACGATCTGAAGTTGAAGTGGATGTTGAAACTCCTTCCGATGCTGAAGCCAAAGCTCTTTCGATCAGCAGTGCACCAAGCTTACCTGTTCATGACACGGAGAATTTGGTGAGAGAAGGATCGAGAGACTTAGGACGCGAAGCAGAAGCAGAAGCATCTTCCAATGAAGATGACCTCATTCCTGGTTTACGAATGCGGCACCAGGATGAACCTGTTCCTTCGTTTGAGGATATCGATGCTGTTATGAAGCAGCTCGAAGTTCATCCAGAGCTCGGAATAGAACGCATCGACACACCACTTCAGTCTACCCCACTGGTAGACATGCGCCTCAGTGGCATCTTTCGCAGTGATGCACCGAGCCCCAGTCCAGCCCGAATTCATGATAACAGGATCCTTCAGAGTGAACTCTCCTATCCCCCGTCTACTGGCCTTGGTATTGGAATACACAAGCTCAATACTGGAAGAGAGGACGTCAGCGATTGGGGAGGAAGCATGCCTGCAGCTGAAGAAGCAAAATTGCAGTTACGGTCGCAATTCTTTGATGGTCACGTCAACGATCTGGTTGATGGCATACTCGAGAACAGGTTAGGACCCTTAGAGAGCACTCTTCAGACCATCCAGAACTCCTTGGCTATACTTGCTAGTGGTTCAAAGACGAAGCATGAACGCAAATCCGCCGAGGCTGACATCAAAGACTCCGATGCCGATGATGAGGATGAGGATGATTACGATGCATTTGAAGGTTTCGCCTCATACCGTTCAAAGTCTCCCTCGGCGAGAAGAGAGGTGTGGAAACAGGACAGACTTCGTGCTGCTGTATCTCAAGCCCTTGCTTCCTACGAACCACCCGCTCCAGCTCAGCCTGCACTTGACTTGACAGAGTTCAGTGAGATGTTGCAAGAGATCCGACAGGTCGCTCTCCAGAACAACTCTCTCAACACGCAGCACGAGCTGAGGACGGTCGTTGAAGATGTGATTTCCCAACATCCAAGACTGCGTGGATCAAGAGTTCAACAAGACTACGAGGCTACCGAAGGCAAACTGAAACCTCAGATTGATGGTCTTGAATCAATGCTGAAAATGGCAAAGGAACACAATGCAGAAGAGGTACAATTGAGACGAAAAGCAGAAGAGCAAGTAGCTGAGCTTAAGCTACGCCTAAGCATTGCAGAGGATGAAGCAGCACAATACCGTGAAGCATCAGAGGAAACTCAACAGACTTTAGTTGCTTTCCTCGAAGAGAAGGAGTCATACAAGAATCTTGAAGATCAGTTCGACAATATGACACTCCAGAATAGTGCTTTGCAGACGACTCTGGATGAGTATCGGGTCTCAAGCGATCAGTGGCGTGACGACATCCGTGAGGAACGTTCGAAGAACAAAGCACTCCGAGAGACTCTACATGATCTCGCCAAACAACTGGAAGAACAATCGCAGTCGAGGACATTGTTCCGAAATAGAGTTGAGCGATTGCAAGAGGATCTAACTCGAGTGGTTCAGGACACCCAATCCGAGCAGGCTGATTCACGGGAACGGGAGCACAAATTGCTCAGCAATTTGGCATTGGTGGAAGATGCTCTTAGTCAAGAGCGTCGGCATCGTTCAAAGGCCGAGGCAGATCTTGATACTATGGAGAAAGAGAACCGTGCGAATTTGCACTACAAGAGGGGTCTTGAAGATGCTGAGAAAGACATCTCGCGACTTAATGACTTGGTGGCATCATTGCGCGACGAAAACCGACTTCTTGACACAAAATCTTTTGAGTTGAGTCGCGAACTGGATCATGTACAGAAGAGCAAGGAGGCCGAGATTGGAGTGTCCACTGCTCGTCTGCAAGCAGAATTGGAAAGCACAAAGACACAGCTTCATAGCATTCGAACCGATTCGGATGCCCAGATAAATCGACTACAAAGTCGCCTTGACCACGCAGAGTTGGATCTGGAGGATCAGAAAGCTAAACATGATGCACTTCTTTCCGAGACTATCGAAGCGCACAAGGAAGCAATCCGTGAATCAAACGAAAGAAGAGAAAGCGGGCTTGAAGACCAACACCAAGTCCATGAGAAGAAGCTCAATGATCTGCGAGAACGACATACCCGTGAGCTGCATAATTCTTTTGACAACAGAACCAGACTTGAGCATCAACTCAATGAGAGGCTAAGTTTAGGTGAAGACAAGAATAAGCATCTCCAGAGCAGGATCGCAGACTTGGAAGATCGATTAGATGTTGCAAAATCTGCCCTCAGAGCTGCTGCAGAAGCTGCTCTAGCCAAGGGAATCAACCTACCAACCCCTGCACCGTCTGTTGTTGCGTCGCCACCACAACGTGCCACTAGTGCTTCAATTTCCTATGCGAAAGGCACCGATCTACCAGAAAAGATCTCTCCACAGGCTCTCCGGGAGTCGATCATGGTTCTACAAGATCAGCTTCAGAATCGTGAAATGAAGATCGAACAACTTGAGGCTGAGCTTGCAACCGTCGACAAAGAAGCTCCAAATAAGATTAAGGAAAGGGACACCGAAATTGGTTGGCTTCGCGAATTGCTCAGTGTTCGTACAGATGATCTTCAGGATCTTATTACGACATTGGCTCAACCAGATTTCGACCGAGAAACAGTCAAAGATGCAGCAATCAGACTTCGAGCAAATCTTCAGATGGAGCAGCAGCTCAAAGAACGAGCACACTCTGGACTGACCTCCTCATTACCATCAATCTCTTCTCTGACAAGCTATGCGCAATCACCCAAGGCTCTTCCTATGGCGGCTGTGGCAGCCTTGAGTAACTGGCGGAAAGCTCGAGACACATCTATTGGCGCCCTTTCAGATTTTGCTACTGGTATTGGCAGTCAAACACCATCAAGGTCTACTGTAGGAAGTCCTGCAAGCATTCTCTCTGGGATCATGACGCCTCCAAGTACGACTCAGAGACAATCACTCTCTGGTGAGAGGTCTGCACCACCTCCTAGTATGAGACCTTTGGCTGCAGCTGCACAGGCTCGAAAAGGGGCTGCGGAGGCCAGACCCCTTAGAGCATACAATTCTCAACCACGTGCTTTGTCAAACCGTCAACAAGAGAAGAGACCGGAAGACTCTCAGCCATTCCCTCCACTCCGAGATGAATCACCACACACCCCGACACAGTCTAAGAGACCAAGTCTTGACTTTGCAGATGACGTCGACGAGGACGCATCTCCCCTCGATGGCAGGCACACACAACACCTGGAGGAGCCTGAGCCAATTTCAGGATAAGAATATCCAAACAATTCGAACGCAAAGCATTTCCTTCGTTATGTCATTTATTCAGCAAGCGTGATTGATTGATTGATTGATTGCTTGGTTGTTCTTTAGAATCGGGAGAATCAAATGGAGGTGATCAAAAGGGAATGCATCTCATGTTTTATGTCACATAATACCCCCACAACTGTCGATCTTTTCTGTTTCGTTTGCTTGCTCTTGCAGATAATCCCACGGGTTTCCTGTCCTCAGGATCTCATTTCGTTCACAATTGACAGGAAGAAAGAGGATCAATTATTTGGGAACCGGGCTCAGGAAGACACATGTTCGTGGTATGCATATAGATTTCTTTTACTTTCCAGGGTTTCATGAGCGAGATCCTATCGTGTTGTGTGCGGAGAAGCTCCATTTGATGTCCGCAAAATTGTCATATAGGAACGATGGACGGATGGAACTGAGCGACAGATGCAGAGTTCTTCGAAGTGGAATTGAACAAAGGAAGAGAAGGAGTCACAAATCACTCACTCCCCTTACTCCTACTGTTTTACAGCTACCTACATTGCCCTCTCAGTACAGCCAGTACATGAAGCCCGTTCCCTCGCCTCCGCCGTTGATTTTTACTTTTTTGAGCGTTCCCATCCTCTTTCCTGAACATAGTTCGATGCCCACACATCTCCTTCCTCTCTTGAATTTGTCATCGAATATATTGCATTGCATAGGTAGATAGGACAGCGGCATTCTCATATGCGATAGATACCCGGGTCTGAGACCCTGCAGGTTGAGATGGGTGGTTTTGCGATCATTAGTCTACATACATAATCGGGATTGGGATTTATGTAGGGAAGATATGACGACTATGTCATCAACTCTTCAACGGACAGAGGTGCCTACTGCATAGTTTGGTATGCCTTTACATATATACATACATAATCAGAATATTCTGACGCTCCTCTGTCTGATTGAGACAATTCTCCATCACATTATCCATTGTCTGGTCGGCCGGCGCATTAATCGTAACTCGTGATCTGGAGTAGCGGCTTCTCACCAGGGCATCTGCTCGCCACTAAATGTCATGAATTTCCCAGACGTCTTCTCCCGCGTCGCCTTGTCGATCTGTTCAATCACACCGTTCACACCCTCCTGGATCGGCACGGGCGCCGCACTCATCCCGGCGCTTTTCGCGGCATGGTTTCCCAGCTAACAACCATTCGGTCGCATGTCAGTCGCACAAGATAATAATGGTGATAACCTCGATTCATTGACACGGCCAGAGAGATCACATACCTCAGTCTGCAACCAGCCGGGATTAATGGGGAAAGCGACCAATCTCGGATTCTCATAGTGAATACGGCGCGTGACGAAATTTGCGGCGGCCTTGGAGGCCCCGTACGCGGTGTTCTCGACGGGCAGGTCCTCGACCATGCCGAGACTGCCCGCGCCAGACGACAGGACCACGAACTTGGGAGTCCCGGGGGCTGCGTCCAACAGAGTCGCCGTCGCCTGGAAGAGCAGCAGCGGTGCCACGGTGTTGATGGCGAAGTGCTCTGTCATCTCCGCTGCCGGCGTCGCGCGTGCCGGCCCGAAGTATTTCGACACGCCCGCGTTCGCGATCACGACGTCGAGGTGTGTGATGGAATGTTGCGACTTGAGAGTTGATATCGCGGTGGCCGCGTCGGTGGTGGACGCGCTGTCGATCTGGACGGTTATGACCTTGCTGTCGCTGCCGTGCGGAAGGTCTTGGAGTGTCTTTGCTGAGGTGCCGTTTATGTCGCGTAGCCCCGCGATGACCGTGTGTTGCGGCCTAGCGAGATAGGTCGAGAGCAAGACCTTTCCGATTCCTAGATCGGTTTTATGGCTATGGTCAGGTCGTGATTCCTGGGGGGACCGGAGAAACAGTGGCATATTTACTTGCCTCTGCTGGCGCCTGTGATCAGGACCACCGTCTGGTCTGCCATTCTTTCGCAGAATAGTTTCGACAAAGCCTTTTCTCAATCTTGATATCTCGGACGTCTTCAACCAACCTCAACTACCCGCTGACGGGAATTTGCATATTTATAAAGAAGACTGCCGACTCTCACGATCAAATGCCGATTCGTAAGTTCAAGTTGGTGGTGAATCTCGGGGTAATAGCCGACGAGGGTTTTGATATGATTCGTGCGGAGATACTCTGTCCTATGTCGATGAACTCTAATGGCAACGGAGTCAATGGAGACAACGGCGTTAAATGTCATAGAAGAAAATATAATGTTGTGGGAGAACTAGGACGAAGTCGATGCTCTCTTCTAGTCGCTGAGAGGTATCAATCATATTTGGATGCTCGGTCACCAAGCACACCGGTCATTCCTTCTTAGCTGCCATTCTCAGGAGCGCAGCGAAAGAGACCATACGGCATGGGCATCCAATACGTCTTCGATTTCCTCACCTACGGACGACATCTGTCCAGCGACCGTATCCCGCAAAGATTGACGAGAAGACTGACGATTCTATATGCTCTCGCTGCTGGGTTCACGTCTGCAAATCTGTCGTACAATCAGCCGATATTGAACATTCTGGCCGAAGACTTCCATGTCTCGCTGTCGCAGATTGGCAATGTTCCGGCCCTGGCTCAGGCTGGAAATGCCATCGGCCTGCTTATGATTCTTCCGTTGGCGGATTATTTCCCACGCCGAAGCTTTACTTTGATATTGATGGCTCTCACGACCATTTTCTGGTAAGTGAATGGGAAGGCTTCCATCAGGGTTTAGGCGTTGATGCTGACTTCAGTACCACACAGGCTAGGAATATGTGTCTCAAATGGATACACACCATTTCTTACATTCACGTTTCTTTCGGCCTTGTTCACTCCTGTCACGCAACTGTTGCTGCCACTGGTGTCCGAGCTGAGTGATTCGGCAAATCGTGCATTTAACCTGTCAATCATGAGTACTGGTCCCACGCTAGGGATATTCATCGGACGAGTGATATCTGGCATCATCGCAGATCATCTCTCATGGCGCTACGTCTACTGGATGGCTCTTGGGCTTCAATCACTGGTGCTTTCCTTGCTCCTGGTTTTCATGCCCGAATACGGATCCCTCAATTCATGTTCCGGAAGAGAACTTCTCAGAAAGTATCCTAAAATTCTCTGGTCGATTCTTGCCCTTTACCCCAAACATCCTGTTCTCGTCCAGGCCGGTTTACTGTCGTTTTCGACCTTCTTTGCTGTATCATCGTTCTGGACTACGGTCACCTTTCTGCTCTCCGAGCCTAACTATGCATATACCCCGAGCCAAATTGGTCTTCTGGGTCTCATTGGTCTTGCAACCATGGCTGCTGCTCCGCTATGTGGCAAATACCTGGTTCATCCACTTGGCGAGCCCTTATTTTCTGCAGCGGTTGGGAAGGTTGTGAGCCTCATCGGTGTTGTACTGGGGACTTTCCTGGGCACGCATTCGATTGCTGGCCCAATCCTGCAGGCAGCGCTGCTCGACATTGGTTTGGTGATTCTGCAGATTTCAAATCGGGTCGCCATTCATCCCATTGAACCACAGATGAGGAACAGGGTGAATACGGCGTTCGTGAGCGTTTTGTATCTGGGTCAGCTCGCGGGAACCAAGGCAGGTAGTGTCATATACTACTCAAGTGGTGGGTGGGTGCCAACAGGAGCGGTCAGCATAGGAGTACTTGTAGCCGGCTTTTTCATCATTGGTGCAAGAGGCCCGAATGAGCTTGGTTGGATTGGTTGGCATGGAGGATGGAAGTCGAAGCAGGGATAAAACTAACCAGTGGCAGGCATGCTTTGAGGCAATGACACTCATGCTTGGGAAGGCAATGGTCTCTCAATCAGTCATTCAGCCGCTGGGCATAAGACTCGGGAAATGCCAAGGCAAGTGATTGAAGTGAGGCAAGAAAGGCAAAAGGCAACCGAAGCAAGTGAGGCAAAAAGGCAACCAAGGCGCTTCCAGTCTTCAGGAAGTATTCGGACCTGGACTTTGAGCGCTTCGGGTCATTGACTATTAGAGAATCAAATGGGTCTTGTGCTGCATCATGGATAAAAGCCAGGCATCAGGACGAGAACTTTCTGGCAGCAGGAAGTGTCAACACTGCTACAATCGATGCAAGGCCATGGGCTATTTATTTACGACTCAAGCCTAATACATCTAATCAGGCCGTCATTGCAGGGCCCAAAATGGCCATAGTCAATGCATTTCGAAGCAAATCACTCGTTTATCGCGCCATCGAGGACAACGAAGAAGACAAGGCTTTCTTGCACTCACTTTGGCTCGATCCACAATCATTATATCAGAATAGATACAAACAGCTATTTCAACCTGTCAGTAGAGATGCTTTCAACCTGCAACATAAAGCCAAAGCTACTGGCCGTCTGATCGATGTCTTGATCTGCCTTCCGGTCAAGAGTGAAGAACTTGACGATTAAAAAGATGTTCACTCTAGGGCCGAGAAAGTTGTACCTATTGGATTTGTGAATTTGCATGGCGTGGTCAAGGGTAGTGAGCATCACCGAACACTCGACATTGGCATCCTCATCGCTGCTGAACATCGAGGGAAGGGTTATGGAAGCGAGGCTGTTCGATGGATACTTAACTGGGGGTTCGAGATTGCCGGGCTACACCGCATCGGTCTGCAGAGTGCTTCTTTCAATCCGGGAGCCATGAGACTTTGGAAGCGCTTGGGATTCCAGCAGGACGGAAACGATCGCGAAGCTATATGGACTAATGGTGAATGGCATGATGAGCTCAGATTTTCTATGCTAGAGGGCGAGTGGCGTGTGATGTTGTAGAGCGAAAAGAAGATATATAGCCTGGTAGTAGTACTAACCGATTAGTATGAGACCATTTCGATTAGTATGAGACCATTTTAATGAAGAAAGATTGCCGAGCTAATTAGTCAGTGTTCCTACTGAGACAGTGGGAGCCTTGCCGTCATAGCTTTCCTCTGTGTCTCCCCAAGTAAAGAGGTGAGCTGGCCAGCGACGCCAACTTCCTACCCAAGAACTCCCAGGACTCTCGAGTTTCTTACTCCTACTTTCTTTCAGGACTTCCATATTCCTACTTCTTGTCTGATTCTTCATGAAATTCTGGGTTGGGCAGCAACAATAAGCAGAAGTCGGAGGACCTTCGAAGATAATTGCTGGCCCAGAAAAGTCCATTTCGGGCAGGCAATACTTCCGCTCCAGCTCATGATGACCTCAGGTGCAGTGGGTAGTGGGCAGTGGTCTGAGAGAATTTTCAACCCCTGGTCACCAGCCTGCAACAATAATCATCGTCACGGTATACCTGCACACGGCTCAAACTCGGAAACCTCAGGCACATCCTTATGAGGTCCTCAATGGCGGGCACCCTGCCGATCACGTGTACATGATTCATAGCTACTGTAAATACTCCTGTAGTGATGTTAAACAATATTTAGTTCTGCCATTTCTTTCCCTCACTCGCGTCTTCCTCTCTCCGTGCGTGAGTCCGTAACCTTGAGAAATCCTTTCCTCCTATTTCCCCGTAACTTCCGCTTTTGCCTTTACATAAGATACTCACCACCAAATAAAACCCTCAACTTCCAGCAAACAAAATGAAGGGCCACAAAGCAAAGACCACGAAGTCCTCCACTCTTCTCACCACGGAATTGAGGAAGCAAGGCTTGAAAATGGTCCAGGACGAAATGGATCCGGCTCTAGGACTTGGACCAATGTTCACCATCACGGCCTTGAAGCAAGGCACCAGCAACAGCGACGTCGCATATCGTCTCTACTACGCCGGTGAGGTGTGCAAGGTCAGTGCTAAGCACCGCAATGCTGTCGCCAAGGCAAAGAAGAAACAGTCGGGCAATGGCGCACTTGGACTTAGCCTGATTGCCGCTGGCGGTGTGAAGAATGGATCGAAGCTCGAGCTCGTTGTTGACGAGGCAAGTGATCACAGCTCTGGCAGTGAGACCGGGAGTGATTCGAGCAGTGACACTTCTGGCAGCTCGGTCAGTGGGGTGAATGATTGAAACGCTGTGACTGGCAGGTTGGGCGGACACGACTAACGGCGAAGGAACGTGACATGAAAGTCATACAACATCTACGATCTAACTATTGGAACGTGCTCAATAAAGCACTCATCCCCAGATAAATCTGTCTATCAACAGGGCTAGACAGGATACAGCTGCGTGGACCATTGTCCCGCAGAAGTCAAGTTGGACAACTGAAAGTTCAACAACCACAGAGCTATTGCTCTTTTGGCTGTCATCCACATGATCACAACAGACAGCACATGCATGTGAGCAGGAACAGCAGGTTCACTTGGACGTTACAACTCACCAGCAATCTCATTGTCCCGTGTTTCGGTCAGGTCACGGGCAAGAGATATGAGCTTTGGGGACGTCGGAGATATTAGCCACGCTATAAGAGTCTGTGGTGATGGATGCGGAGCACAGGAGGGTCACCGACTTCGGGGGCTTGGAGAAGGATAAGAGCGGACGGCTTGAAATGTTCAAAGGGGTGGGAGAAGCTGAAATATGAAAACCACCTTCTAGCTATATCTTTCCTAGCTCCTCCGGACTAGGAGTGTGATCTTTGCCAATTTTGATAGAAGAAAATGGCATATGGCCTAAGAACAGTGTGACCCCTGACCTGACCCAATTGCCGTGAAGCATGCGTGAAGAAAAACGACTCATGGATTAGCGCATAAATGCTACTTGATCCCACAACAGCCACCCCTGTTATTGATTTTGAGGCCCTCCCATATTGAATAGACTTCGAGACCGGTGAGACGATGTTGCGCCTTCTTGTCTACCTCGGAGAACACCCGAAACATTGTACCATTCGCTATAACGCTAAACATTCCAAGCAGGTTTGCGGTAATGAATGATAGGAGGGTAAAACGTGCACTTCGGCGGTGGCAGCTTCAACCAAATGTCCTCTTCATCGCAGTCTTCCCATGCATCTGAATCATCGTCATTGTCTCCTCCCTTTTCTTCCTCGGCACGGGTATAATCTGAAAGGTCTTCTGCTCCATCAACGAAGCATTTAATGACGTCGAGTGCGCGTGGAGTTTCAGCCCATGCATGATAGTTGTATTGCACGTAGAGCTGCGTTTGTTCCAAGGAACCGGAGCTGTAGTAGGCAGGGCGAGCACTGAGATGTTGTTCTGGGTCAAGCAACGCTGGCCAAAAATAAGGGCAAGATTCCTGAATAGAGAAGAATAGCGTTTCAATGTCCAAGCGCAAGTTGAGAATCATGGCAGTCGGATCCATCTCGTCCATGATATCCTTCTCTTTTAAGACAACCTTGGTCACAAGCGCCCGCCGAACCTTATCAAGAACCTCCTGGGGAACCTGGTCGCGAATTGCATTGGAACTGCGGAGGTCTATGAGTTGGTGAAGCAGTCGTATCTTGATAAGTGCTATAACGATGAGGATGTTTGCATCTTGACACCCAAGGAATTCCAACATGGAAGATTCAAATATATTAGCATCTTTCACGTCGAGAAACCCAAGATTCATGTCTCCCCAATCGTAGTCACCTCGTGAGCCATCTGTAGCGTACCACTTGCAGAAGTCATAGGCTTCTTGATCCATGCCGAGGCGCAAGTAGAGTGCAGGCACGCGGTCACGAACGCCGATATTGTCTGATCGACAGAGTCTCAACATGTCCATAGCATGATCGAGGGCAGCCTGAACCGCATCACGCGTGTTAACTTTCAACAACGCTTCGATAAGAGCATATCGCAATCTCATGTACGTGCGGGTTTCCAAAATTCCCCAGAAATGTCCCTCACGCTCTTCGAATACGTTTGCTGGGGTCATGAAATCTCCTGGAAAGTCACGCAGTCGCTGCTCTTCGGTAGCCAGTGCGGCATGCTTCTTCTTGATCTTGTTACAATCCTTCTTGTGAGAATCACGATCTGAAGTCTGATGGAACCCGACCGCAGTATGAGACAACCTTACAGCCTTGACAACGTTTGAGGTTGGCATGGCTGGCACATGATGGGCATCCTGTGGCAAGAAGTGGTGCCGACTCGGTCTCTGGGTTGGTGCTCGGAGAAGACATTGTTCTTGGAATCAAGAGTGAACTGTCAGATCAAGGTGCAAAACCACAGAAATTGGAGCTGCTTTTGATCATTGCAGGAATGAATTTTGAAGCTTCTTTCAATCGACACGAGGCACAACCAGCAGTTGCATCTCAGAGGTCACGTTGCAGGCACCACTGCACGTAGAGGTCGAGCTTGGCAAAGTTATACAACTTCAACCCGACAGGTTTGTAGATCCCAACTATCCAGCTTTTAACTGAGCGATGCGTTGTCCCGGTGAGACATTAATGGTTCGATGTGATTCAACACGAAGGGTAATATTAGTGGTCGAAAAGGGGACTGAAATTTGGTTTGGAACACCGCCAGGACGAGGAGCACTTTAGGCTTCCCCCGCGTCTCAGAAGCAGCAAGGACGCGCTACAACGCGTCAGCCCTGGTCGCTCTTTCCCTTGATCGGCACACCGCGTCCGCAAGGCTGGCTTTCTACATTGCACATGCCTAGGTAAAAGTCTGGCCAACACACAAAAGAGTTTTCCAATTCCAAAAGTACCTAGGCATTTAGCAGCTATCAAATGCTTCTTGCAATACTAGAGTGTGTGAGATCTATACTCTAGGTACATTCATCTGGTTCTGACCAAGATCCCTGCCTAGCAATACCTTAGGCAGACTGCGTTTCACCATGGGAGTTCGATGATGTCGCCAGCATTCAGGAATTTAAAACCCCGCATCTGAGGCCTCTTTGCTGTTGCCACGTGTGCACTACGAGCTGGAGTCGTCTGGCTATTTACTAGTGCACTTGATCTTGGTCGACGGCCCATCTAAGCATCGGCTTGTTGCATTGATGTGTTTGTCCGTAGCCTCGTTCTAAACACTGCTTGATTGCAGGCACAGTACAGTGTGGTTGTTCTTTTCATTTTCATGGACTTAAAATATGAGAGTACAAGTTTACAGGTCGACGAGATGGTGCTGGCCGAGATACAGGCGGCACTCTCACCGTCGCGCAATACAATGAGGAGGATCCCAAAGTGCAAGGCTACGCTTGCCCAAAAGGAAGGCAAATGTTATGTCGATCACTGTATCCCATGGAGAAGCCCGCTGTTTCCCCTATGGTGAGGCAGGGGGATCGCCTATGCTCGTCCAGAAGCTTGATACTCACCTGCCACGTCCAGTTAGACTATAAATCTCTTATCTATGGAGCCTTGCCCAGTACCTTGGCTGGGGTGGTGACGAGGTGGAATGAGAGGAAATCCAATGGCAGTTTTCGATGGCCTCTCACATCTCCGCATATCATTTCCACGTGTAGCTCACCTCTGATCAATATCGCGTGAGCTTGGTATTTCCATAGACGATGATCGGTAAGATGAGATTGCACCAAGTAATCCTTGGTTCGATAAGAGGTTGAGATAGCCAATAGACATCGGAAAACAATTCACGTATGTGGTCAGTGCATGACATTCAAATACATTTCCAGCGGCCCCTTCCCCAGCGAGTCAACTTCGAAATCCGAAGGAGCTCTCTAGATCGTTTTTGTGCAACTCAGTGCAATCCAAGGATTGCTGTAATAATGGGATTCCGACTGCCAAAGCTTCAAAGACCACACCTCAAGGTTGAACAACCCAAGTCGGCCTTTGCGGAAGGCAATGAGAGATGGTAAGTCTGCCGCCACATTCCAGTCTATGCGCCTTGCTCTCGAATAGGGTCCGAAGCTTAGAACTGACTTGCCTGGGTGATAAGGACCAATAAAGATCTCGATCCTGTTCCACCAGCCGGAAGGAAATGGGGTGTTACTTCATTCATCAGCTACTGGATTTCTGATGCCGTGAGTGGATGTACTCTCTGGCTTGAGATTATGAAAGCTGACATGTTATAGTTCAATGCAGCAACTTGGCAATTCGCAGCCGGTATCATTGCCGTCGGCTTGACCTGGCGTGAGAGTTTGGGAATAGTCGCACTAAGCTTCTTCATCATATCGTTTGTGGTCAGTTGGCAGCCAGGATACTTCAACATAGGATCCAGTATTGACCATCCACTTACAGATTGCGTTCAACGGCGCCATTGGGGTTCTTCACCATGTGCCGTTCCCTGTGATTGCCAGGGCAAGCTGGGGATTTTGGGGCTCGTACGTCGCCATCATTTCCCGAGCCATTCTTGCGATTTTTTGGTTCGCAATCCAGACAATGAATGGTGCCAACACAGTACGCGTTATGCTCGGCGCAATCTGGCCATCTTTTTTGACCCTTCCAAATCACATACCGGAGTCACAGGGTATCGATGATGCAACGATGATTTCGTTTTTCTTATTCTGGCTCGGTCAATTGCCATTCCTATTCATGCACCCCAACCAATTGCGATACCTTTTCATGGCCAAATCTATCATTGTTCCTGCAGCATGGTTGGCAATCATGATTTGGGCCCTCGCCTCGTCGAAAGGAGGTCACATCTTCGAGCAGAGTCCCACAGTTTCTGGATCAGCTTATAGTTGGGGATTTCTATCCTCGATGACCTCGGTCATAGGCAATTATGCAACGCTGTCCGTGAACCAGGCAGACTTTTCCAGGTATTCTCGAGTCTCTGTGAAGTGGCAATGTGTATACGTACCTATGTTGCCAATCTTCTTCACCTTCATCGCCTTCATCGGTATTGCAGCATCATCAGCGGGCGATTATCACTATGGTATTCTTGAATGGGATCCTATGGCTCTCGTTGGTCATTGGGACAATCGTGCAGCACGATTCTTTGCAGCATTCTCCTTTGCCCTGGCTGCTCTAGGGGTAAACATCAGTGCCAATAGTTTGTCTGCGGCAAATGATCTGATGGCACTTGCTCCTCAATATATAAACATCAGGAGGGGTCAGTTACTATGTGCGATTGTCTGCTGGGCACTTGTCCCTTGGAAGATATTGAAATCAGCAGGAAACTTTCTGAATTTCATGGCGGCATATGCGATCTTCCTTGGACCAATCGCCGGAATAATGCTATTTGATTTCTGGGTGGTTCACAAACGAAGATATGACACACTTGCACTATATAATCCGGACGGTATATATCGTTATACTTACGGAGTCAATTGGCGGGCAATAGTGGCATTCCTCTGTGGAGTCGCCCCAAGTTTGCCCGGGTTCATTAACGGCATCAACAATAACGTTGACGTCGGTGTTGGCATTCACCCTTACCAGTTTGGTTGGCTCCTTGGTTTTGTGGGAACGTCACTGGTTTATACAGTCCTATCATTCACCTTTCCAGCCAGGGAGACATTTATTGAAGCGGCCCTCCGGCCTGATGAGGTGTTCGCTCAGCAAGGTGAGGTTCCAGGCTCAGGCGACGAGACTGGAAGTGGAGAGGTGGACGTGGTTGACAACGAGAAGAGAGGATTAAGGCAGCGCATGGAGAAGTTTTTGTAGGAGACAGTGCTTGATTCTCCGTTGTAGAATCAGTGTTTTGAATCAGTTAGTCTTGGACAATAACATTTTTCCATGTTGAAGTTGGACATCCGATTCGGAGCGCGGAGAATCTATATTCCCACTCCAAAAAAGGAGAGAGCCTCCTACCAGGGCAAGTCTCCCGAAATCTTAACACATGACAACCAATTCCAAAGGAATTCTAGTTGAACACCGTTGTTCAAGATGTTATCCATTGTCATTGACTCTCAATTTCCGGGCCGCTCATAAAAGAGTCCTCACCATAGCTCATCACTTCCCTATTCTGGCCAATGTTACTTCTGTCTTAGAACCCTGTGACGTTCTCAAAATGTCGCAAGAGCCTGATACACCCGCATCAGGGTCGCCCTTGTCTGATATTGACTCGGACGAATTTCCAGAGGATGTGAAATTCAACCCCAGATCACGTTCTCACTCGCGCGATTCCACCATCTCGGCCTCTGATGATGATACCACCTCCCTTAAAAGCACCGCTGCGCGAACCACCGGTATGCCACCAGCAAAACGTCGCAAGACAGGCACATCAAGCTACGATCATGCAACACCCCAATCTGCCTCTACAGCCATTCCTCCCCGGTCCCCGACAGGCTCTATCTCGAGTGATACAGATGGCTCAGTCCCAACTTCCCCTTCTTTCGCACATCTTGGTCCTACCCATCCACTCTCCACCGCCTATGCAGCGGCGCAGGCAAACCCTGAAAATCCAGAGTTAGCAGACTACGTCCAAGAGACGAGGTGTCTTTGGGATGGCTGTTCGGACCGAGAGCAAGGAAACATGGACAATCTGGTGTCCCACATCAATGAAATACATATTGTACCCCGTCAAAAGAAATATTATTGCGAATGGGACGGCTGTCAAAGAAAAGGACAGCCTCATACAAGTGCCTACGCGTTGAAAGCCCACATGAGAAGCCATACTAAGGAGAAGCCTTTCATGTGTCAGCTCCCTGAATGCGACCGCAGCTTCACGCGTTCTGACGCACTCGCCAAGCACATGAGGACAGTCCATGAGACAGAGGCTCTGAGACCTAGCGACCCTGTGCCACGTGGACACACAGGGGGTATCTCTAATGGAGGCACTGGTGGTCCTTTGAAGAGGCTCAAGCTTACTATGGGTGGCAAGAGCAATGGTGACAAAAAGGCCAGCCTACTTGGAGATCTACCTGCCCTGCCAACACGATTTACCGTTGCGATGATGGGATACCCACTGGAAGACATTGAGATGGCCGATGTGGATGGGTCTGAGGAGCTCATTGACGCGGTTGATGTTGACAGCGTGCCCTTTGAGTTGCCCGTCCCACAGGACTACTACCCACAAGATGTGTGGGAGGATATGGATGAGTATGAACGTGATATGCCACCTTCGCAATACTACGCCCTGTTACGCCGCCAGATTGTGTGGGCAGAGCAGGAAGGACGTGACATGGAGCGAGAACTGGGAGACTTGAGGTCACAGATTGAGGACGCCCGGGGCAATCTGCTGAGGAAAGGTTCAGGGGATGAAAAGAGTGGTGACGAGATTCGCAAATTGAGGTGGCATCGTGCAGAGGAGTTGCTGGATACGTTGTTGCGAGCCGAGGTTCAACAGGTACAGGAGATGTTCACGGGGGAGAAACCGGATGTCGATGACCAGAATCCATGGACGCTGGTCAAGAATCTAGAGTCACTCACCACTGCAGGGCCGGCTGAATGAACAGCACGCACAAATAGTCGTGGGTTTGCAGACGGGCATGGGTCCCGTCAGGGGACATGTGTATCATTAGCCGACCAAGAAACATGCGAGAGACTTGACACTACCTAGGTAGTTGTTGAATAATGCCACACATCATACGGATAATTTGATCAGTAATTGAACCACGAGATGAAAAGTACAATTCCGAGGTATGCGTGAGACGAGCTCCTCTGAATCCGAATACGCCGGGCATAAAAAGTCTCGGTACAAGGATTAACCAAGAGGGATCACAAATGTCCACATTAATTCCCCGATAGTTAGGGAGGGAAGTATTCGTAGATCGTGTTGAGCTGATCAGCGCCAAGTGGACGAGGAGATCATAGGTATTGGTAAATGTACGGAGTCTACCGACAATACAGTCATATATCACTGAATTCATTTGATTGAGAGGCACAATATCTGACCGGTCAATGCCTCGTCTAGATGCAGGGGCACTCCAATAAGAGAAGGGCAGATAATAGATAAGCACTCGAATTAAGACTCATCGTGACTGGACTTTGTGCTCCGTAAAATGGCTGTAGGCTTGTAGCAAGCTCCGTCTCATGCCACCCCATGGGGCCATTTCCAGTTCTCTCCACCACTGAAGGATTGGGAGAGGAGCGAGATAGAGGCTGTGCTTTTCTGTTGTGTGAATCTGTGTGTGAATCTGCACCGCCCAATATCAAGTATCCGTACAGTAATCTTCAAAAGCTGTCCTACAGATTGGTGGAGGAAACTCAAGCTTTCTCTCCCGTCCTGATCCTCCACCACGCCAGCCCGTTTTCGGGCTCGACGCTGAGCTTTTACCTCAGGCTTGCGATGCACTGCACCCTCGTATCGATCGAGTCTCCATTTTCATGCAGTGCAACTCCATGCATTATACATTTCAATTTTGCGCGCTTTAAATCGTCCTATCAGAGTCGGACGGCCTCTTGATGATAGACAGGACGTCACCTTGCAGTATTCGTACTGGCTTCAGGGACCATTATGGCATTGAGGATCCCCTTAAATTAATTTAGACTCTAAATGGGTATAGCCTTGGCCTGAGGCAATGAGTCACAATTCAATACAGTTCCAAGCATGGACAAGCGAATGGCGAATTGCGCATGTTTGGGTTTTGATGGTCACAGAGAATACAGTGGTTCTTCTGCTAGAATACTGATTCCCACAGTAATAGACGCTGTCGGATAGCTCAGGACAAGGCAATAGATGATCAAGAGTTGTCGAGGGTGTTGTACGTCGTACTTGCACGTGCAATGCCAAAGGGCGCAGTCGCAAGTTGTCCGTGATGCACAGCAGCTGCCGGCCATCTGTATCCGGAATAGGGAGCCGGAGTCGAGTCTGCCAGTGCGGGACCGAACGGGTGGTGTAGGTGGTCTGGTAAGGCGATCCTATACTTTTCAAGCCCGCTTGTAATCAAACTCCCCCGGTCTGGCAGTTCCTCGTTCGGTACATTGAACATGTGGGCAGTCAAGTTTCAAAGCCTCAATTATGGATTGTTGGAGATAGTTCAAGCCCGACACGTGTTCGAATGGGTTTCTGTACAATGATGATACAGATAATGCGCAGCACTTCCGTGGCCAACCGTGAGATTGTACTTTGCTCGAATCCAATAGCGAGTGTTGTTTCAGCTGACGGTGGTGGCAGTGTCAGGTCCGTAGTAGTTCGGTCATTTCAACAATGTCTTTTCTTGAATGCAACACTGTGCGATGGCCTCGTGAGCCTTGAGCCCTGAGCCTGATGTGACCTTGCAGCCACACAGCAGCGTTATTGTGCGCCCTGGGTTTGTCAGCATCCTCGAGGAGAGTTTTGCCAATCCTTCTCCAGGTTCCAGCTCCCGATTTAGATCTCCAGACTATGAGATACGTGGACATTGACCACTACGCAGTATGAATGAAGCGCTTCCTTTCAGATCTCAACTGACATCAAGCCTTGCGATAATCACACCAATTGCCCATCTGTCAGCTGTCTCATCTCGAACATGAACAAACAGAATGTCTGACAGACTATATTTCGGATTCCTCAATACAGCACCCGTAAGGCCAGCCGAGATTCAGCCAATAAATTCATCTGACTGAATACTAGAGAGGACCCTCATATATGAGTCACAAGTCACGGGCCAATCGTCTAGGGTCTGCGGGGCAGTGGGGAATCTTGTTTCCGTCCCTTTCCAGTGCTGTAATTGGCCTGTAGTGACATGGGGGAGAAATTAGAGAGCTGCGCAGGCCCAAATGAGACTAGCCTCAGTGCCAAGGCTTACCGTGGCCTTCCGTCGCACCTGCCTGACATTCCCCCACTGGTGCCTGCTTCAGACTCTTAAAAAATTCCACTCCCGCTTCTTTCTCTGCCTGACTCTTCCTCTCTTCCCTCTTCACCCAATACTATCATTACTAGGAAACAGCAAACGAACTTCATCTATCATGGAGTTCTGATCTCTTTCACTTCCCCTCTTCTGTCTCGCTTCCCAGCAAGATAGACTTCCACGTCATCAACCCCTTACAAACAACCAACTCTCAACTCACCACCCGTCCACAAGTCTCCTCTGGAGTCTCTGTGAACAAAGATCTCTTCGCTCCTCGCGTTTCGAGCTCTTCTTTCACCACCGCAACCATTCACGCGTTGGATTTTACATCCTTCACCACGGATTCAAAACCACAATGGCGTTCCCCAACCCCAAGATCACCTGCTATAGCGCAGCCCAATTACAACAACAGCTTCAATCAGGACTTTCAGCTCTTCGCCGCTTCGGAGACCCAGCCAACCCCTCCGACTGCCACGCGTGCGCAGGCGATTCCGAGTACAATCCCTAATAGACACCGTCTGATCCAATCCCGGCATCTCTCAGTCAACAGCAGAGTGCCTCAAGCACAGTCTACTCAGTCACCATCTCTAGGGCACTTCAACTCTTTCAACCAAAGGTCTTATTCTAGTCCAACTTTGCACATCACACAGAACCAATCACAAAACTTGCGACAACTCGCACATTTCCAGCAACTGCCACCCGTACCTCCTTTTGATTCAGGATCTCGCAGAATTCACACCGCGCCTACTGTCCCACAAGGTAGCTCTCACAGTAACCGTGATACAAAAGGCAGATCACTGACTTCCCCCACAGGCACCATGGCGACTGCTTTTGACTCTATGTATCTTCCGGGAGGCGACTTGTTCGCTTCCCATGATGATTTCCTGCATCACACAGATTTCCAGTCACACGACTACAAGTTCACCAGCCCTCTCATGAATGATGGCACCATCTCTCCCTCGGAATTGTTGAACGATGATTCCATGATCATGTCAGCACCAAACTCCACGGCTTTTCCCCCTCTGAGCACTCCGGATTCCGGTTACCTTGAATCGCCTGCCACAGGTCTGAATACTTCGCCTTTGGTGGATGGTCTCCTCGATGACCAGCTTAATTTCCCGGATCTTGATAGCATGGCTCCGCTCTTCCCTCCGGATGATTCATTTGATCAGTTCGCGCAATCAGCTCTCCTTGAAGAGCCCACTAGCTTCAGTGCCGTGAACACACGGCCCTCTTCCAACGCTTCTCCTATGGTCCGACAGAAGTCTTCTCCTGGAAGGCCTCCTTCTCACCCCTATGGCCTAGGCCATAGCCGCAAGCACTCTGATGCTTATGGAGTTAGCAAGGCGAAGCCCCGTAAATCATTGCCAGAGATTAGCATCGACAGCGAGGATGACAAGGAAACAGCTAAGCGAAAGAAGAACACTGCTGCCGCACGAAAGAGTCGTATGCGCAAGCAGGAGCATGCCGAGGCCAGTGAAGCCGAGATTGCGCGTCTACGAGCAATGATTTATCGAATGGGTGGTGACCCTGATGAGAAAAGGTGACTCACGTCGTTTAGTGGTTGTGTGAATCGTCACAGGAGACGATTATGTGGAAATTGCATCAGTTCTTGTTTTGTTTGCAAAGTACAATTGGACGACAATGAAGCTGTTACTACCTCATAGGTAGCCAATAAGCAGCAGCATGACGCTTGGGGTTGGGGATTTCAAGGCTGAAGCCAGCAGGGCTGCCTCCCAACTCTCACGTCTACATTTCCTATCAGTTCATGATGTTATCATCGGCATATGCGATCATCGGGGTTGATGAGCCGGTTCTTGATAGAACCCTTAGGCTTCCCCATTTCAGTCATATCGCAAGCAGGTCGACGCCTTTGGGATCTTGGATTGCTTAAATGCGAATTCCGTTTCTCTCAGATGTGGTCTTCCTTTTCCTTTTTTGCTTTTATTGGTGTATTCGGCCGGTTCTGATTGTCTCCCCATGATCTCCATCCTGTTGTGATGAGATCTTTGATTGGGATTGACTCGTGGCCGTGAGCGAGTCTAGTGCTCTTCACGAGGCGATTCGTCACTGGGTTGGAAACAATCCTTTGATGTTTCGACCACCATTCATTTATTCAAATAGCAAAAGCTTTCATAGCTTCTAGCACTAGTTGTCCCGTCACACTTTCTTGCGAGCAGTGTGCGGTATCGAAATGCAACTCATTCTCTACAATATCTGCGTTTTATTTCTCTTCATGCCTAACTAATTCTCGCCAGATATGCCGCGTCAAATCTGGCCCTAATTGCAAAAGGCATAGTTCCGCCTGCCACCCCTGTTTGCATCTCTTGCCGGAGATAATGTCCCTCCTGCCATCGTGTCTGGTCTCGCGGGCCTTGATCGTTTCTTCGCTAACTAGAGCTTGTGTCCATGACAAGACGTTCTCTACTACGAAGTACTACCTCTACACTCTTCTTGTATATGGCTTGAGCCCTGCCTTTTCCTGCACCGAGAAAGAACGCTTTGTTCTTGGTGGCTGCAATCGTGAACCCTTGGTAGGCCTCAACTCAGCTTTCCATATTGATGGCACTTACCATCGTTTACATTCACAAGACCAGCCATGCACACATTTCATGTGTCCCGTCCGGATTTCCAGCACTCATCTTGGGAGTTTCCGCGTCGGCCACCCCCCTCGAGCTTTCAGGGGTGATTGTTCATCATTTCGGCCCCCACTCGGATACGACGTGACTTCAGCGAATGTGGTATGAAACTGGCCAGGGTGCCATCTGCGCCAGCGCTGCCTAGGTATGCTGTTGATTGGTGAGCCTTGCTGCAGGTGTTTGACGTTTTGTGGTGGCTTCGAGAAGGAGTGCCTTGCACTGCCCCTTAAATGGCCTCACAGCAGCCTGAGCATCATCCTCAGCCTTCAACATCGCTCTCAGAAAGAAAAGGGGTGGGCTCCAAGTATCGAATATCGTGAGCACCGCAACACTGTCCACGATCTACAGATCGCTTTCTTTGGCTGTAGCCTATGTTTTTTGAGATCTCATTCAATTTACGCAAGTGCGAATCTTGTCGGCCGGAATGTCTTCTGAAAATGTGGAAGTCAAGGCACTGAATCAGTTTAGAAGATTTGCCGATGCAGAGAAACAAAGGGTCATCGAGAGGAGAAGAGCCGAAGCTGAACAAGTTAGAGCGGCACAGCTCAGGGAGTTGGCCAGGTTTGCCGAAACGTTCAAGCTAACAACACCTGTGCCGGAAGACATTGTTGGTCTCTTTTCAAATGATCCACGCAAGCAACAAGAAACCAACCAGAGAGCCAAGGGAGAGTCTCCCAGGGCTCAATTCAGACCACCCTCGCTAGAAGAACACATTCGAAATGCGCCTTCCCACGGTGGCCGTGGTGGGCGCAACTTCGACCCTGCGAATGCGCTTTCCATTAATGGTCTTGAGCCTGGGGGCGTCAGGATCTCATCGGAGGAGATAAGAGTCCCAGCACCGTCGCCGTCAGGCACATTATTCAGAAATGAAGAACAAAGAGTTGGCCGACTACCTGAATTTCAACCCACTTCTAAAGCGTTCGCACAACCTGCCACGAAGTCATGGGCGGATGTTGTAAAAAGTAATCCAACTCAATTACCGCCTACCAGTGCCACAGGGCTTCGATATCCTACTACGCCTCCCAGAAATGTACCTCCTCTTGAGAGGCTCGATGATGGTGGTGCTAAGACAGCCTCCCATGGCCGATCCTTGGGAACCTATTTATCGCGAAAGCCTACAACCCGTGGTTCCTCTGAGAACTCCAAGCTGTTCTCACTTGGTTCGTCTGTTTCAAAAGAATATCAATCGACTCTGCGTACCAGCATAGACTCATCAAACATAGCAAACAAGTCCTTGGGGATGATTCTTGAAACTGAAGAAAACCTTGGAGATCATAGCCGGCAGGGTGAATCATATGTGCACCAGCAATATCAAGATGGGTTCGACAACATGACGAAACAAACTAACCTTTCTCATATCAACCTCTCCAAGGAGCAGATGGAAACCATTGCACAAAGGTTTGCCAATGCACTAATTGATGAGCTACCCGACAGGAATTCACTGCTTCAAGAGACAAAACTACCCAATCCTACGTTCAAGCAATCATTACAAGATTATATACGAGACTATGCTATCGAAATTCGACGAGATGCAACCACGTCCAATACAGCTGATGCTGCAAATACAGTTCGCGCTATGAAGAGAACTATATACGAGCTGTTTATAGATGCGTTGAGAAATAAGACCCCGATCAGCTTGATGAACGACATCGATAAGATGGAACTCCTTGAGAAACCATATCGAGAATCAGTTGAAGGCTGGCTGGGCGTCTCAGCATCCGGCCTACAATCTTCAGACCAATGGACAAGAACCAGACCGGCTTCGGAGCCCGACGTTATGGCCTTCAGCGAAAGGACTGAGTCTTCAATTGCTGACAGCGGCCACGATATGTTTCGCTTGTCTGGCACAAATGAGAATGTAAGCAAGCTGGTCGAGCGAGAGATTCTTGAGCACCAGGCCTTCAAGGATCTGATATCCAAAGTTCACAAATTGATAGAAAGAGAATTCTATGACGCTAGAAAGATGATAAACATGCGTGTACTTCATGGACTGGGTGGAGGGAAATCATTGACAAGTCCTCATCGAGGAACCAAGGCTGCTATATTCCATACGGGCGATTGGGATCTCGTGTCATACATGCAAGAACATTATGATAATGGAATCGAGCAAGATCTTGGAGCCACCACAGTACTAACTGGCAACGCCGATAATGCCTATTTGTGCTCTATTCAAACCTACATCAAGCACTTTTGGCGAAAGTGGCCTCGCGTTCTCATTGACGCGTTCAATCGTGCGCTCCGGGGAAGAGGAACTTCAACTGAAGAAGGCCAGAAGCTGAGCATTGTCATTGACCTAGATGACAGAACTGTACGTGTCGAGGGCAGCCATGTATTTATTTTGAACATGGCGCAGCAGCTAGCATGGTTGGTGGCCGGTTGCAGGGTCTCGCCCGGCGGACTGTGGCAGTCTCGTGTCAATATTACGTGCGAAGAGATATTGGATTGGGGCCAGTATGCCACGTTTGCGATCACGCATGATATCTCACAAGTTGACCCAGCCGCATGGTGCGGTTGTTGGAACCCTTTGGTTGGCGATTCTGTGGTTGTCAGGGGTTTTCCGATCCCTCTTCGAACATCGAAGCAAAAGGGTCTTGAGCTCACTTTCGAGCTCATGGCAGCTATCGGAGATGTGCCTATTGCAGTCCAGTATGCCGGAGGATATGTTCTCAAGGGACGTTCAGTCCTGTTTTATCCGGTGTCTCGAGAAAGTGACTGGGTCCAGTGGCATGTTGTGCTCAATCCTGTTGGTCGCATCAGCTATCAAGATATTGACCGCATGCATGGATTGCAACGCCTGACTTCTGAAACATTGGATCAACAAGGCATCACTTCTACCCGGATCTTCCTGGGCTGGACCCCTTATGCCGCCAGTTCTTTGGCAACAAAATCATACCAGTACTCCCGTGTCACTTATTCCAAGACAGGACCGCCAAGTGGAACCCAGATGAACATGAAAGGTGGATCTGTTGGGTTCAGCTATTTCGCAATAGCAACAGTCAATGTCGAATTGCGGAAACGATCTAGCCCTTACTACAACCCTAGTGATCAAGAGTATTACGACAACCTACTGGACATGGCTCAAGAGCTCCACGTCATCCTGTACGATGCCGAACCAGTGGGCGGCAGAGCTTGGATGACAGATGGTGAGCATATTATCCTCCACTTGATCCTCCATCGCGCAAAACAACCGAAAAAGCATCACTATGATGAGGGAACAATTGAGATGCTCTTACCTGCATATGCTGGCCATGCCGACAGCGTGCGAAAGGCGATGCTTCATAACATGAACGTGATTCTGAAAAGCGATAAAAGTACCATAGACGGCGCAATCAAACCCCTGTACTTTCGACGTGTTGTACATGAGCTTTACAAAACCCTAGAGGGCTTGCAAGCCTTCAACCAAGCTTATGCAAGTCCGGAAGGAGTGCAGGTCTCGAAGACATGGAAGCACAGCATCCGTGGTTTTGAGTATATGAGACTGCTGTACGGCAAGCGCAGGTCCCAGTGCAAGGAGCGCTTCCTGGAGAAGACGAGCGGGCATTGGGCGGTTCTTGCCAAAGACCTGGGCGCTATTGTACTTTGTGGGTCTGGCTTGGGGGAGGTCATCGAGTCTTTTGCCCTGTCCCCAACCTGCTCAAGCTGCAAAACCGCCCCTCGAGGTCGTGATTACCTCGTTGCTCAAATCAAACATTTGGAGGATCTTTTCGAGGAGAGCGGTGCGAAGGATGACCACGCGAAATTGACGCCTAGTGGTATTCGATGGCACGAGGCATCTCGGCCTTTCCAACAGTGTCCTGCTCCGAATTCATCATCTGAAAGCTGTTCCTGCCAAAGAGTCCAGGAATTATGGCCCGGCAATGCTGTGGGGCTTGTTGTTGTACCAGGCAAGCTTCCACCAGATGGAGCTGTAATATTCGGTCAGGTAAGCCCGGCGCCGGCGGCGACAGCTAAAGACCTGCTCTCAGCATCCAGCTGGTTTAGTAGCTCGAATCGGGCAAGAGATAGTTTACAGGTGGTAGAGCGTAAGGGTATGCGAATAGTATCTACCAGTGGACCCAACGTGGTCGGCGCCTTTGATACTGAAGCTGAAGCTGAGCGACATGCACATGCCTCATATCCCCCTAAGGCGAGTCCTACAAACATCACAGAGCCTCCTAAGCAGTGTCATCGACCACATTACGAAAGTTTGCACTACCACGATGCTGGACAAAGCGGGATGTGTCCTGGCCCCGCGAACGACTTTCAAGGTACAGAAACTCGTCCACCAGAAAACGCCTTTGTCATTAAGTCTCTAAAGTCGGATTTATCCCCCAGCAATACCCCCGCAAAGACAACAATATCTGAGAAGGCTTGGGGTAAAAGCCCACCTACTACTTCTCATCATAAGATACAGGCACCTCATGAGGCTACCTATGCACCACAGTCCGAGGACTGCGTCCGTGGCGGAAGCAAGGGCAGACGAGCCCACAGAGAAGTTGCCGGTCCAGCACCCAGCGCTTTGGCAAAGACACCAAATCACGGGCCGGCAGCTGTACAGCCACGGGCCACACCCATGGTCATTCGTACCAGGAACGGCGGGCGAGGTAACATCTCATCGCCTTCCAACCGCACCGTCGGATCCGAGTCAACAGCCCATCCCTCCACGCCATATACAGAGAAAAAGCCGACGCTGCGGCGGACCTCACGGCTGCCAGCCGACTTCCATCGCGCTCCAAATGGGAGCACAGATCGATCATGAATGGCTGTGCGCTATCGCTTGACTTTAGCAGCGAAAACAGTTCAATTGTATCAATAGGTAGAAGATCCTCATCCTTCACCCTTCCAAGCACCTTGAGATCTAAAGCACTCCCGCGTAGACAACAGTATGAGACGTGTTTGAGCTTGCGAGTGACTCGCTTTTCGCTTCGTGGTCTGGAATTTCCCATAAGCAACATACCTGGTGGCGGTCGCTGCATGCGTGAGCATGAAAAAAAAAGCCATCAGGACCAGCCCTTCAAGAACTGCATCGCGGGTGGCAGGCCTCAAGACCAAAAACTCAACACGCACGCACAGTCCATAACATCAATCACTCACAGCGCATCTGGGTGCAGTCTCAACATGCGAGACAGACGCACTTGGCGAGGCTGGCCCAACAATCAACTCCCGCACATCTGATAAGATCTGCTGATGGACGATCAAGTTAGGGCTTACTCGTACTACGAAGAACAGAACTTAAGCAATTATTTGACTAGTCGACGCAACGGATTGGTAGTCAAGGCCCTAAACTTCGGTCCGTGAGGGACAGTCCAGCAATTCTCGAACTAAGGATTTAGATCCAACTAGTTTGCTGGGTCATGATCTTCCGGATTCGGTGGGCCGGATAGACGCATTCGGCTACCTATGATTCTTCGCTGAGTCAGTGGCTCTTTTTTTGACGACGGACGAATTAGGTGGAATTTCTGGTCTTCTATTTCGTGGATATCGCTTTACTGCGTGATTTGGTGTGAAGGTATTCTGCATGGTATCTAAGGATCTACCTATCTCGAAGTCTCTCCGCCCTTGGATCTAGGGATCCGTTCCGCCGCGGTCGTGGCTGTGCTGGTCGGTTGATTCTCATGATCGATGAGGAAGTACACTTGACGATGACCAACATCGGTACCCGAGAGCCTCCTCAGAGAAACCGGTATGAATATCTCGTTCCCTCCCCCTAACTGATGCAGAAGAATGGGTCATCGACGGGGACTGCACAATAGCGCTACCAAGCACCACGATCTCAGGGCATGACTTAGTCCAACCTGGAGTCGACCATCTCTTTGAGGTAGGTCTCGATGTCCGCCTTGCTGTACGGGCGATCTTTCTTCTGCGCAATACCCTTTGTATTGATGAGGACATAGTTATCACGTAACTTAAGAAGTCTTGTCTTGTGGATTTCATCACAAGCCTTCTGGTTGTTAGCCAGAATCTTGGCAAAGCCTTCATCAGCCCCGAGTTCAATAAGAGTATTTGCCATGTCCAGGTTGTGTTGTCTCAAAGCATGTGGAAAGGAATCCTTCTTCTTGAGCATGAAAATGAGGGCATGGATCATGTTGTACTTTTGCTCGTCGCTGATCGTGGTAATTTCACTGGACACGGTTCCTCCAACATCCTCGGCAGTGGAGCTTGATTCGTGGTTGCTGCCTGTCTTGGCTCGACCACAGTCGGCGAGTCTAGGAGGCTGCTCACACAGGTCCAGAGCGTCGGATTCGACCTCGTTGTCCAACCAAATCTGGAGAAGGGTAGGACGACGGCACAAGTTTTGGTAGGTAATGGCTTTCTTGTCTTCCACTAGGTGACACCAAAAGAAGATATCATGTGCCGGGAAGAATGAGGCAAGATCACCGACGGCGAAGTCTCTGTCGACAATGTCCCACTTCCAGGCCATGAAGGCTAGCGCAGAATAATGGGAGAATTCTTCCTTGATCAATCGACGAATCGTTCTTACCCAAGGTTTTGGATCCTCTATCAGCTCCAAATGATAGATGATGCGAGTTTCATCCTTGTAGAAAGAACACAAAGCGATCAAGGCGAGCAGCGAATCCCTATCTTCAGTGCCAAAGTTTCCAAAGAATCTATCACGACCCAGGCCTGAGTGTGTCGCAGCCGTGATCCTTTCAGGGTATCCAATGCCGGTGAAGATGTCCATCTCCCCAGCAGACACCTGGAGATCTTTCAAGATAGCAAGCAAAGGGCTGGAGCAGTCACTGGAAGATTCCGGTGCCAACTTCAACTGTGACATGGCCTCAACGTACCTCTCACGTGTGCACTTGACTTCGAGCTCGTAAGCCATTCCCGACTCGCCCAGGTAGAATGTGGTTTTGCGAGGCTTATTGATATTGAGGACAGAGTGAGGTGGGCCAGGAGTATGGAGCGCAGTGTTGGTGGAATCCATCTTGCAGGAGAGATCGGGCAGTAGAGCTTCCAGTCAGGGAATTTTGAGGTATTGTTTCTTGGAGGGATATCCCAGTGATTTTGGTATGGATGACTCAACCTGTGATCGATTTCAGTCGCGGGGAGATATTGGTGTGTGTGAGAATGTTGTGAAAAGTCAGGATCCGCGGGAGAAATGAGGAAGAAAATGAGACGCGGTTTGAGCCTGATTGTCGATTAACGGAAGCCAGTGAAATGGGTGAGCTGTGGTAAGTGACCTCACATCCCTCCAGGTAGTGGCTCTTGGAAACTGATATTCGAAGGCCGGGACCAGATGAAGAGGCAGTTAAGAAAGGAGTGGAACACACTCTAAGATGAGGTGTCAATCGAAGCAACACAGTGAGAGAGGTGCGGTGATTGAATTCACCCCCCTCGGACAGTGCCTCGAGGACACCAGTGATAGAAGATCGGGATTCCTTAGAAGAGATAGGTAAGGAAAGACGGGTGTCCTCACTTCACTCAGGCAGGAGTTCGAGGAACCTGATATTAGAAGACCGGGATCGGACGAAGAGAATAAGTAAGGAAAGGTGAGATACACACTTTGAGATGAGAACTCAATCCAAGCAAATCACTGGCAGTGAAGTAAGTGAACTGCAACAAGAGACCTCACCTCCCTCACGCAGTAGACTTCGAAGCCCTTACTGATATCAGACTCTCTAGGACACTAACTAGGTAGGTAGTCGAAAAGACACGGTCATGGATGGGATGAAGCAGGAGGCTCCAAAAACACATGATCACGTACCTAGATATCGAGGTATGGTATGCGTTGAACGAGGACCAACACCTGACAGGCTGTCCGAAATGGTCTCGTAAAGAACGCAACACAACGACGGGATGCCGAAGTGCGAAGGCACCGCCCCCTTTCTACCGTACCGAAACAAAGCGGCAGGCTACAACTTCAAGGTCTCCGACATTGGTTAGCTGCCCCCTAGGGTGCAGAGGAGAGGAGAGAAAGCCAACACCTGACAGATCAGCATCTGGGAGGTGGTTCTAGACCATCTCCGAGTCGAGGTACCTCGACTACCTAAATAACCTATCAACAACACACATACATCTGAGGCTCTGTCCAGGTACCGAATACCCAGTATATGGCCAGCCATACAATTTGTGAGGCGATGCAACGTAGTAGTCAGTGTCGGGGATCAATAAACCCAGATAGATACCTGGAATTTGATGGGGCACTTGTAGTGCCACGCCTCAACTCCCAGGGGATGTGTTACGGGCATTGTCTATTCATCACCAGAATCTCGCTACATTTCATACATTTTGGTGATGACATGGCATTGGGTGGTATGGATGGTGGACATGCATGGCTTACTGGAAACGACGAAAGAATAGAGCAAAGTCGGCCATGCTCGATTCTTGAATAAATATTCCGTATCACGAGCTAAGCAGCAAAGACACACCTCACCTCACCCCAAAGCCAGACTACGATTCACGATGCGAAATTGAGCAAAGATTAATTAATGCAAACAACAATTTTCATTTTATTAGCTATTATGATTCCTAGTCCTGGTCCTATGTCAACCCGCCTTGTGTTCTGCTTTGCAACGCAACCCAGAGCATGAGAACAAATGACTGTCCACTTCAAACCAAACAACTTTTTGATCTCGTAGCGACAAAGCCAGTTGTCCTCCAAGGCCGATCCAAGGTCAAAGCCACAATAATGAACTTGATCTCGATAATGGTCGTGTCAACATAGCCCAAAGGACTGATGCACCCCTTTTCCCTTCCTAGCAGCAACGAAATATCGACATTTCAACATACCAACCAAAGTGGCAGGCACACGAACTCCAGGACCAATTTTCCATCACGGAAGTGATCACAGGGGACTAATAAGCCTCTCCCAATTCCATGCACGTTAAAAATCTCCTGTCGTCCCATGATGCAAGCACTGGATGATTTGCTTGGGGTATCTCTCGTAAGGACAAGACCTTGCCTAAGTGGGGTATCTGTACTGAAAAAACGCAGGAGCAATTGCAATCAAAACAAAATCGCAATCTCGATCTAGTGATGTGGGGTATCCTGGAAAGCAAAAACAAAAACATAGAAAATGAGTGATGATCGAGTTTGTCGTCAATGAAGGAGACCTGGGAATCTCAATTCATAATTCCGGGATTGCTGAACCAACCATGTCGCCACCTAAACAACGAGGCCAGAAAGACGAGAAGGGCTACGAGGAGGCACCGGAGGAACTCCGTAAGTCTTCGCGTCCCACCACTTCTCGAACTCAACTGGACTTGCCGCTCGAGACAGCCGAGATGGATGTGAAAGAGATGTGCGTGGACTGTGCTCTCTGACCTCGTCGGACCTTCAAGCAGTGGCCTTGACCTCGGGAGCAGCGGCTGGGGCAGCTGTCTCGGGGGTGGCATGGAGAGTTTCTGGCACGACATCGCCGACAATTTTGCTCTCGGTGGGCTCAGTTGTGGCAGCTGGAGCTTCAGGAGTGGTCTCGACAGGAACTTCCTTGGTGGCGGTCTCGGTGGGAGCAGCTTCGGTGGCTGGCTTCTCCTTTGGCTCAGACTTGACCGCTTTGCTAGCACGGCGCACAAGGTTGCCAATGAATTTGCCCGGAAGAGGGGACTTCTCACGCTTGGTCTCGGTCACACCCTCACCATCGCTAGTGGTTTCCTTCTTGTTCTTGAAGAAGAGAGATGTACGACGAGGATTCTCACGGCCAGGGCGTTCCTCCTTGGTGACAGTCTCAGTGGTGGGTTCAGCAACGGCAGGCTCGGTGGTGGTTTCGGGAACGGCGGCAGCTGCAACGGGATCTTCTGCGATGACCTTGGCGGCATGTTCGTCTTTGGCCTCCTCCTTCTGTTCCTTCTTCTCAGTCTTCTTGTTGATGAAGCCTAGCAGACCACCTTTCTTCTCAGACTTGGGAGCAGTTGTGGTCTCGGTAGCAGGTGTGGTGGTATCCTTTGTTGCATCGACGGTAGTAGCAGGAGTTTCAACGTTGTCGGCAGGAGCAGTGACAGCAGCAGTGTCAATAGGCTTGTTCTCAATGGGCTCATCGAGCTTTGGTGCTGTCTCAGAGACGGGAGGAATGTCTGAGGCGGTAGCCTCCTTCTCGGTCTTCTCGGTGGTTGGGCTTGTCACATTCTTCTTGAACAAGCTGCCAAAGACGGAGCCACGCTTGGCCTTCTTTCCAGTGGGAGTTGAGGTGGTCTCATCTTCCTCTTCCTTCTTGTCAGAAGCAGCTGCAACTGCGACGGCAGCAGGGGCTATAATAGTCATGTTAGCTGCAGTTGAGTATGGCCTTGAGAATGACTTACCAGCAGCAATAGCAGCTGCCGCGGTGGAGGCCTCAGCAGCCTCAACGTTCTTGGTGGCGGTGGGCTCATCAGCAAGCTTGGCTTCCTCTTTCTTCTCTTCAGCCTCAACCTTCTTCTCTTCCTTCAGCTCTTTCTTGACCTCAGCCTTCTCTTCCTTCTTCTCAGCGTGCTCTTCCTTCTTGCCGAGGAGAGTACCGAAGATGCTGCCCCGCTTGCGGGATTGAGATCGCTCCTTGTCCTTCTTGGCGGCCTTGGTAGCCTCATCAGAGCTGCTGGATGAGGTGCTGGCGGTCTCAGCAGCGACGGGTGCGGAAGTGGTTGCAGCAGTTGCGGTAGCGGCATCAAGAGATTTCTTGGGTTCCTTAGACTTGGAACGGGAGCTCTTTGGAGCTGCAGCTGCAATGATGGCGGGTTTAGCTACAAGGTTGCATTAGCCGACGATCTTGGGTGGGCCCGTATTAGCTCCAAAAGTGCATGAACTTACAGTACTCCTCAACGTTCTTCTTGTAGCTGTCACTTGAGGTGATTTCATCTTTCAGTTCCTTACCCTCACCAATGGCCTTTTCAATCGCAACGATCCAGCTGTCACGCTCCTTTGAGTTGGTGGCTTCGAAGCGGTGTTGGTGGGTACCAACACGGAATGAGAATTGCTGAAGTCCTTCCTTTGTGACGGTGGAAGCTTCGGACTGAATTCCATGTCAATGACGATTCCAATGACACTCGTGGTAGGTACTTACCAGGTTGATGATGCCAGCCGGGGCAGCCTTGTCCTCGGATCTCTTTGCGTAGAACAGCAGACCTTTGCCACTCTCACGTGCCCAGGCAGCGGAAGAGTGCTTGGTATCAGCCTTCTCCTTCTCTTGACGAAGGAACGGAGCCAAGGATTCAGCGGTGGAAGGCTCCTCGGAGACCCAGAAGAAGTGCTTGGTGTAGATGAATTTCCTGGGAACGGAGTCAGTCAACACGTCTTGATTTTGACCTGCAGGCAACATACTTGAAGAAACCAGGCTCCTTGTATCCCAAGGTACCCTCAGATGTGGGGACGGCCTCTACAACAGTCTCATCCTTCTTGAGTTCCTCGGTGGTAGCAGGAGCAGTGGTAGTCTCCTCTGTGGCAACAGCGGGTGTTGGCTCGACGGCAGAGGTGGCCTCGACGGGAGCAGCAGAGGTCTCTACGGGAGCCACGGCAGAAGTCTCGGGTGCCTCAGGCACAACCTTTGTGGCATCGACGACGGGCGTCTCTTCGACGGTCTTGGGGGCCTCGACAGACATGGTATTATGTGGTGGTATGAAATGCAGGGAACTGCGTGGTAAAGGTGTTCAAAGATGTCGTTTGGAACAAAAAAGACCAGAGGTAGAGGGAGTGTGATGAATTGAGTTAAGATTAGAAGTGAGCAACCGACCAAGAAAACAGTGGTCTGAGGGTTGGAAGAAGAACGAAGTGTTTGTTGACAATGAGGCAGGGATGACCACGAGGCGTTTGGGGTAAACAGCGCAGGCAAGGCACGATGCAGTTTCCTTATGTGAGGGAGGAAGAAGGGAAGGGATGGATGGATGGATTGAGAAGGAAGGAAGCAAGTGAAGAAAGGGCAATTTGAAGTTGATGGAGATTAGAGAAGTTGAAAAGAGAAAAAGATGTGTGTTTGGGAAGGCGGGCAGGGGAAACGAGATTTGAAAGGCGCGCAAGGGTTGAGGTGAAATCTTGATCCAGTCTTGAGTCTTGTCCACCTACTACCAAGTACTACTGACTGGCAGCGACCAGCTACGGGGAACCCAGCGACGGCCAGCCAGTAAACAGTGACCACTAACCACAAGTATCCGTACAGGCTTGAGGCTTGAGGCTGCGCAAGGCGTTTGCAGGCAGGACGGTCACGACAAAGGAGATTTGAGAGGCCGAAGGGCTTTTACGAGAGGCGCCGGTCAGAGACCAGCATGCCCACAAGGACAGCACTAACGAGCCCGGAAAACCACGATTGACTGGCATTCGGCGCTCATCTCTGGGGCTTGCTAGCTGCCACTAATGCCACTACTGCCACTAAAGGACTGGGTCCACCCCGCCTAAAGTGCTAGCCCGTCCACCGTGTCACTCACCCCATGAACAATTTACAGATAGGCTACCGAGTCCACTCATCGACCACCAGGCATCTCCACTCCGTTTGGATGTCCCTGATGCTTTGTTTCCCTTACCGTTTTTGTCGCCAAATGTGAATCACGGCATATCGCTTGTCGCAGGATCGGAGACAAATGGGCCCAACTCGCCATAGTCGTATCTCTGTTCTCCATGAATCCCGTTAGTAGTTCAGTCGTACTTGAGTGCTTAGTGTTATCAGAGGCCTGGGACAAGTACGAGTGTAAGCATTTGATCTGTAGACAGATTCGGTAGCATGTAATGCATTGACAAAGATAGATATTCTCTTGAGCCTTGGAGGATTACACATTCCAACTCCGGTTCATTCCATATCGCTCGCAACGTGATCACCAGAAAGGCAAAAATGGTGTCAGATCTATAGGCGCTGACGCGCCAGCCTCAATGGCTGAGCCAGATAGGTCAGAACGGAGTACGAGACATGGTTAAACTCAATCCTTCATCTTCGATCATTTTTGTATGATCCCGCCATGATTCCTGCATAGCCCAAGAGAAACGACGTGCATGAGACTCATCGGTTACCTCCCAAATGAGATAGCAGGCAGCAAATGATACGAGTACTGCCTTGAAAGTTGACATTGTTGACAAGTTTCGAAACCAACCCTGATTCGTGAGTTTCAGATGGTTGGAGCCTCTTGGAGTTCACCTGGGCTTCTCTTCCCTGTAAAATTCCTCAGCCCGGCATGTGACGGATGCAGGAGGCACGTCATGCCTGCAGGTTGGCAGTTGGACATGCGGTGGTCGCATGACCATTCAATCAATTTAGCTTTTGACTCGTGATAACCTGTGATACCTGTATATCTCATCCTTTTCCGGAGTAGTCAATTCATAGCACGAGACGGTGGGAATCCAACATTCAAGGCAGTACTGCTGGGTTACAGGGACTTGCTTGTAACAAGAATGAGGGGCATCAAAAGTCGCAATGGAGAGAGCATCTGAAGCAGGCAGTTTTGAGGTTGCGGAGAATTGTCCAGATCAATCCACCGGGATAGGGTGCATATCTTCTGCAGTAGCTCGTCTTCAGCAGAGGATCGTCAGTGATCGTCCGGTGACTGCGGCATATGCTCGAGTGACTGTGGGAGAACAACGAACTTGGGCACTAGACCTCCTGGCACCGTAGTGTTGAAGAGTCATCAATCTAAGAAAAGGCGTGATGAAGCAGGACATAGGTCATGTGAACCGATGCAGAATGCCCAGAAACACATCTCACCTCATACCGTGCCTCAGCCTTGGGGGCACGGACGAGTGCATCTCAAACACCCCAGCCTGGACCAGACCTCACCGAGAACCTGCTGGTTAGAATCCTGCAGGCTGTAGGCTGCAGGTATACGAGGTACCTTGGCACGTGTAGTACTCATTCCTTGTAACATGGGAGGTTCAATCCTTCGCTGACCGCTGCTTTGGAAATCTTGAGAGGGCGGCCGCGATGGTGAGATTGCACTGCTAGGTGAGACCATCGGTGACCGGCCGTGTCTTGCCTTTTGGTTGTCGCCGGAGCTTCAAGTTGATTGAAGCAAGGGGGCCATCGAGGAAAGTTGCGCTACATCTAACCGCGCATTCGTCCTTGGTGGGTTGTAAAAAAGTGACTACTACTGTACACGCGAAGCCGATCTTTCCTCCTTCCAACTAATTAGCATTCTGCAATGATGGACTTCCTCCTTCTCCTCCTCTGTGCTAATTAGACGCAATATAGTAACCAATCGATCACCTGGGGAACTCTCGAAACAAATCTGTAGACTCGTATCTTGGAAATCTCGATTGTATAATTTCCAGAACCAACGCATGACAATCCACTTGAGGATCCATCAGTCCTTTAGCACTAGTTTGAAGATCAATGGAACTATAGTACTACTGCCTGCAAGACTTTTCCCATCAAATTCTCCATTCCGTTGAATCGAGTAGTACTGTAGATCAACTGGTGTTCGAGACGACATCCAGCCATGATCGCCCACAGCAGTGGCCCATCAGCGACGAGATTTGGGTTCTAGCCTCAGCGTGGTCCCTGGAAGCTTGAGGCTTCAAGGAAAAAGTTGAGATGAGGACACCCCGCCTGAATCAATGGAGCCCAAGGACCCCCAGCGACCAGCAAGGCTTTAAATCCACCTGTGCAAAGGCCCATTCAATCAGTGGTCCTGGAACCGGCCAAGCTGGTCCAAACTGAGACGGTGGCGTGAAATGGGCCCTGCAGAAGACGCTTTGGCCCTTTTTCCGTAGTGCGTCTTTTCGCGGGGCGGTTGCTGGGAAGGCTTACTGGGGCGTGGTTCGAAATAATGATAGTCGTCCCTCGTCTAAAGGGCTTTATTAGTTCACCTTTTACAGTTATCTTCAATTTCCATGACCATCGAACCAGACATAGCAAGGTCTCCAGTCAATCTATTGCCACTGCGGAAGTACAGAATATGTGTAAGCATATCCGCAACCATCGCAACGGAAGGTTACACCTACACAGTTTGTTACCGTGGATACTCTTTGCGAGCACTGATGTCCATCCAGCTCCATGATTGTTCAACATTCAAATTGAGAACGTGGGAAATTTCACGGTCCACTTCTGACCCCACCCGTGGCTTGATGGCTCTGTCCGGGCTCCGCTAAAGGGCACTCCCGCCGCCCTTGTCGAGCATGTGCACTCCATTATTGGGCAATTCAACAACTCGCACTCGTAATATTGGCTTGTGAAACACCGCTCATCTCGAGGAAAGAATTCACACGGCGTCGTGTCGCACAAATCCGCAGGCTTTATATCACAAAGACAGGGTGGGTGCTGTATGTATGTGTGGCTCTCACAGCAACGACTTTATTACCAACAACACCATGCTAGAATGTAAATCTTCACTTTTGAGTATCCGCTTGACTGACTAAAGCCACCTATCCCTTCTGTTGTCCCATCTCACTCAATAAAAATTCATCAAATGACTGTCAACTTCAAGTGGCCGAAGTCAGGACATATGAAGTGATGGCGTCCATCCTCTCCTTGGTCAACTTCAATGTTATGACCAGCAATTCTTGTGCCACATCGGCATCTTCCTCCTGCATGTCCCTCCATTTCTGTGTACTCATCTGCCATATGATGCAGTCCTTCTCCGCGATCAGTGTTGCGGTTCGAAGTGTCTGAGAGAAAAATGGTAACTCTCCACACGGGCGGCCTGACACTATCAGTTCGGAATATTTGCCTTGAGGTAGGTCGTAATCGGCACGAAGAATACCTTCTTCAAGCATATAAAATCCGCTGGCCTGATCACCAACATTGAACAAAACTGATCCTTTAGGATATATCACTCGCTCGAAGTATTGAGTGGCCTTGTACCAGAAATCCTCATTCTTTTCAGATAGGTCTGCAAAAATTTGCAGTAGTAGTGGAAGTGGTTGTTTGAAAGAATGCCACTTCCCTGTGGTGGAGGTATCGGCATCAAGCGTGCTCTGAGCAGCCTGGTGGAGAAAGTTTCTTCGAGGAGAGTTGCCCATGAATTCAGCCTGGTAAGAATGCGATAGATCCTGGCTTTGACTTCTTGGGACGTCAAGATGGATTCTTTTGGTTCGTCGATGCTCTTGTTGCCGATACAGCGCAGTCAGAAGTTTGTTTTCGCAATGCTCCAACGCAACGTTGAGATCCGTGAATATTTCGACCTTTAGCTCGTCTCCAAACAGTCCAACATTGCCTAGTGCCTGACCAATCTCTCCATCAACATCCAAGGAGCTGACTATCAACTGCACTCCTCTTTTTTGCAACAAACGGTTAATTCGCGTAAAGGCTTCTGCTGCTGAAAAGTCGATGCCGTTGATTTGGGCCATATCCAATATCAAAAAGCGAAGTGGTCGATCCCTGAAAGCATCATCTTCAAGCAGAGCCCGAATACGATTCTCCACGCCGACGATGGTTCCAAAGAACAAGAAGCCAGCCAGTCGGATAAGAAAGATCTGTTGGCCGGCTTCTTTAAGGAAGTTAAGTTGAACAGGAGGCCTTCTCACCAACGATTTAGCGATTTCACCTGAATAGGTGGCTCGAATGGCGCTTCGGCGTGAAGTCTGAACAACGAAGCTCACAGCCGCCAGTACAATACCGAAGAGAATTCCAACAACGAAATCCCACACACCCATGACCACAACGATCAGCACGATGGTGGCATACTCCAGTTTGTGCACTTTACCCCATGTGCCAACCAAAGCTTCTTCGAGCAATTCAATTCCCAGGAGGAAAATCAGAGCGCCAACAACCATGATGGGAATAAAACCAATAATTACAGGCCCTGCCAATAGAATGCCAAAGGTACAGGCTGCGAGCAGCAATCCAGCGAGACGGTCATTACCGCCACTGTCCATAAATAGAAGACTGTTGGTATACACAAGGTAATTTTGTACGCTTCCGAACAACCCGCTGATGCAGTTCGAAAGACCATGAGCAATGAGTTCACGATCAACATTCAAATTGTCCTCACCAGTGGAGATGCCTAAAGCTGGTACATTGATTGGTACGTGCAAGACGCCGAAGAAAGTGAGTGCAAACATGGCAGGTATCGTGTCTGCCAGTGCTCCCCAGTGCACGGCTTTGAAGTCGTACAGCGTGTAGAAGTGGTACCAAGGATTGCCCGCAGGTGGAGGGTCGAAAACCCAGCCTCTTGAGTGCAAAGTCTCCATTGGGATATCCATGGCGAACTTGAAGAAGTAGAAGAGTGCAGCAACAGAGATGAAATAACCGCCAACCAGAAGGTTTGATTTAACAAAGCGTTGAACAAAAATCAGGATAATCGCAAGCAAAAGTGGGATGGTCCACAAGAGTATCGTATCAGTCCGAATCAACTGCTTGATGGTGTCGAGATTATACTCCAGATTTCCTGGAAGTCTCGCCGATACCTCCACGCCGGTGGCGACAAGGAACCAGCCGACTCCTCCAATGCAACCGATCAAAATGTGTCGAGGGAAGAACCCAATAAGCGAGCCGAGTCCAAAAGCTCCCATCAAAAAGAAGACGGCTCCAGTGAGGATTGCACTGACAGCAAAAGACAATATTGTGGTAGCCAGCACAGATTTGGGATCATCCTCCCCAACTTTGGCGAGAATTGTGAAGGCCATTTTGTGGAAGAAAGGGACGACCTCGATCATTTCTGATCCAATGCCACCTCGAAACACGCTACCGCCTGAAGAATATATGATTTGTGAGACAATAGTACTGACGTAGAATATGGCGATGCCATCCGAGCCAAGGTTTTCAAACACAGCATTGCCCAAAGGAAAAAGAATCATGCCGTAAGACAGAGCATCCAAGATGTTGAGCAACAAACCGAGAAAAACGGCAGGGAGGAGGCTGACCGGATGAACCACCACCTCTCTATAGATGGCCTTGGGGTTCCAGGTCTTTGGGTGGGAAACGGTGTAGACGCACGCACGGGTATTGCTCACAGCCTTTCTCCATTGTTTGTGATATCTCTCTCTTGCTGGGCGCTGCCGTTCCAGATCACTGAACTCCCCGTATCCTAGGGAAGGTTTGCGATCTCCACCGAGGAGACTTGTGCGTTCATTTGGAAGCATCGCACCCGGTACATTAGAGGATCTCGAGCGTGCGCGTGTTACTTTATCTGCTTCATGTATATCGCGGGTGTCTTGTTCTTCTTCTTGCTCCACAGAGTCGTGTATCAACATGGTGAGACCTGACACGGCAGGGTCACCAGTCCGTCCAAGCTCGGTTTCCGAGCCTGATGGCGTTACAGGCTCTGATACTTCCTCAATGGGATCGATATACCCATCGTCTGAAGCGGCTTCGGAGCTTGGTGGGGAGCTCCCCAGAAAAGAAGTGTTGTCGGACAGAGCAAAGGCAGCTAGTTCGGCAGTCTGGTTTCGCAAGCCTGCGGAGGACGAATACTGGGGAGGTTCTAGCTGGCCATGAAAGGAACGATGGTAAAAGGACCTCGCAGGCGTTCTTGCAACCGTCTGACTAGAGGCAGAACCAGCTCGAGAACGGCGACTTGTGTGTGGGCGATCACCAACAGCCAGAGGACTGCTCTCTTCTTGGGGTTGTTCTTCCTGCGTGCGTCTTGAGGGGGAGCCGCTGGACATGGGAGAGAGGGGTGCTGATTTGAAGATGCCTGAGCTACGACGAGCTTGACCTCGAGAGGTTTTTTGTGTCGACATCTTGCCCGGCTATGAGACTATCATATCGGCTAGCACATGTAAAGAAGCCTTGACCAAACAACGATCGAGCTGTGGAGGCCCGTTTCGAACACTGTCCTCCGAACCAAGAATAGAGTGCTCTGGTGACGCGAGAAGCTCGGGAAAAACGCAATCCGCGGGGATAACGATAACGCGAGGGACGTTCGAATGCAATCCTCGTATCTCACAGAGAAAAAGTAGAGCTCGGTTGGCAGGGGAGGAACAAAAGTTTCGTGGAGACAGTGCGAAGTATTCGTGTCACAGGTATCGTGCTCGGCTGGTTGGATGCGATTGACGAATCGAAGGTATGCAAGTTCAGAATTCTCTTTGTGAGGGGAAAGAAAGGCAGGGATACAGCGGGAAGCCGAGTCCAGTGGAGAAAAGGTATCGCAGGCGGAAGCAGGTGATGAGGCAAAAAAAAAGAGCTTCGCAGGTCAAGACCAAACCAACGTGCAGCTGAGACTCGATGGTTTTCTGCTATCTTACTGTAAGCCAGAGTAAGAGATGGATTTGGATAGTCCAACATAGCGGCTTGTCGCTGTCGCCAGTCAGAAAATGAGTTCCAGCCATGATTGAGGTGCTCATGGTGCCCGTGCCAACAACAGCATTCGAGTTTGGTGAACTCTAGAACCGAACCTTGACGCGTGGAGCAAAATGGCTGCAGACCAAAAAACTTGGATTTAGTTTGCCCCGCCGAAAGAAACGCCTGATGCTTGACAAGGCCGATGGGTGGAATACTGAGCCCCGGTCCGGGTGGGCATGCTCAAAACACCCCTGTAGTTTGGCCGTCGAGTGCGACCCACAGCCATGCACATCTGACTGCAAAGAGATTTTTTCGTGGTGTTTCATACAGCAGTAAGCACTGGCCGCGCAGTAGCCAACAAAGAAAGCAGAAATTCAACGTTGTCGAAGGACTCGAGTCATTTTCGATCTTCGAAGAAAAATATGTGCTTTGTGGGGAAAGTGCATAAGCATTCTTGGCATCATCAAAAACGTGCAGTCACGATTCACCATGCGGTTCTCAAGCTGAGAGCCCAGGCACTTTAGGTCAATTGCACATTGCGTCAAAGAAGAAAACACCTGTCATGGCTAATCTATCTTGCTACGTACCTAGATATCATCTATTCCTTCTCTATGACAGCATCACTACTTGGTCGATCGCCCCGTGGTCAATGAGGACGATGGTACACAAGCGATGTATAAGATGATTGCGGCTTAGACCTCTGATTCAACTGTCCCAAGCGCCTTGCACTTGATTGGGAGGATTCTGAAGTTAGTATGTGGGTATCGTGTGGTTGCTCGCTTGTGCCATCGGCTACTTCTTTATCTTCAGCCTTACACACCGACCATAATGAGTATTAACATGCATGGATATGTCAAACTACAGTATAGTATAGCATTCAGAGCTTGAGGCAGACCGATAGAGTTGAACGGCAAAACAAATCCAGCGCCGCTCTCAATAATGCCCCGCGAGCGACGGAAGTAACGAACCTATGCTCAACTTTGATTCATTTTCACGTGTAATAGCAGCACGAGCAGCCTTGTGAGCATTGTTCCAGTCCATGATATCATCGCTATGATTGTGATCATCAATGCTTCAAACCCTCCAGCCAGACGACCAATCGCTTCTTGATAATAACACCCACTAGTTTTCCACTCCCGTCCTCAATTACACAGAGATGGCGCAATCCGAGCTTCCCAAACATCTCCACCGCATATTCCATTGGCGCTTTGGCTGAGATGGACAATGGTGTCCGGTCAACAAACTGAGACATGTCAAACTCGCCCTCATGTCGCACCAGTTCGTGGCTGGATGTGCTAGGCAACAATCGGACAAGGCCTTGGGCCGGAAACTTTTGGCCGACTGTCTCGAGCCCAAACTCGAGCTCCCCTTCAGCAAGATATCCTTGGAGCATGGTCATCCGTACCAATACCAGTCCGGCATCCATAAGACCACGACGACGTAGCTGCTGTAGCTTTTCCGTCAACAGAGTTCGGGGAACAAGCCCGCTGTCCGGCACGTCTACCGTGATTTCATGCATTGTCTGTGCAGGAGGTATCAGTTCTTCCACAAGATAAGCTTCGCTTTGGACCAGCTTCATGCTATGGTCGAGATCTAGGAAAGGATGTCCGAGCACCGTTTGCGCCAGGTCATAGACTCCATTGCTTTCCAAGGCGTCAGCCACCCACTTCGCCACCATGATTCCAATCATATTCGGGACAATGAACTCCAGCTCACCTGTGAGCTCGAACATGATAACTGCCAATGAAATTGTCATGCGACTCACTCCGGCAAGAAAGGCACCTGCCCCGACCATGGCAAAAATTCCTGGTGAGATGGTGTCCGCCAGAAACGGGACTTGACCGATAAAGCGTCCAAAGAAGGCTCCTCCATCCAGTGCTGGAATGATGATTCCCGAAGGCACTTTAATGCCAAAAGTTATAATGGTCAAGACAAGCTTGACGAGAGTTCCGTACAGTAACCAACCGAGGTAACTTGGGGTCGGTTCGTGATCTTGTTCTTGAACACACACATAGCTCAGTCGTGAATCGTCGGAGCAGTCCACGAGAAGATTCTTAATGATAATGTCGCCAGGCTCGCGTGTCAATGGATTTGGATACTGCAAGACGGCTGTTGCAAGAACCACCAAGAAGACCTCGAAGACAGGGTAGTTCTTGATAATGTTATATTTGCGGAAGTTCCTCGACCAGAAGAAATTTGCCTTGCAAAATACACCACCAAAAACGCCCCCAGCAATTCCTAGAACAACGAACACAGCGTAGTGATATGGTTGGTAAGTTGTTCCGTAGTTGGTTTCGAACAGAACGAGTTTGCCCGTACCAGTCGGATTGAGAGCCTTGAGGGTCATGGCCGCGAATAGCGAGCAAATGAAAGCTCTCCAGAGCACTTTTCGAGGGAAGTAGGTTGCAATCTCCTCATAAGAGAAAAGGACCCCTCCAATCGGTGCTCCAAAAGCGACTGAAAGCCCACTGGAGCAGCCCGCGGCCAGTATCTCGCGCAACTTTCGTCCATTCTCACGGTATTTGGGAAACCTAGTGCCAACAAGGTAGGCGACACAGGTGGAGATATGAACGAAGGGGCCTTCCTTGCCCAGACACATTCCAGTGGAGACCGCAAACGTAGAACCAACAGCCTTGACCACCAGAACCTTGAAATCGAGGAAATGGGGAATGACAAATCCTGAGAGTATGGTCTTAATTTCGGGAATACCACTGCCAGCAGCCATGTAGATTGATTTGCCCATTGGGGCTGGGGATATATCACCATCCAAAGCATCGTCGCCCGCATTGGGCTGTTTTTGTAGCGGGCCCCTATCTCCGGAACCCGGCGCAGTCGCTGGGAGTGCTCTTTTCGTCGTAAGTGTCACAGTACCGCTGATAATCCCGAAGAGAAGAGCGAATGCGACGTATACCCCAAACCCATACCAGTAGTTGTTGGACCAGTTTCTCCATGCAGGACAAGTTTCTCCAGCCTCATCCAGGGAATTGAAGGGTGACGTGGACTTCGAACAGCAGAATTCCCTGCTTGCGAAAATATTGGTTCTGCAGTATCCGGTCTTCCAGTCGCTGACTGTCGCGACAGCAATATCCACCAGGAAAGCCACACAAGCAGTTAACGTGCCTATGAGCGCCGCGGCAATCCAGCCCTGACACGAGTCGAACGCCGATGCCAGCGAATCCCGAAGACCATTTCCCCCGTGTATGGAACGGTGGCGATATGAGTCTTTGACCTTTTATCGGGGATGATTAGCAATGACAATATTCGTTGACATCAATCATATGCTCACAAGGTCGTGTAGCCAGTCAATCGTCGTGTAGTCATTATAGGGTAGACGTTCACCAACAGCTGTTTCTGCCAAGACTTGCTCTTCTTTGCTCACATGCGAGGAGATAACGGACACCGCATCGGCTTCATGAGCAATGGAACTCAGCCTCCGATCCTGGAACAAGAGAGGTGTTCTCTCGACGGCGTGCTCTTCATCGGTGGCCATGGAGAGAAAAATGACACGCAAACAGTGATGAGTTCTCGAATGCGGATTTCGTGTAGATAGGCATGTTTATGTCCTACCTGGGATTGCAAGCCCCGAGGAATCATTGCGATGGTGGTGGCGTCGTCAAGATGCAGCCAAACGCTAGAAGGATCTGCAGCCGCGATTGTACTTGCTGATCTAAAGCACAGCTCGCAATAGATCATTGGGAGAAAGAACGGCCTGGATTTCATGGCAGAGATAAGGAAATGGCTGAACCCTGGCCTTATCACTAGAAGTGAGGAACCGACGTTTTTGGAAAGCCAATGATATTGAGCGGCTTGCCCAATCGCAGGTCTGCTGGACAAGGGGGTCATCTTATCCAGATAATGATGTAAGGTACAGCGCTACCAGCCTACCACAAACCCATTCAAATATAACATACATGTGGTTCATCCCATTACTGCGGCGAAGTGTAAAACCAACAATTATTAGCAGAAGTTCAGTTGTTCAGCGATCGGACAGTACTTGCTAGTATCTACTATGAATTCACACATTTATCTTTTCCGCACCTCGAGTGTGTGGCAAGTCTTCCATGTGAATCGCCTGATGAAAAATAGTATACTGAACAAGTCGGATATCAAACAGAAAGTTCTGATCGCAAATATTGGAATGGGCAGAAGAGGTGGGAAGCAGAAAATTGAAGCCACAACGACTCAACACACCCACCCCCCATCCACATTGTAGACTGCACCGGTTACGAACGAAGCCTCATCGCTTAGCAGGAACGCAATCACCTTGGCGATCTCAAGCGGCTCTGCTCTTCGCTTTTGTGCCGTGACCTGCAACCCGCGCTTGACGTCTTCAGGATCTTCACTTGCCGATAAAGGCGTGTTCACCGAGCCTAGAGATGTCTCACATAAGTATGGCCGGCTAGATACCCAAATTTCAAGGTTACAAGAACGCTTACCTGGGGCGACACAGTTCACTCGAATATGCTGATGTTCTTTGGCAGCTGTCCGCGTCGCCGCGATAACCGCCGCCTTGCTTGCACAATATGCTACATTACCAGGCGCACCAATTTGCCCGAACGTGCTTGCTGCTGATACCTGGAGACCAAGTCAGTTAGCAATCAAGGTTTGCCTCACCAAGTTAGAGCACCGCGAGCCCGAGAGTACCATCGACTCACAATGCTGCCTCCCTTGTCGTTCATCACCCTCAATTGGGCTCTCAAACACCGAAAAACTCCTGTCGCGTTAACATCCATAACGAAGTCCCAATCTTGGTCGCTCGCGTCGACGATAGGTGCTGCTTTAGTGATCACTCCCGCCATGTTGACTGCGCCATCAAGGCAGCCAAAGTTTTGGACCGTGGCTGCTATCCATGCATCCACGGAAGAAGTTTTCCTCACGTCGACAACTGTGCACAAATGCCGCGAACCGTCATCAGAGCCGGAGAGCATCGAGATTGCCTTCTGGAGGCCCTCTTCGTTAAGATCAGCGAGAGATATACGTGCTCCTCGCGAGGCAAGAAGTTGGGCTGTGGCGAGCCCCATTCCTGAAGCAGCGCCTGTGATAGCAATCTAGGCATGGTCAGTCCCAGTACATGCAATGGCGAGCAAGGCCGGAAGTCAAATTTGGTGGACTGGCTTACAACTCTTCCATCAAAGGATGCCATGTTTGGTGATACTCTGGGCTCCGGCGAAGGGTTTGTCTCGACAACTGACTCGCCACTTCACTCTACCAATTCCTCAACAGGTCGAGGTTTTGATGCAATGCATAGTGAATTTCTCCCGAGAAGGTGAAACTATAAAGGTCTTAGCCTGCTGAAAACACCTACCAGCCGTGGAAGAGAATAAAGCGTACAATTTCGTGTGTAAGTACTACCGGATTGAAACGGGGCGGGGTAGTCCGCGGAATGCATCCTGTGGTTTCGGGAAGGCTTCAAAAAGAAGAAAGTCATCCCGAGGTGCGAAGTGAGGTCATATGTAGTACCAAATGCCGTCTACTTCGTTTGAAAGATTAAATAAGAAAATATTTAGGGTCAGGACTGTTGAAGTTACAAAGTAATCGGTTGCACCTAGGTCTTCTACTAAAAACCCTACTACCTAGAAAGCACTGGAATGGATGTCCCTGGCTTTGCCCTCGTTACTGGCGCCGGATCAGGCATCGGACACGCCTGTGCATTAACTTTTGCCCGCGATGGCGCTGCTGGCGTGGCTCTACTGGATCTGAACGAGGCTGGCTTACTAGAGACGAAAGCCGAGATCGATGCATTGGAGTTACGCAACGGTCATCGATGCCGAGTGGAGGTCTTCCCACTCAGTGTCACCGACGAGACTGCGGTTGACGACATCGTCGCAAAGGTGGCTACGGCATTCGGTCGCATAGACTACGCCGTCAACGCCGCAGGAATCGCAATGAAACACCCAGGCGGCGCCGCATTTGCCCGGACAGAAGATTGGCGACGTGTCATGGAAGTGAACGTCACGGGAACCTTCTTTGTACTGCGGGCTGTTGCTCGTATTATGTTGAAGCAAGAGCCAATCCGCTCGAGCATCGACGGTCGGCCGTTACAGCGAGGTTCGATTGTCAATTTCTCGAGCATCCAAGGCTTAGTAGGGATTGAATTGTCCACGGCATATACTACAAGTAAACATGCTGTGTTAGGCCTGACGAGGACGGCGAGTGATGATTACGCCAAAGACGGTATCAGGATCAATGCCATCTGTCCCGGTTATACAGAAACGCCGATGACGACACGGGACCCGGCCGTCAAAAAGGCCATGGATAAGAGGGTGCACAGTGCGGTGCCGATGCAAAGGATGGGGACTCCTCAGGAAATTGCAGACGGAGTTGTGTTTCTGTGTGGTGGGCGGAGTTCTTTTGTTGCAGGCTCAGCTTTGAGTGTAGATGGAGGATATACGTCGAGGTAAGGGAGTTCAGTCATACTGTACTGCCCCTTGGTTCCAAAGGTGATAATTTCGGTTCAACACTTCCTCAATAGAATGCTCGACAAAGACCCATCCAGAACAAATATGTGTCAGTCAGATACCATAGAGCTCAGTAATATCGACGTTATTGTGCTCACGCTTATCCAACCATTCTTTTTGGATATGTGCAAGAGTGTCGGTGAATGTCGAAAAGCCACTTCTCTGAGCAATCTTGGTAAATATGCTGGAGAACGACGCCTGAACTTCCACATCTTCAGCTTCGCAGGCTGCAATATAAGCAGGCCAGATAAAACCAGCGGATCCGCACAATGCAAGCGGGTCTGCATCTTCACAGCGTTGGAGACAATCCCGAATAGCTACCACTCTCTTCTGGAGTAGAGAAGAATCGAGATCATACACTCTTCGGTAAAAGTATATGGCCAAGGCGTTATGAATTGCCGTGAGCATGTTTTGGATTACATCCAGATTGTCGTAATTTTTCAGATTAGACGCAACGCTAGCTGTGTACCGTGCCGGGTGCATCTGTAAGATGGATTGCTCGACGGACTTCGCCTGCGCCATGAATTCTTTCAAGGGAGTTGTGGTTCCTTTCCCAAACTCTTCAGTACCATCCTTCTCTTTCGCTAGACGGATGACAAGAGACAACAAAAGCATGTAGACTTCTGGAACACCGAAGACCTCTGGGTATAAGGTTGTAGGAAAGTCTCCGATCCGCTCAAGGTGCAAGTCGTTTTCTCCTTCTTCCTGGTTTTTGATCCTTTGCATTTCTTTGTCAAGGTCTTGGAAATTTGGCAATCGGAAGGATGTGCTGTCCTGGCCGTAAGCTACAACTCCGCTTGACTCAACAGCCTTGATTACATGAATACGCTGTTTCGAGCTTGTCTTTGCGGCAGACGTGCTCTCATAGAATAGTCGCTCGAAAACATAGCAGTGATGAAGAAGGCGAACCTTGCGAGACTTTCGACGATGTAGTCCACGTAAGCGGATAAATTTCTCCGCCTCTAGAAAATAGCACTCAGTTTGGTCTTTGTTCTTCGAGAACAAAGAGACTTGAACCATTGTGGTTAGTGCCATGAGGATACACTTATACTTGGCGACTTTTGGAATGTTATATGCGGTGTTCAGCATTAGTCGGACGTGTTGTCGAGCCTGTTCCTTGTAGGCTTTGCCTTCTTCAACCCAGCTCTCAGAGTACGACAGGCCACTCATGCTAAGAGCACTAAGTGCCAACGTCCCGTAAAATATACAGAGACTGGCATGGTCTAGCTGTTCACCCATAGCAATGGCAGCCAGACAGTTCTTGACATGGGGAATGAAAAGAATATGCCACGGGGTTTTTGTGTGGCGAAATGGAGTTAACAGATTGATCACAGTTGTCGAGTAGTGATTGAGCAGAAAGACTGCATTAGCCGGAACAGCACTAGATATAGCGATGATCGAAGTGTTTGGATCGGGCAATACGACAGATTTGTGTTGTGGATAACAAGGTAAGCCCGGGAAACTTGGTAGCGGATACGGATATGGCGATTTCAGGGGAACCGAGAAGTCGGGTAACCCATCTATCTTGTCGGTGTCGAAGATCTCTGTGATTCGAGATGAGTCATGGGGGAAGCTCCAAAATTCAGGAGAGCCTGCGAAGTCGGATTGATCGAGTATAGTGTTTATTAGCGTCTGCGTTCTTGGTGATAGCTGACCATCGGTCTGCGTTGCCAAAATCTCATCATAGAATGGCAATGCCAGCTCTTCTGATAGGTCTTGTTGCGCAACCAAGCCCGGCCCCTTGGCCTCTTCTTCAATTGAATACTCAGGTGAGCTATGGGCCAGTCGAAACACCCCAAAAGGACCACGGGCAATGAGAATGTCTTGAGATGTTTGCAAATTGTCACACTCCTCGTCAATCTCGTTGAGGTAATGATAGGCTAGCTTCGGCGGGACACTGGAAGTCAGCCACTCACTCATTCGTAAACGGTGTGCGTCTGAGAACAATGGCCGGCGACAGCGTACAGTCTCTGCTTCGAGTGGACTTTCAAAATTGAAGAATATTTGATTCTCGTAGCCCCCACATACACGACCGACTTTTTGACACCTGCTACATGTTGGACGAGTCTGGTCGCATTTCACATGACGGGTCCGACACTGTGAATGTCAGTGGAGGTTGCCCTAGTCTTCCTGGCAGGTCAAAACTACCGTGATGCAACCACCAAACGATCGCCCTCGACTTTTGGATGATTCGCCACGCTGCATGTCTGCTTTCGTGGAGTTTAGAATCCAGTCTTCTGATCATGGATTTGAGATTCGGATCTTCTTCGCTCTACGCCGAAGCAGCATTGAGGTCGAGAAAAGAAACAAGGAAGTCATAGCGGAGTGCGGGTCTCGACATTAGTCGTACTCATCTGGTTCGAGGTGAACGGAGGAGAGCGAGGAGAGTATGAAAGAGGAAAGTTATCGAGAGAAGCTTTTGAGTCGTCAGGCTTGCCGCAATGATTGGATGCTCGGTGATCAATCTATCCCCAAGTGCAACACCCGGTCTTGGCTGCATGGCGGCTTGTCACCGACCAGGGACATTCTATCAAACTCTCATTGACTCCAAGTCAAATGCAGTGCGCATTCTAACTAACCATAACGCAAATCCATATCTGGTAGGTATCAGATGGATCCTGAACTGCGTTTCCTGTCATGGTCTACTCACACCACGCTGCGTATTACCCTATCGCACCCACAGATAACGTCCTAGTTAGTGGGCGAAGGAATTAGTGTCTGAGATATCTTCAAGAGTTTCCTAGGAGCGATCGCTTATGATAAGAATGCTAGAGCTTTGTGTATAAATAGTCTTGTTCCAGGAGCCTAGCCCTCCTCCTCGTCAGCCCTAGTCCTCTACCCTTTGTCTTTCTGCTCTATTCCATTGCTGCTACCAAATCAGCTACCATGGCACTTATTGGAGAATCCGTTGTAAATACGAAAATCAATCATTACGATGACAAGGTGCACGACCCTGAGTTGAACAAGATTGAGACATGCTCGGATGGGCAGCAGTTGTCTTCTCTAGAGCATGCTGGCACCAAACGCAACATCAAGTCCCGACACGCTCAGATGATCGCTATAGGCGGCACAATCGGCACAGGGCTTTTCGTGGGTAGTGGACAAGCTCTCGCCACAGGGGGCCCAGCTTTCCTTTTCGTCGCATACTGCATCATCTCCATCCTGGTATATGGTGTGGTGACAGCTGTGGTTGAAGTCTGCACGTTTCTACCTATCTCCGGTAGCTCTATGGCGTATTTCGGTGGCCGGTTTATCTCACCCTCTCTTGGATTCGCCCTGGGCTGGCTCTATTTCTACTCATTTGGAATCATCGCAGCCTACGAGATTACTGCGGCGACGATTGTCATTGATTATTGGCCCAACAATGTCCCTGTTGCAGTGTGGATCACCATAATGCTAATCATCATCGTTGGTCTGAACCTCTGTCCAGTCGGCGTCTTTGCTGAGACGGAGTTCTGGTTTGCAGGTACTAAAGTGGTCATGATCATTGGCCTCCTGATCCTTTCGTTTATTCTGATGGTTGGGGGAGGACCGTCCCACGAACGGCTGGGCTTTCGGTATTGGAATGACCCAGGAGCAACCAAGACATATATTCTCGACGGCCCAGGCGGCCGCTTTACCGCCTTTCTTTATACCTGGGTCTTCTCTGGCTTTTCCTTTTACTTTGGCCCTGAATTAATCGTCTTCACAGCCGGTGAGATGAGAAATTCACGCAAGAACCTTCCTATCGCCGCCAAGCGCTTTTTCTATCGCTTGATTATCTTTTATATCCTTGGATCCCTTGCGATCGGAGCTATTTGCGATTCCAACTCCGAAGGACTCACATCAGGGCAAGGGAACGCAAACGCCTCGCCCTGGGTCATCGCTATCCGGAATTCAGGCATCTCGGTTCTCCCTTCGATCATCAATGTTGGTATTCTTATCAGCGCCTGGTCATCTGGAAACTCGTTTCTGTACATGTCCAGCCGAGCACTTTACTCTCTGGCTATCGCAGGGAACGCTCCGGGGATCTTTAAGAGGTGCACAAAGTACGGAGTACCTCTTCCCGCAGTCATAGCTAGCAGCCTTTTCTGTCTCCTGGGTTATCTCAGCGTTGGATCGTCCGCGGGCGTGGCCTTTAATTGGCTCATCAGCTTAACAAATACCGCAGGTTTCACCTCATGGGCTGTCTGCTGCGTCATCCTTATACGCTTTCGTAAAGCGTGTCAAATTCAGGTGATTGCTGTCCCATATCAATCACGTTTTCAGCCTTATGCAGCCTGGGTTTGTTTGTTCTTTTTCACCTTTTTGTTGCTGGTAAATGGCTTTATTGTGTTCTACCCTGGAAGATTTACACCCAGTGGATTCCTCACAACATATCTCGGAATTCCAATATTCTTGCTCTTATGGGTAGGCCACAAATTGATATTGGGAAGGAAAGATGCCTGGATGTATAAGCCTGAGGATGTGGATCTCAGATCAAATCTGGCCGAGGTCGAGGCAGATGCTGAGACTTGGGCTGCCAAAGAATTGGCTCAGGCGGACGAGGCGTCGAGTGGCAAGGGCTTGTGGAACCGAATCTCCGTTATTTGGGGGTGAATCAATTCTGTCGGATATCGGGATGCTTCTCGCGGGCATATTTCTGCGTCTATTATCTAGCTGCATATATCACGAGAAAGTAGCTCAGCTGCAAAAATAGTAGCACCAACGTTCACGCGTTTGCCCATCTTAAGTTCTGTCTGTTTCAAAGGAATGATTCCACACCTCTGGCGGATTTTTTGGTACCCAATTAGCCGTCGACTTAGAACACTAGCAACGGACATTAACCCTCACCTTTCTGCTAAGCTCAAGAGCTTGCATGAGGTTGAGGATTTGTTCATACATTGCGGTACCAAACTTCGATTCTATCTAAGATACGACGCAAGGTACGTGCGAGGATGGCGACCTGATAAAATGAGGGCAGCCCAGCTTGGGTGTGCCACAATCAGAGGTCTAGTCAGTCTTGCGCGATAAACTCCTCGATGCGAAAGAGGAAAGTCATCGAGAGACACCCCATTCACACCACCGCACGAGCGGGGTCCCAAACAGCCATGGCTCATCACCCTAAATTTGTGCAGAGATACCCATGACTTGCAAAACGCCTGCTGTATACGAACTCCACTGTTGGGAAGGCTATAAGGAACACAAAGCACTAGGGCTCTTGTGGCACTCACATCTCTCCCATTACCCAGACGTTGATTCAGCTTGATCGTGCAACTGGTGCAACTTTCAGAATCATGGGATCCGACGGGTTTCTGAACTCTCCTGAGTTTGACGTACTCATCATTGGAGCAGGTTTGTCAGGAATATGCAGCCTTCACCATATCCGCGAGCGCTTCCCCTCGTGGCGCGTGAAAGTGCTCGAGGCCGCCACTGACGTCGGTGGAACGTGGTATTGGAATCGATATCCCGGAGCACGCTTCGACTCAGAATCCGTATCCTACGGATTCTCTTGGGATAAAGACCTCCTCGAAGAATGGCACTGGAAAGAAGCTTTTTCTCCGCAGCCTGAGACACTGCGATATATTCAGCATGTTGCTCAGAAGCATGATCTCTACAGGGATATCCAATTCAATACACGAATCGCCTCGGCGACGTGGCACGACGAAGATAACAAGCATTTCTGGACGTTCACAGACACTACAGGGACTCAGTATAGGACAACCTTCTTTGTTAGCTGCCTGGGCTTTCTATCCTCAGCAACGCTGCCCAAAATACCGGGGATCGAGAACTTCGCAGGACAAGCATTCCATACCTCGAACTGGCCCCAAGGTTTCGATTTGAGTCAGTTGAAGGATAAAAATGTCGGCATTATCGGAACCGGAGCTACGGGTATTCAGGCCATCACCGAACTCGCCAAATCACCCCTTAAGTGTTTGACCGTGTTCCAACGAACCGCTAACTGGTCTGCTCCACTCCGAAACACCAAAATCACAGATATTGAGATGTCCAGAATTCGGGAAGGATACGATTCCGTGTTCCAGCAATGCAGCAAAACTCCCATGGGATTCCTGCATCAAGCGGATCCTCGAAAATCCGCAGAAGTCACAGAAACTGAGCGTATCGAGCTGTGGAACAAATTGTACGCACTGCCCGGGTTCGGTAAATGGCTAGGCGTGTTCCGAGATACTTACACCGACCGCGAAGCTAATAGGCTATACTCAGAGTTCATGGCGCAAAAGATCCGTGAGCGAGTCTCTGACCCCAGTACTGCGGACGGCCTAGTTCCTAAAAATCACGGCTTTGGCCTGCGACGTGTACCCCTCGAGAGCGGATACTTTGAAGCTTTCAATCAGCCTAACGTACATCTCGTCAACCTGCAGAAGACACCGATCAACTCTATCTCGCGCACTGGGATCAAAACGCTCGATGGGAAATCCCACGAGCTCGACGTGTTGGTCTTCGCGACGGGTTTCGATGCCATCACCGGTGCATTCCGGGAGATTCAATGGTCAGTAAGGGGCAAGAGACCTCTTCTCGGCTCCAGCACCGCCACAACAAAACCGGGCGAAGATGCCATATGGATCGACCACCAGCCGAAGACATTCCTAGGCCTGACCGTTCCCTCTTGCCCTAACATGTTCATGGTCCTCGGTCCGCACCAGCCCTTCGGCAACGCGACCCGCAGTATCGAGCATGCCGTGAACGTCATCAGTGACCTTCTTCAGCATTGCAAGGACAACAAGTACACGTACGTCGAACCTACCAATGCGGCGGTCCAGGAGTGGACGGAGCACGTGGTGGACTGTAGCAAGGGTTTGCTTTCAAATGAGATTGACAGCTGGATGACAGGTGTAAACGAGAACGTCCCTGGTAAAGCGACCAGGAGTGTGGCGAGGTACGCCGGAAGCGCTATCGAGTATCGACGACGATGTGAGGAGTGCCAGCTGGAGGGATGGAAGGGGTTAATTTTCCGACGTGATGACTCCATGAGCAATACCACTCGAATTCCACATTCGGACATGGCACAGAGTAGACTGTAAGCAATTCAGGTTGATAGAGTCGAGCCCAAGATATTGCTTTGTAGCTATTAGATTTACAAACCTCAAATACAAGGTTAATTCCTGTCAAAAGGGGTACCTGTGTTGGTCGTTTCCATGGTGCCTGACTTCATGTTCTGTTTGATGAGAATATTGTGAATTTGATGTCTTATCGACCCAGACACCAAATATGAGCCTCGATGACAGTGACACTGAGTTTCGGAGCGTCATTCTGGGATCTACAACTACCCATTGTCGACAAGGGCATACACTCAGGTTAAGAACCCGTCGAACCCCCACCCCCCCACCCCATTCTCGGCACCATAGAATCTATTTTCCAAGCCTCAGTCTCGTTAGAACCATCATGTCATTAAGGTCGTCATTAAGAACGATCATCTATGTTGTTACAGAATGTGCCATGCTTCTCAAAAGCTGAACAAACCACTCCTCCTTTTGCCAATAGGATATACAACCAAAGCGCTCAAATACAGTCCAACACTAATTCCAATTGCCACTTGCACCATACCATATCCAACATTGAAGATCGTCCCAGAATAGACGTTCGTATTGGCTCCTCCATCTTGTGCACTCAAGAATCCCGCCGTGCCATTGTTAATGATACTGACACCCGTGGCATTCCCACTGATCTGATTGGCACTAGTAATGCCTGCGACTAGACTTCCACTTGCTGCTAGACCACTTGGCACCTGAACAAAGATTGAGGGCAACATTGCCGCAGCGGCCAGACCATGGAAAAAGCGACTGTATAGGTTGGCCATACATCCGATCACAAATGCTCCGATCGCGTTCGATACTTGTATGTTATTGGCGATGCGGGTAGAAACCCAGAAATTGGCTTGATACCCGGCGAAGGCGATCAAGGTCATGACGGGAACCTGACGCCACTTGGCCTGATTGATTATGGCTAGACATATTGCAAAGATTGGTACCCAGATAAACTTGACGTATATCAGTCTGAAGTCGAGGTTGTCGGTATTCCACCACGCAGGAATGTCACATGTCACGTCGCTTTGTGCCCCGGGGTAGATCAAGCCTAGATTTTAGCTGTCAGCAAAGGAGCACAGCAATGAATATAATACCCAGCAAGACTCACCCATGATGACACTCCCAATCAATATACCAAAACCGAGGAAGAGGGAATATATAATGGCATAGACCATTCGAACCGATCCGGCCACCATGTTCTTGCTCTGCAGTTCAAGGGCCGCACAAAGCACAGTGTAACCGGGCAAGATCAAGGCAATACTGCTTTGTGCTATTGCTGAAAAGCAGAAAACGGGCGTGCCATTATGATATATTGAACCGAGACCACGAGCGACAAATGCGATGATCACTGTAGCAAGCACCTCGAAAACATGGGAAAATTGTTGTGATCTGGTGACCACGACAAGCTGTAGGAATCCAAGCACACATCCAAGAATGAAGCTGGGTCCGAAGTCCACTGGACGAGAGGCGAACGCAAATGGCCCCACCGCTACAGCCGCCACACCGTAGGCAAAAATGCGCAACATTTCACTATGGCGTTGTGGCTTCTTCATGATAGTTTCGAGCTCGTCAGTGCCTTCTTGAGCGGTGTACTTGCCATGTATGACGCATTTATAAATTTCGAAGACGTCCTTGAATTTTCCAAGATCAACACTTTGAGATTCTCTTACCAGCGTAACTTCTGTGCTCATGGTCAACTTGTCATTGATCGATACAAGCATGGACCCGGGTAAGTAGAGAAAGTCGCCATCGATATTGAGAGCTCTTGATGACGTCTTCATATATTCTTCCAGGCGGTGGGAAGGAGCACCAACGGCCATTAACGATCGTGCCAATTTCTTCAGATATTTTCGACAGGCAATTATTTCGGCGACATCCTGAATAACTCTCTCCTCCTCTTCAGCTTGTTTTATCTGCTCTAATTTAATGTGGAAGTGCTGTGAAGTATTAGCACCTGATCTGAAAGCTTGAATAGTACATCACCTACATTACCAGGATGCTTGATCATGTCAACTGCAGTGGCAATCATACTGCTAGATGACTTTGCCCTCGGTAAATGAGGTCTGGGAACATATCCACTTGTTCCTGGAGCAGCTGCAGCAGTGGAAGCTATCGAAGCTTGTGCCAATAAAGTTGCCATGGATCCTGTGGATTGATTGTCTGAATCGTACCACTTAGGTCGCTTAGAGGGCGTAGCACGCCCAGACGACTGCCCCGAAGAATTCAAAGTTTCTGAGTTCGACCTCGAATGTGCTTTGGAGTAAGATTCTTTATGATGTGTCTTATTTTGCCCCTGGGAGGGGGCATCTTCATGGTAAAGTGGAAGGAGATTCTCATGGCGCTGCAGATTGGCCAATTTTGACGATAGAATGGCACCAAAAATCCCCGGTCGATACTCATCTGGCACAGGTACGTAGTCAACATCATGAAGACGCTTGTCGATGGCGGGTGTTGCTGTTCCAGATCTGTAATATGTAAGCCGAGGATTCATCAAGCTTATATGTTGTATCGCGGCGGCTAGACCGTCGCGATCCGCACGTCTGACGTACCTTGAATGTTCTTGCAACTGTGATAGATTGTGACCACTCGTCAGAGTTCGATATATCCGCCGTGCTTCTTCGAAGTTTTCATTCTCACGTTTCAGTGGCTTTGGCTCATCAACTTCGGTGTCGTCATCAGTCGTGTCATCGTGAAAGCTATATGGCCGCTTCTCTCGGTCAAGTGTCGTCATGGGAATATCGCCAATGTTGATCGGCCAGTCGTTGAGTGGTTTGGTCTTTGGGGATGTGTCAGGGGACGCATAATCTGCACTTTACTAGTCAGCAAGAGCAATGGGACACGGCATCAGAACCTGAAAAAGAGTTAGACATGTCTACTTGCCTCTGTGGGGGTTGTAGATAGGTGTACTAGACCCTGAGGGCACCATTGTCGTGCCGGGAGTGCTCAGTCTATTTGCCAATCGACTGGCTCGAGTCAATGCATGAGCAGCCGCAGCATTCGTTCTTCCTTCCCAATCTGGCGGAGTAAGAGTATGGTCTGCAACGTCCTCCGATATAGGCACTCGTATCTCTGGAATAGGATGGCCTAAAGTATCCCGAGGTCTGGTATCATATTGTTCATTCGAGCCTTCACCACCGTCCACAGAGAACTTGACCTTCTGAGATTGCTTCGGACCACCCTTTCCAGTCCGAATACCTGGACGGCCACTAGATCCGATATTAGCATCAGTGATGGCTACATCTTGGGCCTCTCGTGGGGTTTGTGTCGAATCGTCTGGCACTCGATTTGAGTTGGCATCAGTGGTTGTTCCAGACATGTTGTGAAGCTTGTGGGCTCAGTGAAGTGATTTACTCCGAAACGAACAAGCCTTCGTAAAAGGCGTGACGCGCGACCCGGCCTCGCGATCTCTTATCTGTGATTAGAGGAGATCATGTCACTTTGCAAAATGGAATAGATACATTGCTCAAGGAATGAGTGTTGTTCATGGTTGTCAGGAAGAAAATGCCGGCACTGAAGCAGGCTGGGTGTGCACATATCAAATGTGGCGGTGGGAAAAGAGAGATATGGGAAAGTAGAAAATCGGACCCCCCTTAGACTTAGGAAACATCCCCACTCACGCAACCCTCTGATAACGAGGTTGCTCAGCACGTGGTGGAGGCGATACACATTGACAAGTCATGACCACTGACCGGAGGTTGCTCGGATTGAGGTACATTATTATCTCAGTGGCATGTGCGTCTAGACAATGCGAAAGACAGTCCAGAAGAGCGAGTTCCACCTAAGAGACATTTGCTTATCAAGCGGGACGCAGCCGGAAGTAACACACCGAGATCTTTTGTGGGCATCAAGATTGTGCATGTGAAGAGCGAAAGGCTCCCTGGGTAGGAAAACATTTGACAAGGCTGTCCGTGCCCAGCAGACGCCCCTGGACGACTTATTCCAATGGCCGTCTCAAGGTTACGTCAGATGCATCAAGATTCGTGGATTTATGGCCACGATTGATCGAATTTTTCCTCCCTCAGGAGATGTGGCGTGATAGGAAATGGAACTGTGCCTGAACCTCATCATTCTTGGCACCAGGCACGTCTTCGGCAGGCAATTCTATTTTGACTCCATCGGCTCCACCGGGAGATAAATAATGTTGGGAGGGGAATATCCGTTTAAATGGGCAAGTCCATCTCACAGACCAGGTTTTCTGCCACTTACGAGTAGACCACGCAAGAGGTCTCCCGTCTCCCTTTTCCAAAGCACCCAGCCACTCAATAATGATGATAAGAGTCACCATGGTGCCTCGATTCGCATGTGGTATCCACGAATTATGCTGCGCTACTGGCGTGCTTGACATGAATTTCTCAGAGGAAATCTCACCCTACTATGTGTGCACCACGCAATGAGCTAGAGAAGCTGAAATAGTTCAGAGTCTGGAGTCTCTTCGACCAAGTGCTGAGCACACACTGCCAGCTCATTTCATCTCTTTCCTGCAGAGATATGCTTACTAAGCTCTAGACTGCATGATTGATACACGAATAGAATATCACATCAGGTAAAAAGGAACCGCTCGCCATTACCGTTCGTCATTCGCGATCAAGGAATGGGTGGAGTAGAGTTAACATCACAGCATGTACGACACAAATTATTCGTAATTTGAATTATATGTACATCAAGGTGGGAGCCGCATAGCTTCTAGCCCAGAACGAAAGTACTAGGTACCAAATCATTCGCGAAGGCAGTATATTCGCGCTCGGACAAGAAAGTACCTATCAGCCAAGCCTTTCACTAACCGGAGCGAACATGGAATTGACTCATTGAGCCCAACTTGGTCGGTCTGGAGCATGTGGAAACCCGAGTGCGTCATGGAGATGCTGTAGAGTCTCAAGAGCCAGCTCCTTCTGATCAGGTCTTGCTACTTTGTTCCATACGACTTGTCGGAAGGGCCATAGCACACGAAGGCCATCTGTCCAGAATGTGATTCGCTCAGTCCCGCTCGCAGGAGACAAGTTCGACCTCGATGGAGGCTGGCCCGTGACATCTTCGGACAGAAGAACAAATCTTACAGCAAGAATCTCGTCTGCCAGAGTCTGGACAGCTGCGACATGAGCCTGATATTTTGCTTGGATAATCTCCGAGGAAATTTCATGAATGTGCTCTGTGGCTAGAAGCTCACATATAGCAACATGCAGCTTCATTCGAAAAGCACAATAGAACGTCCGAAAGGATATCGTTCCAAAGTCTTTACTCATTCCGGGGTAGCCAAGCTTCGGGAACGCGAAGGTTGAGATTCTTGAAATTAGTAGGTCTGCCGTCGTATCTGTGAGATGCTCTGCCGAGTTCAAAAGCTCCAAGGGCGAGTTCGATGCGTTTGGCGCACTCCCCGTTACCATCTTACGTATCTTGGCACATAGGGCAGTGGCATCATACCCAAACCGGGTAACATGATAGGAATAAACTTCGCTATATCGAAGATCTTTCGCCAGTTCAAGAAACCAATCCAATGACTCAGGGGGACACTCCACACCCAGAACGAATGATCGAATTTGCTAAATGTGTTCAGCCTCAATTGTCGTTGAAACAATTTATCACTTACGACGCTGTTGTAAAGCAACCAGAAAACACTGCGCTCAGCAGGGGTGCGGAGGCATTTTGTGCCCCGGATTTTTAGCAATGTAACAAGGCCACGAAGGTGGGTATTCCAAAGGACTGGCCCGTTGCGGTGGACAGTAACCTCGAGTCCCGCAATCAACTGAGTAGTTGTGTTAGTTTATGCCCCATCGGTCGTGCAGAAGCTCAAATACCTCATACATGCTTAAAAGCCAGATCGATACCAGAGTCTCATCTTTGACCCGTGCAATTGAGTCGTCAAGAGCGGTATTGGTAATTTTGAGGGCTTTCCCATATGCTAATGATCTGCGGGACCGAGCCGCTGGCGTACGATAATCATTGGCTATGAAAGCATAAGAGATGGCATGACAGGTAGATACCAAGCCCGATTCTTCGTCAGAGCTGGCAGCTTTTGTCACCATCGGGGGTAAAAAGGACAAAAACCCAACAGCGGCCTGATTGTTGACACGAGCACATACTCTGCTCATGAACAGGGACAGAAGACGAGAGTTTGTGTCATCAGCCAGACCGATCGAAGGTGTTTGGGTGAAGGAGCCTAGGTATCTGGCTGCCTCGTATTCGTCAATCGCTGTGGTTGCTCCTTCAAAGGGCAACAATTCCCCTTGTCTCTCGTCAACCGAATCAGGCGATGCCCGTGAAGTCTTCGTCCGCTCCGCATCACTATGTACAGAAGCTGGAGACTTGGAGCGGGAGCCTGTACTTCCCGAGACGTCATCTGGACGTTTCCTACGTCGATCTTGGCTTGCATTCTGTACAAAGGTTGATTGGCTCTCCACGCGAAAGACGAGCGACTCATCTCGATATCCTGGACACTTTTTACCTAAACGAGTACATCTTGAACATTCTGGGCGAAGGAGATCACACTAGTGCTCGGATTAATGCAGGTGACACTGTCGTGGCTTCGAAAGCACTTACCTTTACCCTCCTTTGACGGCATAGGTGACAATCCCGGCTTGGTCTACCCACATTCGGCATGGCGAGTCAGTGGCTTCATGTATCGTGAGTTGCTGACCATCAACTGCAGCGTGCTTCACCATTTTATTCTTCCTTCCTAGCTTCCACTGTCAGGTTGCCAAATGTTCATCCATCGTTCGTACCGTTCTGTTCTGAGAGCTGAAAACGAAGCCGCAAAGCTAAGACTCAAAACGGCAGCGCCAACCGACAGCGTTTTAGAATGACGGGCGATGTTATGCCTCCAACACAGACATATCGAGAGACTGGACTTGTCTTTACAAAGTCTAGGTGGTCTTTCGGCCCCGAGGTCATCTCGGGCGACTAGCAAATGGACGGCCATCATCCGCGTCTCGCGAAACAACCTGAGGCTCAGGCCCCCAAGGGAGGCTCTGGGCGCCGCCTTTCCTATTTAGGAGGTCCATTCGATGACTAACTGTGAGGCTGTGGAGGCCTTTAAAACTTAGTGACGTCGTCCCTCACCTGGCTTTCAGCTAAAAGCTAGTCTGCTTCAGAAGCTGTTTTTATCCAGATGTCTTTCGGGAATCTGAAGTCCATCAATTTCAGCCGAGACGATCTCATAGCCACTTATCTCGTGCTACTAGCCCAGTATGGAAGTCCATTCTAGAAACCTGCACTATAGTATACTGGTCGATCGCTAACGTGTCGCGGAGTTGACCTTGAATACCAACAACATAGCCCAGATCAACACTCATCCCACTCAACGGTAATTCAGGGTCATCATGGATAGTTACATCTGCTTTAACAAGATGTACTCTGTAGGTGTATATATATGTATGCCAGCAGCCATTCTCGAGATAATTGATCATCATATTCAAGCTGTTCTGTCACCTATTTTCCTGCTCCTTGATTTTATCAATTTCCTTTCCGATACGACCACTATCTTACCTCCTTGAATCATATTGATAAGTGGAAGGACTCGAAACTATATTCCAAACATGGGTCTTTTCAACAGCGGTTCTAGTAACCATACGTGTCCAACACCCACGGACTTTGTGAAGGGTACGTCCAACACCATTCATTGGTGTTCAAGGTTGCTTTTTCCTGATGCTAACCTACGACTAGACGCCACTGAGCCGATATTTGGCAACTGGACATTCTACAAATTCAACATGGCTCTGTCGGGTTCATGCGCCGCGTTTTCGACTATATCGATATTGATACTCATGGCAAGACATGCGACTCATTATAGCAAGCCAAATGAGCAGAGCAAGTGAGTGACAAAAGCCGCCATGATTATTTATAGTAATCCTTTGTGTCATTTCTGACATGCAATCGCCTCGACTAGAATTTTGAAAATCTGTTCACTCATCCCGATATACTCCATCATATCTTTCGTCACTATTGCAGAGCCGAACTCGTTCGTTTACCTGGATCCATGGCTCGAGCTATTCCAAGCCTGGGCACTTGGGAACTTCTTTTTACTTCTCTGCGAGTTTGTGTCCCCAAGCACCCAGTATCGCGATGTATTTTTCGCCGCACTGGAGGTACCCAAGAGCCGCAGAACAAAAGGACAATCGCAGGATGGCTTAGAATGGTACAGAGTGAGTAAATGCCCTTTGGCGCAGTCCTTTTACCCAATCTTTCAGGATCCTGCTAACTGCATTGACTCGAATTAGAAAAAGTGGTTTGCGATTTTTCAATTTGTCATCGTTGCCATACTTGTCGCCATTATCACAGATATCACACAGGCTGCAAATATGTACTGCCTGACCAGCAACAAGGCCTATTTTGCACACCTCTGGGTACGTTTCAGCCCCTTGACTTGTGCAAGTGATCTCTTGCTAACCCCGCGAAAAGTGTTCTATCGTGATTAGTATCTCAATTGCGGTTGCGGTTATCGCGGTCCTCAAGTTCTTCACAGCACTAAAGAAGGACCTCAAACACCACAAGCCAATGGCGAAGTTTCTTGCATTCAAGTTAATCATCTTCCTTACCTTCTTGCAAAAGGTATGTCATGGATCCCTTGCCGCCTGTCTCTCAATCCTACTTGAGCTCATGAGACTAATGGTTCTGCTCGTCTCCCACAGATTGTTATCATGATCCTCCATTCAACCGATGTGCTCAAGGAGACATCCAAACTCAGCTTCGCGGATGTCAACATGGGTATTGAGACCATGCTAGTCTGCATTGAGATGGTCCCCTTCGCCATTTTCTTTCACTATGCATATGACGTGGCGGCCTACGACGTCTCGAAGCCACGACCATTGCCTCTGTCCGACATCACATCCCGCAGTAGTGCAGACTGCGAAGCGTATTCAGGACTTGTGAACTCCACCCAACAGTCTGGCTTTGGAAAAGACAATCGTTACAATGCCGATGCAGGAGCATACCATGGTGGCCCACTAGGTGTCAAAGCCTGGGCAAGTCTTCTGGACCCGAGGGAGATCATCCATGCTATCTTGTTCTCCTTCGTCATGCGGAGTGAAGCAAAGAAGAGGAATGGCAACGTCCTAGCTATGGGACCTATGCCTCCTGCTTACGACCCCAGGGCCCGCCGGTGATAATTCAGCCCACTTCATGGAGCATCTAGAGCCTAAAGCATAGCGTGGTGGATTGTAAGGTTTCTACCTGCCGGATCTTGTACGCTATCTCGTGTTGCACTCCATGAGTGCTCAGCGCCAGAGAGAATTGGGTCATAGGCTACAGGTACTGCATCATTTGGAGTTGAGGGAGCTATTCGCTATGGACACGTCTGTTCGCAGATATGATGGTTTTCATCTCAGGAAGCTGAGGATCCTGCATTGATGATTGTCGCGATAGATGATAGATGATAGCTTTTGCGAGAATACTAGTGTACTTTTCTTCTCCTTTTGCCTCATCGATTATCCAGCAGGATATTGACTTGTGGTTCGGATGTGAATCTTAAAACCGATCTCCTAGTTACTTGATTCATTTGCCTAGCCCATCTCCCCTTACCAAACTTGCAGATACCCGAGAGCTTAATCGGTGAGCACCTGACTAACTACAGTAGCAAATCACCGTCCATGGAACCCCAATTCCACGCAAGCCCCTATAGGTCATCAGCGGAGTGGCCAGGGTTCGCCTGGAGATGATATAGTCGTCCCTACGTCCCTACGTAAGTATGATGGTCTATCTGCAATTACCCCCGCTGGCGAATGACGACAGCATTGAATATCGTGCCACGACAAAAATGAGGGATCAATCTTTCATGTTTCAATCCCACCTACAGGCCATCGAGCAATGGGACGACCAACACCAAACAGACGCTAGTTAGCCAGCGTTATCAGAGGCGTATCCATGTCCAGCAACGCCCGAAAACTGCTTCCCAGAGGTGCCCCGCCACCCCCAATACCTCCACAACGTGGTGTTAGTGGCTCGAAATCCAGAGCGAACATTTCCATCGCCTGTAATCCATGTAAAGCGGCACGGTCAAAGGCAAGGCTGAAAGGCTACCTCATCCGATAATATTCTACGGTACTGACCGGTGTCTAGTGCCAGGAAACAAAGCCTTGCGACCGGTGTGTTGCCAAGGGCATCACATGTGTTTTCGATGAGACTCAAGATGGCCGACGAGGCCGTAAACGCCTCCTCGACGACTTGGCTGATAAGGCCGATGCACTGGACACCATCATGCGCTCCCTCAAGGCCTCCGATGACGATTCACTTCAAGACCTTGTTCATCTTATTCGCACTGAGCGACCACTGGATAATGTTGTTGAGCAAGCCAAACGCATTCTGGCCCGGAACGAGTTGCGCAGCAAGTCGAGATATCGCTTACGACAGGCTGTATTGAGAATCGCATCACTTGTCGATGAGCCGCCGTACCGAGTTCCGGCGCAGCCGTGGACCACGGTCATAAATGATGACGAAGCCGTCTCGCATTTGATTTCTGTTTATTTTACCTGGCATCATCACGGCTACCCTTCTGTGGACGAGAGGTGTTTTATGCAAGCGATCAATGCGAAGAACTTATCCAGCCCATACTGCTCTCCATTCTTGGTGAATGCGATGCTCTTCGTCGCTTGTGTAAGTACATATCTCTCGTTTCAATCTGTCATTTATACCAATCATGGCTAGATGTACACCGATCATCCTTCGGCGTTTGCGGATCCTGAAGACGGATCAACTAGAGGTGCGCATTTCATGGAAGAGACAATACGACTGTGGACTCTTGAAGAGGGCCGGCCCTCGCTCGCCAACCTACAAGCATTTCCGGCTTTCATTTCCGGGTATGTGTTCTTATTGTCCAGCTTGACCATTGTAAGCTAAGTAAGCAGCCTCGTTTTCCTAGGTAAAGATCAAGTTGGCATTTTTCACACCAGCCAATCGCTCAATCTGGCGACAGAGCTTGTCCAATTGGTCAAAAAAAACCAGAAGCAGGGCAGGCGCGACTTCTTGGAACCTGATTTCCAAAAGTCATATCAACGAGCTCTCTCAGCAATCTTCTCCCTCCAGACGTCAGTCCTAATCTCTCACTTAGACGTCAAGCGATCCTAACGATAGCAGTGAGGTTGCAATTGCCTGGATGAAACCGTTCAACATACAGTACCCAGCATGCCCAGCCGAATACACCGAATCGGAGCTCCGCATGCAGACGTTGTGGCAACCCTGCCCAGGCACTGAGTCAAAGGTCGTCATCCATCCATGTTTGATCGATGCCGAAAGATTTCGCCTATTTGTCATTGCATCCCGGACTCTACCAGTGGTATTGAGCGGCAATGCACAAGATAGCCCCCTGCCAAATTATGTCATCCTGGATAGGCAAGAGAGACAGGATCGCTTAACTGAGATTGAAGAGCAGTTGCTCCAGTGGTATCAAGAGTTGCCCAAGATCTTGCAAATTCAACCGCAATCGGCAGGAGATGCAACGCCACCAGGGCCTCTGGTCGACCTTCAGTGAGATTCACTCAATTGATGACAACGCAGCTAACATATAGATAGTCTTGCATACCACTCCTTCCAGATCAATGTGCAAAGCCTCATGCTTCGCGCCCGTGGAAAAGATGACCCAGAGAGACGTGATGCAGAGGGAAAAATAATACTGGCATCTCAAAAGAATGCCGCTCTCCTTGAATGGCTACAGCGTACTGTCACTCTCAAGCACTACAGTGTCTATGTTGGGCAGGCGTCCTCGCTCTCAGTCTTCAATTCTCTCGAGTTTCTCGACCGCCCAGAGAGTGCCAAGACCTTTCACATCTTCATTGTTGCGTTGAGCTCCATATCAAGACGCTGGACGCTGGTCCGTGGAATCGTAAAGGTGGTATGGATTATGTTGAAGGAACGCGAACTAGACAAATACCTTGAACCCGCAACAGTCAGTCTTCTGAAGCTTGGTGCTGTGGACAATTGGGGTTCAAAAGATCATGAGCTGTTCGAGAAGTGCGCCTATCCAAATTACGCGGCAATTGAAGAGAAAGGTCGTGATCTCGTTGAGTTGGGGGATCTCTTGCAACAATATGCACAGCTACAGTTGGGAGATGATCATGACCCTGTTTAGTTTGTTCACTAAATATGGTATGGGATCGTGGAGTTGGCATCCGAGAGACGGATTTTGTGATTGTTATGTCGGTCAAACCGATCAAGGGCTCCTACTGCACATGCTGATTGATGGTCGCATCCTAACGTGGTAGACTTGGGGAGGAATCTGAATATCTCTGACACAACTTAGAGCAGAACTTTGAGTTTTAGCATAGTGTAAAATATGTAACACCACTGCCGAAGGAAGTCAGAACGTACGTTAAGATCTGGCGGGGACAGAGAACGCCTTGTCAAGGCGTTAAGTACGAGGTGCCTGTGACTTATGTTGCCCCACGCCAACTAACTAATATGAGACCCTTGTTGAGTCTCTGAGGAGTGGTTGGGTTGGAACTCGCAGCCAAGCGAGCTGCAACTTCAACTCAGATCACAGATAAGTAAGAAGTTCCCTGGCCATTTGACGCCTCGTAAAGTCTTCTCACTTTCCTGCTGGCTGTCCATCAGCAGCACACCCATTGCTAAAACCGTTTGGACACTCAGCCTCACAACAGGCCGCCATCATCATGATTGTCCACCATGCCAATCTAACATGAACTTTCACGGCTCCTACATAGAAACTCTGTGAATTTTCAGCCATTCTCAGCCTGATTGAGAATTTCAATTCGCATTCATCGTCGCACAGAACTAATGTGTTATCCTCTGACACCATCACAGTTAGTCAGAGATTGAGTCATAGAATCATCGCTGTTCAGGGATGGCTTCAAATCCTTCTCTGCCCATCGAGCAATATCATGTCGGTATCATCTGCGCACTTCGTCATGAGATGGCAGCTGCGATTGCAACCTTGGATGAAAGACACCAGCCGATTGCTTTTCAAGACGTTCTGGACCCTAACAACTATGTTTTGGGCAGAGTCCATCGCCACAACGTGGTTATTGCGTGCTTGCCTGCCGGCATCTACGGGACAAATGCGGCAGCTAGAGTTGCTAATGATATGCTGAGGACCTTTCAAGGCTTACGCATTGGGTTGATGGTAGGCATTGGAGGCGGAATCCCTGACCTCGAGAAGGGCATTGATATTCGTCTTGGTGATGTGGTGATCAGTCAACCTGACAAGACTTCTGGAGGAGTGATCCAGTATGACTTAGGGTCAAACCAAGGAGAAGGGCAATTCGAGCGTAAAGGGTTCCTGAAACCACCACCAACTTTACTACTCTCCGCACTTTCAACATTGCAAGCAGAGCACGAACTTAACGACAGTGCAGTACCACAAATTCTGGAGGACATGGTAGCAAAGTATCCCAAATTACTAAAGACTGGGTACCGTTACCCTGGCGACGAACACGACACTTTGTACTGCTCACTATGTGACGGGTCCATTCCTTCTAGCCAATGTGATGCTTGTAACGATGGGAAAATTGATAGGCTGATCCGCGAGGACAAGTCACCATTCTTTTGGTATGGAATCATTGCTTCAGGGAATCAGGTGATAAAGGATGCAGCCGAAAGGAACAAGATCGGCCACGAATTCGGTGTCATTTGCGTGGAAATGGAGGCAGCTGGCTTGATGAACGACTTCCCTTGCATCGTCATTCGAGGTGTATGTGACTACGCAGATCGTTGCAAGAACGACGGATGGCAGAAATACGCAGCACTGGTCGCCGCTGCATATGCAAAAGAGTTACTTGGTTACATCTCACCACAACAAACAAGCATGGAGAAACCGATCCAAGATATGCTTGGTAAGTGAGCGCCATAATCCATTGGAACTTACCACTGATGGTTGCACCCTGTCCCAACTAGGCTGTCTTGATACCCGTCTAGTCGAACAATCAAGTCTCATAGCGGAGCATCTTCTTGAGGTCAAGATTGAGAATCAAAAACAAGATCAGCGATATCTTGGGGGAAAATCCGATCGATGTCTTCAGGTGTTCAAGACAAGTACCTATGAACTATTTAAAGACCTCAATCCTGATCGGGCAAATGGTACTTGCCAATGGGTTCTATGTCATCCGCAGTTCATTAGTTGGTCTTCCAGCTCATGCAACGACCTTTTATGGATTTCGGCAGACCCAGGCTGTGGGAAATCTGTCCTCACGAAATCGCTAGTGGATAACGAACTTCGAAGTACAGATAGCCATACCGTCTGCTACTTCTTTTTCAAAGATAACGACGAGCAGGACGCCTTAGCCACGGCTCTTTGCGCCTTGCTCCATCAGCTATTTGTACAACAATCTCAGCTTATTCGACATGCTATGCCAGGCTGGGAGAAGAATGGTGATCATATCACGAAGGAGGTCTCTGAGTTGTGGCGCATACTCCTTGCTGCAGGAATGGATCCCGAGGCGAGGGACGTAACTTGCATATTTGATGCTCTAGACGAATGTCAACCGACCGACCGTCAAACATTAATAGCGATGATCTCCAACTTCTATACACAGATATCAGCCGCCACAGGCTCGAAAAGAAGCATAGGCAGGTTGAAGATACTTGTGACAAGTCGCCCATACGATGATATCGAAATAGACTTCCTAAGAGGACTGGAGAATCTTCCAACAATTCGGCTGCGAGGTGAAGAGAAAAATGATCAAATCAGCAACGAGATCGACAGAGTAATTCGGATGCGAGTGGATAGACTCGCAAGAGATCTATTACTAAATGATCAAACCAAAGGCCTGCTCGAAACTAAACTGCTCGAGATGGAACATCGCACCTACTTATGGCTTCACCTAGCAACTCAGAGCATATACGAGACATATCGCAACAGTCTAAAACCCGAGCATGCAGCAATCAGCCTACTTCCTTCCAGCGTTGAGGATGCTTATGAGAAAATTCTCAATCGTGTCAGCATAGGGCAAAGAGACATTGTGAAAAAAATTCTCTTAATTGTCGTTGGAGCACGTCGACCACTTACTATCGAAGAGATGGCTATCGCTCTTGGGATAGCTATATCACCCGACTCTGAGTCTCTTTCACAGGTACAACTCGACAGCGTAAGACTCAAGGATCGTATTCGAGACTGGTGTGGGCTTTTTGTTTTCATCAACCACGAGCGAATTTATCTAATCCACCAGACAGCCAAGGAGTTCTTACTGCGTGGTGGTGAATCTGTAGCGCCTCTGTTCGGATGGAAGCAATGTCTACATTCAAATGAAGTTGAGAAAGAGATGGCACGAATATGTGTTCAATATCTCCTGCGAGAAGAAGTCGTATCTTTGATGCCTAGTATTCTTCACAAGTTGACAGAGATTCAGGACCAATCTGATATCAAACTTGTCTGGGACGGCGCCTTTCAACAATTCCTAGCGTACACAACAGAATACTGGCCCGCTCATCTACGAGATGCTGAACTGTCAGCAGAAGAACATGGTCTCATGGCCAATGTTCAAGCTCTATATGACAGTCGCAACTCCATCAATCATCCATGGTTTGGTATCTTTCGGCACATTTGTCAGGGACGTGGTATACCACCTAAACTGAATTTAGTACACCTTGCTGCATTTCTTGGACATGTCCAAATATTGAGAACGACGCTAAAATCGAAACAGTGCCCTAACCTCAATGAAGTTGACAACACCGGTCGGACTGCACTAACCTGGTCAAGCGAGGAAGGTTATGCGGATATCGTGCGTCTCCTCCTCGAGCATGGAGCCATTATCAATTCTCATGGCGTTGGAGAAGTGGCTTTCGAGCATAACCCACTATTCATTGCAATAGAAATAGGACATGAGAAAGTTGTAGAGACGCTACTCGATTGGGCAGTGGGCACCAGTACTGGTGCCAACACCAACGGAGAGATCTTCACTGCAAAACAACTTAGCTATGCGCTCGTAGGCGCATCACGGTATGGACATCCGAATATCGTAAAGGTGTTACTTGAACACGAAACCGAGGTCAACTTAGAGGAAGAGGCTTACGGTAATGCCGTCATCCATGCGTCGGTCAGGAATAACGTGGAAGTCGTGAAGATACTGCTTGACCATGGAGCCGATGTCAATTTCCAAGAGGGATACTGGGGTAATGCCGCCATTGCAGCCTCGTTCATCAATAACGCTGCAGTCCTGGAAATACTCCTTGAATATGGAGCCGATGTCAATTTCATAGCGGGCGCCTATGGCACTGCCATGATCGCAGCATCGGTCAAGGGTAATTTAGAGATCCTGGAAATGCTGATTGAAAACGGAGCCGATGTCAACGTCAAAGCGGGAGACTATGGCACTGCTGTCATCGCAGCATCGATCAACGGTCATTCGGAGATACTGAAGATTTTAGTTGAACACGGAGCAGACGTCAAATGCACAAGGGTCTTTTACTCTTTCAGCACTTCAAGAAGCGTCACGGTCGAAGAATGCGGAAATCGTGACGATTCTGCTCGAGCATGGGGCAGATGTCAACGCTAAAGGGAGTTATGGGACTGCGTTGAAAATAGCAGAAGACGAGGGCGCTACAGGCATTGCAGAGCTGCTCAGACGATGGGGAGCTACATCTCTTGACGAGACGTAAGCATGAACAGGTCTTCCCACTTGCCTCAAGCAGGCTGTTTCCGGAAAGCTGACGTGAAGCAGAAACGATGAGCCCGCCGATGAGCCCGAAGAGTCTGACAGAGACTTGGTCCGATGATGACCCTTGGTACTTTTGAGGGAGATGGAAAAAGATCCATACAGTCACCGCCACAAGAGTTTGGCAGTTATGCTCTACACGGATAGGTTTGCTATCACCTTGTGAGATGGCTACAGGGGAAATAAGTTCGTAGTTTCTACAATCTAGGTTCCACGCTGACTACCATGTGAAACTGCGATTTTTCAGCCTTGATCACGCTAGTGGAGAAGTGATGGAATTCATGATTCATTGTTGGGCGGAAATATTATAAACATTGGCCGAAATTAAATACCGCGAGACTCAGCTAGACTGTTATCTTTCCATGAGGCGACACCGAACACCATTGCTATCATGACTGGGACATATCAAAAAAAAAAATACAAGACATATATCATCGATCAAAATGCGGAGAAGACATGATCAAGGAGCCGGCAAACCTCTTCCAGCCTCAAGATCAGGGTCAAGGTTCTGACGTGTACGAATAGGATCTCCCACCACACCATGATGAGCCACAGCCGTATCATCGCTACCTCTGCTATATCCAGGGTTGCGCGTGGGTGAAAGCCCAGGAGCAGTCTTGTCCGAGTGAAACTGGTCGGGATGACGACCAGGCTTCGGGATGACCTTCCTCTCCACACCTGATGAAGGATCAAAAGCTCGACCTTCATTGCCTTCACCGTCTTGCTCAGGGTTGACTGTCTCATACTCGAGGGCTTTGATGAACATGTAGAAGCCGGATGCGAGCAAGGCACCGAGGATAGGCCCGATCCAGTAGATCCAGTGGTAACTGTTGAAGGTGCGGAGGACGACGCATGGACCGAAGGATCGGGCTGGGTTGAGACTACCACCAGTGTAGTAGACACCCATGAGCTCGGCGATGAAGAGGGAGAGGCCGATGCCGATAGGGGTGATGAATGTCGCACGATGTTTCTCCGCCGCGAGCATGAAGATCGTGAATACTAGTTGCGCGGTGAGGAACATCTGTGGTGTGTGTCAGTTGACTACTTGATTAAAAGAGTGGAAGGCATCAGCACGAACCTCAATGAAGAGACCTTGGACCACGGATGTGCCACCACCAAGTTCTGTTCGAACATTCAGGGGCCCAGGGAGCATGCATGAAACGACTGCCGATGCAGCAATGCCACCCAGGACTTGGGATACCATGATCAGTAACCCTCGAGTGTATGGCAGCGCTCCTACAATCATCATGGCAATGGAGACCTTTCAGAGACCACTATTAGCAGATTTCACGGACGCAGAGACAGGGAGCCGAAGGGGAAACGTACAGCTGGATTGAACAAGCCACCGCTGATGCGGAAGAACACCCAAGCATTGACGGCCAGAGAGAAACCGAAGCATAGAGCGATGAACAGCAGTTTGGCGGGGTTGGCAGCGAGATCGACAGGCTGGCCTTCCTGGGGAGCAGCATTGACGACGTTGGTCCCGCCGAGGGCGAAAAGGAGGAACAAAAATGTGCCTGCGAACTCGCCTGACATGGCCACGAAATGGTTCTTTGCAGCTAGAGGCAACATACTGATCATCGGGACTCGGCGGGAGACCAGTGTCTCATCGTCCTCTGGAATATTGTCTCTACGCTTCTGCCATGGTAGGCGGATCTGCCGGCCTGGTCTGTCGATATTCATGGCTGCGGGTCAGGTTTAGATCTCTATTTTGGGCAGAATATTGAAATTTGTGGTTGAGGAAAGGAACAGTTGGGAGCTTCAAGCCACCACGGGGTATATATGCGCCCTGAGTGAGGGCGGCATATAGAAGTCGTCATGCAACGAAAGAGCCTTGTCCCAATGACGCATGGTATACCCTGGGAAACCAACACGGGGATTTTTCCAAACGGGATGGGCATCCTCGTCCGGTCTCGATGATCCCTTGACATGGGGTACGAAAGTAGTTACCATGTCATCGTGCATGTGCTAAGCGAAGACTTTACATCCAATCGCCTAAGCATGATCGCCCGCCATGAATGGCCAAGCGATCCAATTGTGGCGCTGGCATCGCGATCGGGGAATTTGGTATGGCGATACCCCCCAACTTCGATGCTGTGTCTGGAAGTGGGCAGCCGGGGGATGACCTCACGAAAACGTGAGGGTGGCCACGTCGCATGGGAATCCATGCTGGAGAAGTGGCTGACAGGAGAAAGGTTATCTGAACTTATAGCGTGCTTCGTACCTCGTAGCGTTCAGTTACTGGTATGTGCATACTCTTTGCAATCTCTACTGAAGTTTTACGTCCACAGGCTTTGACAAGGAGTTGACAGCATGACAGGGACTTACCCGCCGAGGAACCTACGGAGCAGCTAAAGCATTCTCCGGAGGTAATTTTACAATTGCTTTAACTGTGCACAAAGGATTGTATCTCGTTACGATGTGTGCGATCGACACTGAAGAATGGGGAATGAATGGGAAAGACACCGCCACAGCACCACTTCGTATCGACCATGAGGATCGGCATGGAACGACACCAACGGGGTAGATCGGGGTGTGGCTGGTGAAGCCTGAATCTCTTATACTTTCCCTTTCCCGCATCGTGCTCATAAACCCACCTGCAAAAGTTCAGAAATGACGTGGATGGTGGGATGAGAAGTGGGATTGACTTTCAAACATCGCCACGCAGGTTTCCACACTCATGATCGAATCTGGCATTTTGATCATGTGTAAACGATCAATGGATAGCGAGGGATAGATCCATGTCAGAAGAAAGAGAGTTGTAAAATTGATTGCAGGAGGCTACAAGGGTTTTGAGATAGGATGGCGACTCGCATTGACCTGACCTGACCCCCAAGGGCCGTGATTATCTTAGGTTTCTACCTGTGACTAGACACGAGTGACTGAGAGAGGTAGGTTTGGCCTGGTTCTTGATCCTCGCAATCATCACCAGCAATGTGCCGGAAAAGTACTCCAGTGCTAAACTTCTGACCCACTAAGGGGATGCAAGTGGTGTTGGACGTGAGACGAAAACCAATGAGAGACATGGAGTGAGAACAAGAAGAAGGCTGAATCGTTCAAGTTTAGGCTCTGTGTCGTAAAGAGTTGAAAATCCAGCGACAGTCTACCATACCCACTTTGACACCTGCAACACCTGGCGCTAATAAATCTCCCTCTCACTTCGCCAATTTTCAGATCACTTCATGTCTATGAGTTGATCTGCACTCCGGGTTCATTGACAGCTCAGTCGACAATTGTCTTGCTGACTCAATTATTTGAAGTCAAAACATTCTTCGGCCTGCTTGGAGTGGCGATCAGTGGCGTGAGCTTCGAGAGCCTTGCGTGCGGTGGTGCTCTGGAAGGTTTGGAAGCAGGTCTTGCATTTGTAAGTTTGTGCAGCTGCGTTCTGTTTATTCACGATGGGAGCATCTAGTCAGCAAAGGATAGAACCCAAGGGAAATGCGATTGAAAAACCAGAGCTGGAGACAAAACTGTGGCTAGAGTATATGTTTATAAAAACTCATGACTGGTCGTATGGCATATCGTAACGATGCAATGTCATCCATCCGTTCTTATCCATCAATCGCTCGACTCCTAGTGGAATTGCAAAACACGACATCACGTGGGTTTGGGAAGGATTGAGAATTGGCATGGATATGTCAGAGGTCCAACATCAACATAAGACGACGCCAGGACATTGGCATATCAAGAACCCTTTAGAGCAAGCGCAGAGGCTTGAAAAACGGAACAATAGAGGGTGGTGATAGCGAAGATGATGATGGAAGATAAATGTTGATGAATGGAAACTTACTGCTTTCAATTGACTGGCAGGGCCCTTGGGACCTTTGTCTGCATTGCGCTCGCGCTTCTGCTGGGCTCTGGCACCGTTACCCATGATTGGTTGACTGATCGATTCTTGTTGTATTGAAGACTCGAATTTGTGAGGATGAAGAAAAAGCGGATGGAGAGATGAAATGTAGGATAAGGCTGAGAGCTGTCAGATTGAGAAGAAAGAATGAGAAAAAAAAGTAACAAGTGGCAAAACTGGTGCTGAGGCAGGCAGCGCTGCAGTGGCCGGGCATGTGGTTCGTAGAACACGATCCGATAGGTGCGAAAATGACCAACGGCGGTGAGGCCCGGACGCGTATAAAACATTTTCCGAAGGCTAAAGGCATTTTCGAAACGTCCAACTAAATATGAGTGAGGGGCAGTCACCACGCGTGACTATCAGTTGTTTGGCAAGGAGCGATCCTCCTTATCCTCCTCCAGTGCAGTCATGTTGTTTCCTTCTTTCTTCAACTACTCACACCTCTATGTGGTGCTAGATGCATTTGACTGAGAAAAGATCAATGCTGGATCTTTGCTCTACTCGGACACTTGAGAAGACCCCTGGCCCTGCGTGTGTGCAATTGGGCTGCCCTTCTGCCCTTCCTATCAAGCCACTAGGTTACCTGCCTAATACGCTTGCAGTGACTGAGTGACTGAGCATGCCGTACCTTTCCACCAGGCTCCTTCTTGGGCTGATGCGGGTTAGTGGTGTCATATCTTGACTGATTCTATAGCCTGGCTCTTGCCTCCACGAGGTTTGACCCAACCGATTTCGACGTGGTCACTCTTGCGGCTTCTGTGCCAGCTCTTCGCCCAAAAACAGCACCAGAAGTCAAACCGCTTCCTCCAGGATAATTCTCGTAGAATAGGCCTCCCAACATCTCACCACAAGTATACAATCCTGGAATGTCTTGGTGTGTCGCTCCTGAGATGACTGCCGCCGTTTGTGGGTTGACCGATAGTCCTCCGAACGTGAACGTGACTCCACAAGTGACTCGGACTGCCATGAATGGGCCTTGGTCCAAAGGAAGTGCCCAGTTCGTTTTGCCCAATGCCAATCTGGCGTCCTCTGATTGAGTCGACATTCCGTCAAGAATAGATGGATCCCATTTTTTATTGGGATTCAGTCGTTGAAAGGCATAGACTGCACGGTTATACTCCTCAAGATTGCTGATAAAGGCTTCCTGACCCTGGAGTCCCACCCCAGCAAGCTTCTTGGCCAATTCTGGAATGGTATCTGCCACATATCGATGGACACGTTCTTCGCGATATTCCTCTTCCCGAAGCATGCCGATTGTTCTCTGATCCCAGACCTGAAAAGCGATCTGACTGGGCTGCCCTAAGATGGCGCGACCAAATTTGGCGTAGGTATAATTTCGAAGATCAATACCCTCGTCGACGAACCGAGACCCAGCTGCATTGAACATGAGACCTAATGGATAGCCAGACTTGGTGAATTCATTGGAGATTTCTCGGTCGCCAGTATCCGCTGCTGCATCTGCATCCCACGCGACCGAGTGGCACCCAGACCAGTTTCCTCCTTGTTTCGCTTCGGCATCACGCATGGCAATCTCTAGTGCCATCCCATCATTGTAGGGTGTTCCACGAACCTTGGCGAGATCCCAGTTGGGACCTAGATATTGAGAGCGCATACGTGGGTTGGCCTCAAAACCCCCAGCAGCGAGGATAATAGCACCAGTCTCAATGGTGCGTTCTTTCCCCCCAAATTGAACCACAGCCCCTGTAACCGCCCCAGTCTTGACATCCTTCACAAGTCTCAACAATGGAGTAGAAAAGTATGTCGCGACACCATGACGTTTTGCGATCGCCTGGTGGTCTTCAATCATACCCTTTCCACCATCCTGAGTTTTCAGAGCAAGCCCACCCCAGAACTTAAGTCGTCCATCCACTTCATAGGCTTGGCGATTCAGAGAAAGTTGGAATCGAATGCCATTCTTGTGTAACCATTTCATTGCTGAATGAGAATCCCGCACCAGGATATCAGACAGTACCGGATCTGAGCGAGAAGCGCAGACTCTTTTCATGTCCGCAGCAAAATCGTTCACTGTGTAAGGCTCAATGTCGATCTTTTCGGCCTTGGCCTTGTCAATGTTGTTGACCATAGATAACAGATCTGCTTTGCCATGGTGTACCGTTCGATATGCTCCTGCTGTAAAATATGAGTTACCACCGGCCCATGATTCGGGGCATTTGTCGATCAAAACAACGCTTTTTGCTCCGGCTTGTTTTGCCGCGACTGCTGCACAATAGCCTGCATTACCACTGCCAACCACTAGAATCTGGCATGAAGTTGGTAGCGTCATCTTGTCAATTAAATCAAGAGTATAAAATGTTTCGCTGTTATGGTCGTCCTGTCCTAGTGTGCAAACTGAAGAAGTGAAACTTGTAGTTGTCGATATCAACACTGACAAGTGCGGTCACAGTTATGTTTTATAGTAAGCCTTGGTTTTCAAAGAATAAGATGATGGAGCCACCGGTCCCGTAAAGGTTGAGGTTTGTATGTTCGGAAGCATCCACTTGAGCGACGACAAGTACAATAGTCTCTCACCTACAATTCTCACTTATCGACGATGGGTCATTATGCAAGTCCACCACCACTGGTGCGGGATCTGGCCAAATGGAAAGAGAGGTCTAAACCATCCCTGTTGATTCACAGCATCCGATAGCCGGCTACGACAGCAGATGCGTTCAACACGGGGATGTTTCTTCCATCTAGATCGTATGTTGTGATGTATTGCAAGACGTCAACACCTGGATAATTGATGGTGGTTCAGGGAGTGGCGTGCGGAGAATCATGATCCGTTAGCTCATCCACGTAGGACCCGAGGCTTCTTGCCACCCGGAGAGTCACTTTCCGCTGGGCATACAGTAGCCTTGGTGGTGAGACGGAAGAAGAGTTTCCTTGGTCGAGTTTGAACGTGGCTTCTTGGGAGAAAACACATGGATCAATAAGGATCGCATTATCTACCTAGGTATTTACCTACATGGTTACTCTCCTCTCGCTCTGATGACAAGGAGATGGAAAGATCTCTCAGCAGCCTAGAGATGTTCTTGAATTCAAGGTGATGCTTTGCTTACCTGCCCTCGGCTGGCGCACCTAGAGAATGATTTCTCCAGGGACCCTGGAATCCCCCTCGTTCATGAGCTTCGGCACTGTGCTATGAGGTTGATCCCCAAGTGGTTGGAACCTTGCCAGGATTGATCTGGGAAAATGTCTTGTCCGATGCAACTAGACTACCTACCTAGGACTTCACTTCTCGTTTCGTCCCGACACTGTTGAAATTCCTTTTCTCCATCCTGTTTCTCTGCCACAGCTAAATAAGTTATTGTCCACGGTATGGTGAAATGTACCGGCTTTCACATCTGGCCAGCTAGTGCAAAAAAAGGCTGGCATAAAATTGGTGTTTCGATTGATATTGAATGACCTCTGGCCTTTCATTCACTTACATTATGCCATCACCTCAGTCGAAAGCCACAGGTTCAATTTTTCGGGCATGCGAGTTCTGTCGCATCAGAAAGATCCGTTGTGACAGCAATAAGCCGAAATGCGGGTCGTGCGTGACTCAGAACCGGCAATGTGTATACGAAAAACGAGTGAGGCAGGCCAGGTAAGATGTAAAGCTCGCAGGTAATTCAATTCGTGGTTGGTCAATTGACACCCATTGATGCAGGCCTACTGTCGCCATTATAAAGTCGATGCGGAAAGAGAAGCACAAATACATCCGGCTGCTGCGTCGTCTAAAGTTGACACCACAGGATGAGATCCAGGGCATCCTGGAGTCAATCGCGCTTCCAGAAGAGGATTATATGGAAGACACTGACATTACCTCGACACAGCCTACTTCAGAGACGCCAGAAGTTCAGACAGGCCCGGGAGATGAAGATGAAGATGGATCTCCAGATTCACCTGAAAGCATGCTCGATGTCTCGACATTCCTTTCGGTTGACGACAAAGGGAGTCTAAATCCCATCGGACCTTCATCAGCCTTACATTCAAAGGTACAACTACCGGGCCTGCGAAACGCCTTGGACATTACGCACATCAAGAACCAACTAGTGGCCAATGCGATTTTGACCCGCCAAGGCGAGATTGAGATCTACGACAAGATCTCCCATGTCGACCAAGTCCCCATCGAGCTGGCCATGCATCTACTGAATCTGCACTGGAACCGCCAACATCACAGTTTTCTTCTGACGTATCGACCGGCAGTCATGCGAGATTTGGTCAGTGGAGGCCAATACTCGTCCAAATTCATGATGAATGCGATTTTCGCGTGCGCCAGCAAGTTCTCGGATCGGCTTGATATCAGGGAAGACATCAACAACCCACTCACGGCCGGTGCGCGGTTCTTTCGTCGCTGCAACGAACTTCTTGGATCGGAGAACTTACTGCTGAAACCGAGTATCCCAACTGTGGTCGGGCTGCTCCTGCTCGGATCGACTTACAATGCTCGTGGAGAAGTATCCAAAGGATGGCTTTTGACGGGCTATGGTTTGCGAATGATTTATGATCTCGGACTGCATCTTGATCGAGATGTCACACTTGAGAACGCCGAGGAGATCGAGATACGCCGGCGAGTGTTCTGGGGCGCTTTCATCAACGACAAACTGCAGAGCTTGTACTTAGGCCGACCCATCGCCATCCATATCCAAGATACCCACGTCTCGTTGGACTTCATGGACGTGCTTGACGAGAGAGAGCCGTGGATCCCATACAATTCTGCCTCTCAAAGCTACCTCAACGATTCCCAACCAAAAGCCACGCCGAAACCAATGTACTCGGTGTCCTGCTTCCGCGAATTCTGCCGCCTATCCAAAATCATGACCCGGATCATCAACAATTTCTATGTGATCGGCTCGAATGCCGCGTCCGCAAAAGCCAGCCTGAAGGGCATCGAAGACTCGCTGACCTGGTGGAAAGAGAACCTGTCTCCACAATTGCGACTCGACACACTCACTTCCACCGAACCCTTTCCTCCATCAACTTCAACTCCAATTCTAACAACCTCAACATCGAACCGCAACCCAACACCCAACATTCTCCACCTACACGGGATTTACCACTCACTGATCATCCTCCTCTACCGGCCCTTTGTCACCGGCGGCCACCTCCTCACCACCACCAGCAGCACCTCCTCCTCCCCAAGCACGAACAACAGCCCCGCACACGCCTGGCAACACTGCACTTCGTCGGCGAAAAGCATCACCGCGCTCGCCACACACTACCAGACGCAATACACGCTGCGCGGCGCCCCATACCTCCTCAGCTACGCCGTGTACGTGGCATGCACGATCCACGTGCGCAACGTCGCGGCGTCCGCGTTCGCGGTGGCGGCGGCGGCGGGGGTGGGGGCGGCGGCCCCCACAGCGTACCACGAGCAGGCCAACTCGCGCTCGAGCTCGGCCGCGACTACACGCGCAGGCGTCGCATCGTCGGAGCATTGCGCGCACCTGGCCGCGAGTCTGCGCTGTCTGGACGAGCTGACGCTGCCGAACCCGGGGGTTTCGCGGCCCGCCAAGATCATTCGCGCGTTGATGGCGTCGTTGAAGGTCGCGGATGTCTCGGCTGTGATGGGAGGAGTGCAGCAGGCACTGCTGGATTGTGGGGATGAGGCTGCGTTGGGGGATTCGTATAATGGTGGTGGTGGTTGTGGTCGCGCCGCTGCTGCTGTTGTTGCTGAGAATGCTCATCATGTGCAGCGCCACCAGGCACAGGCACAGGGATTGGAGCGGGAGCCGCAACAGGAATTCGATCTCGATGCCATTATTTCCGGCTTTACTGCTACAACTACCACGAATACCAATTCCAATAATGCACTGGGTGGGGAGTCGAGGCTGAACGCTGCGGTCCGTGGTGGAGGAGGGCAGATGGAGGCCGAAATAGATGTCTTCCCATCGGGCGGGTGGTTCATGCCTGGCCACACGTCGCAGCATGACTTGCTCTACGGGTTTATGGATGTTGGGCTGCCTGATTATGAGCCTTTTGTCTTGGAAGATGGCGAGGTGTTTGGGATGGGGGATGCGATGTTGTGATGCTGAGCCTTCTTCGGCAAGCTGTGGGTCTTTCATGGGCTTAGATGCAACGGCGTAGAGGATGACGAGACCTCCAAGAAGGGGTTGAGGAGTAAGTGCTAGCAGTGATTAGTATTACCAATGCCGTTATTGATATTCAATTGCTAACTACAATTACCAACGACTTGAGGGTCTACTAAACAGGTGAAAGCCCTAACAATAAACACCCGCTCCCAATAATCTGTATACCATAACCCCATGTCCGAAACAGTCATCCTTCATTCAACCCCAAGACAGCAAACCACTGGTAGTCAATTTGATTGAAAGGTAGTGTATCAAGTCGAAACCCTGTTGAATTGAAGTCCGGTGGTGATATCACCGTACCTGGCATGCCAGATGTCCTTGAGCCAGACACTTCTCGGCACCCATGGACCACGATCACCGCCTTTAGGCAGAGCACCGGTCTTTGCCGCCTCCTTGATATAAGTGCTGTTGAGGTTCAACAGCTCTGCTGGAAGAACGCCCTCCTTCTCACCCACGCGAGGAACGAAGCTAGTTTGGCCCTTGGCCTTTGCGCCCTTGAGAAGTCGGACCCAGAGTTGTGCCGTTGCGTCGGCACCAAGGGTCCAGCTCGCGTTGGTGTACCCGAAGACGAAGCACAGGTTGGGAATATCTTGTAGGAGAGCGCCGCGCCAGACGAATTTGTCACCGATGGTGTGAGGCTTGCCATCCACGAATAATTTCATGCCACCTCCGAGTTGGATTTTGAGGCCGGTGGCTGTCACTATGATGTCGGCGTCGAGTTGAGCTCCTGATTTCAAGTTGATGCCCTTTGAGGTGACGGTATCAATCGTATCGGTGGCAACGTCGGCCTTTCCGCTTCGAAGTGCCGCAAAGAAATCTCCTCCTGTAGCAAAGCGTTAGTGAGATGCATGATATGTGATCGAGGTGGACTTACCAGGAGTAATGCACATTCTCTGTTGCCAGGGTGAATAGCTGGGCATGAAATGAGGGTCATATGGGATGTTCTTGGGTAGTTCAGCTTCGGTGGCCTTTCGAAGCATCGCTTTGCCCTGATTGGGGAAAAGGCGGCAAAAGTTGAAGAAGATGAATCCCATAATGATGAATCTCCATCGAATCAGTTTGTAGGCCACACTCTCAGGTAGCCATTTCTTGATTGTTTGATCAATGGGCTCGACCAGTGGAATGGGTAGGAAATAGCTTGGCGATCGTTGAAGCATAGTGACAGATTTGGCTTGCTCGCTCATGGCAGGAACTAGAGTGACTGCAGTAGCACCACTACCGATGATGACGACCTTCTTGTCCTTGTAGTCGAGGTCTTCTGGCCAGAACTGGGGATGGATCACAGCGCCCTTGAAGTTCTCGATACCTGGTATTTGTGAATTCAGACCTTGCTTGTAGTCGTAATAGCCAGTGCCAAGGAGGATATGTCGAGCATAGTAGAGGGCCTCTTTTCCGTCAACGGAGACTTCAAGCTTCCAATGCTGATGTTCAGAGGACCAATTCAATGTCTGAACTTGGTGGTGGTATTTGATGTGTTTGTCGATTCCATGACGATTGGCACAGCCTTTGACATAGCTCAAGATAGAGGGGGCACTGGCAATGGCACGCTCTTCTCTCCAGGGGTCCCAAGGAAAGCCGAAAGTGTGAAGATCAGAATCAGACCTGATGCCGGGATACTTGAACAAGCTCCAAGTACCACCGATCTCCGAGCGACCTTCAAGGATTGCATACTTGAAATCAGGGAGACCTTCCTGAAGGCGGTATGCGGCGTCAATACCAGAGATACCAGCACCGATGATGATAGCGTCGAAGTGATTGTTGGCCATGATGGCGGATTGCACCAAGGAATGAAGGCCTTGAAAGAGGGCTGGTAACAAAACGGATGGTTCAAGTTGGGGGTTCAATTGAGTGTGGAAAAGGAAGACAAGCCTCAAATAAAGGAATATCTGCGGTGGATATAGAACGGAAGCCGAAAATGAGATGATGGAAAGAACCTCGGTCGTCAGGCCACAAAGTGAAGAGAAGGGAATAATGGTGGATGAATGCAATGTGCTCCCCAGGTAGTCGCAGGCAGAAATTTAGGTTGCACATTTGATACTGTAGCACCTCCTCCATTGAATTGAATCTGCTGCTCAGGCATCCCGGGGCGTTCATGCCTAACTGGGACTTGAGACTGGGGTAATGGTGGCAAAGGTGTCGCCAGTGGGGGGACCTCGCTTGAAGTCTCGGTTCCGGCGAGGGAGGCGCATCCCCATGCAAACCAGTGTTTTAGGCACCCTTAGGCCTGATCAGTGATCCCCCTCTGTTGCTGAGGTGCACTCTTGCTTGCGTCTCTGTTCAGATGGCCCGGGTGTCTATCGGAGTGTCTTAGTTTGAATTCCCTCAACCTGTTTCCCTCTATACCAGAGCTGCCATACGGGACCCGAAGTGGGATGTGGGAACTCCTTCATGGTTCCCAGATGACGGGCCATGGACGAGCATCAAACCATGTATCCTCTTACTCTGTTCATCCGGCCGGTGGGAACGCACTTCCACCGCGCCGGATGCATGTTCTGTGAGATATCCCGAGATCATGGACCCTGCCGAGGCACTTTTCACCCATATTGATATATTGCGGGAGACAAAAACATCCGCAAGGATCGATAATCCACCGCTATTCGTTGTCTTTTACCGCGGTCATCACTGTTGATGTCGTTCCAATGTTTGACTCCGCTTCTACGAGTCACTATTCGCCTTGGGTTTCCCTGCTGGGTGACACTCTTTTTTGTTCATCGCGTATCGCATCGCGTATCGCGTGTTGCGAATTTCTGTCTTTGGGCCGGGATTTGATCCGTATCTCCTTCACCACATGCCCTTGGAATATTTCATACCGCATCTCAATCTGGAAATCTTGCAGTCGTAGGTTCGTAGCCTCGAGTGCACGATACGGGTCCCGGGTGTGCATATACGGCATACGCGGTGAGCAACATGTTTTGTGATCATGTAAGCCTCGTTGTGCGCTTCCTAGTTGTGGCACGCAGGAGATCGATATCTCGACATGAATACTGATCCGGAAAGGATAGTAATCAACCACCGTTCAGATTATTCTGCTGCAAACTGCTAACAGTGATGAATTTGTGGGTTTTGACACACACAAATCTATGTACCAACTCCAGATCCAGTGTAGGTATGCCTACAGAGACACTGGCTTACCACCCTCATCCACCAAATGCTTATCTATCTTTTCTGGAGCACCACCAATGCCAGTACAAATGACACGACTGACACCCGTTTTGAGTGTCATCAACGCCTTTTGCTCCAAGCCACCGAATTCATTGGGTTGAATCTTCTCCCCGAATTCACCTTCCCAACCGGGAATCCAAGGTAAGATGGACTTGATCACACCAGCCACGAGGTGAGTATGTTCTTCCAGGTGGTAGATGACGGCGTTTGGTCCAGCATCGAACGTATACGCCGCAATGATCTTGCCTGCTTTTCGGTTCGCCGTCTCAACCGCACTCATGGCCGCCCTTGACACGTCATTCATGTAGTGAATGGGTGGCCAGGAATCAAGACAGATGGCGTGGAAGGAATTCGAGTCTTGCATGGTGATCCTACCAAAGGTCTCAAAGTCCTTGTCATGAATGGCCTTCTCAATCTCTTGCAATCTTTTCGGTACAATGTCTCTGAATCTGGCTGGTGCAAGAGTCGAGGTCTCCACCGTGGTTTGCATGCCTGCAGTTGAAGGAACACCCTTCTTCTCTGCACTCACCACCAGAATCAATGCTCTGAGGTCCGGCCAGTGCGAAGCTGGAGCGACCTCCTCGGCTTTACTGTCACTTCCATCCTCTTTTGTCCCTGCTCTCCAGGCGACGAAGCCACCCATGAGACTCCTGCAGGCTGAGCCAGAGCCTTGTCGAGCAATGAGAGAAAGTTCTTCTGGTGACTGAGGTAATTCGTAAAGATCTGCGATGGCCCGTACCAGTGCTGCAAAGCCAGCAGCGGAGGAGGCAAGACCAGCCGCAGTCGGGAAATTGTTCTCCGAGACCAGTCGAAGTGTCAACTGGGACAGGTTGGGAAGGCTTGCATTTTTAGACTCGAGATCTGCTCGGAGCGAACGCAAGTGTTTCAGACAAGCTTGTGTGCGCTTGGAGGATTTGATGTCTTCCTGTTCTCCATTGAGAATGAGGGTATCGTCGCCAGAGTAGGACTCTGATGCTGAGGCAGTGGTGTGAGCACGGAGAGAGTTTTGAGAGAGAGTCACGGAGAGGGATGAGTTTGTAGGGAGGTTTAACGTCGTGTCGCGTTTGCCCCAGTATCTATTCAAGTGATGAGTTGTTAATATCAGTCTCTTTTGGGCTCTGGGATAATCCCAATTAAATTCGGACTTGTGGAGGTAGGAGGTGGGGGAATGTTGGCGTACCTACTTAATCACAGCAATGTTGACAGGGGCAGTAGTGCTTGCACGATAGATTTGAGGTGAGCCCGACATGATGGTAAGATTTGATAGCTAAGAAGAATCCCAGGTTTAGCTGGAGGATCAGGACAAGAGTGAGTGTCTGGTACGGTCACAGCAAATGGAATTGTTTGCACACCGCATTGGCGACTGCAAATCAAAATATTGGAGAAGTCGAAATGTGCAGGCGGTGGACGAAAGGAGGGGTACCGCAGTTGGTTGGCAGAACTAAGCTATTTACGCACTAAGCATACTTTTAAGCGGCAACCCGGATCACCCCATTACGAGCAAGTCCTTCCTGCTTAGTCATCCAGAGATATTTGGAGCACTCAATATGCAGGCCGGATCAGTCTGCTAAATTTCCATCTCACAAAACAGAACTGAACCTCACCAACAGATTCTCCTCGACTCATTGTATTGACTGCAAAATGGGCTGGTGGAAAGCAGACCCCGTGCCTTCTCCTCCTCCGCCGCCTCCTCCACTGTCCCAAGCACCACACCCTATTCCATCCAACCCAGCTTCATCTTCCCCAGCAGACGCTTGTCCTGTCGACGCCCAAACCCGGTCAATATGGCTGGAGCAAGCAGCCGCCCAACAGAAGAAATCTAGAGAGGCAGCAGCAGCAGTAGCAGGTCAACAACAAAAGCCCCTCCCACACCCAAATCCGTCCACCATCGCTTCACCCCAAGAATGCTCATCAGATCGAGTATCACAATCACCCTCTACAGAAGACCCCGCCGGCAGAAGCACGACACGACACAATCTATCCCACGAGCGTGAAATCTCCAGCATACCCCGCGCGCAGAGCCCTTCATCCACATCACCCGCACCCAGCACCCCAGCCAACGCGGAAACCGAAACCGGTGCCTCGCCCTCGGGCCACTGGATCTACCCGTCCGAAACGCAATTCTACAACGCGGTGCTGCGCAAGAAGACCTCATCGGCGAGCCCCAACGAGCTGGCGTCGACGATGCCGAGCGTCATCCCGATCCACAATGCGGTGAACGAGCGGGCGTGGAGCCTGATCAAATCGTGGGAGGGCCAGAGCAGCGCCCGCTGCGGCGGGCCGAAACTGCTCTCGTTCAGGGGCCTGGGCGCCGGCGCCTTGAGCCCCAAAGCCAGGGTCAAGAGTCTCGCTGGCTATACAGCGCCGTTCGACCGCCATGATTGGGTCGTCCAGCGCTGTGGTGGCGAGACCGTCGAGTATGTCATTGATTTCTACCAGGGGAAGCCGGCGAATGATGCCGCCGCGGGACGTGGAGCACCCGTGCCACAACAACAACAGTTGAACTTTTATCTGGATGTCAGGCCCAAGTTGAATAGTGTCGAGGGATGTAAGATGCGGTTCGAGCGGTTTGTGGGCTGGCGCTGATGTGTCATCGGGGTAAAGTATCATTCAGCCTGTGTATATATATGTAGGATCCGTCGTATCAGATAGATATGTAACATCAAGTCAGGAAAGAAAAGATGATGAACGAACAAAATATGTATCCAACAGGATCAAGGATCCAGAAAGAGAAAATGACGAGGCCAAGCTCACTGCAATGTAGACTCGGCATATATATAATTTCAACTCCTGTTCCTTCCCTCCCCAATCGATAATAAAAGCATGCTATTTGTAGGATGTACCGTTGCTCACTCAGTGGAGAGCGGGTGTGGAAATGAAGAATTGACGGCCAAATGTACCTAGGTCCCTTCCTTTCCATGAATCAAGCCAATGGGTGTATCAATGAATTCAAAGGAGACAAATGGAAACATGCCGGGCCACGGCCACAATTTCCTCTCCATGTTGTTTCCCCCAAACGCCGACTCGTCCACTTGCCTCCCGGTGTCCATCCCACTGGTTAAGAAACGAGAGAAGAAAGATATCCGCCATGTATGTTCCGACACCCCATTCCAGGTGGCAACAAGAAGAAAGAAGAAAAAGCACAATGATTGAATTGATCTCGGCCGTGGTTTCGTTTCATGTCGTTAATTCGATAATTGCAGTCGTACCTCCCGTAACATAAGAAATTCGTTCGCTGTGAAGCCACCACAACGCTCTATCCGCCAAAAGCAACTCGGCGGGTCGCAAGATTCTCGAGGCTTGAGATCGACATTTCTATCTTCGAAAGAGGACCATATACCTGTGTCATTGCTGCTGTTTATTGATCATTTGACGCTTTGCTTTACCAATTGCCGGTTCGAATAGTAGGTTGTTCCATTCCGTACGAGTTGGAGAACAATTGCTGACGAATACTTGGCTGTGCAGTTGGTTGAGGTGATCGACGTAACCAACCTAAAGCCTGACCCAGGGCTTCATAGGCCTCTCGCATTCTATTGCCACTCTTTTCGTTGTGACCTCTCAATTTGTCTTCCCATCCGCCGTACTGCAGTTGAATACCTCCTCCTCTCTTACTCGCTTCCTTGATAACGGTGGCCCAGGCGCGGGAAATCTCTTGGTATGCATTCTGCTTGGCGAGATTATATTGTGCAGTATCCCACTCGGGAAGTTCGTGGATGATTTGTGTCACCCCATCCAAATATTCCAACGAAAGAGACGATTGCTGCTCATTTGGGGGTAAGAAATGAGGAGTAAAATCGGTCAGGGCATCGAGCAATTCATTCCATTGGGGTCGAACTCGGTCATATGAATAATCGGACCGAGGATTCGGATCAAGGGGAAATGATGACAGTAATCGATCATGATATTCTCGTAAAACTTGCAAAGTGCTCATGATGCTTGGTCGAGGACTGACTTGGATGATTTCTTCCCGAAGTCCAGGGTTGCGGTCACACAGGGACTTCAAAACCGATCGTAGCGAGTCTTTGTCTAATGTTTCGAGGAGTCGGTCAACTGAGAGCGGTCTTCCAGTCAAATTAGGACGTATCTTCTTCCTCGATCCAGGTGGAATTGGTAATCGAGCATTTGACATGGCAGGAGATGTGGTCATTTCATCGTCTCGGTCTGGTGATGGAGAGGCTTTCCGCTTCCTCGATGGGGTAGTCGAAGACACTGAAAACATGGCGATTAGTGGGAGCAGTATGACAATAGACAGAGGCAACTCACTTGATCTGTTGGGAGATAGTCTTGTGTGCTCGTGAAAATGAGGAGGGACAGGCGGGGTGGCCAGGCTATTCATGATGGCTGAATCAGGTAAGAATTGATTTGATCTTTGTTCGCAGCCGAGGAGAGGAGGAAGATGGAAGTGGCAGGTTGATGAGCAAGATGAGATGATAATCCTGAAAGAGGTGAGGCAGTGATGGAGGGCAGAACCCTCCTTTTGTCGTACACAAAATCGAGCGGTGAAGGAATGTCGGAGTCGTTGCGCAGTGCAAGGTGTGAGGTACGAGATGTAAGGTGTGTGTGTGAAGTGTGATGGATGGGTGATGTGAGGAGGATGGTGGTCGAAAGATGAGAGTTTGAATTGGATCCAAGGCTGCTCGGCCGGATGATTGGTTGTCAGGACCCCAGTTGTCTTCTCAGTCAGTGGCACAGGTGGAAACTGGGAACTGCTGTGGGGACTTGCACTCACTGGGCAGCCACTTTTAGGCTTGATTTAGAGGGATTAGAGGCTCGTGGCGCCCAAAGCTGCCTAGATCTAGAAGCCTAAAGGTGACCTAGCAAAGTCTTCACCGCGCATGAAGTGCCGTCCAGCTGGGTGCCGCTCACCGGTGTTTGGCTGCTTGGGTGCTCAACTGTCAATGGACAGCCAGGGTCAACAGGGTCCTCGTTCATGGCCCTGGCGCCTCTTCGCTGGTCGTGCCGTTGTTTGGACCATCTCAAGCCTTGTCAGTTGGGTACCAATTCCCACGGACTCGAAAGAAAGGGCCTTACTCTTTCGACCACCCACCATACGAATGCATCTACTCCTACCTAGGTTCTGTACACCACTATGACGAAGGTTGACTTTGAACAAAGCATCAGAATTATGATGGGTTTCAAGACAGCTTTTCGCCGCTGCAAGGCAAGAATTGACCTCATCTGCCTTTCGGACTGAGGTGACTGCTAACTCTAACATGGATCACGAGTCATGACATTATTGTTGCCATTCTCGAACCCTCACTCTCTCGAGTTTCTCAGGCAGCACAGAATCGATAATGACCATCACAAGCAATCACATAATACCTGCCTGTGTCTATCAATCCGTGGCCGTCTTGATTTTCTCGACAGCGACTTGGTGATCGCGCAACAGCCAGCTGAAATCCAGTCGTACTTGTTCGCCGATGCTCTGGAATTGAATCGGATCGCCATAAAGAAACGTAGATCCCACGTGCAAACCTAGAGATATAATGACTGGGCTGCCACAATATCTCTTCTTACCTTCGTTAGTGCTTCCTCAAACTTCTTTTCCAACTCCTCACTACCCATCACCTTCGAAGCTTCGGCCATTTGGCGTAGGCCCTCTTCAAGACGTCGAAAAGTCCGAATCAAGCTGCCCTCGTAGACATCGGTCATTTTGCTATTTTATCGTTAGCCGGGAATTTTCACTCCCCTTCTGTACTTACCAGATCTCTCCAAAGGACTTTCCATTCGCCCATGCAAGTATGACTGGCATCAACTGCCATTTGAAACTCTGGACATACTCGTCCTCATTCAAGGCCAATTTGGACTCGACCGATACTTTGGCAATGATTCTTGCTTGTCGTTTGATTTCACCAAGCAATATGTTCAGATCTTCAGATAGAACCGGCTGTTCTTTGATCTGCTCTTCGAAGACAAAGCAGCTCATGACCGCAGCACATTGCTCAGGTGTCAGATCGTTGAAAAATCGGTTAAACAACAATTCACTGAGCATCAGCTCGTCACCCGTGCTGATGGCGCAGGCCACACGGGCTTTCAATTGCACAACCTCATCCTCATTGATAAATTGAAGTCTCCGAAGCACTCGTTTTCGACACTTTAACTCTTCCAATTGCGTAATCGCATGTGCATCCTGGATCTCTTTCTTTAGTGCTTTGATCTTGTTCGTCAGCGTCACCTTCTCGGCGAACTGATTGTAAAGCCCTTCCAGTCGTGGCGAATTATGCAATGGATTGGCAACCAGGCGAGATTCCATGATCTCAATCTTGCGGAGAAGCTCCTTGAAAGAATTATCGGTGATCTTGAGATTTTCAATGGGATCGAGAACTGCAAGACCGTCCGGGAAGCGTCTCTGCACTTCAGTCAGAGCTTGTGAAATCTTCTTTCTCGACTCTGCAGTCCTAATGTCTGCAGGCGGAAAAATTCGAATGTGCGAGATTTTCTGGACGCATTTTAACAAGACGGGAACAATCTGGATCTTCGACTTCTCACCAGGTTGTGGAGGTCGGATGCCGGCTGGGAGTGATTGAAAGGTTTTGGTGCCAGGCGTAGGCCCATCAGCCACCTCCAAGGCAGTTTTGAGAACCCATTCTTCTTGTGGTGCCAGTTTCTCAGAAGAATTGCTCGGATCGACTCGAGCGAAGTCAATGACTGCACCCCAACCAAAATTGTGTTCACCATCTTTGACCTCAATCAAACGACCGGGTTGCATGAATGGCAGAGAATAATTAGGATGGATGATCACGTTTCTCATATCCTCGGCATAGATGTCAAGCTGTTTCCGCAACTCATAATAAGCCTTGATGGCGGTTTCATCTTCAATAACCATAGTCGACTTTTCAGTTTCCAGTTGCTGCAACTCTCGCTCCAGTCCCGATACACTTGCGGTATTCTGGAACTGGTGAAAGCATCGTTCAAGCATAAACTCAGGAGAAATACCCTCAACTCGAAGAAGGTTGAGAATCATATTGTATCCGAGGTAGAATGCTGAGTTGAGTTTATCCTGTTCTCCACGCACGATCTCTTTGGCAATACCAGGTTCCATCTGTTGATCAATCATCATTATGACAATTCCTCTTTCATCCAATCCACGACGTCCAGCACGTCCAGACATCTGGATGAATTCCGAAGGAGTCACCCATCGCTGAGAAATGCCATCAAATTTGCGAACACTAGTAAAGACAACAGTCTTTGCCGGCATGTTCAACCCTATAGAAAAGGTTTCGGTAGCAAAAAGAACTTTGATCAGACCTTCCTGGAACAAGATCTCAATGGTCTCCTTCAAAATTGGGAGCAATCCGGAGTGATGGATACCGATACCTCTCTTCAATAGAGGTAACAGATGTTGAATCTGAGGGAGGGTCTTGTCCTCGGGAGACAGCATTTCCAATGCGCTGTCGAACACTTTGGCCACCATGGCTTTCTCCGATTCATCATTGAATGTCATCGAGCTCATTTGAATTGCATAGGCCTCACACTCTCTTTTGCTAAAACTGAAGACAATGACAGGGTTGTAATTCTTGGTCATGATCATACGGATAATCTTGTAAATATCGGAGGGACCTTTGGTGCCACCTTTATTTATTCGCTTATCCTTGCCCTTGCCCTTCCTACGGGCCATGGCGTTGGCAGGATCTTCACCTTGTTTCTCGGCCATGGTGCTCATGGCTTTCTGGAAGTTGTCTTCTCTGAACACCCCCTTTTCGTCCACGATCAGATGTATACCATCGGCTCCAGAAGGAAAGAAATATTGTTGTAAAGGGGTTGGTCTGAAGTCTGTGTAGACAACATGGCATGGTTGATTGTGTGTTTTGGTGATCCATTCTGCGAATTGCATGGCGTTGGGAATAGTGGCGGACAGAAAGACGTAGTGGACTTTGTCAGGCAAAAGTATGATGGTCTCCTCCCATACAACACCTCGAGTCTTATCTCTCAAGTAGTGAATCTCGTCGAAAACAACCCAACCCACTTCTCGCATGATTTCCGAGCCACGGTAAAGCATAGACCGGAGAATTTCAGTGGTCATGACAAGACAGGTGGCTGTGGGGTTGATAGTGACGTCTCCTGTCATCAAACCTACATCGCCGAATTCGGCCTGGAATTCACGATATTTCTGGTTACTCAGCGCTTTAATAGGACTTGTGTAGATGACTCGTTGGTTGTTTTTCAGACACTGTGCAATGGCATATTCTGCGACCACCGTCTTTCCAGCACTGGTATGCGCCGACACCAAGACACTTTCATTTCGTTCGATGGAAGCAATGGCGACTTGTTGGAAGGGATCCAATTGAAAACTCCAAGTCCTCGCAGGTTCACTGGGGGCTTTGTGTTCTGATATGGGGATATAATCGTAGTCGGGGGGAAGAGCGACTTGATGGCGAACCTGGTGGGACAGAATAACCTTCCCTTCGTCTTTAGATGCTAGCAACCCAGCAGATGGGGCGAGTTCTCGCGATTGCTCGGTCTCGAAGGTATCCGTGACAACTGGTTCTGGTTCATCAGCAATGCGCATGCGTTTGGGATCTGGCACCTCTTGATCTGGGGAGTTATCTGTATTAGACTCTTCCGAGGGTGGAGAGGCTTCTTTGCTGGAGGGTCCAGTATCATTGCCATTGACAGTGGTCTCTTTCACTTCTCCGTTGGCTTGTCTCTTCAACCGCTTTTTGTCTTTCCGTGTCAGTTGTGATGGAGCCACTGGAGTGTCATCAAAGACATCGAATAGCTCGTCCATTTTGGGGACGTGGCTCACAGTGAGCAGTGTTGCTCGGGACACAGTCGACAATGTTGAAGTCTGAGAAACAAAAATTCTGAGCCTGCAAGTCGCATTGAAGATGAAGGTGACTTCGAACTCTAAATAAATTCCAGGGTTTCTCTACCGAGGGCAAGTTTGCCGATTATCCCAAGGCTTTCAAGGCTCAAGCGTCGTGCTAGAAGTCCTAATAGCAAGTTAGCCGAGTTGAATGCCAAGACATCGAAAGCTCGAATGCAGCTCCTGCGAGTGGACTGATCTCATGCCTCAATGACTTCTTGACTCCTAAACACCACCATTTTCGCTGCGACAAGACCTACAAAGGTGCCCCGAACTCTTCCAAGTCCATGATCCGTTGCTAATATAGCAGATGAACGCCCAAACTCTCCTCTCCGCCCGAATGGCAACCCGAACAGTCGCCCGCCGTGGCTTCTCTACAACCCGACCTCAACGTGATCTTTTCAGTCCTTACCATTATCCCGAAGGGCCTCGGTCGAATTTGCCATTTAACCCCAAGACACGCTTTTTCTGGCTGAGATATTGGACTTTCATGGGTACGAGACATGGAACAACATCTTGAGAAGAGTAAGGACTAAACAAGTTGTAGCTGCTGGATTTGGTGTACCCTTCGGCATGGCTGGTATGTTATACAATGACCCTCGGAGGATCTTTCACTAACTCACGACAGTCTGGCACACGTACAAAGCATAAACGGGGATTTCGGAATCGCAAATAAGGAAGCTCGAAGCACGACAGGAGTTGATTCAAAGGGATTGGCAATCCCACACTTTTTGTACAGAGCCAGCAACAATTACATCCCAATTGACAACAACAAAGTCAATCTTCGTTCATCCTCCGTGCATTCCACTCGTATCTCAGGGTTCCCTGTCCTGCCACTCTCGAATCACTTCGTTGGAAAAAGGACTCTGTAGTTGTGAAAGAACCCGGCACTTAGCCAATCACAGTTGAGGAATTGGCATATTGAATTAATTCTCCGACTTACATTTAAATTTTGACTCTCGACCACTTTTTGCCCGTTGACTCGTAGGCATTTTCTCGACTATTCTCAATTGATAAACATATGAAAAATATACAGTATGAGGAACCTCAAAACTGTCGCATACCACGAGACACGACTGGATGCCAACACATCGTCCCTGTTATTACCATTAACAGCGACAGCATGGGACCCAGTAAATGACACAGTCATTTGTGCTTTTGGACCAACTGCAACCCAACCTATAATTGAACTAAAGCGACGGAAGTCAAAGAATGCTTCTGGAGCAGATGAATTTGTCGATATTGCATCTTGGGATGCTCCTTGCCCTCTGCCAGATCTTGAGTGCGACGAAATTCTACTGCTTCAACATTTCTCAGACACCGCCACGTCTTGTCTGATCTTGGCTGGCGGAGATGTCATTGTGGTTAGAGAAGACCCCCAAGATGATCAAGAAAAAATCGAAATTGTGGGGTCCGTCGATGCCGGAATCTGCGCTGCTGCTTGGGCTCCAGACGAAGAATTGCTTGCAATTGTCACACGAGCAGATACTCTTGTGTTGATGAGCAGAACTTTTGAGCCGCTGAATGAAGCCAGTCTTTCTGCTGACGATCTGAAGGCTTCCAAGCATGTTTCTGTTGGTTGGGGAAAGAAGGAGACGCAATTTCAAGGAAAGAGGGCCAAGGCGATGCGAGATCCCACTATGCCAGAGAGAGTCGATGAGGGTCTCCCCAGTCCATGGGAGGATGGGAAAGTAACCGTTAGCTGGCGAGGTGATGGCCAATATTTTGCCATAAACAGTGTCGTCCGTGCTCATCGCAGAGTTATCAGAGTTTTCAGTCGTGAGGCTGTACTGGACAGCGCGAGTGAACCTGTTGATGGACTCGAATCAGGGCTAAGCTGGAAACCTTCGGGCAATCTCATCGCCGGAATAAAGCGATCAGACAACCAGGTTGAGGTGGTCTTCTTCGAACGAAATGGGCTTCGTCATGGCCAGTTTGATCTTCGGACTACCCCGGAAGATATGGCAACATGGGCATCCAGTATTTCTCTGACCTGGAATACCGATTCGACCGTATTGGCCATCTCCTTCAAAGACAGGATACAATTCTGGACGATGGGAAACTACCATTATTACCTCAAGCAGGAGATATCTCTATCATCTTCATCGACTGGCAATTTACCACTGAAATGGCATCCCGAAACTCCGCTCAGGACACTCTTAGCCTCAGAGTCTTCGATCCTCGACCTTACCTTTCAATTCTCCATCTCCAAAGGAAGCACTAAACCCCCACACGACCATGGTATTGTGGCAGTCATCGATGGCAAGACGTTGAAACTCACTCCATCGAGGCAGGCTGCTGTCCCTCCACCCATGGCTTTCTGTGAGGTCACATTTGATCACAATCTAGTGGATTGTGCAGTCACTCAGACTGGTGAATGGCTGGCCGTCCTGACGACTCGCACACTTGAGGTATGTGAATGGGTTATGCGTACGTTGGACTCTTCGGCCCCTGGTACGAAACCCAAGAGATTTACCTCAACGATTCATCGCACCTCGCTTCAACTACCAGCATCAGATAGCCCAGCCGATACCAGCCTCCGGTATACACAGGTTGTTACGAGAGGAAAAGATATTTACATTCTTGCTCCTCAACAAGGAACAACGGACGCCATCGTACGTAAAGCGATGTGGCATGGCAATGTATCACGCCTCTCGATACTCGGTATATCTCTCGCAGATCAGGAAGCTACCGTTCCTCAAGCGGCCAACAACCTCCTTGTCGATACAGCACATGAAGTTGTTTACATCACCGACCCGACGACCTCAACAACCTATTCACTTGACGACCCGATGGCACAACATCTCACACTACCAGGCGCACAAGCAAACAGCGCAATTTTCAAGCTTTCCGAAAATCCCAACCACCATGCACCAGGGTTTCTCAACGGAGATGGACCACAATACCACAAAGTCTCACTAACTGCTCAAGGATCACTTTACGCAGACAAAATCCTACTCACTCGAGACTGCATATCGTACATCCTGACCGATGCACACCTGATCCTCACCACAGCGCAACACCTCCTGAAGTTCGTGCACCTGACCGAGCCAACCCAAATGCGAGTCCCCAGCGACACGCCCGAGGTCGACGAACGATGCCGCAGCATCGAACGCGGAGCAAAAATCGTAACGGTCATCCCGTCCACGTACGCTGTGACGCTGCAGATGCCACGAGGCAATCTTGAGACGATCTACCCCCGTGTCCTCGTCGTGTCGGGCATCCGGCATCACATCAGCCAAGGCGACTACCTGGCGGCGTTCCTGGCTTGCCAGACTCATCAGGTCGATTTGAATATTCTGCACGACTACGATCCCGAGAAGTTTCTTTCGCAGATTGCGACGTTCATCGACCAAATGAAGAAACCCAGCCGGGTGGATGAATTTCTGTCGAAGCTCAAAGACGAAGACGTTACTGAGACATTATATCGAGACACATTGAAGCAAGGCACGACAGCCGAGACTTCTACTCTTGTAGACCGAACCAAAAAGCAGATCAAGGACAAGCCCACCAGCAGCAAAGTGAACCGCATCGCCGACGCATTCATCCCGATCCTCAGCAGCAAAGCCTCTCTCTCATTAACCGGCCACCCTTCCACCGACACGAAAACGAACCACCATCTCCAAAACCTAATAACCGCACACGTGAGCAAACGGCCCGCCGACCTCAATGCAGCACTAACACTGGTCTCAACACTCCTCGCGACTTCCCCGTCCGAAGCCGATAGAGCAATCTCACACCTCGTGTTCCTGACGCCCGACACGAACCGGCTGTTTGACGGCGCGCTGGCGCTATACGATCTGAAGCTAACGTTGCTCGTGGCGCAGAACGCGCAGCGCGACCCACGAGAATACATGCCGTTCCTGGAGTCGCTATCTGTGCTGTCGGAGCTGAGGAGGCGATATCGCATTGACAATCATCTCAAACGGTATGCTAAAGCGTTGGGCTCGTTGCATGCGATCGCTGCTACGGGGGGCGAGGTCGGTGGTGGTAATGAGGGAGGCGAGACCGCTGGCGACAAAACGAATGCCAGCGACATCCACGCGGAGATCGAGACGTACACTGTCCGGCACAGCTTGTACACCGCTGCCATGGGTCTTTACCGCCACGACACACCCCACTTGGCACACATAATACGCCTGTATGCGACATACCTTGCAGAGTCGCAATCCCGGCCTGCCCCAGCGGCCACGCTCTTCGAATCCCTGGGCGACCACGCAGCGGCCTACCCACTGTACGCGCTGGCACACCGATGGCGCGAATCTCTCACGTGCGCAAGCCTCGCCACCCCGCCTCTGGACACGGCCCGCCTTCACACGCTCGCAGAATCCCTTGCCAGCACGCTCGCTGAAGAAACCCGCGATTTCCGCGCCGCTGCGGCCATTCATGCCGAACACCTTGGCGACATCCCAGCCGCAGCGCGCCTGCTGTGCCGGGGCAGTTATTTCGCAGATGCGCTGAGGATTCTCGCGTTACAAGGGTTCGGCAGCGAGGAGATCGCGCGGATCGTGGACGCCGGCCTGACGGAGAAGTTCGGCGAGATCCTTGAGCTCGTTGCTGACTGTAAAGTGCAGCTCGGGGCGCAGGTACCGCGGGTGGAGGAGTTGCGGAAGAAAAAGGAGGAGGATCCACTGGCGTTCTATGGTGGGGATGCTGCTGCTGCCGGTGATGGAACGGGGATGGATATCCCGGATAATGTGTCGCTGGCGCCGACGGACGCGACGACGCAAGGAGGACAAAGTCTTTTCACGCGGTATGGCTCCAATGCGAGTAAATTTGGTGGGACGGTGGCGTCGAATGTGTCAAGGATGACGTCCAAGACGAAGCGGAAGGAGGAGAGGAAACGGGCGAGGGGAAAGACGGGGAGTGTTTATGAGGAGGAGTATCTGGTTGCCAGCGTGCAGCGGTTGATTGGGCGGGTTAATGGGGTGCATGAGGAGGTGGGAAGGTTGGTGAATGGGTTGTTGAGACGTGGATTGAGGGAGCAAGCGGAGAAAGTGGATGAGGTGTTGAGAGAAATCACTGCACTGTGTGAGAAGGCGAGGATGGACGTTTGGGAGGTCACGGAGGGGGCTGGTGATGGCGAGAATGGACTGGGAGTCGTAAATGGAGGAATCGTCGAGCGTTATCATGTTAACGGCGAGGGGAGGCCGTCTGGCGCGGATGGCATCTTGTGGGATAGTGTGCAGGAAGCACAGAAGAAGAGAGATGCTCCTGAGGTCAAAGCCTGGGTCGGCAATGAGCTCTTGTAGGTAACATAACGCGAAAGAAAGAACGCAGCTCAACACGAGGATGTGACATTGACGATAAACATATTTGTTCTGTTGAAGTTGATTACTGGCTGATCTATTTACCTAGGTAGGTAGGCATTTCGAGACGTAACATTCATCTTACTTGTTCCATTTCCTTTCTGGGGAACAGTCGGCCATTCTGACTCCCAGATCCTGATCTCCGTACACCATTCGTAGTCAGTGTCCGTCGGGAATTGTTTGGAGCAGGCTCATCGGTTCTATTTCGCATGCCTTGCTTGCCTGAATATGCATTCTGCAAGGTACCGTTCTCTGGAGGTGAAGACTTTCGAGAAAAGGTGTCATTGCTTTCTGCTTCCTTGCTTTTGGGGCCTTCCGCTGCCCTCCTCGCCTGGTTGAGCTCGGCAATTCCCAAGCCGGCATCCAACAAGTAGACCTGAAAGGCAGCCAAAAGCTCCCGTAAACCAGCTCTCAATCTCTCTACGATGATACCAACTTCTTCAATACCACTGTCAGATCCTGGCTTGTTGGCGTTCACAAATTTCTCAATCGTAGTCAGTGTTTTGGTAAATGTTCTCACAGCATCAGGAACTGTAGGTGTCGCCTTGCCAAAGGTATCCTCGGTGAGACTGGCTACAAGCATTTTCGTAATTGATTCAATCACATCGACAATCAACGCTGCATTGCCTGCTGGAGATCCGAGGACAGTAGCATTGATCTTGTCAAAATGGGATATCTTCAGCAGAGCAATCACTGGGCTCGGGAGGAAGTTGGTCAAGTTTTCCATCAAGACTTCCGACGCACCTGAAGGTTTGACCTGACTCAGAGCAGACGATACCTTCGCTTCAACGTTTTCACTATACCAGACGTCGTCACTGTTTCCAAAATCGCCCAAAACCTCCGATACTCCTTGTCTCATCCACGAAGCTTTTGGTTTCGTAGGCAAACTCGATGGATAGGATGATTTGGGAATTATGCTTGGTAAGCTCTTGATATGTGAATTTTCCGAAGGTGGAATGGGAGGGGGCCCATTGATTCGTAGATCAATAGCTCGCAGAACTTGAAGGCCATTTTGCAGCATTTGAGGCCACATGGGACCACTGGGTCTCTCAATATCTTCGAAGATGGCCTGTCTTCGATCTTTGTGCTTTTGGGCGATAATAGCCAATTCCCAAAAGGCAAATGTCTGGACAACAGGTTTCTTCGAGCTCAGCCCAGTCAAAAGGGTCCCGTTAGGATCCTTACTGGATGCGGACAGCGGCAAGCCCATCTTGGTAGGTTCTTGGCTGAAATAGATGAGGAACAGATTGCAGGACATGTCCCAGGTGAAGAGTAGCAAAATCCCAGCTACAGAGCAGCGAACAAGGTATTTGCTGATGTCAACCATATCCACGAAACCCGTAGCGTGCGCATTTGTTCGTGAAATATCGAACCAAAGTTTGGCAAAGAACAGGTGAATCGAGTATAAAAATGACCGTAGGAAGGCTAAATAGATGATGCCACTCGGGATGATGATGAGTACTGCCAGAAGGCTTCGGACAATAGCAGGCCAGAAGGCTTTCTCCACCTGCGACCATCTTGGTTTGATTGGGTGTGTGCTTTGATTTGCGACTTCGTTTGATGTGGAAGAAGGCACTCTCGAGACGGGAATCCTCAGCGAAGAGTGATTGCGGTAGAAATGGGTGAATGCAGAGACCACTGCCAGCATCAAAACATAGGCTTGCAGAAAGATCCCGCGCTCATTCAATGTGTCAGATGTCGTATGACTACCTCTTGTGACCCAACCAAGGTCTGAAGATGACCAGACATATGCTTCGCTAAACCAGAAAGCGGAAAGCCCATAGCCGAAGATGGCTTTCAAGGCGTCTGAGCTGAACAAATTCCTGCTTAGTGTGGCCCAGGTCGAAATCTTCGTCTGCTGACCAACCTCGAGTGTAGCTATCTGCAGACTGAATATGAAGACGCTGCACATGAGATATATTACCGAGCCAATGGACAGTCTGAACAAGGAAAGTGTCAGGGATAGAATGCTGGTTGATCTATAATGGGACCATATGTCGAGACCACCTAGCTGGATTAGATACACGCCAATGCCACCGATGAGAGAAGTCGCCGTGTTAAAATAGTAGAGGCCGATCAAGGAAGATATTACTGCAAGGACCACAGTGAAGACATTGAGCCATACCCCGCCAGGCTCTACATAATATTAGCGGTGACATGAGATCAAGGAGAGCCTCGTAACTTACGAGTGTTGGAGCTGAGCAGAGAAATACCGACAACACAAATGAGGCCGAGGGAGAGAGATCGAAGGAGGACATGAACGAATCTGGAGTGTAGCGCTGAAGTCAAGAATCGGTAGTAGTGTCGCGGAGGACGGACTGTGGGAACAGGAGTTGACATTGTCGTGATTTAGAGACTGGAGAGAGGACCGAGAGGGTAGAGAGGCATGTCCAAATAGCAGTCATCGACCAGCGCAAACTGCTAAGTAGACGGATGGGGATTGAAATGGCGATTCAATCCAGAGTCAATCTGTAAACAAAGACGCGGGCAACTTTTTTGCGATGGGCTCCGGTGGATGATTCATGGGTCATATGAAGTAGGGCGGGCCATTGATGGCAGACTCACGCCCTAGTCACGTGCCATCAGGTTGATTGAACACGGAGAACCGAGGGTCGTTGTCGCCATCCAAGTGCAGGCTTCCACCAATCTCAACGTCGAGCTCATTACCTTACCTCCAGCCCATCTTGAAACTTGTCGCTGCTGTCCATACAGTGCGTCTATCATTCCAGAAGCGCACAAACATGTCCTTCGACAGACTTTCCTCCTTAGAGTCACAACCCACCACAACCCGGCGGCAAGATGATCCCCAATACAGAGACGACCCCGAGTTCCAGAGATTCACAGAATCACTATCTACAAAGCTATTTGAATTAGTCTCGAATATCTCCAAGTTATCAAACGACATCGGTCGTCTTGGTACAAAGCGCGATACCCAAAGAGGAAGAGAGCGGGTTCATGATCTACTGGAAGAAACAAGAGATGGATTCAAAGAGGTTGGCGAAGGTATCAAGAGAGCTCAGACCTGGGACAATCTCAATGTAAGAGTTGTCATACCGATTTGCAATCAATTACTAAGTTTAAACAGCCTGCACAAAGATATACAAATCAAAAACTCTCCCGGGAATTCGCCTCCGCTCTGTCAGAATTCCAGGTTGTGCAGAGGCGAGCTGTGGAGAAGGAAAGAGCGTCCAAGGCTGCCCTAGAAGATGCATCCTCTGCTCAATCACCCACAGGAGAAGGGCAACAACAACTTCAATCTCTGGAGGAGCCAAGACTAGCCCAACAATCCGAGGTTGACTATCAGGAGAATCTGATCATTGAACGAGAAGGAGAGATCCGACAGATTGAGCAATCAGTGGGTGAGCTCAATGAGCTCTTCCGAGATGTTGCGCACATCGTTCGTGAGCAGGGCGATATGATAGATGCCATTGATGTGAATGTGGAAAACACTTTGACAGATACACGGGGAGCCGATATCGAGCTGAGGAGTGCAAGCCGATATCAGAAAGCTGCACGAAACAAGGCTTGCTGCCTATTGCTGATTCTTGCTATCGTCTTGTTGATTATCATTCTGGCAGTGGTGCTGGGGTGAGACGACGACAGACCCAGCAGCATTCCAGGGCGTTTTTGGACTATTGATTGTTTTGAGTTTGTACAGATTAGCGATGAATTGGTCAATAGATCAGATACACATATGTTCTAATACCAGATAGCACAGAAGTTTACCCGGGAATTCTTTGGTCGCCGTCTCTAATACCTAGGTAGATAGGTACCTACTGGATCAGTCCGGTCCCTACGTACTCAGCCTTGTGCCAAGGCCCAGCCTTGCCTCCAACGCGTGACGTCAATTTGCAGGACTCCTTCTGCGCGTCCACGTCTTGAAGACTTGAATAACTGACCATTATTTTGTGTATCACCACCAAAGTATTTGCCTCCTAGACATAATACTGTCTGGACATCCGTAATGGCAAGCTATGCAGTCAATATCCCCTTTGGACAGAGCACCACTTATGCCCACCAGCGGTAACAACATCTCTCCTCCAAATCTCGAAACTTCAATAAACGACAAGAAGAGAAAGTACGAGGATGTTGGGGACTACGCTGCCGATGTACTCCTACCAGACACATTCACTGCGTCTCTTCGGTCAAAATCACAAATCGTGACATTCACTCCTGTCACTTTAGTCGCAAGAGCCTGCCTTCCTCTAGCATGGCTTAATACATCTGCACCTCCCTCAGGATCATCACCATTCGTCTTTGAAGCGACAATTCAATCTGTGCAAGAATGGGAACAAAGAGTACTGTTAGCAAGATGCTTACCGTATGGCGGACTACATGCAATCGAAAGAGTCGGGAATGAAACTTTTGTCTCGTGTCCTTTGCACCATTGGGTGTCTGAGGAATGGTGCAAGAATGCTGCCATAGGCATTGTCCCTGATGTCGATCCCAATCTTCTGTCCAACCCGAGACCAGCATCTTCTCACGCAAGGACCTGGTCTGCTTCCAGTGTCAATGCATTACCTACACCAAAGAGTCCAAAGAGGCCCAAAAATAAACGTGGGGCTTTGGCTAGGAAATCTATTCTCATGCCAAAAGATCTAGTCAGCCATGATTTGACTTCTGAGATGTCAAGCTCCCCAAGTTTGCTCCCACAACAACTTCCGACCTCTGAGATTCCACTGCAATCCTTACCAATCACCCCTGTGCCACAGATCAAACCAGAGAACCCATTCGAAGCCGCTATACCACTGCAGATGGAGAATGTACCCCCAGTAACGATTGCAGAGGCACTGATTTCGACACCACTTGATGAAGAAATTTCCTACGAGCGACTCCGAAATCAATATTTGGACCATTTATATACTTCGAAGACCTCTCTCGCTTTCTACGTCAAAGGTCCTCTCAGCCGTGCTCGTGCCCATGTTCGTACAGCCAAAGACTCGGCTGCCTCTATTATCGAACTCACCAACCACTACAGAGAAAGCGTCTTGCCAACTACGAAGATCGATCTCAAATATAAGGAGTCCTTGTCCAAGGTGGTGAACGCCATCTCCACTGACGAGGGTAATGAAGAGCCTCAAAAGAAGAAGAGTGGCAAGAAACGAAGCAAGCTTGGTAAGGATTCGCTTTGGCCAGATGAGAAAGATTTTATCCGAAAGTGGTGGGGTGGCCGAGAAGTAAAAGCAGGACTACCTTCTGCGAGTGGTCATGAGGAAGAGCTGCGCAAGTGGACCGCCGAACTTCGCACACGCGAGACAAAGATGCAACTGTTGCTCATTCTGGAAGTTATGCTACTAGAAATGGCTTCTGCACGGCTGTCAGAGACACCAACTCCGCTGGATCCTGAGTTCAAACTTGAATCTGTTGAAGTCGACCCCAATTCCATCATCGCGAAGACACCGAGCAAAGCAACCAAAAAAAAACGAGATTTGCCCAGTGAGCTAGATACTATGGTAGATCGACTTTGCATCTGGCATACCCTCAGTTTTGAAGACTTTGCGGGCGACACCAAGAAAGAGGCCAGCTCAAAGGCTAAAACTAATGACACACTCCGAGATTTTTGCAAAGACGTGTTGGTCCCTTTCTATTCAGTCAAGTTGCCTGATCAAATCAAGTCACTCTCTCGGAAGCTTGGTGGTTCGGGAATTTCTCCCCAGAGACCCAAGCTTCATGCGCGATCATCACAACTTTCCCGCTCAAAATCAGTCTCTGGTTCCGCCACACGGGCTTTCCCGGGTAAGCCAGTTGCAAAACGTACACTTGAACGTGTTCTCAGTGAAGACCAAACCAATCGCCATGCCTCACCTCCGATACTTTCCCGTGCGTCGACTGGCCCGATGAAGCCTATCATCCCTTCCTTGAAGCGAGAGCGATCAGAGAGACCCGATTCGCGTAACGGTATGCTGTCCAGAGCAGTCAGCTTCAGCAATCGTGAGGTTGACTTGGTCGCGGACTCAAGGGCTCATGAGGTCAAGCGAAGGAAGCTGGACCGATTAGCAGAACAAAAACGAGAACTCGATGCTGCTATAGCAGCACTCAAGAAGCCAAATCGAGGTACCGTGGCTGGTGCGTTCATGGACGAGATTGAGCAACGTAAAGCTCAAGTAACCTCCCAATCAGTGCAGATCGCAGCAACACCTCGAACGCGAAGGATACGAGACCAAGAGCCATTTGAACCCGAACTACCCCTAATGCCCTCAACGATGACAGTTCGATCACAAGAGACAATGATTCCCTCCTCGTCAATTAAACCTCGCTTTGGTATTCCATCCTCAAGCCACATCCCTCGTTCATCAGCAATGAAGCGTGCAGTTCTAACAGCAATCCACGAGACGCCATCCCGAGGATTGGAAAGAAAAACATCCAATCCCCTGGCTTTGTGCCAACACCCCCAGTCCAGTGAGACTGGTGATCAGGTAGATGGTACCATGGGCATCATAGCAGCAACACCAGCCCAGTCTCGAATACAATCCAGGCCCGGGAGATTCGAACTTCTAAACAGCAGCAAAGACCGGCTGACACCCCACCCCTCATCCGACCTAAATCTTCCATCCTCACGTACACAGAGTCCGGGCCGCAGCGGGCCACACATGTCCCGCTCCCTACGACCAGTCCTGTTCACCCCGATCAGGCGCTCCGAGGTGCGTATCGAAGACGCATTTCGTGATGCACCGGAGATACCGGCACAAGCGGGCAAAATGATGGATCGTGTCATGGGTGGACGCGGAGTCGAGGCCGATCTCGGTCTCGATATTGATATGACTCTGGGACTAGACCGCAAGGCAGGCGCTAGGCTTTCTTCTTCATCACAGGATGATCAAAGTGAGAGCCCGCTCGTGGCGAGTAGAGTGGATGAACATGGTGGCGGCAGCGTACCTAAACCGAATCAGATCCCGATCCTTGATAGTGATGACATATATGCGCAGCTCGGATGGGACGATGATTTCGATATTTGATAGCGAAAAGAAATTGCCCGTGTTCCAGTTTGATGTCAACGCTTTGCCCGGCTTGACTGAGAGACTAGCTGTTTTGCAGATGGCACTACATATACATAGACAGACATGAGTGAACGAATACGAATAAATGAATGTTTCCACCGAGTGGGCAGCCAAAGTATAGATTTCAGTCGTAGGCGATGAAACCCAGGTATCCCGAACTTGCTGCGACCGGGCTTCTGCCCTTGCGGCTCAGGGCTACTAACCGGGTATTGCTATTCTGAGGTCTAGACACCTACCTAGTTAGGTACCCTCTGTCCAGTATTCGAAGGTAATTTTCGTCCTACCGGTTCAAAAAAAATTAGGTCCATAATTAACTGGGTAGGTGGGTTCTTACGGTAGATACCCCATCGCTGAGGCAGCACCAGGCCCAAAGGACCCGTTGCATATGGATCAGGGGTTGTAATGTTTGGAAGGTATTGCCGGGGTTGGGGAAATCCAAACATCGCCAATGCTAGAGAAACCTACAGGAATATCATCCACAAAACGGCGCATAAATGGCACTTATCACCATTCATGTCCCCATGGGAAGTTCTACATCTAACACGACACTAAGACGTGTAACCAACCCTAAAATGAACCAAACAGCCTAAGTGGACACAGAAAATAGGTAAGAAACTCGAAGGACAGCCCCATACGGAGTACAGTCCTCGAACACGTTGACAAGACCCTCTTTGGAAGCCTAAGTCAACCCCATTCCCTCGGTTTCATCCCAACCTTCGCCCAAGCGTCGAAACAGAACCACAAGCACAGATGCTGTCTGTTACATGCGCGACATCTTAGAACACAGCACTGCCTCTACGTTGTGTTTGGCCGCACATATCCACCACAGCTCTGTTTCAGTCGTACGACGGGCGCCATTAACTACTATGTCTTCGCTCAGCTCGTGGCTTTGCTTTCTAGCCTTTCAATCAAATTGTTGCATGACTGGTGCTGGTTATCATTCTTCAAATCATCCAATATTACTCCTGTTATAGTCTTTCGATTTCTCGCAGAGTTTTGTTTCGCGATGCATGTCTTTTCTTCGTCGCTTCTTCTTCTTCTAGGACTACTATTGCTGGTGAGCCCCTCCACTTCAGCTCCGCAACGTCTCAGAAGACCTGGTCGAACTGGTAATGGCAGTGGCAACGGAAATGGAAATGGCAATGGAAATCGGAATGGAAATGGCCAAACCGCGCAGACAGGACGTGGTGGCCGCGGTGCCATAAACGCGGCGAACCCTGGAGTCAACGCAGCCTTTGATGGTACTCCGGTAGGAACGGTAAAGACTGGGACAGCTACAGACGGATCAACCGTCCTGGACAAAACAGTCTTGCTGAAGTATGTCTTTTCTCCATCCACGGCTATCACAGCCTATTATGTCTGCAAACACGAAGAATTAACCTGTGATCAGTGGTCTTCCCATTCGATACAGAGTATCAGGTCCAGCATCCCAATTCAAAGCCGCCTCTGGGATACAAGTTGCAACAGCGGCTGCTAATCAGACTGGTACTATGGGGATAAACGTCCTTCTCCATGGAGACGGCGGACAATCATTCTTCGACTTCCCCAACCAAGCAGTGCAGCAGAACCTGATGGGCGTAGTCGCCCTAGCTCCTGATCCAAATCTATTCTGGGGTGGCGGCAGTGGTGCCAACCGGGTCGATGGTGTTGCACACTCGGCTGCCGTGAACGCTCTCATCACTCAGGTATGTCATGTCCAGCTCACAAAGCAAGAAAGAAAAAAAGAGAGAAATCATCAACTAATCAATCTGCCCGAAAAAAAAAGGAACTCCCCAAAGTCATCGCCTTCGACCAATCCCAGACCTTCTTCACCGGCGTCAGCGGCGGCGCTCTCCTGCTATCCGGCTTCTACGTCCCGGCGTTCATGTCACAGTTCAAGACCGGCGTGCTCCTCAACTGCGGTGCGCTGCCACCACAAGTACCGTTCAAGGACGCGGCCGCAACGCTCAGCGCGACGACGATCCATTACCAGAGCACACAGCAAGAACTCGCCCTGATTCAAGAGCAACTGCCCCTGACCATCACGGCCTACGAAGATTTGGCCGCCCAGGCTGGCTTGTCGACTGCCCAGATCAACGCGTTGCAGACGGTCAATAATTCTCCCAACGGCGGACACTGGTAAGCAGCGCGCGCGGTTTTGATGTTTCTTTTTTTTTGCAGCGGCGTGCATGAGCTAACCAGATTCCCGCATCTTTCCAGTGAATTTGACGAGCAGGGTTTCGTTTCCGGCATTCAGCTCATGGCTGATAACTATGCCAATGTCATCCAGGCCGGGGGTAATGGCCAGGTGACCGGGATCGGCAACGTTAAACAGGTAAGTGCGACCAATAGATGTTCTCCCTAATGCCCTCTCAAAAGAATCTCCTATCGCCATTCTCAAAAGCCTTGGTTCTGACCATACCCAGGGTGTCGTTGGCAATGAAAACCTCGCCTTCTCCGGCGCGACCTAATGGAGACTGTGCATAAAGTAGGATGTATACGTGCCACTGGCTTCGTCCTGGTAGATGCTGCAGGGACAGGAGTGAATAACGAAGATCAATGGTCTCAAGAACTTGACGAAATATACTGTACACGAAGAGAATGACGAAGAAAATGAACATTTGAGCGTCGAGTCCACATGAGAACATACCATTATAACGAGATAGGTATGGTGAATGTCATACATGTATGGTAATGACGTCCTCCCTTCGACGTATGCACGCACTGAACTGGGCTAAAGTAAGAATGGATGAATATCATTCCCGATGAAGTCAATCCATGCAGTCAAAGGATCAATTTTTCCGGGACATGTCCATGCCTCGCATTACATAGTATTGTATAGCGTGATAATTATAAAGCCTTCGTCTGAGTTAATTCAAGAGGTCGAATGAAACACCCAAATGTATTCCATAGCAGCCCAACGTGCATCCACAATCACATCGTCGGATCGACGTTCATCAGATCATCACTCATGATATGCAGCACCTGGGTAAATGTACGCAGCCTCCTGCCAGAAATGCCATCCATGAGGTTCGCGAAATCAAGCAGCACGCGCCTCGCAGACTCATAGCCGCCTTGGTGCGTCACACCATTCAGACTGAGTGTGCCTCCAAACTTGACGAACTGGTAGATGAGAGAAAACGAGTGTTCGTCCTCGCGGTTCGTCGTCAGCATCGTGGTGCTGCGGTCGGGGTGGTCGAGGAGAGATTGCGTCTGGGAGTGGGACTGCGAGTCGTCTTTGAAGCCGAGGTCGTGGAGTTCGGCCCAGTCGGGCTCGATCTCGACGATCTCGACGGGCGCTGTGCCCTGGCGTGAGGAGCCGCGACCGCCGGGCGCAACCATGAAGAGGTAGAGGCCGAGGATGAGTGCAGAGGAGAAGAGTGCCATGACGGAGTGATTGGTGACGTTATCCGAGACACGGCGCTCTGACATGAGTTTGAAGTTCTGCGCGGCGTGGACGCACGCTCGCCGGGCTGATTGCGTCTGTGCCCAATGGCTGATGTTCTCGAGAGCGTTGGTCGCGGGACCGGCCCCATGGCGGCCTGCCGCGAGTTCAAACATGCGGAAATCTGCTAGTAGCATGACACAGAGGCTGTGCCAGAGAACTGTGCAGTTTGTATCGTCGATTTTTGATAGCGGGCCTGCAGTTCGTGCTCCGGCGAGGAGGGCCGGTACAAGGGTGCGGGCACGAGCGTCGCTGGAGTATACGTGCCAGGGGATGAATGATCCTATGGTCAATGGGTCAGGTTCCATGAGGCGTTGATACGCTTCCAGAACTTGTATCTGGAGAAGTGCGAGGAGCGAAGAGGTGCCTAAATAGCCGAGTTTTGCGCTGGTTTCAAGCTCGGGTTTGTGCAGGTCGGTTATTCGAAACATGGGTGCATTTTGGCTCTTGCCACTGCGGAGAAGTGATTGCCATTGCGTTGCTGATCGGGCTTGGAAGAGTGATTCGTGGCAAGGGGCGATGACGCATACAGACTCAGACCTGATGATGGGGGCTTTCGACAACAGATGGGAATACCAGGAGTCGGCAAGTAGAAGACCTAATATGAGGCGCTTGGCCGACTCAATCCGACACCAAGCTTTCCAACGGTCATCTGACTCGGACATTTCGGAGAGTAGCAAGCCGAGAGACTGTCCATCGTTGGCGGCAAAGAGTCCATTCTGTTGAGCCATGGAAATCAGACTGGCATAGAGCATTTGACATTGGTGAAAGGTATCCTTCTCGCCGGTAATGACTGAGAGGTTGAGAGTGAGTAGTGCTGTACCAAAGACAACGAGTTGCTGTGATGTTGGAGTTGAGCCTCGCGTACATGCCGCTACGTCGCTGGAGACACGTTGAAGAAAACTGGGGAACATTTTACCGACAAACCTCGTCGCTCCAGTTGTTCCGAGTATGCTCAAGCCGATCAAACAGATGGCGAACAGCATAGGTGAAGGAGTGTTCCGCACTGAAAATGTGGCGACGTGAATAAATGGTACGGTCGGGTGGAAGCGACGGAAAAAGAGCCCGAGGGCGATATCAAGAATCTCAGCAGGTGGAAATTCGTCACTGGCGGTGGCGGCTTGTGCTGCTGACAATACTGGGTCAAGCATTGGCTGAATTCGAGGAGAATGAAATACTGAAGGAGCAGGAGTTCGAAACTGGTCTCTAAGACGAATCCTACATTCTGTGTCCAGGCCCCAGTTTGATGTCGTTCTAAAGTCATCGACGCCATTGGGTGACTCTGAAAACAAGTTGTCCATCGGCAAAGAAGCGACATCCTTCCATAAGACCGTCATTATTCGATAGACTCTCCCGGGTCGCGGATTCCAACATCGCTGTACTCTGGAAAATCGTTCTCGTGGGACTTTGGCGATATTCCTCGTCCTGTCGGCAGCCTCATTCGCACGACTGGAGTCTTTTGGGTCCTGAAACTGTGGCTGATGATCTTGAAGGCCATAAGCTTGTAAGAAATCAGGGGACTGGTCGAGATCACCTAGTGAAGGGAAGAGCCACATCTGAAATGGGTCATGAAAGTTGTTATGATCCGTGGCATCAGGCGCTTGAGGGAGCCAATCGATATTGGTATTGTCCATGAATTGGTTGGGTCCCATTTCGGATCTAGGGGTTTGGACAGGATTTCCGGGAGTAGTAACACTGTTATCGAAAGTAGATGCCTCACCCGATATTTGAGATGGAGATGGCTTTTGATGAGAAGGGCCCGAAGGTTTGTTGCTCATAGTATTGAGGGGAGAAGTCACATTCCACGTCGCATTTGAAAGCTGTAAGTTAAGGGCATGATGGGGTTGATTGGTGGCTCCATCTAGGAATGAATGACCCGTAACGTCAAGAGAGGAGGTCCTATTGGGTACATGGGCAGGATCATTTCCAGGAGGAGGCAGATAATTGCTTGGTGATAGGATCTGCATCAAGGGGATACCATTATGAGCACCATTGAAAAGCGCCGAAGGAGAATTGATGTCGGTCTCATTCTGTGGAGGTTGAGGAGCAACACCTTCGGAAATGGTATTTCTGCGAGTCGAGGGATTCGTTGGAGTATTTTTGTCGTTTCTCTGAGCATGGCATTTCATATGGCGGAACAATACATCGCTGGTTCAGTGTGAGAATTGATATAGATATAGACATGAAATGTGTACTATGATGATGCGCGACCTACCTTCGTGAAAAAGCCTTGTCACATATGGTACAAGGATATGGACGTTCGCGAGTATCTAATTAATTTGGTGAGCTAGGATAGACGGCGTGTGGCATTAGCCAGGAAGAGAATGGTTGGCTTACGCGAACGTTCATGACGTTTGAAGTGTTCGGTCTTAGTGAAACGGCGACCACAAACGGTACATTGCCTAAGGACCATGACTGATGCTTAGAGGGCAGTTGGTGGAGGTATAGAGACAGTAGATAGTGTCCCGCAAGGCGTTGTGGAAAAGGGAAATGTGGGAGGTGGAGGGAGGAAGTGGAAATAGAGCAGAAAAAGGATAACGGAGGTCGTGTAAGGATTGAATTCGGTTCGGAGCCACGATGCGTGCCAACCTAATACGGAAAGCAGCAAGCTTGCGTCGGACGCCACGAGGATAGGGGTCTTAGATCCTGTTGTGCCTCGTCAAATTGTAGAAAACGGATGCAAAGGGTCTATACATGGAATATGCAAGGACAGTGGCACGAAAACCGAAGTCGAAGCTTTAGCAGTCGAGGCTCGGAACTCAAGAATAGCCGCGGAGACGAAAAGTCTGGAGAATTGGGGATGGAAAGATACTAATCGCTAACTGACTAGTTAAACCCCCATGACCGCCCCCGGAATTTATGAACCAGCAGGGCAAAGCGCTAGAATAGGTGCTGGTCTGGGCCAAGAAGGATCCAACATGGAGCCTACGTAGTATTCCCTCACAGAAATGGACAGGTCAGACCAGAGATGGATTCGGAAGGCGATTTAGGCACCCCCAGGCCCTGGAGAGATGATAACTAAGTTAGTTACGCTGACTGCCACCCTTGTTCGTATTCGAGCTCAGAAGGCTCGTCCTCCTTGACATAATTTCAATTCATCGATTGTGTGTAGAGCAACAAAGACCTACTCTCCGTTTCTGTGCTTTGCTAGGTTTAAAGCACGTCCCTTTGGCCTCCAGCTCAAGTCCTGTATGCTCCTTTCCCATCACACCCATTCATAAAATACCCCTCAACAACTTACCTTGCTGAATGGTCAATCCTTTTCCTTCCTCCGCAAAAGTGGGGAAGGCTTCGGGCTCAGATCAATGTCCGCCATCAAAATCGTCGGTTGGAGATGGGGCAGCCTTCCCAGCCCCATGTTTGGAACCCTGGATTTCGGTTCAACAACATGGGGCTTTTCCATTTCTTTGAGTCATTCAAACCAGTGATTGAACGAAGCTGTCTCGAAGACTACGATGACGGCGATGTGTCTCGTGCATTTTAACAGCTTCCTAGTAGTTGGAGATAATGGTAGCATTTAACAGTGCCAATATGTATCCCTCGTGAGCATGTACATGCACCAATGTGTGACAAATACCGAGGTATCATGTCTCGCTCTCACAGTACTCAGTATCCGTGGCGGGTTAGTGACACGGATGCTTGCCTCACTCCTCGGCCATCACCTTCTGCACTGCAAGGTTCAATGAGACTCTCCCACAACCTGAGTTTTCCTATGCATACTCGCCAACCAAGTCTTGCTGGTCGCGATTCTGATTTTCTTCCCGTAGAACATGAACAGCAGGAGTGCCAGATCATTGGCGGCGAGAACCCCACAGAAGATACCTGCAATGGTCTTGACGTACCCGAGGGTCAGGACCCACTGAAGGAGATCCTCGCCCATACCAAATGAGATGGCCTGTTTTCCCAGATTCATTGCGATCAGCATCTCTGACAGATTCACCGTGTAACTGTCCACTGCGTAGGCCAGCGTGAAGGTGAAGAAGAAATATGCGCTGAAGTTACACATGGCCACCCCAGCGAAGTAGCCAATCCAATGCAAATTTCTTTCCGCAGTGTAGCCGTATACTATAAGTGATGCGGGCCCAATCAGCATAGCGGGCAGCAGAACACCCAGTCTCATCTCTGCCTCCCGAATGCCGTTATTCTTCTTGGTTAGATATGCTGCTAATCGATCAGACGACGTGGTGAATGGTACAGCCAACGCATATCCAATGATATTTCCAACTGCGATCAGACCCGAATTCGTCTAAACATAGGTTAGCACGACACCAGGTTCAGCCTATCACATATCAATAGCTTACCTGGCTCCAATTATAGGGCGGCGCAACAATCTTGATGGGAAACGTGAAGTTGAATGCTAAGGCTCCCAAGCCAATATAAATACCATAAGTGGCCACCACCCAAAAGACACTCGGGACGAGGAAATAGGAGAACGATCGTATGGCGGTCATGAAGAAGGGCGCTTCACGATCATAGACTCCCCAAGGTTTCAGGGTCGACACAAAGCTCTTCCGAGCGGGTGCGGTTGGCGAAATTTCCGCGGATTCGGTTTCGACGCCCTTTTCTGGCTCTGCATTTGCCGTCACTGCCGCTCCAAGTCTGGCCTTCATCAAGTCCCGCTTGTACCAGGTCTCCTCGACGAAGAGAAACGCAAGAATAAACAGCACGCAAGCAAATGCAAACTCGACGTAGAAGAATAGTCGCCACGAATTACCACCCGAGAGCATATAACCAGCGTATAGGGGCCCAGTGGCTCCAAGGCAGAGACACACGGTGTAGTAGCCGAGACGTTGACCACGTTCGTGAAGAAAGAAAATGTCGTTCACCAACTGGACAGGGAGAGCTTCACAGACTCCGGCGCCGAATTGTGCAATGACCCGGGTGGCCATCAAACTGGCGAATGTGTTGCACTGTGAAGACCCGATCAAGCCTGCCGCAAACTAAAAGAATGATCAGTAAATAACTCCGCAAATCAAACAGCTGCACTAACCAGGATGATTGATCCCAGCATCACCGGCCGCCTTCCAAACTTGAGATAGCATGGTACGAGGACCAAGGAACCTTTACACATTAGTATGAATTGCCCCATTCATTTAGCAGTGTCATCCCAACGTACCAAATCCATATGCTAGGTTAGGATAGCTGACTAGTCCCGATGCCTTTGCAGGCGTGATGCTGAATAGCTCGGAATAGATTCCAATATACACACTCGGCCCCAGGAGAGCAGAATTACCCAAGAACGAGTAAGCCGCACAGATGCAAAGGATCATGGTCTTCTTTTTATTTCCCCATTGAAGAGGATCGTTGGGGTCGTCTGCCGGCACAGGGAATAGTGCTTGTCCATAGCCGGTGTCGTCACCCTCTGAGAAGACAAGTCATCAACCAAAACGTGGAGAAAATTCGACGAGTGAACGCTCGGGCTTACCAAGTGCTTGGAGGTTGACAGTCCCAGGAATGTCTTCTTCATGGGCATGACTAATAGAGCATGTCAGTGACTCTGTTTTGACAAAAGCTGCATTCGGTACGTACCTGTGCTTCAAGTGTGGCGCATGGACGCCATGTTCACCATGGTCAACCATCTTGCGTGAAAGACTCTGTTCTGAAGCTATCTAGCAGTAACAGGCCGATTTCCTCAGTGAGGTCCCAGATGAAAATAACAGAGCAAGCTTGGTGGAAGAAGAAGAAGAAGAAGAAGAAGAAGTCGAAGGTCAATGACCATGTGGCAGGAAGTTCCGGTCGACTGAAAACCCTTATATGCGTGCCAATGAAGAAATGATTAACCACGAAGTACCTTGTACATTCTGCTCTCGATTAGCTATGTCGAGTTAGTCCACTGGTCAATCATTTCACCAGACATGATAGTGTAGTGGGGCGACGACTTCCTGCTGAACCGGGGCTCCAGGTCTTCTCACATGGGGCTCTTTGTGCGCTTCCTCAATGATCGATGGAAACGTGGCGCTAATTAACTACTGCTGTGCTAGCAACCAGTTCGTAAAAGCCACGAAACCCCCTGATCGAAGAGCCTGCATTATTGCTTTGCGTACCCATTGGTTTATCCTGGTAAGTACGAAGTAGGTGGGTTTAACCCGCAGAATCGGCCGGTTAGTGCGCGTAATATGGCTCCATTGCCGATGATCGACACTGGCCACACTGGCGACAATCGAAAGCTATGATTGCTGATCATTTCACTTTGAACGACGTTTGGTCCAACGTGGCATCTAGACAATGAGAACCGGAGACCTGCGCCGAACCAACCCTGCCTTGTCCCAACAAACAGGGCATTTCGAGGTAGATCTAATGACTGATTGGAAGCCATGATCAAGACGAGGTACGGAGCTCCAAAAATTTGAAAAGCAGGATACATTCTGTCCTCCGTACTTTTGAGGAGCTTCTGTACCTAAGTGAGTTAGGCTCCTTCTAGGAAGGCCCCGGATTGAGTTCCAAGCGGCTTAAGGCTCCAAAGCCAAGTCGAAAGGTTGTTGGTCCTCCAGATTTGCTTGATCCTGACTCCAACCAATTACTCAATCACATGTCTCCCTTACGCCCCCAAGCAAAAAAGTATATATGTACCTAGGCACATACCAACATCTAGCCTTCTCAACTATTTTAATCCAAATTGTGCAATCATTATTATATCTCCAGCAAATACCGAATCATCTCCACATCGGATCATATGTGTGACCTCGCAACTGCCGTATATCGGCTGATTTGTATTCCCACGTCCTCATGCACTGGATCCCAGAAGATGTGTTTCAGCTAGCTGGGGGTCATCAAGGCTTTCCGCAATTGACCTCAAAGGTGAATATCCATACGACTTAGATGAAACCTTTCACACGACTCTTTTAGACCAGGACATGAAAGGACTCCCATGAATGACATCTTAAGCATCCTGGAGGTTCTGCCCAGCGAACCACGAAAACAGCGTGTTGATAATACTGATCTTGGAAGAATTCATGTGCTATTCAGGGAATTAAGCTCGTTAGAGCGCGTGGCCAATTTGGCTCCATCTCGCCTATCCATAATTTGGGACAATAATCATGCTGCTCCAGAGCTGAGAGATGTTAGGATCAAAGTCAGGCACCCTATGGAATTCTATATTAAGGTAAAGTGGCGACCGTAATGCCACTGTACCTCGTTCTACTGATTCTCCCTCCCATTTTCATGGTGAATTGCCGGCTTTCACATCCTTCAGAGATACTTGCCAGACCTGCTAGGCATCTCATCATGATTCGTGCCAGAACCTAGGTACCTAGGGAAACGGGAGTACTACCCAGCTTCAAAGTCGACTCACCAAAACAGTTGAATCACGATTGAATTCTGGACGTGTTGTGTCAGTCATTCTCCCATAGCTTCTGGTCATGATCTATCTTCGTGGGGAACTTGTCTCACCTTTCCACGCCTCCTCCGCTTTAGCCTCAGCATCCCAACCCCAGATGAACTGCTGAACCGTGGGATCCCCCCATTTATCATCGTTATCACCACCCTCAGAAAGCAGTCGAAACTTCTGATCTCGAGCCTCCTGTTCAGCTCCGTCGGGCAAATGTAGTGCGGTTCTCGTGGTCAAGCACGACTGTTGGATATATTCAGCACGAGCTTTTTGTGCCTTCTCGTAGGCTTGCAAAGCTAATGGCACTTCTTCCCTTGAGGAAAGTGATGACAGGAGCGTCCCGAGAGAAGCTGCGTCTTCGACTGCTTGTGCGGCGCCTTGTGCTACGTACGGTCTGCTAACAGTGAGTCTTTCGCTCTACAGCTCAACCACATCAAGGGAAGAACTTACAGCATGGGATGGCATGCATCTCCCAGTAATGCACAGCTGCCCTGTACCCATCGTGCCAGTGGGGCATGCATACACAATTTCCACTCCAGGACTTCTCCCTCAGGGACGAGGTCCAGGAGTTTGATCAGATTCGGATCCCACCCTTCATACTCAGCCAGAAGGTTCTTCTTCGACGAGATCGACGTCCAGCTCTCATCAACCCTACCGCGATCCGGGTGTGACAGCGCCATGTTATATATCTCGTGGTTACGAACAGGGTAAGCGATTAGATGCCGACCGGGACCGACCCACCGTATTGCTTTCTTCTCCTCGATGAAAGGCAAAAGATCGGGGAAATTGCTGAGAATCTCCTTGGTGAGCACCACTCGAAACACCGCGTCTCCAGTTGGAACAGCGACGTCCTTTTCGTCACCCAGCACTTTAGCACGGATCATGGATTTGATGCCATCGGCTCCCAGCACCACATCGCCGTACACCGTGGTTCCATCGTTCAACAAAACCGCCGCAGGACTGAATTGCACATTATCCACCCTTGTGTTAACCTGTAGCTTGACATTGGGCAGTGACAGGGCCTTCTCCAGCAGGGCCATCTGCAGATCCGCACGGTGCACGACAAATTGCTCGCCGTGTTCCTGGTTGATGGGTACACTTCCCAGCAAGCCTCCTGACTGCCAGCGCAGGATATGGATCGCCTTCAACTGCACGCCACTCTGTCGTACCTTACTGCCGACTCCCCAGCGGTCTAGGAGTCGGCACATGTTCGGTGCCACTTGGATACCGGCACCTACTTCGGCGATCTCGGGCGCAAACTCAATGATGTGTACATCGTGACCTCTTTTGCCTAGTGCGAGTGCTGCCGCGAGCCCTCCGATGCCAGCGCTGTGAAGGAGCAGTTAGTATTTGCCCTTCACATCAGCAAGCCCACCGAAGGTCACTCACCCAACTATAATTACTTTCAAAGGGACCTTGGCTCGAGCATATTGCCTCTCTCTATCAGCCTGTGAGGGGTTGGTCATGGCGAAGGAGTGGAGATGCAAGAAAGAGCCTTCTTCAATCGTCAACGCTTAAAACTCCTTTGCGCTTCCAGCCTCGTGGTTCTTGAATTGATATTCGGAAGTTATTGGAATCGACCTCACCGTGAAACCAAAGTGGCTTTTCAAGCCCGAATGCAATAAAAAAAATTTCCTATATATACCACTGAGTCAGATATCGAAGATACCAGAAATCAAGACAGGCCAATATTTACTTCTTAGCCCAGCCAAATACAGATGCAGCTCTCGAAATATAGTCCGATATATCAAAGGGGGGAAACCCCTTCAACACCACATAACCACGACATGGCTTTGTACATACCTCCCATCCACCCAGGGAAAAAGAGCAGTGCCACCACTCCCGCTCTCAGTAGTACAATACGCCGGACAAGACACTCCAAGAGGCTATCCAAAGCCTAGCAACGGCAAGGCTCCAAGGGCGAAGGGGGTGGGTTTCCGAGGCTCGTCCAATAATAATCGAATCACAATTCCCCGGGATATGAGGCGGCGTGGGGCTCGCTTCGCCCGTTGGGTTATTCTGAGGAGATGCTGGGGCCGGCAGATGGAAAAATCCCCATGGCAGGCAGGTGGTTTGTTTGACCCCACGATGTATGTGATCTCGTCCTACTCAGCTCAGGTTATTGGCTCGGAGTAGTCGAGTCGGTAGACAGTAGTGTGTCGTACACAGACATGTGATCTCGATCATTCGAAAGGACCGAGAACGTCCGAAGGCATGGGCGTGCTTGGTCTCGCATGTGGTGGACCGTGGTGCTGATCTCCTGGATCTTGTGCTGTGAAATAAATACCTATGTAACAGAGACTCCGCGTGTGAGACTAAGCAAGGTACTGGCCCTCGTTGCCTAGTCAGTATGTAAATTGGATTCTGCCACATAGTCGTGAGGTCGACTAAGGTACGCAGGAGTATCAAGCGTGACTTTGAATCTGTACCTAACCTAAATCAAGTATCAAAGTTGAGTACGTAGTCGGGAACCATTGGACGAGAGAAAGACAGCACGAGTGATTCTCGGATAAGAAGAGCTGGAACTGCTCTTTGTTTGAAGCGTTAGGAGTCAGGCACAGACTTGATTAGGCACGCGCATTATGCACTGTATTCCACAACACTCAGGGTCAGAAGCAGAGCGTTGGTATGTAGTTGGGAGCGGGAACCATTACAAATGTGGCTATGCGAGAAGAACAAGAGTATTATACAACTGTGCAAAAACGGTATACTTAGAATAAAAGTCGATAAAAATGTAAGGTATTCCTCAGCACAATAAAGGAGACTCTGGAGCGAAAGCCATATCGTCGTCGATCTCTTTTTCGGTCTCCTTCCTCCTGCCTCCGAAAAAGTAGAAGAGAAGAAAGGGAAAGGCGGCGAGTCCAGATGCCGAGTGAAGGATGAATGTCTAGCAATGTGTCCAACGCTATTGCAGACCCGGTCGTTGTGACATTCCATCCAGTCAACCAACTCTGCTCCACAATTCCTCGTGCTGAATGTCCATCGCTACCAGATAGACCATCAAAACGGACCATCATCCGAGTGGTCCTTCCATGATCACTCGGAGAACGGGCTGAATACAGACCGCAATCTGAAGGGCGATAATTAGGGTAATAAGAAGAAAAATGAACAATAAGGAGAGCAAGCCCTGAGAAAACCCATATCAAACCCCGCTGGATCCCATATTTCCAAATGCCACCTGGTACGATCGATTGCTTCTCACTGTGAACCCTCTCTTGAAGAAAGTCGCTAATCTTCTGTTCTCATGTCGTGATATCTTCCCGCTATGCAAACATTCGCCAGGTCCATTTCCCAGATGCAAAGCAATAAAAAAAGACGAGTGACCCAAAACATTGACTGTATATGCCTTTGCCTTGTATCTGTTCTGTTATCCAGAGGCGTGGGAAGAACGTTGAAAGAATTCCACAGGTTGACCAACTTCAGTCAACAGTAATATCTCCACGATGATTAATTATCCGGCTTTCTCTCTCTCTCACCAAAACAATTTCACTGAAACTGCTGGTTCCACTGTGCAGCACCCTGATTAGGGTTTTGAGGACCGGGCCAGCCTTGTCCATGTTGTTGAGGGTTGGGTTGCATGAATTGGTTTTGGGCACCCATTGCATAAAGATTGTGTTGTCCCATTGCCATATTTCCATACGCAGCAGCATTCATGGCTTGTAAGCCTGCTCCAGGTCCGTACAGTTGTTGACCACCCATACTGCCAGAGCTTCCTTGATGGTGAAGCATAGGCATCTGTGGCGGTTGCATCTGTTGTGGATGAGGTGAGGGACTTGCATGAGAACCGCCAGGGATAGGAGACGGAATCTGACCATGTGCCAAATTAGGCGAGAATTGAGGTGTACTCATGCGATGAAGAGCAGGCGATTGATGCGGTTGTGGTGGTGGAGCACCCCAACTTTGCTGTTGAGTTTGCTGCTGTGGATTCATAGCATGTGGGGAGTAACTACCACCCGCAGCTCCATAAGGAAGTTGTGGCTGTTGGGTGGCAGACTGTGATATTGAGAGGTTTGAAGATGACCTCTGGAATTGGGCGTGTTGTGGTGTGAACTGCGAGTGCTCGCGCGAGAAGGTTTGTGGCAAGCTGGGTTGACGTACAGGTGATTGGATTGGGGGTTGCTGATGGGGAAATGATGGTGGATTCATCGCTGATTGAGATGGTTGTGCTTGTTGTGAAACGACAGTTCCCTGAGCGCCTTGCAAATCGGCGGTGTTGAAACGTGGTGATGAAAAAGCATGGCTTGTAGTAGCAACTTCGGCCTCGATTTGTGGAGGGGTTGAAATCGGCTGTTCGTGTGGCCTACGCCAATATTCCTCGACCAGAGACCGTCGATATCGATTCTGTTGATTAATGCTTCTGCTGAACTCGGCGGCATGGCCGGCCTGGCTTGCCAATTCAGCATCAGTACTTGAACGTGTCAGGTCTTGGTATGGTGGACCAGTTATGTCCTGTCTTGGTCGAACTATGTCCTTATACCTCGAGTCGTAGGCCGGATCGAACGGAGTCAGCTGAGCCATCGTCGAGGCAATGCCAGATTGCAAAGCTGGTGGTTGTACTGCTCCATATCCAGGGCCATTGGAGTAGACGATATCGCCATATGCCGCAGCCGCCGTCGCTCTAGAACTCAACTGGTCCTGCGCTGCCGCTTCCCTAGCTCGTGCAGCTCCCGGTCGCTTCTCACCAGCGGCATCTTGTTCTGTGAAGCCTTGCTTGATGGCCTTTGCTTCCCAGTAGTCGTCACGAACACGACGGCCGTCCTTGATAACTCGACTACCAAATTGACGAAACATCGATCGAGCGGTGACAACTGCTATTTGTCGCGATCGATATGAATAAGGCAGAATTTCATGGGCGACCAATTCTTCCTTCTCCTTGACACTTGCAATGATCTTGAAGAGAGATCGATTCTTGTTGAATAACAGGTAGGAATCGCGATACTGGAGTTGACGCGCACATTCTGTGGCTAACATGAACAGTTTCTCACCTCTTCCTGGAAGGGTAAATGTTCGGATCTTGTACTCTCGGCCACCTTGGAGATATCCGAGTTGATCGACCTTTTTCTCGCCCGCGTCGTCGTATTCGCGCGCGACATATTCGTCTCCTTCAGCTCCTAGTGTGTCGCTCGTATGGTCGCGGACCGTAGGAAGCGCTTTTATGGTAGATTTGGGAATGGTTCTGGGCGGAGAACTCTGCACGGGAGTTACTGCGGGTTGTTGAAGGCCGGTTTGGGTTTTGGGAGTTTGTGTAAGCCCTGGTGAGGTTTGGCTTGATGGTGTTGGCAAAGAGTCGACATTGGAGGTAAAATCCGCAGAGGTCCGCGGGGTTTTGGAAGGTCTTCCACGTTTGCGTGGACCTGTTGATCATAATCAGCAAAGAGCAAACTTTGAGACAATACAAGATCTAGAGCGCCTTACCATCTTCATCGACTTGTTGGTAGTCACCATACTGTTCAGGAGATCGGCTGCGCTTGAGACCTCGAGGCCCGCTCTCACTTGATGGTTGTCTTACACCTCCTACCGCACACACTTTGTCAGCATCAGAACGCGACGAGAAGTCGAGTGAGGAGAGGATGATGATACAAGGCAATGCGCTCCAGAGCGGAGAGAAACAAATCAGGTTGAAGCAATGGACAGGACCGGTCGGACGACCAGGCTTGCGATCCAATGGAGAGAGAGCGTACCACTAGCGTTCAAAGCTGCAGGATTAATGGTACCTGAACCATCATTCATATTGCCAACACCATTCAAAGCATTTGTCGGCTGGCGCGAGGGGGGGTATATGGACATCTCAAGACGTCAAGACTGATGGAAACAAGTCTGATGGTGGTGGTGCGGGTAGTAGTGGTGATGGTGGAGGTATTGATGCGCAGGCGTTCGCATCAGTAAGCCCGGCCGCCGCGAGCTGCCGGGATCTAGGCAGCACAAAAGGTCGTTGGGTAACCCAACGATCGGGGAGGGTGCCTGCGTCTGATGGTATCTTCGCGGTCTACGAGGTGAAACGAAGGATATTGAGGTACGACGACGACGACAACGACAACGACGACGACGATGGGAGAGGCGTGGAGCACAGCAAGCGTGTAGGCATGCAGCAGTAGCGAGGATGACGCTGGAGGTGATGGACCAGTGGTGGTGGCGGACGGGAAGGTTGGTGGAGGAGACAGGCTGAAAAGAAAGCTGCTGGGGTGGGTAAGGAAGCCGTCGGTTGGTATTGCTGGTGCAGCGGAAGCAGGAAATAATGGATGATGAATGGGTGATGGGTTTTGCTTGATGGATGAGAGGGGAGTGCGTGGAGGGCTGGGTTGGGTTTAGGCGTGAGGTGAGGTGAGGTGCAGTGCGCAAGGTAGGTAGAGTGCGCAGTGTGTATTCGTAGAGGCAAAAAGGTGAGTGGTGTCGACTGCAGCTGGAGCTTTGAACGGGGAGCTGACCCTGGAAAATCGCTGGGAGCTGGCCAGTGACCACGGGAGAAAGGACCCAAGGGAGCAGGGCAGGACCCAGGTATCCGTAGTGGGAGTCTCTTCCCTAGGTAACTTAGGGTGCAGGCGGGGGTTGGGGGGCGGCGGCGGACAATAATAATAATAACAATAATGCGCGCACTGAGCTGCAGGCTCCGTACGAATCCGCGGTGCGGTATTATTATGGTCGCGTACGGGGTATCAGTCAGACACAGGGCCAGTGACAGCCGGAGGCCAAACCAATTTAACAATAACCAAACAGAAAAGAAAGCGGGACATGAAAAATAGCAGTGGTTGCTGTCTCAGTCGTCTTGGTCTCTTTTCTGCAAAATCCGAGTCGAAGTTCAAGTTGCAGTCCAATTCGAGGAAAGGCTTTGTCTCGTTTTACGTGGGTTGCAGGCTGCAGCAGGATACGCCGTCGAAAAAAAAGATGGATTTTGTGGCTTTTGGTGGGTTCGCAGACAAAGGTAAAATGACGAGTTTGCCGAGGAGAGCTTGCGGGCGTCGCGGCAGCCGATGCGACTAAGGCCAAATCAAAGTATTTTAGTTGGTGGTGGCGATTCTGCCTCTACTGGGGTCCAGGTGTTGCTTTGGGACTCAAATGCAAGCTGCTGGACGGTCCGAGTAGTACAGTGTGTGGAAAGGGAGTTTTGGACGGGGATTGACAATCGGAATTCCAGGCAGTAATTTGGAAAGTCGAATGTTGATGAACACCTATACCGAAATATTGGAATGATGGGCGTGGGTGGTGACGATTCGACCAGAGTGGGTGATATGGGGGAAGATGACCAGATCGAGTCGAGTCTCGGTGGCAGTGGTCCTCGATTAGCCTGCCAAATGCCAGTGCCAGTCTCCAGTCTCCAGTATGCTTTTAGGCTTGACTGTTTTGGTCGCGGGTGCCCGTTCAGCACAATAATCAATCACCAAGTGAAGAGATATTCGGGGTGTTCTTTGTAAAAGTCTGGAGTACGAATAGGTGCAGATGCAGGGGCTTAGGCATCGAAGTAGAGCTTATCGGCTCCTTCCGGGACAAGACGATCCAGGTGCTTGGGAGCTCGAGGCCTGGGAGAAATAGGTACAGTAGTAGTAGCCTCGCAGAAGGTTGACGCGTTCCGAGTCGTTCGAGCACTCACAGAGCCTGAGGTCGACATCAATTCATTCTGTTTCTATTTGCGTGGAACGGGGCAACAGCGTCTCATCGATTGATAATGCTCGTGGGCGTGGGCATGGGCATGGGCATGGGCAAGGGCGTGGACCTCGCGATCCCTTCTCTGTCGAATCGGTCAACTCGGGAGCCAGTGGACTCTGAACAGGCTTGATATGCCAGTCAGGCCGAGACTAGTGCCGTATCTTGCAGCAAGATACGGTTTGCGGCACATGAGCAGCTGCATCAGAGAGACATGACCAACTGGCAGGGGTCAGGGTGCTTGAGTCAAGTGGAAACTCAGGCCTCTCGGCCACTCCATGCTAAGATGACCTTGTCCTACGCCTACGGATATTTGTGGAGAAATGCTACTTTGAAGGCCTCGGAGGGAGAAGCAGGTTGAGAAAGGTGAGATGTGAGGTGAACTTGATTACCAGGGAAGGGATGTTAACATCATCAACGGTTGCCAAACACATCAGGGAACCTCTTCACCAAGGCGAGGCGGCGCATAAGCAGGGACAGACTTAATCCGGGCGGTAGCCGGACTTTGTAGGGTCAGGAGTTAGGGCCTAATAGGAACACTGATAGCTGCCTTCAGGCTTCGGCTTGGACCTGCTCGTAACCTGGGAGGTTCAGCTACAATATTGTAACGTAATATGGAATATCTTTGGTCCGATGCGGAAAAGTATTTCACACCAAAGCCATCAACCCGAATTTGACGCCCAGCAGCCTCACGAAGCACTTGAATCGTTTTCATCCTCTCCCAAAAGTGGATGTTGCTCCTGCCGTCATGATTCAACAACTTCGCCCGTAGGCCGTATCGCAGTGTATACCTACCTAGGTCGTTCAAGCTCGCAAGGGCGAATACTCCCAAGGAGTCCAGGACTAGTTCATTGGCACGCCACACGACAGAGAAAGAACACCCCACTGGCAACAAATCAGCATCATGGATTCCCTTCATTGCCCATCTTCAAACGCGCCTTGTTCGCCGTCCGTCATGAACCCACCGACGCGACGAACACTGTATCCGCAAACTATCTTTGAATTTCAAACCTGAATGTGCTGAAAACCGATCGTCCACTCAGCTCGCATGCCTCTTCCATTCCAGAGGTCATCTGCTCGTCCACCACTAGCAGCTGTCCTGGGGTACGCCACCAGAATCTTCCTGTTTCTTAGCGGAAATGGGTATCCATGGTTTATCCGCTTTTGTCATCTGCAACAAACGTCTTCGTACTAAACTCGTTGGACCTTTGGAGCACAGCACAAAGAACCCCCCCAGTCATCAAGGTTCCAAAGCATGCAAGGATTGGTTGCCTAACCGAATCTGTCGCTACCTTCTTCAAATAGTATCGACCCCTCAGTCCGAATACTCGTACTGTCATTGCCCAAATCAATAGAGAGGCTCAGCCGACAAACCGAGAGACATTCATCATCAGAAAAGACGAGACCACTTTCGCTACACCCAGCCTGGCGCGTCAGTTGAACGAGAAAGCATCTGTCAGCTGATACAATTGGCCTCTGCCCTTCAGTCATCCACCCACACCTCCCATTCTATCCTCTACCCATTCAGGAATTGTCACCACTACCAGTCGCTGTTGACGTTGCTCACCCGTCACCCGCACTTTCTTGTTTCCCTATACCCTTCATTCTTGATTGTGACTGGTCTGTTCTTGATGCCTGTGTTCATCAATTGCGCCTCTCCTCCCGACCCTTCAACACATCGGGCTGCCCGGCGCAAGGCCTGCTCATGCCTTGCTCCAGATTCAACTCTGACACAAATCCTTGCACATGGTCCAAATGACTTTTCGCCCTAACAGATCTAGCCGAGGAGTTCGCCCGCTAAGAACGATTCTATCCACGAAATATCCTCGTTTGATGCGTCGAAAGATGCCGGCTGAGCCGTCCCTAGGTAACGAATCAAATCACCGGATGGTTTCCCTTGGAAGGCTGTAGACCCCGCGACTGTCAATAACGACAGAGCGAATTCACTTCAAGCCGAGCTGAAAGATGACAAAAAGACTTTTGTGCCTCTGGCTTGGCCCAAGCGTCTAGTCATGTTCGTGGAGATAGTGCTCACAAGTCTCAAGAATGGCAGGCCAGTGCGCGCTCAGCATTCGTATCCTTAGCTCGAATACCCAGTTCGTGGCTTGCCGCTTGACGCCCCGCTGGAGTCTTCAATCGTCACCTACGAAGACACATTCTGCTTTGAACTTTCCCAAAGCAACGCACTTAACATGCATTCGAGCTCTAGTACACTTTTCACAGTAAGTGGACCTAGGGAGATCGCCTTCCACGTTGTGCCATAGGCTGATTCATCACCAGGGATCACTTCCTTTGTCTAAAGAAACTTTCAACCAATAACTCGAAAAGTATGATTACGGTATATACGAGGTAATCGAGATCGACTTACTCCGTACCCTACGATAGAACTTGTCAAACTCTAGCCTAGGTTGTGACGGTGGCATGGGATATCGCCATGCAACAACCGGGATCACCCATCATCCATCAAGACGTCATGAGTCAACTCGCTGCAACTCTTGATTCCAAGGAGACAAAGAACAGTAGTATATGCCTGAAACTCCAGGAATCCATCAGGAATGTTTGCGCTCGAGTCTAGGCAGTGAGTCGGTGACTCGTGGATGCCGGTCGAACAATAGTCTCGCTTATTTCATGCACCAAAGAGGAATCGGGCAAACAAGCGCTCTTGGTCGATTGGTCCTCATGGTTTTAGTCCCGTGGATAGTCCCAAGTCATCAGAGTTCCATGACGAGAACCAGCAGGAATTCGTCTCCGATGCGACTTGGTCATGGCCACCTCGTCCTCCAAAAATGATCCCCGCCTTCGACTTGGAGAACATGTCTATCGGCGACCACTACCGAAATGCTCAAATTTCTCACTATTTGAGGTCTTCTGTGCCATGGCCAGGCCGGCTGGTCACAGGAGATCGCTCGATAAGAGGTATTATTGAGCTCAAGAGACCAAGACTCCGATCTTTATCCAGGACCGAGATTCGAAGGAAGCTGACCATCAGACTCCTTCAACTAAAGTAAATGCACAACCGAACGGAGCGTCTGCAGCGTGGAACACTGACCAATTGGTTAATCGCCAACACCAGTGTGCCCTCCATCAAGTAGCAGTTGGGACTTGGAATGCAGTATTTTCGGGCCGCTCCTGCCCTCACTCTCGGGTGTCTTTTGATGGTGGGCAGACTTGGTAATGGTGTGGTTGCGCCATAGAAGGAACTATTCCATGCTCCTGCTGATATTGGCATTGATTCCTTCACCCATTTGCAGATGGTTCAATCAAACGCCCTGCAATGAGCAGTCGGATTTAGGACGAAGTATTCTTCCGCTATTTTTCGAGAGTGTTGACAGGACCAGAAAGCCTGAGGATCTATGTAATCTGCGTGAACGAAGGTATGAGAGTTGTTCGATAAGACACCATTCAGGGCAAATCAACAGTAAAGGGATTGTCGGTTGATCGCCCCCAAGGCTGTCAGCAAATCCTCCAAGACAATCAACGCGGACCAAGCCAATAGCCAGCCAAATCCCTATGAAGAGCTGTGGATTAGGCATGGACGGACAGGTTCCAGGATCTGGGCTTCTATGGACACCCGGGGGGGACCCAATTTCCAACCTCTTAGCCTCGGCCCCAGGCACTTGCATGCCAGGCGTCTGGCATCTTTCGCTGTGCTACCTCGGGCGGACGATGCGAGCCGCGCTCGCAGCAACTTAGTTAAACCAACCTATCCGTGTGGGAGCACGGGGAAATCACACAAAAGAATGACATGCATTAAATTCGGACTGGGTTTAAACGGTCATGCAAGATCGTCGAAGTGGTGTGCGGTGTGCTGGCTGCCAGGTCACACCATTGCTCGATCAGTAGTCCGTGGTCAGTGGTCACTCTAACTCTACACACACTCCTCTGACAACTTACTCTCCTTGCTGTTTACTCTTTTTTTTTTCTTCCGGATTTGCTCGACGCTCGACAAACGCCTCGGGTGTACAAACTTGATCGATGCCATACCAGCCCCGGACTGTACCACCACTAACAGGCTTTCGTCGCCGTCGTTCTACCCCTGAATATAAAATTTCTGTTTCACGGCTTTTCTTTTTGTCCATCGACCATATCGGTCGATCAATCAATGGACGCTCCTGACTCCGTCTTTTGACGTTGATTTGCTCGTCTACACTGAACACCAACACTGGGTAAATTGCTATCCACTTTGTGTATGCATTTGTCTAAACCTAGACTTGATCTACTTGCCAGGTGCTCGGTCTGCAGGTTCATGCAAAGGCCCGCTTTCCCCAGGAAATGAGTATCACCCATCACACCGCTGGACATGACTGGTACCTAGATGCATGTACAAGACACGGACTCCCGTACGAATACCGGAGATATGGGTTCCAAGAAAACCCATGGAATTCCACATCCAGCGAAACGGCATCTCGCTTTTTCTCGCGGCTCACCACCTGTTGATCGATGGAAGTCTAAAGACCCCAAGTAAGTTAGACCAGGTACGGATGGGAGATGCACCACGCCGAAGCACATGGTACGACGCCGTTAGACCATGTTTCATGTTTTCCCAGCCCCTCATGGAGATCCCAGCTTCATGAAAAGCTGGCTGGCCAGAAATGCATGTACTCACTCAGCGCAGAACGACAATCATAAGTATGGGAGTCGGTGAGAGAGAAATCTGGAGAGCCAAAGCAAGATGCAAGGCAAATAAGGATGCTATGTGCCTACGGGTCGGCCCTCGACACTCAAAACGGCCGATCTCGTTCGTTAGACCCTCCAGGTAGGTATCGGCAGGTGAGCCGTGGGACTCCATACACATACATGCGCACTCCCTAGCCACATCGGCATGAAACACCTCGAGACCTGAAGATCTTGAATCCCAGGTCTAGTAGAAAAAACACAATGCCGCGTGATGAAGCTCTGGCAGATAGGCAGGCAGGCTATCATCACTACACATGTACTGAAGTCAGCAACACCTAGGTAAGTTCCAATGGAACTCGATCGCATACGATTCACGACTAGCAGTCATATATCCCATGTATGCACGCCTGCCTGTCAGCCTGTCAGCCAGCCTGTCGATATCTGCTTCAAGAAGAAACTCCTTCATGACATACATCCCTAGGGACCATGGACTCATACGTAGGCACTGTACGAGATGTTTTCGTAAGAATCGGTTCAATTCGAGTTCCCATAATATTAACTATCAAGGGGCTTTCAAGCTCTAATTAGTTCGACATCATGTCGCCCCCTCCCCATGTAGTTTCAAGCGCGCCGGTGGCTTCTTTTCGTCCAAGTCCGATGCCCATACCATGTCCATACCATAATAGCGCTGGCCATCAATCGCTGTCCCGGGGTATCTTCCGTTTCCTTTCATTAGTAGTAGTATTAGTAGTAGTAGTTGTAGAGATAGAGAGAGGAAGAGAGAGAGAGAGAAACGCCACAATGACAAGTCTTCAGATAGAGATTATCGTTCTGTCGTTTTCCTCTCCTTTTCTTTCCTATCCTTTCCCTTCCTTTGCTGGTGTTCTTTTTGTTTTTCATGGGAATCGTATCATGTCATCGTCGGTTGTCCTGTCGTTATGTACAACACTGGGGTTGTCCTTCCAAATTTGCCTTTCTCCGCTCGCGACTTGACAAATATTTCGCCTTCCATGCCGCGTTAGTCTTTTCTCTTTCCCTAAAGGAGTCACAGCAATCGGCCTCGTCTCTGAACAGCGTCTCTTCCCAAACATTGGGGTTTCGAGAACACGGCCACCCGTGAGATCATCGCTGGAACACCGGGACTCTCGTGGCATGTGAACAATATCGAGGGTGGTTGAGGTCTGAAGATCGCCAGCCCCTGATCATCGCTTTCCACACAGGCATGTTTCAAAATCTTCTCAAACCATCAAGAGGCGGGTCGTGAAGCTTCCGTCAAGAGACCGACAGTCGTTTGGGTCAAAGTGGGCAGATTCCTTTTGGATCAAAATCTCCTTGGTGAGACCGACCGCAGAGAGCCATTCTGCCAACGCGACATCATCAGTGTCACGATCCCGTCGAATGACAGTCCCCGTTTGAAGGTCAATGGCAATCTTGGGTTCGATCTGGCGGAGATCCAGTACCATGTGGACTGTGTTGGCCAGGTGTTGACCCTTTTCCACATAGGTGCGGGCGGGCAGATCAAGAGGCCAGCCCGGTTTCTTCGGTTCCTCGACTTCCCACGTCTGATACAACCAACACATGCGCTCTGCACAGTTGAGTAGGATGAAACCTGCCAGAAATGTTTCAAAGATGCTACTCTTGTGCCTGGAGAGCATTCGTTGTTCGAAGTGATGCATGGCTGCTCTGCAGACAAGACCGGCTCGTTTCTCCACAGCAGCTCGAAGTTGGCACTCGATCAGATGGTATGAGGTATCGTCTTGCTGAATGGGGCTGCGTTCCGAGGTGATGTCAGTGGTTTGGAACAAGTTCCATTTGAGCTTGTCATCCGACAGGATGACTGTTGCCGTCCACAATTCGATCATGTCAGACAGAAGGTTGTCTGGCTTATCATGGGTAGATTGATTGTGTGCGCTTGTTTTGATAGACATAGCTTGAGTAAGACTACCTCTCATGATTTGACATGGCTCTTGCTGAATGACCCATGCGCTCACCGATTGTAAGTATTGCTCTATCTTGGGTAGTACGTTATCGGTCTCAAGGTCAATAGTGACAGCGGTTTGTGAAGAACTCAGATCTGGTGTTCCATCAATAAGGAGGCCAGGTGACGTGTATTGTATAACTTTGAAAACAATTGGTTGCTGGTTGAGATGAGCAGCTTCGATTTGGCCTTCAAGCATTTCGACGTTTGAGCGTGACTTCAGGTCATTGATTTGATGGAACGCAATGGCCCCGTGAAGACCAATGAAATAGAGTGTGAATATCTCCACCAATTTGGCGCGAACACAAGTATTTCTCCACAGACGGGGAGACTCGACAGCCGCACAAGTTTGACAAGGAGTCTCTTGTGAACAGACTTTCTTGAGCATACGACAGCGCATACAAGCACCGACCTTACGCAGCTCACGAACTTCCTTACGTCGATCTGGTGCGAATCGTCCTCGAACCTTGTGCTTCTGCACTTTGTTGGGACTCCCAGATTCGGAAACAAAATTGGTTGGTTTGCTGAGTGGATTCATGGCAATCGGCCGCAGAACTTGTACTGAGCGTTCTTCTGTATTGTGAACAGGTTCAGGATGAGGCTGTGGGGGTAGCTCGTTCTGATTAATGAGGATTGGAGCAGGTGCATTTGTCCAATTGAATGGAGTTCGGTCATTTACGAAAGCATGGTCATGGAGGCCATCCAGAATGGCAGAAGAGACATCGTCGTGAGAAACATCAAGATCATGGTCCATGACACCATTAGCAAGTGTCTCGTTGGCCGATGCAGCAATTGTGCTAAGATCTGAGGGGATGGTGGAGACTAGTGGGAGGCCAAGTTCCTCTTGAGTCACTGGTGGACCATTCGTCATGAAGGAGAAGAGTGGTGGGAGGCTGGTTCCAGTAGTTGCAGGAAATCCTGTTAACGTATTAGAAACAAGAAGTGCGACTCAAAATCATGCACCACGATGAGAGGAATAGAATATGGGGGTGCATATATTGGAGGGTTTCCGTAGGATAAAATTATATGGTGAAAGAATATAGCTTACCATTGATTCTTCCATTGATACCGTCATCTGTTGATTCCAACAATTGCTGTGCAAAGGAGTCGATCTCGAGCTGAGGGTCAAGTGGAAGATTGTGTGTCTGTTCGTGATGATGGATCTGTTCTGCAGCCGTGTAGCCAGATGCGGCAGGGCCATCACCACCAACACGACGCGAAGCTTCTGCAAGAACATTGAGAGCATTGAAGTTTTGTTGTTTGGTGGGAGAAAATGGTAGGCTCAGGGTATTTCCTCCTTCCACCTGATTTCCATCTTTTGAACCATTGATTGTTTCCGGAGGAGCAGTGGGATCAGCAAGATCGTGAAGGCGAAGTACAATCTTGGTCCTATCGGCCATAGACAATGCAGTGCATTTCTTGGTCAGATGCGCAGTAAGGCTGTCGATTCGACCTTTGGGGAAAAGTTCACCACATAATTTGCAGGTGTGTTCGTAGCGGTTGGACGCATCGCCGATCTTTGCACCGCGCTGAAAGTACTCCACAATCAGAGGATTGGGTTTCCTGCCCATCGCGACGACCTGTCATAGTCAGTATTTTGGGTGTATTTTGATAGTCCGGTCAGTCTCGACTCACCGTATTGAAGTTGGGTTTTGTCTGGTCGTAAAAGCAACAAACACGGCGCGACGGCGGGGTACGAAAGAACGCGACAATAAGCAGGTCGCGGGACCAGCCCACAGCGCCTGTTTCGTCTATCGCAAATCCAGCAACGAGGGGAGAGAGACAAAAGGGTTTTGCTTAGAGTGAGAGATGTGGTATCCACGATGCTTGGAATTGCCCTGCAGTATTTTGTGAGGACTCGAGAGAAAACAGATCGGTTGGCCAGTGGCTTCAGGTTAAGTTTTGAAATTCGACCTGTCTGTCGTGCTAAGACTAGTGAAATACAGTGTACCCCCAGACGGAATTCTGGTGGGCACGTCGCTAGCGGCAGCAAATAAAAGATGTAGTTACAAACAAGGCCGGTAATTTCGAGGGTAATTCTGCTCCGTCATTCTAACAATTATGTCTATTTCAAGGCGGGGGATCTTAAGGCGGTGAGGGTAGTCAGACAGTGGAGACGCAGTTGACGTTCCTATCCAACCTCCACATTTATCTCCTCAGCCTGAGCATCTATTGCCTACATCCCTTCAAGAGACCTGTGCGCTAACATTGGTCGATTAATGGATGATGTAGCCATGGTTTCCAGACGGGTCTCATCATTCATAAGTCATAACTCCCAGCGAGAGATCTTCTAGGCTGCACCATCACTACCCAACTGATCCATCCCGCCCCAACAGCTAGCATTTCCGGTGCTCAGGTGGCTGGTATGGGACACCGAGAATCTCAAAAATCCGCTTCTCGTCTTGTCCTTCCAGCAGCTTGCCATCTGTGATCCGCTCTCGACCACGCCCGCGCATCACGTCTGCATAAAGTCCATGTTGGTTCAGCCGCATCTCTTTCCGGCTTGCAAGCAGTCTCAAGCTGCGGTTGAAGATGTCATTGCCCGTGAAGTAGATCAACGCTGCACCCAGTTCCGCCCATGGGACGAACAACAGATCAATACGTCGCCACGTCTTGGCTCCAGGTAAAGCACTTGCTCCGTGCCACTTCGATGCTTGTTCATGAGCCTCACCACCAGCAAGCTTGACCTTGAGGAAATCTTGATCCGTCAGGGCGGGAATCACCAACTCCATCATCAATGTTCTGACGAGCTCCAAGCTGGCACCTTCCTTGGTGATGATAAGGTCGATATCACCCGAGTCTTTGTTGCCTCGTCTATATGAACCGCCAACTATCATTTGAAGCCCGTCATCGGCCGCCTTCAAAGCCTTCTCCACAATTGCCGCATGTTCGGTGACTTCGGCTCGAGGAATGCGCTGTTGGAAGTCGACATAGTGTTCCAGACCAATGCGTTGATTTGTGTTTAGGTCAACGTTCTGGCGGAGATCATCCAATGTACGATGTCCTTGCGCAATCCATTTTGAAGCGGTGGGATAACCGACTTGGTAGATTCCCATAAACAACTGAAGGACTTGGTCATTCGAGTCTAGTTTGGTATACTCAAGCTTTCGCAGGCGATTCGTTGTCACAATCTCTTCAATCTTCTCGGCGAGGCTGTCGCCAATTTGAGGAATTGCCCGAGCCTCTTCTTTAGTTCGGACCAATTGGCTTTGCTTCCGCAGAGCACCGATTGCCTTGCGATATGCCATTGTACGCCAGCGGTCTCCGATTCTGTCGTAGTAAGTGGCCATTTGCTGGAGGACCTCTATGGTTTTGGCATTCGGGTTGTCCTCGTTCCCGTCATGCTTCTCCATGCACAAAAAGCCGGAATTCTTCTTCTTAGCTTTATCGCTTTCCTTGAGGTAGCTAAGCTCAAAGTCGTCATCGACATCAATCGCAGATGTTTGGCCACCATCAAAACTTGGATGTAAAGGGATGGCCCCAAGCTTTTGTACATCCTCGATCGCTTTCTGAAGATCGTCTGTTGTAAGTCCCGCGTTGGCCTCGGGAGTTTCATTGGTTGACCCCGGAATTTTTGTTGATATATACTGAGTGTTTGAAGAAGATCGCTCAGGTGCACCACCGACGTCGGTTTTCATGCCAGAATCAAACATTCCGCGGTCTCGAACCATTTCCTCCTCCCAAGGCGTCAATATCTCACAGTCTGAGTCTTCGTCGTCTTCGTCGTCATCCTTACCATGATTGCCGGAGCCTTCGACTTGGAAACGGGTAGAGTTGATATCAGGTGGATATTTCCTGCTCACGGACTCTACAACCCAATCAATAAGGATGAGAGTCGGAGCGGTCTTATACAAAAAGTCAGCCTTGTTCCACTCAGCGGACAACAACAAACTTACCGGAATTTTTTCATTGTAAAAGAATCTTGACACTTGTGAGTAATTGAGATCATCACAAACGACGATATGTGTCACATCACTACTATATTTGTTTGCCCAGGTCGCGCCATATTGAATAGACACACGAATTCGGTGGCGAAACAAAGGGTTTATCAATCTATCCTCATCGTCTGGGATGAAGTCTGGATCGCGGTTAGCTTATGGGTACGTCAAAGTCATTGCGACACCACACGTACAGAAAACTAAACCTTGGAAAACCTTTTTGTCCTCTGCAATGGTCTTCAAAGGGATGTCACCTTTCCTCCACAGAGGGTTTGGATTGTCAAGATGAGATTTTGTCCGCTTCAGAGCTTGCTGCCTGGGTTTTTTGGTTTCTCGAACGGGAGATGAAAAGGATCTGATTGTCTGTGGCTTGACTTTGGTCTTCGTTTTGGTTTCAGCAGGTTTGATGGCTGGTGGCGGAGGCATGGGACCCTCTTCACAAGTCTTGCGCTTTCTCTGTGCGCCAGCTGGTGGGACATCGACACGAGGAGTTTGAACTGGGCGTGAATTGATCCTGGGAGTTGTGGCTTCTGCTAACGGTCGCGGCGGAGGTGGACGCGAGTCCGTGGGTCGGACTTTCAGTAGAGATTCATCTTCTTCGTCATCGTCGATGAGACGATCTAGACGCGACAAATCTTCAAAGAACCGCTCCTTTTCTTTCTTCTTTTTAGCCGTCGCCATTGCGGTGGTGGAGTAGTGGTGAGATGATAGATGATGACATGTGAGCGCGAGAGAGAGGATATCTCCATCTCGGAGTACAAAGAAAGATGGTAGACTGGTGAAGTCCAAGTCACTTCACTTTACTTTCACCACTAGGCAATCACCGAAATTCACTGCTGAGCTACCAGTGACACAAAGAAATCTCGGAGCGGGGTGGTGGGACGGGAGGGCGACACGAATTTCATGCAACCACTTGAGAGAGAACACGCTCGCGTCCCGTCCTCTTTTCTGCGATCAGACGCGAAAACATGTGATGCCAAGCACCACTCAATGGGCTCCTAATGGCCTCACAAGGCAAACAACTTCCGTGCACATATCCACTCTTTGTACTTGGTAGTTGGTTCAACTTCAGCAAACTTGAAGCAAGGGGATTAGGATCCATCTCCGGTCAGAGTCCCCCCAACTTACAACCGCCCAATAGTCGCGGCAAGATCCGTCATGTCTTCCAAAAAGAAATCATTCTCACCCTTCACGACCTTCATATCTTCATTGATATCGTCAGTCCATCGATGAATGTAAATAGTCCTCATCCCAGCATCCTTCGCACCTCGAACATCATAGGCGTGTGCAGCAACCATGACTGTTTCCTCCGGTCTTAACTGTACTAGCTGCAGAACTTTCTGATAACTCTCCGGTGCCGGTTTATACACGCCCAACAACTGACTTGAAAACAGAGTGTTGAACGACAATCCTGATGATTTACAGAGATCAAGCTGCAGTCGTGTTGTCCCATTCGCATACACAAACACTTCATACCCGAGAGCTTTCAGCTGTTCAATAGCATCGCGGACTTCCGGCCATGCGGGCATGGAATACCATGCTGCTATGCATCTGTCTATTGCTTGCTGGTCGAAAGCGCCCTTCACGCCAGGATTTTTTTCCAGGAGTGCTTTCAGAGTAACACGCAATGTGATGTCGATGTCTTCGGGAGGCTGTCCAGCGGCAAGACGAGCAGCGTTGGAGTCGAAATAGTCATGCCGCCATGTCAGGGCAAGGGCTGATCGCTGTGCTTCAGGAATAGATTGTGGTAAGGCCTTGATTGTTCCACTGTGCCAGTCGAGGCATGTTCCCATGAAGTCGAAGAAGACTGCTTTGATCTTGGGATTTGCCATGGCGGCTTCTTGAAAAATGATTGAGCAAGTGCAGTCAACTACGTGACACCTCGTCGAAGTGTTTAGAGGTTTCGTTGATTAACGACAACCCTTGATGGATTGAGTTGATAGATATTGTCCGATATCTAGATAGAAATCCTTTACAGACCCAGGGTCCATCAAAATTCCCAACTCATACATTGTCTGCCCTCACTATAATATTAGCAAGCACAATACTCACACCAGCCTCAGATAAGTAAGTAGTGAGTGTAGATCTTGAGCAATACGCAAGGGTGACTAATACGCCGACATTGACGTTGCATCTTTGACGGTGAAAGGCTAATTGGCACAAGAAATGGCCGTTTTAACCGCTCCAACTCTGGTCTTTGGCTTTCCTTTTTGAGACTAAAATCATCAAGAACATTATTGGAAGCAGTAGGGAATGCTACCCATAATCACGCCATGGGTGAAAAACACCTTGAAATAGAACCGGGGTCGAGTAAAAGCGGTACGTCGTTAGGGAATTGACCCACGTGTTTTCGCGCCAGCCCCAGGCATCTGCAACGCCAAGCAAAAATAAATGTCCTTCAACTTGAAGTTCACCTGAGCCGAAACCAATGGTTCAGTCCCCCCTTAGCTGTACGTATGGTGCTACGCCCAATAACAGCTATGCCGCGTGAAGAACTCCTCTCCTTGCTGGTCTCGTGTGCGGCGCGACCACATAGCCATTGCCTATACCGCCTGCGAGGAGTCGGCCGCGTTGGCATTCAACTCCGCTATGCGTCATCCTCGACCTCGACCTCGACTCCCAAACCCAACCCAGCAGCCGCCCCAGCTCCCTCCCTGCAACAAATCCCTCTACACGTAGGACTCGACCGGAACCCGGAGCACAAGTCCGCGATCTCGAAGATCCCTATCCCCAAAGGCGAGCGCGGCGAGAAATTCACGCCCTCGGTGCTGGCCTTCCCGCTTGGCCTCCTCTACCCTCCGCAGCCCGGGCAGAACTCACCTCTGGACCGGCGGAGCCTGAAGGAGAAGAAGGAAGACTTCACCAACCGCGACAAGGTACTGGAGCGACGACGGATCTACCTGCGGTCGTACTTCCGGCCGTACTTCCAGGAATGGCGGCGCGTCGACCACCACAAGGGCAAGAGCTTCCAGTCCAACGACCGGCTGTTCAAGCGGGAGAAGGCGCTCTACTTCCCCAACATCTGGGGCCAGACGCTGGCGGAGGAAGGCGACGGGCCCGACGGAGGGCGGGACATGACGCCGGCGATTACGGGCAAGGTCTCGATCATCACGTTCCAGTCCGGCCAGTGGGCGGAAGAGCAGGTCAACACGTTTGTGGGACGGAAGGAAAACCCGGCGTTGGAGACCATCATCGCGCAGACCAACGGCCTGGCACAGCGCATCGACGTCAACATCCAGGGCGACTTCATGCGCGCCTGGTTGGTCAAGCTGTTCAGTGGACGACTACGCACGATGATCCCCAAGGAGCGCTGGAACAAGTATTTCATGGTCAAGCTGCCGCGCGACATCCGCCGCGGTCTGACCGACGACGTGCGCGACGCCATGGGCCTGCTCAATTCTCAAGTCGGCTATGTCTATCTGGTCGACTCGAGCTGTAAGATACGCTGGGCCGGCAGCGGCCATGCCTGGGCCGGCGAGGTCGACGGTCTCAATGCTGCCGTCCAGCGCCTCGTCAAGGAGGAACTGAAGCTGCGATCGTCGCCCGGCCTGGCCAAATAGAAAACAAAACAGGAAAGACAAAAATAATTATGCGCTGAATGCGGGTTCTTTTTGGCCGACTTTCCCAGAACACAATCTCAGGAGTATACTCCCCTCCCCGCAAAAGCCAAACAAAAAAACTCCATAGTAGCAGATCCCAGTGCTAATATTGACTCCCACATAAAATGACCACCCCTTTGAAAATTGGTACTCCCAGCCGTCCGTCATGAAAGAAATGACATACTCATATCATTCTGTAAATCCTCCGTATCGCCTCTCACTTCATTCATCAACGTTCACCTGGTCGCAGTTCTCCGGTTTCGCTCTATTCCAGAACAACAAAGAAAGGGTTAGTCTGATGATCATTCCACATAATAGTCTTCTCTGGAGAAGAGGGGAAAAAAGAGGGAGCCGTTCAAAAGAAAAACAACCTACCCGCACTTCGGACACGGATCGTTCGACTCGGCGCCGTCCAGTATCTCATGCACAACCTTGCATTTCTTCTGCGGTTTCGTCGTCGTACTGCCACTGCCACTGCCACTGCTGTCACCAGAAGATTTCGGTTTCGGTTTCGGAGTCGTCGCCTGGTCGCACATTTCATGCACGTAGTATGGTGCCGGTTGCGCCGTGCCTGGGCAGCAGCTCCAGTGGTATGTATAGTAGATACACATTGCGAGAGAGTTTTGGGGATCCTGGATTTCGATGGCGTATATCTCGTGTCTCTCACAGGGTCGGTGGTGTTTTGTATGTGGAAATTTGGAAAGATTTGATCTCGAATCCAAGAGGTGCTCCGATGGTTCCTGGTTGAAGGTACGGCCTCGTTTGTAAATTTCGTTTTGTGGGCTGAATGTCACCGTTCGGCAATTGATTTCGTGATATGTGTGCTGTTGGTTGTGCTTGTGATGTTGAACTTTGCGCTACTGAGAAGCCCAAGGGTGGAATCGTCCATGCCTAACCATGCGACAACAGGGATATATATCAGGGTTCGGAGATAGGTTTTCTGATGTCGCCTTTGACCGCTATACTCTCGTTGTCTCGCTGAGGCAATGTGATCAGACTGTTGGAGGGTAGGTGATGTTCTTGTGGATTCCTTTGTGGTAATGATATTCCACAATGGCGGTGTTTGTGACGCTTGCGGCAACAATCAAGGCAGGCGACGGAGACAGAATATAGAAACAAATAAATGTATCTTGGAATGTTGTACAAGCGGACCAGCGCGAACAAAGGAATTAATGTAAAATGGAAGTAGAGTAAATACAACTGTTCTGTTGTCTGGCTGGGTGGTGGATACAAAAGGACCAAACTTCCAGGAAAACGCCCGGTAATTCGGCAGAGGAGAGAGACGACCGATCGTAAGACCAGACCAGTGGATTAAGGTAAGACACGTAAGCTCTCAGCGCTCAGCGGAGATATCAGAAATGAGGCTTGCAGGAGAGTTTGTCCCTTGAGAAGGAGAGTTCCTAAAGGGACTAGCAGCTGTGACAAAGAGGTAGGGTTACAGGAGGGGAGAGGGAGAAAAAGTGGTGGCAGACAGCGACGTGGTTACGGAAACGAAGAAGAAGGAAAATCTTATTCATGTTATAAAAATCGAGCGTTTGCGAGATAGGGCAATAATAATGAATGGGCCTTCGAAGTTCCAAGAGAGTTAAAAAAAATCATCCCAGCCAGGGCGAAATCCGCCGTGCACCACTTGCCATGCCAGTGCCGTGAAATCATCAAGGTGGAGTGTGACATAGGTGCATTGGCAAGACCTTGGGAGAAGGGAATGTGAACAAGAAGGGAAAAGGTAAATCTTTCATGAAGTGACCAGGGTTGAGCATCTCTAGCAAGCCTTGGAAATGCTTGTTTGTTAGAGAGTGGGAAGGGAAGTTGAGGCTTTTTTTGCCTCTCTGTGGTTTTTGGCGCAATGGTGGTTCGCAGTTTGAGCGGTTGGACTTCTTATTCGTACGAATTACTGACCTTGGATAACGGAGTTGGTCTTTCAGACAACGGAGAGAGGGTCGAGCGGCATCTGTTTCTCCTCTTTTTTTTCCAGGGTGTTGGATCCCGGACAAGAAAGGTAGGGGTCACAACGTCGCGGTGCTACTTGATGCAAGAAATGCTTGTTTCTTGAGTGAAGGCTGCTAGCGAGGTGGGTTGGCGAAGGACCACCGGGGGAACTTTGAAAGCACGTGTGGCTCCAACGAGTGATGGTTTGGAACGGCGGACGGATTATTTTTGATAAGGAATAGCTTCAAAACAAGAGGCTGGACCGGAGGACGAGGATGTACCATCAGCTGTGGTAGGAGAATCAGGCAGGTCCTGTGGTTACCTAAGGTATACAAATTCAGGCGAAAGGTTTAACCTTTTGCACGGGACTCTGACGTCGACATGGTAGCCCAACAATGATGATGATGATAATCATGATGATGATGATGGATGATTAGGTATGATTGTACGATTATGCGTGTTGGCCGCTTGGTCCACCTGGTTGGGAACGGGAAACGAAAGGAACTTGAATACCAAGAGTTTTGTGAGAACTTTATCTCGTAGAAGCATTTTAGTTCAATGTCTCTCGAGTCACATGGGTGGGCCACTGGCAAAGGACTGAAAGCGACGGAATGGGGATGTCAGAGGGAAGAAGTGGCGATAATTGGGGTATTACGATGCACAGCTAGAGCTGCTCGTTGCTCGGGTGGGAGCAGCTCAAGAACAGCTGGCTGTACACGCGTCCTCTCAGGGGGAAATGCCCTTCAATACGAAACGAAGCGCATGGAGAGATATCCTAATGTAAAGTCTAGAACGGATTCGGGAGATGCTCTTACACAGGGATGAACTTAATCAAGAGTAGAAGCCAGTATCCGTATTCCTCCCTAGTGACCGAGACGTGTGACGATCGCGGGGATTCCCACTGGCCTCAGGTGCGATGTTGGTAAGTGGAATGGCCAGCCGAGCGAATCCGACTGTGCCGCGATATCCAGGCCAAGGCTGTCGAAGTCAGGGTGAAGATTACGGAATTTCTGGAACACGGCGCCTCATACGTGCTCGGCTGCATCGTGCCGCTTGTTCCCACCAGCCTTCAGTATCTTTGCCCGCCAGTGCCATCTTCCGTCCTACACCTAGGTTTGGGAAAAGAAAGGATTGTATTCAGTTCTCTTGACTCAAGATAGGGACAACAAGAGGTAGCTCCTTAGGGTCGAGAATGTCTTCGAAAGGACACAATCTGATATAGAGGTGTAAGAGTATTAATTCATAGGTGAAGCAGAACCTTGGATCAGCACCCAATTCCGGCAGAAGCTTCAATTCCTGTGAACTCATCTAAGTAACCCAGCTGCAGCCTTCCGGAGCACATCGCAACTAATATTCCAGTTGGCGCTAATGTAACATGATTCGAAACACCTATTCATTCCTTCAACCTTTTTAGGATCAATCAAATTTCTCGTCATAAGAGCTGCGTGAGTGCCTGATCTCCGACAGCAACACAGTGCTCACGCATCAAAGATCCCCATCTTTTGAGCTTCTTGCCCTTACTTCTTGTAATTGTACATCGTTTGGGGGGGTTTGGATCCAAGTCGTGATGAGAGCCCGATCATATTCTCAGACAAGTCCATGTCAGATGGTGCCGTAAGAATGATCCGCGTCATTCTGGAGTCGCAAATTGATAGTTCTTGTTCTTTGTCAGGAGCTATGTCACACCAGGCGAATAGCCTTCCCATCATGACCAATATTTCAGCTGGCTGGCCGGTTGAGTCGAAGTTGACCAGGAACAGTAACCCATAAGAGTTTCTGGCCCTCGTACCGTATTGCGCTCTGTACTAGCTGAAGTAGAATAGCATCATAAAGCAGAACGCGATGAAACTGCCTAAAATGATGCCGTCTCTTCTTCGTTTGGTCCCTATCCTTTGTATCAAGCCGTTCACACCAGGAATCGTGGCTGCTGCTGATGTGATGCGTCGATTGATACTTGCTATCGTCTCCCTTTGAATGCCAAAGTTCTCATTGATCGCATATGCTTGTGCTAGAACGCCATCAATAACATTGTGACTTTGGTCTAATCTTCCTCGTTCCTGAAGCATATACTCGGCCTCCTCCTCAGCAGGATTGGAATTTCTAAAGGCATCGATATCGGAACGCACGTTCGCAAGTAAGTGCTGTCTGTCTCTGGCCTCCGAGATAGACGACTTGAGACGGCGAAGTTCTTGTCGATGTTCTGTGAGGACTTCACGATGCCGTGAGAGGTTGTTCTGTTTGAGACTCGATGTGCTCAAGGCATTCTCAGAGTCGAGAAGTCGTGACAGTTGGGATATCAGACTTTCACGCTATAATAAATCCTTAGAAAATGCTTTCTTTCGTGAGGAACTCGATATGCATGATCTACCTTTTCTAATAGTCCTTCGATGTCGGCTTCATTCTGTTGTTCTTCCTCAGAAGGCTTCGGTGGTAGGTTCGGCGTGGAGACATATTGTGAGTAGGTGTGGAATATTGACTCCGTCTAACAGCACATCAGTACAAATGCGGATAATCTGTAGATTATAGTCGTAGTCACTCACCTGGCTCTCTAGGGTGCGAATCTGTTGGCGCAACTGCGCCCACCCGGTTCCGGTGGCCATTCAAGTCCAATAGAGTAATTCAAGTGTGGGATGTTGGTATTCAATCGATTCCTGCCTTGTATCCTATCGATGAAAGATCAAAGGCATCATACTGGCTCATAGACTTCAGAGGATAGGCTTCCCCTTACTTGCGCTGCACTCCAAGACCGATCACGTTGGTCTGACGAGGCTCAGTCGGAAGTTACCAGCTGCAAGGCGAGCGCCAAGCCTAACCGAGCTCTTGCCGCTTTTGTTCGACAACTACCCTCCAGCCAAAATTGTCCCCATCACGTGAAACGCAATCTTGGCAATTCCACACAACTGCACCTTCCAAAATTCTACCACTAGCCATCGGACATCGAAGTGCGCCCACGTTCACCCACTTTCACATATTCAATCTTTTGTCACAGACGAGATCTTATCCAGCAAAGATGGTGAGATATAGGAACCAGCATCCAACTGTCGATCGACTATGCTAACACCTCCAACCAGTCGTCCAACGCAAGAGTCAAGCCTGGCCAACTATGGGGCAAGAGCAAAGACGACCTCAAGAAGCAACTCGATGAACTCAAGACCGAGTTGGGCCAACTCCGTGTCCAAAAGATCTCCGGCGGTGCCTCATCGAAATTGACGAGAATGTACGTGTGAAATTTCCCCGGATGATCGAATTAGAAGGAATGAGAAGGATGTCCGCGCAAGAGAATGCGAAGAGGCACACAGTTTCATGGGAACAGAAGACTAACAAATCCTCCTTCAACAACAGACATGACCTTCGCAAATCCATCGCACGAACCCTCACAGTCATCAACGCCAACCAACGTCATCAACTCCGCATCTTCTACGCAAAGAAGAAGTATCTCCCTCTCGATCTCCGCGCAAAGCAGACCCGCGCCATCCGTCGCCGATTGAGCCCCAAGGATGCCAGCAGAGTCACCGAGAAGCAGAAGAAGAAGAGCACACACTTCCCCGCGCGGAAGTATGCCGTCAAGGTCGAATAGATTGTTTGCTTTTCTCTTTCCCCAATATTCTCGCGGATGAACCGAATGGACTTGTGGATGATGGAGAGCCGTGAATAGACTCAGGTGGCACGATGATGGTCGATTGGACTCAGGTGGACTGATGTATATCAACTCTACCAGAGACTTCATACCCAAGCATGAAGCGTCAATCGGCTTATGCGGCATGAGCATTACGGAATGTATTAGGCCAAGGGGTGGATATTCCTTTGTGCAAAAGATACCTGCTGCATATGCCAGAAAATGAAAAATCCATATTCATGATGACTCAAAGACGGAAGAAGGACTTGACGCTCTTTCCCATTGTAACTCTGCTCTCCTGACTAAATTGGCTGAAGTATGCTATACTTTTCGTGTATACACAGAAAGAAAAAAGATTCCGGTCTTAGATCTGCAACACCACACCGGTCGGTCGACCACCATGAACCCAGGCCCTCATCCAACCAGAAGCAGAGCTAACCCTTGACATCCCAAGGCTGCAGCACCCAAGCGCCATCACAGACACACCTGGCCATCATGGAAGCGATCTGGCGTGGCCACTCCTTGCCCGGCGGATTGACATCCTCGCTGTAGGTGCCGCACCTGACACACTTCCTCACCATCAACGTCCCGGGACTGCCGAGCTCCTCGATGCCCCTGAGAATGGGCCTTTTCCTGTGGATGTCGTATCGGACGACCTGGCCGTCGCCGTCGCCGCCGCGCCCGATGACTTCGTTGTTCAGGAACACGTAGTCGAGGTCCACGGGGTCCGTGAACAGCCTGTACCTGTCGAGCAGGGATTTGGCGCGCAGGCCCGCGCTGTTGTTGATGAGTTTCGTGAGCAGCGCCTTGACCGTGCCGGTGTAGCCCTCGGGCACGGTCCCCGTGGCCATCATGTGCAGTTGCTTCGAGGCCGTGGCGGGCGTGTTGCCCTCGACGTCCCCGGCCGCCGCCCACCGGTACTCGAGCACGGCTTCGATCGCCTGGAATGAGATGCCCTTCCCGTTTGTCTGCGCTTGGATGCACTGTAGGAGTTGCAGTTGGTGCTGCAGTTTGGGCTCGTTGATCTTGGCGTAGGCCCGCACGGCGCGCACAAATGCGATTAGGAAGATGCGCGACCAGTGGCAGTTGAGGAGGAGTGCGATGAGGCCTTGGCTGCCGTCCCCCGCGGTGTCGCCTAGTCTGGCGATGCCGGGGTGCGACGCTTCGCTGGTGGTGGTGCCGTTGGGTTTTGCTGGGGTAGGAACCTCGTCGACGAAGATTTCTGGGTTGGACTCGCGATCGCCGACTTCGAGGATCGTGTTGATGATGAAGCGCACCACTCCCAGGCCCCATTTAATTTGCGAGCATAGCATGTCCGTGAACTCGGGGGTCAGGACGATGTTGAGGTTCTGGAAGTCTCTCAGACTCATATATAGGATGGTGGCAGTATGTCGAATGTTGTTTGCGAGCCATGCCCATTGTGCTGATAATGGCCAACATCGGCCGGGCCCAGCCTCAGTCAAGGCCGTGGGGAGAGTACGTGAAGGTGCTGTTAATCCCGCATGATAGGCCATGACCTTTCCCATGACTTGCTTGTGGAAGACTCGCTCGAGTTCAGAGCCTTGTGTCTTCTCATGAATGTACTCTGTATCCCGGAAAAGCGTTCGGTACATTCCGCAGACGAGTGTGGGGATGAGTCCTGATGGGACGGTCCGTAATGCACAATAAAGGATATCGTCAATAGTGGAATTCGACCAACATGCCCGAGCAAAGGATAAATTTAGAGAAGCCAATGCGACCTCGGTGCCTGGGTCTGACTCGTGTTGTTGTTGCTGTTGCTGTTGCAGTTGTGTTTGATGGAACTGATACTCCATACTGACTATTTGGGTCTTGCCATCGGGAGAAATATCTGCTCTGACACAAGCATTGGGTGAAAATCCTGGCGAGTGAATGGTTGAAGTGAATGGATATGCAAACCCTGATTGAGCCATCGAAGTTGTTTCCTCGACAGACGCAGAGTAGGAAATGGACGACAGATCATCCGAGCTGAGAAAATCGGTGCGATTCTCTTGGGTTGTGACGATGACAGCATGTAGACCATCAAGGTGGCGTAGTGTCGTGATCACTTGTTCCTCTTTGTCTGGTTGACGCTCTAGTGTCACCAGAGAGGCAGGATCAGATACAGTTGATCCTTTGGAAGGAAGATCCTGGAATCGTGTCTGCATTTTCTGTTCAACCGGTGTCACTGCCCATTTCTTGATGATGCTGGTTACGAGATATCCAGCATCCGCGACGCCGATTGAATTGTTGACTCCCGTGGATACCGCAAGAATCACTGGAGATAATTGGACCGTCTTCTCGACATCCGAGGTCTGCACCACCGCTAAGTGGCTAAGTTGCCACGAATCGGGTTCGTAGCTATCTCCGCCGATGGCAGCAGATGTTGTTGGTAGTGACGAGACACAAGTAGCGACCGTCTCGATGGTCAGAATTGGTTGGCCTTCAACATTGCTCTTGACTTCGGACCAGTCGATTTGGACGAGATAGACTGAAATGACACCGTCGCAAGCATGCAAGGCAACCAGCATTTTCCCTTCGACAGTAGGTGCGAAGGCCGCATGAGTGTAGAGGGTATCATCTAAATCACCGAGTTGCCTTTTCACCTTGACATATTGCATATCGCCTCTTTGGTAGCATAAGGTCAGTATGCCATTTCGGTGGACCATCGCCACGGCTCGATGCCAGTACGGACCAAGTGGTTTCGCCCTGGCGTTGCTGTGAACCCATCTATTGTCGTTCTTAGCGGCATTGAGGACCACATTTCTAGGGCGGTCCTGCCGATCCTGATTCAACCAGGCCATTCCAATCAATTGAGAAAACTCGTCCACAGCATCCAAGCTGCCTTGTCTAACCAGGAGAAGGCGGTTTATGGAGACAGGAGAGCTATGGTATACCCAAGTTCTTCCTTTGGCATCCACAACGATGAGTTCTCCTCCAGTGGAACTCCATGCCAGACTGACAGCATCCTCAAAAATGGTGGTAAGGGTGTGTCTCCCGCTCAATTCCCAGGAGTCGGAGGAGTGGTTGAAGATGAGGCACTCCAGGTAGACAACAGTACCGTCGTCCGATATGCTTGCGATGTGGCCATGTCTTGACCATGCGACTCGATCGGAACAACCCGAATCCCATTGTTTGGCAAGCTGCTCAATGACGGCAGGATTGGTGGGGAGAGTGACATTCCCGACTGCTTCGAGGCCAGCAGTTCCATCCGTCTGCTGAATCTGTTGCAAAGCACCCTGGTTGAAGAAAGCCTCGGAAGCAAAATCGTCCTCGTTGGAATTGAGTTGATCTAGTTGATCCATATTGATCTGTTTATGAACATGGAGATATCATCCTTTCAGGCATGCTCCCTCGAAATTAAGAGAGTTGAATCACTTATCGGTATATTTATCACAAGGGTACGAAGGATTTATGGGAATGATAATGCACAGCATACCACAAGTGTGTGAACGTTTACTTGGAAAGGGGTGGGTCAAAAGGATATGCAGTGGTGGTGGTTGAAATCTTGATGCACTAGCCACAGCATGAACCGTCGAGGCTAGTTATTAGGCTTGAGTCATGCACTGCATCGATAATCCGTACCTCGAGTGTACTGCTAGAGTCAAGCCACAGGCCGTGGAGATCTATTATCCGTAGCCCGGGAAACAGGGTCTTTAGTTGGCCCCGGGCCCCGCGGCCTGCTGGGTGGGTAGTTTAGGTACCTGTATGATGTCCCTACTTCAGGCCAATATGGCTGACATGACTGTACTGTGCTTCTAGATTTCCAAGTCCTAGGTATTGTCTAACATTTATTACAATCCACGTCAATGATTGCATTGTTGGTTGGGCATCCAGACTGCGTACGGAGTAGGTACTCGTAAGTACTGCATAGTCAGGCACCGAGTTCGCTCTGCATCGTGTTTCGTACCTACCTAAGGCGTCAAGAAAATAGGCGACCCAAGAGCCCCGGGCCCCTAATGAGCCCTAGTTCATCCGGAATGCCATGCATTTCTGGCTTTGTTGACGATCTGGTCACATTGTGTCGCCATTGTTTTGCATTGCAGCCGCAGTGTGCAGAATCCGGACCCTCGCCCCTCCCCGTTCTCTTCCCCTGTTTCTTTTTTCTATCACTGACACGCAGACTCAATCTTGCAGCCGCTGACGATCCACAGCCCACAGGCGACCAGCTGCACCACTTCCCGCACCACCTGGTCCTGCAAGCCTGCAATGCAGTGCAGCACTTGCCACTCCCCGTACTCCGTTCTCTACTCCGTAATTTCGTCGTAGTCGTAGTCGTAGTCATTCCACTGCATGCACACCTCACCGTCCTTGGTTCCAGCCTCATCCTCACTGTGCCTTTCTCTCTTTCTTTCCTTTGTTCCTCAACCTCGAGATACCCCATATCCTTCCCTTCCCACTACTCGAAATTCCAACTACCGCTCTTACCTGGATCGCACGATCGCTATATTCTATAAAAAGGTTCTCAGATGGTCACTCCTTCCCGACACAAACAACACCAAACCATGCGATAAAACGTCATTCTTGATCACTACAGCGACCACCATGTCTCCCGACGACATTTCTGATCTATCTTCCCCTCTGAGCTCCCCTCCCAGTTCGCCTTTATCATCCCCTCCGAGTTCGCCAATTTTACCACCTGGATGGCAAACCTCCGTTCTTACGCCCCCACCTTCTCAACATGCTGGCGACGACATGCCTCCTCCACGCAAGCGCCGGAAGATCGGTCCCAAAATACGCACAACACAACATCTCGATCTCATCTCTGACTCCGCCCAATCCGAATACGATCGTGCTGAGGCATTGGATACACTACTCAAAGCACTGAGAACTCGTCGGAAAATTGTGGTCATCGCAGGGGCTGGGATTTCTGTTTCAGCTGGAATTCCCGACTTTCGATCTTCCGATGGCCTTTTCACAAGCTTGCGCGGCGAACACAAACTGAAAAGCTCGGGCAAAGAGCTCTTTGATGCATCGGTATACAAGGACGATCATTCCACTTCAAGCTTTCATGATATGGTCCGCAAGCTCTCCAAGCTCTCGGAAAACGCCAAACCCACTGCCTTCCATCGATTCCTCGCCCGTCTGTCGACCGAAGGCCGACTGTTGCGCTTGTACACTCAGAATGTTGACGGCCTAGAGAGCTCGTTGCCGCCTCTCGCCACTCAAGTACCCTTGAATCACAAAGCACCATGGCCACAAACCATTCAACTGCATGGAGGACTCGAGAAAATGATGTGTCAAAAGTGTCGACACATTTCCGACTTTCAAGCCCATATTTTTCAGGGTCCTACCCCTCCATTATGTCCTCAGTGTGTAGCTGCAGATACACTTCGAACCGCTCACGCCGGAAAGCGAAGCCATGGAGTCGGGCGATTACGACCGAGAATTGTTCTCTACAACGAGCATAATCCGGACGATGAAGCAATTGGGGCAGTCACCACAGCGGATTTTCGAACCAGGCCAGATGCGGTCGTGGTAGTTGGAACGAGCATGAAAATTCCTGCCGTTCGACGAATTGTCCATGAAATGTGTCAGATAGTTCGAGATCGGCGAGATGGAACTACAATCTGGATCAATCGCGACCCAGTGCCTCCAGGTAAAGACCTTGAGAATCTATGGGATCTGGTTGTGAAAGCCGACTGTGACGAGGTGGCTCATCAAGCTGGATTACGCGAATGGGATGACGAAAGACCCGACATCAAGGAGAGTTATACGGCGGAAGATCTTGAGAAGGTCAGGTCTTCTCAAGGAGATATCGAAATAGAAATTCCGCCATCACCCACAAAGATCGAGAGGCCTGTGAACCGATTACTACCTTCTCCTGTGATTCATACCATGACCCCTCCACGCAGTCAAAATGGAGATGTTCCTCGAACTCCTTCGAAGACGCCTCGTTCTGCAAGTGGTTCACCTCTGAAGATTAAATTGAATGTTACCTCGCGGAGTGTTAAGATCGACAAAGCGAGAAAACAACTCAAGAACGCTGCAAGCGCTGGAAAGAAGATTGCCGATGTTCTTGGAAAGGAGAACCAGAGCAAAGCTTCTCTAAAGTCTAAGACATCACTCAATCGGAGACCGAAAATCTCCAAGATTCGTGGACCAGGCGATTCTCAAAATCAAACACGTCTCACAAAAACGCACAAGGTTACAAAGTCCATCGTGACGGGCGTTGTAATTTCCAAGAAACAACCTCCTGTGCCACTATCGCCTCGCCGACATTCAAACGAGACCATTCATCCAACTGAAAAATCGGAGTATTCGAGTGTAGAGGTCAGTCCGGCACCAGAAACGCCTCCCCCTATGGAGACTTATGAGTGGCGTGGTTCAACAACCATCTCCCCAAGCGGAACAGTACCAAGGGATATGGTTAAGCTCTTGAATTGAGCATTCTTACCATGTACAACGCAGGAAACGTGCATATTGGTTTGCGATTCTACAAGGTCTATCGAATAGACACGGCTTATTGAGTGCTTACGATCATGGAAATATGATGACGTTCTTGTCGGTAGAGATGATTCTCCCATCACCTTGGACAGGAAGTCTCTAGGTTCAGAGGTACCTAGAGCACCATGCATAACTAAAGTACAGACATAACTAGCATTAGCTTCTCTAATACCTGTGCCAGCCTTAGCCTAAGAGGCAAGGACTGAATTACCCAGGTAGAGCCTGAATGACTATGAATCAACGAAGGCAATTGAATACCAACAACGGAATCAGTGGCGGATTCTATTAATCATGGGTAAATGTCACGTTCCATGTCTCAAACTCGTTTCCTGCTTGTTTCGTCCCCTGTCTATGATTCACTATTCCCAGAGACTTGTCCTGCTCAGGCCCACTGGGCATATTGGGGTAAATATATTCCTAGCCAATTGTTCAGTTCGAAAGGGCAACCACACGACATGGAAGATACGTAAGCACAGTGTCGGTCTGTGGAATCACATAACATGGTACATACAATAGCCTGATGTACAGTCGTATATATAACATCTTCGACTCGACCGCTTCCCATGATAATACTCAAGAAGCCCCTGGTTCCATGAATGAATGAATGTCTGGCCGCAGGCCTGAGGAGTAAATTTCAGTTTTTATTGTAGCGGGATGGTAAAGACAAGGCACGGCAAGGTCAGGTAAGGTAGACATTGGATTCTGACTTGATATGTACTGTACTGTACTCCTTGTTAGTCACCTAGGTAGCTATGTCCTTGACTAACGAATAACTACTACTGACTTAAAAACTGTCATGGACGCCAGCTATATGAATCCAAGGGAATTGTCTCGCGATGTTCTGTTTCACCCACTTTTCAGGTCTTTTTGTGGTTTACCGCTCACTGACTCTTCCAGAAAGAAACGTTCTACAAGCGAGGGGTTTTTTTTCCTGGTGTCGTTGTCGTACATTCGCGAGTGGCTGTCTGCCACCCGTTGAGTAGGAGGAGTACTCGGAAAGAGCAGTAATATAGAAATAAAGAGTACTCCGGCGCATCCTGGTTCTGTTGTTCGTGTATCTCGTGAATAAGCGAGGGTATGGACATAATAATCGTGCCGCGTGAACGTGAAAAGAAATGGATCATGTGTCGGAATGTCGGCTGCCATGCCTGCTAGGTCCAGGCGCTTCAGCAGATGAGAGGTGGGTAAGGAGGTAGCGAATTACGACTCGTCGCTCAAAGCGCCTGTCCGACACCATCATAATATCGCTGGCCTTCACCCCTCTCGACATCGCTCGCCCGTAGCCGCCCAGGGATACGCCTCGGTTGCTCACCACTGATGCGGGAGTACTCGCCACTCGCGCGGCGCCAACCACCGGGCATCCCACTGCTCAGACGCCATGTGCTGTCGTCGCTGTTGAGCGTCGAGGAGCGTGTCGCGTTCCCCTCACCTGATGTTGGGGCTGGAAGAGTCTGTGGGCCGAACGGCCCATTCTCAAAATCATATTCACCGCCGGACTTGCGGCGCGGGACGCCCATGTGCGGATACCCGTTGTCGCCGACGATGGCTTTGTCGGCGGCGCTGATGTCACTGTCCAGCGGTGGCATGTCGTGGGCGGAACGCTCGCGATATTTATATGGTTGTTCGCTGGGGAGCATGGCACTGTGAGTAGGGTAGTGATGTCCTCCTCCTGCGCCGCTGCCGACCCATGGATTGGACGAGTAGACATCGTCATACGCTGTCGAGTCCTGGGATGCACGTCCACGACTGCTACGGCGTGGACTGCGACTGGGCATATGTGGCGGAGAGTAAGATCGGTCGTGTCGGATCTCGCTGGACAGTGGGCTTGGGATTGCTGGCCGGTTGATGTAGCTGTATACCGCAGCGCTAGGGGCTGCTGTGCCAAGGGCGCTGTTGCGTCGGCTGCGTGTTGTGGGGACGGCTGGAACGTCGTACGGCGCTGGTGGGTTGTTGGACTGCAATGGAGCAGGAGCGGGAGCAGTCACTGGTTGAGATGTGAAGAGAGGCTCTTCCTGGTTGTGGATGGGTTGTGCCGGTAAGGCGTCACTGTAGGTGTAGCTGTTGTTGCTACTGCTGTCCGTCGAGGCACCAGGGGTGTAGTTGTCATTCAGCATTGGACCGGGTCGTCGACTAGGCGATTGACTATGGCTGTGATGGCCATGCGCATGGCCGATGTTTCGACGATTTCCACTACCACTGCTGCTACTTCGTGAACGGCGGTGATTGTCGTGATGATGAGCCAAGGCTGCACCACCTATGCCGCCTACAGCGAGGCCAGCAGCTGCTGTTGCCAGAGCTTGTCCATGGCCATGACTCTGGACTTGGGGTGTTGGTAACTCAGGTTCGTGCAGCAGATGGTTCTGAGGAGAGTATTCGTTATCGAAAGCGGCATTGGCCCTTGCAGCATCACGGCTAAAGCTTCGACGTGATTCTTGGCTGGTGCGGTTAGGTAATCCAGTCAAGGCGGTCGATTCAGTAGCTGGATCGATGGGCGAAACAGGAGAATACGGCCATGGCTCACTGTTATTGACAGTGTTGATCGGAACAGGTTTTCTGGAAATCTTTGCTGGAAGGGCTGGATCAAGACTACGAGGAGGTTCCGAGACTGCATATGAGGCAGGTTCCTCAGTCACCAGGGTTTTCTCATCGTCATGCTGTTTGCGATGATGGTGGTGTAGAAGCCCTGCACCAACTGCAGCGCCAGCCACACCCGCGGCTAGTGCACCTCCTCGTCCATGTGAGCTATCACGACTTCGAGAAGTACTTGGTCTGGCACCACCGCCGATTCCCTTCTCGAGGAATGGGTCGTCGCCGGGGACTGAGGCATCCGTCAAGCCTGCTCGAGAATTCGGAGCAGACCTCCTTGGAGGCGGTGGAACAGGTACAAACGGGTTCATGTGATCTGACTGATGTCCACGGAATGCAGGATGTTGCGACATCGGAGGGGCGAACCCGGCACCGCCATAAGCATGATGGCTCGAAGCATCAGTTAAGCCTGATGGCCTAGATACCCTCCAGCTATCGACCTCATCATCTCCAGGGGAGAGTGCTCGATGTCGGGGAGAGTGCGATCGCTGGCGTCGACGTTTGCAGCATATGAGGAGAGCCAGTATGAACAGTCCAAGGGCGAGCGCTCCTAAGACGGCGCCTAGAATGATTGGCAGCTTGTGATTTCCGCTACCGCTTGTATTATTGGCAGAAGGAAGTGCAGTGCCGGTCTCGAGAGTTGCTCCTATGATTGAGGATGTTCCCACAACACCAGATGTTCTCGAGGAACCAGATGATGCCGCTAGAGACGAGGATCGGTCTGACGATGATGCACTGCTTGAACGCGAGGCAGTAGATGATGTTGAAGCTGAGCTTGAAATAGATGCCCTTGAGGCAGACGCTGCGGAGGAACTGCGTCCTGCGCTTGAACTTGAGGTGTCTTCATCACTGGACGTTGCGGAAGCTCTCGTAACTGATGACAGCGTACTTGGTGAAGATGCAGAAACCGTTGCTGCAACTGAGGCTGCCGATGCGGCAGAGGCGATAATCGATGTCACTTGCGTGTAAACAGAGTATGCCTCAGATATAAGCTGGTCGAGAGGATCTGATTGCGCCGTCACTGAGCCCAAAATGGGCATCAAATACAAGAAAGCGTGCCACTTCATTGTCACCACTTTTGTTAGCAATGCAGTGTCCGAGTATTCTTCTAATGTGTAATATTTGCTATCGGCTCGGAGAACAACCTCATATGCGGGTGGTTCGACAGGACTGGTTATGATAGATGCAGGTCAAGCATCGTGCGAGACACGGATACTATTGCATACGGAAGATGAAACACATGGCTGACCTTCTGGTCTGGATCAGTAGGAGAGAAAACAAAATAGCAATTGCGAGGTTAAATCCTATAAAGACATAGCACCTTACCGTTGATCGATTCCTCGGATGATCACTCCAAAGAACCAAGCAAGTAGAGTGCGTGGCACACGCGCTGGCGTTGAGACTAAGGCAGCATAGCAAGGTACAAAACAAGGTGAAGAGCCTGTGAGGATAGGTCTTCAAGGTTCTGGAACCAGAGCTCCAGATGTGGCTTTACAAGCCAACCGGTTGCTGATTGATGGAAACTTGGATTGACGTTGTGCTAGCCACAAGCGTCAGTTGGATAGACGCAAAATCGGTAGATGATTGATGGGAATCAAGAGCGAGCGAACGACGATCTCATGCAGGGCAGTTGGCTTCTCAAAATATAAGTGGCTGTTATTGTGGCGGTGCGACTGTGGTTCTCCAACTGGGGTGGCGAATTCCAACGTGGTTCATGAAAAGTATTCGGCTTCTCGGCAAGAATCGACTTCTCTGGATAATGTGGGTAGTGCGCTTCATCGAGAGACGGATCAACAATGATGAGCTACTGTGATTTCGGAACCAACGTCCATTATGTGGAAATCATCCTGGATTGGGGGAACCAGTAGACATAGTACTCCCAGTGGCCGTTCCATCTGGTGTACTCCTGGGAACAAATGAGAAGCCATCGTGGCCATCCTCCAGCAATCACTGCGCGAGGATATAAATTTAGATCTCTTGGGATCGGCTTCTGGATGCCTGTTAACGGATTTTTCGCGTGCAAACTTCCCTTGTCGTGTCGTGTACATATGCTTCGGTTCCTTGCTGACTTTCAAGTCCAGCCAAGATCTAGACTGACTCGGGTCATGATTAGGCGAAACCAGATACCACGTCCATCTAGATCTTCTCTCCGTGCATCGGACAGAGTCGTCTAATAGCCAGTGGAAAGGGCGCTGTACAAGTAATGTCGGATGGGCCTTTGTGGAGGAGGCCAATCCGGCCCCTGTGTCCGTGGGCTTAGAGCCGAGCACTGGATGCAATGAGGTAATTATTCTGAGCGTACTCCATACACTCCGCAAGATATAGTGATAATTAGCGTGAAAGGAGAGAATGTTGGACAAAAACTCGTACGCCCCGAGATTGTGTTTGTACACTATCATGCCTGCCATACTTGGGTCAATCTAACAATGGAAAATTGGCGATCTAAATTCGAAGTCAGTTCATCATGATGAGTATTTTCTTGATGTATTGCAGGACTGCTGGTGAAACAGCAATTTGCATTGTAATGGAATGCACCAGGCAACGGAAGGAGTATCCAATTGCTCCGGTAAGTTGTTGAACGCCGCATGGATTGGATCATGTAACTTGCTTACCTCAGGCGTAAAGTGATGCAATCTCGATGAGGTGTAGATGGCTTCATTGCCTTCGAGTTGGGGACTCTCTAGTACAAGATGAGACCATTGAGGCCTGGGTCACTCCATGAGCTATATTTCGATGTCCTCAAGCATTGTGGACTTCCGGTCTAAGGTAGAATGTGCTTAGCTAGCATGTAACTGTCTCCATGAATCATACACAGTCATGGTTACCCAGGTAATGTTAGAAGGGCAGTCGCATGCACATGCCATCTAAAGACCCAAAGAAAGAGCATAGGTAGTTAATTGTATGCAATTTACATACAAGTCCCCATGCGACCATGAAAGAGTGATATCTCCGGATTGCGTTTCCGGTGGCCATACTGGCGCATTTCCGTAAACTGGAGAACGGCCGAATGCGCACCACAAAACTTCACCAGAGGATGGATGTGTGCGACGGGTATTGGGTAAGATCTCGCCCGAATTAGGCGGATGCGGAGGAGATCGATGATGCAAAGGTTATCCACTCATCACCTACTGTGGTCAACAAGGAAACTTACCAGACAAATAGACAAATCAATAACATGTACCTAGGTTAGGTTAGGTAGCAATAATCATGAATGTGAAGGTCACGTCAAAAGAGTCGCTAAGCAACCATGACTCCCGGCTTTTCGGATGGTCATGCCTTATCTCTTATCAGTGAGGCACTGAATCAGGTGACTGGACAAGTGAGTTGCTCTTTCCCTGTGGCAGCCCACCTAGAATCCCGGGATTTGCCTATTTATGCACTTGTGACCCACTGTGACCACTAGCAGCTCTCCCGCGCTCCACTAGCCTGTCTTGGCACATAGCGATTGGTTACACGACAAGCTAAAAGTGTCGTGCTTGGATCCACTAAAGTGGTCATGGAGCAAACCTGACAGTTTTTGTGTCTTGGGGAAGGACTTCCTGACTTCCTAGGGCCTGCCTGGTTCTGCCTGGTCTTGCTGATGGGTGGGCCACTGGGCCATGGAACCAGAGTCGTGGCCGCATTTTCGCCCTCAGGGTTTGGGCCTGGCACCCGCATTCGCATCCGCGGTCACGCCCAGTGTACCTCGTAGTCTGGCTCGCTGCTGCGTCGCCCTTTCCCCCTTTCCCCTTCTCTTTCCTTCCACCCTGCGACCTGATCTGTTTGCTTCTTGCCTCTTTGACTCTCACCATCCATCTTCCTATCTGCATCACAACTGCCCTCTGAACCTTACGCTTTCCACACTTGTATCACTTCACTGATTGTCGCCTTCTACCTTTGTCTCAACACCTGTTTCTTGTCGCCTATTATTTCTATCGTCTTTTTAATCTTCTCTTCCTTTTCCGACGTCTTCACTTCCTGCCTTCAACAACATCTCACCTTTATCGGCCGCTTGCCAACCGACTGGATCCGCGACTTCACGTCTTCTGCGTCATTCATTCCGCACCACTGCCTCGCCACTGCCTGTCGACCATACACACTCTGTCCTTCACTACTTCTGACTTCTAGGCGCTGCGCGCATTTATATACCACCCTAATCCTTGTAATTCATCGTCGCTGCGCCGAATAGAACCGTACCTTCCAACCTCAAATCTCAACTACCGTCGTTCACCTACCAGATTCGACGAACTGCAAACTCGGAGTTTACTCTCTTGCTTGTGAAACAACCAGTTCTTCGCAATCTTGGAAGGGGCCTCCCACGTCCTAGATCGCTATTTGAGTGTGAAATTCACTCAACGGAGTTAAGGATCCGGATCACCGAAACACATGGCTGCTGGTGGAAGTACTTTGAATTGGTGACTCAGTGAGTCAAATGATCGCGCGCAAGAGGCAGACTCATCGCTGCATCAACCAGAGGAGCAACCAAACATGTTGCGACTCTTATCGTGGACAGGTTGTGATAAGATCAATTCCCCAGAAATGAGGATGTTTGTTCCAACCAAAGACTCTCCAGGTTCACCTGGTCCTGTTTCCACCGTGTCATCGTCTTCACTCAAACGCAAGAATTCTATTGATCAACATTCTCAACCTGAAAAGAAGCGACCCAAGGTTTCGAACAGAGCACAGGTTTTACATGGTAATTCCACTTTCACACACAGTACTGGCCTTGCCACAGAATCAAAACAACCCAGTACTACGTTTGAACCACCCTCTTTCCTACCTTCACCCCCAGAAATGAAACAAGAAGTTCAGGAGATAGAGACCTTGCCTTCTGACTCAGCCACTTCGACCGAGCGACTTGAATCTATTCGGAGTGTGATACAGACGCAAATGAGTCTTGAAATCCTACTCAAGCACAAAGAACTCCGTCTGATTGATCAAGAAATTGCCAAGACTCAGATTGCTTTGGAGCAACTTCGTCGTTGTACCGAGATTCCTTATCCTACCACTCAACAACTATCAGTGGGTGTAAGCAATGGAGTCGGACCGTCTCTGAGAAGCGAATTCAAGACTCCCCTCCCACAATCTCCAGCTCCATGGGGTGTTGTAAGTGGCCCATATTCTCGGCATTATGCCAAATGGCTACTTCCAGATCATCGCTTTGATGGTGGCGAGCCTGAACCCATCCTTCACACGCCGGCTGGAAAATCACCCATGAAGAGTAGATCAATGAGAGGTAGCTTCAATGAAACGCCTCAATCGATCAACTCTGCTCGATCACAACGAAGTGGTAAGCTTAAGGCTCTTCCTGCAGGATATGGTCAACCCAAAGAAAAAGCTACTGGTCCTATGATTGTGAAGAGGAAATCGGATGGTGTCATGGTCAAGTTAGTGTGCCCTGATTGTGGTCGACACGACTTTGGCAGTGCTCAAGGTTTCATCAATCATTGCCGTATCGGCCATGGTAGGAGCTTTGCAAGCCACGATGCAGCAGCGGACGCTTGCGGCGAAGCAGTCGAATATGATGACTCCGGTGTCATGGTAGGCATCGAACCCGTCATCACTCCCACGGCTACGAACGTCCATCCGTTGATTAGATCAGCCAAATTACTCTCACCAGGACAGACACAACTGCAAAGTCTTCGATTATCTGAATCATCACTTCCCACACCGAAGAAAGCATCTCCAGACTTCAAGGCATCGAGCCTCACGCCACATCTTTCAGATTTGATCAAGAATAGGGGTCTCGGTCTTGATCTCCTAGATATAGTCTCTGATGCCAAGACCAAGTCACAAATCGTTGAGTCTGATTCTGAGGATGATGACATGCAAGTCGACACTCCCGTGCAAGATGCCGCACAAGGCCGACATCCACAGGTCGCTGGGTCTAAGCAACTCCGCAAGCCTGCCAAGTCACCCATGGCTTCACCCATCTTGAGCACAACCATGTTAAATCGTCCTGCAGCACGTCCTCGAGCAGGTGACTTCCAACATTACGACGGTGTGAACGAATCATTCACTCCACATCGACCCCGACACATGGCTCTTCCACTCAGTCACGATACGCCTACACAATTGCCACCCTCGGACCCTTCACCAATCAGCGAATCCAATCAAGCGCCAAGTCTCGTGGATGATGACGAGGAGTACGAAGCACATTCTCCAGCTAGTACCTCAAACTCCGATGACCACGATATCGGCGAGGTCGAGTTTGAGGTGCAAGGCGATGATGACGATGCTCGCAGTGTACTACCAGCGCCTGAGTTTCAAGCGAGTTGCGCACCAACCAGACCTACCCATGTCAGAAGACCCTCAGCAATTCGCCGACAAGGCGAAGAACGTGAAGAGAAGCACGTAACTTTTGTGAGTCCAAGTCCTGCAAGGGAATTGGGTATAGCTCGACAGATTGGGGAACGCAAGAAGAGGAAGGCTTAGACATGAACTGATGAGTTCATCACTGGCGTTGATAGACCATTGTTTTCTTACATTTCCAGGGATTGTGTTGGAGGTAATTGGCCATTCATGCTCCACTCGATGAGGTTTTGGGATGGAGTGTTTTCGTGCATCAGCGAGGAACTGGATACACGATGGGCTCAGGCTCAAGGGATTGGTGGACACTGTAAGGAGTTCAGGTGATGGTAATGGTGTTGTATATAATAACAGTGTCTGAATATGATGTCAGGCTACTGGACTTTTGTGGCCTATATCATGGCCAGATAACAATCAAGAAAGACTCAACTCAATGTCAAGGTCTGAGGATCTTGCAAATACACCTTCGCTTGCCACGTTGACAATATGGTATGACTAGTGTTCACTGGGATGAGGGCAGTGATCTGCAAGCCGAAATACAATTATGCTGGACAAGGCTGATGTAGTGCTCCGTACTTTGCCCAAGTTGTCTCAGATGCTTCTGGAAACGCCAAGGCTCATCATCAGAGTCGCCGATCTCACTTTTGGAACTGAATCATTACTTACCTAGGTACTGATCCGAGAAACGCCTGCTCCAATTCCACTTGATCGAGAAACTGCAGACCATCAGCCAGGCGATCTGGCATGCGCACCTCGAGTTGTCCACCGACCTCATCTCGCAGACTGCAGATATCTCTATCCTCTTTGGTCCGGCCTGGGTACCTGAGGGAACCGGCCTGCGCGCCTTGAGTCAAACCAAAAGAATCATGGCCCAGAAATGCGTCCACAAGGGATGTGGGAAGGTGTTTGAAGATCCTGAAGAAGAATGTATATACCACCCAGGACCGCCTGAGTTTCACGAAGGACAGAAAGGTGTGTACTGCATCAATTGAATTGCCCCTCCTTCGCCTGCGCTACGACATTTCCCACAGGCTCTCAACCTCTATCTGTGGCTTGCATATCGTCGAGAGCAGACCGCTGATCGTCAAACTTCCAGGCTGGAAATGCTGCAAGCCCCGAGTCCTCACCTTTGACGAATTCCTCGCCATCCCTCCGTGCACGACAGGAAAACACTCCACCGTCGACGACACACCCGCACCCGCACCAAAACCCGCGCCTGAAGACGTACCATCCTCATCCTCATCGGCCGTCCCAGTCTTCGCACCCTTACCAATGACCACCAACACCCTCTCCGCGCCGCAACAACCCACCCCATCCAGCACACCGAAGCCAGAACCACCACCCGACGAGTCCGACGACCCAGACGCCTCGATCCCGCCAAGCGCAAGCTGCAAGCGACGCGGGTGCGGGAAGTCACAGGACAGCAGCGTGGCGCGGGACGACGAGGAATGCACATACCACCCCGGCGTACCGATCTTCCACGAAGGCAGTAAAGGCTGGACATGCTGCAAGCGGCGGGTGCTGGAGTTCGATGAGTTCCTGAAGATCGAGGGCTGTCGGACGCGCAGTAGGCATTGTTATGTGGGCAAGAAGAAGAAGATCAGAGATGCTGATGACGGTCATGGTGGGCCTGCAGAGGCAGAGGAGGAGGAGAAGCTACCGACCGTGCGGAACGACTTCTACCAGACCCCGTCCAGTGTCATTGTCAGTTTCTACCTGAAGAAGATTGACAAGGCGCGGGCGAAGGTTGAGTTTGCCGAGAGCGGAGAGACGGTCACGCTGGATTTGCCGACGAGTGATGGGAAGAGGTTCGCGAGTGTGTTGCCGCTGTTTGCGCCCGTGGATCCCGAGAAGAGTTCGTTCAAGATCATGGGCACGAAGCTTGAGATGGTGCTGGTCAAGAAAGACGTCGCGAGTTGGTCGTCTTTACGCAATGATGAGCAACCTACGGGTGGAAGGATTCAGCTGGGGCAGGCAGGGCGTGCTGTCTAGGTATTTCACTTGGGAGGGTAAATGTGGTCTTCATTGCATGATATGCCAGAGGGAAAGATATGAAGGAATCCAAATCCCTGCGAGAGCACTTGATTAAGACTGCGTAGGCAAGTTCCAAACATCGCATCGTGCATGGTCACGGCGGGGGCATGATCACGAACAATGAGAACCATCAAAAGTGTGGAATGCATGGGTAATCACGCAAGACGGAGATAGACTTATTGCACTGAAAAAGAAATTCAATTCTTGTCACAGGCTTGGAATTCAAGAGGAAAAAACAAACTCTTGAATCTGGAGAAATCTCAAACTTCCACCATTGAACCAGTCACCACTCTCACCTCTCCAGCACCTTTAAGCACTCAAAGTCTCACATTCAGCAGCGCTCATGATTTCATCATTCATTGATAACAAGTATGTTTTGATTGTAACAGGGGGTATGTAGCATCTCCTCCACAGTCACGGCGCACCGCACGAGCGCAACAATCGCGACCATAGTATGTTGGGAAAAAAGGAACGGTGCCTGGCAAGTCTGCTCTGCGAAGCCGGGAACGGAAGGAAATCCACATGGAGAAGAATAGCCCTCAGCAAGCCACCGTAGTGGAGCTTCGGTAAAAGTGTTTACATAGATTTGTAACACCTCTACTGATGATGAGGGAAAAGAAAAAAAGAAAGAGAAGCAGAAGAGAGAACAGGCGCTGGTGGTAGAATTTGTACTCGAGGATATTCTGCGGACGCTAGCCTGTTTGCGGTGGTAGTAGTTTTCTTGGCGGAGAATTGTGTCACGTGTAGTTGCCAAGAGTCGGATGGGGCAAGGCTGGCGAGGCTGAATGCAATTTGGACTTCACAGTTTCCCATCATCCTTGAAATGAACAGACATGGATTTCATTATACTGAGCTCTTGAGGATGAGCCTGCAAAGGGACCACGTGATAGTTATTCGGAATCTTAGTCCATTACGTAGCTCAAGTCCATCTATTCGCGTGTGGAATTTTACAGTATGGCAGGACTTGTTCGGGCAGACGGTACTAAAGGAGGACATCGGAGACTAGGGTCTACCTCCTGCGCTCTCACCAGGAGCTGCCGAGCTATGTCAGATTTCCAAGTAATGGATAATCCTGAGAATGTCACATATCCCACAGAAGATCCGTTTAGCTCTTTTGTGGTTATAATGATGGGTTACAAGGAGCGGGCAGCGAGACAATTTGTACTGTAAGATGTAGACGCGGTGGAGCAGAGACCAGATATGTGTTGACGTTTCAGTGGAATGGGACGTACTAGGCTGCAAATCCTAGGTTAGCGGGTACATCGTATGCGGATATGAGAAATCAACTGAACATTGAGAGGAAGGGAACATTTACTGAGGAAAGAAGAAGGAAATGTAGAGAGCAATTCAAGCTATTTTCTTTGATCTCGTCTAATTCCATCGAGAAGGGTGGGCTGCTTACGTATTAGTTGAGTACGAAGCCTACCCTGAGGACTACCTCCTCAAGTCGAAGATATTAGAAGCCAGCTCATATTCAATATCCATAACGGATCTCAACCGAGTGCAGTGACCGCATGAGCAGTGACTGCCATGCCCATGATTCACCCCATTAGATTCTCCTCGCCCAGAATCATCACGCGATCACCCGTGCTGCAACATGAAATGCGTTCTTTTGCTGTAGAATCTCATTGCTAGAAGAACAAGGTCGATCTGATCTTCAAAGGTGTTTTTCAGGCGTTGTCACCATTAGGAGTGGTAATACTGCCGTCCTTGGTATCTTCGGTATCGGTGTCTTCAGCTTTCTCTTCCTTGACAACTGCAGGGGTGGAGGGAGCATCTTTCTTGGTAGGTTTGGGTGTTGTGGTTGCAGCGACTTTGGACTTCTTGGACGGAGTGGAGTCATCATTTGTCTTTGTTGCTCGCTTTCGGCCCTTGGGCGTGGTGGTCTTGGGGGTTCCCGTAGCAGACGCATCACCATCGTTAGTGATTGTTGAACCTGCCACCTTCTTGATGTTGCCAATGCGATGTGTGACGGCTTTGGCAGTGCAATCTGTTTAGCAGTAAAAGGTCAATATACAAAAGCTTGCGGAGAGGAGGAGTGAGTCAGAACAGCTCACCATTACCCATCATAGCGGCAACTGCAGCATAGTTGACTTTCACATCGGAGGTCGCCAGGACAGCAGCAAAGAGCTTGATCACGAGGTTTTAGAACCGATTCATTTGCAAAGATAGCTGGGGCTGCAGTGGAAACTCGCAGAGAGAGTAAAAAGAGGGCGAAGAAAGCTTACCCTCGCATCGGCATCGGAGTTCCAAACCATAGGCATTTTGGCGGAAGTAGTTGGGATCAAGGACAAGCTATGGACAGAAAGGAAGAGATCGACGAGGGCAGTTGAGTTTTTCTCAAGGAGTAGTCAGTACGAGGAAGCGAAGAGGAGCGAGAGAACAGAAGAAGATATACAATACGATAAGAAGAAGTATCCTTAACCCTAAAGAATCAATAGAAAATTCGGACAATGTTTGAGGATGAGGGAAAGAGAGAAAAAAAGAAGGGCAATGTTGGGAGGTGAAGGAGGAATATATGTAGCCCTAGGTTCTAGACCGTATTGAGTGATTTCCCGAATCAGAGAGAATGAAGTGAAGAATATGTAGACTAGTGCTAAAAGAAAAGTAAATCTTCATAGTAGTTACTAGAAGTCCTCGCTGAGGCCACGCGATGACATGGCGGGCGCCTTCGTCTCAACCGGGTTTCGTCAACGAGCGTGCTGGGCGAGGGATTCTGTGAGCGTTAACTTGAAGTAGTAGGTGAGAAGAGTGTAGAGAATAGAGAGAGATTGAGCGGATAGGTCTTAACAAGAACGGAACTTGTGAAAAACAAACGTATTAGATGATCGTTAGAATATACATTATAACGTCGCCTACCATGTTTTCCATGTACAGCCAATATGCTACAGCCATTCCCTGTCGCCTCAAATCCAGAAGGTTGTTAGCTACATCGCTCTTGCTTTGTTGAACTTGTCTGGATTTCTAGATATACTCTTTCTCACTTGTGAGACATTTGATTTCTTTCAACCCGAATTTCTATCCTCAGTAGCGTCTGCCTGGGTGGTAGCACTCCTTTGTACTTAGGGTATGTCGCATTCAACATGACCGGGCTGCTGTCCTGAGAATCTCGATCTGGCTGTCTCCATACTGGCTGGATGTATTTTATATCTGGGCTGTCCATGGTTTTTCGAATGCCAACAGTACCAAAAGTGCATTTGCGTTGCTAGATCCTTCGTCAGTCTCTCAACGGCCATTGTTGTACTGCTTTCCAAGTCGAAGATGGATTGCTAATTCATGTCATGGGTCCAGTTCGCACAATGTCTTGAACATGTGACCCTGCATTTGAGAGTGACAAGGCCTGCAAGATGTGGCCCTCAATGCACATGTCTCGGAACTTTGTCCTGAACATGCCTGGAAATTCCGTTTTGTTGTGTAGAGAAGGGGTACATCGAAGCATATGCTTGCCAGGTAGTTTGTGAGGGCAAACACGAATCTCTGCTCCCTATTCTAAGCTTGCCAAATCCAACGGAACACTGCTACCTCTTCCTGCACGGTACCTTTTCGAGACACCAGTGAATTGACGGGGAGGTGGTAATTGGCTTTCGTCTTGGAATTTCCATCTATTGTCCTCGATTCTGAATGTGCCAGATCGACCTGGAGAACCCAGACCACCCCCATTGGAAAGAGTGTAAGAACTAGCATCCAAAGTAGACCTGGAAGGTAATTGGGTCATCCGCCTTGATCCTGGTGGAGAGACGGGTGATGAGGGCGACGGGGGAGCTTCGGTTGCCGAATAAGAAGACTGTCTCCCGAAAGCGGTTGTAGCCGCCTTCATTGCCAGTGATGCGCCCGCGCCATTTGTTGACGGATGTGACGTTGGAGGGGGTGGTGGTCCTGGGGGTGGTGGAGGCGGCGGGGGAGGTGCTGCCGCTCTAGGTGCTGCCGAAGGTGGCATCGGAGGCGGCGGAGGAGGTGCTGAAAAGGGTGCTGGACTTGAACTGGATGGTGGAGGAGGGGGAGGTGGCGGAGGAGGGCCAGGAGCTGGTGGCGCGAAACTGGGTACTGGAGGGGTGGGAGCTGAGCTGAAGGGTGGCGGAGGTGGTGGAGGTGGAGGTGCTGAAGGAGCAAATCCTGAAGAAGAAGTTGAAGAAGCCGGAGGCGGAGGCGGCGGAGGTGCTGGGGGAGGCGCAAAACTGCTGACCTTCCTTGCTGTAGGTGGAGGAGGTGGTGGTTTTCCTGCTGCCAAGTTGGCAATAGATGAAGGTTTGGCCAGTGGTTTCGGAGGAACCTTCTTGAGGCTGGCGAGCGGACTAGGTACTGCTGGCGCCGAGTCTATGGATCCTGGGAGAGGTGGTCTGAAACTTGGGATAGAGGGAGCAGGCATAGAAGGCGGACGAGGTGCTGCACTGACTGGGAGTCGAGGGGTTGGTCTGCTGGTTTCCGAGTCAGAATGTGGTCCATCTGCACCATCTGCCCCTGTATTGATTCCACCCCGAGTCTTTTTCAGCTTTGGCATGCCGCCGGCGAAGAGGCCACCCAGTTGAGGCGGAGCAGCCATGGAGGTGTCCTGCCCACTATCACTATTGCTGCGTGCTCGGTTTGCACTGGGAGGTGGTGGTGCAAGTCCACTGGGCGCCCTCATTCCGGGCACTGGAGGTGCTCCTGGCACAGGACCTCCGCCACCACCTCCACCGCCCTTGTTCTCTATCACAGGTGCGGATCGATCATTGGTGACAGCCTTCTTGAGTCTTGTTCCTTTGGTGATATCTCCCAATAGAGCATCCTGCAAACCAGTCAATACATGTCTTGTAACCTAGTACTCCGCAATACTTCTGTGTCTGGCTCAACAGAGAAGAACTAGGATCGACATACCCGTCCTTTCATTGCTGCTTTGGGTGGCCCTGCAGATTTAGAATTCCCAGGGAGTGGTGGAGGGGGAGGAGGACCACCAAAGCCTGCCCCAGGTGGAGGGGGAGGCGGCGGCGGCGGAGGTGGTGGAGGACCAGGCATTTTGACTATGCGCGGGTGGTAGGCTTTGTCTGAATAGCCGTACTTCTATCTGGGATGCGCAGACAGTCTTTCGAACAGACGAATTCAATGGGGATCAGACACACACGAGGGTGGGTTCTGGGAGGAGAGCTGGAGAGTCAAGAGTCCGAGTGCGTGACTCAAAGAGGAGGTCGAAGATTCACCAAAAGACAAGAAACGAATGGGCACAACCAGATATGGCATTTGTGGGATTATTCGTGTATCAACATCGCCAACTGCGCTGAAGGGCTGGAATTGAGGAACGAGGGTTATGGTTGTGGTCGGCAGTAAGCGAATTACCTGTCAGAGACGTCGCCGCGTAGCAGCAGTGGAGGTGGAACTGGTACGGAGCAGTAGTGACTGTCACCCAAAAGTGCAGCCTAAGCCTGCAGTCGTCATCTAAACCCAAATTGCTCCCGAAGTCCCTGGAATCTCGCCTCGCCTGGGCGGTTGGGCCGTATGACGGTTAGCCCTTATAGGCTTGGAAAAGCGACCGGTGGACCCCGAGGCAATCACTTTTAGGCATCATAGGGGCTCAACAAGCAGATCCTGGGCATTTCTGGGGCTGGTGCATAGGATAAAGTCGCCTCTGCAAGATGGTTCTTTTTTTGAGGCTGAGTGACGGCCACATTCCAAACATTCCGGAAGTCTGTCGTCTACAAATTGTTCTAGGCAGCACAATTTCGGTGATCTTGCATTTTGATAAAAGTGATATTCTATTCCATTCATTTGCTTACACACCCTCCGCTTCGTTCTTGCAGAATTCCGGAGCCTGCCTCCCGAAGCCAAGGTTATGCCAGCAAAACGCACAAAAACTATGGATTAAACTCCCCCAAAGTGACCTTGGTAACAGACCAGACATAGGCAGATCATTCATATGCGTGATGGAAGAGCGTTTCACCGTGAACAAGCTGGTTGCTGTGGACTGGGGCTCGGTACTCACGGCTTTGGCCCTTTCAGCAATTCTTGTATCAAAAAGACTTCCTGGTTTGGACGGAGAGTAAATGTGAACAGGCAAATTCGTGGTCCGAAGAACTCGACTATGCAAACAATTTTGATTGATTTGCTATCCAGATGTATCGTCCATTTAGTTGTGTCCAGCCTTGCGGAGTGAGTTAGACAACCATTCGAGTCCTTCGTAGAGACCATCACCAGATGTGGCGCAAGTCGATTGGATGTACTATTTCAGAAGTGGTTAGCATTGGGTTCGATTGAATGAAAGATCGAGGCTGTCTTACCCAGGCACGTTGTCGGAGACTGTGAAGACCAAGTTTGTCGGTGATTTCGGCGGCATTCATGGCATTCTATCGTCCTTGTCAGTATTCATGTTTAGGCCAGATCGTTCATTTTCGCATACTGGAAGATCCTGTTTGTTGGCAAAGACCAGGAGAAGAGCATCACGGAGCTCGTCTTCGTTCAACATGCGCTGAAGTTCCTCACGTGCCTCGACCACACGATCTCGATCGTTGGAGTCGACTACGAAGATGATACCCTGGGTATTTTGGAAGTAATGCCTCCAGAGAGGTCGGATCTTGTCCTGACCACCGACGTCCCACACGGTGAACTGGATGTTCTTGTACTCGACGGTTTCGACGTTGAAGCCTGAGGAATAGTTTAGTATCACGTAGGAAAGTTGAAGATAGATTGGTCGTACCGATCGTGGGAATGGTGGTTCTGTTCCACAGTTAGCGCCTTATCAAGAGGACATCCGGAGGCCGTAAACATACACAATTTCACCAAGTTTGAGCTTGTACAGGATGGTGGTCTTTCCGGCAGCATCGAGACCAACCATCAAGATTCTCATCTCTTTCTTTCCCCAAAGCCGGTCAAACAGTTTTGAGAAAGTAAGACCCATGATTGCGGCTCAAGTGGTGAGGGTGTGGAAGGGAGGTTGCGGTAAGGCGGTCTAGGGAGTAACGAGGTCAGTTGGAGGATCGGAAGCGCGTAGAGGAATCGAGATGGATCGACCGATGCAAGAAGATAGTGGTGGCCACAAGACCCGAGATGGTGCTGTATTGTATGTAGATATAGAGCAGGATCTAGGCTGTCTCCCTTGAGCAGGTCAGGGCACATGTGTGGCCACTTTGTCCTTCGGCATCGGAGAGAGCCATCTGCGCAGGCAGATGAATTAATGGCTTACCGGGTGAGAAGATGAGGAGACTATTCCTGGCGCAGGAACAGTTGAGGGATGTCGATTAATTACGAGGTGCTGGTGGTGCAGAAGAGGGACGAGGATGATGGGACTTTGGGGTGGACAAGTTTCAAGGATGGAACTTGAACCTTTGGCGGTGGTGCCAAGACCGGGAAACCGCGCTGATTTCCACTGAGACTGGGAGTTGGAGGTCCTCGAGATTTCAACACGACACGACGGCGGCCACTCACCAAAAGTAATTGCAGAATATTCTTGTCTCGATCACAAACCTCATAAAAATATCTAAGCTTGGGCCTCTTTCCAGGGGCAGGGGCTTTTATCCAGCTTTATCAGTCCATACTCTGAAATTACTGCCAGAGGACACAACTCAACATTTTCTGGCTTCTCCGTGTGTCATCTACATCTTGCCAGCTGCCAGTGTCAGTCCACTGTCAACTCAGTCATGGGTATTTATTCTCAAAATATCACAAAAAATTTCCAGAGTAAGGACATGAAAATCTCTTCATCTTCCTCACGCTTTACGCGTCTCAAATATCATATCTTATCTCAATCGTGCGATATTTCCTGCCTTCCTTTTCTGCAATGCCATCAGCGTTGACCACACGGAACCCAAGTTTTCGATAAAGCGCGAGGGCTGAATCATTGCCATGCCTGACACTTGCTGTGCAGAAAGGTGGTGCCTGTCCAGCTTTGGTCTCATGCTTTCTAACCGTGTCTATCACTTGCCGGACCATTCGTTTTCCCAATCCGATACCGCGTGCCTGTGTGTCGATATACAGAGCATTCATCAGGTATTCTGGGGATTTGTTTTCTGCATCAGGAACGATGATGACAACGAATCCAACCCATTCACCTGCCAAAAGAACCGATTTCGAATCAGGGCCATCAGACTCAGAAGTATTCTTGACAAGGATATGATGGATTGCTTGGGAGTCCTGGAGTCTATTCCACCAGAAATCATCTGGTTGATTGACCTCGCTGTCATAAATCGAAACCCACTTATCAGGATCGGCCTTTAGACTCTGGAGTCGGAGATTTTTCAGCCTGCGCGAGAACTCCTGGAACGTGGTATCCGCCTGGTCGAGCTTAGGGAGAGTGTGGATCGAATACGCCATTGGAATGACCCGCGTGTGAGGAGAACTGAAGTTGAAAATTTCTATGGTGAGATTTCAGAACAGCTCGATGCTTGAGATCGTACTCTGCATTTGCCCTTCAACGGCTGGTTTTATTCCCCCTTCAGAACAGTCAATTGATTGTTGGTGACTCACATACGAATACGAGACAGAATACAGGTTGCATCGGCAAATATGTGCCCACCACAGTAGAAAGAAACGTCTCCTGTTGCTAGGTCAGCAATGGATTAATCTTGGGGCCGGTTCGGTACTGGACGTCTGTGATATGTTCGTATCACAATACACAACGAAGTATTTCAGGTTCAAAAAGATTCGTTGTCAGGCAAAAGCAGTCGCTTGAACACAAGCCAACTGCACTTGCCGCTTTTTGCCTCTCCAGCTGCGCGCTAAACCAATTCTGGTACAGATCGGGGAACAGCCATCTGAAGCTCACATCCCGAGTCGAAGGAAAACTTTCAATGCCGCTTTAAACACCTTCTGGGCGGGGATTTGATATCTGCCAGGATCGCAAAGGGCACTGATGCTGGCGGTCATGAGACCATCCACAGAAGACTGACGACACTTGGAGCATATTGGATTCGCAGCCGATGGGATTGATCCTCCACGTTGAAGACTTCTGCGGCATCTGCAGCAGCCTCTGGCGCCATGTGCTCTCTTCTCACTGCATTCCGAAACTATTAGTGAATTCTTCTTTTTCTGAAATAAGACATGTCTCACCGATTGTGATTGCAATTGCGTGTCAGAATATCAAGTACCGCGCGAGCAATCAGCGCAGACTTGATGCCGACATGCGCCAAAACTGCAGGTCCCAACAGTGTTTGTTTCCCCTTGGCATTGACAACACTTCCAGCGACCATTGAGCTTTTCAAATGGACAACCCTGTTTTGTGCATGGTGAGAACATCTGGTTCGATACGTATGTTGGTGTGTTGGGGCACAATTTCTTCCCGTTTTTTCCGCAATGCTGTCGTGTATTTGTATGGTGACCGGGAAGATGACAGCGATGGATCTTTCTCTGTCGGACACACATTGTGAGTAGCCTTATTGCGGATTTCTAAAAGACAATGAGGCTGTTGATCTTCAATTTGTCCAGTGGCGCAGATATCGTGGAGGTTTGTTGTGACTACATGCCGAGTACCTTTATAGGGTGTCTGGATCCTTGTTTGGCTCATTGGAGTGAAGTATCGTTGTGAAATGCTGGTGTGAAGTGCTGACGTGAAATATCGAGGTAAATATCGAGCTGAAATATCGAGCTGAAATATCGAGGTGAAAGACTACATTTGGTTATAGGTGAAGCAGAGGTTCCTACCGTCCTTCGGGCTAGGATATGGCTTGAACTGACCGGAGTATGTAGCGATGCGAAAATCGAGGTCAGTGAACATCAATACTCTTCCACATTGTTGTACTCAGATTGAGAGATGGCGACCACGATTTTCTAGGTATGTAGAAAATTGGTGCCAGGAAGTTGTGCTGCATAGCATGTACACTATACCTAGGCACTACTGGCGTTGTACTCCGTTTCTGCTCTGTTGCACGCCCAGCGAAATGAGCATCTACCATGAGGGCATGAGTAGTGGGTCTCCCATGCTATTGTACTGTAACATGGCCCACGGTAGGTCTCGCAAAAGGATGGTCTACCGCCAGCTGAGTCTACAGGTCGAGATCTTGCGTTTTGCCAACGAGCTGATCACTTCATAAGATCAAAGGCTAGCTCTCGTTGGATGAAAAGCGTTCGGCTCCAAAGCCACTCACCTGCGTTACAGACCAGGGATGTTGTCGCAACAACTTCGCCGTATCGCTTTGCCGGCACATGACAGCGTTGACCTCAGTTTTCGGTTACGTGAAGCGAAGAGATAAGGTTGTGATCTGCTGAACAGCATATCTTATCTCATGGCAGGCTGAGGTCATGGTGATGGTTGATGCACAGCAGCCAATCAGAAATCGATATGGGAATGGCGAGGCAGTCGGCAGTGGCCGCTTATGGTTAGCGGTTGTCTAGATCCGGAAAAGTGCATCTCTTGGCAGTCTTTCCTGACCTTGTTGTGCAAAATATCTGTTTTCCAACGCAGTGTTAAGTCGATTTCTCTCTCCTGGACCACGGTGCAGATTTTCCAAATCGCTCAAGATGGAACTTCCAGCTGTTGATCCCGACAAGTTTGTTATGCGCGAGGTGAGTGGATTAGGATCAGATCGATGTCAAATCGTCCTCATGTACGACCAACACCGATTCGTTCTTGACGTGGCAAAGCAAGATGACAAAGAAGATGGGGATGTTTTATCAGATTATTTCTATCGAAGTGAGACGGCCGAGAGTGATGGCGATGAAGATTTGCTTGATCGATGCGTGGAAGATCTGGTAGACCTTGTGATCTCGGAATGCAAATATACACTGTACTCCTTTGTCGACTCAGTCAAGAAGCCGAACGGCGAGCACCCTTCTCTTGAGGACCACCTGTACCCGAAAACTTCGTATCTGCAACTAAAAATCCTGGATGGACAACTGAAAGCGGTCGAGATGAACGATCCTTCCGAGTTCGCTGGCCAGTACTTGCCTACGCCGTTGTCAGCCGAATTTACACCTCAGGCCATGACTTCTCTCACTCCATCAGTTGATATAGCGTTCATTCAGAACCTATACGCGAATAAAGTTCTCAAAGTCTCCGAAGACGGCAAGGTGCGTGTCTTCAAATCAGCAAACGAGGCCAACGAATACCAGCTTGAACGAGAAATACTTGTCCTGCAGCAAATATCTGAGAAGTGGAAGCTAGATCAACCCATCCAGCCTCGGGTTCCTCGCTTTCTTGGTCTCGTAACATCTAGAGGTCGAATTATGGGAATGTTGGAGGAGTTTATCGATGGCACGGAACTTGCGCAAATAGGAGCAGACAAAGCCTCCCCTGCCCAATGCCAAAAGTGGAAGCTTCAGATTGAGCAATCTGTCTCCCAACTACACGAGAACGGGATTGTGTGGGGAGATGTGAAGATGGCAAACATCATGATCGACAAGGCGGACGATGCCTGGCTCATTGATTTCGGAGGCAGCTGGACTGATGGCTGGATCGACAAAGATCTAAAGGAGACCATAGAAGGCGACTTGCAGGGCTTGTCAAAGGTAGTGGCAATTCTGAATGGCGACCTGACAGATCCAACGTATCATCGCAAGGCAACAACTGTTGAAGAGGATGCCAAGGTACAACAAAATGAAGCCATCAATGAGTTTTCTTGCTCGACTATTGAAGGGGATACAATCATACAACAAAGCGCAGTCATCCATAAGAGCGCTTACTTGGTGGGAGGCAACGGAGCAGAAGTGGAACAGAACGTTGAACAAATCTCAGAATAGTGTTTGGCTGCTCAAACGGATCCTCGCAATAGGCTTAATTGGAATGCGACGTTGACGATCAATGAAAGGCAAGTGATCCCACAAGCAGAGCATGGAACACGAACTCGGGTTGTCGTCTCGACTCTGAAGTGCAAGCTTGTAGATTACTTGGGTTAGAAAGTGCAAAGCGAAAACAAAGCAAGTCTTCACTTGCCTCAACAAATTCGTTCATTGTCCGCGGATTGGCTGTTCTTTGTTGATCTTGATATTCTATTATTCTAGATAAACCCGGTGCGACTTCTCCCAACGAGGCGCTAGATGCTGCCCTTTTTCATCGATGGTATAGGATATGGTCTGAAAAAATACTAAATGGAAGTTCAACAATTCTGCCCACATATTCTGTGCCAGTACCGATACGGTGCGGATTCGCTTCCTTGCGATACTTCCCACCCATACTGTGATGAAAACGCAACAAGGGAATGCGACTGACATCCAGGATTAGTCGTTGCTGTTCTTGTCGAAGTGCGCCTCCTCTACCTCATAGAAGGCCCAAATATACTGGCCAGACTGTGACGAAACTCGGGGTCTTGAATGACTCAACGACACAGCGCACAATTTTTGGTTCCACTGTCCCTTGTACTCCAGGCTTCAGAACTGGGAGGGAGCAGGCCGTAGGCATCGTTTTGATTGTTTTCTGCTGGTGAAGTGCTCTTCAACAATTGCGGACGGATTTTGAGCACGCTAGCTTCGGGTTCTCGCTGAAATTCTTCTCGAACTCATGTTCTCCCAATTGCAGGTGTGTCAACTCCTCACGGAAAAACCCAGAGAAGATGTTTGTTACTCTCAGCTCGAGTCAAGATGAGAAGATGATTGAGAGAGCTCCGAGGCAGGCGACTCCCATCAGGCGTATCGATATAGCGCGAGATACCCTAGCGCTTCCTGTTGGCGTCGGCGTGGAGGATGAGGTCCGCTGTGTGCTAGTCGTGGCTGGCGCTCCGCTCCCAGTACTCGTCGTTGTCGTTGCAAATGCTTCAATGAAAATGTTAGTGTGCCAGAGTACTACTTCAGGTTTCCGCAAGGCTTACCTGGTACCGGAAGCGTAGTTGCGGATCCTGTTGCAGTCCTCAACAGCGCCATACTGCTGGTCCCCCTCCCGCAACCCACTAGTGGCGTGAAATCTGTGACATCGAGATTCTCAAATATCTTATGGGTGATGCAATTGAGATCACTAATTCAAACAAGAGTCAATCTACACCCATAGAGATCGATATAGGTTAACATACCAAACGACTGAGTCTCCATCAATGCCAAAAGCCGTCTTTCCAGAACATCTAGTATATACATCGTCAAACCCACAACCAGCATATCCCGATGCAATTGTCAGCGGGTTGTTGACACAAGACAGCCAATCTGCAGAGTGTCAATAGTACTCGGTTGAAAAAGCGACAAGTGAACGGGCAGTGTTGATCGTACAATAATCTCCATCTGTCCCATTCTGTCCCAATCCTATCGAATATTGATCTTGTGGAATTGCCGTGGAAACAACAGTGTAATAACTTGTAGTTGCCCGCGCCATCAAGGCCCCATGCTTGTTCGCTTCTGGAGAAGTTGGACTGGCTGATGGGGCTGAGCTCCCATTTGAGAGTTCGGCCAATAGCGCGACGGTAGTAAAGCTTGCGAGAGACAGCATCGTTAAAATCACTTCAAAAAGTTGCTATATGGCCTGGATGAATATAAAATATGGATGCAGTCAAGATGAGAGAGCAAAAATTGGATGCTCAAATTGTTTAGAGCAAATCAACCCAGCATATATCACTTACGGGTCTGAAAAACGCACTTCCAACTGAGAATAGTTCATTCGTTGAAATGAGCCCATTCTTCACACACAGACAGTCTGGCGGCTTCCGATCGCTTGATTTCTGGGAATATCGACAACAAAGCCGAAGTGGCTTGGCTGGGCCATCTTGGGTGTACTCTGGAAATGATCGTCTCGTATTTAAGCGGCTCTGGGGGCGTCGATAGAGCCTTGTCATGCCTTGGCAACCCCTTTATTTCTTCGTGAGGCTTTTTGCCATTTGGACTGGATATGGAGCCTTGACCGAGACTCAGCTCTTCAAGCCTGGGAACTTGGGAAGTCGCGTTTGAAACGATGCATGCTTTGACTGGTTGGGATTCAAACACCCGACTCGTCAAGTTTGTACATAGGTACGATGTATCCTGGTCAGTAACCTTGTAATGTAGCCGGAGAAAATTCGTTTGATATCCCAGCCTTGCATTTGGCAGTGAGGCGATTTCTGCCATCTTTCTCTGGCCTCCTTTCAGCTCTGGTTGTTTGTTGCAGCTTAACAGTGGTTCGGTAACAGCATGTTATGCGCTAAATGCAAGGCGTTTGCTGAGTTCTGTTCTTGAACTTTTGTGCACGTGAACTCCTTCTTAATCCCACCTTTTTGTCGGCCACGTCTTGCATCTTCGACGCGTCTTATGAACGACGTTTTCGGTGAGTACGGTAATAACAATGTCCGTGGCCTGGCAGTGGAGGTGACAGAAGATGAATCGCCCGGTGGCGAGAACGGTTTGTAGATCATAACTATTTTATAAACAATCCTAAACTTCCGACAGGTTCGGATGGCGGATCCATCCCAACAGCCTCTGGGCCACTCCCGGCTAATAATACGGACCCGATAAACCATGGCAAACGATACACACTCGTCCAGAAAGTGCAAATACTAACATTACTTTCGATTGGCACTCCCCCTCAAAAGATCAACGAGTGGCTCGGCGTGCCAGTAATTCAATGTCAGCGCTTGATGAAGAAGGCGAGGAACACGGGCTACCGACCGGAAGAGGACAAAATGATCCTTCAATCGTATGTCGAGGACGGCATCAAAACAGGGAGGCCAAAGAAGATCATCAGCATGGAAACTGAAGCTGCAATTCTAGCAAGTGCCAATGAGAAGTCGATTAGAGTTCTCGCTCGGGAGCATGGGGTATCTGCTGCTACTGTTCTCAGGATTTTCCCGAACAACGACGTTCAACTAGAGCATTGGAATAGCAGGTCGGGATCAAGATGGAAGAAATAGACATCGGGCCAGAGCCGAGTGGGACAGGGACTCATCGTCATGCAGCAAAAATCACATGGAAGGCAATGGATTCGTCGACGCTAGAGCAACGACAAGCCACACAGCCTGCAAGGAAGTGTCCTCATCGCGGCTTGATCGCTTAGCAAGCGTTTCTGGGTGGTTGGCAACAAAGACGTCGATATCTTGATTTTGCAGAATGAGTCTGGAGAAATAACCTGGTTGGTCTATGTAGCAGGCACGCCAGAAACTACGAATATCGCGTCCAAGGATGCACCGAGTAATTTTGAAACGTTTGTCTCTTCTTGTCGCCTGAAGCTGAGTTTCAGTGAGTCACGGTGGTTGTTGACTCACGAATAATGGGTTTCTGGCAAGGCTCTGAGCCATGGTCGAGAAATTTAAAGCGGCATGATGACAAACTTGTTCGAAAAGTCTTGGCACCCCTCACCGAACAATTTATTCCCACACTTCCGTCTCCAACTCACTGTGACTTTCCCTCTCTACAACCGTTAAGCGCTATATCCTCACCATAAGAATCTCATCAATTCTTCTGGAAGACTGTCCATCATCATGTCGAAAATCACAGTCGGTACGTCGAAATCCCCACTTACCCTGTCCTGCTTGAGGGTGAATTGATGGAACTGGGGGACTGACTTTTTGTTTCGCCACCTTCTAGCCGGAGTGCGCACCAACGTGCAACAACTACTTGACTACTCTTTGAACGAGAAGAAGCGAAACTTCCTCGAGACCGTCGAACTCCAAATCGGCCTCAAGAACTATGATCCTCAGCGTGACAAGCGTTTCTCTGGTACCATCAAGCTGCCAACCGTTCCTCGCCCGGGCATGGCCATCTGGTACGTCTCGATTCACCGCAATCTCCAACTTTAATGGCAGAAAGATACACTATCATGAATGCTTTGCCAAACTAGTTCTGGGGAATAACACATGCAGAAAGAGAAGAGACTGACATTCTCCGCCTCCAGTGTCCTCGGTGACCAGCACGATATCGACCGAGCCAAGCACCACGGCGTTGACGCCATGTCAGCCGATGACTTGAAGAAACTCAACAAGAACAAGAAGCTGATCAAGAAGCTTGCCCGCAAGTACGACGCCTTCGTGTCCTCCGAAACCCTGATCAAGCAAATCCCCCGTCTCTTGGGCCCGGGTCTTTCCAAAGCCGGCAAATTCCCCACCCCTATCTCGCACAACGAAGACCTCGCACAGAAGATCACCGAAGTCAAGTCCACCATCAAGTTCCAGCTGAAGAAGGTGCTCTGCTTGGGTGTCGCGGTCGGAAACGTCGGCATGACTGAGGACGAGCTCATCAGCAACATCATGTTGTCCATCAACTACCTCGTGTCGTTGTTGAAGAAGGGATGGCAGAACGTCGGCAGCTTGACCGTCAAGGCTAGCATGAGCCCTCCTAAGAGATTGTATTAAGTTATGGATCTCGTTGGGAGTGGGTTGTGTCTGGCTCTCGTTGTCATCTGCTGTGATATCTGGTCATGGTCCACCCACCAAAAGTTAGGGTTGAATAATCATAGACAATGATGGTTATCTCCGCCTCTTAAGTACCTATCATCGATCTAGTAGATAGAAAAGCCCAATGATGAGAATAACGCAAGCTCATTACCTCCACATGTTTACTTCACGAAAGGAACGAAGGAAATGTCCGAGCTTGCATGATTATGTTGTATAAATTCGTATTTTGTACAAGGACACAGGAGCGGTCCACAAACTGCCAAGTCTCACTGCATCCCCTCCATCAAATCCGTCTTATCAAGGATCATGCTGCGCGCACCACACTCATCCCTGAGTGTCTGCCAGTCCTCACCAACCTCTTCACCCCACCTTCCTTTATTCTCGAAGCCCCAGGCGAGGGCCAGACGGTCGAAGGCTTTCCGCTCGTCCTCTCTCAACCACCTCTGGTTCAAATGCGTACCCGGTCGCCACACCACCCGCTCCATCTGGTCGTTACTGGTCGTGATGGCGACAAAGCCGATCGTGGATAACGTTCCGATGTACGCCATCGCCGCCGCAATTGACGTGTACTTGGCCATCTCATAGTCCATCGTATTCTGCGTCTTGGCGACCCATGATGCGCCGGCATATGCGACGGCAGGGAGGGCAGCTACGCCCAGTAATGGGATGGCGGCACGACTCAGCACCCGCTGCGCGAGGTAGGCCGGCGTTGCGACCGTCGTGTCGATGATGGCCAATGCCAGGGGAAGATTTTTCTTTACGATCGCGGCTTGCAGTGCGAGATATGCCATGGCTTCCGGTACTGCATACTTGGGTAGCCTTGACCACGGATTAGAGTATGTAACTGGTGATGAATCCCTAACCGGGATTTTTTTGTGCGCGTAAAGGTTGAATATTTCAGGCAGATACTCCGGTTTCCCCAGTAGACATTGTACCCGTGTGTAGATGGTGAGGATATCTGGGCCGATGAAGACCTTCGGGTCTCGAGCCAGTTTCCACGTCAATTCAGCGAGTGTGTCGGCTGCACTGGCGCGAAACGGTGCCGACATCTCCTTCTCGGCGATATATATTGGTTCATTTGATCTGCCTTCGGCGAGGTCGCGAAGAACCGAGTCGGCCAGGTTCTCGCCCTGTCTGCTCTCCACTTCATTTGGGCCTTTGTTGATTCCAAAGACAATTACATTGGCGAGTTGGTACACGAGGTCGAGGAGAATGATTAGGTTTTCTTGAGAGGGTACTGCGTCTGTCGAAATGATTTTCGAGATGTCTTGCTTTAGCGACACAAGAACTGCGGCTGGGTTCAGCGTTATGACTTTCGAGGAGATTTCATCTGCGGCTGCTATTTCGGCCGCGGCCGCGGCGTCCTCTGCTTCGTCGGTTTCTTCTGCTGGTTCGTGCGAAGGCTGTCTACCTGATGTTGGTGAGGCGTGTGTGGCTTTAGCAGCAGATAGTGAAGCGCATCGAGATTGTGTTAGGGAGGAGATTGTTGAACGATACGGTCGGGCGGTCAACTTGCGACTCGAAAAGCTTGCGTCAAGAGCACTAAATGATCGTTGATTGACCTTTGTGGCCAGTGACTTTTTACATGAGTGGCATACAAAGCCTACTCGTCTAGGTAGTATAGTTGCCATACTTGCGTGGTTTGGACCATACAATTGACAAGCGTCAACTCCGGAAGGTATGCACTTAGCTGTGCCAGAACATCGATGTAAGGTAGACGCGAAGTTCTGCCGATGATCACGTGGCTACACCCCCTTCTCCGACGTAGCTCATCCAGCAAATCTGGCGGAGATCTACTCCGGCTTTTGCGTCGGTATCGAGTACGAGATGCTCCTTAAATGTATCAGATGAAGCGACATAACATACTATCAACCATCAAGTATCAGAATACGAGACAGAGCTCAACGAGAGGTAAAAATAACAAGTGTCGAGATGTCTCCTTTACCACCACCGACTTCGATTAACTCGAGCGGCTTTGCGACTGCTCTTGAGCTTTATCCGTCTCTCGTTGAGAATGTCTACAAGTCTAAACTAAAAGATGTCAAGAAGCTCAACGAAGCTCTTGAGAGGGACAAGTGGCGTTTCGAAGAGTTACCTCTTTCAATCCCCATCCTGAATGGAGGGAAGGAGAGCAAGGCTGGGAAGTCACAAAAACGAGTGAGCTTGTCAAAGGCAATTGTGGAGAGATTGGTTCAGTGGAAAATGTAAGCTCCTCGTGCACGGCGATAGTCTCTTCAACCACTATTCCAGACTCAAGACTTTGTCTTCACTCGATGTTCCATCGTTTGCGGCAGAACACGCTTCTCAATTTCGGATTTAACAAGCTAAATTACTGGTAGCACACATGGCCACTCACGTCCCTTTCTTCCAGCAATGATTCGCAAGAACGACGCTGCAGCCGTCGAGGAGCAGACTGCTCTGGCGTATGAGAAGTTAGGAGGCTCGCCTTCAACTTCAGCACCGTCGACCGCCACTCTAATTGCGGCTCTAGATTCAGCTTGCAAGCTTACTGGCATTGGCCCAGCTACGGGCACTTTAATATTGGCCGTCTATGATCCCAAGTACATTCCGTTCTTTCAAGATGAGATGTTCTTGTGGTTCTTTCCTGACCATAAAGACGCGAAGCTGAAGTACACCCAGAAAGAGTATTTGCAGCTTTATGATGCTGTGGCTCCTGTGTTGAAGAAGTTAGGGGTCAAAGCTGTTGACCTGGAGAAGGTAGCATATGTTCTTGGGCACAAAGAATTGCTTGAACCCACAGATCTCTCCAAGCTCGAAGAAGCACTTGGGGGGAATAGTGACAATGCTACCAAGAAGCCTGCTGTCAAGAAGGCTGAGAGCAGCCCCAAGTCAGACGCTGCTCCATCTAAACCAGCAAAGGGTACGAAAAGAGGTGCAGAGACGTCACAGCATTCTGAAGAGTCAACTTCGAAGCGGCAGACACGGCGGAACAGAAGCTAGAGTGGGTGTTGGTTTCAATGGTAAATGGTCCTATATTAATACGAGATTATCCCATGCCGCTTTCGAGGCATTTGCGCCAGCAGTGGCATATTTTTCCAGACACTCCAGCAGCCACAACACGATAGACAACGCGATATGGGTATCAACACACTTTACAAGACGAATCCCATTCCAGCAAGAGCCACAGCTATCAAGCCACCAGCTATCTCGAGCCCAGCGGCACCGTTGCCCGAAGTGCTACTGGTGGATGTGGCAGAAGCAGACGAGCCGGTCTCAGAGGCAAAGCCACTGTGAATGGAGGTGTCACTGGCTGATCCAGTGGTAGTGGTCGCACTGGCTCCGCTAGTTGTGGCGGGAGCTGTTCCCAGGGTGGTGGTTGAACCGTACACTGAAGCGGCAATACAGTTCTGTTCACGCTGTTGCTGGACGATACCGACACCGGGGTCAGCTGGGCAGTTGTTGTAGCAAGTCAACATATTTTGATATTGGGTGCAGAGGCAGGCATAGTCCGTGACGCCGCATGAATTGACCTGGCCTTGGATGATGGGGATACATGCGTCAAGGATGCTGATCTGCGGTTAGCCATTGAACTCCTGTCATTCAATAGTGAGTCTCACTTTTGAGCAGCGCAGGTAGAGCTGGTCGTTGTAGCAGGAGCCGAGCTGGTGGCCGTTTGAGCAGCTGCGATGGTGGCAATGGATGCCAGGATGAAAGTGGTCAGCTGCATTTTGGTTGGGTTGGTCGGAGTTAAGCTGTTGATAAGCAAGAATGTAAACGAGTGACGTGAATGGAATAAACGAGAGACTTGAGGAAGAGAATGCAAGCAGGTTACTCCAATGTATTCTCTCAATCCGTGGAACAAGTCGACCCAGCAGACGGAGTCCGGAGGATAAATAATAAATAGAGCTTCACCTTGGGGACCCTTGTCGAGGAACCCGCAGACTTAGCAAGGGTGTTCATGCTCGTGATCAAGACCCTCGTGTTCCAAGGGGGTCAAGCTTGTTCTCGATCTCCACATTGAGAACAGACAACACTCCCTCAACCAGTCGGAAAGATATGACAAGTCCGGAGGCTGTGGGGAGAGACCCAGCATTTCACAGAAATCTCCTGGGCATACCCATCTAGTTCATTCGCTAACGCTGGGCATTGGCTGCCACTCAACTGAGACAAAGCGTGAGCCCGGATGAGGGTTGACGTCCTAAGGCTACACAATGAACAACTCGACCTAGATGAGGAAACAACGTGCTGGACCGAGACATCAGTCCAATTTCTTAGCCCAAGACGTATTGGAAAACGGATTGATGTCAACACGGTTTCTCAAGAAACTTGAGGCTCGGGAATCGGGAGGTCAGAAGAATTCAAGAAAGGGTTCGACGGTGGAGTGCATATTGGTTAACGTGTCGATCCGACGCGAGATTTGAGTATGACGCTAAGCCTATTATTCTCTTAGTGTGGCCTGAGGCACTTCGCTAGCGGAGATCAATCACCACCTCATTTTCAATTATGGAGAGCTTGTCCTCGGAAGGATACAGTCTGGGAGCGCCAACTTGACTAAACACCTCCTTTTTGCTTCTGCATTGAGCGCTTGCATCGTCAAATATTGTGATTCATGCTCTCATGATTGATGAATAGTGTGTAAAGCCTCCCTCGTCCGCCAGAATGTCTGTCCAAGGAGAACTGCTAGATGCCCAATAATGCGATGCCAGCCCGGCTTAATCACCTGCTCGAGACAAGGCTTATCTGGCGGTTCGAGATCAACGCTTCTTGGTCTTTCGCAACTTGACCACAGCATTCCTCCAGCATTTAAGTTTTGATTTCTCCGCAACTGCCTCAGCAGTGTTGGTTTCCTTGAACACCGCCTTCTCGCCTGCCTCCTTCACCACAGCCTGGGACGCGTCGTTGAGAGCCTCCAACGGTCGCTTCAACAAGCCCTTCTGTTTGAATCCATGAGTCTTGCAGCCGTAGAGCCAGGGAACAAGATGATTACACTTTGGACACTAGCCACCGTGTTCATTCTTGATGCATCGACTCGAAAACGAGTGGGTTGGCTTCACAGAACTGTGTAAGGCTGGTCAGGCATCATGGTCTGAGTTTGAGGACTTGTGTGTTGTCCAACAGGGATGAGTCAGCTCTTACCAATGATGGCCGGAGGCATTGCTCGAACGGCTACGAATTTCACTAAAATTCTTGACCATAGGGACTTTCCATTGTCGAAGAGTGTCTCCGGTGTGGTTTTCATTGATCCTAGTGATTTCTTTGCCCATCTTGTCGTTGGGTTCATGTTTGGGGTTTGAGTTCTTTGTCTGAGTCCAAGTTGTTCACGAATGATCAAAGGTAGGGAAACTGGATGAGGTACAGTGTTAAAGATCGACTGCTCTGTGAACATCGATGTTGTTGACGAATTTGATCTGGATAAGAGAATATAAGGCATACCCAGTACCGCAACTACGTTAATGTGTGTGATAGACCTACAATTATCACGGTTGAGTATAGACCATTGAGTGTACTTTCAGATCGGCCATCGAAGGGTTCCAGAGAATCACGCTTGTGGCACTCCAGAACCAAGACTTTAACATGCCGTCGATGTCTACCAGGACCTCACTATTGCCAACGATGTGTTAGTTAAAATCATTCCGAAGCTTTGATCCGCACGAAATCATACCACAAAGGCTTAGTTAAGTGTTTGTTTGTTTGGCAAGGCTGATATCCCCTTGTCGAAAGTGCTCATCATGCCACGAAGTATTACGGCGGATCAAGTTGAACTAATTCCCAGCCTTCAAGAATAATGAGCCCTAATAAGTTTTGCCATATTTTCAAACGCTGTTCTTCTCTTGTCGACGATCTCATTGAAGGTGTCCGCTGGCCCAATGGATCCAATAACGATCTGATCTTTGCCTGAGACGATGCCTTTATATGCCACATCCGTGAATGCATCAATAGGCATTCCGAATTGTCGACCTTTCTCAGCGCCCATGTAGTCATGTATCTCGGCTGTAAAGTGTTAGCCGAGGTAAGAACAAATCTCTCTTGAGCACCTACTCTGAACAACTGGAGGCGAAAGCTCAATTACTTTCACCGAAGAGTCTTTGATTTCTTCACGAAGGCAAAGAACAAAGGCGTTGAGAGCACCCTTCGACGCTGAATATGCTGACAGTCCGAATGCCGGAACGATGGCAATGTTGGTTCCGGTGCTAAAATTATTAGATGACTGGTTCGGCAAATCGATGGATCAGACTATACTTACTATATCAAACTGGTTTCGGATTTCTTGTTCAACAAGAATGGCAAGAATTTCATTGTGAGATTCACCAAAGCCGTGAAATTCACCGACATTTGCATGTGGAAAACACCCAGATCCATGTTTACTGGATCAGACAAAATACTTGGACGCTGTACACCGGCATTGAGGAAAACACAGTCGATATCAGGATATTTTTGTGTTGTTGTGGAAACAAAATCATCAATTCCGTCAATATCACTTAGATCAAACTGGATGCCGTCTGCCTTGTCGCTTCCATGCTTCTGCACAAAGGCATCCAGTCGATCTTGTCTTCGTCCTACGACGATGACCTTGGAGCCTTCCTGGACAAGACGGTCTGCCATGGCAGCACCTATGCCAGCTGTACCACCGACCATGAGGACCTGTTTGTATTGGAAACCCATCTTGAAAGATTGGCAACAAATTGTGGAAGTATACACTGGTGATCAAGAAACTCTTTGAGGATTGTGATGTGAGAATTGGACTCCAAGGAGGGAACATACCAATGTTTTTATACCCACCCATCGTGATATAGTTATACTGAAATTGCAAAGCTCCTCTACCATTTCAGGAAGGAGTCGAGTTGTGAAACCCGCTGCCATATGTTCACGATGCAAGGAGGAGTTGAGCTCGCCTGTGAGGTCTGGAGTGCCGACTGAGTCATTTCCAAACACACGAGCTCATAGACGGCAAGTTGGCTCCAATACCGAATCGATGAACTTTTGATGCTTCATCGACCCCTAATCGTACTCGGATGCTTTTTAGTATAGCCTGAACTTCTGCCGATGATGTCACTACGTAACCCCTTCCTTATTCGGTATGGTCAGCATAGTCCTCAGGCCTCCGACGTCACCCGTACGAGGTACGGAGGACGAGGCATGCCACCACTGCAGTGTGCTGAGTGAGGGAAAACGAGCCGCGGATGTCGGATTTACGGTTTTGCACAACTCTTCCATACCTCCAATCCCACAGCATCTCAAATTGCTGAGCGACTTCGACAGCGATGTTGATGTCAGGGTTGTGTTCCTCTCAAGACTGGTCTTGTCGGTGAACGGCCATGGAGTCCGACTAAGTTGAAGAACCTCCAAAAACACCCTTGTTAACACGTGGTTTGGCTGCATAATATCGGTGTCCATCCTGCACGGCAATTGGTAGGCTAGGAGACATCACAGACATCATGGTTTATGATGGCAAACCGTCGCGGGCGTGTCTGCCATGTAGGAGGAGGAAACTTCGAGTATTACTGCACTTACCCTTAGTCAAGATATTTGACTAACTCCCGGAAAGTGCGATCTCAAAAGGGATTCCTGTGGCCAGTGTATCCGAGCAGGATTGGATTGCACTGGATATCGGAACCCGCATGATTTGCGCATCCAAAACGAAACAAAGTTGGTCAAGCGAAAAGTGCTTGAAGCCAAAAACGTGACCGTGTCACGGTTCGGAGAGCCATCACTCCAACAGAAATCTCGGGGGGCTTTTCTCTCCCATTATGTTCATGGCATCTCTGGAAGCTATGATGTTATTGCACTCTTCGACAATGCGTCTCTTGATACCCACTTAGACGCGAGTATCAATGCAGCAAGCCTGGCATTCTTCCACTTCCAATATTTCTCTCCCAGAGCATCTGACCTCGCCAGGAAAGGATACTACACAGCGCTCAAACTCGTCAATGTGGCCTTGCAGAACCCGAATTCGCTGGCCAGTGACTCAACACTTCTAGCCGTGCTCCTGCTGGATCTCTTCGAAAAATTCACGAACAGCAATTCAAGATCGTCAGTAGCATGGATGAGCCACGTGAACGGAGCCCTGGCTCTTATTAAACTTCGAGATTCTATTCAGTTTCAGACATACATTGGACGTCGCCTCTCATTTCGGCTTGCAACTAGCTTGCTGATTAGCTGTGTCGCAGGCAGTGCGCCAGTGCCTCCTGCGCTCAGGAGTCTTCGTGCGGAACTCGAAAACTATGTGAACGTCGAGGATCCCAAATGGAAGCTCACTGACCTAAGTATTAAGTCTGCAGATCTGAAGGCTGCCATTCATCAAGGGTTGCTCTCAAATGAGGAGAAGATTCTGCAGTCCAAACAACTGGACAGTGAGTTTTCATCATTATCGGCCAACATGCCAGCAACCTGGCTTAGTCAAAGAAAGTACTTGGAGAGGCCATCTCAGAGAGTATTTGGCCAGTTCTACGACCTCTATCCGAGCTACTTCGTCACACAAACCCGCAATGTCATTCGCCTGACAAGGATAGTGCTTAACCATGAAATCCGAACACTGTACAAGGCACAGCCCTTGGACATCGATACCACGACCGAGGCCATACAACTGACCTTCATCGACCGTATCATAGATGATATCGCGCGGGAGATCTGCGCCTCAGGGCCACAATTTACCGGCGCTGGCGAGTCATTGACTCCCAACAAAAAGGCTACTGATTCGGTTCAGAAATTCTTCTGTCACACACTCCTGTTCCCCTTCTATGTCGCAGGCTTGTACGCAAGTCCTGGCAGCATGATCAGGCCTTGGGTGTTGAACCAACTGCGGTACATAGCCAAGGAGTTCGAAGTTCGGCATGCAGCCACAGTCGCTGATATTCTTGATAGCGAAGAGCCAAAAGATCCTTGGAGCGTCTACGCTATCTTGGGAAGTTATGCCTTTGCTTCTTAATATCCTGGGCTATTGGAGACATTTTCTTATGATTTGTCAGATCTTCATTTACTCAGAGAACCCCTCAAGCAACCAATACCATGAAACATCAGCTCGAAGCAAAGTAAAAGAATACTTCAAGTTTGCACCGAGCACTGGCACAAGCCATACTGGAACCCTGCCGCCCTATTGCATTGATTGACTGCAAGATGGAGCAAGCAAATTGTCAGACATGAACTGTTGAACAGTTCCTCGAAACAGCGTCTTGAAACATATGATTTGGTCTATGATCCAATCTACACAAATCAGGAACCAGGAATTGAGGATAAGAAATTGAAAATTGGGTTAAAGATTTGGGGTTTATTAGATGATGACGCTAATATTCTTGCTGTTGGAGGTGTATTTCATCCTCAGCTACACAACTCGGTGCACAACAGTGTGCATCAAGTCAGTCTGTACGAATCGATGTATTATCATTGGGAAGGATTTGAAAATCTTTCGGGACTTGACGATACGCGCAAATCTAGAGCAAGGTCATATATGTTAGCAACTTTGTTCAGCTTGGAATGGAGGGACGATTTTCAACTCACTCAGCAGCTTCATTGGTTCTGCGTTGTCTATCCTCAGCCTCCATCTCGGCTCGCCATTCGGATATAGCACCATTGGCAGCGGCTTGAGATTCTTTCAGGGTCCACAGGTCGCGTGGTTTGATGCCGCAAGGACCACAGCCACACTTCATCGAAGCTGGGTGTCTGCACCTGGGACACACTGCCATGTGCCCTAGATCAAAACATCTGGTCCTCATCACGTGGGTCTGACCTTTATCCTTGTACAAGCAGTTGTGCGATCTTCGAGCTTTGGTTTTGCTGACCAGTCCTACAAATTGTGCGGCATTGGGTGGCCTGAGGCTCCCGTAGCTTCCTTGTGCTTCGCGACGTTCTGCTTTCTCTTTCCTCTCGTACTCCCGCTGAGGGTCTTTCTTGGGGCTTCTTTTCGTCATAGTGGATGGGTTTTTCGTTTGGTTTGGTTTGTTGTTGGGGTTGACACATTCTTTTTTCTCCTGGTTCAGATCACAGATCGAGCTTCTAGGATGAGCAAAAAGTTTTGGAGTATTCTTTGAGCTCGAAATGAAGATGGCTCGCAATTGTGATCTGATCTGTTGTGTAAGAGATATGAGGCTGTATGGTCAAGACAACATCAGATCGAGACCTCAACTCACCTATATAGACATGGTATACGAGATGTGGAGACTCGATGCTGCTCTCTACTAGAAATGGACTTCAAACAATGGGACTCAAAGTCCGTTGTTGAGGGCTTTCTTCAATCCGTGGATCGTAGCTTCCCTATATTCTTTAATATTCTCGCATAAAGCTCAGGGTCAAAGGCTCTTCCCAGAGGGCATAATCTAGGTTGTCCAACCCCTATGAGACAATGGGTTGTTGAATGAAAGAACGAGGAAAGAGATTTTCTATGCGAGCTCAACTCCAAGTTCTTTGTTGACACTTCGCCGCAACAAATCCTGTTTGTCCGGCATTGTTTTATTTCAGCTTTGTACGCTGCAACAGTCAATCCTGCCAGGAATAAGGCCTCATGGGGAGAGTCTTTCCAGCAGTATCCTAGGGTTGGAGGTAGATTCCACACCCGGATCAGCTGCCCCTTTGTGCCGTCCTTCAAGCTCTTTATCACTTGTCGAACAAGCATCCCCTACCTCGGGTTCAGAGTCCTCTGATGGTAAAATCGCTCTCGGAAGGGCCCATTAGCCCAAAGTCGATGCCAATCTCCTCTGTGAATATTTTTTCTGGAGAACTGAACACTCCGCACGAGACTCGAAGGAGATTTATGTGGGCTATTTGGTAGGGTTCCAGATGATGCAGAGTTTTTTTCCACTGCTTTATTTGTGGAGCCCTCCGATGATCAAAACGATTAGGATCAGTGTAATCCGAGTCCTGTGCACAACAGGCAGGACTTTGTGCCGATGTTATCGGTGGAACCGATGTACCTAAGCCTCGTGAGGAGTCTCATGTTCCTCAGGATTCGCTTTTGTCTTTGAGCAATGTGAGAGGTGTGATACCCACGTGCTCTCCTAGCGGCAGAAGTGGGCGGGTGGCAAGACGTGCTTAGTATCTGCGGCTCTCATCCAGACTGAATTATCAAGATATTTAGCCTGAAGGCTCTTGAAAAAGAAAACTAACATTGGTATGCCCTGCAGTAAATGTGTCATCTGAAACTGGACATTGATCCTATTAGAGTCTACCAACACTGACTTGGGCCCTTTCTGGGAAGTAATGGCTTCTGGATATTGATTTACCGTTGTGGGGGTTATATTATTCGACCTCCAGTCCCAATGACTAGTATGTCCCCGAGGACGCTGCTTCAATCGTCACGTCAGCAGCATTTGGCTCCATGATTTTTTGGTTTTGCGCTATGGCGATTTTTGGAGCGATGCGGCAGGCTCGTAGATAGTGTGCAAGTAATCATTTTCTTAAGTGACTACGGCCTGGAGTGCCAGATCGTGTAGTAGCTGGCTTGCTGGTCAGAGGTGAGGTAAACAAATGGGACAGGTGAGGGAGGAAGGAACGGGAGCCTTGTTTGGGCGCGCTTTGGGCTAGGCGAGGTATTCTTCAGAGGACTTTTGGGTGCTTAGTTGGTTGTGACTCACCTATTGCTTGTGTCCGCAGAGGATTACTAAGTTATGTAGTACTCGATGAGCACCCAGAAGACACCCAGTACTCCGTACTCGGTAAGTGCCCGGAGAGCGGCCGCCAATTGAAGCTATGCAGTTGTAGCCTTGTACGGATAGAAATTGGGTGAAAAGCCCAAGACTTGAGAGGTTCTAGTTAGAGTGCATTGATCACCACCACAGGTTCGCCTCTGGTCAAGTTTAAGGCCCCCTAACAATAATGAGCAACTGGCGCTAACTAGGCAGGACTGGGGACACCCGAGGACGCGGCTGAACTTCTGTTTCGAAATCCCTGAGAGACGGCCACAGTTTCGTGGCAGCCACCTGCCCCGTGTGGCCAGACTGACAGGAACGAACTTCCACAAACCGCCCGAAGGATTCTTGGGTCGTTCCTTCCGTTACAACTGCGACGCTCACTGGTTGGTCTTTCTTGGGTTCCATCCTTGCTGCAAATTGTTTTGTTATACTCGTACTAAATTTGTCTTTAGCTTCCCTTTCAAAGAACGAACACGATCATCACACCATTCGTCTGCTATTTTCCAAACTTTGTTACGCCACTCGCTGATAAACATACGAGTATGTTCCGGACAGTTTACATTGCCGTCGACACAACGATTGTTGATCAGTATCGGGAAAGGACAAGTCAAAGGCCTGCAGCAGAAGGATACGAGGTATCTAGCACTGAGAACGTTCGCTCGTCATGTTTCACCTGACGAACTCCTACCTGTAGTACCTGTGGTACTCTGTGCAAACCATCAATGCAAGTCAGACTTGGCGCATGAGATGAAGTGACGAAGCTTCTGTCGGATTGCATGCTATTTAGTGCCTTATAGGCTTGGTGGACCTAGCCTTTTCTACCAGAGACTGTTACGAGTATCCGTATGTAGGCCCAATCCCACGAAACTCTCTTCCCTACTCGTAGTCTTTGGCCCTCTGTGCGGCTCTCGAGGTCCACATTCCACTTGGGGGGTAGGGATAACCAATCAACGAGCCACACACCACTGGCTGCTTTTCAAGTCGAATCCTTTGAACCTTCTCACGAGCAATAGTGATGATTGCTCTCCCTTGGTGGCGGCCTTCATGACTCTCGCCATGGGGTTTGTTCTGTCCTTTGATCCAGCAGCAGTTTGGTACCTCAAAATTGATTTTTGGATGACGCTCAGGAGTACAAAAGTGATGGTCCCAAATATCTCTCATAGCGTCTGGAGCCGAAGGACGTGAGGCTCCTTTGATGTCGCTTCGCGAACTGGACCCCAAACGCTTGCCTTATCCCTGTACTCCATGCCGCTAATCGTGGATGCAACCGGCTGAAATCCAGGCTCCAGATGAATATCAGTATGGTCCGGCTTTAGCTTACCATACTTCGTATGGCTGGACCTCGTTCTTGCTCGCTATTCAGCTCTTTAAGGTATCAGTACTGTTTTGGTACGGTCCAAAAGGCATATCCCTGCACTTTAAAACGACTTTTGTGTTCCCACGCCCCATCCTTTCTTCAGTAGGATTCGACTTCGTTTCCTCGAACACCTCCCCCATGCTTGAATCTGTTTCTGCATCCTTTCCAGCATCCTTCGACCCTTATCGCGGTGAAGTTGCAAGCCCTTCTGACTGATCACCAATTCAGAAAATGGCGCCCTCCAAATATTCACCGCTAAACCCACAGGTTCAATCTGACTTGACATCTGTTCCTATACCAGAAAACAGCAGTATGCAGTTCAGCAATTCCCTTGCAGGATCTGACCCCTATGATCGACTAAGTACACCAAAGAGCGGAAGGAATAACCACACTACTAAATCTCAGCCTCAAGTCGATGTACAATCCGGCAAAGGATCTGGAGAAGGTTTAGCATATACTGGATTTTCGGGCGACATTCTACCCAAGGCACCAAGTAAGTCCTACCCTATGACTATCGCATCAAGTAAGCTAATCGTTTGCAGAGAGGAGACGAACCAGCAATTCATTCTATTCCGTCTGGAGTAACACCAAAGAGTTTGCTGTCTCGCATTTCACCGTTCCAAAGGCAGCTGCACCGTGGGAACATGAGCTGTCTGAGAAGCAGAATGGCCTCCAACCGCCGTCCGATACTGTACGGTATTTTGACCACCGGCGTCAACGCCTCCGTCTGTTCGTCAACAGCGCTTTTCAACTTTTCGTTACGATGTTTCTCGCTGCAGCGATGGCTGCTACGCTCTACGGCTTCTCAACTCTGGACTATGGAATCACCGATACTCAGAAAAGACTCTTCAACGCGCTGGTGACTGGACTTTCTCTAGTCCTCGGCTTCAACGTAGCATCGTCGCTCAAAGGCTATTCGCAGATGATGAGATGGAGATTCTTGGCCTCCGGTTACCGAACAATCCAGGACTTCGAACTCGTGTTGCAGTGCGACAGCCAATCCAAAACCTTTCGCTTGATTTGGGGTGGTCGAACACGCGGCAGATTCTGGCCGAATAAAACGCAGCTGTTGGCGTTCTGGTGGATCTTTTTCTTTACCGCTGTTCAAGTCATCATAGCCATGCTCGGGTTAACATATTCTATTGATGTATCGGAGAAATACGTTTCTTTGACCAATGGTATGTCATTTCATCGTTCCACTCTGCTCTGCTGATGTATATTCGACGAGGGCCACCCCTACTAACCGAATGGTTTCTTTCAGGTACCGTCTCCGCGGTGAATGTGTCATTCATCGGCGATGCGAACTTTGGTTACATAGACGCCAGCGAGCTCTCCGACGCTGATCCGGTGCAAATCCAAGGTGCAACTGCCAACAGCTTGGGTATTACTGGTCAGAATTACGGTATCGTGACCCAACCTTTTGATCTTGATCAAACCTGGGCACAGAGCTACTACACCGACCAAGAGGAAAGCATGTACTGGTATCGTTTTGTTGATCGTGCCGTTGCGAAATGGGACAACGCTGTGAGCTCTGGACGAACTATTAATGCCACCTCATCTTGTGTGGAGTTAAACATAACTTACGGAGGTTATGCAGGATATCAGACCGATAACCTGACCATAATGAACTGGCTCGACTGGGTTGCTCAAGACGGCACGCCGATGTCTTACTGGGTGGACCAGACTGCCAGTGGTTGTACAACTTGGATGGCCAATATGACGGGGGATTGTGGCCCCCGGTGTTTCCAGGTTTACGCACTACAATCCGCGGACAATTTTACGGTCACCAAGCCACGACTCTGGGACTGTCAATCTCATGTCAGCATCGTCGACGGGGTCGAGTACTATCAAAATTCAGATGTCTACCGTATGCCAGATTTCCAAGCGCAGCTATTCGCAGGCGCAATCGGACTGTCGGGTTTCGTTACCACATCCACAAATGACACCGACGATGTGGACGACCTCCAAATGGTGCGCTACCCAATCGATTCGCCGTGGTCACCATCGAGCGACTACGAAGCCGAGGACATGGCTCGATTACTACGATCATTCACAGCTGGCGCGATTTCCGCTTTCGACGACATCGGCCCCCGAATGAACGTGACAGGCAACAGCCCCGGCCCTGCGCAGGTCGTGAACGTGAAATGGAAATTCTCCCTCCTAATCCTTGCCGGCGTGCCTCTGTTCCAAGTCCTCGTACTCCTTCTCGTGATCGCCTTCGCCAACAAAGCCATCATCAAAGACACTAGCCACCTGTCCATGGCACGGCTGCTGCGCCCGCTCGTCGAAAAACTCGGCGATGGCGGCTGCCTGCTCACGGGAGACGAGATCGCCGAGAAACTCGGCAACGTCAAGGTCATCTACGGCGTTCGCGACCCAGGCGTCGGAAACGTCCCCGCGCCCGGCGTTGGTGACACCGGCGACGTCCGCCACCTTGATATCCTGGAGGAGGCCGAGGGCTTTGGTTACCGTCGGGGACGTATGCCTGTAGGCATGTACGATGGAATGTATCCGTCGCGGCGGGATCGAAGCTTCGAGGTGCAGGAGGATGATGGTGGTACAGACGGCGAGACCGTCGGCCTGCTGTCGGACGAGGGCCGGGCCTCGAACGTCGAGGCCCATGATCGCGATGGGATGTGGTGGAAGACACGCCCACAGGCGAGGCAGAGACACAGCCAACGGCGCCTCAGCATATGATGGCGTTTGATTTTGCAAAGCGATGCGCTTCCACATGTTCTCGCACCGGGGTTGGACCTCTTCTGACATTTACAGTATCTTAGGATATTTATGAAAGCCTTTTTAGCGTATATGACGAAAGTGGAGCGCTTGATCCGTAGACGCATTGAACATAAACACATTTTTGAAGTGGTTAAATCCTTGACTTATCATGGCGAAGTACTTCACACGCTGCGAAAGAGGGACACGATTGGTTGGGTTGGGTTCACTGAACGTCGGCAATATTTATATCTTCTATAGACTCTCAGCTACAAGGTCGTATGAGGTCTATGAATAAGCTACGACCCATGTACTGTATCCTGAAGCCCCGTTATGTCGAACATCGGACAACTAATGGTTCACCTCGCCCTTCTTGGCTTGTTGGCTTGAGCCCGCATGAAGAAATCCCTGGCCGCCCTTCTTGTAAGCTCTTCCCAAATGCTGTATCGTGGATAGAATAAGTCGATGCAAGAGTATCATGCTGACTTGCGGAGAGTTTATCATCTCCTTCCCAGATGCCGTCCCGTCGCATCTTTGGTAACATGTTTCCGCCGCTCAAGATGCATGGCCTCATTGCTCGAGTTGAATTTTGCGAGCAAGAATACGGAAAAGTGGCGCACAGATAGGAGGTTTTGGCTAGAGCTTCTGTTGCTTAGGCTTCCTCTCCATCGGTCCACCTATCCTTGTTTTCCACTCTTCATCGAGAGATTGCTTTTCAACCAGAGTTTTGGAGTTCCAGGTTCGATTGTGTTCTTCCTCTTGTAGGGACCACTGCTTGAGCTCGGACCCAATCCATCTGCTGGCATGGTCGGCGGTACGATCTACAGCCTCCATAGCGATCAGGTGACCAACATCTTCAAACAGCACGCTTTGAACGCGGCCAAGCGGTGCGCCTCCACTTCCGCCAACCCCAACACCAGTGTTATCCATCTTCTCCTTGCAGGCTTCAGGGGTGCCGACGTCCGACTTCCCAGCAAACACGTAGAGTACGCTGGGACGAAGCTCTTGGAGCCTGAGGAATGCTTGCGGCCCCTCGCCGCGGTAGAAATTCGGTACCATTGGAGTATCAGGGTTAAGGTCTGGATGGGTTTGTCTGTTTACAGCCTTCCCATTGACGCCATAATTTTCGTAGTTTGGTCTTAAGAAGGTAAACACTTCCTGAGGTACAGGTGTTGTCAATGTAACCTGAGGAGGCTTCGTATCCGAGCCGGATGGATGAAGTAAAGTAGGCAGATCTCTCAGGCCATACTTGACGAATCGATCGAGAACCCGAGGATCCCAAGCCTGGTAGAATTTACTGCTCTGAAACCCCTTTGCTGCCTCTTCTCGCGAAGGCCAGATATCACGGCGGAATGTTGATAGACGGGCTGGGCTAGGACCAGCGTCAGGTGCAACGCTGGCGTATTTTTGAATGACGGGGTCGATCAAGACCAGTGTTGTGAACAAGCGTGGGTGCATGTAGGCGACATTGACACTGTTTTAGGATGAGCTCTGGCAACATAAGACGGGCAAATAAGTTGTCACATACAGATGATTTCCTCCCATCGAATGCCCGATGCCAACCAATGGCCGAGGCATTTGGTCTCTCTTGAGATTGATTAGATGTAATAGATCTCGTGGGTGATCGTTCCACCCGGGATCGTTTCCAAGAAGCTGTTCATTCAACACACTGCTCTGACCTTGCTGTGCTACATCAGCTATCCATATACTCCTAATGCGAAACCCGTTTTGCTTTGACCGAGCATGTATATCATCCCACAAGGGCTCGTAGAGCTCTTTAGGGAAGCCATTGGCATGCGCGCCAATGATTGTGACGTCTCCGGGTTGGGGATTTGGGTTGTCTTTTGGAATGTATTGCTTTACAGCTAGATGTAGCACAGTCTCTTGTGGTCCGCTTGTTGCACGAGCATATTCACGGATATGCTGGCAGGGTATCTTATGTTCGATAATATGAAAGGCAGCCATCTTCGTGAGAGATAGCCACTGGCTTGAGAGGCAGCAGGGTGCAGGAGGCCGCAGGCAGGTTAGGATTACTTCAGGGGAAGAGTCATTATATTATGACAAGACGCGGCAGACTAAGCAGTGTACCTAGGTATTTTGCAGGTAGTTCGTATGAGAGATCTCAGCCTTGATTGATGTTCAAGGTTGCTGGTGATTTAGGTAGGTTGGAGAAACTTGAATTGCCGAGGTCCGCATCCGCTTAACGGATCTGGCACAGATCTGCCATTTCCTGACCGAAGAATAAAAGTTGAGGGAACACGGGCGGCCATCGGCCGTAACGAATTGATCAGAAGTCGCTATACACAACACTTGATGTGTTGCTGATATGCAGAGGTTCGAAGCGCTCAACTTATTCTGAACACTGCTATGTCTGTGCCGTGAATTGATGAAGGTGACCACCAGTGGGGTAAAGGCTCCGTGCTCCTGGTGAGGCATGAGCAAGGCTGAGGTCACATGACCAGGCGCGTGGCTTCGTCCACTTTAATCCACTTTCGTCACGCGTCACTTGTCGCGTCTCATCCCACTCTTCTTTCCAGTTTTATCAAAACATACAGAATACCGCTACTCACTTTTGTCTTGGTTCTTGCCTACTTATCTACTCTCCCATGCCTCTCATGTCTCGATGACAACATTACTTAGTACGGCCAAAGGTCTTATCCGTAGTTTTGCTGGCATTGATCCCTCTACCAGCATGGATGTCCAAGAGCCTTCAATGGCCACTGCGCCTCTCAAGCAGGCTGGCCTATTTGCCCAGTGTAGCTTTGCTATCATCCGCAATGCTGACCTTTCAAATGAAGATGCGGAGGTGGTAAGTGATAGACACTTTGAACTCTTGTCGCACATACTGACCCATCACAGACTGCAAAGGAACTGCGCCTGCATGATGGCGCGGTCATTATCGACAATTATCCTGACGAAGCGCTGGACATAGCCGGCCTCACTCACGTCATTTCTCCCACATACGATTTCCCAGACTACAACATCTGCTCCGACGCCATGATTCCGGTTGTCAAGCCCACTTGGGTGCAACATTCCCTGGCCAGAAGCAAGCTCTTGAATCCAAGACAATATAGTCCAGATCCTCGGCTGTTTCTCTCCGATATTACTGCCTGTGTTTCCGCTCTTCCAGAAGGCGATGCAGATGCCATTGCAGGTGGGGTACTGGCAATGGGTGGATTGTTCTCGGCGAAACTTACAGGCCTGACCACCCATATAATTGCTGTAGACTACGACTCGGAATCTTGTGTGATGGCACGAAACAGAAACATGCAGGTCAAGATTGTTCTTCCACATTGGGTTGATGATTGCTTGAAGCTAGGCAGAAAGATTGACGAACACCCTTACACATTACCCAGCCCAGAGATATTCAACCCTCCACTGGACAAGGCACCAGGTGCTAAGCGCAAGACTTTGGTGGAAGGGGCCACTCACTACGACCCATCGAACAAAATGCCATCTCCGGGTGCTCCACGGAAACTAGAAAGAGTCTTCAAGAAGAAAACAGTCATGTTGGCAAACGACTTAGGGATATCACAGTATCTCCGAGGCATTCTAGATGGAATGATAACGACAAGTGGTGGGAAGCTCACCGATTCAGTCGCCAAGGCCAACATGTATATCTGCAAATATCGTGAAGGCCACGACTACAAGGTTGCATCAAAGTCGGGTAAAGATGTTGGAAATCTAGCTTGGCTTTATTATCTCATCACGTTCGATCAGTGGACGTCTCCCACTCGGCGCCTGCTCCATTATCCTATCACCAAGGAAGGTATCGCTGGCTTTTCCGGTCTGAAGATCAGCCTTTCAAATTACAGTGGCGAAGCACGAACCTACCTTGAAAATTTGATTACTGCAGCCGGAGCCGAATGCACCAAAACACTGAAGCAGGACAATACTCATCTTATTACGGCGCATGGATTAAGCGAGAAATGTGCTGCCGCAAAAGATTGGTGTATCCCCATTGTCAATCACCTATGGATCGAGGAAAGCTACGCAAAGTGGAAAATGCAAAGTGTCACTGAGGGGAGATACGTTCATTTCCCAGCACGAACCAACTTGAGCGATATCGTGGGAAGCACTCAATTGGATCGTTCGATCCTTGAACAAAATTTCTTTCAAGACAGTGACATCGAGATGGCTGATGCCCCAGTGTCAGGTCCCATGCGCCAGGTGAACCAAAACGCCACCAAAGGTGCTCGAGGTCGTCAACGAAGCTCGGATGCAGGGATGAATGATGCAGAGAAGTTCAGGACCCCAGCACCATCGAAATTTGCCGCAATGGGGAAAGAAAACGTCACACCGTCTACGAACAATAGCCGCAAGTCTAAAGATGTTGCGTCTGCACGTCTACATGACTTGACAGGCGACATGTTGTTGTATGAAAAGGAACGAAAACGTGTTGGCGGCGTCGTCTATGGTGGGAGAAGGAAGAATGATGAAGAACGTGTTCAACCAAATCGCAAGCGATCTGTCAGTGAAGCTTCTGAGGACGAGATCACTGAAGACAGTGAAGCAAAAAGAACAAAACGCAGCAATCCAGCACCTCAAATCCATCTAATGATCTCGGGCTACAATAAATGGGTTGGTCACCCCAAAGTTGAGGACAATGACAAGGTATGTTAGGCCGACCCCATATTAAAATCTCTCTAACCATGGCCAGAAACGTCTCCGTGGTTATGGCATCTTGACAACCGTAGATGCAAAGAAAGCGACTCATCTTGCTGCACCACACATTGTCCGGACCCAAAAATTTGTCACAGCACTAGCTTATGCTCCCATGGTCTTATCGACAACGTTCATCGATTCGTGCCTCGACGCAGACGAACTCCTAGACCCCAAAGACTTTTTACTTGATGACAAGGAGAACGAAAAGAAGCTTGGCTTCAAGTTGAAAGTTTCCCGAGAACGTGCCAAGACAAACCATAACCAGCTACTCAAAGGTATCAGCATTTACTGCGCCGAAAGCATCCACGGCGGCTTTGATACTTTCAAGACAATCGTCGATGCCAATGGTGGACAGTGCATGTTGTGGCGGAATCGGAAGAACACCATTGTGCCATCGACCAGGGCAGGAAGCGAAGATAATACCGACAGTGAAGACAATGTTGTCTTCCTGCTGAGCGACAAGAAGAAAGAGAACCAATCTTTGTGGGAGCGTTTCAAAGAAATGGCTCACAACAGCCGCAAGACTCCTCGAATCATCTCACCAGACTGGCTCCTCGAATCTGCCATGTCACAAGAACTTCGCGATCCTGGGCCTTACGACAACGAGTCTGGTTCTGGACAACGAGCATAGCGTTCTCGCTGACCCGTGATGACCGATTTCATGAGATAGGATTCTGTGAGTTGGATATGTGGTAATAGGAGCATTTAGCTTGAGCGATAGTTGTGCATCATGCCTAAGCTGTGAAGCATGATGGGTGATGTAGCTTTCTTGAGATAGATGACACATGGTCAAAAGAACTTGACACCCTGCTGATCATCTGTTCCAAAAACTTGAGCCTTGCCTTTCTTGACCAGCGTCGCAAGACTTTTCCGGAGTACCTCCATATCCATGGCATAGAACTCCTGCTTCTCAGTCGTCTCACCTTGAACCAGTTCATATAACGTGAGCACCGTTCCCTTCTGACCCGTCTCATCCACCCATCCAGCAATGACATTCGCCCACTCCTCGGGCTTGCGCCACCAAATCCACGCCACGGCCTTCTCTGGCCCAAGCCATTCGGCACGCTCATCCCCGTCTTTACTCACCATGTAGTCGATAACGGCCTTGGCGTCCTTCAGGCTCAGCCGTTTCTTCAACGTACTGTTGTGGAACAGCGGTGTGTCGAGGACGTCGATTATTTGGACCTGGAAAATCCGGTGGTGCTGGCAGTACCGCTGTATGAAGATCGACCATTTCTTCAGCTGCGCTTGCCGAGTCAGTGCCGTCGGTTGTGCGCTGAAGAATGGTGGGAAGTGGTAGCTCTTGGGGAAGATGAAATCCGTAGTGGGTGATGTTGAGGTATTGGTTGTAGTCTCCTGGACAGATAGGGCCATTTCTATTTGCTTATTCCAGGGCCTTTGGATTCTTGCAGGCTATTTCTCATTGAACATCTGCGTCATAAGATACCTCTAAGTAGGTAGAGATCATCGACAGCCTCTTCTTGGCGTGAGGGAAGAGCAATCCGAAACTCTGAGATTGGAACAACTGATTCCGATAGCCGCTAGAAACCAGTTCAAAAGCGTGAAGTGTCCTTTACAGTCATTCAAGGCGGCAATGGCAATCGAATAGCATTGTGTGCATGTGAATACCTGTGTATCAGGTCCCTACAGTACAAAGCAGCGTGAATAATGCGAGTGAGGGAAAACACGCTAGGAGATACAGTTTATCCGATAAATTCTTGGCATTCTCGTCGCGCTTCTTCTTGATCTGGAGATCCCGCGTACCCTGGGCTAGAAAAGTGTTGTAGAACCTCAATTTCAATGGCGGCCCTTGGATGCCACTCAACACCATTGTGAACTCTCTGTCAATTCAACAGCGCGTCAATTGACCTTGAGAATACAACGGGATCCCTCTCGCGCAATCACGCGAACCTCACAATTTCCTCGCCCCTCGCACACCTTCTACCACCATGCCGCGAAAGCGCACTCGTGACGAAATGGAGGCCTCTGAGCCCCAGGAGAAGAAACAAGACTCATCACTGCTACATAAGATACGGAACATGTGGGAATTTGCCTCTGTAATGCAATTTATCTTTATGTTTGGCAAGGCTATCAAGATCGACGAAGACTTTGACATCGAGGTTCGCCCAACTTCCATCAATCCATCCCTTGTTTCTCCTCAAATGTTGTCGGCGGAGTACATGGGACGCGCGGAATGACTAATTTGATCTTTTCAGGACTTTGAGAACGAATGCCTAAGTCCAGGCCATTCCGAGAAACTTGAACAAATCGGGCTGACCCTTCTGAAATGGATCTCTTCCCATCGAGGCCTCAAGTGAGTTGAGTCTGCTCGACTACAATCCAAGTGGCTAATGTAATTATAGCTATGATATTTGGGATGAATACACTCGACGGCAATACTTGGCAAAAGCCCCTCAACTCAACCCCTATGGTGACGAAGAGACCCCGAGACGATTCCGAGACTTCGATATTTTCACAAAGATCAGAATCTTGCATCAGTTGACGGTCTGGACCTTCTGGAATCCTGATCGCTTGAGAGAGAAGATGGTAGAGCACCCGCGCGATGCTGATCAGATAGAATGGGTATGTTGCAAAGTCAGGTCCGGATCATCCCATCCGCTGATAATTCCGCACAGCGTATCGAAGAATTTGGTTATGACAGAGACGACCGCCAATACTATCTGCTTGATGACAATCGATTCTATAGACGCACAGAACCTGCCCTACCCTCTGCGCCGGCACCCAAAAAGAAAGCAAAGGCCAACACACTGAAAGCAATCGCAGCGAGGAGAAGAGCAAGCAAGCGCAGAAAGATTGAATCTGAAACTCCAGAGGCAGAAGACACGTCTGAACTCATGAATGAAGAAGATGGATCTGCTAATGACGTGAGCCCCGATCCGTCTCAAGCTGATACCTTTGGTGGCTATAAGTGGGAATGTCTCGCGATAACACTCAAAGACTACGAAGGGCTGTGTCTATCGTTTGCAAAGAGCAAAGACCCCAACGAGAAAGCCCTTAAGGAGCGTATCGAAGAAGAGGTCATCCCTATTATTCAAAATGCCGAGGAGAGACACCAACGTAAAATGGAGCGCCGCCAGAGAGAGTTGATGATGATGGAGAAGATGGTAGGTGCAAAGCGTTCAAGCAGATTAGCCGACAAGCAAGACAAAGAGCGTCGAGAAGCTGAAGCGATCGAGAATGATCGCAAACAGCTCGCTGAACTGGCAGCCGCCCACCGTGAGCAGGAGAGACAGGAGCAGATGGAACAAGAAAGACAATATCGCATGATGACTCGAGAACAAAGGATCAAGGATCGCGAATACAAGCGCCTTCTTAAGATGGAGGAACTTGAAAGAGACGCTGCTGAGGAAAGAAGAATTGCGGAGGGTGAGATCCGCGGTTCTGATCGAAATCTAAAGCAACGTATCGAAAAGAACAAGAAAGAACTCGAAGATCTTTCTGCTGAGGAAGAGTGGACATTTGATTGTTCACGGTGTGGCAAGTATGGGAAGAACTACGTGAGTATTTCTGAATTTTCTACAGCTGACATCGACTAACACCTCCTAGGATGATGGTGCTCATAGCGTTGCTTGTGAGCGTTGCAACGTGTGGCAACATAGCAAGTGCTTGGGCATTTCCAAAGCTGCAGCCGAAAAGGCTGATTTCATCTTCGTTTGTCAAGATTGCAAACAGAAGGAAGAAGACGCAAAGAAGCCGAAAGTTACCATCAAATTCAAAGTCGGCACATCTTCATCCCCTGCTCCACCAAGTCCAGCCTCAACTCAAACTCGTTTCGTCAGCGTTGACATCCCCAAGGCTAATAAGGCTGGGGAATCAAATCAAACCGGAGCTTTGAATGAGACACAGATGCAACAATCCTCACCACCCAGTCAATCTATCAACGCCTCATCCCCTACATACCCCAGGCACAACGGCACTTTCCATCATTACAGCCATCCTCAAACCTCAAATTCACCTTCTCGTCCAATCTCGTCAACCTCGCAGCAATCTCCGAACTCGATCGTGTATAGAAACCACAATTCAGTGTCACACGCTGCTCTCCCTCAACCCCTGCTACATCGTCCCACTGGTCATACAACCCAAAGTTCATCGATTCCATCTCATCCTTCATCCGCCAGCACGCCTCAACAGAACGGAAATGCAAGTTCCAGAGCACAAACTATATCTGCCGCTCCTAGTCAGGTCTGGCAAGGTCAGACTCCAGGCAATGCTCGTGCGGCTGGTGATGTCGCTCGGCTTCCTTCTCCTGTGCTCAATCGCCCCACCATGTCACCGACACAAGGCAATATGGATGTCGGTCCTGTGGCTGGAGTACCTCAGAAATCCTCAGTCCATGGTCGAGCCACAAATGGCCATGCTCATAATCTCAATGGTGTCACGCAATATCCACTGGCAACTCCTCGTGCTAACAGCAATATCGCTTCAGCTGAGACACCTAACACGGTTCCACTTTCTGGCCTTTCACCTAAGAAGCAACAAACACCAGTTGCATTTGCGACAACACTCCACGTTCCGAAATCTGGTGGATTATCGACACCTCTGACAAGCTCACAACAGGCATCGCTCAATACCTCCGCTGGCTCAGGAGCCTCTCAAGTCCAGAAAAGATCCGTCAGTGGAACTCTCATCCTCCCACCCATTGAGAATCTGAGGCCGAGCCCCGAACAAATGAGAAATATGAGCAGCAACGAACCTGTTCCGACACCCAGCAAGCAATCCCCACCTCAGACCTTTCCCAATGGAGCTCTTGCGAGCGCCTCCGAAGATCAAGCCCCAGTGCAGCAGAGTCCAGCTATCACACCTACTGGGTTGGGAATCAGTGCTCCTCCTTGATAGTTGGTTCCAGCGATTAGCGGGAAGCCAGGATTTATTGGCAAGGTACTCTTGCGACAGAACGATCTTGGGGTTTGTGCAAGTCTCATGATTCGATTTGGACATTCACATTTTATATTGGGAACTCTCAATCAGAGTATTGGTGATGGCCACTGGAGATCCACCCTTGGTTGTGCAACCGCCCACATGTCGATTGGAGCAGGCTCTCTTGGTTGGTGAGAACAAGCGATTGTATAGGACTATTGATTAATATGCTATCAATGAGCAAATGAAAATGAGCTGAGTTAACGCACGATACCCTGGATGCGGCTATGCCACAGTGAACCGGAAGCATAAGCTGGATCATGCACACAAGGCGAGATATGGATGTGGTCGCTAAATTAGCCAGGCCTATCATTAGAACATCCTGTCTTCCTTTTTCCTCGTCAAAGGCTCGAAACGCATAGTATGAATTGCTTCACAACCGTTCTAGTACTAACAACTTCATCTTAATACTTGCCCCCCTCAACGAATCCTCCGATGTATTTCTCACCACTTTTATCTTTCCTTCCTTCTCCAACCCCTCAACAACAGTTTTATACCCACCCGATTCCCAAATATCCTCTCTGACTGTGACAGCTGCACAGCCACCAGTTTTCAGCAACCTGGAGAACTCCCGGAGCACGCCAGGCCCAACATGGCCCTGCGTCAGCACACCTACGCATATAACACCGTCGTAAGACCCATCCTCGATCGACTCCAGCGACCCGGACATATCAGCCGTGTCGAGACGCCTGTACGCGCCGGTCTTACGCGCGACGTCGAGCATACCTGTGCTCAAATCGATGCCATCGATGTCGGTATTGATCTTTGGATCTCGAGCTGGAGTTTGCAAGGCCAGTGCCGCACCAACGATTCCTGTACCGCAGCCGGCGTCGAGGATCTGGAGTGGAGTTTCACTGCTGTTAGCATCGCTGAAGAAGTCCAGCAGTGCCGCGGCAGTGAGGGCGGGTGCTACCCAATCATGTGATGGGTCGGCTAGATCTTGGTCATAAGTAGCTGCCCATTCATTGTAGAGGTCGCGAGCTTCGTCAACGCCGCTCAATTTGTATGCTCGTGTGAGGAATGGTCGGTCTGCCTCATGGTTTGTAGTATTCGTGACCATGGCTTAGATGTTCCTAAGTGGGTACTTGTTTGCTATGCCTTCGGAGGGGACGAGGCTGCCGAGGTCAGACTGAAAACCACTGCTAGCTCTTCTTACGATGAATGAAACCGGCTACAATTGAAGAACGGGGATGAGTATTTCCCACCACATTGGAGATCGACTGGGCAAGCGGGGTATTCAGCACACGTCATGTCTGGCTAATTTCCCTGCCACTTGCTGGAGTTTCTCTTTGGATTGTCATTTGCAGAAGAACTATAGCTTTGCAAGAAGGATTTGAAAGAAAAACATGGGGCGAAACATTTATGACAGCGACATGTTGCGGAATAGAAAAACATATGTTCCGAAAGTGCACCATAGTGGAGGTGGGAGGATCGTGTTCTAGGCCACGCAACCATCGAAATGCATCCGAGATGACTGAGTGAGATAATCTGTGCACGGCCTTTCCAGTCTATTTATGGGGGTATCAATTACCTAAGGGATTCTGAAATGGGTTACATATGTGCTCACGGCGCCCACGGGTTCCTTGCGGATGATGCTGAGGAGTAACGGGAAGAGCTTTTTTTAAAGTTGCCCAAGGTAGGCGACCTGTGGTGCTTGGTATAGCTTGTTTTGCTAGTCTCGAAGCTTTACGCGTCCCGAAAGCTGAAGTCTCAGAGTGTTGATATGAGAGAAATTACCTTACTTGTGAAACCATTCTTTTTTTTGAATAGCTGGCATCGGATGCCGAGGTGGAGGCCGCCACAGGTCCAGCATCGTCCCTGCAACCGGCCAGAGTGAGTGGCCAACCGGCGTGGAAACTCTCTCCCCTTTCGTGCTTACACGCCGCGGAAGTGATTGGCCTACGTTCGCCCGGTGAGTACCAGAGTCTAGGCTTCAAGCACTGACAGACCTTAGAGTATAATGTATGGAGTTTCACATCATGGTAGGGCCTGCGTATTGGGCTGTGTTTCTCGGTGAGCCAGGAGTGAAGGGCAACCCCCTTGGAAACGGGCAAAAGTTTAACGTGGTGGATCGTTGTTTTTTTGTACGCGTGGCGCTCCCCTGACTTGTACCTTCGGGACTGGGACATTTGACGGGAAATATAATACCATTTGCTTTGAAGCATGAATGGCAGCAATGCTTCCTCAAAAGGCCGCTCGTTTCTTGGTGCTGATTATTGATTCTACGCAAGTCGAGTGGCCGACATAGTTCTTTCACGGTGGTCTCATACCCAATTTTTCGTTCTTCAGCACCTATATTCCCCGTCTTCGAACATGTCGGGATATATTCTTCAGTCCGAGGAGGAAGCAAGCAAGGATCTTGCCATTCAAGGCGTCCGGACTTTACCAGATCTGCTAAAACGGCAAGCAGAATGCCGTGGACAAGCCACTCTTTTTTCATTTCGACCCCAGGAGGACTGTGGGTTGACAACTCTCTCTTATGTCGAAGCATACACAAGATCTTGCGCTCTAGCGCGAGCATTAATTGGAAGACTTTCACACTCAAGCACAACAAATCCGGTCGTCGCTATATGGCTGGAAAGATCAATTGACCTACATCTTGCAATTCTAGCTACCACTACTTCAGGTGCTGCGTGGCTACCATTTGATGCCGATGTCCCTGCTGAACGAGTCAATGCATGTCTGCAGGACAGCCATGCAAATATCCTACTATGCGATGAGCATCACCGAAAAGCTGCCATCCGAGCAGTTGAAGGGCTGCAAGGATGTCAAGTCGTCACATTTGAAGAGTTATCTGGTCAAGCAGAATACACGATCGAGCCACGAAGTTGCCTACTCAAACCCCAGCCAGGAGACACCGCGTATATAATCTACACCTCGGGAAGTAGCGGAACGCCGAAAGGTATCGAAATATCGCATCATGCAGCTCTCATGTTTTGCCTTAGCGAAAGGACAATTCTTGCAACCAACTCGAACGACGTTGTCTGGCAAGGTTTCTCTGCAGCTTTTGATATGTTCATTGAAGAGACGTAAGCCATCAAATAGTGTCAGAGTTTACTTGACGAATGCTGATCATGACAAACAGATGGGTCAGTATAGCCGGTGGAGCACATCTGGCGATCGGAAGCCGAAGCGAATGTCAAGACGTCCCCGGTCTGGGAGGTGCGAATGGTATCTGGGCCCAACGTGGAGTCACCCTAGTCAACGCAGTGCCTACCCTCATCAACATTATGACCTCCCTCGATGATGATTGTCGACTGCCACCTCTTATCCGGCTCCTAAATCTAGGTGGCGAAGCTTGCCCCTTGGCTTTGGTCAATCGCCTATGGTCACCTAGCCTGCGTATTGTCAACACATACGGCCCTTCCGAAACTACTGTGACCGCTACTTACAAAGAACTTTTTCCAGAGCAGACAGTCACCATTGGTAAGCCACTTCCAGGCTATCACGCTTTATTACTGCCTGTACTGGATGATATACCCACATCTTGGGCCCCTCTTGAGATCAAAGAGGGCATAGAGGGTGAACTTGCCATTGGTGGTCAATGCCTTGGAAAAGGTTACGTTGGACGAGCAGCACTCACTCAAGAAAAGTTCATAAATCATCCACTGCCCTCTACCTCTGGTGAGCGATTGTACCGGACTGGGGACAGAGTGAAACTTGATCATAACCTGGATGTTGTGTTCCTGGGACGCATCGACGCCCAAGTCAAGCATCGCGGCTTCCGCATCGAGCTTGGCGAGATTGAACAATCCATCGCTGCACATCCAGAGGTACAGACAGCAGCTGTGATCTTGTCATCAGCCACAGATCGCCTCGAAGCCTACATCGTCCCTAAAGATGGTGGTGCTGTTGACGCCAAAGATATCCGCAGTGTTCTTCGCCACCTACCTGCGTACATGATGCCGGAAGCTTTCTTCTTTATCCCAGCGGAAGAGTTACCTCGGCTTCCAAGTGGCAAAATCAATGCAAGAGCCCTTCAAGAAAAGTCATCTCAAATGGCCTCGACAGTCGAGACTGACGATTTGAAGGAAAAAATCAATTGTTCTGTTCTTGTCCTTGACGACGCTGACTCGGATCTGGGCGTTCTATTGCGAACAATATCTGATGTCTTCCCACAGTGCAACAATCTTACCTCCACGCTTGATCTTTTCGATGATCTCGGTTGTCACAGCTTGCTCGCTGCGAAGCTTGTTTCAAAGCTTCGCAACGAGAGTCCAACGGGTTCCTGTTTCAAGCACCTTGGTCTACAGGATATTTACGTCCACCGTACTCCTGAAAAGATCATTGCAAGTCTAATCGAGAGATCGTCGTACGCTAAGGAAGAAACCTCCTCACAGAACTCAATGATCACAGGGGAAACTCTAGTATCATCTATGGCAGATCGATGGCCTGTTTCACGCCGAAGATACATTCTTTGTGGCTTGGCACAGTTGCCCGCCCTAGTGCTTTTGTTCTTTATAGCTGGTATCAGCCTGGTCGGACCATATCTGGTCTTCTACGCTTTGCTAATGCTGTACGACATCGGTACCGCCATTTCCGGAGCCTACATCTCTTTCGTCGGGTTGCCAATTCTCCGTGCTGTGATCGCCATTCTTGGGAAATGGTTGGTGCTTGGCAAAGCAAAGCCTGGCGAATACCCCCTGTACGGCATATACTATTATAGATGGTGGCTTGCGGACCAGTTTATAAAGCTGATCGATATGGTTACAATTGCCGAGACGCCTATGTTACCAGCTGTTCTTCGATGCTTGGGAGCCAACATCGGCATTGGATGTCATATGGGCATCATTTATATCGGTGCTGCGATGGATCTGGTTTCGATTGGCGATGATGTCTGCATAGGAAAGGACACCATGCTTTGCACAAGCTGGGTGGAGCGAGGGCGCCTCATCTTGAAAGAAGTCCGAATCGAATCAGAATCAAACATTGGTAGCCATTGTGTCATTGATGGTGGCACGATCATTGAGGAGGGTGCTGAATTAGGGCCCCTGAGCATGGTACCAGGCGGAACACGCATCCCACTTGGTGAGCATTGGGCTGGCTCTCCTGCAAAGTTCAAATGCTTGGTGCAGGACATTGGGCTTATGAAGGCGAATCGTCCGGGTACCATACGTGTCACTTGCATGATCCTGGCGGTAGCTACCAGCTCTGCGCTTCTGCTACCGGTTCTGTTCTTTGGCCCACAGATTCCAAGCATGATGTTGTTCGACTTCGTTCACATCCCCAATGTTAACGCATGGGAACAGACGGCTATCGCTATTGCACCTGCCGCAGTCGTCTACCTGTTCCTTACCTACGTTGAGCTTCTCTTCCTGCGCTGGGTTGTGCTTGGCAAAGTTGTGGAGAGTTCATATCGTACCACTTCAGTGTATTGGTTTCGGAAGTGGCTGGTTGGCCGTCTTATGGATATGAGTCTCAACATCCTCCATCCGATCTACGCGACACTTTACGTTGTACCCTTCCTGAGATCATTGGGCGTCAAAATCGGCCGTGGAGCAGAAGTTTCGACGGCTCGTGGCATCAACTTCGAGCTCACAGAGATTGGTGAGGAGTCATTTGTTGCGGACCACGTTCTTTTAGGCAACGAAACAGTACGAAATCATATAGTAACGCAGAAAAAGACAATTCTCAAGAATCGAGCCTTTGTTGGAAATGCAGCGCATGTGCACCAAGGTGCAGTGCTGGCTTCCAATACTCTGGTTGGCGTTCTCTCAACCACACCGGATACACCGCTTCAGGAAGGCCAGAGTTGTTTTGGAAGCCCGCCTATCCTCATGCCTGCTCGCCAACAGGCCAAGGTCAATCATGCTGAGCATCTTTTGTATAAGCCGCGCCGCAGCCAGATTGCCTTACGACTTTTCATTGAAGGCTCACGTATCCTGTTACCTCGTCTGGTTATCACCGCTGGCCTTGGTTTTTCTACGCTCCTTCTTGGTCACATATTTGACCACTTGGGACCCGTCGCAAGTGTGTTCTTACTGCCAGTCGTCTACTTTTTTCGTGAGTGTCATCCCCTTACCTTTTTTGTCATTACCCCAAGCTGACTGTGGTAGTTTTTGGGATTCCATCCTTCTGTACAACACTCATCTTCAAACTTATGCTCATTGGACGCTATCAATCAGCTGAATGGCCTCTATGGAGTTCCGATGTCTGGAGGTCCGAATTCGTCACCTCGACCTACGAGACCTTGACGGCACCTTTCTTACTTGACATGCTCACCGGAACCCCCTATCTCGCCATGTTTCTACGGTTGCTCGGCGTGAAAGTTGCATCCCGAGTCACTTTACTCTCCCACGACATCACCGAGTTCGACATGGTGAGCATCGGAGAAGAGGCAGTCTTGAACATGCACGCTGCACCGCAGACGCATTTGTTCGAGGACCGTGTCATGAAGGTCGGACACGTGCACTATGAGGCGCATGCTTGCGCTAAGCCTTACTCGGTCTGTCTGCCAAACAGTCGTGTCGTTGAGGGCGGACAGCTTGGATGCCTTTCGCTGCTCATGAAGGGCGAGGCTGTCCCGGCGAATGAAATCTGGGAAGGGGCGCCAATTGCGCCTGTTAGGAGAAGATCTTAGAGAAGCGTCCGTGTGACTTGCGCATTGCATGCTATGGATCTAGAGAATAGATAGATATCCGATGTTCTTAGAGTCCAAGATTCGTGGAATACATGTTCCGACATACAAGATCATCGAGTCTCTATTTTAAAGTCATGGATGTGACTGGTATGGCGGTCAACACAGTTATGTTCCCTCGCGCACAAGGCCAATATTGTGGGTGGAAGAAGCCTAACTAAAGTAGCCTGTGTACTGAGCCTCATTGAAGGGGCCACGGGCGCGCCGTGTGGCGCTTTGGGGATGACGCTTCGGCCCGGTGTGAAAACCTTGGGTACGCATGTCAAGCCAGAAATTCGTGGAATAGCTATTAAAGTGGCAGAGGACTATGTATTGCCAGAGCGAAAGGATCGGTGGATCTATCTTGAGCTGTTTCAATCGTGTGCAGTAAATACAAGAAAGACCTTTGACACTTTAATTGTCGGGCTCCGCGTGTACCATCCGATGAATTCATTAGCATGATTAGGAAGGCTCAGAGACATTACATAGCATTCGCTCGTTGATTGCAGATCTATCCCATTTCATATGCTAGGTACACCGTATCATGATATATCCTCCTGCGCAATCGCAGCATGCAAATTCCGATATGGTCCCTGGACGCCCGCTCAGTTCGCGATTCAAAGCCTCTCCAAGAAAATGACCCGCGACTCATAATCCCCGTCGAAAGGAATCTGGATACCGCCATTCATCAACGTGGCACCAGAGAACACCTTCTCGCCATCCAGTCGATACCGGGCGCCGGCCTCTAGACCCTGGAGCTTCAGCACGGGTATCTCATGCATTGTGGTGGACAGCATTTGGAAGGCGAATAACACGGCTTGGCTCCCGTCCGGCGAGACGACTATAGCGGCCGGATGGCTCGATTGCTCAGGCAAGCGTAACCGCCAGAGATCGCCCGTGATGACGATCGGATTGATCCGCTCCGCCAGCGCAATGAGGCCGGGGATTTTCTTCCTCTCGGCCTCCTCAAGCTGGTCTGGGTCGAGCTCGAAGCCGAACGAGCCACCCATCATGGCCACGTGTGCTCGGAACTCTATGGATTGTGTTCGTTTGGTGGCGTGGCTGGGGGCCGCACCCACGTGTGCGCTGATGCTTGATAGCGGGTAGACGACCGATGTGCCGAAATGGATGTTGATACGCTCGATGCCGTCCATATTGTCGGAGGCCCAGATTTGGGGGAAGTATTGTAACACGCCGGGGTCGAAACGGCCACCACCAGCCGCACAGCCTTCCCATAGGATATTGGGGAAGCGGCTCGTGAGGGCATCGAAGACCTTGTACATCCCGAGGATGTACGAGTGGTAGGTTTGTGGTGTTGCGCTCTCGTGAATGGCGCGGTTGTGGTCCCACTTGACATAAGAGATGTCTGCACTTTCTAGCAGTGACGAGATAGAATCGATGACTGATTTCTGGACTTCGTGAAGGGCTAGATTGAGAACGAGTTGGTTTCGTGCTTCACTGCGATCGTGCATACCGGCGCTCATTACCCAGTCAGGATGGTTGGCGTATAGTTCCGAATTGCGGTTGACCATTTCCGGTTCGATCCAAATGCCGAATTGCATTTTCTCACCAGATTTCGCAACGGGTAGTTGGGTGATTTTATCGACAGTGGGCTTCAGGCCTTTGGGGAATTTTGCAGGGTTGGCAACCCAATCGCCCAGGCCAGCTTTGTCGTTGATGCGAGGATATTTATGACCAAACCAGCCGTCGTCAAGCACAAAGAGTTTCAGACCAAGGCCGGCGGCCGTTGTTGCCAATTTCTCAACCTTTTCCCCATCAAAATCAAAGTAGAGGCCCTCCCAACTGTTCAGAAGTGCAGGTCTGGTCTGATTAACGATTTTGCTCTTGATCAAATTCTGACGGTAAAGACGGTGATAATTGCGTGACATTCCGCCCATGCCTGAAGCGGAGTAAACAGCCACACATTCAGGTGAAGCAAGTGTCTCACCTGGCTGTAAAGGCCAGGACAACTGATACTTGTTCATCCCGATCGAGGCGCGTACAAGGCCATGGGGACTCTTCTCGACTTCAGCAAGGAATGACCCTGTATAAACTAACGAGAAACCCCATGCATCGCCGTGCGATTCGGTTGTGGTCGATGATGTGATTCCGAGAAAGGGGTTGTAAAAATGTGACGAGTATCCGGTATTGCTACCAAAGCTGTAGATCCAACCCGGTCAGCGTTAATCAAACCATGTTTATTGTTCGACTAACCTTTGCATTCCATATTCCACTTTCCGACGGAACTGAGAGCGCTCCCGTGTCCATTCACCACGCAGACCAACCATATCGTATTCCGCATACGGAAGATCGATGCTCAAGCTGGCCATCTTTTCTACTGTTACAGGATTTTCACTCTTGTTGGTAAGGACAACCCGTCGCACAATCGCATCATGCTCCACGAACACTGAATAGATAAGATCCGCCTGAACGTGCGAATGTGAGTCGTACATTCGCACAATGAGTGTTTTCACCTCATCGGCCTCACCAAAGGTTGCAGGAAGATCTGAAAACTCCGGCTTTCCATCAATCACCTCGTAAGACTGATACTTGAAGTGGCTGACGGTAAAGCCTTCGTGATGCTTCAGAAAGACAGCTGGATTGCGGAAATCACCCTTGCCAAGTTCTGGGAACTCGCGGCGGAGATGGCTCGTCGTTGACCAACCATTTGGTGGTGTTGTACCAGGAATAGCTGGATCCTCGGTCACCAAACCACCAAAATGGTCAGACATGAGATCGCCTGTCCTCTCATCAACATGAAAGCGGTATGACATACCCTTTCCATTCAGGGCGAAGGATTTGCCATTGGCGACGATCGCTGTGGACGTATTAGCTTTCTTATTTCCATGACTTCTCCGACGGAACAGTCGCAAACTCACCCTTTACTCGAGGCTGCTCCGGGCCCGGAGACGAATAGTATCCCATAGAACCCATAGTTGTGTGTGAAGCCATTTAGGAGATCTCAAGCAAGAACCGCTTTCAAATATATATGTGGTGTAAAAATAGATGGCTCTTTTGAAATCAGGTCTGATAGAGGGCATTGTAGGATCGACTGAGGTAGTAATCCTCAAGTCGTGTGGTATCCATTTGAGTTTGATAGCAGTAGCTTGCCGATCGGGCGAAGCGGCGGAGAACTCACAGGAAAACCCTCGGGGAAACACCACAACCAATCCTGCGCTTTTTGTTGCGGGGAAGCATTGTTAAGATCTACTGTTTTGGTTTGACCGAAAAAGTAAGCAACGAGGAAAACCTTCCATTCCGCGACGGGATGGTTTTGATTTGCCGGTATATCACCGTTTCTTGTTGCTTGGAAGTCGATGGCCGGTGTAGAAAGCCGGAGCTGTATGGGTTGGTGTCTTTTATCCAGACATAGTACTCATAGTTCTGATGGAGGGACCACCAAAATAGCCCAATGAATCGGTTTGAGAGCGGTCCGGATGTCTAGGAAGATCCCATGATCGATTACACATGATGCAGTTACCCTGACTCTCATCTCTATCACATCACTGATACGGCTCGGCCAGCAGAACAATTGGAGGTCTCAACACAGTTTGAGGCTTGTCTTTTAGCATGGAGCCGCATACGCCTCAGCCGATGTATATGACTCAGAAGAAACGCGCATGGCTCATTTCAGTTGACCTAGCCGTAAAAGACACTTTGCATGTTGACTGACAAGAGGGTGGATGAACCAAATCATGGACACCCGTGTTACATTGAAAGAGTGGTTCTTTTGACTAAGGCCCTTGGCTGCCGTGGTGCCAAGACGCTGACTCAGCCATGAATTACTTTCGACTGTAATCAGGGCTGGATGCTGCTTCCTTACTGGCACACTATCGAGAAAGATACCAAGGTATGCTTTTATTGCACAAATGTTGTGCTTTGGTAAATTCATAGAGGCCTGCGGGACCTTATGAGGGGTAAAAGAATGTCGATACCATTTACGTGGCCTCAGCCTTCATGATCACGGTCGGAGTGGGCGCCTTCGCTGATCAGATCTTACTGCTTCGAATCGAGCTTGCCAGTAGCTATCTTCCTATTGATGGAGTCGCAGCCTAGAGCAGAGCAAGCATGTGGCGCATGCAAGAAGTTGAAGCGCAAATGCGACAAGTCACTCCCTCAATGCGCTCTCTGCCTTCGCACTGGTCGCAGGTGTGACTATGCTATTCTACACCCCGCACCTACCGCCAGCGACCTAGCTGCTGTACAAGAGAGGCTCGCGGGACTAGAGCAAAAGATTTCAACAAAGCCACTACCCTTGGTGCATTCCGATCATGCTTCATCCTCCACAGTGGCTGTCCGCTGTGATGCTGGCTCAAGCGAAAGCCAGCGTCCGCAAAAGTTCCCTACCGCCTTCTTCCTGGACATTGACTGCTACACGTGGTCTCGAATGCGTGCCCCTCTTCCATCAGCTGAAATTCCTCAGGTCAGTCTAAGCCAACCTGTGTCGGTGTAAAGCTAACACTGTAACTAGGACGTTCTTTCACTACTGGCGCAAGACAATGCTATCATAGAGACTTCAGAGGAGTACTTCAACACCATCCATTGTTGGATGCCATTCATATCAAAGAAACGCTTGAGCCTAGGGATCTCGGTTTATCATGGCGGTCCCGATATTGCTATGCTATTCTTGGCTATGCGATTGATGATATCGCCGCCACAGGGTGATCAGGCTGAGCCCCTGTACAGGTCATGCAAGAGCTTTCTTGCAAGTCTGGAGGCTGCCGGTTGCGCATCTTATCAGTACCTCCAAGCCCTAATACTTGTGGCCATGTATGAGTGCAGTCATGCAATCTATCCGGCTGCATGGATTACAGTCGGGATTTGTGCTCGCTATGCTGAATTTCTCGGTTTGTCCTGCTCCGCATCACGGGGCACGGAACTTAGACCATCAGTAAGCTCTGTTTCCACGGATGTGCTCGCTAGCATCGCATTGCTGACTATATTTTAGACAACATGGACGGAGGTTGAAGAAAGGAGAAGGATGTGGTGGGCAGTTTTTATCCTCGACCGCGTCATTTGTGTAGGTAACCGGAGGAAATTTTGCGTCGCAGAGCCGCCGCAAGATGGGTTGTTCCCAGTGAGTGATATCGCGTGGGTATGTGTGCAAACCATTCTTTCTTGGAGTAGTCGACACTAAGGTGATAGGATGAGGGACAACTTCTACAGGTCCAACCACGCCCAGTCTCGACAATCATTGATTCCGATTCTTCTCCATTCGCACAGCTCTGTCGGGCAGCCATGTTGGTTGAATTTGCCATAAAGGCCACCTGGGCGCTTCCGACTGATCATTCTGCAATTTCCAAATGTCCTGCTCTCGTTGACCAAATGTGCGACTTCATGTTCGTTGTCGACAGAGAAGGCTCTGGAGATAAACAGGCTGATTACTCATGGATCGGGTCTCAAGCCCTCGCTAGGTCGGCTGCTTTCGTCTTACTTGACTTCTTTGCATGCCCCGAGAAACTGAGCGGTCAAGCAGGATACGTCATGTCGCCAGGCGCGAAAAGTGAGGATGAGGTATGCATGACAAATCGTGCTATGGTAATGACAAAAGAACTTGCATATCAGACCCATTCTTTGGTGCAGAAACTCATTCCTTCGATGGATACAGATGAACTCTCATCCTCATACTTCTCGCAGATAAGTCCGCATATTTTGGACTTAGTGTACTCCGCTTTAGCGACCTTCTACTGGTTTGCGGCAGAGGAGGGTAATGGGGCATATCAGCACCACATTTACGATATGCGCCAGTTCCTGGGGAGCATGGGCAGCCGTTGGAGGCTAGCCAACGAATATCTCGGCCTGGTAGGATACCATGATAGTAACAACAGGGCAGAATTTCTTACCTGATAGCTCGAATAGACAGTAGATCGCAGCAACGTGGAGCTCCGCCGAATTCGTCCTACATTTCTCGAAAGCGGAGGACGGACGATGCTAAATACTCGGCCCAAACGTGTGGAGAGTGAATTCTTCAAGCCAACCACGATGAGCCATTAGTACGCGGATACCTGCCGCATTTCGCGGATCCCAAAGGGAAGTGTTGTGTCCAATAACATAAGGCCGCGGCCGCGATGACCGCGATGACCACGATGACTGCCAGCTTCATCCCCAACTCTGTAATCACGAAGTCTGGACTTCTAGATACTCGACGATAGAACACCGCTTCTTTTTCACTTCTGCCTAAACTATCGTTGGCTGACTCAACATTTGGTCAGTATGTGCATTAAGCACGCATCTCCGTTCAAGGGGGCGCAGAGGACTGTAGCAGTTCTTATATGAAGACAATGTCAGTTTTGTGCTATTGTCCATCTTACCACTGAGACCATAACTTGAAGCGACTTCACGGCAATAGCTTCGGAACACTGACTCGCAGTCACAGAGCAACATGCCACCCATTAGATTTACTTCGATCATTCCCCATAAAGCAGTCCTCACTGAGGCTAACATCAACGATCAATCAGGCAAAGTGTTCATTGTAACAGGAGGCACTGGGGGTATCGGCAAGGAACTGGTCAAAATCCTTTATGATCAAAATGCCAAAGTTTACATCGCGGCTCGTTCCAGTACCAAGACTAGAGCATTCATTCAAGAGCTCGAGGAAACATTTCCCAAGTCAAGAGGCGTCGCCATCTTCCTCAGGTTGGAGCTTGATGATTTGACAACAATCAAGGCATCAGCTGAGGAATTTTTGGCTCATGAGAATCGCTTAGATGTTCTCTGGAACAATGCAGGCGTAATGATTCCACCCAAAGACCAAAGGACTAAACAAGGCTATGAATTGCAGCTCGGTATCAACAACATTGGGCATTTTCTTTTTACACACTTCCTCACACCCATTCTCGAGAAGACTGCGAAGGCATCGCCGCAGAACTCAGTGCGAGTGATCTGGGTATCTTCAAGTGCCGCCGATTCGACTCCTAGACCAGCAATCGACTTCTCGAACATGGATTACGCAAAAGACGAGGGCATGTGGACACCTTATATGCGGAGCAAAGCAGGTAGTGTCATACATTCTGTCGAGTTTGCCCGACGCATGGCAGACTCTGGTATCATCAGCATTGTGAGCATCTAGTCATCCTCCTTGCGAAGTTTTCTGACGATATCAACACAGGCACTCAATCCAGGGAACTTCGTGACCGATCTGCAGGCTAACATGCCAGGGATACAACTGGCATTATTTGTTCGTTACCCCCTTTAAGCCTCATTCTGAGACAAATATACTGACCACAAGATTTCTTCACAGCGGCTCTTAGCACACAACCCTATCAAGGGGGCCTATACTGAACTCTTTGCAGGCTTGTCTCCTTCTATTACCAAGGCGAATAATGGTGGTTGGGGTAAGTTTTTACTCCTCCTTCACCGTGGCAAAGATTCCGGCGTATGTCAGATTTTACTAACGAATATGGTACAATTAGTTTCTCCGTTCGGAAAGATTGAGGCTGTCCGAGTAGACATGTTGGACAAGGAGTTGGGAAGTAAGTACTGGGAGTGGAGCGAAGCTCAAGTCAAACCATATCTCTGACTCTGATAATTGTCCTGCATCACGAATAGCATTGCGTAAGGGATTGGTAGAAAGTCAAAAAGCGAATGTTGTCTCATCCTGTTGTTTTGGGAGACTAACACCTAGCCTATGGGGATGGAGATAATGACAGAGTACTAAGTATGTGATTTGCTACATGGTTCCAACAGTACATCAGTTTCCAAGCCTCCCCGAGCCGCCTCGGCCGCAGCGTTGAAGGCCAAGTCGCATCTTCGCAAAGTACTCCGAGATAGGAAAGCCGTGAATTTCGAAACCTCAGCTTGTAAGACTTCTGGTCCACTACCTAGGTAATAAAGAACAGCATATCAAATCTTGATGGTCATCTCGGCGTGTCAGAACTTACACACAAGGCTCCAGCCATGAAAAGGCTGAGAGAGACCAGTATCCATGCAGGGAGTGACCACCGCCCCACAATCAAAGAACTGACTAACCAAGGCTGAGGGACTTTTGCGAAGCTGCATGAGACTATGCCTTTTTAGGCCATTGCCGACAGCCTTGCGGTCGCATTAGCATCCTGAAAGGTGCGAGTCACAGAGACAAATGTTCGGCCAACTGGATTCAGACATGACGACTTCAATTGATATCTTCCTAGTGGTTTCTCCTCCTTGTTGTGGCGGAGCAGACGCACTGAGCCTCCACTTACGCAAAGAGACGCACCAAGTAATGTTGCGGAATGAAAGCCCACCCACTTACAGTCAAATATCTGTACAGATGGTGCGGCATGACGGTCTATGCTTCTCAAACCCATGCCTGCAGATTCTTGCCTTTCAATAAAGTCTTCCACGGTGGTATTTTCCATTCCTGGATGGACATCTTAGATCAGGTTGCCTTAAATCGTGAAGTTGTAGACTTCTGGCTGAATCGTGGACAAGCGATTACCAGCAACTGCTTCTTCCTAAGCACGACCATCAACTATCACTCTCAAAAAGAGACTGGAAATGCACTCGACCGTGAATCAAGCGCCTGTGGTTGTGGCTACGTTCGCTGCCATGACCCCGGTCTCAATTCTATCCCGCACAAAAGCCCCAGATCGCCACCACCTGTTCCAGCATTCGGTCTCCCTATCTCCAAAGGTTTGTAGCATAAGAATGACGATACAACTCACGATTATCGGTTCTACTTGTTCAATGCAATACGTGAATGTATCCGGGACCTCACCTAATCTCGGATAGGGCCTGAATTACCGCCGGAGCCGTTCAGGTCTAAGTCACCTCAATAGGAGCCCAGTAATGTCTTCCTCGCGATCGACACGGGGCTATGCTTGATATCCACCCTCAATTGGCGGCCTTGTTGTGGGGTCCCAGGGGTGTCCAAAATTGCATAGTGAAGTACTGCAGGTGCGGTATGGGGTACTTCGACTCGAAATGAGATCCAAATTTATTATTGGTAGAATTCCACACATCTAGTTGGTGCATTCCAGCCCTTCGATCTTCACTCGCAAATACACTACGACTTAAAGATAGGCCGAAAGGAAATCCCGTGGACGATTATCGCCAGAGGAAGGCCAAGATCTCTCTGCTGCACACTATAAAGTAACAAATCCCCCCATGGTGCAACCCAATATCTGCATCTCTCCTGATCCAAGGTTGAGTCTTTTCATCGCTTAAATCAGACTTGCAATACCTCGACCGATTTCTATTCATTCCCACTTTGGCCAGACGATTCTGACCTCATCATGCCCAACGACAACCCCAACGACTCCTGGCATTACCCCAAGTCCAAAGCTGGACAGACATGGGTAAAGACTTGGAGGAAAGTCTATCATCCTCTTGGGTTCAAGAAGGGCTATAACTTTCCCCTCTTCGTAATCTTTGTTGGAGCATTGATGGGATTTTCGCTATCCAGAATTATGTATCTTGACTTCGACAGATCGTTCCTTCCGGTATGCCTAACATCCCTCAAGATCGCTATGAGGTTCCACATAATGAAAGCTGACACATCTCTTGTCTCTACAGAACACGATTCCGGGAGATGCAATCAACTACCGGTCTGGTCGAATGAGAGTTGGAATGATCCTCCACCTTGGAGCGATACTCCCTGCAGGAATTCTGGCATGTTTTCAGTTTGTTCCCATTATTCGTCACACGGCTATATTATTTCACCGCCTGAATGGGTACTTGATCATCCTTCTGTTCCTCATCGCCAACGCGGGAGCCTATATAATCATACCACAAGCCGCCGGAGGAGCGCCGTCTACCCAAGTCGCTTTGGGTTGCCTTGCAACCTTAACAACAATTACTATTACGCTATCATACATCAACATCAAACGGCTACAACTCGACCAGCACCGTGCATGGATGATACGCACTTGGGTCTACGCAGCCAGTGTCATCACGCTACGCCTAATTTATGAGGCGATGCATAAGTATATTGCAGATCACCAATCGCGTGACTGGTACGACGTCCAAACTTGTGCCAGTATCTGGGCACAGTACGTACTCCATGGCGCTCCTGATGGCGAGGGAAATCCAGTGCCGATGATATATGCACAGTGCACCGGTCCAAACTCCACCGTGCCTGTGGTAATCCAGGGCCACCCAGATGGGCCGGGACCCGAATACTCTACAGCAGCTTTCAGCTCCAGTTTTGGCGCGAGCACCTGGTTGGCTTTGCTCATTCACATTATCGGTGCTGAGATCTACCTGGCATTGACCCCTGCTGAGAGCGAAAGATTGAGGACGGTGAGCTATGAGAGGCAGCTCAAGGCCGGTTTCCGCCACCCCGGCCGAGCTGGATTGACTGTTGATAAGTTCGGTGATGCTCCAGCCTTCAAACCTCTCATGGAGAATCAAACCGAAATGACTTAGCGAAGAGTATGCTCAGTTGCACATATGATGGGACAGCTTTTCGAAAGCGCTTCTGCCATAAGCTTCGAGTTGTTGGCCAATGTGTTAGGAAATTCTTTGACGTCCTTCTGTACCCAGAATGATTGATTTTGGTTGTCTGATTACAGTCCAACCTCTCGAAAAGGTGTACTTAGTCACCTTTGTTTTGTATTGCAGTGATTCAGTTGATCGTTTTCTCCTCCTGGTCATGATTTTTGAGTTCGGGAAGGTGGTAGGCGCTGGGAACAAAAAACTTTGGCATGCTGCCAAGCCCCCTGAGTTGTGCAGCCTTGTGACATCTAATTGTTAACACACAATATACAATCTTACATCACTGATAAGAATTTCTCAGCTGCCATCTTATTAGATAAATCATTAGTGAAAATGTCGCTGTAATATTGAGCGTCCCATAATTGATGTCACCGCCATACTTTTGCGGATTTTCTGCTTGGGCTTTTACCACAATCTCTCAAGAACGATCGCTGGAGTGCCCATACTTCCAAAACATATGGTCGCCCTATGTTCAAGCTTTCTCTCCACGGTGGACTCTCGCAAATCAGCAGCTTTGGGAGCTGCAGGCTCTCCTTAGACAACCACATTCGTCTAAAAGTCGAGGGGTTCCAAGGCTACAGAGTGGAAAAAGGTAGGCTTACTGCCGTAATTTGGCGTCGCAGACATATGAAATTGTCAAGTCCCACCTACAGATCTTGAAATAGCAGAGATAATGATATGCATGGACTACTAGAAGGATCGTTGCGTAATCCTGGAGGGCTGGATCCCTGTCCAAGCGGCCTCGGGGCTTTTTTCCCAGTTCCCATACTAAGTGCGCTTCCGCAAGATTGCGCCTCATCTCTTTGGTGGGATTTGGAATAGCCACGTACGCCATTTTGTTGGTGAAATAGGCTATTCTTGATAACTACAGGCAAATTGCAAGCTTTGAATTAGGAGAGACTGATACATGATTCTACTACGTCACTAGGCGGTTCTGTGGTTCTTAAGGCCAAATTGCCGGATGAGTTAAGTCCGCCTTCGCAAGAATCTGCCTGGTCTAGCGGGCGGAAACTAGCCCAAATGGTGTTGTATTGCGAAATATGTTAGACATTTATCATCACAGGTTATAAGAGAGCCAAGAACCTCGCCCTGATTGGCAGATCCTAGGAGATATTGATCTCTAGGTTGGGGAGCGCGCCTTGGGAGAATTATACATATAAAGAACAAGCGATCAGACATCATACTGAGGTTCTAAGTCTAGCAATCATCAACCCATTCTTTCAAAGGCTGGATTAGCATTACTTAGCCCTTCCACTGTCGATATTGAGCCAGTCAAGCCGTTAAATTGATTGCCTTCAACGTCTCCACAATGCGTCTCGACACATTCATTCCACTTATCACTCTCGCCGCAGCTCTTCCGAGTAGATGGGGCTCTGACTCCACTAATACACCATGCCGCTCTACCCAATTATCTGCTGAATGGCGTGAAACAGTTGTCCAGAACTGGCTCACAATTTGGAATGATATGGACTTCTCCCTGCTCGACGTGGCCGTGTCGCCGGATATTATCATCTATCAAGACCGTTTCGCCACAGGCACTGGGGATGGCTCCATCGAATTCGTCGTGAACAACGCGTCAACGTTCCAAAGCTTCGTTGAAGTTTCGCGCAATGGGTTCAGCAAATACGTTTTCGAGGGCACCAAGTATTTCGGCGAAGATGATCTCGTGGCGCTGGAGTGGACTTTAGATGCGACGATCGAGGAAAGCCAAGGGTCTGTGATATGATGTTTTGATGACGTTTAGGGCTGACATATTTATTGTGAAACAGGACTACGGCACCAGGAACTGATGTTGCTTACAATGGGACTGACTTATTTGTCCTGGATCGCTGTAATGGGGTTATCAAGGAGGTGCGAAGCCATCAAGATCTTATTCGGTGAGTCTTGCACAACATGATCTGCTTTAAGATATTGATAGTGGCAAGGTGGTACCATGCGTTGGGTGCTGACGTCGGTGCCCCGTGATGAGAGACCTATTCTTGGGACTTGAGCATGGTTGATGAGACGCATTGTCAAGGAAGAGGTGGCTCGAGATCCAAGTGCGAGCTGATTTGATTAGCATATGTGGCCCTAATAGTCACTCGGAGGTATTCTAATTCCTTTCGATACCTGAATATAACCTGGACTGAGCTATCATGCGGCGACAGAATGCTTTTTCTTGTTTCTTTCCTACAAACCTAGTTTCCTCAATTTCCGCTTTTAGCATGCCAAAGCTTCCAGAAGGTCTGGGAGGTAGATTAACGGCGTTTAGTCATAATCTGCACTTCAAGTGAGCGTTCAGTTTTCCAGCCTAACAGAACCTCGCGCTTCCTAAATTCCCGTAGAGTGTGGCATACAACAGCAGGGGCCGCCCAACATGATCTACGATGGCTAAACACTATATCCCCATCCTCACATTGCCCGTGCTTGATGCCAAAAGCATAAAATATACACCTACTAAAAGATACGGGTCGTTCTGTGCCAGTTTGCTCGATAACCATGAAAAATTATACAATGTCATCACATCCATGAAGTGACAGTCCAGCGAAGTATGATCGGCCCAAGTGTGTCCTAATGATTGAAATTCTTTCTACCAGTAAGCAGCGTTTGATGAGAAATGCATGTGTTGCAATGAAGAAAGTGGCAAACAATAGTTTTTTCAGAGGCATCGTAACCGCCTGTCAGTGTCGTCAGTTCGCGATCACCTTCCCAGCAAATATGAGTAATTATAAATCCAAATCTATGACTAGCGATCAGCGGAAACTGCGGGTCCTGGAAAAAGCACTTTCTATAGTCAATAACGGTACCACGAGTAGCTGGGAGATTGAACAGGCCCTGTATGGCACTGTACTGTCAATTCTGGAATAGAATAGTCCATACTCACAAGTGTCTTGGAATTTCAAATCAACTTCGGTTGCGACTGTTGTCCCGAGTCTCTCTCGCCCTCCAACAATATATTCACGACGATTCTATGACCTTCTTTTCTTGCAATGTCTAGTGGGGTCTCTCCATCCTCATTCCTAGAGCTAGGATGGGTTCTATTATCGTGTAAGAGCGCCCGAAAAACATCTGTATGGACCCATAAGGCTCCATAATGGAGTGGTGTCCATCCATAATGATCCCCGGCATTAGGATCGATTTGATCACTGCATAAGAGCTGCCGAACAACATCTGTGTAGCCATATAAGGTTCCATAGTGGAGTGGTGTCAGCCTATAGTTATCCTTAGAGTTAGGATCGGTTTTACCATCGCGTAAAAGCTCTCGAACAACGTCTGTATAGCCGAATAAGGCTCCGTAGTGCAGTGGTGTCAATCCCTCTCTATCTCTAGAATTGAGATCGACTCTATCGTCAAGTATGAGCTGACGAACAATACTAAATTGGTTGGATTTAGCTGCATAATGAAGTACTGTACGTCCTTTATTGTCCTTAGAGTTAGGATTGATTCGATCGTCGAGTAACAGCTCCCGGAAAATAGTGATGCGGTCATCGTTAGCTGTATAATGAAGTGCTGTCCTTCCCTTACTATCCTTAGAGTCAGGGTCGACTCTATTATCGAGTAAGAGGTCACGAATGATATTCGTACAACCCGACATAGCTCCAGAATGAAGTGGTGTTACTTTGTCGATAATCGTTTTAGCTTTGGATCGATATTACCGAATGTCAATAGCTCTTGAACTATACTCGTATAACCGTAGCTAGCTCCATAATGAAGGGCTGTACTCCCATGATGGTCTTTCGAAGCGGGGTTCGCCCGGCTGCCTAGGAGGAGTTCTTTCAGAATTCCGTAATGTCCATAACGTGCCGCAATACTCAGTGGCGTTTGCCCATTCATATCGGCGGAATCGAGCAGTGCCCTCATCGTGTTATTGGAAGCTGGTGATACCTGTTCCAGATCGCTCGCGGTCAAGGGTAAGTCAGACCTTGGTGGAACTGTGGACCGTATGATGATGGCTTTCACCAGGCTTGGAATTCCATAGCGCGCCGCGCAGTGCATCATTCCTCCACTGGCTCCGTCCCAAAGCTTGTCGAAGCAGATAAATTGCGCCGAGTAGCCATTGGCACCAGTGAAGAAGTCGTTCGTCATCCAATCAAATGTGGTAATCAAGTCAGCTTCATTTGAACCGTGAATCTCTGCCCCCTTTACATGGAAGCACCAGTAAGCTGTCGCGTAAAGGTAAAGAGAGCACAGAACCGAATCAGAATCCAAGTCCGAGTCTGTATCGCCAGCTGAATATGAAAAGTAACGCCATTGGACGAATGCATGGTACCTTGATGATTTGGGCGTCGTTCTGTGCGCAGCTATTAGTCTCAGGCACACCCTCAATAATTGTACATGAGCATTTCCAATTGGACTGGACCGGTACTCTAGACAACTCAATCCGCAATCAACCAAGAAGTCGTACACTGATTGATGGATGAGCCGAACACAAGGTGATTCGATGCGCCCGTGTTGGTCTTGTTCTTGGTCCTCGTCAATGTAGACCATCTCGATCAGCCCTCCCGAAAGTCGCTTGACTTCTTCTACCATCTCCTCCAGTCCAAGAAACCTGTGCAAGGCTCTGCAGTGTTCAAGGGATGTATAGGTAGTTTCAGGATCGAGTTCAATTGTCCAGGTTAAAGCTTCCCAGTCAAGTGGTTCTTTAGCAAAGCATACCCATTGAAACAGCCGTAGACTTCTTCTCCTGTCTTCATGAGCCAAAGTTTCCAATATTGATTGGTATACTGTGTTCAGATCCATTGGGGTGTCTCTTATCTTATCCAAAATGATTCCAAGCGGTCTCCTCTGTCGAACCAGTGTGATGATCTGCTCTACGATAAGAACCACCCATTGAAATACCCCAGATGCTCCCCCAGATATCTTATCTACCATCATTTGAGCGTCTTTTCCGTCTTTGAAGACGCGCTTCGAACCAAGTTTTGTGCGAACGAAGGTCTCGATGTCAGCACCATTCTCTTTCTCCACGCAAATGACAAGATCATCGTCTTCTTCAAGCTGTATGGTAGGGTAATGACGGCATGAGAAACAAATGCTCGGGTTGTCAAGACCAGGAGAACAGCTGGAAGATAAATCCTCAAAATAAGAGACAATCTCTAAAGCGTTGGTCTCACCACTTTCATCAAGAGCATCAACAATTATTCGGATGTGTGAGCCGGTGGCCGATGTCATGACTGAAGCCTTCAGAAAATCCTGGATCTCTTTGAGTTCCCATTCCCATTTGTCGCCAGGGGCTCCTATTTTCTCCCAACGGTCATTGAATTGGTTGGCGAAAAGCGCTTTAAGGTCATCATCTTGGGAAAGAATCTGATGCAGTAAGGATCGAAAGAGACCCATCTGGCTTCTTTGAAGACTAGTCCCAGTTCCATCAAAAAAGAAGAATGCTAGTACTTGATCTTCTCTCTTTGTTGACTGAAGGGCATTGAGCGTGTAGTTCATGAGCGTAGACTTTCCCGCACCTGGTTTCCCCTTGATCCACAACAATCCTCGAGCCTGGGATACCCAATTCTGATAAGTGGGATGGTCGTGAATCCAAACGCAGGTACCAGATGCTGCATCCCGAGTCTGCCTCTGTCGCGAGAACATCTCCGGAAATGCTAGGGACCGAAGGCAACCTGAGGCAATGGTTAGGTCTGAATGCTATCTCAATAGTAGGAGGGTGGGGCACTCACGATTTTGATGTTGAAGAGACACATTTGTGCATGGTTGGAGCGGCAGGTTGATAATGTCATACGCGAAAGACCAGCAATTCAGGATTGCTTTCGCCGAGCAGGCGGCAACAACAGCCGCGTATTTCTGCCAAATTTTGCTCTTGTGACTATCCGCATAATCACAGACAGCTTTGACGATGATGGTGGGTAAGGTGTCCCATAAACCGGCACCTTCCATCTCGAATCCGATCACAAGGTCCCGTTTCGCAATGCGATCTCTCTCAATCCCAGACTTCATCACTACATCTCCAGAGGCAAATGCACCAAAATGGACGACAGGCACATGTTCTTGGGCGAGTGACTCACGTTCCGGGCATTTGCGGGTCAAGAAACCTTCGCACAAAAGCTCGGTACAACTTGATTCCAAAGCAATACTGCAAGTTGGATCACCCGCCTTTTCACAAGAAGCACATTCTCCACATATACTGGGATCATGATGCTTGTGGCGATAGGTTGGAGGATAGAGGTGGTCCTCGTTTCTGCCAGGATAGCGCACGTCACTGGGACCTTGGTTCGATATATGTTCTTCAAGGTATGAGCGAGTCTCAACTGTTAATGACTTGGCACCATCAACCTGCAATCTGTGAAGGAAAGAACGTATTTCCGAGTTCGGACGCGCAAGATTATCAACATGCGTGTCTTTCCTCTTGAGCCCATCTGAATATTGTCTCCCAAAATCAAACTGGACGATGCCCGTGCTGACCAAGATATCGCCAAGCATGATCAAACCACTTTTGGTACTCTTTGGCACACCTCCACATATACCAACCACAAGACACAGTCGTATACTCGGAAATGAAGACTTCAGATGCACGGCAGGCCCAGCAGCAGCCACCTTGCCCACGCCAGGCAAATGGACGAGGACAACATTGTGTCTCCCGATCCACCCCGTCGAATATGAATTTTCATCCACTAGCGCTTTATCATAGTCACTGTATTGTCCATCGAAGACACCGACGACGGCTTGCGATTCTAGGGGCAGTGCACAGATCAAGGCTACTTGGAAGTCTTCGCGTCTTGGACGTAGGTGGGGTTCTAAGGTCTGTGCTTGGCGGGCTGATGCCATGGGGGTTTCATTCAGAGATTCGAAACGGCAGCAACTGTCAATTCTCTGAGAAGAACACGTGATGTAGACTCTCAAAAAACCTAACGAACAGAGACAGAAAGGATGCCTGGCTGTTGTCGAGGAATGGTGAGGCTGAAGGTGCCTCGGACGCAATGAGTCCGGCGTCATTGAGCCATATACTCCACTGAAACTCTGTCTCTAAGTTCTACCGTACCGGACGGTATCTCAGCCTTGTCTCCGAGTTCCCTGACCTCTATTTACCTCTGATAGTCATGTCGATCTTTCTCCACACTTCGCTCACTAGGTTTGGAACGCGTCCTGACTGGTTTTTGAATGGGTACTGGTACCTCTCTCTACCCGGATGACTGCGCCTTCACTATTGATAATGACCAGCCAGCGCAGATGCATTTAGCCGTCCTCAGTGTGGTTCATGACTCCCGATGCTGGGCTCAGTGTGACACCATATTCCAGTCCGGGCCCTGTCGCCCTACACTCCCTGCTGTTGATGACCTGAGGACAGTCTCTCAGGACATTTCCAAAGAGTATCTATCGATTACAAGCTTTTGCGAGTTTTGTGTCAGAAAATGTTGATTTCTTGTACCTCGCTCCCCTTCACTGAGAACATCGTCGAAGAACAGCGCGGTCAGACCATCCACCAGTCAGAACACCCATCTAGCTCAACAACATCGATCTCATGGTAAGCGCAAAACTTCATAGATCATGCTAAACACCCGTCGTTCCTTCAACCTAGGGATTCCTCCTTCGAGTTACTAACCACAAGTCGACCTGAGATCGAATAGACCCAAGAAAACTTCGGGTAGCGGCCGACATCAATGGTAATCACTATTGCTGATATTAACAAATTCCGGCGTAGCGAGAAGCCTCAGCCCGACATACCTGGTATTTCGAAGAGCCCATGTGGGGGCAGCGTACCCCGCGCAGCTCTCCGCGTTGTGCTACTGCTCTCCGTCTTTACTCTTCATCCTATCAACACGGCTTTAGTGGGAACGGAGAGCCTTGTCCTCCGCTTCGAATTCGGTCTAGCACATTTTTTGAAGATTCTCGCTCCTTCTCACTGGCAGCCAGCCAATAGAGTGCCAACAAAGAGGTAGTATAGACTATTGGACCAGGTTGGTATTTAGTATGAAAAGAATGCGGAAGTATGGCCTCCGATATGGTTTAGGTAGGTCTCACTGTCGATTTTATACTATGGAGCATTTCAGCAGAGTATAAAAGATGGCAAGAAACTCAGCTGGAGCCCCAGGTCGCTGGTGGGCAGCTCATCTTGCTCTCGAGCTTGATTCAATATCGGTGCAAGTGGTACAGCTATGGACAAGGCCATTGATTCCCAGCATTTCGAGAGGTCGGCCACAGGAGTAGACCAGGAGCGGCATTCTCAACCGACAAATCGAGATGTGAAACGCATGACTGTCCAGTCCGTGGCATTGGCGGATGCTATTGCCAAAGATGCCCCGGACTACAAGTCGGCGACTCAGTTCAAACTGTATGCCATGATGGCTTTTTGTGTCATGAGTAAGTCGAGCATCAAATTGCAGCTTTGACCGAGATCGCTGGCTTACAACACACTCGCCAGATGGTGTCATGAATGGCTACGACGGCTCAGTCATGAGTGCCATCAACGCCATGGTTCCATTCCAAGACCGGTTTAAGATCGGGAAAACAGGCGAGTTGAACGGCGCAGTATTCTCTATCTATACCGTGGGCAACATCTTCGGAAGTTTTATCTGTGGCTATGTCATGGATAGATGGGGTCGTCGGGCTAGCATGTTTGGTGGTGCTTCGTGCATCATCACAGGCTCCATTCTCCAGGCTTCAAGCTTCCATTTGCCACAATTCATTCTCGGTCGATTCATCGTCGGTCTAGGCACTCCCATGTGCTCGACAGCCGCCCCAACATTCTTGGTGGAGATGGCGTTCCCTACGTGGAGAGGTCTTGCTGGAGGTCTCTACAACGTATTGGGTTGGTACATTGGCGCAAATAGTGAGTCATTGGTCTCAATCTAAAACTTGATCGCAAAAACAGCTAACCAGCTTCTTACCATAGTCGCTGCATGGGGCTGCTATGGGACAAACACGCTGACGAATGACTGGGCCTGGCGTACCCCCTATATCGTGCAGGCCTGTCCTGCCACCATCGTCGTCTCAGTAGTATGGTTTCTACCAGAAAGTCCACGCTGGTTGTGGTCTCAAAACAAGAAAGAGAAGTCGATCGCCATCTTGACCAAGTATCATGGGAACAAAAATCCCGACTCTGCACTCGTGGCCCTGGAGATTCAAGAAATAAAGGAGTCACTGGATGTCGAAGCAGAGCTCAAGAACCGGAATTGGAACTACAAGGTTCTCGTCAACACTCGTCCAGCGAGATATCGTATGTGGCTCGTCATGTTGGTTTCAGTCTTCGCCCAGTTTATTGGAGGAGCCGTTATCTCGTACTACCTCCCTGTTATGGTGGACGGAATAGGAATCCACGATTCCTCTCGGCAATTACTCCTCAACGGACTCAATACTGTCATCTCCTTCGTCAGCGGAATCTTCGGATCCTTCTTCGTGGACAAGGTTGGCCGACGACCTCTTTTCCTGTGGGGAACATTCCTCACCGGTCTAGTGTACATCCCAATCACCGTGCTGGCTGCTCGCGCCGACCAGAGTGGAGATATCCCCACGGGCCAGGGCTATGCCTTCATCGCAATGATTTTCTCATACGGTATATTCTGGTCCTTCTGCTGGACCCCCCTGCAGGCACTCTATCCCGCAGAAATCCTCAACAACGAAATTCGAGCCAAAGGTATGGCTGCCAAGGGACTCATTTCGGGAATCGCAAGTTTCATCAATACTTTTGGAACCTCGGTGTCGCTCAAGCGTATTGGCTGGAAGACATACATCATCTTCTTGGTTTTGCACTTCGTTCACTTGGGATTGATGTATCTGGCTGTTGTTGAGAGCAAACAACGAACTTTGGAAGAACTGGAGGAAATCTTCAAGGACCCGAAGCCGGTGAAACGCAGCTTGCAGAAGACGGCGATCGTTGTTGGACGTGGCGTTGGAGTCAAGGTGGAGGAAGACGCCTGAGCAATTGAGATTCTTTGCCCAAGGGAATGATTTATGTCTTGAATGATTTGAAGATTTTATAGCACGAGACAGGAAGGTGATGTCGTGGAGGAGTCACGATGGATGGGTCGTGTAACTGTCAACCACAAGGCCTATGAAGTACACAGTATCATGGCCGGACGGGGCGTACATATGGGATGATCTCGCACCTCTTAATTTCATCTAGACATGCCAAATGTCGCCAATTGTCATGTATGATCATTCGCATAAGACGCGGAATCGACATGAATTCGTGTTCTATGATCATCAATTCCAGATCTTACCATTATGCACCACGACCGCGACATGAGCTTCATTTTCACTCTTCTGCAATGTCCCCGCTGCCCAGCCCTCTACCCCCTCCTTCAGCAGCCTCTGATAGTTCACAATCGTGCTTTGAGAGAACCAAGCGATATGGCTGGTGACAGTGAGATGGGGCACCTCGGGCTCGCCCTTAGTGAGATCTGGAAGCAACGGACTCGTGCCAGGACCACCCGGCTCCGTTTCTAGCACATCAGTGGCGGCACCAGAAATCCAACCTTCTCTCAGAGCCCGAGCCAATGCCGCTTCATTCACAATCCCACCACGCGCAACATTGATGATCAATGCATCGGGCCTCATCTGTCGTAACTCTTTTTCCGAGATGAGATCAACCGTATCGTGGTCCTTGGGCAGACTGACACAGATGACTGTCGCGCGTTCCAACGCTTCGTCAAAACTCACACGCCCCTCTCGGACACCAGTACCATTCTTGCGCTCGCTGATCAAGACCTCCTTGAATCCAACAGCCTTGGCCAACTTAGCGATCCGCGTTCCGAGCGTCCCATACCCCAGGACCGCCAGCGTCTCCTGGCTACAACCCAATGGCGGGCCCGAAGGCCAGAATTTCGTGAGTGTACCCTTATCAACCCACTCACTACTCCCCGTCACGGCATTATGCACCTGCACGATCCGCTTGCGGGAGTCAAAGTACAAGGCCAGGAAATGCTCGCCCACGGCATCGACATTTCCTGCGGGACACTTGGTCACCGTGACGCCACGCTTCGCGCAATCTTCTTTGTCGACCCAGCTGATGCCCACGGCCATGACGGCCAAAATGCCGAGATGCGGCGCCGCATCCATCTCCTTCGGCGTCACGGGCGTGACGCACGCGATGACTATTGTTGCGTCTTTGATGCGTTCGGCGACTTCGGACGGCTGTGTGAGCGGCCATACGTCGATCGTGTGCGGGAAGTCGAAGGACGGCATCTTCGCGTGAATTCCTTCAAGGACCACGATGTGGTGCTTGTCTTTTCCGGGCGGGAGTGCCGGTGGGCTGGCTGGGAAAGACGGCACGGCCATTGCAGCTGGTGCTGTAAGTTTGCTGGAGGGAGGTGGCACTGTTGGAACAGCAGCACGCTTGTTGGACGAATGCTTCAAGCTATTTGTTCTCGCACTTGTGGAAGCCAGTAAACCCACTGTGAAACCCCTTGTTCCTGGTTTGGATCGACTGCCAAATACTAGTACTTCCTTTTTCCAACAAGAGCTCAGGATCGTGAAGCCTCTGAGCATGAAAACATCCGGGTTTGTCGCCTTTGGAACCTCGTTCTCGCTCACGGCTTTGTGCTCAATCGTCCGTCAAGAAATGAATGTTCCACCCCACACTGGCGTTGCCAAACCGAAAACTCGTATGCGCACGCACACGGCTCAATTTTAGAAGATCTATCGTAGTCCAGGAAATCCGAAATGAAATGAGATAATCTATCGCATCTAGATCCCCCAGAAAATTATAGCCGGCACACAAGATTCAGACAAAGAGATTCGTCGAGTCGAAATGTATATATGTGTGAGAAATGCCCAGGACCGAGGTTGGTAAATGAACAACTAGATCGATATCAATGGTTTAGGTCGACAAATATACGAACACTAAATAAATAATCAGCCCAAGACTGTGATATCGAAAAGGCCGATTTTACCTAAGCTGATGTTCAAAATCAAATAGTTACCTAGGTACTTGCAAGTGACTAACTCCGTCAAGGCAGAACGAATGTACACAGCAGCTTGGAAGATAATCTCTCTTTAGCCTCTTAAAGCCGGGTATCTACTTGGGTATGTTATCCACTTCCAGCGCGCCCTTGATATGACAACCTTTATCGTCGGTACCACTGACTGACTAACTAATTGCTTACTATGTGTAGCACTCACTTACCCTCGAATTGTAGTCCAGATATCTCTCTCTCCGCCATTGGAGTCAGGACGGCATGTCTGCCGTGCTTGCCGCGTTCTAGTGACGAGCACTAGTATTTTGGAAGTTGTTCGCCTGGCTTGCGATTGATCCGCACGAGATATGCCTAGGTAGATGTATGGTTAAACATAACCCAGTCGTCTGATATGTCCTGCTGGGAGTTCTACGCTTACATACATATTCGGTTTACACAGATGGACGGGACAACAAGCACTTCCTTGAACATCTGGTCCAACACAACAAGACAATGAATGATCACGGGTTCATACAGATTTATATGCCTCGAACAATGTGACGGTGGCAGTGACAATGATCTCTCCGTATCTTGGTACTGTCGCTAGATCCTCTCTTACCTCGCGGAACGTATATATGAATTTGTGCGTCTCTCGATTAGAGGCCGTTTCCCCTCCAGGTCGTTACCCCAATACAATAGCAAAATGCAATAGCGACATGCAAGTAAATAGGTAAATGCGCGGCCGATGCGTCCTCCACGTGTGATAAATAACAGAATGATGACTCGCCTTTCCTTACAGTCCAGAAAATTCATGCGTCGTGAAATTGAAAAAGGTATTAGACTGAACATGCATGTAATGGCACAATCACAATTGACAATCCTCCCGTTCATCTCCCGTTTCTTGCACACAACATCCCCATATCAGACACTGGAGTCGCAATTACGTCAAACTTAACTTCCGTAACAGGCTCGGGAAATCGCCCTCGCCACCCTCCTGCTTGACGATCTGCGCGGCAACTTGACTCTGCAAAGTTTCCGTCTCGATCTCGCCCAGTAAACTGTCGTCGTAGAATTTATATAACGTGCCGCCATCAGTCCAGATACGGCGAAGCGTCACCACGGTGGCCATGGGCGAGTAGACCTGGTATTCCTCCTTTTCGATCTCTTTTAACCGCTCCATCGATGTGTATGAGACGTCCCATTTGGTCCCGGTCTGTTCTTCGTACTCGGCGAGGATCTCAGCGGGCGTTGCGGTGAACGAGTGGACCACTAGTGTTGTGTTGCGAGATTCGCGGGTGTGGATCAGTGCGGCAACGACGAATTTGCCAACACTGTGCAAAGGAAACAAGGTTAGCATATCTGCAGATGTATACCACTCGGGAAGATACGTGGTACATACTCAGCCATGGCGGTGAAGCTGACGGGACCCTCCCCATCAGCCAGGAGGACAGCTTTTCTCTCTTTGACGTCGAACTGGCCTATTTCAGGCTTGACCTTCATAGCTCCAAAATACAGGTCACTGTAAGGGCCAGTAACCAAGTATGTATGTTCTAGCCTCTTCATGGTCTTCATATGAGCTCGAACCTTCAATTTGAGCTGGTGAGGAGGTTCCGCCGCCGATTCAGGCCAGTACTCGATGTCGGTGCCATATTCGGAGGTGAAGAATCGGCGTACACCAGCCTGCTCGGCCCAGGTGATTAGCTTGATCTGTTTCTCGATGCCGGCGCGGCCCACGCAGGACACGATCGTATCTATGCCTAGAATTTCGTGCAACATTCAATGTTAGCAACCTGTGCTCAAATCTGGAAACGAAAACCACATGTTGTACACTGCCGCAGGGTTCAAGCACGCTGTGGCTCCATCTTGCTGCAGCAGGCTTTGTCTCAAGAGATATCCGTGTGACCTACCTTCATAAGCTCGTTTCACAGCGGATTCACTCTCTAACCTCCCCGTGAAGATCTCGACACCCCATGCCTCCAAAGCCGCGACGTCTTGCACCTTCTGGATCAGCGTCTTCTCACTTGTCAAGATACATATTCTTTCAAAATGCTCCCTGTTGTCCACGATCGCTCGCGTGATGTAAGTCCCTATCGTCCCGGTCGAACCGATAATGAGGATATTTTTGGTCTTTGGTGCCGCGTACGGCGACATGGTTCGGAAGGAAGGACGCGAGGGAGAAAGACGGTCTCGAGTATTCGTACTCGTAGACGTAGGCCAGGAATAGGAACTAAGGACGGCTAAAGGCAGGTACGGGATCTGCTACCGACCGGACGGGTGCGTGGGAGGTGATGTTGATTGGAAGGCCAGGCCGACTGCGCAAGGGCTTCCTTTCGTGTCGGCTCCTGTTATTCGGTATTCCGTAGGCTACACCAAACGCGGACTTTGCAGGTTGCAGGTGGCGGTGTGAATGGTCGGAGTTGAACAACAGAGTGCTGACGGTGGATCTTGGTAGCGAGGTCGTCTTCGGGGTGGCTGCAGTAATGGAGGATCTCTGGACATGAAAAGACGCCGGATGAACCAGGTATGTGGGGTAGAGATAAGTAATGGTACTCGTGGGCCAAAATAGAAACTTCTGTTGTTTAGATCTGGAGTGAGAGATCGAGATGGTGGCTGGAAAGAGGGCTGTTGATGCGTAAGATTGTTTCTTTGCTTTCGGGCTGGAGAGTCTTGGAAGATCGTCGGACAGGTGGATTCAATTATGATGTGCTGGACTTCAAACAGAGCCAAGTACACACATACACGGATGCACCAAGGTGTGGAAAGTCGAGAGGTTTATGAGTTGAGATGCTGTACAATTTGGCCCCCAGATCAGGTTGGTTAAAAAAAGTTGATGATGAGGGGATGCATGTGCGTGTATTGGATTGGGTCTTTGAGATGGCAATGGGATGGATGGAGGGGCCGAAACGCGGTTACAGACTCAGGTTGTGGCAGCCTCAAATCGTTAGAGATTAAGACAACTCAATGTCTGTTGTTGCTAATGATGATGATGATGATGAAATGTGGATGGTGAACCTGGAGAGGTCTCCTCAAGTGTATTCGGATATTATCTTATTTCCTCTTGGACAAGATGGGATACAGAATAGGGGAGCCGAGCCCATCCAACTCGTATACACAAGAAGCGTGCAGGGATTCGCACGAGGTCCGTTCCTGGAGGGCACGGGATGACTCCATTCAACGGGGCGTTCTTGGGGAAACGGCTGAAGTTTATGTTTATTCTGTTGATCCGTCCTTCGATGTCTACGTAAGCCTTTATCCCTCGAGGCAGACCACTCGGCACCGTGGATTAAGGGCTATGTGGATGGGTACCTTCGAGGGAAGAGACCGAGATTGTTTACCTGAGAGCTGGACAAGCCCGCGTCTTCTAGCCCTTTGGAACGGCAATGGGAGTACAACAGCATGCTTGAAACTTCATGAAGAAAACATCAGGCTGTCAGCGTCAGGTTGATTCCCGTAAAGGCTTACCACATGGAGACCACTGATTTATTATTATACCTGTATATAAATTGATGCACATATCTTGGGAAAACCAGGAGTACGCCCGATCACTCCTCAATTCAGGACTACAGGAAGCAAGCTCGAGGGAGCCTCTTCGACCTCAGCCCGGGCAAGGCCTGCATTGGTACGTACCAAGTATTTTCTGGTGTTCGCTACAACGCCTACCAGTACGGGTCCGAATGTAGAAATTGATGCTGCTGTGCCCCGCCATCAGTATTTAACCGCCCCCAATCTCCCGGCAGTGGTTGCAGGAAACACAAATTCTTTCCCAACGAGGGGAAAGGGGGGGCGTTGCATTGGAAAAGAGCTCCAAGCGCTCACGTCCGAGACATAAATCTCAATACGGACAAACTCGAATGCAAGCGTACCGAAGGAAGACGATGCTGAAATGCGAGAGGAAACCAAGCACATAGACCCTCTGTTACAGAAACTATCTGACGTGGAGGTGGAGCAGGTGAACGAGGTGTCAGAAACCGACCCTGGCATGGTATTTCTATTCTCTATCCATTATTGCGAAAATAGATATACGCTCAAGGTAAGCGCATACTCGGATCGAGCATGAGTGGGCGTTTGACCCTTCCTGCGGCATGTCGACGTTGGAGACATGGTTCGCCTCATCGCATCCCCAACTCTAATGGTCACCATGCACAATGTCTTCGGTCGAGGCGGATTGGAGCATGGAAGCGAGGCGTACTCAGTTCTTCAACCTGCTCTACTGGCACCAGCTCAACCGCTCCTGGGGCCAGCTGTGAGTGACTAATGTGGAGACATTTCTTTGCGAACTCCCCTTCGTGGCGCCTTCCTTTGTATGGTTCTTTCATACCCAACTCATCCCATCTTCCCCGTCACAATGAGATTCAACCACGCACCGAGCCTGAACCCAGCGCGTGCCAGCTGAACGCGCGCAACGTCAAAATGTGCGCCGTAATATTTCCCACTCAGATCTCCCTCTTCCACCGCGTCAACACCGCCTTTCAGCACCTCCGTGCATACGTATCCGTTCGCTTCTCTGGCCCAGGTCATCACTGTCGCCAGAGTCATGTTCAAGCTTGCGCCTTTGACCCAGGTCGTACTGTCCCAGTCAAACTCGCCGGCTTTGATAGACACGGTAAGATTCTTGGCAAATGCCTCGGCGCTGGCTCCAGCTGCCAGTTGCTCGACGATCTCGGTGTCCCAGATATGGTGCAAGTTTGTCTCGTCGCCATCGTAAGTCACATTGATGCCATTGCCACCTCCTTCCAGTGCCTCGTCATGTAGTGGCTGGTGAAGATCGCCAATGAAATGGATCAGAAATCTGGCAGCGTCCTTCCTAAGTGGCGGGCTGGAATCGCTGTCGCTCAAGATAGATGTATAATTGACAATTGCACTGACGCTGCAACCGTCGTCACCGCAATCTCGCTCATAGTCCACCGAGCATGTGGTAGGTGGGTCGTCATTGGCGTCAATGTAATGAAATGGCCTGGAGAATTTACCACTTTCGGTGTATCGATAAGAGTCTGCCCAGGTCGACGCATTTGCCATATAGTCGACCAGCTGGGAGTCTAAAGCATCCCGTATTGCAGTCTCCGTCGCTGGTAGGAGGTATGATTGTGCAATCCATGCGATGGTCTGGTGGCCGAAACCGCCCCAAGCAAATGCGACATAACTTGAAGAATATGAGAGCAGGATTGCTGCAAAAATTATTGGTGAGAGAAGCATTGAGCTGCCAAAGTCAACACTTGAGGTTTCCGAGAGTGACAAGAATCGAGAACCGACAGAGGATGCAAGATGGATTAATAGCTCAATAGTCCATGGTCTATGATCCACTGCAGATCATGATGAGCTTTTGTTCGGCTGCCTAGGTAGACCTTTACCATGGATAGCCTTGGTTTCAAAGGAAAGTAGCGGCCACAGCGACATGACTTATCAAGTGAGGGTATCGATCTTTGGGCCATCTTGTGATGATTAACAGTGGGTTATCCTGCGGCAAGGATAGCTTGACTGACAGGGACTTGGCTGGGGCACAGAATCCCAATTTCTCGAGCAGGATCCAACAGAGAGCCAATAATCGCGGGCCAAACCGCCAAGACAATCTGACCGTGGGATTGAGTGTGGCTGCATGTGTGGCGCAATCGCCACGAACGCAACTGAGGCTCTGCAAAACGAAGACACGTGCTGTAATCTTTCGCAATCCATAGTCACCTTACCCAGACTGATGACGCTTCGCCAAAAGGTTCAATGCACTCCCAGCCAGGATAAAGGCACACTGGTCCTTGCTCAAAGTGTGTTTGACGGGAATCGTGAAGGTCTCGCCGGATTCCTTGGAAACATTCAGATTGACCTCACCTTGGCCGTGATTCTGCAGCACGTCCCACAGACCCTCAGTATCAACCTTGTCATTAGCGTCGATACGGTTGTAGTCTTCTTTGTTCGCAAAGGTCAACGGAACAACTCCTTGCTTCTTCAAGTTGGTCTCGTGAATGCGAGCAAAGCTTTTGGATAGAATAACTTGACCGCCGAGATATCTTGGTTGAAGTGCTGCGTGTTCTCTAGCAGATCCCTCACCATAATTGTCTTCGGCAACGACCAACCAGTTTTGACCCTGCTCTTTCCATTTCTTTGCCAGCTCAGGGATACCCGACTTGGAGCCATCGCTGTCATATGCAACGTTGGTTTCACCCGTCGCTGCATTAATAGCGCCAATCAGAGTATTCTCGGCAATATTGGGCAGATGTCCCTTGTATTTCAACCATGGACCGGCTGCTGAGATTGTGTCTGTTGTACATTGACCTTTGACCTTGTACAAGACTTTCAACCCTTTGAGATCACCCTCGGGAAATGGCTCGAATGGTTCCAAGATTGCCAAGCGGTCTGATTCGGGATCGACCACGACTTGGACGTTTGGATCTGGCTCACCAGACAGAGGAAGGAAAGCGGGGTTGCCGACTGCGAATCCAGATGCTGGAAGTTGAGTACCCTTGGGAGGATCAAACTTGAATTTCTCGCCCGATGGTAGCGGGATACCATCGATCAATGGGTTGAACGACGTAGAACCAGCATAAGACATCGCGGTGACAATTTCGGGCGATGCCAAAAAGCTCATAGTGCGCGCATTGCCATCATTTCTCCCCGGAAAGTTTCGATTGTAAGAGCAGAGGATGGCATTGTCTTCACCTTTCTTGACGCCATCGGTACGTTTCCACTGGCCAATGCAGGGTCCACAAGCATTTGCAAGGACTGTACCACCAGCGCTGGTGAATGTCTGCAATGTCTTGCTTTCCTCTAGTGTTGCACGAACTTGCTCACTTCCAGGGGTGATGAAGAAATCGGCCTTTGGTTTCAATCCAGCAGCATGAGCCTGCTTTACCAGATCCTCCGCTCGAGTCATATCTTCGAAAGAGCTGTTCGTGCAACTTCCGATTAACCCAGCCGAGAACTTATCGGGCCATTTGTTGGTCTCGACAGCTTCCTTGAACTTGGACAGCGGAGTTGACAAATCTGGTGTGAAAGGACCATTGATGTGGGGCTCGAGCGTAGATAGATTGATGGTGATTTCTCGATCATACTCTGCACCAGCGTCGGCACGCAGAAAATTGTATTGCTCCGAGCCATATGCAATTCCTTTCACCGCGTCGATGATGGACTCTCTTCCGGTGGCCTGTAGATATGGGATGTGGTTTTCCGAGAACGGGAAAATCGAAGTCGTCGCTCCGACTTCGGCTCCCATATTACAAGCGGTGCCCATACCGGTACAGCTCAGCGTCTCGACTCCTGGGCCATGATACTCGATGATAGAGCCAGTACCGCCGCGGACAGTCAGTAGACCAACCAGATGGAGGATCAAGTCCTTGGGGGATGCCCAGCCACTGAGCTTTCCTTCGAGACGCACACCGAGGATTTTGGGTGCTTTCAACTCCCAGGGAGCATCGACAAGAGCATCGACAGCATCAGCACCGCCCACACCGATCGCAATGGCTCCCAAACCACCCGCATTCGGCGTGTGACTGTCGGTTCCGAGCATCATGAGGCCCGGTGCGGCATAATTCTCCAACACCGTCTGATGGATGATGCCTGCTCCTGGAGGCCAGAACTCCATGCCGTATTTCTTGCCAGCTGACTCGAGGAAGTCAAACACCTCTTTGTTTCCCGCTATTGAGTTGGGCAGGTCGGTGTCTGCGCCTTTCTCGCCCACGATCATGTGGTCACAGTGTATGCTCGCAGGGACAGCGGTCGATGGGAGATTGCAAGTCATGAATTGCAGGATAGCCATCTGAGCAGAAGCATCTTGCATGGCCACCCTGTCGGGCTTGAGCTTGAGGTTTGCAACCCCTCGGATGTTCTGTCCATTGTTGGTGTTGGTCAAGAGCGACTCTTCGGCATTGTCAAGATGGGCATAGAGGATTTTCTCAGCCAGAGTGAGTTTCCGGGACCCTAGAATTCGTCTAACCTCCTCAAAGTTTTTCAGGATCTTTTGGTAGGGAGGTACAGCGGCTTTCCTTCGCGGGCTTGGTGGAGTGTGGGCGTGGACGGCATAGCTACGAGATGCAGCTATTCTGAGATCTAGAGGAGAGCTCACGCGCAGGGCAGATGCCCGATGTAGAAGTGCAGACATCTTTTGGCACTTCCTACTGGACTCACGAGTTGTGAACATCTAGAAGAATATTTCCCAGCGATGGTCACATCAATCAACCGCAGATAATTTTTGGCCCGGGGGGCGAGCTTGGCTGCTGCCCCCGACTTCGGGGTCGGCACCTCAATTTCTCCACCACTCGCGTCTCTGGTCCAGTCAGCGCGGCCTTATTAGACATCACCTGCGACCACCCGAAGGGGTGCAAGGCGCTCTACAGGCTACCAGTGTGCAATCTAGATAAATCATCAATCATGGGAAATGCCAGAGTAACAACTAAGGTCCTCTGTAGTCTCTTGTCAGCGTTGGTGGCAAAGAGAGGGGAGCAGAATATTTATGCATGGACTTCGACACTGCCGTTCAGTGCGCGAACATGTGTCAGGGATGCACATTCGTTGTGGATTCCCTACCTAAAGGTCAACTTTCTCTGCTGCGAAGCGTGTCAATAGCGTTAGATGCCTCTATGCTTCCGATGGGAAATTCGTTGTTGGCTGCCTTCTCCAGACCCACGGACTTGACCGGGATTCGTTATGACTTGCCCTATTTTTCCAGTGGGGAGCAGACGGGAATGGACCTCTCCAGCATTGATAGGTGGAGAAGTTGAGCAGGGCGTTGTTCCAGATGCCACGCATATCAAGGTTTGTGAAGTATATATATTTGATAGACTGCAGTGGCTGTCTACTCGGTGTTCTCTTCCTCGAGAGCTTCGAAAACGTCGAGCACGCTGATAGAGACCAGGGCAGAGATCCTAGAGACTGCACGAGACTTTCAGATTGATTTTGCACATATCAGTATCCAGAATAATAATCAGACCGGCAATGCTTCTCAACGATTCTCAGAAGGAGCAACCCTCCGCTGGCGGCGGCACGAACAATGGTGTCGAGAAAGTCGTCGCACCACTAGAAGACTCAGCACCTGCAACACTGTTTCACCGATCACTCGTCCAGCGTCCTTACATGGTCGATTCCGCCAAGGGAATCTATCTGTACCTCTCAAATGGTCGCGTAGTGATGGACGCCTGCGGCGGTGCAGCTGTCGCCTGCATCGGACACGGAAACGAGGAAGTACTCGCCGCGGTAACCCGCCAGATGAGTACCGGAGTTAGCTACTTGTCGTCGATGACATACACGACATCTGCGGCCGAGAAGCTGGCGCACCATCTAATCGACGGCCCGCATGGAGGACGACGCTTCGGGCTGGACCGCGCGTACTTCGTGGGCAGCGGCAGCGAGGCCATGGACGCGGCACTGAAGCTCGCGAGACAGTATTTCTACGAGATGGGCCAGCTGCAACGCACGAGGTTCGTGTCCCGGAAGCAGAGCTATCATGGCACTACCATCGGCGCGATGAATGTTAGCAGTAATCTGCCTAGGAAGGTGCAGTATACGTGTTTCCAGTCGGACAACTTCAGCTGGGTCAGTCCTGCGTATCAGTATCAGTATTCAAAGTGGAAGGAAGGGGAGACGGAGGATGAGTTCGCAGAGAGGTTGGTCGATGAGCTTGATCGGCATTTTCAGGACCTTGGACCGGAGAACGTTATTGCTTTTGTCGCTGAGCCGGTTGTCGGCGCCACGAGTGCATGTACACCTGCACCAAGAGGTTACTTCAAGGGTGTCAGAAGCGTGTGTGACAAGTATTCAATTCTCTTGATCCTGGATGAAGTCATGAGTGGTATGGGTCGATCGGGGACATACTTTGCTTTTGAACAGGACGAGATTGTGCCCGACATCATGACTATTGGCAAGGGACTGGGAGGAGGCTATGCACCCATTGCTGGTGTTCTGGTCCACAAAAAGGTCATCGACGTCCTGAAGAAAGGTACCAGCAGCTTCAACCATGGCCATACCTATCAGGCGCACCCGGTGGCATGTGCGTCCACGCTGGCTGTGCAGGAGATCTTGAGCCGGGATGGTCTCATTGAGAATTGTGCCAAGATGGGCGTGATACTGCACCGGCTGTTGGTCGAGACATTCCAGTCAGCCAAGTATGTGGGCGACATACGGGGCAAGGGTCTATTCTGGAGTCTAGAATTCGTCGAAGACAAAGCTATGAGGAAGTCGTTCCCACCGAGTGTTCGTTTTGGTGCTCGGTTCCACTCTACTGCTTTTGACCTGGGTGCGGCTGTTTATCCTGGCGCAGGCACTGTCGATGGGACGAATGGAGACCATGCAATTGTGTCGCCGCCTTACAATGTGACTGAGGAGGAGTTGAAGAAAGTCGTCGCTATTCTCAAAGAGGCTTATGACAAGTTGGAAAGAGAGATTGACGGCGTTTCGGATAAGCAAGAGAGCGCACACAATCTTGGGCCATCATGGTGAGAACCTAAATTCAGTAGCCGCCTAAGGCCAGATAGAATGATAGTGATGAACTAATGAAGACATACTTAAATGCCGAGGAGGAAGGAAGTGACAACGACATAGGTTTGAATTGTACTGATTGTGTTGTATTGACTGGTTAATGACGCCGATCCTGTAATATGGGAGTGTGATCAAAGTAATCAAGCTCCGGAAGCAGACTTCCACCCATCCAGAAACGACAAGACATTCGCCCCCAAACTATCTATCACATAACCACCCTCCAACAAAATCAAAGCCGGTATGCCGTACAGAGACTCCCTCGTCCTTGCCGCAATAGTTGCATAGTCCTCAGTATGAATCTGAAACGACCCGAGAGGGTCGCTGTGGAAAGTATCGAAACCGAGGCTTACCACCAGAAACTCAAGCTTGTACTCGGCCAATCGTTTGAGACCAGTGTCAAGCTTCGCCAGGTAGTTCTCAATGGAACTACCCACTTTCAGTGGGAGGTTGACATTGAAGCCCTCACCTTTACCAGCGCCGATTTCATCCTCCGCTCCAGTATAGTATGGATATTCGTCTTCTCCGTGGATGCTCACGTATAACACTTTGGGGTCGTCATAGAAGATTTCCTGAGTTCCGTTCCCGTGATGAAAGTCGATATCTAGAATGCCAATGCTCGAATTGGGATACGTAGACCGCCAAGTACTGACTGCGAGTGCTGCATTATTGATATAGCAATACCCTCCGACTCTCTGGCCATCGCAGTGGTGTCCGGGTGGCCGGCACAGCGCAAAGACGGTGTCGGGTTCGGTCACTTGACCACTTGCAAATCCAACAAGCATGTCAGCCCCTTCCCAGGCAAGATTAGCGGACGCGACAATCGCTTGGTAACTTTGCGACATGATACCGGAGCTCATGTCAAAAGCATAGTACCCTGCTCTAGCAAATGCATCTTTTGGGGCTCGCAGCGGCTTTCCTGTTGCAGTCGGAAAAGTAAAACATTCGGGGAGCACATGGCCGTCACTCTCGATTAGGCCAGCCGATAACCACTCATCGTAAATTGTCCTTAGATGCTGCAGATACGCATGACCATGAGTATCCGACGTCGTTTCAATCAAACGTTTGGACCAATCGTTGTCCTCGGCGGTACTCGGTTGGATCAGACGGATTTCGTGTTTTGAGAGATGCAATGCTTTGAGTATTGCCTGAAGCCTTTCGGGAGATTCCAGGGCGGGGATTAGTTTCGAACCAAGCAACTCAACAGTTTGATGACGGAGACAGTCAGGGTCGTAGAGGATCACCAACATCTTCGAAGGATTGTTTCGCCGCTATTCTGGTGGAGACCATGACAGATGATGCTCCTAAATGCTGGGGAGAGCACATTTCGAGCCGTTCGAGAAAGTGACTCAAAAGTTTCCAGTAGTGTCTCCAATTGTGGGCGGGTGAGATAGTTCAGGGCGCTAACCAGCCTTGGGGTGGGCATCACCACGTGACAGGGACTGTCAGTCTATGGAAAGTGAGGCTTCGTGTAAATGCTGTCTTCACCGGCTCCTACTGACTGATGGAACATGTAGTTGTCAGGCTGTGAGGGGATGGTTGCGTGGTGATGTTGTAATTCTGTTGACATAGTGCTTTGCATTTGAAGTGCTATACACAATTAATTAACTATGTGCAGACGCAATGTCCAGATGAAAACTTACTATTAAGGCTTTCCTCAAGAAGTTTGTTCTTGTCTCGTAAATGGCGAAGAATCCGCGACATATCTTGTACTGCTCGCTGTTGTGTATTCGTAAAGTTATCCAACACGATTGCGAGTCGATCGGTGAAGATTTGGGCTGTCATGGCTTTCTTAGATTGAATTGTGAAAAGGATGGAATGAACCACATACCCTCTGTGCTTAGTTTATGCTGAAGTCCACTTTCATTTCCCAGTAAAGCAATGCCATGCATATTTCTGACGAGCTCTTCAACCAAAGGACCAACATCATTCTGCAATGGTCCTGTGAAGGCTATATTGACAGCTGGAGCACTTGCAGGGAATGGACCTTGTACAGGTGGAACTGGATGAAAATCATCCTCGTTAAGCGCAAGTTGTGCTGACGCAGAGTCAACATCATTCACGAACAACTGGAAGTCGATGACATCGAAATTTGTATCGGCACCCGTCGATGCTTGTGCATTTGGAATAGTCTGATTATATAACTGCTGTTCCGAGAGAGGATTAGAGCTGATAATGTTAGGGTTGATCCCAATACCATCTTCTGAAAGACCGTAATCGTAGTGTGTATTCGGTAATGGGAATGCGTTGTCAATTGGAAACCCAGGCGGAGATTCGTTTTCATTGAGGTAGGTACCATTGAGGTTGGATAGACCTTGACCTATCGAAGTCTGGGTTGGCAGCGACGGCGGATATGTTGACATAGAGACCTGACTTCCAGGCAGATTCCATTGTCTCGTGGAGTTTGGTCCTTGTGATTCGGTCCATTGTCGGTTACCGACAGTGAAAACGCCGTCATGCCCAGCAGTTCCGTCGAAGCTAGATACTGCCTTTTCTGAATGGAAATTGAAGTGCGGTGGGTGATGTGGATTTATCGCGTTTGCTGTGGCGTTTGCATTGAATCCAGTGGTATTTTGAGATGGCAACGAAGGGGTACTTGAGAAGTTGACATTGAAAGCCTGATTATCGAACGCGGGTTGCCCGAGTTCTTGGAATTCATCACCCAAGACTGGTCGCGAAGAATTGGTGAAAGAATTGGACCGTGTCCTTGACCTTGAACGACTGACTTCACGTCGAGCAAATCGACGTAGATTTCTATCCTCGCGGGGATGAAGACTGTTGCTGGAGTGCGCACGAGGTCGTCGTCCAGGTTTGCTAACATCCAGGACCGACTTTCCGGATTGCGCAATCTGAGACATTCTCTCTTCTCTGGTTGAATACTTCTGAAATCCCCATTGTTTGATTCTGCGTTCCCATTGTCGTGGAGTGGCATCGAAGCCGAAAAAGTCCTTCATAAACTTGGCCGCTGCCTTACGAGTCATGTTGTTGTCGATGTAGCATTGTCGGAAGTTCTCCTTTTGCGCCTCCCAGTCCTGTTCATCATGATGATGATCGGCAGACTGCGATTCATCCTCAGAAGCCATAACTACATTCGGAAATGGAGAATGCGATGGCGGCGACAGATTCATCGGGATGCGGGACAAGTTGATTCGAAAGTACTCAGCCTGATGTTATGAATGGAGTAATCGCAGCGTTGTCGTCAGCTTGGAGGACCAGATGATCGACCGAAGGCCGAGGTTGATGAGCTGTGTCTTTGTGGATGGTGATCAACCAAGAAGCAAAATCATCTTATGTCGTACAACTTAAGACATTTGAATGTTGAAGTTCAAGTTGATGCTCAGCCGAAGCTGGGCGCTAGTTATTGAAGCTGTGCTCAATACCCTGCCAGGCTTGGATAGCCTCCAGACGGTCTTGCAAGGCCCTACTGGGCCCGGTGGCACGAGATAATTGGCCCCAAACGACGGAAGCTCGGGGCTCTTTGCGGCTGACCCGCTTTGGCACCCACACTGGTCCTTTGGCTTGTTTCTCCTGACCTCCAATCGAACCATCAGGAAGCCCATTCTCAATTCAGTCTTGGGCCTGCATTCGTCCTTGTCTTGGGGGCCCATCGCCTGGACTCGGGAGCTTCCAGCCTAAACCAAACCTAAGTCATGTCCTCCTTGGGCGGTTGACCCTCTGGACACCAACCCTCCCTCATCCGCCATAAGCCCCTCGGGACAGCAACAATTATCTTCCGGCGTTATCATCTGCCAAATTCCCAAACCATCCATCCCTTCATCCCAAATACACAGACTGCTTTCTGTTGCGCTGTGAGCAGTGTGACGGGCACCAAAGCTGCTTCTGCCTGGCTCAGGGCATCACTGACATCAGTGCCTGCATGACCCAAGTCGCTTTTGGGCTAGATTGTCTTCCGTCGTCAAAACATATCACTATAAGCTCTCCAGAGCTTTCCAGCACCAATAATGAACTCCAAGGAGACCAAATCACCGTTTTGCCTGGAAGTCACCGCCTATACTTTCACGGGGGTTTTGGGAGCCATGTATACCCTTTGTTACGGTGTGCGCGACTTAAGGGTGAGTTTAGGGATGGCTTCGAGGAGATTGCAAACAGCACTTAAACTGCGCAATCGCCACTGCCCTGATGAATGCCATTAATCGTCGGTGAGAGCGATGCTACTACCTGCATAGGAAGTGACGGCGTTATACACATTTATCTCGCCACTATGAGACGCACCTTCAGCCTCGTGACGCTCTTCGGTGCACTATTCAACCACATTCTCGTTGCAGCTCATTGGATCATTCAAAGCTTCTGCGATTGCATAGACGCTTGCATGAACGGCTGTACCAGAATCGTGCAATGTGAGTTGACTCTATATCTATCCAGTGCATGACGTTACTGACCTTTCTGATAGCACTGCGGAGACCTATCAGCGCTAGACAAGACAGTCGTCAATTGTCATCACCACTCTCCGATCTTCCCGCTCAAGCAAGCGTCACTCACACGGCACGAGCATCGAAGTCGAGCACTATTGCAAACAGCTCACAACGTTCAACGCCACCCCCAGCCTCACCTCCGCCGGAGCAAATAGTTCCTGACCCTGGAGACCTGAAGCATATGGGAGCTGGGTTTCCCTGACACTGGTGTATTCCGTGATTCATACAGAATGAGCATGTACCAAAAGTTGGATTGTTGTCATGGATTCGGTGTCATGGGATTCGGATATGATTCACATGCGTATGCTATCACGGGCTTCTCGAGCTGAGGGTTTAGCGGTGTTCTAGGAGCTGTCTCAGCCCTGGTCGGTCAACCGCAAAATTTGGAAAAGGGTTAGGAGTTTAATGTCGAGTGTCGAGTTGGCCATCTATGTCGCAGTTCTAGGGAGGCTCATTCGTATGACTATCAGCTCGGTATGCAACCGATCTTTCAAGGTTTAAGGCCGGTTGCTTAGATTAAGGCCGAGTAAAACTTTCAACTTTACCTCCCGGGTGCCCACCATCATTATCAGGTCATACCATTCCATCATCTACCTAATTCAACCCTAAGAACCCTCCCAACAACTTCCTAGATCCGAGAGCAGCCTTTCGCTTCTTGGGCTCGTGCAAGTAGTCAGATCACCAAGTCCATGGGTGCTTCTGACTGTAAGCAGTACCTCTTAAGTTAAACAAGAAAACGAGATCAAGGGCATAACTCTCAGCTAGTCTCAGACTCTTATCAAAGGCATTTTACTTCCAACCGGATGTGTTTTTTGCATCTTCATTACGCCTCCCTCTGAGATGTCCTTGCGATCACGTGGTTTCGCGTTACGCGTGGAGTCGTTCGGTTGTGTCTGAAGCCGCGGTAAGTGCCAAGACCTGACTCGACATAGTTTTTGTTTACGTCTTCGGTCAAGAAACTGGCCCGGCCTGAGGCACAAAGCAAAGCGCAGTAACGTATACCAGCAGCCTCCCCATTGCGATCCATTCCTACCGAACATCCTTGGGCCCGTTCAAATTGGCTGTCGTCAGATTTTGCCGATGGGCAGTCAGTGGCCGTCCCTCCATGGCAACCATGGCGACAATCAGCCTTCTATCTTCCTCGCCACCCAGACCATTTGCCCATTCACCAACTCCCGCTGCTAGTTCTCCTTCATTACCTTCGCCCAGCGCCTTTCTACGCGATGCCTCGGCAGGACCTTTGCGTTTTAAGGCCGCAGACAAAACAAGAGATAGGTTCTCAAATGGCTTCACCAGTGCCCGTTCAATGCTTCAGCCCAAGATGGGTGCAGAGAACGTCTCCTTGGGTTCACCTGGACGGACGAGATTCAAACAATTAGACAAAAAGTCTTCAATAGACCCTTCGCTAACGACGCAAACCAGCACCTCAGTGTGCTGTGGCCTATTTCCGCAGCCCTCACCTTCTAAGCACTTTGTTGACCGAGATTCCATCGATGTTGAAACAGGCAAAACGACACAACCATCGGAAAAGCGCGTAAACATCGACCCTCAGACCATATCGACTGCACAGTTGAGTACAATTCTTTCTGATGAGCCTGACGTCCACTCGAGTTCCAGAAGCCAGCAGATGGCCAAGGTGATACCAAGGAAATCGGATTGGACCCCGGTCAAACCAACCATTGAAGAATTAGAAGGAGCACAGAATCGGTCCATTACATTCTCAGAAAATCTTCTGCAAAGTTTCGCGTTTCAAGGTTGTGCGAGGGATGGCAAATCAGAGGGAGATGTTGTTACAGGAGTGTCAACGAAAAGACGCCGCATTGAGCTAGTTCAGACAACAAATCCACAAAGCACAATATCTTTACCTATCGTCAAAATTGGAGCCCCTTCAAAGCCTGAGAAAGCCGCCACGAAGAAAAGAAACAAGTCTCCTGCTAAGAAACCCCTTACCATCACCGGTCTGGCGACTACAAACTATGGCGAGGAGTATCTCAACCAAGGAAAAGTTTCGCCCATGGTGCAGTTTCTAACCTCAACACAGGTTGGTGCCACCGAAGGTGATCCTCCAAACGAAGGGACCACTAAGAGAGCCACAAAGCCAAAAGCTGGCTCGAAGAAAAATCGGGTTTCCAAGAAGATACCTCCCAAAAGTCGTCTAGTCTCTCCCACATCCGCTATGAAGTCACTGATTGATCAAGACACGATATTTGGCTCTGCAAGCCAGCTTGCTCGTGAAGAGTCTCCGACCTTGATTCGTGATACTATTGAAGCGACAAAACAATCCGAATTGATCCTCTCGTCTGATAGCATTTCTCCACAAAAGTCACAAGCGCTGTCAATTGGGACGATCTCACCCCAGATACGTAAGGGTACGAGTCGTTTTGTGAAACGCCGAAATCTCTGGGGTGCAGCCGGAAGGGACGAGGATAATGCACTTCTACACGTCGACACCATAGACCTCAGTGATTCTCCCGCAATTCGTTTCGCGTTTGCTGGAAAAGATGCACTCCTTCTACCAGCTCATGCTGTTGGTGAAAATGATGCATCTCTGTACTCAGGAGGACTTCAAACATGTCAAACACCTTTGGCCAGCAAAGGAACCCTACTCGTCGATATCGATGACTTCGCAACGCCAGCACCGAAGTCTATGAAACCACCTAACGCGCTACAAGTAAGAGCATATCATACTTCAGTTTCCCTGGAAGCACCAAGAAAGTCTCCTTCGCATCCGCCTGCGACAGCGGAGGAGCCAGCGACCAAAAAGGTCACGAAAGCGAAAGCCAAGTCCGTGCCTGCGAAGCCGTCCTACGCTGGCTTTTCGGACCATGACTTGCAGCGACAGATATCAGCATATGGCTTTAAGCCAGTAAAGAAACGCGAGAAGATGGTCGAACTCCTCGATATGTGCTGGGAGGATAAGTACGGTACTCAGAAGGAAGAGGAGCAAAACCTCAACGTGGATGGAGACCAGGATATCGCAGCTTTGACACATGCAGACTTCTTGGGTAAGGTCCACGATATTGCTGCTCGTCCTGTCCCCAAGGTCAAAAAGCCCAGAGCAAAGCGAAAGTCGGAGAGCGAGAAAGCCACGACCCCGAAGGAACCAAAGAAGAGGAAGAAGGCTGAGCCGAAAGCAAAAGGCGAACCCAAAGTAAAAGCTGTGAAGGAAAAGACGCCCAAAAAGCCAAGTGCCACGGCTGCCAAAGCTAAGGCAAAGCGCAAGGCATCAGAGCTATCCGAAGAATATGTTCTTGACATTGATGACATCAATGAACCGGCTACAGCAGCCACAATAGCTCAGGTCTCGGAGCCTCCCACCGAAATCACTGCAAAGAAAAGCAGGGTCGTCAAAGCATCAAAACGTTCGAAGCTGTTAAAAACCCCGACGCGCACAATTCGTCATGAGATACTCTCATCACAAGCGTCCGAAGCATTCCAAGAAGCGCAAATCCCAGAGCACATCGATTTCATCCTCGCACCCAACGAGAAACCGAACCAACCGGTCTCACCAGCACAAACCCCTCCTCTGCCAGACATACAATCCCAGATCCGCGCCGCAATCACATTCAAACCCCACTCTTCCTCACCGTCAACAAACACCATCACGACGTCCAAATCACCGAAATCCAAGAACAAAGCGTCGTCAAGCTCCGGCATAGTACCAACCTGGCACGAGAAGATCCTCATGTATGATCCGATTGTATTGGAAGATCTGACAGCCTGGCTCAACACAACGGGCTTTCAGGCCATCAACGAAGACCGTGAGGTCAGTGCGTTGGATGTACGCGACTGGTGTGAGGCGAACGGCGTCTGCTGCTATGGTCTCGGTGGAGGGTGGAGGGGCACGAATACGAAGAAATGAAATACACGACGGGATGAATAAATTTTCTGAGCTGATGGGAGTGGTTTGAGGGACTACGTTATTTCTTCCTTGGCTTCAGACGAGAGCATAGCCTACGTTTTGCTGTGCGTCTCTTTTTTGCCATTTGCCTCTTCGGAAGGCACTGCAATGCTTTGGGTTTTGAATGCATTGAGACCTTACTACCTGAGGGACCTTCTGGTGTGACGAGAGTCTTTGCCTGTCAATACCGCGCGAGTGGTTGGCAACACATGAACTTGAGCACGAAGTTAGCCACGATGATGAGAAACCATCAATAAAATTGAATGAGAAACATGTTCCCAATGCTTTATTGTTTGCTCAATGCCCCCGGAGCTCGTCCCTGCCGTTGCCCGCCACTTATTTCAAGGCGGAGCATTCGTTGTCTTGATTCATTTTTGTAATGAGAACCTTGGAAGTGTAAGCGACCCAGGAGACAAGATTAAGTACATTACGAAGGAGCAGATACTAAGTGAGGTCTAGAATTGATTTACCAGCTTAAAGGTCGAATCATCTCTCCCCTTCCTTGCCGGACTGGTATGTCTATCTCGATTTCGAGTTCGATTTCGAGTTCGATCTCCGTCTCCGTGGTCCAGTCCGCCACATACATTACATACTAGGGTTAAGTCCTCGCCCTCTCGATCCGCATTCCCCTACCCTATTCATCATCCGACCTGTTCTCGGCGCCACCGCAGCAGCTCTTTCGACGTCCATCACTTTACCACTATCGCCCATTCGCACCACCATGATTTAACTGACTCGACTAACTCACGCAGTTAATCCCTATTCTCTGCCGCTGCACCCATAGTCCCCTGCGCTGCTCGCAACTGTTCCTTCCCAACACCACGGTCCACCCACAACGGCCATCACCGGTCGGCTGCCGCAGTGGATCACCTCACCACCTTCCCTTGGTCATTTCTCTAAAAGAACTTGCCCTTGAGTTGGACCTCACTGCGCTCAACACCGTCGGCATCAGTGTAGACGTCTCGCTCTGCGACGTCCTCCTGAGACGGACGACCAGTGTAGAAGCTTGGCGAAGGACCGCGAGCCGGCTTGTCAAGCGCCGTGAACGCGGTACCTCTCACACGAGCAAGAAGCCACTGCACGCCAACCCTGCCGGCGAAAGCAGCTGCAGCCCAGAGCAAGCCGCCAACGGGCGCAGCAACAAATGCGCCGAAAGCACTCCAGTCGTTGCCATAGAGACCCTGCTCGAGCAGCAGCAGACTGCCCGCGGAGGAGGCGTCGCCGTCGTAGTAGACCAGGCCGAAAAGGAAGACGGTGAACAAGCCGCCCAGGCCACCGACGACGACTTCGAAGCCGCGCCAGGCGTAGGCGCGGTCGTTGAGGCCGATGACGAGCACGGGGATCGAGCTCGCGGAGATGAGGTCGCTGATGAGGTAGATCTGCAGGACGGAGGGAGATTTCAAAGCGACGACGACGACGGGGAAGATCAGGAGCACGACGGCGGCGCGGATGAACCAGAAGTTCAGCTTGTTGCGGAAGATGTCGTTGGACCCGGTCGAGACCATGGCGGACTGGAACGAGTCGAAGGCCGCGGTGGACAGGCACACGACCATGACGAGCACGATGCCCACGACCCACGCGGGCAGTTGCTCCAGCAGCAGGAACAGCGCAATCGACGACTGCTCCGGCGGGTCGCCGAGCGCGCCAGACCAGCCGGCCAGCAGGCCCGAAACGCCCACGAGCGTGAGGATCACGGCGACGGCGCCGGTCGCCAGACTGACGCCCACCCACAGGTCCTTGTCGGTCTTTGCGGCGAAGGTGCGCATCCAGAAGCCCGAGAGGAAGAAGTCGTTGGTCAGGATCGCCACCGGCAGGATGTACATCAGCTGCCAGCCGAGGAGGCTGGCGTTGAGATAGCCGCTTTTCTCGATGAGGTCGTGTTGGATCTCGGTTTTGACCCCGACGGTGATGCAGCCGATGATGATCAGCCCGACCACCATGGCGCCTTGGATGTTGTCGGTGATGAAGCTGACTTTGAAGCCACCCAGGGACGTGTAGATGGTCGTCACGGCGCATTGCACGATGACGGGCGGGAGTCCGTCGAGGCCCGTCAGCGAGTTGATGATCTGTTGGAGCGCTGAGAGCTCGGCGACCATGTAGAGGAAGATGGTGATCAAGCTGGTGTTGGGAGAGTGTTAGAATGCTGGCAGAATTGGGGGTAGAGAGAGGGGATGGGGCGGGAATTGAGGAGGTTTTGGGCTCCATACGTCAATGCAGAGAGATAGAGCGCGGTGAGAGTGCCATATCGCTGTCTCGTCCACTCGGTGAGGACAAAGCCCTCAGGACACTTCCTGCGGATTTTCGGACCGAGATACGCGAAGATCAACAACGGCAGTGCAGAGGAGAGTGCATAGACAACAAGTCCCTGCACGCCTGCGATGGTCGAGATCTGTGGGTACGTGAAGAGAATACCGGATCCTAGAGCTGTAGTTCGTCAAAGAGAAACGTCTGTCAGTACGCTCGTGTCAACGAAAACGCGAGCGAGTGGAGGGAGGGGTGATATGGGCATTTTTTTCTTGATGGTGTTAGAAAAAAGGGGAGACAGAAGTGGCAGCACGTTTCCCACGCAAGCATTAACTTGATCGAGTCTTAACGGTACAATCTCAGCATCTATGCGGTGGACTTTTGGCACCCGAGGACCCTGGGAGCTCTTCATTCCAAGAGATCTCTGATGGCTACAAAGAGCATTTTAGGAACTCCTTGAAGTCTCAGTTGGATGAAACGGGGTAGAAAACACGACCAGGTCCTCGAGTGCGCAAGAGTACATGGGATCCGAATCTTTCCCGCATAGAGCGCCCGTAGTGCTGCACATTGGATCCCTTTCTGCGCCCCCTCGCCATCGAAGCGGTACAGATGCGAAGAAGATGGCGATCATCTTGTCACGAGACGTCGCATCTCTTCTTCGAAAGAGCAGCTCCGACGTCGAGAGAGCGGAAAAAGGTCCAATGCCGTTGATGCGAGCGTACGAACCTCAGATGGCGATGAGCAGAGAAGCGTCATCGGGCAAATCAGTAGTTGATGATCGTGGCGTTTCCGAAAGCTTTTTGTCGGAACTTTCTTGTCGTTGTTTGCTTGCGTTGAGAATATTTTTGCGTGACCCAACTGCGCGCTTCATGCCACGGCTGCCCTTCGAGTGCACTCACCCGAGGCGATGAAGTTGAGGGCCAACGGAATGCCTAGAGGAAGTGGTTAGTGAGACCCAATCTTGCGGAATTGACGACGGAAATGAATATCGGAAACGAGTCGATGGGTGGAACTGTTCTCTCAAAGAGCACGTTTTCCATCCCATCTCCGATTGAAGTTTGCTGACCCTTCTGTGTTCGCAAGCTCGCAAGGTATTCGCCCTTGGACTGATGGCGAAGTCTCCATGCGATGAATAGACCGGCCAGTCTAGATGGTGATCAGGTCAGCTATATGAAGCTTAGATGAGAGAAGAGGAGACTGGTGGTCGGCGTACAGGAAGACCGCGTAGGTCGTGTAGATTATGCCATTGGAGGCGGGCTGGGATGGTTGTCCCATTATTGCTGTCGCTGCTGTCGCTGCTGTGGATATGCTCTCTGCTTCTGTGAATAGTTATATTCGTCTAAATGAAAATCCAAGAATTGGGATTTCGAGAGCAAGACTGTAGACGAGCTCCTGTTATTATGATACGAGATTTGTCAAAAGGAAAAAAAAAACGCAAAGTCCCATTCAGTCAAGAGCTTCAGCCAATGTGGGGTGGCTTTAGAATATCCCAATCGGCTCGTCTTCCTCATCATCGATTTCCCGAGAATTTATCAATCACGTGGGGGAGGGCCCTGTCTTGGCAAAATGACGACAGCGGACTCCCGACGTTTTCAAGATCAGTCTTCGCTGGACAGTCCTCAAGGGTGCTTGCCTGTGTTATTGTGGACTGCATGAACGCCTGTACAGAGTACCACCAAGAGCTCTATTGCTTTGAGGGTGACCGCTGCAGCAAATTGCACATTCACGGCATGTTCATGACCTGGGAGCACGCCATTATCTTATGCGGAATTAGTCCAGACTAAAGATCTTCATCATTTTGGTGAGCTAACTGCTCATTGAGCTATCCACTAACTGTACTAGACAACTAGTACTAAGTGTGGACGTGGTGACAGTCTTCAATTCTCTCACTCTCCAAACCAACTGTCTTGTCACTCTGGACACTCATCTGAGCACGGCGTACTCCCCCAAGCTAAACCCATATCTTCTCTACCGTAAAGGTTGAACATATGACCGTGATCTCATCTCTTTAAACCTGATCATTGCGGATGGCAGTTGCTTTCTCACAAGGATCCTCGCCGATTTCAATGGTGCAGGCCTCCCAATTGTAGTCGCGAACAAGAGTTCCCTTGAACTTCACAGCATCACCAATGTTGGTGAAACGGAAGTAGATGGTGCGGACCTGTGACCATGTTAGTGAGATGTTAAAATCTGAAGGATCAAGTGAGAGAACGTACCGAGTTGCGGAAAGTGTCGGTAATGGCCTCAACTTGACGAGTGCCAGGCTTGCCAGTAGCCAGCTTGTGCAAGGCCACGATACCCCAGTCATCTTCTGCGCCGCTCACCTTGAGAACACGAGTCGCACCACATTCGAGATAGCCTTGCATAACACTGCTCATGACGTCGACGTGATCCTGCTTATCAACCAGGATGTTGAACTTCTTGCCCTTCTCGCGAACTTCGAATCCATTGGGATACTTGTCAAAGTACTGCTTGAAGGCTTCTTGGGTAGTAAAAGTCACGTATGCAGTGGTGATACCAGTCTCAGTCTTGGCAGGCAATATTCTCATAGTCTCAATGACACCGCCGTGGATGAAAGATTGAACCAGAGTGAAGTCGGTGGTAGCAGGAAGACCTGTAAGGATGACAGTGCGGACTTTAGACTCTGTGGTTTCAGTCAGCGAAAGTGAGCAAACCGAAAGGAACAATGAGATGCCACTTACTGGGCTTATCATCTCTGGCAGCAACTGCACCCCAAGAGTTGAAATGGGTGAGATTCTCACGGTTTTCGCCATTCATCTTATCAGCTTCACTATTTCCAAGGTTTGCGCTGATCGAACTGGTAGGACTGTTGGGAGGTTGGAGAGGCATTCTCAATAGGGCGAGTTGAGTGACAGAAGAAAGGATGGTAGAATCACTGGGTAGTGTAACGCCGTTGTCGTCAGGATCAATGTCGCTTTCTACTTCAACCTGAATTGAAGAACTGTCGTCGAAGTCGGATTCTCCAGGCGCGTAGGTCTCCGATTCTTCGTCAGAAGAGGTGATTGCTGGAGGATGAGAGGAAGTAGAAGAATCAGACGCGTTGTCGTCGTTGTCTAAGTAAAGAAGTTCGTTAACTAGAAAACTGAGGGTTAGGTGACTCTAACTCACTTGTCTCTGGGGTTCCAACAACAGTCGAGGTCTCGGCGATCTCAGTCTCAACAGAACTGTGAACTGGAGCAGCAGTCGCGTCTTGCTGTCCTCGGCGAAAATCGGCAACAACACTATCTATATAGGTTGTGCTGTGGTAAGATCTGCGTCGCCCACTTGAAACTTTCTGGAGTGAGGAGCTCTTGTAGTTCACCAGATCCGCTTTGGAAGGGTGGGCATTGTCATTTCCTAGACCGGGACGCGTTGTTAGTAAGATGGAGGGCTTCAGGGAATGGAACTGCTTTGTTGCGTACCAAGAGCGCTCTTAGTCTGGTTTGCAGCTGGTCTTGGTCGCGCAGCGAGGTGAGGCAAAACCCCGGCCTATTGAGTTCACCGTCAGTTGTCCGATTATGGTGGGGATAAGAAAGAAGTTAGCCAGGGAGACAAACCTCATCAACGTCAATTCCAGATGGGGTATAGACGGTTCCTTTGGGGGTTTTGTCACTGAAAGTTCCATGGAGGATGGCAAGAAAGCGCGCGTGGTTGGCGGGGTCATCGACATCAACATCGCCGAGATTTGGGTGACGACGACTAAAGGCCATCTTGATAACAATGATGGTGATAGACGCGACTGTGACGAGGTTTGGATGAATAAAAAGATATGAGGCGTCGCAATCAATTGTGGGAAGAAGAAAGAGGAATTTTGTGGGAACGCGGGTGAAAGAGAATGGGTGCGTGAGTGGAACAACAGAGGGAGAAGTGAAGCGACCAGGCCCTGCGATGAAGTGAAGTAATAGTGAACGGGTGCCCGCCAGTATCAACCAACTCTTCATCGCTCCCATTCGCGACGTGAGCGATTGAAGAAGAGGAAGACAAGGGGGAGAAATACCGTCTTGCAGAGGTGAATCTGACAACCAAGACAGAGGCTTACAATAGAGAAGGGTTTCGATCAATAAATGGTCTTCTCTCATTTAATCAAATCCTCCTTCCATCCGCTCCAACTGAGCAAAATTGGATGCTAGGCTGATGGTGGTTCCAGCATTTCTTTCTTTTCATACATTAAATCAACACGGATCGTGGCTTACCAGCTCACATGCATTCCGCCGCTCCAAGAACGCCATCGCTTATGCACGACTCAAAACAATGGAGGCACTGGAAGTGTCTCCCAATTTCGCTCTCCTTCTCTAATGTTTTCTTTGATCACTGCCAACTTCCTCATGCCGCAGAAGCCTGAATGGGTGGCTGTTCTGGTCACGTGCTGGAAGGACCCGCCCAGCTCGAGTGTATCATCTCGAACCCAGACAGTTTCGTCGACCAGCTGCCAAGGCTCTTCATACCTTCTTGGATTATAATGAGGCATCATCACCATGATATCGAGGATGAAATGAATTGGAGTGTAGAGGCGTTCAAAGCGCCGCGTGAAACTCAGCCAAGAAAGTGTTCTTGTGTCGTAGGCAACCCTTACGAATGGATTCATATAAATTTCGGAATTTCCAGGTTCGGGGTTTTGAATATCTGCCTGGATCAGACAACACTCTGATGCATCCCAGAAAAGATCCTGTTCCGCTCGAAAATGATACGGTGCCGACAGATTGCTAGGGCTCTGATTGCCTGCTGTAATTGGTTCTTGACGAACATTGGATGATTTCTGAAAGAACTGAGCGTCGAATGCGACCATGCCACCCCAGCAACTCCTGACTCTTACAGAGTCCGACCCATCTAGTACGTCTTGATGCGTCTGTTCGGATCCTCCCGCGGAAAACCAGGGAAAGAAGGGAATTCCCGTGCTAAAACCTTCCATGTCTCTCGTCGCAAAAGTGTCATAAAATTTGAAGGGGTTGATGAAGTCGACCGCGCAGGCAGCTCTGTAGTCTGCTTTTCCCGAGGTCGTTGTATGCGTTGAGAACAACAAATTCGCCGCGTCAATCGGGTGAAACACAACGTCGTTCAGGTACAGTAGTTTATCATATTGGGTTGCGAGTGTATCGAGTGGTCGAAGAGCCTGGTTTCGAACTTCGGCCAGGTAGTCGATACGCTTTACCCTGTCACTCCCATCGGGTAGTATGACATGCGGCACCTCGTCCAGGCTCAAGTGCTCCTCAAATACCAGGGCGTGGTCGCATGTAACTCTCTTCTCCAAAATCTCCAGTGCTTCTTTTGCCTCGGGTCCTGCGTCGTTCACATAAATGGATAGAAATGTGTTCTCCGGGCCCAATAGGTCGATGAGGTGCAGTATATTGTCAGCCCATGGTCCGGTTGCCAGCTTTCCACCCTTGTCAAAAATGCTTGCAGCTATAAAGACCTTCTCGTGATGCAAATTCGCGCGCCCAGGTAGGTCGGAGGCCGCGACCTCTCTCCTGAGAGCTTCGTAGTGAGGAGGGAGGTGTGTATAGCCGGGGAAGAATATGCCGCCAACGACTACCACAGTGAGAATGGTAGCAAAGAAGGCATAGAGTATGAGAGCGACTTTGCGGTAAAATGATCTCAGCGAACAGGAACATAAACGGGATAGCCTTCTCGCGCGTGTTCTCGATCTTCGAGGGCGACGTTGTTGGCGTAGCCACGCAGGGGTCAAGGAGGAGAGGCGTGCGGAAAGGGTAGATTTGCCTTCATCTGCCACGATTCGATCGGAAAGCAGGTGGAGTTGGTGTTCGTCTTGGTTGTCGCCAAGGGGTGAGGAGGGTTCATAGTTGTCGGAGGTGTGAGTGCTTGTCCTGGATAGCTCATACTCGTCATAACGAAGACATTGAGGGTTCATGATTCGGGAGAGGGGCCGACAGAGAGGAGAGGAGGATGTCGGTGCCAATGGGACCTGGCAGGAATGACAGTCGTCGAGGATGCGGCGCCATATGCTTGCTAGCTAGCTAGGGGAGTGGTGAGTAGTGCAGCATATGTCGTGGGTAAAAATGTACAGGAATGGCCAGAGAAAGAGAAGAGAAACAAAACGGCAATGGGTCAGTGGGTAGTAAATGAGTGAATACCAATGAGTAGTGGTGAGAGGGGATAAGAGGACAAGAAGCGGTAGACGCAATTGTACGCGTGGAGTAGTGAGTGGTGGTGACTTCAAGGAATTGAGAGTTCAGCCTACGGCCACACGTTGAGTGCTACGGAAATGTATAGAGAGCAAATAACATATCTTGCCCCATCCATGCTTGCTGTTTGCCTGGGCCATGGCCCGTTAAGCGAGCGGGCAAAGAGTCTGAGGTGGTTTCGCCCAAGCACAGCCTCCTTTTTTCGCAGGAGTGTGCAAGTTGGGTAACATGTTTGGCTGTGTCCAGAATTTGGACCTGCTTCCTCGTCGCAAACACTAACTAATTTAAGGCAGGAGGAAGCAAGTGGACGAGCCGATCAGCTGCATGCCAGGGTGCATGGGGGGTTTGGGGGCTCCTGGGGGGTCCCCCGTGCAATCAAACCTCGGGTTCCGTCGAACCACGACTCCACGAGGTGAAAGAAAATTGTAATTTAGCCCTGCGTGCACGGACGCCTAGGCGTAGTAGGCTAGACCTCCAATTAAAGGAGACCGGGGTTGGCTGCAAGATCCAAGTCAACCACTGGCCTGGGAGATTTCGTCACGGAGCATCCCATTGCATTTCCATCAAGTACTGCATGTGCTGCCAGAATAATTGCCGAGATACTACCACCGTCTCTGATATCTCGTATCCTATACTCCAACTGTGAAGGAAAACCCATAGGCTGAAATATCCATCACCATAGATCTATCAACAATAAGGCTGAGGCACTTACAAAGTACGAGTACTTTGTAGATTCAGAACCAGTGTAGGCCCTTAGACCCCACCGCTGATCGTTTTGTGCTCCGTGGAGTTAACGAAGCGAAACAAGCCATCCACTATGCCCCTGGAACAAAGTGAGCTGCCTGAATCTGATACGCGTACGGATAGGGATAACCACGAGTCAGCCATTTTTCTCGGAACTTGTGTCCCTCCTGAGTTACCATGCCTTTAAACGCGGGTGTTCTGTATACCTCGCAAAGCTTTCTGGAAGGAGGCCGGATCATAAAAACCATCCGCATCCGCAATCGTAAGGATACCTATATTTAGCAGTCCATGGTAAAACTTTATCAGTGGCATGAATTCTGGCAGCCTGATTTTAGAGATCCAGTGGCCTTGAGCAATTTATTCTCACAGCCCTGGTGAGGAATATGGAATGAGCCCCAAGCACCACAGACGTCCGGCGCTGCGTTGCTTGAAAGTCATACTCAGTACTCGTAAGATCGTGAAGCCACATCTGCCTTACTTAATACCTGAGTCAAATAACACGAGTCCCCTAATCCACTTCGTACTTATCCGCTGCCGAAGTCCAGCGGTCCGTTCCCAAACAGGCTGCACCTGGCGGCTTCGATTCTACATCGGGTCTCTACCGCCATTGTGCGCTCATGCCACTCACATATGCCTCGAGGATAAAGAAGGTTTCTTCGCTATGTTGAGCCACATCTGACAACTCACATCACAGCTCGCAAGCAGGCTATTGTTACGTACCTATACATCTGCGAACACTGATCACCGACTTGTGCCCCATCACTTCGCTTTTTCTTTTTAGAGAAGCGATCTTCAGTCATGGCGGCGAACTACGAGGCGGTGCATCTCAAACACCCAATTCCTGATATTTCAGGCCCCTTCCAGATTACATCGCCTCCTGGCACGGATATATGGGATAAGCCTCCCTCCACACACTCTTTCAACGCTCCAATCATCTATCAAAAGGCCACTGTAGGCGTGCTGAAAACTGCAAAGGTCACCGTCTCCTCCCAGTGGAAAGACAGATACGACCAGGGAGGTTTAGTTCTTGTGGTCAAAACGCCCGACACCACTCGGTGGGTCAAGACTGGTATCGAATTTGAGTATGGAATCCCAAACATCAGCACTGTGGCCAAGGACCAGTGGTCAGACTGGAGTCTGCGTCCTTTACTGGCGGAATCAAGCAACAAGGCCACAATAGAATTGGAGGTCGTCGAAGATGGCAGTCTGTGGGTCTGGCTCGTCGGTGTAGATGGTAAGAAACATGCTTTGAGGGAAGTGACATGGTACGGCAATCTGGATAAGAGCGTTGAGATCTGGGTGGGAGTTTATGTCGCCAAGCCCGCACCCAATGGAGAGAAAGATGATTTGGTCGTCGATTTTGAGGGGCTCTCGGTTAAAACACAGTGAAGCTTTGGAATGGTCCAAAGAGGTCAATCAAGCCAGAGTCCGAGCATATTGCAATCAAAAGGATAGGATGGGGAGGGGCACGAGAAACCGACAAGCCGACCTACCCCTACGGAAACCAACAGGAAGCATTCCAGTTCTCGTTAATCGGCACGTTAAGGTGGTTACCAACTTACCACCTCGGTAGGTATCAAAGAAGAATTCAATATACAGCACCGTTCATTCCGACTGGGAAGTTCTTGAATTGTAGCGGGTGATTTACGTCATGCTAGTGATTGTGAGAAGTTACGTTTATTCTTAAGGCAGCAAGGCAGTAGCGACGATTGATGTGGAGTGCAAGTCTCGCACCTGCACTTTTTGACGCGTCCAAGCACGCGTAAAGTTGTCCCGCACCTCCACTAATAAGCCCTGCGATCACATACAGATTGACTGCGACCTGTCGTAGTACAGTTGCTTCACCAAAGCCTGCCGTCGAGTCGCCCTACCTTCTATAAACTCGATCAGATTCTTTGCGCCCCAGCTTGTAAACCCTTCCACTGTCGTCACGTCTTCCTTCGATCGCGCACACACACTCTCTTCAATCCATGAGATCATGCAGGCTCGCTAGTTAGCACCCTGGTACATCGACATGGCGCCTCGGTCACGAAACGCCGCCGCTTCTGCGGACGCTGCGCAGAAAGACCATCGATATGATATTCCCGGGCTAAGCTTCAACGATGGCCTTACATGGCGCGCAGGAAAACCTATAGCGGTCGCAGATCTTTTGAACCGACTTCAACAGTTGGGAAATGAATTGCGCAACTTCGACGATGATCAGGTGGATTCGCACAGCTTCAAAACTCTGGCACACGACTTGGCCAATGCCAACCTGCTAGGGCACAAAGACAAAGGTGTAAGAGCATGGACTGTGGCTTGCATTGTCGATGTCTTGAGACTTTGCGCTCCTAATGCGCCATTCATCGAGGGTCAACTCAAGGTGAGCAAGGGTGCTTCCAACTCTCTCGATATTCGCATACTGAAACAGTCGTACAGGACATCTTCACTGTCATCATCACTTCGATCCTCCCAGCGCTGGCTGATCCTACAAATGCCTACAATACGCAGCACGTCTACATTCTACATTCGCTCGCAGAGTCGCAAAGTATTTTGCTCGTTACAGACATACCCAATCACGAGAACCTCATCGTATCTCTCTTCACCACTGCTTTTGATATCGTGTCGGGCTCTGGTAGCAGTGCTACTGGACTTGAAATTTCCAAGAGCGTGGAATACCACCTGAAGAATTTGCTCGCTTCTGTGGTGGATGAAGTGAGCCTCCCTCAGGATGTCACGGATATCATAATCTCCCAATTCATGCGAGTCGATGCTCGCCCCGGAGCCAAACAGAGCACCAAGTCCAAAAAGCGAGAAACCCAAGACAGCAAGCAAGACACTTTACTGCTCAAAGAATATCCTCCAGCTTACAACATGGCCAAGTCACTGTGTACAACGTGTCCGGACAAGATGACTGCTCATGTTACACAGTATTTCGGGACGGTCATTGTCGATGCTACCTCCACTATCTCTTCAAATGATGCCGGGAAAGCATCACACCGAAGGATCTCAGACCTGGAGGGCTCCGATGATGAGCTAGAGGGATTGGCGGATTTGCGCAAAGCCCATCGTCTGCTTCGAGAATTGTGGCGCGCATGCCCGGATGTGTTGATCAATGTCATCCCCCAGATCGAGGCAGAATTCTCTGCAGACTCTCCTACACTACGCCAATTAGCTACAGAAACAATCGGTGATATGACTGCCGGTATTGGCATTGCTGGACTTGCTCCAACTTCACCGCTAGATCCGGCTGCCTATCCACTACCTTCAATCGAGCAACCTGAGCCAGTCGTGCAGGCAGCTAACCCTTTACTAACACCAGCATCACCAAAACCATTCGCTGCTGTTCACGCTTCTGCATATCAAGTATTTTACGGCCGGCGACAAGATAAGATACCAGCGGTTCGCAGCGCTTGGGCAATTGCTGCGTCCAAAATACTCCTTACTTCTGCTGGTGGCATCGGACTGAGTGATAATGAGCTACAAGACTTGCTGTCCGGCTTCGCGCTTGCCCTTCGTGATCATGAAGAACAAGTCCGGCTCACGGCTGTCAGGTCTTTGCATGGCTTCAACTATCATGCGCTTATCAACGTCTTGGGCGCGGATGGAGGCCTCTCAAAACCAAACACTATCTTCTCGACCCTGGCTGAGCGAGTAATAGACAGAAAACAAATCGTGAGAGAAGAGGCAATCAATATTCTAGCTCAGATTTGGGGAGTCGCCTCGCGTGACGTCCAAAACGGCGTAGAAGCGGTAAGGTCGACAGTAGGGGATTTTCCAAACCGATTACTTTGCGCATATTACACGAACGACAAACAGATCCATGCATTGATTGATAAAGCCCTATACGAGAGTCTCTTGCCATTGTCATTTCCACCAATCAAGGCCCAGGTATCAAAATCCGAAAGTCAGAAACAAAAATCAAGAGACAAAGAGAGCAATTCACAAGAAGAGGCCGCATCTGATCCTGATGCCATTAGAGCGTATCGCGTACTTACCCTGGTCCAGGGTCTAGATGCGAAATCTCGACCTATATTCTTCCACCTACAAAATTTGCAAGCACAGATAAGCAAAGCGGTACTTGGATTTTTGCAAAAATGCGAAGAATACAACGGTGGAGTTGTTGACGAAGGGGTTTCTGAAACAACAATCAAAAGTCAACTGACTCGCCAAATTGAACATCTCTCTCGTCCTTTTCCAGATCCTGGAGATGTTACGACCGATCTTTGGCGATTCGCGAAGCAACACAACCGTCGATGGTATCAGTTAATCAGGTTTGCTAGTGGCCCGGAAAACGATTATCGAACCGTCACCAAGGCGATTAAGGAGCTTCAGAAACGTATTCGTGAAAGTTCCCCTAATTTGCATTCATTATTGGATACGGTCATGCCACTCGTATACAAGTGCAGCCTGGTCATCTTCAACAGAAGCCATGTTCCAAAGATCATGGACATCTCTCGAAGTGATGAAGGTGGATTATCAGATGTCGCACATGAAGTTCTTCGAGAAATCTCTGCGCGGAACCCAGAAGTTCTCAAATATCATATTCAAGCACTTTGCAAAGAGCTCGAAGAGGAAGCCCCAACTCAGACGAAAGCCGAGGAGACTGGGGCTGCTAACACACTGAAGGCATGTGCCGCATTCGCCAGAAAATATCCTGGAGATGTTCCCAAAGAGCGCAAATTTCTGAATGCTTTGACGAATTTCGCCCTCTACTCTCAATCTCCGCGAGCTGCGAAACATGCTGTCTCAATCCTTCTCCATGTAGCGGACAAAAAGGAAATGTACGCAAAGGACATTCTTTCCAAAGCATTGAAGGATTGTACACCAGGTTCTGATCAGTTCTTGGGCCGATTAGCGACCATCTCCCAGATTTGTCTGCTAGCACCGGGCATTGCGACTCTCGAGGCTGAAGCTATCAATAAACTTGCTGTCACCGACATTCTACTGGAATCTCGCTCCCGCAGCACTAAAGGAGATTCGAACTCATGGGACGAGGTTCCTGATTCGGAAACGATCTCGAAAGCTCTTGCTTTGAAGATTCTTGTGAACCTAGTCCGCTCTCAAGATGAGAAGGCAGAAGACAATCAATTCCAGCAATTCACAACTGAAGCCTACAAATACTTGACAAGATTGGTGAAAGATGATGGGGAAATTACCGCCTCAAGAGATACACCAGCAGCTCAAAGAAATTTCCTGCGCTTAACGGCTGCTCGGTTCATATTGAAGCTCTGTACTCACAAAAAGAAGTGTGAAGAATTAGTCAGTGCTTCAATGTTCAACTCGATGGCTATGATTTTAATCAATCCCCCGAATGCTGTGCGGACGGGCTTTGTCAATCAGCTCAAGAAGTATCTTGGACACGGCCGCTTAGCACATCGATGGTTCACAACATTGTTCTTATTGGCATTTGAACCAGACAGTGATTTGAAACTATCCACCATGGCCTGGCTGAAGTCACGCGTGCAGTATTTTGCAAAGCAACAACTACAGGCCAAGAATGGCGATAAGAAGCCTGTTCAAAACGTCATGGAATCGATTCTTTCGCGCCTCCTGAGTTTGTTGGCTCATCATCCAGATTATCCGAGTCAGGATGCTGAAGACTTTGATGGAGAGTTGCTGGATTTCTCCAAATACATTATCTTCTATCTTGTGACCGTTGCAACTGAAGACAACTTGTCACTGATCTTCCATGTTGGTCAACGAGTCAAAGGTGCAAGGGATGGCATTTCTGGGACGGAGGATGCCAGTGTGCGTTTGTACGTCCTCAGTGATCTGGCACAAACTGTCATTCGAAACTATGCAGACCTCATTCCAGCTCACGCTAAAGGAATCAATCTCCTGCAAACCTGGCCTGGTCAAGTGACCCTTCCTCGAACACTCTTCAAAGCCTTGCCCAGTCATGAAGTTGCGCAAGAAATTGCTGAGAAGAATTATCTACCTGAAGACGTTGCCAGTGGGCTTGAGAAGTTGGTCAAATCATATGTCAAGCAGTTGAAGAATCCAAAACAACCATTGAAGAAGCCAGCAACTAACGACAAAAAGCGCAAGAGCGAAGTATACGACTTAGACAGTGAAGCCGAGGAGAAGCCTAAACAAATCAAAAAACCAAAGAGGGCGACCTTGGCCATCAGAAAAACTCCGAAACCTAAGCGTCAAAATCTGGAAGTTTCCAGCCCAGTAGAGGCATCTCGGAAAAGCTCACGCGTGTCAAATGCCATCAAGTATACGGAGGCGGATAGTGATGATGACGATGCTGAGATGGAGGAAAATGACAAGGCACCCAAGAGTCCCACTTCCCAAAGGAAGAGAAAGGCTGCGGAGACAGACGAAGAGGAAGAGGGCAACGATGAGTCAGATGAGCATCCCGCAGATGACATACTAAGTGAGCAAGACGTACAGTCCGAGCCAGGTGTCCAAGCGGATGAAGTTGAGGCGGACGCTGAAGCCGAAGGGACTGTGCCAGAAAAGTCTGAAATCGAAGAAGATGAGGAGGCGGAGGTAGACCCATCACCTCCACCAACGAAAAAAGCGAGCAAAGGTGTATTAAGAAGCACGAATGGCCGAGCAGCTCAGAAGAAAAAGCCCACGCCACCAGCGAAGAAGAGCGCGCCCGCGAAGAACAAGACGCCGGAACGGAGCACGCGGTCCACGAGACAGATTCGAGGCTTGAAGGCATGATGGGACACAGCTTGATATGATATCCGCTTCTCTGGAAAAACTTTACGCGGGAGCTTAACGGAATGATTCACAGGGAGCACTCATTAACTCTGACTTGCGGCGGGAGATACTCTTTTATGAAAGTTACCCAGATCTGAATAGCATGGAGCCTGTAATCAGCTGATTAGGTAATGAACGTGAGCGTTCAATTTCTGACTCGAGTGCTGCAAATAGCTAGCCCTTTCGATGAAATAAATGGTCAAGCATATTGATTTGTCTGTTCAGGCAATGCATACATAGGTACAATACGTATACTCAGCTCGACCTTCCTCGCCGGAAAGACTCCAGCTGCGTAGATCAAATCCCACCACGGTGGCAATACACATTTGTCATACTTATGCTCGAGTTAGGTATTGAAATTTGTACCAATATCTAGCGACGAAGAACTTTTTATATACTTCAGACATTAGAGAAAGACATGATCAATGGCTGGCAGGTGTGTACATGTGTGCGCCGAGTGCTGGCCTCCTCAGTGACACTTTTGAAAATCTTCAGAAGGTTTAATTCCTCACTTCTATTCTATGTTTTCGTTGGCGAGCGCTGGATAGATTTATATTGTTTGACAGACATTAGGGCTGTCGAATGATTCCCATCGATTTGGCAAGTCGACGAACAGGTCTAGACTAGACTCTTGAGTTACTCCTCCAATCCCATGCCACATATCAAAAGAGACGCTACACAAAGGTCCAACATATGATAGCGCCACAACACGTCCGTACAGACAGCAGTGATATCTTCGGACTAGAATGATCCCAGCTCACACCTCAAAGACATCCTCGCCGACCCTCTCCCTGACTATGCGGACCCACTTGCGCACCTCGGCCTCGACAGCCTCGTCATCGTCCTCGAGACTCTCGTTGACGTAGACCATGGTCTCGCCACTGCCGCCCACACCCTCCGTCGCGGTACCGACGACGACGTTGTTGACCCATTCGTCGCCGACCTCTTCGTCCTCCGTCAGCGCGATCTGTAGGCGAATAGCCGCGAGACGCACGGCGGCCGAGTCGTTGTGGCGCAGCTGGCAGAGTTGGTGATTCAGTGCGTGGTGGTGCGCCGGCGTGTCGATCGTGGCGGTCGCCAGCGCAATCAGCGTGCTTGGTACCGATGCTTCGATTATCTTGCGCAGGGATTTGCTTTTTGTTTTTGTGCTGAGGAGTGTTAGTTGGGAGACGAGATTGGTGCATAATGGCGTGAAGTGCGAGGGGGAGGTGAAGAAGCCATCGGCATCGTGGGCGAGGGTTGTCGAGAGGAGTGTAAGTGTTGATGAATAGAGTGGTATTGTGTTGTGAGAAGTTGAGGTTTCAGTGATCGAGTTTAACGTTTCCAACAGTACTTGGTTCGCTGGCTCGAGGATGTATGAAGTGTAGCTTGTGACAATACTCTTGAGGGCGTTAAAGAAATGAGTGAGGAGGTTGAATAAACTGGTGGTACGGGCCAGTTTTGAAGCTGAGTTGGAGTGATAATCTTCCACCTCTGATAGATCTACCCCTTTTATCGCCCAGTCGATCCAACTCTCAAAAACGGGCCGGAAGGTTGTGTCATTGAGTTTGTAGATGAAGGAAATGACAAGGGTATGTAGTCTTGATTCGACAGTGAGGATATCCTCATCTGTAAGATGTCTTTTGTCTTCTTCGGTGTTGTTTGGACTTTCAGCGACCTGTGCGAGACGACGGAGATCCAATATTCGTAGAACTAACGTCGATATCAAATCCGAAGATTTCACAACTGAGGACTTCGAGGACCGTTCTATAGTTTGGTGTATGAAAATAAGTAGCTCGGAGATGGCATCGGCATCCATGACTGAGCTAGAAATTACCTCTTGAAGCGCCAGTAGGAGGCCATTTGTCACGATATCAAGATCCAACTTGTGTGCAATCAGAGATAGAGTCTCTTTTCTTGACTCGGTACATGAAACATCCAATTTTGCCCTAGCAGACTCGTACGAGAACCTGATGATCTCGACAACATGCTCGTCCGATATCATGAATGGCACATGTGAGACGAATGCCGACAGCAATGCAAAAGCTGCACTGTGTAACTCTGTGTTGCGGCTACTGCCTCCAGTACTGGTTCTCAGGATATCGAGCACTTTGGACATGGAAGGTGGAATGATCGGAATGGCTGTCTCTTTCAAAACCTCCATCATCGAAGCTAGGCAAAGGACGGCCATCACTTGAGTTCTGGCATCATTAGAACTGATGCCATGGTCTCCTTGCACAAGAACATTGGCCACTTCGAGGATTGAGTCTGGGTTCTTACGACCATAGACGTCCACTATCCTGTCGAGACATACAATCGCTGCGTGTCGATAATTTTCGTTGCCCGAGGTCTTTATGATCGTCATCAGTGTGGGAAGGAATCCAGTCGCTTCAGAGTTTGTCTTTGAATCTTTGGCCGCATTGTGTTGAAGCTGACTGGCTAGTACTCTAAGAGCTAGCACTTGAAGTTCTTGATCACCAGATTGTTCGAGTTCTTGAAGAAGCCCGGGCACAGTGTTCAAAAATTCTGCCAAAGAAGGTAGCTCGAGCAGAGCACTCAGACAGTTCCTTGTAGGCGATACAAGTTCTGGGTGGTCAGCTTTCTGGTCCTGCATAAGTGCTAAAACCTGTCGAATGCAAGCCTTGTATTCTTCTTGGAATTGCTCAGACATGGTCTTCCCGAATTTGCTGAGTCGCCGTGCCTGTGCTTTCAGACTTGTTGATTTGAGCAGATTGGCAGCAGTTGCAAACAAGATCTGCGCAATAGACCCCCTTTCTGTTTTGGATTTGGCTGCCACATTCAGCAAAGACTCAGCATTGTGCGGTTTAGCGGCGAACAAATCCTGCGATAAATCCATGATTTTTCTATAGGTAAGAAGCTGGGTGGGAGCTGCGGAACCACCCATGAGAGTAGCGAAGAACTCTGGCAAATCATTATATGGCTGATGGGAAGTCGCAAGTAACGAAATGACAGCAAATGCAAAGTCATCCACACCCAGTCGGGCCAGCAATCGATGGTAGAATGCGACACGTCTGTGATGAGGCACATGGCTGTAAGCAGTTACAAAACTGGAGAGCAAGCTTGAGGTTGCGCTGATCAAGTTCTTTGCATCTTGCTTCTGCAATGTTCTTACTAATGGAGGAATGATTTGATCGATTGCTTGGTTGGTGACGTAGACTGAACGTTCATCCTCCTGCGAAAAGAGGCTATTACCCATGAAAGTGAAGATGGGCATGATATTGTGCAAGATCCGATCGGGCGCCACAGAAGCCAATGATGCGGCAAGTAGCAGTGCCGTTGTCTGAACCTGGGGACTGTCGGACGATCGAACGCACTCGATGACCAGATCAGCACGAATACTAGACAAGTCGATCACTGACTTCCGTGTAGTGAGAGCTTGATTGACAATGGCCAAGATGCTGCTGAGGCAGAGGGTAAGGAGATATGGTGACTCTGAAGTAGTCTTCTCTTTGAGACGCCTCAGCGTGAGAAGAAGATCAAAAAGATAAGGGAGTAACTCAGGATGAGTTTCTGGCTTGGAACTGTCCACAATCTCCAGGGCAAAAGTCAACCTCGAAACTGCCGGGTCGAAATCGAGCACAAGGTCTTTCGACATACTTTCTCTGCTGTGACTCGTTCTAATCCTCTTTTTGGGTGGTCCTTCTGGTTGCATCTGCGTCAAACCAACAAGAGCGTGCTCAAGAATTGTGGCTAGCACAGGAGTTTTCAGAGAGCTAGATTGTAAGACTTTGCGACTGCCTCTTGCAAGGAGGGTATCCTTGGTGAAGGACATTTCAAAAAGTCGAGTCGTAGCCGCAACCTGAGCACTAGAGCGCATATCTGGCCAGATCGCCCCGACACGATCGAAGAAGGCATCTACAAGGGCAGGTCGAATGTGCGTGTGCTTATCATCAAGCATCACGAGAAAACGTTCTACTGCTTCTGCATCTTGCGCATTGACCAATCGAACCAGAGTCTGATCGACTTTGGATACCGAGAGGCCTTCCGAGTTGACAATTTCTGTGGCTTCAGCTTCCGAATAGGCAGCCCATGCGTTGAGAATTGGTGAAAGGACCTTACTGGTGGCAGTATTTCCCACCTTCTGGACGCCATCAAGTAACTCCACGGTGGATATTCGGATCTTCCACAACGGGCATGCAACTGCATACGTGGTCAGAAGGTCGAATAAGTTGTGTCGTAACTGCTTTTTGAGTTCTATATTGACATTGATCCCGTTAGAAACCGAAGGTGGAGTACTGTCAAGTGCAATGTGCAGAATTCTGCTGACGTGCATGGAATCGAGGATGCACTCTTCCAGAGCAGGGACGTATGCTTGCTGAATAATTTTTGCGAGATTTCTGGAAGGTACTCGCTTAGTTTTGGGAAGTGCCATCGCATCGTGAACTTCCGCATCTTCACTGCGTTCAGATGACCCTTCCAGATGATCCTCACCAAGGTGTTGCTGTAGGGTTGCCATGACTGTCGCAGTAGCTCGCCTAACGATATGTGCAGAATCTGAGAGCAAAACGGTCAGATGGGGAAGGAGAAACTGACACGTCGCGTGAGAATAGCTCTCAACTCGCTTTATGATGCTGGATATTGCAATAGCACGATCTGATGCATCAGAAGCGCTTGAGGCAAGTCTAAGAACAAAGCTCTCATAAAGATGATGAAATTGAGTCTCCTCATTTTCCCAGAGAGGGAGTTCTTCGAATAATTTCAAATGAGCAGTGCTTCTGCTACAGGTTCTGAAAGCCTGAGCAAATTGTGCATAGTGAGAACTTCTCGGCTCAAAGAAGGATTCTTCACCTGGTTGCGTTGGAAGATCACCTAAGACGGTGTTTATCTTAGTCTGTGACTTTTCGGGAAGATGATCCGATTCAAGCTCCATAGTATCTGCATCCAAAAGCATGGGCTGAACGGGAGCTTTTACAATCTCTCCCATAATGCCCTCGACCTCTAATAGAGATTTTCCAGCCAGTGAAGCGGCTTGAGAAAAGCATTCTGAAAGATTCGGCATGGTGTTCAACGTCTGTAACATCTCGATCAATCTTACTCGAACATTGGATGCTAATTCTTCAGATGCATCAGCCTGCTGTACCTGATGAAGCAACAAGGCAATCAATTTGCTGATCGCACTCGGGTTCAAAATCTGAGGTGATAATTTTAGTAGAGAACTTGTGAATGAGATTTTCGCTTCATTGGCTCTCTTCTTGAGGGCCAGTAGTGAAGAAGCTAGCAAAGCCTCGAGCAGATCGTGCACAGGAACTTGGGAGTGTAATTGGAAAAGTTTCACATCAAGATCCTTTGTTTTCATCGCAGCCTGAAGAACTTGTTTCGAAACTCGCTGAATCGACCTCTGTGGAATGATGATGGCTAGACATGTGAGAGCAGAGTGGGACTCCTCTTCGGAAGTATTGAGAAACGGAGCCACGGCACCCATGAGAGAATCAATTACGGAATCTTCCAGGTCTGCGCTGTTGGCCAAAACAATAGCGATAGTGAAACAGGTGATCGTCAACTCGCGACAGTCTTGAATCTCGAAGCCATCGATCAAAAGAGGAAGAACTTTCAGTAAGATATCTTCCTGTCGCTGCTTCTGAACTTCTCTTCGGCCACTCTTGGCTTGATTTAATCGTCCTGTAATTGCCTCGACGGTCATGCTACCCCAAAATCGAAGAAGTAAAGTGTGTCCTGCTCCTTCTTGACATGCGCGAATAACATATCCGTTGAAATTTGAGAAAAATGCTTCGTTGTGAGTGGCGTTGTATACAATGGCATGCCGTGGCACACTGGCGGTGATCTTGTGATATGGACCCAAGAACTTCCACTCATTTGTAATTTTGTCTGCGGGAATAATACTCAAGACATTCCGGAATACTGGACTTTCGTGATAAGGAAGAAATGTCGAGAGCAAGGGCCCAGTGTTGTAGAAGTGTACCCGAAATCGCCTCACAAGCCATTCCACGGCTTTGACTCCAGGGCGGAGGAGAAGTTTGCCGCCAATAAGAGCCAGACATTTTTCTATTACCACACCGAGAGCCTCGTTCTGTTTTCTGCTGAGTTGGTCTCGATCTTGGGCTTTTGCGTATGGGCTGAAGAGGTTCTGGTTGAATTCTTCCAGTCTCGAATCCAAAAGACACAGCTCTTGAAATCCCTCAACGCAGATTTGGTAGATAGTGTCCCAGTCTTGCTTGACAGCAACTGACTTCTCGAATATCAGGGACTCGCCATGGGCATCGCGCCGTGCTCGAAGATCTAGTGTATTGGTCGAATTCTGAGCGATGGAGCGCAGCTGCGCAGCGAAGGTTGTCGCCATTGAGGCCTTTGCGACTGTCGGAGCGAAACGTTTATTGCGACATTTGATAGACCACTGTGCGGGCTGTAAAAATTACCGAGTTGCCCTGGTTTCGTAGCCGCGTAGGAGGTTATGTTGCTGTGAAGATTCGCTGTTGAGAAAATCTATGGGCCATTGACCGCCGGTATGACCGCAGTTGATGAACAAAAAAAAGTTGGAGTCAAAATTTGGTGCGGAGAATCGGAGATAATCCGCGGCCGTGCCAAGAATGGCCAGCCTCGTAGGAGGCCTCAGCCTTGTGAGGCAATACGAGGAGGGGCAGATGTCATTCATGTGCCTAAGAATCACTTCACATATCTCACATACTTCAGGTATGTGACGGATCAATCCATGACCAGTACCAGGCAGATGACTCGTACTCTCTTGCCATTGGCTTCAGCAGTTGTCGACTGCTTCTATGCACTCGGCAACACTCAGCTACATAGCATGGCCTCAACCTTTGCGAAGTGTCGGATCCAGCGGAGACAGTCTCGGGCACGGCATATAGACTATATCACATTGTCGCTGATATCTAGACGGACACGTAAACCCCGCTCAACCATGCTGTGGTATAGTTGTTTCAACTCAGCGTCACCGAGCAAGGAACCCAGCAAGCTCTCTTTGAAAGCCATCATGTAGATCTCTTTCGTCCAAGGACAAGCGTGTATGGCAGCGTGGAAAGCCTCTTTCACATTATTCGCCGCTTTCTTTGCCTTTCCTGCGGCCTTCCCAGACACACCATAGCTCATTTGAGCCACTGAAAGCTCCCATAAAATGTATGCTTTCCAGAGATTGACACAATAAATGCCATTTGAACCCGGTGCTGTAGCTCGTTGAAAGGCAGCTCGAATGCTATGATTAGTGCTACCTGAATAAGACGGGCGCGCTAGCTCGATGGATAGATTCAGGCAGATTGGGGCGACGCTGAGATCCTCGAAGTCAAAGTTCTTCTGAACATGCCCATTCATATTCAATTCCCGTAGTCGATCCAAGACCCCAGCTTGTTGACCAAGTAGATGCTGTTTCCATCGTAACAGGAAATTGTTGGGGAACAGATTGACCGAGTTTCCAATAACGGCCATCATTTGCTTGGGCTTGAATGGCCTGCCGAAAGTCGTGGCGTGGGCGTGTAGAAATTCAGCAAGGCGTTCGTGGATCATCTCCACAACGTCTTCTTTCCACTCCGGAGAAATTCTTTCAATCGATGCCAATTGATTAGTGTAGACTTCCAGGGCCTTGTCCAATCCACAGCCGTCATTCAAATATTTGTAGAAAGCCAGTAAGTCAGTCAGCGCTACAAGATCATTGACCCCTTCATTGGTGATGCAAGATTCAAGCTTCAACGAGATAAACCTCTCTGCTTTTATCCGGGCTGTAATTGTTGAGCCTGGCTCTGCATTTCGTACGTCAAGCAGAGATACCTGGCCCCTTGGCATCGCCGTCAGTAATGATCTGGCTCTTTGGAAAAGCTTCTGGACCATATAGCTCCACGCCCAGTCACGCCACATAGGGAAAATGGCATTATCTTCCACGTCTTGGAAGGATGCCTGCATCGATAATGAAGTTGTCCAAATCCTCTCTGCCGATTCCAAGTTGCCTAACTGACATTCTACTAAAGCAAAGGCGTTGTACAGTCGCAAACTCTCAGGCTGCGACTTTAAGAACGCCTTTGCTTGCTTCCGGGTCGACTTTGGATTCGTCTTGGCCTCAATACTTAAAATGTATTGCATTAATATGTCCTTGGAAGTCAATCCATGGGCAAACATCGTGAGCTGAAGTAGCAAGCGATGGATGAACTCGGGGTAAATGCCAATCGGGGAGTCCGCTGTCGCAACTAGGCCTACGTAAGGACTTATCTTCGACACGTGCGGCTCGAGAACGCCTGACTGGGTATTCGATGGTACGACTTCATCGGCCATGAGTAAAGGTGACAATCGAGAGGATTTGGAACTAGGGAAGTGGTTGAAAAGAAATGAATCTGTTTGCCATTTCCCTGTTTCGGGCAGCGAGGAGACTGGATCGAGACCACAGAACAATAGAAATGCATCCAAGAGTAATTGGGCGCCTGTTCCTGTCGTGGACAAGAATAAATATTCCTGAATGTCAGAGAACAGTACAACTCGATAGGGGTCCATGTCATCTGTCTCGTCCAGCGATCTTGCAGGTAGGCCGGAGTCGCGTAATAATCTGGTTTCAATATGCGCCCAGGTATTTAAATCCATGTCATGTTTAACCTCTGGCTTCTGGTCAGCCTTTTGCACAACCTCAGTCTTGCTGCCCGACCCCCAACCATTCGCCCCTTCGTCGCCAAGTCGAGAATGCTCACTGTCCCAGAAATCTTCGTATAGCGACAAAAGCTGATCTGGGGAATGGTCGGGTGGGCTACAGAAATTGAGCTCAAGGAGAGCTTGCCAGAGACCAATTGCAAGCTCGGTCATATCAAGCTGCCAAAGATATGATGACAGCCGTAATATGATATAGATGCAATGTGCATCCCTCACTCTACCAGCGTCGATAGCCTGCGCGACTTGTAAAGAGCGCTTGTAAGCCTTCATACATTCCTCGAAACTATGGTCCAGGACGCTTGTCTGTTTGAAGTTCAAAAATGACTTCCACAGCTCCACAGAATTGTTGCTTTTAAGGACTGTCTCCCATTGAGAATGTTGCGTTTGAGAATCCCATACATTCTTGCCTTCATGCATTAAGCCGAGAGTCAAAACTGTCCTTGCGTTCTGCTCTTTGACATGATGCAAGGCCTTTTCGTAAAGGCTTATCTTGAGGTCAGCTACACTTCGAGACGTGGCCGAACCTAGCAGCTCAATATTCGCTTCATTCTCAAAAGAGGTCTCTTGATGGTTGATCAAGTCGAGCCACGCCTGTGCATTCTCAGGGCGTTCTTTTGTGCCTTTCAAAAGCTGTAGATGTCTTCGATGAATCGGATCATTTTTGAAGGCGTCAAAAACATCAGCTTGTATCGGTTTCGCCATTGATTTAGGGTTTGAATCGTCAGATTCTCCTCCTTCAGAGGATGAGTCTCGCAATGTATTCAGCGTTCGACTCCGTCTTCTTTCTCGTACATGCTGGAAGGGTATATAATCCTTTTCGGCATCATGCCAGCTAACCGACGAGTCTGGAAGTATGATCCTTTGCTCATTCTCCGTGGGTCTAGATGCCAGCAAAGACTGTTTTCGAGATCTTCGGACGGTATCAAGATCAAGATCTGCAACATACTTCCGGCCATTCGAGTCTGAAGAGATTCGATACTTTTGAGAGAGGCCAAGGACAGAACCATGTCCTGCTGAATAATATTGTGGTACGGCGTAACGATCAGGAGCACCATATTCGAGATTTCGACGGTCGCCTTTACGGTCAACCACAAATCTCAGAGACTTGGTATCGTCTCCGTCTAACGTTTTTGAAGAGTTCGAGCCTTTGCTCTCAGTTTCTTCACGTGTGCGTGAGGCTGGAGAGTGGTGAGGAATCTTGAGATCTCGCTGGGCCCGCTCATGTCCAGGTGGTGGCATATTAACTCATCTAGAAGACCTACCTGAGTCAGAGTGAGTCCATACTAATAAGGTCATCGATATTGAGCGGAATCTGGCTGTCTTCAGCCTCGTTCCAATCATCAACGTGAAAGGAGGGAATGTAAAGATGTTGAAACTCAGAAGAGACGAACATGAATGCCAAGGAGTGAGTCTATGAGCTACTAGTCCCTGTTTTGACTAGCGCTCTGTATTAGATCCTTACTTCACATGTTCAATCACTTGTTGTTGACTTGAGAAGACAAGACCAAAGATGGTTACATATTGAGGGGAACGGCCACCTATCTACCTTCGACTGTGCTAGATGTCGTGGTATGACTCACCACCATGACCGGTTCGCTCTGAAGCGGCCCGGAGCTCCCAACAATTCGCTTGGCAATCACGTCCTTTGACACGATGGCGACCTGCTACGGATTACATACCTAGACGGTGCAGAGACTTAGCAAAGGTTCTCACTAACGCGGATGCTGAAAGCTATCAACTCCCAGTACCGTCACTATCCGGGAGCGGCCTTTCAGCTTCACGCGTCAGGACATCAAAAAAGGCAGTATCGAACCCTTGAAACACCCAGTCATCCATGCTGGCAGCTGCATCCGGGAACATCTGGTCCTGTTGCATGAACAGGTCTTCTGACATGTACTGGGCAATTAATGTCGTGTGCTCTTCAGTTGATGTTGCGTTGATCGAGTCCATAGCAACATTTAGCGAGCCATCATCACCATAGCTACCATCGGCAGTGTTAAGAGCCTCTCTCCCTGGGCTATTGTCTTGGACGATCTGAAGACAGCCGATTCTAACATCTTCATCAGCACCTTGATCTTGTGCTGTTTTGAGAGACGCTATGGTCGTTACGCCTCCCCGAGCAATTCTGATGGCACCAACATACGGCACCATGATCGTCAACACATAGTCTTCATCTTCACAACTGCCACTCGGACATAGTGTTTTGTTTGAGGGATGACTATGCCCCTGTGCAGTCTGGGCTTCAGCTGCTAATAAATGCTTGAGCAGAGTGGCGCACTTTGCGGCAAGAAGATCCTCGTGCACCTCAGACATAGATTGCATGCATTCAAGAGCACGCAATACGACTGCCCTGTCTGCCAGTCGTTGATGTGCAAGCAAGTTGTCCACCTTGTCACTACCATGACTTACGATATGCGCCAGCATCAGTGTAAGCCCTGCAACCAGCGCCATAAAGTCGCCCAGACGATAGTATGGTGTATTCTGATTGAAAGTGCGGACCGCAATCTCTCGAGTCAAAATCTCACGACTAGCATTGACGCAAGCAATTCTGGAGTACAAATTCTGTGAAACATGGCTCGGGCACACCATGTAAGGTAAATGAAGCTGAACCACCAGAGTATAATAGCACATGTGGTCCCAACAACGCCGAATTTCCCAGAATGCTTCGTCGGAATCTTTTTCTAGGCCTTCTAGTGCCAATGGTCGCCAGAAATCGGAAGGCATCTGTTCAGTCATGTTGATGAGCTTGCGGTCGGCTTCTTGTGTCAACTCAAGAGCCTCGTGTGCTACGTTGATCTCATTTCGATGCAAGATTTTGGCTGTAACATCCACGACGAGTGTTGGCATGTCACCATTACGCGAAGGAATTCCCATTATGGCCCGAGGTACGATATCTGCCGCGGCAGTGCTTGTAGGCAATCCCAACAGGAGTGACAGGAGACGCTCCAAGAAAACGATGCACGCCCACATGGCTTCAGGGTCTAGATCAGTCTCGTCATTGATGACTTTGAACCGATGTTGACTAGGCCGATGCAAGCCCATTAGTTGTGCGGCCATGGCAGCACGGCGCATGGTAATCCAAGCTCGTCGAACATTACCACTATCAACATGGTAGAAAGCCTCCAAAATGATGGTTTCCAACCCCTCTAGTATGCCTAGGAGTTCGTCATTTGTGGTGACCATCTTGATTGCTGACTCTGCAAGTTTTTCCATGATGACGTGGTGATGCTCGGTTAGACCAGGTATTACCTCGCTTGACGAGAGATACTGCAATGCTGCAGCCATCAATAACATTTGCCTGGCTAATGGAATAGGATGCCCTCTGGGATCTAGATTGTCTGTGAAAGAGATTTGCTCATTGGGCTTCCCGTGCCGCATTGAGGTGGCGGGCTTATACTTGAACTGGTAACACATCGTGGAGACTCCGAGGACTTTATCGAGGAGGATCTGGACGTCTTTCTGACAAGGTAGAGCATGCAGAAGTACCTCAGTAATCCTCGTGTATTTATTCGATCCTGCAGTTGAGACGTGGGAGAATGCCGGTGTTCGCGACGATGCTGGCGATGCGCAAGAGCCTTCCGACTTCTCTACCCGTCCGCCATGCCTACCTATCGTGGTGATTCCCTGGATCTTGCCGCTGTCAGTGAAAGAATGCGTAACCAGGACTTCCGACTAACCTGTGTGGGGCAGTCTAGGTTCAATGCTGGTGTTGAGAGCTCGCAAAAGGTCAGCGATGAGGGTGCGCTAACAAGAACATTCTGCAAGTCTTGCAGACGTTTCTTATTGGTATGAGCAAGAGGCTGGTGGTCGGAACCATGGATGCCATGATCAGACTGCTTGCTTTCCAGTGATGTATCGGGACTATCAGGAATTTCTTGTCCCACGCATACTTTGCCTCGACGACGACATATAATACAAGTGGCATCATCTGGCAGTGCAAAGATGCATTTGACCTTTCTCCGTCTGCATTCCCAGCAACTGTGTGTGCCTTTACGGACTTTCCTCCGCTTTCCTACTTGGTGGTCCGAGCTCGCCAGCATCGTCAGTTTCTCAAGTCTCCCTCCCGATCTATGACTGTGCTAAAATTTCAGGTTTCTTCTCCCGGTGCATATACATCTGGATTGTCAAATCTCCGAGTTGTCGCATGGGATCTTCAGCAGGCATTGGAATCATGAATTCTGACTGAGAATCTGTTGGCTCACTCCAGCACGCCTGATACTAGGCGGGTGGCGCTGACCAATCATTTCTGAAGCAATTCGGCCGAATCTACCTCTATCTCAAGCTTCGTCCGAGTTCTTGCCTGTTTCCTTAACAACCTTTGGCATACGACATTAACCTCGGTCACCTCAACAGTGTCTTCAAGGACTGTGGTAAGATATTGAAGCATTCTGTTGGAGGGGCCATCACTCTGCCTCGAAGCGCTCCCTCCGCTCGAGCATGATCACTAGCTCGACTAACTGATTTGTCCGGGCTCTAGACGACCGCACCTCTTGTTCTTTCTGATATCAGGCCATCAGAAGACACAACACACATCCTCTCCGACTTTGATATTGGATTTGCAGTGCTCAGTTATAAAGATGTCTCCAATAGATTCCAATGAACGCTGCATCGGAAGTCGAGATGGGAAGCCCCAAGCAATCCCCAGAATGTACTCGGACGAGCAACTACTCAGAAATCCCGAGCCTTATGGCAATCCAGTGGAGTAATGCTCCATGACTCGGATATATAAATTAATGAAGTGCTCCCAGCGGCACCTGCTGCTTCGTCCGATGCCTAGAAATATTTATTGCCAGAAATCATCATATTGAAACTCTTGGACCGTTCAATTCTTTCATAAAGTCAACGCCCTGACAGCTCAGGGCACTGACCTTATTCAACATCCTAGGACGAATCTTACTCCCCAACGATCGATTACGATGTCAGATACCACAGAGCCAAAAGATGAAGCACCAGAAGCTGGGAACAATGATGTGCAGGATCTTGCTACCGACTATCCAGATGGCGCTAGACTTGCTGCTATTCTCCTCTCACTCATACTTAGTACCTTTCTAATCGCGCTTGATAATGTGAGTTGCATACCTCATAGAATAACTAATGCTAATCAAGTCTGTTGCCAGACAATTCTCAGTACAGCCATTCCCAAGATTACGGATGAGTTTCAAGACCTGAACAAGGTATCGTGGTATGGGGCTGTATATTTCATGACGTTTGGTGGTAGTAAGTGCTCCAACTGCGATGGTGCTACAGGTCGGGATACTGATCGTCACCGCAGAGTCCCACAGCATGGCCATTGCGGATTATCGAAACCTTGGTCTAGCATAATTTGCTGGTGTAAGACTGACACTTTTAGGGTTTCAATCAACATGGGGGAAAGTGTACAAATACTTTACGATAAAGCTCTGGTTCCTCGTCGCAATTGTCATATTCGAGGTCGGCAGTCTCGTCTGTGCAGTGGCTAAAAACCCCACTACTCTGATAGTCGGGAGAGCAATTGCGGGCCTAGGCGCAGCTGGTACCATGGTTGGAGTGTTCACCATCATTGGATTCGCTGCAACTCCAGAAAAGCGTCCGCAGCTTGTGGGCTTTACAGGGGCCACTTATGGTATTGCTGCTGTTCTGGGGCCCCTTCTCGGTGGAGCTTTCACTGCCAAAGTATCATGGCGATGGGTAAGGTCCGAGCCACTGCTATAACTCTTCTCACTGACTTGTCTCCAGTGCTTTTACATCAATCTACCTGTAGGAGGAGTGGCCGCTGCCATTATTCTTTTCACGTTCCAGAATCCCAAACACGTGAAGCCAGCGGAAGCCTCTTGGATCGAGAAATTTCTCCAGATGGATCCTGTTGGTGCAGTCCTTGTGATGGGCCTGATAATACAGTACCTCCTGGCACTGCAGTATGGTGGCCAAACTCATCCATGGGACAGCAGTGTTGTTATTGGGTTGCTGGTCGGCTTCGTTGTCAGCTTTGCATCCTTCATAGTTTGGGAAATCTACCAGAAGGAACGTGCAATGATCGTTGCGCGACTTGTGAGTCTTCTCCTAGCTATCTATACATTTCATGGTCGACTAACTGCAGGGATCGATAGTTCACGAAGAGCTATGTCCTGGTAGGCTGCATCTACATGTTCTTTTTTGGTGGCGCGTACTTCGTCGTACTCTACTACCTTCCCATATACTTCCAAAGTGTTTTCAATGACAGTCCCATCGGTTCTGGGGTCAAAACTCTTGCGTTAATTGTCCCTCTGACTTTCGCCATCATCCTACAAGGCGGTTTGCTATCCAAAATCGGCATCGTACCATTATTCTGGATCGCTGGAGGCACCCTAGGAACGATCGGCAGTGGACTTTTCTACACCATGGACATAGACACTACTACTGGCAAATGGGTTGGCTATCAGATCATCGTTGGCTTCGCTTGTGGCGGTGCATTTCAAGTTGCCTTAGCAAATGCTCAAGTCCATGCTACTCCTGAGGACATGTCACAGGTGGCAGCTATCGTCCAATGTATGTTTCCACCCACTTTTATATGATCGGGATGTATGTTCTAACAGGCTGGACAGTCTTTATGACGATTGGGGGTTCCTTTTTCCTCTCAGCAGCGCAATCGGCCTTCAACAATCAACTGATACAGAAACTCAGTGCCACTCTTCCCGAGATCGACCCTGTCGCGGTTCTGGGAATTGGTGCCACTCAGATTCGTGAAGCTTTTACGATGGCTCAAGTACCCCTTGTCATTGATGCATACATGGTCGGGTTGAAGGCCGTCTTTGCAATCACCATTGCTACCTTTGGGGTTTCAACGATTGTTGGATTCTTCGGTAGTTGGAGAAAGCTGCACACCGATGAGCTGAAGACGACTGTCAGTGGCGGAGCGTGAACAACGGAACTTGGTAAACCAGCTCGCAAGGCTTTCACTAGCAAGAAGAGACACGAGGTTCAGGCGACGACGGTCAATTGTGTGGGTGGAATAGTTGTAGAGTTGTGATATCTGCTAAGACGGGAACCCGGCTACACTAGGTCATGTTTTATGTAGACACTTATTTCTATAGGTTAGATCTAGACTGTGATTGAAGGATTTTCTACCCTGATACTCTTCCTGGTGGTGAGAATGGTGTGGAATGAATCGTGGTCAAAGTTCTGGGCCACCATCGACGTGTTCTTGAACAGGAAGGTGCTGCTCCGCGCTGGTTTATCCGCCCCGTTTCTCGAGCTGCCAAGAATTTCAATCCTCCTTTGCTCCGAGGCACAAACTTCTCGATCGAAAACTCATAAAGTCTGTGTGGATCAAGTCGAGCTTTCAAATTGAAATACACGCGAGCTCTAAAGATTCTCTTCGCTGACCTGAGCATGTATCATTATTCACCGAAGAGAGAAACATCTATCGAAAGTCATCAAACTCGCTTAAGGATCGTGACGACGGACCAACCACCCGGGGCTGGTCTCCGTACCCCCATATCTTCCCTGGATCGTCGGTTATCGGCAAGCCACTGGCAGCATCTCTCGCTAAACTTCTTTACGTCACGCCTGGCCAAACACCCCTGGAGGCGCCCGAAGCTTGCCCTTTCTGACTGGACTAAAATTGCCCAACTCAAGATTTATCCGACCCTGCATCGTTCATCTTGCGTCTCCCCTCAAACTCCAATCTCGGGGCGTCGCCCTCGCTGTTTCGTCTCACGGTACTTGCCATTAGTCTCGTGCAACTCCTACACCCTCCAATTACGAGCACCTACTATCTTATCACCTCTCATCGCCTCGAGTCGTGGACTCGTGAAAATCGATGGATACCCCTCCAGCCGTCAAAAGGCCATCTCCCTCCGCCGAAGAAAATGGCCCGCCTTCGAAAAAGGCAAAGAATCTCCCCGAAGTGCCCGCCCACTACAGCGATGCCGTGCGAAAGAAGCTGGCGGCAACCTCCCGTACGGGACAAGCCTGCGACAGATGTAAGGAAAGGAAGATGAAATGTGATGCAGATCCCATAGCCTGCCAGCCATGTCGGCAGAAGAATCTCCGGTGCTACACGACAGATCGCGTCACGGGTCAAGCACGAGAAAGAGGCGAATCGAACCGGACGGACAATGAGTTGCTTTACTTACGAGAGCAACTGGCCGAATATCAGCACAGATACGGGCCGCTGCAGCGGCTGGACAGCCAGCGCGTCATCTCTGCGACACCAACAACCTCATTGCCTGCACCTGCTACCACTGTTCAGAGTCTCTACTCAATCCCAGATTCGCGGTACGTTGGCTGGCCTGCGCCTGGCCATGCCGAACCACTATACTCAGGACCTGTCAAGGGAACCATTGTGGACGTCATGGACGGTACCATCGACATTGCAGATTGGCCGTGTGAAATGATGCAAGATGGAAACAAGGATGAGGCCGGTATATTCAACTTGTCCAAGACTTCCATCATCAACACCATAGCGGGATACCAGAAGATCGAGGACCCTAGATTACCCTCCAAAGAAGATGGCTTGAAAGACGCCAATCATTTCCTCGTCATCATGTCTCAATACATACCAATCGTGCATCGACCCAGCTTTCTCGAACTTGTGAACAGGTTCTACGATCAGCCTGCATCGCTACGGTCAGCTGAAAGGGCTCAAGTGGTCATGGTGTTCGCCATCATTGCTCACCAGACTGCTGTGAGAAATCATCAACATTCAGCAGAGAAGTTCGAAGATGCACATCGTTACCTCCACTATGCTCTGGGATTCTATCGTGAACTCTTTCACGATCCTTCGATAGCCTCGATGCAAACCATGGCATTCATGATCATCCACTTCAGAAATCTACCCAAACCTGGCATTTCCTGGACCTATAGCCACAAAGTACTGGTACGGGCGATCGATCTAGAGTATCACCGTGATCCTGATAAGATCAAATTGCCGCCTGGTGAAGATGATCCGCTTTCGAAGGAACTCCGCAAACGCATTTTCCACTCCATGCTGGGTGTCTGCGTAACTACGGGGTGTAGGGTAGGGTTGCCCGCACCATGGCAATTTCAACACATTGACTTGCCATTACCCAAGGCGATCAAGGAGTCGGAAATCTCCAAACAGGGTATCGTTTCCGAGTTGTCTGGACTCTGCGATTTTTGGCCCTGCCTACACCTTGCAAAGCTCTTACCATTGTTGACGGAGCTACATAACAACATTCATGCTGTCCGCAGACCATCATCAGATTACATGAAGACGGTGGAGGCACTGAACTCCAAAATCATTGCTTGGCGACAGGATTGGGATGAATGCATCAAATTGGAGCCCAAACATGTGAACCTGATAGTTGCTACCCTACTAATTGAAACGTGGGCCGCCGAATATCAGTTGAACCTTCATCACCCAGCTTGCTGCTCTAGTGAGGATCCCGAAGTTCAAGAGAGAAATCTCGAAATGTGTCAAAAGTCTGCCCGAAGACTTCTGCAGGCTTTTCATACACTCTCGGGCAAATACAAAGGTGTCGACTTCACTTGGCATTCGACTTCAGCATATGCTACAGGCTTTGGGATTACCCTCTACTACTATAGACGACGATTAGGACGAGTTAGTGTCGAGCAGTTTGAGACTATGCGTAATGAGCTGAAAGGATGGATATCACTAATGGCTTATGCTGATCTTGTGTTGAGTAAGTCTCCATTGGCTATGGCAATCTGATTTAGGACCCACTAATCTTCGTGAATAGGAACTGGGAACCACTTGCAAAGGCTGTTTCAGCCTCGTGTGCAAGCCCTTGAGTATGAGTATAAGAGACTGATGACGGACAATTCGATCAAATCTCCTAGGGGACAAGGTCTTTTCACTCCCGTCAACGGAAACTTTCCAGTCCAGCTCAAACAGGAGACTCAATCCCCGATGGCATCGTCAAATTCTGAACCGCACCCAAAGAGCCTTCCTCAACCAATCTTCATGCATTCACAGAACCCCATGCATAATCAATTGCCACCACAATCGCCGCTGAACCATGCAAGCCAGCCACCACTAAATGGGACATCAGGACCACATCAGGGTTCTTCTACATGGCCACCACCGCCGTTTTCACCATTCCTACCTCAGCCAAATGGTGTCAACCAAGCATCATCTCAACCGCACCACACCCCCTCTTCACCTCTCTACCCGCTCTCCTTCAACCACATTCACTCGCCAGTCTCAGCATCATTGCCAGTCCACTCGCAATCACACTCGATACCAACATCACTTGCCTCCTTGCTTAATGAACCTGGAGCGGGTATGTATGTCAGTTATCCAACACCACCTCTTACGCAAAGTGGAATTGGTGGGGGTGATCCAACGATGACTTTCAGTCCCACCCATTATTTTGATGGCCATGGTTCGATCGGCTGGCCGCTGATCACCATGCCTCCAGGGCAACAGTCTTGAGGCTATGTTGCACCTGTTGATCTAGCTTCCTGAGTAGCCTACGATCATCTACCATATTTTTGTCTTCAGACCTCGACATATGTATACTCTTGGGAGAGGTTTATTGAACATACATACGCAGATTCCTGCACGAACACGATATCCACGCGAGGCGAAGACAGTAATCACGCCGTATTAAATAACATACTTAGAATAATTCAAATCAATAGCATCTACTTATTATTAATGCCAAAATGGAAAAGATATCGTTCCTAGTTCGAAGCTGCAATTCTGTCGCTCTGCGCATGACTTCTTTTGAAATAAGCGATGACACCGGAATGGGAAATTGAAGAAAGGGGCCAAGTAGCTACACAGTGACCAGCATCTAGCACCTTCCAAAGAACAGAACGTCGCCAAACCCTCTCTCCCGCGAACAACTCAACACCTAAAGAGCTCCACCATCAAACACAAACACCCCACTCAAAACTCAACGGGAGGGCGGCGGAGGCGGCGCCAAAACATTCCTCACGACATCCGCATACGTGAACATCTGGCCATCAACCTCCTGCGCGGACGTGCTCTGATAACCGCCATCCCAGAACATGGCCCCGGCAAGACTGGTGAGATTCTGGGCGTTGGCGAGCTCCAGAATTTCGCGGTAGGTCGCCACGTCGACGTAGCCGGTGTTGGGGTTCTCCGCCGTTGCCCAGTTGTACGCGGGCGTGCCGATCAGCAGGCGCGGGCTGGTGATGCCGTTGTCGATGTCGAGGAAGTCGATGCTGGTGGTGGTGGTTTGGCGTTTGTTGGCTCGGACATGGGCTTGGGCTTGGGCTTTGGTCAAGGGTTTGAGATGTTGTGGCGAGCTGGCTTTGCGGACGCTTTCGGGGTGGAGGCGCCCGGTGTGGCGCGTCTTCCTGGCCAGTTTCATTTTCTTGTTCTTGTTCTTCTGCTTCGCTGGTGTCACGCCGGAGAGGATATTGGACCACGCTTGCACCGAGTCCTGGAAGCCTTGCCCGGAGTTGAGTTGGCAGGATGGGTTTTGGTAAAATTGCACGCTGAAGAAGTCGATTGATTCGAGCATTTCCACGACCGGGATTGAGAGATCTGGATACGGGCATTGCGGTGCCGCGGTCAAGTAGTATTTCTTGGAAGAGTCGCTTGCCATTAATTGGCGGAGCGATGACGCAACTTTTGGGAGCCATTGTTTATTTGCGGGCTTTTCGTTGTCTTCAGACATGGGTTAGTAGAGGTATAGACTCTGGTTTTAGTTTGGAGGGGAGGGCGAACTTACCGAAGTCGAAACCGTCAAGCACGACATCGCCATATGGTCTTGTCGGGGCGATATCTGTATCGAGGCCCCCGAGGAAGAGATTCCACAATCTGTCCGCCAGTCTTTCAGCGGCCTCTTCGCTTGGAATGCCCAGATCTGAGAAAACACCGCCAGCACTGATAAGGACTTTCTTGCCGCGCACCTGGCATTGTTTGATCTGAGCAGCGTATCCAGTAAGCCCATCTTCGACACAATCCTTGAGTCCGGTTGCGCCAGCGGCCTGTTGAGCCGTGTTCGGTGCCCAGCAGTGGTTGCCTTGGTTCATGGTGATGTTCAAGTCGTCTTGGATGAAGAAGCTGGTAATGAATCCAATCTAAGAGGTGGTTAGCAGATGAGGTGAGGTATAATAGTGGACTAGATACGTCAAGAGCCCGTAACAAGGGGACAGAGGTAACGTACTGTTATGATATCAATATTGTCGTCCGCGCAAACTTCAGGAAGAGATATTGGGCTCCCAGTTTGACCATAATACACGAGGTTGAGATTTCGTGCAGTTGGATCGAACTCGTATGTCGATGTCGACGTCGGAGCACTGCTTGTTGTACTTGTCGAACTGCTTGTTGTTGTTTCGGTTGTAGAGGCATCCTCAGTGGCGGTCGTAAGGATACTGGTGGTGGTGGTTGTGACATCGTTTGTAGTGGTCGGTGTTTCAGAATCCGTTGATATAGTGGAATCGCTCGTAGTGGTTGACGTTGTAGAATTTACTGATGTAGCGAAATCGCTTTTACTAGTGGATGTAGTAGGATCTACTGATGTTGTATAGTCGCTCGCAGTGGTAGACCCGCTAGTTAATCCTGTTGTCGTAGAAGATCCAGCTTCGGAAGTACTTTCGGTTGCTGTAGTATATGCCGAGGAAGATGTCATGGATTCAGTCATAGTTGCCTCGCTTGTGGTGCTCTCCATGGTAGTACTGGTAGTCGTTATGTAATCCGATGTTGTACTATCGGTCGAGGTCGATCCAGCTGTGGAAGTCTCGCTTGTGGTAGAGTCCGTGGTCGTGGCATCTGTTGTGGTTGTCGATTTCTGTGTGATCGTGGTGCTACTGGTGGAGCCCTCGGGGGCACTGTCAGTTGTGGTAGAATAAACGGCACTGCTATCAATTGTGGAAGTCTCAGATGTGGTACTGTCAGTTATCGAGGACTCTGACGTGGAGGATACGGTCGTGGAAGTCGCTGTTGAAGTAACCGTATCGCCGGTACTTGTAGTAGACTCCGCAACAAGAGATGTGGAGCTATCACTTAACGACGTCGACGTAGTGTCAGTGTAGGAGGTGCTCGAACCAGGATCTGCAGTTGTTGAGGTTTCATCCGTTGTAGAAGTGGTTTCTGATGAAGTGGAAGTAGATTCTGCTGTGGCGGTACTGTCAGTTGTTGTAGAGTCCGAGGTAATTGTGAAATGGACTGAGGATGTTGATGTCGAGATATCTGCGATGCTTGAATCAGACGTAGTCATTGAGAGACTATCCAAACTAGTCGATGTAGTCATCGAAGGCGTGAACGTCGTAAATTCCGTACTGGAGCTTAATTCGGACGAGGTGGTCGAAACGACGTATGTCGAGGTGATGGTAGCCGAGCTCGTCGACGAATGCGTGGTAGTAGAATCATCCAAGCTCGTTGTACGAACTTCAGTCGAGGTGGATGAGCCAGCTGAGGAGAATGCTTCAGTAGTGGTTGAATAGGTCAATGTGAAGTCAGAGGATGTTGTTGAAACTCCAAACGTGGTACTGGTGATCGATTGAAAGGTGGCCTGGGAAGTGGACGTTACCGATGATAATATCAAGCTCGTTGTTGCGGGAGGTGGAAGGGGGAGATTGTTTTTTACAAACTCAATGAGAATTTGCAAAGATTCTCCCAAACTGTCTATCAACTCAGACAGCTTCTCTAGGTCGACAGATGGGGTAGGCGGTGGTGGCGGTGGCGGTGGCCTCTGCGGCCGTCCAAGGCCGAACGGCGGTCTACCGAATCCAGGTCTACCGAATCCAGGCCGAAAGAATTGGGGATCTCGCCGAGTGATATCAGACGTATACTGGTCTTGGGCCTCTTTAAGGAACTCCAAATCATCTTGCAGGTCTTTGATTGCCTGGAGAATGTCGGACGTTGAAGCAAGGCATAAATTCAAACAGCCTATCAAGGAAATGAAGAGAAGAAACCTCAGCAAAACCGCCATCTTGTGTTAGATAAAACCTGCACACTGTAGTGGCAATGACCTCGTATCGGCCTGCCATGAGACTTATAGATTGACATTGGTGTTGACGCGGCTGACGCTTCCGAGACAAAAACATACCAGCTCCTCATGCTGAGAGAAGTCTCAGATGAAGACTGATAGCCAAGGAGGCAGAATTTTGCGTTGCTGCAAGGGCGGCTGGCCCATCATACCAGGGTTTCACAACTTCATGTGTGCATGAATGATCTCGCTTTCGAAGCTCCGGACTTTGAAAGGTGCCAGTATCGATGGACTGAAAGGAATCCATTTTCGTTGCTGAAGGGAGGATCAAGAAAGTCCAATGTTGGCTTGAGCTCGGTGTCCCGTTCTTGCTTGGTGAAGGACTATTCGGAATTCTGAAGAGAAGAAACAACGTCATATCGGACGATCTTGAAATTGAGGAACGAGGTTCATTTCAGCTATGCAAGGGTAAAGTATTCAAATTTATGAACATTCTCAATGTCAAATTGCAGATCCTGGGTGTTGTTGTAGTAGTTCAAACTTGTTCCGATGTCCGTCCCCCGAAGCCACGAGGAGAGCCTCGGGCGTTTCCTGGCCCCTCCTCCAAGGCTCCGTACTTTAATTGAAGTGCAATTCCCCAGCGCAGTTGTCCCAACCTACCTACATCAACAAACTTGTAGCTTCCTTGTGAATGTCACGCACCAGAGAGGTATGGGGATGGGATAGCATCAGCCGTGCATCATAGCTCGAACCGCCTGATAAGATGGCGTGAGTCATAACGTTCGAAGGCCAAGCAGATGCTAGTGAGGTTGAGACGGGTGCCTTTCGACACGGCCATACTTGCGAATGGTTGAATCAACCACCCTTCCAACAGCATAACAGTCGACCTCTGCCGACATGCATGATCGCCTTGTGAATACGACATACAACATACACACCTCTTGTTCAACTCAAAATATTCCTAACCAGGGACGGTGTGCGGGTGCTAACCCCTGGTTGATGAGACTCGGGTCCAGTTGATGCCGGGCTCCGGGGTATCAACAACAGGAAATCCAGCAGAACATGCTCCAGCGGAACAACTCCTACGCCGATCACTGAATTGATAGAACGTTTCGCAGTGATGTCGCCTGTGGCCTCGACTAATATAAGGCTCAACTCTCTTACATATCATCCTCATTATTGCAATCTCACACTATTGGAATGGAAATTGGAGAAGCAATGTCGAAACTCGTCGTTGTCATTGGTCTTACAGGGCAACAGGTTCGGTCTTTCTTGTAAAACATTCTTTCTGAATCAATGCTGATTCTTCTAGGGAGGATCAGTTGCTGAGGAGCTTCTCAAGCATGGCTGGAGGGTGCGAGGAGTCACCCGTAATCCAAACAAAGCCCAAAGCTGGAGTGATCGAGGAGTGGAGGTAGTTCAAGGTGATCTCGATGATAAGGCATCTCTTTTGAAGGCATTTAAAGGGGCATATGGAGTATTTGGTACTACAGATTTCTGGGGTCCAGTCTTCGACCCTTCCAGCAAGTCTAAGCTCAAAGATGGTCAAAAGATTAACGAGTACGCCTTCGACATTGAAGTGGCCCAAGCGAAGAACATTGCCGAAGCTGCAGCTGAAACAGAAGGTTTACAGAGATTTGTCTCTAGCGCGTTACCAAATGTCAATGAATGCACTTCTGGCAGGCTGAAACATGTCTACCATTTTGACAGCAAGGCTGTTGTTGTTGAGTACATCAAAAAGTCTCTTCCCGAACTTGCAAGAAAGATGTCCGTCATTTATATTGGATCTTATATGACGAATTGGGGACAGGGTCTACAACCAAAACAAGTCAGTGAGTACTGGGATTTCATCTGGTCGCTACTGAAACTTTTCATGTAGAAATCAGACGGAACGTGGCATTTGTCCCTTGTTGGCAAAGGTGACACCCCAATACCTCTTCTCTTCACGGCAAAAGACACCGGTATTCTAGTTCGCTCTCTTCTGGAGGACCCCCCAGGCAGGACTATGTCAGGGTCTTGTGATATGTTGTCATGGAAGGAATGCCTTGAAATTTGGTGCGAAACTCAGGGACTCACTTATGGTGGCTTTGACGAGACCTCAATCGATGAGTTTGTTCACAAATCCGGCATGGGCCCTGACCTTGGTTTGGAATTTGCCGAGATGTTCGAGTTCATGGACAGTCCGGGATACAATGGGACAGATCGCCATGTCATGATCCCCAAAGAGGTATATCATTCCCTCTTGTTATCTCGATGCTGGCTAATGGCTAGTGTGGTTCAGTGGCCAATGACTTCTTTCGAGACCTGGTGTAGGAGTACAGACTTTTCAGATATGATAAGTCGAAATTCGAAAGGCTCGGGGATCCAGCAAGATCAGGTGTTAGGGTGAAGCAAAGCTCCTCGAAAGGATCCGAACACATCTACAGGAAATAGCGTTGCACAGTTGAGTTCATGAAAGCTTCGACCTCTCAGATAATGTTGTTTCGAAGCAGTTTGTCACATGGGCTATTCATTTTAAACACCGGTGTCAGTGAAAGCCATGATTGAATGCAAGGCAAGTTTGTACTATCTCGTGAGAGAAGCCAGCAACTTTAGTACATGGAATGTTCCCTGAATCTCAACTGGTATTTGAAATGGAGCTAAGTGCAGCATAAGGCACAGGATGAAAGCTATAACTTTGCTACTCAACCTGCTTAGTGTAGACTAACATGTGATCTTTGCCCTCGCATTTCTGTTCCAAGCCGGTCTGGCTCCTCCTTCTTGACATTCGTCGCCTCTATCGTGGAAGTCGTCCTTCGATTATAATGACAAACGGCTAGGAGACCTAGAAACCCAGAAACGAGAGGCTGGCTGTTTAGGAGGTGCGAGACGACTCGGAGGTGGACCCTGGAGAGGCGGCTGTGCTTGGTAAGATAGGCGAGCGTAAGCGGGAAAGCCAATTTCTCCAAGCCTTATGTCCAACCTGGCATCAAAGGTGCTTCTGCAGATTCTCTGGGTTTGCAGAGTTTTACGACATATCTATGGGAATGAAAGGATTCACTGTCCTAGCCATCGAAGATGTCTTTCTCACCATCCAAGCGTCCAGCAACATTGATGCTCAGGTTCATGTTCATGACTGTGGCAACTCACATCATCTTTCAGAGAATTTTTCCCGAGCTTGGCGACTAAGGCTGGTTGCATCAACACGAGGTCTTCCCCCTCCCCGTGGTCACGACAAACACGAATGCTATTCTGTCCTGGTATTGATTGGAATGTTATCAGCGCACCGCATATTTCCTACCCAATCGTGAGGCCTTGCGGGTCAGGCAATATTTGAGGAAATAACATTTGAAGTTATCATATCAATAACTACCAGCCCCAAAAAGCATCATTCACAACACGAGCAGACTAGCATCCTCAAGATCGAGCCTGCGTGCCAATGTTCGTTCCTCGTGTTCGCGAACAAGACTACAAGGAGCCCCTCCTCCTCTGGGAAGGATCTCCCCGGTGCTCAAATATTCACAATCTCGATCTCCTTGTAGCTCACTGCACTCGTCAGCCCAGGAATACTGTTGGCCTGATTGAAATCCAGTCAACATATGCCGCAGGCGCTGCTTGACGCGAAAGCGCCCCATTGAAGAGAAGATCCGTTCCCAAGGTCTGAGCTCGCAATCGTGTCTAGGCTATGGATCAAATCGAGCTGAAGGGGGCTAAGTTTCGGTCGAGTTACGCAATTTGGATGATTGAGGTGATGAAAGCCGCAGCAGGCTACAGAAGTTCCCGCATAATTGAGAGTATCGTCCAACCAATCGACTTACTCAAAGCAGCGCTCGACATGGTCATCCACGGAAGCCTCATAATTGTCCTATCGTAGGTATAGGCTCATTTCTGCATTTTGCCTCGTAACAACCATGTTAGACTACCACTGCATCAATTGGCTACCGACTCCGGGGTGGCAGTCAGGTTGAGAGTGGCAGCAAAGAGCCAGAACGTTCATTGAACTAGGTAACCAGTGCACCTTGTTCTCCAGCCTTAGCTTTTACGCAGCCACGCTTTGCTGAGCACAGCAACTTAATGAGTCTGTTACTCCACATACCGCCTTTCTGATGTTTATCGGTACAGCTGTTCACCTTCTCAGCACACCAGTGAGTTGTTGCTACAAATCAAGTTGACCACAATGTTCGTGGGAACAAGGAATCACAGCTATCACTCTGTGATGCCTAAATTCGAACCAGGTAAGTAGGCATTGAGTGCTCGAGAGTGTTAACTCGAGGCTGAAACTATAGTAGACAGAAATCCAAACCAGCCACCGCCGGTTCTGAAGCCTAGATACTATACTCCACCACTCACAAGATGGCCATGTATGACCCTACTCATCATAGCACTGCTAGGTTGCATTGCAGTTCTGGAGTTCGGACTTCGAGACGGTCTTAGTTTAGAGGAGAAGAGTGCACAGCAAAGCCGCTTATTACGACGACAGACAACGTCTACCACCACGTTGGCAACAGTGGTTACTACATCTTCGATGGAATCGGATGACTCTGAAATTACCAGTGTAGATATTTCTACCCAGTCGGCAAGCGTTAATGTTCCTACACAGACTCAAACTGCGGTAAATGTTGTAACATCAAGCACTACCACCACTACCACCACTACTACCAGCTCAACAACTACAGCTGAAACGCATGCAACCACTACGGGCGCCTACATCACGCAAGTACCCACATCAAGTACAACTAGTGGCTATATCACGCAAGTACCTACTTCAAGTACAACTGGCGGCTATATCACGCAAGTACCTACGTCAAGTACAACTGGCGGCTATATCACGCAAGTGACTGCATCAACTACAACTGTCGGCTATATCACGCAAGTGGTTACATCAAGTACGATTGCCGCCACCACCACGGGCGGCTATGTTGTGCAATCAACCACTGCTGCAACCTCACAATCGACAACTGACTCTTCAGTCTTTGTAGTTCAATCGAGTACTACTGCAGCCAACAAAAGGACAACGACGCCAATAATCATGACTGCGAGTGAGACTGGCCAAGCAACCGCAACCTCTACTGCTTATGTGACGCAGTCTAGCTCCGCCACAGGACGGACTACAGTCTCATATTTGACAAGTCATGAGAGCGTCACTCCAACGTTTACTGCCATCATCGCTGACATTACGCAATCAGCAACATTTTCCGACGCGTCGATACATGCCACGTCTGCTGAGGATGTTACGATGGCAGTCACGTTGACAGGGTCGTCTCCGGTACTGGTGATTAACACACAGACTTTCACAGATTCCACGGGTGGCCTATCGACGTCTATTGTTTCTTGGACCTCCTACGTCGACATCAGCGTAACAACGCTGGTCGCAGGCCAGTCCCAGTCAGGTTCAAGCGTCCCTCTTCCGTCTACTCCTCCGGACGAGCAAAGATCATATGAAGTGGAGCTAGGATTGGCACTAACAAATACTCAATATTTTGAAGCCATGTACTTACCTGTACTTGTAGCGGTGCTTCTGAAGCTTATCTGGAGTATGGTATTCGCGGCTACCAAGTTGATGGAGCCTTTCTATCTCCTCAGCCGCGAAGGCGGGGCGTCCGCGAAGGACGCACTTACGGCCGACTACCTCTCTTCTAGCCTGTCCCTCAATGGCTTGAAGACGATGTTTAGCAGTCATCCCGTGATGCTGCTAGCCAGCTTTGTATATCTTCTGACTAATGTTCTACCAGCATTGGCAACGCAATCTACCACTGTCCGGGCAATAGCTTGGTGCGCTTCGGACACGATTCCGCTACGGTGCAACCCCATGTGGTATCTCAATATTCCAATGGCTCGAGTTCTGCAGGCCTTTCTTGCTACGATCGCCGGAATCATTACTTTATTGGCGATATTGTCTGCTCGGCGAGAAAGTGGCGTGTTTTCCAACCCATCCTCATTGGCTACAATGGCATCAATTCTCAGCAACGATGACCTCGTATACCACTTGCAGTGTATTCCGCAAGGGGCGAGTCGCTCCTTGTTGCAGAGTCATCTAAATTCTCACAGCTACACTTTGGCTCGATATCAGACGAGATCAGGTTGCATACGGTATGGTGTCGCCAGAGCTGCAGCAACTGGATCGACTACGAGGGCAAGAAAACACGGCCAGCAACGCTACTCTGCCGTGTCGAACCCCTCCAGACACATGCGTTCTCCAACCACTTCAAAAAGCACGTTTTCCAATAAATTTCTACTTGATACAATATTTCTCATGTCAATCCTGGGTCTTCTAGCGGTACTCGTAGCCTACTACCTGACAGGTGGAGAGAACCCATTCAACAATTTCTTCAATCATCACAAAGAAAGTCGATTGGTTCTTACACTCATTGCTGGCGTCGTTGACGGTCATTGGAAGCAGCTGGAACGAGAAGTCCGCATATTGACTCCTTTTCGACGACTATATCAAGGGTCTGCATCTCCAACGTCCACCGTGTTAGCGACCCAGAACGGCACGCCGATCACGAGTCTGCTTACCGCATTGTGGCGGGGCAATCTTTTCCACGCCCTGGTGGCACTTGTCGCCACTCTTTCCGACGTGCTCATCGTCACTATCGCTGGAGTTCCGTACTCCTCGGCCCAGACGTGGATGGATTTTGTGGTTTGTATCTATACGAGCTGGGCTATCTTGTCGATCATGTCAATCACGGTCATTGCGATTTTCAGATGGAGGGCATTGAATGAGAAAATGATGATACCTAGTGAGCCTGCCACACTTATTGATGTATGGCTCATGCTTTGTAATGAAAACAATGGCCTTCGAGAGGATACTCGGGGCTTCGAAATGAGTGATGGGAAAGAAAGGGATGAGATGATCAAAAGAAGTGGCAGGCGTTATTGGGGCGGTTGGTTGACGCAACCAGAAGGATTGCAAAGGTGGTGTGTGGAACGGGAATGAGTAGTGAGTATCGCCGGAAAATTTTGCCAGTAAGTAGATGGGTCTATACATAATTCAATTGTAAACTGTTACGATGGACATGTTTTGCGTCCTGGCAAATCGAGAAGAGGGTTTCGTCAAGGGGAACGCAAGGCTGAGCCGAGGAGGGGCACTGGTTTGTCGCGTCGGTTAGAAGTGGAGAAACGTCGCGCAACCTGCCCTGCTCGGCTTTGCGCCGTCACCGCAACTCAATTGTTATCAGCACACGACCAGACATCCTTTTGCTGATATTCGACCACAGCTTCTGAGTCGACCAAGCCTACCCATCGTCGAACCTCTCCTTCCCTCCGGCCTTTGTGGCCCATCATGTCGGCGTCCCTCCCGGGCAATCGTGACCTCCCCGCGTCCCAATATGACCTGTCGACATATTGGGGCCGTGTCAAGCAGTCGGCACAGATAGCAGATCCGAGGTGAGAACAAAAACAGCAAAAGATTTGATATACAACACATGAGCGAGCCTACCTCTACTCTGAGGACTATCTGCCAGAATGAACCGGACTGCTTTCAGTCTGGTGCTGAAGGTATAGCCATGCCTCAGCAAACGCCCAGGATATTATGACTGTTCTGTCCAAGTCTGACTTTGTATCTGCAGGACACTCTTCGTTTCTGCTTCTGGCCTCGAACAGGCGAAGAAGCTGATAACATCATACAAGACAGGGGAGACACGGACCATGACCTCGGAGCTGTGGCAGGCGAAGAAGATTGTGGATTCGACTCTTCATCCAGGTACACAGAGTTCAATGCTATTGTTGTTGCGGATATTAATGGCGACTAGACACGGGCGAACCAGTGTTCCTACCGTTTCGAATGTCATCCTTCGTCATATCCAACTTGATAGTGACGGCAGGTATGCTTCAACCAAACATGACGGTAAGGGTTATATTATACCGCTTAAAGACAAACGCAGAACCTGACATGTTCAGACCGCCGGGACAGTGACATGGCAAATCATCAACCAGTCACTAAACGTGGCTATCAATAATGCAAACTCTAACAAATCCTCGCCCTTGTCCACCAAGACAATCATCCAGAGTTATCTCCTTGCAGTCTCGGCATCCTGCGGTGTCGCTGTAGGATTGAATGCCATCGTGCCGCGACTAAAGCGAATATCGCCAAACACGAAACTAATTCTCGGGCGACTGGTTCCCTTCGCAGCAGTCGCCTCAGCAGGAGCACTCAATGTATTCCTCATGCGCGGCGAGGAGATACGTCGCGGCATCGACATCTTCCCCGTCCAGACCGAAGCGGAAAAGGCAGAGCGGGAGAAATCCGGCAAAGAGGTCGCTAGTTTAGGCAAGTCTCGCAAAGCTGCTTTCTTGGCTGTTGGAGAGACCGCCATCTCTCGAGTGTTAAATGCCACACCCATCATGGTTATTCCGCCGTTGGTGCTTGTGCGCCTGCAGAAGACGGAGTGGCTGAAGCAACGACCTAGGATGGTGTTACCTGTCAACCTCGGATTGATCTTGACCACGAGTATCTTTGCTCTCCCTCTGGCACTGGGTGCTTTCCCTCAACGGCAAGCTATCAGCGCGAAGAGCCTAGAGGAAGAATACTGGGATAAAGGTGGTGAGGGTGGATTGATTGAGTTTAATCGTGGTATTTGAGGACTGAACTGCCTTGCTTGCTAGACGGGTTATGTTGATGGAGTGTACTATACAGTGTACATACGATGCTCTGGTTCTGCCGTCCGCAACGGAATTGCTATCGATTACTAGTAGACCTGTTTCTACGTCTCTCAAAGCTAGCATGTTTGGTGACACTAGTCTGAACGCTAATGGGGCTAAAACTAAGGTTATAATTAGGCTCGACTTGCCCGACTAATATCCTCCTGCGCGCCCTAAAATCGGTATCACCACAATTCAAACTCCGACACTGATGATCCAAGTTGCTCACACCCACCCCTCCTGCTGCTTCAAGTTCATGTCATATGCTCTAAGAATATTTTGACTTACCTTCATTCATCGTGTTCGCCAATTCCATCTCTCCTGACAACCTTCCATCATGTCTCTGGGTGAGTTTATACAACCTCTAGGACATTCCACAGCAGACCAGCCAGCACATGCAATCGAACACTGCTAACCTGCGATACTCACCAGATGAGGAAATGCTAGAGCAGGTCATTAAGAATGGCGAGATGGATTAGTATGGCACCATTTTGTTCCCTCTAATATCATGCATACTAAATCTCCTTCGCGCAGCGAAAAATGGCCGTCGACCAGCGAAGCCCTAGTCCAACAATTCCACAATGTTCGTACTCTGGGAAGCCATTACCCGCTATCCTGTTTCCTGACAACTGGTTGCAGGTCGTCTCTAATACCTTCGTCATGCCGCGTCACTATCCTAATATCAACCGCCAACCGCTCATCTCGTCACCTAGTCAAACCCAGGCGAACCCACCAGCAACAGCAACAACACCGCGAGAAAACAATTCCGCAGTACAACCTCAGACCCAGGCCCAAGCACCAACAACACCAGTCCGAAACCTACCTCCCGTCCCTCCCTTCCCATCAACAGAGCCTCAACCCCGCTCCACTGTGCCGCCGGCCATGCTAGCTATACGAGAGCTAACAAACGACATTTCCTACGACATCCTCCACGAACTGCCCGCTGTCCTTGTCCAACTAATCCACAGCATCACACAGACACTGCGGAATGGATTCGGCAACCGCCCTCCTCATACGATTCAGAGGCTGGCAGAGCTGATCCTCCATCCTACGAAACATTACAAAACCCTCCCGGCATATCTGCGCGCTATGGACCGCATTGTCAGCGTCAGCAGCACGGCAGACATCTTTCCACTCTCAGAAGTGCCCGCGATCGTCAATGGCGTGAACGGCGAGGGAGGACTGGGTATACTGTGGAACAACACCGACGCGCGGAACGGTTACGATGGGGATTCCCTTGGCAGCGATGAGAGTCTGGGTGGCGCGTTGCTCACCCCGATACCTTGGCTGCGGAACGGGATCAATAGTGTTGAGGACTTGGGTGAAGATTCGGCACCGCTGGATTCAAATCATAGTGCCGTGAGTGGTGGTGATGGGTTTGGCGAGGCGATTAGTTTAGGGCCAGGCTTAGGGAATGGCGATCCCCTTGTGCCGGAGAGAGAAGACGGCGCGGTCACGCAAGGCGAGCTGATGCGCATGGAGCAAGAGGCGGGCGTGGTGCCCTTAACGCAAAACCGTGAAGATACCAATGTGTCGAGAAGCATGGTCGATATTGGTGAAGAAGGCGGATATCTCGATGAAGGCGACGTGGTTCCGCACGCGCGTGGTCCAGATGTCGTTGGCTCCGTCGATATGGGCCGCGTGGGCGGAAAGGACGTCGAACTCCATATCGGTAGTCCTCCTATCGGCGAGGAGAAGACCACAAAAGACCCGAATAATGCGCAAGACGTGCTTCCGACACAAGACGCACAGCAGGCGACTACTACGTCCACAGCCCCTTCTAGCATAACACTAGCGTCTTCAACCGCTGACTCCGAGGAATTCGAAATCGTCAACAAGGAGAGCGCAGACGCGGATGCCGATGCAGACGCGATGCAACTCGATGATACAGCGAACCCGCTACAACAAGAAAAAGACACCTCGACCTCCACCACTTCAGACCCGCAACAGCGGCAGAATTCACCGGCAGAAGATGGCGATATCGTCCTCGTCGATGCAGACGGGAAAGTCGATGACGAGGACGACGGCCAGGCGAGTAAAGAGAGCGGGGCTAAGAAAAATAAAGACGGCAGCAATGCCACGACTTCACCAGAGGCAGACACTTCCAAATCGACTTAGAGTGTCGACGTGCTCAGGCAATATACCTTTGGCTTTTGAGGTTTATCGAGAAAAGAAGGCGCACGCTGTAGATGATGGCGCACGTGGTGATGCAGGGCCGCATCGGCGCCTGGACTGCCGTATGTGTTGGTCTCGGCAGGGGTTTTGTATGACTAGATACCCAGGTGGCGCTGAGGGAATGAAAACCCTAACAATCGCCAGGTCTGTATAACACATATCTGAAACCCATAAGTGAATTGGGTAACATGTATCCTCTGATCAGGTCCATAGATCCAGCCGATTGAAGGTCTTTGCCTGTCATCAGTCAAGAACTGGAGAACACGACATTGGCCATGCTCAACGCATGAAAATCACAAGTGGGAAGAGCTTCCGTAAATTGGCAAGACACACCGTGAATATCGGTCAAGATACTTGTCGTATCATTGGGTCATGATGGTTTGCAAGTGTTCAATAATCTGTATACCTATGTATATGTGTGCTCATCCTCATCCTCATCGTAACGTCTCATCATGCTCGATTTCCCTGTCCACGAGGAACCTCGATACCCAAGCTACATTAGGTGGTTGTCTTTAAAAGGTTTATGTTATAGTGTATATATTCTCTTGGCCTCATCCTTCACTCGCATCAGACGCCCAGTATGAGTATACCGGGAGGTGGGGTGGGGAGGTCCCTTATTCGATTTCGGCTTTGCCTCGTGTCTCCCGGATGTGGATCACGTTGGTCTGGGTGTACTCCAAGAGCTCACGTAGATCGCTTCCACAGTTGAGAGCGGCTGTTTCTTGTGTGCTGGTCGAGGTATAGTCCATGGAGAGGCAGGCATGGACTGTCTGCAAGCCTGTGATCAATCTTTCCGCTGCTGATAGCAAATCGCTTCGGCGGTTAGCATGACAGATTGGATGTTCCCAGGCGCCGCGCTTTGTTTGGCTTTTATGTGGACGATCGTGGCTACCTGCCATCATTCAGCCGTCGTTGCTCTGGCGCTCGGAAGGTGTAGTCTGGAGACGTCTCACTCCGACTAGGACAGGAAGTGCGCTTCCGATGCCCTTTCTCCCAATGCCAGGCCACGTGCAAGAGATGGAACAGATACTGGTTCCATATCTGTTGGGCTGAAGCACCATTCAATCGCGATGGTCAGTCGAGCTGTGACCTTTCGAAAGACTGCGCTGTGGGAGCATTGGCCTTTGTCCATCAATTTTGAGGGTGTCCCTTACAAGGTGCGCCTAACTGATGCCATCAGTAATACCGCCATTCTCAAACCCATCGACTCCAGGGTCTCCAGATCTTTTCTTCTCTTTCTTAGCCCATCGTAAACCACAAGCATTACAGAGCGTCTTGGGACCATTGGGACCCTTACGCCATTCCGGGCTGTCGAGTGTACCACAATCGGTACAGACAAATTCATCTGCGCTTTTGACCTTTTTGGCCTTCTTGTCAGAGTAAGAAGACCCTCCATATCTGGCGTCGGCTTTGTCGATAGGGATATGTATACCAGCGTCACCACGGATGAGAGCTGGAGAAGTGCCTCCAGTAGATATACCTTGTGATCTCTCCCCTTCCCGATAACGTAACCCAGTGAACATTTCGATGGAGTCAACATGTGACGAGCCTTCATAACGTGCCATCTTATCCCGAATGCTATCTGGTCGAGCCTGAGCATTTGCTTCATCGAGGGCTTCACGTGTGAGAGCCAAATTCGATATCGTGGGTTTAGCGGGAGGTGGCATATTTGATGATTCAGGGGCTTCATCCTTTGAAATCATGGATGGGGATTGTGGCGTCATGTCGGCTGAATTTGATCGCGACTTGACACCATTGGTGGCTGGCTGCTTGTGAAAGGGGTCATTCTGCGCTTCTGCGTCTTCGGCTTCCTCTCGCTTTAGAGCAGCAATCCTTGCTTGTAAGCGAACATTTTCGATTTTATGCTCCAGAAAGGAGTCGAGTAGCTCGGAGTTCTTGGAAGGATATGGTCGAGCCATCATGAAAAATCCACGACAGAAAGGTGCTGCCGTTGATGGACCGACAGCCATGTCGCCAGCAGGACTATCATTGCTGAGATGAGGATGGCCATGACATTCAAAAATTCGATATTTGTCTTCTGCAGTCCGGAAGCGGTGGAAAAGACGAAGATTGTTTCCCGTTGCTATACTTTCATTGAACTCGCGGATAAAAAGAGAAGCATCGTCTGGATGCACAAATTCTGATATGGATTTGCCCACAATCTCAGTTGGCTCATAGCCGATTAGGAGCTTGGCAGAAGGAGACAGGTAAAGAAGTCTGCCATCTGAGGTGAGAATGTAGAGTAAATCTTTTAGTTCGTCGAGCACCCTCTGGGACCAATTTCTCCTTTTTGTGAACTCGGTCAAGACATTGCTCGAAGTCGAGGGCATTGCGTTTTGTGCCAGAAACCCTGTGGGTAGCGGCCCAGCGCCAACACCATTTGATGGTATGTTCTCCGAATTAGTTGAAGTCTCCTTGCTGAGACTTGGGATCCCGGGCATATCCTCAAAGGTTGAAGGGGCCACGGAGGTCATGTCGATCTGCATGTCGTCGGGAAACATGCCCATTGCAGCGATATCAACGTTTCCAACAAGCGAAGGGTCGTATGCCATCGGTTGAAAATTAAAAGAATCCATAATGGGAGCGGATTCAGTCTGGAACGTGTCCATTGTGCAGCGTTAGTGGGTCGCTTGCTGCACGTTGGGTGCTTCAGCCTCCGCAATAAGCCAACGAGTGTCAGGATCGAAGTTCGAGGACTTATCCCCTGACACCTGAATGGTGGGAAAGTTCGGATAACGGAAATGAAAAGCGAGCACGCGCTGTGAGACTTTGAAATGCCCGGAATATTGTCCCGAGGACCAATTTATGAAGAGATCGATGCTCGTGACGGACTCTGGGGTCACTAGGATGCCTGGATCATTGACCAAGAACAGATTGGTGGTGACTTTTGAAAGCGACGGAAATACGTAGACCTCGCGATCGCTGGGGGACGTCAAGCGCCAAGGTCGTGCCGTCAGATCACGTGGACTCGTGCCGATCGACGCTAGTGCAGGCAGCGGTTTCCACTAGCGTGACAAGCGCGTTTTTGGTTTGACGTGAACTTTGAAGCATCTCCTAAATACCATCTCTAAATGTTTGATGAGAAAGTGATTATCAACTGCAAACGGCGTATCATTCGGGTGTCTCAGGCAGTATTCAAGTCGGATAGCTGTGATACTGCCTAGTCTCATGTGAGAGTTCGGCTCGTTCAAAACGATTTCCAACTGCCTCATCCACTGATGACCGTGCTAATGAGCAACCCTCCCCTCTAACCATCCTGAATGAACGCTTGTCATTTCTTTATTGCGTCCAAAACAATCTGACAAGATGTCCAAACTCCTGCAGATGCAAATTTCGGGCGTACGCTCATTCCCTCCCACTCACAGTCAGACAATCAAGTTTGAATCGCCCCTCACTCTAATTGTTGGCTATAATGGATCTGGAAAGACAACCATCATCGAATGCCTCAAGTTTGCCTTTACAGGAATGCAGCCACCAAACACTAAAGTCGGAGGAGCCTTCGTTCATGATCCCAAGATGAGAAATGAATCCGAAGTCATGGCAATGGTTAAAGTGGAGTTCCGTTCGGCAGTGGGTGCGAGGCTGGTCGTGGCTCGACGCTTACAACTGATCGTCAAGAAGACTTCTCGCTCCCTAAAGTCACTAGAAGGCTCACTTCTTCTATCTCACAATGGAGAAAAGCGTTCCATGTCTTCCCGGGTTGCAGAGCTTGATGTTCTTCTTCCGCAATATCTGGGCGTTTCTACCGCCGTGCTCGACAACGTCATCTTTTGCCATCAAGACGAGAGTCTATGGCCATTGAGTGACCCCTCAAGTCTGAAGAAGCGTTTTGATGAAATCTTTGAAGCCCAGAAATACACCAAAGCCATTGAGAACATCAAACAAATTCGAAAGAAACATAACGAAGAATTAGGCAAATACAAACTTCTAGAGGAACATGCCCGCGGTGATAAGGACCGTGCCCTCAATTCTCAGAAGAAGGCAGAGCGGCTGCAAAAGGATATCGAAACCCTCCGTGACCAAGTTGAGAATCTCGAACGACGTATCGCTAATGCCAGGGGTCTTGCGGACGAGGCGTGGAGGAATGGCGAAGCTCATGCTCAAATCCTCGGTACTCTCGAGGGCAAACGCATTGAAGCCCGCAGTAAGAAGAGTGCAATCGAAAGTCTTAAAACGCATCTTGAAGTGAGCGATGAGTCGGACGAATCTTTGACAGCAAATCTACAGCAGTTTGATGCCAGACAGTCAGAACATCAAGAGCAGCTACGTCGACAGCAACAACAGTATCTTGATCATCAAGACAACAAGAAGAGCCTGAGCAAGGAAAAAGAAGAGAAGGTCAAATTAAAAGGGAAATATGAGCAAGAAAAGGAAGAACACGACCGTCAACTTACAAGACGTAAAGATATGGTCAAAGAGGTGGCCGCAAAACATCAGATACGTGGTTTCAACGATGTCGACGATGAACGACTTGTGGAAGAATTTTTGTTCAAGATCACCAAAATCTCAAAGGATCAGAAACTTGCCCTTGACCGTGCTAGGCTTGAACACACTTCTGAGAGAAGAGAAGCACAAACTCTGGTCAATCGACTCACAGAAAGAAAGGCTGCTCTTGAGGACAATAAGATTACTATCAAACGACAAATCGAGTCCAATGATAGAGAAGCTACAGACTTTAGGAGGAAGACAAACGAGATCAAATATGACGAAGGAAGCAGAGCTGTGGCCGAGTCAAGAATCGATGGCCTGAACAACAAGTTGAAGGCTGCACAGGCAAATGCAGGAGCTGCGAATTGGGACGCGAAGCTTCAGGAAGCCAATGTTGAACTCCGTACACATGAAGACACTCATGCGCGTCTCAACGATGAAATCGTCCAATCGACCAAGAGAGCCGATGAGTTAGCTAGATTGTCACATGTCAAACAGGAGCTCAAAGAACGACAACGTAGTCTTGAGACCCTACTCAATACCCATCGCGATCGCATCACTAAACTCATCGGACCAGATTGGGAAGCTCATACGCTGGAGATTGTCCACCAGAATGCTTTGAGCGAGGCAAAGACGGAAGCCACATCCGCTGAGCAGAAGAGAGATACTGTTGGCAAGGATCTAGAACTCCTGCAACATAAACAAACCATTGCACGTCAGGACCTCATCCAGAAGAAAGCACTGGTTGCCAAGAGTGCAAAACAAATCAGTGCTGTGGTTGAAGACGGTCCCGATGGATATGCAACGGCACTTGAAGAAGCAGAGGGCGATGTTGAGCAGGCTCGAGATCAGAGTGGAAGTCGCGATGCTCTTCGTGAATATTACGAGGCTGTCTTGACAACTGCTGAAGGAGAGAAACCTGCATGCCGCACATGCTTACGAGGCTTCAAGGGTGGTCCCAATGACTCAGCTCTGCAAACTTTCAAAGGTCGCATCAGGAAGCTGATGGAGAAGGCACTCAATGACGTTGAAGAAATCAATGTGAAGGAAGTCGAAGCTCATTATAAACGTCTCACAGACCTTGGGATCGTGGTCGAGAACTGGAGAAAATTGACCAATTCAGAAATACCTGCCTTGGAGACTGACCTCGCAAAATTTGCGGAGCAACGGGAAAGGCTCGTAGCTCAATTGGAGAAACATGATAAAACCGTGGAACAACGACAAGAAATCAGACGTGACATTGACGGAATGACTCGAACTGTTGTTTCAATCACCAACTGCGATGGCGACATCAAGTCATTAAGTAACCAACTGGAAGAGCTTAATGCCAAACAGAGCCAGAATGGTGGAGGGCGCACCCTCGAGGATATCCGAGAGGAGATGTCTGTCACTTCAGAGAAAAGTCGAGCAGTACAGAAGCACATTGCCTCACTTCGCACAGAACAAGAACAATCTCGGGTTAGCTTGTCAACTTTGGAGATCGAGTTGCGTGATGTGAAGAACGAAATGAACACCATCATTTATCAACTCGACAAGAAAGCCTCGCTTGCGGCCCGAGTTGAGGAGTTCCGAGCGTCAAACCAGAAGCACAGAGAGACCCTCGATGCTCTCGGTCAGGACATTGAGAAACTTGGCCCCAAGATAGCGATCGCCAAATCCAAATATGATGATATTGAGAATCGCACGAGTGAAAAAGAACGAGAGATGTCCAGTGAACAATCTCGACTCAGTGAGAGCGTCAATGGCCTAGACCTACTGAACAGTCAGATTAGATCCTATGTTGATCGTGATGGTCCCAATCAGCTTGCGCGTATCAATCGTGAGCTCAGCAGAATCGAAAGTGAGGTCGATAACGTCGAAAAAGACATGACAGGACTGACACGCATCATGAATGAGACTCAAAAGTTAATGCGTGATAGCGAAGCGACAAAACGAAAGTACTCGGACAATCTTCTTTATCGTCAGGAGACTCGTGGTTTGGCTCGCTTGGAGGAAGAGATCGAGGAACTCGCAAGCCACAATGCTGAGGCGGACCGTGTTAGATTTCAGGAAGAATCCAAAAAGTATACCCATGAATACAACACGCTCAGTGCGAAACAGTCGGGTCTTATGGGCGAGATGAAATCGAAGGATGCACAACTTGGTGAACTTCTGGATGATTACAACACCAACCTCAAAGACGCACCAAAGCGTTACAAGGAAGCTCACATCAAAGTAGAGGCTACCAAAGCAGCAGTTGAAGACCTTGGGCGCTATGGAGGAGCCCTGGATAAGGCAATCATGAAATACCACGGTCTCAAGATGGAGGAGATCAACAACATCATTGAAGAGCTGTGGCGCAAGACTTACCGTGGCTCTGATGTTGATACCATCATGATTCGCGCAGATAACGAATCAGGTCGTGGTAATCGATCATACAACTATCGAGTGGTGATGGTGAAGAGAGATGTGGAAATGGATATGAGAGGCCGATGCAGTGCTGGACAGAAAGTACTCGCAAGCATCATCATTCGCCTTGCGCTGGCCGAATGCTTTAGCGAGAAATGTGGCATCATTGCCTTGGACGAACCCACCACCAATCTTGACAGAGACAACATTATCAGTCTGGCCAGGTCATTGAACGACATCATCAAAGATCGTTCGGCACAGTCCAACTTTCAACTGCTTGTCATCACCCACGACGAGGAATTTCTACGAGAGATGAATTGCGGCGAGTTTACTGACAATTATTATCGAATTTCCAGGGACTTGACGGCGGATTCTGTCATTGAGCGACAGAGGATTGCGGAAGTCCTATAAAGACTACGAGGGGCCAACATTTCGGATAGATTCACACCTGGTGGACTCTGCATGGTACCTGGCAGACAACGCATCCACAATGACGATCAGCTATACCCAACAACCTGGAAATGGGGACGCCTGAAACAACAAACAACATTGCTTACGTGGCCATGGCAAAGACCATATGATTTTACAAGGACTTGACAGTTAGATGGTGCCAACATGAGTTATGGTTTTGTTGGGAAGAAAAATTATGAAACATGGTCTCAGCATCCGTCCGGCGCATGTGTGCATTTCTTAATCATTGAATTAAGATATGGAAGGCGGCTGGGGGCGAGAAGTCCTTTGGCTAAAGCCACAGTGGCGGAGGTGTGCGGAAGGAGGAAGCACGAACCTAAATCAACCAAGGAGGCTTGGAGCTTGACCAGGAAAGGGTTAGTTTTCCAGCCTCGAATGACGACCCTGGTTTTGCCTATTAGGCCGATTGCTGGGAATGAGGGATGCAAGGAACCCGAGGCAAAAACTGGAGAAGCGACATGTGAAAGCAAGACATGCATATGAGGTACGAATGTATTGTAATAGGCACCCGAATAGGAACTACCTAGGAGTCTGGGTTCAACTACTGTTTCTCAAGTATACCATAGCCAGGTCAGGACAGGCTTGCCATAAATAAACCACGATTGACCGGAAAGGTGCTGCGTTCCTACGGTGCCACAAACTCAACGACTCTTGTCAACGGGAACACCAACATTCATCGAAAAATGCCCGAGGATGGATTCTGTTGCACCCAACTGGCATGTTCTGTCACAAGTGCGGGCACGGGCATATTGTGTCATTCTTCATATGTATCTCTACCAAGTCGGTTAGTATTTCAGGGTCACCCGACAAGCAATGACGTTGAGACGACGGAAGGTTTACCCTTTCGGCACCATCACCATCGATCGACATTGCCATTTTGCCAGTATGAACAGCCATGATCATGCACAGCTCTTGCCCTCTCGGTAGCACACCATTCATACCACGGCGCCTGCCTCAACTGTTTGTTCTAGTCCCCATTTAGATCTCTCCCCGTACCACTTTGGGTCAGTCGATATCCACAATGGCCTGCCATTGCCACACAAATTTTATGGGCTTTTTGTAAGGGTTCAATTTCTTCGCTTGCACTGGCCATGTCTTTCAGTTTGTCCCTCCAGCGACCATCGACCATCGGTTGAATGGTCCACTCTTCCATCTCAATCCCTTTCTATTGTTCCACGCCAAAACTCACATGTATGGAGACTCGAGCTCTTCGCCTTGTGAATGACTTCAAGGATCCTCGATCCCGTGGGCTTCGATGCAACTGTCCTATAGAATATTGATATCCAGCTATGTGCTCCATATTCCATATTCACTAGAGAGCTCTTGATGCGCTTCCTCGGCTCAAGCTCAAAGCTATGCTATGCCTGAGCTCCACTTGCACCACCTCAGCCATTCAGCCCACAAGCCATCAGCTTGAATGCCAGCACCTTCATCATGCAGAAACCCAATCACCGATCCCACGAGCCTCCACGGTACGTTGCAGCATGCTCTTTGCCTCTACTTGTCCAAGTTTCGAGGTCGCTAGCTGTACTTGGACTTTCCAATTACGTGAAATCAAATGCTCCTCAATGCCTTCAATGGTCAATATACCAAGAAATAGGGTCTTGTACTGCATATGCTGTGGACCATATGAAGCTCTCCCCAGATCGACATCATATTGATCCTACCTTACGATTTCCCGATCATCTTCTGCATGCTTCTCCTCAATTTGGGCATTTTATATACCACCTGACTTATTTCTTGAGATCAACCATTCGCCTCCGCTCTTCTTTAGACCAGTTAGTCAAACAACACATTCCAAACAAGACTTGTGCTCCGTTGGCCCTTTCTCTCATGCTACTCACGACCTGCATTTTTCCATAGCATAAAGGCGAGGTGTAAGTTTCGACGTCTGAGCTCTTGGCCCTCATCTTTCCCTGCCAAATATTGATGACAGGACTGTGTGGTGAGAACCAGCAGTCTTTGACGTCCACATTTTGCGTCTCTGATACACAACTACAACATCCACATCAAGATGTTGAGTAAAACCTTCCTCACGGTCTTATTGGCAACTGCCACCACTGCGTAAGTCAAATTAGTCCAAAAGTCACCAAAAACAGCAAGATTCTGACAAACTCAATGTTCAGTTCTCCTCTCCTGAGGCGTGATTTTCCATATGGAACCACGCCTGTTCGAGGAGCCAATATTGGAGGGTGGCTGGTTCTGGAACCTTGGATCACACCGTCGATATTTCAACAGTTTGACGGCAGTGTCATAGATGAATACACCCTAACCAAGAACATTCCCAATGCCGGTGACATCTTGAGAAGTCATTGGGACAGCTGGGTCTCACTTGGCGACTTCCAGAAGATCGCAGAAAATGGATTCAATCTAGTTCGTATACCTATAGGATATTGGGCGTTTCAGAAGTATCAGGGGGATCCGTATATCCAAGGTGCTGCCGACTACCTAGAGACGGCAATTGGCTGGGCGAGACAGACTGGTCTCAAGGTCTGGATTGATTTGCATGGTACGTGTGGATTTCCACCATAGATGAGACAAAACTGACATAAACCACCAGGTGCACCACTTTCACAGAATGGATACGACAACTCTGGTCAACTGCTTTCGACGCCCGGCTGGACAACGGGAGGCTCGGTTAGTGCAACTCTGGATGTTATTGGAATCATTTCGAAACAGTACGGGACTCCAGAGTACGCTGATGTGGTTGTTGGAATCCAACTTCTCAACGAACCTTTAATGTCTGCTCTGAGCGGCGGCAGAGGCGCAACTCAAGGCTATTATGAGGTAAGTCGCCTGCTACCCAGAGTCACTGCCCCAAAGATGGCATACATACTCACCTCCTTTACCCCCAAATAGGCAGGATACAATATCATTCGCGAATCAGGGCAAACACCAGTCGTGATCCACGACGGATTCGCCAACCCCTCGCAATGGAACGGCTTCCTGACCGGACAAGGCAGCAACGGCGCAATCGTCGACCACCACGAATACCAAGCATTCACACCGGAACTCCTGGCCCTCTCGCCCTCCGAACACGTCGACTATGTGTACTCGAACGCCAACAAATGGGGCACAGGACAGGACAAGTTCGTCGTCGTGGGCGAATGGTCCGCGGCGCTGACCGACTGCGCCCCAGCTCTCAACGGCTACGGCATCGGCGCCCGGTACGACGGCACATACTCGAAGCGCCAGGCCGACGGCTCGTATCTGACGTCCTCGTACATCGGCTCCTGCGCAAACGTAAACTTCATCGACCAGTGGACCCAGGCCCAGCGTGGCGCGTACGCGAACTATATCCGCGCGCAGCTCGACGTCTTTGAGAGTAAAGTCCAGGGCTGGATTTTCTGGAACTTCAAGACCGAGGCCGCAGCCGAGTGGGATTTGTTTCGTCTTATTGATAACGGCGTGTGGCCGCGTTCTTGAGGACAGAAGGAAGATCAGATGGACGGAGAAAGCTAGGCTTACTGTACATCCTCAATTCTTCAAGTGCGACCATTTACAGCCTGCATGCCACGACTTTCATGTTGGCCCCCAAATTATGACGGAGCCCGCTTCATCACGACCACATACGGACAGACAGACATACATACGATCACTCAGCCAAGGAACCACCTTGACGATAACGACGATACACTAATAAAACACTAAACCACGATCCCCACGACCGGAAAACTAGTTCGGAATTCGCATAATCCTCACTCACGAAGACACCCCAAGGAATGCCACGATCCTATGCACATACATACACAAAGCATACGGGAAAGAGAGACAGTGGTCCTGATTCCTCGTCCAAACTCTACTTCAATTCAAATCCAACCTAATTCAATTCGATACTCCCCCACCACCGCTCGCTGGCTCATGCATTCGCGTAGAGCATTCCACCCCTTTTTTCCCATTGAGGACTTAACTTACTTTATGAAAGCATGCCGTTGATGGGTATTTGCTCGAGGAGATGTTTGGGACTGTGTGGTCTCTTGCAGAAATGGGGATACTAACGCTGATATTGCATCCTATCGCTTGGGATTTGATCACTTTGGCATAAGGTGATATGTGGCAGGAGATTAGTTGCATGCTCCGAGTGGATAGGATACGATGAGTAGGGTAGTAAGATGTCTTAAATAATGTCATTGCAGAGGTGTTGCTACTGCATAGCTTTGCCATTGTTCATTTGGGTCTCTATCTGGGTGCTTGTTCGTGGTGAAGACGTCAGGATCTGCGACATCATCTGAAAGTAGACCCATCTACATCCAAATCTGCACTCACTCCCAACCCACCATCGCGGTTTTTCGTCTCATTTCATGTCTGGGAATATCAATCCATTTCGTGTCCGTCACTGTAAGGTATGCGTCCGGCCCTATTCAATCAAGAAGCCATCTGCGGTAGCCCTGATGGTCTTTTCGAAGTCAACCTCCTCGTCCATCTCCAACAATTTGGCTCCTAATACATCCACCTCCACAAATGGCTTCTCCAGATCGAAGCTGACACTGATAGGGAAGAACTCGCTCTCATCGTCTGTTTGCGCCTCGAACTCGAAGGAGCCACTGGGGTTGCTCGCGTCAACTGCTCCGATGGTCCATTCAAGGCTATCTCCGGTGACTTGATATATGGCATCAAATGACGCAACGGCGGGTTCTCCAGAACTGTATGGGATTGTAACGCTCACGTTTTGTAGAGAGTGTGCTTCGGGATCCACAAGTTCGTACTCAAGGGTGATGGTGTACGAGTCGTCTGACTTGTTGACCCAGGCGGTGAAAGTGATGGGCAGGACATCATTGGAGTCCGCAGGAGCCGTCGCCCGCCACCTTAATACACCGATACTGTTATTGGCAGGGAATCGTTTTGTAGTATCTTTGAGTTGAAGGACTTTAGTTGAGGTGAAGAGGTTGCGGTCAACGTTGGGATGTGTGCGGAATTGAGCCTTCAGTGGCCCCTCGACAGCACGAACGGAAAGTGACAGTTTTGCCAGTGCGGGATCTGAGATTTTGAGCTGTAGGTCACCTTTGACTTCAAATGACTTCAGCGCTCCTTCTCGTGAGAGTTTCGCGGATAGGGTTTCGTTGACGGTGATAGTTATGGGATTGGTGCTGGAATGGACGGAATCGTGGTGTGCATGGGATGATGAAGCAGTTCGGTCAGGAAGAGTAGTGGAATCAGGCGCGGTGTTGGCTGCCTCTGTTTCCTCGGGACCAAGGTCTTGTTGAACTTTGGCAAAGGCATTGGAGGTCTTTGACTTTTTCCCCAACTGCATGCCCTTTGTCGACCGGCTGGCAGCGAATTTGCTTGCCGTCTTGTTCTTTTCGGCCTCGTAGGTGTCGTAGGTCTCAGGACGAGAGGGGGGTGTATAGGTTGGCTGTGTAGGCATCTTGGGAGCAATTCCACGACCGTAGGCAGCAGATCGAGCAGCTTCTTTCCTCTGAAGTTCGAGTTGTTTGGCTTTGCGTTTCCTTTCCTCTGAAGCCTCGAGTTCCTTGTTACGGGCAATGATCTCTTGGATGCGCTCCTCATGCGATTCCATTTCTAGGAAGGTCTTTATTTGGCTGAGGGAAAGGTTCTCTCGATAACCCATAGTGACGAGCTCGTCGAAAGCAGAAAGTAATTCGAAGGCATAGCGCAGGATTTCACGCTCGTCGGGCTTTCTGCAAATAGAGGTGACGACCTGACCGAACAGGTGGAGGCTGTCGATGTCTTGTAGGATGTTTGACTGTTTATTGGTGATGAGGACGAGGTACAGTTCATCAAGAGGTTGGTAGACGAAGCGAACATTCTCGCTCTCAACCGTGGTGTGTTGGGTAGAGGAATCTGCGAGTTTGGGGAATGAAGCGAGGAGGGCTTCAACCCGCGACTTTTGGATTTCGACAAACTGGCGAGACAGGAGAGCCTTACCGCCTCGAGTGCAGATGGAGGCTGCTAAGACGACCATTTTGACGAAATGGTGGTGAGAGTAGGGAAAAGGGTGATTGTCAAAGAACCGGCGTGAGAACAATTAATTGATCTCCAATGTGGACGTGGACGGGCATGTCTCGTAGGTCGGAGAGGCCACGGTTCTTGTGTTGCCCTTGACAGAAGACTTGTCTGACAGGGATAGATTTCTGCTGGGTTAGGTGTGGGTTCTCAATAGTTGTCCAGCGGTGGCACCGTCAGACAGAAATTGTCAAGGCACGGAAAGGGGATGTGGAAGTTACCCATGGTGGTCGCTCTATCACTATTTGTTTGTTCAAATGAATCATGTGTATCTAGGCATTCCTTATCGTCCTTGCGGGAACATTATATACTGGGTACCTATGTGTGAAACCAGGAGAATATCTTGATAATCGGGCTAATAATTGACTGTGGAAGTCACATGGAGTTGTACAGTACAATTGAATCAACACACTGCAAGACTGTATACTCTGCTATCACTTGAACTGAACGACCATGACTCATTTACTGGGCCTATTGGCAACCTGATTGCAGCTTATTCAACATGATTAAACAGGCACATGGGCAGGCACCTGGTAGTGTTGATTTAGGTACTATTCTATTGTCGACTGTGCGCAAACGGCAAGGGCATGTGAATTTATAATGAATGGTCGTGGCTGCCTGCAGATGTGATCAAGTTCTTGGCGTTTGCCTCCTCATCACTGTCATCAATCCTCGATGATCCTCCTCTTGCGCCGTTTAAATTCTTTCGGTCTCCCATCCATCAACTTGAACAATTGTTGCACGCACTGCGTTATGCCGTAGCGCAGTCTGACTCTCAGAGAAAGAATACTAACACTCAGTGTTTTGATGCCCCACCTTCGCCACCCATTGCAGGCCTCCTACCAATCCACGTATCTTGTCGCCTTCACTCCCTCCCACCAGACTCTTGACTCTCCGATCCCATCTTCGAAGGACGAAGAAACTCTTGAATAAAAACTATCGCAAAGTGTCTGTCCACCAACTGTCTTGGTCTGGCGCCAATACTTGTCAGATATGAGTGCGGCTCCCTCCTTTGCTTTCAACGATATAGACGCGTCACATTTACCAGACAGTATGGATGTGGCTTCCTCCCCTTACCAACCTCCAAATGACATCGATCTCGACCTCGACCCCTTTCGCGATCCATCTGTCCTCGAAGACGAAATGATCGATTACCAGGATGATCTTGTGCTTCAAGATGATGGTCCCCAAGATATCGCTATTGACGACATCATGGATCAGGCAAGTAATGCCGGACACGAATTCGATTATAACATGGATTCCTCTCTTGAACAGCCAGAACAAACGCGAGACGACGATGATGATGATGTTTTGTACGAAGACGAAGACGAAGACGAATCAGAAATTATTCCTCAAGACTTGGATCATGAGAATAATGACGATCAACCAACTGCAAACCATACCTTGAAATTTATCGCAGAAGATGATGCTGTTGGCGAATCAATCGACGGCAACTTTGACGAGCACGTTGAGCTGCAGACTGACGACCGACCTACCACACAGGCGCCTCATCCCGAGGACCACCAGGACGCATCTGCTTCCGGTGATAATCTAGTCCAAATTCAAGGGAATCCCGGTTTCCAGCCACCCCAGCCTGCTGCGCAGTCGCCTCCTGCTCACCCAGAAGACGACTTACCTATCGAAGGAGAATCTGGAGAAACAGACCTGCTCCCAGACGATAGCGAATATGTCCACCTTGAACCACTAGACTATCGGCAAGAGAACGACCCGGAGCCAGATGCCGTAGACCGGAATCTCTCCCCTCTCCCACACGAAAACGAGCAGACGATTTCAGATACTCAGCACGAAGAAGCCCCAGAATCGAAAGGCATCCACGTTGACCCAACCCGTGAGGTCCATCCTGTCACTCTGGTCTACCTTGAGGAAGAAATGTCTTTGTTTCCTCCGCTCATTGGGGATGGTTCTTCAGTTTATTTTCTGTCTGACTCAAATCTTGCTTCACAACCTCTTGATAAATTGCTGGCTGCGTGTCGTGAAATCCTCACTGGCACCCTCGAACATGATGACGAACTCGTTCTCGATATCCCGGGTCTAGGTCTTCATATCTGTGAAGACTCGAAATACTCTGCACAGATCACGTTGGCCAGCGTGCTTGAGATATACCTCAAGCTTTGTCATAATGACCCCGATGACCAGTGTCAGCCTCTGTATTGTCATCTAAGCAGTCGAGTGAGTCTTGCATCACAGTACGCCTACCTCTCGTCCGCAGGCGACGAAGGTAAGACTTACGCCGAAATCGTAGCCGACCATGTCGATACTCCGGAAGAGGCCTCGACCCATATGGACGACCAGGTGCACTCGCCGGTTACCCAAGACGCAAGCCTGGAAGCCACTGAACATGAGCTGCCCCCTTCTCCCAAAATTACAGGCCACACTGATCTAAGTCAAGTCGGCCCGGATCTCCCACATGTAGAGGAGGATTTGTTCAAAGAAGTTGACGAGGATCCCCACGCTCAAACCGACGGTGTCCAAGCGCTCAACAAGGAACCCTCGGAAGAGGAACCGCCGTTGATTGTCCAGGATTTCCAACCAGATCATCTTCAAGAAGAGGTTGGAGGTTTCGATACTGTAGATTATCCAGACCAAGAAGACACCCTGCAACACAGTCATCATCATGAAAGCCCTGCAGCTGAAAGCAGCAGCTCGCACACTGTTGAAGCATATTATGATGACACTGGCAATCACGAGGCATATGAAGAGGACGCCAAAGGTGAAGATCTGTTTAGTGATACAAATCAAGAAACAGCCGATCTCCTCGATCAGCAACAAGACACCGAGTATGAAAGTGGCTATGGCGATGAAGAGCTCTTTGTGCAAGACAACGTTGGCGCAGATGTTGTTGGAGCTCCATCTATATCACTACCGGAGGAAGGCGATGCCCGGTTCTTTCCTGCCACGATTGAGCAGAAATCCTTGAAGAGCGATGTAGCCGACGCAAGCCTCGACTTCCTTGAAGACGAAGCAGACTCTGGCATTGCTGATCTCCCGAAAGACCATGACCTTGTTGGCCCAAGTCCGCCTATCACACCGTTTAAACCGAACGTTTCGAAACGCAAGGCCGAGGTTGATGATGACCTTGACTTTCTGGAAATCGGCACACCGGAACCAAAGCGTCGCAGATCATCTTGACTTGTCATTACTGCCTTATTCTTGTCCTTCATTGATCCCATTGGCATGCGAGTGCTCAAAGTTTCAGAACCGATAGACGACATCCCACCTGGACTTGCAGCGTCGACTGACAGTCCCCGAAACGGCACAGGATACTAACCACAAAAGGCTTCTTCCAAGCTAGCAATCGTAGAACCTTCCGACTCTTTGGCCAACATCAACACCAAACCCCTTGTTTTTCGCCTTTACAGTTTTCTGTTTGAGCGTTGCGATCCCCTTTGAACCCTTGTACTACTAATCTTCAGCTTCTTTTAGCACGATACCCGGGTCGACTCCTGCCTGGGGTTTGTTGTCGTCTCTGCATCGACCTGTTCGCACCCATTTCCACCTATCCCTTTTTATCCGCAGACTCCTACCCCAGGCCGTATTCTTTCCCATTCACTTCTATTGTGATAGCATGGCTGAATGCGAGAACTTTGTGCTCTCCAACTTGCGCCAAAAGAGGTGGAAGTATGCAGACTACTCAGAGAACGGTCACAATAATCCAGCGACATTCCTCCATCACGGCACATGATTGATATACAGGCTAGCGTATTTCAGCAGTCCCGCAAATCTCGGTATATGTGGTCGGAGCTTTTTGCCTTGTTTGTCAGTTGCAAAGTAAGGAAACGATCACATTCGAAATCATGAATAAAGAACAAGAAATTTGGCAACGGCGCATTGTGTACTCTAGACAACGCAGGCTGTGCGAAACGCTAGCCTGGAGATCAAATAGGACTACATGTGGAAGAAGAATGGACAGGAATCAGAACTCTTTACTTCATCCTTAGGCTCGTTGTCGTTCGATGATGCATGTCTATTCTAGAAACTAGATGGTGAAGCATTCTCTATCTCGTTGTGACTGCCAATCCGAGGAGTATCACGTGTGAGTCTACCACTACTAGACCAATTACGATTGATGTATTTCACATCATGGATAACCAGGCAGGAACTCAGCATGATCATGTATTGCTACTTTACCAAATGTGAAGATACATGATCGATTGAAGACTGTTGTCTGCATAACACAACATAACGTATATTGCGTGCGTTGCAGTGGTGCTCCACCCACCAAATCAAGACTCTCGAGTGTCCCACACCCCCGGGGCTTTGTCTCCAATACCTAGGTAATTTCCCATACAATATAACAGTAAGTCAGATCTGTCGCGTTTTGCATGGCAGCCGAAATGATCTCGGCCATCGTCAACCAAATCTACACTCGGCTCGTCAATTCAGTCGCTTTGGTGTCATGCACCTGTTTCTCAGAAGGGCCAACGCTCGTGTCACTCGTTTCGTCATCACTCTGTTTTCTCTCTCCAGCTGGCGCAGTAGCAGGCTTAGCCTTGCTCCATGGGTAGCGACCCTTGGTCTCCTTGAATCTTAAGAGGAGGAAACCAATGATGGCACAGATCCAGAAAACATTGTAACCGATCACGCTGCCATATGTGGCACTGTTCTGCCAACCGAAAAGGGCATTGAAGATACCCCAACCGCCGCCTCCGTTCAACTCAGGGTTGCAGCAGTTAACGTGCCAGACGCTCCGTCGGATGTCGTAAGAACCTGCACCAGATCCAGTTTCGGCAGCGTCACCTCCCGTCAGTTTGTTCCAGTCATTGGCCTCAAAATACCAGATGCCCCTTGAGAACAGGCCTGCTGCGACGAGGTAGAGGAAACAAGTGCTGATAATGAGGAAGATCTGCAGCGGAGCCATATTGCCACCTTTGTAAATGATCAAACCAACGGCGCTTCCAGCTAATAGCCCACAGATGGTGGGCAAGGGGATTGAAGAGGCCGGAGCTCCCAGGCTGACGCCACCAACAAAGACGATTGCCTCAAGGCCTTCACGGAGAATGGTGATGAAGGGGAGCAGAAACATGGCATACTTCTCGGCCCAAGCCTTGAAACGACTGCCCAATTTGCCATTGCGATTGTCCTTGGCTTCGAGTGCTTTGGCCAACTTGACGCGCCATTTCGCCTGCATCTTGGAGATACGCAGCAAGGCGGCTCCCATCAAGGCGATAATGAGTGATGCAAGTATTCCAAACACACCTTCCCAAATGTATTCGGCTTTTCCCCATTCATCCTTTCCAATGCCATAGAAAGCACCAATCAGGCCACAGCCCACGATAAGACAAATAATGAAACCGACAATTGTTCCCCACCAAACCTGTGTCACCAGAAGTCAGTAAATGGCTTGTGGCGATCGATGCTAATCCATACTTGATTGCGCAGTTTCTTATAGACTGTTTTGTCTCGATCCGGGCCTAGCTGCTGCTTCAGGAACGAAAGCAACACCGAGACGATAATACTTGTCTCCAATGTTTCTCTGAAGACGATGAAAAACACCGGTACGGCGAAGACGTTGACCATTGTGACTATGGGCAAATGCCGACAAGTTCAATAACAGTGGAGTGGAATATCTGTACTTCGCCTGGTCAATTTACAGAACGTATGTATGCGTGCGAAGGGGTTGACCAAAGGCGGGAAAAGTGCCTCCAGGACTGGTAGAGGAGGGCGAGGGTGGGCAAGTTTTGGATCAGATAAGATATTATAAGATGGCAACCAGGCTTAAAACAGGTGAGATTGATTTCTAGGTGGGTCTTTGAACCTCCTCGTAAGGAACTCCTACTCGCGCGCGACAAGTCTGGAATACTGAGTCGAACAAGCGAGGACAAGGAGAAGCCGAAATACCTCAAATTGTCTAAAAACAACCCATATGCTAACAGAATGGAACCTGCAAAACTGTGTCAGTCCACCGCCGATGTCGCTCTGGCTGAACACGAGTCCCGCGTCGGGACCATGATCAGACTGGACTACTCAAAAAGGCTACTTCCTCAAGTCACAAGTGAATGGCAGGATCCATCATGCACTTACTAGCGAGCTTCCCATTTGCAAAGATAAGTTTCGCGTTTGAAGCTAGAATGATACCCTGTCGGTGGTCCGGTTGCCCAGTGGTCTGCACGAGCACCAGCTTCCCACGATCTGCGTCTCAGAAAAATGTACATGCCACGGCTCGGTATGCTGACCACCACACCACGAGCATCGATAAAGAGGTTTTATTCTGATCCCCGAAAGGACAATCCTGGGGGGATCATCAGTCACAGTATGCACTACATTCCCACCACGATTAGATTCTCCACCTGCCCAAAGTCCTCATGGTTTCTTGGACCCTTCTTCCAGACTTCATTTACTCGTACGAGTAGGTCGAAGTTGTCCAGCTCTTTGGGAGTGCCCCGCTGTTCTTCACTTGGCCGCTACTTGGTAAATGCTTAGTCCTCGCTTCGGCGCTCTTCCAAGAAAGCTTGGACGCAGAACTCTAACAGCTTGGCCTTCAGCCGGAGGAGTCCTGCACGAAGCCCTGCATCGTGGAAGGAGCTTGCAAGAGGAGCTGCAGCGATCATCCATGAAGTTCACAATTCTGCAAGACTAAAGAGGACAATTTCTTCGGATGATGGACAGGCGCGGGATGAAAGATGTCCCTTTGAATCTGACAAGATTTTATCAGATAACGAGAATATGACCGGTGGGGTGCCCGCATTCGCTAAAATTCCGCTGATTGGGCCTAGAGGGTCTAGATTAGATCAGATGTTTGGGCGAAAATTTCTATCTGATCCCCAACATCACACCACTGGCTGGGTGGCTGGATCACCTCGTTTGGATCCCCGAACTACATGGTCGATTTCAAGCCACAGGCAATCTTCTCACTTCCCAAGTTCTCACGGATATGCGGCTTGTGACGAGGAGGCAGGAGCTGCGGCCCAGCCTGTTGTCCTCAGAACGCAAAAATCACGCTTTAGCCAAGCTGTTTAGCTATAGTCTTGACGGTACCAATGATCCCACTCCAAGGCCCATCTTTACCACAAGGTTGGTTTACCGAATCCTTGCACCAGACGCACATCCCTCATGTCACAAACATCAATTGGTTACGCCGCCCGCTCCTGCCGTACAAGCCACTTTGTTTCCCCACCAAAAGCATGCCGCGGTATGTTCCATCATCTGAATGCTGCCGAAAGAAGTGCCCAACCCTTCGCGTGATTGCATCCTTTCCCACACCTTTCTCGTGATCAAGGCCCAACTCACATGACAATCTAATCTAATCGTCAGACGCTTGCAGGTTGCTCCACACCGGAGCAGTATCGGACCTGAGGTCGAGCAGACTGACTACACCATACAGCCCGAACGAGAGACAAATTAATTCTGGACAACAACGAAGCCAGGAAAAGTTCGCTTCGCTGGCTCCGCCTCCTTGATCTTATCTGATCACCGTCATCATCATTCTTTTGTTGTCTCCTCTCTTCAAGTCCATCGGGTACATTGTATTGCTGAGTATTCCTTTCAACTGAGAAGGAAACACCACAATGGCGCTTTCCCTCTCAAATTTTCTTGTCTCAAGTATTATACTCTTGACAGCATTTGTCGCAGCAGAGACACATACCTACGACTTTTCCATCGGTTGGGTCATCAGAAATCCTGATGGCCAGAAAGATCGACCCGTCATTGGCATCAACGGCGAATGGCCAATTCCCAAGATTGATGTGACCATCGGTGACCGCCTGATAGTAAACGTGAAGAACGACCTTGGAAACGAATCGACTTCGCTCCATTGGCATGGATTATATCAGAATGGTACAAATCACATGGACGGCGTCGCACAAGGCACGCAGTGTCAGATTGCACCCGGTGCTTCTTTCACCTACAGCTTCACGGTAGACTTGACACAAGCCTTAAGCCATCCTCTTCTGACCAGTGCAGGTCGATCAACCGGGAACTTATTGGTACCACTCGCATGTTGGTGGTCAGTATCCAGATGGACTCCGAGGGCCCCTGATTGTCCACGACCCGGAAAACCCTTACGCAGACCTCATTGACGAGGAATTGATCGTGACCCTGTCCGATTGGTATCATGAGCAGATGCCACCTCTGATCGCCAAGTTTTTGAGTGTTTCTAATCCAACTGGTGCGGAGCCAGGTAAGTCAGCTCCCAATAAATCGTCTAGTTAGTGCATTGACTTACTTTGATAGTTCCTCAATCTGCGCTTATGAATGATACCCAAGGCCTTCAAATTCCAGTCGAGCCTAACAAGACATATTTCCTCCGCATCGTTAACATGGCTGCCTTTGCTGCACAGTACTTCTGGATCGATGGACATACTTTCCGCATCATTGAAGTGGATGGTGTGTACCATGAACCCACTGAAGCCAGTCTGCTCTACATCACAGCTGCACAACGCTATGGTGTCCTGCTGACTACCAAGAATGAGACCGACGCCAACTTCGCCATCATGGGTTCCATGGATCAGGATCTGTTTGATCAAATCCCTGATGGTCTCAATCCAAATGTAACGTCTTATTTGGTCTACGATGCATCACTGCCAATGCCCGAGCCGTCTGAAATTGAAGAATTTGACCCATTCGACGATATGGAGCTTGTTCCTACGGATGGCGAGGAGCTATACACTGATCCGTCTCTTATTGTCCAACTAGATGTGTTGATGGATAACTTGGGTGATGGTGCCGTACGTATTTCGGTTCGCGATGTGTGCCCAAGCTTAACCAACTAACCATCTCCATAGAATTATGCATTCTTCAGTGGCATCACTTACGTTGCCCCCAAAGTCCCCTCACTCTACACCGCACTCACAGCAGGCGAGTTCGCCACCAATGCCAGCGTCTACGGTACCAACACCCACTCATTCGTGCTGGAGCACAACAGTGTCGTCGAAATCGTCTTGAACAACCAAGATCCTGGTAAGCATCCATTCCATCTGCACGGTCACGCCTTCCAGACCATTCTCCGTGGTGAGGAAGAGTCCGGCGACTTTGATCCCGAGTCCGTCACCAATGGATCTGTGGTGTATCCAACCAAGCCCATGCGACGAGACGTCATTCTTGTCCGTCCCAACGGCCACCTCGTCATGCGATTCAGAGCCGACAATCCTGGTGTCTGGCTCTTCCATTGCCATATTGAGTGGCATGTTGATTCCGGGTTGATTATGCAATTCGTCGAGGTGCGTTTCTCTTCGCTCTTATACACTCCCCCCCCTCCAATGAACCCAAGACTAACCCACCCTCTTCACAACGCCAGGCCCCGCTCGTCCTGCAAGAAACCCTCACGATTCCCGAAGACCACTTCGCCGCTTGCGCCGCCGTCTCCCCACCGGTACCCACCATCGGCAACGCCGCCGCCAACACAAAGGACTACCTGGACCTGACGGGCCAGAACCTCCCGCACGCCCCGCTCCCCTCAGGTTTCACGGCGAGAGGTATCGTCGCCCTGGTCTTCAGCATTATCGCCGGCCTGGTCGGCGTCGCCGTCATTGCCTGGTACGGCATGGGTGAGATGAGCCAGCTCGAGAAGGAAAAGCAGGTCGACCATGTCCAGCACGTTGCGGCTGATCGCGGCGTCGTTAGTCGGACGAATACAGCTGCTGAGGGGGATGTCGCAGGCGGTGGAGATGTTATTAGCGAAGCCCGTGCAAAATAATTAGGTGGTGTTCTAGCCTTGCGGTGCTGTATTTGTCGTGGCTTTGTGGGAAGCAGATGTGAGGCTTCACGTCAAGCGAGGCTTGTGCGGTGGTGATATGCCTTGATATGTGATGATATGATATGATGCAGGGAAGGTCGGGCGACTCTCCACGCCCGGCAGCAGCGCCTGGCTTTTGAGCGGTCAGTTAGGGGTTCGAGCTACTTTTACTGCGCATGCAACACTATACCACCGGCTTCACGATCTAGATACCTCTATCTATTTCCTGACTCTGGATTAATTCTGCCATATCTATCCAACCAATAACGATGCCAAATATCATTTTTTGACTTCGGAACATGTTTTGTTTGGCACCCTCGCAGTGTGTAAACTCGGGCGGGCTGGCGATGTGCGATGTGCGATGTGCGATGTGCGATGTGCGGTGTGCGTTGTTCAGCAGGCGGAAGGCGCAACGCCCCGGCAAACTGGTTGGAGCCGGTCGGGTCGAGTTGAGGTTCGACTGAGTTTCTATTTCAACGTAGAGCTGTTCGGAGTGTTGCACGTCCATGGCGGTGCTTGTTGGCAGTGGGATTGAGCCTTTGGGGTATATACTCATACAGTGCATATCTACCGTGGTCCGCGGGTGGATCCCATTAGGAGTGTTAAAGGAAATATGTCAGTAAGTGACGTGAGGTCTATTGAGATTAGATGAGATACATCGTATGGAGTACGTACTGTAGTTCGCTGGCGAGCTAAGATGATGCGATATGATGCGATATGATACGATATGATACGATATGATACGATATGATACGATATGATACGATATGATACGATATGATATGATATAATGTGATATGATATGATCGGCGGCTCGAGACCTGATTGTAATGGCTTGAGCTGGCTGCACTAGGTGTGAACACGAGGACGGGAGGGAAGCTCTGCAGCTGTGGAGGTCTATGTGTATGTGTTCATCTAGACATAGATGTATATAGGTATATATATCGGTCCCCTCGATGGCTCTAAAATCCTGCAAAGTCTGTGTGCATCATATAGTGCTCTGAGATTGCTGGCACCGGAGTAGTGGATCTGGCAGTTCCTGGGCTTCCTCTCGCGCAACACCCTCACCAGCGACCACTCTTGAAGCGGAAGCGGCTCATCCACCTCCTCTCGTCCGCCTGGCGCTCGAGCGCCTGCCTCATGGCCTTGGAATACTCCTCCTCTTGCTCTTTGAGTCGCAACTCGTCGCCGTTCAAGCCCTCGCTCTCCATCTCCTGCACCATCTCCAGATGATCCGCGCGCTGGGTCTTGGTCGTCACGATGCCGACCCGCTCGCCTGTCCAGATCAATAAGTCGCCGTCGCCTCGCGTCCCGAACTCGGAGTCTGGAGTCGCCAGCGCAATGATCTTGCGCGCGACTTGATCCCCGGAGATGGCGGCGATATTTGATGCCGGCGTCGTCAGGTCGAAGTCGTTGATGTTCCATTTTCGCACAAGGCTGCGGCCGTCTCTCTCCACCCATTTCAGCCCGCCTTCACTGTCTGAGTACACTATTTTCGTGCCGTGCGTGGCGACAGACAGGAGCTTGGAGCGCGCGGCGTCCTGCCGGTTTTTGTAGCTGAAGAGCTCTTCGGCGTCGCCGTCGCCGTCGTTGGTGTTCGGGCTGCTTTTGGTGTGCGGGAGCGAGTAGAGTTCCAGAGAGCCACGGCCTCGGTATTCGCCGCACGCGATGAGGGTGGAGGTGTTTGAGAGGCCCGCGGAGGAGCCCGCGGGTGGGTGCGGTATGGATGCTAGTCCTGAGAGGCTTGCAGATGAGTGGATGACGTATTGCAGACGTGGGAAGTAGCGGCGGTCGAAGGACAAGATCGTTGGGAATCGGCCTCCTGTCAGGATCTCGTGTTCGCCGTGGTGGAGAATTGACAACGGACCTGGTTCTACACGTGCGTAGGCCATCCAGTGCGGGTTTTGGAGGCGGTGCGAGGGCTTCCAACTTGGTGAGCCCGGTGCCCAGATGCGAGGTCCGGGATTAGCTGCAAACGGTGTTGTTATGCCGAACTCGGCGGGTAAGAGGGCAGAATTCTTCGTCAGATCGGGTAAGAGAGCTGTCGAGGCCCCGGCTGTTGCTGATATCTCTTCAATATGGTCGTTTGGTTCATGGTCAAGTGGCTTGACAGGCGCCCGTGGATCTAAAATATGTAGACTCCACTGGGTACCAACTGTAAGTGGAAGATCCAGATCATTGCCTTGTGACAGCGCTGTTATCGGCCATGCATATTTAGAGCGTGAGATGACCTGTAGGGTGTTAAGATCCACCTCATTCAAGACATCGCCTACCGCAATAAATGATTTCTGCTGTGCAGTGAACGAGCTGACCGAGTCAACCACGAATGACGCAGATAGATCTTCAGAATAGGTTGACAGGAGGGCAGGTCTACTTCTCCCAAGCTCTCGAAAACATCTTCTTCCGTTGGATTCTTCGCTCAGATCCCAGATTCGCAGACTGTGATCCTCGAGGTGGCCAACAAGCTTGGAAGAATGATCAAGAGTTGAAATACCCCTTATCTCCTCGTGGGCACCGTGGCCACTAGTTAGCCACTCCGTGCTCAACGGTGCATGTCGTGATTTGTATTCCGAGTACCAATCGACGTATTCATTTGGGGACGAAAGATCCCATTTGTTGGTTGCTTGAGCTCTTCGGGTTGCGTGGGTCGGTAGTTGCCCATTGGTGTCGGTTCCTCTCAAGGCGGTAGCTTCGCTGTTCAACGGGATGATTCGTGATTCTGCGACCCAAGAGTTCCAGATATCCTTTTGTCGTCTCATAAATGCACTGGGAGACTTCTCAAAGCATTTATTTCGCCAGAGTGTGTTTGCACGTGCAGACTTGGAAAGAGATGTACATGTTTGCTGAGTGGAAAGCAAGTCCTCAACTTCAAGGCAGTCAAGAATGTCTACCAAGATCTCCTGTGGTAGTTCGTCCATGTCCAAAAGTGTAGCTGGACTGTGCTTTCGCTGGTTCACGGTCAAGGCCAGAAATGATTACGCCTGGAACCGGTGTCTTAAGTAAGATCAAAATGACATCAACGACCAACTCCTCACTTTCGATTGTAAACCGCTCAGTCCGGGGAATTCATATGAAGATGAGCCAGATCAAACACGTAGTATTTGGGCGTGCTACTATAGCCCCACGAACTTACTTGACGCTGATAAACACGGAGCATATCATAAGGCTGTCTCAATGTAGCAGCAGGCTAGGTGACACGATATACGTAGGAAATGCATCGAATTCCGTAGATCCCCGGCCTTCGAATCCCCTAAACCGAAGTACGGAGGAGTATTGATGAAAAGAATGACTTTCTCGGCATTTTTGTTTCTCCGGATTTTGGTATCAAAATTGCCAAGACTATGACGAATGGCGTGCAGAACTCTCACGTTTGCGCCAGTCGTGATCTAACTGGCTTGTTGGCTTCAACCACTGCCTGCGACTCCGAGTAAAGAGTTTACGACTGAAGCACTAACACCACCAGTTACACCTTCCAGTGAAGTACGTTCTTACCCTCGCGTTCAGTCCCTTCTGGTGGAAGCCACCGCCAACAGCCATGGCTCCGAGTTCGACTGCGAGAAGAGGTCCGAGTGTTCTGGTGAGTTGGTTATGCAGATACAACCAATGCCTTTCACCATGTATGACTACCTTGCTAATATCGAGCTTGATCAGGTGCCTGAAACCCGCGATACAAGACCACCTCCAAAGCGTCAAGCTTCGCGGCTCATCACAGTTGATAGCGTTCTTCAGTATGCATCCGATATTCCATCTATGCAGAAAAGACAACCGCAGAGACCGCGAGCTTTCAGGACGGGCTCTGGTAAACCTGTTGACCCTCGACTGACTGGCCGATTCGCTGCTCCTCACATTCCCTCTCGATCGACCAAGACTTCGGAAAAGTTGGTTCTCCTACCAGAGTCCGTGGAAGAGGAAGACGAGAAAGGCGATTTTGGTCCTGAGGGCGACACCGGTCCTCCGAAAGACGACGAAAACTTCAGAAAACTTGGAAGTGATGGAGTCAAGAGTTATGCTGAGAGATTGCCCAAGTCTCGGAGGACAGAGAAAGAACTTCCTAGAGTGACAGCATACTGCACAGCGCAGGCTTACAAATTGGCCAATGTGGGAGCTTTTGTTCGTCAACGACACGGTGCTCGAGCTAAGTTGTACGATGATTGTCTATACTGTGCATATCATCTACCTTTGTTACCAGGATCGGAGGGCTATAGGGTTCGAAGTAGCCCTCCAGTCAAGAGCGCCAAGGGTGGGACTGTACTTGATGAGGTTATAGAACGGAGCGAGCAGCGCAATTATCGTCAACCCTATTACGCCGAAGAAGAAGAACAACATTCTGTGGTAGGCCATTATACCCCAGAAGAACAACCCATTGAGACGAATTCCGATGAGCAAAACGTTGAACCACCACGGATTAATGGCCATCGACGCGATAGCAACAATTCACTAAGGTCCAACAGTCCGTCTGCCCCAGCCCCATTTGATTCATATCGGTTTGCAGAAATGTATGTTTTCGGCTACGGAGTGGTTGTGTTCTGGAATTTCAGCGAACGACAGGAGAAAGATGTCTTGGCCGATTTTGCATTTGCAACTCTGGTTGACCCCGACACGAACATCGCTATGCCGACTATTCTGACGACAAACTCATTGGAGGAGGAGGACTTTGAGACTGAAGAGTTTCACTTTGAGTACAACAATGATATTGCGCGGCCACGAGTCTACAATGACATGATCACGCTACGAAATGGGGACCACATGATCAAACTAGCCATCAGCCATGCCATTGCACAAAGTACCAAATTGAGCTTCTTCGAGGAAGCTATGGCTGCGCAAATGGAAGCAGCCAAAGATGTTCCGGGACGACTGGCCAAGACGGGTGAGTTGGGCATGAAGCGAGAAGAGGTCATTAAACTACTTGGAGGACTCTTTAAAAGTCGAGTCGATGTGAATTTGTGTAAGTACTCGTGCAATGAATCCAAACACGACCACTGGAGGCTGGTCCGCTAACGAAATTATTATAGCATCCAACGTGCTCGATGTGCCGAACTTGATCTGGGATAGTGAACCGACCCTGCATCCACTATACACGGCGGTACGGGAGTATCTTGAAATCAAGCCTCGCATCCAGGTGCTCAACGAACGATGCCGGGTGTTCCTCGATCTGGCCGAAGTATTATCAGACTACATTTCTGATAACAAAATGTCTAGGATTACTTGGATTATCATAGTGCTTATTGGCATCTCGATCCTGGTCACTTGCTCGGAAGTGTTCCTACGTTTTGGGATCCTGACCACACGAGGAGGACCTAAGCTACCTCAGACGATACAGGGGTTGAGCATGAGTAGCGAGCTGTAAGGACCGCGACTAGGCGACCAGGAATCTTGTAATATTTTCATACTACGGATAGCGAGGCGTTGGGGAAAAGCGACTCTGCTATCAATGTTGACAATTAATTAATCAATGATGGTGCATTTGAGTTTCTTCTGCTTACTCGGGAAGGCCTGATGACCCAAACGTTCTATGCATGCTTCGATGCAGTAATAGTAGGAAGGCGGGCATTCTCCAGGTTCATGAGATTGAAGCCGAGGTGTTTGATCAAGTTGCGACCTGGAGAGGATAGTGGCGACGTCCATGATTGGTAGTGGTCGTTGAGATGAAGCTCGAGTGGACTGTTTTACGAGCAAGAGGAAGGATCGTGGCACACGGCTAGCGGGAATCTAAAGAACAGTGGAGTTGACGGAGGCGACCGAAGTGCGACATGGATATCAAAGGAGAAAGATAGCGATTGAAGGTCAAGACGATGCATGATTCGATGATAGACATGATAGACGAGAGGGGAACGCTGACAATCATTTTAGTTAAGTAAAGCCCAGCATCGGGGTTGCATTGACGGAGCGCGCGATGGGGCCAGGGGGGGTAGCCTCGGGCGCTCGTGACACTGTGGAGGCGCCTAGAGGCTCCTCGAGGTCAACTGGAAGTCAACTGGAAGTCAACTGGAGACCTTCTGGGCATCCAGGGCCAAGGAGGGCAGCTTATCTCCAACCCTAATCTTGGCGGCCTTGTCGAGCTTCCTTGTCGAGCATGAGTTGCCAGACGCCAGGCGGGAAGTCCATCCAGCGTTGCATCTTGTCCCCGACCCAGTGGCGCTGTCTATCCGCATCCATGTTGGTTGCGTTCTCTGAAAGCTGGACAGCCGTCCAATGACTTGCTCGACAATCACGACGCGATTAGGCTGATCGACGTGGAGTGAAAGTCTTGACATGGGTGTGCGACGAATGATACCGCACAATGCACGTCAATGGCTGGTCCACACTCTGATTTTCCCACTACTCCGTAGGTTCATCTCACTTTCTCTCTGGCATTTTTGGAATCTTGAATCTCCACGCGACGACCAGTGTGGAAAGACAAACGTCCCCCTCCCACTTGAAGCGAATACTTGCATCTGCACTTGCCTTGCAGGGTCGGTCGAGCCCTTTGCTCGGAGCTACATCCTGTTTGGCGAATTTCCACTGATAACCAGTTCGCCCGTTGATGCTCGGGAGCCGGGGTGTGAGGGTACGAGTGTTATTATAAAGTAATATTCTCTCGTGCCTCTCCACAATGTCTCCATGGTTGATCACTTTTGTCGCTTTTGTTCCTGTTGCTCTCATTGCCTTGTCCTTCCTTCGCTCCACACTCTTGTCAAAGTACCTTGACGAGAAGCACGAGAAGAGACAATAGACAACTATGGCCTCTCCCAATCAAGAGGACATTGGTCCCAAAGACATTCCCAATAAGGATGTCGCCGTCGAGCCCTCCCACCCCATTGACGGCCACGGAGAGACTGGTGAACGCAGACGCACTCATCATGACATCCCAGACCATGGCCACAACCCTTCCATGCAGAGGGATGTAGACCCAAACCCGGACCTGGCTCTTCACTACTCCCACGAGCATCAGCACAAGCACTTACATCACAATCGCGCTTCTCTCGCAGGCCGACATGACGAGGTGCTTTACTCGGAAGGCACTACCTACGACAAAGCTCACATTGATCCAAAAGGTCCCCAAGACTATGTGACCCATAACCTTCGTGACCCTCACAATGAGAAGACCGAATTTCACGGTGACGCCGAAAAGGGTGCTCTCTCCGAGCCACTGAGGATGGGCTCCAACAACTCTGAAGACGACGGACAGAAGCATCGCGCGTCGAGGAATTACTCCAAGTACAAGATCTTCGTGCATTTGTTCATCTGGCTCCTGTTCACCGGGTAAGTCTCATATTTGAAATTTATCCTGGGAGTTGAATCGCTAATCACTTTCTAGCTGGTGGATCGCTGGTCTTGTTATGCATCGACACGACTTGGGATGGCTGATTCCATTCCTACTGTACCTTGCCATTACCCTGAGACTTATCTTCCTCTGGATACCCATTACGATTGTCACGAAACCTATGCATTTTGTATGGAACAACTCGGTCGTGAAAGGAGTTCAATTTATCCCAGAGAAATTCCGCATTTGGTTGGCCGCTGCTGGCGCACTCGCCGTCATTCTTCTTGGTGCCTTCGTCTCTGAAGAGTCTGCGGACAACACTCGAGGAAATCGTGCTATCTCCCTCCTCGGCTTGGCTGTATTGCTTGCAGTTCTCTATGTTACATCCCGAGATCGCCGCAGAATTCGCTGGCACACCGTTATTGGTGGCATGTTGACACAATTCGTAATTGCTGTCTTTGTGCTTCGAACCAAAGCCGGATACGATATCTTCAACTTCATCTCCTTCTTGGCCCGCTCTCTCCTGGGATTTGCCGATAGAGGTACTTCGTTCTTGACTGCGGATTCCGTCACTCAGTTGCACTGGTTTTTGACTGGTGTTGTACCTCCTATTATCTTCTTCGTGGCCCTGGTCCAAGTCTTGTACTACATCGGGCTTATCCAGTGGTTCGTTGGAAAATTCGCCGTCTTCTTCTTCTGGAGTTTGCGAGTCTCTGGTGCAGAAGCTGTCGTGGCTGCTGCATCCCCCTTCATCGGACAAGGTGAATCTGCTATGCTGATTCGACCTTTCGTGGCTCATTTGACTTTGGCTGAAATTCACCAAGTCATGTGCTCTGGCTTCGCCACTATTGCTGGGTCTGTCTTGGTTGCATATATCGGTCTTGGTCTCAACCCTCAAGCCTTGGTATCTTCCTGCATCATGTCTATTCCCGCCTCGTTAGCTGTCTCCAAGATGAGATACCCCGAGACCGAGGAAACAATCACTTCCGGACGCGTCGTTATTCCCGACGACGACGAGCACCGCGCAACCAATGCCCTCCACGCTTTTGCAAATGGCGCTTGGCTTGGTATCAAGATCGCTGGTATGATTGTGGCAACACTTCTCTGCATTATTGCGTTGATCGCTCTTATCAATGGTCTTCTTGGCTGGTGGGGAAGGTAAGATTCGCCTAAAACTTCTCAAAGTGGAAAATAATACTGACGATCATGATTAGATATATCAACATCACCCAAGATGGCAAGCCATATCTCACACTTGAGCTCATCCTTGGATACATCTGCTATCCAGTCGCATTCCTACTTGGCGTTCCAAGAGATGATCTACTTCGTGTCGGTCAGCTCATTGGTGTCAAAGTCATTGCCAATGAGTTTGTTGCGTACAACTCACTCACCACCGAGGCCCAGTATATCAACATGAGCCCACGCTCCAAACTCATCGCCACATATGCACTATGCGGTAAGTCTACACTTCTCAGTACCCTGCCATCAAAGCACATGCTGATTTCTGTTCTCGTTTAGGTTTCGGTAACCTTGGATCCCTCGGTACCCAAATCGGTGTGCTGTCTCAAATTGCACCATCACGATCTGGTGACGTCTCTCGCGTTGCTCTATCCGCTCTATTCTCTGGTGTTCTCGCCACCCTCACATCTGCTTCTATCGCCGGCATGTTGGTCACTGACCAGATCACTCTTGCCCAAGAGACAAGCTAGATACTTATCTCACACCGAGTCCACCACTTTCAACATTCGTTGATTTAATACCTATACCCAGTAGAGCAAAAGCAATAATGGCGAGGACGAGAGAGATCAGGGAGACTATGAAAACCATCACGATACCAAAATGCGCCCTGTTTGGAGTGTCTGCGCTTTCGCGCGACTAACTCATCATGTTTTGATATCCCGGCGCCCAACCAACCCTCTTCATGTGTCCCGATTCTCTCGCAAACCTATGTTTGGAGTGTCCACTTTACTTCCGTGGAATAACTCGAAAAGAAAGATTGTTACCCTTACGATTTATAGCTCTATATATGATACGAACTCGAAAGTGGAGAGATCTCAGCCTCTTCATTTTCTATGATATGTGAAATACGAGAGTCTTACACAACATCTTCTTTGAATTATCCTGCTTCTCTGTCAACTCCTTTCTCATTCCCAAATCCTTTAATATTTCATGTCGCTTCTAAGGCGTTAGTCCCGCTCCTGGTCCATTTACCCTGCAACCTAAGTGAATGATGGGCCTCAGGCTGCAAGTAATACATACGCCTTGTAAACCCTGTGTGGGCCCTCTGCCCGAACCCCCTATGCTGCCCACGATCAACACGGTGAACGCCAAGGAATGACAGGAGCTCTGGAAGTCAGATACATTCAACATCAGTCCCGCTGTGGACTGGACCATCATCGATTAATAAGACAGGATTCCATGTTGGACTTGGAGAGAACGAGATGGCAATGCGGACGCCCCCAAAGGGACAATATTCGTTTACATGACCATGCTATTGTGGGACGCAGTTCGCATCGGATAGTTAATATTTCAACAGCCGCCCGTAGGTTTCACTTGACACGACTTTATTCATAGCTTCGGTCATTTTGTTGTCTTTAGTAAAATCACCTTAAACGTTTCGCGCCTTCGGTCCAAATGAAGGAATACTTCTCTTGCGCATGAAGGCTGAACCTGTCTACGGTCGTACAGTGCAAGATGCACAGGAATGGAGGCATAAGACTGCAGACCGTGCATGCACCAGAGAAAGTCTGAGAGCAATCAGCCGTGTTAAGGAAAACTGCCGCCTGCTAAACACGATGTGCTATCTTTTAGATATTTGTTTCACAGCCTTGCGACCAAGTGCCCACTCTGCTCCACTCTCCGTTCATTCTTCGCCGACTCACCCCTCTGCACCTCATCCACATCACGCCAATTGCTCGAAAATAACTCCGGGCCCAGCCAGCGTTCTCTTCTGCACCTTGCCGGCCCTTCCTTTCTACAGCTCCCAATGTCGGCAATTTATAGCTCGCAAGCTCCTTGCGGAGATCCTGCCTCGGCGTGTGCAACCGCAGGTCATTCGCAGGAATGCCGGAGTTTGGCTTCAGCGCGACGATGACACCAACGCGCCGTACCCAGGGAGAAGCACAGCAGCAATATTAGGACGAGTTGAACAGCGACCGGGTACTTGATGATAACTCCACTCAGGAGGGATTCCTTAATCTAGAGGATTCTCTGATCGAAGAAGGTCCTACAATGGAATCACGCTTGGGTAGTATGGCTCATAGCCGCTGGAAATCCGTTTTGGCCAACAAATCAAAATATTAAATTATATCGATGCTTGCACAAGTTCGCCCGAGACTTTGGTCAATCACTCCCATCCGGATCATGAAAAGCTGCTTGTGAACTTGTAAATTGCTTTTGCGTCTCGTGATTGCTTTGATATCTTTGCTATGCATAATCCTTGCACAAATTTTTCCATGGCTATGATAGACATGGAAGAAAAAAGAATAATAATAACAAGAATGATGCGTGCGATAGAATACATTCCCTCGTTTCCATCGTCAGTCAAGTATCGGTGAGTCGATTTCCATCATCATCGTCCATCATCATGCAATCACATTGTCATACTGGTAGCAGAACGGACCTCCCGTTGTGCTTATCAGCTCTTTCAACTGGATCGGATTAAGCTGGAAGTATCCCCAATCCGGAAGCACAGACTCGAGAGTGACAACAGCACTTGGAGGAGTGTTCAATGCTGTACCCGTCTCACCGTTCATTTGCTGGGCGCGATCAGGATAATTGAGTTGCCAGCTGGTGTAGACCTTATCAATCATAGTATGCAGCGGATACCAGATGGGGTCTTGGGCCGAGACGTGGATGCTATTCATCTGGCCACCAATGCTGAAGTGTGCACCTGAATGAATTCCCAGACTGCTACTGCCGATAACCCCGTTCAGGAGGTACTCGAAGTGTGAGGCATTGTCTGCATGCGCTGCAGCAACTAGTTGAGCGCTATTAGTGTAGGTCTGCGAGACATAGGCGTTCAAGTCGCGCATGAGGCAAACTGGATTGTATGCATATGCGTCAGCGGGTAAAACACCCGTTTGGAGTTGTTTGGGGTCGATGAATTTGAGAGGAGCAATCATATTGGCAAATGGGCCACTGGTAACGCAACCACCACCGGAACCATGTGGAATGACCAGTTCAGCTCCAAGTTGAATTGGTCCAGTGTCGACAAATAGACCATCTCCAGACATAGAATACTCAGAGCCATCAAAGATCGGGAAATTGTGTGGATTGGAAGCTGTCGCAGCGAAATCCCAATATGGGAATCTACCACTGTAGCCACAAGTATGACGAAGGTCGGTCTCGTAGAGCCAAAGGAAGTAGCGATGCCACGTAGAGAAGAATCCACTAAGGTGTACTTGTTGCGTTCTGCCAACATGGATGACAGCATAGTCCATGTAACGACTGGTAGCAGCGGGATATTGCGAGGGATCAAGCTGCGAAGGTTGGGCCATTAGACATTTGACGGCATCGGTATACAATTTGCGTTCCCATGGCGCCATACTGTTATAGTCGACACGGATGCGAGTCTTGCTCGCAGTACAGGCCTCATATTCCCAGTCTGCCCATGGGTTCGCATTCGAAGTACGAAGGTTTCTCCATGGTGCTGCGGACACTATGGAGGATGAAAGGAGGGCGACAGCAGCAACAAACGTCGGTAGCGATTGAAGCATGATTAGCTAAAGATTCAGGCTGAGAGAGTGTGATTTTTGTAGTGTTGATACAATTTATGGCGATCTCACAGAGCATGCGCGCCGCAAAGAGTGCCGTGTTTGGAAGCGAGTGTGAAAAAGAGTCCAAAGCAGTAGAATATAACCTTCAGCCAAAGCCCGCTCAGCTGAAGCGGCCACTACGGACTTTAAATACGAGACGATTCATGGCAGAGGTTGAGGAGTTGATGCTAGAGAGAAAACTTTACCCGTTTAGAAGTCGGTTCAGCCGTCTGTACGAGTGACCGACCGTGCGCTGGACATTTCAGAAGAATACATTGGTGGGAGGCGTGTGGCTTGCAGAATGCAGCACACGGGAAGGTTGGAGGGGTGCAGATGAGCAGGACTATATTCTAATTTAGGCGGCGGGAAGGTGGTTAGGTTTAGGCTGTGTCTGTGGGAGCACAGTGTCTGGCTAGCTGGGATCAGGCGGACTTCTGCTTGGGGTGCACTAATTCTTTGTAGGCTTAGGCCAGATGAGCTTAACTCTTCGTCAACACGAGCTTGGTGAGGCTTGGTCGCTCTTTACTGGGGGGATTTGGGTTTGGTCAAGGTCGATGACCCTGTCACCATGATGCCAATGTCGTCTAGGCTCTATCGACTTTTCATTCTGGGGTGGAGGAGACAGTGTCCCACCCAAACTTGACTCGTGTGCGCGATAGGATCCTAGATCCGGATCCCAGTTTCACACGGACTCACATGCCATCGTGTTCGACGTGTCGCGCAAATCTTGCTACGCGGCCGAATCTACGAGTGTTGGTCTTGAGCTTCATCAGCTTTTTGGGAGTCTGTTGATATTTACAGGAGAACGGCTCTGTCGGTAAGCGCGTGTTGACATTCAATGATCTATGACGCAGAAATGAATCCGATTTTCGGCCATTTCAATTTCTTTCGCTGAGATGGCTGTCAAGTTGACCGCGGTTATCGCCAAGCAAAGGCTGTACAACTTTACCTTGAGAACCATTGAACAGAAATGAAAAATCAAGATTCTATCCAAGCAAGTCCAGCACCCGGTGCGGCTACCACGTGATGCTCGACAATCTTATGGATTGCTGAAGAACATGAGCAATCTGCCCATGAAGTTAGCCATTAAAATCATCCACGTCACACAGCTGCGCAACTAACTGAGGGATGGAGCTTCTGCATGGCTCTGGGGTTATACACCAGCCTGATCTCGAATTGTGGATATGATCTGTAACTCCCAATGGTCAATGTATCCATGATGGGACCCTGGAGGAGCAATCATAGCTCCCTGGTGTCAATAGTTGCATTGCACTTCTGGGTGCGCCGATAAGACTTCGCAATGCCTATGATCATGTTACACTTTGGCCATTATTTCGCACCAGGTGAGATGGAATTAAACTGGCTGAAACCGAGATTCCATCCTTGGTAGCCTTGATCAAAATACATGAGTAGTTGACGAGCAGGGTGTTTCGCAGATCACCTTCTGGCCTCCACCATGCGGAATAATGGGAGCAACGACAGTTTTCTAGGAGACAATCACGATTATTGTTACGCATATTTCCGGAGACCTGTCGTGTCACCGAAAATTAGTTGCCGGACCAGCAGATCAGTCATTGTCGAGATATCATCAGGTTGGACAACAACGTGCTTACAGCATTGGAAACATCCTTCGTGTAACTCGGATAGGGGAGCTCTTCGGATCACTTGTAATGCAAGGCTGGACACGACAGGGGTTTGCAGCTTGCTCTTCCTTCACCTGTCAGGCCAGTTGTGAGCGCAATGAAACTGGGATATGGTCCTCGACTACCTGATCTCTCTATCAATTCTGATTTATGAGAAGATGGTACAGATCTCGTCGAGACGGCACGCTACCACATACTGATGGAGGTCTAGAAAATTGTTCGCGAGGCAAGGTGCAGAGGCACTCCTCCCCTTGGTACGCAGTATAAAACAAGCCAGAAATATCTCTCGGACAGATGAAGAGGATGTCAGATGAATTCCAGCCGCCAATCTTCCTCAGTGGTATCACCAGCCTTGGTCTGGGACGTCATCTCATTTGAACTCGCGAGGGAATCTTTCGGTTCAAACTCTGTTGGTCCTTGTTCGATTGCTAATCACCCACACCAGCTGCAAAGGTGGTGTCATTACTACTGTAGATTACAGGGCCTGTGTCCACACGAGTTCTCTGGCGAGGACGTCTCTGGTTTCATTGAGATTACTTCGAGGCGACTACGGCGTTTGGTAAGAGGTCGGATTGCACAAGGCTGTTCAAGAATGTCCGTTCTGGATTTCTGGGCCAGTCTGTTGTGCCATGTAGCGAGCAAGGTGGAATGCGAAGGGTGAGTTGTTGATAGAAAACGGTTCACTTGATCCGGAATGGGAGGCGGGGATGCAAAAAGATGTGAGCATTGGCAGCGCTCATGTTGCCATTAAGCCACCAGAAAGGCGGACGGTATGCTCTACCTCCACGTGGTGTCCGCTGGGAACGTTCAGAGAAACAGTCCAACTGTCTCCAAGTTCTAGGTGGAGCTCAACATCGCGGTGATCCTCTCATGAACAACGCGTCGAAGTCCCGAAAATCACGCTCTGCACCTCACGATACACCCAGCGTTACAGCCCCAGTACTCGGGAAGGGAATGGCGCCCCTTTCATGTACGCCCACGATGGATAACGAACTCGGGTTCTAATACTCCTGCCCGACCACACTTTACGGTTTCGGAGATTGAAGTGTGAGAGGCAAAGACGCGGAAGAGAAGAGAACGAGAGGGCCTATCACAAAGAATAATCACACCATAATGAATCGCGCTATTCCTAACAACACCACTAATAGTCCAAAACAAATCTTCAACGCTTCACATACTGCAACGTGCATAGTTGGCCGACATCTCAGCACGCCATCAATGCGAAGGACGCCGTGGCGATGCGTCCGGCTGCTGATCCTGTCTCGGTTGTCGAGAGCGAGCGCTGGCCCAGGCAACGTCGGCAAGCACCCCCCGAACACTACAAGTACTTCACTGCGGTCACATCGACACTTCATGCGCATCCCAACCAAGCGACTGTTAGTACTGGACTAAAGGGTTGCGCGAGAGGCTATGCACCGCCTTCCCCTTGCACCACGCTGTTTACGCAAAGCACTCCGCCTTGATTTACAGGCAGCGTGCACAAGGGCTATTGCCGCCACAGCGAACCTTGCGGCGATGACAGCGATTAAAGGCCGTAGCTACTCGATCAAGTGGACTTCCGGCTTCGTGTTGGTCCATGGCTCTCTTCAGCACCTCAATCTTGCTGGCCAGAAGATTCACTATTCCATTCAAAATCGCTTGTGAACCGCAACGCAGTAGGCAAGTGAGGCAGGGTCGCCTAGACGACGGTTGTATGTCAAGCCCAGAAATACGGTCAGAGCACGCTCTACTCAATCTCCCAATTCTTCTTTATGAGGGCTTCAAAAATCGGGGCATGTATTCCTCGCAAATTGCCGAAATTGCCGAAGTTTCCGTCCCGTGCTCCAGGGTGGAGTTGTGGAGTGGATTCCACCACACATTTCGCCGCATGTGCTTGCCTATTGGCACTCTCTGAGGCCGACCGTACGCAAAGCGCGCCATATTCGCAGACTGAACTGATGTTTGAGCTGGTCATGTCGCTATGGGTATATATCCATGCGTCTTCTCGACGATGCCGGGTAAGTCGTCCATTCAAGCAATCGCTACGCGTTGTCAACGTTCGAAAGTCGCATGAGCCACAGCAGTAATAGACAACCTTTCTGAGTGTATAAAGGTCACAATCTTCAGTCATGGTCCAGATCAAAGAATTCGAGGTAGAAAAGGTATACAACATACAGATCACCGCGACTTTGGTAATAGCTCCGCCAGGACACGCGCTGACTCTGTCTTCATAGTGGATGGACGAGAATGAGGGCGACGCAATTCACAATATTGCAGAAACATGCTGTTCATCCATCACATTAGAAGAGCTTCAGCAATTGTCCGGCGCTGATAGTCCATTGGCATTCCTCGACCCCAAGCAACCAATGACATATGGACCCATTAGAGGTTCAGTCGCGTTACGAACCCATATCGCAGAGATATACGGTGCCGCCCCCATCTCTGCGGATGACGTCCTGATCACTAGTGGCGCCATCCATGCTAATTTCTTGTCTCTTTACGCACTTATTTCTCCGGGAGACCATGTTGTATGTCAGTATCCCACCTACCAACAACTATACAGCATACCGGAGTCCCTGGGAGCGGACGTCACGCTGTGGAAGGCCAATTTTAGCGATAAATGGGCAATGTCTTACAAAGACCTTGAAAGTGCGATCAGACCAAACACCAAAATGATCATTCTGAAGTGAGTAAATACAACAGTCATAAAGTCTATCTCATCGACTGATTTATTCTAGTAACCCCCAAAATCCCCTCGGTACAGTAATGACCAAGGAAGAACTTCAGAAAATTGTGGCTCTCGCTCGTGCACACGACATTTTGATACATTGCGACGAAGTGTACTGGCCATTGGTACATGACGAACATATCCAAAGTCAAGTCCCATCGATCACGGAACTAGGTTATGACAACGTCGTGGCCACTGGCTCAATGTCAAAGGCTTACAGTCTTGCTGGGATTCGAGTTGGCTGGCTGGTTTCACCCAAGAAAGCTCTCATCGACCTCCTAGCAAGTGTCCGTCACTACACCACCATCTCGGTGAGCCAGATTGACGATCGGATTGCTACACTAGCCATGCGTCCGGACGTGCGTCGAAAGATTCTAGAACGCAACATCGCACTGGCCCGGAAGAACAAGGCCTGTGTCGAAGCATTGATTGCGGAATTTCCATCGGTTTGCGAATGGGTAACACCGAACGCGGGCACAACTGGACTGATCCGACTTCGTCAGAAATCAACCAACGGCGGCGGGTTTATAGAGGATGTTTCCTTCTGCCACAATCTGCAAAGAGAGACAGGGACGATGCTGGTTCCGGCAAGCCACTGCTTTGGGGCAGGTAAAGAGTTCGTTGGCTGTGTCAGAATTGGCTACGTGTGTAGCCACGAAGAACTTGTCAGAGGACTGGCGGGCCTGCGCAGCTATCTTGCCCAATACTTTGTAGATTGAGCAAATGAGTAGATTTCACAGGCTTCATCGCCTGAAATAACACGCGAAGCGAGGGTATCGTCACTGTTGAGGACGCATATCTGGCTTGAACCACACCGCTATGAGCGTGCATGGCTACCGTATTACGGATCGGTCATCGTGAATTGTACTGACCTTGGCAATTGTCAAATCGAAGACCGTCGCGCCCAGCATCGTTGCAAGATCGGCAACAAGAAAGAGCCACAGCCGCGTCTCGGGTTCTTAGTATATACCTTTTTTCATCCTCGCAACTTGGACGATCAAGCAGTCGACTAATGGATCCCGAAAATCGATCCAAGGTTGCACCAATGGCTTGTGGCAAAAATTCATCAGTCCTACCCCAGCAGAAGAGAAGTTGTAGGGAGACATTATGAGCATATCACCCTGCATAACGGCCAAAAGCATGATGATTAACCATCCGTAAATAAGGGCCGCGAATGCCACTGCTTGAATGTTGAACAATATCGTAAAAGGTAATATGAAGTGACTTCCAAACTATCGTAAGCAGCGCATTTCCTCTGTGGAGGACTTGTCGAAGTTGCATATCTCCGGCGATAGGTTCCTTTCAGGAAACATGTATTCAGGCTGCGACTGCTCTGCAGGGTGAGGTACAATGCTGATCAGAAGGGGATTTTTTGTGGCGCGCCTTGTGACTGTACTTTAACTTCTCAGTCACGTGGATTGTCCTCGTTTATTTCGCGAATTTCGCGAGTTTCACCCTGCCTCCCGAAAGTTTGCAAAATTCTTCTCGCAGCTGAGCACACCTGGGCACCAATTACCGACAGAGACTTCGGGATCTCGGCAAATTCTGATTGTAATGGAGCATTCAAACAGCCGGAAAACAAGATCTTCACGAGGTTGCAGGGCCTGCAGAACAGGAAAGGTCAAATGCGACGAGCTATTGCCCGTATGTAGCCGGTGCGAACGGCTCCAGCTGTCATGCGAATATGTTCCGAGGCTAAGGAAAAAATACACATTCGTGAAACGAAAACCGCGACGGGACGCCTGTGCAAGTAATGATCAATCAGGCCTACAGCCAACACCCTCTGTCGACAACCATCCGGTTCCAAGTCTCCCTGAGACAGGGATCTGGCCTATGCTTGGGCCGGATGAACAAGAAGCAATAACCTACTATCGAGCACGGTTCACCCGTCTACACCATTGTAAGACCGCACAGTTCAACACTCTGAGTATGATATATGAGATCGCTACCAGATCAGAGGCAGTTCTGCACATGTTAATTGCTGTCGCTCGAAAAGAGCTGCTGTTGCTAAGGGCCAACGGGAATAGCGAAGTCCTGAGCGATGATTGTTCCATCCGTCACTACTCTTCAGCATTAATAGTTGTTCGCAAATTCCTCAACGGACTCGACGATATAAACGAACTGGATACAATCCTCGTAACTATCTATCTTATGGTTCTATACGAACAGAAGTCCGGCGACGGGGACGGCGCCGCCCTTTCGGCGCATCTGCAGGGCTTGGCATCCATCATTAGAGACCAGGTCAGGAACACGACGGCGGTGATTTCGGAGTCTCTCGTATCGTCTGGTACGGAACCTGAGGCTGAAGCATCAAGCAGCAAGAAACCATTGTTACTGGGGTCCTTCACGTTGTTTGCAGTGCGTATGCTGGAATGGATCTGCTTTATGGATGCATGTGCATCATCTTTTGGGATTGGTGGAGATTTCAACGGCACAATTCGCGACCTTTTCAATAAGAGCGATCATAACAGCGACCTCAATACTGCAGGCCACGCACAAGTTCTACGAGGATTTGTGACTACTATGGAGAGCTATAGTTATCAGCTTCCATGCAGTTTCTGGGGTACGACTTATCCTATTGAGGAAATCCTGGACGATCTCGCAACAGATGAGCTTTATATCCTCTATGGTACTTCTGTTCAACTGAGATATCTAGTCTCTGGAATGTTCGTCACTGGAGCTTCTGCAAGCCAGAACCTCCAGCAAAATGTCGACAGGGCATTCTTGGAGGTCATGGATCATCATGCACGCCTATTTGTTTTGGCAAACCAAATGACATCAGATTTCGACATCACTAAATCGGCGATTCGGGAGACGCGATTCATAATCCCACACTACTACGCGGCTCTTTTATTCTATTTCAGCTGCACGAGCCAACAAAAGACTCAGACTCACCGTCATGAGCTGGCTGTAAAGACAATCATGAGGCTGGCGCTACAGGCTTTCCAGGCAGAAGGCCACCAAGCTATGATTCGCATAGCGTGGCCACTGTTCATGATTATGATCGAAACCGAGGACGAGTTCTACCGAGAATGGGCATCATCCCAGCTAAGTGCGATCAGCGTTTATGGTAAGAACTATTCGCGCGCGGTCTTGTCTGCGAGGAGTTTCCATGCTGAAAGACGGCGGCACGGTGATGAAGCTAGCCTCCCAAAGCATCTACTCAAGGCCGAATTCGGTCACTTTTTCATCTAGGCGTCGATTCTGATGCAGGCTTGCTTAGCGACTCGAACTGAGTATCCAGATGTTGGGATTGAGAGTACACAGGCCTTGGCTGCCCTGAGTTTTGTCTTTTGGTAGTCCAATATGCGGCACATCCTCTGCTGCTTGGAGGCTAATACGACGAGACTGGACATATCAGACCCAGCCCCGGGATCTAAGGCCGCTGTTCTCGAGCGTGGAAGCTGAGAGTGACTAATCCATTTAAGCTCTACTACAAGTATTCACGGCATGCTGATATGGCTCTTTACGCCGGAGGTATCTGCATCATTCTGTTATCGCAGACATCTAGAGGCAAGTCACTCAAGGACATGACCTTACAACAGGGCTACCACGCCCCGAGTTTTTCGCCATCTGCAAGTTGGAATATTCTTTGTTGGATTGCCGAACTTTTGGCCAAGACACGACAGAAGAGCAAAGTGCATCATTGCTCAAATCAGTATCTTTGGACGAGATACCCGCATTGTTGACGAGACAGATCCAATTGACCGCATTTATCTGGCGACTGTGTTGCAGTACAGTACCGCACAAGCTCATCCACCCCTCTATGCACAGCTTCGATCAATAACATCTGTATCTCACCCCCGTATTCCTTACTTGAGAGATCCGGATGTTGTGATCTGTGGAGTTTCAGCAGATGGCCTCGCGAAGGTCTATGACGCCCTTTTCGACTACTGGAATGAGGACACCGAGCCATTGGAGAGTCGGCAAGGGATATTCATCGAAGAGTTTGTCTATCCTCCTCTAGTCGCCCAGATCAGACCACGTAAGGTGAATGTGGTGCCTGTCCGGATGGATGCTCAGGGCATGTTGGCGCGCGGGCGCGGTGGCCTCCTGCCGTTTACATCATTCTTTAAGCTTCTCTCAAAATATGAAAATCTGCTTCATTCTACCATTGACGCTAATCTGACAAAATCACCAGACAAAATCCTACATCAACTGTGCTTTCGCTGGTCATGATGTAAGTACCTATGCAGTCACTGCAACCGCACCATTGGACAATTGCCGCTCTCATTCACGTCCCTTTCTTGGATTCCTGCTGGTGACGGCACCAGTAGCGATCATAGGATGCCTATCGAGTTTCAAAAAGGGCAGTAGCAGCATGGAAGTTCAGTGCGCTGTGGTGATGACATGGCTTGCTTCTGTTCAGATATTTGGCCTCTGGATGGCGTTGGCGATGCAGAAGAGATCGCTCCTACTAAATGGATCTTCCAAGACTTTTAATGCTCCCACTACCACCAAGCACAGAGATCTAATGACCGAAGAGCTTCTGCAACGGCTCGGCACCGCACCTGATTTTGAATCACTTAGACGTTTTCATGTTGGGACCTCGAACTACCATCTCGGTAAATCTCTGGTGCTGTGGCCACTGTGGGCAGCGACCAAACTAGCTCCAGATCTGAGAATTGTAAATCCATCATGAGCTATACGACTCGAACTTGAATACGAAACCACTATTTGTGGAAGAAAGTTGAGCTTCTTCCTGATGCCCGCCCCCACAATGCTTTTCCAGCTTCAGTGGGGGTTCAATCCGGCAAATGATACCCCTCCAAACAGCCCCCCGGATCTACAGCAATCACTACCGTCGAAATGTCGGAGTATCTATCACCCGATAGGCATCGGCTATTGCACACGATGAGATCATTGGGGGTGGTCTATCACAATTTGATCAAAAATATTCCATTTGCCTCAATTGAGACCTCATCTCCTCTGTTATATGAGACCATCGAGTAGCTTTCTCATACAAAACTGCTTTCACTATTGATAGTATCTGGCCAAGAAAAACCACAAGCAGTATTAGAACTCACCAAAATGCCGAAATTACTCTACCCCACATCCATCAAGCTCGACGTCCAGAGCCTCGAGGGCTTCTCCGTCGAGCTAAAGCCGTACGACGCGAAGAAACCGATCGCAGACGAAGACACCGACGCCGAGTTCCTAGTGACCTGGGCCAACAGCGCCGACAACCTGAAAGATGCGGCGCAACGCTTGACCAAGGTACGATGGATCCAGTCGCTCGCGGCGGGGCCCAACGACGTGCTCTCTGCTGGGTTCGACCCCAAGGTGAAAGTCACGACCGGGTCCGGCCTGCACGACCACACCGTCGCGGAACACGCGCTGGGCATGCTCCTCAACAGCGCCCGCCGTTTCTACGAGATGCGCGACTACCAGCTGCAGGGCAAATGGCCCGGCCACTTGGGCGGACCCCAGCCCGACCGTCCAGCAGGCGCCTTCACGACGCTCCGTGACGCCAACGTCCTCATCTGGGGGTTCGGCAACATCGCCAAGAAACTCGCGCCGTGGTTGACTGCTCTTGGAGCGACGGTGCGCGGCGTTGCCCGCCACGCCGGCGTGCGCAACGGCGTCGAGGTCTACGGCGAGGATAAGCTCCCGGAGCTCCTGGCGGAGACGGACGCTTTGGTCATGATTCTGCCTGGCTCGGATAGTACGCGCCATGCCCTTTCTGCAGAGAGACTCAAGCAGCTGCCAAAGCATGCGTGGATCGTCAATGTGGGCCGCGGCACCTCGGTGGATGAGGATGCCCTGACTGCGGCACTGGAGAAGGGCGAGATCGGAGGTGCATCGCTCGATGTGTTCGAGAAGGAGCCGTTGCCGGAGGATAGTTCGTTGTGGAAAGCACCGAATCTGGTGGTTTCGCCTCATGCTGCTGGTGGTCGGCCGCAGGGTGCCGAAGTCCTGATTGCGGATAATCTGAGGAGGATCTTGGCTGGGCAAGAATTGAAGAATGTGATCTAATGAACGTCCGCGAACAAAACTCTCAGCGTCAGTCACGTTCTAGACAAGGTCAACGAGGCAAGGAAACCACTTTGGGCATTTTTCACACTGAATTATGGATACCATTGAACTTTAATTCAAAATCACTTCAGACCAGCGAACTGGCTTTTTGCATTGAACTTCTATCACGTAGTCGATCCAACACGAATGCCTGCAGTTACTGCTTCAGAGCGCACATATTTGCGTGATTGTCCACACATCCAGCACCATATCCGTAATTCCTGTTGTTCCATCTCAGCGCCCATAAATGCCACAAACGCGTACAACCAAGTACGATGCTAGTATTGCTTATTTTGACCTTAAAATTCCATCCATAATGCTTATCCCATAGTGCCGATTGATTTCTCCTGGGAGGGGTTTCCGACTTTTCATGTAAATCATTTTTAGGGCCAAATCTCGCGCCGTCTCCATGCTTTTCCAGACGAGGCAATCGTGTTGCATTTCTGTAATCATATCTTATGATGATACACGGACTAGGGCGGGGCTTTGTCTTCTGTCGCAGACGGTCGAAATTGCTCAAGGATTTTCTTCAGTGCAGTTCTCCTGATGGGCTTGGGAAGAAATTCTACCATTCGGTCAGGCACCAAGTTACAACAAGTGATTGATGATCGTCGCAAGGGTCAAAAGACTCACCATTCATCCCTGCTTCATAGCAGGCATTACGATTAGTTTCGTGGTCAAAAGCCGTCAGTGCTATAATCGGTGCTTTGAAGCCGAGCTCTCGAATCTTGCGGGTAGATTCGATGCCATCCATCTTAGGCATTTGAACTATCGATCTAGTCAGAACTTGTGCATACCTCGATAACTGGATGACTTACTGTCCATGAAAATCAAAGAGAACGGTGGCGTCCCGGTTCCCTCAACCGACGTTTGTGAGGTGCTATCACGAACCTTGTTGAAAGCCTCTTCTCCATTTTCGGCAATCGTTACATTATTGACCTTTTCCAGCTCTAGCAATCGGAGAATCACCTGCTGGTTGACGCTATTATCTTCGGCAACAAGTACACTCGAATAACTTGGCCTGGGGGACACGACGGGCCGAGGACTTGGGCGAGCAGTTTTGTTTTCTTTCGGACTTTCTGGTGGAGGTGTAGATATCCCAAAGTCAGGCGCATCCATCTTCTCGAATGGGGTCGCGACAGATTGGATTGTTGCCAGGGGTACACCGTTGCTTCTTTTGTACTCATAGTGACGCTTTTCCATCAAGTCTAGGGCCTCATCTGTTGCTTCACCTGTTTGGCCCTCGTCTACGAGGTACGGTTGTGAAAATCCAACGAGTCTTGGTGCGTCAAGCTGTGAATCTCGATCCTGAGAATAAACAGAACCTTTTGCCGATCGCGTTGAGCGTACATCGCGAGCCGCCCGTGGTCGGTTGCTAAAAGTGTCGAACTGTACACTGCTCGTTACACTGGCGGCTTTTGTCGAAGGTGGTCGAGCAAGCGAGCCGGATATCGATGGGACAGACTCTTTCGTGTATCTCAATGGTAAGGATAGTGTAAATGTGCTGCCAATATCAACGGTACTTTTCACGACAATGGACCCGCCCATCATCTCCGCCAATTGAGAACATATTGCGAGTCCAAGTCCAGTTCCACCATGTTTTCGACTCAGAGCAAGATCTCCTTGAACGAAGGGCTTGAAAATCTCTTGCTGTAAATGCTCGGGAATACCTGGACCCGTGTCTTCGACCTCAAAATCGAACACTAGGCCTATCTGTGATGAATCATTTGATGCCGTATCGTTTGCAGCAGCATCTTGCATCTTACGCGGCTCGCCAGTAGCGGTAGGACGGTTTGAGTATGAAACTTCGGGCAGGGTACTTGCGTGTACCAACTTCCGATAGCGTATCCGAACCTCGACCGTCCCTTTGGGCGGGGTGAATTTGAGCGAATTGCTGACAAGGTCTTTAATATGTTAGCTTCAGTCAAGAGCGGAAAATGGGGATAGATGGGCTGCTAGAAGTTTGAGTCTCTTATCTGGATGGGAAGCTGGAGGTCCGAGATAAATGCTAGAAGACTCACTCATTAGAATTTGAAGAATCCTGTTCTTGTCACCCTTAAGTCCAATCTCACGAAGCGGCCCAGTGTCTGCAGGCCCCCTGGCAAGAACATTGGTGTTGACTCTTGGTAGATTGTCACTTAGATTTTGCCTCGCAACGATAGCGTCTTCTGGGGCATCGTCGTCAAGGTTCCGGGGTTGAGACGAATCTGTACCAAGAAACACAAGCCGGAGAGAGACATTAGCGTCCCGTGCCTGCTTTTCGAAGATCGAAATAAGCTGCGTCCCAACGTCCACCAGACGAAAAGTCCCTTCTTCGATAGCGAGTCGTTGGCCGTACGAACTGCGACTAAAAGTCAACAGATCATTGAGTAAGTGCAGGAGCAGGTCGGAAGATTTGTAGATGATCTTGAGTGACTGCCTTATTCTCATGACGTCCTTCTCCTGCATAGCCACCGCACACATGCCGATGATACCATTTAACGGGGTTCGAAGTTCGTGCGACACATTAGCGATGAATAGTGTCTTTGCCTCATTTGCAGATCGAGCAGCATTTCGACTTTGCTCAAGCTCGGCAGTTCTTGTTTTCACTCGCTCTTCAAGCTTGTTATATTGAAGGGATAATTCGTCGGCCATATCGTTGAACGTCGAAGTGAGATCAGTCAGTTCGTCATTTACGATATGCTTTCTCGTTGCCACTTTCTGGGGGATTTGGAAAGACCGTATCTGCCTTGGGCGAGATTTGGTTTTGCACGGCTTCCTGCGCACTGCTGATGCGAAACCTTTCTCTTTCAACAACGCTCCTTCAAGGGCACTGTTTTCCGTATCGGTATCAGACTTTTCCGAAGGCACATATGATTCGTAAGTGAGGATAGAGTTCTCTGTTGCAGCCTTGAGCGCTCGAATCGGCTTGACAGCAAAATGTGCCAGAGGGCTGTGAACACATTCTTAGCCTGGGAATCGGAGATACAGAGGAACTTAACTCACAAGCAGATGATAGCTATCCCACCCACGACGCCAAAGATACAAGCCAGAACTGTGTTACGAAGCTTGTTGATGGGAGCCATTGCCTCGCCGTAAGCCTGACCGACCACAACAACCCAATCAACAACATCAGTGGGGATTCTTGCATAGCCTACCGCAATATGTCGGTTCTCTTCGTTGTGTGTTGACATAAGCGATCCTGCGTTATTGATCTCGCCATTGATTGAGGACCAGGCTTTTAGTATGGCTGGATAGTCGCCCATAGGAAATGGGAGATATGGATTTTGTGCTCGTTGTGGATGTCGATTACTGGTTGGTGGCAAGACGAATTGAAGTGGCACTTCAGCGTTTTGTGATTCGCTCCGGCCATCAACGTCTTCAGCAAACAGGTTGTCAGGTTCGTGCGGACCTATTATCACCATCTCACCAGTGTGCCCAAGACCGACCTTGGAAGTCACAACACTATATAGTACTCTCGCATCGAGTACCACAGTCAGCCAACCTAGAATGTCGCTATGGTTGACATATCAGCCTCTCGTGAAGAAAGCCGCTGCAAGGAACATACATACCTCCGACTAGTGTTATCTATGAATCAAGTCAGTGTCATCTCATACGTGGGTGTGATTAATCACGAGGGATCGATTCAACAAACACGAACATGAGTCAAAGCAGGCTTCATGTGTCAGGGTCACTTACTGTTAATAGCAAGAGTCATTGAAATCAATGAAAGGTTGTTTCGCAAAAACAGCGGCCCTAACAACAACGTCGAATTGCTGGTCAATACCTTATTGTCGTAGACAACGTGAGTCTGATCTGAATTTCCCTGCCCAAATGTGAAATTTGGGAAAAGGTTTGGGGGGTAACCAATCTCGTCATCACCAAGGTACGCTGCTGTGCCATTCTCGTAGGTATAGGGAAGCAAGTATTTCCCTAAAGCCGTGGTCCTCGTCACCATGGCGATTTCCTGATTGCCTCCATCTACTTGGATGTTGTGTGGATAGACTGCAGCTTGTAGAAAGATTGCGTCATCCGCACCACCAGATAACGCGTTGTTGAGATTGCTCTTGTACAGTGTCAGCAACCCTGATAGATTTAAGGACGCTTTCACTCCTGCCACTGACCTCAATGCCTCGAGAAAGATCCTCTGTATGATTGCCATTGTTGAATTGTGTAACGAAGGATTGAAGATTTTCTCTAGTTGAGATAGACCTTACCGAGTCTCGGAAGAGTGATGTGGCCTGGGCGATCTGGGCAGCCTTGAGATTGGCGGTTACCGTGAGTGTCTCTCTCCGCGCATCTTTCATGTAGCGCACGGTTTGAAACCAAACAGACACAGTCAAAATGGTCAGCGCCACAACATTGGTGAGCGCGATGAAGAAGCATAATTGCTCACGGATTCGAATTCGAAATTTCATCTTTCAGAACAGGTGGGTGTTTCCATCATACATCCCCGTGTCACTCAGACCCGGCTCAGCATGGAAAGTGGCCCAGTGCTCAATTCGACGAAGATATTGCTCTTAAAGTCACGTTCAGGTAGGATCAATCGTGATACAAGAAATTCGTGACTAACAAAGGCTGGCGTAGAAATTGATTGTCGTTTTTTCGTGGAAAAATGACCAGAGAAGTGTGCTCGACATGAGGTCGGAGTAAGACCAGAAGGTTGGTGTGGGAGTGGTGGCACCTGTGGTAGATGCTTAGTTGTGAATAAGCGAATACTTACTCACGCCATGCCCCGAGCTCCGCGTTTGGGGCCTGGCTGACTCAACTCGATGATACGCTCTGGCTCAACAAGACTTCCTCTTTGGGCTCAGCTCGTTGGCGAGGTGCAAATTGCTCATCCTTGCCGCTCCCTCGGCCTGATAATAGGAGAGAGTGGAGGGCATCTCCGGCCAAAGCGCGACTCTGTAATCTACAGTCATCCGTACGACAGGGATTTTTGATACCTTTCCCATCTGCTGCACGGTGCATCCGGGTAGCCTGCAACAAACCCAAGCCGCATTCAAGCAACCAACTAACGACCTAGGTACCTATCCGTACTTCGTAGGTAGTTAACTACGGTACTCGGTACCTAGGTAGATACCGAGGCACCCACGAAGCAAGGTGCGGAGTGCCTAAATAACACCAGCTCGAGACCTCAGAAAGTCAAATGGAACGTCACGTAAACGCCGTTATTATGATTGCTCCACATACTTTGCACTCAAATAGGTATATTTATGAGGCTGGAACCTTGAGAGGGCTTCGACGCAAATCCGAAATTCAACTCCTTGGCATCCGATTATGACTTTACCTTTTCATCGAGCTTTGCTGCACCCCCTAAATAAGTAGGCAAGTACCTAGGTACTATGTTACCAATCATCCTTCTAATCGACCACTCTCGAAATCTTGAATCCCCCGGGTGCTCTTTGCTGCCAAAATCCCTTAGGATCGTACTGATTTGCAACCTTCTTAATGAATGCCACGTTGTCTGCCCCGTAGCTGCCCAGTGGATTTTGACTGAGATCGGCATAGTTCATGTAAATGAGTTCCACATCCTTGCCGTGCTCTATCGTCAACTCTTTGAGCTCAGCAGTCAGAGCTGCCAATTGCGCATGTGCGATTGCAAGTGCTGCCTCCCCTTCAGGGCCAGGACTGACGCTCATCCCAGCTGTCCACATGATAGCATCGGAAGTAACACGATCTAGACCCATCATATTACCACCATTTCGTAGTCCATGTTCAGCAAAATTCGTCGGGATAGGCTGATAAAATACCTGGAATTTAAAGCTGCTGGGGTCCATTTTTTGGGAGAGTGACATGATGTGTTTGATTTGTATGGCATGGGACTGCCGAATCAATTCCAGGTCATTTACGAAAGTCAACGTACTGCTGGCCACCCTGAAGACGCCGATGTCAGTTTCTGAGATGTTGTGAGAGGAAAGTGATGCCTGGGGATCGAACATACAGCCCACCTGGTTCAACCTGTGACGCGTTTGCTGCATCCGCCAGTGACATTAGTTTTAAATCGCTCGGGACAAGACTAGGGATAGCATTGACTCCATTGAAGCTTGTGGTGTTGAGGTCACCTAGGGAATTTGTCTGGATGAGTATAACGAGACCGCCTTCCATGTCGGTTGCGTCGTAGGAATAAAGAGGAATCAACGAATCGGCCGTTCGGTTCTTGGAATTCTCTGTGAACCGGACCACTGCTTCAGCAACTCTGTCGGATCGGTTGAGGGAAACAATTTGTTGTGCGTATGCCAACTCCACGGTGGGCATCGTCCGAATGTCAAAGCGGGTGACAATGCCGAAATTGAAACCGCCTCCTTTTAAGGCTTTCCAGAGGTCCGCATTCTCTTCGGCATTGGCTTCGACAATGGTGCCGTTCGCGAGCACGACTTGATAACCAACGACTTGATCGCAGCCGAAGCCATTACGACCAGTATAATAAGAATTTCCCCCGCCAAGAAGAAAGCCACCTACTCCAACCCCTCCATCCCGACCACCCGTAACTGTCACATTATGATGCTGAAGAAGATTGTAGTAGACATCCTTCCACTTTCCACCGGGTTCCACACTAGCGAAACTGCGATTGGGGTTGTACGTCGAGCCGTCCATCAGGCCCAAATCAATAGTGACGCCGTTCGCAATATTGCTGCTTCCTGGAGGCCCATGCCCTCCACTTCGCACGGCGATATGCCAATCTCCGGCAAAGCTCACTCGGTTCAGAGCCTTTATGGCGAGAGAAAGTCCCTGAGCTGACTGTGGTTGGAAGAAGCACCAGGGTCGATACTGCGCATTTGCAGCAAACCAGCTATGGACCCGCGGTTCATAGTTCTCGGATGATGCGAGAAGCAGATTATCAGCCAGACCTGCAGAGATCAAAGCATCGCACTATCAAACTGATTAGCACACCACGCCAGCCACAGATCCCAAATTTATTTGTCCCGATCCGTGAGAAACACCAAAAGATGCATCGACTTACTGGAGGGTAGCCGGTTAGTGGAGGGGTTTGCTCTTGAATACCAGACAACTCATTTGGCGAGACGAAAGGTAGCAAGAACGGAAGCAGAACACCCATCAATGCAGATCTATCCTTCAACATGACTGTTGTGTATATTTGATGGGAGGAAGCTGTGACTGAAAAAACTCTTTATATGACGAGTATGAGTAGTGAGGAAAACGAAAATCGAGCTTAGGTTGCAGAAATCCAAAGTCGTGGTAAAAAACGCGAACTCTTATACCTGAAATCTGATCGCTGCTAGAAATCAGGCAAGAACATGAGTATCAATTTTTAATGTCCACGTCACTTCTCAACTCCCCAGTGAGGGTGATCGTGGTGCGAAGTCCATCTGCCATGATCCAGGGGCATTTACCAGGCACATCGCATTGAGTGGAGAATAATTCCCGCAGCTCGTTGCTTCGTGAGAGGGTAAAAGGCATCGGAATCCCCATGCTGTGGAGGTAGGTACTTATACCTAAAAGCGAATAAGTGTTGGCCAAGGATCGCTTCTGATCTAAAGCCTGGCGTAGAAGAACAAGTACTCCCTCCCAAGAATCCGGGAGCCTGTTGTCGCTGGTTCCCTGAAGTCGTGAAATCTTTGAGAAGAGCCGAGCCTCTACTGCTCAGAGGTATCTTTCTAAGTAGGCCTGAGTGGGGAGTATCTATAGTGGTAGTCATTGAAACGAAGTAGAGAAAGCTAAGTCACGCTGACGTGTGCGATGTTGCACGGTGCCAAGCTTGTCACTCTGTTTAGACCCGCGCAAGAATCAAACTATACACTCTGCCCTTCTTTCCAACCTTCTTCCAACATCACGAACAACATAAACGATGTAGCAAATCGTTATCGCTTCAAAGATTGACGAACTCGGTCCGAGTGCACTGCCACCGCGGTTGTATTATCCTGACCACCCCTCGCTGGAACAGAGTTTCTGTTGAACGCCGTCATGCTATTCATCTAACACGGAATACAGCCCTCACCCCCTGGAGGCCTGTTGATCGTCCCGGTGGTGTTACTATCCCCGGAATCTCTGAGCCTTGACAAACCTCGCTACTAACATTACAGATTTCCGAGCAAGCTTCCCCTCGAAGTAACCAGTATCTCGGGCGTTGGTGACCAGCATATACGCACAACACCATTAAGTGCCAGAATGGCCTTTTAATCAGAATGATGGGTCTCACTCAAAAATGCGGGACATCTGCCTTGTTGCGGGGACTCCAACATTTCGTTCTATCAATTCGGTAATGCTCTCAAGCAAATTCGGAGCCTCATACCCCGATCTTTGTTTAAAACGGTTGACATTTCTGCTCTCTATGAGGTGATGTCGGAAGTGACGGGCAAACAAAAATGCGTTCCTGGTTTCATGTCCTGACAGCCTTAACGTGGGCGGCATTGTCAACAGCTATTTGCGCTACCCGGCAGGAATACAGGGGGCTTGACCCTGGCACCTTCAATAAACCTGCTGCTCGAGTTCGACCCAGGTTCCGCTACTGGCTTCCTGACTCGGGTATTGATATAGGCACTCTAAAAGACGATATTTCTTCGGCGGCCGAAATTGGAGCCGGTGGTGTTGAATTCTTGCTATTCTTCAACTATGGAGGCACTTCGGAGCGTATCCTCCGGGCGCAGACTGGGCTGTCGATGGGTTTGGGGCGCCACGGTTCCAGAAAGTCTTTCGTGCAGCCCTTGAAGCGCATGAGGAGAATGATCTGGTCATGGATTTCGCCCTTGGACCAAACCAAGGACAAGGAGTGGCAGCCCCAACTACCGATGAAGGGCTCCAATGGAATCTGGTCATCCACTTTTCGCAATTGCGTTGGCTTGACTAATTCTATATAGATCCCGGCGTCCGATACCATCCCCTCAAACGGAGAATACGAGCGGGTCATACCAGGCTGGGGAGATGGAGAGCTAGTTGCTTTTGTGACTGCCACGGTGATCTCTCAAGAGAATGTTTCACTGCCTACTGAGTCTCTCTTCGCATTACTGGAAAATTTTGAGCAAGATTCCTACCTCAATCTGGTCCTGCAAGAAGATTCACTGAGGGACATAACACGTGATGTTGCTTCCGATGGTCACATATCTCTAACCTCGCCACTTTCCAACAATGCAACAGAACAACGATTATTTGCCTTCTACCAAAGAAGAACCCTGAATAAATACCTCCAATTCCCTAGTAACGATCCAGATAGCATTTTCAACAACGGCTCGTTTGCAGTGGATCATTTCAGGAGACGAGGAGCTGAAACTCTCATCAAATCTTGGGAGGAATAGATCCTTAAGGACGGTAACGAAGACTTACTCAAAAAAGTTGGCAATTACGGTAGGTCGAATCGTGCACGTACTCACACCTCGTTTAACTCTGTATCTATAGGTTGGGAAGATAGTCAAGAATTCACATCCCACATATCATGGACGCCACACCTACCCGAAAGATTTGAAAAGAAGTATGGTTATCAAATATTCCGCTGCCTTCCGCTTATCATGTGGCGCAATAACAATATCAATTTCCAATCAATTGCACCTGGTCCTGTACGAGCTGTGCACGAAACCATTGAATCAAGCGAGAAGATACAAAATGATTGTCGTTCAATTTTGGCCGAATGCTATAGGGACTATTTTGGAACCTCGCGGGTGTGGTTGAATAATCGCCTTAACCTTCAACTCTCATGAACCACACGATGACTTTGATTCAACCATTACATCATTATTAAGTACGAAGAATGTACATCAAGCTCAAAGTGGCCAACTGTCACAAGCATTACTTTCTGCTGGTGTAAGACCTCAGATAAGTGTGCGAACTGAAGGGATGTGGTACCCGGTGTGGCGCAAGGATCTAGCAAGCGGCACTGATTACGCTTTCTTATTTGCTGACAATGCAACGTGTTTCGGAACGATCAAAGCTCTTACCACCAAAACCCCTTTCTTCCTAAAGCCTTGGACCGGCGAGCAGCTCCCAGTGTTACACTATACAAAAGACACAGAGAGCACCACTATTCCATTGCGGCTGGCAGGCAATCAGACAATTCTTATCGCTTTTAGCAACGAGCCTTTACGCGGCATAAGGGCCCCAGAGGACCACATTCTTGAAATGCCCGAAAACGTTCTCGGATACAATTTCGGCTCCGAGGATGGACTTCTATTGAAGATATCCAACGCAAGACTTTCCAATGATCCGCAAAACTTGGTACTCTCGAATGACAATTACGTATCACTGATATCAAATACCCTCGAGCCTTTTGAGCTACATAATTGGACACTCACTGCTGAACACTGGGAGGCCCCTGAGTCTATGCTTGATGCAGCAACGATTGCCAGAAAGCGAAACACAACACACGCAATCGACAATTTGATTTCATGGACGGGATCCCGGCTTTAGCAAACGTATCCGGCCTCGGTTACTATCAAACGATGTTTCCATGGCCTTCAATTGCCGACAATGCAGATGATGCTTACATCACGGTGTCACATATTCTACATGCCGTACAGATCTTTGTCAATGGAAGGAAAGTTGCGGCTGTCGACTGCTACACCGGCACTACTGACCTAGGACCCTACCTGCATGGCGGTAATAATCATATTACGATAGTCGTACCTCCAACCACGTGGAATTAGCTGAGCAGCATATCTGATCGTATCAGAGAGTCTGGAGCCCCCGCACTGCTCAACACCCTGGAACCATCGCTTGGAGGTCTTCCTGGCAAAGTTCCCAATGGTTTGGTAGGCAGAGTCTGGTTGACACCCTATAAGAATCAGTATATTGAGCTATAAAGCTGATTGGACGAAGATGTGAGAACAGCTTCTGATGTGTTTTGAGAAAGATGCATACTTTCCTGGCCTCAGAATCTCTCGTTCGCTCCATTGAGTATGGAGGCGCGACTCGGTCTGGTTCGTCCCGTACTGCTAGCTACACTAGACAGTGTTGGACTCATAGCAAATTCAGGCCAAACTTTCGCTTTGGAACAAGAGACCGCGTCCGTGGACTGGTCAGGTGGATTCTCGTAAATCATGTACGGTCATGTGATGCTAAGATTGCCAACCTCACTGACGCCACAAACTTGCTTGGCACTCACCGCTCTTTCCTTGACTTCTTAAGGCAACTTCGCTGTTCTTGATGGATGTATGACGGAACGATACAGGCTCGGCAGCTTGTTCGTGAAGAAAAGAAGAATCCACGATGTCTAGACTACGCTATCGGCTAGAGCTAGACTATATAGCTTCATTCGCTACGTACACAGGTCTTCCTTGAGGCTCGCACACTACGCAAAACTTCTCGTACCAATCCCCACTCCAAGAAGACGACCAAGACTCGTGGTACGTGGCACTTTGTCCGATCCACGGATACCAGCTTGAGCCGGCCTACAGTGCCTGTGAGTTGAGATGCCGTGTACAAATATGTCTCGCGTGTTTCCTAGGTTTGACGATCCTTGTTTACATGAGTTGCCCCTGCCGCACGTGGTCATTCGTGACATCAATTCCTTTACCGCAACCCTTGTTCCATGGAATCTCTTAAAAAGTTCAAATCGCGGACATTGTGCATACCTTAAATCTGGTTCCAAGACAATCGAGGATACAGCCACTGGGCTGCTGTGATAGCTTTAGCACGCAAAAGCTGTCGGCGCGGAAGACAGTCCAAACTTCCTCTCCAGAAGAGATCCCGAGTGTACGATGTTGTACGTGGCTGCACTCCTATTTTGTGTCAGTTTTGTGACGACTCAATCGCTCAAAGGTAGAAGTTTGATCGAGGATGCAGCTGACCAAACTTTCGACTATATCGTGGTCGGATGTGGGATCACAGGGCTTGTCGTTTCCGCTCGTCTGAGCGAAGATGAAGATGTATCTGTACTCTGTTTAGAGGCGGGTGGCTTGTAAGCTATGTTCCCTATCTCACACAAACTTCATTGATGTATCCTAGGGATCAATACGAAGATGAGATCATGCTTCCGTACTATATCGGTCTCCAACCATACGGCTTTTATCGGTGGAACATCTACACAGTACCCCAAGACCAGCTTGATGGGGTAAGTCGAGAGGTCCCCGTTGGAAAGGGCGTGGGTGGCGGTTCACTCATCAATGGCCTCATTTGGAATCGGGGGAACCAAGAGAGCTATAATACTTGGAACGAACTTGGAAATTTCGGATGGGGATGGAATGATCTATTGCCATATTTCGAAAAGGTTGGTATTGTATGCATCTTCATGAGTCGAAAACTAGTGACTAACCATGATAACAGTCTGAAAGTTATACGCCTAAAATCTACGCTGATTCTGAGATCGAGCCACGCTTCCAGAATAGTTCGGTCCATGGCAAAACTGGCCCGATTCATGTTTCATACCCCAATTTCTACTGGCCTCAAGCAAATAATTGGTTCGCTGCCCTCGAAGAACTCAACATACCGCTATCAGCAGAGCCAAACGAGGGACTGGAAGCAGGAGGTTATTTCTTACCTTTGAATATCCATCCGGATAACCAGACTCGATGGGACGCTCGGCGAGGCTACTACGATCCAAATGTCGATCGTAGGAATTTCAATGTTCAAGTGAATTCCTATGTTACAAAAGTTTTATTTGACGATGGGGAGACACTCAACGCAACAGGTGTGGAGTTCAGTAGTGGGCCTGATGGATCCCGAAAGACTGTGTACGCACGACGTGAAGTCATCATGGCCGCTGGAGCAATTCATACACCACAACTGCTGGAGCTCTCAGGTATCGGGCAGCGAGACGTCCTTGAGCCTCTAGAAATCCCTGTACTTATCAGCTTACCGGGGGTCGGCAATAACTTACAAGATCATGCCATGCTCCGCCTCTCATACGACTATACTAATAGCTCGGTCAGAGACATCAACGATTTCTTTCTCAACTCTACATTCAACGACGAATCGGCAGCAGAGTTTTTCGCCTCGAGAACAGGTCCTTGGACTGGAAAACCTAGTGGAGCGGTTGCATTTCCGTCTCTCAGACAAGTCACAAACGATACAAGTTCAAGAATTCTACGCGCTCAGTCTTTGGGAGATCACCTTCCATCTACATACGCCAATGAATCAACATTGAGAGCGGGATTCGAGATTCAAGCTCAGAACTTGCTCAAAGATATCGATCACCGGTATACGCCAGCCTTTGAGATCCTCAACGACAACGCAGGTGGTCTTCATCTAGCTCTCATGAGGCCGTTGTCTCGAGGCACAACCCATATCACCACAGCAGATCCGTTCGAGCTCCCTAGTGTGGATCCTAGATGGCTTCAGGATCCGTTCGACTTTGACCTCATGATATTGGCGATGCAAACCAATCAACGTATCCTGAAGACCCGCGCGATCCAGCAACTTCAACCATCCTATCCAGAAGTCTCCGAGGACGCGGATGTCGAGCAGCTGGCAGCGGTCATAAGGACGGGCACGGGAACTCAATTTCATTACAGCTGCACAGCCGCTATGTTGCCTCGGCATCTTGGTGGGGTCGTCAGCGACCAATTGATTGTTTATGGGACGAATAATCTGCGGATTGTCGATACGAGTATTTACCCTATGGTTCCTGGTGCTCATACACAGGCTGTTGCGTTTGGGACCGCAGAGAAGGCTGCCGATATCATAAAGCTTACAAGGTGCGTGGGCTTCCTATCTTTCATTATGAACACCCAAGGCTAACATTTCCCGTGCATAGATTACAAGAAACGCTTATTGAGGAGAACGAGAATAGTGGCAATACGGAAGGAGAGACAGTAGATGAATCTGGCTCACAGTCACTCAAGGTGAACAAGGGACTCGTACAATGTGCGGTCCTGCTTGGCACATTGCTGCTGAGCGCTAATCCTTGGTGAGGGGTGCAGTGCTTTGTGCTATTAATGTTATCTAGATCGACATCCACTGTACAGTCTAAATGTTCATAGAGAGATACCCTTAGAAAGTTGCAAGAGACCCCATTTTTACACAACAGAGCGAGCACAAGATCTGCAGTAGGTGTGAGGCTTTTTGCACTGGACTTCTTCGAAAGACGTATGCTACCACCTAGCACTTAGAACCTAGGTGAACTTAATCCCGGCGCCTCCATTTTATGGTCGCCGGATGCATTGGTCGAGAGAACATTGACTGCAGAGAGGAGAAGATCAGTGTCATATTCGCAAGGTACCGAGGAAGCAATGGATGAACTCACAGAATAGTCAGTTGCAGGAACGGGCGCTTTCGGATCGACCTGCTCCCATTGAAGAAGCCTCACCAAGGTCACGAGAATTGCACCAAGCTGCGAATAAGCGAAAGTCTCGCCAACACAACGATGCCGGCCTGCGCCAAATGGAAGATAGGGACTATATGCAGCCTTGGAAGACACAGCGCCGTAGCCGTAGTCAATAGTGTCGTTGTCGCCTTTTTCGTCTTGCTCCACTGCTGTCGGCTTGTCCCACCGATGGGGATCCCAGACCATTGGTCGAGGGAAGAATTCTTCCGTCCTGGCTGGGAGGCCTGGCGCCGCGAGGAGAATGTGGCCGACTGGGACGACATAGTCTGTGTCGGGGATGTGCATCGGCTGTTTGACCTTGCGCATCACGGAGTGGATGGGGCTGTGGAGACGAAGTGTCTCCTTGATGACATTATTGTGCAGTGTGAGCTTCTGCAGGGACTCATAGCTAGGGGTCTGACCGTCCAGGATGCGTTTCTGCTCCTCGTAGAGCTGTTCAATTAGATGTGGCTGGTGAGCTAGGTGGAGCATGACCCAGGTACCAGAGGCAGCAGTATTGTGTTGCCCACCCATGAGCAACGCGATCATGAGATTTGCCATCTCTTGGTCCGCGATCCGAGTGCCATCTTTGTAAGTGCCATCCAGTAGGGCCCAAAGCATGTCGTGGCCACCATCTTGGTTGCCCTCCGCACGCCTCTTCTGGATGATTTCCAGGTACAAGTTTGACATCATCCTCTGGGCGCGATCGCGACGCCGATTGATCGGTATTGGGAGCCAGGGGAACATGAAATTGATTGGGGCAAATCCGTCATCGAGATGGCGGTAATGAGTTGCAAAACTTGCATCGAAAGAAGCTCGAACCTCCTTCCCTTGCAATGAGCCGGCGGCAGTGTACAGAGAGATTTCTGAGAAGACCGAGGAGATGTCGCAGATACCGCTTTCGCCGCGAAACGCAGCATTTGTGCTCACGAATTGCTCCACCTCTTTGACAAATTCTGGGACATATGCCCTCAGGCTCTGACTAGTGAAGCCCTCTTTCAACAGCTATGGGACACCACTTGTGAGTCCACAGATCTGGACAGGAGAAATCAACCTACCCTCTTCTGGTCCATGAAACGAGCATTGTCTACGTCGTAGACAACACCCCGACCAAAGACAGGTATTGTCAAAGGACCATACACTTCCTGACGTTCCATTAGCTCCCACTCTATCAGGAATGTGGCCGTAAAGTCTCTCACCTCAGCATTCAAGTCCTTGAGCTTGCCATTGAGAATGAAATTGTTCCCTTTAGTCCCGAGATAGACTGTTACATCCATGCCAAGGAGCCCGAAGGTAAAGCAATCGCCATACTGGATAGACCGCATTAGCGAGAAGAGCCTCAGGTATTAAGGCGATCTTTTTGCGACTCCAATTTACTCCGAAAGAGTCTTACCTTCTCCTGGCATTTGAAGAAAAACTTGTATGGATCTTGTCCATAGTCGACCGTGCTGCCGATCTTCGGGAGCCAGTGCCAAACCACAGGAGGCCGATGAGGGTCTTGGAAGAAGAGTTGTTTAATAATATTGGCAAGAATATATGCGAACAGTAGCGAGAATAGTGTGGTGATAGGGTATTGGGTAGGGGCCAACATTATTGCTGCCTCAACACACCGCCTAAACACCAAATAGCTCAGTGGTGAGTAGGCTTCGATGATGCTTAAAGCCCGCCTACCTCATCCAAAGAGGAAAACTGCGTCGGAGAGTTACTCGTGGATTGGAATGTTTGTATATGGAGGAGCATATCGGTGAGGTTGATCAGGTCCAAACGATTGAATTGAGAGATGGAGAAATGCTCTTCCTTGGTTAGTGGTCTCATGCGGCATCTCAAACACCCAGTTATGTCGTGGTGTGAGTGGCTGTGGGTGGTGTTCCTGCATGCTCGTATCTCACACCAGATCGGGGTCCATATGGGGCTGCCTTATCTCGTATACTTCGACTTCGGCTCCCCCAACGATGCCTAAGGAAAGTCGTTTAAGGACTACGAGGCCTGGAGATACGCTCCCTTCAGGCGTTACTTAGGCTAGTATGCTCCTTTGACAGAAATTGAAGGTCCTTTGCCTAATCTTTACAAGTCGCTACTACAGACTTTATGTTCCAAGTCGTGGGAAATATATAATGTTCTTATGCATGTATAGTGCTTTACCCTGCTTGGGACCAGAATTCAGTTCTACAGCGGCATGGCTAAACACAGGTTGAATTAAACATCTAAAGCAGCGTCGCAAGGCTGGCAGACGAGGGGGACCGTGCCAAGAATTCATCACCGCTTTTTCTCGAACGCGGAGGTGCAGGAGCGAGGCTCAGTGCGTGAATCAGAATTGGAGTCATCGCAACTAATTTACTAAACTCGCACTTCTAACACTCAACTTTCACTTACCAACTTCACTCTCAAAGCCGCTCTATCACTACCTGTGAGGCCGAAGATCAGAGGGCAACATGGCCGAGGACTTGACAGCCCAGGTTCTGAATGTCCTAGCCTCTGCCGACGGACCAATTCTAACCTCAGATGTCCTACCCAATGCGTCCCTGATCCCAGTCAAAGCTGCTGTTGACCGGTTACGCTCGAGAGGTTTTCTTGAGGCCGAGCAGATAGACCGAATAGAACTGCATCTCACAGCAGAAGGAGAAGAGATTGCAAATAATGGTAGTAATGGAGCCAAAGTGTTCGAAGCAGTCCGGGCAGCCCTAGAGGGATTGAAGATCAAAGATCTGCCTACCGCAGTCGGCGACGCCAGTGTGGCAAAGTTCGGTTTTGGAGATGCTTTCAAAGCCAAATGGATTAAGAAAGAGGGGGAAGTACTTAAGGCCACAACAGACTCGATCCAGGACGAACTCCAACTGCAATTACAGGAAGTACGGTCTACCAAGACATTGAATAATCCCAAACTTGTTGCAGACTTCAAGAAGAGGAAATATGTGGTGGACACAAAGACGATCGCTTTCAAAATCTCAAAGGGCCCCAATTTCTCGACCGAGTTCGTCAAACAGGAGACCGATCTGACAGCGGAGATGTTAGCATCTGGAGCCTGGAAGACTGTCCAATTCAAGCCATACAACTTCAAAGCCAAAGGAGCCCCCACAATGGCTGGAACTCTGCACCCTCTCAACAAAGTCCGACAGGAGTTCCGTGAGATCTTCTTCGAGATGGGCTTTGAAGAAATGCCAACAAATCGCTATGTCGAGACTGGATTCTGGAACTTTGACGCCCTTTATGTTCCTCAACAGCATCCAGCTCGTGACCTTCAAGATACCTTTTACATTTCAGATCCTCCCAAAGCCGATCCTCCACGTGAAGATCCTTCTCCGAACACCATAGGCTCACCTCTACCTACATCTCCCAAACACAAACGGACAAAATCAAAAGAAAAGACATTGAACTATAAGCAATATTGGGATGATGTCCGTGCTGTTCATGAGGAAGGCAAATTCGGCTCGATAGGTTATCGATATCCTTGGTCAGCAGATGAGTCTCTCAGACTTGTTCTTCGAACCCACACCACTGCCATCTCGACATACATGCTTCATAAGCTTGCACTAAATCCTCGCCCTGCTCGCTACTTCTCCATCGATCGTGTCTTCCGAAATGAGACCGTCGATCAAACACATCTTGCCGAGTTTCACCAAGTCGAAGGTGTGATTGCAGATTGGGGACTGACCCTTGGTGGCTTAATCGGATTCATGGAAGTCTTTTTCGGCAAAATGGGCATCAAAAATCTGCGTTTCAAGCCTGCTTATAATCCATACACCGAGCCCAGTATGGAAATCTTCAGCTATCATGAGGGTTTGAAGAAATGGGTGGAGATTGGAAACAGTGGTATGTTCCGGCCAGAGATGTTGGAGCCAATGGGCCTTCCTAAAGACATGCGGATTTATGGCTGGGGATTGAGTTTGGAAAGACCGACTATGATCAAGTAAGACCAGCAATCGACTCCCCTTTCAAGATATGATGCGCTGACTTTTTACAGATACGGTGTGAACAACATCCGAGAACTTCTCGGCCACAAAGTGGACCTCAACTTCATTGAAACAAACCCCGCTGTCCGACTGAACAAAGATTAGAGAGCATCAGCGATCCTCCTATGTATGAAGACTACGAATTTCATGCGCAACGCAAAGCAAGGCAGCAGATAAAAGTTCTAGACAAAACGAGGCTAGAAATGATACCCCTTTCCTTGCTTCCCCAATTTCAGACAGCATTTCCTTTTCTATGATTTTACCGGCACATCAAGGCTTCCTCAGACCACTCTCCCATGACTGAGGAGGTAGATCAGAATTTCAAAACATACATACAAAGCCGAATATTAAGCTGGAGGTTTCCTTCAGCAATCGCCTATTGAAGAGCTGTGATTATCCGAGATCGAGAATCAGAGCACAGATACGGGCGGCACATACTCCACGCTTGGTCGTAGACATACTAACCGAGTTGAGTTGAGTGAAAAAGCACAAGACTCCAACGGTAGCACTTCGAAGATAAATAAGAACGTTTCACTTCTTTGCATTTCCTGCGTTCATCTAGAAAACACAGCTTTATGGAATTACTTCGGTATCATTCCTGGCATTTTGTCGAAATTTCTTGACCCTGCCATCGCCATTCCTGTATCGTAGCGCCATGATCCGTATGTGACACTATGCGTCACACGTTTCCCGAGCGACTGGCCACAAAAAGAGTTGGCCTTCGATCCATACCGTTGCGTACTTTGAATTTCGCTCTATCTCAACGATGCTGAAGTCGGACCGTGGGCTGAGAACACCTCTCCACATCACCACAATTTTGATTGCTCTTCATCACAACACTCCCGGGATCATTTGTCGGATTTATCTCGAAGCCTGACCGCTCCAGACACTCTTCAAGAAACCATCTCTCTGCGCCAGGCGGTTCAAGCTGTCGTCGCTCTCGGCCCGCGACCGGACGAATCCACAGAGTGCGTAGACCTGGTTCTCACCGGTGTAGCGGCCGTTCTCGTCAACCTTGCCGACGCTAATCTGTACGCTGGCGTGGTCCTTGGCTTTGATGATGCGGTTGGTGGCGCTGCACTTGCGGGGGACGTAGCTGTTAAAGAGAAACGTATGTTAGTATGGGGTTTTTTCCATATCGCGGGCTTGGGTGTGGTTCGGAGAATCGTGTTGTTGGAATGGGTCGAGACTCACAGATCGACGATCTCTCCCTTCTCGTTTTCCATTTTTGCTTGGGTTTGAAGGTGAAGAGTTTCGGATGGGGTATGAGAGGAATTCGAGGGTCTTTAAGACTGGCTGGTGTGTATGGACTGGTTGTGTTCTTGAACGCCGATGAGATTGAGGTTGATTTGTGCGGGTTGGGGAATTCTGAGATGACTGCGGCTTGGCATGAAATCTTGGCGGGGCTACACCTCACCTGCTCTGATTGGTTGACGATTACCTAAGCAATTTCATTCACTTATTGCGATGACTATCAAGCGCGAAGTTCATCGTCTGAAGGCTACCACCCACTTGTTCTTTCTTCCATGCCATATTAGGGGAAGCGTGGCAAGAAGGTGTACGAGGACATTCCAGCTGATAGTTATCGATAGTACCAAGGTGTCAATGTATGATTTGACACAGGCATACCATTACATGTCAGGATTGAGCCTGCGCAAAACTCCTCAAACACCATTATCCTCTGTTCTGCATAAAGATCTCTATCATTGAGAACAATGCAGAGGAATGAATTGCAATATGTGCACTTTCCAAGACTGGCTATATGAGTCTCAGCGAAGAAGCCGACTCAGAGGGGGCATGAGTATTCACATTTCAACGAACTTGAAGGTAGGACAAACGGAAACGGCCTTGCAGCACCCATAAACGGCCTGGGAAAACGAGTGACGAGAACCCTTGGTGACAGAACGTGTCGCTGATGAGTCGCTGAATGGCGGCGAATGGTGACAGGCAATGGAGTATCTGAGAATAAAAGCCTCCTTCAGTGGCTTCAGCCAGCCTTGATCTGTTCGCATCTTCCACCACAAATCTTGATTACAATAAACGCAATTACGCATGTTTATTTCATGAAATTCAATATTCACATGGATCTGTCAGAGAGCGCGCATGCTCAGCATCAAGGGTCAACATCCAGTATGGCATCTTCTTCAGCCGGCCAGTCGAGCAAGGAGCTCAAAGCTTCAGCCTCCACCCCTTGCATACCAATTGATGTACCGTCGGAGCTTCTGTCAATCGTTGTGTCGAACTTGGAACCAGTTGACATCGTATGCCTCGCCCTCACATGTCACCGGAGCAAAGAAGCAATCCAGAAAATCACTCAAAAGCCCTTGAAAGAGATCTGCCCAAGAAAAGAGGTCACCAAGGTCTACTTTCGTCAAGCTCAAAAGCATTGTTTGAATGGCTCACTCACAGACTCCTTCCACGTCAGTGCCGAATACGAGGATGTCATGGCCCGATTGCGTCTTTGGTTTGGCTTCAGAAAGCTCTACTGCTATGCATGCCAACGATATCGAAACATTGGTACGTGTCGATGCGAGATGCGTGACTTGGCTCGCCAGGATTGTCTTTATTGGTACCGTTTCTACGAGAGGAACAAGACCAACAGTTGATTTTCAGGGAAGTTGAAGTCAGAAATTTTGCAATTTTGAACACACCAGAGTGACAATCGTGGCAGAATTTAGTGTCCTGTTGTCGATAATGATCATATCGCGCCATCCAAATATGAAACGATACTACCAGGTCTCATTCCATGCAATGCAAGGTGATCCACATCATAACATCGGGAGAAGCATAAGACTGCCGACCCAAGATTGACCAGAATTTGAGACATTTGTCGAAGCCGTCCACCCTTGGTATAGGGAGAAATCCAGAACAACTAGAACATTTCGGCGGGTGCAGATTGACAAAACGCCACAAAGCACTGTTCATTTGTTCCTCCGGCTGAGGCTGACTCTATACATCTACAAATGCCATTATGGTCATTATGTCCATAAAATCCCTGTTTTCGCTCATCAAGGTTCCACGAAAACACTATTGTGATCAAACATCAGCTTCTTTCTCTTCTCATAACAAACTGAGTATACTAGCAGTCCTTGAGCAAGTTACAAACAGTGACCCGGCTAATCCTACAGAGTCGACAGGCTTTATCCCGCCCCTGACACGTCCGATTTCCTGTACTTTATGCGACCACTTTTGTGCCTACTGCAAAATCATTCATTCACGCCCTGCATCCAGACATGCTGCTCAATGCGAGTCGAGTAAGCCGACATGCCCATAATCCGCTGCATCTGCTTGTTGCTAACTTTCAACACCTTGTCCGCCATAAAGAATCGAATGCCCTCTGAACACGGCGGAACGGTCAGCCCCCCCATATAGGTCCAAAAGTTACCAAAAGAATCAACCTCATTCAGCGCCAAATCGAGGTCCTGTTGAACATTGGTCAACTGTCTGGTCTCGTTGAAGCCAATATACCATGGCCACTGAGAGACGAACGCGGAGTCCGTGTCTCCAGAAGGATCGATGCGCATGGCCAGGACACCGACGTAGTTACTGTCGGCGTCGGCGTGCACGAAATGCATCTCCGCCATACTGCGCCTACCGTTGACTGGATGCTCACCCGGGGTGTGAATATGCCAGCCTACCATGTAAGCGGTAACGCCGTCGAAGGTGATGCTGGGAAGCTTGGTCACCGAGCCTTTGTCGTAGTGAGGCGTGAATGCCGGGCCGTAACCCCAGTTGAAGTAGTTGCCCGAGATGTTCTGCGCATAGTTCCCGAATTCTGGCCTGTGGACCGCGGAAAAGCCTTGAGCGGAAGTCAGGCCGATGGGCGCTTGCTGTGTGCCGTTCTGGCATAGGAAGTATTCTATACAGAACACGCGTCAGCAGACGTATTTCAGCATACTTGCAGTCCTAAGAACTCTTCACTTCGGAGACTGGGATGACTGACTGGGATTGATGTATCCCCAATTAGAAGAAACCTCATAAGTCCAGTCGTTGGCGTCTCTGCCCGGGTCGGCTTCCGTAATTGGGATGTCCCGTCGCATATCGCGATATGCAAAGTGATTTGAGTGATCTGCGCATCCCAGCACACATGTGGTTAAGACAAACGTGAGGAGGAGCTCGGACAACATCTTTGCTCTCTTGAATACCTCCACCGAAACAGCGAGATGGTGAGATGGAAGTGTAGAAGTACGGGCACAGCGGACAATGATCAAGACTCGACCTGGATAAATGTTCTGGCGCCTCCCAGGTCAGCTTTTATGTACCTGCTGCTGTTCGGCGGCACTCCACAGCGTTGGTTCAACGGCCTCATAAGCATTTATCTCTAAACAATATTACAAGGCTTGCGCAATCGCGTGGCCCCAGCTGCTGGCTGGTGCGCTTTTGACTCCAGCTTCTCGACTGGAACGGGTGGCCCATGCATGCGAAACGGGCGTTCTAGAACTTTATATTTATCGCACCACTTCAATAGCAGCATGGACTATATACGACTAGTAGTAGACATCATGAGCTTCCAAGTGGAGTGTCCCAACATCGACCATTGAAATTCCACTCATGGGATCACTGTGCCTTCCAAACAATCACTATGAAACGAGACAACGGCAGTGCAACAACTGGGTCATGATGTCAAAGTCCAGCACTTTCCAAAGGAGCTATCGTTTCCCATAATGAGATTATCAAAAATCCATCTGCCGACATCAGCTTTCGCGATGGACCAGCCGATGGCAGGCCCGGCCTCTTTCTCACCCTGCGCTATTTTCTCCTGGCGCAGTTGATCGGGCCAAACCCAACCGGCTCTGACCTTCTCAGGGCCCAGCGCTGCTCCGCCCCTCAATAGTGGTGGCCTCACCATTGCGAAGTCGCCGAAAGGTGAATCATCCTCTAGCACGGTGGACCATATCACATCTTCCAGCGCTTTCTTGTCCTTGCGCGGGATGTTTACCAGCCAGTACTCAAGCGGATAGTATAGGTAGGGTAAGTCGCGGCGGGAACTCATGCTGATGGTGGAGATGGTTATGAGCACTGGACGAATACCTAGAGGTCCAAGTGGGATCTTGTTGGTGATGCAAGAACGAAGCGCGGTGACGAGAGTCTTCATGCCCTCTTCGCAGATGTGTGGGTCGTCGAGATTGATTGGGGCGACGAGACTGAATTGCATGATGGGAGAACCTCCGACAGCGAATAGGATGCGGTCTGGAAGACGCCCGGAGGTGGTGAGCGTACGCTTGACGTCTTCGGTGGACTTGATATTCCCTTGGACGACAACGAGATTGGAATCCAGTGTGTTCGAGGGTATTTTGTGTTGGTCTTCTAACAGATGACGCAGTTTGGCAGGTGTGCGTACCATGGTGATGCAGTTTAGGCCAGCTTTCAGCGCGGCCACGAGAGCATGAGCAGCACAGTTTCCCGTTGCTCCAAAGACAGTGAGGGTTGGTTGTCGTGCTCGCGCCATGATCTCAACAGTGGTAGGATTGGTCTGTTCGTGTGCTTAATGGCCATGAAGAATATACACAAGCATAATCTCATGGGATTTTATAGGGTCTTGGAAAGAATCTCCACGGAGAGTCCTCTGGTAAGACCTAAAGGCTAAAAGGCCTTGAGAATGTTGACAAAGCAAATTGTCCAGGGTTGTGACAAAGCCATCTCAAGATCTCGGTAGCACTTACCAACAGTATTCAATATCAATGTGGCATTGGCCAACAGCAGGATTGGCTTTATCGTGCTAGATGCGTCTAAACCACTTTACAAGGCTAAATATGACACCACATCGAAGCCTTGCGGCATCACCCCTTTCGTTCAATGTAAGTGGAATCAGAGTTCGCCCGAACCGGCCGGTTGTTCGTCCGGGCACAGGAGTTGGGGTCGAATAACAACCCCGTGTTCTGTTCCTCCCATCTCCTGAGTCTGTAATGCGGGATCTAAGAACTTCATTTTGTTCTTGAACGAGGCTGGGCGCCTTATTCCTTGGTATACACCGCTGCTCAACGGTCGCAATGCTTGAGCTTGTCATTCTTAAAATAGACATGTTCGCTCATTCGATATTGTCAGATACAGAAACCATGCCACCCCAAATGGGCAAGACTTTGCCTGAGTTTACATCAGAATGGCATTACTGGAAAAAGGTTAGAGTGGCGTTCAATTTCAGGAGTAGAAGGCACAATTCCGAGTTTGTTCAGGCGCAAAAGTTGAGTCTTCGTCGAGTGGTGGCTGGAGGTCGCAAGGCTGGCAGATCACTTTGATCTAGACCCTGCAAATGGCACAAATGTCATTTCAGTCTTCGACAATTGTCGTCGAGTCGTACAATTTTTCAGTTCCAATTGTGAGAGAACCCCGTGGCTGTTTCAGTACCATCATTTCAGCTGGTTCGTCGCGAGTTGTGCCGGATTCGACAGGGCTACTTTCTGGTACCACAGGAGATCTCAAGCGAGCATTTAGAAGGGTGACTTCGCGAAAGGCATCTCCAGAATCCGGGAACCCAAAATCAAATCCGCCGATCATTCGTGGAAGCGACTCAGAGCCCTGACTTTCACGCTCGTCACAGCTAATGGTGCGTGACTCAACTTTCAATCCTGGAGGCGGCTGCAGCGCCTCGAACCTGGCCCTTTCTAGTCTTCTACTAGCGTCTTTGTGCCCGTAGCGCACCGCGAGGTCGTATGCAGTCTGCCATCGGTCATTCCTGGCCCGGATATCTGCACCACTATTCAATAGTTGACCCAGAATATCCGTTCTTCCCAGCGAGGCAGCGTAGTGAAGGGGTGCATCCTCTCCTGTTCTGCAAAGATTCGGGTCTGCGCCGTACTGGAGAAGAAGTTTGACGCTGTGTCCTTTCTCTTGCTGCACCGCATATATGAGTGGGGTTTGGTGCGAGTTTAGGATGAAAAAGTCTACAGAAGTAGCTTTTGGGAGTAACATCTCCAACACTTCAAAATTCCCAACGTCGATTGCAGCCTTAACAAGGAAAGCGAAATTTGAGATGTCCTTGTCAGCCTCTAAAGTTATTTGCTCTGCCAGAGATTCCCTTTCATGCTCCACCCCAAGATATGCAACTGCGGAAAGCGCCCCAAGCAAGGCTTGGCCCTTCAGGTCGATGGATTTGCGGTAGAGCGTCAAGAGACAAATATGACCTTCGCGAACGTGATCCCCGAAGTCTTCCAGTCGTATATCCAGAGCGCTCAAGATAGGCTTTAGATCATCATCTATGATCTTGACGATAGCATCTGTGTCTAAAGACTGACTCCGTGGTAGGTTTTGGTCCTCATGTGTCCAAATACATGACCATCGACAAACAACACCCGCGATAGATTCTAGGAGGGCATCATGCTGCATTTCGGGAGTCAATAAACCCCAGGTTGCACTATTTTGCCCAATTTGGCTGTAGACATTCGAAGTTTTCAAGTGGAAGAAGATATTCTCCATCACATATTCCACAATCGATGTCCCAATCCATTTTGAAGCCAATTTCACAAGATCCGGGGGACTATAAAACAGAGCTTGACATTTATCTTCGGGGAGATAACAGCTCACCTCATCGCTGGCCAAGATGCGGCTGCACATCTGATACAAACGGAAATTCCCGAATGAAGCATCCATAGGAAGGTGTGATAGATGTCCAGGAAGGTCACCCTGGCTTACAAAGTCGCGTACAGTCTCGTGTATCACTTGAACGATCCACTTTGTCTCGAGATTGGAGGTCCTTGGCCGGTTGCTGCCTGACTTGAGGTATTGACGTTCAAGCTCTGCCTCTTGATTCTTCCGTGCTTGCTGCAATACTGAAGAAGGCAGGTGATGCATACCATCACTCACACCCCAAAATTCTTCTAGATCGGTACCAGGTCGACCAGCAGAAATTCCAGAATCCACGACCTCGAGAAGGCCACCGGAGCACTCAGTGATGAATAGTCGAAAATAGGATACTTGCTCATCCAGAGAGGCAAATTTTTCCAACGAATGTGGATAATCGCGTCTCATGAACTCGATTCCCAAACGAAGTTCATCGGTATTAAGTGATCTTTTTGCATATAGTGTCAGATACAGAAGATTTGCAGCATCCTCTGCCAAATCGGGGTCGAGCGTTGATATTATCTCGGCATAAAGTTTGCTCAGCTCAGTGGGTAGGTCATGAAGGACTTTCTGGATCTTTGTGAGTGGGAAACCCCTGTCAGCCAGTCTTGAGATCTTGTTCACAACAAGCACACTCCATAAGAAGACGCCTTGAGACTTTGAGACTACCTCGGATGCGAGAGGAGCTAATATCTTCCCCCGCTCGGACCGTCCAAGATGGCGGTAGACATATAACTCAATGTCTTCAACATTCATGGCTTCGACTCTCAGTTCGAATCCATGATCAATGCTGATATGGGGATAGTGCCGACTAGACCAGCATATCTTCAGATTGTGAGAACCCTTATCAATATGGTCGGCGGCGCATTTCTCAAAAGCAGAGACAATGGTGTGCACTTCTTCTTCTCTGCATTCATCCAGTGCATCCACAAAAATCTCAATCGAAGTCTTAGAGGAGACTTGAAGAGCATCGAAGAACATCTCGCGCAACTCTGCACGAGTCCAAACGATCTCTCTTGTCCCTGTCTCGGTCTTTTTCTTCCGGAAACGTCTCAGAAGTCGACGCTGCATGGCCGGGGATTCGTAGACTAATTGGTGGAGAAATGTTTTGAACAACCCCTGCGCATTACGTTCCTCCTCGGATCCTCGTGCATTGAAGAAGAATGTAAGCCGCACAACATCCTTGGTTCTTGGATTTGCCAATGCAATGTGTTTCAATAACGTACTCTTGCCCGACCCTGGTTTTCCTTTGATCCAGAGGAGCCCGTGCGACTTATCCATATCCTGGCGATTGATCCAGGCTTTGTAGTCAGGGTGCTTCAGTATCCAGAGACATGTGCCAGACTCGGCAGGTTCAATGATGGCTTGCCGAACACCCATCTCCGAAAATGCTAGAGTTTCCAGAAAACTTTTAGCTTCGTGAGTAAGGCCCAGTTCTGTTTCAACTGGCGCCGTGAGCTCAGACCATCGCTCAAGAACACCCAAGATGCTCTTGTAGGCTGGACTCTGAGCTGATGAGAAGCGCGCGATATCTCTGTGATCGGCGTGGATAGATATGTTATTGAAGCCAGGAATGGTTGCAGAGGACTGGTCCACGATTTGGCTTCCTCCGACCATTGGCAAAGTCTCGTAGAAACAAGCAACTTCGATTGATGTGTTTTCCGATGCACGCCGCCGTAGCAAGGAGAGGAAATCATCATGGATTCGAGATAACACCTCCGAATTTGACTGCAAGAGCGATAAGAGTGAGAGGTCGGTCCTTTTCACGAAACCCAGCATGGTGGCGGGAAGTTTGGCCCAAGTTGCGAGCCAGCTCCCTCCATGCGGCGTGCCAATGAACGCAATCCCCCGAGTACAACTCGCTATTTCCCGAAGATGCCTATCTCCACTAATCTCGGATTTCCGAATTGCATCTTTACACAAGAGGCCACCAAGGCTGTGAGCCACGAAGATAATAGGCCGCGTGATTGTCGTCGGCTTTTGTCTCTCGTTGGCTAGGGCGTTGAGTAGGTCATTTGCATGATGAGAAATATCAAGCTTGGCGATATTATCAGACTTTCCCACGACGTAGGCATCATAACCGAATGTCAGAATTCTGGCTTCCGGATGGGATTCTGGTAGGAGATCACGAGGCCAACAAACCGCATTGGTGGGGCTCGTCCATGTTCGTTCTCGGTCACCAGTGATACCATGTACAAATACTATGTCAGTCGTCGCATCTGGAGGGTCAACTAAGACTTTGATGCCAGATGGAAAGCTGTCGAGGATGGAATCGGCCACAGGGCTGCGGGAACGGTCCTTCCCCCGCTTATCAACATGGAGCTTGGACTTCCACTGCGACCAACGGGACATGGCATGAGCTACTCAATCTTGCAGATCCTTGAATCGCATTCTGCTATTCCTTTCATATACGAAAAAAGCACGACGCTTCTTTCGGGTGAGAGTCAGGCAGAAAGCGGTCTTTCGATGTGTGGCTGAGCCGCCTTGTGAAACCACCAATTACTTTCGTACACCAACACTTCGTACATGAGCACCCACAATTGGCCGGCTAGTAAATCAGCCTCGCGGACACACCTGACATGCCATAAGAACTTCACAGACTCTTTCATACGAGAGGCATTGACTGTTTTTCGACTACCAAAAAGTGATCTTCCAAAATCTGCTTTCAACACGATTATCTAGGTCACTAAAGCAAAGGCTGAACGGTGAAAATCCACTAAAGTGACCCTAATTGATCACGGCTCAGCCTCACAAGATGAGGATATGACGTCAACAGCGATAGCTATTCGGACGACTTGGAACTTTTTTCGAAGCATCGAAGCTCTCAGCTAAAGTGAAGGATTTACTGATGGTATGAGAATTCTTCTCTACCCTCATGGGCCATCTTCGTGTCAGTGTAGTAGCATCAAGAAAAACGACGGGGCCATTCTGCACATTTAGACTACTCTGCACACGAGCTCTAAAAGGCCAAGCTTGGTAGACTTTGGTGCCGCTGATGAAGGATCTCTCTCAAAGGTATTGGAGAATGCTTCCTGCAACGAATGACCACTCATCCCCGTGGAGCTTTCTGAACTGGGATGGAGAGTAGTCATGAAGAGCTCTTCAGATGTTCAGCGACAGTCTTTGGTGATGACATGGAAGCACCACATCTTTGATAAAGAGAGTGGTCTCGAACATGGCGGCCTTATTTTCATCTATCAGGAAACCTACCACTAGTACTCCCAGTTCACAGAGCATTTGTCATGGCTAGAATCCTGGATTGGGACTAGTGCGACGCCTGCGTGTCGGCAAGGTTATCGAATTTGGCTTACGCGGCTCGATATCATGCACTCATGACATCGATTCGTCCTGTATACTTAGAACTTACTCATATCGCGGATCAGTCGTGCCAGCCTTACATCCACGGGCCGCGGCACTCTCGGCTCGATGTACAGCTTGGCGAGAAACTCGGAGACATTCTATCAAATGTCGCACCATGGAGGAATTCGTCTTGGGACTGGTGCTGCAAAGTACGGCCGTAGCATGGGAGGTCGGATGTCCTGCTCCGAACGAGTAGAGATCGTCCACTATGCATAGACCCCAGAGTGCGAAGTGTACTCGGGTATGTTCACCTGTGTCGACGATCTATATCAACTGCATAAAGACATTTGTCAGCGATATGTATCAGAGACACCGGTATCTTATGAGGATAAATACCTTTAAAAAGCGTCCAAGTCAGCGAGTGATCGAACAGGCTCAAAAAGTTCAGAATCCTATTGAGAAAAGCAACCATTTATTGAATAGTCGACATTTCTCTGAGTACCGGACAAACTTCGCAAATCCAAATTCGCAAGGATGGCAGACATTCCCACGTTCGCCAGCTACCTCTTCAAAGCATCCGCCGTTCTCAACGCCGTTTCAGTACCAGGACACATAGTCTACGGCTGGAAGCACCTGGAGCCCGTCCTGCACAAATGGAACACAAATACACCAGAACACCGAGTTGCAGACGCCAGCGCGAGAGTCGGGTGGGATCACATGACGGTTGGGATCATAGCGGCAGGTAAGCCATCGGCCATGATAAGCCATAAGCCATTCGTTCGACTTTGTTGCTGCTTCTTGCCCAAGATGGCTTGGTCTTTCACTGACGATACATACGATGCAGCCGTGTTGAACTGGCGGTGGAGTTCAACTCGTGGACCGCAGGCGACGGACGACAAAGTCATATTCTGGTCGTTATTCGCTGGTGGGTTGTATGTTGGGAAGCAGTTTTGGCAGGTGAGGGAATTCAGACCGCTGTTAAGTTTATGGGTCGCGCCGGTGTTCAGTCTTCTTGGTTGGGCTTTGGTTCGGTAAGGACGCGGTTGTTCTAGGTCATTTGTGTTCGAGGTTTAGTCTTCTTGGTAGGTTGGTACAGTATCATATTCGCTTCTCCTCTCGTATTAGTTTGTTGAGCGGTTTATCGGGGTGAGCTTGCCGACAAAAGCCTCCAGTTGCATGAGTGTAGGTCACTGTTGCCCTACGAAGACAAGACGAAAACAAGACGAAAACAAGACGAAAACAAGACGAGGTGGTATTCTAGTGGCAGGCAGCAGCAGATCTGCCGCTTTGAGTTTGGAGTCTGTCAAGTCAACGAGTCGGTTGAAGACATTAGCAACGCATCGGCAACACATCAACTGACATCACCAGTCGAATGCAAGCCAGAAATGCTGTTGCCTGAACGGCATGCCTTCTGCGTCCCGATAATGTGCTGGCCAAGGTTTGCTTCGTGTTGCAAACAATTAACCACGGCGACATAGCGCATTCTATTGCTCGAGAGGGTGACAGGGTGGTAATCCTCAGTGGCTGTAGTCGTTGCTACTGGCACAGGCAGGCAGATCTTTGTATTCTCGAACTTGTTGAAGGCATGTTATATCAGGGAGGGACCCGGAATTGGGACAGCACCACGGTGATGGATTAGTGCACTTCGTCAGTTTGTCACGTCTGCAAGGTGTTGTCGTCAGGAGGTCCACGGAAACGGCTGTAAGGTCAAACTCCATATGCTCTCTGGATTGCTTGGACGACAATCTCTGGACTTCGGCTCACCTGCAGTCAAAAGAGAGCAAGCGTTCAAGCTCTCCATAAAGGGGCCGATTGCCTTGCAAGGGGGACTGATTACTTGCTGGCCTAAGACACCGACCAGTAGAAAGAGTCGCCCACCACATGTTACACACGTCAAGGCAGACTTCGCTCTCGCCAACGTGAACAGCGCAGGTCGTAGGGTGAGTCATCAGCCGTGACTGGTGGGTAGATTGATCACTCCACAGCCATTGGAAGCAGAGTGACGCGTTCTCTTTAGACCAGGGCAAGCATTTCTTTCCATATCTGGTCAAGGGACTAGATTTGTTTGGAAATGCTGACTTCATTGATCGATTGGACAAGTCTATCTCCCCCGATGGTGGTGCCACAATCTTGTTGGGACCTCGATCAGAAGCGGATTAGTGATAGTACCTGACTGATGGAAACTCAATACACCCCAGTGTGAATGGAGGACTAAACCACAGCATATTCGGTATTTTCAGTCGTAATTGTGGTCTCATAAGCTGAAACATTACCGCCCAATTCATGCCTTTCCTGATCGATTATTATCCTTTGTTGGCGTGGAATAGCCCAATCCTTATGGTTCAGGTCAAGATTGTTGGTTGCTGTGGTCAAGGAGACGTGTTGCGCGTTGATGTGCAGACAGACTTTCGCTCTTTCAGAATAGCTCGATGACTTGAGTGACAGTCGTATCCAATAAGGTTGGGTGAAATAGCGTACCGAGTCCGCATGAGGATAAGTCAAAACATGGGGTAGTTTGGGCTATATTTATCCACAGAGGAGGTCAACAACCCGCATATCCACTTTGTCCAGGCAACTGCGTTTCAAGAACTGCAGGATAACAATACACAGCCTCATTGTTCCGTCGTCCTTTGAGCGAGGGGTGTGTATACTAGGAGTAACAGGGTTAGTAAGTTCAGATCAGTCAACATTTGGGTGGTTGCTAGGTGGCAGTCAGGTGCTTGTATATCGACGTATATCCATTCGAGGCCGCCTCCTTCCCTCTTCCTTCTCCTCCTCCTTTTGGTTCCTCATCGAACAGTGACGAGTTCGGACACGTTGACGCTCCTTACTAAAAAATCACCGAATTCATCTTCCCATTCCTATACTTCCATTCAAGATGGCCATTGGAGTCTTGAAAACACCCAATGGCGACGATGCCGCCCGCCTTTTCTTGATTCTCAACGATATCGTCGGAATCACTCTGTGCTTCGTTGGTGGACGTGCTATATATTTTGTCCTCGGATCGACTTTGATTGTTTCCATGATCTTCAACATGGTGTCAATTTTGGCTCAAGGAAATGCCACTCGCCAGAAATTGAAGAGAGACGAGCCCGTCCGTCCCAATATGTTTGGGATGTGCCTTGAGATCTTCGGCACCCTCGCTTTGATAATCATGTATACCATTTCGGTGGTCGACACAACAGCCTGGGATTATAGTTACTGGAACACATCACCTGTGTTTCTTCACGCATATGGTGGGGTGACTGGACTGATTGCTTTGTAAGTCTTGATCACTCTTCCCGTCCACGTGGCCCTTTGCTGTGACTGACGGATCTCTCACAGTGTTATGCACGGCGTAATGTCCGTCAAGAAGATTGCACAGTACGTCAAGTATCGTCAAAGCCTCTCGAACAGCTGTCCTCACTGCAAACGGGGTTATGAGGACCGTCCTGCAAGCAAGACTCCTGCCGGCAAAGCTCCTGCACTGGAACCTTCCCCCCTGTCGTTGACTGCCTGCGAGACTCATTCACCTAGGGTCAGCTTCAGTGCGAACACCGTTGGAGAAGGAGAGAACGACAACTTGATCATGAAAGAGTGAAAGTTTTCTCTCGGATTGACCATAAAATTCTCCGGGAAATCATGAATTCAAGGACCTACCTGCTGCTCGGAGGCTTGGTCGAGGGCAAAATTCTGAGGAGGAGAATGTTAATGTGGTGTGCCGCCACAGATGACATACACCACATGTTGGCAAGATTGTAAAAGGTCCGGGGTGTCTGGTTGATGGATTAGTCCGCTTACGCAGGAACAGTTCGTATTTCCTGTAGGTTGCGGAAGGGTGGATGGATTGTGGTTGGATGATCAATGGTAGCCTATCGTTAAATTTACGACTTCAATGGAATGAGCTTCATCGCTCTCGCCAGTTGAACAGAATACAAATGTCTCATCGGATCGTGCAAATGCACTGCCTTGAGCAGATGTGGCGCGGCGAGACTATTTTCTCGATGCAATTTTTCTACTTGCAGAGAGCATAGATGAATTCGCATGCCCAAAGAGGTATTCCTCAAAAAATGACAATATCGGGGATCCTTCTCGAAGAGTGATCATTTGTGGCAATGGCGACTTGTAGATGATCTGGGCCACAAGTCCCAAAATGCCGGGACAGGGCTGCATTTCTGTCTGGAAGTGTAACTGCACAAGTGCCACATTATTACTTCTCTAGGACAACTGCCCCGAAAAGCAACGGGTCTTCTCCGTACCAAGTCAGATGCTCCAACACTGTGGTAGCACCCGGAATTGGGCCCACATCCTCAACGTTGAAGACTCCATCAAGTGGAGATATAACAGAGAGTGCAAAGCCCGAAGTTGAGGGCATTCAGGGCCCGGAATCGTTCGGAATTTTACCACCAATGTTTTCCAATATCAGGAGGTGGTACAAAGATGATTGAAAGTGACCACGACACGCAACAACGATGAAAAAGGATGTCGAGTCAGTCCAAAAACCTTTGTGCAATTAGGGTGGAACCCGCCCCTTTGAAAGTTTGGGATATGTATTAAGCATCAGTGCAGCGGTCAAGTCTGAGTGGGTGGACCGGCTGGGGACCGGCATTTGAGCATCGTCATCATCTTGGGCGATCATTCTGGGTTGCTGAATCGAAATATCTCCGGGAGCCCATGTCGTGCAGTGTACGAAATAGCGTGTGATTCGCAGGGGTCGTTAGCTAGCCGATACTCTGTACCTTACAGCATAGCATGTGAAGTGGCCAAACTGCAGCAACTCTTCGTAACCAAAAAATTTACATCAGCAGCAACGACATTGCTGCTTGGGGCAAGAAAGCCACAGCCGAATGGAGATTCGTCCCCCGTCGGCAGCATCGTGTACCTCGGCAAGATGCTTGGAATCGGAAGTTGGTGACCGAACGGCAAAAAGGGAGATGAAATGCCTCAGCCTTATTCCAGAAATCCAATGTTGTTGGGACCATAGCCACTGGCAGTGATTTCAATAATAGCCCCGTCTCGTGGCCGAGGCACCGATTCGCTTGAGTTCACAAGTGGGTTGTCGCCGGTGCAGGGTGGGAGGGGGGAGGCGTCACCTTCTTTCATCCTGCAAGTGGGATTCGGACCCAAATTTCGGAATTCCCCTCGAATGCCAGTGTCCTAACTCAGTATCCGTACCACATGGATTTGCCATTATGGAGGCTTTGAAGAACGAGGCTCGCACATGGACGTGATGGTTTAACCTATAATGTAACGTTCCGCGACAAACACAGCGGCGTTTTGCCCTCAATTTGGCCATCACTCTGAAACCATTCATGGTATGAAGCTACGTGTTCGGTGCATCTGGTCCGGACAGTGTTTATTAAGCACTCGAGTGATGTTGGTCTCGCCGAGTAACTGGCGAGGCTTGATGGGAAAGTTTTAGTCATAGCTTTCGACGAGTGCAGCCTTTGGTCCCCATGGCATTGTTTTAGCAAGAGAATGGCCTGCATACAATTACTAGTGTGGGATATAGCATATTGGATTCCTAGCAGGATGATAGGTGCAGTTTCAATCCAGGAATGCCACGATTGTTCTCTTGCGGAAGCGTTGAATCGATCACTGAGTCGCAAAATGGGCCAAACGACGATGACAGGTATGTAGACCGATCAACATTGCTACTTCTGAATACCAAATTATGGTTTATGCTCGAAACGACCTGCTGCATCTGAATGTTTTGCATCGTTGCTGCTGAGCCGCCGTCGGTTAATGAGACCGGTGCTGCCTTGTCGTTGGTGCTTATTGGACGTGAGGTGGTGGTTAGCTGAAAGTAGACTTCAAGTTAGACCTTAATCGCTTATGATCGACATTGAGATCAAGCAAGCTATTGCTGCAAGTATGCATGACAGCAGAGGCGGCTTGTCATATTGAGCACACGACTGCGCTCACTATTGCATCACTGCTGGTAATGAGTCGATAGATGTTCACAGCTTGGGCCAATATCTCTAGTCTGCATGCAATGAACCGCCATACGGCTGGACTTTCCGAAGCCTGGATCTCACTAATTGCTTCTCCGAGGAATGCAGTGAGATTGCATCCTTGTGACATTTTCGCCATGGCCATCGGATGAGGCCCTGGGCATGCGGGTGAGCCTGGACCCCTGTATCCTGACCCAAGGTTAGTACCAGGCGGCTACAGTACATCAAACATTTTTATATCCAATTCGAGCATGATTCTTCGTGGTTGTTGCTGGCGCCAGGGCTTTGAAGCAGCAAGTCATTGGAGATTCACCAATAAATATAATCCTGATTATAGCAATGGTATGCCCACGACTGATGTGACAGGCGAAAGGTGTCCTTGAGTGCACGAGTGTTTATGAAGCTGATATGCACCAACAAGGCCGAATGGATACACGCCACGCCTTTCGACCGGACCCCCCAGCCAAGACCTAGACACATGAATGATCAACCACTATGAGTTGATATCCTTTAACAATGTTGACAATGCAACCTACTAGCGCGGATCTCCTTTAATACCACGGAACAGGGCCGTTGTAGGGGGAGGATACCAAGGAGGTTTCAGCTTTCGAAAAAGATTGGTCTTACCACGACTGAAGTGACCACTTTCGTAACGCACGGATGGCCACTTCAAGTCACGATTTCATAACCAAGACCGGCAACAATATAAGTAGGACGCAGGATCAAGGGAGCACGGCTGCACGAGTGCCTGGGCGAGTGGTCGATGGTCATCCCAAAGACTATTTCTCCGACCCACCACCAATATTGATTCGGCTAGAATGACTGGATGTGAAGTCTCTCCTAGGCAAGGCGTTGATGGTTAGTTTTCGTGGTCATCCACGGTGGGTTCTAACTACTCTAGAAATCGGCAAGGGTTTGCTGTTGAGGGTCGATGATTGGAGTCAAATGAAGTTGGGTGTTGAAGCAATCAATACTCGAGTATCAAGGTGCGTTCCGTGTTTGTTACAAGTCTACACTCCGTAATAGAGACCGTCGAATTGAAGAAAAGACCACGGACTGTCGACCAGTGCTCGCCGTTTGGATCACTTGCCAGATTGTAATAAAAACCAACAGGTTACGTCGATAATAAAGATGCCCGTTGTGCAGGCTTCGCATGGCGGGCTAGTGCCGCCCAAGTTGAACCCTGCCTAAGCCAACATTACCTTTGTGTGCCTGGCATTTTAGTTTTAGTTTGCTTCGTCTCGAACCTCCGGGATCCCGTTCGGCGGCATTTTCTTTCATGACCAGCAGGCAGTTTGGTCTTGGACTACTCATATCGAGTCTAGGTCGTTAGTAACCCGGCGGGAACATGTCCGGTGCAAGTTGCCGATATGTAATACTCGTATGTTTATAAAGCATTGAAACATGTACAAGCGATGTATCCGTGGTGTTCCTTTGGGGTGATTAAACAACCATGGCTGACGCATGATCTTGAGGTTGGATGGTGGCCACTGACAGGCCAGACCAGCATGTCGTGAGTGGCAAAAAGAGCCTCGATTAGGAAGAGGAACAGAAGCCCGAGAATGACACCCAGCTGTCGTGCACGAGCTGGAGCTGGAGTTGGAGCACTCCAAGGGTGGAGGGACGTACCTACTCGTAAAGTTTAGTTACTACGAAGTAGCAGGTACGGGTAGTGTGGGTAGTGCTGCTCGTGAATGGGCTCCACTAATAATGTGACTGCCGCTTGACCCGCAATAATAATCCAAAGCCTGAGCCTGAGCCTGAGCCTGAGCCAAAGCCCGAGCCTTGACCCAGGACTCTGACACCCAGATAGGCACCGATGGGTACTCTGGGACCGCGCTTTGGGCTTCAACTCCGAGATATAGGCCAGTGCCTCCGAGTCATGAGCACAGACGATGGAGAGTGCTCTCTCCGGAAAGCGAGAGTTGATGCTCTAGAGACACCCAAAACCTCAACAAACAATGGGCCATCTCCCTCCAGCACTGCTAGAGTTCATGATCCTGGTAGGCTTCAAAGTTGAGGGCGAGGGGGGTGCTAATCAATAGCCCTACCAATAAATGGCAGCACCAGGGTTCCGCCGCTTCAGTGTTAGTCTTTAAAGCCCTTGGACCTTGGACCTTGGACCTCAGGCTTGGATCATGACCCGAGCATCCTCGTCCCTCCTCCGTCACTGTGACCGATATGCCCCAGAATGCTCACTAGTAGTCACTAAGCCCTTCCGAATTACCACCTTCGTAGAACTCATTATTACGACTGTTATTCCCGATGGTTTCCTCGACCGACTAGAATCTCTCTCCTCCGTTTTCATGTGCCTGTCCCTGTACCTGTGAAAAGAAGAAGAATAATAATCACACCGACACCGAGCATTCGAGAAGCGCCGTCGACTATCGCCTCCTCCACTACTAACCACTACATCTCAAATCGTCGTTCATTACCCAACATCATCCATTCACATCCTTTGCCAGTGGCCAGTCCCAGGCCGCATCTCCGAGAAATCGCCCCACAACGTCACCGCCCACCTGCTGCACGCCCACTGCACGCCCACACCCACGCTCACGCTCACGCCCACCCCGAATCCTCACATCCTATCCTCGTTACTCTTAGGTACTCGTACTCCGTACCACCACCCTCGAGGCAATTCGAGTTCGACTTGATTGCCCGACTTCCTCCTGCATATCACGGCTTCAAAGGACGTCCTTTGTAGACTCCTTCTCAAGCCACCGTCCGTCCAATTTACAACCCCATTACACCCTCCAAAACATATCCTTCCGTAATAACAGTCTATGTTTGATTACGAAGAGAGCCCTCCACCGCTACATCACTCGCCTTCTCCGAGTGATCAGTCGCACAGCAACTCCAGAGATACCACTCCCGTCACTCCTGTTGGCACCGCCACTTTCTTCGGCAAGAAATCAGACAAGGAATTCCTACCTTGGTTCAAGAAACCCGTCACTGTTGGTCGTACTACCACTGCCTTGTGTAGAGACACTTATCTCCTCGCGCCTGATTTTGACGACAATACCTTCCCAACCTTTGGTGGTCCGCCACCAACAAAGGGAATGGCGACGGTAGCCGGCCCTGTTGACATTACACTGAGACAAACTTCCACATCTCCTCGTGGCAATCAGCCTTCGAACTTGACCTCCGCTCTCCAACGAAGCGATAGCGACGAGAAACGCAAGATGGGCCATCAGATGCCCGAAACAGCCCTCAATCGCCCAATCCCCCAGATGCCCTCCACTGCTTCAGATGACTTTTCAAGGTTCGAGCATGGTGCTCGACAGATACCAACCAAAGGGTCAACCTTTCAGCAGCAGAACAGACGTGAGAGCATCGCTCAAAGCCTCGGAACAGGAATGAGTTGGGGCGGCATCTCGGTCGGTAGCTGGGTGAGAGATGAGTAAGTATCCGATCTCGGTGTCTGCGCTGGGAAACAAGAAACTGACATTGGTATTAGCATGATGATGTCCGGAACATCTCCCTTTGCATTCAATTCCCCTTCCTATCATTCTTCATCCTACCTACCCAAACTCGAGGCCAATTTCATGAAAGATTTTTCGTGTTGCGGTCTGACTCTACCATCTCTGCACGACCTGCTGCAGCACTATGAAGAAGCCCACGCCCAAAAGGACCCCAGCCAGGCAGATCTGACACAGCCACCTCTTCCTGATAGTCGAGCAGCACTGGCTGCCACCACTGCGGCCAATGTTCAACAAGAGGCTCAAGAAAGAGTCCAGCAACAGCAGCAGAACCATCATCAAGCTCCCGTTCGGCCCTTCGGAACACATCAGCCATACCACCAGCCAAACCAGCGGCCAGCACAATTCTCCAACACCCTGCAAACGATTCCAGACATGGATACCGTGGACGACATGGAAATGGACGATATCGACGGCGCCGACGAGACAACCCCACCTCCAAACCTTTATACTCAGAACCAAGCTCAGATCTCGCCACAAGGCACTTTCAACGCCCCAATCCAGCCTCAGATTCCGCAGCTTAATACTAACATGATGCAAGGCCATCAAGCCTATAGGCAATCGACTCCAAACACACCAATAGCATCAGGTGGGCGAGCCAGTGCTCCGTTCCAAGGCAACAGCGGGTCTTCTACACTGATGGCGAACCCCATGCAACAATTCCAGGACCTTCAGAACGCTTATCGGGGCACACCCGATTCTTCGGCTCCAGGAACCCCTGGTGAACTTGATGATGGCCTGATGAGTGGAATGGACGATATGTCGATGCAAAACAATCAAATGTTCAACGGAATGCCCAATGCCTTTGGTAATTTCGGATTCGGCATGAACAATGACATGATCGACTTATGTATTGACGAACCCGCCAAACGATTATTCTCTCCAGGAAACCCCAACATGGGACAAGGACAAGGGCAGCAGGCAGGACAAAACCGACTTGGAAGCGGACAGTATGGTGCAAACAGTGATATTGCACGTACCATTCGTGAGAAACAAGTCGCCGCTGGTCTACCTGACACCACGACTAACATTGCTCCGCATGAAGAACCAAAACCCTTCCGGTGTCCTGTGATTGGTTGCGAAAAGGCATACAAAAATCAGAATGGTCTCAAGTACCATAAATCCGTAAGTGATGTTTTCCCCTGGGTGCAACCTTTTCTGACCAAGTCTGGTAGCATGGACACAATAATCAGCGACTTCACGACAACGGAGATGGAACATATGCAATCGTGGATCCGGATACTCAGGTTCCTTATCCCGGCACGATGGGCATGGAGAAGGAAAAGCCATACAAGTGTGATGTATGTCAAAAGAGATACAAGAATTTGAATGGCTTGAAATATCACATGACGCACTCGCCTGCATGTGCGGCTAAGCAACCACCTGACAGCACCAACAAGAGCCCCCCTCTAGCGCTGCCGAACATGATGGGAGGACCAAACACAGGCAACATGGGAGCTGGTCTCTCGGGAGATATGAGCATGATTTGATGCTAATTGATGCACTCTTTTCATGCTGAGTGATGATGATTCGATTCAACGTCTGAGACAGCAGGATGACTGCCAGGAAATGTTTCCAGATACACACTATTATTAATGACGAGAGACGACCCAGCATTGAGGAATGTCGATACCAAATACGACACCAAGAATGAGAGACCCTTGGGAAAATGTCGGTATTGTTGTTCTGGTGGCACATGTCCCCACCGAACAAATACGGCCGATCCACGGACCCGCGTTCACCCTACGCGTTGATGTTTGTTGGATACGATACACTCACGAAACGGCCTATCACACAAGTCTCTTATATGAGATGTGATTACAAAAGTTGAATTTGCTTTTTTTAACACGAGTGGGATTTTTTCAATAGAGCGGCACGGGTTGGCTTTTTAGAACGGTATGATTCACTCACCTCAATCATGGCGTTACGATCGACAGGAACTGCCGGCAAGGAAAGGCAGTCTGGCAGTTTCTGAACAGGTCCTAGCGATTGATTTTTGTGGTGTGAAGTGCAATGAGTGGGCAAGGCGACAACGTTGAATTTTGTCGATTTTATTCCGAAGATACCTCACTCACCGCTGCCAATTGAACACGGTGTTTCGATTTCGCAGCAGCAGCGGGGGTTACTATGAGTTGCGTTTAATGGGAAACTTTAGACCGAGCTTTTTCTCGACTGGGGCTTTCAAAGACAGACACGGCACGGCCCAAAAAGGGTTCAAAGAGTTTACTGGATGACTACCGGATCAGACCAGATCAGAGCAGAGGACAGGTTGAAATTGGTGTTTGCGGTTTCTTCAAAGATTAGAGGATTGGGAAACCTATTGAGCGTTCGCATGCGTGTCATGTTTTTATCAGTAGACGCAGTACTACTTATATGTCGATAGAAGAAATCAATCCGAACTCTATTGAGCTTGAATAAACATCAAGATCACTGTTGGTTGTCAGGTGACATGACAGAATACCGATATACTCGTCCACTGTCAATAAGGGTGAGTAACCCGCAGTAAAAGACATTGAGATTGTCAGGAACAGCCGGGGCGATTTGACCCCAAAGCAGCAATTTTAGCCACATGATAGTACGTGCCGAGAATATCTGTACGACCGCAGCGAGATGTGTACTCAAAGTTGTATCCGTACTTCTAAAAGAAAAATCGTACTTCGTACCTCCATTGTGCCGTCGTGCGTGGCAGGTTAGCGAACGAGACAAAAGACGCACGCAGGGACGCGTGTGTCAAACACTCAGGGATGTACCACAGCGGAGAGGTCCCAGCGGTTGTGAAACACGCACACTGGCAATGGACGCACGCTTTTACGAAGTACGGTGGTAGTACTTCGGACTAGCTTCTGAGGGGTTGCGCACGTACTTGGTTATGACTTGTTAGCACTGGCAGTGGAGTCAGTAATCAAGTTCCACACTGCATGTACCGAGTACTCGTAGTCTTTGCTAGAAAGAAAAGGCGTTTCAGGTCAAGTGTGATGCGCGTGATTCAGTGGGTTCAGGATTTGGGGAGAGGGGCGCCGAGGGGCGCTTAGTTCATCGTATGGATATCATATCGGTATCGATTGCTCCTTACGAGTACAGTATCTCTGGACGAGCTGTCCGCTTCAAGTTGGAGTTGATGTCGAAGAAATATACCTCAGTGTAGGGGTTCAGGCAACGTGGATGAAGGAACCTTGATGAAGACACAATTTAAAGCTTCTGGCTGACCACTACAACTACTCATAGTTAAGGCAGATATGGAGCTCGATGGAGTGCAGATCCTTCGAAAAATCAGAAGCATACGGATGGCAGATGGACCGTGGAGGCGCAGCACAAACGCGTCCCTGGTTGTAGTCGGCTTTTGGACTTGGACGCGTTTGATCTGGAGGCAGGTGTAACCCTCTATCGGTGATATGGGATTCCGTAGTTCAAGTTTATTAGGGGCGAGGCGAGAGTTTCTAGGGCTGACATTACCCGCTGTTGGGTACCTCCTACCACTTACAGAGGCCTATTTCGTTACAGAGGGGCTGACTGGCCATGACAGCCTTTTGACAGCCTGAAAGCTGTTCTCTTTTGGCAGTCCCAACCCCTAAGACTTTAAGACCTTGGCTGTTACTTGGGTGGCTTTTTGGCTGCTCCTCCGAGGTGTTACAGTACTAACTACACACCACGCTGCGCTGCGCCTAAGCATTCCCCTAAAGCACCACCTTGACTTTGACCTCTATCAGCTCTCTCAAATTTACCCGCCGCCAGGCCAGCTCAGCTCAGCTCAGGCCCTTTCTCACCCACTTCAAGTTCGCATCGAAACCTTACCAAGGGTCCCCTTTTCCCCCTGCACGCGCGCAACCTTGGAAGGCCAGACTTTGCCTGCCGCGTTCTAACTTCTGTCCTGTTGATCCCTCTCCATCAAGAAACACCTCCACGAACATCCCTTTTTTCTCTCTCTCAAACCTCACCTCAAAAGTGTGCAACCGACGATTCCTTTTGCAGGCAAATTCACTCGTTCCTTGTTTTCGATTCCTTTGTTCCTCTATTCTTAGTCGAAGCTGGAATCAAAAAATTCCCCCACCACTGCACGCCAATCCTAAGCTAGTTACATACTGGTTCACCAAGCAAGCGAGAAAAAGCCCTACAAAGCCCAGACGAGTAAGCATCTGCACTCAGCCAGCCTCGGAGTCCGGCCACCTGTTTCACTTGCCCTGCAACAACTCGTTCAAACTTGCAACACACTGTTCTGGTGCTGGACACATCAGCTATCCTACCGAGTACATGCCAGCTATCATTCTGTAACCTCGTTCGGCGCATTTAGGAGGACGGTACCACTACTTGGTCCACCACGTTCTCTTCGCCCAATACCCTTAGTCCGCTCAACTCAACGTCGGCACTCCCGCTCCTACGTCTCCTCTCAATCCCCCTTCCATCGTCGCCTTGTTTTAGGTCGGCAGTCTGAAGAAAAGGCTCTTTCCTGAAGAACGGAGCACGACGCTCCTGGCGCACCTGCGATTGCGCGCGCCCCTCCCATTCTCACACGATGTTTGACATGCTTGAAGACAAATACATTGGCCTAGCGCTAGCTATCGCCTCCACGCTCGCCATCGGCACAAGCTTCGTGATAACGAAAAAGGGTCTGAATGATGCGGCAGATAAACATGGTTTCGAAGGAGATGGATTCGCCTATCTGAAAACACCGCTATGGTGGGCAGGTATCTTGTCGATGGTGGTGGGCGAGATAGCCAACTTCGCCGCCTACGCTTTCGCTCCTGCTATTCTGGTCACGCCGCTCGGTGCTCTCAGTGTGCTCATTGGTGCCGTCTTGGGCGCATACTTTCTGGATGAAGAGCTGGGGATCTTGGGGAAACTGGGTTGCGCCATTTGTCTGCTGGGGTCGATCATCATTATTCTACATGCACCGCCTGATGAGGATATTGAGACGGTGGATAAGATTCTCGAGCTTGCGATGAAGCCAGGTATGCGCCATCTGCTTTCCCCCCTTGCACTTGTCCTGCTCTTTGGCTAACATGTCTCGTCTCCCAGCGTTTATAATATATTGCTTGGCTGCCATCGTCTTCTGCACCGTTATGATCTACAAAGTGGCGCCCACGTACGGTCGGAGAAACCCATTGATCTTCGTTTCGATATGCTCGGTAGCTGGATCGGTGTCGGTCATGTCGGTCAAAGCCTTTGGAATTGCTGTCAAGCTCACATTTGCTGGAAACAATCAGTTTACACTTGCGTCGACGTATGTGTTTATTGTGGTGACGGTGGTGTGTATTTTGACCCAGATGAATTATCTCAACAAGGCTCTGGCGCAGTTTTCCACCTCGATAGTCAATCTGCTATACTATGTCACTTTTACAACCGCCACGCTATGTGCGTCGTTTATCCTCTTCCAGGGGTTCAACACTACCGATGCCGTCAACACGATTTCGCTACTTTCCGGGTTCCTCATCATCTTTGCAGGCGCATATCTGCTCAACTTGTCTCGAGGCGATCCGGATGGACATCGAATACTTGGGAACAAGATCCATGAGGACGGAATCCCCACGGACCCATTGGCCACATTTTCTACGAGGAGGAGCATGCAAGCAAGGAGGAGCTTCGACCCTCATCGGAGGAGTAGCAGCTTGACATTCAGCCCCGGTGGACTTCGACATGTGAGCGGGGAAAATGCAGGGCTGATGCACAACTACGACGTGGAACAGAACGCATTTGGATTGACGGATTTGGTGGAAGATCCGGACGAGATGCAGGGTGGTGGAAGTGGCAGTCGAAGCCCGGCTGGACAAGCAGTGACGAGAATGTCACATGCTCCCCATTCCAAGAGTATGGATCGATAACACTCGGGAGTTCCAAAGTGTTTGATTTCCATTACCAAATGGAATGAATGTACTGTAATAATGATATTCATGCATGGGCAGAAACGGTTCTTTTTGATTAGCGATGAAAAAGGTTTTACAGATTTCTACAGAACAGCGAGAGTCTGGACCTCCAGAATTGGTGGAGGGACTGAACTGGATCTTGATGGACTTTGGTTCATAAGAAGAACGGCACGTCTGGATGCTGTTTGAACATGATTGTATCAATTTTAAGTGGTCTTGTGGTTGACGGATAGAGTCGCTTGTCCAAGGATGTTGTGTTTCCCTGGCGTTAGACCATGGTTGTGCCTCCCCCAGAACTTTGCCCGTGGGAAAGTGTCGTCCTCGCATGTTGCACGTGGTCCAATCTCTCGAGCTTGGCCGATAACAGTTCTCATCATTCTCTCAATTCCAGGTTCCCACTTTTGGACCTCAACTGAAAGCAAGCTTTCCTTTCCTCTGCCCACATACATACCTACATAGTGACCCATACCATTCAGAAAATCTCTGTGCAAGTTTCAATCTACTGCTACTCTGACTACTACTTCAGAGCAGACCGGCTCATCATTTCCGATTACTCACACTGACAAGGCCCGGCTATCTCCATCCACACTGCACGTCGTCTCCCCTTGCACCTTGTCTGTTCGGTGGGCTGGGCTGTTGGCCAAGGCGCCCCTCCTGCACCAAACAACCACACGCGACACACCATGGCATCATCCCCGAAGACCACTGCTGTTGCCCCTTCACCGCGTGTAGCGGCTCAGAAAGGTATGATATAAACACAATGCTTGTCACACACTCGAGTTCCCTCCTTACCCCAGTCTATGGCCCTCATGCTGTCAACGGCACCAGGCGTTTGTGTAACTCACAATCATCCATGTGGTTGCCCAACTCTGTGTCACCTCTCTGGTTACACCACCTCTGCCCTGAGATGCCATTCTCCCACCCATTGGGTTTCGCCGATGATGTGATGGCCAAACATACCGTCACGCGACACTCTTTCGCCATCAGTAATGCTGCTACACACTAGCAGTGTCCCAATGCACCCAGTCACCAGAGCACTGTTTCGTTATCTTTGACATTCTGAATCCTCGTCTCATCATGATTCCAGCGTCACCACCAATTTCAATCCCAACCCATAGACCAAAATCATTCAAGCTAATTCCCTCACCTTGAAACAAACAGAAGTGAAAATCTTCGACGAGCCAGAGCATATCGAACCAGTCAAGCCAGGTGATTACGATGACGCCGTCTCAACAACCCCCAAACTTCATCGGGCAAGCATCTCAGGCAAGAAGATGACCGGTCGCCCTCCTCTGTCCAATGCCAATTCCTCAACATCTCTAGCCCACCAGATGTCGCAAATCAGTCTTGATAACAGTGGGCCTGAGCCCACTGACACCCCAGCCGAAGGCAAGACTCCTGACCTTCGCGGCCTGTTATCCCAGGTCGTCGACTGGCTGCAGGAGGAGAAGTCAAAGCAGCACAAACGTCGACATGCCGCACGACAACATCTCCAACCACATATCCATGCCCAAAGCCAACACCATCATCATCATCATCACCGTAGACACACCGGCGATCAGACTCCCGACGGAGCGTCGACTCCTCCAGTACAGCAGCGTGGAGAATCTACCGATCACGATCATGAAGTGTCCCTCGACAAACTAGAGAATATCCTCGCCGGTTTTACAGCCTCATACCTTCAGAGCCTACCGAAACTGACACATAAGTCCTCAACAAACTTGTTCCGTAAAGGCAGTATAGCCAAGAAGTTCACGAGACGTGGTTCTACTGTTCCTCAATCTTCTGACACAGAATTCTTCGGCGACGATATCCTCGTTCCAAACGTTGAAGCCAATCTCGACAACTCCAAAACCCTAGCATATACCGGTGGTTCGGCCGACACCGACACAAGCGACACGGCAAAACGGAGAGACTTGGAGCATTGGGTTGCGTTCAAGCAGGAAGTGGTGCGCTTGACTCACACTCTCAGACTGAGAGGATGGCGACAGATTCCTATCGAAAATGCAGCAGATATCGACGTGGCACGGCTGAGCGGTGCATTGACAAATGCTGTCTATGTTGTGCGACCTCCCAAAAGCGTGGGGGATCGTGATCGTTCGCAACAAGGCGCTCTGACTCCCAATCCATCGGGCGATCAGTTATCCTCATCCCAGCAGCTGACCCGTACTTCGTCCAAAAGCAAGCCCGCTCAGCTTCTCCTACGTATCTATGGTCCTCAGGTGGAGCATCTCATTGACCGTGATGCTGAGCTGAGTATCCTCCGCCGCCTAGCCCGGAAGCGGATCGGTCCACGACTGCTAGGTACTTTCGAGAACGGGCGCTTCGAAGAATTCCTACACGCAACAACACTCACGGAGAAAGACCTACGCGTGCCAGAAACATCCAAGCAGATTGCCAAGCGAATGCGAGAGTTGCACGAAGGAATCGACTTACTCGATTCAGAGCTTGAAGCAGGGCCAGCCGTCTTCATCAACTGGGATAAATGGGTCGATCGCGTCGAGAAGGTGATTTGTTTCCTTGACGAGCAAGTCCGACTCGCAGAAGAAGAGAAGAAAGCAGCATCTTCTCAAGGAGCTGACTCGACTACCAAGTCCAAAATCAACCCTCGCTACACCCGCCGCGGTCTCATCTGCGGAGTTGAATGGCCTGTTTTCCGACGCGCCTACGAATCCTATCGCGCACGCCTGGTGAAAGAATCTGGCGGAAATAAAGCGATCCGCTCGAATTTGATCTTCGCACACAACGATACGCAATATGGCAACTTGATGCGCCTGCAACCTTCGGGAACCTCCCCACTCCTGCAGCCCAGCAATCATCACAAGCAACTGATTGTCATCGACTTTGAGTACGCATCGCAGAACACCGCAGGCCTCGAGTTTGCCAATCATTTCACTGAATGGTGCTACAACTACCATCACCCGGAGCGCAGCGCCATGTGTGACACGCGCCGCTACCCGGACGAGAAAGAGCAATACCGCTTCGTGCGAAGCTACGTCATGCACCGCCCACAGTTCAACCCGAGCGCTTCAGCAACGCCTAAGATGGAGGCACGCGAAAAGACTAATATCAGCGATTTCATGCTTGATGCTCGAGCCCCGCCGACCCCTAGTTCCTTGTCTGCACATGGCTCCACGACGGATCTTCTGGGTAGCAGTGTCACGTTGGATACATCTACTTACGATGCTGAGGAACGGGAGCGCGAGAGGGCTCAGGAAGAGGAGATCCAGCGCTTACTTAGGGAGACGCGATTGTGGCGGCTCGCTAACTCAGCGCAGTGGGTTGCTTGGGGCATTGTGCAGGCGAAAGTGCCGGAGTTGGATGAGAAAGAGGATGCAAAGGTCAAGAATCACGCCAAGAGCATTGTCGAGGGCGTTGTGGAGAAGGTCAAGGGGCTGACGGTTGGTGGTACCAAGGATAAAGACGACGAAGGCGCCGCGGGTCCAGAGGCAGGCGTTGGCCACACGGCAATAGCACAGTCCGATCCCCTCAACGATGAAGACAAACGCCTCAAGGAGGAAAGCCAACATGATCGACCGGAAGGACGAGTCCAGGAGGAAGCGCACCATGAGGGCGACGCGAAGACCGAAGGAGAGGAATCTGGAGAAGGCGAGGAGGGAACGGAAGAGGAAGCAGAGGAGTACGACTATCTGGCCTACGCACAGGACCGCGCCATGTTCTTCTGGGGCGATTGTCTGCAGATGGGCATCGTCAAGGAAGACGAGCTGCCCCAGAGTCTCCGGGAGAAGCTTAAGCTGGTGCCTCACTGAGCTTCTCTCGGCTGCTTGGCTTAATGGGCCAATGAGGTGATTGATGGCTGAGCACTGGGATGGGATGCATGAAGAAGGGCGGTGTGCTCCAACTCTGAGATTCTGTTTGACTTCACTTGGCTTGTCGACCTGAGCTTCTAAAGGGTGATGCTGCGGCTTACCGAGCGACATCGAGAATGATTTCTTATCCCCCGATCTGATATTCTACTGATTCGTGAATCTGATTTCCGCTATTCCGTGTCTTGGTGTCTATTTAGGTAGTTCGCCGCGAAACGACGACGACTCTCGCTACTTGAGTACATACATACTATTTATCAACACCGCCAAGTTCTTTTCTTTTCTTTCTTGTCTGATGTTTGAATTATTGGTTTATTTTGGGTTTATCCGTTGTCGCTTTACGGACTGAAAGGTTGTCGGTGGTGGGACTTTCACGTAGCGTGTAGATACCTAGGCGTTCACCCCCGTGCCTCAGAATTTGGCATTGAAAGGAGGAGTTCGGTGGATGTGGCTCTGTCCCTCTACTTCTGACCTGTACGCTGGAATCACTGTGGCTTTGATCAGCCACGCCTATTCTATTCTGTTCTGTTCTGTTCGATCATCATGGTATATATATATATATACCATGATGATCG